CTAAAGGTGGAAGGTGGCCTTTGGAGTACAGTAAGGTAGTGTTGATGTAGTTAGAGGTTCTTGTAACAAGACGGGTCGCGTAGAGCTGCAGGCTACCAGTAGTAGCTCCAGTATAGTAGCCCAGCATAGTTCCGGAGCATCTCAATCGAGACAGGTATCCGCGATACATACGACGTGTTGTTGGCTCGGAACCTGTCAGCGCGAGGCGTTGGCGAGACAGACAGGACGGCATAGCATTTGCGGGATTTGTGACAGGCTCGACGGCATCGCTATAGACGCAGGGCTGATTAGGGCTGCTTATGTCGCTTTTGTTGGGTTGCGGCTGCTCTGAAGGCTTCGAGTGGGTTTCGAGTGGGGTCTGGATACCGGTCGCCGCAGTTCTCGGCTTTGACTATAGGCGCCTGAGTCGCGAACTGATGCAGCAATTGGCAGAAGGCGGTATTTGCTTTTGTACATGTCTTGGAGCTGTGCATAGAGGTCAAGCATAGCCGTCGATCACGCATGGTAGAAGACAGGCACAGGGCCCAGCCGCGTTCCCGGCAGGCGCTGCTCCTATCTACGCCGCAAGAGACACATTGCGGGCCTGCCCTCGTTCAGCTGTCTGCGCGTGCCCAAGTACTGGGGCTAAGGTATGCTATGCGGCCCCCAAGCTTAATTCACCCTTCATCTGGCCGCCATCAGCGCTCGCGTCGCATTGCATCTTCGTCTCTCCTGAAGCCTCTCCACAGAAACCCACCAGACGTGGTATTGAATGCATTGAGCCACGTTCTGCCAACCGACGGCGCGACGTCAAGCAATCCCCTAGCTACTTGGCTACCGCGGTCCGGCCAGCAGGTTCCGATTGAACGCGTAGCCTGCCATCATGCCGCGACCTACATTTACCAGCAAGCTCTCGCTTCCGCACCGCCTCAAGCAGCAAACCAGCTACACTAGCAATCCCAATTCCACCCCAACCTCTGTCCCCGCCAGTCGCACTGGAAGCCCCAAACTACGCGCCATGCCAGAGCAGCCAGTACCCGGCCTGGTCTTGAGGGCGAATGTCATTAAAGTGCGCCCGACCATTGTCTCCCCACCGAGGAGCCACAGCTGACATGAATGCAGGGCAGAGACCTCGCTGCAAAGGACCGGAGCGGCACTTCTGACCCCGTGAGTTCCTTCCCGGTTATGCTCCTACCACGATTGCCCCTCTAACCACCATGTCCACAGTACCTGGTCCTCTCGCTCGGCGATGAGAAATTCACCACTCCCACCATAAACAAGCAACTGAACCCAGAATGGAACGAGACACTCGAACTGCCCATCCTCGGCGAGCAGAGCCTCCTGCTCGAAGTCGTCTGCTGGGACAAGGACCGCTTTGGGAAGGATTACATGGGCGAGTTTGACGTCATACTCGAGGAGCAATTCCAGAACGGACTCACACAGCAAGAGCCACAATGGTTTCCTCTGCGGTCGCGGCGATCGGGAAAGAAGAAGTCTGTCGTCTCCGGCGAGATCCAAATCCAATTCTCCCTCATCGACCCCGTCAACCTCGCCGCCACACCTGAGCAGATCCTACAGAAGTTCTTTGCTATTGCAGGACAAACACCAAGCCCCGACGAAGACGATGGGGACCTTCTCATGCGCGGCGACAGCAACCTTACCGACGCCGAAGACGATGAATCGAGTTCGGACGAGGCGCAGGATGAATCAAAGAAGGCCGAGAAGAGGGAGAAGCGGCGGAAGAAGCTCAAGTTGGCCAGACTCAAGAGAAAGGTCAAGGGAAAGACCGGTTACGAATACTCCAGCACCGGCGACATAGCCGGTGTTCTCTTCCTCGAAATCCAGAAGTGTACCGATCTGCCACCAGAACGCAACGGTAAGCTCCCCCAGGCAACGTGCCCCTACGCAAGCTAATGCATCTTCAGTGACCAGAACTACCTTCGACATGGATCCTTTCGTCGTAACTTCACTCGGAAAGAAGACGTATCGTACCAAGACCATCAGTCATAATCTAAACCCCGTCTTCGACGAGAAGCTTGTCTTCCAGGTTCTACGACACGAAACCAATTATTCTGTCAACTTCACCGTCATCGACAAGGACAAGTTCTCGGGCAATGACTATGTTGGCACCGTCAACTTTCCCCTCGAAAAGGCTGTTTCGACAGCCCCCCAGGAAGATCCAGAGACAGGACTATACAGGCTACCTGAGCCATCAGACTCTCCTGGTCTCTCTCCCTCTGAGTCTGGCAGTTCTAAGAAATCCCGCTTCCGCCTCCCAATGTCTCGCTCTGCTTCTACCCATAGTCTATCTCGCCTAGGTAGGCCGTCTTTGAAGAAGGAAAGCTCGACGGGTTCGCTCTCTGTCCAAGAGTCCAGCGGATCTCTTGCCGCCCAGAACAATGCCGCAGCCGACTCCAACGGTAATCTCGCTGTAGCCGGCGATGTCAATATCAACCCGTCCGCTGCTGATGACGAGGATCTGAAAATGTATACTCTTCCGTTGGAGTTGAAAGACAAAGAGCGCTGGAGCAACAAACACAACCCAACCCTCTACATTCGCGCAAAGTATCTCCCGTACAAGGCTCTTCGACAACAATTTTGGAGAGCTATGCTCAAGCAGTATGATGCCGATGAAAGCGGTCTTCTCGACAAAGTAGAACTCACCACCATGCTCGATACCCTCGGATCTACCCTACACGAATCGACTATCGACAGCTTTTTCGATCGTTTCGCGGATGCACATAATGGGGACCTTCTGCTTACATTTGATGAAGCCGTCATCTGCCTTGAGGATCAGCTCCAGGCCACAGAGGCAAGAGATGCCCAGAAGTCCGGGGTTGCGTCAGGCACGCAGACTCCCTCATTAGCATCTGGAATGCTTACACCCATCAACCAAAACAACTCGACAACGTCCATCCCCGTGCTTGAGACAAACGTTTTGGGCAGAGAGGGCGAAGAAGGCGACAACCTTCAGATTGACGATCTTGCGGACGAGAAGGGAGAAGAACATGTTATCGAGATCCGAGAATGTCCTATCTGCCACCAGCCGAAGTTGAATAAGAGGTCCGATGCTAATATCATTACACACATTGCTACCTGCGCAAGTCAAGATTGGAGACAAGTCAACAACATTGTCATGGCTGGTTTCGTTACTTCAAGTCAAGCACAGCGAAAATGGTATTCCAAGGTCATCACTAAGATCTCGTACGGCGGCTACAAACTAGGCGCAAATTCGGCAAACATCCTTGTTCAAGATCGACTTACAGGTCAGATCAATGAAGAGCGCATGAGCGTTTACGTTCGTCTGGGTATTCGCCTGCTTTACAAGGGTCTTAAATCGAACAATATGGAGAAGAAGCGAAGTAAGTGGCTAAATGCTGTTGTCCTGAAATCGTCATACTAATTTGTCGCAGTCCGCAAATTGCTCAAGTCTCTCAGTTTCAAGCAGGGCAGGAAATACGATGACCCTGCCTCAGCCTCAGAGATCTTACCCTTCATCAACTTCCACCAGCTCGACATGTCCGAGGTGTTATTGCCAACAGACCAGTTCAAGAACTTCAATGAGTTCTTTTACCGAGCATTGAAGCCCGGTGCGCGTCCGTGCTCTGCGCCAGACGATCCCAGAGTCATAGTCTCTCCGTCAGACTGCCGAACAGTGGTCTTCAATACGATCGACTCAGCACAGGCTATTTGGGTTAAGGGTCGTGACTTTACCGTCGAGCGTCTGCTTGGTGATGCATACCCCGAAGATGCGAAGCGCTACCACGGAGGTTCTCTTGGTATCTTCCGACTTGCACCGCAAGACTATCATCGATTCCACATTCCCGTCGATGGTGTCATGGATGAGCCAAAGACGATTGAGGGAGAATACTACACAGTCAACCCAATGGCCATCCGCTCAGCTCTGGACGTATACGGCGAGAACGTGCGTGTCGTAGTACCCATTGACTCTGTCGCACATGGCCGCGTTATGGTCATCTGCATTGGCGCCATGATGGTCGGCAGCACTGTCATCACGCGTAAGAAGGGCGACCATGTCAAGCGTGCCGAGGAGCTGGGCTACTTCAAGTTCGGCGGAAGCACGTTGCTGCTTCTCTTTGAGCCTGGTCAGATGAGATACGATGAGGACCTTGTAGACAACTCAAACTCTGCCCTTGAGACTCTCGTAAGTCCCCGTCATCCCTACAATCATTCCGCATTACTAATTTTGATAGGTTCGTGTCGGCATGTCTATCGGTCATAGCCCCAATAGGCCAGCTCATGTCCCCGACATGCGCAAAGTCAACCCAACCAACGAAGAGAAGCAGGACGCGAAACGCCGCATTGAGGGCAGCTTTGCACCTGCAGGCGTGAAAGGACCCATGCCTGGAGCAGGGATGTAGAATAAAGTCCATTGCAGTGCATAGGAAAAGGAATACATAAAAGGACATGGGCAGGCTTGGATATTCAACATTGTTCTGGCGTGTCTAACTGGAGTAACGAGGTTATGATGGTATGTGAGCATACGGATTAGCGGCATGGATAGTCGCTTGTTCTCTGGCGTTTTTGAGCGGCTTTGCTTTGGCTGTCTACGAGGATGTATCATTTATATATGTGCAGAGCAGCTGGCTCGCATCCTACAGCACCACCTTCACCTCCCGCAAGTTTTGGAATACTGTGCTCAAGCTCAAGCTCAAGTGATAGACGCTCGTTGATGTGGGGTGCACTAATGCCTCACGTGAACACGCTAGTCCCGAAACCATTGTTTTGATGATGCTGGCGGCAGGTGCACACACCAGCTTCCTTGCTCCCGTGTGACAACCGTTCCCCTCCACGCCAGTCGCCTAAGGATATTCGCATTACCGCCAAATCATTACGAGCCCGCGTACGGATAACGCAAGCATATACCTAATCGCACGCAAACGACGATCGTACAACCTGCGTAGCTCGCCCCTTCTACGCTCGCCCGTTTGTCGCGCCAATGCACGCGCTTTGACCGAACATCAACTCTCCGAAACTCCCGTGACGCAGCAACTGGACTCATGACTACTATCTTCGCACGCCCACCGCTCCAATCGCTTCCTATGGCCACAAACCGACCGACGACGCGACGAAGGAGCGCAAAACAAGCCTTCGATGACGACGATGCGCCGGCGCCAAAACGAGCAAAGGCCACTGCTGCGCCAAAGAAGACAGCAAAGGCAGCTGCATACGACGAGGATGATGATGGCTTCCAATTCTCGCGTCGCACGTCGTCGCGAAGGACTACAAAGGTGCAGGCTGCGCCGGCACCAGCACCAGAACCAATACCCGAGGAAAGACCAACGAAGCCTGCGCGACCTGTCGAAGCGCAATCCGTCAAACCAGCTGCGCGAAAGAAGAAACTGTCAATTGCGGCAGCCGATCCAGAATCTTCAGACTCGGGAAAGCGACGGCGATCAGCGCGCATATCTGCCGACAGTAGACAGCTAGAGGTGCGACCGAAGTCCACAGAACCTCCTCCAACAAAAACACGCACGAAGAAAGCCGCGCCTACAGAGAAGGAAAGGAGGAAACAGGTCACACCCCCGCTAGAAGCACAGCCCGAACCGAAGAGCGCGTATGCAGGCGTACAAACACCGAGACATAATGAGATACAGGTTGCGAAGAGGCGCGATCCCAACGCCCAAAAGATTATGCTGCCTTTTGCCGACACACCAGTTATAACGAGGAACAAGGAGATGCGCAAGGGAGGTAACAAGGACGGGTCAAGAAGGAGTAGCACAGGCTTGCGAGGGAGGAGAGCAAGTTCGCTGATTGATAGCGGCCAGTCGAATGGTGAGTCTGAACACGATGCACAGAAGAACTGGGCAGAGAACCTAAACGGCATGGAAAAGCGCCTCCGAGAAGGAGTGGATACTAACAATGTCGCAGCGTTACCACACTCCGAGGTCGAAGTTCGAGATTTCTACAAATACATCGAGCAAAGTCTACCCGAACCGCGACGGATGAAGCAGCTTTTGACATGGTGTGGATCGCGAGCACTGCCAGCGAAGCCATCGGGCGATGTCAAGAACGCGAATGCGATCATGGCTGCGCGAGCGATTCAGCAAGAGCTTATAGACGACTTTGCAAGCAAACCTGAGCTTTCGGACTGGTTCAGCAGGGTACGTGAATTGACTTCAGTAAAATAAGGATCTGGGCTAACTGTTGTGCAGGAAGAAACAGCGCCACCACCTGTGGTAAAGAAGCCGAATCCCCAGAACGAGATGAACAAAGCCAAACTGGAGGAGCTGGAAGAGGAAGTCAGACGGTATGTCTTGAAGTCTGCTCACTACATTAACACCATACTGATAGCGATGTAGCCTCGAGGAAGAGAAAGCCGCTTGGGAAGCCATCGCATCGGCATCGAAAGCCAACCCTCCACCACCCGCACCTTCAATACCCACTTCGGCACCTACACTATCGGACATTGATACATCCCTCCTCGATCCCGATCAAGCTGCCATACTTTCTTCTCTCCAATTAGCACAACCACAGACTTCACCACAACCGCCATCATCAGCATTCACTTTCACATCGCCCACGGCACTACAATCACATTTGACATCACTCGCCAACTCGCTAGAACCGCACATCGACCTCTTCGCAGATGGTGTTCATAAGGTCGAGCAGTACCGTGCTACAGCAGAACGAGTAGCGGATCGTGTGCTGGGAACGGCGGCAAAGAGATTAGAAGAGCGAGATCGGGAAGCAAAGGAAAGAGTCGGCACAGAAGGCATCGGTGTAGGTGACATACTTAGAGGCCTTGCAGGTGTACTTGGGGAGCAATAGATATGCATACGTTCGCTGCAACGAAATACAAGAATTGCCAGCAGGAATGGACAAAGACTGGCATCCAGACAGACAGAACCGTCTTATGAATATGATCTATGTGGCGCTTTCTTCGGCCTTTTTGCCTCGTCCAGGAGACGTACTATTCACGCATTTTCGTATGGTTTTCAGTGTGCATGGGAATGAATTAGGAGAGAACGATATACCCTTCTGTTTCTTGGTTTCTTATGTAAATGTTTCTTTTTGTGGACAAGAATACTATTGCACTATCTCGCTGGGCCACTGAGGCAAGTTATTCACATACTTCAAGCAAAGTGCACAAATCTGCTTCAGGGGATGCTGATGAACGCGAAAGTAAATGAAGAATCATTTACATTACGCTTTACACGTGTCAAATATTTTTGACTTTTAACGTTGCCCTTGAACCATCGTAGATAGATGCTCATTGTCTTCAAATCCTTACATTAGCTAGCTAGCTCACAGATACAAATATTCTCTCCCCCCATGTTTCGCTCAAATCTTCACACACCATATAGCCAATCGCCCAATTTCGTCTTCCAGATTCAACGCAAACCCCATTGTGATGCGCAGGAAAAGCAGGCGCTGTTCTAGATAGTGGAGGACGTCAAGACGGGTATCTACGAGTTGTTCTGGTGTACGACCGAGGAGTTGAGACCATGCGACATCCGAGAGGATGAGTTTCCCAGAGCTGGCTTGACCGGTTTCGTCAAGGAGGGGACCGAGCTAGAAATGAATCGCGTTAGTTGCGGGATGCATGCAAGAAGAAATGACATAGTGGAAGGTACAACTGCTGGAATGATGTGAGAACAAGTGGAGATAACTTACTATCCTGGGATTGATCCTCAGTTCTACCATCTTCCCACACTGCTTACATTGGACCTCTACACTGTTGGCGAAGATGGGGATCCTGCAGCATTCATTGCTCATGAGCATATTGCGTTTGAACGGCGTGACGATGTTGAGCTCCGTGATGATAACACTGAGGTATCCAGCAATAGTTTCCTTGGATCCTTTGTTCGTGAGCGAACGAGCGACATCGTCCACATCCGCAAGTGTATACAGTGCTCTTACGGCTGCAGTCTCGAATCCCTCAATTACATCGACAGCGATGGGAAATTGCGGGTTGACATGTTCCTTTTTTGTCAGTCTTTGTGCTAACGCCCTCAATCGCCGTGCGTCACCCATATCTGGGTCGACGTCGATGCGTGAATTGCCGCTGACTGTCAGCTTAGCCATCTTCTCGATACGCCATCCTGGATTTGAGATGAGCAGGACTGTTTTCGAAGGAACGAAGAGAGAGGCAGAGTCGCACATGGACGAGTACAAAGTAAGTAGGCCATCGGATGTGTCGTCGAAGATGCCGAGGGCGATGAGTTCGGAGGTTGTGCCGTTGCGGTTCATGTCTACTTGTGAAGTTAGTCATAGGTAAAGAGATAAGTAGGGAGCATAGGATAGAGAAACCACGCACACTTCTTCCGCGCTCCAATACTTTTGACGCATACCAGCAACTTCGGCTCTTCAACATCATACCCACCATCAGCAAAGCTCTTTAGCGTCATCAACCCAGTCAACATCCCATTTTCTCTTATACCATATGGCCTCTTGAACCTCGTACCGTCATCGCTGTTCTCATGCACCATAACATGGCAATTCCTCTCGCCCTCAGGAAAGATGGTAGTAAACAGCGGCGCAGTATTTGGGGCAAGCAAATTAAACTCTGAAGAATTCGAAATGTGCACCGTCCACACACTGAGAAGCTGGCCTAGTTTGAGCCTATACTGCGTGTTGTTATACCAAAGGCGCACGGTGAGCACCCCAGTATCATCTGCTAGCAGGATCTTGATGCATCCTTGAGCTGCTTTGTGTGATTTGCTGGGTTTGGCCTGGTCGTTGAAGTAGACGATGCGGCCCATGAGGGCGAAGTTGCAGGGACCGGGTTCGAGCGTGCCTAGGTCCGCTTCTTCGTAGTCGAAAGCGGGCTTCCTGATGCGTTAGCGGTTGGATCAGTACGAAAGTGAGGTGCCACACAGCCCATGCACTTGCAGCAGTCGCTCCTGATGAGGTAAGAGCGCACTGCACCTCCTCGGTGGTGAAGCCATCGCTGTTCTTTGTCGGTGATGATGAGAAGTGATACTGAATTGATGACGAAGCAGGCATTTTCTCTCATGCAGGTTCGTTTCGATGAGCTGGTGGCATCTGCAGTGTTGGGTACTGATGTTGAGGTGAGGTGAGATGAGGTTCAAGTTAGGAACGTTCCTCCCACTTTCATGCGGTGCGATGTTCGTCTGCATCCCGATAAAGAAGTCGCGCGACTCTGAATATCAGGCATTTGCTTATGCGCGCATACACAAACGTTAGTATGCTTCGTTGTGTTAATAATTGGAATAGTGGCGCTAGAATGCAAGCACCGGATAACACAGCCTAATTAGCACTACCAGGTCACGAAAGATCAGACAACATCGTAGTAAACAGATTTTCTATTGCTTTAGAGAAAGTAGTGAGTTGGTCAAATCACGCTGTGAGCCACATGTGCCTATGGAGCATCATGCGATATGTGCCATCCAGTTCCAATGAACACGCTGAAGGATCGCCAACAGTCGGCCGATCTAGAAGAGCTTGTGCTCCAAGGTCATGTCGTTCTCCGGCTCGAGACCGACGCAGGCGCGGAAGATGTTGGTGAGAGCCGCGCGCTGCTTAGCAAGAGCGTTGACAACAGGTGTGCCAGGAGGGGTGAGAGGAGCTTTGAGCATGTAACTGAGGACACTGAGGACGCTGTGAAAGTTATTGAACTTCGCATCACTGCCTTCTGCGCTGTGAGCCTTCCACTGGACACGAGTCATCATCTCAGCGACGAGAACCAGATCGATGATCAGAGGCGAAGCTAGGAGAGAGTCCTCGCAGACGTTGAACAAGCTGATGGTTTGGTGGCCGTCAAGGAAGATCTCGGCGTAGTACTCGTCAAGAGCACGCTTGTCGTCTCCAACAGCGGGCATGTACTTGATGACCACGCAATGGTCAGGGTGCTCACCGTCCTTGTACAAGACGTTGTTCGCAGCGACCATATCGTCGACGACGTTGGACTTGGAAATCTCCTTGGAACGGAATTGCTTCTGAGAGCTGAGGTTCATGCCGTCATTGTTGCCTAGGTGGTTGTATGAAGCAATGGAGGTGAGCTTGATACCGGCGCTGATCATGAAGTCGACTAGAGCAGACTTCATCTTGGTCTGACCAGACTTGAAGTCGTCGCCACCAATGAAGGCATTGTGCTTCTCAGCGAGCTGGATAGCGCCAGGAACGAACGTATTCTGGGGAGAGCCGTTGATGAAGGGGACGCCCTCAAGAATCGAGGCAACGGCAAAGACAGTGGATGGAGAAACCTCCTCGTGGCCAGATTCAATGGCTTTTAGCAGGTTGTCCGCCGTGTCGTTGACGCCCTCAATGATGTCGGCGTAGCGCTCAGTGTTAGCAGTCCATTGCACAATGACCTTGTCGAGATTGTTGGCAGTCTTGAAGTCACTATATCATCATCAGTACAGGTGACCATGGCAATGCGTGAACTTCCGACTTACCGAATGTCCTTGCGGATCTGCTCAACATGGGCCATGGAAGCCTTGGTACCCTCAAGGACATTGTCGGCACGCTCCTCCTGATTGGCAGCAATGAAGTCTGGGTAGTAGATGCTAGGCAGAGGCTTCATTGCGCCCATCTCCTTACGTACAAGAGACTTCAGAGACGGCGACAGGACCTTAGCGCGGTCCATCGCTTCAGCAAGGTTCATCCCGCTAATGTCCCATCCACCAACGACAAGGTCGTTGGGGTGGACCATAGGCAGGAGGTCATGGAATGGAATGTGGATCTCCTGACCGGTCTTGCTGTCGACGCCGAGCTTGGTGGTAGATCCCATGATGACCGAACCATAGTAGTTAGCGCCTCGCTTACCCTCCTTGGTCTCCCAAACGAGGTTTCGCTTGTTCGCGATGATACCGGCGGTGACCGTAGTGCCGTTGTTGCCGCCCCAGCCAACCAGCATAACACCGGTCTTGGGGATCTTGCGGTCGACCTTGAAGTCGTAGAGAGTCTCCTTGGGAACAGCAACATACTTGCCGTCGGCGTTCTTAGTAACGTCGGTGGTACGGTAAGTGTACTTTGACTTGATGGTATCCTCGGTATACTCTACGTTAGGAGAGCTGACAACAAAGAGATCCTTGGGAGCCGCCTTCACATCGAACCCATTCGCGTGACCGACGCCGTCTTCTGCGTGTGGTGCCATAGTTGTAATTTAAGTTCTTTTTGAATTGATGAACTTAGTTGCGGAAGTCTAAATCCGACGCTGCCCCAGAGGGAGAAGTGCGTCGGCCGGCGAATGGGTTGTGGATCCTGTCAAATGTCAGTATAAACCGTCCCCATGGGGTTATAGCGGGGCACATACGAGCTGAGGAGATTGGAAAACGTCTTGACAGCTGGGCAATGGCCCGGGGAAATCTGGGTGTGGTTGATAGAAGGGAGAGAGATTGTAAGCTTGACAGCTGTCTGTTGTTTACAATCGGTGGTGTGTTGTGGTGGGGTGAGGAAAGATGGAGAGCAGTCGCGATATAAATGCCTCCCGCGTCCCGGCTGACTTAGCAATAATCGTACGCAATCTCTCCCGCTTGCTGCCGGACAGCGTGTTCACCCACCGCTTCTTTGCCTTTACCTTCCATACTCCCCACTTTTCGTACTAATGTACCTCGCCGTAACCTTCTTCGGGATGTGCAACACCAATGGGCGCACAGCAGCTGCGTTCGCGATGTTCGCCATGCCCCACTGTTTCTCTCACTATCTCAACATGCAGCCACAACAACCGCAGTAGGTATGGTGACGGTGTAAGCGACACGGACGAGAGCGCTCTATGAGCCTCAAGCGAAGGTCCATTGCATGGACAGCTGTCATTGCATCCTCGAGTGTACCGCTGTGGGATTTTGTTATTTCCTCCTATGAGGCACCCGTCCAGGCAGGTACTATGAGATACGTGCCCCGCCATCACGTGCTCCGTACCTCTGTAGAGAAAATCCCGGCAACCTCCGGAGCTGGAGTGGACCTCTGAGGACTTTTCACGCAGATGGAAAATACGTTTCTCTTCGAAATGGCAAGCATAGCAGTTGAAGGGCTTTTGAGCCACGAATTGTTTCAAGGCACAGTGGTGTCGTCAGTCAAGCGCGTCGGCAGCACTCGACACGTGTTCTGCGTCAGAAATGTTTACAGAACGAAGGAAAGGCACGCGACACTGTCAGCAACACGTTTTTGTGGAGTAGCCGCGATGCAAGACAGCCACTCTTGACAGATGACAGATGCTGCTTGCTGGCGAAATATCTACACGAAACCAACAACATGTCGACACTATTAGCCGTAATCGCAGACATTGAAAATCAGACCCTGGGGTCGCTTGCAGGAACGACGAATGCGGCAACCTGCATATGCAGTTTGCTGATCGCCAATCAGCCTCGCAGTTCGCCATGGGAACCATGTTAGCACATGCAGAGCGGGCAGGGAGAGAGGTATCTTCTAGGGGCAAAAGTTGGCGCAACGATATGCCTCCTACTGTTTGAAACCTCTAGCTCCTGCGACAGATCAAGCACTCTGTCTCGTGGTCCACACCGGCTTGAAAAGATTGTGGACGAGAAACTGTTGACGTAGCGAAAGGGGCGCTTAAGCCATGGATAATTGCTACATGCAACGTAGATCGACCAACGAGAACGACGCCGCATATGGCCAATCACGCCGAAGAGTAATGTCCGGCCCTGGTGGCTTGATAGCGCATGGACAGCAGGCGACCGGAGCCCTCAAGCCACCTGCTCGTGGTTGCAGGACTTGGCTTTACAGTTCTGGCAGCGTTGCTGCCGCGATTTGCGACCTCCTTGAGCTTGCGAACTCTGTTGACTTCAGTCCGCAGACATGAAATCGTGTATCGACGATGGTGTTGCGTCCGAGACTCTCCGTCGCTGACCATGGTTTCACAGCAAGTCGCCGCCACTGGAACAAAGGGAACCACACGATTTGCCCAGGTACAAGCCGTCGCTCCGTGCGCACGCCTGTCGAATCATGGGAACCGACTCGCTCGATCTCTCGCGCCACATCTCAGGGACGCGCGAGTTACGTGTAGGATATGCACAAAGAAAGCGATTTGTGCGATTTGTCCCTCGCCATTGGGCCTTTGCCTCTAATTGCCGATCAGCCTTGTTGTGCGATGCAAGATGTGTGTGGCCAGCGCTCAGACACGGTCATAACCGCTCTCATGATCATAATTCATTAGCATCAAATACCCAACATTGCGCGTGTCGATTGTGGGGCAAAACAGCCTCTTAAACTGCAGGACACAAAGACGCTAGCTTTTATCCCGCTGCCGTCCCTGAATCCTAGCCAATTCGGGGCCATGCCCGCATGCTTCCCCTGATTCAGCAAGGCCCACCCACACTGTTTCTGAGGATCGAACAACCCTGTTCAGCTTTGTTTCTCGGCGCGCCCATCTATCATCCGTCCTCGAAGACTGCCGCATGACTTGCTCCCACTTCATGTCACCAACTTCGATACCGCCTTACGAACTAATACCGCTGGACGTGAACGGCCTTACCATTGCATGTCCAGGCACGAACGGCCTTGGACTTCTTCCTTGAACCAGCTCTGGATACACGCACAAGATGGAACGAATGAGCACTCTTCCGACTATCAAGTGTTCATCTTGCGCGGTGGACATAGATATCCTTCATTTAGCCGATCATGTTTGCGCTGCGGCACCCCCATCGGGTGAGTACAATACGGAACACTACTATATACACAGGCTTATCAATTTAGCAACGACGGTTCCCGAGCCTATGTCCCCCACCTCAACTGTCTCTCCAGAATCCCCACCCTCTTTAGTCTCGCCGAAGCTCAGTCGTGCAGCAACTTTTGGTGGACCAACTTTTAGCAACAGATCGGACCAGCCAACACAATCGGGTCGCATGCCTCCCCCTCCACGAATCGATTCAAATGCAGCAAGTAAGCAAGCCGAGCAGAAAACCAGCTTCACTGATAGATTCCGTGCTCATTCGTCTAGACAAGCCATTTCGACCGTTGGAACCATCACCAATGACTAACCAAAGAGACCCCAGAAGCCGCCCTCCAGGTCTGGCACCGCCTAGGTCTCCGTTTAAGATGAATCGCAGTGTGACAAGCCCTGTCCCACGATCGATGGCGCCTCCATCGCCCGATTACAGCTCGAACTTGGATAGTGCCTTCCCACGATTTCCCTCCAAGAACAGTACCCCCAAAAGTGCCAAACCTGGACCGCGAGAACGCTTAGAGCCCTATCAACAAGACTATGCTCAACCGAGCCCCCTGTTTGCGCCGCTAAGCCCACGGTTCGATGGTGGTGAAAACGTCACCAAGCGCATGAATAGCATTGCGCCAGGACCATTTGACGGAACGGCAGATCGCAGGCCAAGCACGGCGAGCGCAACAAGACCATTTGCGGAAGAGGGACAAGCACTTGGCCATAGGAGGACAGGCACAGACGACAGTATGGGGAGCAATAAGAGCGTGCCAAAACAGCGTGGATCTGTAGCATCGAACGCGTCACGAAGTTCGGCATACTCCAACCGCAGCATAGGCCTTCCCGCACGCCCAAAGCCGGGCATGGGCGGTACTAATGCTCTGCCACCGCTACCAGCCACATCCGAGCAGGCCGAAGGTATTGATGCTTTCCTGGACCGATTGCAGAAGGAATCTACGAAGCCTTCCCAGGCACCTCAGGAGAACGTGGCAAGAGCGAATCCGTCACGACAGAATAGTAGGGAAAGGAGAACACCCCCACCAAGGCCTAGGAGACCGTCAGAGAAAGATCTTCCACCATCTGATATGACCGATCTGGAACCTCCGGAGTTCATGCCTCCTTCGAACAACATGTTCTCTTCTCGAGGTTCAAGCCGAAGTGGTTCAGAGAGCGATATGCCAAGAGGCCTCGCGCCGTCTCACGCTTTACGTCCGCCGCCACTAGCATCTTCTGGGCTCGGTGATGCGTCCTTGAATGCGCTTCACACGCCTTCGGACTCTGGCTTCTCGGATGATTCATATGCTAGCTCTGGCTACCGAAGCATAGCAAGCTCAAGGTCAAGCCCACCTGAATCGGAAGCTGCGCACTCACGCCAAGCCTCCAAGATTAGCCGTCCTAGCAACATTGTTGAGGAAAGTGTTGAAAGAAGCGCAAGTCCAGAGTCCTATGCTGAAGCACGGCCTGTTCGAGCACCTAGGAGCTACATGAGGCCCGATGGTGCGGAGCCATACCCACGTGCACTCTCACCGGGATATCGCCAGGACACATTTCCGCCCGGAGGATATGCAAGGTATCCAGAGTCGCCAATGGATCCCGCCATACAGATGGGCGCCCCGATGCCACGCGACATGTTCGAAAGAGAGCCGATATCTCCGCAGGACCCAGCGCAAGTCAATGTAAGCCCACCAAGACATATGGCTGATCCCGAACCTCAGCAGCAAGAAGTGCGCCGGCCCAAAGCTGCTAGCAAAGGCAACTGTCGCGGGTGCTCTGAACCGATCATTGGAAAGTCCGTGAAAGACTCTTCTGGTCGCCTCACTGGACGCTACCATAAGCACTGTTTTGTCTGTAGAACGTGCGCCGATCCGTTTCCGACAGCGGAGTTTTACGTCTTCGAGAACTCGCCATATTGCGAACAGCACTATCACAAGCTCAACGGATCATTGTGCAACGCCTGCAACCGCGGCATCGAAGGCCAATACCTCGAAACGGACTTGCGCCAAAAGTTTCACCCACGATGTTTCACGTGCACGACCTGCCGCATCGTCCTCCGCGATGGTTACTTCGAGGTCGCTGGCCGGCGATACTGTGATCGACATGCGCAAAGTGCCGCAGCTCCCCCGAGGAGTAACCTAGGCCCGGGCAATTACAGACCGCGAAATCTCCAAAAGCGTGGTACAAGACTCATGATGATGGCGTGAATTGCTCACTTCTCGCGTTGCTGTTGTTGCTTCTTCTTTTGCTTATATTTCGTTTTTCGTTTCTCATGTCCTTTAGCGATCTGGCTCTTTGGTCTTTTGCATGAATATTCACCCTCTTCATTCTTTCTGATACCCGGCCAGTCCGCTGTTACTTCACCATATATTCTGCGTTATACCCCTTACTCTATACATTCGCTACACCTTATAATTATCTTTTGTACCGATGTTGGATGATAGATAAGCACCGGTTTTCGTGGTTGCTTTGGAAGGTGCTCGATATACCACTTTTCGTTAGACAGGCTTTAGTCTCTGGAAGACTGATCTTACTTTGTTCATAACGAGGTCCGACTGCACGTGTACATATCTATATAATACACTTAATGTTTACTGCTCATCGTGGTGGGCTTATCAGCATCAGCAAGAAACTATATTGCGTTGCCCTATTATGTGTTTTAATGTCATTAACGCATTGCTTAGGTTGTGGCTTCATGGAAATGTTCAAACTGAACAGTGGGACAATCCTACAAACATGATCGGTCTTGGAAGAGGGCACTCTCATTGACGATTAACATGAGTCATCGCTATTCTGGTACCCAGACTCACACATCAGACCAAGAGTCCACTATTTAGTCAACCGCTCGTATGCCATCTTAGATATAATAAACGCTGTTATACTTCAAGAGTACACGAATGCAAGGCATTCAATTAGCAAGAGAAGTATATGTACTGTGTCTCGATGCGCTCCAATACTTCTTGCACAACAACCATAGCCTTTTCTACTACAACCCAGCTACAACATCTATTACAGCATAAGCAACAGCTATCCCTACGCGTCTAAAGCAACAACCAGCAACTACGAACACAACATGCGTCTCATTAACCAGTCTCTCCCGAGCTCATTCAGGAATCCCGATCTTCACCCAGCCAACTCACCTGGCGGAGAGCAGTCAGCAGTCAGCGGTCCCGTAAGTTCTCAGGGTATGAACGTGCATATTACACATGAGCTAATCTCCATGCAAGAAACCCGATCCTACTACACCGTCACCACCGCATTTTAATCCACCTAACTCGCCCAGTAATCGACGTCACGACTTCAGCTTGGTTCTCTGCGATAGGAGTGATGTTGTTACTTGCGCTTAGAAGCCACGTGTAGGAATTAATGGCTAAGAGAGTAGCGTTTGATGATGGTGATCAAGTTGGGCAAGACCACAAATTGGTTTTGATTAGGGTTGGCAGCTATGTATCACAGCCTTTGACTTCGTAGTTTCCAGCCTTAATTCATATCACTGAAAAGACCGTATGCTTTGCCGTGATATTGCGATGTAGAACAACATACGATACTCGTATCCAGGCAAAACTCATTTCTTAGCAATGACCAGCCACTGACTAGCCCTCATCCACACTTCCTCCCCAACTCTCTTCGTGCCCTCCTGCTCCAGAATATGCTTCATCAGTAAATCGACAGCTTCATCCCATCTCTCACTATCCGTCTCCGTCCAACCACCTATGTTACCCAAATATGCCCAAGACTTCTCTGCCCAATCCCTTATATCGGTAGTCTTTGCCCACGCCTCGCTCCTCTCTACTCTCATGTTCTCCCTTAAGAAACCTGCTTCCAACATGACTTTCTGGATCTGCTTTCCGTCCTTCCAGGGTATGGGCGAAGCTGGGTAGGGTTTCCCTGGACGAAGGGCTTGATGTACAAGCGCGAAGGGTGGGAGCCAAGTGACGTCTTCCCAGCAATTCACCACCGCGATGCCGCCGGGTTGAAGTGTCCGATAGATTTCTTTAGCACCATCGAGACCGGTTGAGGTAGTGAAGAAGATGCCAATGTTGGTAATAGAGTGCGTGAAGTAATCGTCGGGAAATGATAGGTTTTCAGACTTCTGATTTGAGACTTCGATTGGCCAGGAATTCTTTTCTACATCTGATTGAAGCGCATCGAGGAAGACTTGGTCGATGTCTGTGGCGTATATCTTGAGATCAGAGGGTACATCTGAGGAAAGAATTGTACGGGAGACTGTTCCGGCGCCACATGCGTTGTCAAGGAGGACGGACTTTGGAGGTATGGGTGGGAGGAGAGAGATGTTATGTGCTGCGAACTGAGCAGTAACGGCGCCGCCAGTAGCTTCGTACACGTAGACTTTGTTTTGGCCTTCAAGTAAGGCAGCGACTTGCTTTGGCTGATGTTGGATGTTAGCAGCCATGTTGACAGCTTTAAAGTCCAGTGGATGTATATGCTTGGGTGGGGTTCGATATGCTGAGTAGACAGCAGAACGGCCGATATCCGTATCTTAAGTACTCATGTCTGTCACACTATTGCTACGTGGTATTTATGCTACACAGATCGATTCGCACGACTGTCGAGCTGACGGGGCGAACTTAGTCATCTTCTTGTCTTACACTTCTGTATGGTCATGCCAGCTTAATTGGTGGCATTGTAGGCTGCCACACGTAGTGCTTACTTCGGCGGATGCATAATGCACTACCTGAACGGAACTAGAGGCCTTCGTGCTGCAATGAGAATCACACTGTTTTGGAGTAGACGGGATGTAGTGATGGACATCTCCAGAACTGGTGGTAGCGGAGCTCGGAGGAGGCTGATGCGGATGACGCATTCCAAGGTTCGGCTCCGAATCTCTCGCATTAGTGTCCGCCGTCCACATCCCGTCCTCTCCCCAACAATACAGCTTTCGAGCGTATGCCTCGCGCTCTTCCGGCGACCGATTACGGCAATCGACGCGTCGTATCAATGCCTGCTTTCCATATAAGCTTCGTGGGTCGTTTTCAATCGATACTTCTCCGCTCACCAGGCGATGACCCACGCGAACGTGAACGTCTGCCTGCCCAACGATCAGAGGTCACGCTAGCAACATCAATGCACCCCATGTGCGCGTTGGTAGGAGCTATGTCGAGAAACGTGATGTGTGATACGGGCTACACGACGCGCTTTGGAGACGATGACGTGAATACTTCCCAATTGCTATCTGGTTGATGCGATAGCGATACGCAAAGCTCGCGTTGGTTATCACGTACAACCGATCTGAAGGGGACGCATACTGATTCTTCACACGTCCAAGGTAATGCAGATCAATTGTGACCTTAGTGCAGTCACACGCCTGAGTGACAAAGAGATGCCAGGCTCATTGCGAGCGCAAGCATATCGGAAATGACCAGATGTATTCACATAACTGCTTAGGTAGGCTTTCAGACTGTCACAGTTCCCAGCAATTGTGGATTGAAACACGTATTGCTGCAAGAAGCCACGTTAAGGTAATGTTTCGACTGTTTGGCCGTAGTGGCATGACTTTTCGTTAAGCAAGTTGCAGGATCATGTTCGCTTTCATCCTCTTGCTGCTTAGTGTAAACGATGCAATCGCTCAACAGCCAGAAAAAAATAGCGGGTTTGTAGTATCATCACTTCCCACTGAATATTGCTTACTCAATAAATCCCAATCTACTCGCCTCTACGCCCACCTTCGACTCCTCTTGCAGTTCGTTCGTCGTACACTCTTGGATGTGCAAACCAACATACACCAGCACTTGGAGCACGACTTTTGGCGACAGTACGCTTAACAGTTGAAACGGTACCTTCCGGACCGGCAAATCTATAAATATCCCGGCCTCTCGCGCGAAATTTTACTAAGCTCGAAATGGAATAAATGTCATCACAGAGAGTGGTGATGTGGCTGGCAGCTTAGTGGTGGAGAAGCTTACTATTTCCCACCATACTAAGGCAGGTATGATTCAGAGGCCTTTCCTCGTTCCTGCACCCATTATCATTTCTGTACCGAGAAGTCTTATGATTGGCTTCCATAGGGCTTGAGTTGAACAGATCTACACAGCTGTATGAGTCATTCACCAGAATGCCATAATCAACGATCAGAACAGATCCTACTACCTTACTTTATAACATTCACTGTTCAATACTCTCTTGGGGACGAGGACCAAGTGTAATCACCTAAGAGAGACTTGAGGTTATACGTTCTTCTTTAGATTCACGGTGCGCGTGTCAGTGTTGAGAATTCATCTTATTGAACTCCAAAGTTTATATAGTCTTCGGGTCGATTAATCCATTTCAGACTAAGAATCGGTCCGATATTGCTGTTTCAAGTCTCGGTAGGATATGCGAGCGAGCAGCCTCTTACGCAATGCGGTGTGCAGGAAACCTGGCCCATCCAAGGTTCTCAGACATTATGACAAGGGATGGCAACCCAAGATCATTTATAAGGACAATGGACCGTTTAACCTCTTCTCTTACCACCAGAATTATCCTGCTACAATGAACTCTTTCGACGACAACTTCGATTCTCTTCGTCAACAATTTGAGAGAGACAAGCAGCCTATCTCTCCGCTTACACTAGGCGCTATCAGTAAGGATGGTAAGGAACTTACGAAACCCCCATTCTTCCTTTCCTTTACTGATTCAGCATAATGAACAGGCTCTTTCCGGTATGTGAAGAGTTTCGGAAAGGAATCCAGCGACTACACGAAGTCCGATGGTCTTTATTGGCTCGCATCTAGTACCAAGCTAGTGACTACAATTGCTGTAATGCAGTGTGTCGAGAGGCGACAACTAGACCTGAACGGCGACATCGCCGAAGTGCTCCCAGAATGGAAGGATCCGAAGATCCTGGCAGGTTTTGATGAACAGAGCGAAGCCATATTCAGGCCCGCAACGAAGACTATCACCCTTCGGCAAGTCATTGTCTATATTTGCTTCCAATGGCTAAGGATATTTCACTGACATGCAATGGTGGTAATTAGGCATCTGTTGACACACTCCAGCGGCATGGGGTATGTATTCATGGATCCGCTCCTGAGCCGCTACCAAGAGCTGCAGGGGAAACAACCCCCTAACCCTCCCAGATCTGTTGTGAGTTGCCTTGTTCCAGCCGCCAACACATTTGATTCACCACTGATTGTTAAAGCCTGAAAAGTTCCCTCAACAATTTCTCGTGTCGGAACCCGGTGAACGATGGTTGTACTCGCCTGGAATCGACTGGGCTGGAGTTATGGTAAGTTTAGAAAGATTGTGTCGCATGGCGTGAAACTCAACTAATTTGTATCGTGAACCAATATAGGTAGAGCGAATCACTTCGATGAAGCTTGGCGAGTACATGCAACGGCATATTTTTGACGTTGTAGCTGCCAAGGACGCTACCTTCCACCCCGAACAGCGAGAAGAACTGCGAGCTCGAAAGGCTAAAGACTGGGAACGAGTGGGTGAGAGTATACAGGAGCAGGAGCATCCCTACTGGCCAGAAAGAGTTGAGGCGGACTTCGGTGGGGGCGGTCTGTTCGCAACTGTGGACGACTTGCTCAAGATCTACCAGGGCATATTGTCCGGGCAGTTGCTTCAGCCCGAGACTGCCAAGGAGATGTTCCAGTCCCATCTTGAGACTTCTAAAGGCCTTGACAACCCAGAAGAGTACTCGTTGTCGTCCCGCAATGCTATCTGGAATACTATCCCAGACGACATTCCTGTTAGCTTTGGGATTGGAGGTCTGATAAACACTGCTGCAGTACCGAAACGACGCGGAGTGAACTCAATCACTTGGTCGGGTCTACCAAATTGCTATTGGGTAGGTATTTCATACTATGAAAATGAAACCCTGGCTTACCATCGAACTATAGTGGATCGACTTCAACAACGGCGTCGCTGGTGTGTATCTCTCTCAGCTTGTACCAACCGGGGATGACAAGGCTGTCGAGCTGCTGGCTGGATTTGAGGAATGGGTGTATTCGAATTTGGCCAAATCCTGATTGCTAAGCTAAACATACCAATACATGTTGTTCCAGAAGTAGTACGAGTCTGATTGTTATGCACAAAGCGGGCAAGCTAGCGAAAGAGTAGATGTGGTAGTGCTAGTAGATAAGGGCGAGATGTTGCAGCTACCAGCTGGGATATTGAGCTCCAGCCATGGTAGCCAGTGAAAAATTATTATTTTGCTATCAGCAACACGCTCCGCAAGCATTACCAAGACTACTCAACTATGGCGAAAGAGGCCAGGCTTTGAGGCATGTAGCTTTGATATGACGCCGCTCTTATATTCATGGGGGATGGGGGTATACAGACTACCTGTTTGTTGGGGGACATCTTTCTCTGTTTGCATTTGACGTATTTGAACGGCATGACTAAGAGTGGGAAGTGATGTTGTGAGTGGGATGCTGGAGTGTTGAGAGCTGTTTGAGCGGGGTGATGTGGGGAACGAGAGTCGGAAGATAGTCGGGTATAGTCGTTCCAGCAAGCTACACTAGGGGGAGAGAATCCGTGTCGCCTAATACCTACAAAAAGGCCTCTTCTTAACAAGTTATACAATATACTTCATGTAGAGAAAACTACATATATAGTCTTCTGTCTTTTTAGCTTACTAGAAGAAGATACGGTCATACCTTTAGGGTAGGTTTTACTCTAAGCCAAATGCGATATGAATTCTTGCCACCCCTGGTGGCTGATTAGTCGATGTATGGCGACATCACTGCGCTCAACGGAGCTTACTCGGAATCACTACGATGGCATCATGTTTTTGAATTCATTACCTCGATACACTTACGAGATACCTCTACTACCCCCCACTTTTTTCCTCTTCTCAACCCATGCATCCAAACATCCTTCATGTCTTATTGGGTTCATGGTGTCTCTTTACTGGCGCAAACTCGTAGATAGGAGCATACACTGCCATTCCAGACGCAAATTCGTTAACGGAAAATCCATGTCTCTTTCTCGGTACTTTATCCTGATACAGGTAATTTTAAGGGTGGGAAGGATCACTTGGGTGTTGGTCAAGGTACACTTGTCGTTTGGGGCGTTCGCCATTAGCGATCACGCTCCTTGAGCTCCTCTGCAACGGCCTTGAGACCCTTCTCGTGTTCTTTCTGGATCTGATCCCAGTACTGTGCCCAGACGCGTAACTGTGAGTCGTCCTGGCCTACACCAGTCTCGGTGCCCAGTTGCTTATTAAGCTGAATGGACACTTTGAGCACACCCTTGGCGCCTTCATGGATCTTCTCGATCTCCTGTTTGACGGCATTTTCCTTAGGCTTGACAGCAAGTACTATGCGGAAGTTCTCAGCAAGCGAATCCAGGCGCGAGCGTACCTGGTCTGGTGCAATGACCATGAGCTTTGTGAGCATAAGGTTGCATAGGATTCGGATGTCGTGCTCGTCAGTGATACCAGCGACAATGCGGTCGAAGAAGTCTGAGACCTCGATGGGCGATAGTCGCGCAAAGGCCTTCTCGAGAAGAGCGTAGAGGGTCTCGTATGCGCTCTTGCGGATCTCTAGGCCGTCGTCGACCTTGAGCTTGAACGGACCCATTTGCACCTCGCGGATAAGCTCGGGCTTGATGACGGTCTCCTTCATAGCCAGTGGAAGTAGCTGGTCCAGCGCGGGTAAGATGATGTCGGGCTTGTTGTGCATGGCAGAGTTGAACGTCATGAGAGCTAGGCGACGGTTCTCAAGATCCGGCTCGTTAAGCATTTGTACCAGCATAGGTACGACGATGGGTTTGAGATACTCGTCGTAGGCTTCGTCGGTGTCGGTGAACGTGTACCGTAGAGCAGAGATGACCATAGCGCGTAAGCTTCCCTTGCGGTCGTTCAAGAACGCCTAAGTTACTGGTTAGCTGTTGAAGATGCAGATAGAGAGGGATCCTTACCTGAAGTTGAGGAAGATATGTCTTGGGATCGATGATGGTAAGTCTGCCGATACACTCTGCGCCGATTGCCTTGTTGTCCTCGAGTTGAGAGGCGACGACGAGATTCTCCCAAAGTGTTGACGCGTACGGGATGATCTCCGACTCTGTATCATCGTGCTGGAGAATTTCCTTGATAGAGTGTAGGAAGAGATACTGCGGTGAAGAGGGCTGTCCCATAGTCGACAGAATGACGGGAAGATACTTGCTAACGCTTCCAGCACCTGCTCGGCCAAGCGCGACAGCGGCCGCGAGTGGCACGTTCTCAGACTTAGCAGAGAAATACTTGATGAACAACTTCGGATCAACAGTAGATTGCGAACCTAGGCGCAATGCAGACTCTCCAAGCACAACAAGGGCAAGACACTTGCGCTTGTCGTCCTGGGCAGTCTCAAGCTCGGTGACGAACTGCTCAAGCTTCACGCCAACACTATCGCCACCATATACAAGTAGGTTACCGATGACCTTACCCACAACCTCTGGATGCCCAGATACACCGACTTGTTGCAGCAATGCTTGCATCAAGGCTTGTCCAGCGCGTTGCTCGCCAATAGTGCGCACTAACTTGAGTAGTGCGTCTAACGGTGTACCGCTTATTGAGCCTTGAGCAACTTGGCAAAGAGCACCATTGAGGTTGGGTGTCATGATAGCTTTGGCATCATCCTTGACAAATGTAGCGAGAATTATGAGAGCTGGACCTAGGAGGTGCAGGTCGCTGGCGTTTAGTAGCGGTAGCAGCATCTCCACAACCTGTGCTTTAGTCTGGTTATCAAGCTGGCTCCGCGAAAGCGAGTTCAGTGCAAGAGTACGAAGGGCGCTCAGGCTAGCACCGCGCAATGCACGACTGGCCTTCCGCAATTGCGCGGCAAGTTCTAGTGCGACGTTTTGTACCCACTTGGCTGACAACTCGTTCTGCGCCTTGGTATGGGCGGCAACCGAATCAACAGCACGTACGGAAGCGAGCCGTGTCAGTTCATTCTTTAGACGATCGGCCAGAAGTTCAAGTCCAGACGTTCGCTTTTGCGATGAAAGGAGGCCTTGTTCGCCAGAGCTCCTACCAAGCAACAATCCAAGAACGTGGATTGCACTCCGTCGGACTTCTACGTCGGCATCGTTTGCTGATATCCGATTGAATAGCGCATCGAATAGTTGCTCCAGATGCTGCTGATTCTCCGATCCTGAAGCAGCTGCTCGGGGAGGTGTAAGCGCTTTAATGACCTGTTCTGTTGCTGCGAGAGCTTCGATAGACAACTTGCTGTACTTGTCCTTGACCCCACGAAGAAGCGCGTCGATGATAGACGCCACATACGGCTGGATGGACTTGGAAGGGTGAGTGTCGGCGATGGCTCCTATCAGCTGCAATGCTTGAGTGCGCAAGCTGTTGGCAGTGGCGGAAGCACTGCTTGTCGTGCCACCAGCAACCTTGGCAGCTTCTACTACAGGATTGATGAGTTGATTCAGGTAACCATCCAGACCACCGCGCTGGGTGATAACGATGTCCTTGATTAGAGAGATGCATGCCTGCTTGGTAGTAGGCGGGCAGGATGACTGCTTCAGAAGCAGCGCAATGCCTTTGACAATATCCGGGCTGAGTTTAGCTAGGCTGGCCCGGGGACCCACTGGAGGCGTGCCAGCTGGTACTGGTGAAGCATAGCCCATTGACAAAGATGAACTAGCCTGTAGATCAAACATGCTCGCATCGCTACCGCCACGACGACGCTTCTTGCTTGGCGGTGGTGGCATCATCCCGCTCTGAGGAATCTCATCGGCGAACTTGACAGGTGAGGGGCCGTCACCAGACTTCTTGATCAGGTTGGACAGCGTGGCCAGGACCTCCAGGCGGACGTTATCCTCCCGCTCCTTGAAACGTGTTATGAGCGCTGGCGCAACCCGGTCGTAAAGAGTTCCATCTTCGAGGAGATCGCCATTGCTCCGCGTAGAGATTAGAGTGTATAGCACCTTGGCCGCACACCTACGGACCTTCCAGCTCGCGTCCTCGTCGTCATCGTAGCCCGTCTCTTCTTCAAAGTCCTCACCCTCCAGAGCGTCTTCTTCGTCGCTCGGCATATCGTCATCGTCCTCATCGTCGTCTTGCGCGAGGTTTGGATCGTACTTGAGGTAGCGCGTTGCGGCTTCGATGGCTTCGTCGGTGTACATGCGCATGTCCTGCGAACAAGAGGCAAGGAAGCCGTCTAGAGCAATGAGGGCGGCTTCTAGCACCTCGTCGATTTCAGGGTCGCGTTCACCTTCATCGTCCGAGACGTCCATCTCTTCGTCTTGCTCCTGTGTGCTCAAAGCGCTTAGAACAAAAGGCGCCAGTGTCTTGAGATAGGGACCGAACTTGCGCGGGATAGAACGGGCCATGGATCCTAGAATTGTGATGTACAGCTTCCGTTTGCTGCGAGTAAGATGGGGATCGCGTAGGAGTTCGATGACCTTTGAAAGGAAACTGCTCAGTAGCTGGTCTGAGAAGTAGCCAGCCAATACAGACATGGCTGTGACGGACTTCTTCTTCATCATGGAACTTGACCGGTCGTTCTCGAGGATTGCGAAGGTAATCTGCTGCAGTGCTTGGATCTCCACTTCCTGCAGCATAGAACCAAAGCACCGACCGACCTCAATGAGAACATCGAGAGCGTTGCTGTCTGAACCTTTTTCGAGATCCTCCTGCAGCATACCCTTGGGCGGCTGAGTCAAGCCCTGCTGGGCTGGTGGTATGACATTGTATCCGATGAGGCGCGGAATCAGGACCCTGCTGATGGCGCTGTATGCATCTAGTACCGACTTGCTCCGCGCAGCACCGGTGGTAGGTCGGGGGAGGGAGATGACGACTTCTCGGAGGGCCATGGCGGGTATGGACTGGTCGACCGTGTTGCCTGTGGGAAGAGTTGAGAGCTTGTCAATCATGACAGGAAGCGTCTTGTCGTTGATCTTGTTGACAAAGGACCCCAGACACTTGAGGGCTTGGTTCTGGACCTCACCATTGGTGTCAACCAGTGTTGTGAGCAGTCCCTCCACTGTCTTTGCCGAAACAACATCGTCGTGGAGGAGTAGGCCTGGGTGAGCTACTTGGAGGATGTCGTGTAGGTCGCTCAAGGCCATGAAGCGGAAATCGGGGTCATCGTCGGCGAACCGGGGAAGCAGCTGGGCTACGTTATGGGCGGTCGGGTTGGGCGGGACCGAGGAGGGCGCCATGGCTGGTGTTTAGAAGGCTTGCAGCACTTCACAGGTCTGGTATCACAGTCGTGAGCCCGCAGTCTGGGGCGCGCGCAGTGTGGTGGGGCAACTATGGCGGGGTTGATGTCGTAGTGCAGCTCCAAAGTCGCGATGGAGCGGTAGAGGTAGGGAGAGGCAGGGAGAAAAGCTGGTGAGAGAGCTTCGATTTTATTGTACGAGAGGAGGCACCACTGGCCGAGTTGGACGGGGACGAGCGCGATGCAAGGTTTTGGACAATTGTTGCCTACGCGTTGCTTTCCAGAGCTCCCAACCCTGCGCACGGCCTTTGCGCATTCACAGGGTACCTTGAGCTTCCTAACACCATGAAAGTATAGTCCTGTTTTCCCTTTTCGTGTTTGCCACTCGCAGCTTTTAGTAGAGCGTGTATACGCGTGCTCTGCATAGAATGCCTCGACAGCTACGAGGTGCCTTACACAGCAAGCCCAGACAATTGCTGCCTCCCAGCAGACTAGAGACGCCGCTCAAAACAACCAGCCCAACTATTGCTACCTAGGTACACATAGAAAGACTTCGTGCATCCAGTCTATACCGCATGAAAGTGTCGGGTGGAACATGTCGAGGGCCACACGTGATGCAATAACGCGGAGCTAGACCTCGGGAGCAGGGGCCACATTGTGACGTACCGATTAATTCTGGCCTGACGTGATCTTCCTCTTGCGCGCATCACAACTTCGAGTCTGCCATCAATTGCCCGTCACGAGCTTCAATTGACCCATCCACAGCTTCACCATGTCTTTCATCAGGTCTTCCGCACTACGCGCCTCCTCATTAGCTCGCGCTGCTCGCCCAGCGAGGTATATCCGCACTGCCGAGCTCCAGCCATGGCAACGAGCGGTCCAACGCAGAACATACGCCAGCGGCCACGGTCCCGAGGGCGAGACCAAGAGCAGTGATGTCCCATGGTATGTGAGATTACTTTTCGTTGATTAGAGCGTGCGCGAGAGTGGACAAGCGGAATATATTTTGGTTGGAATAGTGTACAGCTTGTGGATGGGATGTGTGGGAGTACTATTCCATTTTTGTAAAGCAGCCAAATTGTCTCCATATTGTATCAATACCGGATTACATATTTTATACTAACTGAACCTCCAGGATGGCCGCCGCTGTAGTTGGCACCACTCTTGGTCTCTACGTTGTTGTAACACAAGATACAGACCACGGCGCTGAACACCACCCCCTCGGTGACCCACACGGCGAGGGCGCCGCTAAAAAAACTGGTACCGACTCCACCGTAGGCGAGGAGAACAAGGAGGATGAACCCGAGGAGGACTCTAAGGAGGAGTCCAAGGAAGAGTCCAAGGACGAGTCCAAGGACGAATCTAAGGAGGAGCCGAAGAGCGACCAGCAGAACCCATCCAAGCCTACCAAGGAGAACAGCGAGGAGAAGGACACCCAGTCTCCTGACGTATCTGACAAGGTCAGTGTAACTACAAATTGAATGCAGACGACATGCTAACTATTACAGCCCGATCCCCGCAAGGAGGAGACAAAGAGCCAGAATGAGACGTCTGGCAAGCAAAAGGGATTGTCCAACGACAACACCGAACATACCTCGCAGATCTCCAAGCAACCAGAGAAGAGCAAGAAGGGCGAGGGCGTTGCTGAGACCGCTAAGCTACAAGGAACCGTCTCTACTGAGCGTCCTGGTGCGGAGAACAAAGAGGAGCGTGGAAAGGCTCAACAGGACAAGGACGCATAGATTATACCCTCGTGTCGACGCGATTCACCTCGATTGTCATAATACCTCCACGGCGACCGCACACACCGTCACCCTTGTATAGTCTCGAATCAGATCAGTTAATCATTCCATACCTGATCGTACTGTGTGTTTCTACTAGTAGCGCTGGGAATGCTTGGAACCCCGCCACAGCATTCGCCAGTAGTATGTACCGGGTTACCATGATGCTGTTACTGTAGTGCAAGACTGGTTGGCTTGAAACAAGTAAACGGTTCGACCCGCCATGTCTGCGCCACTGAGGCTGTGCTTGTTCCTGTGCAAGCTGTATGCTTTCCAGTTATGAGCACTCTTTCTTTGTCTGGATGCAAGAAAGTGTCCGTCAATGCGGCCCAACAACGGTCACGGAAACGCGTAGTGCAGGAGGCGGCATCATGATTGGACCGAGCACGTGGGCCGAGCCACCTGTAAGCGCCCACCAAACTCGCTCCGCAACGCTGTCACACCTCAACTCCAGCCTCGATTGGCCAAGTCCGCGCCTCACTGCACGTCTAAAAAGAGAGCCATCTTACGGCGGGAGCTCTACGAATCTGAATTCACTATGCTGCTCGCCTACGACATGAGGCACGGCCAAGAGCCAACCGGAGCGAAAGGCGGCTCTGATGCAGGGCTGGCTTTCTTTGGACCTCGTACTTGTGCATGTACTGACTTGACGTGCAGGCCTTTGACCTGATATCAGACCTCCTTGCCCCCGGCTTGGTCTCCTCCTACATCCCAGCTTACCTTCGAACAGCTCATAAACAACTGTGCCACCGAATCTTCCCGCTGACTCTGCACTCAAAGTCAACAGCCGCTTCACATACAACATAGCATATATCTCGTCTTCAGGCGTCTGGCTGGAAGCCGACCGACTTTGAGAACAATCGCGCACTATGGACTCCCGACAGCATCAACGAAACCAGCAACTTCAGCCTCAAATGACTTCCCAACCGCACAACAGGTTCTCATGGCAGCAACCTCTGGAAGAAGATGCTCCAGCCTACCCACCACAGTCGCAACAGCGAGCTCCACAGCATCAACCTCAACAACCTCAAGTTAGCACAGATGCGTCAAGGCACTTCTCCTATGCGCAGACACCTGCAGAGATGCGTGCTTTCGTATATACATCTTCACCGAACGATCCTCCTATGCCACAGTCAATGCCAATATCACTGCCGACATCGCCAGTGGGATACACGCCAATCGATCCGCGCCCCCAATCAGTGCTCGATGCGCAGCTTCCGGTCGTTCCGCCCCAGTCCCAAACGGCTTACATGCCACCATCTTACGCGCAGGATGTTAAGCCTCCCGTCTCCCCCGTCTCCCCCGTCTCCCCCGTCTCACCTCAGCATGCTTCACAAGTGCAACACTTCTCGCCCGTTTCGTCGATACCACAACCACAACCTACTCAGCAAATACCGCAGGTTGATACACAGCAGAGCAGGCACGCGCGGCAGATGAGCAACCTGTCACCTATCAATACAAACATCCGGACGTATGCCATGCCTCCCATTCCTCCTACACCACCGTCCGGCACACAGCAGACCTCGCCCCTACCGCACAAGACGCCGATGACTCCCATTTCTGCCAACTCAATGCACAAAGATCAGCCACGAGTCGATCCAACATCTCCCACGAACCGAACATCTCCATACCCGAACGAGCCCTATTCACCGCACGGATTTACATCAGGTCAAAACAATAACTTCCATGCGGTCTTCTCTCCAGATGCCGCACATGGCCCAAACGGCCTAGATTTTGCTGCACACCAGCCGGGCCAGATATCGCACCCGAACATGGAGCTCGAGAAATCGAAGGAATGGTCGAACAGTCTCTGCGCATGCAGTCCTGACCCCTCGACTTGCTTGACGGGCCTCTTCTGCCCCTGCATCCTCTACGGCCGTACGTCGTACCGCCTGTCCCAGAAATCCGCGAAGAAAGACCCCACAGATATGCTCGGTCATAGCTCTACAAATGGACACTGCATGGTCATGGGATTATCATGCGGACTATGGTGGTTGTTCCCCATGCTACAACGGACACGTATTCGACGCGCGTATAAGCTCGACGGCAGCTTTGGAAGTGATTTGCTTAAAGGATGTTGCTGCTGTTGCTGCGTCACTGTGCAGAATGAGAGGGAGGTAAAACACAGAGAGGAAGTTAGTAGACGGTGGGCCGGTCCGGCGAGTACAGATGCTTACACAAGAACTGGAGGGATGGTGTATAAACCACAACAATAGAGGTTGAGCATGTAGGTTTTGCATGTGTAGCTATTTTCATTCAATGATACCCACGATCCTTTTTGTCGACACACCAGTAGCATAGCGAACGGCTTTAGAAATGGATCCTTTCCTACCGACTGGGCGTGTTCATAACTCCAATTTCGTGCCTAAATCCGTTTTCTTTTACTGGACATTTACACAATTACGCCCACGCCTTTTGGGAGATGAAATACGAAGAACAGGAACACGTAGGACTCAATCCTCCATCAGATCGATACAATCCAACTCTTGAAAGTTCCACACAGGCACTGCAGTACTCCTTGATAGTTCTGCATGGCTTTTGCCGTCGGTTATATGTGAAAGAGTATGCGTAGCATTGATACTAGCCTTGGAAGGTTTGCAAACAGGTGGTGATGACCAAACGCGGTATCACGTGGATTGGCGGCTTGGCAGAGATAGGAAAAGCTCAAGGGCATTTTATATCACAACACAATTTTCTGAACTTCAAGTCCAGTATTGTACATATATATATCGCTAACGATACTTACTTTGTGTCTGGCTTCAGAGAATGGCTTGTAACATCCCTACTCATCAGTATAACCACATCTACACAACCACATTGCACGCAACGAAGATGATGGTAGCAGGGGACACCAAGGTTCCATTCTGCTCAATAATGTTCATTGTTGGGTACATATCTCATTAGATAATCCTTCAAATCCTCTGGTTCATCTTTCTTTCTTTCCCTGCAAGCTAGCGCCTATCCCACCTTCCCCCTTTGAACCCTTCATCAGGCACAACGCCTTCGTCCCTACAGGTGTTGCACATATCTGGATATTTGGTCGTCTTCCTCACTATGCGGTATCGCGGACACTGTGTATGGGGGACATTGTTGTCAACACGGTGACAGCGTGAGATTCGTCTCATGGGAATATGTTCGTGGTTGCAGTCCCGGTACTGCGTCCAGGCCTCTTCACACATCTTTGTAGTAGGGTTGGACTTGGTGAGTGAGTATATGGATCCTGGAGTTTGAGGTTCGAGCGTGCGGGTTTGTGTGTGCTGCTCCTGAGTCTGTTGATGATTCTGATGGCGCGTCCTTGTGGTGCTTGTAGAAATTTGTTTATTGGTCTGAGGGGGTGGTATGAAGAAGAAAATACTTGGATTCTCCAAAATCTATTATATAGATGGGTGATTTGTATTCACGATTTTATCAAACGACTTGACGTGACTGTAATTCTTATGAATCCCTGCATCGCCAAGGACCTGTTCCAACACTGCATGAAGTGTTGACACTGGGCAGTCCATCGGTTGTGATTCTATTCAAACCAGCAAGGCGATTACATGTACATGAACGAGAGGTGACAAGAACTGATCGGTGAAGTAAGCAAGACAGCGCAAAGCATCTTGTTATCGAACCTGGAAACCATGCACTTCACCGACTCGTAAGCCATCCCTCGTTGTGATGGCTGACCTATGAGCTGGCCGCCTTGGCCTTGAGCTCCTCCAGTTGCTTCTTGGCTGCCCACTGCTTCTCCACGTTGATCTTCTCCAAAATCTTGTCCGCACCCTTCTCAATCAAGACCTTGGCAACCTCTTGTCCCATCTCTTCTGCCTCTTCTGCTGTGCGAACTTTTCGTGCTGCCTGGTACTCAACAAATTCTTTACCATCTACACTGACCACCATAGCACTCAGCACCAGTTCTTGGTCGTCAATGTCTGGCTCTTCCTCTTCTACCGCGTTTCCATGCTTGTCGTAATCTTTTGCTGGTTGCGTACCGATGGCGAGACCCTTGCCACCTCTCCATGATGTCTCCACGCCGATAGGCACGCTGCAGCCTCCTTCTAAAGTGCGTAGTAGCGCTCGTTCGGCCGAGCATGCTCTTGTTGTCCGCTCGCATCGGATACTGCTCAAAACCTCCTTCATGGCGTCATCATTCTTCCGGATCTCAATTCCCAGTGCACCTTGACCAACAGCATGCAACATTCCTCCGCTCGTACTACTCAGATATTGTGTGATCCTATTGTCGAGCCCCATCCGCTTCAAGCCAGCAGCGGCGAGAATGATAGCCGAGTATGGCGAGTCTTCAGCATCTAGCTTTGCTAGCCTTGTACCGACATTGCCTCTGAGGTCGGCGAACTTCAGATGTGGGTATAATTTTCTTAATGTAGCGGCTCGTCGTACAGACGACGTGCCGATGGTGGCACCTTGTGGGAGGGTCGCTAGGGTTGTTTCCTTGGGTAGACGAGGAGAGATCAAGAGAGCGTCGCGGGGATCTTCACGCTCGAGGATGGCGCCCATCTCGAGGTGATCCGGCAGCTGCGTGGGCATGTCTATACTGACTGTTAGCCTGCCTCATCCCGCTCTCTTAGTACAGGGGACCATTAATATACCCTTCAAGCAGTGCACGATGATATCCAGATCACCAGACTCCAGCATGCTCTCCAGTTCGCCTGTCCATAGACTCTTCGCGTTCTCGCCTTGACTCAGTTGCTGCAGAGGTGTGATCTTGTCCCTATCTCCCTGCACTACAACAGGGCAGATTTTGAAAATTCGGTCTGGATATGCATCCTTCAAACTTCTCTCGACTGCGCGGGCTTGAATCTGGGCGAGTACCGAGTTGCGCGTACCGATGTTGATGGGAGGGAATTGAGTGCTGGCGGATGTGTTGAGGCCTTTTGGATTCGGATTGGATGGTCCCTGAATATCGGCAGCTGTTGCGGAAGACATGATGAATTGCGTACACGTGAGTGGAGTGGAGTGGCGTGGTGTTGCGATGGCTACCTGGAAAAGATCTGGCTAGAGATCCAGCGGGATGGTGGGGCATTATTCACGTCATATTTACCGCGGCTTAGCGTTAGCGTCAGGTACACACCAGTCGGCGCGTAGCTTCACTTGCCAAAGACGATCATGTACACAATATAGCCATCTTTGGTAGCCTTGCACCGTCAATCAAAGCAGATAAAGGTTTCCAGGATTCATGCATGACATCACGAGGATCAAAGAGTGTTCAACAACTGTGTTTAACGTTGATTTATCATTATATTACAGTGGCGGATTGCCTAATTATCGTCCTTCATGATGAGAGATGCGATTACTGGTCTCCGGTGTTGTGGATGGAGTTAGGAAGAGCTTTTTTGTTGTCAGCTTTGCGTCATTGTAAAGCAGGGAGAGAGCTCTGACCTCGCTCGACAGATTCGGGAACGATCTCCTGGACCTTCTTGGGGACGATTGAGTCCTCACCATCCTTAAGAGCGTGAGTCTTGCTTGTAGACTGGCTGTTTGGGTTGCTGCCAGTGGGGTGGATCTATAGCAAGGTTAGCAAGCTTCAAGGCGCGATTGACAGGCGTTGACTTACACCCTCGGGGAGGCTCTCCTCAAGACCCTTAGGTGCGGCCTCCTGGACCTTGTTGGGGACGGCGCTCTGTCCAGTGGCGTGCGAGGCACCCTGTCCGTGCTGGTTGGTGGAAGACATTCTGATAGAAGTTTGTTTGAAGAGGTGTGATTGTTGGATGAAAGGTCGAGAGATGGTGCGGAGTTGAGTAGTGAAAGGCATTTTTGGGATGGAATTCGAATGGTATTTGAATCATTCTGATGTAGAGCCTGAACAGCAGTTTATGTACGTGACAATGCTGATGTGACGCTTGTGGTGACGCCTCCAAGCCTGGGTCTCACCTGCACTCCAAGCAAGCACGTCATAACAGTGTAGTCCATATTGCTTCTTGTCCGATGACTAGTGGGGATTCTACACGATTGCTAGTCATTACTCGTGGCGACAGCCTGGAAACGCCATACATAGTGGACCAAGCATCGCGTACGGAGCGGTCAACGCGAAATCATGCGGTCATGACCATACCAAGAACAGGTCCGCGGGGAGCCTCACGGGTGGACGAAGCCACATTGTAATACAGGAACGTGATCGTCGTAATCGTTGACACAACGATTTGCCCCCGAGGTACCGACTTTTAGGATCCGAGGAGCTATACGAAGGGGTTGATGTCGTACGTGTAATGTTGGTCCACAGTCGGTCTCCGAACGCCCCGATCGCGCTACCTGAATCCCTGTCTACGAACTTCCACCTCGGATTCTCGTATACCCTACACGCCACAACAAACTATTCTACATTAGATACATATCATACGTAGTGTATGATGACACTCGCGGTTGTGTTACGCCTAGATCGAGAATATTCATTACACAATGAACATTGCGCTCTTTCTGCTTGGAGAAACGAACAAATGATCGTTCTACACATCTGATCTAGCTTTGTCATTGATCCCGCCTTGACCAGCTCTTTGATGCTCACTCACAAAAAACAGTGGCTATCTTCCAAAATAATCATCATGCATCGGGAGTTTGGAACACTTAGGGTATCTCATTCAGACCCCAGAATCCGAATACGCACTGCTCATGTCCTCTGCCAGAACGTACCATGAACGGAGCATAGGTATACATTTTTCGTCTGGCACAACGTTGTATAACCCATCATACTCTCCTCCTCTTTGTTTCCTCATCAAATTTCCTATTCTTTCAAGGCGGAAATCTCCAGGGTGAGCAGGCATAGTTTCTTTTAGTCTTTTCTCTTTTCCTTCCCAAACGTCCCTTACTACGACATGATCTCTTCGTGTCTCCTTTCCCTGAATCCGTCTATTGAGACTTTGTAAGTTTGTAGTGATGGAATTTGATGTCTCGTGGTTCATGTTCCTTTTGAGAAACTTGAACAAAAGTCACAGTAACTGTCCCTATGTTGGTGGAGTGGTGATTCTCGACTCCGTTTTCTACTCCGAGGGATTTATTTAGCGCCCACCCACATCTGCTGTTAACCTTCACCAAAAGATCAACACTTTGACCTTATGAATTGGTTAAACAACAGCTTGGTGAGGATGGATTGACTCTTTGCTTGTAGTTGCTGCATACAAGACTCAACAATAACGCCAGCGGTGAGACACTGTTGTTGTAAGGGCCAGTGATTTGGCAGATCAATCATTAGCGCAAGTATACGATATTCCAGCTTTTCCTAATTACAGCTTTGCCCTAACCCAACTTTCGACTACTTCTTGACTTCCCGTGCCCGAGTCACCCTTGTATCCCAGTATTCGTTCCACAACCATCTCTTCGTGACACGCTTTTGGTGTAACAACAGTGGTAACCAGTCCACCTTTACTTCCAAAACCTTGTGTGAACTTCTTCGCGAAGGCCGTGATGCCATCCTTTAGCACCTCATTATCGCCCGCCCATATCAGGACTTCTTCCACAACATCAGCAACAGGCTCCCACCACTCTGGAGCGGCGAGGACAGGTTCATTGTAAAAATCACCAGCGAAGGGAGAGTCGGAGCCGAGGAAGGCTGTCGCCCAGCGGGATAGCGCCCGCGCGTCAAACATGTCGCGTTGCGCGTTTGTGACGAAGGCTGGCGTATTGGTCTGTGTCAAAGAGCACCACGGTGAGATGAGCAGCACTGCGTGGATCTTGGATGGAAGGGACAATGGCGCGATCTCGGGATGCGGGTGTGCGAGGTGCGAGAGCAGACCGAGTAGGAGATTGCCGCCAGCCGAATCGCCGCCCAAGATGAGGTCTGAGGGATTGCGACCTTGTACGTGTACGAGGTGATTGAGTAGCTCGACTGCTTGCTTCAGCTGGCTGGGATACCTGGCTTCGGGTGCGAGGTCGTATGCGAGGAGGAGTGCGGATACGTCGGGACCGAGAGACTCCTGGAAGTCATCAAGCCATAGCATATGGCCGGCCGTGCAAGGCATCACATAGCCACCACCTGGTCAAATCAATCAGATGCTGCTCACATGGTAGCGCTTCAGCCTACCATTGAAGTATACGAAGACCTTCTTCGCACTCCTACTACCGAGCCAATGCGCCTGTGTTCCGCTAGGTAGCTCGATGCTATCAGGTACGAACTTGTATTTCTTCGCATGCTGAATGTAGGTAGGCGTCGATGAGCCGCCATTCATGTACCTGTCTTGTGCAAGGTCGAGGTTTCCCAGGTTCGTGCGGAACGCGGCAAACATGACATCTTTAAAGTACGTGTTGGAGCCATTTTCGCCTTTGAAGGGTGATGTGATGGAGCGTTGGAGGGCAGAGCCCACTGTTGGCCAGATTAGTATCTGTTGTGGAGAATGGCGACGTAGAGCATACTGGTTTTGAGAGTCGCCGAAGCGATGCCCAGCTTGCTTACATTGTGATCTGCCATGGTGTTGTGGTGATGTATGCGACGGAAGCAAGATGCCCCTATCACCAACAACAAACTAGCTACCCCATAGCGCAGGTGGGCATGTAGACTAATCGTGCAGGTGTGCGGAGGGCATTATCCGACGGCATGCAGTATCCCGAGGTTGGCGTTCCCCCCCACGCATATCATCCCCGCAATCGCCCAGCTCGCTTATCACCCGCCATGCCTCATCAGCTCTAGCTCAGTGCTGGCAAAACTCATCGCTGCTGCAGTGTCCAGCTCATGACTCGGGGCAGGATCTGTTCGGGGGGGTTTGGATTCCTCCTGAATCGCAACCCACACCCATCCATGATCAGCATGGCGTCGCCGGCGGAGGCAGATACACCCGAAGGGGCCTCTAGAGACGATGGCTCGGGCGATGGTCAGCCCAACAAAAAGCGCAGGACGGGCCCCAATTCGCGTGGCGTTGCCAATCTCACGCCTGAACAGCTTGCCCGCAAGCGCGCAAACGACCGCGAAGCTCAACGTGCCATCCGAGAGCGGACGAAGAACCAGATTGATCGTCTCAATCAGCGGATCCGGGACTTGGAGAGTCAGCAGCCCTATCATGACCTGCAAATCGTACTCCGAGACAAGGAGGCGGTTCAGGCGGAGAACGCAGATATCAGGAAGAGGCTGGAGAGCGTTCTGAGCATCATCCAGCCCATCGTTCGTGCGACGGGCGGTCTCAATGGTACGTTGACAAACTCGTCACCAAGGCACTATGCTGACAATACGCAGAACTGGCAGCCGCTGCCGAACGATCGCCCCTTCCAATCCATCCTCACCAACAGCGCGACGCGCCTGTGCAACCCGCTGAACCACGACAGTTCCATATCGCCTCCCATGAGCTGTCCACGGCTTCACCTCTGAACGGTAGGCATTCGCCAAGCGTGACTGAGGGAGGAAGAGCTTGGCTGTATCCCAACGATGCGCCTAATAGTCACTTGCGACGCTACTCCAATGGCAGCCCCGGCCCCCATTTCGAGCAGTCGCGAACGCCCCATCTACAGACGGAGATGCCCTTTGACGAACGACTGGGTGTGGATTTCATACTCGATAATGGACAAAGGAGGGCGGTCGATCCAAATCTTCCCCCACCCCAGCAGCCGCGACCCAGCAATGTCAGTAGTAGCCAGCATGCCATGTATGCGCCGAGCATGGTCGCCCACCTCACGCTTCCTCGAAACCTCCCGGCAACGTGTCCTCTGGACGTCATATTGCTCGACTTCCTACAAGACCGCCAGAATCGCGCTGCCGAAGGCGTGCCCATAAAGACCCTGGTTGGCCCACACTATCCAAACTTCACGTCACTAGCGTATCCGGACCGCGTAGTAGATGCGCATCCGCTGTCGAAGCTCTTTACGGACATTCTACGCACGTTTCCGGATATCTGTGGTAGACCAGAACAGGTTGCGATAGTCTTCATCATGTTCTTGGTCATGCGATGGCAAATCGAACCTACGCAGGACAACTACGATCGATTGCCGCACTGGGTTACACCACGACCTTCTCAATTGTTCACTGCTCACGCATTATGGATTGATCATCTCCCATGGTATGTACCAGATGCTACTCTGCGGACCGTTTGGACAGAGAAAACGACTAACCTACCGCAGGCCTCGCCTTCGCGATAGACTCGTCACTAGCCAACCGCCCGTGTCGTTCGAGAACTTCTTCATCCCGTTCACAACTACAATTTCGCTGAACTGGCCCTATGAGCCTCGCGATTGTCTCCTCCCTGCTTCAAAAGTTCACACCCACACCCTCTCGACGACCTCGTCCGTCTCTATTTCCTCGCCTTTCTCCACACATGTAAATGCAGGCTCGCCGCAAGACCCTTCGACCCCACAGCCTCCTGCTGCCAACACATCCGCCGGCATCACATCCATTGGGCCGCTACCCAAGGAGGACGACCAGTGGCTCATCAACCCGGCTTTTGAAACGCACCTCCGTGACTTGAACAACTGGACACTGGGCCCAAGCTTCAGAGGCAACTTTCCTGCGTTTGCTGATTGCGTGAAGATCAAAGAAGGCAGGTGAAGAGTAATGTAGATGTCAAAATGCGTCGCGGTTAGGCGCTGGCGTGTGGGACTGGAAGGGTGTTCATTTGGTATTGCATGTATATCTTACTGTATTATTGGAGGGTAATGAGGGTGGCTCTATTGTCTATTAACACAAGTATCTGGTATTGTATTTTTCCAACTGTATACGACTGGGCGGACAGCATCGAGGAGTCGGGTTGGTGCTCGCGACAGGGACACTCGCATCATATCGGTATCATAACGACACCACACGAAATTTATACCAACATTGTCTTAACCCAGGACTTGCCTGGCGTCTAATTGGTGAAGGTGGACACTGGCCCCGCTTTTGTTTAGGAACACTGCCAGCTCATCTGACAAACTGACACGATTCATTCGGCCTTTAGCTACGCCATAACTTAACTTCTCTCACCCATACTCAGCGTTCCTGCCATATACCCTCTACGCATGGCGATTCCAATTCCAACCCGCGACCCACTGCTGCAGCACATGTTCGCCTACCTCAATCCCCGGCGCGACGCTCTTCCCTCCCACGTCGTCGAGACCATTGCTGGTGGGTAACTCATCTTTCTTCCTTCGATACCAAGCAACTGACAAATTGCACAAAGGAAACCTCACATTCCTGGTCAAATATACTGGCGGCCCCAATGTCCGCGCTTCCCAAATCTCGATTACTGTCATCGACGTCCGCGGACCCAATAATAGTGAAGTTGGCCACAAGGCCACAGTCTGCATCCACGAAGGTCCGGGAAAGTTTGTAGTCGTGGTGTGGAAGCAGGTAGAGTGGGGTCAAAACGTCGTGATCGGACTGGGAGAGAAAGTGGACAAGGCCATCAAAGATATCCTGGCGAAGGAAGGAAACGATGGATACGGTGATTTCAAGGTCTAAGAGGCATTCAGCTGATAGTTTCATGTCGACCAGGAGGTGCTTGGAGAAATTTTCGAAACTGACTACACGAAGCTTCACTTCTATCTCCATCTCGGTGACTTGGTGTCAGGTTAGATACGATGGACTGTGAACATCGGTCTAGAACTACAGCACGGACAACTTGCCTCACGCAGTAGTGTTTCGGGGAACAAGAGAACATGATGAAAATGCACGTGTACACCCACCTTGAAAGCTCAAAGATTGCACTTACACTTACATCATCTCCACTGTCCAGTTCTTCCCATCAAACCAGTATGACTGCCTACCCTCTTGAACAGCGATTATATGGCCTTCTGCAGCCCTACCGTGATGAGTGCTACAAGAATCCTCCCAACAACATATCATCATTAGAAGAAGAACGCTCGCTCTTGATACTCTGCGGTATGTACCCACACCATCTATTTTAGCCCTACCCATAACCTGACCTACATGCAAAGAGAACATAGCCTTCATCATCCGACACACCCAGTCCTCCTCCGGTAAGATGATCGTCACATCAGACCTCTCCATCGCATCTCGGAATTGGTCTCTTATGATCAAAGACGGTGAGAGACCAGCCGGCTTAGGTGTGTTCGTCAACGGAACAGGATATACACACACGATTATGCGCTGTTGTGTGAAGAAGAAAGGCGAGAGAGGTATGGTCGAGGTGTTGATTGAAGAGTGTGATAAGGCATTGGCGACGTTCTTTCCCCAGGTGAAAGGGGGGAAATGTGAGCAGGCTAGGTAAGCACGGAGGTAGTCACAGTGCTATTGATGAAGGGTTTGGAGGCGGAGACGGCGACGGGAAGAGTTCCAGACATGCGCATAACGAAGGAAGATCTATCAGCAAAATTGGAGCTGGGAGTATCTCGACGCACTGCAGCACGTACTAGTGGTGATGAAGGGGAGCTTCTAGTCTATACGGTGAGTACTTCGGATAATACGGAATGTCAATTGCGGCTGAAAGCATCCGCTAGCACTATTATATTGCTTGTACCTTGAACAACGTCGTAGAATTAAGCTCACGCCCCCAGCTTCTAACGTGTGACAGGCTGGTCTGGTTGCAGCTGAAGTGGGGGCTTGCTAGTCTGGGATTCCCAGACATGGCTCAAACTAGGTACCTGACTCGTGGATTACACCTGAGTTATCACTGTAAGCGGCTGGACGCTGCTTTACTAGCTCAACAAAAAGTTGGCAGGTGAGGCGGGAGCATGGCACAGGGTTCAACGTGGCGCAAAGGGACTTAAACTAGATAATCAATGCGTCCTCGCCCAATTCCGGTAAAAGTCGAGACATTCGGCGTTGGCAACGCTCGCGCTGGTCTTAACATTGAGCCCGCAAAGAATTTGCTTGACAGCTCCCTCGACCTTTTTGCCGTTGGTGGTAACGGGTATTTCTGGACACTCGTCCACAACAGCTGGAACATGGCGCGCACTAAGCGCTTGCTTGATCGTTGTCTTGATATTTCCAACAAGATCGTCGGAGATTTGGCGGCCCTCTGCCATCTTTAGAAAGAGCACAACTGTTTCGTCTGCGTCGGTCTCTCTCCTTCGCCCAATGCAAAGTGCGTCTGATACGTCTTCGGGGAAATGTTGAAGAACCACATTGTAGATCTCAGCTGACCCAAAACGTACGCCTGCAGGTTTGAGTATGCCGTCACTACGTCCGAGCATCCACAGTCCGCCAGTCGCGGGGTTGAAGCGCACAAAGTCGCCGTGATGCCAGATAGGCTGCTTCTTTTCGTTTGTGAATTTGTCAAAGTACGACTTCCAGTACTTTGACTCACCTTCTGGGCCCCAGAATGCTACTGGTTGACATATGAAGGGTTTAGTACAGACCAGATCGCCTGGTTCGCCCGAAGCTGAGATGTCGGCACTTGTGTAGTCGTACGCAGCGATTGCCATGCCTAGACCAGCGCCTTGGATTTCGCCTTCGTAAACGGGTAAAAGTGGGTTCGGTGCGCCAAACAACGAGATGATGTCTGTACCGCCGGTAATGCTGCCTAGATTGACAGTCGGGGGGAAGGCGGAGTAGACGTAAGAGAACGTTGAAGGGGCGAGCGGCGACCCAGTGGAGTAGATTGCCTCCAGTTTGTCCATCGCAAGCCCAGCGGCAAATGGATCGATGGACTTTTGCTCTAGGATGGAAAGGTACTTTGCGGATATGCCGAAGTGAGTGATGCCAAACTCATTTATTAAGCGATGCATCGCTAGGTCGTCTGCAATGGAGGTTGATGGGTTGGACTTATCTACGTAGCGGAATGGCGAACCGTCATAGAGTACTAACGTAGCTCCTGATGCCAGTCCGCTGACCAACCAGTGCCACATCATCCAAGTACACGTTGTAAAGTAGAAGAGCCGTGATCGGGGCATTACCGAGCAGTGAATGATGTGCTCTTTTTTGTGTTGAAGTAGCGTACCAATGGCTCCATGGACAATACACTTGGGTGCACCTGTTGTACCACTCGAATACAAGATATACACCGGATGGTCTGGCGGCAATTGCTTGAAGATAAGCTCTGGCGTTGACTTCAGTGTTGTGAATGTTGCGTAGTCGTAAGTTTTGCCATATTGCACAGGAATGGAGGTTACGTCGAACTCTACTGAGGCTACAGTAGGAAATATGATAACAGCTTGGAGAGATGGAAGGTCTCTCGCAATGTCGGCAACCTTGGGCAGTACCGGATGGCTCCGGCCATTGTAGAAGGCAGCATTGTCTGCAAAGAGCAAGATCGGCTCGATCTGGCGTAGCCTATCAAGCACAGCATGAACGCCGGTGTCTGGGCTGACTGCTGTCCACACTGCTCCCAGCGACGTCGCAGCCAGCATCGCCACCAACGCGCTTGTATGGTTCGCGACATAGCCAGCCACTCGATCGCCCTCTTTGAGACCCAAATGTATCATGCCGGCTTGACACTGCTTTACCCTATCCCTAAGCTCCTGCCATGTCACAGTCTCCCTTGTAGTCTCTGTCGCGGCGATAACGGCGGGTGAGTTGGGATCAACTTCAGCAGTGGGGAAAAGGAGATTCTCGGCGAAATTCAGTGTTGCTCCCTGGAAGAAAGCTGGACGAGGAAACATGGGTGCGTCTTCATCCACAGCCTATCGATTGTAAGTATAAATAACATGTATGGACCCAAGCCAACTGACTGATGTTGGAACTCCTTGATGCTTGACACCCACGAAATCCCAGGCTTTTTGCCAGAATTTGTTGACATTGTTGATACTCCATTGGTGTAAATCCGAGTAGTTGGAAAGTTGCAGGTCGTGTGTCTTGTTCACCGATTGAAGGAACTGATACATAGGTGTCGTCTCGGGAGAGGAGTGCTTCCATAAGAGTTTGGGGCCGGCTGAAGTGCCATTGGCGCCTTTCGTGTCTTTCATCGCGTCGCAGTTGGTATGGTGAATCTCTCTGAGGATCGTAACATCAGAATTGGCGAAAGGAAAAAAAAATTGAGGTTTGCGGTTATCGCAGGCTTCCTACAATTCTTGACAGGGGCCTCGGTTCCCCCGCGCCCGATGTCGTGGAGCGGCAAATCCCGATAGCTCATCACGAAAATATCGCGGTTCCCCACGTCAGGACATAGCAACACATCCATCCACCGTGAAACTCTCCTCACGTCTACTACGGATATTCTCCGGTTTGAGCTCCATCTTTCCACCGAACTGCCAAGCTTTACGCTTACTGATTACGTCATTCCAGCGAGGCTGTGGAGCTTGCGCTGCGCGTAGGCGAAGGCATCAGCGACGCGCTCACGCGCCCAGTATGTCAAGAATGCAGCTTCGACTTGCCACAACCCTCACAGCTGGCTCACAGCCACCGAGCTCAACAGTTTTACTCTCATCATACCACGATTTCTAGCGACCCTGGCGGTGTAAGGACGTAAGTTGCGGACGCAGCGCTGAGTTCGGGAAATGAAGTAGGAGCCAGGCCTTTCATTTCCGTATCGCCATCATTACTAAAAATTCATGTTTCAACACCGCGATCGACACTCTGCCTTGGTGGTGAGTTGACCGGTTGTCCAGGGCAATTGTATCGTAATTCGATGGTGTCGAGGACAGCGCATCCACCGCTTAGTCCCGAGGGGGATAGCGCATAGTTTTTGCATACACCTCAGGATTGAGCATTTGCGACGGCATCGCCTGCCCTTGTTATGTGTCTGTTCTCCGATAGCCTGCTAGGAAATTGCGACGCGCATTCGACGCACACCACAGGCGCCTAAGCAAGATTAGGGCGTTGACTGCAACCTACATGGCAAGAATCGGATGCAGGAACCATTTCATACCTGCCGCGGCTGAGCATCAGGATCAGACGACCACCCAGAGATTTCTCGCTGTGGCACGGAGGTTTGCCTACTTTCTGTCTATCGGCATCTCACAACATCCGCACCTTCAGCCTGCTCTATGGCGCGTCAACTATGAACCTTAAACTCGAGGACTTCGCTTGCGCTGAGGTCGTTCGGATTTCCATAGTGGGGCCTGCCTAGATCCGAATGGGCCTATGGATGAGAAGATGCTGTTACACGTCATCCATGCCGATTACAGCTGTAATTGAGGACTCATCCTAAACTAATAATCTGAGTGAGGATTACTAGTTCCGTCCTAGATCCTTGGTGGTCCAAAATCTTACCCTGCTCGCTCCAAGCTCAACAATGTATGGTTCGGGAAGGCTGGTTCCTGCATTGCCTTTCCTTACACCTGTCACTTGACCCCTGGGCATGGGGTGTGACGCGTGCAGGTGAACGCCCTACCCTGCTGTAATCGCTGAACTAGAACCGCTATGCTACCCACAGCCTCGCAAATGGATCGGAAGATCGGTATTTCAAGGGTATTATCGAGGTAGCCGCAGGATCGTTCTAACGCGAAGGCTTTTCTTGGACCAGACAATGTCGTGAGTTTGCCAGCGACCTAGCCGCAGTCTCAACATGACTTCAGGCACATTATTGCATGTGCAAGTACGATCTGACTCCGCCGACTTTTACGTCCTTTCAGAATCTTACATGCATATCTAGCGCAAATGTGTTTTGTACACAAGACACTCATTTCCTCACACCATCAAATCATGGTAGCGAGATGGCTATTGTCTGGCACGCACCATGCTCGAACCCCTGCAAGACAAAGCTGGTTAGGAACATGCGTTTCGATGTTCACAAGATTCGCGACATGCACGTCAGCTTCTGTATGCATGCGTGCCTGGATCAACCGATGATTTTCCTCATAGGGTCAGTGAGCCCTATGTGCCACACCCTGGTCTCTATATTCCCCTTTATCGACTGAACATGCATATCATGAAACCAGGATACTCAGATAACTCGGAAATTCGTGTATGGTCCATGGTAAGAAGAAGCTCGGACTTGTTGGATGTTTAACCTAACATCTTCGCGTACTTAGACGACACTCGTGCTATTCTACCATCATGGAGGTCGCGACCCAGCGTTTCTGCATACAAGACTTGGAAGTCTCCCCAAGGAAAGGCGAGATTCAAAAGACACGAGCTTCATCGCATTCACCACCATTAAAAGCAGGAACGCCACCAGATCGCATTACAATTTAAGCTGAAAAATATGCCGACGATGCAGACTACATCCTTGCAACATGCCCTGGTTCATTGCTGTTCTTACCAAAACGGTGAGAACTAGTGAAGTTTCATGCTTCATGTTGCCGCAATGGATCATGACAAGGCGTCAGCAGAGGGGTCAACTGGGGGTCAACACGTCTCGAAGTAAGTGTACCGGCCTTCGGCTTGGGCATACATGAGCACGATAGGAATATAAAAGGCGCCGATGTCAACCCAATATCACCATCACTACCGACATCGTGAGTTCATTCGTACTCGCCATCGTCTGATCGCTGCTGAAGGTATAGGCTGTCGCGTTCTGTGGTACGTTCAATATCAGACCTTTCCCTCGAGTTTCGCCGTAAGAGACGCTGCCTCACAGGATCAGATCTAGTATCATATCCCAAGCCGCTCATCATAACACGCTCACTTTACCAACATGGACAATCATGGGAGACATGATGCCTTTTCGCTCAAGTTTTACAATCAGGGCCTATCCTCTCCGGCCACGACCGAAGCGCGACGAATACCTTCAAACGCCTCATGCCCGTATCATGCAGCTGTGCTCGGACCTCGTCCTCAGCAGATTGGCTCTCAGTCGACGATATTCAGTCGCCAGATGCTTCAAAACGTTCCGCCATCGGGCTTAACACAAGACTGGTGTATCGGCTCTTCGGTGAATATGGGATGCACGTGTGCGTCTGCTAGAGGGGCCGGATGCGACAAAATGGCTCGCGAAATCGAAGCCATTATGCGAGCTTCTGAGGCTGCTGCCACAGCCACTCCCTCCGGGCAATCTTGAATGGAACAGATGTATCGGCGGTAGAGAGAACATTCGTCCCACCGCTCTCGTCGTTCCGGCATGGATGACTCCAAGGCGAGCTTCTATATGGCAATCTGGTCATTTACGATTGTTGCTGCGCCAAAGTCACTCAAGTGGCATCACTTTCTCCCCGAAACCCTTTTGTATTCTCCTTCTGCGCAATTACTGCTGTTGCTGCTTTTGTACTATATAATATGTTGCTACGGCTTACTTGCCACCTACCTATGTCACAAATATCCACTAGTCGTTAATTTGACTACGCTAAGCGACTGTATGGCTTCGAGCAGTATATCAAACAATAACGCCACGACATCTAGCACCAACACGGTTACGACCAAGGCGGACGTTATGACCTACAAGCCTGCCTCATTCCCCTAAGCTCGGTCGAACAATAGGCATAGTCCCACGCCGCCGAACCAGCATGGCAATGATTGCTCAGGCTGTCCTGAAGTAAACCCCGAACCTGAGGGCAGGCGCCTTGGGGCATGGCATCTACCGAACGTTCCCTAGATCGTTTATCGGTGCATGGTGAGATTTAGCGGTTCCTACTTTGACAGCTTTGAGCAGATGACCCCCACATTGTCACATATGGTTGCAACATGCAATATCACTACTTCGGAGTCAACTTGTTTGCCGTGGCTACGAGGAACCGATTGATATTGGGTTGATGTCAATGTCGTGGTGCGGTATCGCGACTACCGCGACGGCGGCGCGATGCAAGTCAATCGGAAAGGCTTCGCATCTCAGCATTGAAATCCCTCTTCCCAGTTCTATCTTCTAATTTGGCTCCACACCACGCGAGTAGACGTGTTCTACCAGAACCTCCAGTGGTTGTCGGGCTGGGGTCATTACTCACGGCACGTACCTGGCCAACACACCATGACACCTGAATGTCAGTAAGCTTTGGCATTATGGAGCGATGTGGAAGGAAGATCGCCAGCTGAATTATTCTCTTCCTCGATGCATTCTGTCACTAGACTAGACACTACCAGATGCAGCCCAGCCTGCGAGTTCAAGCACTGGGTTTTCATAAGTGAAACACTAGGTCTCGTCGTCATCAAAGACAATCACTCTTTGATTGCTACCAAATGTGTACATGCTCGTAATGGTACCTCACAGACCACTCCGTGGAGCCACACTATCCGAGTTGAGACATCACAGTCTCGTAGTCTCAATTTGCGCTGCAGTGCGATTGCGGCCATGGCCATGTACTAGCAAGGTCTGACTGCATGCGGAGGCGTAGACCTCTGAAAGATGCATGCGCAATAAACCGTGGTTCTGGCCTTGTCAGTCATATGACGCGCTGCAGTGCGCATTTGGTGGCAAGTTTTCACGCTGTGAATATGTAACAATGCGATGGTCTAATGCCACTGGGTGCTGAACCGAAGCTATGGGGCATAGGAAATTTGAGGAACATGCGGGAGGAATATAGCGGTGTGTATGAGAGCCTGATCTTGCGCTCATGGCGTCTCCATACCTAGGTGTCCAACCAGATAAGTTGCTTGCCCACCCTAATGCACGTAGACGCAGGGGAAGCGCTTAAGTCTGCATCCACGAATCCGCTGAGATCTCTCACCTCGCGACAGCAACAGATTTTTTTTTTGAATATGAAAGCCCTCGGATCTTTGCCTGCAGAGGGAGATGCATGTTTTCCCGGTAACCTGGCAATCCATTTGGCCTCAGCGCTGGGCGCTCTATCGTTGCGTGGACCCGAGGAATCGGTGCCTTCCATCAACAACAGGCTTCCAGAAGTCTGCAATCGCCGATCAGAAGAAGACTTAAACCAAACGAGATCTTATATCGACGTATTTAGAAACTTGACGCCTTACTTATCCATCTTCGTGTGGACAGATAATTCACAGTACCGCCGCCTTTCTACCATTGCTCCTGCGCAACTTCGTTCGCGCACCCTTATTCCACGTCTTATCTTTTGCGTTGTTAAGCTACACTGTAGAGCATCAGAGCAAAACCAAGCCTTTAGTAGCTTGGGCGGCAGGTGTTCTGCTGCCATAAGACATAGTCGTTCCTTCGTCCTCCATTGCGCCGAGATGGATCCCACCAAATCGAACCTTCCCACAATTTTGCTGCTTCCTGGTGTTACGTCCTACTGAATAATTAGAGAAGATTATCCGCGTGGATGTACGGACGGGGGACCGGGCTGTGCGGTCCTGCCTCATACGTAGCGGGCAGGGCTGTGCAAGTGTACGGTGACATCCAATCAGGGAACACCACGAGGGTGTGTAATACGACATTCTCACACAATTTTAGAGTCTACGGGGAAGCGGTCCAGCATCCCATTCCTTCCTCTTTGGAATGATAAGGCTGGTTAGGCCTTGCAAGATCTCCTGCACCCCTGCGTGCCGGCAACCTTCCCATACACATAGCTTGATGTCTACCACATTATTGATTCATGCCTTGCACAGCGGGCGTCACCTTGCAGCTTTTTTCAACATCCTGTCACCTCGCCCCTTATCTACACCAATGAAGGTCAGATTGAGACGCACACATGCCTGAGGCAGTAGCTCGCTAACTACAATAGTGCAGCTTCAGCCTTGGAAAGGAACGCTTTGAGCCGATCCCCCAGGAGCCATCTGGTGGTTCCTAGTACTCTGAGTGCTTAGCAGCCATCTTCGATAATCCAAGAGATTGAGAGGCGACTCTTTTTCTGGCCTTCACGCTGGAACCTGATGGGTCTTATTGCTCGTACCTTGGGTGGTACGTCGAAAAGCGGTATCATTCACCCGAAATGCCGGTAGTCTTCGGAATGCTGATTCCCAGTCCATGTGTGGTTATACTCGTTCCACAGGCACCTCTGTTTCACCGCTTGAGCGACGCTACATCCGATGCATGATATCATCCGGCGAGCGCTCATGTTCATGAACCCGTTGTAACCCTCATAGTTCTCTTATCCGATTCGACCGCGGAAGCTGCGATGAGTGCCATGGTCATGCATCTTCCGGTCCGAGCAGTTCGCTTGGGCTCCGTATCCACAGCCACGATCCCACACCAGTGTAGGGCGTCCTCCAACTCTTGCCCCATACGTACAAGAGTTTGCAGCGGAATCTAACCCCCATCCCCGAGATCACGCTAAATATCAAAACCTTCTACATACAGCTAGTGTAATTATGAACAAGGAGATAATGGATCGAGTTATCCGACTCCGCGCTGCCAGGCGCAGTTCAGTTCCTAGAACTGCGCAATGAGCATGTGTCTCACGCATAGGAAGAATGGCTCATTGTATCCCAGTCAATGCCACGGCAGTCAAAGTATAAGTAACGACTAGCGCACGGCTGTTAAGATACAGTGATAGTTTCCCTCTTTTCTTTTTGCAGCTCCATCAAAGAAAATGGCTCCCTCAGCCCCAACGGCGGTGACTATATCAGCAGGTACTCATGCATCTTTCCGGCCTGATGGCCAAGTACATTCCTCATCGTCACCTTTTCAGCACAGTGCCTCTGCCGAGATAAATGGTAACGGACGCACTGGCACTGCTATGCAGGCTCATCGCAGTGACCTTAACTGTGTTGGGATGTGGGCCACCGAAGAAGAATGCCAGCGTACCGGCATACCCATGGACACAGGTAGCGCTGGCCTCCCAAAGTGCTCACTAGGGGGTACTGACATCGTACAGTCCAGTCCCATGCACCCCAAAAGGATTGTGCACGCCATCGCAACATATACACAGCGTGTTTTGTTACCCCCAATCACCTCCATGTTGTCGAACTTCTCGGAAAGCCGTACGTTACCGATAGCGCTGATCATATCCTCGAGGGAGAGACCGATGAATCGTTAGCCGCGACTTGCACTTGCATTGTAATGATGCAAGTAGACGAGGATGAAGCGAACCCGGCGATAACCACGACAAACGGGGTGGTAGCGCATGCGCAGCAGGCACAGCAGGCAAATGGGACGCGTTAGTGCAAAGCTCTTACGACAGTTATTCTTTTCAATGGAGAGAAGGCGATTGAACGTAAAGTGGGCGGTGTTCAGCTCAAGGTACCTAAGTAAGGAGTATGAGACTGAGGTGCCTGCTGGAAAAGTCTTGTTCTGGCTTGGCATTCGACTTCGATTATCCTACGGTAGAAATACTAGAGATTCTTTTTGTATCACGCGCGAAGCGGTCTGTTGCTTCCGTGTTGCTGGATGTGATGACATTGTGGCCCCATGCGAGGCTGTGCTGCGTCAGGAACGCTTTGCTATGCGCTTCGACCTTGTTCTCTTTACTAATCACCGACACATTTGTTGTATACTATCTGATAGGGTATTTCGATATCTTAGCACATAATTAGTTTTCGCCATCATACGTATCGCTATAAATCATTAAGATCGATGTCGACACTGCAGGTGGGCGACGATGCGACACCTATCGCACTGCGGCCACATCAGCTGCTCAAATGATGATGTCTCTTACATCGAAGGTATCATATTCTCTATAGCAATCAGACCTCACACGAACTGTCCGTAATACAGACCACAACGAAAGCGATGTTTACCGCACAACACGTAGCGCCTCCTGAATCGCAAACAGCCCGCTGGCTTATCGATAAGCTAACGCACGAACCACCTCTCGCTCAGTCTTTTCGTGGGGCTAGCCTTCCGTGATACCAGTCATGCAGTTAAGCATTCTGCAAAACTCATTTACGATCTCTCTACGCTCCTATAACAATTGATGCGAATTCTGGGGCAACTAAATGTCTCGCTGAGAAGGCAATCATTAATCCAGGTGCCAATTCACCCCCTCGTTCGACAACCCCTCTACCGTCCTACCGCGGCAATGGACCTGTCTACGGATACCACCGAGCACGTTCGTATGTCGCCCCTTCAAAATGAACGGGTTTGGCTAACGACCATTGCAGAAGGGCTCGGTGCATCATGACACGCATGCTACGCCGCCACAATTCATTCAGAAAGAACATTGGCGATACCAAAGCATGCGTAAAGCTGACCTAGATACCGACCAAGACATGTTTGATCTCAGTAAACGCGACCAGTTTAGCGAAGATCATAAAGATATCTGGCGCCCTGCAGGCATCATCCCCGCGGCTCAGATCGAAGCTGCTTGCCAGGCATATGCGAGGGGCAAACCACTCGCTGTACCTGCAAAAGATGCGCAAATCTTCGAACATCGCGACTTTCCTGGCCTCCAAGTTATATCTGGACTTCTCCCACCTGAGACGCAAGTTCTCTTCACGTCGTGTCTTATGCACAGAGATCTGGCAGATCCAGGCCATAAGATCAACCTCCAGGCGGATTATGATATCCCATACCCTCCAAAACCCACATCGGACGGACTGCGGTTCGACAGTAGTTTCTTTCTACGTCAGCGGGCAGCTCCAGAGGACTGCCTAATGCCAAAGCTCTCGGACAAACTGAAACCTCTCAACAACGAGCAGTTCTTGTACACCAAGCTTCGTTGGCTAACACTCGGCGAACAATACGATTGGCCGACTCGCAGTTATGCAAAGCATGCAACGCCATTCCCAGAGGATTTGTCAATGCTTGTGACTGGTCTCTTCCCTCATATTCGGCCCGAATCTGGTGTGGTTTTGATGTACTCAGCCAAAGACTTCATGCCTGTGCATCGCGACGTCAGCGAGCAGTGTCAGCGAGCGCTTGCAAGTTTCAGTGTCGGATGCGATGGCGTCTTCATCATGGCGCGAGGCGAGGATGATGGCGAAGGTGAGAACGCGCCTAGAAGTGTCGCTATCCGAGTCCACAGTGGCGATGTTGTGCATCTGACCGGCGATGCTCGCTGGGCGTGGCACGCGATGGCGCGTTCGATACCTAGCACATGCCCATCCTACCTTGCAGATTGGCCGGCAGGTACACCAGGCTCTACAGCAGCTGAGGAGAAAGCCTATAGAAAATGGAAGGGCTATATGGGTACGAAGCGCATCAATGTCAGCTGTCGGCAGGTCTGGGATTGAAAGAGAGAAAAAAAACGGCAGCCAAAGGGACGGCCCGTCTGGGGAATTCCATCACAGTGGACACGAGTTCCTTGATGATAATCGGCTCCGTACGCTCGGTGTCGTGGTTTTGCTGACGGCGGCTGCGTAGCGTACTCCACGGTGGAGCAGTCCTCGGGGTATTAGTAGACGTAATTGCAGCACCAAGGTGCAACGTCAAACCCAACCCAACCCAACCCACCTCTTTGAAAGGTTACCGAGGTTTCCACAGATCTCCTTGATTAAGTGCAACTGTGCTTTGTCTCATTACTGTATAAGTGCAGCAACTCCAAACACTGTTTTCTTCAAGATGCAACATCCAGCGCGGGACAAGCGTTCTCCAATGTTCTCCAATTTCCTTTTCCTTGGCCCAGGCCACCAGCTTTCCATTACAGGTTGATAACCCGCCCCTAGCGAGTCAGCTAGCCCCCTACGGGAGCTTGACACTAGCATCTGACCAGCCGCTATCACGAAGTTTTGGTTCGTCGGTAAGCACACTGCGCACTAGCCTTCGAAGCCACTAGGATGCAAACGACGATTACTGCCAAATGAAGGAGACCGACCTATGGGCCCTGAACGCCATACGCCAGGACCCTAGTAACTTCTGACATGTTGCTATCTATCGGTGGAGGCTGCGACCTGCCCTTGCTTGCCTCGAGTTGAGGGTGTGAGCTCATGCTTGTGCTTAGTGCTGTGCACCCACTCTTGATTCTCAGGGTCCTGGGGAAGGCGCAGCTCGAGATGGCTTAAAGTTTATCTTGCTCCCACGCCTCGGCCCTTCTCTTTGTTAGTGTAACGTCCACCTCCGCATTCATCATTGTTGCTATCCTTTGTTCTTGCTCAACTTTGTGTCGCGTTGCTTTTTAGAGTGTTGGCCGTAAAACGTCATGGGGATCCTGAACCTTCCTCAGTTTCGCTACCATGGACCTTGGGTTCAGATGCTAATTGCTGGCCTTGGTGTTGGTTCCTCTGCTGGTATTTACGTCGCGCTGAACCTCCTAGGAGCTGGTGGTGGGAAGCCAGATTCAGCGCAGGTAGTCCAGGTTGTCAATGCGACACTGTGTGCAGGTACACAATCATATACGTGGCTTACAGGCGACATATACTGATTATCCTATAGTATGGTTCTTCTCATCTTCCTTCGGTGGTTCGATCTTAAACAAGCTTGGACCTGGTCTCACTATGTGCATCGGCGTTCAAACTTACGCTGTGTACGTGGGATCTCTCTGGTATTACGATGAGACAGGTAAGAAAGGCTATCCATACGCAGCTGGCCCTATCATTGGCATTGGTGCAGGTATGGTCTTCATCACTGCCGGATACGTTGCAACCGGATATCCCGAAGAAAGAGAGAAAGGGTCCTACGCGACAATACTGATGAACATGCAAGCGCTTGGGTCCGTGATTAGTGGTATCATCCCGGTTATCATAAACAGGAACTCGGACACCGTTGCTGGCGTTCCAAGATCAGTGTACATTGCCTTCATCGTCATCATGGTCATTGGTGGTTTGCTATGCCTAGCTCTGCTTCGACCACACAAGCTCACGAGAGATGATGGCTCCGTGGTCGCCGTTGATCGTCCAAGAGGAGTATGGGAGGAGCTCAGAACAAATTTGCTAGTTTTCACAGATCCCGTCCTCCTCATGATGTTGCCGGCATTCTTACCAGCTGAAGGGTTCTTAGTGTACAGCGGATCAGTCAATGGTAGGCCTTCAGGAGATGTTCACAAACCAAAGCTTACTCCGTCGCAGCTTTCAATAACAATCTCCGTACACGCTCACTACTTTCCTTCATCGCTGTTGTCATGCAGATACCAGCAGGGTGGGCATTGCAATACGTTCTGGACTACCCAGGGTGGGGTCGCCGCAAGCGCGGACTTATCGGCTTGACAGGTGTTTGCATCCCTCTAGTCATTGCGTGGGTTTGGGAGATGGTATGCGTAGACACTGTCCGCTCAACATTACGTGCTAACGTCACCCAGATCCGGACTCGAAAGTACGACCGCAACAATCCGCCTACCAACCCTACAGACTGGGATGAACCAGAGTTTGGATGGATATTCTTCCTTTTTATGCTCAACTGGGTCTTCTCACAACTGTGGCATAACATTGTCTATTACTGGATCGGCGCTCTTACGAACTCTCCCCAGAAACTCACGCACTATGTCGGTGTCTTTCGTGGCGTGCTCGGAGCGGGCGAAGCGATTTGCTTCGGTCTGGACAGTATCAAGATACCGTTCATCGCCGAGGCAGGTGGTATTCTATTGTTTTATGTGATAGGAATCGCAAGTTTTTACTACTTGGGGGTCTATCACATGCAAGACACAAACTACGATCGAACCGAAGAGGGCGTGGTGATACCGAACCACATTCTAGAGATGGAGGGAATGACATCAGGGCGGGAAGTAGGTTCAAGAGACCGGGAAGAAAAAGAGGGCCATGTCGCAGAAAGTGAAAAGGATGAGTTGAGTGGCGGGGAGAAGGTCTGAGTCATTCTCGTACGCATTCACGAATCTCGGTGTCTTCTATCAGGCTCTTCTACAGTACAAGTTGTAATAAATCGTGTCACACATTCTGATCTTCATCCAAAGCTATCGCCGATAACGCCAACAGCTACCATTCCATGGGCCCAATCCGTTGAGGTATGCTTTCATCCTCCATTTTTGCTTTTTCACCTTTACCGCTCCATCGCCCCATCTCTGCATTATGATAGGCTCACTATAGACAGCGGTACAGCACCATGCACAACCAGGTCATGAGAAGACGTAAACCTGTTCATAAGCGTGCATGCGCCAGTAGCAGACCTTCGCTCGAGTTGCCCTCCTAGCCCACATATTATACCCCAACAGCCATACAAACACCCTTATTTGCAGACCCTCGGTTATGTATGCTCATGTCATGCTCCAACTCCGGTTGATCACTTCCCATTATGCTAATCATCCGAAAGCATGACGATGCACCAACGGCTGTAAGCGATACAACTACCCCCACTGTAGTCAACAACGGGCCGTCCCTGTAAAACTGCGTTATCGTCATGCGTGTTTGCGGCGTGGGCGTCGCTTGATGAAGGATCGGTTCATACTCACCGAGCGTGAACGTACGATACCTAGTTGGTGGGGCGAAGAGCGAGCTGACTGGGATCAAGGTGCGGGCGTTGACATCACCGGCTAGCTACAAGACTAAATGCGCGGGAGCGTTGAGGCGCCACGGGAGCATGTCTCAATTCGGCACGGGAGCAAGAAGCTCGCGCTTGTATTCGGGCGTTTGGAGAAGGCTTCAAAAGGTGGAGATCAACGGGTGTTAGTGGACGGGAATACGTGTTCTAGAGTCGAACCAGAAGAGCAAGGATCTGCGGAGATATGCAGGTTTCGGAGAAAAGCTCGGAAAATGACGCCGAGGAGAACTAGCATGGTTCAAGTCGTTTGGGAATCGTATACTAATACGTTGTTTGCTAGGTCTGAATAAAGAGCTGCAACTTAGTAGTAATGTAAGATGCTTAGCAACTCCCTCCATCACCACACAACCTCTCGTGCACTTTTGCGACCTTACACAACCACCCTTTGTTACAGGCCGGCTCATCACTCTCGTACTCACTGCCGGCACAATACTCCTAGATGTCCAGAAGCTCAAATCTGACGAGCAGCGTACATGTAGTCTCATGGCCGCCCAAGTCCAGCATCCGAATGAAGTTCCATCCGGGCGTAACATACATCAGCCTTACCGCTGCAACAGCGAAAATTGGGTTGCGCGAGAAGCTGTCATCGCTCTTGATCAACAGGCGCAGGAAGGTCAGCTCGTTATCCTCGTACTCCCATTCTAGGACATCCTTCCAGATAGGATCGTTGGCGGGCGAGTTATCCTTGTGCATGAAGCTGGTCAATTTGTGGGGCTTGTAGGGGGCGGTCTTGCGCTTGGGTGGCATGTTGTTCATATCGTTGGGATGCACAAGGGTACATGTTAGGTAAGGCTTGATGTCATCATGGTCGCGGTCATTTGGCAAAGGAACGTCTGTTGCGCCGGCAACGTGCAGGCGAAGCTTCTTCCGACGTCCAGTGTTGAGGTTGCCAGAGCCTCCGGCACGAAGAGCCGCCGGTTTCAGAACATAGCCACCAGAGCCAGCAAAGAGTGCTTCATTGATCTGGGAGCTTGCGCCGAAAGTTTGCCAGTTGAGAGCGCATATCTGAGCGCCAATACCCCAGAATGGTACTGGTGCGAGGTTTTTGGAGGAGATGCGAGTTCCCTTGGGATAGACTCTCATCAAGTGGTGCGCGTTGTGCCGTGCGATCTTAGCGCTGTTGGAAGGAAGGTGGGCTCTAAGTCCTGACTCTGAGACATTGATGAGCTGGTGGTGAGGCGCATTGTCAAGCTCTGCTTCGAACCAGGAGTTATTGACAGGTTTGACCGACTGAGCATACACGCCTAGTTCAGCCAGTTCAGGGATAATGATACCAGCATTAGTAGCCTTCTTCTTCTCTGCATACTCATGGCGAGCTTGCTTCTGTTCTTCTTCGTCAGAACTCGAGTCGCTGCTGCTGCTTTCCTCTTCATTGGGTAGATGGTACTCCACGATGACAGCCACCTTGTTTCCAAGCTCAGCAAGAGTAACATGCTCATGCTTATTAGGATCATCTTGTTCGCGTGTGCCCTTGTCGCGAATGGCCTTGCTGAGAAGTCGGGGGCCAAGTACTTCTTGCATGATCTGTGCCAGGCGGAGCTGACCATGCGCACCGCAATGATTTTCTAGGGAGATCATGATAGGTGCCGCGTTCCTTTCATTGGCAGCTTCTTTGTCAACAACATCGCGGATCGTCTCACATACTTGGCGGAATGGTATGTTAGAGACGAGCGTATAGCCGTGCGTGACTTTTGGCTCTTCTTTGTTATCGTCGTTGTCCCAGGCGTCGATCTCAACGCAACGAGATCCAGTGTGCAACGCGATCTCGTAAGCAGAAGCATGCGATTCGCCAAAGAGTTGATGCGCCATCAGATAGGTATTGTGTGATGAGCTGATGAAGTACTCGGGAAGGGGATGATCCCTGTTGATGACCTCCGCCGGAACCTTAATGTGGCTTCTATCGAGCAGCTCTCGCAGCGCTGTAGTTGGCTCCTCACGTTTGAGGCCGGCTTCCGACTCTTGCAAAACGCCCTCTTTGACGAGAAAGCTCTTGAGTGCTTCGCTTACGCGCAGTTTGTCTTTGGTGATATGCGACTGCCGCGATGCGTGGCCGCCTCCCGCTACAGTCCCCGCATCAACAAAATCTCCCTTTTCTTCATCGTCGATCTCCTTTTTCGCAAAGGGATTGAGTTTGGAAATGCCCGATATGAGTTCGGCCATGGTAGGTTATCGTTGTGGCGCGTAGGTAAAGATGTGAGGAGTACAGCCACAGGCAGGTTCAGCTGCTGGCGGGGTCAACTGCTGGGCTTGGCTGGCGTAAAACCGGCTAACACGGAAAGTGTGGCTATGGAATGATTACGTGCTCTACTGCTTCTCCAGACAATGCAAAGGTTTCTAAAACTTTGTTGCACATGCTACATTCGATGATTCCAGTGGTCCTTCGACCAGTTGTGAGTCGTACCCACTCTTAAGACCAGATGTCCCAATCGGGTCTAGCTAGCGGAAGAGCTGGAGTCAACACTCGGGCACAGCCCGACATTGGTAGTCCTCTCCACCTCTCACGCACTGGTACAAAGATCAGATCCATAGAGAAAACTGGACTGTATCAGCAAAGATTGGTAACGGGGCTATGTTTGGGTTCGACCACTCGACGGACCCTTTGCAGTACTATTTGCGCGAAACGAGAGTCTCCGAGAGTCGAGTTCTATCGAGCATTCCCATCGCGTCGCTTGTTGCAGCGCTAAATCTCATGAAGGCTGTGTTGTTCTTATATACAGCTCTCTGTATTAGAAAAGAACCACTGATTACAATGAGGGACGCGGTAGGCTCGTTCTTGGAGCAGCCAAACTTGTCGACTCTGAACTTATGCCTCGCTTCATCTAAGAACATTGAAAGTGCACGGTATAGTTTCATTGTCGGGCCAAGAAGATGGATGGGTCGGATACATAGGTAGAAAGATACTACAAGCATGACCCGTTGAGTTAGTAGTCTTGTTATGTAAATGAGCATCTCGCTGCATTACGTTTTGGTGCTATCGACGCTCGAACACTCATTGGATATGATTCATGATACATTGTCGATTCTGTCGTAGATAACACTCTGATAGCGGACATATCACAGATCGTGCTTCCGGGTATATACTTCTCGTACAATAGCTTACTAACATACATGCTTTTGTGAAAAGAGTGGGCATCATATGCATACGCTCGGAAGGGATTGAAAATTTCGAGCGAGGCAAGAGGATCGCAAAGGTCGACGTATTTTCTGTTGCTACCGGATCAATTTACTATACCACTCATGGCGATCAGTGGCTTGCTGTATTGAATACTCTCGCAGAGCATCTTCTTTGCAGCTATCGAGGTAGGTCGCGCACATGAACATGTCTTGGACATCAAGTAGGAGCTGATTATGTATCCGGTTCTACAATCTCAAAGGCAGTACACCTTCAGATGTACAATGTATATGCGGCTACTCTCCCACCGCCTTGATTATTGTAACCATAGTCGCGAGCATCATGCTCATTGTTGGCGATGGAGTAGGCTTCATTCCTCAGGGTTTCGGAACGGATTTCGTGGGTAGTTTCAGTGCGGCGATAAGTGCAGCCTGTCATTTGCCGGCTGCTAAAAAGGACAGAGGCGGTGAGCTAGCTCTTAGGAAGGTGATGTAGGGTGTCGTTGGTGTACGATTAGATGAAGTGGGATATTCATTGTTCCTTCCCCGATCGCGCGGCGGAGAAGCTTCAAGAAGGCAAGCTATATGCTGGGCTGTGAGAAACAGCTAGACGCATCGTGGAGAATCGTGCCGTTTCCACATCAAAAGGATGGCCTGGTCGAGTTTGATTAGTTACGGAAGAGGTATTCACGGGGTGCCAAATATCGGACGTGGGAACAATGTCAAGGGACACCTATGCCTTCCCATGTCACAGCCAGATTAGGTATATGACAACGTAATCAATACTCATCCGCTACTTTCTACATGCACCTTGAAACAAAACTCGGGGAGTAGTAATCCGCAATTCGCAACAGTATCCCAAAATGGTTGAGCGATATCGTACGACACGAGTCTGTGCAGCTCTCGTTGACGAGCCTCCTTCTTTCCCAATTAAAGTACTCTCTTCGAATTTACCAGCTACTGCGTCCAAGAGACTGGACGTGGCCTCATTGACGTGTATCTTATTGGTATTACTGACGGTGTTTTGAGTCTGCCCGAGGCACCAACTGCATTCATGCACCACGAGTAAGTGTGTCAACTGCTTGAAAAGGAAACTGTCGCATCATATCATGGCAGACTACAAGTGCAACAAGTGCGGATTTAGCAGTTATCAAACGGAGTTTTGGAAGTCTGTTGAAGGTATCAATGTATAGCGCCTGGATTTTGTTTCCATAAGACCGAACTGACGGATTACCTAAGCTTGCGCTAAGTCACGATATCCCCACCTTTCGGAAGCGGGCCCGTCTACCAACTTCTTTCGGCTCCAGACCAGCACTTTCAAGACGCACTAAACGATAGCTTGCGACGTCATTGAAGCTATGGCGACGAAAAGCTCCGCATGATGCGGGATAGCACCGGATGCGGGGTCTTAGCATTGACCTCGGCGTTCAAGACGCCTTGCATAAAGCAACGTTAAAACGAGTCTTTCATGGTGTACCACCTGAATTTGCAATAGAAGAAGTATCGATATTTCGACAATGGCTGGACAAGAGTACAAATTTCCAGCGTTCGATGACCTGCCGAAGGTGAAGGATATGCCGCAGGGCAGCATATGGGGTTTCTTTGACAAAGATGGGGAGAAGGATGAAGTCGGAAGTAAGGTAGCTCCCACACGAAGTAACACCTGCACATCTAATTGTCTGACAGCTATCAACCTTCTCACCTCTGATGTCGTGAAAGCCGCTTCCAAGGAGATCAGCACCGGCGAGCACATCCAACTTGACTGGGAACTCCACAACGTCCAGTTTCCGGGTTTCAATCGCAAAGAACTGGAGCAAAAGCAGATTGATTTTGCAAATTTCTCCGAATTCTGCGCTAATGATGACGAACTTCACATCAACACGCAGGCTGGGTCCCAGTGGGATAGTTTGAAGCATTTCGCACACCAGGCTAGTGGCATGTACTACAACGGTCTCTCTCATAAGGAAGCGGCTAAGAGCGTTACGAACGGGACGCATAAATGGTGTGAAAGGGGCGGTATTGTCGGAAGAGGTGTGCTTTGCGACTGGCTTAGTTGGTATGAAGAGAAGAACGGAAAGGCACCAAGTGCGGTATCGAGGCATGAGATTCCAATTGATGAGATCGAAGAGACTCTGAAGTGGCAGGGGACTACGGTAAAGCAGGGCGACATTATGATGATACGCAGCGGATACGTGAGATGGCACAAGTACGTTGCTCTACTAGATGCACAGCTCGTCCGATATGACTGACGATTTTAGCAACGCGAACGAAGCGGAGCGCAAGAGTGGTACGCGCGATAACACTGTAGCCATCGGTCTTCAAGCCAATGAGAAGACTGTTCGCTGGCTCTATGACCGCCATTTCTCCGCGCTCGTTGGTGACACCGTGGCTTTCGAGGCCTGGCCACCTAAATTCGAAGACGGGTGGTGCCTTCACGAATGGCTCCTCGTTCATTGGGGTACCGCTATCGGCGAAATGTGGGATCTTGAGAAGCTTAGTCAGAGGTGTAAAGAAATGGGCCGATATACCTTCTTTTTGACTAGTGCGCCGCTGCATGTCAGAGGCGGCATCGGGAGCCCACCGGGAGCTATCGCTATCTTCTAGGTATGCTTCTTTACTATCACTCTTTATACTATAGCCATGCATCTTATATGTGTTAACGGATGTCAGTGCTAAAGAAGCCTGCGTGTTCGAATGGCGCAGCACGAAGGTATTACCGCTAGGTTCATCTTTATAGTCAACTTAATCCTCTTTTCAAATGATTCAAACTTGGTACCCTCTACGTGTTTGAAAATCTCTTCAAGCTCTCCTGTATATTCTCCCTTTCCCCTCCTGATGCCACTACATGTACCTAATGTAGAGGCCACCACGGTAACGTTAGTAGCTTTCGACCCTTCCTCTCGTATCTCCATATCATCTCCCCCCGCGGTATTATCTCTAACTTTGTTTCCCGATATCACAAGATTGACAGCCGACCACGAACTCAAGACGTACGTGCTAAGTCTTGACAATGAAACCATTTCATCCTAAGTCACTTGCTTGCCATACGGTCTTTCAGCTAGCTTCTTCCAGAAATTTCGGGTCAGGAATTGCCTCGGCCAAGTAGGCTTCACGGGATCCATGACGAAACTTTCCTGTACAACAATGTTCGAGTCAATCATCTCGGATACAATCTACTGACGTTGCATCTCGGCGCCGTGGACCTGTTGAATAAGTGTCGCGACAATATCGCGGAAAACTGCCGTCTCTATTGCGCAGCCGAGTTCACCTTTCCCGTTGTGCTTTTCCAAAGACCAGAAAGGCTCGGAGTACTCTTCTGGATGATTCTCCTTATCTCTAATAAAGTATGCATGAGCCGTCTCACGCACGAGTCAGAACGCAAGACAGAACACAAAACGTGCATACTGACATGATATCGGGTTCTGGTCCTTCGTGTTTGACCTTTACGCCTCATCCATCAGAATAAAACACGCATCCTCCCTTTTTCTCGACAGATTGATATGATGCACTCATCATAGCATGAGTTTGGCCATCGGCGATCTTGACTAGAAAAGTCGCAAAATACGCATTTCAGGCACTAAGCCATATTTTCCAGCTCTTTTGTAACCACTTGCTCTTCTCCTTCTCTTTTTCGCTCGTGGGATGGCCTTTCGTAACGTAGGGGATTCCGGTCACACCGGTGGAAATTCGTCGTGCTTTCCCTTATTGCCAAAGCGCAAGTGGCGAAAGAAGGCTAGATTGGACTTACTCAAAAGAAATTGTAACACCAACTGAAGCGCAGGATCAATCGAATTCCATGGATTAGACCGCTTCCCCTTCTTTGCATTGAAGTTCTCAAGCAGCTAATTGCTTGCGGCGAAGATCGGATGGATAGAGTTTGTAAGATTACCATATGGGTTACCTTTGGATTCTCAGGCGGACAGAAGAAATTTTAAGTAAGAGAAGCAACTTTGTACTTGCCAAAAAGAGAAACCGTAAGCGGCCTCGTTTAATCGCGTAATCTGGTGCGCATTATTTCGTATTACCACGTATTCTCTTCCGCAACGAGACCCGCAGACTAACACGAAACATCCGAACACCAAACCGAGAAGATGCCGCGCGGCACTGCGCCTCTTAAAGTAATGCTTGAGAGAGACAAGAGAGCGTAAGAGATGAATGCGAGAACCTAGGGACGTTAGGAAAAAAGTATATAGTAACGTCGGTAACGATCAACTGAAGCCATTGTCATCTGCTTCACTACCCCCTATCTTGTCCTCCATTATCTCGATTCATTTGTGTTTTTATTTTCTTATCAAACTGCATTTATCGCCATCACAAATGGCGTCTCACGGTCTCATTTCCAGAGGTGAAGCAGACTTCGACCTCTACCCTTACACGCCTTCTGGACCCGCTGGTTACGCATTCCTAGTACTATTCGCGATCGGAGGCTTCACTCACCTTATCATGCTCATACCACTGCGAAGTTGGTTCTTTATTCCGTTCGTTCTGGGTTGCGTGGGTGCGTCACCATACCCCATCTATTCGTCCACGCAGTACCACTAATTGTCAAACCCATAGGCGAAGCAGCAGGCTACTATGGCCGCGCATGGTCCTCATCCAATATCCGAAACGGTAGTCCTTACCTCATACAACTCATGCTCATCCTGGCGGCCGCGCCGCTTCTCGCAGCGACCATCTACATGACTCTTGGCCGCCTCATTCGCGCTCTCGATGCTACACACCACGCTGTGCTGAACCCGCGCTGGACCACGAAAATCTACGTTGTAATTGACATCGGCTCTTTTGTTTGTCAGATTATGGGATCCGCGATGCAGACTTCCGGGGATCCCGATGGAGTTAAACAAGGAAACACAATCGTGATCGCCGGGCTGGGTACGCAGTTGGTCGCTTTTGCCTTCTTCATTTTGATGGCTGTGGTTTTCCACCGGAGGCTCAATAACGAACCCACATCCACGTCACTCCGGACCCATGTAAAATGGCAGCGTTACATGTGGGCTTTGTACAGCGTTAGCATGCTAGTCGTTGTGCGGAGCATATTCCGGCTGGCAGAGTTCGTGGAGGGGCCGGAGAGCAAGGTTTATCAGACAGAGGCGTACTTGTATATCTTCGATGCGGCGCTGATGTTTGGGGTGGTGGCCACCATGGCGATCCTACACCCGGGGTTTTTGTTCAGGGCTGTTAGGAAGGCTGAAATGTTGCCGATTGGTGACGATGATGAGAATGGCGGCTACTTGCTTCGTGGAAATGGCCGGAAGTAATGTCGTGAGTAAAGAGGGGATGTTTAATATCGTCGACTTGGTAGTGTAGGTGACAAAACGCAGTTCTTTAGACCATTTTACATACCAGATTTCATCCACACAGTTTACTTGATCGACACGCTTATGAAGTTGGGGGAAGAGCAACAGCCGTGTGACGGTGGCGTCCGAAAGCGACTCGACGTTTGTGATTGCACATATGACTACAATTGCTGCTGGTCCGATAAAGCATTCGCTCATAAAGTTGACAAGTTTGAAGTGTTGTTGACGGCGATCCGGAAGAATTGGAGTGACTATCTTGTCGCAAGAGCTAAAACAACGAGACGGATTGTATAATGTCGCATATACTCTATCACAGGTATTTAGCTCGCTTTCGCACAAAAGGAAAGCTTTGAGGATGTGTAGATACCTTTTCGACCGCAACGACTCCTAACCCCACCCCGCGACTCCCATTACCGATCCACGATGTAATATATTGACTCCCCTTACGGTCTGCTAACGCCCAATTCGGGTTACTACAATACTCCGCCGGTTCCCCAACACTGTATTGCTTACTCCCTGCAGTTCTACAGTAGTTTCCACCATGGCCTCTCACTTATCCGTCTCCGATTACTCCCTCGAGTACGGCATCCTAGAGCTGCGACAACCTTTCCGCGAGAATCTTGGTACTCCTAGCACCGCTGAGGAAAGGAAAATCTTGCTCCTCGCTAGTATATATATTCTCCTGTAGAATCTTTCCGAGTCATGTTCCATGCTACCGATTGACTCGAAACAACGTGGTAATGAATCAAGTTTGTGTCATACAGCACCCTTCGCTTGCTACCTGTTCCACTCATTCTTACTTCAAAGCTAACAGCCCTGTCAGAGAGCATTGTCTCTGTTATCGCCAGTAAGTAGCCTTCGTATAACGCGAAGGCGGAGGCAAGCGATGTGTACATTGTAAGTCACAACGTCAACGGTATCGCAGCAAGCGCTCCCGCGTATCTTCATATCTTCGTCAAATTTAATCACTAATCGGTTACAGTCATGAAGAATATTATCGGTGTACTTGTTGTCGAGGTTGATCGGCCATCGAGAACTTCTTCCATGTCTAGCTAGCACCTTAGGAGTGGGCTGCGGAGTTGTACAAAAGACAAAAAGATGGGTGTAGCGAGTTGACCTACGGGTAAATGCTGTGTCGCTAGATAATCATCAGCCAAACCCACAAACTCGCAAGGAACCGCCACATTATGTAGATGGAAACTAATTACCGACTGTCATGAACAAATACTCAACGGTCCGCTCAATTGTACTCCTTGCCCATTTCTTTCCCGTTGTCACTAGTCTACTCGATATTCTTGATATACTCGAATCACAGCTCGATCGCTTTGCCGTACTCTGTCATCTCGAGAAAAACGGCATCGTTGCGGTTCTCCGTGGGTTATCGACGCGTAGAAGTAATGCGGCAAAGCACGCCAAATGCCTCTGGGAAGATGTTCTCCTGCGTTCACACGGGACTAGGAGTGACAAGCCGGTAGAAGCGGCCGGTGTGGTTGCGGTGCGCTTAGATGTGTCGTTCGTAGACTAATCCGCCAATGGTTCGTGTGTTTGGTTAAAGTGAATCTATGCCTCGGAACGTACCAAGCACTGGCGACAGGAGCATAAGAGCATCTCTAACACTTGGAAACAAGTAGTGATGTACGCTGGGGCACAGACAGCGGCTGACAGGCTTAGTGCATCGGCTGATCTTCGCCCTTACCACGCAGGCACGTCGAGAAGTCTGTGTGTAAGATCGTTCAAGGCGGGCAGATCTGAAGGGAGAGCGCTTCCAGGATTGGCCTTGTCTGAAATTTCCCAGTTTCCGAACTTCACGTGCTGGGGTAGAAGCTGTTTGATGCGTGTGTGGCGCTCATGGCCTTGGGAACATGAGAGCGACGCGCCAGCAGGACCCATTGAAGTGTATCGGTGGCGAATGAGCTGGCGCCCCACGAGATTGGATGTCGTGAACTGGAAGATGGACGTCGTCATCGTGCGAGCGGTGTGGCCGGCGGTACTCGCGCTAGTAGTGGGCCAGCCGTCTAGCGTGTCGCCAAGGAAAGCTTGGTATTTCACATGTGGCGCATAAAACAACACAAACTGGAAGGGGTGGCCGTGGACGGTCATATTGTGGTTTGACTGAGAGGGTGTTACAAGCAAAGGAAGTCAGGAAATGCACGGTCGAAAAGATTTCCGGGTAGTTGCAGGGAAGAATTTGCATACGAGGGTTGGCGCCACACTTCGCATAAGACGGAATGGAGATTGTGGCGCACAGCTCAATTACCCATGACGCAACCGGGACACATGTTTTGGCATCTTTTGGGCAACCTGGCGCCGATCGATCCCCCAAACATATCCATAGGCTCGTCATACAGGCCAGGGCGACCTCGTTCGGGCGTGGTTGGCCTCGTGCCCTAGAGAAAGCGTGCACCATTGTGGCATTGGACGACACATCATCAGGGAATTGGGCTGCCGCGCTGCTTTCTCTGCACGTCCACGGCACTCGATCGATGGCAGCGGGAAAATCATGGCCGGTAGTCGCGGGGTCAAGCAAGTTGGCCGTGGTCGGTCGCTGTTCCAAGCCCAGACTCTTCACAAGCGGGAAGCTACGACTGAGTGACGTAGTTGCTGCAATCGCGCGTGTTACCCAGCCAGCGCAAATACAAAGCTGCTTCTGCCCTCACCCGCCTTCCCTCCCACACAAACCACACTGATACCCATTACCTCGAAATACCCATCCACCCTACCTCCCATTGTTTTTCAGCTCTGCGTCCGCATTTTGATACCCCACCTTGATACCCACAGAAGCAGTCCTACACCATGAGTTCCGTAAACCGTATGTATACCTACCCCGCTTTGCCCTCAAAACATTACTAACACCAAGCAGGTCCAGTGGACTTGAAGCAGAAGGAGAAGGACGTTAACAACAAGCTACAACTTTACGGCATCGTCGAAGGTAAGTCAACACGTGCAATTGACGCGTCGCACCAGCAATATAAATGAAGCTAACCACCTCTAGCCTTCTCTAATGGAAAGGTCCCCTCCAACCAGCAGATCGATGTTGCGCTCAACTCGGCGCTCGCACATAGGGCACTCAACTCACCGTCTAAGAAACTGTCAAGCGAAGGCCAACACCTGGTCTCCGACCTAAAGAGTGTCATCGAGCAGGCCAAGATCCTACTTCTTACCAAGAACGAGGGTAACCTCCTCCAGGACTTCATCTGGCAGGCAGAGCACCTCGGAGGCAATAGCGCCAACCTTCCTAATGCCCCTGTTGATAAGGACACAGCAAAGCAACATGGAAACGAGGCGCTCAATGGTCTACGGACTCTCGGCACCCTCATCATCAGCAATGGCCAGTTCAGGAAGCTCCTCTCAGATGCTACCGTCCTTCTTCGTGACATGGCTGGCGATGCCGCTCAAAACACCGCCAACAAGGTCAAGCCCTCAGAAGACCGTCTTAACCGCCTAGACGAGCCTGCTGAGGACAACACCTGGCACGACACCTCCGACCTGAACCGCGAGAACCTCCGCAACCAAGCTAAGAACAGCCTGCCCTTTGGCAACAAGAACAGGGACGAGACCAAGAGTGAGTTGAAGGAGCATGCCAAGGACATCAACCAGGCTGCCAACCCAGACGGTTCTCGTGATCCTCAACATACCGCCCAGCTCGGCGCCCATGAGGGCCAGTCTGGTCAGAGCACTGGTATCGATGCTCGCGGTGCTTTGGAGACTGCCAAGCAGAAGGTTGACGCGAACACTTCTGAGGAGGACAAGAACATGGCTCGCGCCCGTCGTGACCAGATGAACAACTACCTCAAGGGCAAGATGCCTGAGGAGCGTCGCGAGCAAACAATCTGGCGTCTTAAGAAGATGGTCGTCGAGATTCAGGGACACCAGGATTACCAGCGTGCCATCGAGACTCTCCTCAGCCTCGCCGAGCAGTACTCTGGCCATGGTAGGAACCTAGGTCAGCAGGGCAAGGGCTCCGTTCAAGGTGCGCATCAGAATGATGCTCTAACTAATGCTGAAGCTAATCTCAAGGTGCGTATTTAGGCTTCCTTTCCGAAAACAAATGGCTGACCAACATGAAGACTCTGCTCGAGCGTTTCGCTAACAACACCTCTTTCGACGACCTCATCGAGTCCATCAACCAGGTCTACAAGGACGCCGACCAGGACCCTGAGCTCAAGAACTGGTTCACTCGCATTAACCACTTCATTCGCAAGACCCTACAGCAGCAAGGTTTCATCCTTGAGGACCGCAGCAACGAGGAGTGGAACCAGATCTACGATGACGGTCACCGCCTCCTCCGTGGCCGCTACCGTGGCCACACTGACCGCATCGCTGACGAGTTCAAGTTCATTGGCGAGCAGTTCGACGCTGACCCTCAGAACAAGCAGTTCGCTCAGTCCGTCAACAAGCTCTTCCTTGACCTCGGTCAGGATGAGAATGGCCAGACCGTCTTCAAGCCTCACCTTCTTAAGGACTTGAGCGACGTCATCCTACCTTCCATCTTCGAGAACGTCCGCTACGTACCCATCCCACGTATCGAATACAGCGACTCAATGGTCGATGCCGTCGTTGAGAACCTAGTCATTGAGGGTGACAACCTTGCCCCGAACTCGTTGGAGTTTGGTTCAGACAACTACTGGCGCTGGGGACGCAAGTCCATCTCGAGCAAGAACAAGAACAAAGTTATGCTCTCAGTCTCGGGTGTACAGATGGACCTCAGGGATGTCTCATACTACATCAAGCGCAAGCAGGGCTTCCCCTCCATCACCGACAAGGGTGTTATGGACATCTTCATGGGAGGCTCCGGCTTCAGCTTCAAGGTCGAGATGGAGACTGCTGACAAGGCCCGCGAGAACAACGCGCAGACCCACTTCTTCAAGGTCACCAAGGTTGAGTCTGACATTAAGAACCTTCAGATCAAGATGAAGAAGAGCAACCACAAGCTCCTCTTCAACATGTTCAAGCCTCTTCTCCTGAAGGTCATGCGTCCTGTTATTCAGAAGGTCTTGGAAAAGCAGATCAAGGACTCCGCTAACCAGATTGACGGCATTCTCTTCGATATCAAGACTGAGGCAGACCGTGCCGAGGCTGAGGCCAAGCGCAACCCCGACCCTCAGAACATCCAGAACATGTACCAGCGCTACGCCTCTGCTGTGCAGCACCGCATCATGCAGGGCAAGCAGAAGAAGGAGCAGATCAAGGAGAAGGCCAGCGACACCCAAGTCAACATGGCTGTCACTCAGCACGACTCCATTTTCAAGAACATCTCCTTGCCCGGAGGTATCTCTTCCAAGGCTACCGAGTACAAGGAACTTGCTGCCAAGGGTGACAGGTGGGAAAGCCCCATTTTCTCTATTGGCTCTGCCAAGGAGACCTCCAGCCTGCCCCAGGTTGGCAAGGTCACTCGCAAGCCTCACGGCCGTGCGGGCGGTTACGGTAGCTCGGGTGACGAGTCTCGTGGTCTTGGTGCCTCGCAAGGCCTCAACCCATCAGCAAACCAGTACGATAGCCAGTACAGCAATGCTGGTGGTCTTGGTGCTAGTCAAGGCCTCACTAGTGGCCAGGGTCTTACTGGAGGTTCCGGCCTCACTGGTGGCCAAGGCCTTACGGGTGGTCAAGGTCTTACTGGCGGTCAAGGTCTTACTGGCGGTCAAGGCCTTACTGGTGGTCAAGGTCTGACTAGTGGCGCTCCTGCCTCTGGTTTGGCTGGCGGTATTCCTTCCACCACTGGTGGCAGCCACGGTTTCGGCACTCAGGTCGACGATGCCTTCAACACCACTGGCACCGGCGCCCCTGTTGGCTCATCTGGTCTTGGTTCATCTGGCCTTGGATCTACCGGTCTTAACAACCCCGCTACCGGTACCAGCTCTGCCACTCACCCCTCTGGTGCTCCGGCCCCTGGAGAGTACAACACTACCTTCGGTGACCAGAACCCTGTCTTCCAGGGCCGCGCTTAGATGCTTGTTCGTCGACCAGTGATACCCGGTATGCTTGGGGGCCGCAAGTCATAATTACGACTTTCCTACCTTTTGATCATGGATGATACCACGATTGCGCCACGGCGCATGCGCACATGAGTAGAAAATGGCACGTTTTTGGTTGTTCTTTCTTGTTTTCAACGTATGGTGGAACATGGAGGAGAATAATTGCGCCCGTAATGAGGAAGTAGCTGCAAGGGCTGACCTTATCCTGTTAACGGGCTTTGGTTGAACAAAATTGCTAGTTTGTCGCTACTGACATCTTCCTGTAGTAATAGTTAATGCATAGGTGCTTGAAAACTTCGTTCCATCTTCACTTGAATGTGATGCTATTCTTCACGCAAACACGAAGCATGTGGAGCATGTTGGTATCGCATGTTACAAACGGTGAGTTTTCATCCAATAGTAGAAGTACAGCTGTGAAAGGAAGAAACAGTGTGTCTCTTTTTTTCATTGAATGGCCTGATCCAGCTTTACCATGTGTCCTCGCGAACGATACCCGTAGATCGCTGCCGCCGCTCAGGAACCCCATACTCATCAGAAACAGGTACCGCATGTCTTACTGTATGGCGTCTATCGTCTCTGTCATGCCTTTGATTTCGGGTTCGTGACTTCTTGACCCATTTATATTCATCTCCGTGGTCCCTCGACCATTCATCCTCATCGTATACCCTTCGGTGTGAGGCAGTTGTAGCGCCATGTATTCCCGCTCGTCGTACATCTGATCGTGTTGAGATTGGTGGTGGGCCGCTGCGCAGGATGCTTTCGATACTGCTTCGGCGAACTGAACGGTATGGCCTTGTTCGATTGGAGTAGTAGTAGTTGGAATGAGATCGCTCACGTGGGTCTGCATAGATATCATCATAGCGACGTTTTTCTCTCCTGGGTGTCCCTGATACGAACTCGTCGTACATATCGTAGTCATCTAGGCGTGAAGACCTGTATCGTGGCACCGGCAGAGGAGGAGGCGGTGGTGGTTGTGGTGCCATGGAGATGGGCTCGGCGTAAGACTGTGTTCGAACTTCGGGTCGGTATATACGTTCCTGTGATACGTGCCATTGGGGGGTCGTTTCGTAGCGCGAATTGTACCACGCATCTTCTGTCTCAAATTGATATGCCCTGGTAGGTATCTCGGGTAATGGACTGGCGAATTCGGCTTCGCCGGCCCCGCTGAAGGAATCCGTTGTGCTGCTAGATCCGCTGTTGAGCTTCAGTGGACGTTTCCGCTGTGGTACACTTATACCACCAGCTTCGATGGTCTTCTCATCGCGTCCCAGAGCTTTGTGGTAGATTGATGCCATCGAATGGCGTATGTCATCGCCGTTATACCCGATGAGTAAGCAGGAGCCCACCGTCACAATTGTCAGTGGTATAGCAACACTCCAAAACAGACTTTGCTTCTGGTTCATGTCTCTGATATCAGCTGTATTCATGCCGAAGTAGCTGGTGACAAATGAAAGCGGCAGGAAGATGACCGTAACGACTGTGAAGACCATAATGGCCTTGCCGTGATCTTCTTCATTGATCTCAAGCATCTGCTTTGTACGATCAGAGAGTGGGCCGCAACGGCGAATAAGATCCACATAGTCTTCTCGAGCCAAGGAGAGATGGTCTAGACAAGTATCGATCAGAGTGCGCTCATATGGAAACATGCCTCGACGAGATGGCATGTCTGCTTCGTACGTCGAGTCTTCAAGAACGCTCAAGTAGTTTTGAACAAGATTAGTTTGCCACGTGTTTACTGAGATCAAGACTTGCAACTCTTCTTGGATGAGATTGATGGCCCGAAGGAGGCGCTTGCTTGGTCGGTCGTTAACTTCGAATTGCTAGAGAGAGTTAGCTAGAACTAAGGAAGTCCTTTTGTGGTGTTTGTGCTGTTGTTTACTCATGGTACGTTGCTAAACTCTCTGCTAGGATCATCTAGCATGGAAGGAAGGTACACTTACAACCGTGGTCACGTATTCACGGAACATGTCGCCTACGGTCTTGGACTTTTCGAAAGGCTTCACCAGCAGCCTCCTCATCAACCATGCGCATACGAATTCCGGTCCCAGGGAGAGATGCTTGGATATATCAAGTGGCGGTTCCGGTCTGGCCATTTTGCACAATGCAAGCCGAGTAACACGCAGCGATCGTTGTGCGTCCTTGCCAAAGCCCCTTAGTACACCAAGACCCATCTCCGAATATGGCAGGTTGTAAGTGTCCCGGAGAAAATCATCCTGCTCGTAGACCTTTCTAGTTTCGTGTAACGCTCGCTCAATCGCTAGATAGAAGACAATAATTCTGCGAAATGCTTCTACAAATTCCTGTGGCCTATTATATAGCGAGGACATCTGCCCATCTTCATTCTGAACTCCTTCAGCAAGATCCCTTGCTTGAACAAACATATCCTTCGCGGCTGTGCCGGCTTGAGTAAGTATTGCTAAAGCACCGTCATTGGTATATTCGAGCCTGTATTGCGCGTCATTGATCACCCAGTCGTGTACATTTGTATCCAAAGGTGTAATCTGCAAGGGCTTATCAGGCCTTGAGCCAGTGTTTACTCCCGTTGCATCCATAGACTTTGTTGCATGTCGCTCAACATGATGTAATGCAACCTGTGGGTTGTCGAACGACCTCATTTTACTACACCGCCTGCAACGTAAGACTGACTTCTTCAGTCTGTCACTGGCATCCGGAAGTGACACCGGATGGGAATGAGCAGAGGTGCGAATGTACCAGGCACGATCAACCAAATCGGGATGTTTCCACTCAGGATCAGAGTAGGGCTTGTGGCCAGGTTCAAATGATCCACGTTGTTCTATGGAGCTCACATAGTTGTTGATGTTCTCCAAGGCGCCCGAAATTTTGCGCAGTGTGACGCTACAATCCAAGTCATTGACGAAGAGTTTCAAAGTTGCCTGGATAGTGTCGAAGAGTTCCGCTGATCGCTCGAGAATGTCAGAGATTTGAGTCCTAACGATTCTTTGATGGAACGTAATGCCTGACACTGGTTGCCTTGCTCGTTTGGCGCGGTCTTTCAATTCGGCTTGATGCGTGCAAACATCACTGTACTTCGCCTCAGGCAAGGCTTGGTAATAATCAGTCGATGCAAAAGCGTAGTCGACAGAGTCACGAGGATGTTCTAGGGTTTTAGATGTCATGGCCTTTTCCACCTGATCCAAGCAAGTGGTGAGCCCGTGTGGGTTCAATGTACTAGGGGCTGTGAACTTTCCGTCACTCCTCGATGTACCGTTGTTGTTGGACTGCGGCCAGTTAAAAAAAGGTGGGACTGATGTGGAGGATTCTACTGCCGCTTGGCCGGAGTTAGATGCATCTTCACCTGGCCTACGATCGTCTTGGTCGCTTGAAATCGTGATATTGATCACAACAAGATCGGCTGCTCGGGTAACAACCCTCTTCCAGTCTCTAGGGCCAACGATCATACTGCTATCTCGTGTTTGAAGTTCCATTTTGATCCAACTGTCAAGCACGCGATCTCCAGGGGTGTAATTGAGCTCGAGAGTTCTCGCTTCCAGCTGAAAATAGGACCTGCAGCTGCTGATAGGAAAATCAAATTTACGGCCGTCGAGATTGGTGATACGAACAGTTGTCAGCTCGTTCTCCACAGTGCTTTTCTTGCCCAGCTGCTTGATATCTCCTTCAACAATATTGATTGACCTTCCCATAGTCGTAGGAAGAGGCTCATGTCCGCATGTTACGACGACACTTGATCCAATATTCATGATCCAAAGGTTCGGAACGTGGATGATGTTGTGGGAGTGATCGTTGTTGAATTTCCTGTAGGATTGCTCCTCGTCTCGCTCACGAACTGGCTCATATGGGTAGAACGACTGCATCAAGGTGCGTGGCGGAAACAGAGGATTGTCTAAACCAGGAGACTTCGTTTTCGCCTGCTCGAGGCCGAGATAGGGCACGCAGCTGAATATGACCGAATGAGGGTCCGTTTGATCAGACTCATCTGCTCGAAGGACGGTACCGGGCTCGATGAATTTACCGCCTAGGAATGGCTTAACTTTGTCTCTTTGCAGTTTTGTCAACATCTCGCCGGTAAGGATTTGCAAGCGACTTGAGAGATGTGGGATGGTAGAGCAAAGGTTTCGGAAGCGATCAAAGTCGAGTTGTGCAGCACTGATGTGGTACCACGTAAATGCGACGCTCGCTTGTAACAGAGTGTTCTCCGGGCCTGGTAGGGTGCAGATTTGAAGCATACTCCGACCCTCAGACTCCATCATCGATACTTTGATCATTCTTCTTGTTTCAACATTGCTCTCGGTCACATCTTTGTTCCCGCTTATCGTTTCTTTAACTTCTCCTTGGCTTCCCGGTCCTTTGGGCGGCACGAGGTGTAGTCGCTTCGTCTCCACCTGGAAAGAGAGCTTGTTGCCTTCACTATCCACTGGAGCCACTACATCACGAGGTGGCGGCATTCTGTCAATAGTGATATCGTGCTCATCAAAAGGTGATTCTTCATCGCTGTCCAAGGCGTAGCTTCCAGTAGACTCATCTTCTGTAGTGGTGGCGCTTTCTGATCCTCGCGTGGGCGAGATCGGATGCAGAACCTCGAAGGTAACCGCACGCACATCCTCGGGACTGTCTCGAACACGTTCTACACGACGTGCATTTCGCGAACTTGGTCGTGACCGTGACCGCGACCGCGACCGCGGTGGTGAACTCATGTGCGAACTGTCGGTAAATTCAATTTGAATGGTCGAATTCGGTCTAACGATAGCATCCCAAGCACTGGGCAGGATGGTCGCGCCGTCGATAGTCTGTATCCTATAACTTCCATCTTCGATGCTGTCAATCTTTTCTTGCCTAGATCGGCGGCTTTGATTTGAATTCTGATATATCTCCTTCCAAAGCTGTTTGGCAGCCTGTAGAACGTGTCAGTACTGGAAAGTCTCTCGTCAGTACGAAAAAGCTCGTTTTGGAAGTTGTACCTCATATGACCGGAGTCGATCGAATGGGAAAACATAACGAGAGCCCTGATGGTCGCACAGATAAACAACCTCATCCTGGCGTGAGGGACGCCGCGAGGTTTCTGTATCTTCCATCTGACCCCCCATGCATCGACAATAAGCGCATGCAGAACAAAGCTACTGTAATGTCACGAAACAAAAAGGAGGAAGACATGATGTGTTTAAAGCGATGCGAGGTCAGACGCTAGGCTCTGCAAGTGAGCTTCGAGCTCAGCTCCTCGCTAGCGTCAGATCAGGCCAGCCATCTTAAACTGGCTGCAAGTGGAGCACGCGTGCCGTGCCGCCAGGCCATGCCACGCGATCCTTCGAATATTTGATAATATTGTCCCATCGTAAGTTCGCAACGGTCACAAATTGTGCAAATAGTAAAATTAAGAAATCTGAATTCAAGCCCAGATCAAGGGCGACCGGCAATTACAAGGCCTACTACTACACACTAAATCTGGCAACTGTGGACAAAGGAAACAATCTGCGAGGGAACATGCTGCAATATCCAATATCGTCGAGCAAGAGTATCCAACTGGTATCAAAGGGCCCCATCGATGGGCGGCGGTAAAACTGAAGTCGTAAATCGTAATGGTATCATAAGGAGATAGTGTCAAGGGAGTGTTGGCGCGATTAGTGGTGGCGGTGGAGGGTGGGTTAGTCGGAGAGTATACGGGTGCCAGGGTATGTACGATTGGTGTTTGGAAGGAGCTTTGGGAGGGCGAGCGGGGGTCATCTAATGGCGAGAGGCTGCTGGGCCGGTGACATAGGTGAAGGCAAGAGGCTCGGGGTTGCGGGTTGAATGTTTATCGTGTTGGGAGTTGCCTGCTGTATGCGTGTCTGGGGCACATCCTTCTTCTTGACCAGCAAACTCTTGAACGCGCCTAGCCATTTGGCTAGCGAGTCTTCGTTTGAAGCGCAGAATTTGTAATTCTTCTCCTCGCATATGACCTGCATGCAGTATTGCTTGCTTCGCGAGACGGGATCTATGTCGACGGCATCGATGATACTGGTAAAGGGAATGATATGGGTCGCCGAGTATTCGTCGTCGTTTTTGTAGAAGGCAAGGCACTTTGGCCGCAGGACCACCCAGACCTTCTTCCACTGGCGCACACCGCCTTTGGACTTGAGGACATATAGCCAGCCATGATATACTACGCGCTCATCGTCGGGCGTGGCGCCGATGCTGCTCTGCTGGCTCGCATTACGTTGCTGTTGCGGTGTCCTAGGGGGCAGGGAGTTGTTGGAGGCTTGGTTGGTGTCGGAGAAGTCGAAGTCGGAGATTGAGGCGCGCTCGCCGCCGGAGTAGTTGAGGGCTTGTGAGGGACGTCGGGCGCTGTGCATGTTCTCTGGGGCGACGGAACTCGTGGGCCTCGGCTCTGTCTCGGAGGAGCTCGAAACGATGTTTTCTCTATTGGGCCGGCCAAAGCCTGCAAATGTCTTCTTCCCGGCTGTAGGGCTCATGATGGTCATCTCAGTCTCGTGTTCGCCGATGCGTGCCTCGGTGCGTATAAGGTGCACCCATTCCTGAGCCTCCTTGTCCGTCGATGCGCCCAGGTGGTAGTTGCGGGCGGGCGAGAAGATGCCAAAGACGTGCTCCATCTTCTTCTTCGAGTCCCTCTGGCGCGCGACTGCCGTGATCTCGGACAGGTTGATCTGGTGTCGCAGCTTGGTCTCGTTCTTGTCCTTGTAAATTGAGAGGCAGTTGGGGCGCAGGACGATGTAGACGGGCTTCCATTGCTGTGCACGTGTTAGTAGACGTCATGGCATACTAGTCGGCGGCGTGCGTGCCTTTGTCTTCCTCGTGCGCTTCACGACAGTGCCGGCCTTGATGATGCGGTCGAATTCGAAGCAGCCGTTCTGGTTGACGGGCGACATGATGTCGATGCTGGCACTGACGGTCTTGATGCTGTGTACATTGGGCGGGTCCAGCTTGATGCCAGCAGAGCGCATCGCAATGGGTTTGGTGGGCGTGTGCTGGCCGTCCAGTGTCGCTGCCATGTCGGCGGTAGGTGTCACATTCACGGGAGGCGGGGTGGGCGGTATGAGTGGCTGCAGGCTAGGTGGTATGAGTGAAGGTCGGCTATAGGGGCGTTGGCATGCTCGAGCGCATTGGTTATATCCCGAGTGTTATGGGAGATCGACAGACGGCAGGCGAGCGAAAGGACAGGGGGAATGCATGGGGCGCAACCCGCACCAGCGACAGCAGGCGCACAGGCTATAAGGACATCATAGGCAGGAAGGCCGAAGTGGTGAGGTCAAACGAGAGGCCGCCGACGAAGCAAGCACTATCCAAGGCGGGAGGGCATGCATGCGACGCTTCGGCAGGGAGGCCGTTGGGTTGCATATGGCTATGTCAGCAGGGTCTGACGTCTTGGTGCAGCTGGACCGCCACCAAAAAATGAGCCATAGTGACGATGGGTTTGGCAGGGACCTTGGTAGCGCCTTTGTTTCATCCATATCTGCCGCCATCGTCCAAAACCACACAACAAATCTGTAACCTCAACACCTGCTGCACTTTGGACCCCTCCTCCAATTTGCCCATTTTGGCTTGCGCGCTTCTGATCTGCAGTGAAACGGCCTCCCCCGCCCTCTACTGGCCTGCCTCGATACGCGAAACACGACAACCGCCTCAGACCTTGTAGCGGCCAGTCTCGACCGCACTCGCCCAGGATGCCTGTCGTTCCGAGCGACAAGCTGGTGTCGCTGCAGCAGGCGGCTGATGGCATCAGGAACATCTGTATCTTAGCTCACGTGGTATGTTGGCTGACTATGCGCGTGGATGCGACATGTGCTGAATGCAGCAGGACCATGGCAAGACGTCCCTTACAGATGCCCTCATCGCCACCAATGGGATCATCTCCCCCAAACTTGCCGGCAAGATTCGCTACCTCGATTCGAGACCCGACGAGCAGTTGCGCGGTATCACCATGGAGTCGTCCGCCATCTCCCTATACTTTTCCCTCCTGCGACGGTCCGCGCCCGAAGCACAGCCAGAGCAGAAGGAATTCTTGATAAACCTCATAGACTCGCCCGGACACATAGACTTCAGCTACGAGGTCTCTACAGCATCGCGTCTCTGCGATGGCGCTGTCGTGCTCGTAGACGCCGTAGAAGGTGTGTGTAGTCAGACCGTCACAGTGCTGCGACAGTCATGGATAGAGAAGCTGAAGCCTTTACTCGTCATCAATAAGATGGACAGGCTAATTACAGAACTGAAGATGAGCCCTGGAGAGGCATACACACATCTGAGCAAACTGCTCGAACAGGTAAACGCCGTCATGGGCAGCTTCTACCAAGGCGAGCGCATGGAGGATGACCTCCGATGGCGCGAGAAGATGGAAGAGAGACTAAATGCTGCAGCTGAGAATACTGAAACACGATCCTCATCCATACTAGAAAATGGCGACAGCATTGACACCACGAGCACACCCGCCGAGTACGAGGAGAAGGACGACGAGGACATCTACTTTGCCCCAGAGAAGAACAACGTAATATTCGGCAGTGCCATTGATGGCTGGGCCTTTACGGTAAGACAGTTCGCCAGCCTGTATGAGCGAAAACTAGGCATCAGGCGCTCCATTCTCGAAAAGGTACTTTGGGGCGATTTCTACCTAGACCCCAAGACGAAGCGCGTACTCAGCTCCAAGCATCTCAAAGGTCGTCATCTAAAGCCCATGTTCGTCCAGCTTGTCCTAGACAACATATGGGCCGTATACGAGGCCACTACAGGAGGTAACAACGGGAAGGGGTGCGTGGATTTCCTTTCCTTATGTGATTTATCCGCATGTATCATAGCAATATACTTATACTTTTCATTACAGAGATCCTGCTTTGGTCGAGAAGATCACCAAGTCGCTCAACCTTAACCTTCCAGCACACATTATGCGCTCTCGCGACCCTCGCGCACTCCTAATGGCTCTCTTCGCAGCTTGGCTCCCACTGTCAACTGCTTTACTAGTTTCAGTCACCGAATACCTGCCTCCACCTTCCAAAGCACAATCTGAGCGCATGCCCGACATCATCGATAGCTCGCCGGGTGCCGACTACGTTGCTCCAGAAGTGCGCGACGCCATGACCAACTTCAAAGCCTCCAAGGACGATCCTGTCGTAGCCTATGTCAGCAAGATGATCTCCGTGCCGTCTAGCGAATTGCCCCAGAACAAGCGAAGAGGTGGTGCGCTCACGGCTGAAGAGGCAAGGGAGATGGGACGGAAGAAGAGGGCAGAGATTGCTCGGCAGCAGGCTATCGCAAACGGTGAGGATGCTGACGTCGGCGGGGTCACGGATGCCCTGAGTTCTGCTGCTATTGGAGAAACGGAGACGCCTGTCGAAGAGCCGCCAGAGCCAGACGTAGAAGCTGAGCATCTCATCGGATTCGCGCGTATCTTCTCTGGTACCCTGAACGTTGGCGACGAAGTCTACGTTCTTGGCCCTAAATTCACCCCAGCAAATCCGCATGCCGCTCCAGAGCCTCAGAAGGTCAAAATCACCGCCCTGTATCTGATGATGGGTCGTGGTTTGGAGCCATTGACCTCAGTGCCGGCTGGTGTCGTCTTTGGCATTGGTGGACTTGAGGGCCACATCCTAAAGTCCGGCACCCTCTGCTCTCAGCTTCCTGGATCTGCCAATCTTGCTGGTGTTCAGATGGGTTCAGAACCTATTGTGCGTGTTGCGCTCGAACCTGAGAACCCATACGATCTAGACAAGATGATCAAAGGCTTGAAGCTTCTTGTCCAAAGCGATCCTTGTGCGGAGTACGAGCAGCTGCCAAGTGGAGAGCATGTTATCCTGACAGCCGGCGAACTGCATCTTGAGCGATGCTTAAAGGATCTCAAAGAGCGGTTTGCCAAGTGCGAGATTCAGGCCGGTGAGGCTATTGTACCTTACCGAGAGTCGATAGTGGCCGCGACCGAGATGAATCCGCCTAAAGATCCCAACCTACCTCGAGGAACCGTTGTTGGTGAGACTGCTAGCAAGCACGTTTCCGTTCGCCTGCGAGTCCGTCCATTACCATCTAGCGTGACTGAATTCCTAGGAAAGAATGCGGGTGCGATTAAGAAGCTATACTCCGAACGACGAGCCGAAGACGAAGGAGAGCATGCCCCACATCGTGTGCACGGTGCTGAGGACGATGGTATACAAGAAGCTGAACAACGCGAAATCGGACAGAGTCTGAGCTTCGAAGAGTTCAAGAAGCAGCTCAAGGAGGCGTTTGCCGAGGCAAAGGGGCAGAAAGAGATCTGGACCGACGTGATTGAGAAGATCACAGCCTTTGGTCCCCGGAGAATAGGACCAAACATCTTGGTCGACGCGACCAAGGATGGGATATGTGGTAGAGCGTGCGTACATCTCTCTGCATCTTGACTTCATTGCTAACCCTACGCAGACTCCGCGAATCGTCTTCACCAGATGCTGACACGGACAACTCCACCGACCGCACCATATCCGCACGCACTTTCTCCTCTACCATCGCATACGCCTTCCAACTCGCCACCGCACAAGGTCCCTGCTGTGCCGAGCCCGTCCAAGGCATTGCAGTGTTTCTCGAAGACGTTATACTCAACATCCCTGATGATGAGAGCGCACAAGACCGCGGCCGCTTGACCGGTGAGGTCATTAAAGCAGTCCGCTCATCGATTCACCAAGGCTTCCTGGACTGGTCACCCCGCATGCTTCTCGCAATGTACAGCTGTGAAATTCAAGCGTCGACCGACGTCCTCGGTCGCGTCTACGCCGTCTTGACGCGCCGTCGCGGAACTATTCTCTCTGAAACTCTCTCTTCAACATCGTCTGCTTCTACCACCGGCTCGCAGACCTTCACCATCAACGCGCTTCTCCCCGTCGCCGAGTCATTCGGCTTCAGCGACGAGATCCGGAAACGCAGTTCCGGATCTGCGAGTCCGCAGTTGAGGTTCGCTGGTTTTGAGATGCTAGACGAGGATCCCTTCTGGGTGCCGTTCACTGAAGATCAACTTGAGGATTTGGGTGAGTTGGCGGATCGAGAGAATGTCGCGAAGAGGTATGTCGATAAGGTTAGGAGGAGGAAGGGACTCAGAGTTGCGGGTGAGAAGGTGGTTGTTGATGCGGAGAAGCAGAAGACGTTGAAGAGGTAGTGGTGGTGTGTAATATAGGAGGTGGGAAACACTGTCTTGCTTCCTTTGAAAACAATTCACGCTCGAGATTGATTATGAGGGTTCTGTAAATACAGATTTGAAGTGAAGCGCCAAGGATTCTTTTTGAATTTTTCCATGCTGCTGCTCTGCGTTCCCAAAAAGAAGACCAAAAGATGCGACGTGGAGATCGTCTCCTCCTCTTCCAAATGCACAAATCATTGTTGCATGCCCCCCGGAACATCTGGGCTCTAAAACAACCTCACTCTTGCGATTTGCTATGTTCTTGCCCTCCTTGCAGCCGTCCTCATATTCTTCAAATTCATTTGCTGAGGTGTCAAGGCGGTCCAGATGCCTCCTGAAAACTTCCATGGTATGTAGTCAACTGGACCTTTGTCAACAAGAAGAAACACTTGCCGGGCACCATGTGATGGATTTTCGTTGAAGGAGAGATGGGCCAATAAACTGTTGAGGATGTGATGTAGTCCGTACCCTACGTCCACTCAAATCATTTTTGGAAGAGCGAACCCTTACGTATCAAGTAAAGCAAACGCCGCGCTTTTCTTATTGTTGAACCCTACATACTTCATCAATACGGAAACCTTGATAAAACTAGCACGAAAGCGGACTCTAGCCGCAGCCCACAGCCTGGGTATCGCGCGTACAACTTTTCCTCTCGTAATCGATCAGCTGGAGAATCGGAGGATCATTCAACCTCTGTGTCGTGACCGTAGCATCTCCATCTACCGAACCTTGCTCAACAAACAACCTGAAACTTTTCCACGTATCAGGGTCCATCATACCTTCCGCGATCCCAACTCCAAATGTATGGACTAAGCACTACCAGGTGGCCCTCCCATGTTCAGCAAAATATCGAGCATGTCCATACCGCCGATATCCGGTCCCATAGCAGTTTGATTGATCTCTGCACCCCACTGATCAAGCAGAGGGTCGAGTGGCAGCGCAAGCCAATCTTGATCTTGCCCTGCGCCCCAACTCGCTCCACTGTTTGCCCATTGACTCCAGTTGGTGTTGTTGTTGCCGTTCGAATTCGAATTGTTCCCATTGTTGTTATTCTGGAAGTTTTGGTAGTTGCCAGGCGGTGGCATAATGCTGATCGAGTTGCTGTTGGGGTCGTAAGGCTCGGCTGAAATGCCCCATAAAGGTGTTGCGCGACCGCTTGTACTGAGGCCCATGCTAGGGGAACCTGGTACGCTGGTACCAGTGCCTGAAAAACCTGTTTGCTGAGATCCCATGTATGGCGGTGCGAGATGGTTAGTGTTGTTGAGTGGAGCGGGCGGAGGCATCAGTGGTACTTGATTAGGGCTCTTGCTACCGGCGCGCGAGATGCCACTCGAGCCGTTGGCGGCAAGACGTACGAAGCGCGAACGGATCCGGTGGGTCAGGGTTTCGACGAGATCAGCGAAGCGGTTGCCGACGTGTACATCGTCGACTATGCTCGTTCGTAGGGCATCGACCGAGTCGCTAAGCAAACTGAGACTGACAGCTACGTCCTCCTCAGTTGCACCCAACGCAAAGGTCTTGAGTAGAATGATGGCTACACTGACAATACGGAAGAACGTCCGTACTGGCGCATGTCGTAGATAGCCGCCAGGATGCAGGCCTTCGACCACCACTTTGAGCACATTGCGCGACGCGTCAATGACTTCGTTAATGTAGTGGCGATCGTTGGCATACCATTTTACAAGTGTGCTGAAGGGGATAGCGCCACCGTCGTCATTGCCGTTTGGATTGCCGTTACCGTTGCCGTTAGTAGCACGTCCGTTCAGGCCATTAGGTTGAGCATGTGTTTGTAGCGGAGTGTTGTGTGTGCAGCGTTCTACCACTGCCTGGAGAGCGAGCGAGTTGAGATACACACGCGTGTACTCGAACTCTATGATAAGGACGTGACGGAGTTGCGCAGGAACTAGAAGTTGTTAGGCAAAGTACGTGGGAGTAGCGCAGTGATATCTTACCCTGGGGTGCTCGATCGAAGCACTTCCTCCACTCCACCAAGGGACCTTGGAAGAACTTCAGCATCTCCTCATAACCTCCCGTCTTGAGTAACTCTCTTGTTTTCCGTCGATTAGAGAACAGCTTCAGATTGCCCATCTCCATGATCTTGGCGATACGAGCCCAAAAGTCGAGCACAAGATCTTGAACAGCATGACGCTCCTGGGTAGCAATGGACTCGAGCGGAAGGCGCTGTCCATCTGAGCGCATACCAAACTGTGCTGGAGGTGCTTTGATGCGACTGATACGCTCCTTGTACAGCTCGAGTGGTGAGGGGCCGCCTATTAGGTTCTCGTCACGCTCGAGTTTGGGGAGCATAGAGGTCAAACCCAGTCTGCCACTAGTCTGCGTGACGTAGATGATGAGCAAGTCGCGGAGATGGTTCTTCCGTCGATAGTAGGCCTTCACAGTCGCATGTGAGAGATGCTGATTGGCTTCTTCGAACTCCGTCTCATTCGTGTCGTCGAAGACACCAATCTCGAAAGCGAGCGTCATGGCGTTACCCAGCAACATCCAACACATGCGATCACTGCGCCAGCACGGCTCTAACCAACTGTCGATGCGCTTGTCGCCCACGCCTTTGTACATATCAGCTTTCGGTCCTGCCTCGTACGGGTCGTCGGGTAGAACGAGCTCATCGTCGTCATCACCAGGAGGGAAGTGTAGTGCGCGAGGATGCCACTCAGTGAGTAGCATCAGACTCTCGACTGTGCCAAGGGTGCGTAGGCCCTTTCGCGATAGCGGGTTTACATCCGACCCAGGCTGCTGGCCAGCGCCACAGAAGCCGCCGCCGAACTGCTCTTGTCCGAAGATCATGCGATCTATCATACCCTGTAGGTACTTCCATAGCTTCTCGTGGATCAGATATGACCTAGACGTTGCGCCCACACCGCTCGACCCGCTGGGTTGTGAATACCTCGCTGAGATGGTCAAGAGAGTAATGACCAGCATGGGCTCCTCCTTAAGCAGCTTTGCGTGGAAGGCATGATCGCGATAGTCTGGTACAACGATTGGTGTAAGGGGCGATAAGAAGGTGTAAAAATAGTCGATGTAAGCGATGGCTTCCTTCGCTGTGAGCCATCCTGCGCGAACAAAGCGGAACTTTGACCAGGCTCTCACAGCATCGGCGAAGGCAGCTTCGTTCGGAGGGTCGGGTAGCATAGGTTGCTGTATAGCGGGATCTACCGAGGGCTCGACCGTGGCTCGCGAATTGCCTCGCGCATGCGATGTATTGGGTCGAGGGCTTGCGAAGTTGGTTTGTGAGCCTGGCGTGCTGCCCAGAGTCGGTCGCTGGAGACTGGAACTACTTCCTGTCCGCTGGTGGTTGTTCATGCCAGCAGCCTCGAACAGCAAGTTTAGCGCATCGTGTCCGCTGTAGACCTCGCCCGCCTGCAGTGTCGCGACCGTCTCGTTGTTCACTTTCTGGTCCTCTTCGTCATTGGGCGTGGGCTGGTGGCCGCCTGACGTGTTGGGTCGTCGTAGCGGCTCGTATCGTCCGATGGAGCCACCTGGAGTCAGAGGCTGGGATATGTACGCCGCGCTGTTCGCCGTCGTTATCGTAAGAGGCTCTGGCAGGCCATCCGAGCGCTGGCGTTTCCTGCCATTGCGCACCTCGTAGTCGTCCACCTCATCATAGTCATCCTCGCCGTCGGCCTTTCGCTTCCTGCGCGTCGCAGAGAAGAAGCATTCCTTACTCTCCCTCCTACATCGCACGCAAGGCGGATCATGTGGGTTATCTACCGGGCCAAGATCTAGAGGCAGAAGTGATACATATCAGCAATTGCGCCATGATAAGCTCATTACAGCGTCGGACGTACCGCATCGCACTTTACGACGCCTGCATGGTATGCAGGCCTGGTATGTGCGCGTGTGCTGGGCATTCTGTGTCCGCGACGGTGGAGAAGCATTGGAGCCCGCAGTCGACATGGTGGTGGTGGATTACGGTCGGCTTGCGACGGCTGAGAGCTGGCGGACTCTGGCTCTGATAAGGGCTGGAATACCGCCGAGGCACCTTAATTCCAAAGACGCGGTACCTGCATGCAATGTGCGGATTCTCTGCGCAACGGTAACGCCTACAGGAAGGTGTTCGTGTATGACTGCGCGTAATTCTGCTATTTGTTATTGTCGACTTTTGGCTTACGGTACTGAGGCGTGCGAGTGCTCGGGAGCGGGTCACGAGCGCGGGGCTTTAGCTATTGCGGAATGGCGTACCCGCTCCTCCAATCCTCGATCCAAACACCACGTAACAGTCGTGAGTGTGCTCGAGTACCTCTTGACAAACCACTGGGGTACGCGTCCGGGTAGCCGAGTAGCCCGTTGCTTACGTCAGGGGCGAACGACCCGTCCGAATGCCCAGCTGTACCTGCTGCTCGCGGCATGTGATCCGCTCGTGCACTTTGCGCGTGGCACAGCAAATACTATTCCGGCCAATGCGCTGTGCACTGCCATCGCGAACGTCATACACGCCCCCATCTCTTTGTGTTGCGATATGATGCGATCTGTGGTCGTAGGATATATGTTATTGCTATTTACACGTCACAAACATCGCGTGTTCATTAAAATGGTGTTTGGTCACAGCTTCGTCTAGCGCGCGATTGCATAAGCAAGTAGCAGGCAAGAGATATGCCCATAAGCCTCTATTGATAGGGGTATAGATGATGGCAGATATGCAACGCCCAAACCCGTGATATCCAATCGTCCTGCAAGAGAGGAAGGTACATTTAGAGCATTCCTCAACACTCTTCAGTAACGACACTATCACCAGGCCGCCACCTTAGCTGACACTAGCAAGACAATCTCGCATCCTTCAACGTGGAGAAAGATGGCAAATTCGTTGAGACCCCCTAACACAAGAAACCGCATGTCATCTCCGAAAGCTGCAACAGCGTCAGTATCATACCACCAAAAGATTGCTACCTATCTTACCCTCGGGTGATCATTCTGGTGACTCTCATTACAACCAGTCTCTTCGCGCGTCCAGGGCTTCCAATCGCACATGCCCTTCGCGTCCGGGGTGCTCGTAGTCAATGTGCTCCAGTAGCCACCCTTAGGAGCAAATGAAAAGTACGTCTGCCTGTCCTCCGAGCTGTACGCCACTGTCAAGTCGCCCATGCCCTTGAGCCTGACAGCGCGATTGTCGATACGGCCGGTACCCTCGGGATACCTAACGGCAGTGGCGCGGTTCTGGTCTTCAACGCTGTAGAGCATGCCGAGCATCTGGTTGTGCCAGCCTTCAGAAGGCGTATGGAGACACTGCTGGAAGAGTTGGAGTGTGAAAGAGCAGAAGCCAGGTGCGTAATTGGTAGAAGTGAAGCCACTGGCGACAGCCTCCGATGGGGAAGCAAGGATATCCGGGGGCGGCCCGGAGTGTGCGCGCTTCATGGTGAACTTTGGGCCGGGCATCGCGCAATCGAAATTGCAGCTTAAAGCTTGGGACTTTAGTGGTAATCAGTAGGAGCATTGTATGAAAGAACCAGAAAATACGAACACGATGGACACGATCCTTATTGTTACAGTCCAGCGGTGAGCCCTCCCATGGCTTGGTAGTGCAGCTGAACTCACCGTCCTTGTGATGCCAGTTGGGCCATTGAGCGTCGCCATAAAGGACTATATCGCGTCAGTTCTGTTAAAGATCTCAGTGAACGCACGATAGAACTCACAGCACATACTCTCCCTCTCAAATCCAATCTTCAGCTCTTTTCCAACAACCACGCTGGTCAGCGTCTGTCCATCAGTCAAATCAATGAAGTCGGTTTGCTCCATGAACTGGTTACCAGCGCCGTCATAGAAAGGCGATACATCGAGGAACGTGGTGATCTGATTGTTGTCGCAGTCTCGAGAGACGACAGCGTCAAAAGAACAGCGGCCAGGCGTAAAGTCTGGTGCCATCACTTGAGCGAGTGCAAGGGTGGCCGACAATAGGAGCGCTGTAGCGACGAGAATGGTCTTGGTAAACATAGTGATATTCTTCTGGTTGAGTTCACGTTGATGGGATAGTCTAAGAAGGAGTCGAGGTGAGGCGAAGGCAGGGGTGATGGGCACGGGATTGTTATAACAAGAATGGTAGGGCGTGACCAATGGGTATAAAAGCTCGGATAATGGGTATTGCTAGGAATAAGGGTTTCGCGGTTCAGTCCGGAAGAGTGAGAACGGAGGTTCTTTGACGAGACCAAGCTCAAGACAAAAAGCCCACCGCGCTTTCCAAGTGATAATGTAAACACTAAGCCTTTGGAATGGACGGCCGAACCAAAAGCTTTTCTCATGTGGCGAAATACCAACGTGACTAACGGGTATTGCTACTCATGACAGATCCAGCGAATTTGCGTTTGTCGTTATGTTAAGAAGTCATCTGTTATCAGATTGGTGCCCAAAGTGCGAATTGAACCTAGGGCTCACAGTGGAATTATGCAAACGCAGCGCGACATAAGAAGTACAGGTAATGTTCCTGAACCCAGTCTCGGCAACCAAAGTTTTCGTGAAAGTGAGTTCGTTGTGGTGTGAGGTGGAGGTGCAGCGGGGTCGCCAACGCTGATGTCATGCTACCGTACTTTCTCGTGGTTAACATATGCAAAGCATGATACACTTATACAGTTCGCATCTCAAAGTCGTGCTGATGCCTAAACAAGGCTAGTAGTGATATCGATTGTGAGCTTGCATGGCTGTTCCTACAACAGAAGATGCCACGAACGGGAACCTGCAGAAGTGGCTCGCAGCGACTTGTCTTTTTCTCTTAAACGCTACCCAGTTAGCTACATGTGTAGGAATTCGCATTGCATTATCACGTATGTGCGTTGCCCTCGGATAGCAACCAATATTTGAGACTGCATAGTCGAGGTTACACGGCAGTGCAGATTGCCATTCGCACAAGGACACAGCATGAGAGCAGGCTCGCCCAGTTTACGAAGGATCGACCCACTTGCAAGCACTCTAACTTAACATACGACCAGCACAGTCTGCTTCGCACCTGCGACATATCCTGCTCTTTTTGGTCTCATTGCTTCCACTTGCTCAGTCGCGCCCTACGAACGTGATCAACGTCGTTGTGAGTGACGTCTACTTTCTACCGTTCAGCTAATACTCATCAATTCTTCAGTCAAATTCAATAGACGTGCCACTCAACACACGCCTTCACCCCAGGCGAAACAACAGAATTCGCCGCTCTACGAAACGTGATTGCTCTATGAGTATCTATACGGACATTAGCTATCTGTCATATGTCGCGACTTTTATTGATTCGATGAACGTGCTGGTGCTGAAATGCAGGCACAACGCTGTTTGTAACATTGTATTATAATCCCGATGTAGGTGTATTACCTAAACATCTTGTATCCACTATATGCAACTCTCTCTGTTCCTCCGATATAATGAATGAAAACGAAGCAGAAATGGCCAATTTGTGTAATTATTTAATGAGCAAGTCCCTCCTTATCTGGAGGTGGAGGAGAGGATATCCGTTGTTAGATGGCGATGGGTCATAGTTCAAAGAGTGGAAGGACGAGGAGATTCATATCTGAAGATAGGTCATTGAAGGAGGAAACCACATGCTCCCAGCGATGCCTAAAACTAAGATGTCCATGATCAATCAACGTGGTCCACGACCCTTGAAGTAACTGATATAGGTTGTAATGTCTCGCCAACCCCCCTGTACACCATACTTATACTTTACTTACCTCAGTCTGCAATGCCTTCATAGGCTTCTCGTCAAACGCTGCAGCCTCAGCCTCCTCAAGTCCTAAGCTTTGCGCGATGTTGTACAATCTCGTCTTCTCTTCATGCGCAGTGCTATCACCAAACACACCGTCCATCTCTTCCAAACTCTTGCCCCTCGTCTCCGGAATTAAGAACCACGTGAACACGAACGCAATCAGGGCGAAAGCAGCGAAGAAGATGTATGTGCCGAATCCGATGGTTTCGAGCATGTCTGGTGTGACAAGACCAATGATGAAGTTGCACATCCAGGTCGACGATGTGGTAAGAGACATGGCCTTTGAGCGGTTACCAATATTATAGATCTCCGAAGGTAAGACCCAACCGATTGGCGCCCATGAGTATGAGAAGTTGACGTCGTAGATGTAGATAAATGCGATACCGGTCCAGCCAGCTGCGGGATGGTCTTTCAGCGTGGAGCCGTAACCACCAATGACACCGCCGACGATCAAGAGGGATATGCATGTACCTGCGGCACCGCAGAGGAGGAGAGGACGGCGACCGATCTTGTCAATGAGGAATAGCGCGGGTAACGTGGACAGTGTGTTGACTAGAAAATCGAGTTAGCCATCAAGTCTTGGTACATTCTCAAAAGATCTGAACATAGATCAGAGGGTCACATACCTATCCCGTAAACACCTGTTGCGAGCAATCCAGTCGTCTTTCCAGAAAGACCCAACTGCGAGAAGATTGTTGGTGCGTAATAGATGATCGCCTGGTATGTATATGTTAGCTTGCTAGCCAGGTCAGGCGATGAGTGCAATGGAGAACATACATTACACCCGATGAACTGTTGGAAGAACATGACACAGCAACCAATAGCTGTACGCTTAAAGGATGGCCAAGTAGAGAAGAGGGTTGAGTAGCCGGCAAGGTACAGAGATACTCCGGACTTGCCAGGGAACTTCTCGCGGTTGTATTGCTCTTCGAACATGACTTCTGCTTTAATAGAGAGATACTCCTTTTGTAACGTCTCATCATCGGAATCAGTACGACGAACTCGAGCAAGCGCTCGGATACCAGCTTCCTCATTATCGCGCATGCAGTAGTATCGAGGTGATTCGGGGAAGAAAAGCATGCCGATACCGAGAACGAGACCAGGGAAGATCTGCAGTGCGAAAGGAATGCGCCACGCGGCGTCGCTTTGTCCGGTGCAGCCACTTGGGCCAACGTCGTTTCGCGGGTCGAAGGTAGGCTCGGCCGTGGTGCCACCAGTATAGGGAATGTCAGGCGCGCAACGTACTCCTCCAATGTATTGAGTTCCGAATTCGAGCCAGTAGGAGACTAGAATACCCAGCGTAATGGAAAGTTGTTGAAGGACGACTAGAGTACCTCTGATGCCTGCAGTCGAGACCTCACTCATGTACATTGGCACGATCATCGTCAACATGCCAACAGCGAAACCCGCGATTGCGCGACCTAAATATGATTGTCAGCAACGACTACAGTCATCGTTCTCGGGGTGTTTTGTACCCGCAAAAGCCATTGGAATGTCCACTGCGCCAGCTTGAAGTGCAGAACCGATAGTGAAAATGACAACAGCAATGATGATAGATCCTTTGCGACCGAAGCGATCGGCTACTGGTCCATTGACGAGAGACCCGAACCAAGCGGCAAGTAGCAACGTTGAGACGAACCAGCCCTTGAAAGAACTGTCTGTGTAAATTCTCGGAAAAGATGCGGCGAAAGACTCCATAGTCAGTACTCCAGAAACGACGCCCTGATCATAACCGAAGAGGAAGCCACCAAGGGAAGCAAACTATACACGTTAGTTCAGACCGCAAGCAAACGAGGATCCATTCCAACTTACGGCGGATAGTCCAAGGAGGTATGGGTTTTGTCTCAGCTCCTTATACACACCAATCTTCGGCGTGGCCCCGGCGGCGGTGACATCGTGAACTGAAGACATATCTGCAATCTTCTTTGCGAGTAAGTCAACGTCGGACTTGGAGGCTTGGGATACAATATAATCATATAGCTTAGCGGTGGCAGTACCTCACACGCTTATATACCTTTGCTGTCCATCTCCAAATCTCATTAGTATAACTGGGATCGGACAGCTTCGGAGCACTGTCGTCCGACCCCACGATACTCCATGTGTCTGCGCTATTAGCCGTATGTGCGATGTAGGTTTCCCCGCATGGTAAAGTTGCCTGATTCAGATATGGAAATTGGGGCTCCAGCATGACTTATGCTCGGATGGTTGTGGTCCGAACTCCACAATGCGAACGTGATCTTTAGATCATGGCGCCTCGCACGTAACATCGTAGAACTTCTCGCCTTCTGATGAACACATCGTTCCGAACTTCGCCAGTATATTTTCGCAGTTTATCGAAACTTCTATCCGATCTATCTCAAGGCAGTCGACAATGGCTGTCGAATCTAGAAAGGACGCCTTACATATAGCCATACTTGATTTAGCCAAGCGCACGGAAAACCTTCTGTCTCGCCAAGCATCCAATCCCAGTCGTCGCATGCTTGTTGCGCTTGCAGGCGTGCCAGGCGCAGGAAAGTCAACGGTATCTGATGCGCTCATCACCGAGCTTGCTGCACGAGGCAACACAGATGTTGCTGTTGTACCAATGGTAGGAGCCGGTCGCTTTCAACAATATCGCCTTTCTAATGATCGCTAGGACGGCTTCCACTACACGCGGGAGATCTTGTCAACATTTAAGGATGCCGAAATAGCGTTCAAAAGACGTGGGGCGCCTTTCACGTTCGATGCGAAAGCGTGCGTATCTCTTGTCAAGGCACTGAAAGATGCTCCTGTTACCAAAGACGGCGAAGTCGACATCTGCATCACTGCTCCCAGCTTTGACCATGCTGCTAAAGACCCCGTGCAAGAGGCTATCAAGATATCCTCTCGTACGCGACTCGTAATTGTCGAGGGTAATTATACGCTACTGAAACAAGATCCATGGAGTAGGATTGCAGAAGTCTGTGACGAAAGGTTTGTGATGTTTGTGAACGTTGCTCGATAAGCGCACACTAACGTTCTGTAGATGGTTTGTCGATGCGCCTGTAGAAACTGTCCGCACCCGTCTAGCGCAGCGTCATCTTGCTGCTGGTATAGAGACTTCCATGTCAGCTGCTGTTGCAAGAGCGGAAGAGAACGACATTCCAAACGGCGAACTCATACGGTCCTTGCTGGTCAAACCGGACGTGGTTATCGAGAATTGAGCAACTCCTGCCTTTTTCTTATATCTCGACTTCAAAATCCGGATGTCGTAAAATCCCAATCAAAAGAGTTGAATAACTCGTTGGACTCAATGGACCATGGGAACGTGCTCAAAGCGTCCTTGTCCAACTCCAGATCCTGCAGCGTACCTGAGTTCAAATCGCCATCGGACACGACTTGGTCGAGAATAGCTACGCAACGGGCTGATAGTGAATCTCCAACAAGCCGTTCGCGAAAAGTGGTTCTGGCCAAGCGAACGTCATCGTGCCAGGATGCAGTTTCCTCAGCGCGTGGAAAGCTGATAATACATAGGGTTATTACTAGTGCCGCATGGAAGAGAAAATACCTATATACTCGTCAGCTTGAACACTCACCTAGATGATTAAGATAGTGTACTCACGTCGCGTACCAGCCCTCAAGTCTATTCAATTCCTGCATTGCATATTCATGTATCGAGACGACTGTTGAATGCGCAGCTTCAAGACATATTCGCTTGCAGTCTTCTTGGGTGGACTGCGTGGCTTGATCTGGTATCTGACCTCGCTCGGAGATCGCTCGGCGCAGCAGAATTTGTCGGAATATAATGATCTTGAGGTTCCAAAATCTCCACCACAGCCGAGACCGCGCGAACACATACCATTGGGCTGGCGAGCTAGGTGGCTGTGAAAGCTGGAAGTATGGAGGAACTGTGTGTGTCCACGCATCCATAGAGGTGTTCAAAGCGAGTGCGGCCTCAGCGGAGAGCCCGGGCTCGGCTAGTAGTTTATTTGAGATGTGATTTGTCTGCAAGTGAAAACTACTCTGCGCTCTTAACGAAGAGTAGATGGTAGGCTCGTCAACCTCTGTAGGGAGCGTTATGGTTTGTGGCGTAAGCGACTAGCATTGATCAGTTCCACAACATCCATGTCAACAGTACTGGGTGCCCATACCTCATCGCTGATATTTAGTACCGAATGAACATCCATTGTCTCTTGATCCGGTAGCATGATGGCACGACCAAAAGTTGTCGAAGCTCCACTGTCGAAGATGTATAGGCCCCACCATACTCTACGTCTCGTCTCGCGCTCGATCAAAGTAATGTTCCAGTGAGGAAGTTCTCTATGGAGTGCTAGACTCAGCGCTGTACGCACAGCAAGGCCTAGTAAGTTCCATCCCGTGTTTGGACTATTCCGTTTCTGACTAAGGTTGCTCAGCAGTATGAGTGCTTGTACAGACGTCAGGCTGGCGGCTTCAAACACCGATTCTTCCTGACCCAATGTCAAGGCTCGACGGTACAGATAGTCTTCCAGGCCAATTTGATCATTATTCAATGTCCACGCACCGAGCGCTATAATTGCATGAGAGAGCATGTTCCACGACTTCTTTGAAGGCCGTGGAACAACCTCGTGATATTGAGCACGGAACGTTGCCTCGTGAACGAAGGGGTAGACGACGTGATAATTAGAAAAATAGGCATCAATCAAGCTTGATGACAGTTGCATCGTGAGAGCTGCGTGCGAGATATGTGATGACGCTAACACGTTCCGGAAAGAAGCAGATGGTGTCGCCAGATTCTGCTGGGGTCGAGCGACAGACTGATGCAGAAAGCCGGCCCAGTCAAGTAAGCATCGAAGAAAAACCACGCCAGAAGTTGAGCCTACATTCCTTTAGTTTTCTGGTGCCGACATTCGAGTGAAGCAACTGACCAAGATAACCTACGCCAGTAGGCTCGACCGAAAGGGCGGCCATGCCGTCTGTCAAACCATCCACGTTGACATCTTCTTCTTGCCAGTTGAAGCCATCAACATTGTTTGGTACAGCCTCAGGAAGTGCAGGCTCATGTGTACTTGAGTTAGTACTGCCTTGTGGGCTTGGAGCTACCTCAGGCGTTTGGGACTGTATGACTGATCGTGCAGTACCAGCCACGTTGGAAGACGACAACAAGTCTTCGACATCGACACCGGGTAACAACTGCGCGACCAGCGATTCCAAACTGTGCAGCCGCTTCTCTACGCCCGTCAGATATGCCCTTGTTAAGGGCGATCTAGCGACTTTGCCACTGTAATGGCAGTGCGAACCGCTATGGGCGCAGGAAGTGCAGATGGGCGCATCTTTCGAACACTTTAATTTCTTCGCGCGGCAGCGATCGCATGAGAGAGCATCTCGTGATCTTCGGTGCTCCATGCATGAAGCGTCTTTAGTGTGGCAGAGGTGGGGGCGGGATGCGGATGCAGAAGCATCACAGCCAAGTGCAGCTCGAGCGCTGATCTCTGCCGGCATCGGCCCGAATGGGTGCGCTACCCGTCACTGAGCTTGCGACCGCTTGCGACCGCTTACCACGACACTGTTTATGCAGCATTTTCAGTCACCATATACCTGGAAACATTGCACAACGGAAAAACAGTCATCCATCATCTATGAACTGAATCTGCATGTAAATGATATCTGCTTCCTGGCAATTTCGTTGGCCGTTGATACCATTGTCCTCTCGAAAGCTCGCCATTCACCGCTTCTACTTCAAGTCTCCAAAACCACTTCTCGAATTCTTTCTTGTTCAGACCTGTTGGGAAAATGTCCTTGGTAGACTTCCACTGGTTCGAGATGAAGCCGAAATCTGTGAGCGAGGCTGTGTCGTCCATCATGCGCTTCATCTCGTAGGCGTCTTCACTGTCTTCGCTTACACAAATAAGTAAAGCATCGTAGGCACTCTCAGCGAACACACTCGTTCGTGCTTCATCGCATTGCCAGTTGTTGAGCTGTACCGCGTAACAGCGGGTATCCGCGTCTATGACTTTAGCAGCGCATTTGAACTCCTTGGAAAGATTAGTATGAACGCGCATCGCTGGCAATTTGATTGATGGCTGAGAGCGAGCAGACTTCACACGAACAGTCGAAGCCAAAATGTTCTTTGAGATAAGCTTGACGAACGCGAGTGCTTCAAGGGTCGGTACAGCAGATGGTTATCTGCTTCCCAGCGTTGATAGTGCGAGTGACGTGAACGGTTTCCATTTCCAAAGAGGTCATTCCAGGTGTAATGGCTGTTTGGAAGACAGCTGTGGTTGATCGGGCTAATAGTGGGGAAAATCGCAATGGCGGCCGAATCGCTGCCACTTGACATTGGATTGGTCTTGAAGATTCCACAGAAGATACGTTTGCTACCATAGTTTTTATGGAGTGAGAGGTATTGTCGTTGCTGCTCCTTATCCAGTGCCTGCAAGTCCCGTGCGAGTCGCTTCTCCAGTTCTGCATCGGGCATGTTGTTGGGTATCATGAGCAACGGCTTCTCGAAGAGGACGCGGGTGCCTGTGGGAATGTCGGAGCATCGCATAGATTGTATGGGCTGTCGCCGTGGAGTGAGTGTTGATGGTAAGGCACGGCGGCACAACGTTGTCCAACCACTCGTGATAACCTCAGTGCAGAATTGTTTTCGAACCACTTCGTATACACCATGGCCGTTGTACGTATCGATAAATTTTCTTTACATATAGTCGTTGCTCTGAAGATGCGCCATTTACATCGTCCTGGACATTAACTACCTTGTATACATCCCTCGCTCTTTGGGGTTCGTAGATAAACTCATTCCTGATTGAGACATGTCCTCTTCTTCGATGTTGTGTAAAACAACAGCTATTCGAGCGGACCAAGTAAGAAGAGCGAGACCACGCATGACGATACGTTCCTGGTGCACCTCACCCAGCAGCTCGTTGACGCCACAGAAACAGCAATGCACGGAGGAAATGTATGGCGAACCCCCACAGGAGGTATATGTTTGCATACAAATGCTAGCAATACAACGCCACTACCGAAGAAAGTAAAAGCACATCTATGCGGCTGACTGCAACAAAGCTACTTCCGATATACTATCAAGGAAACGACAAAATGCGAGCGCTATGACAGAGCGATCAACCGGGTATTAGAGACAGTTGCGAAGATATAACCAGCCACCACCAGGGCTTTCTGTAAAGAACACACGTTTCGCTCAGCGAGCGAATAATGCAGACCAGAACCAGAAGAGAAGTAAGCGACAAAACAAAGGTATAAGAAGAGAACAAGAATGTGAGTCCCATGCCAACCCCCAAGAGGTCTCCCAAGATTTCATTTCCACATAATGCATCCCACAATCCCCAAAACGCCAGTCACAGTAAAGGAAAAACAATCCCTAGGGTATACTAAAAAAGCGCAAAAAAAAAAGATACAACTTACGGCAAACGCGCATCTAGAACCTAGAACCCGCCCTCAAACTCCCGTTGGCGCTTGTGCTGCGTGCTGTGCTAGCACCACTTCCCGCTCTCTTCATGCGTTTCTCCATAAGTCCGTTCAACAGACGGTCCAATTCGCCACTCAGGCCTTGCATGGTCTTCGTCTCTTCGGCGAGATAGTTCTTCATGAGGGGATGATCACGGCTAACTGGGACAACACCAGTAGTATCGTTGATAACGACGAGCATGTCCCGAATCTCGCTACCGTCATCGAGGTAGGCACGAAGGGAGGCGTCGGACCACGCAGGAAGCATTGTGCTTTCAGAAGACACGGGGGGCGAGGGTTCGCGATCCTTGGTGGGGTTAGGCGCCGGTCTTGAAGGCGGAGGTCCAGCAGGTTCAGATGCATGATGCGTAGGCGATGAAGTGTAGTCAGACCTGAAGGTCGAAAGGGCGTTGTTCTCAGGAATGGTCTTCATGGGGCTGTCGTCAGGCGTAGGCGTTGATATGGGCGAGCTGGTTTCTTGGCTTGAGCTATCAGTAGATAAGCCTGGAGCATGGTGGGATTCCGACTCTTTTTCCCTGTCGGCAATGGCCCCTTTGTGCAAGGGTTGTGCGTCCGCTGCGGAGACGTGAACTGGCGACTCGGAAAGGCGCCCCGTAGACTCTACATTCTCGGGTTCTCCCTGCTTGTCCTGAGCATCAGGGTCCGCGAAAGGATCGCTGCTTTCGTCCGAATCGAAATCATCCAACTGCACACGCTGCTTCGCCTTGGTGACCTTCTCGCGCTTCACGTCTCCTTCTTGTTGAGGCTTCACCATACCACTGAATGGGTTTCTTGAGTTTGTAGTGTTGGATGTTGAGTCTGGCGACCTGGTTTGTTCTTCTACCGACGACTTGCCTGCCTCGTCTTGTTCAGGCGGTACTAGACGCATGGTCGAGGTAGATTGTTGTGCGGCCGGCTGATTGTCCACTCTGTCCAGTTGGACATCCGGCTCAGCGCTCAACTCAGTCGGGCTTTCGGTTTTCAAAATGCCCTTCGTCTTTTGCGGTGAATCGTCTCGGTGACTTCTATGCACCTTGGGCTTGCTCAACTGTCTCACGGGCGCTGGAGCTGTCACCTGTTCAGCTGACGATCGTTCTGCAAGTTCGTCGGACGGTTTCGATTGTGGCGAGCTGCGGTCCGCTTCTTCGGGCCTCTCAATGTCGCTATCCATGGAGTCTTGTGCGCCTTTGCCCTTCCTGTCCTTGCGCTTGAAGAGCCCACTGAGCATGCCCGACTTTTTCTCTTTCTTCTTCTTGTCGTCTTTGACTTTGTCCGCGAAACCATTCTTCTCCAAACTCTCGAGACTAGGCCCACGCTCACGGGAGCCGGTAGTTGACGTACTTGAGTCATCGCGAAGCAGATTAGGAGTAAGTGTGATCTTGCGTGTTTCCGTGTTTTCATCCTTGAAGAACGAGTCTGTGTTGCGCAGCGTGCCATTGCGAGAAACTTTGGGATCCAAAGGTCGATCTACCGCTTCCTCGCTTCCTCTTTCTCGATCTTCTGCTCGTTTCGCAGGCTCCTCGCCTGAGCTTCGTGCATCACTTTCAGCTTGACCGTCCTTCTTTGCACCATTTACCTTCAGTGGTTGTACTTCGAGATTCTCTTCGTGGGCAGAATCGCCATCCTGTGTTGCTGCTACTTGCTGCTGCTGTATTTGCTTCGGTTCTGGGCCACCGAAAAGTTCGCCCTCACCTTCATCAGAAGAGTAGTCATAGTCCGAGGCTTCGACATAGGTAGGTGGCGCGAATTGTACGGTTTTGGCATTTCTTCGTCGCATGGCCTTCTTGAGTGGATTTTTGGACTTTTCGGCGGTGTCTCCAAGCATTGTTGCAGAGAGATCTATGTTTCTATGCTTGTTGAGGCGTGCTAGGCGTTCTGTTGGAGTCTCGATGTGTTCGGCGGGCAGGTAACCTGCAGATTGAGTTAGATAGCCCAAAGTTTGGTGACAACTACCTACCGATGCTGTTGTCCTTGACAACTCGTACCAGCCACCAGTAGCTGTTACTGTCGTCAAGTAACACCATCGTGTCACCTTTCGTTGCGTTTGCTTGACCCTCGACAGTCGCGACAAATGTGTGCAGGGCGTAGACAAATTCGAAGTCGATATCTTCTGTTTCTCGTAAGCATTCGCCTCCCCATCCTGAGTCGATAAATCTGGAATCATCAGAGAAAGAGACGTCATTGGATGCATCATCGTTGTCTTGGTCCGGATCTTGGTCCCAGGAGTCGGCGTCACTGTCGGTAGTCCAGGAATCCTCTTCATCTTCGGGTTGTCTGGCCTTTGGTGGAGGGGTGCCGTTGGTCGTTCGAGGTGGACTTGGAGTGGGATCCAGGAAGGGGTCGTCCGACGTGTCCAGGAGGGTACGATTAATCGGTTCCAACATGCGCTTGACCTGCTCCTCGTCCAATTCGGACATTAGTGATGCGTCTGAGTCTTGTCTGATCTCGATACGGTGTTCGACTGCCCGCAGTTGACTCGTCCTCGGACTTATACCCACCCCTATGTGTACGTTGTCGCCCTTGTCCGGTGCGGCGGTGGCCCTTGTCCAGGAATACTCACCACGATGATGCTCCGCTGACTTGGTTTCTGTGTGTAAGGGAAATCGCAAAGAAATGGGGATCGATGCAGGTCGATCCCCCAAAGTAGGAGATGTGTCGGACGCTGGGACGCTGAGCGGTCTTCGAGCGTTGGCGACAGAAATAGGAAAATGAATGGGCGTGTTTGTAAATGGGGAAGAAGAAGCGATCGTCGAGAGCATCGGCGAAGACTGGGGAGTCAGAGACTCTTGTCTTGCCGGCCAGATCGCAGGGTGAAAAGATAGAGAATACCCACCATCGTCTATCGAGGGCGAACTCGAAATCTTGTCCATGTCGTCGTCCATGTCTTCCTCGACGTCGGCATCCTGCATGTCGGCATCATCGTTGTCGCTGGATGTACCGCCGTTCAACCTGACAGCTTGTTCATCCTGTTGCGTGCCCTTTCGTCCATTGGCGTTGGTCATGACAGTGCGTTCGTCATCGGAGCCGGGGTCATCTCGTAGCGTGTTGCCAGCGTCGCTCCATGCATCTTGTAGACGCGCCTCCTCCGAGTTGCGCTCTTGCTCGACTTGCCGTATAGCGGCCTGCTGATGAGGCGCTGCCGGGCCAATTCCAAGAGGCGCCGGGTGTTGAGGCTGCTGAGAGTGGTCCTTGGCGGTCGGCGATGTCTTGTCCTGCAGGTCGATGGTGTCTGCACACTTGTATTAGCCTGCGCACCTCCAATTGCTCATCCGTTACGTGTCTTCGTACCTGCTCTGATGATATGAGGTCGCGTCATCCTAGCTCATTCCTCTGCGCGCGTGGAGCGTTTGGGAATCTTCGTTCGGAGGAATGGCTAGGTGAGATGAGGCGCAATCGGTGGCTGGGTCGACTGGCGCAGGGACGCCGTAGCGCGATTCGGGTTGCCGTGGAAATAGAAAGAAATACAAAGAGCAGAGAATCGCGTGCGTGGTCCGGAGGCAGCGTTACAGCTGTCGCATGCGTTCTTGGGGCGTGTTACGGCGACGGAGCGGCTGAGCCGCTTGCAGTGGTGGTGCAGGAATCGGGCGCGAGTGTTTGGGGGGCATGCGAGTGACGCGGCCGAAAGCGCGAGACAGTCGAGGGAAAAGCAAGGTGTCGACGGGTATATCGCTGGCAGTGAGGGGCACGCCGTGGGTAGTGAGGTCGTATCGCTGGCCACGAGAGTGAATGATTTTGGGGTCCTTTGGTCGTCCTTCCCCGAACGCATGCCCCTGCCTTGTTCTGAAACGTCTCACGCGCTAGCCTGTTCCTGGCCGCTTCACTACGAAAAGGAGATGCGGCTCGGTCCTTTTAGATGACCGTTTTATGACCAAATCTGCAACCCAACTTGACTTTGATCTCCTTGGTTGTACTGACGGCATCATGCGTTCGAGTGCCCAGGTAGTCGTTTCCAATTCGACGAAGCTACGGGGGTATTCCGACTACTCCGCAAGCGATGAAACACCAAACTTGGAACGCCGCCAAACATTATTGACTTTAGTAGCCTGCGACAGCCAGCACAGGCTGCGTTGCAGACAGTCTTGAACCTTAGACATCTGCAGACGAATGTCTTATTAGTCTAAATCAATGTATCTCCATCTGCCAAGTCTTTCGGATGCATGTTAGCACTGGCACTCAAAAACGCCACCAGCCTTTATCTCTACATCATATCGACCCTTTAGTGTGGTCTTTCCTGCCGAATTCGCGATGTGCTTTGGCACCGTCGATCCTACCATAGCTTATCCGTCTTCTCCTGTTTCCCTCTGTATCACTCCAACCTGCGGTATATCTCCAGAAATATGTGGTGATGGATGGAGATACCAGTAGCCTGCTTTTGTACCTCTTGCTGCAAGTACAGTGAGTTTCGATACGACCAGTAGACAGACAAAGCTATCATCAAGATCCTATTCCACGTAGCATAGACTCCGCCTGGTCTCCGTTGGGCTGCCCATGAAGTTTGAGGTCGAGGTGTAGCCATGCGAACACCTTTCCAAGGGCCATCCGCTTTACTAACGCGAAGAGCATCGTCATGGAAGAGCCAGAAATTCTCACAAGGCACTGTTTTTGATCGTACTGCAATGGCCTCACGTAAAGACGCCACGTTTGACGTAACATCAGAGAGTGTGCATAAGTCTGCAGCGTCATCAACGATACCTTCTGAGGAGCCGAAATAACCAGTCATGAGGTCTAGACTATGTGTCGCTACTTCAAAGCTGTCTCTGTTGCAATCTGGGTTTGAATTCTATTTACCTCGCCACTCTACGAGAGACATAATGCCATATAAGTAATCTCTAGCTTCGGCGCATTGGAACCTGCTCATCGTCTTTAATATTTCTCCCAATAATTGCTTTTGGAATGACGAAGAAAGTAGCAAACAGATTCTTGGTGAATGCAGACTAAGCGCATCTTCGTATAGCTGTTTCTATATTTGTTCTGGGGGTGTGGTCCTTGGAATTGAACCACGTGAATTCAACACCCTGGATTCTTCCCTTATTCCGGTTGAAAGTGCCATATCACGCTCAATCCAGGACAGTAAAAGTACGTGGAGTGCCCGAAAGTTTTCGCATGTGCATACAGTACTTCCACAGCAGCATGACACTCCAGTAGCAAGATACAATTCTTGCAAGACCCACATACGGGCAAAGTAAGGCCTACGCACAAATGAGACAAAATGTTTGCATACTCGCAATCGTTCCGAGATACACATAGTCAAGAAACATCGAAATCTTACCCAAGTATGTTTGTATATCATATAATATGGGATCTGGCCGCAAGTGGTCGACCAACGAGAAGATGCTTCTGGCCGACTCCATTTGTGAATGGCCTCGAGGATCGAGCGCCTCTTTTTGTTGAGTTTCATCAAATACTCGCTGTCATCTGCGTGTGTCCCAACACAAGCGAAAACGTGCTTCGCGCCTGGATAGATCTTGTCCGTGATACCGACTTGATGGTTTCGTTCATGTATGCCCGTCTGAGTAATGCATACTGCGTCAACCCAATAATAATGGCTAGCCTTAGTTGCGAAAGTTTGCTGCAGCACACATTCGCAGTTTTGTCTTACAACTAGCGATTTGCTGTTGACTGTCATTCTGGTCGTATCAGTGGGGTTGCTTCAGGTATACGGTATGGCATAGTATGAGGGTGCATCGTCGATGGACCAAACAGACAGCTCACCTTCGACATGCTGGTCAAAGTCGCCGCGGAAGGATGTGTAGTAAGCGGAAATGCGTGGTGGAGTCTTGAAGTGGCTCGTGTTCGAAGGCGGAAAGTGGGGTTCCGCTGGACATGGTGGCTGGAAACCTTGAGAGGACGAAGATGTGTAGTATGCACGTAGCTGGAAAACGCGGAAAGGATGAATCAAAACATCCTACACTTGTACTTCTGGTTCAACATGAAGATTGTGACAAAGGGATAAACGTGGAAAGGCTGAAGTGCTGCTTGCTCTTCAATTCGACCAGGCTGAGCCATCCCTTGGCCGCAGTCAGCAACCCGGAGACTGAGCGCTGAGCTGTTTGTACATGCTTGCAGGCATATTGGACCGACGAGCAGAATCTAGCATCTCCTCACCTGAAGGGTCAATTGAAACAATGAGCAAGCGAGCACGAGCTCAGAGAATGACTGAGTTAGGCAATATCAATAATGCGACTCGCCGATGGCGTTGGTGAAAGCTTCTAGGACGTCAGCAGAACGATGTCTATGAATCGAGCGCTCGCAGACACAACTCTCATCGTAAGCCACGAACCGATAATCCGTCGTGCTTCTAGACCTATGGTCTTGCTGTGTGATCGCCGCATGCGTAAACATGATTATCTACCGCATACAGGTGGACGGAGAGGGCTTCGGCCAGACTACACAATCTTCAGCCTCGCACAGCTATCTTGAGGGCTTACATCACTTCCCCTTCCACTGCCCCTGGGAACTTTTCGTACTCATTGACAAAACGCCCTCTTGCACCTTCCTCAGGAGCGCTCTGTGCCGTGTACGGGTTTTCAATACGTCCGGTTTTCGCGTGCCTCAAAACTACTTCTATCCGTGCCTCCTTTTCATCTCCTGCCTGTGCTGAACAATGGCCATTTCACTCTCCAATTACTCTCACGATGCTTAAGCAGCTTCTCGAAGCGCATCGTCCCAACGAAGCACTCGTATCAGCCGCCTAATTCCACGGCCATCAAACGGTTTCGTGTTCTGGGGATCCATATCTTGAACTAGACCGAGCTTGCCACCATGCTCAACTGTGAGGGCCAGAATCAAGTCACTGCCTACATACAGTACTAAATTTTCTACTAGAGTAACTACCAGAAGATGTGAAAGATGATTACAATGCACGGGTTAGGCGCACGAGTTAAGAAGCAAAACGCGGTCCCACGTAGTGTAGAAATGAGACAAGCGGATCACCCGGAGATTTGTGCTCACGGAAGTTCTTCGGCCTGTGAGCTACCTATTACGTAGCTATGCCTTCGCACTAGCTGAACATCCGCCTCTGCATTAGGAATGAGCTATATGGGGCATCGCTCTTGCTCCGACGTAGCGTTCTCGCACGCACATTGTGCAGCAGCGGGTGCGTTCAGTTCTAATGTCGTCATCTGGTGGCTGGAAGGACATGTCTAGCTAGCCCTACCCGTGCGAAGCGGCGCCACATGTGGGCATGTCCGGGCCGACCGATCGAGACTAGGCCGTGAATGACTCTAGCACGCTTCTATTCGGCCAGCTCACATCGGCCCGCAGGCTTCATCTGGCTTGAAATCTTTCCAGAAAACCAGCTTGTTAAAAATAGAATACGACGTTCATCTCTAATGGACTGGATTGTTGAAACATTGGGTGGATACTTTGGTAGATACGATGCTTATGCCATGGTACTGAGTCATGTGAACTCGAGTATATGCCCATCGTGCGGCCAGATACTTCCTTCTCCAAATCAAGAGCTTTCCATCTATTGACATTCGCTAGCTTTTATTCGAGCTTCTCGACAGACCGCCATTCACCATGGTGGCCCATATGAAAAGGCTCTTGGCCGTCGCCACGACTGTCTCGGCGTCTGTACTCGAATTGCCTGTCGTCGTCAGGGGCACCTATTCCAGCGTCAAACTGGATATCGGAACACCTCCGAAGGAACACCGATTGTTGTTCGATACTGGCTCATCCACGATCTTCATCCTCAACACCAACTGCACAGAGACCTCTTGCCCGGATGGCAAAATTTCGGACTACGAACGAGTGAAATATAACGCGTCTGCCTCATCAACATCTGTCGACCTGGATATACCTGCATCGATTCCATACCTTGGCGGCAACGTTGCTGGCGGTACCTTTCAGGATGTTTTCAGCACTACAGAGGGTGGCGTAGAGTGGAACCAGACCTTCCTCTCTACCAATCAGAGCAGCTGGCGTTTCATCACTGCCGATGGTTTCCTCGGCCTAGGCTTCTCCACCATCGCGGAGAGGAACACAACGACCTTGGTTGAACAACTGCTTTGGAACGGTCAACTGGACGCGCCGCGTTTCGGTTTGTTCTACGGAAAGAATTTGAAGGATGAGGGTGAACAAGATGGTGTGCTGACCATTGGCGGCAGCCATGAAGACAAGTACGTGGATGGCGAAATGGCCTACACGCCCTTGAGGAAAGAGGCGGAATACCAACTCTGGCGTGCGCCACTAAGGAGCGTCAACGTACTCGTTGCGCAGAACCCATCGGAACCAAATGCTACCGTTGAGATCCACAATGGCCGTCTTCCCACAACTACCACCACGGATGGTGGCTTCCCAAAAGCCAACACAACATGGCCAATGTACCAGGCTGGAGCGGTTTTTGACACGGGAGCTGGACGCCTTTCCGTTCCGACCGAGATCGTCGGCGCCATGTACTTCAACCTCGGCTGGAACATCACGAAGCTTATGAATGGCCAAGAGCGCATGGAGTGCCAGCACCTCAACGCTTCGTGGGCAGTCACTTTGACTCTTGGTGAGGGCGCTCCTGAAGATGATGTGTCGTTCACTCTTCGAGGTGACGAGTTTACCGAGCCGGGCAGTCAGTGTATGCCGCCGTTTGACGACAGCGACCAAGTCGGATTCGCGCTGGTCGGTTCTGCGTTTCTACAAAGATATTACTCCGTCTACGACTTTGGTGCTGACAAGGTTGAGGAGTACCAGCCAAAGATTGGTTTCGGAAGGTTGAAGAAGGAGTACGATTACCTGTACCAGTGATCGTGGCACATGCATCATTCTTCTTTATTTATTCCTGTAAATACTTGTAACTTGGAACAATGTTAGAAATCTGGGCTCTCGCATGACTGCTTAGGTGTTTGTCATATTCCGATGTTGTTTGCATTGTCTCAATGAATCACGACAGTACGTAAAACTATGTGTTGCTTTGCTGTCAGGAAGATATCGGCATATCAATGTGTGCCCTACTTCCTATGTACTTCCTTTATTTCCAGATGGGGTCGCCCAGTACCCCTTGCAACTCGCATATGCAGTGTCAAGACATGGGAATCAGGTTTGATCTTGTCGACCTTCTCCATCCTCGCATCACCCATTGTGTCGAAATATCGGAGCTCGTGGAGGTTGTCGCGGTAATACTTGTGAAACTCCTTGCGTCTAGCGGTCCACCGATCACCAACAACCACTGTGGCTGACCAATGGCCGTTTCTAAAGAAGAACACGAATGCGAAAACAGGATATGAGTCCGCTTGGAACTCCATGTAGCCGATGAGAGCGCCGGTGTGTGTTGCGTGCAGCCATTTTGCGGACGGGTCCCATAGTCCACGGGGTTCGACTCGACTTACACGGACACTCGCGGGCTTCATCACTCGCATGACCTTGTCCATAATTGTTGAGGCTTGGGTAGCCGTCAAAGACTTGGCTGCAGTGAACTCGGTGTACGTCACTTCTGTCTTCACCGTAGGGCACTCTTGAGGCAGTGCGCGAACAAATAAATCCGGCCCGACTCTCCTGAGATATACACCAACAGGCTTACCAACCGTACCCAGGGAGTGTTTCACTGGTAATATGGCGAGTCCAGTATCGTTGTCCCATGCAAGGCCAAGCTTGAGACGGATGCCACGGTTTGTGAGATAGAAATCCCGCGGTCGTACTGTTGGCTCAGGCGTGATCGATCGCATTTGTCGAAAACACTTCGGAGAAGGAGCAAGCAGACCTGTCAGCTTCTGGTACGAGAAGGAATCGTTCCAAAGGAAGATTGAGTCATCGGCGCATTCGCTGAGTATTTGTTCTTGTAGGCGGATGAACGCTTTTGGTCCTTCTCCGTAAAGCATTGCCATGTTGATATCGAATATGCCAAGGAGGCTATACGCTGCGTCTTCTTCCCTGGTAGTCTTGCGCTCAGATGCCCATGAGAAGCGCTGGGCAACAGGTACCTCGCTCAGCTCCAATTCGTGATTGAGAATCTTGTCCGGAATTCCCGTTATTTCCGTAATCTGGGTGGCGAGGCTCGCTTTGGTGCCTCGAAACTCCCATTTTCCGCTATAGAAAACAAGATTTCTCGGCGCAATGAGTTCTTGCAGTGTCCAGCCGCGAGAAAACCATTTTGATGAATTGAACGAGTATTCGCTCTCAGCGACATCGAAGAGATAGGCGAAGCACACCGAAGCTTCTTTGTAGTATCTGAACATGGAGTTGATGGCTTCGCTCAGTTCTGCACTGCTAGACTTGTTGATGCAGCAAGTATCGCACCATGCATACGGCAGTTTGTATCGAGGTGAAGAAGCTATCCTGCAAGTCTCGACGATCTTTTGGTACCCTGGCTTTGCGAGCGTGGACTTTGGACGGTCTTGAGGCGGCACAAGCATCTCTTCGTAGGTTACCTCGTCCTTGGTATCACCCCATACGTGCGATAAGATGGCATACCATTGATATGGATCAGCATGATCCCGAACGTGCAGGGCCAGGGTCTTGGTGTCGATAAATATCATGACTGAAACGTGTACCGAATGAACCTCGTTTGATTACTTGAGGTTTCCGCCGGTCTTTGAGGATTTAAATTGGTCTTGACGGGTGTGGATGTGAGATTTTCAGTTTCGACCCCGCCACAAGATGAGGGTGAGTGTACAGCTGGCCTTAAACCTACCTGGGTATGCATCATGCCGTGCGTATCAGCTTATATCAGCGCTTTTAAATATAACAAAATGAGCTGCGTTATTTCTCATGACGCATATCTCAGTGATTGCATGAGTAATGTACGTATGTCGAGTAAGGAGGATAAGGTTCAATGTTCCATGGAAAACACTAAGCTAGATCCGGCAAGCACCTCTAGTGGCAGCCAGGGCGATGCACAGAACAAGTGGCATGCGAAACAAGCATAGGCTCGGAAGAAGTGATTAAATAGAATTTAACACAGCCGAAGTACAAGGCTACGATGAACTTGTTTTAACCACTGCTTACCACATTGTTATTCACGTCCTTCCACATCTCATCTTTCTTCCCCCCTTTGATGTTGTTCAGCTTGTTTCTTTGCTTCTCCCTCTCATCCATATCAATGTTGATATTGAAATGCTGACCTCGAATCTTCTCGTAAAACTTACCAGCGGTAATGCCGTTCATAGGTTCCAGCCATTTTCCAGTGATTTCAGTTTCCAAGGAATCAGATTTGATGATGATAGGTTCGTGAGCGCGGAGAACGAAGACGATCGAGAAACGGTATCTCTTGTCACTGCCCGAAGGAGCGGAAGCGGAAGTAGTGGAGATAGGGTGTGAGATAGGGGCGGGAGGGTTCAAAGATGGCTCTGGTGTCCCGTAAGCTACAACGCGATGACCGCCGGCAGGATATCTTCCATTGGAGAGTCGTTCGAGTTGGCGTCCAGCAAGCATAGTAGCTCCTTTTCTCCCAGAATCCTCGACTACTTTCTCCACCGCGAACCAGTTGGCCCCATCCCAAACCTCCAGACCAGGCACGTTACCCACTACTACACTTAGCAGTCCTAGATCAGCGTGCGGTTCAGCCACGACTTTTGCCTCCCAGCCTTCATATCGAAACAAACGCAACATCGTTGCTGTTTTCTTCTTATCTGAATCCTGCAATGAACCGCAAGGTCCGACATATTGTCTCAGTCCCTCATCTTCGCCGTCCAGTAGTCCAAGGGATGTCGAGATTCTACCCAACGTGTTTGAGCAGTGCTGTCCAATGAGGTCCCAATACCTCTTAGCGGGCTCTCTCAAGACTTCTGGACAATACTCCAAAGTCCTTAACGTGATGAACTCCTTTTCTCCGGGGATCTTGGACCAGCCTTCTTCAGACCTGAGTTTGTGCTTCCACTGCTGCTTTTCCCTATCGGGCTGGTTGAAGAAAGCTTGACTTGCTGCGAATAGCTGCTCGTACGCAGTTTGAAGAGGATGAGGTCTAGGTGCTGGCGCATGATGATTCTCTACTTCTGGAGATGTTTGTGCTGATGAAGGGTCAGGAAAGGTGACAGTGGTCCAACCGAGTCTTGATAGGGTTCGTTGATGTTCTGGTAGGACTAAAGGTAACGGCGCCGGCTTTAGCGGCAGTCGCGTCTCTTGTGAGATATCCTGCACTGGTTGCGCATCCGGCTTTTTGGTGCTCGTTCCTCTCTTTGACCGAAATCTCGAGATGATGCTCGAGATGGAGAAGTGGTGTTCGGATGAGCTTGAGGGTAATGTGGCGGCCATGTCACCCATATATTAGGATACGAATGCGTTGGAAGCAAAAGAATGACTATAGGCAAAGGAATATGTGAAAGCACAGCGGAAGAAGGCTAGGGATTATGACTACGGGTATGGCACGGGTATATCGAAGGTACGACGTGGAACGCCCAGGTGACGTTTTCCGGCTACACGAGCTAAGCCACAATTGCACAGCCCCGCCGTTCACGGGTAGGCTTACGGACCATTGCAAACAGAGCGTGCCGGTCAGCACCAAGACTTGTAAGATGGGATTCGAGGAGGATATTGTGGGAAGAAACCCGTTTTGAGCAGAATGTAGTGTTGTGAACGTAATACAATTCATCCCATATCTATAGCCTCAGCCTATTCTTATCCCACAGCTCCCTCTCCCTCAGTACAAACCAATCATGAAGCATGGGTTTGACTTTGACAACCCCCTCATTTGTCTCGCATCCAAACTCCATTCCAGGCTTCCACGTCCCTCCCTCGGCACTGATCTTCATACTAGTCATGTTTTCCAATCGACACAGTGCAAGACCCACTTCTCCAATACCCGCAATGAACTTGCCTGCTGCACGCCCCTTTTTAATGTTACCGCTTTCATCTAGCTGCTTAATATCTGCTCCGTATTCCGGTAGCGTATTTGGTGTGCTGAGGCTGTCGATATGGACAGGTAAGATACGCTTCCGTACGATGCCGGTGTGTTTTGTGCGAATGGTAAGTTCCTGGCCAACGTAGCAGCCCTTCTTGAAATCTATACCATGCCAGAGATCAATGTTACACTCCATTGGCAATGCGCTTTCTCTTGGTATCTCTTGCGGACCTTCGGGTATGCCATTTCTGTAGCGTTGATGGTGGTATTCCCGTACTTCCACTGCCTTAGCAGCCCCATCCAATATCATCGATGCACCATCGCCTACGAGATAACGACGCATGTCTGGGCCGCGTGGATCGCTCATTTCAGCGACCAGACCTTCTGATTTGGGTTGCCCAACTTCCGAGCCCCAAGCCGCCCACACGCGCATCTTGTCTGCACCCACATCCTCAACTTGCACCTTACTCCGGAGTTTATGCCTCTTCAAATGCTTTTTCAGAGGCTCCAGCTCGCTCTCATCGACCTCAATGTAGCATGCCCAATGTTCCTTCTCCGCCACTAACTTTGGCCACACCCAGACAAAGACATCCCACAATACTCTACCGCGCGCGTCGAGAAAGGCTGCGTAGAAGGACGATTGACGGCTTGGGTCGACGTTGTTCGTAATGAGCCCCTGTAGGAACTTCGCAGTATCGGGGCCAGCGAGGGAGATGAGGCGGCGATGCGGAAGCGCTGCTATTGAGTATTGAGGGCCAGATAATCGTTCATTACCATTGTCGTTGTGTAGTGATCGGGTGGCGGTTTGATTGCGAAAGCGCGTCAAGGCTATCGGTCGCGATGAGATTTTGTCATTCGAAGACGATGCGGTGCTAAATGCTCGGTACGTATTTACTGCAGGTCTACGCAGAGAGCGCAAATTTGTTCGGCAAGCATCGCATATATATTTGGGCGCCCACCGTGGTGCGCTCAGCGGAAAAGATGCCATAATGATGGTCTCAGTGGTTGTTGGTGTGAGACGAAACAGACAAGACAGAGCTCTGACGACATGTCCAAGATACCTCGGCATTTACGGAGTTAAGACTAGAGCGAGACATGATCAAATATGCTAGATCTGAATCCTCAGACCAAATGTACTACTGAAAACGCTGAAAAACGCCTAATCTGCCAGACACAACATGGTCGCACGCTAATCGATTTGAAAAACGTTCTCGGCCATCCAACGCCGCTGCCCAGTAATTTGAAGTATGGTCGCGTCAAGCCAACACCTAGTCGTTCTTCCGACCCGTTAATCTTGAACGCTCGCTATTGCCCTCTTTTGGGCTCGCCGGCCCCGACTCATCGTCGCTATTGTCACTCTCGTCACTCTCGTCGCTACTCCACTTATCATCCTCGCCTACCGCGAAGATAGTGTCGCCATCGAGACTTTCCCTTGGAGGAACAATGGGCTTCTGCGCTTGTGGTGCGGGTAATGGCGAGACATCGCGCGCATTGTTGTTGTTCGATCTCTGCACTGGGTCGTAAGATGGAGGTTGGTCTGAGCCTCTCTCCTCTTCATCAAGAGAATCCCTGAGGGACGCGATCTCAAAACCTTCATCATCTTGGGCAATCTAGAGAGTTGTCAGTAAGATTGCATAAAAGGTATAACAGTATGAACATACCTCATCACTCATGGCAAATCTCCGGTTATTGGCCGTTGGTCTCCACATGTACGCAACGAAACAAACGTCGGCCAGGTAGACAAGGTTTAGCCAACCATCAAGCACGAACCATCGTGTTTGCCAGTGGGTTGGCGCAAAGTCGGGGGTCGAAGCTCCAGCAAATGTGAAACTATTGATGAAGAAGAAACCGAAGATGACAATGATGCTCGTCAAAATGCACCACCATAACCTCTTATACATGGTAGCCTTGACGTGCTGCTTTCGCTCCATCAAGTCCTTCATTGTAAGGTTTAGCGAGTTCAAGGTCCATATGTAGAACGCGGTAAGTGTGGCTGAGAGTGGGAGGATGACCAGCAAAACTAAAGGTCCGGCGTCATCGGGGCGAACAGTAAGCGAGGCTACAGCATAGATTACGCCAAAGACGAAGTGGGCCACAGCAAGCCAGCGGACGACGGTCATTGTCTTGCCAAGGGAAGGCTTGACAACGCCGTATCCCATACATACGATCAGGAGCAGGAAGAAAGAGAAGGAGTTACGGAAAGCGTTGAGTACGGCGACGACGATCATGAGAGCCTTGGTGCCGACGTTGTTACCGTGGCGATTCTGGTAGTCGTAGTAGCCCCAAGTCATGAGCATCTCCACGACTAGGAATACTAGGATAGCAGTGATGTAGTTCTGAACAGCAAGAATGTCGTGACGGTTCTGGAAGTAAAGGAAGCCCCAGAATGCCAGTACAACAAAGTATACAATTGTGATGCCGCCGTAAAAAGGCAGTTTTGCGATCTGGGCCGCCTGGAGCTCTCCATAGGCGTTCCGGAAAGTCACAATAGCCTCGAATTGCAGTTGCTTGTCTTGCGCACTCGCAGCCACACAGTAATAGCCCGTCTTGATTGGTACCTTGGTCTCGGCCGTTGAGGTTGGGTATTTGATCGCTTTCGGGTCGTTCAGGTCGATGGCTTCGGTCCGGATAGGCATTTGAGAAAGGTTCTCGACGTCTTCCGCGAGTACCCATTCGCCTTTGTGTGTGCCGTTGCATAGTTTCAGTTTGATCGATTCGTCGTCGCAAATGTAATGGCGATTTTCCTGGGAGGAAGTCAGTTTTGCCATCCTTGTGCCAGCGGAAGGGTCAACATACATCGTTCACAGGCAAGTCGGAGGGTGCACCCAGAAGTAGAGTATCCTTCCATTCCCAGACCACGACACTGACAGTCTGGTCCTTGATCCCCTCATTTTTCTTCGGATCTTTTATGAATTTGACGAGTATGAAGGGGTCGACCTTCCCTCCCCATGACTTCTTGCTGTACATGCCGCTGGACTTTGTATGAGCATGCTGCCTCCATGTAACTAATGGCCCAGGTGCTTCTACATACCTGCACTTTTGAGTTTCCTTATCGGATAGTGTAACATCCATCGCTGCTACTGCCGTTATGGTAGTTAACAGCAGTAAAGCGACGTTGCGCAGCCGTGCCTTCATCTTGCCGCGATGTGAGGCCAGCTGGCGGAGCTGACGGTTGAGGGTAGGCGGCACTTCAGGCGGACAAGTGCGATTCGGTTCGAGTCGGCGATGGTTGCTTTTGGTCAATTCTTGGACCAAGACGGGTCATGGGTGTAGGTTGGTGTTTAGTGGTAGATGTTTAGCTTGCGCGTTCGTCACCTACAAGTCCGCCTTTCCCGGTAGCTCTTAGCGCGCTTCCCAGAATGTGGCGCAGCCTTCAATGGGCAACCATCACCGAAACCGCCGACGAGTCAGCCCTACCAAACCCCTTCACCAATACCCGCTGAACACAAGCACACCATGCCAGGCAAACACATTGCCGGCGCCTCTGACGAGCCTTGCAGACGATGCAAAGACAACATCTCAATTCTCGTTGTGCGCTCTGAGCCGCTTTGCCAGTCAGTTTACGCCACCTAGAGGGGAAGAAGAATTTGCTAAATTCGTTTAGTGACTGCTTTGCCCGCTACGTGCACACAAAGTGCATCAAGCGCTTGGAGTCATTTCGCGTTAATTTTGGAGCCGAGCAGCAGCGTAGGATTCTAGTACCCCTGTCATTTGGCGTCTCATCTACAACTCTCCTCCACATACTGGATCTGCATTTGAAGACGCAAAAGAGCAAGACTGGCCGGACTGGATTTGACATCAGCGCGGTATATATCGAGGATCCGGAGCAGAAAGTGCAAGCTACACAGCTACTTGAAAAGGCTCGCGAACAGTACCCGGACCATCATTATGCCTCACTACCGTTGCACGATGTATTTCGCCTGGTCCAAGATGATGCCTCAATCCGGTCTCTGCTACCACAAGCCGAGAAAATGGTAGACCTGAGCCCCGAGGAGCAGTTTGTTCACATGATGAACTCGCTCACCTCAGCGACTGCTCGTGCGGACGTGCTGTCTACCCTTAAAACACGGCTGGTCGTAGAACATGCAAAGTTGACTGGTTGCGAAAGTATCCTCTGGGGTGACAGTACCACTAGGCTCGCTCAAAAGACGCTTGCCGAGACCGCAAAGGGACGAGGGTTCTCCCTGCCATGGCAAGTCTCAGACGGAATGTCGCCCTTTGGTCTCAACTTCCACTACCCGCTTCGAGATGTCCTGAAGAAAGAGCTAGTATCTTATATTAACATGGCCAACCCTGGACTATCGACACTTGTCCACGAAACTTCATCAGGCGCCACGCAAGCATCAACAAGCTCAAAGAACACCACTATTGACGATCTCATGACGCAGTACTTCGAATCCGTTGAAGAGAACTTTCCGAGCATTGTTGCAAACGTCGTACGCACAACAAGTAAGCTCGAGGCTCGACCCGATGCACTTTCGGACCCACAATGCAGCCTATGCAGCATGCCTGTATCTGGCGGCCGATTTGGCATACATGGCTGGGGCGGCGATCAGCAGGATGGCGATGACTTCGAATCCACAAATAACAAAAAGAATATATGTTATGGCTGCACGAGGTCGTTGCCTAAAGCTACGATGAGCGTGAACGGTAATTGAGAGCATTGCTGTAATATACAGCTGTCTTTCTTCAGCATTACGAATCATCGCCTATTCTGATAAATCATTGCACGAAACTCGGAGGATTCATGCAGAATGATCCTGTTACATTCATTTGCTCTCTAGACCAATACCAATTTACGCGCACGAGTACTACCGGCAAAGCAATCAATAACCTGGCATTGTCCTGGAGATCGATACACATTCCCGGATCTTGGCCGAAAACACTATCTATACTCATCTATGTCGGTACAACACCTTCCGAGCCTCATGATCAGATACCCAGTGGAGAATATAAGAGCGGCATAGACAGCAACCGTATTTTCAACACAACAATCGCAATGAAGCTCTCCACTTCGATACTCCATTTACTGCTCAGCACATCGGCATGTCTCGCACACTGGAACTACGACCGTATAATCGTCAACGGCGAGATGATTGGCTCACCCTACCAATACGTTCGCAAAACCAACAATTCTAACAACCCCCTTCAAAATGTTAATTCCGCACACATGCGCTGCAACTCCGGCGCTGAATCTGGCATTGCACTCAGTACCCAGACCTACACAGTCACCGCTGGTGACATGCTAGGCTTCGCAATCAAGGACACTTTCGGACATCCTGGACCCCAGCAAGTGTATCTTTCCAAAGCGCCACGGTCCGCCGCTGAGTACGATGGTTCAGGCGACTGGGCGAAGATCTACAGCCTCACCTACTCCCTAAACTCGAGCTACGGCGCCAGTGATGGCCTTCTCAAATGGGCAACCCACAACGCACGAACCTTCAACTTCAAGCTCCCTTCCGGAACACCACCAGGCGAGTACCTGCTCCGTGCCGAAGGTTTGGCACTTCACGCAGCGCACAAACCAGACAACTACCAGTTTTACGCTGCTTGCGCGCAGATCAACGTCACTGGTAGTGGTGCGGGTGTTCCAGGTCCGACGATTAAATTCCCAGGTGGTTACCAGTGGAATTCGACGGGGGTGTTCATACCGGAGTTTTGGAGCAAGATTACGAATTACACAACTGCGGGACCGAAGCTGTGGCCGGAAGGGACGGGGGAGGCGCACGTTTTGGATGGGACGAGGAAGAACGGCGCGGACTAAGGTCGTGCGTAGGCAGTTCGTCGTCGAAAAAATCAGAATGACTACGGAATGTAATCGAAATCCTGATCGCGTGATGAATTCAAACGCCAATTGAGAGAGCTCATATTGAGATGATATGATAGTGATGTGTAGATGCAGGATATTCCTGCTCGAGGCATTTTTCGTTCATGACTCTGAATCCGAGGTAGCTCAGATTTGCTCCTATGCTCTCTTGGTACTACTGGCATTGGCGCACCAATTGGGACTACGACTTCGTCTCCAACAACGACTCCCCCTGCTACAGCGAACCATACGGATCCGTGATCTGCCTTACAAATCCTCTCCATCAGACCTCCCTTCTGATGTAACCTATTCAAGACCTGCTGCACCGATCCAAAACGTTTTGCCTGGAGGGTAATGGAACAATTATCGTCCTCAATCACAATTGCTGGTACTTTATTGCGAGATTTCCCGTCTAGAGACCTCCAAGAGTCCTTGCAAATCCATCCGTCGTCTATCCCGCTAGCCCAGGGCAAGCCGCACCATCTACCATTCCCATCTAGAGCAAAGCCAATCAGCTAAGCATCCAACCCATCCCTCTCAACCATCCATCGTACAACATCAATAATCTCGCCTTGTCTACCACTCACTCCCTTCCCTGGTTCCTTCACCATACTCTCAAGCACGCCATCTAACATACCCCTCAATCTACTAACCAACACACCAATCCTCGCCCACCCCCTTAACCTAATCCACTCGTCAATGACCAAACCTCTGCCCAAAGTGTCAACCTTGATCTCTCCTGCGAACAGCAACAAACTGTATGCATTGAACGGCGTGATATCTCTGATGAAGACTTTACTTGTAGCCATCTTGTTGAAGTACGCAACGAAACTCGCATTATGTGGGAACGTCTGACTGGCAAAGAGGGTGGACGAAGGATGGACGAAGACACGTCCATTTTCTTGGTTGAAGTATTTGATCTCGCGGGCTGAGGGATCAAGTTCCACGGCACCAGCGATACCAGCGGCAAACTTCTTTTCGGGTAGCTGAATGCGTGCGATCTGCGGGTTAAAGGATCCTGCGATCAAGGCGCGCAGAAGCGCGTCATTGGCGTTGTGTTTGTTGTAGGACAAGTGTGTGGAAGAGTTGGCAGAAGAGTAGTGTGTGGGGATGAAGGAGATCTCCTTAAGAGACGAAAGGTATTGGGTACGGTTGGATGCTATGTCGAACATGGTTTGGGGTGACAGACGGTTATCTTGACACCAGAAGCGGAGGTCTCGTGTTGACATGCCTTTGCTGCGCAATGCAGACCACTGTTCGTATGCTCTTAGATCAACAAGCAAGTCTCCTTGGTTGTTTGAGAAAGAAGCGCGAAGGCGGTCGAACTCGTTCCGGGTTTCCTGATCTCGCTCTCGTGGTGATATAAACGGACTGCGAGCGGTCAAGACAGCCGCGATCGTCAACACGGCTTCAAGACAGCCGAATGTTGCGCCATATACGAGAAGCTTGCCCAAACGGAGATCCGCCGGGATCATGGACATGTGTCGACCAAGAGCAGTAAGTTCGTCGTCAGTAATTGCACCCATCTGCGAGAGTAAACGGATCGCACCCTCCACTGCTGTGCTTTCTGGTGGTGTGAGCGCGGAAGCAAGGAAGCCTGAGACATCCTGCACGCCCATCGCCTTGATAGACAGACACATCTGCTCCAATGGCACACGTCGAATCTCAGGGTCCGGCCGCTCCATCATCTTGGCTTCGGCATTGCGTGTATACAGCTTGTAGCAGTCACCTGCTCGGACACGGCCTGCTCGGCCTCGTCGCTGCTTGCATGCCGCTCTCGAAGCCCAGGTTTCGGCTAGGCGAACCATGTTGTTCTGCGGATCGTAGCTCGTCTCTTTGACCCTCCCCGTATCGATAACAGCAACGATATCTTCAATCGTGATTGATGTTTCTGCGACGTTGGTACATGCGATAACCTTACGCTTGCCATGAGGAGCGGGAGGGAAGACACGCTTTTGCTCGACAGGCATGAGTGATGCATGCAGAGGCAATGCATGGAGGTTTGCAAACTGACTGAGCGCTTGGAGCGTGCGATCGATCTCCATAGTACCAGGAAGGAAGATGAGGATGCCCCCATCCTTATCACCGAGCTGACGATCAATGTGACGAACAGTCTCCGCAATGAGGTCGTAGTTGATGCCAAATCCGATACTTCGGAGGTTTGCAGAAAATGACTTGTCTTCAGAGGCTTCTTCATCGCCCATCCCGTAGCCCTTGAACCCAGTGAAATGCACAATATCGTCGACATAATAATCAGTCACAGGATGAGTGCGGCCCTCGATCTCAACACGGCCTACGGGTCCAACCTCCTTGAAGTACGCTTCGAAGACAGCAGCGTCGAGAGTGGCACTCATCAAGATGACCTTGAGATCTTTTCGCTTTCGTAAGATCTGACGTAGTAGAACGAGTAAGAAATCAGTGTCCAGACTGCGCTCATGCACTTCATCAACAACAACATGGCTAACATCGGCTAGTGCAGCAACAACGTCGTCAGCATTACCGCCTGATGTTTGGAGGCGCCTGAGAAGAACACCGGTTGTGACGAACGTGATCTTAGTGACTCCAGGCTTTTGTTTGGACTCTCCACGGATAGTGTAACCAATCTCGTCACCGACCTGAGAGCATCGCTCATCGGCAACACGATCGGCAAGACCAAGCGCAGATATCCTACGTGGCTGTGTACAAATGATGTTTGCAACGGCACCAAGCTGTCTCTGTATTAAGTCATCGAGGACGAACTGCACGGATTGAGTCGATTTTCCCGATCCAGTTTCACCTGAGATGATCGTGACCTTGCAGTCGTTGACCGTGCGTATAATATCATCTCTCAATCTCCAAGCTGGAAGTGACTTTCGAGCATTCATCATCTTTTGTTGAGCTGGAGAGCCCTGCTTCGCCTGCCAATCAGACAAAAGTCTTTGGCTAGGAGGTGTTGCGGGTGTCCAGTCGATAGGCTTTCTGGGTCTGCCCTTCGCTCTTCGTTTGTGACTTTGCTGCTCCGACGAGTGATCTGCTGCTGCAAGGCCAGACGATACGTCGGTCAATCTTCCTGGGTTCTGGAAAATCTCTCCAGCATTCGATTGAATCCAGTCCACAATATCGTATATCATGGGCATGCCAATGAAGTTGGCCTCGGCGTGGAGGAGCGCTTTCCGGATGATACTCAGGCGAATGTACGCTGGAATGGCCGCCTCGAACGTGATGATAGGCACGACGGCAGGGTAGGGACCGAAAGGCTTCCTGACCTGCAGTATGAGCCTCTTTCCTTGTTGTTTAACATCCAGCTCGATACGACACGATTCGGGAGCAGGACGTGAGAATAGACGGTCATATATGGCTTCAAGTGACGACATCTCCACCTCCCAAGGATCGTCTTCAGGAGACATATCAGAGTCACTATCGGTCATTGAAAGATCGGCTAAGTCTTGAGCGATGTTACTTTCTTCTTCGTCCGGTCGCAGTAGACGAGCTTGTAGCAAAGCTGCGGCTTTCCTTTCATCACTGCCCTGGCTATCATAAGCCTCCTCGCAGAGATCTGCAGAATACCCGGCGGCAGCAAGGCGCTTCACAGCACCTTCACGCTTGAGGTTTGAGCTGGCCATACTGACACCAGCGACATAGCCTTCTGGCAGCGACCACGATGGAAGATCATCTTCGGGTACGTGTATAAGAAGCCATTCGATGATTTCTTCGCGATCTTTACAGATATCGGCAGCCTCCTCAACATGGCTTCTGCGAAAGCCGAGATCCACGATCTCCTCGACTAGCCGGTTCTTTATAGATGCGTCCATCTCGATACCATTTGGGTTCCAGAGTGCGTCCCGACGGATTAGTCGCTCGGCTTCCTTTCGCGTCCTCTTCCCCAGCTCGATTTTGGGTACCCTTTCCCATCCCTTCAGCAGGTTCCTGCTAGGAGCTGGGCCCTTGGAGTTTGGCATGGCCGCTCCAGGCTGTTGGTTATGGGCTTTCTGCGACTCTTCCTGTTGCTTCTGTCTCTTCTCGCGCGCCTTGGCTGCTGCCTCTCTCGCCTTCTCCCTCTCTGCGAAGCCGAAGAAGGGGTCTGCCTCATACATCCACCCCTTACCCTCCTGCTCGTCCCTCTTCTTGAGGTCCATGAACTGGCCTTTCCAAAGGTCCTTGTACGTAGGAGGAAGCATCATGTGGAGGTTCTTCGCGCTGGCGACTCGGAAGAGGGTATAGGCTGCGGCAAAATTGCGAGCTTCGACGGCTGTTGGCTGGTGAGCCTGTTCCTCGAGTTCGGAGGGGATCTTGATGGGCGGTAGTGTGGTCGTCTCTCGTGTCTTCTGGTTCATCTTGGACAGTACCACAGCGTACGCAAAATGTTGATCGCCATTTTTGCGCTGTCAAATGTCAGCGATACTCTGCTGCTAGTTCGGCACGGCTACTCACGATACGGTAGTCAGGCTTGCTCCACTGCTGTTTTTGAAAATGTTCTGACAGCAGATTGACAGGGAGCTTTCCTGTCCACGATGCACCTGCGATCAAAGTCCGTGTATCTGGCTTCTTGGGCCCGTCTTCAGCAGTTCCAGCTGCAGATTTTCCTTTGCCTTTGCCTTCATTCTGGGCAGCGTCTCCGCCAGAACTCTCGCCTTTCTTCTTCTTGGCTTTGCCGTCGCCGAAGACGATGAACGATGTGTCTTCCTCGGGAGGAACAGTCTTCTTGGCAGGCTTGCCGCGGGGTGGATGGGCGTTCTTTGGCATCTCTTGCGATATATATAGAGCAAGTGAAACCCTCAGATTCCATAGAAGTATGCTTGACTCGGAAGGGTAAAGATATGATTATATGTCGTGTTTGTGGGCGGTGAGAAGGGCGCTGTCGGTAATAAAAGGGCTCAACCACCCGGTCTGAAAATCTGCCACTCTCCAACGTATCTAGGCAAGGCAATCGAAGCTATGATGGTAGCCATCGTGGGTTCCTGGAGCTTTCACTCGAATGCGATGCGCAATCCGAAATTCCGATGAGTTGCAGGGATGCCTCGGTACGCTTGGGCCACCCGTTCAGAGCCTCATCGTCATGGTTGCTTGCATGCTGCGCTCACTCTTCAGTATCGATGCGCCAACTGTTTGCAAGCTTCAGATCATCCCTCCCATTCCGTGTTCTTTTTCATACAGGCTTCGTAAAAACATAGGGAAACTTCTCGAGCATCTAAAAGTTGCATCGGATCAACAATGGTCAACCAATCTGCGGCGGAGCAGACCCATGATGCAATCACAGAGGATGAGATAGTTGGGACAGAGACACCAAATCAACCTCAGCCTGCAACTGACCCCGCCTCCTCAAAGCGCCCCAATGCATGTATGTTTGATCCCGTATCTTCTACCAATCCAATGCGCAACCTTAACTTACAGTGCAGTTACAGAACTTATGTCACAGGCGAAGAAACCAAGACCACCTACCATACCCGCCGCAGACGGCCCAGGCATAATAGAGAAGGCCACGAAGGCGGCTAAGCGATGGGATCCGCGGAATGGATTAGGCGTCTACATCGAACGTCCTGAGACGAACCCAGAGAAGAAGGTGCTGAAGTACGACGATGACTTTGTTGTGATAGCCGACAAGTTTCCAAAGGCAAGGTAGGTATCCAGGCTATCTAAAGAATGGAGGAATGTAGCCGGCTGACAATGACCAAGCGTGCACCTCCTGCTCATCCCACGGAAACCCGTCTACTACGACCAACATCCTCTCCACGCTCTCTCCACAGACCCTGCCTTCCTCACCGAAGTTCGAGAACGCGTCGACCGGCTCAAAGATCTCGCTGTCTACGAACTCCGCCGTCAATATGGCGACATCAGCGCTTCAGATAAACCATACAACGAGGCCTTTGAGGCAATGATGAGCTCCCCCAACCCACCACCACCTGAAGAGCGTGCAGCCCTCCTTCCACCTGGTCGCGACTGGTCGAAAGACATAGTCACAGGCGTACACACACACCCATCAATGAACCATCTGCACATTCACATCTTCAGTCGGGATATGCATTCAGACTGGATGAGACATAAGAAACACTACTTGAGCTTCAACTCTAGCTTCCTCGTCCGATTAGACGAGTTCCCGCTAGAAGAAGGAAGCGAGAGGTTCCATCCTGGAGATTGGCCTAGCTGGGATATGAAGTGTTGGCGATGTGGGAGGAACTTCAAGAATAGGTTTGCGGAGCTGAAACAACATCTGGATGAGGAGTTTGAAGAGTGGAAGAGAGAGTGAGGATCTTTTCATGTCTAAAGTATATTTCAAGAATATACTTCTGCCTGTATGGAGTCATTCGTGCTTAGCTCTAAGTAACGTGCAATCGACGCGTCTCTCTCTCTCTCTCTCTCCACACTTCCGTACGCCAATGCGACGTTCTGGACCCGCTACGTTACGGGTTTTATAAGCATGACAGAAACAGCACATCTCAAACCACACACCTGTGAAGTCATTGAATATACGTCTCAGTGAGCATGTCTGTTATTTTCTAGTGTACTGGGTCACTTAAGAGACTCCTAGATCCGAGATTCTGCTACGCATTTCCCGTCTCCATGCTTGCCTACCGAGATCTGATTTGATCACTCCCTCATCCAGACATCGTATCTTACCCTGCTGATCCTAGCGAATAACCAAGGTCTTGACTACGTTGGTGTCGATATCATGCAGCTCAACCGGAAATTTGCACGAGTCGCCGAAAATGCAGCTCTTCGTGCCCTTGACATGATGAGTCTTGTGATGAGGCGCTGGACAGCAGTGGCCTAAAAGGTACGTGTACGAAGTCAGTATATGTCTCACATACAGTTTGTATAAGGATGTTTCTTACCATAGATACACCGAATATCCTGGCAGCCACTACCGTTGCTGCAAGGTGCCATGCGAGCGACGAGACGGAGGGTAGACACTTCGCTGGCAGTGGGCTTGTAGGCGTGGAGGTGCGTACAGTTTGTTTCGTAAGGGCACTCGTTCCGGAGGAAATGGACGTTGCACATCTTGATCTTCTTGACGCGATCCACTTCGATCTTATCGTAGTCCTTGCATGGTGGGTCGATGCGTTGGCCGGCGCGGTTGCGGGAAATGACTTCTTCACGGTTGGCCGACTTATACGTGGGTGACGAGTGTGTAATAAGTGGTGGTGGTGGAGCAGCAGCCTTAGCGGCCCAGTTCATCGGTGGCGCTGGTTTGATAGCTGGAATCATGCCGTCCGAGGCCAGTGTCGATGTTGATGGCGTTCTAGGCAAGGTCATTATCGTAGCCCGGCTTGGCAAAGGGCTATCCATGAGTGGAATCTTTGCTGGTGGTGGGAACCTGATAGGCAGACCTGTCGATGATACAGATGCCTTTGAGCTGTCATTGAAATCGGCCCTGCCGGCAGGAACAAACGCTGGTGGAAGACCGCCACTGTACATAGGACCAGCTCCCCAAACCACGACCTTGGTGTCGCGGAAAATTCCAGGGAATTTTCTTGTATCGTATGGCAGGTTCACGAGCTCTTTCTCGAACGGGACGCCTTCGAGGAGAATGATCTTGTTGACCAGCTCAGGACGATCGGAGCATTCCTCTAGCATTCGTGCGTAGCCGTTATCGTGCGAGCAACCGAAGAGAACCCGACGGCAATGATAGTCTTGACCGTATAGTAGACATGATTCTGCAAATGTTAGTACGGACTGGAGGCCTTCGTAGGGGTTACACAACGCAACTTCCTTAGAGTCACTCACCTATGATCTTCTCGTCAGCACGATCTTTTCCCGCGCCGACGTCAATGAAGTCGAACAGTGTTTTGCCCTGCGTGAAACCGCGCACGAACTCCTCAAACTCGAGGATATCTCGGTAGATTCCTTTGCACACAAGCACGTCACCGAGGCCCCGCACATTCGCATAGATGCGGCACACAATGCGTGCTCCGTAGGGGATATCGTTACACTCGTTGTCAACGTATCTCTGGACGGCAGCGGAGAGATCAAAAGCAGCTCGACGGCCACCTTGTTCGCCTTCGCAAAGGTATTTTTCACAAAACTAGACTCGGATTAGCAGATCAGTCTTCAAAGCGTAGCATGGTAATTCTACAATCATGCCATCGCCGTCGATCAGTATCATGACGAATGGGTTATCGGACTGTAGACTCGATATCAGTTTCGTTCTTAGACTTAAGCGGCGGTTTGCCTAATTTGCTACAACAACATTTGTCGAGGGCGTGTGTAGGAATGAAATTACCATCTCTCTCAGTATGCGGTTGTGCTTCTTATCATATTGCACCTTCTCGTATTGCCATGCAGTGACCCAAGCGCGATCGCGATCGCGTTCATTTACTAATGCCTGGTATTGCTGGTGCATAAATTCGTAGCGAGTAACCATCTCCTATAGTACAAAAGTCAGTTCACTTCGTGGGGACTCAACGTGGTGTTTCGCGTCAAACATACGGCCAAAACCCGGGTCTTTTCTTCTTCGAACTGCTGAAAATGCTCGAAACGCCCCGTGAACGTTGCTAGGTCGGAGTCTGAGAAGCCGAATGACGCAGGGCTAGCATGCCCATGGCCATTGAGCGAGCACGGCATCTCGAAAAGCGTGCGACCAAACTTGAGCTTCTAGCGACTGGCTGGTGTGCAATAGAAAGGCGCGAGATTGAATGATAGATCTGTAAATCAGAGATGGAAGAGGCTCCTGCGTGTGAATGGAGGGGGGAGAGTAAGTGTAGTGTGAGAGAAAGAAGTTGTGAGGACAGCCGAGCGCTCCTTCCAGGGTTCACAGGGAAGGTGTCAAGCTCGAATAGGCAATCATTGGTGAGGGTGAGTTATTGTACCATAGTTCAGGGATAGCGAAGATGGGGAAAGTGTCAGTCTGGCGTGTAATAATGTAATGCAACCAGGCGCAGTGCGTGATTGCGGCGGAAGGCCGCTCCACACGGGGCGGTGTATATGCGATCAGAGCAAATGAACATGTCAAGCTACAGATGAATGGTCGCTTCTTCGTTTGGAATTGAACGAGGCGCATTTGCGGCGTGGATGCCATGTGTAACGCAACGGCGCGTAGCAGTTGATGAGTCCATATTTGAAGAAGACACTGTAGATGGTACTGAGCCGATAGCTCATCTCTACACAAGGAACAATGTCCAAAGAGACATGGTATACAAGGAGTCGACAGGATACAGAGATTGAGACTGTTGCGTGAGGTCGTCGAGGTGAGGTGTCCGAGCAGAGATAGCTTCGCATTGCCGCGGCTCTAGTTCCGTCCTCCGACGCCAAGAGGAAGCTGCGCCCGGACGTCACTTCCAGAAGCCACGTTCGAATTACCCCATCTGTTCCCACACGCCCTCGCTCCTCCTCCTTCTCTCATCTCATCGTCTTGGTTCGCCTTCATCATGGTCAATTGGAAGTTTTCATCCCTGCTCTTGCTCTCCCTACGAGCTCTCGGCTCCGTTGCTGAGCCCGCGGTAAGCTCCGAACTTTCTGACGCAGCATGACATCAGATGGCTAACTATCGTGTCCTCAGGCTGAGAAGCAGGCAGTAGACGAGCCTCAAACCCCCAATCTCAACGTCGCCGTCTCCGTCTCTTTCCCCCAGTCTGAGATATTCGGCGTCAAGCTCATCAACGGCCAAGCCACCCAGGCGCGTCTGTCCGTGGTCAACAATGAGCCAACTCCTGTTGGCGTCACCATTGTCGGTGGCTCGTTGATCCAGGAAGTTGCAGGACAATCTCAGATCCTTCGCAATCTCACCCGCCAACGCTACTCCATTCAGATTCCCGCTGGCGCCAACGAGACGATTCCCTACAGCTTCACGACCGAGATGCACCCCCAAAACCTTCGTCTCCAGCTCGTGACTGTGCTCAAGGATAGCAAGAACAATCTCATCACTGTTCCGGTCTACAACGAGACTGTGAGCATTGTTGAGGCACCCACCAGCTTCTTCGATCCTCAGATGTATGTATCAACGCACCCTCTGTCATGCGCACGCTTGTCGCACGCCCACTTGTCTGCAGCACATGTACTTACTTTTTCCTTCTAGTATCTTCCTGTACCTCGTCCTCCTTGGCGCTTTCGGTGGCACTGTCTACTTCGTCTACAACACCTGGATCTCCACTTTCTTCCCTCAGAAGAAGGGCCGCGGCAAGGGTGGTGAGCGCGCTAAGATGTCTTCGGGCCAGAGCAAGAAGGTCGACCCCGCCGACCAGGTTGCCGTCGTCGGTGCTGATGGTCCCGCTGTCACTTCAGGCGCAAAGGCCTACGATGAGAGCTGGATTCCCGCCTCCCACCTTCAGCGCCCAGAAGCCAAGCGCGTCCGCAGTGGTACCCCCAAGGTCAAGCCCCGAGCTTAGATTCCCTGAACTCGAGTTTGGACTTGTTGGGAAAGACGGTTAATATGAACAGCATGTTAGCGTGCGCATGGTGTGGGGTATGCTTGTATATCCCAGACTCGAACGCAGTCGCGCGTTGAAAGATACGTTCCTGTGTTGGGCGCAGGAGGCTTGGATAACGATTTGGATGTACTATATTGCGACGTCTAAACGTTGGCCGATCTTGTATACTAGGAAAAAGAAATGTCATTGTTCTTCTGACAACGAATCGTTCACCATACACTTCAACATGCGTCGTGGATGCAGCCCAAGAGCACCTGCTACACCGCAACAATGACGAGATGCTGAGTTCACAGGTAACACTCATGCTCTGATACCCACGGACGCAACGTCCGCTTCTCACCTGCATTACCTTGCAGTTACATCCGCAGTATACATGTACTGCGCCGTGACCGACGCCTCTCTATCTCCACGCTAGTGCAAGGCGCAAAAAGAAATGTTGTAGAGCATATGCCACACCGTTCGCTCAGCCTGTCTGTGATCTAACAGCTGCCCCGCATCGCGATCTTGTCGCGTGTGGCGTACATGCAATTTGTAAACTTGCTCAGCCCGAAACAGTATCTCTAGTATCCAGATAGATGGCAAATCCCCCGACCTCGGAGATCTACCTTGCATCGTATTCTCCATCTCAGGCTGAAGTTCTCAAAGCTTTTGGTGGAAGCCTAGTAGAAACCATCAAACTAGACACATCCCTGACCGGCGTTTTACAAAAGACCAGCGGAAGTCCACCCCGCACTTTAGGCTGCGTGCATGACGTGTCGCAGTCTCCCATCTCCAAACAAGCACACACACCATCACCACACAAAGTTCAAACACGCATCAGCTACCATCACACACCTCGGCGTCTTGGCTGCTGCTCGACATGTGTAGGTGTGTAAGCTACAGGTGCATGCACAATAATGCATGCGACTGCGACTCTCGGGCCTTTTTGCTTTTCCGGTCGTTTGGAATGGAGGGTCGGCTCGCAGTACCTGTTGTACAGTGGGCGCACACGGAAAACCCATCCGGGGTAACGGGAGCTAATGGACCCGGAGTAACCCACGATCCCGTGCATAACGTTTAGACTGTGCTGATCGTATTTATCTCTTTTGAATGAGAATTATCCGCCGATTAGGTCCGGATCCGCATGTGCAAGACGTGATGCTCACGATGCCGTGGGGTGATCATGGCTCGAAACGGGAAGGGCTTCACATGTCATGGCGCGGGTGGAGTTTGGGGCACGCGCGCTAGATGTTTGCATGGATGGGTGGGCTGGGCGACTTGCTTGTGACTCCGAGGGTAGAGGGTTAGTGTGGGTCTAGTAAGGTGACTCAAGTTGGGTTGTGTGAGGGATATAAGATGGTCGGCCGCTGCCGGTGATGAGGCTTTTAACGGACAACCCATCAGCTGAAAGAAGACATCAAATACCCGATAACTTTTTACATCACACTAGTATATCAACGCCATCGATCAACAAGTCTCGCATCTAAATACCACAACACTATCATCACCACCTGAATTCATCGTCTAACAGCCGACACTATACCAACAAGTCAACCCAGCAACCCTACCTACACAACCACAATGCCGCCAGTCAGCCAATTCCCACCTGCACGTGTCTTTCTCAAGAGCGCAACCTCGACGCCATCGCCCATCAATATCTCGACATCCAGAAGAGCTAGTCTGACGTCACCGTTAAGCCCTCGATACACGACTTCATCTTCGAGTGCTTCGCAGTCCATGGCGCAAATGCTATCGCAAAGACCAGGGGCTAGAGAGGTCCAAGGGAGTGCGAGGAGAGTGACCAACTGATGACGCATTGATGCATTGTCTTTTTTAAGCGAATAAAGGCTGTGCCAGTATATCATATCTACGGATCATCAGATCAAGCCCAGCACATTTGCCGGGTTATCAACTGCGCCCGCGTCACGCAGACGACGCTCGCTAAGACCCGAGCACCGGAATACGGAGACATGCCTCACGACACTGGTTGTCAGTCGAGCGACGAGGAAGGTAGCGACATTGTTGAGAAGTGTCGTGGAAGTAAAAGTTTCATGTTAAAACATCATGGAGCGCAGTGCGTGCGTACATATTCACGCCAGGAGACATTTGGGAGGTATGCGATAAGGACTATACAAAAGTCGCAATCGGCGTTTTGACCGCCTCGAGATGGTATAGATTAACGATACCCATGAATCTCCTTCAATTCCAAAAAGTTCATCTATCTGACCTTGCACCGTTTTCCTCAATGCAGAGTGATGCTCTCTTCGGTGCAAAGTAGGCGGCGATACCGCATGCATCTCAGGTCACCATGTGTATCTTCGCAGCCTATGTCTTGTTCTCGGGTCAACTCCTAATGGATTAGTGTGCCCAGATAATACGAGGCTTGGTAAATCATGTCGTGAACTCATTTCAATTGTATAAGTCAAACCTATAACGACTGTGGGTATTCGTAAAACTGCGCCTTTCATCACCATTTCTTCCTGAGCTGGGCCCGTTACTGTCACAGTAAAGATACACAACTCCCAGCCTCTAGCCTGATAGCTTCTTGCCGAACGAGCTCCGCGCAACCAAACTTCTAAACCTCTTTCCAAACACATAGGCCGGAATAGTAAGCGCACAGACCCCCAGGTTGATAACTGTGATTCCGTCAAAGACAGCGCGCGGCCCAATGTTCGCCATGATACCATTCGCATACGTCGTCGCAATAAATGTGAACACCGCTTTGGTAAAGTTGATAGTGACAAAAGCCTGATTCGCGTCCTTGGGATGACAATCAATGACATAAGTCAGACTGGCTGTTGAGGCAAACGGTACAGAAAGCGAGTGAATGGACATGAAGACCAAGGGCCAGACGATGGGATAGCCAGCTGAAATACTCATTCCGAAGCCGAGGAAGCCGATTGTGGCGAAGATGACAGCGGGGATCATGAGAGTCAGGCGGAATTCGGGTTCGAAAACGCCTTTGTTGCGGCGAGCCATGAATTTGGCGAGGGCATCGGCTGTCCAGCCTGAGAGGGGTGAGCCGATGAGAGCGACGACAAGAAGAGGCAGATTGGTAAGACCGACTTGTGCCGGGTTCAGCATATACGGTGGCGCCGAGAAGATATTGACAGAGAGAACAGAGATAGTGAGCAGCCAAGTCTAGGAGTGAAGGACGAAGATTAGTATATGCTTCGCGCGCAGTTTGGAAAGTTTAACGCACAAAGTAAGACCCGTACACGATTGTACTGAAGAGTACTGCTGGAAAGGCGATCAATGGTACAGGCTTCCAAGCGTTCTTCCAGAATGACTCTGGCGACAAACGACCACGGAACAGCGCCAGTTGACTGCGATATGGCTCCCTTTCGTCTTCAAGCTCAAATACGGATTTGTGTTTCTCGTCGAATCCAAGTTTGTCCATAGTGGGCCGCGGGCCGTAGTAGGTGGTTTCGACGACGAAGAAGTACATGCCGAAGAGGATGGGGATAAAGATCAGGGCCGAGATACCAAATGTCGCCTCGAAAGAGATGTTCTGGATGATTGCACCAGCGATCGTCTGGCTGAGGTAGGATCAGCACGTGGATGTAACGATTAAAATGGAAAGCCACATACCCAAGAAGCACACCAGAAGCTAGCATACAACCCCAGACTGCGATACGAGTACCACGTTGGTGTACAAAGTACATATCGGAGACCGTGGAAGTGACGAGTGTCTCGAGAGGTGCTGATGCGATACCTTGAACGACTCGCATAACAGCTAGAGAGACAAAGGACTATATCTCATCAACGGAGAACAACCTATCTTATCTTTTGATACACACCTTGGTGAAAAATCCCCATACGTTCGTTGCAAGAAGAATCACGGTGGAAATGATAAAGAATGGACGCTTGCCCCAGATGTTTGCTCCAGCAGCTGTGAAGAATGTCGTGAACCCGATCCAGAAAGCAAGGAAACCAATGACAAGACTCGCTACCATATCAATGCTGACGTTGTATTTCATGGCAATGAGCGGGAGGGCAGGCGTCACCATTGGCCCGAGAGATGTCGTTACACCTGAACTGAAAGCAAGAAGAATCATTATGCACTCTTTCCTGCTAGGTGACCAATTAAGCGGATCGTTAGGGCTGTTCGAGGGTTGTGGCTGCAGGATGATGTCGCCATCGCGCTTAAGTTCGCTTGAAGCCACCTTGGAGTCCAGAGCAGGTCCAGAGTCGTTGATGGTAGATGTCCCTGGAGGGGCAGCCATGTGACGGTCTTCTAGAATACCGAAACCCATCTTAGCGGCACTGAGATAGCTCCCAAACGTGGACGAGGGAATATGATGAGTGGAAAGAACGTAGCGGACTGCCGGCAGTCTTATCGAACGCGCTGCGTCGAATAAGAGGATATAAAGAATGTACAGTGAATAAAGCGACAGTGAGACAACGAGACCAGCTCTGGATGAGGAGTTCTTTGGGTCGACCTTCTTTATCACCACAGCGCCCTCAGGCACGACGTCGGAGGCATCAAGGGTAGCCTGATACTATCGAAACCCCACTGAAGCATTCGAGACAAAGCCCTATAATAACCATGCCCGTTGATCAACGCCTTACATGGGGCAACTGCCGAAGCATGACCACGTCTAGCCGAACGCGACATCCAACATAGCATGTTTCAGTATGTCGGAACTTCTCAGAGATTGATATGTCCAATTGCGAGCCAGCTCCTATGAGTTAAGAAATGCATCTTCTGAATAAAGACATGGTCATCGTGTTCAGCTAGCAGCATGTTTAACTATCCGGTCATTGCTGGTTGGCTGTGGACGCGTGCCAAACAATGCGACTCGCTTTGAGAACGCCGACATTCCGTCAGAAACATCATCACCAGCATTCTCAGCCGCCGCTGTAGCGCGCCAGCGTATGATCCTGTCGAAGCAGTTTTACTTTTATCACAAGCTGGAGGGTGATAGACAGATCCGATGGCGCGTACATGGTGTTTGATCGCGGAACGGATGATACAGTTGTCTCCACATTCCGAGTCCAGTCTATCTCAGGCGGGAAGTGGAGTGGATAAATACTTTCTAATGATCGTGAAGGCCTTCATAATTTTAGGTTGCTCTGCAACTATCGTCAGAATAGCTTGCGCGTTCGTGCGTGGGTAAAGAGATCTACGCGTTTCGCGTCGACTGCCGAAGACAACCTGCGTGATGATCGTGTGTACAATGCGCGACGTCTTATGCATTAATGTCGCGTCGATCATACGACAAAGCTGGACAAATGCGCGTTGAGTCTCGTTGAAAGTCAATGTTGATGAGAAAGTTGACTGCAACGAATTTGGGAACCTAGGGATTTGTCGCCCTTAGCTCTATTCAGTATGGTGCCCGACGTCATCGCCATCGTGGGGCAGCGACATATACCCCGCGACGGGTCATGGCGTATTTGCTATTGGAAGAAAGCACTACGTCCTCCACTACAATTGCCATTTAACCGCAGTACAGCCGTGGACAAGAAGACATAAGTTGAGAAAAGTGAGCTTTTTGAAATCCTCCAAAACTTCCTGTGCCACCAACTTGCGAAATTTTCATCAAGATGTCTATTGGTATAGCTATCATCGGCAGCGGTATCTTCGCCAAAGAAGAACACTTACCCGCTATTCAAGACACACCGTCATTGAGCTTGAAAGCGGTTTACTCGCGGTCACTCAAATCGGCAAAAGCTTTATCGGAGAAGCTGTCCGACGTGGAGCTCTACAGCGACGACCAAGATGGCAAAACATTCGAAGACTTACTGAAGAGGGATGATGTAAAGGGTGTGGTCATCGCGTGCGTATACTACTTGTCAAAGTATAGAACACGATCCACTGACAAAGCACAACCTAGACTACCAATCCTAGCTCAACCAGACTACATCAAGAAAGCCCTCGCAGCCGGCAAACATGTGTTGGCCGAGAAGCCTATCGCGAAAGACCTAGCCACCGCCCAAGAGTTACTCTCATGGACCCAGGATTCATCCAATACCTCTGCGACCTACACTGTAGCAGAGAACTTCCGCTTTATAGACTCCTATGTCTGGGGTTCAGAGCAGATCGCTTCTTTGGGCCGCATTCTTACCTTCCGCGTACGTGTTGCTGCTATGGTCCAGGCAGGCAGCAAGTACTACGAGACAGAATGGCGTAAGAAGCCTGACTACCAAGGCGGCTTCGTGCTTGACGGTGGTGTGCATTTTGTGGCTGCGACCCGTCTTTTACTACAAGGCGGTGGCCAGAAAATCAAGAGAGTCAGCGCGTTCACTGCACAGCTCCAGGAGCATCTCCCCCCACTTGACACTGTCAATGCTACAATGCAGCTCGACAATGGTTCGTCTGGTACCCTCTCGATCAGCTTCGGCACAACCGACACAGGGTCTGAGTACCTCATTGCATGCGAAAAGGGCTCAGTACACTGTGCTCGTGGCAAGGTTACCATCACCAAAGACGGAAAGGATCCAGAGACGAAAGAGTTCCCAGATGAGGGCAATGGAGTGAACCAGGAAATCAAGGCCTGGGCCAAGAGTCTAGAGCAAGGAAAGCGGAACGAGATGCAAAGTCCTGAGGAGGCACTGAAGGACCTGGAGATCTTGGAGAGCTGCTTGAAGAGTGGTGAGCAAGGTGGTAAGCCGATTGATGTTAAGCAGTAGTAGATATCATGGTCTAAGCTACAGAATCAAGGCGTGAAGCTGCAGCGCTTGAAACAACATTTTACTGCTTTCATTTCACAGGTGTTTTGCTAACTAATGTCTCTGCATTTAAAACTTCTTTTGAACAACTTTCTTGCAGCCTTATATCCCTGTAGCTGTTGCGTACCCTTCTCACTTACTTTGATGCATTATTCTATTATGCACGCGACTAAAATATTGCCAATCCCGCACTTCTGATCTTACAAGCTCCTCTCTAAAGCAAAATACTTGCCTTGGTACGGCAACTATAGAAGAACAACATAACGCTACAAAAAAAACGCAAAAGGGCAAAAAAGCACCTTATCCCGTGAAGCGGGATAAGGCGACGTCTAATGGACCCATCAAGGGGGCCATTTTTCGTTTCCAGACATTGTTTCCCTGTTGTATCCTCCTAGTGTCTGGATGTTACTGGAGGCAGGGCGGTTCGAACAAGCGAACTCAGATGAGCTTCGGTGTGGAACGATTAACCAAGGTTCCTTGAAGTCGTTAATATTGTGGTTGCGGACTTCGTTTCTTGGTCGCTCCTTGCGAAACTCAGCTAAAGCTGCTTGTTGATGGAAGATTCGGTATTCTGATGGTATATATAGGGGGAGAAAGTTGGGAGTGTAGGGTAGGACTTGGGGCGGAGTGAAGGCGGGATTGGAGGTGAGCTGATTGGAGCCTGAAGAGAGCGGGAAATAGACGTGGGTGTGCGTGTTTGGATATCTGGGTGTTTGTGCGATGGCGGAAGGTCGGAGCGCTTCTGAGAAGCGAGAGTGATGATGGCGGGAATGACGATGAGCTCGGGGAAGGCCTCCACAGCTTGATGGTTGTGGTTTTAAGACACAGTCCTATCACTATTGTGTAGTCTCCGAGAGTGGATTGAGACGGCGCTGGTTGTTAAAACAGCCATGGTAATGCGTAGGTATTGTGCAGCTACTAAACGTCAGCTATAAGGCCGTTGAGATAGCTGGGTTCGTGCATAGTCCAACTTCGAGTTCCGGCCCCTTTCCGCACTAAAGCCACATCTTGAGGATATTGATTAGGAGTACAAAGGCAATGAAGTCAGATAGCCAGACGTTTATGTACAATCGTTAAAAATGAGAGTCAAGAAAAGTAAGCGAAACGATGAGTGAGATGAGCTGTCGGCGAAATGGCAGTAACATAGAGCAAGACAAGCTGTGCAATTTGCTGAGCAGGCATTCTCACACAATGAACATGGTCTTTTTCTCACAAAAATCGATCACTTAATGTGCAAGAGAAAGAGATTGACACTTAAAATTTACAAAGGAAAGAGACACGGAAATTCTCTTACAGTACGCGATCCAGATCTCAATTCGACAACTTTGATGGCTAATTAGTCATCCTCTCACTTGGAGTTTTGTCCCAGCTCTTGCATCTCTTTCATCTTCCGCTGCGCCTCCAACTCAAACGCCTGCTTTCTGAATGCATCAATCTTATCGTCAATTACTGCAATCTGGGCTTCGACCCGTAGAAGCTTTTCCTGCATCATGTTCTCGTAGTCGTCGTCAGACAAGACTTGCATGGGGCTCCACTTGCTCTTTGCAATCTTGTGCATGAAGTTCTCTTTGGGCTTGTCTTCACCTCTCGCTCTCAGCTCAGCCTGTTCCCGAAGTTCGCTGGAGTTTCTAGCATCGAGATAGTTGTACCCATGTTGGCCCGCCCAGCCGAACAAGGTGAACATGATAGTACCTGGGATGACATTTCGAGGGCCGCGAAACAGAAGTCCAAGATTGAACCCGGTGAGGCCACCAGCGATGGCTGACGCGCGAACCTTGTCAGAAGTAGTTGGGTTAAGGTCACTGCGGGGATAGAAAGGTGCGCCTCGAGTGATGTTCCACCAGTTGAGTAGGCCAGCGTGGTTGAGAATAGACGTGCGGATGCCCCAGAACGTGCTGCCAATAGCGAACCATTGGGCCCCTGAGACGATGGAGAAAAGAACCGGAGTTTGCGTGCGGACGGTACCGTAGAAGGCACCAATCACAGTACCAGGGATTGCTGAATCACATTAGACAAAACCATACATTTGTGAGAAATAATGATAAGGCCACGTGCAAGAATGAATTGAAGCACAAGATACGACAGTCTGAAATTATGTGGAACGATGAAACGTCAATGTGCATACCTGAGGCTCCGCCAACCAATGCCGCTTGCCTGGTAACCTCGAGGGGTTGTGTGACCTGCTCTGGGTCATATTTTGCTTTCATCGCTCTTTCATTGATGCGATTCGGCGTGTGAGGGTGCTGAATCAGTTTCGGGTAAAGACAATTCAGGGCTCGGCGTTCGTAATGCCGTGGTTGCAAAAGAAAAGCGATGACTAAGCGAGGCCCAACGGACGCACAGCTTAAGATTTCCGTTCGGGAAAGAAGAACTCACCCCACACACGAAACAACGACAGACCCCGCAACCACCTACCACCCAAACCGAGAGTAAAAGACGCTCTCGAACGCCAAACCAGACAGCGTGCGGAATTTCTACGCGCGACGTCTGCAAAACCGCAATCATGGGTAAGTTGCGCAAATTGCAAGCGTCACTCGAGCCGGCTTTTTTGCCCCGCTCTGTACCGCGACCAAAACAACAAGATGATGGCTGACATGTGTTTTGCAGCGCCCAAGAAGAAGGAACAGCAGAAGATGGCCCTGGGAGACTTCCTAGCAGACCAATGTATGCCCCGCCTACCTGCCCTCGAGGGCGCACGGAACTGACAGAATGCAGCGCTAGGATCATGGGCCGACGAAATGGAGGATGCGCCAATGCCTGGTGAGTTACACGCATACTGGTTCTGGAGTAGCTTGACATGCTAACATTCGCAGGAGTTGGTAAATATACCCCACCAACACTCGCCGCGCGAACATGCAACCAACGGTAGACTTACACATGTACAGGTGCCGGTAGAAGCTCTGGCTATGGAGGCGACAGGCCTACCTTTGGCTCTGGAGGCGGCAGCGGCTTCGGTGCCGACCGCGCTGGCAGCTTTGGTGAGGACAGCTTCTCTACATGACTTTGCATATGTTAACAATTTCGCAGCCGACCGTGGATTCGCAACTCGTGAGGCGCTTCCCATGCCCTCCAAGCCCCCGTACACGGCCCACTTGGGCAACCTCTCTTTCGATGCCACCGAGGGTGACGTAACCGATTTCTTCGCCGACTGCGAGGTGACCAACGTACGCATTGTCGAGGACAAACTAGACCGAAAGCCCAAGGGTTTTGGATACGTCGAGTTCGGCAGTGTCGATGGCCTGAAGAAGGCTCTCGACCTGTCCGGCACATCTTTCCAGGGCAGGAACATCCGCGTCAGCGTCGCTGAACCACGTACGTTGTATCCCCATCACACGCGCAAAAAACAACTGACATTATTGCAGCCAAGGACCGCCCAGAAGCCCGAGACATTTCAGACTGGACCCGAAAGGGGCCCCTCCCCGATCTCCCTGGCCAGCGCAGTAGCTCAGGACGAGGCGGCTTCGGCGCGGGCCGTGACCGTGGTTTCGACGCCGGATCCGATGCCGGCAGCGAGCGAGGTGAACGTCGCCGCCCACCTCCATTCGAGGGTGATGGCAAGTCCCGCGACTTTGGCAACTGGGAGCGCCGAGGACCCCTCTCGCCATCTGCTGCACCCGCTCCTAGCGAAGGCGGCCGTACGCGAGGCGGCTTCGAAGGAGGACCCCGCGAGGGACGCAGGCAATCCCCAGCCTGGGGTGAGGGCCAAGGTACCGAAGGTTCCCGTGGACCGCGCCGTGAGTTCCAGGAGCGACCGCAATTCGAGAGGCAGCCCACTGCCGCAGACAACGACAACCAATGGCGGTCCAAGATGCGCCCCGACGCGCCTGCTGTCAAGTCGCCCACATCTACACCCGACGCTAGCACACCATCATCGCCAGCACCGCAGCCGGCTGCACCGGCCGGCCGTCCTCGCTTAAACCTGGCGAAGCGAACAGTCTCCGAGGCTCCAGCAGCCCAAGAGGCCTCCACCCCTTCGGATAAGCCCAACCCATTCGGTGCCGCACGTCCCATTGACACTGCTGCTCGTGAGAAAGAGATCGAGGAGAAGAGGCAGCTAGCTATACGCCAGAAGAAGGAGGCGGATGACAAGGCTCGCGAAGAGAAGAAGGCCAAGGAAGCTGCAGAGAAGCCAGCGCCCAAGGACTCCGCGCAGCCAACACCGACGAAGAAGGAGGAGAACGGTACCGAGGAGAAGCCCAAGTCCAACTTCGAGATCCTTCAACGGGTTGATGAGGGCAACTCTGCTGGCCAAGACGAGGATGCTGAAGGAGAGATCGTACACGACAAGGACGTTAAGCCGCAAGAGATTACTCGCGACCCACCAAAGGCTGAACAGGGTTCATGGAGGCGGAAGTCCAGCACACCCGCAGCACCTGAGGGCACTACTACCGAGGCTATGGACGATGACGGCTGGAGCACTGTCACAAAGCCTACCAAGAACGTTAAGAACAACCGTCGGGGAGGTGGAGGTGCGCCGGCTCGTGCCATTGCGTCTTAGGTGGGCGTACCCATTGGCTAAACTTCGCCCCGGTGCTGTGAGCAGGATGATCGCAACGCATATTTGATGGCGTGGTGGCGTCCTTTGTATTTCTGGGCTTGTGCTGTTCATTACAGCTGTTTTCATTCGATGGTCCTCCGATGTGCTGCTCTACTGCTCAATCATCGCCCTTTCTACGGCCCTGTTCATCCGAGCGCGAGTTGCAAGGCGTCCGTGGCTGGACTTGGAACCTTTCATGAGCTTCTTTCTGCATGCCCCATTACGATGCCGTTCCTTGGCGCTGCTCGTCTCCAAAAGTATCGGTCTTCCTCCTAGACCTTCCGGACTCGGTAAATATAGGATATGCCATATTTTCGATCATCTCCTCTCGCAAGTGTGTCTGTTGTTGTGGCTCAGCCAAGCTTTCTTTGATGGATCTATGTTACGGAACTAGAGGTGTGATATGCACAGGCATGTATTTAGCTGCAACAAGAATCGTGAAAATATCTACACTCCAATGCTTGACCAACGGTTGCGATGATGCAGCTTGACACTAGGACGTGCATCTGTGATCTTGATGAGGGTCTGGTAAGAGTGTATCGTTTCGAAAAGTCCACGTGTGCAAACTATAAATCGATTTGATACCATAGAGTCTGTTCCTTAGTCGTTATCCTTCTTTCTTACTAGATGCTTACATTCACTCAAAAATCTAAGAGGCTGTTTAATTGGAATTCGCAATTTAAATTTTCATATTCGAAAGTCCAAAACATCAGACCCTCTACACTATGTCCAGTACTCTGAACCTCTAGAAAGTCCAGCCTCCTGACGTCTTGGACAAAATGATTGCTAAAGCCGCTAAGCTATTCCTTTCTAGTTCTAGAATCTGGCGTCCTCTCGCGAAGGAGAGGGTAGGCAAGTTCTGCAAGCTAGGTATGTATGCTCCCTTTCTCTCCATTACGAACAAATTACTAAAATTTACATTGGATGCTGCAGTCTAGAATAGTTTGTTGTAAGAAAATTTATAAGTTTTTATAGTACTGTAGACTTCGAAGTTGTCTGTTTACAGATTTCAGATTCTATTGCGCTTTGTTGTAGCAAGCTCACAACGCCTTAGAGCTTACAAAAAAGTGTTCAGTCTTTTCGTTAAACATGGTGAACCGAAGAACGCAAGGTCGGAAACCTAAAAGTTCTAGCCATACTAACGCCTAGCTGATCGCCGTTGACGTGCCGCGGACAGGGTTCCGGATGCAGGATCCCGGTACGCGCGCCACAATACGTCAGATGTGCTCAGCTTGTGTCCAACTTTGATATCTTGCTTTGGCGTCGATTGCCCTACGCTATCACTTTTCTTTTCGTATCGCACCATGCATATAGTGCTTTCTTCCAATTAATTAAACAAGGATTCCGACACGTATCGCCTCAGATTCTATCGGCAGAAGAATCAAGCACTAACCTACCTTCGACACTAGGCGTAACACTGAAGGACCGACACCAAACGTTCATATGCTCACATAGAAGGAGTTTGTTTGATACAATGGCAGCCAAGCCATCATCACCAGGGCCTAACGCAACACCTGCAACCCCGGTTAAGCAGACACGGTCCAGGAAGGCCACTACTCCAAGCCAGACTGAACAGGGAAGAGCAGGGTCAGCAGGCGGAGTAGTGTTACCAAAAGAGCCCTCAGCAAAGGTTCCAGCATCGTCAACAAAGAAAGCTGCAGTAGCACCAAGTACCGATGACGTTACTGCAGCGGCGGCGAAGACGCCGAAAAAGAAACCTAGAAAGTTGAACAAGGAACCTACGTCGACATCTACGGACACTGCAAAGTCTACCGCCACGAATAAAATCCAAGCAGATGTACCATCACCGTCTGAACTGGAATCACTGAAGTCTCGTGTTAGGGGCTTAGAAGCTAAAGTCGAAGAGCTCTACAAAGCAGGTGCTATTCCCGACTCCCGACCAGGCCGCTCACCTCGCCGACGAGGGAAAGGTCGAAAAAGTTCATCCGCAGCCCAGGTTCCCACACTTAATACCACGGCTAATGACAGCAATGCTAGAGTTCAAGAAGTCGACGATGATGACGAAGAGGAAGAGGCAGACGAAGAACTCGTGCGCCTCGAAGGCGAATTGGAGGTAGCAAGACAGGATTTAGAACACTTCCATCCGCGCACGAGAGGAGCCACAAGTGGAGGAACAGAGTATGTCGAGGAAATCGATAGGGGTGCATCAGGAACGAGTGCTGGTACAGACAGACAAGTTACCCTATCGGGAAGCTACCGTATCCCAATCCCCGCAAACGTCAACCTCGAGGACGTCAAAACCATTAAATCAGGTGTTTCCGCCGCGCAGAACGTTGCCAGGTCTTTCCTCGAACAGCGACGCGCTGCTGCTGCACTGCGCGCCGACAACAACGCTTCTTCACCACAACACCAGTCTAACGCCAAGACCACCAAAGTTTCTGCTTCCAAATCTTCTTCTGCAGCTACATCCAAACCGAAGAGGAGCATGAGTTCAAACATGGAGGTCGCTGTTGATAATAGCGACGGGAAGCAGAGTTGGAGTGAGTGGATCGGCGGGTATAGCATGGCAATTACGAGGGCGGTTAGTAAGATCGAACATGAAGCTGCTGTTGAGGCGCAGAGGAGTGGAGGCAGCGGAAGTACGAGTGCCAATAGGCCTGCGGCGGGTGGTAGGAGAACAAGTGCGCCTACATCTAAAAAGGTCGCAGGGAAAAGACCGGCTGCTAAGACTACGTTGAGTGGAGAGCAAGTCCATGGCTTGATGAGTTAGATGGTGAGGTGGGATATGTTGTATGATACAGAGCTTTGAAGATTAGATGGGGGCGTTTGCAGCCACATTGAAAAGCACAAGTGCAGCTACGAGATGTAATATGCTTAGGTATTGTGGCTACTATCTCAAGTACTTTGAAGCTGTGCCAATCATGATACAGCAACACCATCTTACGGTGCCCATATATTTAGGTACTAATCATCCTGGGCATGTGCACGCTTCAGTACTCCACCATTCTGTATATTCGCCCCATCATCTCCGTTTTCCGCCGCTTGTCCAACGTTCTCGTTTCCATGCGAAGCCGACACTTCCGTTTGGAGACCAATACCCGTAAGCTCTCGCTGTGGATCGTCGACAAGAGGAGCGTCTTCCTCTGGGGTGTCTACAGGCTTGTCTTCTGCAGCTGCGGCAGTAGCTGTGATGAGTCTGCCGCCACCGCCGCCGCAGCAGCAGCATCTTCAGGTACCGAATCCAAGGGCGACTCTCTTTGTGCTTCGCTACCTGCAGTAGCAGATTTGCTCAATCCTGAGGACTGACTGTTGTGGCTCTTCATACTACTCCTTGGTGAGACTGAGGACCTCGAAGAATGAGTCTCATTTGACTTCACGCCCTCTGCCTTCTCTCTCGTAATGGATTTGTTTGCTTCAGGTATAACTGGCATTTTCCCCAAGATTCCTGTGCCGGTGCAGTTATCTCTTGTGCTTTTCTTCTTCCTGTACTCAGTACCTGCGTCCAGCCCATGAAGGGCCATACCATGCAACCCGCTCATTCTCTTTTTAGGCCTCTGACTCTTCCAGCTAGCAACGGTAATTGGTTTACCTCGACCACCTGCGAGCCAGAATAATGTTGGTGGGAGGCGTTCATGGTCTTGTAGAGTAGAAGGTGAACCAGCGCCGCCTAAGGCTGACAAGAGGTGGTTGCGTAATAAAGTGTACTGCAACGTTTGTAGATAAGGCAGGACTATGGACTGAAGGAACTGCGTGACGAGCGAATGTTGATAGATAGGAGAACATAGAGCGAGGCTGCGGGTGGGTAGCTGCGAAACTTGCTGTGCGTGATAGTGGTAGATTAGTGACGTCTCCACTGCCAGCTGCAGATATGCCCGTCCTTGGTGTCCCTTGACTTCTGTCACGTCTCGAAATACCTTTGGGAGGATGCGATATACCATGAGCCCTTCTTAGAGCCCGTAAAACTTCGGCCGGGTTCGGAGTTCTCGCTGGTGGCAGGTTCTCGTCACTGCCGCCTAAATCAGTGGTATAGCCATGACTAGGCCTGTGACAAGTAAGTAGCAGCTGTTTGAGCATTAGACCACAACCGCCATCATGTACATGCTCTTCTCTTCCACTACCACCTCGTAGTCTGGGTATGACATCCTCAGCGGGTTCTTCCTGGAAGTCCGGTCGTTGATCGTTTATACTAGATCCTGCTCTTGATTTTGTTCGTCTTGTATGATGACGATTGTTTCCTGATCGCCTCGAAGCTCGTGAGTTTTGCTGTGGTCGCTCTGGTACGTGTCCGGGGTATCCATTACTGTCATACAACTGTGCGTCGATGCTAGGTCGCTGCTCAGGACGCGGACTTTCAACAACGACATGTCCGCGTGTATCCAGATAGCCCTCAACGACGAAATTACTGCGCGGTGGTTGCAGCGACCGACGTTGCTCTGGAGTATCAGTGAAAGCTGCAGAAAACTTCTGACCATAGAAGACTGTCTCAGAGAAGTCTATCGTCCGGTCTGAAGCTTTTTTGAGACGCGCAGCGCGGGCAAAGTCAACTAGTGGGCTTGGTTCGCCGGCACGAATGTCGTCTAGATGCTGAGACACTTCACTTCGAAGAACGTAGGGGTGGTCCTTTGAGTTGGGTAAGCCATGGTGATAATGCAGTTTAGGACTTATTGGCCTTACTTCGTTGCGCTCAAGAGCACTTTTCCGCCGCCGGGGAACATCCGCGCTCACGGTAATCGTTCTATGTTCTGGCGACTGCGAGATCCGCCGGTCAGGAGGCGGGTCCATACTATTGTTGACAGCACCAGGCCGGGGAACAGGTAGTGCTGCCCTCCTTGGGAGATTGCCTATCCTTTTCGCTGCGACTTCAGGAGGCACTATACGCGGGCCCTCTTCGGACGACGAACTGTGCTGTGGAAGAGACGGGCTTTGGAATATTGCATCCTTCTTGGCCTGCAGGCCTGGTTTCCGCCCGAAAGCTGATCTCATGTGAGAGAGCGCACTTCGAGACCGACACTCGTTGCATGGCTCGCTGGAAGGTGACTTTAGGGGTCGCATACCGCAGAAGTTGCAGCGTGGGCGTTCAATGCTGGAAAACGAGTGGTAATTACTGGAATCATAGGAACAAGGCTGGCTGGGTTCGGAGAAAGATGGAACCTGTACTTGAATGACTGGTAGTTGTTGGACAACCTGTGGATTGGTACCAACAATAACTCGTCGTACAACCACGCCTTCTCCGAGTGCCGTGCTCGATCGTAGGGTAGAACTGGGTTGCGGGGCTGCCCTTCGTATGGGAAGAGCTGCCAAAAATGTATTGAAGTCGGAAGAGATGCGTCGCTTTAGATTCTGAGGTCGTTGGGGTGTAGAGCCGGAGATTGCTAGCAAAGGAGATTTAGGAGCGGGTTTCCCTGGGTCCGGCATATTCAGTATATAGAGGTTAAGCTTGTACAAGATCTGGAAATTGAAATGTACACGACTAGTAAGCGGTGAACTTGTGTGCATTGAGGACCTTTGTTTCTTCCTGGTAGATTGAGCGTGGATCTGTGAACTGTGAAGGTCTGGATCTGGATCGTGTGTTCAACAACTTAAGATTCGTAGGCCATGTGTAAACATTGCCAGCAGCCATGACGTGGTACAGTAAAGAACCATTTGCGAACGGTCTATTGGTGAACACAGCGGCAAACGTGAAGATGGAGCAACGCCAAAAACACAGCAATGTTGGCCTTTACAGAAAGTCGTGGTCTTATGCAAGAGCAGTATCGTGGCCGTGAAATGCCCCTGCTTGCTGCGTAGGGATGTGATTGTTTTCGGCTGCAACCAACAGCATACTGCCTATCCATGGTCGTTGGCAGAGCTCATGGTCTTAGTACCTGTGAAGGCGTCCCTCTTCAGACCAGTCGTACATATCTCGTAGGTGATTTCGATCAGACGCACGTTCTGGCCTCCAGTCATCGTCATCATCGTTGTTGAAGTAGCCACAGTTGCGATTGCGCGATGGGCCCGGAGAACAAGCAGCACACCTACCATCACGATCGCCAATCTGATCTGTGAGGATTTCGCAGAGACTGCACAGCACATTGACCCGATTGCAGATTGTAAGCAGTGTGCCTGGGGCGTACAGCGCATCTCTTACCCCGCATTTGAGACAGAATCTTGCATGTGCCTGTGTGCCACTGCGACACCACTTCCCTTTTCTCATGTCATCGGCGAAGTTTTTCCAATGGTGGAAGCGGATGCAGCCTTTGCAGGTATAGAGCTGTCTGGCTTTTGCCCAAGTAGTTCCTTCGGCAGCCAGGAACTCGACATGCGTCGGTGGGGGAATGATAGATTTGAAATAGCGAGTCGTAAAAGCCAGATTGACTTTGCTGCTTAGGTCGAGAAGACTGACTATTTCTAGGTGAAGCTCAACGGGCAGGCGAAGTACAGGCGGAGAAGACATGGTATGCAGACCTTGTGCACGTGGGACAGGCTTTTGAGAGCGGTTCTTCTGAGACCAACGCATCAGTTGAGGTTATTTGAGAGATCTGCGTCCGGCTTACGGTTGACACTTTTCGGTTGCTGTGGGTTTCTTCGCCGGCGCACTTTGCTGCCTGCTGCGCAATATACGCAGAACGCGAGCTGGAAAAGCAAGCCGCAGTCTTTCTGCTGTTTGTCAAGGGAACGTGTAATACTTATGGGTATCGCATGGGCAAGTCGTGCTACAATCCATGCTAAAGTTGGGAGAATGAGCAGGCTCTGAGCACAATTACAATTTACGCCCCTTGTGTAATGCAAGACGCACGTCAAAAGTCACACGGACCTCCAAGGCCGCGTATCCGTATGTTCCTTAGGCACGACGAATGGTGGAGCCTTTTCGCCGCGGCATTGTTGCCGTGTTCCGCCAGTTGCCTTTCTGGGTCTGTTGCACGAATTCAGGGTCCGGAGATTGCGCTGAGGTGTTCTTTGTCCGTTCGTCAGCCACACCGCATATGTGGCAGTTTGTCACCTCATCAAAACCAAACTGGGATCCGGGATAGAAATGGCTCAAATATATTTCGGACGGCCTTCTTCATATCACAACAACTACTCCTTCTTCAAGTCGTTGAGTACCATGTAGCGCGACAGGGAAATCCAGCCCCAACGGAACCAGCGCATTTGACTTTCATGTGCCGTGGTCATGGCTTTCTGAGCAGTCCTGTAACCGACCGGTGAGCTGACGAATAAGAGTGGAGTGGGAAAGCCTCCGAGCTCCTTCTTTCGGACGACTGCGCCAATGATTGTAATGGGCGCATCCAACAAGCTAAGATATTTACGGAATATGGAGGTAGTGGTGAGGGTGTACAACTTGACAGGGCACTCCCACCCACTGTGTCGGTGCATAAGTGCCTTTAGAAATGTATGCGCTCCGTCGTGGAGCGATTTGTGATTGGGGTGGTCGGAGACGCCGTGTGCGTCAAATGTGATTATAGCGTCGACGGTCGCCTGCGGTGCCTCCTTGGAAGAGATTGATGTCATGTTTGGAGCGAAGGCGGTGGTAAGTAGATTGGAGATTAGACGAGGGTGCCATGTTACTGTCATGGAGTCTGGGAAGTTCCTGAGCAATGATCAGCATGTCACAGCCGTTCAGCGTTGCATTGCAGTGCGTACTTGTCTTCCACGACGAGAATGTCCTCCTTGCTTCCGATTCCCAGCTGCAGCCCACTTTTGACCAGCTCTTTCTTGCGAATCTCGCCCAGACCATCGGCATCCCCTGTTGTACGATTGAGATTAGTTGTTGCGCTTTTGAGTACGCGGGATCTCTGCATGTCATACCGCTACTCAAACACAGTATCTTGACGTGATTCCCGCGTTCTGGACGCGTCAATGCGAGTAAAGTCGGTGCAAAGAACATGGCCTCATCGTCAGGATGCGCTATCAGCAGTAGTATGCGTTTGTTTTGCAATGTGGGAAATGATGCGCCGAGGGTGCTGGTATACATCCAGAAAACGAAAATAAGGACAGGCACCGATGCCCAGACAGTCCAATTCATCTTCAGTAATCGTACACAGGGTACACGGTGGATATGTTAGAATCGGAATTGCTGTCTTCCAACTGAAGTTAGGGGAGGTAGTGCGTCGGCATTGGAAGCCATTGAGGTCCTGGAACGAGCTTTGACCCACGTCATGTTCGAGATTCTTTAGAGCCAACACGCGACGTGTTCAACCCTACCTTGGTACCCTCACACTCCCCTTCACATCCACCACCATGTCTGCCGGCAACAGGAAAGAGCGACGCGCAAAGGAATCCAAAACAAATGCAAATGGTGCTGGAAGCGGCTTCCAGCCCACCAACGAAATCGATGAAGAAGGCGTCGAGATGATTTTGAAGCATCCCGACTTTTCCAAGCCAACAGGCAAGACGCTATTCGACTTGGCTGAAGAAAGGCAGAGGGAACTAGACAAGATAAACGGTAAACAGCGAGTTGTTAAAGTGCCAGTAACTTCCGCTTCCGCCTCGCCCGACGATGGTCCTCCAATCGGTCCCCTCGGGGACTCCATCCTCTACTCCATCTCCATGGCAGCACTCCATCTCACGCTCGATGTCCTCGTATACAGCCAATACCGAGAGGATATACTCTGGAATGAGATCCTATGGCGAGCACTGACAGCGTGGCCCATATTCTTCTTAGCAGTCTACCTCACCCACGTCGACTTCTCACACCGATTCCCCACACTTCGAGACGCTACGTTTTTCGGAGGTTCTATCGTGGCAGGGTGCTACTTGGTATACGCAGGCAATAAGCATGGCTATTTCCATGTTATGAAGTCGGCGCCTCCAATTGGCACGCTCTGGATCTGGAGCGTTGTGGAGATGAGTCTGCCTTTTGCGGCCACCAGCGCGGCCGCTGTGTTTGGGTACATATGGTGGAATGGATTTGAGTTCTTTTAAAGTCGTAGCAAGCACGCATGTGGTATAAGCCGCATCCACTGTCCCCAAACATCATGTGCTCAGGCACGCATGTCACCGACGAACAAGACGGGATATTCAAAATGCTTATCGGTGCCTTTTTCTGTCAAGGCTGGGCTGCTGCCGCTCGTGACAGCGAACTAACAATACATCCATGTCCATACTCCTGAAAGACGCTTAACGCTGTTCAGCCGCAAACTGGCCATGCAACGAACCCCGCTTTTGCATGAGACATAGAAAGTCTGCACTACTCGTGCCAGTCACCATCCATTGCGAAAACGTCATCTACGCTCGGCGCTCAACTTGCTTTATGGAAACATAGTGGCTTCTTGCTTACCTTTCAATCTTAGTTGGGATGATTCGTCTTTAATCAGCGACCAGCCCAGTCCAGTCCACCACCAGCTCTCGCCCCGCAATTTTCCTCGTCCTCAATCGGGATGCTTTCAACTCACGCCAAAGGGTATTCTGTACCTATCGAACCCAAAGTCGATCTCCAAAACATTCAGAGCTGGCGCCGAGCTTGTCGCAATACACACGGCGCTTGCTGCAATGACGACTATGCAGAGGCCCTGGCGCAGCACATCGATCATCTCACGCTGGTCGACGTGATCAGTGGTTCACTTACCACCCTGTCCACTTCATCGCCGATTACCTACGTTGCTCTTTCGTATGTCTGGGGTGATGTGCCTATGTTCAAGACGAAAAGATCAAATATCGAAGTTTTGCTGCAGCCGGGAGCTCTCTACAACAAGGGAAACGGAATAGTGCTTCCTGATACAATTCGAGACGCCATACACTTAGTCAAGGCCCTAGGTGAACGTTATTTGTGGGTGGATTGTTTGTTCATCATTCAAGGTGCAGATTCAGAAGAGATAGAGATCATGTTGCGGGCTATGGCTCGCATATACGCAAGTGCCGACTTTACAGTTGTTGCTTCCGATGGCAATGATGCAGGTCACGGCCTAAGAGGTGTCGGAGGTCCCTCGAGGAATCGGATCCCTAGTCCTCAGTCCTATCTCCACCTACGGGGTGCGTATCCAGAAGATTCGAAATGGGCGACTAGAGGCTGGACATTCCAAGAATCGTTGTTTTCCCGTCGTCTCCTCATATTCGGCAGCACCGTGTCGTGGATGTGTGGACGCTGTGAGTGGCGAGAAGGCGCCCACGTAATCAGATGCACGAAAGATAACCTTGCTCCTGAGGATATTGAATGGCCAGCAGAGCGTCCGCATCTTGGCATACCAATGGGTATGATGTCTTTGATCCCTACGATACCATCTCTCGGGCGATGGGGAATGCTTGTAGAGAATTTTTCTTCCCGGGATCTAACCTATGAGAAAGACGCCCGAGCAGCATTTGCAGGCGCTACCGAGATCATGGATGCCACTTTTCCAGACGGTCTACTTTATGGCATGCCAAAATTCTTCTTTGACATCGCATTGCTTTGGTTACCTCAGGATTTCGTGATAAGACGTGAGGATGAACCTAGTTGGTCGTGTATGGGCTGGAAGAACGAATCTATAGAGTGCTTGTCTGCTTGGTACCCTTTTTACGCCAAGATCTTTCGTGACACGAACCACGCATCAGATTGGGTTCCTATTGCGACCCTGAAACCTGTTGCAGAGTACCGGATGGCAAACGCAGCGGATGGGATTGACGTGGGGTTCAATGGCTTTTACGAATACCAGGCTTTCCGAGAATTTCCCGATAGACAACTCCCCACGGGTTGGAGGCGACATCCTCATCCCGACGGCGACTATTTTACGAATACTGTCTCTCAGCAAAAGTATTCGTTTCCTCTTCCTGTCATGAATCCTGCCCAGGGGCAGGTACACGCCCCATCTGCCTCTGTTCTTCACTGCCGCGCTCCATGCGCGAAGCTGACATTCGGGTGTATAGTAGCTTGCGACAAGACACACCGTATGATGATGGCTTTATGCAACGGCGAGGTGATGGTGGGCAATCTTACCTTGATGTGCAATATTGAGGAAAACGTACCTCCGTATGGCAGCATTTGTGAGCTCATCGCTATCTCCGAAGCCGAGACCTTCCTCCCAGAGCGTGTGGCACACTGTGGGTGGCCGATAATGTCGTTTGAGAAAAACAGAAAGCTCCTTTATCCGATGAAATTCAGGAGTGAAGGGAGAGCATCTTTCTACAATGTCATGTGGATCCAATGGGTTGGAAACGTCGCTGAAAGACGTGGATTGGGTATTGTACATAAAGAGTTCTGGGACGCGCTGGAGCCTGAACTAAAAGAGTTTAATCTGGGATGACTGACACGACAATTCCAAACAAGTAGTCCTTATGCGACCTTCCAGAATTATCCACTCCTTCCTCAGCTTTCACACAACAGTGCAAAGGACCAATGAAAAAGCCAACAAAAATTATGCCAGAGACCGCCCACATGGAGCCATCAGACAAGACCAGTCCCGCAATAGTGCCATGCAGCTGATCTAAGCCGGTCTGTGCGAATGCATGTGCTCGCCGACCCTGACTGGTAAGTATGGAAAACGGAATAGGAAGGGAGGCGGGTGTTTATATAGACGTCGGGATGGGAAATTAGAGAGATTTGGTAGGAAGGCAGCAAGGTGCATGTGACATCACGTGAGTGCAGATACCTTTGGGTACTATTGCGCGATAGGATGTCCCGAGCTGTGGGCAGCTTCATGGTTGAGGCAGAAGCTGACATGTGAGCGCACGTGATTGTAGCAGCCTACGAAAGGATGTTCTCCGCATTTCTTCATGTATATCTTGATTGGCCTAGGGATACTTGGCCTTCCCCCTTCCAAGCTAAAATGATCTTTCGACGACCCAGACCTTGCGCATATCGTGCACTACTGTTCTTCCGCCAGCCTTAACGCTTCCAACCTACTCGTACTTTGCGGATCCAAATACGGTCGCTCACCCAAGCTGACGACCCTAAACCCCTTCCTCGGTCCTTGGCCATCGGTATCATACGTCGCTGTGTGCAGCACGCTCCTGTTATCCCAGATAGCCACGTCGTTTGGGTTCTGCCATCTATGTCTGATCTGCAGGTCGTGGTTCTCAGTGATGAGCTGCAAGAACCAATCTGTAGTGCGCTTTGATTCTTCTGCGCTCAATTCATTGATACGTTGGACGTGGTGACCAACGCTGTAGAGGGATTTCCATCCTGTGACTGGGTTCGTACGGACGCAGGGGTGGACAGCGGTCAGAGAGTCGCCAGTGTTTTCCGGCGCACCTCGCGCAGCGGTATAAACGGGGAAGTTGTTTTCCTTGGCCGCGCGGTTGAAATCTAGTTGTGCATATGTTGCTGTGAGGGATTCGAAGAACTTCTGGTATGGTTTCGATAGGCGATCGTAAAGGTCGTACCCCGAGGCCCAAAGAGTATCTAAAGAAATCTCAGTCATAGCACTGGGAATTTGACTACTTGCGATACTCACCCCCTCCAGATTTTGGTAACTGAGTCATCCTCAAGATCGCATAGTCGCTTGGTACTGGCTCAAAAGTGATGTCGCTGTGCCAGCCACTTTTGCCACTCTGTGACCTCTCCTTGAAGAGCTGCTTCGCCAGGTCTGAGCTGATGACGCTAATCTCATTGTCGTTGCCTCCAAGACGGTTTCCGGCGTTTCTGACAGGATGAATATGCAACTTGGATGTTTCTGGTTTACCGGAGAGCTCGCCAAGGCGTTGTGCCAGCTCTTTCTGAAGCTCATCGGTCAAGTCGTCCTGTTTGCGAAAGTAGACAACACCGCGCTGAGAGACTGTTCTTTATGTTAGCTGTGGCTACTCATGAAAAGACCTAGTGATGCTTGCTTGTGATCGCAAGGTCGCGTATCAGATCGTCAGAATTTGGCGCGCGCAACCATTCTTTCAGATTCACATCGACGAACTCGCGACCGATGACCGGTGTGACTTCGAAAGACTTGTATGCATCTAGAGCACCCTTTAGCTTTAGAGGTTCGCGTGGGTATCCAGGCTGTGCTGTAACGCCATTGCTTTCAGTGGAAGTGGTAGTCAATGTGCTCGTGGCCATGGTAGACGATACTGAAATGCAAATCTAGAGCAACTTCCAAAGCCCGAACCCTGGTAGGGTCATGCTACACTTATTTCCTGCTCTTCTTTCGCCACATTGGCTATCACTGGGCGCATCTTCATGGACGGCCTGATCAACAGCAGCTTCGCGATTTGCAGGATAGCATCGTAGCATCATCGCATGGATAGTATGATGCAATTGCTCTCGGCACAGCTATAACCATGCTGTAGTCGCTTCCTGCAGTCGTTATCTTCTATGATGCGTGATATGGACGAGATGTTGCGGGGTTGATGCTACGACATGTGGGGGCACGATGGCGTGCTGCTCGGCAGGGTCGCATGGCTGGTGATGGCATTAATCCGGAAATAACGCGCTGCAAGCGATCGTATCCAAGAATCTGGCAGTTTCGACGGAAGAGAAGTAGTATTTCATAGAGGCTACACCATCGTTCTTACATCTAGCAGGAAGCGAGAACGCGTAGGTCTAGACAAGACGCGACTTCAGTGTTGTGGATTCCCAGCCCCCTTCATTCTCTTTCGCGTTTGATCCTCAACACCAACACCACACGTACAGAAATCGAAGCGCATCCAAACGTGGACCAAGTTAGCAATCTGCCAAGATGTACAAGTTTGACAATGAAGATTATGCGTGGGCGATGCCGGCAGTGACTGACGACATTACCGCCATTCTCACAACATACCTCGCTACGATGCATGGCATTATTCGTTGGCGATCAAAGACGCGTCTCTCTCACAAATCACTGATTCCAATCCTTGTAGATGACGGTTCGTGCCTGCTGGCCGCATTCATGCCAAGCGCATGGAGGCAAGGGTGTGTTTTTTGGAGTAAATTTGCCAGCATCTATCTGGTGTGCGTTCGATAAACCACCGTTCTGTCGATTGTTGAGACATCCGTCTGTCCTAAAGCGGTATCGAAATACATTCTATCATACGATCGACCTTTCGCATAAGGCTTTTCGTCAATGCGTTCTCTGCCTGCACTTTACTCGGATTGGGAAATCTATGTAGTCATTGAAGGATATTGTACGAATCAAGACGTCGAGAAGATGGGTTGCATTGGGATAGATGGCCAGCTTACCTACGACGTCTATCTTTGAGCATTCACACATTGCCGATAGGTAAACTAGTATGCGATCCTGGAGATCAAATTTCTATCGTACAAACCACATTCCTTATCTACGGCTTTTGAGACCAAGACTCTCGGCTTTCAGAGCTTTGTCTAACTGGTAAGGATTCTGTATTTAGCGCATGTTGTCAATTACACTCAGAGTTGCATCATCTGCACAGGCAATACCTGGATATGAACATCTCCGGTCCCTTATAAGGTTCTCCTGGTACACTCAAAGACCAATAGCGACCAATCGGTCTTAGCCAGATTAACAGCAATTACGAGACGAATACCGCTACCCTCCGTTACTTGTAGTCATGGCTGCATCTACACCAGTAGAAAAGCAGGTACCCATTGCTCAAGCTTCAGACTCAGGGTCGTCACATGCCTCCAAGTCGGCATCACCACCACATCACGGTTCAATCGAGGACCATCCGTTTAGTAATCCAGCCACAGCTCAATATTGGCGCCAAATATACGAAAATGCAGAGTACGAAGGACGTCATCGGTTCGACCCAACGTATACATGGGAAGCCGAAGAAGAGAAACGTCTCGTCAAAAGGGTGAGCAAGGGAAGTTAACAAATGGGATCAAGACTGACATTCTGGTCGTAGCTCGACTGGCGAATAGCACTCTGGGCATGGGTTATGTTCATCTCGCTGGAGTTGAACCGCAGAAATATCAATCGAGCGATCTCAGATAACTTACTCAAAGATTTGGGTGCGTAGTATCAGATTCGAGGATACATACTGGAGACTAACGAAACTGCAGGCATGAATACCAATGACTATAACTACGGTCAAACTGTAAGCTCCATACAAGATAACGTACCCATAACGTCCGTTAATTCTAGACTAGATCTTCCTCGCATCTTTCCTATTTGCAGAGCTTCCCAGTGGTCTTATCAGCAAGAAGTTTGGTGCTGATCGGTACGCTCATCTTACCTACTCGTCTCTTCATCAAGCTGCGAGAACTAATGCCATGACAGATGGATCCCAACAATCATTTGCTTATGGTCCATCGTCAGCGCCGCACAGTGCGCCATGAAAACTAAAACCCACTACTTCGCCATCCGGTGCATCCTCGGTCTGCTAATGGGCGGCTTCATCCCAGACATTGTTCTCTGGTTGACCTACTTTTACAAATCGAACGAACTTCCATATCGGCTAGCATGGTTTTGGACTGCGCTGAGTACTTGCAACATCCTCGGATCACTACTTGCAGCCGGTATACTGCAGATGCGAGGAATTAATGGTTGGGGTGGTTGGCAATACCTGTAAGTTTCATGTACATTGCTCTTTCGACTCATACTGGTCCTAACACAGACAGATTCTTGATCGAAGGCGTCATGACACTATTTATAGGCGTTTTCGCCTTCGGCCTTATGCCTCCCGGTGCCTGCCAAACTAAACACTGGTTTCGCGGCAAGAACGGCTGGTTCACTGAACACGAAGAGCGCATCCTCGTGAACCGCGTCCTCCGCGACGACCCCTCAAAAGGCGACATGAACAACCGCCAAGCAGTCGGCATCTCACTCCTCTGGAAAGCAGCCTGCGACTGGGAGCAATGGCCCCTCTACCTCATCGGTCTAACAACCTACATTCCAGCAAACCCACCCCAGAACTACCTCTCCTACATCCTTCGCCAACTCGGCTTCTCGGTCTTCGAAGCCAACTTACTCGCCATACCCAGCCAATTCCTCTACGCGATTCAACTGCTGGTTATTACCTGGCTATCCGAGAAGTTTAAAGAGCGATCTATGATAGCCAGTTTATCAAACATATGGATCTTCCCCTGGCTCCTCGCCCTCGTTGTCCTGCCGGCAAGTGCGAACCCCTGGATCCGATATGCGATCCTTACCGGTCTGCTTTCCTACCCTTACTGCCATGCTATCCTCGTAAGCTGGAACGCGAAGAACTCAAACTCTGTTCGTACGCGTGCTGTCTCGGCCGCGTTTTACAACATGTTCGTGCAGTCGGGCAATATTGTTGCTTCCAACATCTATCGCGATGACGATCAACCGCTATATCGGAGGGGAAATAAGATACTGCTTGGTATCTGTGTGTACAATATTTTCCTGTTTTACGCTGTCAAGGCGTTTTATATTTGGAGGAACAAAGTGAGAGAAGGACAGTGGAATGCTATGACGAAGGAGGAGCAAGAGGACTATGTTATCAGCACCAAGGACGAGGGGATGAAGAGGTTAGATTTCAGGTTTGCGCATTGATGAGGAAGGTAGCGATGGAGATCATTGGTCCACATCTGTGTTGTAGACTAGTGTAAATGTAAGTTTGTAGCCCATCGATATCTTTTGCCTCCATCGCCATGGGATACGACTTGATAAACACGACTCTGTTAGTGTGTAGCGTCAGCAAACCATCCCTGTTCCTGGAGCAAGACTTGGGCTTGAAGGATACGGTGGAGCTTGAGTATGGTAATTTCTACGATATCACAGACTACGCCTATGGACACGGCATCTCCGTCTCCCATGATGGCGGTCCATCAACTTATCAACTGCTTTGAGGAGCTTACCAACAGTACGCATATCGTCCCCCTTGTCTTCGTATGCGGCGTACCATGACTCCATACCTCTCAAGGCACCCGTGACGGCGAGTAACCGATTCTCTTGCGCCCTCGTGATGTAATGTCTCGATTCAAAAGCATGTCTTGCCATTGTCAGGCTCATATGGGGGTGGAGTTGGCGGTTCTACCGCCGTTCAGCGAGCCAGTTGTCTGTCTCGATCCATAGCTGCTTGGTCGCTTCTGGTATAGTAGAGTTGTTTGAAGACTTGACGCCAGCGCATATGGCGTCCCACAGTGAGAACGCTGACTTCAGATCACCAGGGAGGTTAAGCGATTGCGGGAAGTAACGTGATGATGCGGTCTCAACGACACGTCCTTTGGTTTCTGGGGCAGTTGGATCGGCATCGTTGCTGAGAAGTTCATCGAGGTATGACTTGACAGCTATACTGAGCGCACAGTTGTTAGGGAGGAGGAAGGGCAGTCTTGGAAATGTCAGTATAACAGGCAGTGAGGGGGTAATTAAGGCTACTAACTTCATTGCAATGACCGGTATATCAGCGTTCCGATTGCAGCAGCCAGTACAGAACATCTGTGTGGCTGCTACCTCGATAAGATCCCGAAGCGCCTGGCGAACGACGTTGATGATGGAGTTGTAACCGAGCAAGTGCTGACTAAGAGGGCCGGTGAAACCAATCGGGCGGTGGTGAAGGATTCCTAGGCCAGCAACGCGAGACACTAGCATGTTCGAGTTCTTATCTTTCGCTGTGCAGCTGTCAGTTATGCAAAATTCGGCTAGGCCCGTTTTACTTACTGCTACCACGCATCGGTGCGCCATTATACGCAGAGAACATGTCAATATCGGAGGTCAAGAGACCCATCCGTATCAGCTCGACCGCAATCACCGCGGCTTCTTCGTGCTCTTGCGTCCCCTTCAGGCCTTCTATGACGGAGACAAGGACTTTACCCCAAGGTGTCAAATTATGAGTCTTCGTATCAACGTACTCTCGTAGAGCAAGGAATCGCCATATTGAGTTGTACAATATCTCGGAAGTGGACGAAAGGGGACTCTTAGGGTCTCTCTTAGCAACTGATTTGGTAACGAAGTCAGTATTTTGTAGTGACAGGATGGCTGCACCAAGAGTTCCGCAATCCTGTTGCGAGAGTTAGTACTACCCAATGACTGAATTGCGGCTCTGCTGACCTTGTACTGTGCGATAACATCCTTGAATGTAGCTTCCTTCACGTTCCAGGTGTCAACGATCAAAGGAGCCTGTGCTTCTGATGGCTTCTCGACAGGGATGGTCGTGGACGCCCGTTTCCCATTAGGTTCTACAGGCGAATACCAATGTGTCTGGTGGAGAGCTTGATGTCGGTACCAATTATGCAAAGAGCTAGACAGAAGATTGACGACTGGTGTTCGCAGCGGAATGAGCTTAGAGCTGACGAGTTCCTTGTACTCTGGAGAATTGCCACCATCCATGGGGGGGACTTCGAAAACTTGACAGGTAGTGCGCCACTGAAGGATACGTGGGTTGATGAGACCTTTCGACATGTAGTGGAGGATCTCATCTGGAAGTCTCTGACCCAAGTATTGACCCGCGTCGTTGGGCATGGACCCGGAGTTTTGGGGCTCGACCTTTCCTTCCTCTGTGTAGACAGGGTGGTTCTTCACGGCCAGGCGTGCTTTTTGATATCGCGTAACATATTCCTTTCCTGCGGGTGGAACGTCGTTGTTGTTGACAACTACCGAGTATCCAGACTGGCCGTTGCTCATGATGGTCTTGATGGCACTGTACGGCTTGATCAGCTCGGCCCTGTTAGGCGCATCGAGGATGGGGTGGGTTGGGAGGAACGGTGTGCCGGCGAGTATGCAGGTGTCCAGGAAGATGTCGTCTGAGATGTTTGGTGCGCCAACAAACTTGGAAAGGTCGGCTACGCATTTCTCTCGGCGGATGAAGCTGAACTGTCGCGACTCGAAGTCCCAAGATGTTATGATTTTGGCGCATTCGAACATAAGGATATCTGACGATCCGGCAATGGCGTGAACGTATTCGTGTTTCTCGAGGTACGCCAACTACATAACGTTAGCCACCGCTGGTAGGTAGCCAGATCTGCTCACCTGAGCCCATGCGCTATATGGTGCAACTGTCCAGCGAATATGCTGTTCGGTCAGGGTAGACTGTAGCGCGCGGAAGAGGTCTTCGGGGGTAACGTATGCTGAAAGGAGTCAGTATAGTATACAGTCCCCTCACAGCGGTTGCCGTACTCGATTGCCCGAATTTAGCGACTGAAGCTTCCGCCTCGTGGCTGTCGTACAAAGTCCACGCATTGATGTTCACGGCTGCTTCTTCCGTCTTCTGCCTGAAAGGGTCTTCCTGTTTTGTGATGTCGAGCCCGCTGAAGACGAAGTACGGCTCGATGTCGAAACTGCGGAAGTGGGCTAGGTCGTCCTCGATGTGCTGTGTCAGGGCCAGCGGGAGGCCTCCTAGTGCGGGGACAAGTGGTTCTTTCGCGCGAGGGTGGTTGAGGATACGCTGGTTGAGATATTCAGCGGCCTCGATGCCTACGCGACAGCTGCGTAACTGTTCAAGCTCGCCCGTCTCGCCGAATGCGGCCGTCCATTGCACGAAGTCGCGGATCATCGTGCCAGTCGCGTGTGGAATTGGTGGTAGAACCTATAGTAATGAGGGCGATAATGAGCGAATAAAACCCGAATTGAACCTCAAAGTAATACTATGAGAGTCGTCTGTCGTGAATACTGTAGCGACGACGTGTAACAAACTTGTAGATGTGGTTGCGGGGGTTTGGGGGAGTAAATTGGAAGCTACGACGCAGCTCCACGCCTTGGCGACTACCGAATCCCTGATCAGCCGGGCGCTAGCTCAGGTACAGCCATTAGGGCATACGAACAGACGGAATTATGCCGGGTAGATAATCGAGGAACGGGTAAGGCGCTTGCGGTCCAAGTAGTCTACGCCTATACTCATACAGTATCTGATTCTGTTCCCTCTGTAACTCTCTTAGTGTCCAGATTGCGTCTCAGCTGCCCCTCATCTATCTTATCTCCAAGCTCTCACACCTAACTTTCACACTCATTCAACATGTCTGCTCCAGAAAAGAGTCAAGACGCCATACCAGTGATCGACATCTCCAAGCCATCGGAGGAAATCGCTCAGCAGGTGCTCGACGCAGCTTCTACACATGGCTTTCTCTACATCAAGAATGATGGCGTGACCATCCCACCCCAAGACATCGACGACATGTTCAAGTTGGTATGTAATGCCTGACGCCCTGAACGAGACAGTACCATTAAATAAAACAGTCGAAAGGGTTTTTTGCCGCCCCCAAAGAGCAGAAGTCTGAATACGCAATCCACTCCGATAAGGCAGGTGGCATAAACCGCGGCTGGGTTCAAATGCAAGGCGAATCACTAGACCCAGAAGGCCAAAAGGTAAACTTTCCACCAAGCCACCCAATGCAGCGAGCCACGTTTTTGATACAAGTAACAACAGCAAGGCGATCCAAAAGAGGCTTTCAACATCGGACCCCCGAACCCAACCCTCCAACCCCTACCATCACCTCTCCAAGAATCCTCCAGATTGATATCCCGTTTCCAATCATCGTGCCACACTCTCTGCATGAACATCCTCTCCCTACTCAACATCGCCCTCCAAATTCCCGACTCGGACTACTTCAGCACCCGACACGACCAATCCCTCGGCCCATCCGGCACCATCTTCCGCATGCTTTACTATCCATCTACCCTATCCCAAGGAAAAGAAACCAAACAAGGCGAAACCAGTATCCGCGCAGGCGCACACTCGGACTATGGTAGTCTTACCCTGCTCTTCCGATTGCCAGGTCAACCCGGTCTCGAACTATCTACGCCGTCGGGCTGGAAAGCCGTGCCTGTGGATCCCTCAACATCGTCTTCCACACTTACGTCTACCAATAGTCATCCTCCCATCCTCGTCAACATAGGTGATTTGCTGTGTTATTGGACGAATGGAATGTTGAAATCTACTGTTCATCGTGTTACCTTTGATGGTGGACAGGAGAGGTATAGTATGGCGTATTTTTGTCATCCGCTGGATGAGGCAAGGTTGGATACTGTGCCTAGTCCGGTGATTGAGCGGTTTGGTAATCAAGGGGAAGAAGAGTTGAGGAGTCAGAGGAAGAGACTTGGGTTGAGGGAAGATGGGATGGGTGAGGAGGTGATTACTGCCAAGGGGCATTTGGAGAGGAGGTTGAAGGTAACATATGGGATATGACAAGCTTCTATTAAATTCAAGTTGGCATTACGAACGCCACGTCATGCCCTTTGTTTAACCAAGAACACCTCGCTATGCTTTGCGCCGTGCCATGCAGAGAATCAAAAACAAATCCTCGCACATAGATATACAGCAGAAAGTCTTCATCCTCTCCGCTTTCTGCCCGCCCTCCCCGTCGTACCTCCTACATCCTTGACAACCCCGATACCTTCGACCACCACGCTCTTGTCTTGTACAGTCCCACCCAACTTCCTGATCATCTGTTCCCTCGCCTTCGCCGCACCCGGAGAGTCCCAACCCAGTTCCTGACTAGGCTGATACTCTTCTACAAGCACTGTATTCTCATGCTCTTCCTCAGCCAGTAGATTCCCCGAGCTATCGCCGGCCGACGCGTTCGACCGCGTAGACGTGGCACGACCTAATTGCCGTCTTTGACGGAGCTTACCGGGTGCTTGATCAACTGACGTTGGCGCAGCTTTGCGGTTCGCGCGAAGCTGAGCTAATATTGACGAGTAATCCTTTTCTTCTTCTGGTTCCTTTATTGACCCTAGTCCCTTTATTGACTCTTTTGCTTTTGGTGCTTCCTGTAGAGCCGGCGGTTCGGTATCTGCCGGAATCACCGAGTCGGGTTTCGGATCAGGAACCGCGCAATCTAGGGCAGTGTTGCTCTGACCGAGCTTTGACTTGCAGGGTGCGGGAGCTATGAGGGACTCTGCGGATGAGCTCCGGGGTCGTGAAAACGATTTTGATGCATTTGAAGATGTTGATGGGCGGCGCGGGAAATTGGCGCTGGTTTCCTGGAGGGGGTATGATCCTGCACCGTCTAACCCATGTATGATAGATTCTTCATCATCGTAGGTTGTACGGTTAGCATTATCGTTAGGGTCAGTCACTGAGTCTGTCGTTGATGCAGGTGTGGCATCTGCTGATTGAGCGAGAGCAAGAGCACCAGGCCGTTGCGGCCGTTGTTGGCATTGGGGCTTCGTCACGATCTTGGTGAGCTGTTGCTTCTTCTGACGCAGCTCTAGGCTTTCCTCTTCAGAAAACGGCGTAACGGGCGCGCTATCTTGGAGCTGAGGTCTCTGCTTTGCTCTTTGTGGCTGGGGTAGTGCTGGATTGTTCAACTGATACTCGGTATACGATTGCAGCCGACCACTACGCAGACAGTCCCAAAGCCATCTCGTGTGAACTGCGGGTATCCGCTTGTCCGTAGCGAATTTGAGTTTCGGGGTGTTTACGGTAGGAGGGTTGCAGATCACAACCGAGGTCTTTGCAGATAGCTGTTCATCGTACGAGGCGCCTGTCAAGATTGTCAGACCATTTCAATGGATGCGGAGCAGGTGCCGTACCCATAAGCGTGACAACTTTTGTCACATGCAGCAGCTCGATGCCGGAAAAGCCCGTAGAGTTGATGGTCAGCGCAGAGAACCCTGGCTACATCAGCAACCAATAAAACAACGGTGATGCGCGAACTTACCACTAATGCTAAGCTTTTCGAATGGTCGACTCAATACATCACTCGCGGGGTCTACTAGATGTTTTCCGTAGAGGCAGCGCTCGACCCACCAATTAGTGACCAGACTGAGGTGTGAACCGGCACACTCCGGAAGGGCCGACACATCGACCTCAACGTCATGTGGTATTACGAAGTAGCCTCGCCGTAGATCTTTGGGGGAGGCATTGTTGAGATCGGTCGCTCGCATTACGTGCGCGCCATTGCTCTCCAGGTGCTGCCGCAATATGTTGGTCTAGTGGGGACGTCAGCAAGGTCTAGAATGTTAAGTGGAGAATGACAAACCTTCTCTGCATCAAAGCCATGTGTGCATACGATGCGACCCTCAAAAATGCCATCATGTTGGGACGCGTCGTGAGATTGTGGTGGCAAAGATTGTTCATGACTGTCTGCATGGTCATCAAGTTGCGCTTCAGTAAGCCTGTCGTTCTCATGGATGGACGCCGCTGGAGTATGTGTACGAGTGCTTGTGCGCGTACTATCTGGCTTAGTAACAATGTCCTCTGTCCACTCATCTTCCTCTAGCTGTCGTTCGAAACTCGGTGCTGTGATACCTGCCCAGAAGGCATCACTTTGGCTGCCGACCTTGGTGCTCGCCGAGCGACGTAACTTCCTTCGAAAAGGATTCAGAGCCTGACTTGGCTCTGCCTCTCGTGTACGCTTGCCCGGAGCGGGCGAGGCGGGCAGTTTGCGATCCCAAGCACCTATCCCTCGCTCTTCAACGGGCACGGTGGGGTTGTATAGGGTCTCGTCCAGCACCATGCCCCTCTCCAGACTCTGATGGAGCCATTCCAGCGATACAATCTTCATCCTCCAGTTCAGGGCGTGCTCGTACTTCTTGCCCGATGGCGCCGCTGCGATGAGGTGGGTGACGGATTTGGTGAGATCGCCGTGGTACTCGGCTCCGTTGGCGTCTACATTCTCCTGTATGCTCTTTCGTTGCTCAGCTACATTGGTCAGTATCGTCCCATGCGTGGAGATGTGGCGACATACGGTTGTCGAAGCCTGTGAGGCATATCTTCAGCCCGGCGAGGGTAGGCATGCGGTACTCCTTTTCCAGCGCGGCCATGTCCAAGTTGTCATCGCCCGCCATCCATACCTCCCTCAACGCCTCGAGCCATTCTGGTGAGAGGACCTTGACATCGTCGCGGGACTTGGCGACATAGCGGTATTTGGCGCTGTCGGTGCTACCAACAATGAGGTGGGTTACGTCCGAAGTGAGGTCGAGCTTGATGGTCGCGCCCATCTGCGCGCCAATAGCTGCGAGTTTCGCCTACGTGGTCATTAGATAGAGCCGTATGTGAGCATGTTAGTAGACATACGCGCTGCTCGGGGGCGATAGAGGTGCAACATAGGATGGCACCAGCCAGGGGCAATTGGGCTGTCCCTGCATTGTGTAAGTAAGTACATTGCATCTATGGTAATGCTATCGCGCATACCGTAGCCGCCATCATTTGCATCCATGGCACTGGTGGGCACATGCAAAAGTCGCAGTGTCGTGTGCTTAACGCCGAAGAAAGCGCGTCTGAGCTAAGCCTCGACTTGCACGCACGCGTTGCGGGGAAGCCAACGCAGTCACGTGCTACTGGCGGTGGAAGCCCTACGACCTTTATCTCGGCGAGATCTCGCTACTCCTTCCGCCTTGCTTCCCACTTTGGAACTCCCCCAGATGATCCGAACCTCGCCACATGCCACGAAAAAAAGCTTTTTCCTCCACTGCCGGGTACCCACCGCAGCCAGAATGACGACTGCTTCGTTCCTGAACTTGAGCTTGGGGGCGGCTGAGTTGGCAGCCCGCCCTGTTCTCTGCGCCGATCCACCCACTCACGATTGCTGTAACTCCAGATTCAGAACCCCAGGCGATGATCACTACGTGATTGGGCCTGCGGTTTTCTTTTCGGCGATCGTGGGATGCAACGCGCTGACGCCCTGTTTGTGTGGTTACAGTCGCGCTATGCCGCAGGATGCCCGAGCATGATCTATCAACTGTGCAAATATTGAAAAATCAAGGAACAGGAACTCTCCGTCCATGCACAGCCAGAGGGCATCGATGGCTTGGTCGGTCTTGAGAGATTGCGCGTTGCCCAGGGACAGCGTGGCTATGGGAGCTTGGAGTCTAAGCGACCCCGTCACTCTCCACGAGCGCGTGCTCGCCTACATACTATAGTAGATGTAATCAGCGTCCCTGTCGAGGCGTCGCAGGCTTTGGCATCCGTGCGGGCTTAGTCGTTGGATGAAGCATGCCATGTCGTCGTCGATCAGAGCACCGTGCCGGGTCTGCCGTAGTCGGTCGCTATCCGCCAACGGGTCTAGAAGCAAGTCTTAGTAGATGTCCATTGAGATCCGACCCCTGCATCGAGTCTTGCAGACTTTTGGTGCTCAAGATGATGTAATGCATCCGAGCCTCCGTCCGCGCAAGCTACGCTCCCATAGCGCTCTTAGTAGCTAGCACTTCATATACCCGCTGCGGGAATACTCGCCTGGTGCGCTGCCTGCACTTGCTTGACGTCCTCATGAACATCTCGTTACCCCATCTGGCACCGCTGGCTTCTCCACTTGAACAATTCTACTAAGCAATCTCTCCAATCCACCATCCCAGCTGCTGCGACCCCGCCGACCAGCAGCACTGCACACCCTCCGCGTCATCCGTCTTGTTCCCTGCACTCGACGCTGGTACACTTTCGCCGTCCCTGCACTGGCTTAGTCTGACATGCTCGCGCCCTCGTAACATGCTTGCAAGCTGTCTAGCTGCAACTCACTTCAAAACACCCGCGAGTCCCTGTTACTCGCCGTTGTTGTCCTGACAAAATACCTCCTCTCGTCGCCAGCGCAGTCCCTCGCATCCAGGGTATTCCCGCACGCTTCCGACGCATCGGCGACCTCACCGCTCCACAACACTATAGTGGCCTGTCGTGCTGATCACATTTACACATCATTAACTAGGTAGCCTCACCAAACATCTTGATACCCTGTCTCGCACTGTGAGTCCTTGTCTCATCTCCCCCTTCACCGCGTTCGGGCCCTTTGTCTCGTAGCGCCCAACCTCAACCTCCCTTCCCAAAGCATCCACAGGAACCTGGTTGGGTTACCTGGTCCAAGAAGCCTTTGTACCCCTCTCATGACTCTGAGGAGTTGCACAAGCCAAATCGTTCTCTGCCTCTACAATTATACTCTGTATAAGACTCTGCGCGCTGCATGCCTTCCCAAAACACCTTGATCATTTCCTCGGCCTGCACTTCAAGTCACTAACGCATCGTCGCTATGCCAGAGTACCACACAGTTTACTCTGAACGTGGCCGATTACGATACCTCCCCGACCACTTGGACTGTCCCCCGCGAACTTACCGCGGCATCTTTGCAGGTCGCAATCGCAGACCGCACCGCATTCACATCGCACACGTCGGTCCTGATCCGACCCTACTTCGTGTCCAGAGGCGGCAAACGACTAGCAAGTCGTACTTTACAGAAAAGCTGGCGGTCCCACGCGACAGCGCCAAACGTTTCCTACGGTCGTTTATCGACACTCACTTTTCTTCCAACACCGAAACCACAGACATTCCCACCCCTCGATCGTCGACAAGCACCACCAGCAGCAATCGCAACTCGGTTGCATCCGTTCCAGGTTCGCAGACCGCCACCATGAGGTCGCTCACGAGGAACTCTGGCAGTGGCGCCGTAGGCGCAATTGGAGGCGCCCTGGCTGCACCAGGCATGCCGAGACCATCAGTCGCCGAGTCACATTGGTCCTCCGGCCGCGCATCTGCAAAAAGCATTATTACCAATGTAAAGAGTGTGCCAGAGGAGAAGCCGGTAGCTTCAGGTGGTGGTGTCAGCGTCAATGTCCAACTCACAGAACCAGTCTTGTTTCTACGGGGCTTCGAGCAAGCTGAGCATGCGGAGCGAAGCACTGCGATGCTTCGTGGAACATTATGCTTGAAGATTACCAAGCCCTCGAAATTGAAGGCTGTGACACTCAAATTCAGAGGCAGAGCGACGACCAAGTGGCCAGAAGGTACGTTCGTGAGCAAAACCGCCTTTCAAAGCTAACCATCGTTAGGTATTCCTCCCAAGAAAGTCGAGTTTGAAGAGGTAGACACTCTGATGAGCCACACCTGGCCATTCTTCAACTCTCAATTTCCCAATGCCGAAAACGGCACTGGCGCAGATCACGTCGAGCTCTACAAGGGCTCTGGTGGATTGACTGGATCGCCGAACAACTCTTCGTTAAATCTAACAACAAAAGAGGCAAAACGACTATCGTTACAAGTCAACCAATCGCGAAGCTTCGGTAAGGGCGACACCCCTGGAGGCGGTCCTTCGGTAGCACAAAAGGGTTACAGGACCTTCAACCCGGGAGAGTACATGTACAACTTCGAGTTACCACTGGATAGCCACCTTCCCGAGACCATCGATGTCGACCTTGGTTCTGTCAAGTATGAGCTGGAAGCTACTGTCGAACGCGCTGGCGCCTTCCGTACAAATCTCGTCGGAACAAAGGAAGTTACCCTAATTCGTGCACCATCAGAGGGGTCACTGGAGCAGGTTGAGCCTATCGCGATCAGCCGGAGCTGGGAAGACCAGTTACACTACGACATCGTCATCTCTGGCAAATCCTTCCCACTAGGTGCACAGGTTCCCATTGCTTTCAAGCTGACCCCGCTCGCCAAGGTCCAATGTCATCGCATCAAAGTATTCGTCACCGAGAATGTCGAATATTTCTGCAACAACAAGCGAGTGCATCGAATGGAGCCTGTCCGCAAGGTCCAGTTATTCGAGAAACGCGCAGATGGGCCACCAACCAGTACCTTCCCTGGTAGCACAATGCGGATCGTTTCTGGAGGTGGTGTTCCATACGACCAGCGAGCGGCTGCTTCCCGAGGCGAGGATGTGCCGGTGCAAGACCCCACGAATCTCTTAGGTGATCTTGGAGGCGATGCAAACATCGGTCCTACCGAGATGGAGTTCAACGTACAGCTACCAAGCTGCCACAACCTCAAGGAGAAAGACAAGTCATCAAAGCTACACTTCGACACTACGTACCAGAACATTCAGGTACACCATTGGATCAAGGTAAGTTTAAACTTCGGTTTCAGTGTCACACACTAACAGTTTATTAGCTTGTCATGCGCCTTTCGAAACCGGACGCCACTGATCCGTCCAAGAGAAGACACTTTGAGATCTCGATTGACTCTCCTTTCCACATTCTCTCGTGTCAAGCTACACAAGCGAACACAGCGCTGCCAGCATACTCATCGCCTGAACCTGCTCTGAGCGGCACGCGCGTGCCCGAGTGCGGATGCCCAAATGCACCAGCGCGGCGCAATTCTCCAACCAGCTTCGTCCCAACTCTAAGTTCAATAGGCCGCTCAAGAGGCAACTCGGACGCAGTGATACCAACACCAACACCAACGCTTACTCGTCCGCAAGCAGCACATATTGGCGGGCCCAATGATTCTACAGTACAACGACCTATTCATCTTATGCGCGTACCCTCGTTCAATCCACCTGCATTCTCAGAAATAGAACCACCACCTCCCGTGGAGACGCCACCTCCTCTTTACGAAACTATTGCATCGCCCACGAGTGGGTTAGCCGACTACTTCTCCCGCTTGTCTGACGCATACGACTCGGACAGTGACCCGGAGCGCAACGATCGAGCGCGCGTCGAGATACCCCTGACGCCAGGAGGTCGCACCAACAGAAGTATGGAGGAGCGCAGAACCTGGCTGCCCGTTGGCCATTGATTGAGTATTAGAATGCTCTCATGACGTCATGCGTTACGCTTTCTTTTATGTTCATGCATATACATTTTTACTTACATTTACGACGTCTCCCTTTTCGCTCTTAGGCGGTCTGTGCATTTATCGTCTGAAGAACATACGGTTTTTTACCATGGAAACACGGAGCATGAGGAAAACCTGCAGCGATATTTTTTATTCTCGCATTGTTCGCCTTTCGGCATTCTCGCATGTTTGGGTACAGGGTTCGCTGGGATGTTCCTTCGCTGAACTGGCGCTTGGTTGTTTCATAGGAGCGACTTGATGTTAGATGGGTGGTCCTAGGTTTACAGGAGCCCGCGCTTTCGCTTGCCGTAATTATCGTATCTAGTCGACCATATGGGTTGTGAATACTACGAACGTACATATCTGTTCACATTGGTCATACCCATGCTTAGAATCCGGGCCATCATCTTTAGTGTGACAGATGTAAAGACTTCAAGGCAACAGGTTGCGAGACATGACGTTTAGAGAAACTGGAACATGACTGTTTGGTATCATGAGCAAATAGCATAGTTACCTTTGACGCAATGCGATGCGAACCTACGGATCTCACGCACCTTCATTCCCACAGCCCAACGGCCCATTTCTCCCAATCTCAAGGCAATTCGTGTAACTATCTACCCAAACATGTCCATCAACGCATAAGCACCATATCACACTCCCCCAACACCAACCATCCTTTAACCATAATGTTCGTACTAAGCGCCCGCACAAACCCCGTCAACGATCTCTAATCAAGCTTTGACGTCTAACCATTCAACACGGGCCACGTCTTACCGTCCTTGTGACAAGGTCAGCCCTCTACATCGTACTAGGCATACCGTAGTCTACAGATACGAACAACCAGGTCCTACCTTCTCCTTCTCTGTCTCAGGCTGACCTTGTGCGCTACATGTAACGGCGGTCTTAATTGGCCCGGTTGCTCGAGTGACGTATGTGGAGATTGTGGAGCAGAGGTTAGGGAAAATTATCTCGGTACATTTAGACGCGGGTATTGCTGTGATTGTTGTTGTTGTGTTGTTAGGGCTCAGAAGTCTTGGACTGTATAAGGGTAGAAGTAAATGAATGCCTGAATTGATCGACTGACTCTACGAGTTCTTGGCCTAGGTTGTTGAGTTTGCTACGTAACAGGCATATGCCGCGTGGATTTCGCTCATGGTCCAGTACCCGCAATACCTGCTCGCCCGACTGTGTTCAACGGGCAAATTCTTCTGGGCGGTTGCTTGTCTTGGTGTGGAATTGCTGCCCAACCACCTCATATGCTTCCCTATTTCGGTTCATTCGTACGTGATACTTTATCCGTGCTCTTTTATTCAGGAACGCGACTGCTAGTGTAGACGGGATCATGAGTTGGCGTTCCCGGCGACCATCGCGTGGACAAACAGCTTGCGATGGTGAGACGCGGCTATCGGACCTTTTTTTTTTCCAGATCTTGACAGGTTTTTGATGGGCAGGGATTGTTTCATGCGGAGTAGTTCAGGACTTCCAGGTCGAGTACTATTATGACGTCGAAACTGATGTTCTTGCCATATTCAGTTACTGAGCTTGGACATGTGCATATGGAAAAGAAAACTGGATAGAGGCACAGTGGTGAGAACTACTGCGAAATTGACTTGGGCCTTGCGCGTGTCAGTTAACAAAGCATATTTGGACGTACTGCAATTCACGCGAACGGATTGTTGCTGCGAAGGCATCTTTGGCGATTCGCTAGGTTGTTGCATCGTAGTTAAGAAGGTTGTTCCTGGGGTGCGTGGTGTTCCGAATGCGCGGCTTCCAAGCATCTTCTATCGCCCTCATTTTCTTCGCATTCGGGCCCTGTACGGACATTTACCCTCGAATCTTGGAGTATCCGCTTGCGGAGAGATTCGACGACGTTGTTGTCTCTCAGCTGTACTCCACAGCCATGCAGCATGCACAAAAATCGCGTCCGCCCCAGCTTTCAACCTTTCACTCATCTTGATATTGATTTACACCGCCTATAGCGGCTGCAGTGCTCATGAGCTCCCTGCTGGAAAATCTCTGCATAGCGGCTATTTGTGACGGCCCATGTGTCTTCACCGGACAACGATTTAGCGATAGTCAGTGGCCTTTCAACGTCCAAAGCTCCCTGAGTCGTGCTATCGAGCCAACCACAGTTGATTGAGGTTTGCTGACTGAAGTCCGTGGATCGGCCTTCCTGCAGAGACGATGCAGCACCCTGCATATAGCACCATCATGTGACGAGCAACGTGCAGAAGCCTCTGTCATGTGGCATCCCTCCGAGAACCACGATGTATAGGGTGAAGAGGCTGTCCACCGAAAGCGGAAGCGAACGTGTTCAAGGCTTGGGCACAGCAGTTCCAAGGCTGGGGCGGCTCGTAGCGTGGCCTATCGGAGCGAACTGTGCTCCGCCCCCAGCCGTTACTTTGACAGAAGATGCTGCGATCTCGACTGTTTCTCAACGGTTTTCGTTGGATTGACGGCTACAACACTTGTCCACATAGCGGCAGTTTTGTCGGCCAAGTTTCGGCACCCGAGATCGCGTGAACGGTGTGTGGCTGTCGCATCGGTGGCGTCCGATTAGGCCATCTCTATTCCACCCCGGAGCCAACCAACGTCATCGCCAAGTACCAAGAACTTTAGTATGGAAGAGAGATAATCACATTCTAATCTCTGGTTCTTCCGCTCGTTTTCCCGTCGAGCTGAAGAGTTTCGACGACGACGACGACGACGACGACGACGACGACGCTTCGCCCTAGCAATTGGAGTGGCTTAATCAGAAACGCGCCTTTGTTTTTCCAACCTGCGCACGACCATTGAGTGCTCAACTGTGATTGATACCCGACTGCTGCGCGCATCATCCAAGCTTTCGGATGAGGCTGCCGAGCGGCACTTAGACCTCGTAAGCATTCGGCTTGGGTTTTCTTGTTTCTCCCATAACATTCACTAACTAGCCACTCCAGAAGGCGCGCGACAGTAACGGCGGAGCACTCTCTCTCCACGGCCCCACTAAACAACCATCACCATCACCATCATTCGCCATCCAGGGCTGCGTTGGACCGGCGTCTGGGCGGATCCCCATATATATGCATTCGGTCTCGCTACCATCTTTCTCTTCCTTTGGCCGATTCTCTCGACAGCGCGGCCCCGGTGCCAAAGTCCTCCCTACATAACCACCTCTTGCCCGCGAGACCCTTCTCCAACTACCTCAACCAAACAACGCGCCTCCGCACATAAGCTTCGTATACGCTCGAGGCATAGTGAGACGGATACAAGAATACATACAGAGACAGGCGCCATCAAAACGTCACAATGGCGTGGGACCATCTCTCCATCACCAAGCCGCATCTGGTTTACCTGATCCTTGGCGGCTTCACCAGTCTGTTCATGCTGTGCTCCTCTGTAATCAAGGAGCGTCTGTACATTGGTGAAGCCACAGTCGCGACAATATGTGGTATCATATTTGGTCCACATGCCGCCAATCTCATAGATCCGGCAACGTGGGGCAATGTCGACTTGATCACACTCGAGTTCTCGCGCATTGTCCTTGTCGTGCAATGTTTCGCCGTTGGCGTCGAGTTGCCTCGCGCATACATGGAGAAGCACTGGAAGTCGGTTGTAGCACTACTATTCCCAGTCATGACGTTTGGCTGGCTGATAACTAGCCTGTTCATCTGGGGCCTATTCAATTCCCACCTCAACTGGCTCGACAGTCTTTGCGTTGCAGCTTGCGTCACTGCCACCGACCCTGTCCTGGCATCCTCCGTCGTTGGTAAAGGCAAGTTCGCCAAGCGAGTACCCAAACATCTTCGAGATTTGCTGTCCTGTGAATCTGGATGCAACGATGGCATGGCCTTTCCCTTCGTTTACTTGGCCATTTATTTGATCCGCTACCGACCAGACGCCAACGCTGTCGCCTATCACTGGTTTTGCTACACCATTCTCTATGAGTGCATCTTCGGCGCCTTCTACGGAGTCGTTGTTGGATACATTGCGCGTCGCGCTATTCGATGGGCGCACGAGAAAGACCTCATTGATCGAGAGAGTTTCCTTGTCTTCTACTTTGTGCTGGCGTTGTTTTGTGCTGGTTCCGGTGCCTTGTTAGGTATGGATGACTTGCTGGTGGGCTTCGCCTGTGGTGTCGGCTTTTCAAACGACGGATGGTTCCTGGAGAAAACCGAAGAATCCCACGTATCCAACGTTATCGATCTGCTGATCAACTTGGCTTTCTTCGTCTACTTTGGATCCATCATTCCCTGGGAATTATTCAATGCGCCAATTATCGGAATAACGCCATGGCGTTTGGTAGTGCTTGGAATCCTGGTCCTCTTCTTCCGCCGCATTCCGATCATGTTGATGCTCAAACCTGTCATTCCTGACCTCAAGACCTGGCGAGAGGCATCTTTTGCTGGACATTTTGGACCCATTGGTGTCGGTGGCCTGTTCGTTGCGATTCTTGCAAGAGCTGAACTGGAGACTGATACCACAACTCCGCTAGCCGTATTACCGGAGGAAGGATTCGAGCACTTGAACATCATCGAGATGATATGGCCTATCACATGTTTTTTGGTCATTGTCAGCATCATTGTTCACGGAAGTTCCATCGCCGTCTTCACACTTGGAAAACGTATCAACACCCTGACAATCTCCATGTCTTACACTCAAGCGAACGAGAACGGACCCGGCTGGATGGACCGCCTTCCCCGTATCCAGTCACGCTCCAGATCTTCTATGGCTCGGCGGCCCTCTGAATCATCCATGGATGAAAAGTCAGAACTCGCAACGGCTGGTTTTGGTAGCAGCTTCCTACGCCGTCAGAAGGAAGAGGATAGCAACTCTGTAAAGCCTACGAACCGAGGCAGGCGCTGGGATGCCGGCCGTGGCCCAGGTGGACCAATCTCGCAATCCGCTATTGCTCCCAACAGGCGTGATGAAGAGAAGGCAGAATCCGACTTACCAGCAGAGCTTGAAGATACCGGTGCCTTTGCTGATAACATGGCCATCTCTAGCGACAGTTCGTCAAGTGATAAAGAGAAGATGAAGGGACGGGTACCAGAAGAAGAGATATATCAGGAAGGCCATGAGACTGTCTTTGAGGATAAAGAAGGCAATGTTCTCGGTGTAAGAGATAGTCATGGTGAGCACGGCGCGGAGAGGCAAAGGCACGACAGTGAGAGAGCAAAAGAGCTCATGCGTTCAAAGCATGTCCATGGTGGCGTGTCGCAAGACGAGCATGGCGGCGCGCTCGAAGAAGCACCTAGTCGCATTGAAAACGCGATCGAACATCCTCAAAAAACCTGGCGCAACCGAATGCAAAGTTATAAAGGCCATGGCCAAAAGGAAAAGGCTACGGAACCTTCAAAGTCGGAGAAGCCAGCGCAGAAATCAGCCCATAAGAACGGACCCGCCCTTGCATACCAATATGGTAATACCATCATTGTAGAAGACGAAGATGGCGAGGTTCTGAAGAAGTACGACATCCCAGCCGCTCCAAAGAAAGGAAAGGATGGTCGACCTGCGAACCCTCGTGGCCAGTCTATGGTTGAGACATCGAGCCGTGCCGTTCAAAGTCTCAAGCGAATGGGAACCCACATGGGTGTACCAGCAGGTCAGCAGGCTGGATCATCTGGTACTCAAACAGCCAACAACAAGAAGAAGCAGAAAGCAGCGGAAGCCGCAGCAAAAGAGCAAGAAGACGACGATTTACTCCGTTTCACCGTCACAGCTGGTGGCCGTCGAATGAGCAAGCTTGAATTCATCCAGCAAATGTCACAGATGAATCCCAAAGACAGGGCCAAATTTGTGCAAGCTAGCGATGCCCCAGAGGCTGTCAAAGATGCTGCACACCAAGACGCTAAGGAACATACTGCCGAACAGCGCCGCCGCGCAGCTTCGGTACAAGCCAACGTGCCCGCAGTTGTTGGTGAAGAGGGCGAGGCCGAACTTCATAAGATTGAATCGCCAGCCGCCAAGGAAGAAGGCCAACCTCGCGGCCCCGAAGGTCTAACGCTAGTGGACAGCAACGATGAACATGTTCCCTTCCACTCTGTACGCCAGGACCTTGAGAACCGACCAAGCGATCAGGGTGGCGAAACCGCCGCACAGCGTCGACGTCGTCTAGCTGCGGAGAATATTCCAGCTGAAACCTCAGGCGGTTCCGCTATATCACCGTCATCGCAGCAACCAGAGGAAGGGTTCGAAGGCGAAACAGCGGCAGAGCGCAGGCGTCGTCTAGGTGCCCTCGGTGTAGGCAAAGACAATTCCCCCGAATCTGACTCTGAAGACGAGGAGACTGGTGACCCACTCGAGACTGGTCGTGGTACGCACTCTCGCGCCGCTGAGCCTAGTAGGAAGACCCTGTCACCTACGCCACGCACCCCTGGTATTCGCTTTGCGGATCAACCCAGGATGCCAACAAAGGACGAGCGCGCTGCCGAGGATGCGCGGGAGAAGGAGGAAGATCAGAAAGAGAAGGACGGCAAGAAGAAGAGTGGGCTTAGTAAGCTTATTGGAAGAAAGTAGGATGTTGGTTTGACTACATATTTCTTTGAGCAAAATGTTTAATTGGGGGGTTTGATGCATTTGTACTTGCATAGCGCCGCGGAGTTTATAAGGGCTTTTCTAGGAGACTTGCATGAGCTGACATGTGATCATCGAGTTATAGTGTTAGATGTCTCGTATTAGGATGAGAAATACGGTACATGCCTCGTAGTTAACGATATTTACTTCTTATCCTAATCTGAGTTGCAAAAGCCGTTAGCAAGTATGCATAGTACAACTCAGAAAGCCACAAATCACAGAACCTGCTATATACCAGCATCGTGATAAATTGAACATGTACTGATCCTGCTTGTGTAACCTATCTTTAATCGGCCAAAACATTTGTGCCTCGGATCACGCTCGGTGCTAATGCGGCCAGTCCTTGGCTAAGTCCTGCCACCACACCACAACACGTAAATTTTCTTACGCCATGCCACAGCACGGTGGTTTGTGGCTATACATTTATCAGACATCGCGATGTGACCCGCAATGATCGTATTCCATTCTACCCTGACGTCGCATCATCTGGGCAACTGCCTCGAACTGGCAGCTGGCAGCGCAATGTACCTTGGCGCCCAGACGTACGGACGGGAGAAATCTTATCAGATTGATAAGATGATCAGATTAGCGCTGATGTGCAGCATCATCGTTCCACTGGTGATGCTACGGTAACAGCATCATGCCATATATGCACATGCTTGCGGACATGACTCCAAATTAAATGGCCCTCTCGGGACCTGTTCAAGCCACCGGTTCTTAGATTGCGCCAATCATGAGCTCTTTCGTCTGCAGTCTCGCGATCGTTCTTGGTTAGCCGGAATGCCTAAGCCAGAGATGCAGGGCGTGATGAGAAAATACTATAGTACGGACCATGGGCTGGGTTCATTGTACTCCGATGACGGAGAGAGAGAGAGCTCGTGCCTTAGTTCTGGTTAGGTTTAAGATATAGCAGCTATGTCTACCCTCAGGTCGGATGCACCCCTCTACTAAATTCAGGCCTTCAAGTTACCCAAGCTCAATCTGGAATCCATCAAGATGGGGTCTATTCAGCAACATGAAATAGCAACGCTCAACAGCCTAGCAGCCCAAATCAGCGAGCTAGCCGCTAAAATGACCAAGCAGCTGGAGGCCGAGAAAGTGACACCAGTCACTCTTGAGGCTGACAGTCCGATCAAGTACGAGAAACTCCCTGGAGACGTGTTCATGACCCGACAACTCCTCGAGGATGCGCTGAAGGACATGTGGATTCTAAGCCAAGGGCCAAGCGAGAGTGTATTCAACTACGTACACATGGCCATTCCAGACGCGGCGTGTTTGAACGTCTTGAACCAGTTTGATTTCTGGGGTGCGGTGCCAGTTGGTGGTGAGGCGACCTTTGAGGACATAGCGAAGTATACCAGGCTTCCTCTTGAGGTGGTGAGCCGTGTCATCGACCACGCTGTCACTATGCGCTTCTTCGCCAAAACTTCGCCTACAGCAACATCGGTCAAACACACATCACGATCTGCTGCACTAGCTAAAGACTCTGGCCTGTCTGCGCTTGTGCAGATGGTGTTGGATGAAACAGGACCCCCAATGCTCCTCCTTCCTGAAGCTCTACGTCGTTTCTCGCAAGGAAAATCGGAGATAAGCAAGAACATAAAGGAAACTGCTTTCAGGCTCTGTCACTCTGGTGGCGAGACATGGGGTGACTATGAAACCAGTTGGGAGTTCATTGAGAACGATGGAGAGGGTGAGAAGAAGGGCTGGCGACAGAGAAACTTTGTCAAGTTCATGGCCTACATCAAGGACCTGTTCCACACTGAAAACATCGTACTCGAAGCTGTCGACTGGAAGGCTGCCGGCGAAGTCATAGTCGTTGACGTGAGTATACCCATATCTCATCCTGATCCTAACACTAACGATCATCAGCTCGGTGGTTCAGCTGGTCACGACGACGCCGTCCTTGCAACCAAGTTCCCCAACCTCAAGATCGTCGTCCAAGATCTCCCCGAAGTTGCCCCGGTCTTCGAAAAGGAGTTCCCCTCTGAACTCAAATCGCGCGTCTCGTTCCGTACACACAACCTGTTCGACCCACAGCCAGTACAAGCAGACATCTACATGCTCAAGTGGATCTTACACGACTGGCCGGATGTCGAGTCAGTGAAGATATTGCAAGCGCTTCGACCAGCACTCAGGCCTGGTGCGCGCGTTATCTTTATTGATTATGTGGGTAAACAGGAGCCGAGCGATGAGGAGCTGCCGAGGAGTATACAGGGCTTCGGTACGGCCACTGATCTTAGGATGATGGCATTGTTCAACGCGAAGGAGAGGCCCGTAGAGGCGTGGAAGGATATCTTTAAGCAGGCTGATGAGAGGTACGATGTTGTTAGAGTTGAGGCTGATCCATTGAGCTTCATGTGTGTGCTTGAAGCTGTTTGGCGGGGCTAGATGTCATGCCCCGAACCGCAGATTTGTCTGTAGATTGGCCAGGCTAGCAAGCTAACCAAATCGTACTGTAGTCACATATACAATTCCAAGACTTGGTCGTGCATTACTTAACTCTAACCCTGAAGTTGTTGAAATCATCCTATTCACTAAACCCTAACTCCGATGACGAGCGCAAGTGTTTGAACAGCAGTCGGGGCTGGAGGCGCAGATTCGTGATCATTGCTGAACTCGGGTCAGCACTAGATCGTCTAATCGCGCAGCCAAACCGACCCCACATAGCCTTGTGGAGCAGCAAGACGCAGCCCTCATCTGTTCATGAGTGTGAAATAACGTTCATTATTTACTAATTGTTTTGAAGTCTCTCCATCGAGAAAACACTCCCCGTAGCTCAGTTGGTTTAGAGCGTCTGACTGTAATATCTGCTGTTATCAGAAGGTCCCTTGTTCGACTCATGGTGGGGAGAAGAGTTCTCTTTTTTACCATTTTTTTGCTCTTGCCTCCTCCATCTAGAAGCCAGTTCTATGAGGTGTGTCGAGACGGGAGTCGAAACAAGATTCCAAACAAGCCATCTTCGTGTTACACCCGGGACGTCTTCAGCCGCGAGATCGGACCGGTTCCAGACAAGGTATACCATAGTGTCACTGTCAAAAGGCTCAATGCGAAGCCCCAGGTTCGAAGTCACTCTGCCACACCTATGTTTTTGACGCTTCTAGCAGCCGTCAGACAAAACGCCACAATGGAAGCATTCCTAGCAACCCTCGAAACATGTACATAACAGGTACGTGGTTGGCCAATGACCCGTGCTCTTACTTCCCGGGTAGTCTCTGCTCGTAGACCACTAGCATACCAATACATTGTGAAGACGGCCCTCCAGTTACATGCACAATGGCTTGAGGATACGAACTATCCACAACTTACCCGGTATGCTTTGCATATAAGCACATACCAAGGTAAGATGACCAAATGCTCATCTCATCTCATTCTCCAGCAAGCCCACAGCATCATCATCACCTGGTTTCTCTTGCCGGCATCTACATCTAAGTAATTCATCATGGCTTTTCGATTCGTTTCCGTTACTTTGTACATATATCTTCTCGCCATGGGGCAGGTTGCGCTGGCGCAAACCCCCAAGCTTATATCGATGCCGATAAAGCACTCTAATATCGGTGATGCGGGTCCGTTCATCCCTCTCGTTTCGATGGGAGTTGGTACACCGCCACAGCGGATAATGGCGATCTTGGATACGGGAAGCAGCGATCTCGTCATTCCAAGGACTGGCAGTAGGATTTGTCAAGACAAACAACAGCAATGCTCTGGCACACCGTTCGTAACTGGTTCGTTCGATACGAATTAGGATACCAACATCACGGATGTCGGCAAAGAGCTTAACACGGATTTTGCTAATGGCGCTGCGTTCCAAGGAGGTTTCGTCAAAACGGCGTTGACGCTTGGAAACCAGACAGTTTCTAACTCACAGCTTGGGGTGATTGAGCAAGGCTCTCTGCCTTCTGGAAATCCACTGTTTCCTATCTTTGGTATCGGTCCTGTTGAGAACGAAGTGCTTCAGCCACCCTACCAGAACACACCGGCCAACCTCAAAGATACTGGTGCGGTCGATGCCAATGTATACGGCATATACATGAATGACTTCCGTAAGTTCAGCCCAGTAAATGTTCCAATGAGCGCCCTACTGATGTATCTACTTTACAGGCAGTCCAGAAGGCTCCATTGTATTTGGCGGTATCGACACTGCGAAGTTCCAGAGCCCGCTCCAAAACGCGGGCTCGCTCCTGATCAACGACAACGGAGTCGCGTCGCAATTTGTGATTAAATTCAGCTCCATGCAGTTGACGGGTGGCAACTCGTCTGCCTGGCGATCCAACGTCGACTTGGCACCACGAGGCGGCCTACCCCCAGCATTAATCGACACCGGAAACCCCTCACTGAACATTCCCTCGGCCTCGCTTCGCGCCATGGCTATGGCTATAGGCACGACTTTCGATGAACAGGCTGGCCAGCTAGGTGGTGTGCCATGCGACCTTGGATCTCGTGGAGAAAGCCTTTCGTTCGGCTTCAACAATAACCAAGCGAAGGTCAGCACCCCTTTGGCCGCAATGCTTGTTCGGGATTCGTCCTCGGGCACGACTGAGTGTTTTCTACCAATGTTTCCCTCAGATGAAGACGATACGGCAAGCCTGGGCGCCCCGTTTATGCAGGGAGCGTATATTGTTTTCGATCTGGATCAAAAGAAGATAATGATGGCAAATGCGATCATTAACGCTACCGAGTCGAGTTTACAAAAGTTAGACGCGTAATAGTAGCATTCTTGAGGAGTAATGCTAAATGCATCAATTATCTTGCTTTTTTTTTCTGGATGGTGTGGTCTTTGCGTGTGTGATCGTCACCCTGATGATTACGTGTGCATTAGAGATGGTTGTAACGAGAACAGAATATGAACCCTGGTAAAGAAAACCCAATAATCTAGGGAATGTGGCTGTTCTCATAATGCGAGAGCGAAGGCGATGAATGGTTGGTAAGTAGACGTAGAGACATTAGCTATCGGTGAAAATGGACACCCGCGGGGTGTTGTTAACGTACATCATAGAAATTCCTGGAACTTTCGATACAAAAAAGGCTCTTGCTCGTCTCGGAGTGAAGGTCAATTTTGGAAATGAGATTTGAATAGCCACGTTTGCAGCTTGCCAACTGCCCCTTCGCCCAATTCTTGGGGACAAGCAGGCGACTCAACGTGCATGAACATGCTCGATAATTTCGGAAATTTATGGTCGCAAGTAGGACAACGAAAGATGAGCGTGCTACGACCTTGCTCGCGAAGCTCTCGGAGCATGTCGATACCCTGTTTGATGGCCTCTTGATCGGATTTGTAGATGAAGAATTTGGCACCTTGGAAGCATATCGCAGTCGTTACCGCCAAGTCGTATGCATCAATACGAGAAGAACAAGCACCAGATTCAAGATGGATGATCATTCCGCTGTAGGTAGTGAACGTGCGTGGGCAAGCGAGACAGTCGTAGACTGGCGTACGATGCGTTAACTCATGCTGTACATACACAATCAGCATTAATCGTACCAATAGTAAGAACTAGCTTTAATTTACATGGATAAGGTTAGAGGGTGTGTCGAAGTGCCGCTGGCACATCTTGCAGACGTTGAACGATTCTTCATGCTGGCTGAAAGCCGCAGCGGTATTCCAGATCCCATCGCACCCCTCGCAAACGTACGCACATCGGAATTCGCGAAAATGTGCTTTGAGCACTGTCCAGTTGGGGAATTTGCGATCACAGTCCGTACAGGTATTGTGTGAGACCTGTTCGTGTAGTTCTAGCTCTTCCTGTGAGAGAAATACAGAGTAACATTGGCGACACTCGACCCGCAGGCTTCACACGGTTTGTTAGCTCGGAACGTGCTATACCTAGAAATCTCGGCAGAACGTGTCTTACCTGACGAAACCAGAAAGTAGGTGCATCCCGTATCATGCGCAAACACAGTGATGGAAGAAGGTCAGATGCGACGTCCAACACACCGCAAGTTAAGTACCAGACTCACGGTGCGTTATCGGTCAGGATATAGGCCCGTAAAAGCAACGTCAGCAAACCCCCCTTACCAAAGTATCCTAGCATATCGCGCGCGTCTGATCTTGTTTCGGGATGTAAACAGACGCGTGCGCAGCGGTAGCGAGTGCAGTTCGACCGTAACTGTGATTCCGCGTTGCGGAGCAGGACACTTCGTCCCAGCGATAAGGTCTATCAGGTCTCGACCGTGAAGACCGGGAGTCGGCCTGTGAAGTGCTTCTGCATGTGCATCCGGAAGCCGCGGCTCGCTCTAGACCCAACCAAGCTAGACTCAATCATTCTTCCAGCGTTGCTCAAGTGCTTCCTGCTTGAGTCATTAGTAAACGTCCATCACGCAATCATCATACAATCTTCCAGACGGCCTCGGCCTTTAACACTGTTTTTCCCTGCACACTGTTGCGATATTTTGAGTTATCGACTTTGACGTAATGAGTTTCGGGCCATCGCCGAGGATCCGGCCGTCATGGTCTGTGTAAGCTGAGCAACCAACAGATCTATACGAAAATGCAGGCTGCCTGGAAGAAAGAAAAGCGTAATCTCGAATCAGGATGACTCTAAGCTAAGAGTGTTCGTATAAGTGAAAACCGGGTTTCTTCTTATGTCTGGTCTCAATCTTCAGTTGTCAATCACACCAACTTTGTCTCTTTCATCCTCAACTCAATCATTAAATCGCGGCATAATGTCAACACCGTGTGCGATACAGCGTGAGTTTCTCCGAAGATCGAACGAGCCGTGCAGTAGTCCAGCGATGCATTTGGATGGTCAGGCGCTGCCCAAGTGGCTGATTCCAGCGGACCGTCGAGGTTGGCGACGCCTCGTCCAAAACTTTACGCCTTCATGGGTAAGTAATATCGTGATTTATTAAATTACATGAGGTACGAGAAGCTAACAAAGCCTTAGTTTGCCGTCACGATGGGTACCGGTATCGTAGCGGTTCTGCTACATACTTTCTCCGAGCTCTACCCTGGCTATCATAGCTCGCTCAGAGCCATCAGCATCGCATTCTTTACTCTAAACATTCTCATACTCTCCGTCATACTCTTGATCTCCGTCCTCAGATACGCACTGTATCCCGCCACATGGATTCTGATGCTCCAGCATCCAGTACAGTCGCTCTTTTTGGGCACAATACCTATGGGATTTGCTACCATTGTCAACATGTTCGCCGCTATCTGCGTACCGGCTTGGGGTGGTCCGACACCATACATTGTGTGGGGCATGTGGTGGCTCGATGTCGCGCTGAGTGTTGCCTGCTGCCTCTGGCTACCTTTCCAGATGTAAGTTTGTCCATGGTTATCTTTCTGAAGTGAGAGTCTGGCCTTGAGTTATCCGTATCGTCGCGAGGAATAGGGAAGCACCACCAACTAACATAACCATAGGATGACTAAACATCATAACCGCCATGAGACAATGACAGCAGCCTGGCTTCTGCCGATTGTGGCCTGCATCGTTGCAGCAGCTTCTGGCGGCGTAGTTGCGTCAGTCTTACCCGACCCAAACCAAGCCCTCATCACCATTGTCACCAGCTATGTGCTTTGGGGTATGGGCGTACCTCTTGCACTCGTAGTGATGGTGATGTACTTCCACCGTCTTGCCATCCATAACCTTCCACCCCAGGAGGTCATCGTCAGCGTCTTTCTACCTCTTGGCCCCATGGGTCAAGGGGGATACGCCGCTTTGAAACTCGGTATCCAGGCTTCGAAGACATTTCCGGTAACGAACACCTTACATCCGATGGCGGGCGAGATTCTTTACGTACTAGGTTGGACGACCGCTATTACATTATGGGGCTTCGGCCTGGTATGGTTGTTCTTCGCAGTCGCGTCGATTAGTCGGAGCAAGTTCCCTTTTAATATGGGTTGGTGGGGCTTCACCTTTCCCATTGGTGTCTTCACTATGTCTACTATTACTATAGGGCAGGAACTTCCATCCGCATTCTTCAGGGTTCTAGGTACGGTACTTGGTGTCAGTGTTGTACTTCTCTGGCTACTAGTTGCTGTCGGTACTATGAAGAACATTCTGTATGGCAACATATTCGAAGCACCTTGCTTGCGCGAGATGGAGAAGAGAGCATGTGCAGCTTCTGTTGAGATGCAACAACAGGACGCATAAATAGATCTAGCGTAGGAAGACAAGGCACCATGTTCACTGAATACAGTCACCTTACTGTTTGTCATCCGTATCAGCGAGCAAGGTCTTTGTCTTGTTACCAACAAGTTACCAGAACGTCCACTTAGCCATCAACCTCAAAAGTGACAGTCATGAGAAAATGAATGGAGCCTCCATTCAAGGGGGGTTTAACCAAAATGAACGAGGAATTGATAAAGAAGCATGTGAAATAGTGAGAAGATATGGCTCTATAACACTGCGAAGACGTCGCGAAATTCAGTCTCACCTAGTGCTGCAGCCTGGTACTCGCCATGGTAATCCAGACGCAGCCAGGTAAGACCGGAACCGCAAAGCCTATCTTATCGATAAACTGAAGATCCCCAGATATTCACAGTGAGGGAAAACTAGAACGGTTTCTTCTTTACCCGTACTACAGGGTACCTCTCATAGCTATGCATGCCCCTCGCTGATTGTTGTGAAAGTCAGATGCGTATGTAAGGGCAGTTGTGTTGTACGAGTACGTGGCGGACATGTAGGTTTACTTATCGCGCACTGACGAAGGGCCGATATGGAGTATTTTCTTGGCGCTTCCTCTGGTGGCGTAATATGAGGCTGCAGCAGGCTCCAGTCGGACGCGTAACAACGCCAGTCTCACACTGGAGTCGCGGGTAGTAGCACAAACTGGCGGCGATTGGCCACGTCTGGCGCTTTGTGAGGGTGGCGGGAAGCAATCCGCGGTGAAGGGGACACAGTGTTTCTTGTTAGGTCCGCTTGTCTAAGCGTTTCCAGCAACTTCCAATGTTGCGGCGGAAGGAGCACGGACCTTAAGGCAACATCAAGCTAGCTTAAGCAGTGAGATCACCGACTGTTCAAGCTCCAACTTACTTAAACCACCACGCCCCAAGCACCGGAGACCCATCACCTCCATCTGACCCCCCCCACATCACTCACAACCCTCTCCACCGCGCTGCAATTCCTTCTGTCCCTCTTTGCACCGGAAAAGTAAACTCCCAGAAACACATAGAGACACATCAGCAAGATGTCGGCTGAACCAGATCACTCCAAGCCCAAGGTGGATCTTTCAAAGTACGTCGATTGCCACCACGTTGAAATTCGCGACAGCGACTAACAGCATCTCAGGAACCCCGATGGCGCTGAGCCCAAGGATGTAGGCATCACCAAACACCTTTCTGCGACTGCCCTTACTGATCCGCCACAGAACGATGAGACCGCGACTGCCATCCTCAAGAAGAAGAAGAAGCCAAACTCCCTGATGTAGGTACGCCACGGAGCGATCCAAAGAATCTCTACTAACTTTCTCAGTGTCACCGACGCCGTCAACGATGACAACTCAATCATTGCCCTCTCAAACAACACCATGGAGACGCTCCAGCTCTTCCGTGGTGACACAGTCCTCGTCAAGGGCAAGAAGCGGAAGGACACTGTCCTCATCGTGCTTGCCGACGACGACCTTGATGATGGCTCTGCGCGGATAAACCGTGTCGTTCGCCACAACCTGCGTGTCAAGCACGGTGATGTTATCACCATCCACCCGTGCCCCGACATCAAATACGTATGTGTCCTTGATATTGGAGATATCATTTTCACGGCTGACAATCGTCGCAGGCCAAGCGCATTGCAGTTCTCCCCATCGCCGATACCGTCGAGGGTATCACCGGATCGTTGTTCGACGTTTTCCTTGCCCCATACTTCCGCGAAGCCTACCGACCGGTTCGTCAAGGCGACACTTTCACAGCCCGTGGCGGTATGCGACAAGTGGAGTTCAAGGTCGTTGAGGTCGACCCACCAGAGTTCGGTATCGTCGCACAAGATACCGTCATCCACTGCGAGGGTGAGCCCATCCAGCGCGAGGACGAGGAGGGCAACCTCAACGAGGTCGGATACGATGACATTGGTGGCTGCAGGAAGCAGATGGCACAGATCCGGGAGTTGGTTGAGCTGCCACTGAGGCATCCTCAGCTCTTCAAGTCTATCGGTATCAAGCCTCCGCGTGGTATCCTGATGTACGGTCCTCCTGGTACCGGTAAGACGCTGATGGCTCGTGCCGTCGCCAACGAGACCGGTGCCTTCTTCTTCCTGATCAACGGTCCTGAGATCATGTCCAAGATGGCCGGTGAGTCAGAGTCAAATCTGCGAAAGGCTTTCGAGGAGGCCGAGAAGAACTCTCCAGCGATCATCTTCATTGACGAGATTGATTCGATCGCGCCCAAGCGTGAGAAGACCAACGGTGAAGTCGAGCGCCGTGTCGTCTCGCAACTGCTCACTCTTATGGACGGTATGAAGGCTCGCTCTAACGTCGTTGTTATGGCCGCCACGAACCGACCCAACTCGATCGACCCCGCTCTCCGCCGTTTCGGACGTTTCGACCGTGAGGTCGACATCGGTATTCCCGACCCTACCGGCCGTCTCGAGATTATGCAAATTCACACCAAGAACATGAAGCTCGGTGACGATGTCGACCTACAGACCATCGCTGCTGAGACTCACGGATACGTCGGTTCGGATTTGGCATCACTCTGCTCCGAGGCTGCTATGCAGCAAATTCGTGAGAAGATGGATCTCATCGATCTGGACGAGGACACCATCGATGCCGAGGTTCTCGACTCGCTGGGTGTAACCATGGAGAACTTCCGTTTCGCTCTTGGTGTATCCAACCCATCGGCGCTTCGTGAAGTCGCTGTTGTCGAGGTTCCCAACGTTCGGTGGGAGGACATTGGTGGTCTGGAGGAAGTCAAGCGCGAGCTCATTGAGTCCGTGCAGTACCCAGTCGATCACCCCGACAAGTTCCTCAAGTTCGGCATGTCTCCATCGCGAGGTGTGCTCTTCTACGGTCCTCCTGGTACTGGTAAGACGCTTCTTGCCAAGGCTGTTGCCAACGAGTGCGCGGCCAACTTCATCTCTATCAAGGGTCCCGAGCTACTTTCCATGTGGTTCGGTGAGTCTGAGAGCAACATCCGTGACATCTTCGACAAGGCCCGTGCCGCCGCACCTTGCGTTGTGTTCCTTGACGAGTTGGACTCTATCGCCAAGTCGCGTGGTGGATCTCAAGGAGATGCTGGTGGTGCATCCGACCGTGTGGTTAACCAGCTTCTGACTGAGATGGACGGTATGACATCGAAGAAGAACGTCTTCGTCATTGGTGCTACCAACCGACCGGAGCAGCTCGACAACGCTCTGTGCCGTCCTGGTCGTCTCGACACGCTCGTCTACGTTCCTCTACCCGATCTGGCCTCGCGTGTCAGCATTATCAAGGCTCAGCTCCGCAAGACTCCTGTCGCTGAGGACGTCAATATCGACTTCATCGCCCAGAACACCCACGGATTCTCCGGTGCCGATCTTGGTTTCGTCACCCAGCGTGCTGTCAAGCTCGCTATCAAGCAGTCTATTGCGATCGATATCGAGCGCCGCAAGGCTCGCGAAGCTGCTGGTGAAGACGTCGACATGGAGGTCGATGAGGAGGACCCAGTACCTGTGCTGACCAAGGCCCATTTCGAGGAGGCCATGCGCTCTGCTCGTCGTTCCGTTACCGACGTCGAGATCCGCCGATACGAGGCGTTCGCACAATCAATGAAGAACTCCGGTGGCTCAAGCTTTTTCCGTTTCCCCGACGCTGAGAATGCGGCGGGTGGTGGTGAGCAAAACACCTTCGGTGCTGGTGGCGAGGACGAGGATCTGTACAACTAGAAAGTTTTAGCTGATGGCTGAGACGGATGCGTACAGAATCATGACGGATGAGGTTTCCTTTTTCATCATATGGCATGAGGGGCTATTGACACCCCATAGATGGATGGAGGCGCGCGTAATTGCCGACACTATTGATGAGATATCAGTAGTGTCTTTCATGAACCAATGGCCTGAATGAGAATGCATGTTATTAATGAATTTGTGCTCATGTTGCTGCTCTACTACTGTGCTATCTAACTCTCCACCAATATCCAACCTATATTCCTGTTCTGCCACCAAGCACTTCCTGCTCTCATCTGTTGCGTCCCGCTTAGCCGCCAAACCCTGGATACTGCTGACATGAAAATGCCAAAGTGGAGTGGGGGTATTTATTGTAAATGTAGGGCAACCTCAGTATCACTCTTGACAAGATCCGGAGCCCGTCGGTATTGTTCGGGCACGATCACGGTGTCGACTGTGTTGTCCATACTGCTATGCTTTGAGCTTTCGTTCTTGCATCTTCCCCGCCCAACTGCATCGACTCTGGCGACCTGGTTCCCGGTATCGCTGTAATCTAGAATGCGAATTACTCATGAGAGTGGAGGCAATCACTTGTCGTCTTCGTATGTGATGTCGCACACCTTCTCCAACTCCTTCATGACCGTCTTTGCACCGGCGTCGATTGCCGATTTGGGTATCTTCAAGTCTACCTCGTCTCTATTCTCCCCATTACCGTTTGTCGTTCCATTCGTTCCGTTTACTCCGTTGGATTCATCACCCAGACCGCGCGTCTGCTCCCTGATCTTCTGCATCGCCAGATTTCGGGCTTCCTCGCAGGTAGTAGCTTGGCCTGAGCGGAAAAGATCCGTAATGTAGGCTCTCAGAGCATCTTTGAACCCGGAGGCACGCAAGGATTCATCAAGAGTGGATTCAATATTGCGGATGCCATCGCCGGAGAGAAGGGCCGAGTAGATGTTATTCCGCAAATCCTGGGATATACCAGATTGGGCCTGACTTGTTGTCACGTTGATGGATTGAGACATGTTTCCGAGTTGATGGGTCGTTGGGCTGCAAAAGGGAAGGAGAACAGAAAAAGGAGGATGCTCGTCTAAAGGTTCCAATACCGGGCAAGCTACCTTATATTGAAGTAGTGGGTGATCTTGTTCGCGTAGACGATGGGGAGCTGTGCGCACGTGGGATTGTGCTTTGAAGCTTGGAGGTAGCCGGATGTCGTAATTTGGGATGCAGCGTCTTAAACGACTGGTCGGGGTAGCCGTATTCGGGCAGATGCCGGCAGAGACGGCCCTAGTTCAACGTTGGCGGTGAAGATCGCTCGACGCATGTGCGTGGTTTACCGGAGGGCCGTTGCGGGCTCGTGATGCGAACGATGACTTGCAAGATTGCACTTGCCGGATCCGAAAGTAGGCAGATGCAGGATGGGATTGTTAGATTGGGATGGCTGCAGTGAATGGCATAGACAACGCAGTCAACCAAGCCGTTTTACGTGCAGTGGTTTCGTGTGGGAAGAGGTTTACTAGAGTAAAGGTGAAGACTCTAGGAGTCAGGTGGTGAAGGCTGGAGTTTTGGTACCTGCATCCTTTATCGCAATATTGGTTCCAAGCTCGTAGTATGGGGAGCACGGACCTCTTTCCCGCTTTGGCTTCGGTGGCCCTGCTAGCCGCCTGTCGGACGGTATTGGTATTGGCATCCAGAAGCAGGCGACCCAGTTTACGTTGCAATCTTGATTGTTCGTCCTCGTGCTCTCTGAAGTTTGTCTCCTCACTCTGCGCTCTGTTTGCTACATCAGACGACTCCTCTCTACCTCCGGCAAAGGCATAAGGTGCCTGCAAGGACCATCGCAGCCCCCGAGGATACGCGCTCCCCCATCAGGCGTCGACGACAAAGCGCTTAACCACCGCCACGCCTGGCCGCCTGAGAAGACCTTCACCCTCCCCGCCTTGCGCAGTGCCGTCCCACCGACTAGCTGTGTATCTGAGACCTGGCCTAGGATATCCGACTTGCTCCCGCTGGGGACGAAACACGCCGGCTCAATCTCGCTTCGTCTCAGACAGGGTGCCCTATCGACGACGCCAGGCCCGGGCTATATCGCCATCGATAACACAGACGTCGTCCCCTCGACGAGCTTGCTGAGAGGGCTTGGCAGCATCACCTCACTCCACCCTCTGCCAACCCTCCGAGACCCTGCGAGGCCGTCGACGTCACCCCCATCATGGCCTACACGACCAAGTACCACGAGGACTCGGATGCCGATGACGAATTCGAGCGCCAGGGTATATCTAGCCCGACCCTACCCGCCGAGTACGAGAGCTCCCCCACAAGCTCAGGCCCGCTGAGCACCGAACATACACCCACCACCTTCACCCATTCACGCGACAGCAAGAGCAGCCCGACAGGGCACATAATGGAATGGAACGAAGATCAGACGGCCGACTTCATCGCCGACCTGGGTCTGGAGCAGTACTCGGATACCTTTGCCAGTAGGTGGCACCGCGCGCGGTCCACGTCTTGTTTGCTAATGCTTTGTTTGTAGATGAGGGTATCACGGGCGACGTGCTGGCAGCGCTACAGCATGCCGAGCTGAAGGAGCTGGGTGTCGGCAGTGTGGGGCATCGCCTTACCATACTAAAGGCCGTCTACGAGATCAAGATACGGCAAAATGTGCCCATGGACCCGGACGACTACGTCCCGCTGTGTGAGTCCATTGTCTTCTCCATGACTTTCTACCGCTAATCAGTACCTAGCCGCGGATACATCGGCACAGGAAGCGCCGCCAACGCAAGACGACTTCGCCAAGGTTATTCGCGTAGTCCAGGCGCGCGACGAGCGGATACACACGGCGGAATCGGAGCTGCGACATCTCAGAGAAGACCTCAGCAGGGTCATGGACGAGAACAAGCGGCTACGAGAGGAGATCCTCCCACTCGTGCGCATGCTCAAGGACAACCAACCCCTACCAACTCCCCACGAGCATGCTGTCACATCACCACCTGCAACTCAAGAGAGATCCGGTGGAAGCAGTCTGTCGCGTAAGTTCTCCACCAAGAAGCTTTTCCTTGGATCCGCGCCAAAGAACCCCTCTCCAACGATCCAAGAACATCGTGCTCTTGTCGATCATTCTTCTTTGGATCCTTCCGCAGCAGCCGTGGCAGCCTCCTCACACCTTACAGCATCTCTCGGTGGTGGCCCGCAACTGTCGCCCAACTCCATTGCGCAACCCTCCCCAACATCCCCCGCATACAACCAAGGCCAAGGCCGCCAGTACAACCGCGAAGTACCTCGAAGTGCGCACGACCACGATAGCAGCTCAGGGTGGAGTCAAAACAACACTTGGAACTCAGACTCGACTGCTGTGTCCGACCGTAATCGCGATCCCCGCGCTACGCCCGCACCACTGTCGTCACGACCGATGCGAAACAACGCTGCACCAACACCGAACCCTGACGATCGCGATCGCGATCGCGACCGCGACCCACCACTTTCTGGTGGCTCAAGCTCGATGAACGCCTCCGCATCCAATTCCGCATCTACCCCGTCCACGAATCCGCAAGTCGAAATCTTCAAATCGTTCCGAGTATCTATCGACGACCCTTGTCACAAGGTGCTTCCAGTTGCGCTTAAGAAATACAACATCACAGCAGATTGGCGGCAGTATGCGTTGTACATTGTACACGGTGATCAGGAGCGATGTCTAGGACTCAACGAGAGGCCCCTGATATTATTCAAACAGCTTGATAAGGAAGGCCGGAAGCCGATGTTCATGCTTAGAAAGCACGCAGCACCGCAAGAAGGCCATGTCAGTACTGTTGGTGGAAACGATGTACGACCCGTCAACCCGCAGACAGAGAGCTTCGGGTGGGGTAACCAGAATAGAGGGACACCGCTACCTGGAGGCGTTTTGTAGGTAGACATGACGCTACAGGAGATACGACACCTTACTGGAAGAGGGCGATATTGTAAGACTACGGGTATTACTGAGAACAGCCTCATGCGATGCTGCGGTCGAATGGGCGACCCAGTTGTGAGCGACATCGCCGCAGCACACATCGAAGAAGCAGGTGTTTTCTAAGATTCGATTTTCGATCAGGAGCTATACAAGATGCTATCTCTACAACATCTTACGTGGTGTGGATGACGAAATCTACGCATCTAGCGCAATTACCGTCATCCACAGCATGATCGAAGTTTCGGCCCATCTACGGCCCTTGTACCATTTACATTCATGCCTTCGGAGAATAGGCGGGCTGCTTCATTGAAGGAATTCTGTGGAAAGAAAAAGGGTGAGGACAGGAAAGCGAAGGAACAAAGATGAGTTTTGAAGACGATATAGTTGTGTTATTTCAAGACGACAACATGAGAGATCCCGCAGCGAGCATCCGCTGCTTCATTCTAACACGTTCGAGGCGTATAGCGAGCGTTGTCGTATCGTAGTACGTTCTTCCTTTCAGTTGCAACAATGTGTTGATTTCTGTATGATTCACCAAAACTCCATCTCTCTTTGTGCTTCTCCTAATGGTCATTTTGCCCCAACTCCAGACTAACCACGTCGGTCTCGGCAGTCCACACACACACACACACACACACACATCCCGCTGTATCCGTGTTCTCGTGTTGGTTCACCGAGTCATGGATCATGTGTCAAGTGTGATCGTGCCTGCATACATGTTACACGTCACGACGCAGGTACCGAAAATTTGTCACGTCAAACCGCGACGGGGTTCAGTTTTGCATTGTTGCTATTTTGTATCGCTGCTATTTCCTCACCACCACGTCTGAGAAAAGGAGAAAGGATATATTTAGCTACAGTGGCTCTTCCCCCTCAGATCACTGCTATTGCTGCGACATGCCTGTAAACTGCAGAGTTGTGATTGCATACGTGTGAAGACGACAGCATTGTGATTTCGCAGGTGACGATAGTTACGATTTGGACAAGGTATATGTAGTACGCGATAATGGTGAAGTTTGGCCTCAGCGCACGCAACAGTCTTTTCACCATATAGTGTCGAGCTGTGTTGACAGTTCTGCGGGTAAAACTCTTGTCATATTCTCTTTCAAGATGAGTAACCGTCACAATCTATCTATGTTCCTTTTTTTTGGTACATACCAAAGACGCTTATTCTTGCTCCTCAGTTCCACCTCATGGGTATCTTAATGCTGATTGCCATCACTGTTCGACACACTGACGCCTTATTATCCTGAATTTTCCCACTCTATTCTGACATGTTTCATCAAAATGGTTTAGCAGCCTTCCTCGCCTCCGCCTTCCCACTTACGGGATCCCTAAATTCCTTCCAACTAACTGGATGCATGACTCTGCCCTCCTCACTCCTAGCCAGCACAACACCGAATTCATTCCGATCAGTAGCAACGTAGTAGTTGCCGCTATCACCCAGACTAATCACCGTGCCTCTAACCAAATCACCCACTCGGAAACTCTCCTCAATCTTTATCTTGTCCTTTTCTGTAGCCCGAATATCTTCTCGCCGAATTTGCGCCAGGAAGGCTTCGCGGCAGACGGCGTCGTCGATGACGAGGATTTCTGCGCTGGCGAAGCGTGGACCGAGACGCGTTATGCGGACTAGGACTGTGCTGTTGACCGTGGGGAGGAGAGGTACGCCGCCGCCAGAGTTGGGGCCGAGAATACCGGGGTCGGTAGAGGTGGGCGGGCGCGTTATAGAGAGGAGAGGTGCGAGCTTGGTGGACGTTTTTGTGGTAGGGTGTGCTGGTGAAGAGAATACGGGTCCTGCTATTGAGGCGTAGATTTGCGAGTCGTGGATGTGCGTTCCTGGGCCAGGACTGTATTTGTCGACACTGCCGAGCAATTGTCCTGGTAGCGCTACTGAAGGGAGCGCCATCGTGGTGGTGGGTGATGGGTGTCGCGTTAAGGTTATGCTCAGAAGTCTATGTCGTCCGGTCTTTCGACGGTACTAGTCGTAAGGTAGTATGTTGCTTCCGATGTTGGTTGTGTCAACTGGTTCGCGTCCTGGTACGTCAATCGCGTTGTCTCGTTTGCGTCTGGGCGAGATTTGTGGGCGTGGTATTGAAGCTCTAATGATTGGTGTCGCATGCTGGGATCTGTAACTTTTTAGCTGCGGAAGCTTACGTCATTCGCCTAAACTTGCCGCTACCTAGGTATGCATGCTACTTGAAGTCACGTAAACGACGGCAAGACATGCTCAATTCTAACTACTAGTTATTACACTACGATGTTTGCTGTGAGGCTGCGTATCTTGCGCGCACCTGGCGCTAGACCTGCGCCCCGGCCGGGGCCTTGCTGTCCGAATCATACAATCACTTCCGCATATACAAAGCAGAAGAACGCCGGTTTTATACCAACCATGTATCTTAGCACCTTGCTCCAATCGCCGAGCCATGCAATCCCACGCAAAACAGTCATGAAAATCATTCGCTCATGGTAACGTTCCGGTAGAAGACGTGCCCAATCTGACTCTCAGATAGGTTGATACACATTCCCTCTGTTCTGGGTCTGACTCCTCCGTCTCTACGGTCCGGCGACTAGACGGCTTGGTAGAGGAGTAGGGGTTCGCCGATGTTTTCTATCTCGGGAATGGTGCACTTCAGGTCAAAGGCCTTTGATAGCACGATCTTGAAGATCTGGAGTAATGTTAGCACAGGTCCGGCGATCGAAATGGTGACCTCTCACTTTCTGCACGTTGATACTATGGCTAGTCGAGCTGAAGATTAGACTGGCTTTCATTGCTCGCGCAAATCGTTTAGCCTACGAGTTGTTAGTCTAATACTATCCATAGCCTTGGTCGGTGATATGTACCTGGTTAGAAATCTCTTCCTGTTCTTCTCGTGGGAAGTTGACAAAGTGGTCGTATTTTGTGCCAACGAGAAATGGGATGGCAGTCTTGTTGAAGCCGCGTCCCTGTCGGTACCACTCCTTGATGGAGTTGAGTGTGCTTTTCCGTGTCAAGTCAAACATGAAAAGTATTGCAACAGCGTCATTGCAGACCAGCGGCAACATGTTGACGAATTCACGTTGACCACCTAGATCCCAGATAGAGAAAGTGATCTCTGTGTTACGAATTGAGATGGTCTTTTCCATGAAGTTTACACCTAGCGTCGTTAGGATTTACAACTTGGGAAACATGCTTGTGTAACTCACCGAGTGTTTGGATGTAGTCTTCGTCCCAGCTGCCCTCGACGTACTTGACCATCAGACTGGTCTTTCCAATTTGCGCGTCTCCAACCATGCCGACCTTGATGACGACGCTGGCATTCTTGGCAGCCTCTTGCTGCTGTTGTTGTTGTGCGCTTCGTGACTGCTCTTGGTACGAGTTTGACCGCGTATTGCCCTCCGAAGTCGGGTACCGTCCCATCTGTGAGCTCGGCCGCGAATGCGACTGACCCATGTGTGTCTCTTTATTGGCGTCATAGTAGCCATGTCTCGGGGGAGTGTCGGCATCTGAGGAGGTGTTGAAACGTGACCCGTTGTGTGTGGTGTACTGGTACGCGGTGTCTGAGTACGACGTTGACGGTCGGTGAGGCTGCTCATAGGGGTTGGGGCTGTTGGTAAGGCTGGTGTTTTGATTGAGGTCTGGCAGCGGTGTGACAGTAGAGGCGGTGATGGTCGAGCTCATGCTGTCGTCGGCGACGTCCATGGTCTGGTCCATGTGCTTCTGCGCTTCCTGGTCCCCTTGGACGGGCACCTGCTCGGGCTGTATTGGCTCGGGCTGCAGCTGCTCAGGCGGGACTTCCATGGCAGGCACGTAGGCTGGTTGCGCCGGTTCCTGACTCGAGTATTCTGGCTCCATGATTAGTATGTCTCAGTGGCCCCGCGGTCCGTGACTTGAGCTGAAGGCGCGCTGGCACGCGTCGAGACGGTGAATGCAAGCGGAGCGTGTATTTTCTTCTTTCTTGGCGATTCTTCTACTTGTGCAATTGTATGCGAATTCTAGGGGGGTGTCTTTGTATTATGGGCGCGGCCTTTGTCTTGTTGACCTGGGATGTGCGCGATGCGATTGGACTGGGGTAGCGCAGTGTTTCCCTCTAGAGATGCAAGCACCCAAGAGGGGGGGATGCCGTCACTAGCGCCGCCCGATACGCCGATCGATAAGCCTCAAAAAACATTCGGCGGGACAAATTCCAACTCGAACTTTTTTTACGCCTGCGTCCAAGACACCCCAGACACACACCACAAAATCTCACAACATGGCGAAACGGCCCGCAGACTCAGAGCAAGAGCAGGAGGCGATCAAAAATGGAGAGCGGCCCATGGAAATTGACCAGCAGAACGACGTGGGCGACTTTGAGGATGAATTCGAAGACGAGTTCGAGAGTGAGGACGAGATCCTAGAGGCCGGCGTAGATGGGCGTCCAGACGAGGAGCGCGAAGCCGAAGAGCGTGAGAGTATGTTGCCGAAGCCCCAGATCTGGAAGCCAACCACTAATGCCTCCAGGTGGTATGGACGTGGACCAAGATACCTTCATTCCTGGTCGACACAAACTCTCACCAGGCGAGACGTTGAACCCCGATCTTTCTACTTATGAGATGCTCCATGCGCTCGAAGCGCCATGGCCCTGTCTATCATGCGACATCGTACCCGACAACCTAGGCGCAGACCGCAAAACATACCCCGCAACCGTCTACTCTGTGGCTGGCACACAAGCAGCGCGAGGAAGGGACAAGGAGAATCAGATCATGGTCATGAAGATGAGCAGTCTGTCGCGCATGGAGAAGGACGACGAAGACGACGATGACGAGGAATCAGACGACGAGGCCTCAGATCCGATCCTCGAGACCAAGTCGATACCGTTGACAAGCTGCACCAACCGCATACGCGCCCACCAAACACCACAAGCAACATCCGCACAACCTCCTACAACCCTTACTGCTGCTATGACAGAGTCAGGGCAGGTTCTGATCCACGACGTTACTCCCCACCTTACAGCCTTTGACACCCCCGGCACTACCATCTCGCCCACACAAAACAAGCCTGTCTGCACAATTCGCGCACACGGATCGAACGAGGGTTACGCGCTAGATTGGTCGCCAATTATACCAGAGGGCAAGCTCTTGACTGGTGACTGTACTGGAAAGATCTTTGCGACAACACGGACACAGGGTGGGGGTTTTGTTACAGACACCACACCATATACCGGCCATAGCGGCTCAGTAGAAGAGCTTCAGTGGTCGCCGACTGAAAAGCATGTATTCTCTTCGGCGTCGAGCGATGGCACAGTCAAGATCTGGGACGCGCGGTCAAAGTCACGGAAGCCTGTGCTCAGCGTGCAAGCCTCAAAGACAGACGTCAACGTACTAAGTTGGTCGCACCAAACCGCACATCTTCTCGCCACCGGTGCAGACGATGGCGAGTGGGCAGTCTGGGATCTGCGGCAATGGAAGCCCTCTACCGACATGTCTAACGACAAGAAGCCTTCACCAGTTGCATCGTACACTTTCCACAAGGAACAAATTACTTCGGTTGAGTGGCATCCTACAGACGACAGTATTGTGCTTGTATGCGCTGGCGACAACACTCTCACTCTGTGGGACCTGGCTGTCGAGCTCGACGACGAAGAGAGCAAGTACACAGCAGGTGTTCAAGATGTACCACCACAATTGCTGTTCGTGCACTACATGGATCAGATCAAGGAAGCGCACTGGCACCCGCAGATTCCGGGCGCAATCATGGCTACAGGAGGATCAGGATTCAACGTCTTCAAAACCATCAGTGTATAAGACAGAGTTAGGTCTGTGCAAAATTCGAAATATTTCACCCTTCTTGGGTTCATGCATTCTAGCGCGTATTTAGGGCTTTGTTGCGCGCGATCACGTTACCGAATCCGGTCAACAAAGAGCTAAAGTTCAGTCGATTTAGAATGCATGCTCCGCATGATATTTAGACGAGCCTCGTTTGCCATGTTCCTCTAATAAGTCACGACGTCTTCTTCATCAAACCTTCAAGCAAGAAAACTTCCACCTCAAGTCCCAATGGCACAAGTCAGAAACTGTATCAGCACCCCATTGCATTCGTCAGCCCTTCCGAATCAGCTCACAATACAACACCCTTCGCCCTCACGATCTCTACTCTCTACGTCACAACACCAATCTCTCTTTCCGACAACAGCACCACAAATCCTGCGCTCTAATACCAATACCGACACCAACTTCCACTACTACAACCATCTCTCGTCTCAACCAACGCACATAACAGACATCCCATACCCCGAATCTTACCTCCGTACCCCCATCTATGCGCTACCTTTTCCACACCCAAAATGGCATGTCAAACCTAGTACTGGGGAAGCATACGAGGTGATTAGTCCCATCTGGGAGGAGTACAATGCTGGAGTAGGTTATCTGGGTAGTGTAGGAGAAGTGAGGGAGAGTGTTGAAGGTGGTGAACAAGTTGGAGGTGACGAGGATAAAAGTAAAAAGGTGGATCTTGGAAAGGGAAAGAGGAGTTTGGACAATATCGATGAAGTGCATAATGAGAATGTGAAAAGGAAGAGGTTTAGGGATGCGTAAGCATTCTAGGGGTGAAAGAAAAAGCATGTTTCATATCACGATGGTAGATAGGGTGGGACATTTCGGAACACAAGCAGATTGAGTAGTATAGTCCAATTGATACATCTACACAGGTCTCTGTATAGGTTGCACTGTTGTTGTTGAAGCACCAGGCGTCGGGAACAGTGGCGTAGACGCCTCGTTCATTTCGCGGATCTTCTTGATCAAGTTACTGTCGTGATATTAGTCTTCTACACCCAAATCTTCTTATGGAGAGACATCGACTTACCTCACAGGCAGATTCAAGCGATCCTGTTCTCTCCAAAGGATACCTACAACCTTCTCTCGCCCTCTACTATGATCTTCCAAATGTTCTGTGATCAGCTGTCTACCTAACTCTTTACTGCATCCGTATATTTTCTGGGTGCACCCATCGAAACTGCAGATCCACGAGTCGCGGGGGCCGTTTGGTTCGTAGGTTGGTAAGGGAGTTGATATTATCGGTGGCGATACTATTGGTTTCGTATTTGCTGATGACGATGCTGGCTTAACATGTGGGGGAAGGTTGGATGGTCGGTAACGGAGTGGTAGAGGTGGAACAGCGGTGGCTTCTTCTGAGTCCGAGGCGCCGGTTGTAGGTGGAGAATCGGGAGCTGCAGATGTACTGGCTGTACGTTTGCGCCGATCTGGCTCTTCTTGGTCCGCATCTGTGACATCTAGTTTTCTCTTCTCACGACCTGGTGACAGGGCTTGGGTTGGTGTGTCAATTTCCTCGTCTTCCTCGCTACTTGTCGTCTCGTCGCTTTGCTCAGTTTCCGAATCATCACTTGCCAGTACAGGCGCTTTTCCCTTTCCCCCTTTCTGTCTGCCTGGCTTGATGCTAACCTTGTTGCTCTTGCCAGAAAACTTTCCGCTCTTGGGTCGTAGCACAGATAGGCGGCCTTGCTCCCGCCTACCTGGTGGTCTGCGTATGGGCGTTGTTATCGCGTCTTCTTCTTCGTCAGATGTATCTGAAGAATCGCTCTCGCCATCTCTCAGAGTCCTGTGATCTCTCCGTGGTTTCAGCTCCACACCTTCAGCTCGTCTTTGCTCGGCCGCAGATAGGTTATGCCCAGCTGCTAGTTCTTGGTAGATTGGTTCAGAAACAAAAAATTGTATGGACTTTCGCCGCGCATGGTCCATCATGTAGCACAAATTCTGTGCATGTACCAGAAGCACATTCTTTGCAATCTCCACTCCCTCAATCTCATATCGTCTAACAATAAGTTCTGCAACTCGATCCACGGTGATTTGGTTTCTCCCTGCCCGTAGAACCCGTTGGTTCACTACTTTCTGCATGAACTCGAAGAGTGCTGCTGCCTCCCACCAATTGTCGTCTTTCTTTGGCGCTTCCACCGATTTCGGTGTCGCAGTCTTTCCATGAGCCTTCTGTACTGTCGAGTTTGTTTGTGCTGTTTTCGAAGCTGTCGTTGGCGCAGATGTGGATCTGGGAGATCTTGCTGAACGTTCAGGTTGAATTTGCGAATAGCGCCCCTCGATTCGTGCCTTGCAGTTATCGAAGTCTTTCTGCACGTACATTAGATCGAGGTTATAGATCCATCTATGTATTACTTGCCGGAAATCTGCGCCTCAAACGTTGATACAGAGGTGTGTTACTCCAACTCAGTCCTTGGGCTTTATTTAGGAAGCACATCATAAGAAAAAGGTGATGATGGTCGAAAATCCTCTCAGCCGTGGCTACGTCGTTGCAAGGGAAGCGCTCATCTTCTGCGTACTATGTCGTGTCAGTGTCCACCTTGTTCGAGTCTTCCATGTTCTTAACTTGTACAAACCTCTTGAAAGACCAATTCTGCACTGGGCCCGCTACTCTTCTTTCGCGACTCGCTATATATGTCGGTGACGAAGTAAAGAAGTTCCACAGCCTGGATCATCTCATCGTATATCGGACTGTATTGCGCCGCCGGTCGTATTTCGAACCAGCCTGCGTTGCCTTGCGCCCAAATCACGTATGCACCGTCAGTCATTTCGCCGTAGGAAAAGCGTGTTACATTTCTTAATTCGATGTCCATGGGCTTATATGGCTTCTTTAAGACTGCGATTGCGTCAGTCAAAGCCGCTTCCTTGGTTGTCGCGTGTTGAAGCCAGCAAGCCTCACATACGGTATTTCAGCTGGCTGCGCCCAGGAGTCTCCAATCGTCCCTCCACTCTAAGGGGCATGTCCGCATACGCAGCAAGAAGGCTCGCAGGTTTGCCATCGCTTTCGAAGACGATTCGCGCATCGCTTAAGACAAAGATCTCCCAGTCGTCGGAATTGGTGTTTGAGACGTCAAGTGGCCTCAGTATCTCAGACTCTGGAGTAGGCATTCTGAAGTCTGGCGCAAAATATGCTGCATGCTGCAATGTCACGTATATAGGGCTCCGTGATGCAAGCTCAGGTGAAAGAAGCGGCGGGGATCCTGCAATGCGGGCGCGAAGCGCGAGACGGCGATCCAGCGCGTCCAGGGTCACGTATGTTATCGATAACCGAGTTGCTCGCGTCATTTGACACCCTTGACTTCTTTCACTAAGCAAAGGTAGCTTTATTCACGCCTACCACCTCACGTTGTGTTATATAGTCCTTGTCACCATCGTGCCTAGACTTGGCTTTCTATTGATCCATGCCGCTGATAATCATCTGCCACAAGGTAGAAAGCCCTTCTACTACGTTGCATCCTACAACCGCACGTAAAAAAATAATATAAGATATCTTATGCTAATGTAGACGTCTAAGCTATCTATATCTAAATATAATATTGGTGTTAGTGTTGTTGTAGGCAACATAGTAGAGCGACTTTCTATACCTATTCAGTTTCTTCCTTACATGGAGTGGAGCTGAGTTCTTAAGAAGTAGATTAAATTATGCTAACAGTGGGTATCTTAAATTCGAACAACAGCACATCAGCTCGTCTCATCATAGTGTAGCTTCCTCAGCAGCTTCCTGCTTGCGTATCTGTTCTTCCAACCGCTTCTTCTCTGCTTGCTTCGACCTCATCATGGTGACCTCTTCCAAGTTCGGCGTCTTCGGACTAAAGGAGAATTTTGGTGTTCCTAGTGGCGTGCTTCCTACGCCCTTCACTATACTAGGTCCAAACGATGTTCTGAAAGACTTGTTCTTCGGCGTGGAGATAGGTGTTGACGGTGCTATTGCAGCTTCCTCGGCAGCCTCCCGCTTGCGTATCTGTTCTTCCAATTGTTTCTTCCCTGCTTCCTTTAACCTCATCATGGTGACCTCCTCCAAGCTCGGCATATTGTGTGTTGATGGGCCGGTGGTTCGCCATTTGAGGTCAGGTGGGCCATTCACCCAAGACACAGATTCAAGCGACGGGTAGTCGGACTTGCCGTCCAAGACAGCAGCATGTGCGTGATCAAGACGCGTGTATGTAATGAAGACGGTGGCGACGGTGTTGCGATGTTTCCCCCCTGAAGGTCGAATCTTCTTGTCTTTGCCCATGACTACGCTGTCAATCTTGCCATATTTCACAAACATGCTCGACATCTTGTCCTTGTCCCAATCTGTAGTTTCACCTTCTCGCTGAAACCGAACCTTGACCGTGCGATCGATCTCGGCGGACTCTCCAGGCTTGGGTGCTTGTGGCTCAGGGCTCTTCTCGATATCCATGAAGCTCGCCTCATACTCTTCTTTGCGTTCCTTTTCCCTGCGCTCCTTGAGTTCCTTTCTCCGCCTCTTAGTGTCTTCAGCTAGTCTTTGCATCTCTTGCTCCTTCTCTCGCTCCCTCCTCTCTGCTTCGTTCATTTGTTCTGCCCTCTTCCTCTTCAGGTTGGGCACCTCTCGTTCCCTCCTCTCCAATTCATCAATCATGTTGCGCCGCCGACCATCTAACAGCTCATCCTGCAACGCCTTCTCGCGCCGCCTCGTACGCGCACGGTCATATTCGCCCTTGAGCTTCTCGTCGATGAGGATGTCGCGTGCCCATCCTAGGTAAATGAAGCGGTCGGCGGCATCTTTGTTATCGGGGTTCTTGTCGGGATGGTAGCGTATCGAGGCCTTACGGTAAGCCTTTTTGATCGCAGCTTCTGGCGCATCGAAGGCTACACCAAGCAACTCATAAAAGTCCTCAGTAGTGGACTTTGCGAGATCCTCAAGGTCCTTATTGGTGTCGCCCATAGTTTTTGATGGATGTATAGGGTTATTTGGCTGTAGCTGTGAAGATGTGTGTGAAAAAGGACGCGAAAAGGATCCGTGAATATATGTATGATAAAGTAATGAGAGGCACAAGCGCGAATCATGGAACGGCTGCAGGCAGCAGAAACATGTGAGATGATCGCCCGCTAATGCGCCTTCCGGCTTGGCGCGCATCTAGATACCTTCCGAGGCCGTTCCGAAGATTTCACCTAGCTAGAGCTCGAGCGTCCCTTCCCTCTCCCCCCGCTGATGTCAGTCGCGTCTTTGATTAAGCGCGCAACCATGACTACTCCGCCGAAAGAGAGTCGCAAGGTGCTTGAAGGCATCTTCGCCATCAATAAACCACAATGGGCCTCCTCCGCCGGCGTCTTGCGCGACCTCCAAGACCATTTCTCTCGCTCGCCTCTCTTCGCACCCTGGCTCGAAGCTCAGAAACGCTCCCTCATTATCGCGGATGCTAAGCCGAAGCATCTCAAGAATATCAAGGCTAAGCTTGGCCATGGCGGTACACTCGATCCAATGGCTACTGGTGTGCTGATCGTCGGCATGGGCAAGGGCACAAAATGCCTGCAACGCTTCCTCGAGTGCACAAAGACGTACGAGTGCGTGGTGCTGTTTGGTGCAGCAACAGATAGTTACGATGCTGTGGGAAAGGTGGTGAGCAAAGCAGATTACGAGCATGTCACCAAGGAGTTAGTCGAGGAGAAGCTGGCCCAGTTCCGCGGCAAGATCATGCAAAAACCGAGTGTTTTCTCTGCGCTAAAGGTCGACGGGAAAAAGATGTACGAGTACGCGAGAGAGGGCAAGGACATACCAGAGGTGGCCGCACGACCGGTGGAAGTCGAAGAGTTGGAGCTCGTTGAGTGGTTGGAACCAGGAAGTCACGACTTTGCCTGGCCGAAGGAGGAGGTGGATGGCGCTGAAATGGAGGGCGCAAAGAAGCTGATGGGTATTCGAAAAGAAGATGCGAAAGTCTACTCTGACACAGCGGCAAGAAGAGGGCGAAAGCGGTCACGGTCACCAGAGAATGACCATGTTGAGGGTGCAGGGCAGCAGCCGAAGATACTCAAGAAGGACTCCGAGCATGCCATGTCTGGCGCGTTACCAACAGAAGAGGAGTCTACTGAGGCAGCCTCTGCCGAGAACGACGTCATGGAAGTCAGTGTCGAAGCACCAGTACCGACGGAAGAGAAGCCTGCAGCTTCCGTGGAGCAAGCTGAAGCAACAGAAAACCCCTCAACGACCACCCAGAATCCGAACGTTGAAAATACCAACACTACTGCACCAGCAGCTACATCCGCGCCAACCCCACAACCCCCAGCAGCCCGCCTCCGTATGACAGTAACGTCTGGCTTCTATGTACGCTCTCTTTGTCATGATCTTGGTCTAGCCTGTAACTCTCTCGGACTCATGTCCTCTTTAATCCGCTCTCGTCAGGGCGACTACACGCTCGGCCAGAACGTTCTGGAATACAGTGACCTGGAAGACCCATCAAAGTGGGAGCCTCAGCTCCAGAAGCAACTTGAAGAATTCATGGAGAAAGAAGGTTGGGAGGTCGAGGAACTAGACGACGACGAGAGCTGGGAGGCGAGAAAGAAGGAACTGATGGAGAACAGGAAGGATGGCGATCGGGAGAAAAGCTACCGGGGTGGAGGAAAGAAGTGGAATTCAAAGGGCAAGGGAAAGTATGGGCGAAGCGGATACTCGAAGAATATGGACGGTGGACGGAAATGAGGGAGTGGTAGTACTATGACTTGCATTATGATACCCCATGAAACCAATAACAATGACTATGGTATTCGGCTACAAAACTGTAAAAAGTCGATACGCATCAATGGAGCGAGCATGCGACCGAGGTGTCCAACATCAGACGTTCTAGCATCATACCTCCGTCCTAGAATTTCTTCGACTCAAGCTCTGTCTCAGACTCTGAAAGCTCCTCTGTACCTCTGTCACGGCATCATCCGCGCCCTGTAACCCCTCTGCCTCATCTTTCCGGTCCTCGTGATTGATAAACAAGAAGGAAAGCACCATGATCGCGGCACCAACCCAATACAACGCTGACGCATACTGCGCATCCAATACCATCTGTCCGACAAGACTGCACGGAATTGTCAAACTAAGACCAACGGTAACAATCAGCGGCGAGGTCAGCAGCATAGCGTACGCCCAGCAAAAGTCCGATATGAGGGATGACGCGCTATTGATAAGCACAATGTTCAGAATGCGGGATGTAGGTGGCAGTTCAAAGGGTTCGATACCAGTCAGATGCAGAATGATGAATCCGGGCCACAGCAGCAGGACATTAGCCAAACCGACGAGACCGAAGAAGAGAGGCATGTTGACTCTTGTTTCATCGCCAATTCGGGCCTTCATGAAAACAGTGTAGAAGCCGTATAGCACGGCGGATACAAATGCCATTACGTCGCCGATGGCTAGTTCTTTCGGTGTTTTGTGTGGAAAGGAGCCTCGGTTCTCGTCCGTTTCGCCGGATACATCAACCATGGAGATGAGGGCTACTCCGCCGAGAGAAGCGAGTACACCGATAAGTTTGAGTAGCGTGAATCGCTCAACGCGCATTATGGATCCGAGGAGTAACGTCCAAATTGAGGATGTGGAAGAGAGGATGGTCGAGCTGGCGACGGTGGTGTATTCTAGACATGCAGCTGCAAAGTAATTTGCCAGGAACCAGAGGAGACAGAATTCCAAGGCTAGCTTTGCTGTGTCTTTCAACGTCATGCCTTCATCCATGTCCTGCTCTCCGTGGTTCCCGCTACCAAAACTCTGGGAGCCGTGGAGGGAAGATGATAAGAGGACTTCTGCTGCCTCGTCATTTCGCGATTTATTCGAAGATGAAGGCGAAGACGACGATTCGTGATCACGAAGCAGTTTCCATTTCCCTGCTCGCCGTTGTAGGAGGTCACGGACGTGTGCTAGGATCGGCTGACGGTGTTGCCACGCGCTATTCGGACGGTGACGATCGACCCATAGGTGGTGAACGACCATAGGGAAAAGCGGTATGATGAAGAAAGTCGTGTTTACGTAGGTTACAAAGTAAGGTTTCGAGTATGAGTTGTCTGCGAATATCGTCTGTGTACTTATCAGCTACGCGCTTACTACCACAATTGCTTCCAACTCATCCGAGGGGGGAACGAGATACGTACACTCGCGAGGAAATTACTAGCTGTCCATAGGAACACCGTCGCAAGTAGGAGAGCTATTCCCACTGCATGTCTCACTTTGCTCGTCCAAGCTCCCCTCTTCTCTCCCTCGGCCCACTGACTGGCCTCACTGGCTGGGCTCTCAAGGTAATCTTCCCCACGCAAGTATGCGCTTTCGTCGGAAACGTCGCTAACGCGTGGACTGAGCGGCGTCGTCTCCACGTCCTCTTCTCTTCTGGGTATCATATTGAAAGAATGTAGTAGAAATTATCCCAGGTTATGCAGGGCAGGTCGGTCAAGGAGGGTCTTCGGCGACAAGCGGGCTCACGGTCGGGGTACGCGTTGAGGCATGGAAGTGCATGCGAGCGCCCATGAAATTAATCGTCAGTCAAAGAGAGCTGAAGGGTAAAGATGAGGAGTTTCGTGGCACGGGGTGGTTCGGCGTGACACGCGGACACTTGATAACGATGTGCCTAAGTTCCGGGGGGTCGCTTCGGGGGGGTTTCATGTGTCCTCGTGTCTCGAGAGGCCGGTTGACGGAACTGTGGCGGTGCCGCCTTAGCCACAGCCTCACGTCATCACACGGGAATACGGGCGATGCGAACCGAAGGTACGCGTGCAGAAGTCACTCCAGGTACAAGTATATGGTTCATGTATGTATTTGTATATTGGTAGGCAGCTATATGACCAGGCAACGATATATCTATCCTTGATGATAGGTTACAGGAAAACGAGATGCTCCTGCACAAGAAGCATGTCCAACACCAAACTCCATGCGAACTCCAGATGCAAGACGGCATTGCGGCAGATGGGGGTCCACTGTCGGCTCCCATCAACGGCGCTTATTTCGCGACGGCATACACTAGCATGCGCAACCGCCTTCGTTGCCCTTGAGGTCAATCGGAATTGTCTCGGGGAAGTCGTTGCTGAAGTCACCTACGTCCTCTTGTGCTAGGGCTTGTCGGGCGATAACTACGGGTGTTAGCTTCCGAAATCCGAGTCTCGGAGCGATATCGAATCTGGCTTACCTTCAAAAGCTTGTTCAACGTTGATGGCCTCTTTAGCACTGGTCTCGAAGTAGGGGATGCCGCCTTTCGATTGGCAGAACGCCATGGCGCGCTTAGATGAGATCTGTCCGGGTAAGATTATAGCCTTTAATAGTTGTTAGAGACACTCACCATCCTTTTGCTCTCCTCGACATCGATCTTGTTGCCAATGACGACCTGTCTCAGTCAGTACAGATACCCTCCTGATCTATCCACATGCACCTACAAAGGGGAAGCTCTCCGGGTCCATCGGGCTAGCCTGAACCAGGAACTCATCCCTCCAGCTGTCTAGAGTATCGAAACTCTTCGAATTGTTCACGTCGTATACCAGCACGCAGCAGTCGGCACCACGGTAAAAGGCAACGCCGAGCGATTGGAAGCGCTCCTGACCGGCAGTGTCCCAAAGCTATGCAATGTTAGCTGGAACTATTTGCTCAGTTTGGTTTGTACACACCTGCATCGTTACCAGCCTGTCATCGACTAGCACTTCCTTGGTCAGGAAATCGGCACCAATAGTGGCTTTGTAGCTTGCGCTGAACTTCTTGTTGACCTGCAGATGCCGTGTAAGCCTGCGTCCGTATTCTCGAGCTACCATTCGCATAATGTATAGCTCCATAATGGGTTCATCGTACGTATTGGTTCATCAAGCTCGTCTTGCCGACCCCGCTGTCTCCGAGGATAATGACCTGCGCGCATTAGCGACGGAGTGCAGGTTCTGCTCAGGGCTGCAGTACCTTGAGAAGGACCTTCTTCCTTGACGCCATCTTGCAGAATGTGTGTGTAGGTGCGAAGACTAGGTACGGCGCGGTCGATCCGATGCGCGAAGCTCAGTGCTTCGCAGTGGTGCGGAGTAGATTGCGCGGGGGGTAGGCCGAGGCAGTCGAAGGTATGTAACACCAATATCTAGGTTTGAAGAGGCCTGGCGGAGTAGGAAGGTCAGAATGCTGCGTCTATGGCAGATACGGTGAGGATATGTGTAGCTTCGTTACCAGAGAGATCGATGATGGTTGATGTCAAGCCTGGGCACGGACATAACGCTAGCCGCCCGTCCCATGGTCTGGTCCAGCCACGCCCACCTGACGTTTCTTTCACCAGCCTATCTCCTGGGCACCCCCACGACACCAAATCTGGAAGAACATTACAATCGTGCATGAAGCGTCTCGAAAGATGCCGAAAATATTGCTTTTCGTGAACCCCAAAGCAACCGTAAACCTGGTTAATGCTCACAGATAGCACAGCACGCTTCGAAGCACGCTGAGGCTACCTGGTTCGGGCCTGTCACACGTACTGCCACGTAGCGTCGGTTTCGCATCTCAATTACCCTAACCTCCCTAGACTGTTCGAACTCACGATTCAACACGTCTACCTCGGGCCAAGACATGCGAGAATGTCTGACGGCACTGTATATTCGGGAGGTACACGGCCTCTTTCATTTCTCACGTGCTCAAATCTGCGATTGCATTCCAAAGTATCTCGACTGTGGTAACAACGAGCAACTCGCCTACCTTGGACGAACAAATTTAGTCTTTGACAACAGATTGGCTGGATGGTAGGTATAGTGGCTGCTACAACATCTAAACCTTGAGGACTACACCTAATATTACCATTATTCAAGAATCGCACCTCGGGACTGTCCCGGTCCTCCTTAGAACCATCGCAAGTCTTGCGTTTCGTAACCCACAGCACCATTGATTTTGTCATTCAGCGAAGACGGGCCGGAGCTATGACTATATCAAGCCCCTACTCGACAATTTTGTCATCACAAGAGAAACGAATATGCAGGTGCTGTCGCTACGCTGATATGTGTTAGCTCGTTACGAGATCATCATCTATAATGAAAAGTAGATAAACCTTTGTGATGCATAAGGTAATTCGACTATTCTTGATTTGGTGAAAGGGAAGAAGGGGGCTTGACCAAATGGAAGCATATGTTCCTTTTTAATAGAGCGCTGAATCGCACGTAGTCCTAACCACGCCTCTGGCCCTCTCTTCTACCAACTACCAACTACTCTCGACCTTTCGGTCTATGTCCAAAATTGACACCAACTTAATCATAAGTTTTCGTCATAAGGAACGCAGATCCGCTCCACTCGCACTCCATGGCGCTCACGGGTGTCGAGAGTACCTTGTCGGAGGAAGAGCACACACCAATCGTCAGCAGGTGGCTCATTTTGAACAGAGGAATCTGCATCAAAGGAATTGACACATGTTTGGATACACTAGTGTTCCTCGTTCGCAACAAGCTACATTCTGCCACGAATATTCACGGTTTCAATCTTGTCACAACGGAGAATGCGCCCAGCGTTTGGAGCGGACTTCCTAACGCGTACCACATTGATGTAACATGTCACGACCGGACGATTTTCTTCGCACGCGAAGTGACTACGGGTCTGGAAGGGCTCAAAGGTTTTCATGACTCCATAGTGAAGCGAGCGGGGTAGGTTATCTTGCGCAACAGCAGATCGCCGAGTTGACGTATGCTGGTAGCAGAGGAGCGAGCTTTTGACAGCAAGGATCCCAAGGCGCCTGAGCAATGGAGGCTTGAACGAGCGAAGAAGGGCGAGTTTGCACACCCCGGTGTCATCATCGTGAAGAGAGACAAGAGTGAACAAGCTACGAGACGCGCCCACGTCGGTCTCAAGAGAAAAATGCACGGATAGAACGAGGGCACGCAAAGAAAGCTAGAGGAGAACATTATGTCACGAACGAGGAAATGCTAAACGATATTGAGGAAGGAGGTATATCAGCGTACAAAGCAAGTCATGAGAAAGCGCCAGATTGCGACGCCGAAAGCGAACAAGACAATATAGAAGGAAGTGAATCATAGCCTTCCATTAGTGCTGTACTTGCAACAGATGTAGCTGGGGAACTGAAGGGTCGAAAGTGGAAGGATCGTATTGCGAATGCTGACGCGCGAACGAAACATAATACGGACAGCATTGCTGAAGAGATTGCACCCGATGACGAGCAACGCATCGTTGGTGAAGAAGACTTGTTCTGGCGCGATCGATAGATGATCAGGCAGCAGAGGACCTGTGTCGGTGTAGGAGGTTCGGTGGTGGTGAGCAGCCAGCGGAAGTGCGGAGTCCGGCGCTAGCGGCAGCGAGTCTCGAACACTGTGCTCATATCTTGTCCCCTTTTCTCTCATCCCATATCGGGTTCCCTGCGCAACATAGATGGTCTATCTTGTCTTGTCCACTATCTGATGCTTGTGCTGCGTAGGCAATGGTAGTTTTCATAACGTGTACCATAGGCCATGGCCGCTTTACAGCTTCCCCGCGTGGGGATCCGAAATAGTGCCCATGGCCTTGGTTGACAACCAGCCACCACGCAATAGTATATGATATCACATCAAAATCAGAGCGTATCTTAATCCTTTGCCTATTCTCCTCTTTACAGTGTTATCAACCTTTACTAAGACCATGTCACAAACCGCCACCACTGGAACGGAAACGATGAGCTTGCCAGCAACGATGAGAGCATGGCAATGGTCGATATGTGATACCACGCTCGAGGAAGCAATAGAGCTAAACGATTCGGTGCCGATGCCAACAATGAAGCGACCACTCGCAGCTGGGGAGTCTCTTGTCCAAGTATACGCAGCCGCTCTAAACCCTGTCGACTACAAGCTAGCGGAACTACCAGTGGTTGGACGAATGGCCATCCCAAAACCAGCGACGCCCGGACTCGATTTTGCTGGAAGAATTGTTCAAGTGGGATCCGACTGCGACGTCAAGGTTGGGCAGATGGTATTTGGCAAGCTTGAGCCAAAGCAACGATTTGGCACCCTTGGGGAGTACATTATCGGTTCTAAAGCTGGAACTGTACCGATACCTGATGGTGTATCAGCGGAGGAAGCAGCAACGCTGGGAGTGTGCGGCCTTGTCACATACCAATGTCTTACGCCGAATGTAAAAGCTGGTGACAGGGTACTCATCAACGGTGGATCTGGAGGTACGGGCACCTTTGCGATTCAGATAGCGAAAGCTTTGGGATGCCATGTTGCCACAACATGCTCAGGTAAACATGCCACACTCGTGATGGCGACGCGTCTTCTAATCTTTCACAGGTGCAAATGCTCAATTGTGTAAGGATCTTGGAGCTGATGAAGTGATCGACTATCGCGAAAGTGATGTTCCTACCCTTCTGGCAAGCGGTCAAAAGCACTATGACATGGTCCTCGACAACGTTGGTCACTCGTTCGAGCTCTATTGGAAATCCCCGTTTTTCACGAAGCCTGGAGCGAAGTACGTCCAGATTGGATCCCAAGTCAGCTTACCCTTCATTTACGATCTCGCGTTTCGCTTCCTGATACCTACGTGGCTTGGAGGTGGGCAACGGCCCTTCTCATTCGGCCTTGCATCCACGAATTTCGAAGATTTTACCAAGTTAGGCAAGCTTGTCGCAGATGGAAAAGTGAAGCCTGTGGTCGACCAAACGTTTGCATTCGAGGATGCACCCAAGGCGTATGAGAAGCTTAGAACTGGCAGGGCAAAGGGGAAGATTGTAGTCAGGGTGGGAAGTAAGCAAAGCACTGGCTGAGTTGAAGGGAAAAGATTGCTACCTTTACGATCGGAAGTGAGCCAAGAGCTTGTTGTTCGACAACCGCTTTTGTGTTTGCGCTCCAATACGAGTTCTTCGCTATGTAGGAACTGAATTGGATTAAGGTTCGCAGAACCTCCCCATTAGACGTTAGTGTGCAATAATGATAACTTGGGGAAGAAAGCTATCATCATTTCCAATTCGCTCAGCTTGTGCGGACGCGCCCGCGGCTGGCGCTAATGCCGGGGTCCAGGCAACGAGGCTGTGCTGAACACCGCCCGAGCGGCCTGCATTCAGTTGTGGGTGTCGGTACGAGCGTACTACAACGATACATAAGAGTCAAATACATAACACTCTGCGTAGAACGCGACAGAACTATCGGTCACATAAATAGGCCTACTATCGCACACCTTACGGGAAAGTTGTGATTCTCCTACCACACAATGGCTGCCTTGCCATCGAACCAGATGGGAAAACGAAGAAGAAAGTCTGATTCGGATGATGACGTGGAATTCCTTGGAAGCAAGCGCTGTAGAACAGTTAATGACCCGACATCATCACTGTGTGCGGCATGTCAAACGCTTGACATCGATTTTAGTTTTGACAAAGCCTACGAGTACTACAGAAAGAAAAAGATCAGCTCAACGAACCTTTCCAGCATTCACGAAGCCTACGATAGACGGTACTTCTACAATGATGCATTCTTGGTGCACCAGTTTGGCAATCGACTGTCAAGCCCATCAAAATGTTCATTGTGCGACTTTTTCCGGTCCGTCAGAGTTCAGCCAGATGCGCATGAACGCTACAAGCTGCTCGCGTTTCCCAGTAGCGATGCATGGCTCTTCCATGGAGCTCGTTTGGAAGAGACGCAGAGACAAGAGGATTGGCTTGACCTTCGAACTCGTCACGATACAGTTTTCATGGCTGTCGTTCCGGATCTTGAGTCGATCCCGTCAACTGCGCACGACATCACTTGGCTTGACTATGAGATACCGGCCGTAGGGGCAATCTTTCGCCAGCCCGCTGGCGAGTCCAGAGACAACAGAGACCAGGATCTACTGGGTGCTAGAGAACTCCCGCTCAAGTTTGATCTTGCGCGGGTACGGGCCTGGCTCGATGTATGTCGCCGCGAGCATGGTAATGCGTGCAAGCAACGCGCATCGTATGAGCCCGTTACTCGAGGCTTTCGACTCATAAACTGTTCCAAAGACCCTCCTGAGGTTGAGGAAAAGCCATGGGGAACCCCATATGCAGCTCTAAGCTATGTTTGGGGATCTACTCCCGCGGATCGGGGGATGTGGCTAGCGACCGTCATGGACGCAGTTGAGGTCACACGTAAACTCGATTCCACCTATCTGTGGGTGGACCGAAGTTGTATAAACCAGTCCGATACAGATGAGCAAGGCTATCTGATCTCAAGGATGACGACAATATACGAAGCAGCGGATTTCACCATAGTAGCGGCTGCGGGAGATGGTGCCAGCCATGGTCTTCCTGGGGTGCGATCAACGCCTCGCAGACCGCAGCCAAAATACTACACGGATAGCGGAAGCTTAGTTCTATCAATACTCCCTGACCCGCGGCGGGAAGTAATGCAGTCGCAGTATTGGACTCGTGGCTGGACCTACCAAGAAGGCGTGCTCTCTAATCGCCGCATCGTCTTCACTGACCATCAAACCTACTGGGAATGTCGAAGTATGGCGTCACATGAGAGTGCAGACGTGACACTATTTCACACAACCGCAAGCCATAAAGATGATCTCAACTATCTCTTGGCAGACTTCATGCTTACTGGCATATTCAAAGGAGGCGCTTTCAGTGGAGGCAGCAGTGCGCATCAAGACGACTCTATCGTCGAGAATGATGAGGAATATCGACTGGACTACGGGTTTCCAGTTGTTCACGAGATTACTGTTAGGGCGCAACTACGAGGCCTTGCTGATCACATGCGTGAATTTACCAAAAGAAACTTGAAACAGGATTCAGACTCTTTGTCGGCGTTTCAAGGCGTTGTTGGAATGTACGAACAAACTGAATCACTATGTTTGTTCCAGGGAATACCTTTATGGACAGGTGACATTGCTGGAAGCGCGGCTGGCGCTCAGATCACCTTCGCCTTGTCAGTATCATCATGGTATCATCGTGCAGGCCCAAACCATGTCATGTATATCTCCGAGGCATGCAGACGGCGTACGCACCTACCATCGTGGACGTGGGCAGGCTGGGAGGGTACAATCAGTTGGCGCTTGCCCCCTGACCGCGAACACTGTGCTTACATGAGTGATCTCATCAAAGCCACAAGCCCAAGTATTGTTTGGGCAGCAGACATCTACCTTTCGCATCCTGGATCTCAGTCTCGGGTACGGCTATTGGACAGAAGTTCTGCACTTCGTCTATCAAGTGAGACGCTATCGACAATCGAGATCAGAGATCCATACTTTTTGACTGCTTTCAATAGAATTAAGGATGTAGATCGAAAGTGGAAATGGGGGAGACGAGTTGGTAGACCCGGTCGTCAAGAAATCGTGTCGTATAGTTCTGATAAGGACATGGAGTGGTACAGGATGGGCCACAACAAGGGTCGCCTCGCTTTCACGGGTATGTCGGTCGCCATCACTCAACAACAGTGGACTGCCAAGCATGTCTCCGGCGAGTTCGTTAGTGTTCTCATGTTTGCCGGGAGATTCTGCGCTACCGAACATGGCGCGGCACGGTTCTTGACACTGCAGAAAGTACCTAAGGCCAGCCCTACACTATGGGAGCGGGTTGGCATACTCTCATTGACGCTTCCTTATCTAGACAAAGCTGGATGTCGAGATGTTTCGGGTCTTTTTGCCTGGATACCGGCTCGTCGTCAAACTAGCGGCAGTATAGTAATCCAATGAATCAGAGACCCTAGTCGAGAAAGGATCTTCACAAACGGTTTTACTCAGCGCTGTCAGTCGAGCAACTCACTACTCGAGCTATGGAAGCCCTCTTCACACCTGAATATTAGCATTAAAGTAATCTCGGGATCAAGATGCAAATGGACTTGCAGTCATTTTAGCCACTTGGCAACTACACTACAGTTGGCTTCCAACCTCCGAGCACAAATACAGGATTGGTATACCGCTGCACGATCACATCGTCTGCCGGTGATGTTAACTGTCTCGATACATTCAGCCGTTGTGAGTAGTCTGCTGGCTTCCCGTCAGCATCCGTTGTATCGTACTCCCAGAAGCGTACATGCGACGCATCAAAAGGTGGCCCTTGTACCGGACCCCAAGCTTCAGGTGCGATACCCACAAGCTGTGTGTTCAACAGTACCATCTCTGCATATGGCCAGTTGGACGCAACACCACCAGTGTTGTCAGGAAGACGAGCGAGCGTACTATTGCCTTGCTCACTGATGACAGTGCAGTCTAGTAAGACGTTGCCGTGGACGCCTTGGGGTGTGCGCGTCCAAGAGACGGGTCCCGCGGTAGTGATAATAATGCTACGACTCCAGAATACTGAGCCATAGCCCAGTATGGTGTCCCCATCGTCCCATAGTGTAGTTTCAGTGATATATGCAGTGCCATATGTGGTCAAAGCATCGCCAGAGCCGTTGAGATACATATGATCGACAATAATGCGGACACCGTCGATCAGAAGCGCTTCAGCTTGCCCGCGATAGTAATTGTTGATAGTGAAGCCGCTCAATTGTAGATCAAAGACCCCCTTGAATGAGAAAGCTGGTCGGCGCGACGGACCCTGACGGTTTGGTGGGTTGAAAGCCGAGTTGTTGGGGTAGCCTACGATAGTCTTGTTGCGTGTCTCGCCACGAATAACGAGGTTTGACTTGTACTGGAAGTAAATGAGTTCTTCATAGAAGCCTTCTTTGATACGTATAACCGTTTGGGTCGGGGGGTTTGCTGGCGCCCAATCAATGGCGCCTTGAACAGTGCTGAAATCTGCCGAGCCATCTGCAGCTACCGTCGCCTCTTTGGCGTCTATCGCAGGACCATTGGCTTTTGTCTTGAAGGACCATGAGTCAGGCGCCTGGAATTGACCACCGGATAGCGTCAGAATCTCTGAATCCAGCATGACCCCATATGTCTTGTTGTACTCAAGTCGGTTGTTGTGAAGGTAGATCGTGGCGATGTTGTTCCTGACGATGATAGGAAAGAAGTAGAAGTCAACTCCACCAACAATATTGGTTTGGTACGTCGCCTCATCAGTATAGTTCGCTTTCGTTGAACCGTTTCCAAATGGACTGGGTGATGAAGGTACTGAAAGATCGAGGGTGTCCACGACATGCCCATTTGTGACATCATATACTGTGATGTTGCCCGAGGTACCGATGGTTGGTGTTGAAAGGAAGGTAAGTATCAGATGCGTGTCAATATTCACGTCTTTTGCGCCATTTTCCGGGAGTATCTGAAAATCTGCTGCGCGTCTGTTCACGTTGGTACAATCTGCGAATGACAGAAGTCCAGCGACAAGCACAATGGATTTCATGACAACAAAATCTGGAATGAAAGGTGTGAGACTCTCAGTAATCAGTGAACATACTTCTGCCCACTGATGTACTGCAGCTTACGATACGAATACCAGTCATGGTCTCCCAATGCGCGCTGTTCTTTCGAAAGCGGGGTCTCACCCAGAGGGAACGACTGAGCCGTGAAGATCAAAGGATATTGCATTTCTTGCTCCAATAGAACGCTAGAGATGCATGCAGTTCGTTAGAGATGTACAAAAGAGTCGCGGCTGCTCGGGACAAAAGCTTACGTGATGTACGTCATTCATGCGTACCCCACATATGGCCGGTAACCATCAACCGAATTGCTTCTGGTTAATACTCATACCTGGCATCGAGCGGCAGAGATGAGGAGTGGAAGAAGGGAAGCTACCCTCCAAGCTGTTTGTTAAGACATATAAGAATGTGCACAAGAACCCGAGTACAACTGAGGAAGCATCGGTTAGGTGAGTCTGTCACTTATTCAATAAAACGCGACTGCAAAATCCTGCAAAGGTGGTGATAGACTCCTGAAGCACACTCGGAGCTTGTTGGAGCCTTGGACACTTATGTCTTTCGCCGAAGACGCATTAGTTATGGAATGAGAACGGTGAATACAACAAGACAGGGATTCGTGGGAGTAATGGTTGATTGATGGGCGATGAATACTTGCATAAGGATGCTGACATCACGTCACGCCAAGACCCAAAAGGGATTTGGTTTGTACAGAGGCTTCCATCCTCTCGCAAACCCCTACTTTCACACCACACTAGATAACAACCCGCAATATATAGCCAATGAAGCCAGCTGTGGTTAGTTCTATGCGCATTGCAACACACGCTTCACCTTTTTGCCCGCCTAATCATGCTCACGCGTTTATGTTTTGTCATCTTCAAACGCTATCACTACCAGGCCAGTCATGCCTACGGCATAAGATGGATGTCGTACGAGAACGACACAGAGAGCCTATTCCTTAAATGATCGCTGAACACAGCTTGAGGGTTTAATGGTTACTCAGGCATGTCGTGTCGATGCATGCGAGCAGGCCTGCATGGGTATCTCGCAAAGTCAGCGTTACCTGCAAGTCTCGTCTTTTCTTTCTTATCACTAGCGGAATCGGCAGGGTATCTTGACAACAATTGCCTGAACTAAATTGTTTGGCTTTGGAAAACACTTTCAATCCCCGTGATCAGCAAAGAGTTTTGCGGCGGCTCCAATGCTACGCTCAGTCACAGTGTCCCACGACATGCATCCTCCTAGTATTGCTACTACCCTGGACAAGGAAACTGCAGTCATTGCCACAGCTGCTCCAGATGGCCGTGGCGGGCTCTCTGAAAAGACCGATGCGACGGGATCTGGTGATGGCCCATCTGAATCCACGAATGGAGGCGTGTTCCAGGTGAGCGGCGCGAGTTTACTCACAGACAACATGCTGAGTTTCCCTCCAGCGTTACATCAATCAGCTCGCGATCAAGAACGTATTATTTTAATCTGCGTAAGCATATCACCTGGCACATTATGTATGTTCAATACTGATGTGATGTCCTAGTACGGGCTCAAGGGCAATATCAACAGCAATGACGACGCTGATGGGTTTCCAACTCATGATCAGTAACTTCAGTATCGTAGCTTCTGTAGCCCGTCTGGTTTAGCGCTTTGCGTCTGATATGGGCCTTCCTTTCCATAAGCATTTCACCTACGTAAGCCCTACCCACGCGGATTTCACACACGTAGCTGATGATATAGATTCATCCAACACTCCAAGTACCGATATCCGCACTCTTTCTGGTTGGCATCATCTGCTGCCTCCTGTCGCTCATCAATCTTAGTTCAGCGGCTGCATTCAACTCGCTCATCTCCCTACAGACTATCGCACTATACATATCGTACCTCGTGCCAATCCTACTTCTCACACTTCGTCAACTTGCTGGTAGACACACAATGTACGGGCCCTTTCGCCTTGGAAAATGGAGTATCTCGATAAAGCTCTGCGCCATGCTTTACTTGGTATACGTCATTATCTTCGTCGCTTTTCCAGTATCCAGGCCAGTGACAAGCTTGACTACAAACTATGCTCCAGTTATTCTTGTTGGGTTTCTACTGGTTGTGGTTGCTGGATTGGCTTGCTAGGGGTCGTAAGAATTTCGATATACCTACAAGTGCATTCGAGTACACTGAGAACGAGAGATAACCATGGCCGTATGCATTGATACGCGCCAACCTCATGGTCGATCTGCGCATATCCCTCGCTACCAAGGAGGCAATCTTCGACTATACGTATCGTTGGATGGGGCCGATGCGTCGTAAAACCTGAGCGTACCATTCTTCAACCACATAGTCAATGCAATGCGTCTTTGCAGCATAGCGCATTTTGCTTCTCTTCCCATACAATGCATGCGGTAGAGAGTTTTGCGTAGGCATACATGCTGACTGCCCACGAGTCGACTTGTAAGCGACGAGGCGAGATTGCCGGCCGATTCCGGCAACTATACCTAAGCCGCATAGTCTCTAGCACGGCATCGAGAAAACGCCATTCCGCGCTCAGCCTTTGTAAAAAGAGATCAGATTACCATAAAATGTTTCTACGTCCAGCACGCACCTGCACACGGTCACTCCACACATCAACACGCGCAGTTGCGGCCCGACAGTCCATATACCCACCTAACGACGCTTTCCGAAACCGGCAAAACCTAGTTCCTAAATTTTCGACCAAACAGTCATCAACACAATCGAACAGACGCTCCATAGCAACCTCAGTACCCCGACTTCAACAAATCGGCTCCGCAGAACGGATCTCAACATCCAAGATGGCAGGCGATGATCACTACCTAACACTCTCATGCCCGGACAAGGCAGGCATTGTGTACGCTGTTACGGGTCTCTTGGCAAAGGAAAATCTCACGATTCTTGACCTGCAGCAATTCTCCGACCCAGACTCCAAGACTTTCTTCATGCGCGTCCATTTCGGGCACTCACCTGATGTCTCTGCGCTACAAGATAGCATGAAGAAGCTTGCCTCAGAGATGAGCATGACATACCAAATTCAGCGGGTGGACTCAAAGCCTAAGGTCCTCATCATGGTATCCAAGATCGGACACTGCCTCAATGACCTGTTGTTCCGCGTCAAGTCTGGTCAACTTAAAGTCGAAGTACCAATCATCGTGTCCAACCACCCCGAGTTCGCTGAGCTCGCGAAGAACAACGGAATTGAATTCCACCACCTGCCCGTAACCAAGGACACCAAGGAGAAACAGGAGACGCAGATTTTGGATCTGATCAAACAACACAACATCGATCTTGTGGTCCTGGCACGCTACATGCAAGTCCTCTCGCCTCGCTTGTGCACGGAGATGTCGGGCAAGATAATCAATATCCATCACTCTTTCTTGCCTTCTTTCAAGGGCGCGAAGCCCTACCATCAGGCTTATGAGCGTGGTGTAAAGATTATTGGTGCGACCGCACATTTCGTTACGGCTGATTTGGACGAGGGACCGATCATTGAACAGCGCGTTGCGAGGGTTGATCATGCGTTGAGCCCCAAGGAGTTGGTGGAGGAGGGAAGCAATGTCGAGAGTCAGGTCTTGGCCGCCGCGGTTAAGTGGTGGAGTGAGAAGAGGGTATTTTTGAACGGTCAAAAGACTGTTGTGTTCAACTAAAGTGCTGATACAAATCGACGAAAAGCAATTTAATAAACAAACTGGTGTTCAAGAGCTATCCGACTTGTCAGTGAAAGCGTTCTGGTATCGTGTGTTTGAGGGGCAGGTTTGCCAAAGCTTCCACCTAACCCGAATGTAGTATGTGCCTCGAGACGGTGCCAGAGGTACGAATCACACAGGGGGTTAAGGGGAGTATAGTGTTTATGGCGAGTATGGCGAGTTATCGGCCTAACAAGGTGTGTGATTCCCTTGTTCTTCTCTTCTCGCATTTCCTCAACTGCTGTTATATTCTCGCCGTGCTAATTAGCTTCATAGCGTGTGCCCTCTGCACCTTACGGAGCGAGTAAAGCTGGTATTCGCAACATGACGCATACACTCGCCATAGAATGGGCACAGTATGACATCCGCGTCAACTCAGTGTCACCCGGTTTTGTCAAAACGGCAATGACGTATTGGGTCGAGCAGCAGCCGGATTGGGAACAGCAGCTCAAGTACTATGGTGGCATGCCGAGGCTAGCGAGTGTGGAAGAGCTTGGTGGCGCGTATGTCTACTTGCTTAGCGATTCTGCCGGCTACACGACGAGCATTGATATCTCAGTTAACGGGGCTATTGGTATTTGCTGAGTTGTGCGGAGGGAGGTGTGAGCGCCCAATTGACTCGTTCCCTCAAATCATGTAAGCTCGGCCATCTAGAAGTCGGCCACCCCACCAAAATCGGCCCACCTGATTTTGAAGCCCTATCCAGCCACCACAACGCTATTAATATGGATGACCGTGAGGTTGCCATACAATCTGCTATCGCTGATCTTAATTCTGGTGTTTTTACGAGCCAACGGCAAGCTGCTCGCGCGTACGGTATCCCACGATCGACGTTACAGGGCCGCCTTGAGGGTCGTACAAATCGCGTCGCTGCTCATCACCACCAGCAGCGATTAACACCAGAGCAGGAGGATTTTATCGTTGAATGGATCCTTGAGGAGGACTCGCGCGCTCAACCTCCATCCCATGCTCGTGTACGAGAGATAGCTACTCGCGTTCTACGTATGAACGGCGATCACGAGCCCCTCGGCCAACTATGGATATCAAACTTCCTATCGCGTCAACCACGTGTCGCATCTATCGTCGGCCGATCGGTCGAGGCCCCGAGGGCTGAGGCTGCAAGCCCTGCGAAGATCAGAGCGTTTCTCGAGCTCTTCGAACGCATACGAATCGAGCTCAATATCAGGCCTGAGGATATTCGGAATATGGATCAGAACCTCAATCTAGAAAGGCAAGGCTATCGCGATAGCTAATTCACGAGCAGCTCAATTCGAATCAGCTAATCAACGCCTACAATATCAACTAAATCGTATTAAGGATAGGCGAGTAAGGAAGCGAGTTCAAATTGATCCAAATGAGCGTTTTGCGAACGCTAAGGTTATTAAGGCTGCGATAGATCAGGCTGCTGTAATAGAAACTTAAAACTCCATTCAAGATTATAAATAGGGTGCTAGAGCACTCCACTTTCAACCCCCTTGCCTTTTTTCGCTCTTCCGCTGCTTCAGACCTGCATAAGATGCGCCTCTCACGATAGGGGCAACTTCAGACGCGACGCCGAAAGTACAGTGGCCTACGCCTCGAGAACCACCGCTGCCTTGATAACCATCGTCTCTTAGGTAATTTTCTTCGTTCTCAGCAAGAACACCAAACTGGAGTCTAGTGCGCATCAACTCCATCGGAAAGGGGTCGTTCCCCAGACATGCGCCGCGACTAATATCGTCCAACGTGGTGTTGCGAGTAGTCACCAGAATACGTGAAAAGCCAGTGGAAAAGGTTGTCCCATCTTGCCAGATTGTCAAAGCACCGAACAGTAGAATGAGAAGTGTTATGAAGACGACCGGGGCGTAGCATTGCCATAGCCGCTCAGGTACGTAGACGAAAGAGGACTGGAGTCGGGATCGATTCACCGTAAGGTTTTCTTCGGCTACGACGAGCATCTCTGACTCTGACAGCAAAGAGAGCACCATATCTGAATAAAAGGATTCAATTTTAGCAGTCAAATCGTTCTTGGGCTCGCGGTTCTTCTGCACTAGTCGTGTCTTTGTGACGTCGGAATAGACCTGTGCGTAGTATGGTCCTGGTTTTGGTGCTTCGATATCGACATGTCCTCGGAGAAAGTCCCTGAACATGTCGCCAACTGCATGATATGCCGAGGTTTTCTTGTAAAGACCGACATCGTCTCGTGGGCTGATGTAATTACCCGCAGGCTCAGGATCAAGAGTGTAGTCCACCTTGCCGTCAACTCCGCGTGGAAATTTGGTATCTACAATGGGCGCTTGGTGCTCTAGCTTTATCGTGGAAGTGAAGAACGGCTCGGTGAAAATCCATTTGATCGTGTATATAGTTTCCATATGTGTGCAGCGGATGATATGTGGATCGTAGCGATGTGTCCAGTTCAACGCCAAAGGGTCGTCGTTCGCTAGCAGTTCTGTCGAATTGAACGCATAACCGATCCATAGCACAGGTTCTGCCTTGAAAACACCTAGATTGGCTGGAATAGCACCGGCGGGTATTCCACCAGAGCCTTTCTTGAAATCGGCTTGTGGGCGGGAGTATGCGCCATTGTCGACTTCTGCGTAGTACACGAAGCGTCCTTGTGGTGCCAAAATGCTTACGTTAAAGGGCGCTCCTAGATTGCTCAGTTTTTCCGAATCGTTCATACTGCTTGCTACCTCCTCGCATTGATAGCTAGGCCCAGTAAAGCTTTGTTCGTAGGTACAGTTGTATGAACCTCCACAAGCATCCTGTCGAGCACCTCGCTTGATGTTCGGATGATCCATGTTGCTGTACGCCAGCAGAAGCGCGATGCGTCTCAGCTCTGCCGAAGGCTGATCGTAGTAGTCGAACCATCCTGGGGTTGTGGCAGAAATATCGGTAGTATTACAGTATATCATTGACTTCTTATCACCCCCACCCTCCATCTTGATCGGGTGTCGCCAATCTTTTCCGGACTCCGCCGAGAAGTTCAGCGTGGGAACCTTGAGGTTAACTAGCTCGCTATCGAGATAGGTTCCGAAGGTAAGTGCACCAGGTGAAAAGATAATTGTTGCTAACGGGATCAACCAGATGACCTGTGGGTGCGCGCGTATGCAGTTAGTAGGTGCGCCTAAATGCAGTTGGTAGAGTAGTTACTGACCATGGCAATGACACATAAAAGCGGTGCACCGGAGACAGTTTCCCAGTTGCCAAAGAGCGATGGATCCTCTGTCGCACCAAAAATCTGATCGATTGAGAGCACTGTTAACGCCTGGTCCCTGAAAGCTCTCCACATGCGCTGTCGAAAAACTAGCACCGCACATCCACCAAAGGCGACTTTCGAGAGATATGCTAACACACGTCCATAGAGAACCCAGCGGAACTTTTTGTCCTCGTCGTCTTCTCGTGTGTGGTGCAGAAAGGTATACAAAAAGTGTTGGAGGAGCGCGAAGACGATGCCCATGAAGAAGGTAAATGCCATGAGTGCTGGTATACGCCAATGTATATGCCATTGTGTTGATTGGGTCGCTCGATGCGCGATGAGCCTCTCAGTCATAGGATCCGTTCGCGCTCTCGAGATGCCCGATTCAAACGAATAAAGCGTGTCTGGTGTTCTGGCATATGGTGGCCGTGGCCCCAAAGAGAATCCTGAGGGAGAAAACATGTCATGCTTTGTACCACTAGCATCCTGTCGCCAATATGTAGAGCCTGGTGATCTTGGCGACGTCATGGGCATCATCTGGATACCGAGGCCAGGGTCGTTCGTGCTTTCTTCAAATCTTGGCGCCTTGTTGTGACGGCTTTCAGAGGACTCGTCGCTCGTTCTGGCGGGTACTGAGGCATACTGTGGTCGAGATATGTGGATTTCGGGGGATGCAGGTACGTATGAGTATTGTGGGGTTGAAGTTTCCATGGCTGGTCATAATTGAAGGCGCTGCAATGTCGACTAGAAGATAATATACCTCATTAATGCATCGTTAAAAAGTCTAGAAGCCTGTAGCTTGATGTGCAAAGATAGGAATTGTTCAAAGTGTGGTTTCCTGGGCGATTCTAAGAAGACCGGTCAGCATCCTCGAAACGGCCGCCCAGCGTCGCAGCTGAACTGCAAATCCTAGGGCTGAGTCGTGGCACTTGGCTAGCAGGAGTTCCAAATGTGTGAGGCCCATCATCTTATGTCAGTCGGAGTTCTGTGCTCGCACGGAAGTGCTGCAGCGAACAAGCATGGGGCGGCAGTCAGCCGCATCACACAGCAAACTTCTCAGCCCCCCTTGGGAGCGCTTGGCCCTTCAGTAGCGCGAGAACAGCCATACTGAATTATTGGTAGCTATTTACATCCAAGATGGCGAATGCTGGGCTTTGACATGATCACGCCTGGCGGGCTGCAAGGTGATGGTCAACGAGGGAACACCATGAGACGAAACAACGCTCCTCGAGCACGTGCGCTAGCCACCTAGGCAAGGGCCAAAATCTGTAACGCAACATGTGCAGATTTGGCTGCCGGGTTTGCACTCCCTTTACAATCGCGGAGCTCGGCGACGGGAAGAGCCAGCGAACATGCGAGCAGCTAGAAGCACGAATATATCGGTGCATACGATCATGGTCTCATTGTAAGCGTGCAACTTGAACTTGTAATGCAAACACCTGCAGTTCCTTCCTCGCTCTACTACGCGTCCAGGCTGGCCTGTTCAGCTTGACAGCCTGGCCTGTCAAATCTCGTAGAACCTTCTGGCTTCGTCTTCCGTCACAGGGCTGACGTAACTCTTCTTCGAATCGACAAGTCCATAACGATTTCCCTTAATCTTCCACCACATGTCCCGGCGATTGCCATTCAATTTTCCGCCAAGGACCTCTTCCTTCAGTCGCGCTATAAACGTGTTATACATTTCTGGTTCCTCAAGCTCGGTGAGCTCCTCCCGCATGACACGAATAGCTTCAAGTGCCCGTCCATAAGCATTGTCGCCGACACTGTTGCTGATGAGATTGCGGACTTCCTTCGCAACACCGTCGACAGCTTCTTGGATGGCGTCCAAGTCGTCAGAGGCGGCAAGAGCTTGCTTGAACGAGGGTACGAGGTTGTTGGTTTCGATCTTGACACGCTTGGGGTTGCCGAGGAGTTCGTCAACATCAAGACCTGAAAGAGGTTTATTGCGGTCTGTACGCTGGCGCTTGCCACGACCTTTGACCTTTGGTGGAACTTTCTTGACGTCTGCTGCTTTCTTGACGGCATTCAGTTGCTTTTCCGCGGCTGCGGTGAGCTCTGCTGGTGGCTCGGAGTATTTCATTAGAATCTCTGGCGGGTCAGGCATAAGCAAGGTGGGATCGGGATGTGTCGCTCGCCATTTTATGATCTGAAGGATACGATGGACAAGGGGAGAGAATGTATCCTCTGGTTTAGCGTACTCCTCCTCGTTTCCATCTTCGTCGCGGCCAAATGTTGATAACTCCATCGCATCGACGTAGTCGCTCATAGCATTGACGAGTTCGTCTGTCGGCAGGTCCTTATGGTCAGTGATGGTCTTGCCACTGACTGTGAGTTTGCGATCTAATGGCGGAAACTTGTACCGTCTCATGTCTTCTTCGAACGGCAACTCAACATCGACCAGGGCTTCCCACTCCAGCTCGATACGTGGAACAAGTAGCAGCAATACCGGAGGCTTAAGATCCTTGGCTACCAGCCGTGCAACCGCATAGCAATCAGCTTCGTAGAGAGCGTGGATGAACGATGATAAAGCGAGCTGAGCTTGCGGGTTGGCCTTCTGCGGTACGATGAAGTTGGCGCGACTCAAGGGAAGATAGCGATCAAATTCCTCTCCCTTGACGAACCCCACCAACTCTAGAGCCTGTTGGGTTTCCAATTTCACGACGTTCATGTCAGATTCTGAAATGTGCACCGCTGTTCTGCCGTATTCGTAGCCGCGCTCTAGCTCATCAAGCTCGACCGGCTTCTTCAGGCCCGGCTCATCTAGGCTATCCACCTGATAGAGGCGCTGGTTGTGAACCGCCGACAGATCGGTCATTGGCTGGTCTTCACTAACTGCAGTCGCCGATGATTCCACGCTTGGGCCAGACGCGCCAGCAGGGTCTGTCCGCACTGCAAATGTACTTGCCGTGGGCGGCTTCGCAATCATGGTACATGGATATCGCTCAACATCGATAGTAATAGTAGCCTCGTACTTGCTAGCATCTCCCAACGTAAGTGAGCCTCTGTAGCTTTGAACAGGCCGGGTCTCCTTCAGACGAGGGGTGTGAAGCTGATCGATAGCTGTCGCAAGTGTACCGAAGTTGCCGTTGCAGTCGTCTACAAAGTCTCTCAGTATCTTCTCATTTTTCGCCTGGATCGGATTAGTCACACTCAAGCTTTGGTATTCATCTCGCATACCTTTCGAGGCTCCTTCTCCTCTTCTTTGTAGCCTACGTCAGGGTCATCGAAGTCTAAACCAAGCAGGACAATCTCGAATGGAGCATCTGAATCTTTGATTTTCATGGCCATCTGCTCGAGATCTTCGGTGTCCATTTGGCCGCGACCGTCAGTCACGATGATGACCCTGCGATCGTACTTCAATGGGTTGCCTTTCGTCCCTTTTGTTGCATTGTCAATCATGTGAACAGCTATCGCAAGGGCAGAGAGTACTATGACTGTTAGTGAGAAGAGATGTTACAGATGTTCGCCACTCACGGTCGCCATCCTCCGTTTTACTTGGTTTGAGTTGCTCTTGCAGCATTCGGATATCGCTCAGTAGGTACCTAACGTCTGTCAGCAGGTATAGCACCCTTGGCAACGTGGGACATACGGCTTCAGTTCTGAGAACACTTTGATGTTCTCATACCCCTCTCCCTCTTCCATAACCCCAGCGAGATCGGTTTCATCCGTTCGGCAGCCAATTACGCTCATCAGCGCGCTTTTCCTGCCTGTGCCAACCTAGATTGCTATTAATTCATTAATGCAAACCAGATTTGGGCAGAATTGAAGCATCACCGAGCACCAAACATACTAAATCTCCAAATGAACGTCGACTTACGGTTGTTGTGATCTTGTCCCACACATACTCTAATGCCCAATCAAGGTCTATCTGATCGCGGCCATGTCTCTTCGCACCCATCGACCGCCCCAAATCGAGTATGTACACTGTCGCCTCTTTGCCCGCCATAGTCGCGCTAGATGATACTGCTTTTGCGCGCTTCGTATATGGCGATTGGCGTCGTGTGCTGTCAACTTTAAAGCGTCGCAATTCCCCCGAGATGGATGAATTATTTGAGTGTGGCAATCAAGAACGCGACACAATGATGAAGAGGTAATAGAAGAAGCAGAGCGAGAGGTGAGGATGTCTGTTGGCGCTCCATAAAGTGGTGCAGCCTGTTGCTTTAGGCAAACGTAGCACGGACCAAGACGCGAGAACATGTGACGAAGCTAGCCTGTTAGGAGGAAGGAGGAGGGATAGGATTCGGAATGCCCCCACAGCACTCATTCGGTTCTCGGATAGACGATCCTCTTCTTGCCTTCTCGTATGCCTGGCACTGCACTTTTAGCCTGGTGCGATTCTGGGAGCATTCATCTCTTTCGACACACGTAAAGACGCATGCGTGTATGCATTACTTAGGACAATCATCATACTATGAACTTGTCAAGGTGTTCAACTTGAGCCCTAAGTTGACGGTACAATACAATTACTATTTAGTGGCCCAGGTCCTTCCTGCAGCAAAAGGTCTATCCGAACCTCATAGTAAGCTCCGCAGGCTTACTTCCCATGACCTGCTCAATCTCATCCAGGTTCTCCTTAGTCAACTTCCTGTATACATCAACCGCTTTGACAGTCTGATATATCTGTTCTGGCCTCGACGCGCCAGTAATAGCACTCGAGACATTCTTGTTGGACAGAACCCATGCCATGGACAGTGTAGCAACGTCAGTGTCAAGCTTCTTAGCGATCTCCATAAGCTTTTTAATTTTGTCTTGTTGCTGATTCCACGAATCGCTGCCAACGGTTTTGATGACGGATTGAATGTAAGGGTCGTCGGACTGGCGGAGGCGTGAGTCGTCAGGGACGCCGTCTACGTACTTTCCTGTGAGAAGACCGCCTTGGAGTGGAGAGAAGATGGTGAGGCCGAGACCGCGACGTGTGTAGAGGTTCGCGTCTTTGAATTCTTGGTCGACCTTCTCTCGGCGAAGCAGTGAGTAGCCTGGCTGTTCGACAATGGGACCGATGAGACCAAGACGGTCAGCCACAGCCCACGCTTCTTCGATTTCGGATGCTAGCCACTCGGACGTACCCCAGTAAAGGGTTTTGCCGGTGTTGATGAGGTAGTTGAAGGCACGCACTGTCTCTTCGATAGGCGTGTAGCGGTCCGGACGATGTGCGTACAGGATGTCCACGTAGCTTAATTGTAGTCGTTGGAGTGAGGCTTCCGTGGCTTCAATGAGATGCTTTCTCGACAATCCGAGGTTGTTGATCTTGTTGCGTGGTGATGGAAGGGCTGAGTTGTGAGTACCCCAGTATATCTACGCAAGTTAATGTACTTGCTTCAGACAGTCCCGTTGAGCCTGAAGTACCTTGGTGGAGACGACAATATCATTTCTATTCCAATTGAAGTGCTTGATGGCCCGGCCCATGACCTTCTCCGACTCGCCCTTTGCGTATCCTTCAGCGCAGTCGAAGAAGTTAATCCCAGCATCAAAGGCTGCTTTGAGACAGGCGAATGTGTTGTCATCGCCAACATGTCCTCCATATGTAAGCCAACCACCAAGCGAGATGGCAGAAATCTGCAGCCCGCTCTTTCCCATGAAGCGGTACTCCATCTCAGGGAGATCTTTTGGTGCTTCAGATTGAGACATGTTGTAAAAAGGAAGAGTAGCGGATGATGGAAACTGAACGGTAAATTGAGAATCAGTCTGGCTTATATTGGGATAATACCCTAGTCAACAACTACCGTGTCAATAAGCAAGCCACCAACGAAACTGCACGATGGAGTGCAGGACGATCTGCTGGATAGGGTTAATTGCCTAGGACAACCATCTAGAGTGGGGCACTTCGCTGCAAGATACCCCGCACAAAGGACCCAAGGGCGTAGACGGCACGGGTAGTGCCAAACCCATCCCGTTTGTCGTCATTGCCACGGAGAAAGACGACTTTAGACGGTGGGACCTGGAAGATTGGAAATACGCGATGGGCAAAGAAGGAGGCTGTGATTGCAGAACTTGAGGGCACCGCGTGATGGAGTCCAAGATATGGATTGGTATACCTAGAGAATATCATCAAGATAAGTTTGAACATGATGTTCTCTTCTACGAGCAAGGCACTGCTTCACCAAATACCAGGGACCATTCTCTTCCGCGGACCTACCTTATCGGCGCCGAATTTCTCCACGTACCACTCCTTCGTACCTACCGCCGTCACTCCTAAGTTTGTAGCGACGAATATAGTCGCACAGATCAGTGTCCAGTTGACCCAGTTACCCTCTGGAGCTGCCAGGAGCGAAAACAGCGCATAGACGACGACCTCGCAGGTATAGTGCGGGCAAAGAAGATTAGGAAACATGGTATGCGATGGAAGCTGGTAGCCGTTGCTCTCGGTGCGGAGGCGATAGAGGTAGCTGTGATAGGAGTGCTGCAGCATCTGGGCTGTGATAACACCCGGCACGAATGCCCAGTTACCGGCAGCATTGCTGGGTGTCTCAACCCAGATGGCCATATTTATCGTGATGTAGAAGAGAAGACCAAGCACCCAGTGGGCGAACCACATCCGGCTCTTGCTCGTTGAAGTATACATGTAGGATTCGAGCATGCGGCGCAGGCCCTGAAGCAGCAGGAGTGCCCAGACTATCTGCTGCTGCCTATCAGCTTCCAGCACGCGTAGCTTCCATGCCCAGAACAGCGAGCAGAGGGCCGATGTGATGTAGAAATGAGTGAAGTAGTTGTGAGGGACCTGCAGCGAGGCGGCGTAGTCTAGGGCGCGGGTGAGAGCTGACTGCTGCTGAGCGGGTAACTCCTTCCTCCCGCTTAGACCAGTGACACGAGAGCCATAGGCAAGAAAACGAGAGCGCAGGGCAGGAACGGCCTGTATGACGAGAATCTAGTAAGCAGCGCTGATTAGTGAGGTTGCAGGTGGAGCTGAATGGTGTCGCGATACAAGAAGTGACGCAGCGAGGTAGAAGGCGCGCAGCAGTGCCACCAGGTGCAGGTTCTCAAGCAATAGCGATAACGAGGCCATGGCGGGATGGTATTGGGGAGTGTAGAAGACTTGGAGGCTGGTGACGGCAGGATGATGAGGGCTTCAGGGCTTGACTGGTGCTGACCGCTTGTTCGATTAGTGAATCACGTGCTATGGAGCCCAATTTCCTCAGTGGTTCAGGCTAACGCTGCCTGAACCAAACAAGTTGGCTGGTAGGAGATGACGAGGGCTAAATAACGCGGCAAAGGCCGTTTTAGCGGCAGTTTAGAACCTTGGGAGACTTGTTTCGGCTGGGATGGCGAGCCAGGAGGAACACGGGACGGGCAAGACAGGACCGCTTCATGTGAGTGGGAGAGGCTCTTTGACAGAAATGGAGCCACGCAGCATCAAGCGCCACGACCACATTGGCCTGTAACAGTCATGTCGCGCTGCCTGTCGCTCACGATTTATGATGGCTTGCTTGAGACGAGCACAAATGCGAGTGCAGGGTTGCCTTCTGTCGCGACGGGGCCGTCTTTGGATCCATGCCCCCCATGGATGGTGCAGGCCGGTGAATGGTGGAGCACTGCCTGCTACTGGCAAGCCTCTCAGCTCTCTTCTCCGTGTCGCTCGCTCGACCTCCACTACACCTCACAACGCGCCTCCATCACCAACCCCCCGACCGCGACTCCTTAACAAGCTATTCCAGCAGCTACTAAGCGCCCTATTGTTGCCGCCCGCGTCTATCGTGCTGCAAAGGCCTCTGCTGTGCACCTTCCGTCTCTTGCTCTGCAAGCCAGCATGAGGCAGGAACTCGAGTGTCCTGTCCCAGCGTAATGACCAGTAATGCCGATCCGGTCCTAAACGCACCCTCTGCCCCAAAGCCCTTTCACCACGACCGCCCTCACAGTCCGCCCTCACCACGTCCGGCACCCAAGGCAGCCGCCTTTCTATCCCAACATGCCCACGATGAAGACCAGGATGCCGAAGGCGAGTCTGAGGCCGAGACGGTCGTACTGTCACGGGACGAGGACCCCGTGGAGAACAAGGTGATCAAGACGGAGCGCATCGAAGACGACGAAAACAACGGCGATGCATCACGGCTGCGCTCCATCAAGGAAGAGTCGTGGGCGCATTCACTCCAGCCCAACGGCCGTCGCCGGTCGAGCAACGGCAATCATGTCAAGATCAATGGCGCCAAGCACGCCTCTGAGCGCGATGCAAAGAGTCCAGTTCCTACTTCACCAAGCAGCCGCACCGCCTCGCGACACACCAAGGACACCAGCCCAAACGACTCGGTCAAATCGCCTGTCCGATCCGCTCTGTCTCCCACACATGCCACCACCCGCGGCCGCAGCGCGTCAACCGTCGAAAATCGAAAGCGCAAGCTGCGCGATGAGTCGTTCCCCAAAGCTTTCGAACCACCGCGACAAAAAGCCAGGACCGAGGGTCTGAAAGACGCGCGTCCGCCCAATTCACCTGGCACACCAGGTTTTGGCCGTCCACACAAGCGCTCGCAATCAACACAATCCGCCGTCACAGGTATCGCGGGCCGCAAACGCCGCGAGGTCACCAATCTTGCTTTGTCGACAGAAGAGCATTGGTCGGGGTCGAGTTCAGATCACTCAACATCACCCCAGCCAACTTCCGCACCACATCTCCAGCACGCCCGAGTCAAGCGCTCCACACACCGCGCGCTAACCTCGCCCGCGCGCACCATGCCACAGCGAAAGGTCGATAGGTTCGGCGCAACGCGACTTGCTCGAGAAAGCGAAAAGGGCGACCTTGATGCAGTCAAGGAAGCTTTCGAAGAAGCGCCCGACGAACTAGATCAGCCCGACTACGCTGGCATCGCTCCATTACAAAAGGCCTCGTTGCATGGCTGGGCACCTGTGGTTCGATATCTGATCAGCAAAGGCTGTCGTACAGATTGCGAGAGTCACGATCGGGACACTCCTCTCATCGATGCAGTAGAGAACTCACACCTGGACGTAGTCAGATTGCTGCTCAATGAGGGCCATGTCAATCCGCACCACTCGAACAAGAAGGGCCAGCGTGCAATCGATGTGCTGGATCAAGAGGACGAAGACGCAGAAGAGATTGAGAAAGAACTTAGGGAAGCGATGAGGAGGCGGGTGGACACATCCAGCAACGACCACGAGCGCACCCAAAAGCAGGCCAAGACCGCATCGCGCCTGTTGTACAACGAGTTCAACGTGGAAACCCTGATCGAGAAAGCTGGTGACGGCGATATCCTTGCAGTAGGAGAGCTAATCAACAGCAACATCAAGCCGAACATCACATGTGGCGTCGCGGCGGCAAGAGGTGGACACTACGACATTCTCAGTATCCTGCTAGCGAGTGGTCTCAAGGCTGATCCCGATCCATCCAAGCACCCAGAGACGCCCATGACAGTTGCCATAGGGCGAGGATACCTCAAGATCATACAACTACTCCTCGAGCAAGACAATTTCAATCCCACTCGCCGAAACAAAGAAGACAAGACGTATTATGAGATCTCTGAGGAGCGCCATGGCCCGAAATGGGAGGAAGAGAGGGATATGCTAAAGCGCGCTTGTGAGGAGTACCAACCAACGCACCGGAGCCCTAGAAGAGTGAAGAAAGAAGCTCCAAATGCCTCTGCCAACCGCATGAAGAGAAAGGCATCGCCACGAAGAGAACGGTCGTCTTCCCCACGTGTAGAGCCGAAACGTGCGCATCTAGTAAAATCGACGACAGTGCCCGCTGCACCCCAAAAGTCTCGGCGATTAATGTCTGGAAAGGAGAAGGCAACCAGAGAGGACCAAAGAAGAAAACGAGTTGTGGACGACGATTCATCAGAAGAGGAGAGCGAGGAAGACGTACGACCGCCTACCCGAAAGATCAAGCAACGATCCTATAGCGAGGGCGAGGAAGCAAAGCCAGTCAAGAAGGTCACGAAAGCACGGTCGGATGACAACGAACCTAAAGGACCAGATCGAGTACATTCAGATGAGAGTGACGAGGATCATGCCATGAAGCATCCAGTCAAGATTCGCACGAAACCAGCCAGACCTCTCAGTGCCAAACCGACACCTGAGATTGACTCTCCAGATGAGCGCAAAGTCGTAAAGAACAAGATCAAATACAAGACTGTGGAAGACAAAATCAGGAAAAGGAAGTTGTCTGATGCATCAACAGACGATGTTAGTATGAAGAGAACACCAACAGTGTCGGCCAAGTCTACGCCTGTGCCCCCTGAAAGGATAGCGACCCCGGAAGTCGAACGCGCACGTCGTCAAGAGGAACAAAAGCTTCATGCAGAAGCAAAACGCAAAGCCGCAGAAGCCGCTGCCGATGCTGAAGCGAAAAGGAAAGAGGACGAGGAGACCGCTCGCAAGGCTCAAGAGATAGAGGAAGCAAAGAAGAAGGCCGAAGCCGAAGCAGAGACAAAGCGTCAAGCAGAAGAAGCCGAGGCAGCACGCATACTGGAAGAGCAGGAGACTCGGCGCCGAGCAGATCAAGAGGAGAAACGTCGAAAGGAGCTGCTTGCACGCCAGGACCGCATATCCAGGCTGCCGCGAGCTTTACGGCGCGCCTGCGAATTAGGCACGAATCGACCGCTTCATTTCTCTGGGGAAGAACTTGGTGTATCGGCTGTGTTTCTCCCACTGTTCTATGCGACTGCAGAGGATCTCGGTGACTCGCATGCCATACCCAGCAGGACGTATATCTGCTCCTTCCAGGCCGTCGGCATACTTGGACTTCCAGAACTCGACCTGGCATACCTCAGCACACCTTACTCTGATTGGTCCCGTATTCCCGTAAGTCGCGCACAACGAGATGCCATCCTCCGCCAATACGACGTGGCCCTCTTAGCCCAAGATTTCCGTTTTCCCATGGAAGGCTCTCCTGATTTTGACTATGCCAAGATCCAGGATAGCATCAAAGAAGCCAAAAATCAGTTTTCTGCTATGGAAGGCTTGTATTGGGTGGAAGAATCGCATCTTTACGACGAAGTCGAGAAGGTCGAAAGCCTACGACCGCTACTCCGCGATATGCGCGCCGAATGCAAAAGACGGCGAATACAGCTAGTCGACACCGACGATCAGCCGGAGAAGAAGCAGAAGCCTCGAAAAAGCTTTATGGACATTGTACTCGCACAGAATAGTGTCAATGGAACGGCGGCTCGTGCGATTGTCAATGGTAACGGATGAAGCGGCAAGGGTATCAGGGCTCCCTGATTGTATAATTACTCCGATAAAAGCAAGCCCACATCGCCGTCCCGCGCTCCGCCGTATTATGCCGTACGAAGAACAAAAGCGTCTGCGGGAAAGCTACACTGGTAAACATCTTATGTAGTATTTGGCGGGAGTCGATAGCAAAGCATGATAAGCTCAGCGGTTCAAGGAATGAGGACTCATGTGCATAATCATGAAATCAATATAATCCAATTACGATGGAACTGTTTAGTAGTATTCAACTACACCGTGCTTCGGTTCTCTCCTCGTGCCAGGTTATCCTTGTCGGCCTGAGGCGCCACCCCACTCTGATGCATCTGGCCGCCCCGCACAAGTGCTCAAAGCTCCGGTACACTTTCATCAAGTCAAGCTTCACACGCGCATAACTTTACTATACTGCAAATTCCTCAGGCCATAAATCTGTAATACAAACACAACGAATCTAGACCTCACTCATCAAACCATCTAATCTTCGTATCAAACCGCCCCCCTTACAAATCGCGTCCGCAACATCCCCAAATTCTCTACAACCTCGCTCGCGAGTCCGCATCACCAAGATGGCGCCCAAGAACAAAGGCAAGGGCAAAGACAAAGACGACAGCAGTAGCAGTAAAGCCGAGGGTGGAGGAAAAGGCTCCGGTAAACTCAAACCAGCAACCTCAATAAACGTACGCCACATACTCTGTGAAAAACACTCCAAGAAAGAAGAAGCACTAGAGAAGCTACGCAACGGCGCAAAATTCGATGAGGTGGCTAGGGAGATGAGTGAGGATAAAGCGAGGCAAGGTGGTAGTTTGGGCTGGAAGGTTAGAGGGAGCTTGATGCAGGATTTTGAGAAGGTGGCATATGAGTTAGAGCCCAGTACGACGGGAAGTCCAAAGATTGGCGAGGTGAAGACGAGTGAGGGGTATCATATTATCATGGTTGAGGGGAGGAAGTAAGGGGAGGAATATGGAGATGAGGATGGAAAAGGGTTGAGGGATGGATAAGAATGATACCCCGGAGTTTAGGATATGCATACATAATGCATGACCTATGGAATCCTATCTCATAGCAGGTTCAAAAGAGATTGAGGGGGGTGGGGGTTGATAGCCAGCAGCCCACATCGCATTGCAATCACGTCTGCCTTCAGACACGCTTCAGGAAGGCGTCTTAAGCTATAGCTAGAGGCTTTATTCTTGCGCTGTGCAACAGCCACTTGGATCGCACCCGCCTGTCCTTTAACCTACCGCAGAAGTGCCAAATGCAAAGTATCGAGACCAATAGCTGCTATGAACAGATCCATGTATAGGTTCCGTTGGCGCGGGACAGAAGAGTCCATCAAGCAGCTAATGCTTTTATGAATTATACAATCCATCTTTTCACCTCACCTCTACATCTGTTTCATTCTGTTTATTGTGTTAGCGCCCTATTGGAAACCCTAATGAATACCCACGAAAAACATTTCAGTGTTAGGTACACGTCAGCGAAATTGAGCTTCTTCATATGGGCGCCTTGCAGCACAGTGGCCACTTTTCACCATGGATTGAAAATGGAAACAAAGCTACCAGTGGCAGACGCGGAAGATCGATCGAGCCCTTGTGCGGGAAAGATATGCGATACATGCTGTGTCGTGTCTTTCCACATGTTTAGTGAGGCGAAACAATACATGCCGGTCTCTTTCGGCCGTTGTCGAGCAGCTCGGGAGCCGTCATGCTAGCGTCCTCTTATCGCATTTGTGAAACGTTATCATGGGTGATCACCTGGTCCACAGCTGCACTCAATCATCACGTGCGGCTGAACCATCACGTCATCATCTTGAGCAATAGCCGCTTTGGATGTTGCAGAGGTGGGTAAGAGCGATAGTAATCGGCGGATTTCTCGCGGCTCCTCACCGGCTGACGACGTGTCTTGTTGCCTTTCGCGGTAGCGGACCACTCACCAACACTTGAAGGCTAGAAGCCAGCCGACTTCAAGCCGCCAAACGCGAGCAATAGCATTCAAAAGTACCTTGACACAAATCAGATCATCTGTCAGTCCATCAGCCCACATGTGAATCAAACTACATGGTCAATATCTGCCTTTCGCCCTTACTGCGACCCGAGCATTGGAAATCCGGTGTACAAGAGGTTGGCGCGCGCCCCCGGCGTCCGCTAACGCACTGACCCCACTTCTTAGGCAGCTACCATTACACCTCCAGCTGCTTCCGCCGTCTCACCTGCTCCACCTCCGCCTTCAACTCAACTCCATCAACCAGCTTCGACAGCAACAACAACATTGAAGTTGCTGCATCTCTCGATCTTCTATACAGCGGCGGCAAGCTAGCTGCAGTCGCTCTGACTACTACTCTCACTCTCATCGCCAGCCTCACTCGCCTATCATGGCGGCGACCAACAACGTCCCCGTGAACCTGGACACGCCCATCGTAGTCAAGGTCCTGTTCCGCGGCCAGACCAAGAAGTTCAAACTGCCTCTGAAGGATCTCGGAGCTCATGTTCTGCCCGACAAGGTTCGTAATGTCCCATACCTATTCGTTGTCATGCTCAAGCGATTGGATTGGTCGCCTGTATATACAACTAAACGCGCTTGAGAACAATAACACTGACTTAGTTTGTAACGTTTAGCTTCGAAACATCCTCCAGCTTGAAGCCGGCGACCAGGTCGTCTTTGAGCGCTACTCCGACTCCGCCGCCTCGTATGTCACTCTGGACGCCGACAAGCCCCAGGTCTACAAGACGCTTTTCCGCGCTGCAAAGGCGAAGCTCAAGTTACGTCTGAGGGCTACTATCCCTGGCGAGGAACCCGTACCTGCGCCCGCACCCGCGCCCATGCCACCCCATATGCTTCCAGGATATGTGCCCTCTATTCACCGCATGAGCTCGGATACCCTCACTCCCCAGGGGAATGCACCTGTCTCTCCAGTCGTTGCCCGCTCGCCAGAAATAGAGAAGAAGGAAGTCATCAACCCCGTATCGCTACCAGAGACGGTAGATGCTGACGGCGAGGCTCCTGTACCACAGGCCTTCACTGCTCGTCAGAGTAAGCACCAACGCGAATGCGATATCTTGTATAACATGTAACTAACGCCAACGATAGGCTGCTTCAACAACCTCGCAACTGCCAACTACAACTCGGGCCTTGCGTTCCGCCCTAAGCCGAGCAACGTGTGCACTTCGTGGGTCGTCTACTGCAACAACTGCAACGAGCCTATGGAGGACGAGCACTTCCACTGCAGCGTATGCGACGGTGGCGATTATGATCTCTGCCCGGCCTGCGTAGATAACGGCATTCACTGCCCCGGAAGCGGACACTGGATGGTCAAGCGCTTCGTTAAGAACGGCAGCGTCGTCAACAGCACTACACAGCGCATCGCACCCAAAGTCAAGGCCGAGGAGCCCCAACAGCAGGAGATTCCAGGTGCTTTTACCGATGAGAAGCAGTCTGTTACCTACGAACAGGAGCCAACGCGCACTTGCAACTGCTGTGTCACGGTTCTGCCCGAAAAGGAATTCGTTACTTGCGTCGCTTGCGACGATTACGACCTTTGCTTGACTTGCCATGTTAGCAACAAACATGGCCACCATCCCGGCCATACCTTCAAGCCTGCCACATCCGAGACCGTCCTCCCTACTTTGGCCGATTTCCTCTGCAATTCTGGCAGGAACGTTCGTCACAATGCTGTCTGCGATGGCTGCGACAAATTCATCTATGGTGTCCGCCACAAGTGCTTGAATTGCCCAGACTGGGATTACTGCTCTGACTGTCTCAAGAACGCCAAGTTCATCCACCCCCGTCATCGCTTCGTACCTATCTACGAGCCTTTGGCTGAGCCTATGAACACCGCCAACCGTCATTATGGTATTTACTGTGACGGTCCTCTCTGCAAGGACAAAGAGAACCTATCATACATTGACGGCATCCGCTACAAATGCGCAGTCTGCCACGACACTGATTTCTGCCAGAACTGCGAGGCTCATCCTAGCAACAAGCACAACCACACTCACCCGCTTATCAAGTTCCAGACACCTGTGCGCAGCGTCAGCGTCACAACTCTCAACGATGATAAGCAGCGCAAGTCGATCGCTAGGCTCGGTGACCGCATGGCTGACAGGCGATCTACCTCGACCGAGACTACCCCCGTTGCCCCTTCCACCAATGCTGCGACCCAGGTCCAGACCATTGTTGACATGAAGCCCTCGGCGGAGCCTCAGGTCAAGAAGGAGAAAATCGCCATCCGTGATCTGCTTGTCGACTCTGTAGAGCCCGTGCAAGAGAAATCTGCTCAGCTTACCCAGTCGATGATGCCAGTCAAGACGGAAGCCATTCCCATTCCTAGATCGGAGACCGCTGCCGAAGGCCTTGACGCACATTTCATTCGCGATACCATCATTGATGGCTCCAAGATCTGTGCAGGCCACCAGTTCGTTCAGGTTTGGACTCTGCGCAACCCGGGCCCGAACGCCTGGCCACGAGGATGCAGCGTCCGACACGTTGGTGGTGACAACATGCTCAACATCGACAATACTCGTCCTTTGAGCCACACTGACCTTGCTGAGGCCAGCGAGAGCAACGTTCTTGGTCATACCGTTGAGGCCGGTGAGGAAGCCCAGTTCCGTGTTCTTATGAAAGCACCCCAACGTGAGGGCACTGCCATCTCTTACTGGCGCCTAAAGACTCCTGAGGGCATGCCTTTCGGTCACCGTCTATGGTGTGACATCGCCGTCGTTGGCGTACCATCCCCTGTGGCAGCTGAGCCAGCGATTCCTCCTGCGCCAGTCGTGAGCGTCCCTACACCTGTCTCAGGCTCAGCTACTACGTTTGAGGTGGCTCCTCGATCCAACCCTCTATACGAGCGTCTCCTACAGGCTAGAGCAGAGAGGATGAAGCATGTACAACACACCCAGCAACAACAAATGAACCTGCAGAAGATGAAGGATGCGCACCACTCTTTGCAACAGCAGCTGGATCAGCAGAAGATGGAGCGTGTCCAGCGTGTCCGCAAAGCTGCCATGGAGCGTCTCCTAGAGGGCCGTCGAAAAGTGTATGAGGAAGCGAACCGTCGCAAGGACCATGAGGCTGCTCTCGCCACTATTAAACAGGAGCCGGTCGCCTCGCCCAAGGACGAGATTAAGTCTGAAGAGCCAGTCGCCGAACTCCCGGTTGAAGAGAAGAAGCGCGAATCCGAGCCTGTTGCTTCTGGCATGATTTTCCCTCAGCTAGACAAGGAGTCTCCCGAGTCAAGCACGTATGAATCTTCTACTACTGCTCAGCCCGTGTCTCCGTTGTCCGAGAAGAGCACAATCGCTCGTACCGTCACCGTCGCTTCGGATGAGGAGTTCTTCGAGGATGCCGAGAGTGTTGCCTTAATGTCCGATGACGGTTTCATGACCGACGAGGAATATGACATCCTCGATGCTAGCGACGAGGAGATGCCGTAAGCGGGTCAAGCATGTCTGTTAGTGAGCTACGTACTTCGTGAGCACAAAGGTAAGCAAAGTGCTCTAGGTTGGTGTCTAAAGTGTTCGGATTTCTGGTTTATGGGGCGTCAAAAGGAGTGCAACGGGGGAAACATGGTAACAGCTCAACACTCCCTACGTACAGAAGGCGCTGGTGCGCGCTTCGATACACCTCGACAGGACATGTGATTAGGGCCTCTGGCTCGGTTACGGCTCTCCTATTTTGGCTCAATTTGATCTTTCCTCACTCTCTAAGTGTCTTCTATATGCGTAGTAAATCAATTGGAGTCTTCTTGAACATGCTCTTGCTTATGACTTTGTTGTGCTATCCTGGTTTATTGCCGATGATATTCATACACGGAGACAGTATCTTGACGTTTGTCGGAAGGGCGTGACTAAGCCTAGGGTCTTCTAGCGCAGGCTTGCTAGCGAAAAAGTGCCCCAGAAAAAAGTTCGAGGCCGGAGAGTATCGATACGCAACACCACCCACGCTACAATGTCGAAAGATACAGAGATGCAAGACGTCACCACTATCGTAAAAGAGGAGCGTCGCGAAAAGAAGAAGGAGAAAAAAGACAAGAAAGAAAAGAAGCGCTCGAGAGCCGAGTCGAACGCTGAGGTCGCAGAGGCCGATGCCACCGAAGATGAAGCAGAGACACCAGCAAAGAAGCGCAAGCGCGAGATACTGCCCGAAGAGCTCGAGATCGATATCAGTCTCCCCGAACCCGCATCCAAGAAGGCCGCCCGTAAAGCAAAGAAGGCGAAACTAAACCCGACACCTGCCGCCGACGCAGAGGGAGCAGAAACTGTCACTAAAACGGAGGGTGCGACGAAGGAGGACAAGGATACGGCTGCACAGCGCTCAGAGTATGGCGTCTGGATTGGCAATTTGCCATGGTCTGCCACTAAGGAGTCGCTGCGGAAGTTCTTGATCGACAATACTGAGATTGCGAGCGAGCAAATAACACGCGTTCACATGCCCCCGCCTACGAAGCCAACCCCCGCCAACTGGACCACCAAGCCCATGAACAAGGGTTTCGCATACGTCGATTTTTCCACAGAGTTGGCAATGTACTCGGCGATTGCGTTGACAGAGACGAAGATGGACGGACGCGCGCTGCTCATCAAGAACGCGAAGAGCTTCGACGGACGCCCGGACAAGCCCAAGACAGAGGAGAGTCAGGACACTCGCGGAGGCAAGGACGCTAAACCAAGCCATCCCCCAAACAAGCGCGTCTTCGTCGGCAACCTCTCCTTCGATGTTACAAAGGAAGACCTTGAGGCACACTATGCTCCGTGCGGAGCGGTCGATAACATTCACATGGCGACATTTGAAGATACGGGCAAGTGCAAGGGATATGCTTGGGTTACATTTGGCGATGTAGAAGCTGCGACGGCAGCAGTCAAGGGCTTCGTGTTCAAAGATCCCTCTGCATTCAAGAGCAAGAAGGACAGGGATGATAGTAGCGACGAGGAGGACACGAAGAAACCCGTAAAGCAAAGGAAATGGCTGGTCAACAAACTCATGGGCAGAGAGTTGCGCCGTGAGTTTGCCGAGGACGCGAAAACGAGGTATGGCAAACGCTTTGGCAAGGAGACACCAGCCGAGCCAGTGGATGGAGTCAATCCAGGCCGGTGGAAAAATTTTGGCAACGATGGAGGTCAAAGAGGTGGTAGGGGCGGTGGTAGGGGCGGTAGAGGTGGTAGAGGTGGTAGAGGTGGTAGAGAGGACAGAGGAGGCAGGCAGGATGGAGAAGAAAGCAATGGCGGACGAGAGTTCAAGCGAAAGGTTGACCCAAGAACCATTAAGAGTGGTGCAGCGCATTCGAACGCTCCGAGGGCAAGCCAGGCTATTGTGGAGTCGCAGGGCAAGAAGACCACTTTTAATTAAGAATCGACGTTGTAGGTGAGAGTAACCATCAGGACACCCTGCAAACAAGAGTTAGTCGCTATATGTGGCAAATATCTTGCTGCGTGCTATGAGGCTGGCAGGTGGTGGGCTTATGAGCACATCTGTTATCATCCCTTCCCCATCCGCCTTCTGTTCCTCCAAACACCCTAATACTATTGTTACGCTCTGATCGCGACATTGGGGCAAACCTACTCATAACAGCGTCCCGCTCTTCATATCAATTCTCTTCAACACTAACTTGAACGATTTATCCTATTTCCCCCTACTCATAACAATGTCGAACCTCAAGCGCATCTCTATCATCCCCAACCCAGCCTGCGAACGTGCGGGCATGAAACAATACGCCAGCATCCTCAAGAAATACGACTTCGCACCCACAACCGAGGGCCTCTTCCAAATGGTCGACATCGCAACCAAGAACCTGAAGAACCTCTTCAAGCCCACAGACAAGAAGGCCACAAAACCCTTGTTGCGAAAAGTCGAAGACGACAAGCCAGGCGAAGTTAAAGCAGAAGACCGGCAAAACGATGCGCTTTATATTTGCCCTGTCGAGATTGGAACGCCATCGCAAATAATGAATTTGCACTTTGATACTGGGAGTTCGGATATTTGGATGTGGTCTACGGAATTGGATAGGGAGACGAAGGAGGCGAGGGTTAAAAGTAAACATAATTCTTTTGATGCAAAGGCTAGTTCGATATTCAGGGAGGTAGATGGGGCGAGTTGGAGGATTCGGTATGGTGATGGTGAGTCGAATCACTCTTCCACTGTCGTTTGTTCCTTGCCCTCCGCCTGCTTGTCTTGGAGGGACTCAGCTGACTGTCTGATTTATATAGGATCCACAGCTTCTGGTATCGTAGGCATTGATGATGTTATACTTGGCAGCTTATGCGTCGAGGGCCAAGCCATTGAACTTGCGAGTAAACTTAGCCCGCAGTTTACTTCCGGTGCAGGCGACGGACTGCTAAGTCTAGCATTCGGCCACATCAACACTGTCAAACCAAAGAAAGCCGCTACATTTGTGGAACAAGTCAGTCTCCTTCCCTTCCCTCTACTTTCTTTGTTGCAAACACCAAAAAGCTCACATCATCACACCCCCACTAGATGGTTCTCCAATCTGACATACCCTCTTCTCAAGAACTCTGCACCTGCTACCTCAGCTCCTGACGCAACAAAAACGACATCGACCACGGCGAAACCTTCTACACATCCCGTTATATCGACGAAGAAGTCCTCTCCCGCTATGGTGTCTCAGAACCGCATTACGCCTCTATCGACCCTTCAAAAGGCTTCTGGCAATTCTCCTCTCCAACCGCTACTCTCAACGGCGAGACTATTTAAAGACCGCCAGGCAACACCGTAACTGCTGTTACAGCAACCACATTGGCCCTCCTTAACGACGCACTCTGCGAGAAAATCTACAGCGCTACCCCTGGTGCTGTGTACGATAAAGCGCACCAAGGCTGGGTTTTCCCCATCGGAACAAACGTCTCCGATCAACCTACTCTGGCGCTTGCAGTTGGCGAAAGGTGTTTAAAGTGCAGGAGGATTTTGGGTTTGGTGAATGTGGCGCGGGTATGCAGTATGGGGAGATTCAATCACGTGGGGAAAAGCGAGTTCGATGTCTTGGGGGATACGTGGTTGAAGGGTGTTTATGCGATTTTTGATGAGGGAAGCAAGAGGTTTGGGGTTGTGCAGAGGATGGAAGGGGTACAAGATGTTGCTGTGCCTAAGCGATCATTCAAGATATTGAGGGGGAGGGTTGTGAGGGGAGGGGGGAGGTGTGTTAGTGGTTGATTTACCCCTGTGTTGCTGGATAAATGCTTGTGCTAATGTTATCATTCATCCATTCTTCTACGGTCCATGCCTTCTGCCTTGTGTCATCCTACTCGACCACCGAGAAGCAACCTTACGGCGCAGCAGCATTGGCAGCTAACCACTGCCCAAACGCCGCCGCATTCCTGGTCTGCATGAATACAGTCCCTGGCCCTGTGAACTTACACACGAGCCCCTCGCCCGCCGTCATGTTACTGATGATACCTCCGCTAGCAACACGCTCAAGGACGTATTTGCAGTTCCACGCCACCAGATGTCCGTTATCGATAATGTACTTCTCGTTGGCTGCGAGCTAGATTGGAACAATGTTAGCGTTCCATCGGGTCTGACATGGCAAAGAACAAAGCAGTGAACTTACATCCTTCCTAATAATCGCTCCAAAGCTCGTCACCCAAAGCACACCTGTGCCACTAATCTTGTACACAAACAGCCCTTCTCCACTGAACATGGCTTTTCCGATGCCCTGGCTCTTGTACTCTGTCACAATTCCCTGTGTACAGGCTAGGAAGGCGTCTCGGCCCACTGACCACTGTTCTTTCCCACCAAGCTTGATAATCGTAATGTCGCCGATAGAAGGAGGAGCAAGGAGAAGCTCACCGGGGCCCGTGTACGTAGACTTGCTCATGTCGCCCCCGATGAGGGCCTTCTTGAGGGAAAACTTCAGGTTGCCTTTTAGTGTCATGGTGGGGGACATTGCTATCATTGCGCCTACATTTCCTTTGTTAGTGAATGTTTTTCTATGTTTTCTTGTTTGTGATAGGAGCCAAGCATGGGATATGTGTTGAAAGGCTTACCAGGCTTCGCAGTAAATGGACATCCAATCGCTAGCTGTACCGTAAGAATGGAGTTCGTATCCCGGTGGCTCACACGATAACTTCCTCCGTTGAACGTTCCTACATCATCTGCGGAAGCACTTCCAGGCCCTGTATGTGCTGCTTGCCCTACGTATTGCGGTTGTTGTGGTATGGTCTGTTGGCTCATTTGCGGCTGTCCCATGCCTGGGTGTCCTATCTTCTCGGCAGGATATCCTGAATTCTCGTCGCGATACGGACTTGCACTTGGGCTCCCACCTGGAAACCCACCGAAGCCAGGGCTCATCGGCTGCTGCTGCTGATGCGGATGCTGCTGATGTGACGGCGGCGATTGTGCCTGGCCCGGTGGTGGAAAGTGTTGTTGTTCGGGTGGTGGCGCATATTGCTGTTTCTCAGGCGGCGGCGCGTACTGTGGTTGTGGGTTGGGGTTACCGCCTGGCGGAGGGGGATAGTGCTGTTGTTGGTGTGCGGGAGGGGATGTGGGCGGAGGTGGGTAGGATTGGCCACCTGGAGGAGGCGCAAAGTACTGCTGTTGGGACTGCTGATCTAGTATGTGTTAGGTTGCTGTTTAGGGGCGGAGGCATTGTGGTATCGGAAGGCTAGAGAGGAAACGTTCCATGTTTGACGGAAGTATAGGAGGGGATGAGGTGGATGTACCTGGCGGGGCTATATCATGTCAGTTCACTTCCTCATGCACTGTGATATGTGACTTACGAGGGTAGTAGTTCCCACCTGGCGGCGGAGTTCCTTGATATCCCGACATGCTCAAGCTTCCAATCCTACAGAGATGAAGTCTACGCGACTCTGGCTGTTGCTCAGAAGACGGCGCAAGAGTATATGTTAGTAGTAGACAGGCGCGCACGACCACACGAAGGGGGAGAAGGAGTAGAGCGGAGAAGGATTAGATTAGTCTACGGAAGCATCAGCACCATACGCAGTATAGACGTTTTAACCGCGCGCCCCCGTTGGTGTCTTCCTTGGTCAAGCTGCTCAGCCTCCAGCGCGCAGCTGTTGGCTAGCGGGGTGCCTCGAGCCGCCGAATCAGCGCCCCGCAATGTTGCTCTGGGCCATGTGCCAAGGCTGTGCGACGGGTGAGCAGAAGCAGGAAGAATAGCATAAAGTGGTTCATGCGCGAGGAGCTATCTTTAAGGAGTGGCCTTGAAGTAGGCAGAAACAAACATGTCTGGATGCGTCCCCGATGCAGGGGAGCTCCGGGAGGCACCGCAAGCCATCAGGGTCCGACTTGCGAACGGCATGCAAGCGCCCACGACTGTCTCTAATGCTTGGTCTGCATGTTGCTTGTCAGCGCGTATATTATGATATCAAATGTCACGTAGCACGTAATGAGCATATTTCTTTTAAACATCTATCAGACTGTATCTTTTTGACTCGTCTCAAATGTACATGAACCAACCCATGACATTGCTCTGAATTCATCATGATCATGACCGTTTCCATCCGCCGAAAAAGCGTCATAACAGCAACAGCCGTAGCGCCCGCTTATCGAGAAAACCCAGCCCAAGCCATGCATAACATTGAACATCGTAAAGCGCATAACATCAAACCCTCTAACCCACCATTCTCCGTCTCTTTCCAATCTGGGCCGAGAAACCAGTCTTGATGGCCTGTACCGAACGTCTCGATCCGCAGCTGTTGCAAGTGACGAAGTTGAGACGGTTCTCACCCTTGGACAAGTCCGTGTCGGGCGAACGGCAGGTCTTGCATGTCACGTATTCGACAATGTATCGTCTGAGCACGTTCTCGAGTTGCTTCTGCTGGAAACGACCCTTGATGACCAAGCGCTTCTGGTCGGCAAACGAACCGCTCGTACCCAATTCGGCGAACAGGAACTGGGCCACGTGCTCATCGGAACGCTTCATGCGCTTGCAGATCTCGGCAAGATTGGCGAAAACAGTCTTCTTGTTGCCTTCGCGCATACACTGTGGGGGCGGGATCTTGTAGCTCTTTGTGCCGGAGCTGGCGAGGTCGGGATGTTGCGCGTGGAGGAGCGTGAAGAAGCGGTTTAGAAGGAGGTTGTATGAGATGGGAGTCGTCGAGTCGTGTTGCCAGATGCCGGTGCCCTTCATCATGTCGCCCTCTTGTACTTCGGGCTCGGGGGCAGCGACCTCCTCCTCGCCTTCGGGCTTGTCTCCACCGGCGGCAGCGAGCTTGGCCTCGAAGTCATCTTCGACCTTCTTCTTGCTGGACTTCTTCTTTTTCTTCAGTGCGGCGAAGTCGCCCTCTGCGCCGTCCTCCTCCTCGCCTTCCTTCTTCTTGCTTGACTTCTTCTTCTTCTATGATTTCGTTAGTAGTCTGTTGATGGAATTGTTGCTTTTACGCCTTTACCTTCTTTGCCAGGTCAGCGAACATATCGGTGACCTCGTCAACCTCTTTGTCGTCGCCTGCAGCCCTACTTGTCAGTAACTGATTTATTGCCGGTATATGGGCTGTCTTACCACCGCCAGAAGCGTGGCCCTCAGCAGAATCCTTGCCACCGTTCATCTCTAGTGACTCTGTAACGTCGCCGTTGCTGTCGACAATCGTAGCACCTTCGGAAAATTGTACCGACTTGCGGGGTTTGCGGTCAGGGAGATCGGCCTAGAAAGACATCTGTCAGTATGTCGCTCTTTACATAAGATCGTGCAAAGTGCAAATTGGGCAGCTTGCATGCAGTTTGCCCCCCGCTCGTGCACAGGATATTTCGACAGCGAACGTGGGGTTGAACGACGTACATTATCAGCCATGATTGCGGTTGTAGTGTCCGGTTCGATCTTCAGTGGAGCAGTTTTAGTGTTCAGGTATCAATTCGGAGTAGGTTGTATTATGTAGGGGTGGTGGGTCGAAGAATAAAGCGGGCGGTCACCTTGGAGTTCGCCGCAACACATGTGTGAGTCGAACGCTGTAAGCCAAGATTTACGTCACGTGCGTGCTGCCGCTACGCCCCACCTCCGCTCATTGGCTGGAGCGCTTCCACTCCATCACCAAACGCGCCTACTCTGTTGACTGTCGCGACCCCGTTACTTTCGCTAATGCTGCTACGGTAGCCCGCCAATCGATTCATACGTTCGCCGCCCCTTCCAGTAATCCACTCAACACTGCCGTTGCCATGTCGATGAGCAATAGCGAGAGCTTTATCGAGCCAGACTCCCCCGACGAGATCGATTCATTACCATCCTCTGCAACGAGCTCCGAAGCCGATGAAGAAGAATACATGTCGGATGCGGATAGGGAGTGGAAAGAGTCATTGCAACAGTTAGAGCTGTTGTTAACTATGGTCATGGTGCCATATCTGGGGAAATACTTTGGCAGGAAGGCCGCATACTGGGGTACGTCATCTTCAATATGCAGGAGACGGATGGATTACAGGGTGCTAACATCTTTTTCAGGATGGGCCAAGTTTATGGAATGGAAATATCCCGTCGAAATTGTTTTCTCGAGTCCGAAGACGTTCAAGCTGGCTGGAGCTGTCGAGGCAGCAGCGACACTATGAGCCCTTTACGATACTTCGGTGGCCTCACACATTCAAGCATCGGCGTTTATGGCGTTGGGACTCATCCGACATCCATATACGTTGGGCGTCATCTGTACATACCAGTCTGTTACTGCAACATATCGAACACATGCATTAGGAAGCAAAACCCGTATCCATCTAGGCTCTGAAAGTAGAACCTCTCCGCTGAGAATCGTCCTCCTATAAGCATTATGGTGCCAAGATTCACCTGCCACGGTCGGCAGCCTGTCCTGCATATGCTTCGTATCTATACCGCCATCTTTGGCATGCATCTCTTCCATATCTTGTCTCGTCTTGCTCTTGGGCTTTCCTTCTCTGATACGCAGCTTCTCAAAGTAGATGTTATGCACTGTAAAAGACACCAGATGTTTTACCATTCAACGCCCCCTTCTTACTGCGGAAAGCGGATAGTTGGCGGGCAGTGAGGGTCTTGGGTGGATTGTGAAAGGATGCCGAGGCTGCGCGAACGAATGAAGCCTGGGTTACACCGGGCTTTTTGAGGTGCGCGTTAATCTTCTTGCGGATACCGTCGCATGTATCTATTCACAAACCTATCAGTTCTTGGCTCTCTTGCGTAGTGCAGATTACGAAGCTTACCGTAGACTGGCACTTTATCCTCCTTCTCACCCTCTAGTTCAAAATTGTCAATGCTAGGCATACTATCCTTCCCTGCATCTCCTTCATTCTTCTTCGCGTTTTTGTTTGGAGTAGTTTTGATGCCCTGCATGTCATGCTTCTTGGAGAAAGCCCACACTGCCAGATATACGGAACACTCAGCTCTCTTATCCTTCCCGTACTGGCTCATGAACCGCGAGTATGCATTAGGAGTGATGCCGATTCTTTCTGGAACTCACCGACTTTCAAATCGTTGTTGTCAATCAAATTGCGTATCTTACGTTTGCAAACGAGTCAGAGACTGTATGCATATGATGGACCACTTGAGGACACGTCTATCGTGGCGTCGCGCGCATTCATGAAGATGCAACATAGGAAACTCATGCCTTGATGAAATTTTGCATACTGTACAACATCGCAGCTCTCCGTCACAAGCATGTTTTCAAGCTCAAAAGTCAGCCTGTCTTCATCGCCGGTCTGCATCAACTGGTCTGATGTGCACTTCGTCATCTCGACAATATGCGTTGATGGTGTAGTGATATTTTGACAATGCCTTATGTCGACAGTTATAGAACAGAACGAGATGTCAAAGATGTGATTCAGAACCAAGATAGCCGAGATGGGCGAAAAGGGGTAGACATTGTGATCAGTCACTCCATGCTTATGACGTCGTGTTGCGACATGTCTGGTGTGTTGCGCTAGTGGGCGGGGAAGGCACGACGCGTATCAGGCGCTCGGAAGTGTCAATATCATACTCGAGAGCTTTCCAGAACATTCGGGCCATACGATACCAACCAGGTCAGTCGACAGTCGTCGTGGGAGGTTTTGAAGATGCGCGAAATGAGTGTGTTGAAAGAGGCCTGCTATCGAGGAATTTGGCTGCACAGCAATCTCAATTAAAGATTAACTTCTCAGGATTCCGCGACGCGATGATTACGGCAGCGACCCGTTCCACAAATCCGTAATACTTCACTACAATAGGTTCCACTATGGGCTCTTGGGAACTTTCACCGACGCGCTACTTGACACTATGAGATCAAGAACAAACAACAAGACGTAGCGTTGGATTTCAGTGTTCGCACGTGAGGCTCAGTTGCGAGCACTCAGACAGGTGCTTTGACAATTGGCATAAAGCCCAAGGCAAGCCTTTCGTAGGCAATCACCACATTGCTTTACAAAAAAAACACTCTTGAGAGAATATCTTCGACGGCGACAATCTGTGACCTATAGCTGTCACTGCTACCATACACTTCCTTCGCCTTGCGAGCCCTCGTCGTCTGTGCTCACCACGTAGGGCTTGAGTTACTAGTGAGGATCTTCAATCGAAACCTCTAGGTTACATCAAGCAGTTCTACTGTACGCGCAAAGCCTAGATTCGTGCTTCTTTCCAGTCGCAGCCGCCACATCGCGCGGTTTTATAGCTACGTCGTGACCCGGGCCATGCGTTGGTTTTGGACCTTGGACCTACCTACACTCAATTCTAAGCAAGAAGGATCGGAAACTTTCCTTCACCGGCAAGATTCAATCGTCCCACAAGCCGTTCTTACGGTCGGGTTGTGTAAGGACCCGAAGGATTCAAGAGCTCCACTTCGTCGACTACTGCGGTGCGGACTCAGAATTTTCCCTGCCCGCCTGAATGGGACATTCCTTGCCCAAGACTAGTTGCGGCGCAGCAGTTCCATGTCAAGGAAGCAGGGGAATGGGTTGGCCCATGCTCTGCGGTTCTGCGGCGAGGTTAAGGACGGCAATTGCGAAATGACAAGGAATAAAACTACGGCACGGAATGTCAAGGATGACAGCAAACTGTTTCAAACGGTATTAACCATATTGTTGGTTTCATCGACGACAGCTGTTATTTACAGTATTTTGCTAGCGATCGGTCGGCACACAACAAGCTGCAGAATTACACTCGGCATAAGCGACCGTTCTGAGTTTGGGCGCCTTGGTCACCATCTTTGACGACCCAATCCTCACTCCCAACAGCTGTGGTAGCATAAAACACACCCTTGGGGTCCCACTTCTTCTTGATGGCGAGAAGCTTGGGGTAGTGCTTCGCTCCATAGAAGTCGGTTTGCCAGTTTGGCTCCTGGATATCCGCCTCATTGAGGTAGACACCGCCTCCCTCGGAAGCCGGAGCCACAGCACGCCATGAGTCCATGATATCGTAGGTAAGGTAGTCGGAAGCTTCTGCAAATTGAGCTGCGGTCGCATTTTCTGGGACTAGATTGGCGGTGATGAGGAAAGACTGGGTATTACGCCATGCCTCGTTGACAGCATTGTCGACATTTGAGGGGTTTCCCGGAGCCATGTGGTAGCCACCGACAGTGTGACCGTTCATCACTGTGTTCTTGATTGTGGTGTAAAAGGAGTTAAACTTTGCTTCGGTTTCCCAAAGGCTCTTGGGGAAAAGACGGGTAGCTTGACGAATGTTTGTCACACCAAGAGTATCTGCGCCCCATGATCCTTTGTTGGCGGAGTAAAAGTTCTCATAATAGGTAGTGTTGGGGGTTACAGAGATGTTAAATGACTTGAGGTCATCGAAGTAATCTTTGGTCAGCGCATTGAAAGACTCGATGGTATGGTTTGGCGCAAAGAAGGGAGTCATCTGGAAGTCGAGCGAGGTACCGTAGTTCCAGATCCAGAAGTATGAATAGGTACCTGCATTGGTAAACTCGGGGAAGCGCTTCATGTAAGCGTTGACGCCCTTCCAGAAGTTGGCGGAGTCGTTGACCGGAGCCTGATAAGAGAAGACGGACTTGGTAACTTGAATTCTAGGGTGAGCTTTGGCAATGACAGAGGTAACAACGCCGAAAGTTCCACCTCCTCCGCCACGAAGGGCCCAGAAAAGATCAGAGTTGATAGAGTCAGAGGCAGTTACGAAGCGTCCATCGGCGGTGACAACCTTATAGGCGAGAACTTGGTCAGCAGCCATACCGTAGATGGATGCAAGAGGCGAGTGGCCACCTCCGGCAACATAGCCACCACTCCATCCCACAGTCTACACTCCAATGTTAGTAATCTCTCATCTGGTATCTCGCATGTCCCGATAAACTTACCTCACAAATACCAGCCAGGACAGTGACATCGTGGTCGCGAGCAGCTTCCAGAATCTCAAACCCTTGGACACCAGCACCAGCTTTGAAAGCCGGGCCGTTGTACTCAGCCGACTTGTAGTTCTTGATGAACTGGATGTCTTTGAGATTGTGCGTCCATAGACTTAGAGCACCTGCGCCGGACGACTTTCCAATATAGTCATGGCCAGTGTTTTTAACGGTCAACCTTAGATTCATATTTCGAGCGAAGTTGACGCCAAGCTGCACCTGCGCAACGTTCGTGACATCAATGGAGTAAGAGGCATAACCACCTAGCGTGCAGGTACCACTGGGATCGTCGGTAGGCATGCAGGTACGACCCTGGAAGAGCGGCCACATCATTGAGGTTGGGTCACTCGTGCTGATTACGAAGGTCAGTGAAAAGTGCTATGTGCTACATACGGAGTTTTACTTACTGCAGATCGGCCGTGGTGAATCTGGCCGAAATGTCTGCGCATTTTCCCTCGTCATAGTCGTTCCAGGCTGAATTCTTGTAGCAAGGCGCAGCGATAGGAGTAGTCTTGATGAGTGCTCCTCCAAGCAAGAGGTCGAAGACAGACCACACCCATTCCTTCGGGTAGTTTGAATCACCTGGAAAGGCTTTGCATTGACCACTGCGGAGTGCGCGCTTTGCAATAGCCTTTGTCTCGTTGCCACCGTCGAAGCCAAAGAGCGCACCCACATCGACCTCGCTGGTTTGGCTATCCGCTGTCTTCAAGGCCTCGTCGGTCAATTGAACTGTCTCCAAGGGGAAAAGAGCAACGCCGGCAGGTGAGTCCGCAGAGACTGTAGCAGCAGCAGGTGTGACATCGCGTAAGGCGACAGGACTACCAAGGGCGCCGATAGCGTTCGCAGCAAGAAACAACAAAGACCCGCGTGCAGACATAGCGAAACAACTGCAACTTAACAAAAGCGAAAGTGTTGGCGATGAAAAACCAAATCTTGCCTACACGAAGTGTCTCTAATAAATGAATTCATTCTCACGTGGCGCTAAGCCAAAGGATCCGATCGAGAACCACACATCGAACCACATGGCAGATAACACCTGAGAGGCAAATATCGGAGATATCATTGCGTTCGTGCATCAGCAGTATGTAGGTCGTTATACTTACATTACTCGTAAAGCGCGTCCGAGTGTAGTTGCCGCTCGTGGCACAATTTCCCTCTTCCCCTACGGTCCGACCGTTCGGTGGCGGCCACTCCACCAATGGCAGTACCCCAGAACCGTCCCGGGGTCTGTTTTTAACCGTGAAAACACAAGGTGCCTTCGGATTTCCGGCTTCTGCATATCTTTGCGATTCGGAGATGGAAAGACCCTAAGCGAGGAAGGATTTGGCTCAGGGTTCTCTGCCGCCTTGAGCCCCACAATAGTCTTAGCTGTGTCAGCTGCAGAATACAGGTGTGATGGAGCCTGGACGGAAGCAAAGATCACCATTAGGCGGCTTGTTAGATAACCTCGTCTGTCCTCGATGAATTTGTAGTGGGTCACCCATGGTATGTGGATTGGAAACGATACCGAATGGAGATCAGGATGCCGCGGGGACGATACGAAGCGTCCCATAACGCTTCCCACAACGTGGTTCCGCCTCAAGTGGCTGGAGAGAAGGATTGCCTGTCGTTCACCGTATCTTTCAGCAATTACTACAGCGGAGAATACCAAGGAAGATAGATAATCGAGAGAACGCCACTAACTTCGATCTAAATCCATGATTGGGTATCACAACAATTCCACAAGGGATAACCTTTGCTAAGCTCCCTCCCAGCGGATTCCCCGAGAAGTGATCACGGCCGAAGTTCATCTAATATTCCGTGAAACAGGATCACAGATGCGCCAGGATGAGGACATTTGTGAGCCGCTTACTGTTGCATCGACCAACCACAACCCTTCAGGAATGGGCTTACTTCCTCACTCAGGGGCGTAGAGATGACCCGAAAGCGGGAGATGGGAATTTTGGAATCCTCATCGCAAGAAGAACCGTCCCGAGGTGCTGTCCGATGTCAGTGTTCGTTATACATGCTTCAACTCTTCCTCTGCGTATCCTCTGCATACACACAAGTCAACCATGACGAACAAAGGCTTACAGCCAGTAAACCTGTTTTTGGCGATTTTCCCGAGCGTTTGCTCTGTTTTGATAGTGTCTGTACGTGTTGCAATAAGGCTTAGGGGAGGCAAATTGGGTGTTGGTGAGTTTACTTGATTGTTGAAGATACATCTCTACTCACACATTCCTTAGCAGATACACTTCTTATCATTGCAACTGTAAAGCACTGTTCAGGTCCGCAGCGTTCTGGTTTTGACTAATTTATGTACTGTTATGTAGCTTCTGAACCTCGTCCTGTCGTTCACAACATGTGGATGTATGTATATCCACATCTCATACGCAATGTTCGTAACTTATCTGTACACACAGCTAACAAGCCTTGGTAGATATCCTCACCAGCTACTATGGCTACCATACTCGCGACATCCCCGATGGTGCAGTCGATCCAATCGTGATGATGAAGGTACGTCATGTAGCAACATCATCACCATCTACCATACATAACTCTAACTCTAGCACGTAGTGGAACTACGCGAACTCGATTATCTATAATCCCATCCTTGCCTTGGTCAAGGTCTCCTTCTTGATGACACTCATCAAACTTCGATCGCAGAACAAGTGGATAAACCGTTGTCTATGGGGGACACTTATCATAAACGGTTGCTTCGCCATTGCTGCACCTCTCGCCTGTATTCTGCAGTGCAACCCAATATCCAGATATTGGGATCCCAGTGTGCAAGGACAATGTGTTGATGCTGGCGCTTACACCGTCAGCACTTCGTCAATCGTGCTCACGACTGACGTCCTGATCCTGCTCATGCCTTCATGGATACTGCACGATCTGAAGATGCCATTGGGTCGCAAGCTCATGGTTATTGCATTTCTGTCCTTTGGAATTCTGGTCACCGTGGTCGGCGCGGTCCGCACGAGTGTTCTTGTCAAAGTCTTCGTACTGAAAGAGGCCACGGAGGATGGATCGTACGAAGTTGGCTATACCCTTTCAAACATTGAGTCTGGGCTCGCAATAATCGGAACATGTGGGCCGACAATCAAGTACATTCTCAGTTGCTGCATTCCTTCGCTCAAGAATGCGGATGAATCTAGTAATCGTGGGTACATGTACCCCACAGCCGGCTCTCAGGGAGACGCTCGGTCAAAACACTTCACAAGGACTGCGAGGACACACGGCACGTTCAAGGAGATTGATGAAATTGAGTTGACCAACGTACCGGGCGAAGAGAAGCAAATGCCGAGAAGGAACACACAACATGGGGATCCGATGATGATCACGAAGACAGTGGCGTGGAGGGTGGACAACAGCCAGGAGAAGGATTCAAATAGTACGAATGGTGAACAAATGCCCCGGGATTTGCTATAAGATATCGAGGAGGACTGGTGGCCTAATTCCAAGTGTTATTACTGGCGCGGCAGACTTGGGCCTGGGTATACTATTGATAACGACCATCGTGAACTCCCAAACAAGGCTGAAGGGAAGTTCACAAAAAGGTGCACGCGTATGCTCCAGCCACTTGAGAGGTTCACTCTTCTACCTTGTCTTAGAAGAAATCTCACATGGCTGCACGACGATAGTATCCCGATGAGAAGTTCTGTAAGCAGTTTTGGTATTCAAGACATTTCGCGTCAACCTCATTTTGGCGTGAGATGGGAATCGCGTTGTGAATGCAGTTCTCGTATAGCAAAATTTGACGAATATGAAACAGATGAATAGTTGCATTGATCAATGAATCCTTGCGGGAGGACATCGTTCATTTTTCATGATGAAGCAGCTATACTACTACAGGTCACCTGCATTGAGATTCTTTTACTGAGTTATTTGATCGCGTTGTGTTGCCCTGCCTGTGCATCAACACTCTTCCTATGTAATACTACTACAGGCACCTCCCTTGGCGCCCAAACCGAGCATACTATTCACTTCCCCTCCGTACTTCACTGCTTATAGTTGCTTCGAAAGCTCTTGCACCCAGGCCAGCCTTCCTTCCCCAAAGATTTCAGCGGTCGCGGGCATTTTCTCACCACCTTCTAGTAACAAAGTACGCACGATGATCTTATCTGGCATGACATCCTGGTGATGATAAATATGGCTTGTGCAAATCTTGCAAAAATAGCATCGCACAAATTTGCCTGTACCCAGTCAGCTCTCTCCCCTCCGCTGTAAGCGAAGGCAAACATACCGCTAGCACCCTTATACCGATACTGCCTGATGTTTTCTTCACCCGAAATGATATGCAGTTCTTCTTTCGGTATGATTTGATTGCATGAGTACGGTCCGCCGCCGAGCTTTTGACACGTCGAGCAATGGCAAAGCACATGCTCCGCATTTTCAAGCTTCGCCGTCCAGTGGATACTCTCGCAATGACACATCCCTCTTCTTACTCCGTCCCCTTCCGTCGACGGATGTTCAGCCGCCGGACCAAAGAGTACTCCATCTTTGATATCGATCACCAAACTATCCTCGATCAGCGGCTTTGCGGCCTTGGAGAAGGCCTTATGAACGGGTTCGGTAGTGAGGTAGTAGTCCAGATCCGCTTGGTTCGCAAACTCGAGCACGAACCCATGTGTCATGCCTTTTGAGAATGGTTCCCATGATCTGTTCTTGCCGGCTTTGAGCGACTGTATGAGTGGTTTACCGGTATGAGGATCCAGCGATTTATGTTGTAGTGCCATGAAGGACTTGAAATGGCTTTCTAGATCAGTCCATGTTATATTCTCCCGGTATTTGAAGAGCACGATGTGTGTTATTGAATCGCTCGCCATGGTGGTCTCCGATGCAGAAGTAACCGGTGTTGAAGGGAGGGTTGTAGTAGAAGCGGATTCGAGGATGTCAGCGATGTTGGGGAACATGTGGAAAACGGAAACATGGTTGTTGAAATGACAGCCTCCAGGTTATAATGATAGAGCGCTCCTGATGCTACAGAAGTCATGGCGCGGCATCTGAGGTATAAAGCCGCGGTCACGCTCTTCGTGGAAGGCGGCTCCGGGGTTAGCGCCGCTGGATGTAGCAAGATTCGCCGGTTCAAATATGTGGGGTAGCTGCAACGGGGAACAAGTATCCTGTCTTCCTCTCAAATATTTTGCAATATCATCATCTTAACGTGCAGTTGCTAGTTATACTCAATGTCGAAAGGTCTACATGGATTTCAAGATCATAGTAAGATCGCTAAACTCCGCAATCCGACTCTGCACACCACCGACACCTGTCTCACGGCGTTTTATCTGACCCAGAGCCCATCGCTTGTCCAGGTCCACTCGCGTTCCTCAATTTCACACTCTCGTCCGTCTCCTGCAACAGCGCATCCTCATGATCCACCGGATAGAACCGATAACTCCTCATCTCCGTATTCTGCCAATCCCCATGCGTCTGACAGTCATTCTCATCCAGATCCCCAGAAACATAATGTAGAAAATCACCGTGTGACACAACAACAATCTCCTGCTCGTCGAGATCGCGCAAGAAGCGGCGGAGTTCAAGCGCGCGAGCCTTTAGTGAACCGCCATCCGGCGCCCATTTCCCTTTCTTGGTGTTGAAATCGGTGTAGATGTCTAGGCACCTGTGGAAGTTGCACACGTCGCCAAATTCGTTCTGAAGCCGCGTTACATCGCTCGGTGTATTCGCAGGCAGGTCTGTGGCTTCTTGAGCTAAAGGAAGAGCTAGGATATTGCGTTTTCCAGACTGCAACCAGGGCTCCATACTGATGAGTGCAGTCTGAATAGTGCGGCGGATAGGACTCGCGCAAACCAAGTCGATGCGATCGAAGAAATGGAATGTTTGTGACAACTTTTCGCATTGTTCTTTGCCCTTCGGAGTGAGATCTGGATCGGGGATATTTTCATTGTGTTCCGAATTGTGGTAGCCTTCAGCATGGCGGATGAAGTGTACTGCGCGAGGGGCCATGTCGAAGTGCTGAAGAGATATGTGGAAGGGGATTGAAGAAAGGTATTCTTATCAAGAAGTTGAATCTGGTGCTCAGTTCTCAATAGATGTGTACAGGCCGTACATGCACAAAAAGACTTGATATATATACCTAGAGAAGCACTTGTGGATGGAGGTTACCGGACACACACTTACGACTATCGATATTGGCCTCCATCTACTGGCAGAAATATCGAGCCAAGATCGCGAAGCTAGAAGCCTAGTCATCGCCACGAATTTCTAGCAAAACGACATGTTATATTAAAGAGGAGAATGTCATGTCGGCACAACTGTCAGAAGACTGGAATGTGAGGCGCGCATACGGCATGAACTCCTTCGGAAATGCTCCTGATGTTCTGCTTGGCTATGGGTCGGCTTCCAAACGAGTTTTCTGTAAAACTAGTACATCTTCTAGAAGGCTATGCGCCCAGCCATCAAATCCCGGGGCTCTTAGCTTTTGGTAAGTCTCCACTTGGACACGCTTACTCAAATGCTTCGGTCCTAGATGCTGCTTGGATCCCTATCAGCCCAACGTGAAGACCCTGACTACGCGCAGTCACGAACAGTCATTCGCTCAGATACTAGTTCGTTGCATGCACAGTGACATCTAGGGTCAATTCTCCGCCAGGAACGACGCAAGCAGTACGGGTAATCGACACCCCAAGAAGGCTATGCAACGCTTGGTTGTGGAAATTTTCACAGAACCTCAGACTTCGCGTTGATGTTGCGGGCCTTTTCAGCCGTCCTTGCACCAAGTACCAGATTTAGAGAGGTGACGCGACTGAGACATCCGTTCGGGTTGGTATCTGCGTGAGGCGTAGATGACGTCAGCACGCTTGAACTAGTGACATACTGGCTTCCCCACAAGCTAAGACTGAACTATCGAATATGCACTGAGGTGTAGTAAAGCGCTACGTATAGCTTTCTAAAGCTATGGTGCTCGGTTTCTCACTATACGGCTAAACGGCAATGCATGCGATGCAGCTTTTTCTCTCAAGATTGAGCTGTGATGATGGCACTTCGCTTTGGGCTACGTCAGAATTTGGGCTTCTGACACACACAAGTTGCTAGGAAATATCATTTTGGATAAGAGAGATTACAGTGACAAGAACAGCCGCGGATCTTTGTTGCTGTACTATGCAGCCCATCATAGTATCCGCCCAGTCCACCCTTCCACTTCAAATTCAACATGAATCCCCTCCAGTCGTACTGGATCCACGAATATCTTCAGCTCTTTATCGTCGGACAGGACGTTGAAGACTCGCATGATGACGTATATTCTGGTCGGTAACTGACCTGTCTGTATGGTCATTTCACGCATCTGCTTGTCGCGTCAGTTACACGCCCAAAACATGCATCGGACAAGCTTGAAGTATCCAAGGTCCGGATAACTTACGAGTTTGTACTGTCCAGTGCTCAAGAAGAACCTTGACCCGCACGCCCCAGTGGTGCTTTTAACTTCGAAGTAGTACTCAATCGGGTGCTCCGCAAAGTCACGATTCCTAAAACCAGCGGGATAGCCACCCGTGCAATTTCCTTTCAACCATCGCGTCAGCCTACCATCACAGTCTTTGTAGACGATATCTGCGGTCTCGCGACCTTCCCAATTAGCAATACCAGCGTATCCGTGATAACGTGAGAGTTCTCCGCGAATAGTGCTTCGCCAATTGTTGCGAGTGAAGTCTGCCAAATTGAGGGCGGAAAGTTCTTCGAACACCTGTCACTGTCAGTATCTAGATACTGAGTGGGTCAAGAAGAAGACTTGCAAACGCTTCACCTAAAGCACCATTGTGACGATCATGATCCGCCTGATTCGAGCTACGACTCACTCGGGGGTTGGAGATGATCTGCATGGAGCTACTTGCCGCATAGTCGACGAGGGTCGACTCAGATGGGCTCATCGATCCCGTTGATGAAATCGTAGAAGCACGTCTTCGCATGTCTGGATTTGCAGCATCCAGCATGTATTGCGACCTCGGGGACGAAGTGACACTATCTTCAATATCAGATATATCAAGAACAGGTTGTTCAATCCAGGACACAATGGTTATGTCATGCTCGACCAGAACATCTTCAAGGGCTCTGAGATCGCTTTCGATGATGACAGAGATGTCATGGCATGCGGTGGAGTCAATTTCCATAATTTCAGCAAGCAGTTTCGGAAGTTGTGACCGATAGCATGTGCTACGCTGCTTATGGTGTTCGGGAACATACAACTTCAAGGAACCTTCTGTTATTTCATGGTGTATGAATGATCTGTCGCTTCGAACTTTAGACTGGAAGTCCAGGTCTCTTTTGTCGATAACCAGGTGGGTTGCGAGGTCACCTTTGAGAACGCGTGCTGTTGACAATGTCTCAAACAGTGTACAGTCTCCACGAAGAGCCTTAACGCTCTTGTACTTTGTGGCACAGCTTTACAAAGTCAGCTTCGGTGTGACCGGAGGAGTGGTTACGTAGATCTTGTCTGCGGTAATAACGCTCCATGGATGATGTGCTAGAGTACTCGCCAATATCTTTCGTATATCCAGTATTGTTTAGGAACAGACTTACCAGTAGAGAGCGTAAGATTTCGCTTGCAGCTGATGCGATAGATCATCGTCCTCCTCAGCGCCGTCTTCGACTGTAGATTCCTCGACAACCAGGGACGATAGATAGCGTTTCTTGACACCAATGTGCTCGAACATGACGTTCATGATATGAACCTCCTCGACCGAGAAATCAAGTAGAATGTTCTGCTCTGCAAAGGCGCTGGCATATCGAGTATGGTCCGCGATTGCATAATTGTCGAGGACAGCAAGGAGCGTTGTATTCCCATCGGCAGATCTTTTGGGCAGAAATTGACTTTCTACAAGTGCGTCAAGTGCGTTTCGAGTCGCCTCATCCAGCTCGGTCTTGGCCAATACCATGCCGACATCGATCAGTCGCTTTCGAATCCTATCATACTTGGGAGTTTTCTTGTTGACCATCTTCGTGATCTCATCAACGAGCATACCTGGCGTAACCTTCTTGACCTTGAGCCTTTTTACAAAGAAGGATTCTAGTTGTGGGTACGTGGAGCTCAGTTCATGGTATCCAGAAAGCAAAAACGGAGTTTGCCAGACACACGTCTCGAGTTTGTGCCAAGTGTCTTTCTTGCCCAGTATGTAGTCTCCCTCGCGAAAGAACTCCCTAGAAGTAGTCAGCGCATGTCAATTAGATCCTAAAATTTGCAGCTGCGAAAATGCCCAACGGCATTGCCAATGTGTGTTAACGTTTGGCAGAGCTCGAACGCGACTCTGAGTTACCACCAGAATTCGCTGTCCTTGCTAAAAGCTTCTAGAGCATTTCCTGCATACTGAGATGGTACCATTGCAAAAGGATATGATAAAACACAACTTACATGATACTCTCCCAGTCTTTGTCACCGGATGCGTTGCTATTCAGGTATTCGTAAATCTCGCCGGCAACAGTAAGGCTGGTCGACAAACCAAACCGTCGGCGGCAACATTGGAGCTCATCCATAACATCTGAGATGCTCGTATCTGTTACATTTAGTATGTTTTTGAAGAACGTTGTGAGTATCGGATCGTGTCCATAGTGTGGATGCAACACTTTGCGGTGTTCCAGGAAAGGTGGACCGCGCCAATTGCACCAACTGCGGTCCTCCCAGGTTTTGCTACTAGGAATCCACAATAGGCCTTCTTCGAAGAATTCGCTATTTCAGTGAGTGATATGCATGGGGTGAAGCATCAATTGGGGTTAGCATACCAAAGATCGGCGTGACCGTCTACCGTAGTACACTTAGCTATGCTCGCATATATCTCCTTCAAAACCTCAAAATCGGGGTCTTTAGACTTCATCGAGATGATTTCAAGAGCACGCTTGTAGAAGTCGAGATCCGGCTGGCGACGTACCCCAAAGTCTTCGAGAAACCGCCATCTTCGGTAACCAGCATCGTCAAGCTTGTCGGTAGTTTTACGCCGATCTGGTAGGTCAAGTATGTCGAATTCGATAGGAGATAGACCTAACTCTAGCGCTCGGTCGATCACATTTGCTGTAGGAAGGTAGGTGTATTCCAGAGCTGCACGTCGCGAGGATTCATTAGCGGCCACCATGCATCTTACCCGCATAGCCTTAAGATCAGCTTCGATCTTAGGAGCATCTTTCTCGTAATCGTGCCAGTGCGCTCTGAGCGCTCTCAAAAGTCTTCTAGGTCTGCAATTGTTGAGTGCTTTCAATACGGGTGAAAGTTCGAACGAGGACTTGTTGGTATTCCAATGTAGAAGTGGCGGATGATACCGGGCGCCCGTCGCCTGTTGCAACCAAGCTTGCCATGTGAGCCCCTCTTCGTTGGTAGACTCTGTTTCCAACTCTACCAAAGACTCATCAAGGAACACCACGATTTCATTGAACTCTGAGGGATCGATACCATCGAGAAGCCGGTGCAGATCATCTCTACCTTCAGATGGGAAGTACAACTTGCTGGATTGCGTCACATATGTACCCTGGTTTGTCGGTACCCGGACCCATGACTTGACCGATTCTGGGTCCTCGTTTGCGTAGAAAAGGTATTCAAGGTGTGATTCTACATCGAGAATACCATCGGTAGAGAGATGCATCTGGTTGATCTTCTCAACGACTAGCTCATGTGGACATTCCTCGACGCCAAGCAACTTGTAGAAAGCTTTCCGGGTCTGGTTCGTCGACGCTTGTGTGTCTAAGAGGCGCAGAGCAATAGAATTAGGGATGGAGTTTCCGTCAGTCTCTGAGAAATAGACGTTTTTCTGTCCTCCACCACCGATCTGGCCTAGTGCGCCTGTCCACTGAAGACGGCTCTGCAGTGGGATGATAGCCAATCGCTTCAGCTTCTCTTGAACTGAGACGGCTGGCTGTTTAGCTGTCCATGCCCTCGAGAACAGCGCAGCGAATGCAACATGCCAAAGATCGTCGGGGTCCTTTGTTCTTACTCTCGACTTTTGGGCGCGTACAATGTCGACTTCTAATCGTTTAATCATGCTAGAGAGACTCGCGCGACGCACACCGAGCGACTCCACTTTGGACATGTATGGTTCGTAATCAGAGGCGAGATACACGTCATCCGGAAGGTCCTTCAGGATTGGTTCGCTGTCGCACAACATATAACTTGGTAGTAGAAGAAGCTCCCCAGGCTTTTTGAAACGGTGTCGCCAAGTCTGCAAGATGGGTCTCCGTGCCAACTCTTCTACAATCAACGGGCACAATATCTCCCAACGATCATCGTTCAATTCGGTTGGCAGATAGTCGAGCCAGGAGTATCTCAAAAGATCGTCTTCTTTCGTGAAACTCTCCACAGCCATTGCGAACGTCTTCGCCACACCCTTAAAGATCGAGGTATTCCAGGCACAGTCAATTACACTTTCTCGGTTTGCCGAAGTGACAAAATCTGATTGAATGATAAACTAAGAAAAGAGATCAGCGTGCTTCTGTCCTACATACGATCAACTTACCTGGATTTGTTGCAGACGCAGTAATGGCAAGTATGCAAAGACGTGCTGCCCAGATTTGCTAAGCTTCGGCTTCTTTGTTGCAGGTTCCACAGGAAAAGCTAACTCGATGCGCGCTGATTTGCGATTCTTCCGATGTTCGTGTTCAGGCATATTGTCGACGACATGAGCAAAACAACGATACAAGCTCTCGTCGATTGCAGTTCTACCATTGATCTTTTGGCAGCGTTTGAGTAGAACACGGGTTCTTTGAGTGTCGACAGCTGTCGTCTCGAAAGTAGTTGCTATCACTTTAGCATCCAGGTTAGTCACATGAATATGGAGTCGGTGCAGTCTCTGCAAAAAGAAGATTGTCGACTCTGGCATACTTGCGACTGCATTTAGCAGACCCTGGTAGTCTGCGGTTGCGCTCTTTGTGAGATGTAGAGTTATCCTTGTAGTTACATCTGCAGGGAGGATGACTGCATCGGCGTTCAGAGGCGTTACCATCCCAAGACCGTCGTCCCCTTGCCGGTGTTGAAATCGAAACGACCAGAGTCCAGATTGGATATGAACTTCTTTAGCGACTGAGAACACGGACTTGAATCCAAAGCCCTTTTCCCCAATGTGATCGTCTGCAGCCGACGCTTTCTTCGAACTTTCTCCAGTCGCACAAACTGCCTCGACGTTTGCTCGCCTGAAGCCATCCTCGTTCGTTTCCGCGATGAAAGTACTCGGGGTAATCCGGAATCGAAGAAATGGCTGTTCGGATCTGCGGCGCGCTTTGCCATACAGCGAGTCATCGGCGTTTTGGACGAGTTCATATAGGAACCGATACTTGGACGAGTAGAGCTGTTGAGAGACACTGAATTCGGTTTTAGAGTATAACTATAATTTTTATGCACTACGAACCTCTTTGTAAATGCTGCTTCGAGCTTTCGCTGTTTTTCGTTGATATACAATGTCCGATCACGATGTTCGGGCGAGAGATTTTCCAAATCAAGTCGATAATCCTCGTCGAGATAACCTTTGGACACACAGATACCTTCTAAAATCGCTCTGACATCATCCACCGTAGTCGGTTCAGCATCTCCAAGCCGCTCGAGTACTTTGCCGTACTTTCTACTGGTCATTCCGATGGTATCGACAAATCGATCATATATAAACACCAGCCTCTTGGATAGTGAGGGTGGTAATAATCAAGGTAAATAGAGCGTACGTCGAGGGAGGTAATGAGATTGCTTACGTTCGATGGTGGGGGTCACCACCAAGTCATTGGTTGCAGCATGTGTGCGGCACAGTGCATGTTCGCGTATCAGGTACATGCAACCCCGAGACATTCGGGGCAACACTACGCGCCGCGTCTTCCGAACATTCCAAATGTACTACAGCTAAGCTGCGTAGGGATACACGTTAGTCGCCTTATACTTGTTTTCGATCGTCCCAAATCCAGCTGACTGCTATCCGCACTCGGCAGGTGCGGTGTTGAAGCAAAGCCAACCCACCATTCGGTAACACAAAAACAAGAAAGAAACGAAACAACTTTGGTATTCAGCTCTTGTGTGGTAGCCAGACGAAAGTACTACTATGATATAGACGAGATCCCATTATAGTATCTTATTTCATGTACGCCTTATAGGTATCTATGACGCCGAAGCAGTTCTGAAGGGCTACGTGGCCAGACGAGTATGACGTGCTCTCTCACAAGAAGACCTCTAGGTTGAACTCTACTGTACTCACAGGGTATCTGTACGTTTATCAGTATCTTGCTCCAATATTATCTAGAAGGAACTTACGGCAACTCAAACTTCTGGAGCACACTCGGGTGCAAGATACCGAAGACACCAATGGTATGGTTCTTGCCGCCGATATTGAGCTTGATAGCCGCTGAGTGTCCAGCAAGGAAAGTTGGGTCTGCAATAAGTCAGCGTTTTTACACATCTTTCAAACCCTAAGAGCGTGCACTTACCATCGACCTCTTCTATCCAGTAACCCTGTAGCTGGTCGTTCTTCAATCCGTCTTCCCGTGTAAGGAACGCTGATCGAAGCATAAGCATCAGCCTGTCCAGCAGACCGTGTACCTGTTCGAAGCCACTTGTCTTGCCCATGAAAGCGGCAGCGAAGTGTCGTTCGTTCCTGCTCTTCCTCTCCTGCTCCAAATCGACGAGACCAATATCGCTAACCTCAAAGATCTTCATCGGTACAGAGTGATGCTTGTTAGAGTTGATCGTCTTGAGGAGACCTGGCAGTAGTGACGTCCGAACGAGCTGGTACTCGGCGGTCTTGGGGTTTGCAAGCTTGACAGCCGTCTTGCCGTCGTCTTTTCGGTTCAGCCACTCAAAGTTCTCCTCGTGTGAGCAGAGGATGAGGGGCATGACTTCAGTCCATCCTGACGAGGCAGACTCAATTCGTACTATGTCGCCAAGTTTGTTTATCGGCAATGGCGCTGATACGGCAGCAGTTTTGTTGGGATATACTCTTGGCAGCTTGTTGAAGCCGTAGGCGATGGCATAATCCTCCATGATATCAGCTTGGTGTAGGATGTCCGCTCGGGTGATGGGTACAGAAACGTCGAGGATGTTCTTGTCGGATTGCGATGGCGAAACGTCGTGACCCATTTTCGCCAAAAGTTTTGAGATCTCCTCAGGCGACAAATCTAGACCCGTGACCTGGTTCAGGTAATCGACCTCAACCTGCATCTGCCGCGGTGAAAGATCCGGCGACTCTCTTGACTCTCCATTGTGGGGTGAGTTGATCTTGATAGGTTCGATTGACTCGGCGTAATCAGCAAACATGGCGACGAGCATGTGATTGACGATCTCGACCTTGGTCTTATCGGTCGCAGTTATTTCAATGAAAACGTTCTTCGTGTCGAGTGTGATCTTGCTATGGTTGCCGTTGATAATAGGCGGTAGCGAGAGGACAGTGCGATTTGAGTCGTAGATTACGGGGTATACTGGCGAGTCGCGAATGATGTGCAGGAAACGTCCGAGATGCTTGTCTTTCTGCTCAAGGTCAGGAACGCAATTCGCAGGAGCGGTACATGACTACTCACATCATAGAACTCCATGAGCTCCTTTGCGTTCATTTCCTTCTCCTGGTTGAGCGGTACGAACTTGATTTGCTCCGGCGGTAGCGCTTCGTAGGAGAAGGGACCCTTGATTGCTACACTTTGTTAAGAACCACTCCGAAATAATCACCCTGTGCTACCTACTATCAAGATCGTGTGTTCCAATGGATACCAGCGTCCGTTGACGCGCCAGGTTGGAATGTAGCTTGTCCTGTAACGCGATGAAGGACTCGTATCGTTCTTTCGTGAAGTTGATGCCCCGCAGTATGACACCAGAGCAGAGCTCTCGTATTTGCTTGGTCTATGAAACACGTCGTCAGCGCAATTCTTCTACTGCCATAGAGACAATTGTCTTACCTCAGGCTTAATGTCCAGCACCTCAAGCTCTCCTCCCTTAGGCGCAGTGACGGTCCACTTGGGCAACTTCTGTTTTCCAAGGAAGACCTTTAGGTTCATGGCGATACCCTCGAAACATAACATGTCATATCGATTCGCCGGAATCTCGATCTTGAGTTGTGGTGGTTGCGCCTGATCTTCTGGCTTGGTGCTCAGGCTTGTGTCTTCGTCCAACTCGATACCGAATTCGAAACACAGGTCGTCAAACTCTTGGTAAGTGTACTCTTTGCCCAGCTCCTTGAAAAGGGCCGCCTTGTCTACCCCAATCGTCGGCATTTTGGCGGGTTGTTTGGTCTACGGGAGACTTTGGCGCGATTCTCGTGTGCGATGGTGGGGTATCTGGAGGGGTAGGTTGGATGCAAGGAGCGGCTCTGGGGTGGTTTGCGTTGTCGCAGTACTCGTAAACGGGGGTTTACGCGATATACAAGGAGTTGGCGATCCTTTACTCTCTCAATCGACCGGCGGAGCGAAAGGTGCAGCAGCGTAAATTATTTGGTATGACTCCAAGCCTCGCGGACTCTGAGCAATCGGAGCTGCGTCGGACCGGATCTTGCGCTAAGCCTCATGGAGCACCGATTCACTACAGATAGCAACGAGCTCGTACAAGCGTGGAGGGTTCACTCTTATGAACAATGCGCGAACAGCTGATCGTCCACTCTAGTGAGGTTAATCGAGTTACGTCGTCCTTCGTCACCTCCTCGTAAACGAGGTATCGCATCGCTATGTACACGAAAGTTCTCCACTGATTTGATTCTTAACATTCAGTCGTACATACATCACATATCTGCAAAGGTTGCTACATGCAACATGAGCCGCTCAGACGCCATCAATGCCTATGGTCTCCGCACAGCGCCCTATCGAACTTGCGCACCGATTCTAGCTTAGCCAGAAAATTCTCTTAAGCTTCCCAGATCGTTGCAGTCCGCACTACACGTCCAGAGTTTTGTTTTTACGTGCGGCTACTCTCCGTGCAGGCAAACTTGGTCTGATGCCCAGCATGCGACCAAGTGTGTTGATGGAAGGTACAAATTGAGCCGCTCGAGGCTAATAGAAGACTGTAAAATCCGCCAACATACGACACTTGTCAACAGTGAAATCACTGCGGGTCGCATCGAAGTTGGCAATCAGATGCAAGCACGTTTAATCTTTCCAGTCCCATACTTGTTTGAGGAAATGCGCCATATTGACCTTTTTTGATTTCATTTCGGCCATCCATGGATGTTCGAGCATCCGCCAGGGGGTGGCTCTCCGAGGACAATCCTTCTCAAGACTGGAAAATGTCAGCAGGAGTTCAATGTCATACAAGACAAATACATACCAGCACTCGATGAAGTATTTGAAATTCTCCGTCCACTTGATGCCATTCTCAGGCTCATCCTTCAGCTTCGGAATGGGTTGTCGAACGATGTAGGTAAGTAGGTCAATCAAACCAGCGCGGGGGTTCATCTCAGTTCCGTCTGCCGGGAATGGGAAGCGATGTTGCGCTACTTCTAGCAAAGTCACACCTAAGCTCCAAACATCACTAGTGATAGTGTAGCTTTGACCGGTGATGCGCTCAGGTGCCATGTAGTACGAAGTTCCAATGAAAGTGTTGGCGTCTCCCTTGGTTCCAAACTCTCCAGACACACCAAAATCACACAGCTTCACCTGACCGTTCCGGCAGAGTAAAATATTGCTGGGCTTGATATCCCGGTGGATGATGCGATGAGAGTGGAGGTATGTGAGTCCATTCAGCACGCCTTCAGCGACCTTGCCAAGCACTTTCTCGCCTGTTCGGCCTCCTAGCTTCTTGACTTCGCGGTATACCGCATCGAGCGATCCGCCTTCGCAGAACTCCATAGCGATACTGATAGTCCCTGTGCTGTCGTCCATGAAAGCACCGTAGTAGCGGCAGATATGGTCGCTGGCACAGTTCTTGTTGAAAGAAAGCTCTCGTACAATTTGCTTCTTGACATCGGGGTCGGGATTCGTTGTGATGATCTGGATCACGAATTAGCCAAATAAAACAAGGGGAACATGATCACGCATACTTTCAAGGCAAATGTGGTCTTTCCGCCTTTCAGTATGCACTTTGTGACAGCGCCACCAGCACCTTCTCCTAAGCTACCCTTCTCTTCGATCATTCCTCGTGCACTCGCCGCTCTCCACGCTGCGTCGTCTAGATCGTCCACCTCCAATGGTCGACCCTTCTCCGCAGCCATAGCATCCAAGTCTGGTAGCGGCTGGCTACTATTTGCCCGCTCCATCGAAGGCGCGCCCTCGCTACCTCCCTGTGATATCGCCGAGATGGGATCTGTGCCTTTCTGCAGTCCAGGAAAACCTAGCGCTGCATGGTATGAAGATGCTGACCCATTTGCTTGTACTTCGCCGAAGCTACCTGATCTTGAGTGTGCGCTCGCATCGCTCGAGCCTGACGCTGAAAGACCCGTTCCTATATGGAGCGGTGGCAAGGCTCGGGGGTTTCTGCCCTCGTGTGGTGCGTTGTTGCTGCCCATGGGAGTTACTACGCTTAGCTTCGGCATCTGGCGGGGTTGTGGTGCGTTCAATGTGGGTATTCCATCGTTCGCGCCATTGGTGACAGGTCGTGCGTTCGGGGATGGTGGTATGGATAGACCAAGCTGTGGCGGTCCTCTCCTCCCTGGGCGCGCGCCTGGGATGGGTGGTCGCAGGAGAGGCGCGGACGACGACATGTTTTGTTGTGGTTGAGGCGAAGGCCCGTTGTTGAACGACTGCATCTACGTTGTTTCCTGTCACAGACTCTTCTTAACCAATTCTGGCTCCGGAGATAACGAGGGGAAGTTAGTGATGTTGAGGTTGCCCTTTGGGTCGTCTTGGGTCCCAACAGAGTGGGTCGCTACCGTAAGCCGAATTATGCTGATGTCTTTTGCGTGGATGACGTCTCGGAGGGGATGTACCAGGAGGTGAGGTGTGGTGAAGTATGAGGCCGCTCGGGTTTAGGCAGGAGTGACGTTGGGCCACGAGTCACAGGCAGGTGCGGCTCGACAGGCGGCAGGCGCGACTGGGCGGTGCGGGTAGGGCTTCGTCAGGAGACGGCTGTCGAGGGGCTAGAAGATAGCTCTCCCAAGACTAGGCGGGTTATGGGGGCTGCTAGGAGTGACGAAGGCAGCGGGTCTTTGGGGTTTCAAGACTCGAGCGTGCTGGAGGGGCTCAAGACGGTGGTGGAGAGCAACTAGGCGCGTGCGCGCGAGGCTTGCCGAGAAGGGGACTAGGCCGATGTCCAGCGGTTCGAAAGAGCCTTGACACCTCTCCAACCTTCATTTGACGCGTGGACTAATAACAAGGAAATACCCACGCGTAGCCAACACAGGATGAAACGGACCTAAACAAAATTCGGTGATGGCGAATGTGCGCAGACGACTGTCAGAGTGTTGCGGCGTCGTTGACGATGTTCTAATTTGCGAGTACCTTCAGGTCTACAAGATGCCACGAGACAAGATGCAAGGCGTGTTGTTGAGTGTTTCCGCAAGCGCTGAGGTTGCTCTTCTTATGAATGGCCCCCAGCTTTGTTTCATCTTGCACTCATAGTGTGGAGGGCCATCGTTCGAGCGTCCTAGTCGATGCGCTGGTTGGTGACTGCGTCTACATTGCCGCCGGTAACTACTTGACTGACGTTGGCCCGCATACGAGTGCATTCCCGACTACAGCAGGTGCTCCCTGGAATCAATAGTTTGTCGAGGCTACGGCAACTGCCTTAGGACGACGTGTGGGCTCGAATACATTCTTCGATTACCCATCCTTGTGCGCACGCGAGAGGAGCTCCAGGGTCGACCCCTCTATCCAATTGAACATGTTCATGGCGCTTAAAGGTGCATCTTGGCTGACGTTAGACTCTCCTGCTGGCTCGAAAACTACGCAGCGACATGCGACCGGAGCTAGACACACTTACGACCGCCACCAACACCTCGACACCGGTACATCGTGGATTGTACTAAGATCCAGCGTGCGCAACCCAACACATCCTGCCTACGCATCAACATGGCCCGATCCTCTGAATTCCATCACCATCTCCTGTCTCAAGAAGCGCTGCACCCCATCTTCGGAACGCTACCATCTCAACACGGGTGCCGGCGCTTGTGTTGGCTGTCGCCGCCAATGGGGCTATCCGCGGGTGCATGAAAGCTTTAGTGGGGCCCAAACGGAGCGACCAGCAGAGCCCCGCTGCATGAAGAGCTATCAATAGCAACACTACCATTCCGACTAAACATATCCTGTTCCCGTCACAATCACCAAACTGCTCTTCTCCAGTTGGTGGGCTGTGCAAGAAATAAGAATAGGTCTTTCGATATCCTAAAGAAACGGGACGATGCATGTCGAGCAGATGCAGCTTGTACACGACACGATCTATCGCCGGATCCGCTTCTGTTCGCAAGTGATCAAGAACATCTGCTGCAGCCAAGAGCTATCTACCAGTGGAATTCGTTCACGCGCTCATGCCGAACGGCTGAGAGATTGTACAGCACGCATTCATTGCCTTCAGTTCGATGCAAGCGAAGTCTTCAACAATCATCTAATTCTGCATCTTAGGCATGTTCTACCTACATGGCAAAGTCCTGGCGAGTATTTTCTGCGAAGGACATGGGCTCACATATCCACCACTCGTTATAGCGAGTCCAACGGTAGTTGATTTACGATTGCGCAGCTAAATTCAACAATGCTCCTTGCATTGCCTGGCCTCTTGTCGTTCAACATCGCGATGGTCGGTGAAGGACTATCAATTCAGCCCTGAACCGAATAGGAAGCACGCTTCGCCCCAGCATACTCATCTGCCTCCTGAGCCGCCTTGCCGATCTTGGGGTTTTTGACCAGCATCTGCTGAACCGCTGGAAGCTGTGATGCAGAGAATTGACCGATACGACGAAGATAAGCCAGACGCTCACCCAGCGCGTCGACCATGTCATCCTTGCCATCGCCCCTGGACACGCGCTGCAAAAATTCGATCTCGTATGGCAAAGGCATGCGCTGCCGAAGGCTCTCCTTCTAAGCCTGTACGAAGTGGCGGACGTAAAGCTCCATACCAAGCACTTGTGCTGCATAGCGAATCTGGATGACGAACATATGATCTGCTTCGTCATGTCGAATAGGGACAGGAACGCCGAAATTCTTGTCGGAGGCGCGAGTGATGGCATTGACCCACTTCATGAGGTGTGCGACAGCCCTTCCCTCGATGTGCTCCTAAGGGAAGTATGAAGTGAAATCAGGATGGGCGAGACTCAATTGCTTGTGCAAGTAAAATAAAATGCCTCCCAACTTCTCTTCTGCCCTATATCTCTTTGAAAACTTGTTGCTGCAATGTCATGGCAGCTTTAAACCACTTGAATATATCTTAACTTACACCATTTCTTCCTGTCGAGTCTCGCAATCGACAGTAATGACATCTGATACGCTTCTTGTCACCCGACGGAAACGATTTGATGTACAATGTAGACCTCCTGAGATCGCCATGTGCTCGTCTGTTGGCTCTTGCATTACAGTTCACTTTCAGCACACCGACTCTCCTATGGGCGTGGGAATTTAGCTCGACTCACCCCTACGATCCTGTGGATTCTCTTGAACACGTTTCTACATTCAAACCAAGCTCACCGGTCAGTTCTTTCACTGCCACCAGTTATCAATTGCCACCAGAGCAAGTTTCTACTGAAAATGTATAGATCCTTCGACTATTTTACCCCTCTTCTGCTCCCTCTCAAAGAACCAACATCACTCAGAACCCTAAACAAACCTTCAAATCAACTGATTTACCACATCAACCAATCCAAGACAATACAAAAATGTCGACCATTTCCGACACGACCAAATCCGGTCCATCGATGAAGCGCAACAACTTCCGTCGCCGCAACAACCCAAACACCAACGGCTACGTCAAATCCCTCTCCCCCACCGGCCAAGTCAATAAAGTTCTAAAAGACATGGCAAATCTGAACGGAGGCTACCACCTCCGCAACTGGTCATCTTCTGCGCGTAAGGAACTTTGTCCCAACATCACGATCAAGGTGGAAGTGCTCGACCCCGACGGCAACAAAGTGAACGTCAACGTCCCCAAGCTAGCGTTCCTGGCTACCTCACCAGTCTTCCGTCAACATGTCGAGGGTCATCCCAAAGACGATTGGGTCAAGTTCTATCACAAGGACGTCACCTTGGAATCTATGCGAGCAATCTCCAAGTGGCTAACGAAGATTTGTACTGATAAGGAGTACACCGATCTTTCCGCCCCTAATGATCTTCAGAAGGGTCTGGAGCTTCGTCTCGCTGCGCATATATTGGGCATGGCACAATACACGCAGCAGATCATTGAAGGCTACATCTGCGGTCTTATTGGTCGTCCTGTGGAAGCGAAGGAGTTGGTAATCGTCGCTGAGCTGACGCGTGAGGACGCGGTTGTGGATCCTATCCTCGAGGCGTTGGCTAGCTATGTGGCGTACCTTTGTCGGTATCATCAAGTTAGTAAGGATCGGGAGGATCAGTATATTGCTGTGCTTGCTGGAGATAAGTGCGGGAAGCTAATGAATGTTTTCAATGACAAAATGATTCGGGCTGCTGCGGAGAATGGGTGGGAGGCCATTTACCGTCGGCCGCTGGCTGAGAACAACTAGAAAGTGCACTGTATGCTGGCGCTATAGGGTAGGATTATATACTCTGGAAAAATACGTCGTTTTTGGTAATGATAGGATTATCGGATTGATACCCTCAGAATTCTCTCTACTCAGACCTTGTTCAACCAAATCAGCTTACTCTGATAATCTCCCATAGGCCATTGGATATTGAGGCCGCCATTCATGTATGTAGCCCCACTGTATGTCGCATTATCCAAGTCATTGTAATATCTCGCCTTAGGATCCAAACCCTGCAGTCTCAGTGGGGGCGCAGCGGGCTTGATCATATACAGCTGCTGGAATGCAAACACAACACTCTGGCTCGCATTCGCACTAACGAACTGCACACCTGGCCAGTTACTGGTATCTGGGTGCGCGAGGCGGTAAAAGTCACCAGAAATAACAACAGGGTTTACGGCTTTGGCTTGCGCCATGATGGAAGGCACGGCGGAAGCTTCCTCAGGTGAGAGTTCTCCGGGGTTAAGTTCGAGACCGAAGGAACCGCACATCATCGCTACATGGCCGCGGTATTCGATGCTGATGTTGCGATGGGTAAGACCGTTGGGAACGGCGGAGACGTGGCACCCCATCGCGGAAGGTGGGTAGACAAGTGAGGTACCCATTTGAATAGTGAGACGGTTCGATGCATCCGTGTTATCAGAAGTCCAATGTTGAGGCCAGTAGTGAAGTAGACCAGGGTCGAAGCGACCTCCGCCTGATGCGCAGCCTTCCCAAAGTACGTTGGGGTAGCTCGTTGTAAGGTTGTCAATGACACGGTACAAACCGAGAATGTAAGTGTAATCATCGGATGGGCGAGCAAGCTCATGCATACCGCGGTTGTTGTCCCATTTTACGTACTGAATGTTCGCAGAATCAAGGATCCGAGAGACGGAGCTGATGATGAAATCTTGTACTTCGGGCAATCCTACATTCAAGACCAGCTGGTTCCGAGTCAACGATCTTTGGTGCTTTCCAGCGTGCAAGACCCAGTCGGGATGCTCATGGTACAAAGTCGAATTGGGATTGACCATTTCTGGCTCAACCCAGATACCGAATTGCAGAGGCGTTGATGATGCGTTCAATACTGTAAAGTTGTTGACCTGCTCCACGTACGGACCTAAGCCATCAGGGAACTTGGCCGGATTTGGCGTCCAGTCCCCTAGGCCGAGGGAGTCGTTGTTGCGCGGGTACTCGACGCCAAACCATCCATCGTCCATGACGAAGAGCTCGATTCCTAGCTCTTCAGCCTCGCCAGCCAGGTTGACTAAAGAAGTCTCGTTGATATCGAAACTTAGTCCTTCCCAAGAGTTGAGTAGAATCGGTCGGGTTTGGTCCGTAAACTTAGATCTGGAGAGATGGTTGCGATAGAGATCGTGGAACGAGTGCGATACGCCTCCGATACCTTGGGAGGAGTACACACCAACAGCTTCAGGGGACTGGAACATCTCTCCTGGCGCCACACGAATACTGGAGTGGAGCGGGTTAAGGCCCATAAGCACACGCACATAGCCATTAGAGAAGCGCTGGGCTGTAGCCTCAAAGCTACCCGTCCAGACCAAACTGAATCCCCACGCCTCTCCTGCAGATTCAGTAGTAGTTGGGGAAACCAAGGCGAAGAAAGGATTATGAAGATGCGAAGCATATCCTGCTGTGCTTCGGAATCTGCGATACGTTAGTCATACTCTAGCAATGCTCAAGGATATCAACTTACGAAGTCTCGCCATAGTCGATCTTCCTCTTCACGGTCTGGAATTCATGTGACCAATCACCATGCGGCTCAATCATCTCCAAATCCAGATTAGGAAAATCCGTGCTAAAGCTCGAGGCTCTTTCGATAACGATATCAGCAGTACCATTGTTCGCGATGCTGAAGCTTCTCGCAATAGCATTATACTTTGGGAAGATCGAGTACATCAAAGCAGCCGAAACATCTGACACGTTGTCATACATGTGTACGGTAATCGTCGTGACATCGCCGGCTTCTCCATAGGTCGCAGGTAATCCTGGCAACGAGGGCTTTCCCTGCGTGATGTCGTGAGATTGGTAGCGGAACGCGGATACCGTGTCTCCATCAGCGTGTTCGATGTGGATCGCTGGTAGTTGGAAGTCACCACGGCCACTGTCAGGGAACTCGCGACGGTCGTTGGATATCCCGGCGTGCCATCCATAGGGAAGGATAAAGGCTGGCGGTGTGAAGTCGTCGGTCGGTCCTCCAAAGTGATCCGAGATGAGGTCTCCCGACTCGGTATCTACATGGAAGAGGTAGGACATGCCATCAGCGGTCAAGGTGAAGTTTGTGCCAGTCGCCGAGATAGCTGTCTCAAGTCAGCAGCCGCCTCCGTCGCATTCGAAAACCATTCCATACCATCCTGTCCAACAACGGCGCCGGCCAAAAGGCTCAACGCATAAACACACCTTATGCCAAACATTGCAGATTTTCGCAGTTGAGCAATACATTGTGTAAACTCGCCAAGGTACCTCTGTTAAGTACTTGTCCCAAAAACCCATGCTGCATGGTTAGCTTACAGTCAGGACGCAGTGACTTGATCACCGTGAGGGGAAGTGGGGAAAGTCTGGGGTCGTAGACAAACTCTTCCACGATGCGACTCTACGGAGAATCAAGTGATTGGGCAAAGCGGGCGGAACTTGGCGGATAGGATGCCAGATGGAGATAGGTACGCTGTAACTCTGGTCGGTGCGAAGTTTAGCCGCGGTACATGTCGTCCACAGTCCCTAGGAAGGCTGCAGCTGCCATCTCACACCAAGTACACTAGCCCTGTGTTGCCCGGAACACAACATGCCTGTCGCTAAAAAATTGTTGGTGTAGTTCTAGGAACGCAGAGAGCGCGGCACGGAGGGATTCTCGGAATGCCTAGTGTCAGCGAAGATGTCAAGGGATCTGCGTTTGGCATCATTTTAATGTCGTTCTTTGCCCGAAAATAATGTATACGACGTAATGAGGCGCGTTGTCAAACAAAAGATGAAGTAGTGATACATGCTATTAAACAATACTACGCTCATGATGCTTTTACGCAAACGCTTGACATGTCAACTCATGAACTCTTCATGCGGTCCATGTCGCCGCCGCTCTCGTCTTGTTTCTCAATTGTCGCAATGCGATCTGCAAGATGAAAGCCCACCGCCCCTCCTGCAGTCCGTGACTAGGGTTTTCATACACCAGGCATACCCAACCACGCTCTGACCTGCGGCACGCCTCTCGGAAGGAAGTAGACAGTCCACAGCGCCGCAAACGCGACCAACAGACCCGTAAACTTCTCAAACCAAGTATGAAAGTAGGCAGCTGTCATGAGAAGCATCCACCACATCAGCGCCGCGACACTGAGTGCGAACTTGACGCCACGCGCTGTAGCCTCGCCTTCAGACTTGACCAGCTCTTTCTCTACTGCAACACTCGCAACCTTGCCATCTGGCAAAGTAATCAACCTTCCGTCTCTCAGCCCTTCTACACGCGTCAACGCAGGCAGGAATTCCAACCACAGAAGCGATGAGCCAAGAATGAGCAAGAAGACGTGTCCAGAAATATCATGACCACCCTTCCATGTTCCACCAACCGCCTTGCACGTTGCCGCCGTGATGTACTCTCTCGTATTACTCATTTCCTCCCTCGCGTCGGGATCCCTCATAATTTCGCACTGACCTCCCGTGAACCTGAATCCACGATCAATCAGCGGCGGTCCAAAAAACCACTGCGTCATGAAGCACCACCAAGTCGTCACAACGCCGTAGCGCATAACTGCTCGGATGCGCCTCGCGCTCGCACCTTGACCGAAACCGGGATGGAAGCTAACAAAGACCGCGAATGCTAGTGTAGTCCAGAACCATCCTTGTTTGACAAAGTACACGTTGAAGACGTTCTTTTTTTGCGCAAAGTACGAGGGCGCGAATTCCGTGGGATGAGATTGTAAGGTTGCAGAGTAGGGAGCGGCTCGATTTGAAGGCGAGATTATGCTGAACACGCTGCCGAGGAGGAGCGTTAATGGGTAGATGGCTATGAGTTGTGCTTCGAGGCGCGTGGGGAAGAAGGGCGAGCGGCGCGCAGATGAGGTCGGTGAGCGGATGGTGCCGCTGGGCATGCCGGCTGTGAGAGGGGCGCCATTCCCCATGTCGGTGTCGGCTTTACGGCGCGTTGCCATAGTTGTGGAGGAGGTGGACGATGTGCTCAGTTGAGCTGAAAGTTATTGTATCAACTTCTGTAGGTAAGGGAGTTGCAATTCAATGGATAAGATATCTTTCGAACGCAACGCAGGAAAGCGAGCTGTCAATTTTGATTGTGTGAGAAGAAGGAGGGTTGCTGCCCGGGTTGTAGGAAGTGGGCAGCTCCCATGAAGCGAAACGGAGAACAATGACGTTATTTGGTTTTCGCAACTCAGCCACAGCTGTGGCGCAGGAACGCTAACTGTATCCGGTCTACCACTTCAAGGCACCGGCTGTAGTGAGCTTTTCGACATGATATTGACAGCTGTTAACAACACATTGATGCTCGAAGATTCGATGACATGTTTGCTTCTAAGTTCAGAGTAGGTGACTACTGCTATCCAGTCGTTGACTTCACAGATAGGTAGCGAGATCTGGATCAGAAAAGACTGTACGGGGTCAAGGACTACGAAGCAATGTCGCGCACTTCGTTCGTCAAGGCAGCCGCCATCTAACTCGATTCATTCAACTCCTAAGAGATGTTGTTCTACCTAAATCCTCCAAGACTAACCTCGTCGCCATCCCAAATGCGTCTATCGGCAACGATGCGTACGCCTCTTTCCAGGGCTACGTTTGCTACATATCTGAATTATCAGTATCATCCAACTTCAAGGGAAGACGGATGGAAAAATCTCAGAGATTCAGACTACGGTTGTACCAAGAATACGCATGGATACGAAAAGCATGGCTGTGGGCGAAGATCCTTAACTCACTTGCCGGAACTGGATTCTAGTAGTCCACGAAGCTGGACAAATTGGTGAAAGATGTAGTTGGCACATGTAGCCACTCTCGAAGAAAATATCAACCGCTGATATTTCAGGGGAAGTAATGCGATCTGGTACGTAGTTTGGATAAAGTCGTCGAAGTGACAGTGATCCGTTCGAGCTGGCTTTCACAGTGAAGCACTAACCTAACTCACAGCAACCACTGAAGTTGCTGATTACTCTTATCAGAGCCTTTCCTCGTTTCTATTCATCCCTGTTTACACACATGGAGTCAGAAGTCGCCATCCACACAGACAAGGGCAGCCCAGAAGCACAGTCTGCTCTCACCGCCCTCGCGCGCACTCTCAACATCAACGAAAACGCCCTAAAGACAGCTCTCAGTGGTGCATTCGACCTAATGACTACCGCTGCTGGAAATCCGATTCTTGCGCTCCACTTGAGCTTCGTACGACTATCATATCACATTGACAGCAAGACTTTGTATGAGATCGTGGGCGCGTTTCGACAAACATTCGGCGCCACTTTAAATGTGAAAAGAGGTATGTTGCGATGATTCTGATGTGGTCCATGGCTGACAAGGCTTTCAGTCAACTACGTAACCACCCAGGCAGTCAATACTACGGAGCCTACCGAGCGCCTCCCACATTTGCGCAATCAAGTCGCAACCTATACATGGGCCCGCCACAGTACCCTAATTCAATTTTCCGCTCATAGAACAAAGCTGTTCACCATCAGCATCCTCAGATCTGTTCACCACCTCGGTGTGTGGGTTACACCGGCAACGTCTCAAGCAGTGGGTCCCAGCCAGTTGTCACACCAGCAGACCAGAGAGCATCTACTTTACGAGACTACGAGTACCCCGGAATGGCTGCTAAAGTTAATCAAGCACCCTCATTTGCGCCAGGTGCTTCACATTTCGCAAGATATGCGTGAGCAAGAGGAGGGGTCACTTCACTCATGAAGGGTGTGGAGAAAGGATAATTACAATGGCGAGTTTCTAGGGTCCACCGCGGATAGATCGGGGATAGATCAATGATGGAATCTACTTTTGCCTTTGATCTATCTGCTCGCCCGCTTTTGTCTTTCTGTCTTGTGACATCGATGGAAATATTGAGTCCACCACCGATATTCGCTACAGCCTAAAATATGGTCAGCTTGCTCTCATGACAGGTGACCAACTCTCGCAGGCGTGTTGATATGAGCAAACTTTCCGATTTTCTCCCACAAAGGAGAAGTAGATCGTGGGTGGACAGAGAAACAACACAGTGAGATTGTCTTTGAGCGGCAACGGGGCGTTTGATTGAGTTTTTCTTCCCTTCGCCTGATATAGACAGTAATCAAAGAGTCGTGCTCACCGTCAATATTGTCTTGATTTACTCATTCTTGGGGTTAATAAGTTCCTCTCCGGTAGTTCTTTTCTCCTCAACAACGAATCCAAATACTACTTCCATCATACCAGAAATGGCTGATGCACCGAACAACGACAACAATTCTCCCCATGAAGAGCCTACTGATCATGGATACCGTCCCCTGAAACACTTGGACAAATCGCTGTTCTCAAACAACAACGGAGACTTTGCGTCTTCGTTCATGCAGCCTCGTGGATCGGCCAGCCGACTACACAATCGACGTAAATTGCCTCGCTGCTATTTGTAGTCTGCAAACTAACTTTCATGGTTAGCTCCAGCGGCCAACCCACCCCCATGGGAAGATCCAGATCAGGCTTGGCGATACGTAGATGATAAAGTATACACTGGCGAGGCTTTCGTATATTCTCGTCGTACCGAACCAGACACCAGAGCGGAAAGGCCCAACTCGCGAACTTCGGGAATCCGACCAGATGCCGCCATCTCTAAAAACCCTAGGCAAGCCCAAGCCCCAAGTGGCCCACAAGGTTTTGACGGCCTTGGCTTCACCGGAGGACAGCGAGCTCCAGGAGGTCTTCAGATGCGTGGCGCCGGTATTTGATGCCTTCAAACCTGTTAGTAGTCTTCCCGCTGACCCATCATCTTATAGGTTCTCCCTCTCAGAATATTGTTGGCGCATCCAGTCGCAATTCACAAAGCTCCTCTGCTGCAGCTCCGCAAGACATCGAGAAAGACTCGGCATCTACCAAAAAAGGTCAATTCGTGTTTACTGGGTGGAACGACGACGCCAAGCGGGAACTGTTCATGTGGAAAGTCAAGCGCAAGAAAGGCTACGTTTTCTTTCTGCATCTCTTCCCTGGCGAGACTGCGGAATCACTGCACGAGGCTTTCAAGAAGTACAGGGACGACGGAGATCGTCTTTACAATGGCTAAAGGCAGCAGGAGTGGGGTTTGGCTTGAAGATTTTTGACATATACAAATTTATCGAGACCTCGGAATGGAAAAAAGTGCGGCGGAAGGGATATGGCTGTCTATGTTCGCGTTAGTTTGCAGGACAAGTTGAAGAGAAAATACAACGTTGAAGCCCATCAGACCGTAGCATGAAAGAGAAGTCCGAGAATTAATAACATCGTATGTCCTCACGCTCGTACGAAACGTGGCACTGCTCCAATTGTCCTCCAGAACACAGTACTACAACAAGCCATGCAATTGATATGAGGTGTTTGGAGTAGGTAACTACGAAGCATGATGACGTCACACACCGACAATGAGGTGTGGGCGTAAGAGATCCTTGCAGGACTGTAGACCAAAGGGTTCTCCGCTACACGGGCTTAGTCAGCACCACTAGCGTGTTCATTTCGCGTTGCTTCCCAGCACGCACTCGTCGTCACAGCCATTTCATGCTAATCGATTTTATCACCATTTCATTTCGTCCCGGATCGGTCTTCCGAACCCTCGTCTATATTCACTGTATCTGAGCATGGAAGCTACTATGACATCGGTGCATAGGCTTCCCATTACGACAGGCCATGAGCGAATATGCATCCAGCAAAGCGGCCTCCTTGTATGCGCAGCAACATTTTGAGCGTTTCTATAGCAGGGGAAATCGTGCTCTTGTTATACTCTTCAGGACTGTTCCGATTCGAAACCCGCTTGCCTAAACTGCACACATGTGTCAGGATTCGATTCGAATTCCTTCTTGGCTTTCCTGGCATCACACACAAGACTGCCATCCAGAAGCTTAGCCATGACTTGTCTCTCTTACTTGATTCTTCCAAGACGGGTTTATGAAGGCCGAATTCTTAGAACACTCGAAGATCAGGGCCTAGACGGGTGATGCGACGCTTTTGCGACACGAACAACCCCAACATCCTAGCGAGCGGTCGGCCCTGCCGCGCATTGGCGTTTGATACTGTGTTCCGACCACTCGCGATCGCCAAGCTGACCTGCAAACGTTGTAAATGCGTTCCATTATGCAGGCTCCGGCAATGCCAATGTACGAACAGGACGGGTGGCTGGGGTAAGCATATGTCGATGGGACTCGTGGGCTTGGGGACGGCTTATTTGTAGTATAGATCTCGCGCTGATCCTCTAACAAGCTTTTTGGTAACATCTTCTGTTCGACAACGTTCTATTCATTCCGCTGCTGGACAGTTATCTTCTCTACATATCGTCTTTCAAACCCGTCTAATCAACCATCATGAAGTTCTCTCTGGAATTGACTCTCGGTCTTCTGGCCGTATCCTGCGTAGATGCATTTGTCGTTCCTCCTCGCACACTATGGGCAGTAAGTCTAACCAGATCCACCACCACCTTGGACTCTCACCCAACCTTTTTTTGTCCTTTATATATACTTACACTCGTAATAGACAAAAGCGGCCCTTGTTTCTCGCTCCTACCGAGCGCACCCTGTTAGACGTGACGCAGACTTCCAAAGCCTGGACTCGTTAACCAATGGAGGTAGTCGCCGCCGCGAGGCTCAAAAGCAAGGTGGCGGAGGAGGTCTTACGATTGGGGGCCTCACTCTAGGCGGCCCAGGTGGCGGTATCACCGGTGATGGTCTCAAGCTCGGCGGAAACCAGCAGGGCAACGGTACAGCAACAGCCGCAGAGGCACCCAAATCTTCAGCAACAAAGGGTGAGAAGCCCGCTGCTGCCAAGGAAGGAAAGCCTGCCACTGAGGGCGAGAAGCCTGCTGCCACCGAGGAGCAAAAGCCGAAAGAAAGTGAGGCTGGCACTGGCGCTGGTACAGAAAATCAGCCTGGACGCGCCGAAGGAGAAGCAGCGAAGAAGGAAGCAGAGAAGGAAGCTCAAGAGGCAAAGGGAGAGAAGTCAAATGGTGTCAAGGCTACTGAAGAGTCTGAAAAGTTCTCTGAGGAGTCTGGTATTACTCTTGGTCAAGATGGCAATGCGGACAACCTTGGTGGAAACCTGGGCATCACGCAAGGCTCCGATGGCAGTAAGTCAATTGGTGGGTCTAATGGCATTAATGTTGCCGCCAACGGAGAAGCGACTCTGGCAGGTAACGAGTGAGTATCAACCGTCATGGGCGTATGATCTAATATCGCCCTTCTCTATCATTGTTACTTTTACATCTATCATTTCTCTATGGTTCTCTACAGCAATCGCATCTCTGAGGTCTTTTCTTCTAATCCTTTGTACTACTTGTTCTCTTATTCTGAGCTTCTCTCGTTGGAGGAAAAGACGGTGTGAGCAGTCGACCGTTGTCGTGTCGCCTGGTATGAACCACGTCAGAGCTGACCACCCATGATCGCATATCAATCTTTTATATAAGTCAACAGGCAGCATTGTTTCCTTCTTCGTCTTCTACTCTATTACGTAGACAAGTGATCTCCCCGGTACTCCGTCAAGTTAGCCATCTCTGTTGACAGCCATCTCAAGCAGGTCTCACTGTATGGCGAACCAGAACTACCAGTAAGGCCCAGATGCCTTCGCAACCCCCAACTTCCCCGTTCACCATTCAGAGACTATAACACCCTGCGTGGACATCCGGGCCACGTTGGGCTTACCTGACGCGCTTTCCTGGTGAAGACGCGGTGCCAAGCATGGCCTTTGCTCCGCCTATCAAGCAGGTGCGACTCGAGCTCGCCAACGATCGAAACCGCACACACAGCTACCGTCGAAGGCGATCAAATCCCCGAAAACAATATGGAGTACGCGGTGTTCGATGTCGATGACTCCCACGCCGGCAGCTGTCTGGACCGGCAACAGCAGTCACCAGCGTCTGCAAACGAGACCGATACGTCTGACGCCAATGGCTCAGAGACTGACTCTGATGAAGAGGTACTTAAACTTCAGATGAAGCTCTCGTGGGCTGAAGGCAAACATGCCGATCTCGAGCGCCAGACTCAAGAGGCGAAGAGTGCTACGGCCGCTGTTGAGAGTCGGCTTAGGGAGTATGAAGCCCGTAACGCTCGTCAGGCCATCGCAGTGTCTGAGGGGGAGGTCCTTCGCGCTGAAGCTCAAAAACTTAAGTCTGCTTTCGAACAGAAACACACAGAGCTGGAGGCGGCGCAACGCAGTGCGACTGCAGCAGTACAAGAGACGGATGATGCTCGCAAACAGCTAGTTGCTTCCCTGGCCGAGAACACTCAACGTGGTGAAGAAGCCGAGCTCCTTAAGCGCCAACTGTCCGAAGCCAATGCTCACTCGCAAGACACGGCACTTAGTCGAGCATTGATCAGCAATCAACAAACAAAAATCGACGCTCAGCAAACGCAGATTGGCGAACTTTCAGGCCAGAATCATCAGCATATTCAGGACGCGCAGATTCATCAGCAAGAGCTGGAAAACATTCATGAGTCACTCGCTCTCGCGGAGACGTCTAGAGACTGGTACGTTCGCCCTCCCGAAATCCGTGGTAGACCTAGGGGGCTTTCAATGTGTCATCGCGGTCGATTCATGTTACGAGAATGCAGCGAGTCAATTCAGTCCTCCCCAAGACCTACCCGTGACTTCACGCTCCATTGAGCATCTCAATAATGTATGTTTATGCATAGAAAAGAGCACAAGCAGATGCTGGAGGTCCGGAACACGATCAATGCCGGTCGTGCACCCGAGATTGACCGCCTCAAGAAGGAAGTTGCCAAGCTAAGGAAAGAGGTCAACGACAAGAAGGCCCAGGTCCCCGTCCTGAAGCGTGACATCGCCTACTATGTCACCCATCTCGATCTGGCCAACAAGGACTCCCGCGTATACACCTGCAGTCATGACAACCTCAACAATATTGTCAACGATGGGCAGAACATCACCTGCCAAAAGGACGCGGGGTCAGTAGCAGATGAGTTTTTCGAGGATTGGGAAGATGACAAGGACTTCCTGGTGGAGTACAATAGCGCGCGGCAGCATGTTCTCGACCATCATCGTGCACATGAGAGTATGAAACGTGGTCGGGGTGATGGATCAAGATGGATTCGAGATGAGTTCAACGAGGTTGATCACAGACGTCGAGTCAATGTTACCTACAAATGAGGATCTGGTGAGTATGGCAAGGCGAAATGCGCGAATACCAACGAGATGATTATTCTGGGCACGATGACTAAAATGATATGGGGGCCTGATAATATACAGTATCATGGACACGGTACACATGAGTGGCTCTAATACGATGAAGATAGTCAACCATCAATCAAAGTTATGTACATAGAAGATCCCTCCAAGCAGGGCAGGAAAACACACCAAACCCTGAATTCCAAATTCTCACTCCCCAAAGTGCTCCTCAACATGATGCGCAATCGCCGCCTCATCCCCCTCAAATTCTCCACACACCGGACAGGTCGCGACCTCAACCCCCCTCACGTCCGCACTCTTACCACCTTGATGCCTCCGATCCGCCTCTTCCAACGCAGCAAACAGCCCCACATCCGCTGGCTGTCTCTTCCTCCCCTCATCATAGAGATACTCATCTTCATCCCTAATATCCCTTTCGACCCTCCCACCAACCATCCTTCCACCCGCTCTCCCCATACTACTTCCCCCACCATCCCTCCCCAACCCCGCACCAGCTCCGCCAACAACGGCCTCACCCTGCTGTCCTTCACTCTCCGATACAAGTTTTTGCACCCTCCCCACCCTTCCATCCCTCAACCTTACTTTCACGCCCCGAGGATGGTCACCACGCGTTAGCAAATCCGCTACTATACCACGAACTTGATGGCCAGTGGGTTGATCTTGTTTGAGGATTATGGAGACGGCTGTGCCGGGGTTTACGGAGGCAAAAGAGGGAACAGAGGGGTATTCTGGGTCAGGTCTGAAATTGGGTCTGCCACGGCCTCTGCCTCTACCTCTAGAAGTTCCGCGTCCACGTCCTCGTCCTCGGTCTGGGATGTGAAAGTTGGAGTCGGAGTTGTAGATTGAGGTTGGTGTGGAGTCGCCGCGGCCTCGAGACGTGTGAGAGCCTCGTGATGGTTCTGACGAGGGGGTTTGCTGGTTTGGACGACCGCGTCGGGAGGGTTGCATTGTGAACGTTGTGTGATGTTGGGATTGTGACGAAAGAGAAGATTGTATGGAAATCTCTTGGAAATCTTTTCTCGGCCAGCTAACTCTCAGATAGTTGTTTTTTATGCAGAATGGGTAGCAAATATTCGATTTCCCTGAATTTGCCAAACGCAATGTGCGATGAGCCGATATATGGGATAGGGAATAAATATTGATGACCTGAGGCGGATGCAAATTGGCGTGGATGTCAAGAAGATGTTCGCGGTAAGGTTTTCAAAGCTTTTCGTTGCTTTTCGAGGTTGGACGTGAAAGCTGAGATCTTGTATATCATGGATATTAAGGTGATGTGAAAGGCTACCAGGGGTTTTCACCGAATCTTAGTGCGCATTACGTCATTGGCTCTATCCACGCATAATGCGACACTACCTACACTGCATATGTCAAGACATCAACCCTCTAGGGCAACGGCTAATATACACAATCGCTCTACCGTCTATCTCGTTCCAATATTCCACGGTCAATCATGATGTTTGCATCACATATGCAAAGACGCGTTGTGATCGTTAACTTTTGGAAATTTCGTATTACACTACTAATTCCGACAGGTCACATGCGGCAATACATTTCCTAGAAGCAGATTTCATACACAAAATAGTAATGAGAGACGCCAGGCAATGCTTGAATCCTTCGAAAGCCAATGTGAAAATCAATGCTTCGCACTCCACCCAAATACAGGAGAGCGATCCGAATGACCTTCTATGCATCTACTGCTCGCGCATCTCCTGTATCCAACGCCAGTGAATGAAATCTGTCGGAAATATTCTACCAAGGGTATACACACGAATCAAAGAGAGGATAATGTGTTTGAAGCGGGGCGTAGTGGTGGTGGTTGTTGTGTGGGTATAATTCGGGCGCTTAGAAGGGAAAGCCACCGGGGGGTCCTCCTCTTCGACCACCACTGGGCATGCCACCCATACCGCCAAATGGACTGCCGCCGCCGCCGCCGCCGCCGCCGGTGCTGAAGTGGAAGCCACCTCCGCCACCACGGCCGCCTCCCATACCTCCACCCATACCACCAAACATTTGCATGACTGTGTGTTTCGTTAGCTGTGAAATTTCCCTTAGAATTGTGATAATGCTTACGAATCTCTGGATCGATGCCACCACCCATGCCACCCATGCCACCTCCCATACCACCGCCACCGAACATGTCGTTGGGATCGACGAGATCAGCGCCAGAATCGTATCGTTCACGCTTCTGTGCGTCGCTCAGAGTCTCGTGTGCTTCTTGGATCTCTTTGAACCTGTCTGCAGCATCCGCGTCGTCGGGGTTCTTGTCGGGGTGATGTACGATGGCTAACTTTCGGTATGCCTTCTTGATTTGCTGCTCTGTAGCGTCCTTCTCGATACCGAGAATCTTGTAGTAGTCCTTCCTCTTGCTCTTCTTCAGCTCCATCTCGGCATCGCGGATTTCCTTGGCGATACCAGGTTCCGATGGGTTCTCTTCCTGAATGGCTTTGAGATCACGCACAGCTTCCTCCCAGTTGCCGTTCTCGCCCAAGGCTTTCGCCCGGGTCTTCCGTGCCTTGGTGTAGCTTGGGTCGAGTTCGAGCGCCTTCTCGCAGTCGGCAATGGCTTGCTTCCAGCTCTTTTGCCGGCTGTGGCAGAGGGCTCGGTTCTGTAGGATCTTGGAGTTTGTGCCCTTGTTCGAGGGGTCGACTTGTAGCGCCTGGGTGTAGGTGTCAATGGCTTCTTGGTACCTGCCAGACTTAAAAGCAGCGTTACCCTCCGACTTCATGCGGTCCAGTTTTTGAACCATCCGCAGGTATTTTACGGCAGCCTTGAAGTCGGGGTCGCAAGCCAATGCTTGTCTGAAGTGCTGTACAGCCTTGTCGTTCTCGCCTTGAGCATATAAAATACGGCCGCGCAATACGAGAGCATCCGGGTCCTGGTTGTTGTACCGTAGCAGCGACATGGCGACGTTTTGCGCCTCCCCTAGCGCATTAGCGTTACCCATGCGCAGGTGTGCCTCTCCCCGCATAAGCTGCCACTTGCGAGGCTTGTCTACACCAGCACCGAGACCCTTTTCAGCCTCGTTGAGAGCGTAAATAACCATGGATCCTGAACCCTCATTCCGTGCAGTGTCTTCGGCCATGCGCAGGTGCTTCTGCATTGTCAAGGCAGGCTGCTTGTCTTTGGCTGTGGCATTGATAGAGTCGTACACTTGTACAGCCTCGTCTGGTCGTCCCAGACTTGTGTATACTCTGCCTAACCGCAGAAGGATCTTCATGTTGTTGGGGTCCAGCTCGTCAGCCATCTTGCAGTCCTCCATGGCCTCGTAGAACTTGTTGGCGGAAATGTAGGCGGCGGCCCGGTTCGAGTAGTAGGTGGCATTCTTGGGATCGGCCTCGATAGCTGCGGATTGGTTAGCCCGAAGCTCTCCTTGGTGTGTTGTAGTGCAAAGCTTCGGCTAGTGCATGGCAAGTATCACTACGCACCTTTGGAGTATTCTTCGATGGCGCGCGGATAGTCTTTGATTTTGAAGAACTTGTTGCCTGCAGCCTTGTACTCCTCGGCGTCTATGGTCGGGGGCTCAGCGGGCGGGGTAGCAGCCTCGGGGGTAGCAGCGTAGTTTGCGGTAGGCGGCGGTGGGCTCTTTGTGTATCGGTGTGGTGGAGGAGCGGGCCCGTCGGGTGCACCGTTGGCGCCGTTGGTCTTGGGGGCCTCTGCTACGGGGCTGGATGGTGCGGGCGAGGACGAGTGTTCCCTGTCGACATCCATTGGCTGGGGCGTGGGCTGGTCCATGGCGGACAGTTGCGAGGACAGGCGCTGGCGTTCCTCGGGCGGGAGATTTAGCGGGTGTGAGTCGCGGTCGTACTTGGATGAACGCTTGGACGAGTACGAGCTCGAACGGCGGGTCGAGGAGCGTTCCCTGTCTTTCACCTTTGAGTGGGTGTGTTTGTCAGGCGAGGCAGGAGGGGTGCCTGAGTTAGCCTGGGGTGAAGGTCGGGGGGCAAGGTTGGGGATATCTCTGGTCTTGGACGACTTCTTTGAGGATGCGAAGAAGGAGGGAAGAACCATGGGGGCGAGCTGCGGAAGGATAGCGGCCTGGACGGTGTCACTAGAATTTTTAGTCTGGCTGCAGCGACTGTTGGTTGAGATCCAGGGCGGATAAAAATTAAGCTGGGATTTTGGTCCTAAAAACGTTGCTAGAATGTTCCATATCAGCGAGGTTAAGCCCGCTAGCACATCTGCCACAAGGGCAAGCCGCAGCGGACGTGCATCGGAAGGCTGGGGCTGATAATCGCCTACACGCCGCGCCGCCAGTCGCCTGCATGGGCTTAAGCCTGAAGTTACTGGCCGTTGTCACTTTGCTCGTGCTGCAAACGCGCTGCAATTGCCCGTGTAGTTTCACCCTCAGTCTACAACGATACCTGATGTGGCCTCTGACTCGCCCGATGCGCGAAGAGAGGTTGGGAGCCGCAGCGTCAGCAGAGGACAACAACACCTTGCATGGCGGATGCGAATGTCTGTCCACTCCCAACACCCATCGTCATATCTTGGTCGATGCGTTGGTTTATCGACGGCCAGCCTGCTTCTTTGTGTGCCAATGTAAAACACTCTTTGTTTGCGGGTGCATGTATACATCTCCAACATGACAACAACAACAAAAACAACACCGAGAAAGAACTCGACCAGGCAAGCGCTTATCCTCTGACTCGCCGTTGCGGAGCGAAACACTTGAAGATGGCGAGATCGGCTGGAATTTCCCAAACAAGTAACTCGAGATGGTTGTGACCAATCAGAACAAGTCGACCAACGATGATCAGAATCTCTGTTGCTGACTTGATCTGACTTGACTCCGCAACTTCTTTATCCAATACGTCCCTAGATTGTTCGAGTTGAATAGAAAGGCGTCTGCGTGCGTCACCAGCTGACCACCTCACTCCAAGACGGCCCCGCCCCATCTCACCACATGCACTAGCTCAGCGGTCCTCAAGCTCTCCCATTGCACTCCTCACCTTGACCTACAGACTGTCAGCCTAAGCCTTGTAGATACATGTGTAGAGTATCCAAGCCAACGTAACGTCCAAGTAACACCACCCTCTATTTACCCGATAGTGCCCCTCGCCTTCGTCATCCCGCTCCAATACGCACGTGCCATCAGGTACCGGAACAGCGGCGTCACCCCAGGCCAGATCCAAAGCTTCACTCCACATCCCAAGATAGTAATCGCGCTTGGGCGCAACAGCGGGAGCCATAAACCTCGGGCCCTTCAAACACTTCACCGCTAGCTCCCCGCCACCTTGTTCCCTTCACACCCGCGCCAACAGCACGTATGACAGGCGGCGACCAACAACGAGTGGCCACTTCTGACTACCGCTCCGATTACCGCCAAGGTCTCGACACACGTCCCACGCCCCAGCAGCCCTCGATCAACGAGTCGGATCGCCTGTCCATCATCATGGGACTCACGTATAACATCTACCTCAACTCTACCTCGTCGCGCATCTACGGCTGCAAGAACTGCAAGACGCATCTCTCCAACCACGATGACATACTTAGCAGGGTCAGCGCGCGCCTTGAGTCTTGATGCGTACATAACATGCTAACATTCCGAAGAACTTCCGCGGCCAACATGGCAAGGCCTACCTCTTCGACAGCGTCGTAAACATCACCGAATCCGACCCCAACGAGCGCAACATGACCACGGGACGTCACATAGTACGCGACATCCACTGCCGCCAGTGCAAGGAGACGGTCGGTTGGAAGTATGACAAGGCATACGAAGCCAGCGAAAAGTACAAAGAGGGCAAATTCATCCTCGAGGAGGAGCTACTATGCACCGTCACCTGAGGAGGGAACATTACTAGACGCGATCGACGTCATATTTGCATGGATATTTGTCTGGAGTCTAGGATTGGATACGGCGATACGGCTTGGATTATACGAAATGTATTTATGCGTTTAGGTTTGACTGAACTTCCGACAAGGCGTTCAGGTGGGTTTACACGGTATGTTAGACACTGCAGTGTCGTTACCTTTTGTTGTCCATGTGCTGGCGTATTGATGCGGAAGGTAGCGGAGCGCTACGGAGGGCTGAGAGCTTCTTGGAGCTATGAACCGTTTAAGTCTGTAGCGGACCGAGCCACGCGACTCACCAACTCGCGACGCTGGTTGAAGCATTTCTCACATGGTTCTAATCATGGAGTATTACCTTGGCAATGTTAGTCTAAGCTACAAAACACGCGTGCAGCCAATATGCTTCCATTGCCCGTGGTGTCTACCCCGCAGCCGAACCTCGGCGGGGTAGAAGCTATCATACCACATCATCACCGAGGAGCATTTGGCGCGGCCCATGTCGTCAGAGCTCGTGCCCTATATCCCACCTTATAGGTAGTCCGCAAGTTCCACTTGGTCGCATGTAGTTTTCAAACTCAAACCTGTGTCTTTGATTTCAATCTTGTCACGCCCATCTCGAAACCTCAACACAGATAATTACTTGCATTAGCAATCGAACACGGCATGAAAGCAGTGGTATTCAAGGGACCGGGGAAGGTGGTGATTGAAGACAGGCCGATTCCGAAGATTCAGGATGCGGGGGATATCATTGTGAAAGTTGAAAAGGTACATGTGCTGATGAATGTTATCAACTCCTACTAATCCTTCGCAGACCGCGTTGTGCGGCAGGTACTTGCAAATCACCACCTTTTTATAACGACATGTCTGACGGAATATATCAAGTGAACTGCACGTCTTCCGCGGTCATCAACCATCTGGTACCGATTTTGTAATGGGTCATGAGTTTACCGGCCACGTTCACGAAGTAGGTTCATCGATTAAGAACTTCAAAGTCGGCGATCATGTTGTCTCGCCATTCACAACTTCCTGCGGCGAATGTTTCTATTGCACCCACGGCTTCTCTTCCCGATGCGTCAAGTGCCAGCTCTTTGGTTGCCCCGCCCTAGATGGTGGCCAGGCGGAATACGTCCGCATCCCTCTTGCCGACTCTACGGCTGTCAAAGCACCCCCAGGCATCAAAGATGAGGCCTTGGTTCTTATGGCAGATATCTTCCCAACAGGCATGTTCGCAGCGAAGAACGGTTTCCAATACTCCACGCCCGAGGAAATCAAGGACAGTGTCGTTGTGCTTATTGGCTGTGGCCCCGTAGCTCTCTGCGCACTCTGCAACATCACCGACTACAAGCCAAAACACATTCTCGCCGTCGACTCGGTTCCCTCTCGTCTGGAACTTGCCAAGTCCCTCGGTGCGGAACCCTGGAATTTCCAGACTGATCGTGAGGGCCTGGATAAGCGTGTCAAGGAGCTCACAGACGGTCGCGGTGCAGACATTGTCATTGAAGTTGTTGGTCTCTCACCTGCGCTTCGAATGGGGTATGAATTGATCCGACCATGGGGTGTCATCAGCTCTGTCGGTGTGCATAATGGTGAGATACCCTGGACAGGAAACGAAGCGTACAACAAGAACGTCCGGATTCAGATGGGAAGGTGTCCAGTGAGAAGCGTGTTTGAAGACGCTTTGGACAGCCTGAAGAGGCATCAGGATAAGCTTGGGTAAGTTTGGGATCGGAATGATGGGTGAAGCTGATGGCTAATGTGTGGCAGATTCATGGCTGATAAGATCATGCCATTGAGCGAGGCCGTTGAGGGCTACGACTTATTCGATAAGATGAAGGTGCAGAAGGTTGTTTTCGAGGCACAAAAGTAGGGTTTACACGTGGCGGACGCATGGAGTTTTATTGAGGTGGTATGGGCGTTGTCGATGTCAGACGGGAGTGTGCATAGGGCGGGTATCGAAGTGGTGCATACGTAGGCGTAGTGAGAATGTCTTCATTCTGAGTCGAGCGATTGTATGGTGGAAAATCCGCACATCTCAGCCAATCATGATTCTCAGCGGCACGATACATTCACATTGTAGCCATGGTTAGCCAATGCCCTAGATGCTCTGGATTTAGCTGCATCTTCGTGGGGACGTGGCCGTTTTCGGGGCCTGTGCACGCGGGGTCTATTCTGTTCTGTGTTCGACGATGGGGCGCGCGTTACTTGCGAACAGCTCGATGCATTCACGTCTGCAGGCCATGCATGGTGATTGCTCCCATAGAAATGGTGCCGCCTGCTGCACGAGGACTTGCACCGCATTGAATCCTCCGTAGTTCCTCCCAGTAATCTGCAATCTTTGTGAATACGGCAAGGCTCGTCCGTCTCGCTAAGAGAAGCTACATCTGCCGCCCTAATATTGCTCAGGCCCAGGGCTTCGTCTCCCTCCGTCACCTTACCTCCACACTACCTGCACGCTCCAAACTGGTTCCGACAACACACCTTTCTTCTCTTCTCCCACGCGTCCCCCAACCCTCCTCTCCGCTCTCCTCTACCTACCCTTGTTCTCCCTCTCTTACCTACCTGTCCACTATCCCGCACCGACCACCTCCCCCGCCACTTCCGTAATCGCCTGTGAGTAGCTTCCATGCAGACTCGCAAACACAAACCTCAACATAATCACTCACTGACACTCGACACAATAGCCTCGAGACTTTCGATACGTTCTCCTCACCTTCCCCACTACACCTAGATCTCGTCTCCGTCTCCACGACCCACCTTCTTCTCTCGTAAGTATCGCGGCATTGCGCGTGTCGCAAAACTACGTCACTGACCGCAGTTGCAGCGCTTCCCCAGGCCATCTCCACAACATGTCCTCAGAAGAGCCCCAACCCGGTCCTGGTCAGGATGCCAGCCGCGTCGCCGATCAGCTGGATCGCCTCAACATTGATGGTGAGGGCGAGGTGGTCCCGCGTACCGAAGAGGAGTACGCCGAGTCGCAGCTCACCCTGCGAGCCATTGTTTCGTCCAAGGAGGCTGGAGTCATTATTGGCAAGGCAGGCAAGAACGTCGCTGACCTGCGCGACGAGACTGGCGTGCGCGCCGGTGTCAGCAAGGTCGTGCAAGGAGTTCACGACCGTGTCCTCTCCGTTACTGGCAGCCTCTCTGGTATCGCCAAGGCATATGGCCTAGTCGCCAAAGGACTGCTCGAGGGCGCTCCTGCCATGGGCATGGGCGGCGTTATCCGCACGGATGGCACTCATCGTATGTACAATTGCGACACCACGGCGCTCTTCCAGCGACATGGCTGCATATGAGAGCTGGTACCAAGCTAACTTTTGTAGCCATCCGCCTGCTCATCTCGCACAACCAAATGGGCACCATCATTGGTCGCCAGGGCCTGAAAATCAAGCAGATTCAGGATGCTTCCGGCGTTCGCATGGTCGCACAGAAGGAGATGCTTCCCCAGTCTACCGAGCGCATCGTCGAAGTCCAAGGATCGCCGGCCGGTATCGAGAAGGCTATCTGGGAGATCGGCAAGTGCCTCATCGATGACCACGAGCGTGGCTACGGCACTGTCCTCTACAACCCTGCCGTCAGGGTTCAGCCTGGTGCTGGCCCGGTCCCACTGTCCAACGGCGGTGGCGCACCTAGTGGTGGTATGGGCGGACGCTCGTACAACCGCACTGGTCACGGCGCTGATTTCAGTGATTCGCCCCCTGCCTTTTCCCGACGATCTGGCTCCGATGCTGCCAGCAGGCCCCCGCCTCCAACGCATACCGAAGATGGCGAAGAGATGCAGACTCAGAACATTAGCATCCCATCTGACATGGTCGGCTGTATCATTGGACGCGGCGGTAGCAAGATCAGCGAGATCCGCAAGACCTCCAACGCCCGTATCTCCATTGCCAAGGCACCCCATGACGATACTGGCGAGCGCATGTTCACCATCACTGGTAGTGCCAGTGCTAACGAGAAGGCGCTCTATCTCCTCTACGAGAACCTGGAGGCCGAAAAGATGCGCCGCAGTCAGGCCCAGGAGTAGATCGCTTCATAATGCGTCTGCTACCCTGACGTCGGCACCGTTGGGAGTTTCGCGGTGTTGTCGCTACATCTCGAGGGCTCTGCCAACCTTCTTGGGAGTTGCAAGATAGCTCGAGGCCACTCAGGCTTCGCTATCGATCGCAAGCTCTTTACATCCGTCGCCATCTGTATTTATGCCTCCAGAATTGGAGGCAACGAAAATCGACAACAAAAGCATGGATTTGCTTAGTTTCTTACTTGCTGTTACTGATGGATACCACGGATTGTCTGGAGCATTATTTACTTTTCTTTCTATTGTCGAGAGAGAGAGAGAGAGAGAGAGAGAGAGAGATCTGAGTACACGCTGAGCGGCTCACGAATGTCATGACGTTATGGCCTTTGATATCCGGATAGTACATCTGCTCATGGGTAGCAGCTCTGACATCCATGTTTGGGTTTTCTTGGCGAAGAAGAGCTGGAGAAGAACCGAGATGACTCTCACCATCTCCTGATGTCTACTACGGCACTCCGATGTACCTTCCTAATCACTCCCTCACTCCTTACCCTCACACCTACTCCCTTCCTTGCTCTACCTACCGACACTCCGATACAATCAAACAACATCTACTACAAATATACAGAATTCTATGGTCTCTGGTGACTACATTCCAATCTGTGACGTTGTGCTTGCACAATTTTGATGAGGATGCTGCCCAAGGGGAAATAAGCCTAGCAAGGCACATGCAAAACGAGGCTGTTCCGAACCGTTGGACACTCGAGGCGAATACGTCATTAGCGTCACGCTCGGACGTTGAGCACCTGCGCAAGACATCAGGTCTGTGCCACTTTGAAGCCCAGACGGCTCAGCTATACGGACAGCGTCCAAGAGCTCGAGGAGAGATATCCGACGAGAAGACTACATGCAAGGGCAACAAGATCAGAGTATTGTCGCTGCATGCGCTGTATAATCCCCCACGCCCCCATACGGTGAGGTTCGGCGGGCAAGGCTCGCTAATCCTTCCACTGCTTCTGTGCTTGCCTAGACCAGGATCGCCCAGGGATTGGTAGACTAGGGCACTAAGGGCAGAGACAGATTTGGCACCCCGACTGATTTCCGAAGGCTGGGATGGCAGCTATTTCTTTTCAGGAGCTATGCTCTTCTAGGAAGGGGTGCATGATGGTTAAAGATGATTTCTTGACCGCATGTTCCCTCTCTTCTTCGCTTCTGCTCCTCCACACTGAAATCCTTACTCCTCGACTTCACTCTTGGACGGCACCGTACGGAACCACAGTTTGAAGAACACAAGACTTGTCACAACTCGCACACCAAAGAGTAGTCTAAACTGATTACCACGACAACCATGGCGCCTATCCAAACGCAGACCATCACACCCCACCAATTCAGCAACCCAGTCACAGTCATACGGGCCTCAGGACGCATATCCAAACCACCGGCGCGTTCAACACGCACACAAACCAAGGCACTTATATCTCACTCGCCACAAATACCTACCGCACATCCAGACATCGACATTAGTCTGCTCCGCAACAAGCTGCTTCTCCAATGTCGACAATACATACCCTCGGAGCTTCTTCACGAAGCACTCGCAGACGGCATCTACTCTCGCGCGACACACTGGATCACGCCCTCTTCCAACGCAGCCTCCAAATTCGGCAAGCGAAAACGCTACTATGTCTTGCACAGCTCAAACTTCACTTTCCAATCCATGGGTAGCGCGTGGGAAGCGCGGATTCTATCTGGAGGCAGCCAGCCAATCGATGCAGGAAACGGTGTAGTTGTTTTTGTCAAGGAGAGGAGAGAATGGGACGCGTTCATGGCGGGGTACAGAAGGCAAGGAAAGCGAGCGGGGCAGTTGATGAGGCTCAAGCAGAAAGACACGGAGCGAGGCTGGAGAGACGCGTGGAAGAGGAAATGTGGGATGGAGGAAGGTGGTGGCAAGGAAGTTAACGCTGGGCCCATGTGGGTGCTTGTCAAGAGCGCTGTTGCGAAGATTGTCAGAGGTGAGGCGTGAGCTGCATTCTGGCTGGCCCCCGGGAGAAAAGTGGGTTTGCATCTGCTGGCGTTTGGCGCGTTTTTCTTGATCAACTTAGCGAGCATTCACGACCTTTATGACGGCTGGAGCGGTAAGCTCAGGAGCCATGGACGCTTCTTTTAGCCACTTCGTATACACATCTACTCAGAAAATGAATAGCATTAACACACACAAAGACATGAATCGCAATATTCACCTTCTCTTGGTTCTGTGCCTGCTCACCCAGCTCGCCGACAGGCCGAGTGAAGCGTCGCCCCGCATCAATGATTTAGCGAAGTGGGTGGCGCGCCCCAGTCGTCCGAGTCCGATCCCTGAGGCTCAAACATGGCCCGTGCCGCTTCTCATTTAGCTCCGTCTTAGCTCCGGGGACTTGATGCCACGGTTGAATCTTTGGCACATGTAGTGTAATCTAAAGACAGTTGTACTTTCCTACTTTCACCCACAGTCGCTTGAGGAACACCATTTTCCTGACTTCTGTTTTCGCGCACTCTCCACTGCGCTGTCCGCTCCTTTACACACACTACGCCACGTTGTAGTTCGACGCGCCGCACGCCTTCCACGAAACTATCACCACACTACGTCAATTCAACGACATCTGCATAGAGCACCCACAATGCCGGAAGCAGTGCGACGCAAGGTCAACGAGATCAATGGAGGCGCGAATGGGAATGCGCACCACCAGCTAGACAACGCGGTACATTCGATTGAGCAGAAGCTGGAAGAGCAAGCAGAGCTCCATGCGCGAAACCCCCAGGAGCAGAAGGAAGCAGGACTTTTCCAGTTGGTGATCTGCGTCGCTGGTATTTATGGAAGTTTGTAAGTGACACGGCACAAGCAGATATGGGACTAGAGGACCCTGGCTGACGGAGGGACAGCATGACTTGGGCATGGATCCAAGAGCGATTAACAACCACTACTCACGGTCCCAACAACGAGCGCTTCACATACTCCATCTTCCTCAACACCGTTCAATCCGCCTTCGCTGCCATAACCGGCCTTGTCTATCTCAACTTGTCAGCGAGGAAGGACCCTAAAACCGGCGTGCGCAAGGTGCTCCCCATCTTCCCCTCCAAAGACATTCTCATGCCGCTCCTCGGAATCGCCGTCACCTCATCGCTCGCCTCCCCCTTCGGATACGCGAGTCTGAAGCATATCGACTATGTCACCTTCATCCTGGCCAAGAGCTGCAAGCTGCTACCCGTCATGTTCCTCCATATCTCGCTATTCCAGAAACGATACCCAATGTACAAGTACGCCGTTATCGGCTTCGTAACCTTGGGTGTAGCGGTTTTCACTCTACACAGCCCTTCAACTGCGAAGAAAGCCGCCAAGAAAGGTGTCAACGCGGACGCTTCGCAAACTATCGGTCTCGTCTTGCTCGGTGTCAATCTACTTTTCGACGGCCTGACCAACACCGTCCAAGACCACATTTTCAGCAGCTTCAAAGGCTTCACTGGGCCCCAAATGATGTGTGCGCAAAATATCATGTCCACAGCGCTAACAGTATCTTACCTCCTCATTACCCCTCTCCTTACTTCTACTCCCCTCGCTGCCTGGATCGGTCTCGACCCTCGTTCTACTTCTGGTGAACTCTCCGACGCGCTCTCTTTCATAACTGCCTACCCCGCTGTCGGCTGGGACGTCCTCATGTTCTCGGCCTGTGGCGCTATAGGCCAGGTCTTCATCTTCCACACCTTGGCTCACTTTAGCTCGTTGTTACTTGTTACGGTCACAGTTACGAGGAAGATGCTAACAATGGTTTGGAGTGTGTGGTGGTTTGGTCATGAGATTACGGGGATGCAGTGGCTTGGTGTTGGGCTGGTATTTGGTGGAATCGGGGCTGAGGCTGCGGTGGGAAGGATGGAGAAGGCGAAGAAAGCTGCGGCGAAGAAGAAGGAGGAGGAGCAGAGAAGGAAGAGGTAGATGCTCTAGGTGTGTGCTGTAGATTTTGGAAAGTACTAAAGGAATTTTCATCAGCACGCCTATCTGTTCTTGTAGATCCAAGGATGATAGACTATCCATGTATATGGTTTACTCCCCTCGTCGAGGCTGAATGGGGAACTCTTAGCGCCCGGTTTCATTGTATGCTTGTTGGCGCTTCCCAGCCTTGCTCATCTGTGCCACTACGCCCCAATTACCCCACTACTTCCTTCCAGGCTCCCAATGTCTTCTACCCACACACTCTCTCTCTCTATTTCTCTAAATCATAAACAGCAAGCATTAGATCTTCAAGAAAAGCGATTGAAACGATGTCGAATGAACCTCTTCTCCCCTCTTATGGCGCAGCGACGCAGCGCCACCGCTCCAGCGAATACCGTCTCGTCGCAAAGCACACGCATGACACGCCCACATTGGTCGATGTCCTTTCTCTATTCATCTTCCTCATCAGCGCCGTCTTCTCGACTATCTGGGCCACTCAAAGCAGCACTGTAGCGTCAGGTCACGTAAGTTCAAATTCCAACCTGTCGTCTCTTTATTCACACCTCACGTAGCCTGGTACCCCCCCACACACTGGCTCCGCACCTCTCCTCCCGTACTTTGCTTCCATCTCCCTCGTTATATCGACGTGTTTCTGGCTTGGCTATCTCTTCTTCATCGCAAACGATGGACATGGTGGTTCGGTACTGAAGAGGAAGATCACGATTGGTGCTGCGGTCGTGGGGAAAATAGTACTTGCAGCGGCTCATGTGGCCATCTGGCAGGCATATAAGATGTGGTATGCTGGGCTTGTGACACCAAATTGGATGGTTGTGTTTGTTGCGGCGCAGGCTTGGTTTGATGTCGTGTTTGTTGGGGTTAATGGGTGGGCGTTGTGAAGGGGCATAGCTACAAAGTACCTAGGTAGTTAAAAGGGTAGGAGGGTAGCGTGCAGGTGAATAGGGAGGAAAGAACGACGATGAAGCAAACGACACATGAGACTCGTATGTGGAATGCGTCTCGGTGGGTTCTCCCAAGGCCTTTTGATACATCACAATGTTTGTGAAAACCTAACGAAAAGATGTACTTGTCGCGAGGTCTTAGGAGATTTGGTGGGTACACTAAATTCTTAGCGGCCTTGTCAATTCTTGCTACGCATTGGTATTCATCTCACACCCCTTTGTCAACATCGCCTATCAGCATTTAGCTATCAGAAAATCTCGAGCATTTCAGTAGGGTCCATTCCTGCTACCTGTTGTTACTTGCTATCTTGCACGAGTGGGCGTTAATCTGGTATCTTTTTCCTTGAGCATGCTGATCCCCATCGCCGACAGTGTTACCAATAATGGATTCCAACGTTCTACTTGTTCACGTTGTCTTTAGATACTTCGATTGCGCGCTGCGCAAGATCATTGTCCTTTACCCCTTGGTCTTCACCGTGAGCTTTTTTGGGCTTTCGCCTGTTCTCTCGCGATTTGGTCTCGTTTTTGAGTTTCGGCACGTTCAATCGCCGCAGGCAGTCGTGCAGGAACTTGCGTGTCAGCATATGCTATGGCTGCTGCTCCTACGCGTCTGGCGTCTTGGTTATCAGCAGCTACCTCGTCGAGCACACCGTTACGGACGTGTAAGAGCTCGCTGGAGCTAAGTATCTTGCTCGTGTTCACGAGAGGAGGAGCTGATTCGTTGTTCGAAGACATGTTATATTACTGTGACGTGGCGAACGATGACTGAGCGTGGGTGTTGAGTTTAGCGTTCATCTCGCAATACTGACCTTCTGTATATCTTCGATATTCGTTCAACGATGATTGCTCTCCGTCTCACACTGCTGTGGCATGTGCCTATGTGTCACGCGCGATGTACACGCAGGCGGCGTGTCTCGCAAATAGATACGATATGTCTATTGATACAAATCTACTCGACACTGCCCTTCTTCGCCCACTCTCTCAGAACGTTCTTCTGAATCTTGCCCGTACTCGTCTTGGGTAGCTCTTTCACAACCACAACCTCTCTGGGTACCATGAAGCGACTAATATTACTGTTCTCCTTAGCCCATTGGATCACTTCTTGGCCCAAGGTTTCGCTATTTGTTCCATCTTTCGTGGTAACGAAAGCCTTCGGCCGCTCGCCCCAGTGCGAATCGGGAACGGCGCACACGCCGACCTCGAGGATGGAGGGGTGCGTGGAAAGCATAGCTTCAAGGGCTACACTGGATATGTTTTCGCCACCTGTAAGAAGTGTTGTTAGTAAATTGTCCGGAAAGGGGTACGTAGACTTGGCGTGATACGGGGAATTAAAGAACATACCACTTATAATGATATCCTTCGCCCGATCCAAAATCTGAATCGCTCCATCCGGATGCCAAACCGCCAAATCCCCTGTATGCAGCCAGCCGCCCTCCCACAACTTGCGCGTCGCCTCAGCGTCCTTGTAATACCCCTTTGCGCAGATATTGCCCTCAAAAATGACTTCACCGATCTCTTTGCCATTTCTCTCTACATTGGTAAGAACGCCTTCTGGTTGTTCAGTCTTGATAACTCGCGTCGCTTTACCAACAACGAAACCATGTCCCTGTCGTGCCATGCGATCGTATTTTACTTTCTCAGGAAGCGTATCCCATTCAGGCATATGATAGCCTTTTGTGATCGGGCCATAAGTTTCCGTGAGGCCGTAGACATGAACCGGATGTAGATTTAGATTTGACATTTGTTCGAAGAGCCAGGCGCTTGGTGGACTCGCTGCTACGGTGACTCTTACTGGGTGGGGTAAGCGCTCTGCTTCCTTCGCCGCGCAGAGGAGAGTGTTGACGGTGGGTGCGGCGTTGAAATGTGTGATGCCTTCTTCCTTGAGTAGGCGCCAGATTTCTGGGTAGTCGATCTTGCGGAGGCAGTAGTGTGTTCCTCGGACGGCAGTGACGGACCAGGGGAATGTCCATCCTGTCGCGTGAAACATTGGAAGAGTCCAGAGATATTTTGCACGACCAGTGTGGTAATTCAGTCCGGATTCGATGACGTTGCCCATTGCAGCAAGGTAGACGCCGCGGTGTGTGTATTCGACTCCCTTTGGTCGCGCTGTTGTTCCACTGGTGTATGCAAGTGCCATAACATCCTCCTCATTCTTTGCTTGTGCCTCTAGGTCTGCCCAACCCTTGCCTCCTTGTTCGATATCGTAGTTCAATCCCTCCAGTACTGCATCGTCGAAAGGACCTGAGAGCTCGCCTTCTGTCGCGTCCGTGTCTGTGTCGATCAATATCGGTACGTTTGGTCTTTCTTTCTTGTACTCGTCCAACAATCCCACAAACTCGGCATCCGCAATGATCATATCGACGTCGGAGTGCTGGAAGATGTAGCTGATATCATCGTGCTTCAACCGATAATTGATCGCCACGTTGACACCTCCTGCCGCTGCGATGCCGAATGTGCTCTCCAAGAATGCCGGGGTGTTCGTCGATAGTATGCCGACTCTCTTGTATCCGTGTTTCCTCAGATAGTATGCCAGCCCCCGTGCGCGATCCGCAGCTTCAGCATAAGAGCGTCGTAGGATCTTGTTGTTTGCCGTCTTGTGGTATATCGCCGTCGCGTCCGGCTCGATTTGCGCCGCGCGCCAGAGAAACCATGTTGGGCTGAGGGTGTGGAAATTGTGTCGGTGATGGTATTCGTGGCTGTCGCCAGCATGGACAGGTAGAGGCCCAGGGACAGGATTTGCTGAGGTGAAGTGCGACGCGAGTTGCTTGAGACGGTCTTTGGCACCCTCCATTGTATCTGCACGAGAATCTGGTAATCTATGGGTTCAACGACAACTTATATATACGTAATAGAAATATCGATCTACAGATTGGTCCAGGCTGAGCTGAAGCTATAGACGCAAGAGTGCGGAGTAGCTCCGCTCCGGGACAAGATGCGAGAGATATCCGAAGTCTTGAGCGCTCGAAGGTTTAAAGGCGCAATTCCAACAGGGGTGGAGGACGGAAGAAGAAATATATCACGCCACTTTCCAAAGCGGTAACCAACTGGACGCGATCTAATACATATGTTGCAGTACGCGATAATAGCTGATGTTGAAGCTTACGGCCATGGATTGGGGAAATCTGGGGAAGGGTTCCGATTCCGTTGCGGCACGACGTCACAACCGAGGTTAACCGCCAGTAAGGTCTGTCTACCTTGTCCATCCTTCCAACCGTGTCGGATCGGATGCACATGGATGGTCCGAGAGCTGTGCAAGGTACTAGTTTCACTTGGACTGACACGGCGATATGGATGTTTACTTGAGGGGAATCGTAAGTGAATTGACGTAACCACAAGTCTATTGCTCAACGCTCAACGCCGTCACCATGCTTTACATCAGCTGGGATTTTTCATTTCGTATTGCTTCTAGCCGGAAGAGTACCTGAAGACACTGCAGACCGACCGCGAAGAGACCCATGAACACGTAAGCACCCTGGTATTGATGTGCTCTTTTAGCCTGGACACCCTTTCGAATGGTCGGAGTATAGTAGAGGAAATAAACATCCCATGAGCCCAATGCAATCCACGCCGAACCACGTCACCGAAACTGAAACCGACACTGTTCATCGACTGCCGACTTCTAGTATCCGAGGGATGTAAGCTCTTGCTGGACCTTGGAGTCGACGTTGGCCGTCTTCTTGGCCTCAGCCAACTGCCGTCGGACAGCCTTCTTGCGCTCGTAGTAGGCGGCACCCTTGACCTTCCTGCGTTCCTCAAGGCTGTATACGAATTAGCAATTTTGAACTGGCTGGTATTGCTAGGTGCGACATACCGGGCAACGACGTCCTGGTACTTCCAGCCGAACTCGTGACCAAGACGGCCGACAGTGCAGTACTTGCGTCCGGGCTTGAGCCTCAGTACCCTCAGGGCCTGGGGAACAACGACGCGCTTCTTCTTGTCGTAGGGAGCGGGGACACCCTCGAAGGTCTTCAAGCGCTCCATGGCGGCCTTACCGCGGGGAGTCTTGTGAGGAATCATACCGCGGACGGTTCGCCAGAACATCTTGGAGGGAGCGCGGAAGTGGAAGGGACCTAGAGTATGGATCAGCATATGGACTGTAGTAGGTTACGCATTCGAGTTTTGACTGCGAATGCGCAACGTAGGGATGGGAGACGTACCACCGCGAGTGGGGTTGTAACGGGTCTGCTTGCGCAGGAAGGCAGAGTACTTCACTGTATTGCCCTGTCAGTTGCCGTCTTCCAAAAAAATGTCCCGAGAGCGCTCCGGCAAAGAGCAACCAAAGTGCATATTGTCGACCACATCGTCTCCTCGTAGCCCCATACTACCAATTGCACTCCATGGCTTGCTCCTTGTCTCGCTCGCTCGTTCGGTGGGTGTACGTACACTTGGCGCGGAAGAACTCGCCGGAGATGTTGAGGGCCTCGCATCGCACAACAACGATCTTCTGGCCGTTGAGGAGCTGCTTGGCGACGGTGCTGGCGAGGCGACCGAGCAAGTGGCCCTTGCCGTCGATGACCTGAGTGCGCTGTCAGCGAGACGTCCCATGGAAAGATGCGTATTGTTGACGGATTTGTAGGCTGGCATCGCGGCGGCATGCGAAGGCCAATACCAGGAATATCGGGTTGCGTCTATCGGGGCGTACGTACAATGACGGGTTCGAAGGTCGACATTTTGCTCGACTCCGGTGTGCTGTGAGGTTAGTTGTCGTGATGGAGAGCTCGATGAGATGCGAATTCCAGGTGGCTCAGGACTAAGCGAATTCAATATTCGAGTTTGTGGTGCACGGACCCATTAGCGTGACTGCCATTTCGAACACCATAACCATCACCTTGCCCATCACCACGATTTACATGACAGCTAGCCCTAATAAAAAGGTGATGCACGTCTTGAATCGTCGTAGCTACCTGATAAGTACCATTGTCCAACAATCAGGGCTACTTATGGTCGCGGCGATCAAGCGCTGCATCTTGTGCAGTTTCTGCTCACCACCCTCACCCCCAACATGAGAGCATAGTACGTGAGGCTCTATCTGTAGTGGGAACAGCAGGGAGGCTGTTTGCTGCGAGAACACAAAGGCTGCATTCTGCACGGCACAACCAACGTCTGAAGCGCCGTCAACATCTTGCACCCGCATTGAGTTCCTTTTACCAGTCATTGATTCTCTCGGACATTGCAGCTTCAACACAGGCGAGCTAGCACTCTCATCGCACGACTCCATCTCGCCACCAGATATCCTGCTGTTTCGTCTAGGAGTAGTCGGCACAATCCTTCATACTTGTCCGACGATCAGCATCTTCCGCCACTCAGCCAAATCGTCTTGTCGCACACGTACATCTCAATCAACCCCGGATATCGAAGACACTGGAGCAGGCTTCTTAAATGCTGCTGTCTAGGTGTACTTTTCAACCGCACCTAGCCCCTGGAGGCACATCTAGCTTTCACCACAATGCACAACGTCGATTGTTGTCGTCGTAGAAGGAAAGTGCTCTCCAGGCTCATAGAGGAATGGATTCGCAGTTTTATGTGCTCTAGTGTTTATGAAGTAATTCAAATGTTTCAAAAAACCAATGGTATCGCATGATTGCCGTATCTACTCGGATAGTACTGTATCGAGTTTCTATCACATCATACCCATCTTTGGTAGGCACATCCTCATCAAGCTCTTCCAGCCTCTCCTGCGGCCGCTGCACCCCTTGCAGCGACAACATCCCAACATTTCCGTGCACCCAAAAGTATGCGCGGAATTTCTCAACATCTTTCTGCACACCTACACTCGCTTCTTGATCTTCAAAGGAATAAATTGCTTCTGGCATATAAACGAGAAGCGGGGTTATATGTACGCCAGATTGCAGCTGGCTTTCTGTGTCAAAGTCAGCATCCCTCAAAGTAGTCTCCACAGATTGATAATAGTCAGCCGATGATTAGTTGTATATATTTGAGTTGGTACGTCAGAACCATCTTGATATATCTCTGTACTAGAAAAGTGTCGCCCTCACGGTTCCTGCGTCCTTTAAGATTTTTATCAGGCTTTGCGGCGACCAATGGACTGCACCACTACCTAGGTATCTCGTTGGGTTTCAAGCACCACCACTTACGGAGTCCGGCCAACCTAATCGTATATGCATCACATACAGAAGGATGAGGCAGTAACCGGAGCCTAACCTTCCACTTGTCGAAACCCACGCTTGCCTAGGCTCGTCGAGATACCCTCTGACCTATGTACGAAATAGACATATTAGTTCTAAGTCCGTCAATGATCGCCATCGTCTATAGTCGTACCGAGCTCATGCTAGGGCTCCACCTCGGTTACATTCGAGTCTAGAATTCTCTATACCAACTAATGCTTTCCTTGATGCGGCTACAGCACCAAGCCGGAGCATTGGATCTGACCTGTTCACAGAATCCAGATTGACGACTACGTCATTGCGCGGGAAAGACGCTTCATTGATGGATTTTAGGGCTGGCTAAGTCTGACCGAAGTCGGATTCGCAACTAGGATAAAACTAATGTAGGGCTGAAGCTTGCATCAGCGACAGTAATCTTTAGCCCGAAGCCTGTGGCTGTCAAACGTAGCAAGTGTACAGAGTTTTCTCCAACGATTACCACCAGATTACAGAGTGCGCTGATCATTAATCTAAAGCGTTTCGATGGCGGTCTTATTACGGGCACGAAGCTTGTGTTTTGAATCGAACGAACTGCATAGATCTGCAATGAACGTCACATCTCGACAACCCTAGGCAGTTGCATATTTTGAGAATTCACTACACGACAGTTACTTCGAGTTTTGGAATTCCAACCATTGACAACGGATGACCGGCGATCGGCCACATTGCTGTTTCTTTTACGTATCAGTCCGCACACATATATTGCCAACTCTTGCTCATGCGGGAGCTAACCACGTTGTTTGTGTCGCAACAACAATTTGCGTCATGCGCCACACCTCGACGCGATCACGAAGCAGACCCCAGACAGATTCTGCTTGGCATCATGCGCACAATCTCTTTTTCAGGTTTTTTCAGCCACGTTTCACAAGACTGCGCCATACCTTGGCCAAACGTCCTACTAATTTTGCGCCACTCCTGAGACTGCTTGGCGTATTTCGGTTATGCCACATGAGTGACTGCAGGAGACATCGTACGTGTTTGCTCTTGGCCGAGTGGCTAGTGCTGTGGCTAAGGCCCTACCCAACCGGTCGACATTTGAATTAGACTTGTATAACCTGCATGATGATGGACGAGATGGAGTGTTCTAAGCGAGTTGCTGAGTCACCCGGAAGTCGGCACATGTGGCTCAAGATAAGCACCACTAAAAAGCGTAGGGTGTTCCAATTACCAACGTATGAGCTTCCATAATTGGAAGCATGGTAATGCCAAGGGACCTCGGTTTGGCATGGCTGCATTATCGGTACTTCCGAGAGGAAAGGAATTCCGTACTGTAAAATGTGTCGTGAGTAACCCGGTGGACAAGCATCACAAACGGTTATTTACGAATTCACCGACATGCTACCGAGAGCAACTGCAGAAACCGCACTCCTTGAGCAGAGTCTGCTCCTTCAGGATATTTCGTATCTCGAAGGATTATACTTGGCGGGTCCAATACGCTCGTTCCCTTAGCATATTATATTCATGGGGAAACTGAAGCGGTAGCCGGCCCCACCGAGCGCTCAAGCACAATCGATGGTGGTGACCAACCGACAATCGAAAAACTGGGAAAGTCCCGAGATTCTGATTTCTATCAGCCATCTGTTAACGACAGCTGGGACGTCGTATTGATCTATCACGTTAAATACACGTTCCCGATTGGTAAAGGATCAAAGGCAAGGCGGAGTTGGTTTCTTACGTTTGCTCGCCGGTGTACAGCAGGCAAAGGCAAGGGCCACCAGCCGCAGTCAAGCCACGCTGTCACGTTCATGGCGACTTTATCCGGCGCTAAGATCTGTCGCGCAAGGCTGTTGCGAGCGGGGAGACAGGCTTTCGGGAGCTCGCCCTGGACGAGAGCCCGAGGGAGCCCACGGCTGGGGTGAACAATTGTCCTCGCTTGGTTGTATGACGGAACCGAGTTTGGTTATGGATGATCGTTTCTCGATAGAGAGGCTTTAGAGCGCACGAGGAATATCGGGGAACGAACAAGCTGCAACGGATTGGCGGATCAGACCACTAATGCGCCTTTGCTTGTGCGAAAAGCCATGGAGATGGCTCGGCTTCGCTTGGATGCAGGGCTCTACAACTTCTTGGGTGGCGTGGGTGGCGTGGGTGGCGTCTCAGCAGGACCCCACCACCTCTGTCTCAACCCACAGGCGCTGCAAGGTAGCAGCCAGCAGCGGTATGACGCCACAGGGTAGAGGTCAGCATTGTTGTGCTTGATGACTTGGCGATTCTGGTGTTTGTGAATGGAAACGTCGGAGGTGGGGCTAGGTGGGAAGCGGTGTGCATGCTGTATGAACAAAGCCTGTCGAGGGTGTTTTATGAAGCCTTGGGCATTCAATAAAGGCAGAAAGGTGTGCTCGCCGAGATGAATGCACCAATACTGGGCTTGGCTTACAGGTGAGAAGTGAAAAGCGGACGACTCGGCGGAGATCAACGATTCGATTCCGGCGTGCGAAAGGGCGGGACGGTGCCATGCGACGGCGCTAGCCTAACTCCAATCCTTGACCCACAAGCTTCTCCGCCGTCTTCGCACCCCTGTCACGAGCATCCACCACTTTTGCTCTTAGGCGCAGCGTTCCCCCCCAGCCACAGCTGGCCACATTCTCCTTCCTGACCCCCATGACTTCTCCGGCCCTCACAACAACTGAGAGCCTTCCAGCAGACGCGGGCCGCTCGGGCCCCTTCGACAATCAGCAAGAAGACGCCTCTGAGTTTGGTGAGGGAAATTCAGAGACCAATGACGTAGGCGACGATCAGGCACCGAAACCGCAACCCCAGAAGCGGCGTCGTGTGACGCGTGCTTGCGATGAGTGTCGACGCAAGAAGATCAAATGCGATGGCAAGCAACCATGCACCCACTGTACCGTTTACAGTTATGGTATGTGCCCCACTGTCTTGATATTGGCCTCATGGAAGACATGCTAACCTTGTGCAGAATGGTAAATGCCCAGCATTCGTCCAACTATTTTCCAACACCTGTAATTGACAGTATCTCAGCACATATGACCAGCCGTCGAACCGTCGCCGTAACGCGACCCCCCAGTATATCGAGGCTCTGGAAAGCCAACTCAAACGTGCAAAAGCGCTGCTTCACGTTGTCCTGCCGACGGTCGATTTGAATGACCCCACCATTGACGCCCACCTTCAAAATGGCTTGTTACCACAGCTGCCACAGGCGACTCCGCGACCTCCAGTGATGCCTGTAGACCCCCGGATTCCACATCACCAAGCACCGGCCCACAACGATGAGCAGCCTGATTCCCATCTTGAGGCCATGGTCAAAGCCACCGGCCAGCTTGATCTAGACGAAGAGGGTAACTGGGATTACCAGGGTCATTCTTCAGGGCTCAGCTTCATGAGGGGTCTACGGCAATTTGATGATATGTTTCAGATCCCTTCGGACGAGTCGCCATCTCTCCGGCACCGAACTATGTCCCATGAACCGCCCTCTCCTAGTTCTCTATCTATTACAGGATCTACTGCAGGAGCACCCAACGTGCCTTTACCCAGCCAGGCAAATGCACGTCTCCTCTGTGATAGTGCCATAATCCAGTATAGCGCCATGCTGCGCGTCGTTCATATTCCCACCTTTCACAAGCAGATGGACCGCCTCTATCAAGTCTCGTCTGAGAACTACGGCCCCGCCGAGACCAGCTTCCTGCCCCTATTCTATGCCGTCTTGGCTCTGGGCAAACTATACTCAGAGAATGACACAGCCACTGATGTAGCAAGCTATGACGTGCTCACCGACGAGGGGTATGCACCATTCTTTCTCCATGGACAAACTTTTGCATCTGCTAACATGGCCTAGACTCAAATATTTCAAAGCCTCGCGCCAACTACTGGACATCACCGACTGCAGGGACCTTACTTCTCTTCAAGCCATCATCTTCATGATCCAGTTCCTGCAATCATCAGCGAAACTCAGCACGTGCTATGCATACATCGGGGTTGCTCTACGCTCAGCCCTGCGCATGGGTCTGCACCGGTCTTTCAATGTCAAGTTTAACCCCATAGAAGCCGAAACGCGCAAACGTATTTTCTGGGTAATTCGAAGGATGGATACGTATGTTGGAGCAATGCTCGGTTTGCCGCGATTTCTGGACGATGAGGACATTGACCAAGAGTGGCCAATCGAGGTGGACGACGAGTATATTACGGAGTCACAAATTCTGCCCATGCCTGAAGGAAGCATTTCGGTCATGGCGGCTTTCAACGCCCACACGCGTCTCGTACAAATTTTGAACAAGATCTGCAAGTATGTGTATCCAATTAAGGGAACGCAATCAGGCGCAAAGAACTCCGTGACCTACTCTGTGGGTTACTCCAAGATTCGCGAAATCGAACAGGATCTCGCAAGATGGCTTGATGAGTTGCCTGTTGCGCTCAAGCCCGGGGGCGATGCTCCACCAATCATCAAGAGGTAAGTTGGTCGTCGATTCGAATTGTTATGGCTATTGACATGCGTACCAGGGTCCAACAGCTTCTCCGTATGGCATTCGGTCATGCTCAACTCCTGCTCTATCGGCCATTCCTACACTATGTTTCGCAATCGTGCAACGCCAACACGGTCGATCAAAGGGCATTTGCCTGCGCCTCCGCTTGCGTCAATGTTTCACGTAACATCATCCACATCTCAACAGAGATGCGTAAACGGGGTCACCTGGCTGGAGCGTATTGGTTTTCCATGTACACAACCTTTTTCGCCATCGTTTCGATTTTGTACTTTGTCCTGGAGAATCCGACAAGTCCCACCAGTTTCGAATTGTTGCGGGATGCCGTAGAAGGTAAAGAAGTCTTGGCGTATTTTGCCAAAAGGAGCCTGGCAGCGGATAGGTGCAGCACTGCACTAAAGGTAAGTCGATCATCAGTCACATCCACGTGACGGTGCTAACCATATCTTGCAGGGCATGTTCGAGCGTCTCCCTGAATCAATTAGGCATGGTGGAGAGATCATTGCCTCAAGGAAGCGCCGACAAGGAAGTTCACCGCACTCGTTAGGAACCCGACCTACCTTTTTCGCCCAAAACGATGCTGCAGGGCCACGACGCGCGAGCACCTATCCCGATAGCATTCCCAACGTAAAGACTGCCGGTCAGACCCAGTCGTTCCAGTCTCCTAACCCTGAATTTGGTAGCATTGGTCTGGGCTCTTCATACCCAGCACACACAGTTTCGAACCCGAACCTTTTCGATGGTGTACCAGGCCTTACCCCTACGTCTTCTAACGATAGCCTGCCAAGTTTTGGGTTGGCCCCCATTCACGATTCGCAACCAACTTCTTCAGCCTTCGGTCCGACAAGCTTGGGCAACCCCGTGACAGACCCTTCGGGTCTTAATGTTCCGATCGCAGATATTTCGACCATGATGTTTCCCTCTGCCGACCCACTGGCCTATCCGAACCAGCCAATGACTGCCTTCGAGAATAAGCACCCCCAAGCATTCGACCGCAGCACTGGCACTCCAGTGAGTGGCCACCCTACTCCGCTCTCAACCAGTATGGATCTGAAAGGACATCCTGCCATGTTCGCCCCTACTAGTATGCCTCATGCGCCAAGTCGACACATGGACAACGAGGCCCAGATTTTCACCTCGATGCCTATGTATATGATGCAAGGCGCCCAGCAGTACCGAGGCTATCCACCCCATCATGGTATGCCGATGCAAACATCGAACAATATGCCCTTCGACGAGTTGATGCACCAAGAGGATTGGTCGCAGTCTTTCATGGACCCTGCGTTGAACATGAACGATGGAAGGTCGTCCCTCGGCACTCAACAATTTAGCCAGAATGGCTGGCGTTGATATGTCAACAGACGCAAACGTAAAGCCATAGAATTGAGACTTCAAGGTTTTAAGCCAATACATGTACTGGCTGAGAGCACCTGAAGTCCAACATCGTCAATCCGTACCAGCCTCGTACATGGATGGCATTCCATCCACCCTCTTGCCTTCAACTCTCACCACAATAACGGCCGAATATTTCCTTAGTATACTCCGGGTTTTACCAAGGCGTTTGCGAGTCTACCAAAAGCATTATACCCCATTGTCAACCGGCTGGCACCGATGAGTTAAGCGTTTTCCAACGGTATGCGTAGGGTGAGGACAGAGCCTCACTGACGTAGCTGCGACTTTTAGTCCACTACGATCACGACCTGTCCGATGCATTCAGCGTTGCTTTTTGTTCCTTTGTTGTTCAAGATCTCGTTTTTGAAAGGGCGTTCGACAAGCCAGGCTTTTTGAGCATATAATAGACTTCGCGGTTGCGAGCCTAAGTCGAGCACATCGCAGTAGTGTTTCTGGGGTGAAGGGAAGCTGACTTGAACGGCCAAACTCGTTTCATTTGATGAGGTAACGAGTAACGTATTAGATTAACAAATTGATCAGATCGATATCAATGTATCGCGCACAACAAACAAAAACCTACTTTCAATGCAACTTGCTTCTTGGCGTAAAGTTTTCAGCTACGGATGACAAATACGCCGAACATTACCTATATCACAACATATATCACGACATAGCAAAATAAATAGTGAGATAAATGGAGCCGGAGGCAGGGCAAAGGACTGAAGAGCTTCATGACAGATAGCCACCGCCATAGCGGAGCGGGGTAAAGCAAACCCGTCTAGGCTTCCAAGGCCGTGCCTAGACATTTCCTTCGGCGCCGATGGCCGCCAAGTGCAGCTCAACGTCGGCCAAGCGATAGACCCAACCATTAAGAGTACGGCAAGTAGCGTCGAGTAATGTTTACCGACAACTGGGGTCTTGGTTACCAAGCAGTGGTACTTTGTCCAAGCGATCGTATCTAGCGACCTTCTTAACCGGGGCATCGGTGCTGGCGAACTAGGATCTTTTGCACCTTAGTTGAGGTTTGGCGATGGATTTAACAGGTTTATCAAGTGTGGTAGTAGGTGTAGTTGCAGGACCAAGGAGGATACCGGCTCGTAGGTTATCGGAAGGAAGATGAGAAAAGTGTATATGAGGGTGTGGGAAATCTCGGGGAAGAAGAAGCCTGGGAATAACTCACACAATCAGTTTGACAGAGAGTTGTTGTTGCCATGGTTCACATATCTTCGTTGTCGGTTCTTGGCTCGGCATTGGTCGGATTGAGCAATGCCGCTGCTTTGGGTACTGCGGAAGAGTATGCAGATGGGTCGGTGCATGCGAGGATTATGGCAATGAAGACGGTACGCTTTTCTTGCTGCAACTGATACTATTTGCCCTTGACTAACACGAACAGGCGCAATGGGATGCTGAGATTGCTTCCGGAGAGATGGATAGTACGCGGTACCCTGAACTGGGTTATACGCCGTGTGAGAATGGCTTCGCTGCTGCAATCCCTGGGGACTTCAACAATACGTTCAAGTGCCATAACGTCGGTCTACTCGAACCCAAAACGTTTCTCAACTTGCTGACATGCGAAGATCGATCTCTACCATTTCCTCCCACATTCCCTCCTCGGCAGCTCTCAAGGTCAAGGATCCTCTTCTTGGGGTTGGACATCCGAAGATGGACGCGAGTTCGTAGCGATCGGCCAGTTTGACGGCACAGCCTTTGCAGAGATCAGCAGCGAAGGCAAGCTCATCTATCTCGGTCGTCTACCTCCTTTTGATCCTATTGGATCGCGCTGGCGTGAGATTCGCGTGATGAGGGACTATGCCGTCATTGGTAGTGAGGCCATCAACCATGGTGTCCAGATCTTTGACATGAAGAAGTTGCTGGACCTTGATGGGAGTGAGCCAACGAACTTTACTCAAGAAGATCTGACTGGCCATTGGGGGTTGAGCGATGATTGGAACGCCCTCCCAGTTGGCCGAACCCACAACATTGTCGTCAACGAAGAGCTCAACTACGCTGTAGCGGTTGGCTCCGTCGGTGGCAATGAGACGATTCGTGTTCGTGGCGACTTGCCATGCCGCGGAGGCCTAATCTACATCGACATGAGCGATCCGAGCAACCCCACGAGCCCCGGCTGTGCAGCTGCAGATGGCTACGTCCATGATGCTGAATGCATCGTTTACCGCGGGCCAGACACTAAATACTACGGCCGCGACATCTGCTACGGCTACAACGAAGATACACTTACCATCTACGACGTGACCGACAAAGCCGGCAACGTCACCAACATCATCTCCCGCACCACATACCCCGGTGCAGAGTACGTCCACCAAGGTGTTGTCAATAATGCAACCTGGCAAGAATACCTCTTCCTCGACGATGAATTCGACGAGCGTGATGCCCGTGTGGGACCCATGACGCAGGGTCTGCCCACAACCCACATCTTTGACATCAGGGACTTGGAAAATCCTTTCTATTCCGGCAACTACGAGGGAAAGCGCCGCAGTATCGACCACAACCAATACATCGTCGGTGAACATCTCTACCAATCAAACTACGGAAACGGTCTAAACGTTCTGGACATCCACTCTATCACGCAAGACCCAAGCGGCGACAGCATCTGCGAGGCAGGTTTCTTCGACATTTATCCTGAAGACGATGAGATTGAGGGTGGTGGCTCAGTAGCTTTTCTGGGCTCCTGGTCCAGCTATGCGAACTTTAAGAGCGGTTTCATCTTCGTCCATACCATCGAGCGCGGTAGTTTCGTCGTAAAGATGACGAGCAAAGAGTGTGCGAAGCCAGCGGTTTGCGAGGCAGACTCTTGTCTTACATCGATGCGCACGGCGAATGTGGAGGGCAGGCTGGAGGCGTCGCAGGAGTTCTGCGGTAACTTCACGCAGAGGTTGATCGACGATGTACATGTTGTTCCCGCGTTTGCGAGGGCGGCTTGTGCTGGGGAAGATGTCGTGGCCAAGGTTAGTAGTGCGTGTGCTTGTGTGCCTACGCCTGTTGTGCCAGAATTGCCGAGGACAACGTCTAGACCACCAGTGCCTACTGTGCTGCCGCCTAGGATTTAGATGTTGGATACGATGGAGACGAAGGATGACGATGATGACGGGCTAGTTCACTGCCGCATGTGAAGACGATCAACAGGACGTTCACATCCAGAATTGTAAAACAAAAAACGTCTAATATCCAATACGCATCAATCTGGCCTTGATCGAGATGCTGATTGAAACTGAGAGCGAACATGCGAACCAGCATTATTAGAGAGGGAGAGATATTTACTGCGCGGCATATGCTGCTACGATAGATTGATATATACGGTGGAAAAAAATAGATACAAGAGAAAAAGGAAGGGCCACAGGCCCTACCTGCCACTTCAAAACATTACCCCATGATGCTTCACATCATTACTCACATCCTGGTCGACGCTTAGCAAGAAGCACCTGCGGGGATGTTGGAGCAGCTGGTGCTCTTCTTTCCGCCAGTGACGCTGTTGCCAGACCAGGTCCAGTTAGAGCAGCTGCCCTTACCGCAGAGGATGTACACGTCAGTGCCCTTGGCAGCAACAGTACCCTTGACGTTCTGGATAGTGAGGCCAGTGATCGGGACACCAGTGGTGGGCTTGCCAGTGGGGGAACCGTTCTCGTAGTCTTGCTGGATGACAATACCGTACTTGGCAATGTTCTTGAGGGTGATGTTCTTGTAGGTGACGCCAGAGACGGAACCAGTGGCACCGGAGACGGTCTTGATGCGGACACCGTTGTCAGAGTTGACGATGGTGTTGTCGGAGATGACGACGTTCTTGACGACGTTGTCGCTGCGGCCACCAACAGAGCCAATGGAGATACCGTGTCCGCCAGAGCAGGTGCCGCCAGTGAAGTGGATGTCAGTACCGGAGTTGACAGCCAGGCAGTCGTCCTGGTTCTTGATGTTGGCGTTGGTGATGTAGACACCAGTGGAGCTGCCGACGTCGAAGGCGTCAGTGTTGTGGCCACCGTTGGTCACGTCACCAGCAGTGTTGTCGATGGTGATCTTGTCAAGAGTGAGGTCCTTGGCGCCGTTGACGGAGAAACCCTGGACAGGGGTGTTCTTGACGTTGAGTCCGGTGATAGAGGACGAGGTCATGGAGTGGGCGTAGAAGAACTTGTAAAGTCAGTAAAAGCTCAGTAGGAGTTCTAGATTCAACACACCTTGGGCTTCTTCTTGCCACCGTTGGTACCCTTACCATCCCACCACTTGGCGCCGTTTCCGTCAATGACGTGGCCAGCAGCACCGACAACCTTGATGTTTGTTCCGGAAACAGAGATGAGAGGACCCTCCCACTCCTTGTAGGCGAAGGTGGTGGTGCCCTGGAAGGTAACAGTGGTACCGGACTTGAGCTTTGTCAAGTCAAGGGTAGTTCCAGCCGGGACAGTCATGTCCTTGATGACAATGGCAGTGCAAGAAGCCTTGCCCTTGATGGCGGCGGCAGCATCGGAGAATGTGCAGCTTGCACGGGTGTCAAGGCTCGAAGGGGCAGCAGACACGAGCGCACCAGCGCTGAGGAGGAGAGAGGTAAGTGCGAAGGCAACCATGATGAATATAGTTTGGAAAGAGTGACGTTGGAAATGAATTTAAGGCTGTTGTGTAAGAAGCGAATGAATGAGTGACTTGATGAGTTTCTAGATAGGTGACAGCAACAGACCTTTATACAAGAGCTTCAAGGACAGTGATACGTAGTGATAGGTGGGATAGGTGGGACCATGGGACGATTCACACACGACTCGTAGTCAAGCACGAATCCTTTGAAGCTTGTCACTGCTGGGCAAGGCTTGTCACTACAGATGTTCAAGGGCCTCCGAGAAATGAGGGCACCAAGCACATGGCTCCTGCGCGGATATTTTCGCTGCCTGTAACAGGTGGATCCACGGTACAGGTTGCTCCGCTTCATATGAATGAAACAACGCCAGGAGTTAATCGCATCGTTCACTAGTTTGTGGGCGCAATAGGGAAGAATTCTCCGTCACTTCGGTTGCCATTTTCGTAAGGCTGGCCAAGCATACTTGCTGCAACCAAGCATGCAGTTCTCCCGAAACTCAAGCTTTCACATCGTGGAACTCTTGTGGGCCAATATCCGATGTTTGTGTCGAGCCATGCTAGGTCAATGGTGAAACGAAACGGTCCCACAATTGGTCTAGACGCGTGGCGCCGCTGTCGTGTGGCGCCACATGTCAAACGCCATTGCGGATACGCAACATACGATAGTAGCGCCTGCAGCCGATTGATGGAATGTCTTCAGCCACTTAGTGGAACAGCCACGCGATTGGAGCGATGTGCAGGATTCACGGAGAATTGTTAGAGTGGAAAAGGACAGTTGCATGACCTCTGGAGGGGCTTCTAGAAGCGAAGTGAAACTAGCGCCCGCCTAGCGTCCGTTACTGAAAGCAACAGCGACATCCCGCTGTTGCATAAACGCTCCCTCATCCTATGCTTGTTTGCTCAGATGCACACTCGACCGCTTCTTCATCGTAGAGCCTCTATTCACCTATGGTGAACACGATCGCGAACCTCGCCCGGCTTGCAATGCTGTCCGGAATGTCCTTTCCTAAGCACACGGCCCGCGAATCAGGAGAACACGGCAAGCAGGCAATTAGGTATAGTCGTAAATCTCGGATCTACCCCTAAAATTTACACCGCTCCAGGTACCATGAGTAATCATCGCCACAGCTGTTCTCACGGCCGCCGGACGAAGAAGCCTCCTTGTGGCAAGCCTTCTACGAACAGACTCCAAGCCACCCAGTTTCGCAGGAACACTATCGCCATCCGACACACCTCTCTTCTGATACCTCGCGCCCCTGCTATAGCCATATCCGCATTGATGATCATGAGAGGCCCCGTAACAGGTTTCACCAGGCAGCACGCTAACCAGTCGGCGCACCAAAAGAGGTACAAGCAACGCGTTCGATAGACTTGCAAGTCCAAGTCTTCGATCCATGGCTCAGCTACAATCTACACTTCCTTGAGCCCATTGATAGTGTTACCGAAGGCACATGCCAGGGCGGCCATTGACGGAAGCCGAGATTCACCATCTATGAAACCCATGCCGATGAGTTCGAGGCAGCGCCGCTCCAGCAACTTTGCGAACTTGTGCAAGTTGGCAGTTGGAGTCAGGTCTCTGATGGTATAGGCCGAATCTACAAGAGCTGGTGCGTAGTACGCCAGTCGAGTCGAGATCAGGTCTTCGGGCAAGTCTCAGATAAACCTTCTCGCCCACTCGCAGTTCACATCCATGGGAGACTGCGGAAACAGACTTATTCCGACAGGTAGATGAACGTCGCGACGTGCCTTGAGGACAACATTATTGAGAAAGCTGACTGCTGTGGGATAAGTGCCTTCCAGATACACGTCAGTTTTCATTCTCTTTACCTCTAGCGGCAGATGAGCCCAGTTGTCCTTCTTGTACGTCTCGAACCGTTCTTCCAGCAGACACTGTCCACTGTTCGGCATAGTTGGCGCTGACGGTACGTCGAGCGTTCCCAGTTTTGTAAGCATGACGTTGAGTGCAACACTGTCGAAGAGAAGGTTGTGGAAGTGGGTGGCGTATGCTGCGATGGGAAAGTCAGTCACTAATTCGGTCAGAGATAGCTTTCCGTGAAACGCGTTGCTGGACGAGCCATCTAAGAGCTGGATATCTTCATCCAAGATAGTATTCAGGTGCAGGTCCACGCTGATGCTCTTGCGTATAATATCCGGATCATCACAGTCGTAGTACAACGCCGCTTGTCCGCAATCGTAAAGTATAGCGATTGGCGAGCTAGCTCCATCCTCCTCCTGCGTTCTCAATGCTACCAGCGGTCGAGGGGTGGCATCACCTGTCAGAAACACAGTGTGGTTGCCTGAAGGAACGGCTGCTTCACCGTCGCGCGTCTCCCAGACTACGGTGATCCGCATTTCCTCGAACATGTTACCGGCGTCGCCCTCACTATGGAGATTCGGTGTATCGCGTGTGTTGTCGCTTGGAATTCTCCACTCGTGTCGGTGTGTGGTGAAGGCTGCATTGACCGGGCCGCCTAACTTGAATGCAACAAGCGCGACCAAGAGAGGGTGCAAAAAGTCTTCTCGAGCGTGCTTTGATGTGGGACATTTAAGCGGACTAAATGCCAGCTCAGGCGACGGGCATCTGCTTGCACCAACCTTCTCTTCGATCCTCGAAGCTCTGATCTCCACACCATCTGCAGTCCCAAGCGCGAATGCGACAGCCTTCAAACTCTCCAGCGTCTGCGCCAGAACCATGAACTTCTGCACAAGCTTGATAGCTTCATCGCGCTCCGCAAATGCCTCTGTCTGCGCACACGCCGAGAGAAGGGTATTCAGTATATTACGCTGATACTCCAGTTTTCTAGTCGATGCTCGAGCCTCCTGTGGTCTTTTTTCCAGTATTCGGGTATGGCGGCGGCATGCGACTCTATCTGTAACGGTGCTCCCGACAAGGCTGAAAGGCACCTGGAGAGCGGCGTGAAAGGACTGTGGTAGTGTCATCTGGGGTTTGAACCACTTTCGCTGTTTGAAGGAAACCTTGGAGAGAGCGTTCAGCAAAGGAATTGTCGAACCACTGGTGACGGGTTTGGATTCTCAGGTAAGCACATCGAAAAAGTGCGATCGCCGGAAAACTACGAGGTGAGTGTAGTTCCGACACGTAAGCAAAGCGATAGTAAGTCCCTAAGATGTCGATATTGTTTCTTCACCAAGCCCTTTGACAAGTCTAGCCTCACCTACTCGAGGCCAACAAACGGTTTGCAACTGTCAAGCACATCGCCAATGTCTAACACCATGATTAAACGACCAGTCAGTCCTTGTATCTACGTGCCTTTGCTATCTACAACCTCTCGTTTGCAGTCTATCGGCTATAGGCTAGGAATCATCGTCTCGATGCTAGGAAGTCAGGACACGATCTACTCGTGGGACGGTCAAATCGCTCTGAGTTAGGCTATTTCATGTCGCTCCCTTGATAGTAAAGCGTGGACGACAGGAAGCCTTCAAATAGTCTTGGGGCTGTAGGTTCATTGTGGCCGTGGTCAAACACGTACCTCTAGTTTTCGCGGGTTGAGACAGACACCTCGCACCATCCTAGACGAAGAGCCAACGGGAAAAGCGCGCTGTTTCTCAATCGTGGTTCCGCGTTTCGAGGGATCGATGGCATCCAGCTGAAAGTACGTCCGCGATGCTCGCGACTGTATGCTCAACCCGCACTCGTCAGGCCTTCCCAACAGTACCATGGTGTGTGTGAAGAATACGCTGATGTAGAGTGCGGGTGTTGAGGATGAGTATGTCTTGTCTCTCTGTCTAAGATCGGTCTGCGACAGCTTCCAACGCAGCTAGCGGCTCGAGTTGAGAAGGTCTCAGTATCGACAAAGACAGGAACGTGTCGCGACACGTGGTGAGGTTTATACAACGGATGTTCACGTTTACTGTTCGAATTGTCGATGCAACGGACGCGACGCTACTAGACATATCAAGGAAGATGGCGGAATATTCGTTCAGTATGTCAATGTGGCACAATCCGTCCGTGTTCTCAAGCCACTCGCAACTTCGGGAAGATCGACGTCAACGATGAGGCTTATCATGGCTCGAGCACGATGGCCAGAAAATCCAGGTAAGCAGAAATGACTCATGGGGCCGAATTCGCATGTTCTGGTATTGGCAGATCCACCACACGACGTACGAAATTGTAATCTGAGGAGAGGGCAAGCATACTGTAGTTTAACCTGGTCACTTCTCGACGTGCTGTTGATCGTGGGAATTCCATACTTCAGCCGACGAGGCAATATGGTAAATAAAAAAACTAAAAAAACTGGCAGGAGTCACCTGCGCACTTGCTTCGTGTAGGCAATGTGAGCAGCTGTTTTCGTGTAATTACTCAAGCTGTCTTGAGCAATATGTTCGACTTGCAGGAACATCTCCCCTAGCGATCCATCTATTCTCTGCCGTCGAGGGAGCTCCGCCGTCGGCTTTTTCGGGATCTGGTCGTATTCCGGACTTCGCTGTATCATTCAAATGCCGATAGTTCTTTCGCGGCGAACAGGAGTGAAATCACGCGTACTGCGTACAGTTCGCAGACGTTGCTGTTAATGCGTTCGAGATGGAACTACCGAGAATGTATGTAAGCATCGAAATAAAGCCGGGAGATCTACTTCGCGTTGCGGAAGTGGGTTCGTACAGCCTTTGAACCACGCGATCGGGCTTTTATTATACCGTCACCAAAGGCCTCCCCTTTCAAGATATCAAGGGGGTTCGTCATCAGCTTACACGGTAGCTCAATTTGCAGGCCCAGAGGCGAAGACATTTGGGTTGTCTCGCTAGGCCGCAATCATCAAGGACCAAACATCCATTGCGCGTTCGCACATGACGTCCACCATCAATGTCAGCCCTGCGGCGTCAATGCGACATGATGGCAAACTCCGACCTAAGTATCATGTTCAGATCAGGGCAGCAATCGGATGCGACGGGCGCCATTATCGAGATTCAAAGGGCACTCTACACGAAACAGAGAAGCCAACGAAGGCCCGACTTCGACACACTAGCAAATAAACTCAGCGCTTGGGCTTGGTTAAATTACCCACACCCCAGGAACATCATCGCTTCGGTCCGTATACGTCTGGGGAGTACTGCGCAAAATGGGCTTGGAAAATGGTTGGCGTGTGCCAAACTAAAGAGTTATTCGCTGTTTCGAGTCAACGCTGCGGCTAAATGTTAAGCTTTGCGGCTTGGACACCGACGAAGGACCACCAGGTATAGGGCAGTGGTCAACATGAGAAGTATGTAAGGGCCGCAGCCTCGTAGAAAATTGCTTCAACCACCACTCGCATATCCTGCAAGTTTCCCTTCAACCTCTTGTTTGAATCTTTTTTTGGCTACTAGCCGTCCTCTCATTTCAATATGCGTATCTCAAACGCCGCCGCTCTTTTTTCTTTGGCCTCTTTGGCCCAGGCTGCTCCGACCATCCATGGTCACAAGCACGCTCATACACGTGATTCCGGCTACGGTAGTGGCGTGCAGTACCAGTCTGGTATCTTCTACGTTAACTGGGCCATCTACGGACGCCAACACTTTGTCACCGACCTCCCCGCCGACAAACTTACCAAGGTCAACTACGGATTCGCCAACGTGAACAACCAGACTGGTGAAGTCTTCCTCACTGACGAGTGGGCCGATATCCAGTTCGGCTACCCCGGAGACGTTGCTACCAACGGCACCCAACTGCTTGGCAACTTCAACCAGTTGTTTAAGCTCAAGCAGCAGAACCGCAACCTGAAGGTCATCCTTTCGGTCGGTGGTTGGAGCTACAGGGCCAACTTCAAGCCCGCGCTTGCTACTGAAGCAGGTCGCCAGAAGTTCTGTGACAGCGCTCTTACGCTGATTCAAGACTTGGGAATTGACGGTCTCGACATTGACTGGGAGTACCCGGAGGATGAGACCGATGGTGCCAACTTGGTCGACACCCTCCAGCGCTGCCGCAGGGTACTTACTCATTCTCCAAGCTCCTATCGGCTACAACTAACACATCTTTAGGCATTCGATGAGTACGCCACCCTCAACGCCGCTGGCTACCACTTCGATCTTGGCATCTCCGCCCCTGCTGGTCCTTCGCGCTACACTGCGATGCCCGTTGCCGAGATGGACCCTTACGTTGACAACTGGAATTTGATGGCGTTTGACTACCAAGGCCCCGGCTTCTCCAACTTCACTGGCCACCTCAGCAACGTTTACCCCAGCTCCAAGAACCCTAAGGCCACCAACGGCTGGGACATCGTCACTGAGGACTTCGTCCGCTTCAACACCAAGGAGGCCATTGACTACTACAAGGCTAACGTCGCTTCGCCCAGCAAAATTCAGCTCGGTATGCCCCTCTACGGTCGCTCTTTCGCCAACGTCGTCGACCTGAGCAAGGACCAACGCGGTTTGGGCCAGAAGTTCAACGGATCTGGTGACGGTACCTGGGAGCCTGGTACTCTTGACTACAAGGTTCTTCCCGTAAACGGCAGCAAGGTATACCACGATAAGGAAACTCTGGCCGCCTGGAGCTGGGACCCAGTGCGCAAGCAGTTGGTTACCTTCGACACACCCAAGATCGCTTCCTGGAAGACCGACTACCTGATTCAAGAGGGTCTCGGTGGTGCCTGGTGGTGGGAGTCATCTGGTGACTTCCCCGTCACCGACGACAAGAGCATTGTTGCTACCGTTGTTAACAAGCTTGGTGGTGAAGCCAACTTTAGGCAGAGCTGGAACAACCTCTACTACCCCAAATCGAAGTACTACAACATCCGTCCTGCGGTGAACTCGACTATCACCATCACCTTCTAGATAGTAGATCATATGTATCTTTAGCTGAGTTACGCGAAGCTAGTCGACTTTCCGGTCGATGATTTCTTTTCTATATAACTATATTTTAGAAACACATTCTGCTTGGACTATTGTCGCAAGTGCCTAATGCAAGAGATGTACGTGATGCGAACTCACGAGAAACTCGCACAATGAGCATACAAACGTCTACCAGACTTTCAGTCATCGTGTCTCTCCTATCTCAGTGTGAACTCTCGCTACACTCGTCTCTCCTAAGTACCTGATACTCAAGATCATCAAAAACAAAACCTCGCCGTAAGCGCAGGCCTCTTAAGCTTCGGCAACTTTCGTGACAACTCCTCTAGAATGTCCAACGGGAAAAGACGATTTCCAAAATATTCCGCCGCAGGCGTCAAGATAGGAGCAGTGGATATGAGCTCAGCAGCAACGGGCGAAACAATCACCTTCTCCTCCATACTAGCAAGTACCAAGTCATCAGGCTTATACACTGATTTCTGTTTACTAATGCGTTTCCCGCTCTTACCGAAAGCTTATAGTGTAATGGTGCATGGCGGGGTAACATTTGCGAAAGCTTGTAGGTTCGTTGATGTGCAGCCATAGAAGATTTTCTCCAGCTCGGGACAGGCTCGGGACATCAAAGGTATATCAGTAGGATATCCAAGGCATGTCCAGCTGAAATCTAAGCAATATGCGCAAGAAGCGCTAATGGTCGTTGTTGGGATTGCGAGGTGAAGTCACCTTGACTTCACACGCATTCCACCATGTAGGTGGTTGTGCTAGGCTAGATCCATGTGTGCGGTCATCGGTAAACATCGCTTACGCTCTCATGTTAGTGTCTTTGTAGTCTCGGTTTGGTAGACTAACTGCACAAAGGAAGACATGTGTAGATGGGCAGATGCCGGGCGCTTGATTTTGTGTGCAAACCGCACGAAGGGCTCGGATGTCGTATGCTGTGTCCATGGCTCCAAGCATGTCGTAATGAGCAACTACAAGAGGTCAATTATCCGAGATGAGTAAGGTCTGGTCGAGGCTGTCTAAAGGCGAAGAGCAAGTTGTGATGGTCCAGTAGAACCTCATCTCACTCCCCGCGTAACGACGTCATCCCCCACCAAACCACTGGCGAAGGAAAGTGCGATCGGACCCACTTCCCAGGCAAGCAACACCTGCCTGCACAACCCCACCAAGATGAATGCCACTATCATCCGGCGTTCCAATCACCTCAGAAGCTTTTGTGAGCCACCCAGACTGAACAGCATCCGGATCTGTTTACGTGCGACACGATCGGTGAGCAGCATGCCACAGCCCGTGCGACCGCGGCGGTTCGCACCATTGAATCCCGCGAAGAAGAATGGAGACGAGAGGCCAGCATTGAAGGGAATAGTCTTTGATGTCGACGGTACATTATGTACGTTTTCCAACAATGTGTGCGATACATAGTCTCATGTACTAAATTACTCAAAAAGGTTTACCACAAAACTACATGTTTGCAGAGATGCGGTCAGCGCTGGGGATTGAGAAGCCGACGGACATTTTGGACCACATCTACTCACTACCCGAGACTGAGCAAGAAGAAGCACAGGAAAAAATACGTGACATTGAGCGCACGGCAATGAAGTCGCAACAGCCGCAGGCCGGGCTCGTAGAGCTCATGGAGTATTTAGACTCTCGTGGCATCAAGAAGGGCATCTGCACACGCAACTTCGACGCACCCGTCACCCATCTCCTTACCACATTTCTACCGACATCGAAATTCAGCCCTGTCGTGACGCGAGAGTTCAGACCACCGAAGCCTGACCCTGCGGGAATCCTGCACATTGCGAAGAACTGGATGCACGAAGACGGAGGAAAGAGCTTAATCATGGTCGGGGATTCAATTGATGATATGACGGCGGGTTATCGTGCTGGAGCTGCGACTGTGTTGCTGGTCAACGATGTTAATAAGCATCTTGCTGAGCATCAGCATACAGATCTCGTCGTCAAGCAGCTGGATGATCTCATCGACATTCTAGAGAATGGGTTCGAAGGACGTGTAGAAGCCAACGAAGAGAATGTAGATGCAAAGAAGCAAGTCGAGGAAGCCGTCAGTAAGAATTGATGCGCGAGATGGGAAAACAAATTCCACAAAGATTCTTCGCATGGCAAAGTGTTATTACATTGGTCACTGGAGCAACTATGTCGCATCTGTGGAACGCTGGCATGCAGGTAGGCAAGCGCGATGCAACAAGACTGACTAGTTGTGCAGTCTATCTTACATCATGCTCACGCTGCAGGCACTGTTGACACAACCGACCTTGTTCTGACTGCGCGCAGGCCGAAGTGCAAACAAGGTGCGGCGCAAGCCGCCCGCCGGCACCCCACGGCACTAGCCACCACGCCCACCGCCAACACCAGGAAGCTTTTACAAGCATTCTTGCGCTGCAGAACATCTAGAACAATAGAATGGAGATTACGAATAACGCCACATCTCCTGCTACCTCTGTATATAGGTTCCGTAAGTATACATCCAGGTTCTTGTTACCGGATGCGGCATTTATCCGCACAACCCGCATCTCTTTGTTACCACATATAGCCGGGTCACGCATGCACCGATCCTCAGGCGTATACTAGGCCGATCAGGACCGTGAAGTGAGCAACGATGCCGATTCCATCAACTACGAGGATTGTTTTGAAACGATGGCCATGCTCGGAGACATCGCAAATAAGGAAGGTGCTCGAGGCCGTTCGAACGCAGCACGGTGCTATCAGAGCCGTCATGATGATCATGTCATCGAAGCAAGGGCCACTCATCATGTTGATCCCAGCATTTACCTGCATGTGTACTTGAAACAAGCGGGCGGCGGGCGTGTTTATATTGGCAGACCAAATCTCCACGTCTTGGCAGATCCGACTATAATTGAGCTTGCCGTGGTCATAATCGCGATTTCCACCTCCCTCTCTCTCACTCTTGTTGCCAAGATATCAGGGGACCAAGAATTATCTCGAGCCTTTGCTCCTTCTAATCCGTCACCTTACACTCTACACGACCACTGTCGCCAGCCAGCATGAGGTACACCGCCACCTTCACGGGCGTACTGGCTATCGCCGGTGTCAGCGCGTGGTCAGTATCCAGCCCTTTCCATATTGAGGGCAACGAGGTTGTTGAGCATCTGCATACCGTACCCGACGGATGGAAAGAGGTTGGTGCTCCAGCGCCTGAGCACAAGCTGCATTTCCGCATTGCAGTACGCTCGGTAAGTAATTGCGACAGCAGCAAAGCATGAATGCCTTCGTGGCTTGGAATTCCGAAACCAAGGTGCTAACTACGATAGGCAAACCGCGACCTATTTGAAAGGACACTCATGGAGGTTTCAACTCCCAGCCACCCTCGCTACGGGAAGCACCTAAAGCGAGACGAACTGAAGGATCTCATTAAGCCAAGAGCCGACTCGACTGCAAGTGTGCTTACATGGCTTGAGCAATCTGGTATCGAAGCCCGAGACATCCAGAATGACGGCGAGTGGATCAGCTTTCTCGCACCCGTAAAGCGCGCAGAGCAGATGATGGGTACCACGTTCAAGACCTACCAGAGTCAAGCGCGTCCTGCACTCAAGAGAACCCGCTCATTGGGGTATTCTGTACCCTTGGAGGTCCGCAGTCATATCGATATGATTCAGCCTACTACTCGCTTCGGTGAGATCCGCCCAGAGTTTAGCCAAGTCCTTACGCAAGAGACCGCTCCCTTCTCTGCGCTTGTCGTCAATGCCACGTGCAACACAAGGATCACGCCCGATTGCCTTGCAGATCTGTACAACTTCAAGGACTACAACGTCAGTGATAAAGCCGATGTGACGATTGGAGTCAGCGGCTTCCTCGAGCAGTACGCTCGGTTCAACGATCTTGATCAATTCATCCAAAGATTTGCTCCTAGCCTCGCGGGTAAAACCTTCGAAGTACAATCTATCAATGGTAAGATGCAGTCATCACCTCGCTATACTCAACTAACATTTCTAGACGGGCCGTTCCCCCAAAACTCAACGGCCAGCAGCGTTGAGGCTAATCTCGACATCCAGTATACAGCTGGCCTGGTGTCGTCCAAGATTGCAACCACTTTCTATACCGTGCCAGGGCGAGGACTGTTGGTCCCTGACCTTGATCAGCCTGACGAGGATAACAACAGCAACGAGCCCTATCTAGATTTCTTTACTTACCTCGTTGGGTTGGAGGACGAAGAGTTGCCTCAAGTACTGACGACCTCGTATGGCGAGACCGAGCAGAGCGTTCCTGCAGAGTACGCCAAGAAAGTTTGCGACATGATCGGCCAGCTCGGCACTCGTGGTGTCTCGGTCATCTTCTGTAAGCCTTCCAAGCTTTTTCCGTTCGGAGCTTAGCTTCATGGTCATTTAAGGCTGCGAGTGCTAACAATACACAGCCAGCGGCGATACTGGTCCAGGCTCTGCCTGCCAGAGCAATGACAGCAAGAACGCTACCCGTCTTCAGCCAATCTTCCCAGCTTCATGCCCATATGTTACTTCAGTTGGTGGTACCTTTGGAGTGGAGCCCGAACGTGCCGTCGGATTCTCTTCCGGTGGCTTCTCTGATCTCTGGCCTCGTCCGGCGTACCAAGAGAAAGCAGTTTCTGATTACCTCGGCAAACTGGGCTCGCAATGGGAAGGTTTATACAACGCCAACGGACGAGGTTTTCCAGATGTCGCGGCTCAAGGACAAGGATTCCAGGTGATTGACAAGCTCCGCTTAACGTCTGTTGGAGGTACCAGCGCCTCAGCGCCTGTCTTCGCTTCAGTCGTTGCGCTTCTGAACAATGCTCGCATAGCGGCTGGCATGCCTTCGCTGGGCTTCTTGAACCCTTGGATCTACGAGCAAGGCTACAAGGGCATGAACGACATTGTCGAGGGAGGTTCGCGTGGATGCACTGGTCGTTCTATCTACTCCGGGCTCCCTACACGACTTGTGCCTTACGCTTCCTGGAATGCGACTGAAGGCTGGGACCCTGTTACCGGCTACGGTACGCCCGATTTTGAGCAGATGCTTCGTCTCTTGACTACGCCACAGTATAGTGAGCGTCGCGTTCGTCGCGGTGGCCTCCGTGGCTAAGCTCATAAGATATAGCTACCGTGGAACGTACGAAAGCCCCTGGGGGCCTTCTGGCATATCCAACACTAATGGAAGAAGAACGACCTACCTAGAAATCGAACCATTAATGAAATTCTATGATCAAACCAACAGAATGACGTTGGATTGGTGACAGTAATGATGTTTAAAGTGCTCTGCTGAGGCGATAGTCGTGGCTTGTCCGGTTGCGCCACAAACGACCCATTTGCCCTGCAGAAGCCGCCACCGATGGTTGCTGACACTTCCGTCAACGTTGGACGCACCTCCTATCACACCCTTGCAACCCTCTTTCCTCCATTCGTTGCCTCAGACGCATCAAACGCGACCTAATAGACCACAATTCGATTGACCACATTGTTTTCATCACATGGGTGCGCCACAGCAGTAATTTTGACGAGCTGCCCCATGCGGTTAATGCGCGCGACACTTATCTGCGCCGAAGGCATGACAAGCATCCGCCATGGTGCTTGATCCCTCGACACCCTGTATGGGGCGATTTTCTTGAAGGCGGACTTCAGCCAGTAATGAAGCTCGACGATCCCTCGCTCTCTCTAGTACAAGGCGGCGCGCACTGAGCCTACCGTGGCCCCGGATCACGGTTTGAATGGCAGAGATAAGAGTTGGTGTTCAACAAGGCCGAAGAGATACTTTCCCGTCCACTATCAAGAAATACGAGGTGGGTCTGCCAGAGCTTGAACGCAATGGCGGCGTCTCTGGCGGGGCTTGGAAAATGCTTTGCGCCATTAGCTTCGGTCCGCCAACATGGTCGTGTGTCTAGTGATATGCATTCCCCACCCGTATCGCGGTTGTACCTGGACGTTATTACCGACAACATGAGGTTACGCCGCAACCCTGGGAATCAACGGCCACCACCTTGTGTTTCGACCTCAATCTCTACCACCTAAGATGGTGCGCAAGAACAGCTCTAAGCACGGCGCATCGCACGCTAGAATGTTGGCTCGATGTGCTTCGGGTGTCCATCAACATGCAGCCCGGATTCACGCCTGCCTATTCAGGTAAAGAGCTAGGGCTATATTCGCCATGAGCTATCTGTGTTTGTCCGGCTACATGGGGATATATGCCGCGTCGCGTACAAGGTAGCTCCGAGGTGACGTCGGTCTCACGCTCTATGCTTCTACTTCAAGAAGGCTGAGGTGCCCACTCGGTTTCCTCTTCTTCACGGCCCTTTATAGTCACAGCACGAGCTTGACTACCGAACAATCCCGGCACTGCGATTGCGAAGCACGTCAAAATGCAGCTTCTTTCACTTCTCGCCGTTGGTGGCCTCACAGCCAGCGTTTCTGCCCGAAGCGCTCGCTCTGTTGGCAAGAAGACGGAACTTCCTCGTCCTCGTTTGACTGTTCCAGAATCGAGCCTTCATCCTCACAAGCGCCAGAGTACTCAGATCATCACCACTGAGGCATCCAAGTGTATGTTTTTGTATTGCCTATTGTAACACACAAGCTAATACCTCTCAGCATTCGCTGTCAACGGAACCGCCGGAGCAATTCCCGACGTCAACTTCGACATTGGCGAGTCTTACGCTGGTCTTTTGCCAATCAGCAAAGCTGCCAACGAGACCTCTGAGCTGTACTTCTGGTTTTTCCCATCCGAGAACCCAGATGCAGATGATGAGATTACCATTTGGCTGAACGGTACGGCCAATCGCATACAAATGGCCGAAATCCTCTAATATGTTTGATAGGTGGCCCAGGTTGCTCGTCTCTTGAGGGATTCCTTCAAGAGAACGGACCGATCTCGTGGCAATATGGTAGCGGCCCAGCACCTGTCTACAACCCCTGGAACTGGGCAAACCTCACTAACATGGTTTGGGTTGAACAACCAGTTGGAACTGGATTCACTCAAGGCAATGCTACTGCTACCTCTCAGGAGGAGACTGCTGAGGAGTTCCTTGGGTTCTTCAAGAACTTTGTTGACACATTCGGTCTGCAGAACCGCAAGGTGTACATCACTGGCGAGTCTTACGCTGGACGCTACGTCCCCTACATCGCGGACGCCATGTTGAACAAGAACGACTCAACCTACTATGACGTTAAGGGTATCATGTTCTACGACCCCAGTGTAGCCGAGGATGTTCTGCTTGAGGACATTCCTGCTGTTGCCTTTGTCGACCAATGGGCTGGTCTCTTCAACTTCAACCAGACCTTCATGGACGATATCCACAACCGCTCCGAGGCCTGTGGCTACACCGCGTACATGGAGAAGTACCTGACTTTCCCTCCTCCCAGTAAGCTGCCCTACCCCGAGAAGGACGCCAACACCGAAGGTTGCGGACTGTGGGAAGACATCTTTAACGCCGTCTTCTACACCAACCCTTGCTTTGACGTATACGCCATTGCCACCACCTGCCCTCTTCTCTGGGACCCTCTCGGCTTCCCCGGCTCCTTCGACTACCTCCCTCCCAACACCGAAATCTACTTCAATCGCAGCGAAGTCCAAGCCGCCATCAACGCGCCCATTCAGCCCTGGGCTGAATGCTCCAACGGCGTCCTCGACACCGATTCTTCTCCTCAGTCTTCCTGGGAGGTCATCCCTCGCGTCATTGACGCCCTGGACCGCACCATCATCGCACACGGCGAGCTCGACTACATCCTCCTCTACAACGGTACCCTCATGGCCATTCAAAACATGACTTGGGGTGGCATGCAAGGTTTCCAGAACCCACCTGTCAACGACTTCTACGTCCCTTACCACGACGACCTGAGCTTGACTAGCTTGAGCGCGAAAGGCCTCATGGGAAAGACTATCACCGAGAGGAAGTTGACATTCGTTCAGCAAGCTATGAGTGGACACATGGTGCCACAGTACCAGCCCAGCAGCGCGTACCGTCAGCTTGAGTTCTTGTTGGGACGCATTGAGAGCTTGACGTCCAGGGAGCCATTCACCACGCTGCCCAAGACACCCCAGAGCAACGAGACGAGCATCGAGAAGAGGTCTCTGGGTGTTATGCCCGGACAGTTGAAGAAGTGGTTTTAGACAGCTACTTTGATTCAACGCCATGAATATGATGTAATGTGTAGCTCACAAAGTATGCACCATTTCTATATGATATTCTCTTCTCGTTGTGACATCCATGCAGTATTAACCAGCGACATTCTCGGCCACCCTCCTCCCATCTTTTCCCAGCACACCCTCCTGCCTCTCTGCCTTCTCTGCCGGCACTTCGGCAAAGATCTTAGTGATCGCCTCAATTGTAGTATTCCCTCCACTAAACACCACACCGATGTTCCAACCCTCGTCTCGAGCCTCCCTCTCAACCATTTTCCTAAAGTCCTCGTTGTACAGTATAGTGGCCAGTCCAACAACAGCACTCGGCTCCACAAAACACTTCATTCTCTCCAGGACCAACTTCATGGCATCTTTGATGTTCTGCTCTGTGACGGCGTATAGTCCCTGCACGTAGTCTTTGTTGGAGATGACGCTCCATGTATGATCGCCGAGGGGTGTCCGAAGACCATCTGCAATGGTCAAGGTCTTGACGCTGGTGACGCGTTCACCGGCTTCAACACCTCTTCTCGCATCGTCGCCACCCTGGAAACTGGGTTCCGCGCCGAAAACGCGTACCCCAGTGCCGTGTAGGGCGACTGCAATGCCGCTTAGCATGCCGCCGCCACCACAGGGCGCTATCACTGCATCCAGTTTCTCGCCACTTGCGAGTAGCTTTTGGACCTGGTCTTGTATCTCTAGCGCCATGGTGCCCTGACCTAGGATGATGTGGGGATGGTCATACGGTGGAATTAGAGTAGCGCCTGTTTCCTTGATTACATCTGCAACAACGGCTTCGCGTTCGGTGCTCGTGGAGCCGGAGAAATGTATGTTGGCGTTCTGGGACCGGGTACCGGCTATCTTGGAGGGTGTGGATATAGAAGGCATGACGATGTGTGCGGGGATGGAGAAGGTCTTTGCAGCGAGCGCAAGGGCTTGCGCGTGGTTTCCTGTAGTTGATGTTAGCCATGTCGCCGAGCTTCTTAAGAGATGGGTATAGACGTGCCGCTGCTATGTGTAACTACTCCCCTTCTCTGCACTTCCTCCAGCCCCTCTTTCTCAATCAATCGCGTGACGGCATGGAAGGCTCCGCGTACTTTGAACGCGCCAATGCGCTGGAAGTTTTCGCACTTGAAGTAGAGGTTTACTTTCGGCTTCGCGGGCTCTTGCCCTTCCCATTGTGTTCCTTTCAGTGCTTCAGGGGTCTGAGGAGTGTTGGCGAGGTTGATCAAGGTGGTGTTGGTCAAGACGGGCGTGTCATGGATGTGCGGTTTGATGAGGGCATGGGCGGCTTCGACTGAGGCGCGCGTCAAGGAGGCATGGGGCGCTGGAGAAGACATCTTCGCTGCTGTGAAACAGTACTGTGATCGAATGGAGGCATGATGCGTAGGATTGTAGGAGACGTGACTCAACGGAGAAAGAAAGAGCGAGATGGTGGGGAGGACGGCGTGGGGGGGAAAGATTCCCGCGAGTCATGCTGCGGCGCGGCTTCTGGCCGAACACGCGACTGACGCTCCTCCAGTTCTCCAACACCATCTCTACATACTTCCAAGTTTCTTGAAAAGTGATTAACTCGCCCAAGCATATTGATATCATATGAAAAATATCAGAATGTCATATCCCAACATGCATAGTCGGAGAGTCAGACAAGCATTCTCAATGCCGCTGTTTTGTCCCAAATGTCGTCATCAACGTGGCGGCAATTATTCGACGCACAAAGACGTCTTCGGCAGCTATCTTCTACCTACAGGAGTGTGGTACTAGATTCGGACGCTTGATATCACCATATGCCCAAGTTGGACCCGATTTGGGCGCCGACTTGAGGACAAAAGCCGAAGCTATTGATCCCCTGCATGTCCAACATCTGCTGTTGATACGGTATCGCAACTCTACAAATTACGGTAATGGAGGAGTTTGCGCGATCTGACGAATACGGAGATAGAATATTCGATGTTGGAGGACTTGGGAATCGAGGTTGATATCGACTGGAGGGATCTCAACACGGCACATGAGGTGTCTGGTCTGGCTGGGATTGTGGTTCGGGCAAAGAAGCTTCGTGTTGTGCAACAGAAGGAGTGTGTGTGGAACGATGATATGACATTTCTGCCCGAGGAAGTGGTATATATAGAGAAGTAGTAACAGAGGAGGGTGGGTTCTGAAGGTCTTCGCGACGTCATCGGTACTTAGTCGAGTAATCCATCAGTGTATCAGGAGACCTTTGCCACAGTATCGGTGATTGATCGTACGTCTAATCGTTGAGCCTGAAGGCGTACGCGATACTAAGGATGGTCATATCGAAACATATTAAGGTAGTCGGGACGTACTCAACATATGCAAGATCATATTTCACGATGCGGAAGGACGATGTTGGGAGGAGACAGGAGATCTTAGTCTAATGTTTTATCAACATTTCGAACATATATACTATGGCAAAAGCCAGTCAGGAGAAGTCAGGTAAAGAAAGCCGCCACAACCAAGCAAACAAACACTTAGGGCCACCTAAAACCCAGGTCAAACTCACCAAAGTTTTAGACAATGACGTTCTTCAATGAAGTGTGCCAGGACTCAGAGCGACCGTCAATGCCGTTCACGATGGTGAGCTTGACCACACGAGCGCGCACCGAAAACCCAGCCGAGCGGTAGACAGCGATTGCTGCCTTGCTGTCAGGAATGCGAAATTCCGCAACGATGTGGAGGTCGAGGATCTTCAGGTCCGTCATGGTGGTAGAGAGGAGCTCCAGGACGCGGGCCGCAGGGCAGAAGCGGAAGAGGTCTTCGATATTGGCGAAGGGGTGGATGTCGTGGCGGACACGGTCGGAAAGCTGGACAAGGTCATCCCACGAGTCGGTCAGGTGCAGGAGCACACGAATGTGACGGAGGCTGGAGTGGAGGTGGAGAGAAGGCAGGGGCGGTGCCTTCACAACACCAAGGGAGGTGCAGTGGTTGTTGTTGGCGGCGAAGTCGAAGAAGTTGTGCTCGTAGAACACGGCGAGGGCGACCTCGTGGAATTGCCGGGAGACGACAGTGAACTTGGCGAGCATGCTGCACTTGAAAAGCATGCCGAACCGTGCCGCATTGATAGGTCTGCCAGGAGGGGAGACCGAGGAGAAGACGAGCATTAGCTCGAGGATCATGCGGAGGACCTCGTTGGGAAGGACCACAGATCGGCGAGGAGCGGGCACCACCATGGTGGTGATGTGGAGAGGAAACATCGTACTTGTAGTCGATGTTCGTGGTGGTGATGTGGTAGTGTGATTTGCTTCAAGGGCTTAGAGGATGTTTGAAAGTCTGGTATTGAGAAATGTGAAGTCGACTTGGTATTGGGAAGTTGAGAGATATTGAAGCTGAAAGGATTGAAGGAGGGCAGGGGGAAGGCCAGCTTATATAGATAGAAGGCAGGCCTCTAGCATCTTCTCTGGAGAAACGACGCCGCCGCTGCAGAAGAATGAGGAGGTTTAAAGTCTCCCGGTTCTGTAGAATCAAGTCATGAAGTGTGCGATGAGAGAGTGTCCCTGTCCCATCATATGGTTTCTGATTCGTTCGAGGGCGGTTGATGAGCGACCGTTTCATGTCTTTCACTCTGCGAACAACCTTCATCCATGATGGAAACCTCCGTGTGATCCACAAGACGTCTTCTCGGGACTCCGATTGGCGGCAGGAAGTCTGCCGAAGAATTACCGGCAACAGTAACTCTTGCCTTGGCAGGGAAAGGAGTACTGGTGATGTCCGTTCCAGTGAAAGCGGAAGAAAGCATGGCTCGAGTATGTCCATGAATAGATCCAATAAAAAAAAAGTTGGTTGCTTCCCTCGGATGTACGTTCCAGACCGGAAGATCGGAGAGCGTGAGAGACAGTGTGGCTCCATCGGTACCAGGTGAAAGGCTAAGACCTCTTTAATATGCTGATAGAACACAGAAGATGCAGCCGAGAGAGAGTACAACTCTAAAGATAGGAAGGCTGCTTTCAGAATGCTGCAAATGTCGACGGAACCCTGGCATCCTGCATGACGAGCTCAGAAAGCTCTTGGTGCCTCTGAATCCGCTAAACTTATGGTGGAAGCGTTTAGAAGACATCCGGAGTCGGCAATGGCGTTCCATTGTCAAGTTGTTCTTTGCGGTCTGCAGTTGGCTGTGTCCGCGGAGGAGCTTTTAACAAACACGGACCACCACCATTGGCGCCCGCGCATTTGAACGGCACAGATGTACCCACAACTAATACTGACGTGATAAGATGAGATAAGTGACATACTGGTCGTACACCTTTCACGGAACGGAGACTTCCCTACCATCGATGATGCGAGTAATTCGAGGCCCATGAGGCGCCGCGCCTGACCCATTTCGAACCGTGACCTCACCCACCCATAGTAGCGGCGAGAACGAGCGGACAACAGTCGATAGAAAGCGGACGTTACAACGCTAGATTGATTGGTATCACCAGAAATGGTAGGCCACTTTGCGAGAAGAGAGCGGTAACTCTATGTGCGGAAATACATCGAACCTGACGTGTAAGAACATCGCCACGGACCAGCGAGACTGAACGACAAACAACCGAGGTCCCGAATAAACGATGTAGCGGTAGTATGAAGACAACAGTCCAACCGTATCACACGTGCTTCTTTGGATGTGGAAGTAAGATTAAACGGCGACCAAGCAAGACCAGGCTTCGCTCGCCAGCTTGACGCACATCCGTACACCTCTGGGCAAGTGCAGGATCAAGCAGGCCTAGAATATTGTAAGAAGGAACTGAAAGGACGAAGGAAAGGACCTCAGAAAGGTAGACGGAAGGTTTTCGGTGTCTGCGAAGGTCGTGGACAAGGATGACCAAAATGGCTCCATAACGACGAAGCCAGACGAGCAGCACAAGAAGACTACAATGACCGGATCGACCAGAGAGACCGTGAGAGCAGCCGCTGTACATGCTGTTTACGTGTACCAACGTGCATGCTCACAGAAAGGAGAGCCCACGAGCACACACCACGGGCGACATCAGTATACCAATAAGATTCGGCTTGCGATGAAGAATCTGCATCAGATGAGCCTGGAGATGCATTAGTAGGTAGTAAAACAAGACATTATTTAGCAAAGCATATGAGCAGCATGACGACAGCATGAGAGGCAACAGTTTCTGGTCGACACGCATTTGATCAGACGTATATCAGTATTCAATCAGGCTAACAGAGACAGGGATGCGGTAGAAGAGACCTAGGAATACGTCAGCAAACGCCGATGAGAACACGAGCGAAAGGAATCACGCATAGAAAGCAAATCAATCAGCTAGGGATTGGGTTGAATGAGCAGTACATCCATAACTATGGCAACAATAGCGGCGCAGTGAGATGGAGCAGTCTGGGCGGGTTGCATAGACGAAAGTGCTAGCAATGGTAAAGGTGGCGGGCCAGCCCGATGGGACATGACGCCATCATGGTTCTAACAATCGCTGACGGCCAGGTTGCGATACGGTGAGGGGCAAGGTAGCAAGCCGAGAATCGCGATATCTGGGCGTGTTGTTGGTGTAGGAAAGACGGAGGGGTAGCTACGATGGAATACGCGCCGCGCAGTTAGGCAATTCCGCGCCGGTCCGTGCACGCTAATATTGCCATCGCGATGTCCTAATGCACCTTGACTTTTGCAGCGTCACAGAGAGTTCGTGTGAGTAAGTCATGTATCTATTTGTATAGGGATTGCACTGTGAGTCAGATTTAGAAAGAAATCTAGAGTCTACGGAGCTTCCGAGCTCGGATTCTTTGTAGCGTCTGTGCACGCTAGGATGTTCATCTCCGTCGCCGGCCATGATCGTTCCCAGCCATCTCACACAACCTTGATAACTACCCATCGCTTTCCATGCGCGAATTCGACAAATACACTTTGATATGCTATGACCAAGAGGGCCCATGCCAGTATAGCCTCCTCGCAAGCAGAGCACTCAGAACGGCAGACGTCCTACGATGGTGAGCGTAGCGGAAGCCACGAGGACGGAGATGGCTCATCTCTGAAGAAACCACGATTTTTCATGGCCACATTGGTATGTGGTCGGTACTGGATCTCCGATGTTTTGCTGACTACGAAAGGCTTGCGACATTTGCAGATCAAGAAAAACCCGCTGTGATGAAGATCGGCCAAGATGTGGTTACTGCAGGAACATGAACTTGGAGTGCACTTATCAGGCACCTCGGAGTACGAAGAAAGACCAGTCTTTAACTCTAGCAATCAATGCCATTCGAAGACTGGAAGCAAAGATCGAAGACCTGACAACGGCAATTAATACTCCTAAGCCTTCGTCTGCAATACCACTTTCGCCAGCAGGACCTGTCAATGACCACCACTCACCTCATACCATATTCTCACAACCCAGTCCAGGATACCATGCCTCAACAATACCTTCTCGTCATTCCCAGAATGGTAGACTGAGCATACATGAGTTGGCAATGTCGCCACAAGTTGTGGGGACCCCTGTCAAAAGTCCTTTCCCAGTATTAGAAGTCCAAGGTGCTGTGGACCTTTCCTTCAGTCAACATCGTGTCGCACTCTGGCCGGCTATACAACAGATACTACCTAATGGGTTTGTCTCTGTCCGAGCAGAGCTTCCAGAGGACTACATAGTCGACATCGAGAATCGAAGAGCACGTTTGCCGATACACGTCGATCGTCCGTACGGCACCGCCCCTGAAAGTTGGCTGATGAGCCTTCCACAATCGGCAGTCAAAGGGCTTGCGGACGCGTACTTTGCTGTCTTTCATCGCAACATGCCGATCCTTGACAAATACCATTTCTTCTCAAGCACGCTAGGCACAGCTATGGAGAACGAATTTGGGTATAATGTTGAAACTGCGCTAGTGCTCAACGTACTCGCATTGGGTTGCCTGGCTGTCAAAGCCCATGAGGAAGGGGATTTTGCTCTTCCTTCGCGTCACTCTGCGGCCAGACGTGGCTTTGAACACCCAGACTGGTACGAACTCGTCGCAGATGACCCACCAGGGCTCAAATTCTTCAATGAAGCGAGACACCGCTTCGGTTTCCTGATGTGCGAGAATGATATACAAGCGGGTCAATTCTACATGCTTTCGACACTCTACCATGCCCAGATTTTACGACCTCTCGATTCTTGGACCACCGTGAATCGGGCAGCCCTCTGTTGCGCTAGCATTCTTACCCGCTCGGGGGCGATCGACTACGATACATGGGAAGGTGACATGTTATCGCGACTCTTCTGGTGTACTCTAATGTACGAGACTGTCATCACACAAGAATTGGATTTGCTTCCACATAGTGGACTGTTGGACTACGAGCCAGATACACCTCTACCGAAATTCACCCAATGCCCACGGCCGAAGACTTCTATATCAGGGTTGCTCACTGATGAAGATGACTCTTTTTTCAATTTCCACTTCCTCGCTCAAGCCGCTCATCGCATTATCCTGACGCGCGTGAAGCAGAGTCTGTACACCTTTGCTGAGAAGGACGGCTACCCAAGCGCCAGCTTGACAGCCGAAATGCATCACCAACTCGAGCAATGGCGCGCAAACCTCCCACCGTCTCTTCAATTCTTGGACGATGACAACACCAGTGATTCCCCCAGCCCCGCGCACGTCATCGCAAAAGCCATGCTACGAAGTCGCTACCTTGTCGCAAAATTCCACATCGGCCGTCCATTCCTCTACAAAGCGCTGCATGCGCCAGCATACACGAGTGATGCAGATTACAACGAGGTGCGCGAAGGACTTCGAGGTGGTATGTACTGGCCGACTACCATGGGACTTTGCACCCAGATGATATCAGCTCTACCAATAAAATTCGGATGGTGTTGTCAGTGCTTCGGACAGGTGTTATTGTTTCACGCCGTAGCGCGGTCGCCGGACCCAAAGTTGCGAGAAACGCTGCCGGAGGGATGGCACGAGTGGGTAAGCATCATGATGACACTTATCGAGAGTTGTGCAAGGAGTAGTCCTGGTATCGCAAAGGACTACGAGTTATTGCGCTTGTTGGACGCCTAACACTCGAAGTGCAGCCCGAAGACCTACAAGCTGCAATAGCAACACCAGAGTAGTCTCGAAATATACAGGTTCTCTACTACGATTCCACGACAATTTTGCATGAGACCCTGCATTACTGTGTCATATGTAACACGGTACCACAGATACTCGAGCCTGGCTTTCAGCACACATGTTATTGCGAAGTTTCTACAACCAGGATACGACTAATTACGTGTTTCGGCAGAAGCCCAAGAGCGAGAAAGACGAGACGAAGAAAGACACGATGAGCCTTGCTTGGGTTTTCAAGCATGCACCTTTCGTGTGTATCGAGTGATGCTGATGTTTCAGCACCGCCGCTTCAGCGTCGATCCTGCCATTTATAGCCGAGTACGAGAGGCTTGCGTGTACAAAGTGGCTAATAAGCTGACTACTGCAAAGGCGCATGCAATACGGAATCATCAAATCTAGCCCAACGCAACACTTACTAGATCATCAATCAATCTTGCAGTCTTCCAGTGCCCTCGCCATTCGCATACCAGTCGGGTCAATCACAATTTCCCATGGGTCGCTGGACAGAATAGCACAGCCACAGGTTGCGCACTCCAGATCGCGTTCCAGACATTCAGCCCCTTCCGGCGCGGCAGCTAAGCCGTATGCAGTCGATGGTGGCCCCTGCATTGCTTAGGGATGGAAACAAGGATCTACCAACTCGGGTCTGACACAACTGCCACTAAACTGGAGGCGTCGGCCGCCTCCTTTGAAAGAGAGAGACACTTAACTTACCATCTTACCATTCTTGTTACTCTGTTCCGGCACACTGCGCAGCGCTTTTTGGATATTCGCATACGTTGCCATCTTCTGCGTACGCCACCTCGTTTCTGTGGTGTAGACTTTGCGACGTACGCTTCAGTTGTTGGAACTCAGGATCTTAGGGAAGTTGCTGGAGGGGACTGGACTTGGATGCGAAAGGCTGAGGGCTTTGATACTCGACTCCCACGCGCAAGTGAACTTGGTCGAATCCTAGGCCTCTGAACCCCAGAGTGTGAACCGCGACGATGGCCGACTACTCATACCAATCGCTGGCCAACATGGGGCCACAAGGGCGATGGCGACGTGTGTTATTGATCGCTATGATACCCATGACATTGGCTTTGATTTACTTCAGCTATCCTTCTTCATACGTACCGAGCAGCCTTCGGTCACAGTACGTCTTCATACCTTCGAATTACCCTTGCATAGAGGCATGGCTGATAAAACCACTATAGATACCCACATACGCAAAATGTTTCCCTCCCCAAAGACGATATCTCGATGGCGACGATAATAAAAGCCCTCTACGGCCCGATATTACACCCAATCGACGCCGCGAACTTTACCGACGAAGACGGTGACATATACAGACTATCAGGGGAACCCAAGTTCAAGAGCAAGCTAGGCAAGAAAGTGCTTATACTGGACATCGATAGTCGACCGTTGACGGAGAAGGGTCAACTTATGGACCCGCAATTGAAGTGGAAGGGCATGCGCTCGCTGAGTGCGGGTATGCTGGGGCATTACATGTTTGGTACGTTTTCACGATACATGACAGGTCGCAGATTGCAGTTCTGGCGTATGGAGTGGACATTGAGCGACCCGGCTAATATCTGACAGCGCAAATACACGGTTACGACTATAAGTTTATTCGCGCACCCGATTACGCCGACCGGTGGGGCACATGGGTCAAGGTCCCAATGATGAAGGAAGCGCTCAAGACCCACGAATACATCGTCTTCATGGATTCGGACGTCATGTTCCACTACCCACACCTTCCTCTCGAATGGTTGCTCAACTACTGGAACATGACTGACGATACTCTTGCGATGATGTCCATTGACCCAAACGAGCCGCAAAACTACGACGCCAAGGGCAACCGATACCTGAACACCGGTTTCGTGATCGCACGACAGAGCCAGAGGACACAAGAAATGTACAAGGCCTGGGCGGAATGCCCTTCCGAGACAAAATACAAGGGCTGCGCACACTGGAAAACAGATTGGGCACACGAACAAGCTGCTTTTGGAAACTACCTCCGTTATGACTACGACCGACCGGACGACATCCGCGTTCTCCCTTGCGTCGAAGCGAACGGTGCACCCGAGGCGGCGAACCGAGGTGGTTGCAAGGGCGTCTTTGTACGACACTTCTGGGTCGATAAAGGCCTTGTAGCTAAGAACCTGGCGGACAGCGTTATGCAGTACTTCCTACCGCGATTACACGAGGCGTACCTGGGCTCAGCGAGCGAGCATATTGTGGATGCCAAGAACTTCAAGCTGGAGGGCGCAGAACTAATTGAGATGACCGAAGAGGAAAAGGCCGCGGCCAAGAAAGAGAAGGGCAAGAACCAGAAGGACGAAGGGTGGTAGGACAACTCCGAAGTCCGCAAGGGCCTTTAGCCCTTGCTCAAGAAACCCACATTTGGCGCACGCGCATCGTTATCTGCTTCACCATTCTTACATCATTTATCGCACGACCTTCATGTAACCACCATCTACGCCACTGCGGTATTCGGAAGTCTGTCTTACCGGCATCTACAGGCGCCTCACGTCTTATGGTTACGTTCTTGTACAGCAATTCTCTTCAGCATGTTATATTATCATATTAGACTTGGATAGGACGGACTCAAAAGTGTGGATTCCTTGGTTGATGTATGAGCACTATTAGGCACATTTAGCCGTTTCAAATACCATCTTTTTCACGTTTTCAAGTCGAGCGCGTCTCCTAATGCGCGATTTTTGTTGTCTCGCAGTATCGGGCGATTAAGCTGGAGCGGCGGACAGGGGCAGGTTCATGGATACCTTCTCCCCTCCTCTGTGCTATAGGGTTATCCGCTTTCAGAAAACCTGCATCAAAATCACGATCGATACGCCAACGAGCGCCTTACAACAGTCGGACAAGAACCAGCCTTGCGTGAAATGTTGTGTCTGACTTTGACTACCAACATCCGATCTGCCGTCTTACTAAGAAGATGCCGATGCTGTGTCGCAGACGATCTACGATCACATTGACTTGTTTGCGCTCTCCCTCTCTTGTATAACGCACGCGCTCATCTCCAAGCGAATTTGTACTTGCAGTGGAAGCAGCTCAGCATGCTCAACCAGATACAGCGAGATCAAGCCACTGTGGCAATCGATACCGACGAAGCAGTAACAGCGAAGATACGATCTTCCGAAAATAACGTGATGCAGGAGCTACAAGTCGTAAGATAAGCTCTATTCAACGATTTTGTTGCGCTGGCACAGCAATCTGCAAAGGATACAGATCAGAAAGGGGTTGTTGCCACTGCGACCCCGGAACTTCTCGTAAACAAGATCAATGAATAAATAGCAACCGACCGACGTGTTGGCTATTTAGTGACATGATCGAAGGAGCGCAGTACGTGTCGTATCCCTTTCCCTCACCCTTCAAAAGTAACCTGGATCCCTTCCCACGAATTGAACGACCGACCTCGGCACAATCGCTGTTTTTTTCCAAGCACGAATGTGTAGTCAGAGTGAGTACAAGTAAACTAAGCACCAGTTTACCCGCACATTTCTTACGGGCCAACTGCCTCCTTCCATTTCGTCTTTACCTCATACTCGGAGCTTGACCATCTCACAGATTGCGCCGTGCATTGGATCGATTCCTCCTGTATCAGTCAGGCGCCCCCTTCGTACTTCCAAGGACCCAGGTGATGCACCATACTGTAAATCTTCTTCTTCATCGTTCCAGTCGAATAGACAAAGACTTAGCTCCAATATATATACGTTTATAAAGCTGGCTTGCCAACAACTGTCGCGCGATACGGGAAGTCCAGTCTGAGTACTCGCCTCTGGTACACTTGGTACACTTGGTCTAACAGCCATGTTGACTGGAGCAGAAAATGCAAAGGCTCGAACGAATTTAGCAGCATACTTTCAAATCTAGAGTTTTAGAGACACAGGTCCCAGTAGTGACTCTGAGGCATCGGATCATCTTGGCTGTTTTCGGGTGAGGGAGCCAGAAGGTGATTGCGTGATCGAGAAACTCGAAGTTACCTCTCAGATCAACTTCAAGGTGGCTTTCAGGGATGCAAACTTTCAAAATATTGTTTTTGTAGTATGCATCCTCAGCTGGCTCGTAAAGTCCCTCTTCCGGCTCTGGAGGAGAGGCCCCGCGTATTCGTTGAATATGTCCATGTGGTGGCAGACTGAGATGGCCAATGCAGGACTAATTTGTGATCGATGAGGATGACTGTTCTTGAGGACAAAACATTCAGGGATGTTACCCACGATGAAGGATAAAACATTCAGTTTCATCTCCGCAAGAGGGCTTGACCATGGTTCGAATGACGGAGACACGGTTGTTGTTGTGGCGGGAACTTGACCCTGCAGCATCATTGCTGGCATATGACTATGTTGAGACAGGTATAGCTTATGTTGACAAGCCTGTCTTATACTAGGATAAGCTTGCCCCATGCATGTCAGTAGGTCACGTTTTTTGGGCTCAATCACTTGAAAACCTTCTCATGTTGTTTGTGCACAGTCTCTTCGAAAGGTGTGTCTGATGGCCTCTGACTGACGTAGGTGATTGGTGCATTACGGCAACCAAGATCACGTAAGTGCTGCCATATGATAAGCCGAGGGTTCAGGAAAAGCGCGTGATAGACAATTAGCCTTGGTCTTTTGGAATACCGCCCTGCGATCATCCCAAGTTGTCCGCTTATACCTCATGCTCAATGTCAGTGACCCTTGGCACCTTGTGCAACCGTAAGCCACAGAAGCTAGCGACAAGCTCGATCTACACCAGATCAGTACGTACTACGAGGCGTGGTTTGGGTGCTGACTTACGCATTGTTGAACTGTCTCGACGTCATCTTTGCTAACGCCAATGCGTCTAGTCCCGCGCAAATGCCAGGCGGTCTCCCTGGGCAGGTTTTGGATCATGATGCCACTGAGTACGGTGAGCTCCGTCTCAACGTCGTTAAGAATGGTGTGATCGGATAAGTAGAGACCGTAGGTGATCTGCTTGCTCGTCCAGTCTACCTCTCGTTAGCTTAGCACCAGGGGACGACTAAGAGTTACATACCGAAATCCCTCTGTGATGCTAACACGTTATCGATGCCTTCCTGGTTGTGCTGGTACAAGCGACCTTGCCATGCTGCACCACGTTTTGAGTTTGCCTCGTCACATTGCCATCCTTCTCTGCCCTGTTGTCAGCTTTCACAATTCTTTGATGACAACGCCTAATTCCATACCTTGAAAACGTATAGTCCTTGTCCTCTGGATTCGTAATTGCATCGATGTCGAAGATGGCTTCCAGCGGCTTGCACACACCCACAATCACGATGAGTTTGAACAGCGTCTCGCGTATCCTTCGCATCAAAGCCTGACGTTGTTCGGACGTCTGGTGTTCGGGTCGCTTGATGAGTTCTTTGTAGAGCAGAGGCGCGAAGCCAGGCTGTCCACCGCCAACGATTGATGCAAGCTACAACGACTTATTCTCTGTTCTCATTTGTACATATAGGATGAATTCATACCAGAAGCACATACCACTTGTCGTCTCCAAGTGTCTGCGACGGAAATCTCTCCTCTACCGTATTGAACAGGGCGAGAGCCTCGTCATCAGTTGGATCGCGGGGTATCGGGATCGTATTAGTCGACATGATGGCTTTCTTACTATCAAGGAGGAGTTCGAAGTAGCGGCACAATAACGCGCCTCGCGAGACGTCTGCTGACTGTCGTCATTAGGTGTTCCGATAGTCGGGATGGTGGAGTATGTAGAAGGACCGATTACGGCCGCGACGCGTCTTCCAGGTTCAGCGCGCGTCACGCTAGAGTAGGCACGCGGGGTAGACCTACCCTCCAGTACCACACTTCACGGAGAGATGCATACCCCCGAACCCAGCTTGTTCTCCTACAGCACTCAGCTGAATTTAATGGTCCAAGTGGGATGTGAACTGCAACCTAGGCCAGTCTCCTGGTATCTGATCTATTGCAGCACCACGCACCACCGCCATTGACTTGCGCTATCAATATCCTTATATAGTAAACGACCCTTTCCAAGTTGAGTGCTCATCGTTGGGTGTTAGCCAAACCTTCACTACGAATTGGTAGTATGGTTACTAGCACTTCGAGCTATCGCCTACCTGATGGCAAGCCCAAAACCGTCATTATCACAGGCGGCGCAAACGGCATCGGTGCCGAAACAGCTCGCACCTACCATGACCATGGCTGTAACATTGTCATAGCCGATCTTCCCTCCTCCAATGAGGCAGCTAATGCTCTTATTTCATCTCTACCTGAACCATCACGAGCTGTATATCACCCCACCAACATTGTTAGTTGGAGCGACATGCAAGGTCTGTTTCGGGAGACAAAGAAGACATTTGGACAAGTAGATATTGTCGTTGCAAATGCGGGAATGATGGAGAGTAAAGGTTTCTTCGACTTTGAAGAGGACGAGCAAGGGGAACTGATGGAGGCGATTGAAGCTGGCAAGATCATCGACGTTAATTTGAAAGGCACTATGAACAGTGAGCTATTGATTCACAAGCGTTCTCTTCAGGCCCGTCTCTAACACTTAATAGCTCTCCGAATGGCTATGCACTCCATGAAATCTAACCCACTGGACTCGGACGGTGCACGAGGCTCTATCGTACTCATCGCCTCAACATCTGGGTACTTCGGTGGAACTGGTGTAGTTTCATACGTCTCTTCCAAGCATGGCGTAGTAGGCTTAGCTCGAGCCTCACAGATTGTTGCCCAGCAGCTCAGCGTCCGAGTCAATGTCGTTGCACCCTTCTTCACCCCCACGCACATTACTTCGGGCTACTCTGAAAAGTGGAAGGAGTATAGTCTGCCAGCAAATACAACTGAAGATGCAGCTAATGCTATTGTGACTACAAGTGTGCATCCTAAGAGACAGGGTCATAGCATGATGGTGAGTCTGCAACAACTTCATAGGTATTGGCCTTTGAGAAAGAAAGCAATGCTGATAACAATTTCTAGGTCGCAGGCAACTTGGTGCGAGAGATTGAAGTGGCAAGAACAGCATCAACGAAGGATTGGCTAGGAGAGGAAATATCCGATATTATGACGAAAGGTGGCAAGTTCTTCAATGATTTAGGCGGTTATACCCTACCTAAAGCACGGTCTTGAAAGCTCTCTGCATGCAAGACTAAACCGGTATAGTTGCCACTACTGCGCATCTACACTTATCCTACAGCATTTACTGCTACAGTATTCTCAACTACGAAGCAATCTCCTTGTGATTTCCTATCTACCCAACCACTGGCGTATCCCTGAATGAAACATCCGCGCATTATGGGATCTACTTCGGCCGCCCAGCCCAAGCACTCCGTCAAATACCTTCTCACTCTGCTCAGGCTTCCATGCATCAGAGGACACCAAATATATGCAGCTGAAGCCTCCCATCGACAGCTTTCTCGCTCGCCCTGATGAGATCGAGGACAATATACTCCGCTTAGCCCTACCTACTTGATAGATCTTCACAGCGAAACAGTTTTGTCAAATCCACAAGGACTGTGCGTATCTCACAACGTCTAAAGCGGATATCTTGAGTCTTGTACGCGCACTTCCTGAGATGGCCGGGCTAATATATGAGGTCTAATACTATCTCTAGGCCATGAAACCGATCGTATTTCACGCGAAGAAATTAAAAATCACTTGTAAGCATGCCTAGTCCTAGGCCAAGAACCAGGAGATACAAAAGCTGCAAATCTGCGATCCATTGGAGGAATTGCCATTACAAAAGGTCACGACTGCTTAAGGTCACGACTGCTTAAGCTCAGGATAGTGACGCAACGTTCCACCAATTCCATGGCACTGAGTACTTATCCAAACATAATGAGGAGGTTGTGGATGAGTGGCTGGACAGGCAAGGAATGATGGCTAGATTTGGTGGAGTTTGGGTTGGTCCAATTTGAACTGCGGTCAAGCTGATCATCGAGTAAAGGTATGAGAATCTTTATAGAAGGCGAGAATGCATTGTAGCTTCTTGGACGCCAGCATGGATTGCTACATACAACATGGGAACGTAATGCCATCTACGATTGGGAATCGAATATCCTACTGCCGCCCTCAACGTACTCAACCTCTTTCTACGATGAACGGCTGTTGTAATTTACTCAATTTTATCGAGACTCCTTGAAATGGTGACATGGGCGGATAAATTGCCTAGTTTAAGGACGTTCAATGGCTTTAGCAAGATATTTGCTACCTTAGGCCAAGCTTTATGCTTTGTATTCCTGTCACCATACCATAAAACCTTGAGTGAGTTGTAGTGATATTAGGTGAAGGCTGCTGACTAGCCGATGAAGCTGATTAAAGCTGGATGGTATGATGTTTGTGCAATTTCTGTGCGCTTTAGGCACTTGATTAGCTAGGTCGTGCTTGGACAAAGAGGCGCTCGGGCGGATATTCACTCGACACACGCCATGTATCGCAGCGAGAACGGTCCTCGGCTAGGTCCATTGATGCAAAGATGTTGCAGAGTAGCGGCGAAGATACCACTGTGAATACCTATCACCTGAAAGTAAAGCAAGGTCTTCACAGCTTTGCGTGTCGCATGTCGTCTTTGATCGCACCGATTATGGCGCGAAATTTTACACATCAAACGGCCGAAATGCTATTGGGTGATGTGTAGGAGTAATAGACTTCACGAGCCGATCACAGGGTTCATTTTCGCCTTAGTAATCCAAGAGCTTTGGCCCGGTGACGTTTTCTACAGCCATAGGTAACACCCACCTTCTATAATCTATCCAAATACCAATTGAAGCCTCACAACGTACTGTCTACACCATGGCATCTTCAAGACTAGTTGCTCGCTCATCGCGCGCTCTCTTCTCCCTCCAGCGCACCCAATGCCGTACCTTCAGCATCTCTACGATCCGCAACAATGAGTTCGAAGCTCTCAACAAGCGCACCAACGACACTTCTGAGACGTACCGCAAATACCAAATCGAGAGGCCACTGAACCCTCATCTTACCAACACCACCTCTACTATTGCCAATGAGATGCCTGCGATTGGCGAGGACGCTGCCCCGCCTGAGTTGATCACCAACGCCGACGGCAAATTCGCACCTAAGGACTCTGTGCCTGAGAATACCGAGCGCATGACAGGCGGAACACAGAGCAGCAAAGATCAGGACGTTAGCGGAGCTAACAGCGAACTGGGTGTTGGTGAGATGGAAGGCGCCAAGTTCAAGGTCGAACCTATTCGCAGGACTGGAGAAGACCCGAACACCATGCGTGCGAGGTTATTATGTCCGTTCATACATTGCCCATCTCCTATCCCCAATCATATATACAATGTTTGTACCAGGTCGAAATATGGCTAACGAATGATTAGATCAGAGCCGCAAGAGGGGAACCCTAGAAAGTGATCTCCTCCTCAGCACCTTCGCCGACGCCCACCTAAGTACCATGTCTCCTTCTTTGATGCAGCAATATGACACTTTCCTCGACGAAAACGACTGGGACATCTACTACTGGGCGACTCAAGAACCCACACCTACATCCCACGAGACAGCCGAGGGCGGTGGCTCTGCGATGTCTACCGCCAACGCACAGGGCATGGACGCGACGGCACAGACGAAGGTGCCTGAGAAGGACGAGCGCAAGAGGCAGCCTGGAGAGGGTGAATGGGCGCAGACTGTTGGCACTTTCAAGCCCGCATACAGGCCTGTGCCTAGCAGATGGAAGGGCAGTGAGATTCTGAGCTTGCTCCGGAAGCATGTCAACGAGCGCAAGGCAGGAGGTGTAATTGAGGGTGAGGGTAAAACACAACAGGAGGGGAAGGGTCTGGGAATGATGCCCGAGATCAAGAACTTCGACCAGTAAAGAAAAGACCGCCCCTTTGCTCACCACCACGCCCTGTAGGTATACTGTATGAATAATGCGCTCAACTGTCCTTCTTCTATCTCCTGTACATCTCGTAACTGTTTCACTCACAGACCGTTTCCGCACTTTTCCAGGACCCTTGTCACCGCCATGCCATCTTACGTTACAAGCCACATCGTGCAAACAAGACGCCAGTTCAATGTTATCCTAACGAGCCTAGTTACGCTCTCATAAGTTACTCTATCCGGAGATCATTCCTCCGCCCATACCTCTCCGCACCAACTCCCACGTGTTCCGCGGCAATTCTAGTCAGATTTTCCCCGGAGCTTTATGTCATTACCCCGGTTCAATTTCCCCACACGGCAAAGCTTGCTTCGGCATTTCATATGTTTCGAAACTACGCCTGGTATACCGGCACCGGCTGTTATTGGAGGAAGTACTATTTCTCATGCTTCTAGACTAATAATTCAGTGTCACGTTCGAATGCAAATGGCTGACGGTGTAAATTGGAGGGGATGCGTTGCCGCATGTAGAGGTTTGTCCGCATTTCTAAAACGTCGCTGATCAGTGACGGGATATGTGATGAGTACTGGTATATAGCTGCTGTTGTCTTGGGGGGTTTGAGGGATCATCCATCTTAGTATTGATCATCATCATTATCATCCACGATGCGGTTTACATCAATCCTCCTCTTCGCCAGCACGGCGCTCGCTGCCCTACCCTACAAAGGCGCAGACTGGTCCTCCCTTCTCATTGAAGAAGCGGCGGGCAAAAAGTACAAAAATGCCGCCGGCACCGTCCAACCGCTTGAGACCATACTCAAGAACAGTGGCGTCAACACCGTACGTCAGCGCATATGGGTCAACCCCTCGGACGGAAACTACAACCTCGACTACAACATCAAACTCGCCAAACGCGCAAAAGCAGCTGGTCTAGGCATCTATCTCGACTTCCACTACAGCGACAACTGGGCCGACCCAGGCAAACAAGTCGTACCCGCAGCGTGGAAATCGCTAAACCGCGAAGCCCTTATCAAGCAAGTGTACGACTACACCAAGAACGTGATCAACACCTTCTCCACCAACGGCATCGCCCTCAACCTCGTTAGTATTGGCAATGAAATCACACCCGGCCTCTTGTTCCCCATCGGCCAACTCTCCGGCACCGATGGACCAAAGAACGTGGCCGCGCTGCTCAAATCCGCGTCCAAAGCCATCAAAGAATCCTCCATGAGCCCAAAGCCCAAGATCATGATTCATCTAGACAACGGCTGGAACTGGGAGACACAACAGTGGTGGTACGACACGGTGCTTGGATCAGGCGGCGGATTGTCAGCTGCAGACTACGATGTTCAGGGCGTGTCCTACTATCCATTCTACAACAGTGCTGCTACGCTGTCTGCTCTCAGCACGAGTTTGAACAACATGGCGAAGAAATATGCCAAGGAGGTCATGGTTGTCGAGACCAACTGGCCGAGTTACTGTCCTAACCCGTCAAATGCTTTCCCTGCGGATGTGAAGAGCATTCCTATTAGTGCGGATGGGCAGACCCAGTGGATGAAGGAGGTTGCGAAGCGTGTGGCTGCTGTACCGAACGGCAAAGGTACTGGTCTGTTCTACTGGGAGCCAGCTTGGATTGAGAACCCAGGACTGGGTAGCAGCTGTGGATGGAACCTCATGGTTGGAGATGATGGCAAGGTTATGAGCAGCTTGGCTGTATTTGGTAGCATTTGAACGACCCATGTCGGTTCTTCCAAAACTGTATATATTGCGTGCGTTAGCACATCAGTAAGATGATACATGTGAAATACCAGAAGGACTCCCACGTGCATATGCGCATGATTGCAGCTCACTTATGTATCAATATGAACAGAGAATGTGCAAGACCAGAAGGCATGTTGAAGACAGCGTTGACGATGATCAGAACATACTTCGTGTGGTCGGAGCCATCTTTGATGTTTGGGTGGTTTCATTGAGTACATAGCAGTGAAGCAGTGCAGACTCCTTTCCCTCCCGTGTCAAAAAAGCAGCCCAGTCCATTCCGAATGTGCAAAGGAAGATGTGTCAGGGTTCGTGATGGCATCATATCCTTCCGCTAAATGCCTTTTCATAACCTCATTGCGCCCGCAGCAAATTATCAACCTACTGCTCCTCAGAGTAACCCTCACCAGCAGCTGGCTGGGCCTCGCCCTCGCCCTGCTCCGCCTGCCTGGCCTGCTCCGCAGCTTGCTGAGCAGCGATGGCCTTGGCACCGTAGTCTTGCGACATGGGCTGGACGACGGGCTGCTCCTCCTTGGGCTCGATGATGGTAACGGAGTCGGGGAGAGTCTGGGATGGGCCAGCCTTGCCCTCGGGGTCGGAGCCGCGCATGATCTTGACCTTGATACCGAGCACACCCTGGCGGAGCAGGACGTGGCGGGTGGCGTGGTCGATGAAGTCCTTGGCGGGCTGACCGGAGTGGATCATGAAACCGTCCTGTATGACGTTAGTATGCCACCTCAAAATACGTTCAACGTGTGCATGCGTACAGTGAACTTCATGCTCTTGGCACGGGCGGCCCTGAGCTTTCCGGAAACGACGACCTCGCAACCCTTGGCACCAGACTCCATGATGAACCTCAGCACACCGTAGCAAGCCCTTCGGACGGCCAAACCATTGAGAAGCTTGTATCGGAGGGACTCGCACTGGGCGACGGCGGAGAGACCACGGTTCTGGACCTTGGCGGCGTAGAGGGAGACAGAGTTCTCGGGGAACTTGAAGCGCTTCTGGATGAGCGAGGTGAGCTCACGGATGCGGCGACCCTGCTCTCCGAGAACCTCCTGGGTGTGTGTGGCGCGGATGATGATGTCGGTGACGGTGGGGGTGACGCGGACCTCGACGCCGGAGTAGCCCTCCTCGGCCAGCTCGCGCTGGAAGAACTCGTTCAGCTCGGCGTAGAAGACACCGTCTGTAGGAGGTGATGTTAGCGACCGTTCTGTGTGCGCAATGCCCTTTGTGTCTCGCATTTGACGTCCTGAACATTGTAGGCTCTATGCCACGCAGCAACGCCTCATGATCGCCATCTCTTTTATGCTCCGTCTTCTACTTGTAGGAAGGGTATATCGTACCAGCAACGAACTTTCTCCTCTTGGAGCTGCAGGCCGTCAGTACTCATTCCCATTTGCGCGTCTTTGCCATGCGACGGCGTGCGGACAAACTCACATTGCGGTTTGAGTGGTGGCCATTTTGTCGAACTGTGGAAGGGCGTATCTGAACTCCGGGCGTGGGTGTTCAGAAAAGTCGAGCCGTTGTTATCGAAGTCGTAGTTGATGTTCGTGAGGCAATTCGATATCGCTTTAGCGAGGGCTGAGTGCGCGCTAAAGCTCGGACCACATTCATCATTTGGCACTGATTAGATAGCCACATCAGGGTCCCACGGTTTGTAAAGCGTCAAGTTGCACACATCTTGGGTCGTCTGTTGCAAAAGATAATATTCGATGACTGCACTCCAGAGCTTACCATGCGCCATCCAACGCCAAACCCAGTCTCAGTATATACAAAGCGCCTCTGCGCTCTCAAGTCCTTCATTCACATGCTAAAGATGCTCGATCGGACCCTCAGGTAGCAGAGGCTCGTTATTCCTCTCCACACACGCCTTGATCGGTGGGCGGATTAGGTCATTGAACAAGAAGGTACCGTACACCAGGAGAGCGAAACCTGCAACCTGAAGCCACTTGAACGTCTCCCAGCCCAGACCAAGCGACACAATCCAAATGAAGAGTGTGCGGCAAGTGTCAATCGTAGAGCGCGAGGTAGCAGAGACGGTGCGAGTTACGGACAGACCGAAGAAGTTAAAGCCACTGCAGCGTATCAGTAAAGTTTGAAAGTAGGGATGGAGAGTAAAGACATACCCAATGCTGACCATGATCAACAGCGAAGACACTGCGATAGCGCGGTAGTGCGTCATCTGGTACAATCCCTCTCTAGCGTTGAAGTATCCAGTTCCAATGGCGAAGTGTAGAATAATCATGCCAACGAGCGTAACCAAGAAACCGAATACACCTTCCCAGCCAACAACCTTGATCGGCTCCATGGCATACTTCTCCATGATCCTCTCTTCAAGCACGAACTGTGTCGCAGTGAAGATCTGCGCGCCAGCAATGAGCAGGACACCGATGATGGTCATAGCAGCCTGCGAAGTCGCCGCCTCCATGCCAACCGAGCCGGTTGCCTCACCATGAATCGATTGGTGGCCAGGCGATGCTTTGTCGTCCTTGGTGATGGCACCTGCGAGTCCAACAACAGCGACACCAGCTACGACAACAAAGAGCGAGAACCACTTGTAGAGTCCAAGATGGCGCTTAAGGAACCAGACGCTGAACAGACCAACGAAGAGAACCAGTGCGCCTCTAGTCATCTGATAGATGCTGGCTGCAACAAAGAGCAGGCCAACGTTCATGAGCGTGGTTCCAGCGATGTCGCAGCAGGCTGGAAGCGCCAACAAGAAGATGCTCCGACCCTCGAGCGGTATCCTGCCTTCATCATCGGGATGCGCAGGCCTCAGCGGATTGGCGACAGCACCCGTTTCGCTGTCATCTGACCCTTCATTGTCTGGAATGGCCTCGTAGCCTGCCCTCGCGCTCGCATACCGCTGGTAGAGCTGGAAGATGCCGATCACCAGCCAGCAACCCATCTCACCCACGAACATCTGGAGAGTCTGGAGGACGGGTTGCTCGAAGTGATCGCGATGCTTGGGCGAGGGAGAGTCGCAGTTCTTGACGCATTGCATGTCCTAGTCGCGCGTAGTCAGTATCAGGCTTTAGCGTCACTACATAGAAGGGTTTACATACTTGGTACTTGGTTAATAGTGTATTACACACGCCCGTCAACAGCATCATAGCCACCAAGAACGGCACTGCAGCTTTGACTGCCATGATGGTGATGAGTCGAGCTCTCGGAGCTCAGCAACGCTTATCGGACGCGGTATCGCAAAGTGATGGGTTATAGACAACTACGCAAGCTGCGTTCAGATATAAATGGGGAAAAGATGGAGGGAGAACAGAGTATAGATAGATGCAGCGACAGCAAGGTACTAGGCAGCTCCGAGCTGCGACTCGTGATGGTTGATGGCCAAGTGAGGCGCGTCAGGCTGCGTGACGAGTGATGTAGCAGCGGCCGCCTCGGCGATAAGAGATGGCGCTAACGCCAGGCCGAGGCGTTCTCGACGATCCCCGAATGGAAGAAGCATCCGTGCAGCTGCGTCTTTGTTCTGCACCTTGCATTCATTCTTGCATGTCTTATTGATGCTACATCAGACGAGCATTTCATAGCTACAGTATTGAACGTCGGGAGTCCCTGCAACAGAAACAACACCCAGCCTGTCCGATTCTGTGTTAGCCTTTTAACCTATCTCACACTGGTTCGGATGATGGGGACGCGTGACTGTGTTAGTCACGGTGCCCCAAGAGCATTTTCGCCGTCAGATCAGTGCGCAGCTCACGTGTGTTCCTTTTGGAAGACGCAACTATGAGATTCAAAGGGTATCTAGCTCTATGCAATAGTACGCGCTCTGTACACGAATTGACGAGACACTCGTGTTTGAACTAAACGAAAGACTTTTAAGATGCAACTCACTCCTCTACCACATTACAAGAACCACCTAAATTCCGGGTTCTTGGGTCCATCTCTCAGTTTCGCAGTCGATACATCCTTTGCGGTATGGTTGACGCCCTGTTTCGCGTTCCTCCTCTTGTTATCCATAACCATGTAGGCACCAAGCAGTGCTGCACACAAACATCCCGTCGCTCCAAAAGCCGCTGTAGTGGCCAGCGCAGGTATGTACTCTGGCGCATCCTGTGGCCTGAAGATGTTCGAACTAACAACACCCATCAAGTTTGCCAGCGGCACACCAACTGAGGTAAGAGTGACGCGTCGGTTTTCGTCCGCGACGTTGTTGTTGTACCATGTTGAGAGGAGAACGGAAGGTGCAGACGTGCCCCATGTCATCATAAAGCAGGCGAAGTAGGCGACGGTGAGGGAGTTTTCTACGTCGATGGTGGCGTAGATGATGAAGCCGATGAATGTGAGCAGAAAGCCGAGAGCGATGAATGGGAAGCGGAGGCGAGTATAGTCTGATGCGAAGGCCAAGATTAGAAGAACAATAGCTCCAACGATGTTGGGCGCGACGGTATAGAGGTTCGTCTTGATCTTATCATAACCTAGGCGCGCTACAATCTGTGGCAGAAACAGTGAAACGGACTGTAGCGGTACACCGAGACAGACTTCAATGGCAAGGAAGCCGTAGGTTGACGTTTCCTTGAAGATACCAAGGGCATCTTTCAAATTGAACTTCTGGTCGACGACTGATGAGGAGTCGATCTGAATACGAGTGTATGCCAGTTGCTTTTCTGAGTCGTTGAGAAACTTGGCTTCGAAGGCATTCTTGGGAAGGTACCAGTAGGCGAAGAATGAAAAGCAGACTGTAAGCGCTCCCTCAATGATGAACAGATAGCGCCACGAGTCGAGCTTCGATTCAATCTGAAACACACCGAAGGCTAACAGCCCAGAAAAAGCGTTTGCGATGTTGGATGCAGCATAAAACAAGGCCAGTCGCCTTGCAAGCTCACCTCGTCGGTAGAAGGTGGTCAGGTAGTAAATGACCAAGGGGAAGAAGGCAGACTCGGCCATACCTGCGTACTGTTAGCCATAGATTCATTCCCGTTCTCAATTCGATTACTCACCCAAAAACCATCTCAAAGCCATCATACCACTCCAATTCTTCACACTAGCAGCGAGCAGTGTCGCACTACCGAAACAGAACATCATAATCGGCAGCACGCGATGTGGTCCATATTTCTTTCCCAGCATACCAATTGGCGGCGCGAAGACGACATACGGTACATAGAAGATACTCAGCATGATGTTGTACTGGTTTCCCACGAAACCGAGATCTTTGTCCATGTTGTCCGTCTTTGCGTTACCCAAGTTACCCTTGTCAAGCGCATTGAAGAGATACATGACTGCCAACATAGGCAGGATCCGCAGGTCGAACTTCCATGTCAGAGACTTCTCGTGCTCGTATGTGGGCAGATGCTCGGTCGTTCCTTCGATCGGGACTGGTGCGTTAGCATCTTTGGAGGAGGAGAGAGAGGCCGTGACTTCGAGGCCATCTTTTGCAAGCTCGGGGTCCTTGTTCGTCGACATATTAATCAATTGAAATGGCAAAACCGCGTTCCCGCTACCGAAGAGCCTGGAGGAGACGTCGAACTTGGGAGCGACGCAATCAGAATGCTCTTCTTGAGATGTCGTGGAAGAAGGTGCGGTGCGACTTGACGACGAACAGACCGATTGCGTCCCCAGTCTTAAGTATGATCACCACAAGCTACCGATTACGATCATAAAACCAGCAAGAGTTGCATCCATCCCGTGGAGTTACGTGCAACCTGAGGCCACGCGCCAACGTAGCCGGATATCCCAGGCGTTACATGGTGGTAGCGAATGCAAGGTAACATTCTCCACTGTCTATCTCACGTTGTGCTTGGTTCTCCTGATAAACTCCCTGCCCTTTCTGACCAATACCGATTATGTCGCCTCGTGTCGCGCACAGGAGCTAGGGGTCTGAGTGGTTCGGCAGCGACCCCAAAAGAGGGATCGGCATGGAGGATTGGAGGATTGGAGGGGTTCATCCAAGATACGGCATGATAAGAAAAGGCCCGTCCCCATGCGGTATCGGAAGGATTCGTGAAGGTGGTAGTTGACATCAAGCCTGCGATAATTTATCGGTGAGCTTCTCGTATCTAGTTCTTTTGTACATGTAACATTGTCACGAGGTTGGGAAATTGAAAGTCGTGTTGTTCCTGTGCTGATAGGAAAAGTGGAGTGAAGTTCGGGGTACCGGCCCCCCGCAGTTGCTAACGACTTCTTAGTCAGTAGGGCCGGGATGCCTTCGCCGTCAAACACACATAGTCGCTTGTGCCTTCATGTTATAATTATTATTCAATTGTCTCGGGAGAGATCCGCTTACAACAATGTGTAGGTAGGTAGCACATTTGTCGTATTCAGAATGCATACCCTTTGAGACTGAAAGAACTAGGAACAAACGCAAGGGATACCTAAATCCGACGTCCTTCTAACGAACCATAGGTATACTTAAGTCATGACATTCTGGAGATCTCATTACCTTCATACTAGCCTAATCATATCACCCTCTGACTGGAAACATACGGAGCTGAGCCTTGAAACCTCTACCACAGATCGTCCATACTCCTGCGCTGATCTCCCCAATCGGATCCAGACCTCTTGGGGTAACAGAGGTAGACATGGTATGGGCCTTATCCTCATATTCTCCAGGAGGCCATACTACGCTTCTTCCCCGCGAAGATTAAGATCAATTGCAATATGAACAAGGAATCTATCCACACATACTCATTTCCGAAACGCCATGTGAATTTGATGGCATCCCCAAAGGTGCGAGGCATATAAGCGTCTCGAGATCAGGAAGCATAGTGCCGTAGTCATGGTGGTCTCTTACCGTTGCCAATAATACTCTTTGAAATGATCCGGCACAATACTAAAGTACCTAGATAGAAATAAGTCCAGTGCGCATACAGTATTACTCCTACGATCCAAGACCTTGCATTACACTTCCATCCCTGTGCGCCGTCTTGGCTGGTGGATACTGGATGGGGGTTGGGCGGGTGTTTATCAATGCAGGCTGGCGCGAAGCGATACGGTATCGGGGGGCTCAGAACAAAGTCTCTCTTTTGGACAGACTTCGTGCGTCTGAGCGCACGATAACTTTTCGGATGCAGAGGCTAGTGAATGTCATCCCAGCAAGAAGAAAACATGCCTATCGTCAGATTAGTGGCCGAAGTGAACTTTACAAAAATGTAGACCATTGTGTGTGATCGAGTGTACAAAAATAGTATCGTCTTCATTGCCCAGGTTATGAACACATTGCATGCTCTTTGACGTGCAAGCTGGCATGGTGTCTTCAAAATCGTCTATGGTCGAGAATAGAAATCGCGCAACCTGAAATTCCAATTACATCTTTGTAACACAAGACGAACGGTGAACCTGGAGGACATATCGAAAAATTGCGCTTTCAGAATGGCGCATCCGCCCGTACTATACAACGCCAATGGGTATCCTATAAGAAAATCGAGGATTTTACTCGTGAACGCCTCTACCGAGTGTGGATAAGAAACCTTGTACATGTTGAAAATATGAAACTGCACGTTGTCGCTTCATGTGTTATGGGCTGCTTCTTTTCCTTTGGAAGAACGAGGGTGTAGGAAGTTGAGCCCGCCCTTGGCAACACCAGCGACATTGAAGTGTAGGGGCTCCTTGGGACCCTTCTCCCTGACCGGCATCTTACGCTTGGAGCGGCCTGAGACGTACATTGGCTGCTGTGCAGAACCATTGCCGTTCACGTTGGGCATGCTCTGCTTCGATCGCAGCTTGGGTTTCTTATCGCGATGCTCATCGTCTGTTGTTTCCGTGTCAAAGCTGCGGAGGCTACTGCGCTCGGATGAGAAGCGCGGATGGCTGGAATGGCTCGACGACTGGGTTGGCGCACGCTGCAAGGGACTCAGAGGGCTCAGTCTAGAAGAATGAACAGACGCTGCTGTTTGAGCGCGCTCGATCGGACTCAACATAGCAGCGGAGTTGGCAAGGACGTCCAGTCCCGAGGGCGCCCTAGTCGCCATCGAGTGAGTTCGAGATGAATAAGTAGGAGGAGGATCCTGGTAATCGTACATGATCTCTGAGTCCAAGCTCTTGTATTTGGCAGTACCGTCGAGCTCCTCATCGTGCTCCCAGCAAGTCTCGTCCACGCCGGTCACAGGAGGCAAAAATCGAATCTCGTTCCAGGTAACGTCTTCATACTGTAGAGTAATGTATAGGATATCTCCCTGCATTTTGTCGTGCGCGATGCAGTGATCCTCCAGAAAAGGATAGTCCCACACGCCGCGATGGACGAGATCAGGGGGTAGAAGTGTTAGCGCCATGCGACCGAAGGGTTCGTCAGCTGGGCGATGGCCAGTCATTGGCATCCATGGTCTGCCGCGGAAAACACCCTTGAAGGCTGTCTCAATGCCGTTCGCAAAGCAGGAGCTGTCCTGGCTATGAAACTCGAGGTTTTGTAGTAGCTTGCGCGAGGCACATCGTCGGTAGCCGTTGCTGTCAGGATCATACGCGAACCTCTGCGACTTGCGCGGAATGAAAACGACACGAACACTCCACGATAAGGGGTATTTCTTATCAGTCCGAATCGGGAGTTGGCCAAGGGTATGATGTGACTGCATCAATAACGGCATTGGCGGAGCGGGAGAAGCCTTTGGTGTTGACCCATGGGTTTTTGGCGTCGAGGCAGCGGGTGTCACGTCTGGCGACATGCCACTAAATTGTTCCACTCGATCGACTCGGTTCTCCAGTTCCATGCTGAACTCGTCCACCATGGTCAACCGCTCACCCTGCACCTTGATCTGATCGCTGAGTTCCGTTGTCCTATCCACCACAGCCTCGACCTTGTCGTCGATGGACAGCTTCAGGAGTTGCATGTTCTCGTACATGCGCGCCTGTACTGCATGATTTGTCCGTACCAGCTCTTCTCGAGCCAGGCGCTCCCTGAACAGCTCTTGCTTGAGATCTTGCTCCAGCGTCTCGAAACGCTTGACCTCTTGCTTCAGCCGCTTCATCTGCTCTACCGCCTGTATGTATGCCTCCATCGACACGGTCGAGATTGGTTGAGCCTCATGGTTCCACGCCTGGTGCCCGCACCCGCAGCGAGAGCGTATGATGGAATCCGGGTAGAAGCTACGGCAGGAGCAGCGCTGGCGGGCGCCATTCCCCTCGGAGGGTGGAAGAATGAAGCCGCATTCTCCTCGCGGGAGCTGTGCCTCGTCGCCAGGCGCGGGCGTTCCAGGCAGATGGGCGGGGGCCTGAGTGTTGCTATGGAACATCAGGAGTCGACCTGAGGTGGTGGTCGTAGCGTGGTTGCCGTATGGGTAATGGGCGGCTCATGGAAGGCCGAGAGAGGGGGTTTCCAGGGTCTCTATGTATTGGGAAAGAACGATTGTGTATATGGATCCGGACGGCAGTGGAGACGGAGCCAAGAGCCTGAGGCACGACGGTTAGCTGGGGCAGGGCTCTAGTCATATACAAGTGCAGGCACAGGCTCGTCGCTAGGATATGCGGCTGGCGCACAAGATAAGCAACCATGGACTACTCACATTCAGTGCCAGACAGGCGGTGCACGCGGGAGCATCCGAGTGAGACGTCACACAATCAAAAGGATGGGCAGGACCTGTGCACCCGTGGGTGGAGAGGGTTTTGGAGCAGCGGTAGAGAGCGTAATGGCGGTCCTGCTCAGGTTTTGGGGACATGGGATGTGCAGGTACTCTTTGTTTTTGGCATTGGAACTAGCTCCCGCGCCGGGGATGGCCAGCCCTGTCCTGGGCGGGGACAGTGCTGTGCTGTTGCGGGTGCGGTTGGAAGCTGGAGTTTGGGGTGTGTGTGGTGGCCGCCGAGCAAGGAGTAAGAGATAAGACTCATGCCTTGGGCCAGAAAAACGCGCCAATGACATGGTCGGCGTGGGAGCCCCGAGACCGCCTTCGATTCGCCGCAGGCCCATCTTGTCTCTTATTGCGTGCCTGAGCTGCTGCAGCCGCAATGCCCTGTAGCACACCGGGTGTCTTTTCTACACCTACTCCCCTGTGCAACGCTTTATCGCGGCCACGGAGCATTGCTGTTGGCAGCGCTGCCCAGCATCAGATATGCGCGCGTCTCCACAGCCCACAACACATGCCATGTCCTTTTGACGGTGAGCGAAACCCCACACGAGCCGAGCCATCAGGTCCGAGGCCATTTGTAACACTTCTTCGTCATAACAGATGCAGACCAGAGTGCTGATTCCGTAGCGAGGATACTGGTTCTGGTACACGCCTTTTCACGTGGACGCATCGTCCAAGGTTTGTAGGCGTAAACCCTGGCATGGACACGATGATCACTGTCCGACAGTCTGTACCAGAACCTTCGTAGACGCCTGTGAGCGATACTAGGATTCATGGTCTTCTCCTTATCGCGACGTCCTGATACACCCCACGCGGCTTTGGGGTTCGCTAATCTGATTGGGCTGCCCCGGGCTGCCGCATCAACGCAGAACAACTTTCGAACCGCCTTCCTTTTGCCAACTCGCTGAGAAGAGAGATAGTGGCCCGATTGTGGCAAACGCACTCAAGGCTAAGCACCCCCCGAAGCCTTTGCACCCGTTGTCCTGTATGCTACACCGCCGACGCCCATGTATCATGTGTTGCTGCAGCGGATGCATCGCCATTCACATGTATGCCAGTCACCTACCCGGCACTCAGGCTTCACGACATGCGTTGATATCAGAACCGACCCAATGCCGGCCGCTCCTTCTGCACGAGGTCTTCGATGTGGGAAGGCGCAACTGCCTGATTGGTACTTGTGCGCCAGCCTCACCCGCATCCTTTTCCTTATGTCCATATATCAATCTTCCTTGATGCATGACCACAACGGCGTGGTAGATGAAGAAAGGCATCTGCTATGTTGAGTCAGGGATGTGTCGACGCGTTCCCACCTCAACTTTGAGGTCGACGCTGACCAACACACGCCACATACGCCACCCCCTGTTCGTGAGACAGACCCTTTTCCATCGCCCTCCTTGGGCATTATAACGCGTATCCAAATGAGCACAGTGCGTGAACAAGGCATTTACTTCGTCGCTTCGCAGTCAAGATACTTGCACTACACGCGTCCGAGTCGAACGCGCTATCACATGAGACGGTGTGTTAAGTGGCGTTGCAGGACGCGCACCAAGCGAAAGCATCAAATCCCACGTCACGTAAAGACGTTACACATGCAGGGCACCTAGATGGTCGATGCCGCCTCCAGCCAAGTGCCATCGGCAAAACTTGGACGATATTTGCTACTCTATCTTATCCCACGGCGCGGCATGTTCATCAAATTTCATGACTTCGTTTCCACCGCGGTGGAACCGATGGGGTAATGGATACTAAATCCTTCCAAACTTTGACTGCATTTTTGCTCCTTCGAGAACTCCTCTTACCAGACACTTGGTAAGTCCCGACATTCGCACAACTTGCCAATTCTTTTGTCTCATGTCGCGAACGGCCGTATCCCACGCCCACATAGCGACGAGTTCTATCACTCTCCTTCCTCAATGCCGCATTTGCGCACTCACTCAATGATACTGCGTCGCTCACGGTTGCTTGATTGCGGCTACGTCCTCAGCCATATTCTGCCTTACTACCCGGCTTCTGGCCAGCGATTCCCACCCAATAGGGCTAGTCTCTTGACGGGAGTATCCGTGGGGAAGCCGTTGAATGTGTATCGATCCCTTCCTGAAGCGGCTGGAGAGTATTGCGCACATTCTCTTGCTTTTTCGTGATCCTGCCACGCGTGGTGTACTCACTGCAGGTCATCGGCATAGCCGTTGCGCGTCTTTTTCCAAGGATTGCATCTTCCCACGTGCCAAAAATGCACGTTGAAGAGGATTGTCGCAATACTGGGCTGCATTCTAGTTTTATCCGGTTCTTCGCAACGTCTCTGCTTTCGTGATAGAGTAACGTCCTGGGCCCGAAGTACGCGCAGCCCACGAAGCTTATTGATGAATTTCTTTTGCGATAACACCGGACACGCTTACCTTCGTATCAACAGTGTCAGCGTCAGCGAAGAATAGGGCCTTTTCACAACCACAGCTGTCACCACCTTGCTCGCGAACGGAAGGGTTCGGTATTATCATTGCGCCTCCCAAATTTCCATTTCAATGGCAGTTCAATTTGGCCTTGCTGACAATGTGTAACTTCCCGCGGGATTTACCATACACAAGGCACACCTGGGTGGGTTGGGCAACATGCGACAATGGCGTCTTTCATGTTCGGACCTCGGGCCACGCCCCTTCCGCATCCTGCCAAGTCCTCCGAACATCAACCTTTCCGGACCACATTCACCAGCAAGCCTAGAGTCGGAGGTTACTCTCTTTGTTGCATACTCCACTGTGGTATCTCGACGATTACCAAATGCCGGAAGAGAATTGGATTGCCCACGGAGGTGTGCCCGCATGCGATTTATGTCATGCTCGGAAGGCGAGTCGCTGACCTAATTGTGGCACTACCTGCATGTCGGCCCAGGCACTAACGACCATCAGGTGAAATGCGATCGCAAAGAGCCATGCGCAAACTGTGTAGCAGCTAAGGCTGAATGTCTGCGTAATCGGCACAAGCGCGTCCCACGACCTAAAGTTCGAACGTAAGCAATCATCCGTCTCACGTGACCAAGCCAGACTTTGCAGAGAGGCTTTGCTTTTGTCCGTTTGCTGCAAACTATCCTCGCCCTTCGACTCTGATCATAACATAGGGACGAGAAAATAAAAGCACTTGTAGAGCGGCTCTCTAACCTCGAGCATTCCGTTCAGACTGTCCACCGTAGCCCAAGTCTGGCGCAGGAGCACGAGATCGTGAATAGCTTTGCTGTGCCAACTATTGAACCAACTTCAGATCGACCAGCAAAGAGACAAAGGACATCAAGTTCGCTAGATGTGCCAGCCCCAACAACAGCTCAGGATGTTGACAATAGCCCCCAGACAGCAAATGAGGCTCGCATTCATATCAGTAAGGAACTCTCTACCAACGGATTACTGTCGGGCCATCAACGCTCAGTCCTCGAAACTGCCATATCGTTTGTTGATCAACTGTCCCACACGCCCACACCGACTATACCGGACCGCAGCACTTTCGATCAGTCGATGCATGTCTCTACTGACATGACTAAGCACGAGATCTTTAATGTCATCCTCGGTAGTAAGTATGCTTCTTATGAGATCTTTGGTATAAAGCTGATCATGACGTCAGCTGAGTTCAAGGAACGGGGCAACGCTGCCGTTCGCTACCACACTGTCGATCACGTGCCGCCAAAGGCGTTTGAGAAGATTGCACTTGCTCTTATGGAAGGCAATGCTGATGAGAAGACCCTCAATCTGTACAGAGTCATTGTTCATTTTCAGGCAGCTGTCGTACTGTATGCAAGCCAGTTGCAAGGCCCCAAGAGTGCAGCTGTCCAACGACACATCCAACAAATGGAGTTCAATCACCTGATAGCAGCTCTTACTGCTCTGGATAAAGTCAGCTTCTTAACTGCACCTTCTCTTTTACTTGTGCAAGCATTGGTCACCGGGGTAACGCATTTAGAATCGTGTCGCTGCGAGACAACGTACTAACTAATAACAGGCTACCATGATGCAGATCATGGGCAATCCTGTGAGCTGCTGGGAACTCACGGCTCATGCATCGCGAACCATTGTGGCGCTTGGCTATCATCATATCGATAAACCGATACCAGAAACCGATACTGAGAGCGAGATATACGCCATAGTCGGCCAGTGTGCCTATTTTGATAGTGTGATGAGCCTCTTGCTGCTTCGACCACGCTCACTTCCTCATCTCCAAGTAAAGGCCTCGTACCTGTTACGAGCTGACCCAGCCAGCCCTATGAGCGTCCTAGAGCTACTTCCTATACTCGACAAGATCCTGGATTTGTCGTTGGAAACGAAGCCGTCCCCGGCTATACTGAACGATGAGGTCGCGCAATTGCGAACGCAGATGAAAGATATCTACAAGCTTATGGAGAAGGTATGTACGGATATCTCTCATTGATCAGCATTTCGATAGAGACTTATGCTTCACTAGGAACGACAACTGCATTTCTTGGATAGCAGAACGGATGCTCTTATACATTGGAAAGGCATGGAGTTTAGGTACTTTTCTACACTGACTTCAGTCCATCGCCTGAGCCCTACCGTTACGACGAATCCCTCGGAACGGGAAGAGTGCCTCCAAAGTGCTCGGAAGGCACTTGAGTGCGCCAAGGACATAGAGGAGCTTGGAAGATCGTTGGATCATTTCATTGAAGGCTACGATCCTTATCTCGCGTGGTGAGCGTAAAGTTGTGCCATGGAGAACTTATCACTAACAACTACTAGGAGCATGCTCTCTTACCCCCTCTGCCCCTTTTTCGTCGTTTTCTGCAACGTGGTCGGCACGTCCAGCACTCGAGACTTTCAGCTACTTCAAGATGTTACCGATGGCCTTTCTGCACTCGTTACGGAGAATAAGTATGTTCATCGGCTACATCGGCTGTGCGCTACACTGCTGGGTCTTTGCAAACCCCTTGTGCAGACTTCGGATCTTCATGAACATACATCGCAACCGACTGAAGGATCGACTGCACCGTTGGCGACATATTCTCTGTCGGCAGGTTTCGGCAACGGTTCTGACATTTTGACTAACAGCGGAAGTGATGGCACCACTGGTATAATTCCTTCTTCGTGGAATGACGACATGATGTGGCAGTTGTTCCAATCACAGCCTTCTCTGGACTGGTTCAACGCCGACATATTGGACCCTTCATGGGGCCTTGGCCAAACGCAATAAGATGGGCTAGGTCCGGTAGATTATCATCAGTGCCTAAGAGTATTTCACCATCAACCACTCAGTCACTTGATGTCTCATAACTGGGATACCTGATACTTCATCGGCTTTGTTTATAGGTTTGCCTTAACCGTACAGATCATGTATAACAACACGACGCTTGCGACCTCGCTTACAAATTTTTGTCTAATAGATCTTTTCACCGGCCGGGGATTCGCAGTCTCTCTGTCCAATCAACATAAGCGATAAAGTTTGTCATCGCCGCAAGTTTCCGACAGCATGGATACCAATGTGCGCTGGTGGTGTTGGCTTCAGCCACGCGCCTCTCAGCTCGAGAATGCCTCTCCCTAGCATGCGACAACATCGACAGTCAGTGTAATTTAGGGACGTAGCTACCCACCTCCGCTTGTGAGTTCTAAGGCGCTCAACTGTCGGATTTCCCATCAGCCCTTGTTTGTCGACGGCTTCGCGCCTCAGTAGTCTCCACGGCTTGTTGAGAATACATTTTCCAAGAACCGAGCGACTAGTTGGAAGCACATCCGCACATGTCGACGGGTACACATTCGGCAAAGTGTTACAGCCAGCTAGACGGTAGCTGCGCTTGGCAAGAGTCACATGAAGGCCGGAGGACGTTTTTGGGATTGCAGCGCAGGAGACACTCACGTGCACATTACTAATAACAGCGTTGTATCACTCCATAGCGCCTAGGTGATGTGATGGAGGAATATGTAAACGTTTTTGTCCCTAGAAGATCAGACTGCGCTATGTCAGATACAGAGTCCGAGACATATCACTCGACGACACCTTGTACTACTTCTCCTACAAGATCAACCAACTACTTCGACGATACACCTCCCTCCAAGAACACGTGTACCTTTCGAACATGATCTATTAGCTTGTCTTTCCTTGGAAAAGGTCGACCTCCACATTTGTTGCGCTCGCACTGAGGAATCTCACACCAGAACTCTTCTCCAACGCCTTGTATGGTGTGACTTCCGTTGAAGTGTCTTTTCAGCTCATGCCAACGGCTGAAAGTCCCGCCATTACATTCAGACGCACTACATCTAAACGCGATCGTTTTGAGGTCGGCAGTACCTTCAATGGTACCGATATGAACTGTTGGCGCGAATTCTGAATAGTCTACAAGAGGCGTCTCGTCCGGGATGAAGACAGAAGCAAGCGTGGAGAATTTTTGAGCTATTCCTGTTTCGACGAGCGGTATCATCATGCCATGAGAGACGTCCTGAAGGTATAAATGCTCTGTGGGTTGGGGCATATACATGGCATCGTGCCATGTTCCATGTGGCCTTGGCCGCTTCGATTAGGCACTACATCCCAGAGTTAAGAAGAGACTTGCTATGTACGTTACGTCGGGGGCTTACTGATCAGTAGGATTGATAGCTGTGCTCTGGAAGGATCCACTGGCGTGCATGTACCACGTCACATCCGCATATGCAGCGCGCCTCGGAAATCTCCGAATCTATCGTTTGTGACGTTGAGCCATCTTTTCCAGTTAGTATCTCGTCTTAGCCTGACTCCCATCGTTATTCTCCGGCATTCCTACGCTCCACTTGCCAATAGGAAAATTCACATGCTTGGCAATGGCTTGAGCAATGTGGCCTTGCTTGATTCCCCTCCATACATCGCCTTTTTTAGCCTTTTGAAACTGTGTGGGTATACGACGTTGTTGCACGAACATTACTTCCACAGCCTCGCGAAATTGAATCTGTTCTGGTGTTTGTAATCAGTAGATAGAGTTCAATCCTTGTGAGATTGCAAGCGGAATATGTTGGGGTATCTTTATTGTATTCGTTGTGATCATGCATTGCCGTATCTCATCAACCCTCTATCGACATTCCGAGCTTCGTAAGGACAATCCACTTGCTAATTTCCTAGCAGCACACATCGTTATTGCATCTCCGTCTCAACTTCCTTCTTTACCTCCGCCGCCTGAGTGGGTTTCCGACTTCTACTCCTGTTCTCTGCTTTCTTCTCCACAATGTCCGCTCCCAATCCCAAGTCGGCGCCCTGAGTCGGCGCAAGCTCCGAGGACTTTTCCGTACTCGCATTGGAACTCATGTTGTTGTTGTCTTCTATCGGCTTTTCCAGCTTCTCTTCAGTGATCTTCTGAGTAACATCATGGGCATCTCGCCCCATGTCTATGTCGGCGCTCAGATCCGAGCTTGTCTTCACGACTTCTCTTGCGACGTCTTCACTTGGCCTACTGCTTGCCGCAGCTGGACTCGGTGCCCTGTTCGCGTTGCCAGTGATACCTAGCTTCTCGAAGCTCGCCATGACTCCTTGCCTTAGATCCTGTCCTAGCGCAGCTGCGGCATCAAGAGGTTTTGGCGTATTGGAGACCCTTGGGGAGCGATCGCCGACGGCGTGTGCAGGGGCAAGGTTGACAGTCGTACCTGCTCCAGTCGCTCCGTCCGCGGTCTCTGTACCCGTGACAATAGGCTCCTGGACTATCGGAGTGCTCGTGCCACTCCTTCCAGTGCTCGCGTTGCTGGTCTGGGGTGTGAGATTTGGCGGTGCTTGAGGACCAAAGACGTTCATCTCCTCATCGGTACGACCAAAACATTCAGCCCACCATCTCGCCTCGCCTTTCCGAGGGAATATCATGCGCTCCTTACCGCGGATAGCGTCGTCAATCTCTGGTTCGTACTTTGGGTTCATAAACTCTTGCTTGCGGCAAAGGAAATAGTCCCATACGCTTCTTGTCCGCTCCTTGGCCCTGGTATCTACACGCTCCTTCTCGTTGTCGAAGAGGAACGTTCCGTACTGACAGGAATAGAGATGGTAGAGTAAGCGCCTCAGGAAGCGCTCGCTGAACTCGAACCGGGTTGGATGCTGGTAATGTAATTGGTATACGCAATCGAGGAATTGATGGAACACGGGTGACAGCTCGTTCACCTTGGTAACACGGTGCTCCTCTGCAGCTCCGATTTGGGCGGGCTTTGATGAAGGAGTATCGGCAACATCTGTGATGTTTTCTGGCACGTTGGTCTCCGGAAGCTGGTTGAGAGACTCGTTCGATTCGTTGTGGCGGTTGAAGAGACCCCGCGCACCACGAAGAGCATTCTCAAAGGGGTTACTACCTCCGGTCCCATCGTGTTTGCGCTCGATCTTTTCATTTTCTATAGTGAACCACTTCTCGTGGCTCAAGAAACCTGAACGATGTCGGAACATGTGTCCAAAAGATAGCCAATCTTTCTCGACAAGGACGATGAAGCCTTCTAATGTCCGATAATATGGATCTAGCAGGATCTGACTGAGTGCACTTAGCTGGCTCGTACGATCCCAGCCGTCGGAACAGTGGATGAGAACATGCGAGTGCATGATGCCGACGGTTCGGGCTATTAGCGCAGTTCCGTCCAATATGTTGGCGATGTGCTTGATCCAATTGCTCTTTGCCAGAAGCTGCCGGTTGGGAGGGAAAGGCACTAGATCTGACTCTTTCAAGGCTTCAATGACTGTATCAAGCGACTTCCGCATGACGTGAATGTTGTCAATTCCGAGGTATGCTTTCTCCGCCCCTGGATAGTAGTCCATCTTCTCCGAGCCAAGTCCAACGGCTTGCATCGCATACGCATTTACTGTAGGCCTGGCATCGACAATGAGATTTCGCTGCTGGGCTCCATATACTTTTGGCGCATCGGGGTCTGTCTCCGAAGACGCTGTCAAATCGTCTACGGTAGTCCTTCCAGCGTTCGCATTGTCTTCCACTGCACCCACAAAAGAGCTATTGGCACTGGATTCGTTCAAGTTCACAACGCTTGTATCAGGAGTAAGCTCTGCAGAGTTTGAGGAGGATGAGGTATTTGCAGGTTTCCACCCACGGTTAGTTGCCCAGATGGCTGCGACGAGCCGTTCATCTTGAGGATTTCGATTCCCACGCAAGCCCGGTGTGGGCTGTGAGCTTCGCGTTATGGAGCAGTTGTTGATAGGATGGCGGTAAACGAGGGCTGGTATCCGCTGTCGCGAGCGGTATTCGCCTGCGTATCTGAGAACGCTGTCCGAGACATTGGTGGGAACGACAAGGAGGGCGGGATACGTCGGCGCATACTGTTTCACTCGTCAAGACCTTTGTTGACCTCATATGGTGCATCTGATGTACCTTGTACTCTACATTGACCTCTGAAATCCGCCAGCCCTTCTCTGTGTCCTTGGGGCTGATACCCAGTCGCTTCCATTCGCGGCGCGCGTCGTAGATTTCCCAACCATTCTGTTGGTCTTCCGGTGGTTTTGGCTGGTAGCTGAAGGCTAGTAGCTTGTCTAGTCTGCCTATCTTGCATGAGAGCGCCCGTATACTATCGTAAACGTCCCGCGCCTTCTTGTCATTCGGGAAGAAGAAGGCGAAGAAGGTAAAGTCGCGACATCGTATACGGATCGAGGGTTCCTGGCGCAGGATAGGCGGACACGATTTAAGGGAACAATAGTTGATCATGGGATAGGTTATCCATACTTCCTTCTGTCGCGGTGGTTTCGCGTCTGCAGGAGCGTCGGCGGGCGGGCTTGGTAGGTAGCTGAAGACGAGATGGTGGGGCATAAGATGCAGTGTACCGTCGAAGCGCGTGCCTCTACGGAGGAGGTAGACATCCTCCACCTACAGGTAGTGTTAGCATACTCTAAGCAGTGGTTCAAGGGAGTTGGAAGTCTCCGCGGCGTCTCCTACCTTGCTCACGCGTATCCGCTCCATAGCGACTGAAGGGCGTACGACGGTGAGTTCGAGCGGCCCGGAGCGGGGTCTAAAATCGCTACAAATATGAGGAAGCACCCAAGGCAAGCATCTAGAGAGGAGGACTAGGGCAAATGAGAGGGTCGGGCTGTCAAGCGCGCATAGTCAACATGAGCTTGTCGGCATGTGCCTGCCCTGTCATGCTCATGCCTCGTCCCGCCGCTTGTGTTAGCATTCTTGGCGATCAACGTCATCTGAGTATCCGCTTTTCCCACGCGGTTGTCACTTTCTACCTTCACTTCTGAAATCCATGTGCAGGTGAAATCGCGTCCATATCATTCCGAACTCTTCGCACGATCATCACAAGTAAAGCAGATGCATGAGAAAGTATCCAAGGAGAAATGCATTCATGGAAATGCTAAAGTACAACCTCGTTTACTTAATGTACGGAGCACATCTACCACTCAGATATCCAAACAAAAGGTCCAAGATGCTACATACTTACTTGGCTTAGCTCATAAGCTTACCTGTAGCCATATATTGGCAGCTGCTTGCTTGAATTAGATGTACAAAACTCTCAAGGGACCACCAGATGTGCTCTCCCAGACAAAGAAATCGCTACGGCCATCAATAACCCTGCAAACCATATGAGCATAGTCATGGAGGCTGGCTATTCGCCGACCCAGAATCTACGCTGTCACACCTGTGCACCTAAGCCGGGGGTGGTGGCGGCGGTGGGGGGACATCGCTAGGCGGGGGAGGAGGAGGGGCCTCGCCCGGAGGAGGCGGTGGAGGCACAGAACCAGACGGTGGCGGGGGAGGCGGGGGAGGGCTGCCGGCAGATCCATAGGTCTGGAATAGGGGACCAAGGCCAGGAGGAGGACCGGCGGGAGGTGGAGGAGCACCGTAGCCAGGAGCACCGTAGGCGCCGGGAGCACCCATACCAGCGCTCTGTTCGTAACCATATCCACCATATCCGTAACCAGCACCTGCTGCAGGGGCAGTGGGGGTAGCAGAAGCCCAAGGAGCCGCACCATTGCCAGCACCGTAGCCTTGGTCGTAAGACTGTCCGCCACGGCCGCCACCGCCAGCCCAAGGCGGAGGAGCAGCGGAGTTGCTGTCGCCGCGACCACGGTCATCGCCGTCACGCGCCCAGGGTGCGGAACCTCCGGTGGGACCACGCTCCCAGGGCTTGAGCGTGCGCTCGCCTGCACCGTAGTTGTCTCCACCGGCAGCACCGTTGCCGTTGTACTCGATCGCGGCGCGAGGCTGCCCACCGGCGCCTCCCATCTCGGCCATAAAGGCGTCGAGCTCGTTCTCCGGAGCACCACCGATACGAGCTGGTTGACCTCGGTCGCCAAAACGGTTGTCATTGCGCCAGGGCTGGCCAACTTTACGGTCGGGACAATCGCGGGCCATGTGACCAGCTTGACCACAAACACGGCAGATGATGCTGGCCGTAAAGTTCTGCTTCTGTGGGCAATCGTACTTGCGATGGCCGATCTCACCACAGTTCTGACAGGCTTGGTTCTCGTCGTCACGGAGGGTACCGTTGAGGGCAGCAAGCTCACGAAGCTGGTTGCGCTTGAGTTCGTTCTGGCCTTCGGGAATGGAGGCAGCCTGTAATTATTAGCATCAGATAGGGAGTAGTATGAGGGGAGTAACTTACAGTCTCAATAACGTTGTGGATAAGCTTCTTGGCCTTGTTGACCTTCTCCTCAGTATCGGCCATGATCAAGCAGTGAAGATCTTCCTCCTGGTTGCTGGTATGAGCTGCGTCAGAGCGTCCTTTACCCTCCTTGACGGAGCCTTTGCCACGGATCGCAATCTTTGCCTGGGATTCGGTCTCCATTTTCTTGAGGGTATTTCCACGGGGGCCAATGAGTAGACCAACTGTTAGTGCAAAAAGCTGTGGTTAGTATATGATCAAGAATATGTGAGCAAAAGGGTTAGGGTTAGTGACATAGCTGTACTACAGGTGCCACTAGATGCACGTAAACATCCAGCAGTCTGAGCAGGCCGGTCAAGACAAAGGCTGGGGTAAAGCAAAACAAGGGGAGGGGAGTTAGAGGGGTTAGTTCCGTACTGAAGTTAATCTCCGGGTAATCATTGACCGGAACATAGACTTTCTCCTGTGTCTTAGTAGGCCGCCTGTAATCGGCAGGTGGGTGGTAGTTAGGAAGCGTCTTCATCGCCTTTTCGACGAGCTTGTGGCGCTCGTCTTCGAGGCGCTTGCGGTAGCGGAACTCGCGAGTGTTGACACGGCGACCGAAGTTGTCATACTGGGGTGGGGGCGAAGGAGACCTGCTCTTGTTAGTATCTTCGTAGCATCTAAGAAATGAAGACACGTACCTATCACCATCAGCTGGGACAACATCGTTGATCTTCAGCTTCTGGGTGATCTCCTCGATACGCAAATGCAGAGTGTACGCGTCCAGCTGCTCGGTGGTCATGGCGGCGTAAATAGCAGTAGGCAAGCCCATCAAGCCAGCAGCCTTGTTCTCGCTCGCGTCGCCCCATCGGTTACGCTTCTTGCGCTGTCGCGGACCGTCAGAAGAGTCTGCGACATGATTGTTAGTAAGGCGATGTGAAGATGTGTAAAGGGCTGACTTACTGCGCTCAGGGCTGCGGCCGCGCTTCAACTCAGACAAGCCCTCGGCGGGCGCAGACGGGTTGTAACCGCCATCATCATCACCGCCGAAACGACGGCGAGTACCTAGAGGTATATTGTTAGAACCGGTGATGCCCTGGTTGCGCCACGACATGGTTGCAGTTGACAAAGAGGTTACGGTTTCGATGGAGGTGTAGGGCGAGTTGAGAAAGTGGAGGGCTGTCGCGACGAGGCAAAGGTTTAGGCTAGTAGGGAGTGCGCTTGGCCACTTTAGGCTGCAGCTTACGGGTCACGTGTACCTCGATCCCACCTCTGGGCAAGAACCTCATAACTCACTTACATGTAGCTGGGGACCTGTTCTTCTTCTGGATCACCCTATCAGTGCTCTTGGCGATGGAGATATGGAGATTTTGTCTTTGCTCTATTCAAGGCCGCGTTTTGTTTGCACCATCTCAAAGGCTTCTTCAGTCATCAAGAGCTATTATTCAGTAAGCACAGTGTAAAGCAGGAGTGTCACCGACGCTCTACAGTCAACACTACGTAGGCTTTATAATGCCGACTCATCGGTAACTTCTCATGTCTCCGTGCTGCATGCTCACTTGCCGAGATCTGCTCACGTTCTCCGCCTCGCTGAACAATCGAATTAGTGCTCGCTGCCACCATTTTCGCATGCGCGGCTATTCAACCAAGTCATGTCATACAGCTCCTTGAAAACAGCTGCTCTATTCTCACAAGAGAGTTGACGTGTCATTTGTACACTAAGGCTATAGACATTACTGTCCCGAACGATGCAAACCTTAGCGATGCAACTGAAGTAATAATTCCTGTTGTTGACCACCTGGGTAGCAGTTCTTAGATACCAATGTTACTAACCACCACGGCAAAAGTTTCCAAGATTCGACGCGCTGAACCGCTTATGAATCTTCGTGATACTCGGGGTCGGCACTATTAACCAACCACCAAGCTCGATTTTCGTCCGAAGTTGCCCCTCATTACACCCCACTACTGCATCATCACAGCTGTCTGGTCATAGAGCTCCACTAAGTTAGTCCACGGGGTATATAGCCACCTAGCACAGCTCTCAAGGTTTTTTACCATACCAACTTGTAGTTCCAACTCATCGCAAACATGTCCCAACAATCTGACATCAATCTGTACACCACACAGACGCCTAATGGCATCAAGATCTCTATAACTTTGGAAGAGCTAGGGTACGTACCTTTCTGATTATGTCAAATCCTTTGTACCTTGTAGCATGTTCACAAGACACCGCCTGCAGTGTATGTTGCTGTCTTCTCTCTTCCTTCCTTCCTATGTCTTTTGTGGTTGATATGTCCCTTCGCTGTCGTCCTCGTTGCATGAGGATGCAAAGGCTTCAGGCATCCTATAATGCTTCCTTGGTGTTTTTCACTACACAACGGACGACCCGACTGTCTTACTAGATATACCTGCATTACGTCGGTGTGTGGACAACTTGCACCTCCAGTACTTGCTTAATGGGAAGCATCACACAAGATCTTGTTCAAGTATTTCTTGAATTTCGTGCTTGTGTCTTGATAGCCAGTTGTGTGGTATTGCACCGAGTTGTTAGATCCTACCCCCAGGGTAGTGATTGCTGGCAACTGAAGAAGCATGCATTCGCCATTCGCTCAGCCCACTAATATTTGCAGCCTCCCATACAAAGTTCACAAGATCGACATTTCCAAGAACACACAGAAGGAAGAATGGGTAAGTCTTCTTTCTCTTTTACACAACCATTCCAAGCTAATAATAGCTAGTTCCTGAAGATCAATCCCAATGGGCGAATCCCCGCGCTTACCGATACCTTCACCGATGGCCAAATTATCAATCTCTTCGAGTCCGGAAGCATCATGGAATATCTCGTCGACCGCTACGACCCAGAGCATAAGATCAGCTTCCCCAAGGGCACACGTGAATGGTATGCCATGAAGAACTGGCTCTACTTCCAAAATGCCGGTGTTGGGCCCATGCAGGGTCAAGCTAGTAAGTGTGTTTTCTTTTGTTCCTATCGCGGGAATCCCGAGATTCTGTGGGAGTGCCACCCATTGTAATGACGATTCACTCCCACTCTTGAGACGGTGTCGTAGTTGAAAAACGTGTCAGGAGCAGAGCTGGATGGCCGTTGTACATGGTGAGATGAGTGGTTTGCGACGTAGCCGCGGAGTGGATCGTGCTGTGATCGTAACTCATATCGATTTCATCCTTCGAAGCGAGCTACCTGCGTCGCTTGAAAGACTTTCTCGAGATGCCAAGATGATCTCATGGCTGTCGATTCCGATGTGGAGGCTCTGATCCCGGTGTGGGGGAGATTCCTGGAAGACCTTTTCCGTCGAAGACACGATGTCTGAAGACATGGAATACTGTCTCTCCAGCTTCAAATCAGTCTATAGTGCTGCGATTGAGCCAGAATGATGATGCCAGTTGGTGCAGCAGGCTAACCCCAACCACAGACCATTTTACGCGGTATGCACCTGAGCACATTGAGTACGGTGTCAACCGATACCAGAATGAGACTCGTCGTCTATACTCCGTGCTCGACAAGCACCTTGCCGCAGACAACAAGCCCTATCTGTGTGGCGAGAAATGCACGATTGCTGGTAAGCACTTCTTTCGTCAATCCTTACTCGTCGAGTTCTTTGTGTTCTGTGTTCTTTATCCATGGACTGCAGCCTCATTTACGAGACGGGTGTCCAATTGGCTCATATTGCATTCACATCGCCATTTCCTCCCCAACATGCACACGCAGTTTGCACACTCCAGGATGACTATAGTATTATGCGATAACACATCCCAGATATCTCCCACTATGGATGGGTCGCTGCCGCCGGTTGGGCAGGCATCAATATCGATGAGTTCCCCTCGCTCAAAGCCTGGGAAGAGCGCATGACATCGCGCCCAGGTGTTGAGAAGGGTCGTCACGTACCTGACCTTCACTCCATCAAGGAGCTTCTCCAAGACAAGGACAAGATGGAAAAGTATGCTGCCGAAAGCCGCAAATGGATTCAGGGAGGCATGAAGCAGGATGCCGAGAAGCAAAAGTAAGTGCTTTTGCTTTTTCCAAACGGCGAACCTGGGACATTGGTCGCAGTGTAAGTAGGGATAGTAGTGATTCATGTGGAAGTTACTAGGGTATTGTTTGCCCAATCGCATCGCACAGCTCTTCATGTTGAGCCAATCGCATCTCTAGTTTTTCTCTTAGTGCACCATGACCCCGAACCCGAGCTTGTAACACTGTCATCTTAGGCAGCGGATTCGTTCATGCCAGCTAACACCCCCAAGTTCCAAACTATAGACTACATTGCGCCACCATCGCAGCACCGGCGCAACACTGCAGGTACCATCTTGCGAAACGCAAATCTAATCAGGACATCCTGTATCATTTCCAATGCTCGTTTGTGACGATGACCCACTTGGAACTTTTACGTCTTGGCATTTTCTCGCGCGGGCTCGGGTGAGTTTCAAGACCATCATCATTTTGCCTAGTCACAAAACCGCACCAACGCTTTAAACCTAAAAGGCCAAGTACACGCGAGCTGCCAAGCCTGTCAATAAAGTAGGGGATATCCAGGCTGGCAAGCTTGGTTGCGTAATATTCAGTCATCAGGGGTACGACTCAGAAATGATCGATGGGAAGCGGGCTCATCACGGTTCACGGGATATTGCACTAGCACAATACCAGCTGCTATTTGCGAAGCATGGTCCGTTGATGGTCCCGTATACCACCGCGGACGCTCCGATTTCCGTCGAAGTTGCACATTTGTCCGTCTGAAACGTTCGAGAGGCAGCTTCCAAGGTTTTGTTAGAGTTGGGAAACTCACCGTACGAAGTTGGGACTGAGGATCGCTTGTATACTAGCGATAGTAGTGCTAGGTAGCCTAGAGTCAAGTCGGCGTCCCCCAGAGTACGCTACGGCGAAGTGCCGAACCAACTAACTGCACTTCCAAACTTGAAAAAAAAAGAACTTAACGATGACTGCTGACTGCCCTACACGCGTGTATCGTGAGTCTGGATTCAATAGACACCGATCCGGTGACCAGCACTTGCTGAAGGGACCAAGCTCCGGTGACTGGTTGCTCCAATGCGCATGGGCTAATGCCCACCGCTTAGGTGGCTGAAGGAACGCGGACGGCATCGCCTGTTGCCGTGACGGTGGGTATGCGGTGACACCCGCTCGAAACTTGGACGACTCAGCCATCAGCTCAGCTATCATATAATAGATCGCTGTACTGAAAGCGCGCACATGGCTCAATCATATCCGTCTCAGAGATATAAAGTTGCCTGAGCATCGTGAGAACCAGCTCATCCGGCGAGTCCGTGAGGGGATGAACATAGTCGCGGATACGGATGGCTTTGCCCTCCGAATTACCTCTCCCAAGGGCTTGGGGAAGGACTAGTCGTGTTCCTTGAACAAGTGCGAGGACTGCTGACTGGTTTGATGAAGGGCGGACACGCAGTGTTTATCACTTCAGGGGATCATGTATATCGCCCCGGGTTTGTGCAGAGCACCTGCAGCTCACCCACAGTGCCACAGTGGTGCCTGCCTGTATCAGCAGGACGGACTATTCTAAGCCACCAACGGGCGTGCTCCCTCTCAACAGTTCCTTCTCTATCCGTCAGTCTGGCAGCGACTTGCGTCCCGCAACACCCACACTTACCCTCTCCCCGCATTAATACTCGATGAGCTGCATGCTGCATGATCGCGAGGAGCTCGGCGGCGGCGGCAACGACGGTTGAGCTCGCTTCAAATGAGCCGGTTAAGCCTCAAGGGTTTGAGGGAGCCTGATCCCCAAACTGTGAGGTTTCGAGCCGTAGCTGCTACACTACGGCTATTTCGCCTTTGCCATAGCCGCCACGGTAGGCGGCGCCCCCACAAACCTCTCACGGCTCGATCTCAACGGTGAATATCGTAGAACATAGTTGATCAAGGCGGGTCATAAGACTGACAGGGCAGACAAGCATCGTGTTTGTGAAGCGGAGGGCCCGACCGCTCAGCCGACGCGGTCACTTCCCCAGATTTTGGTGTAGGTCACGATCCCGTCTTTACTGGCTAGGGAATCTGGGGTACATAAGAGAGGCAAGTCCTTGTACATACCATAGAATCCAATGAGTGACTCTGGACCTCCCAGACAGTAGTTTTCAGTGTGTACAGTGCAAACGTGATCCTGATAAAATTCAGCTATGTTTGACGACAAGTAGCTCGATGTTAGAGGCTTGAGCTTGCAGTCATTGCAAAGAGTCCTAGAGTATGTCCCATCCTTATTGAACAACCTCTGTGTGTGGGTGGAATAATCTCGTTCCATATTGCTGCAAAAGAACCAGAACTTAGCAGATTCGTGCGGGGATCCGACCTGTGAGTGGTGAGATTCTCAGGGCGAGTGAAGTGTCGCAAGCTCACAAAAAGCCTCGTCGCCCCGAAATGCGAGCGCAAACGTGTGTGGAAGCCCCGAGCCTCATTCTCCCTTCGTGGGGAGGTATAGCCTTCAATAGCTCAGCGGCGCCAGACAGTCTGACATTCAGTGATTCATGAGTCCTCTGTGGGTGGGATTCTGCATCAGCTTGACTCCTACAGAGATAGGGAGGCCAAAGCTGTATGGTCACACCTCTCGGGGCTTGATAAAAAGAGAGTGACTATTGGCGCCTGTATGCAGGCGACGGGACCCAGAAGGCACAGATTGGTCACCCTTTCGAGGCCAGAGTGAAGGGGCCTTGTCGTTATGCATGTTCATTGTGCGGGCCCTCGTACTGGAACCTGCAGACGTATTGCGGACCCCCCTCCTCGGTCACAACATGCAGCCTCTCAAGATGAAGCAATCTTACTGTCTACCGGTAGGACCGGCGAAACTATCAGTTCGGTGGTGATGCAGCACCTAGCATTGTACGAGGCTGTGGGCTAGTTCAACGGCCCGGCAGGCGCTGCCCTCGTCTCGGTGTGGATCAAACTCTCAGCATGTGACGACTAAACAGGACAGATTTATGAAGATCGTTGACAGTGGGCACGGAGCCATGAAGCAGTGTCATCCCTTTCAATCGGCCAACAAGTTTCAGTTGAGGAGAGTTTTGTTCAACATATGGTGCCCACGTGGGGCTGAAAACTCAGCTTGAAGATTTTGATGATGCGGTCAAGTTACAAAATGAAGCTCGCAAGTCTGAGTCTTCTAGAACTCCTGTTGTAGCTCGTACCTGAGATAAGCGCGGGATGCCTAACAATTCTCCGTCCCAAGAAGATTTAAGCGGATCCAACGTTATATTCTGTTGCAGAACTATTGTGGCCAGCTCCTTAGTAGTTGGACCGTTCGCATTGTTGGTGTGCTGGCAAGGGACTACACGGCCAGTTTGCGGTGTTGCGCATATAGACGAGAAACGGTGACGTTGAGCCGACCACATATCGGAGTTGGGTTCACACAGCCACTACAAGTTCGCTTAGAGACCAGGCTTGCTCGGCTTCTCCTGCATGGCGGGGACAGCAATGCCACAGAACAAAGTTTGACCATAATCCGCCGACACAATTAGCGCATGCTTCAACCAACGTATGTATCGGTGTATATACTCGAGTTAGCAGATAGACCATGTTCAGTACTAATGACTCCTTTGTGGATACCGAAATACAAGCCAGTCCTCGGGTCGAGACTCACGCTCGGTCCCTAGGTGAGTGGAACCAGGTGTGGATATCGTCGGGCGTAGCGCAAAGGTCGTGCCATGCCTTCACGAGAAGATCGTTGTCGGTATCAGGTATCGGGTTTCAGGTGCCATGGCGGCGTGCATATTCTGACGTCCTGACGTCTGGTCCTTGATCGCTATGGATACGCCAATGACGGTCAGGTACCGCAAAACGGGACGGACGCTGTTTCAGCAGATGGTGGCATTCCAAACCAGCAGAACTCCAACTGTGGCGCCAAATATCGGCGAAGGGGAGGTATACCAGGCGTAATACGATGATATCTCCGACGCTGATGTTGCGCAAGAGTGCCTCGGGAGTGTTATTATGGTCAGGCGCTACAAGCCACAACCTGGAGAAGCTGCCAGGACTTATTGGTAGTTTGAGCAGGCAAGGATTGGCGGGAAGCTGACGTGCGGTGTGAACTTCGAAGAAGCGGGGCTCTTTGCGGTTCGCTCCTAGCGCCGACTTTGAGAAGCGCATCTCCCACCGGTTAATCTGCATTTAGCCATGCTCGAATCATGCGAAAGGATTTTCTGACCCTTGCCACGGTCCCCTGCTACGGCGTTCCTGACCCTTGCCACGTCTTGCCCCAGAGCCTGGTTGCCGTAGCCAATGGGTCGTAGCTTTCATACATCCATGAATGCTCGAATTAAACATTGCGTCTTCTGATATTGCACTCCAGTTGATCTCGCTTCTCGAAGCCCGCGTGGACGCATGGAATCTTCAAGCCACAGATCGTCACACTGACCCTTGGAATCGTCTTTGCAGCTTAGGACATCTTACAGACGGGGTGTACCCTCGGCACCTAAAGCTTTGTCGGAGGCCCACATATGCTCCCCAAGTATCGCATGACCCGTGGTCGTCCCCAGATTTCCGGCTACCGACTCCTTCGTCTTCAAGTACTCCCGCGACGTCACCCGCGCGCACCAACTGCCGTTCCTTCGAATTCACAGGTCTCGAATTAGGTTGCCACATTGGAGGAAAGCAGTATGTCGGCGATGTTCGGTGGGGGCCGGCCGGTGCTAATCTCATGTAGGGACCAGTTGAAGTCATAACCGTCACCTCAACCAACAGACGTAGCTATGGAGACCACGACAGCAGAAACACCCAAGCTTGAGCGTCGAAGCTCAGCACCAGTGAAGCGGAGAGTTAGCCGAGCATGCGATCATTGCCACCGAATGCGAACAAGATGCAACGGCCAAGCTCCGTGCTCGCGCTGCATTGAGCTCGAATACGTCTGCCAGTACAACCGTGAAAAGAAACGACGCGGAAAAGTAAGCAACTCTAGCTGACAACATTCCCCTGACCCAACAAAATGGATATAAGCCCGCACATACATTGCGACTATCCTGTGTATAGAGTCGCTGACGAGTTGCAGGTTCCAAGGCATATCCAGAAGCAGAGAGAAGAGGCTGCTGCTGGTGGCAGCCCGCAAACTCCCAATGGCATTTCCAGTTATTACGAGAGGCCGGTGATGGCCGAGATGGATGAAGATGTTTGGTCGCAATCAGAAGCGACGCCCGTCGTACAACATTTCCCAGCCAGCAAAGGTGGTCTGCCTGCGGGTGATTGGCAAGCTCTAAACCCTAGCACGACATTCGATCCACCTGTCAACCACATGATGATCGACCCATTACTCCTTGGTTCTAACGCTGCATACCCAACAATGCATGCCGAGATGCCTCGCGAAGAGCTCATGTATGCCATGAATGGTACGTACGATGGACGGGCCCGGAGTACTTCGCACAACTCCCAGTCTGTGTACATGTCTCGTTTATCTCGTATGTTACTCGAAATGCTTCTTGCGTATTGCGATACGTGTTGGATTGGAAGAGTTGCTGACAGCCATAGGCATGCATCTCATCCCCGGCCCCAACGGAACACCGGTTTCGATTCCCCCTGAGTACGCCAACATGGCGTATCCAATGCAGTACCAACAAGCTGCAAGGCAATCGTCGCCTCGTAGCTATGGTTCCGTCGACACAGGATCGCCGCAGTCAGGAGTCAGCGCGAACTCTTCGCAAAACGGCGCTGCCATGGCCGCCTGCAGATACCCAGTCTTGGGACCGCTGCTCCCCCACCTAGGACCAATACTGAATGTCACCACCGCATGTGACCTGCTCGAATTTTACTTCCAAAGTTCTTCATCAGTATTCATGGAACCAGTTTCGCCGTACATTCTCGGGTCCGTCTTTAGGAAGCGAAGTTTCCTCCGGCAACACAAACCGAGAAAATGCAGTCCCGCTCTGCTCTCGAGCATGCTCTGGGTCGCCGCCCAGACGAGTGAAGCGAGTTACCTCACTTCTTCGCCGTCAGCAAGAGCAATCATTAGCCAGAAATTGTGGAAGTTGACTGTGGATTTACTCAAGCCTCTCGTTCATTCTCCATCCTCGCACGGATTCGCACCAGGACCCGGACTGACATCTGCCGCACACGACGCTTTCGGAGTTGATCGAGCAATAGGACGCTACGATGGAAGACCCGACGGAGCAATGCCGCCTACCAGTACTTTAGATGATGTTGCCACATACATCAACCTTGGAGTAGTCACATCCGCAAGCGAATACAAGGCGGCTTCCCTGCGGTGGTGGAACGCGGCGTGGTCGTTGGCTCGAGAGCTCAAACTAGGCCGAGAACTGCCACAAGGACCTGTTAAGGAACGGGAGACGACTGCAACAGATGGGGAAATTGAGGTGGGCATGTCGGATGGCTCCAGTACACAAGCGCCTGTGGGCACACCATCCGCGGCAGTTGTGGAAGAAATGAAAGAGGAGAGGCGTCGACTGTGGTGGTTGCTGTACATGGTTGATCGGCACCTTGGACTTTGCTACAATCGCCCGCTGGCCATGCTTGATAACGAGTGCGAGGATTTGTTCCAGCCAGTTCCGGACACGCTCTGGCAAGCGGGCGAGTTCTACACGGGCCATCCAGGACCGCGAAAACGGGGACTCAACTTCGAGTGCACATCGTATGTATAACCCGCAACTGAAAGACGCCGCTGCCAGGTGATCTTTTAGCGCAGCCTGAAGTGCCCAAGGATTATGCTGATTTATACAGACACGACATATTCGGATTCTTTCTGCCATTAATGACAATCCTCGGAGATATCGTCGATCTAAATGCCCAGAAGAACCACCCAAGGTTCGGTCAGCGGACGTCCTGGGAACTTCACGAGGCAGAAATCACCCGTCAATTGGAACGGTACGCGTACAGCATCGAAGATTTCAAGGCACAACACGGCTGCGGCTCAAATGAGGAAGCCCAATCCAACAGCACACCCGACCCAGTCCGTAGCGAGTGGATTCACCAGACCAGGAAAGTGGCAGCCTATGCCACACACATAATGCATGTGTTGCATATTCTGTTACACGGCAAATGGGATCCGGTGGCACTCCTAGAGGACGACAACATGTGGATATGCTCGCAGTCCTTCCTTGCGGCAACATCCAACGCGATATCAGCTGCGCATGCAGTTGAGGTAATACTAGACGTTGACCCGGATCTGTCCTTTATGCCCTACTTGTTCGGCATGTATCTTCTGCAAGGAAGTCTTATCCTGCTTCTCTTAGCCGACAAGCTTTCGACCGAGACCAACGAGGGTGTCATTCGGGCCTGCGAAACGATTGTTCGGGCGCATGAGGCTGCCGTAGTGACTCTCAATACGGAATATCAGGTAAGCTGCTCTTTTCACAGTTTCTGGCCATTACAGTGCTGACTGAACGCAGAGAAACTTCCGCAAAGTAATGATCTCGACATTAGCGCAGATCAAAGGCCATGGGCACGCAAGAGAGATGACGCCTGCGAAAAGGCGAGAAGTATTATCTTTATATCGCTGGACGAGTTTGGGGAACGGGTTGGCGATATAAGTGAGCTGCAATGCATTCAAAAGCTGGTGGTAGATTCCGGCATCTGGAGCGACTCGCACAAGCCTGCGGACTGTATATCTGGCTGGGTCGTTGTACAACTATGGTCTTCTTTTCTATGCGTGGTTATGAAAACACGTGAACGGACGCATAACTTTAGCTGCGTGCGGCTGTATATAGCGCTTTTTGAGCGATTGGCTGTGCTGCAAGGTCAGCAAACCGTAAATACTATTCAAAGTACCAACGTGAACTCAATAACTATCCGATAGTTAATGCGCGTATATGCTGCGTCACGATCACAGACAAACTTGAATATGCAGGACTGCCGTGAACGCGCCGGCTGTGGTAGTTACCGCGACTGCCGCTCGGGCAGAAAAGGAATAACGACGGCGAAACGTTGGCGTTCGACCTAGATTTTACGCTTGATCTCCCGATCGCCGAGGCAAGGATGCTGCTTTGCTTGTCGCTAGGGTAGCCAGGTTCTAGATGCGACGTAATTATTGAGGTGGCAGCAAGTAGCCGCCCGAGACGAGGCTGTAAGAGAAAAACCAAATGAAGGTGGAGCGAGAAACTGTTTCTGTCGTGTGAGAGTCACAAGGAAGATGCCGCAAGGGCAGTCGCAACCCTCCGAGGTTCCTCCTCAAGCGCTGCCGATTCTGACGTAGTGCGCTTACTCAAACTAAACTCCGCGATGAGAACAACCAAGTAGGATATCTATTATAGTACGGTTATATACAGCGACGAAAGCACCGTAAATGCAGACACGTGCTTTTACCCCCGAGTGTCAACAAAGTGTGTGCGAAGAAAGCATAACGCAACTCATCATGAACGTAACGAGACACAACGTAAAGTAACTATAACTTCTTCTCTACCTCCATGACCTCCTTGATACCCTCTGCAACCGCATCGACCTTCTCTTGCGGGAGCCTCTTGAGTGGCTTGCGGGGGTATCCGCCGTAGCCGTAATATGATTGAATTGCTGACTTGGTTCCAGGAATAGCGGCTTTTGTGAGGACCCAGTCGCCTTTGCTGAGCACCTTTTGTAGCTCAATGGCCTCATCGTATTTTCCTTCTGCCCACAGGTTCCAGACCTTGACGCATGTCTTCGGGAGGACATTGGCACCACCAGCGATGATTCCTGATCCGCCGCTAGCGGCAGTCTGAGCTGTGAAATCGGCCATGCCACCAAAGGCCATGTAGCCACTACCGTTGCTCTTCTGTGTGCAGGCGTTGGTAGCAAGAGCAACACGAGTGAGCTTTCCAGTGTTACCGCATGTGAATTTGGTACCGACAATGTTAGGGTGCTTGCCAAGCTTGATGATGAGGTCGCTGTCCATATCGATACCGGCAACGGCTCCAGGGTAGTTGTAAAGAATTATTGGGAGTGGTGAGCCGTCTGCGACCTTTGTGAAGTACTCGTAGATGGCCTCTTCGTCCATGGCATAGCGGTAGTAGCTGGGAGGGACAGTAAGAACGTACTCGCCGCCCGCCGCCTCTGCTTCTTTGCAAAGCTCGATGGTGAGCTTGATACCGTGTTCAGAAGCTCCAACGATGACTGGGACGTTTTGGTAGCCGGCCTCGTCGAGGGCCTCACGAGTTGCTCGCGTGACGGCGGTCTTCTCAGCCCGTGACAGGTGAACAGCTTCTCCGTTGGATCCCATGGTAACGAGACCGACAAGACCTGCTTCGGCTAGTCGTACTGCATGCTTCTTGATAGTGGGGATATCTAGCTCCTCGGTCTCTGGGTCGAAGAAAGTCATAGTGGGCGAGTAGATACCCGGTCGAAGAGGAGTACGTTCCTTGGAGTGGCCATTGGCCCCGTTACCGTTTGCTGCCATGTTTGGAGTATGTCCGATCAAGAAGAACTGGAGATTGTAGAAGAAGAAGGCGGGCTATCTACAAAAATGGAATTTTCGGGAAAGAGGAAAGGGTGAACAATGTTGATGAACCAAGTACGGGTTCGGTCAGCTTTAATATAGCAGCGAGATGGAGGCAATCGGCGCAAAGCAAGTCAGAGGAGCTAAGTTCGGCAGAGCTCATGTCTCATCCCACTTTGACTGGCGTGTCTCAGTGGCTCTACTGTAGTCAAGATCTCGTCAAATGCACATCGGTGATTCGCCAAGGGCAGCGACAGCGAGGGCTAGACTGGAGTTTGGGTGCAGGGCTGTGGGCCATCTGGCGAGCTCGGGACACCACTGCGCGAAATGCGGGACATTCTGCAGCCTTTTCTATGGGAGTGACTAAAATCGGCGGTTGTGTGATGGGATAGAGCTGCACCTGGGGCAGGGATAGCTGTCGAACATAGTGGCACAGCATGGCCATGTTGGACGGGTGGCATTCTTCCACCTATCAAGCGCGGGGCCACGCGTGGGGGCTGCCACTGTCCCTCTTTGCTTGGCCCTGGGGAAGTTCGCTACCCCTCGGAGACAATAAACTCCAGCAACCGCGCACAACCCAAGAGCTTTCTCCAAGACAACCCCGAAATTGTTGAGACCAGTCTGGCTGTCTCATAGATGGCTTGGAGACGCCACAGTTGTCGGAAACGGGCGCAAAACAACCGCCATCAGCAAGACACAGCCCCCACCACGACCAAAGGTCTCGAATAATGTAACGTCATCCGGCCGCGGCTGCCGGCAGAACGCGTGAGGGCCTCGTGCCCCTCATCGCGTTGCTGGGCCATATATTTTCCGTCGCTATCGATAAGTAGTCAAAGGCCGACGAAGCTATGTCGGGTATTGAGCGAGCGCATCCCCTTCAATTCACCTCTTGTGTCGTCCCATCTTCCTCGAAAACACGATAGTAGTTGAGAACGGTCTCACTTCACCCTTACACACATTCAGGTCTTCAAGAAACGGTCATTATGGCGCCTGTAGAAGTACTCATGGTATGTTGCCCCTCACCAACAACCCAATCGCTGCTCTCTTGCTCTCTTGCTTCTGTGCCATGACGCGTTTCAAGGCTAATTGAAAGTCTAGGTCGGTACTGGAGAGTACACGACAGGATTCGTGGGAGGAGGCGCCTCCAAGTCAGACAAGAAGGTCGGTGTCGTAGGATTGACGCTGTTCGACCTCCGAAGACGCGGCAAGGTGGGCAAGCTATCAATGGTTGGCACATCGGGCGGCAAATTCCCCGCAATCCGTGAGTTGCACAGCGTCTGGACTGTTCTACCCTATGCGGCATGCTGATCTCTACCAGGCGAGCATCTCCAGAAGAACATTTCCGAAGCATACAACAACTTGGACGTGTCATTCGAGGAATTCCCCAAAGAAGGGAAGACCGACCCGAACGCGTACAAGGCCGCGATTGACGCGCTTCCCAAGGGTAGTGCCAGTGAGTTGCAGCCCACATCGGCTCAATTCTCTACTTTCGTTGACATCTCTTAGTCACCATTTTCACACCTGACACTACTCACTACCCGATCGCTTTGTACGCCATCGAACGCGGAATCCACGTCCTCATAACAAAGCCTGCAGTGAAGTTACTGGAACATCACCAGGAGCTTCTGGCAGCCGCCAAGAAACATAATGTCTTCGTCTACATTGAGCATCACAAGCGATACGATCCCGCATACGCGGATGCGCGTTTCAGAGCGCAGAAGTTGGGCGACTTCAACTACTTCTACTCCTACATGAGCCAGCCCAAGTATGTTTGACCTCATGAACGCGAAAACAACAATAGCTGACAATACAACTAGGAGTCAACTGGAGACGTTCAAAGCGTGGGCAGGTATTGATTCCGACATCTCCTACTACCTCAATTCTCACCACATCGACATTAACGAGTCTATGATTCCCGACTGGAAGCCGGTACGCGTTATGGCCAGTGCCGCAAAGGGCATTGCGACGGGGTTAGGATGCGACCCTGCCACCGAGGACACTATTACACTGCTCACCAACTGGGTGAAGAAAGATGACCCTAGTAAGGTCGGAACCGGTGTCTACACAGCTGGCTGGGCAGCACCACAGAAAGCCGGTGTACACTCGAATCAATACTTCCACTACATGGCGTCGACAGGAGAGATTCGTGTCAACCAGGCCAAGCGCGGCTACGATGTTACCGATGATGAGGGTGGTCTCCTTTGGTACAATCCGTGAGTTGAAGCACCAAAACCTTATCAATTCGCGTACTGATCACCTTCAGATTCTACATGAAGTACGCTCCAGATGAGGAGGGTAACTTCGCAGGCCAGATTGGCTACGGTTACATCTCATTTGAGAAGTTCATTGATGCTGTCAACAAGCTCAACGCAGGCGAGGTCACACTTGACCAACTAGACGCGCGACCGCTACCAACTTTGAAGAACACTATCGCGACGACTGCAATTCTCGAAGCTGGCAGGAGGTCGCTCGACGAGAACCGACCTATTGACATCATCGAGGAAAACGGTGTCTGGTCTTTGAAGTAGTTCAGTTTTGTCAACCAAAAGCGATATGTCACTGCTCAACTGGGCGCGAATCTCATATCCTTTCTAGTTAGTGTCTTGCTTGACTATGCCCTGCTTACCTTTAGCCTAAGTCACACCTTCACTGTTTACTTATCAGCCACTGATCGCTAGCTTGACGTGATCGTCGCATCCGTGATGGTGCGGTTCCACGTGGTTACTGACACGCCGTTGCTGGGCTCCACCCCCACAACGCCAGGTTACCAGATAGTCAGACCCGTAGACAAGGTCATGGCAAGGTCAAGGGTCTCCACAAAGTGGCGTACGTAAAAACCAGGGCCTCTGAAAATCGGGAGATCCTCGGGTGCTCTAGTCAGTTTCCGCGACAGGTTCGGGCGAACGTCCACCGAGCGGATAGGCTAGGGAGGACCCGAGACCGAGACATCCACTCCGACTCCGACACTTTGTCTCCCTGATTACTGACTCTCTTCCCTAGTGTAGCACAGGCCGATGGCTGGCTATCCTAGCTCAGATCTGTGGAAGGCTTTTTCGTCGTTGTTTCGAACTTTAATCCGACGTCGAAAATGTCAACTTAGATCCGACGTCGTGAGTACCTTTGGCCTCAGGCTCCAGGGCCATTATTCTCCCATAGGAAGATGTATGTAAATATGTAGCGAGACTCATTTGGTACTTACTCCTTGTACTTGTTTAGGTTTGTGCAAAATGCAATGCCACTCGATGATTCTTCGTTTAGTGATCAAGGGGTTATCACAGCCACAACAGCCACAACAGCCACAACAGCCACAACAGCCACAACAGCCACAAAGCACTGCTTCATTGATACAATGCTTTTGATAGCTCTTCAGACGAATTTCATATATCAACGAGTATGAGAACACGTTATTGATGCACCTCTCGCAGCTACAATTTTGGCAACTCCATCATAAACACACCTCCGTTGTCCGAAGAGGCAAAGGTTCTGTAATGGAAGGTCAACGCGCACAACTGCTACAAAATGTCAAGAATATGTCGACAGCGCTTGCAAAAATCGATCAAGAGCTACTGGATGCCTTCTTGGCGCAAGGGCGTTCCCAATTAAACCTGTCCGAGGGCATATTGACCAACTACGTTCGCTCACAAGATACGTACACCGCCCGGCCGAACCACGATTAAAAACGCTTCCTTCACCAAAATCCATCAAGACGGAAGCCAGTCCCGATGGTTCTACGATGAGATTACAGATACTGGTCTCCATGCTCTCCAGCGCATTGTTCGATGTGAAGACTATAACATCGCCACTCTCGGTACGGGCATGGTCTGGGAATTGTACCAGAATGACGCTGAAGAAACCGCGACTACACTACCTACGGAGCAGCTACAAAAGAGAGTGGGAAAGAAACAGCTCATTATAAATCCCATAAATAACGCCTTGAGAGAAGCCCGCAAGGCTTCTAATAAAGGCCAGGCGTCCGGTTCGCACTGGACTATCATGGTCATCGATTACCACCAGTCCACCATCCATACACTACACTACGACTCAAAGAAATCCGATAGCATGGGCGAAGAATTTTGCAGCTGCCAGGGTATTGCTTCGAGGTTTTGGCAGACTTTGTGCAGTAACACGACCGGACTACAATTCCAGCCAGGAGACACTCGAGGCTATCCTCCACCGAGAGTGACGAACTTCTAGCCAGGACCGTGATAATGAGTGTAAAGCTGATGCTGATAGCGCTTGTGGACCTTTTGTATAAGGCTTTGCGAAAGAGGTTGCACAGTATATCGTTGAATGTCACGAAGATGTTCATCGTTCAGATAGACATGTTGGCATTGACATCACTTTGCCCGATGGCTTTGCGCAACACTGGGAATGGGATTCCGGGGACATGCGGAGGAGTTTGAAGATATTACTCGAACGGGAAAGAAAGTCGAGGATTCGGCTCATGGGTACGCATAACTGATTCAACGCGGGGGAACATCTTGGGTGGAAGGATTGGCTGTTGGCAAGGAAGGCACATATCTCGTCGGATTATTTATGGGATTCTTGGCGCGGCGTGCAAGACTGAGAGTTGGTATGCGGCTTCCATAGAATATGGCAGGCCTGTTATCGTGACGCAGTTGCCCAACCAAAATGGGCTACCGCATATGGTGGCATCGAAACGTCAGATTACTGTCCTCATCTCCAGCCTCCTCACGTCAAACTTCGCTTCAGCAATAGAGTATCAGAACCTTCGTACCGGGACAATGCTGACGTCTCCATGAGAATGGAATCCCCCTGACAAGTGTCAGATGCTATACGAACCGGCGAACGACTCCCGTCAGGGCCGACATCCGGTCGTCAGCATCCTCGTATAGCCACGAGACCACCCGCAGATCCTTGAACGGTGTTCACGTCATTCCCGTAGCACCAAGGCGCATTTCGTTCTTCATAACTTTCAACCGTGCTATTCGCTGAGGTTAAGTTGACTCTATAGCACGCAATACATCGCCAAGAGTTTGATATTACTGAGTAATAAAGTCACCTTTAGTAAGAGGACGTTGAGAGATTTTAGTTGCCGCATATGGAAAAGTTCGCCAATTTGAAGGTCTGAGTTATAGGGCTGAGAACTGATTTGAGCTACGAGGTGAGCAGGACGGCACAGTGTTCTTCACGTTGCGTTGTTGACAAGGAAGTTGCACTGTCTATAAGGGATTTCCTTCCATTTCCCATCAAGGATGGGTATGCCGCAGGACTGGACAAAGCCGGGTGTCTGCAAAGTTGTCAGACAGTTAGAGGTTAAGACGTATGGCACGCATTGGTCCTTATGATTGTCAATTGTCGCACAGCAAAGATGCCGGCACTATATCTGGATTCGCTGCGTTGCAATGCAAATCATGGAATGAGCTCAAATATGCGCGTTGCGGAACATATGGTGATGGGCTTGCGACTCCTTTTGCAACGAAGTTCGATAATGTAGGTAAGCTCGAAGATACTACCTTCTACGTCGATGCAAATACACTTTTGCGAAGAAACAACAACATAAGTGGGGAGGAAAAATACATGAGCGCTTGTAGATCCGTCTCATCCAACCCTTCTTCCTCAACCACGAATTCCACCCAGCCGCGCCACCCCCCGGTGTCAGAACTCCACCACGCCATCCATCCATGCCGAGTTACGATTCCATCATTTCTTCGCCTTCCACTCTCGAAACATAAGATTCCTAATCGCTCTGCGCATCTTCGTTGAATCCCGATTCCTATGACGCTGGTAGTCCAAAAGGTAGGAGAGAATCGATGGATTCATCATTCGAGAAGTTGGGATCTCTACGAAAGTCGACAATGTATTGCGTAATCTCCTTGCTCCTTTCGAAAAAGAAGGAGCCGCACGCACCCCAGCCGTTATTGTCGCTGCTGACGCTCTCGAGGCCTTGGTTGGGATCGTGCGGATCGAGGGCAACCCAGAGCTCATTGTTTTCGAAGCGCCCGGGCTGTAAGTCGTCGAAGATCGTTCCAATATCAGCTAAAACTGCTCTGTCTGCGTTGGCGTTACTTGATCGCTCGACTGCATCGTGACGTGAGGACCTAGCGGATGCGTTATAGCTAGCGTCAAAGTAGTGACCTCTGATGATGCTATGGCAGCAGTCAAAACAGAGGAGAGACCAGTGGTGGTTTCGATTTAACGTGAGATATTTGGCATCTTTGATAATATTTCTATTAACTGCTTGATGCCGAAGTTCTTGCTCGATACCAGTCTTGTAAGCGTCCTTGTAGGCAACGCTGATCGGTACTAAGATGATGTCTCTGTCTCTGCAGTTGTCCGCTAAAATCTTATCGTACTGGATTTGTAGTCTACATCGGAGTCTCTACTTATTCCTGGCAATGGTGTAGAACTCGTTGCCACGGCCAACGCAGCAGATTGCAATCCTATATTTTTTGGCGGTTGACTGCTCGCTCCTACAGATCCAGAGATGCATCCATATGGCTGTCGTGAAATCAGCCGTCTCCACCATCAAGTGTGAGGAAGTTGAGAAACTGCTGCTTGTCGATCGATGTACTCGCCGTTTCGAGGGCAGTATAACCAGGCATTCCTGTTGGAGTGTAGCCGCAATTGAAGACGTCGAGCTGCTGTACATTCACAAGGGTAACTTGAGTTAACGCCTCGGTTTCTTTGAATGTACCAGTATCCTTCGATGCCTCATAGTTATTTATTCCCTGCTTGTGCTCGTCGTCCTCAACCAACAACGAATCCTTGCTCTAGGTATAAGCGGAGGAATCGACCGATCAGTGGCTACGAGACATCTCTTACCAGATCTCCGCTCTGTCGAGTGTTCTATGTTTTCTGATAGTTTCAAGAACTCCATCGTAGTCGCTGGTGGAGATGGCTGGGGAAACCAGATTATCGGTAGTTCCGCTACTGACACGATCCATCCCTGCTATCATGTGAAAGGCTTCTTTTAAAGTCGACATCAACATTGGATACATGTCCATGGTAGGGAGATCATGCTGGGCAGGTGCGTCTTCGAGACTTTGTAACGGTTGATGCTTAAGTATCATTGTCATACTGGTATCGTTACGCTAGCGAGAAATGGCCGAGTTACAATAGAGAAGATGGAAGGCTCGTATTTGGGAATTGCTGCGTTCTCGTGAAAGGCCGATGTATCTCTTGTTGAGGGCGTTGTGAGTAGGAAGGCATGATGGAACATCACTGACAGGGGAACGACAACAAAGACTAGGTCTTTTCTCCTTCGCTCCACTTCAGCAAGCGAGAAGCAAGGACATGGTAAGTCAAAGAGAGAAGAAGATACCAATACAACTGCACACTCCAAAGGCGCAGTAGATAGAAATAGAGCGAAGATCTTCGTTGATGTTGATACGCGAATCGATCGCTAGCCTCTCATCAGGGCTCTCTGCTAGATCCTGGTTCGATGCAATCTCGACAAGAAAGTAGAGCGACAACAAGGATACCATACACGTTCGCACCCCCATTACCGAACTTGGTTTCCTGCTTCACAACATCATGTAACGATGCGCAAGCCTATTCTATTTCGTCTCCCCATCTCTCTCATCTCTTACCACAGCTTAGCCAGCTTTGCCAACCTCGTCCAGCCTCGTCAACATACCCTGGACCTCTTTCACGAGGGCCTTGCGCTTGAGCCTCGCGTCTGGGTCACCCTCTGTCTCGACGCCATCCAGCTTGAAGATAATCTGTGTCAAGATGGTCTCACTCAGCTTCTTGTACTCGAAGGTCCTCTTCGCTTTGTCTTCTGGTGGGCCAGCCATGAACTGTACACACATAGGTACGAATTCGGTGTGAAACTTGCTAGCGATGGCATCGAGTTTGCCGATTGGGGTCTGAGGCTCGGCGGGTTTGGAATTCAGGGGAGGAGCGGAGGTTGGGCGTGGGGCCGCGTTGATATGCGAGGGGATGGGGAGGTACTCCGCGCCGGCGCCGGCAGTGGTATAGCCGGGTGTTGAGGTACCAGATGCGTTGGCAGACGAAGCGTGCTTCTTCTTGCCCTTCCTGCCGCCACGCTTGCGGGACTTCTTCTTGCCTGTAGTATTCGCGCCGGAGTCGACATCTTCTTCATCATCGTCTTCCTCATCTTCGCCTTCGCTGTATGCGCGTTGTGATGCCTCGCCCGAGCCTGGTGCTAGGCCGCCTACTGGTGTCTCGCCGACTGTGACCAGAATCTCACTACCACTTCCGTCGCCGCGAAGCCCTTCCTCTCGTCCGGTCCGCTCATCGTACTTGAGGTTTCTACCCTTGTAAAACATGCGTATCCGTCGATGGTCATCGACGCCCAGCTTCTTCGCGGCCGCTTGGCGCACTGTGCCAATCTTCAGATCTCCATCCCGTATGCTGTGCGCAGGAAAGTGTGTAGGGTAGTTTGTGCGCCCGTTCTTGAAGATGAGTACATCTGTTTCGCGCTCTGGATTCTTGTCGTCCCAGTCTACGATCTCGGGTGCTTGTGCCTGACCATTCCTTCGTAGGTCTTCGTTCGTGATGTATGAGAAATCGGAGTCATTGACGACGCCAGCGTTTGGCGAGTTGCCTGGACGCCCGAACGGCGAGAAGCGTCCTCCCCAGTTTCCGCCGGTGCGAGAGAACCAGGACATGGTTACGATGACGGAAGCTAGTGCGATAGCAAGTGTGGTAAGGTAGGTTGGATCGTCGAGGCGGGGATTGGTAAGAAACTCGGTGATGTCGTTGAGGCTGCGATGCTGTAGGAAGCGCACAACTTTTGAGAGCACGTCCGTGGGCTGGTTTTCGGAATCGCCTATTGAAGAAGTTGTCGTGGAACTTAGTAGTGGGCGAGAGTTGAAGAAGTTGAAGGAATTCTTCAATTCGTCGACAAGGTTACTTAGCGACGCCACGGTGGTGGTGTGAGAGTCGCCCTGCCAATGTAGCAAGGCCGTAAGTTGTCCGCGCGTACTCGAATGACGTAGTAACCTGCTAGAAAAGCCCTTGTGTGTGTAGTGGGGGCTTCTGTAAGCGTGAATTGCTGGTTGATCGGCCAAACGTATGAGCGACCTGAACGTCGGCTCGGAATCTCCGACCGCTGCACGCGAAACTCGACCCACTTCACTGCACATGTTCCTCAGCTTAGTCATGTTCGCTCTCACACTCACAACGCTCGCTTTGTCTGGGTCGTACAGCCCAGGAACACGTACCCGAAAGGTTCTTGCTATGTTTCACATTGGAAGTTTTCCTAACTGACAAGGTAATATCGAGCTTTACGGTCATGGTGCTGGGATACAACTCAGAAAGAACAACATCGTAGCGCATGATGCGCAACACATCCAACGGGTATGGCAAGAGGGATATCACGTCACCTGTCTGCGTATTCAATAGTCATGTATCATTCATTCAGTATATCATACACAAGCTAAGCTTAATCGTGAGGGACCGTTTTCGTAATATTCATTGTCCATTGGACATCTGAGATCCAGAAACAAAAGAGAAGATTTTGAGGCTCATGCCTTACGAACCAGTACGCCCCAATGCAATTATAGACCCAAATGAGAAGAAAAGAAATGTGGAAGGAACCAAGTGGCGTGAGTCGTAAGGTGATGCACAGACATCATGACCAATACGCCAGCAAATGACAGAATAGGTGGACTGAGAACAGACGTTCGCTACATCACAAGACAATGTACGTCAGCCACCACTTGTGGCGAGGATACATTCCAATAGTGCTACGCTCACAGCCCAAGGCAAGCAAGCTCAAGCTTTGTTTCGCTTGGGTGTAGCAAGGAAAGCGAGCCTTGACTTGCTGATGGCACTCGAACGTCCTGCTGGAGTGTGGCGAGGTAGCTTGCTCGTGCTGGCAGGGGTCTTCGGAGCAGGCGCAGGCGTGCGCTTCATCTTCTTGTTGGAGCGTGTATCGTCTTGGTTGGGCCCGTCGTTTTCTTTGTCAGACGTCTCTTGGAGGGTCTCTAGCTTGCGCTTTGTGCCGTCAACAAGTGAAGATACATTGCTTTCACGAACCATGCGAATCGTGCCAGACGATGTAGGGCCTAAACAAGTCAGTAAATGAAAGGAGAACTGAAGCAGGGCAATGTACGTACCAAAGTTGACAGCCTTGCCAGACTCGAAGGAGAAAGAACGAGGGTGGTTAGGAGTCTCGCCACCAAACGTGAGACGCCTTGACGGAGACGCTGTAAGAGTCTCAATCTCTTGAGAAAGGTCTGGGTGCTGTGCACCTGAGCCTAGACTAGGGTAGATCACGACACCAGCAGGAACCTCACTGCCTGCCCTGAACTTCATTGGCGACGGTGATTTACCCAGCTCGTCGTGTGATGCACGCTCCAAGGTACTACTGCTGAAGTTGACTTGTTTCTTAACAGGAGCTGTAGCAGGAATTGCAGGCAGAGCGTTCTCGAAGTTTGAAGCTGGAGGCGACACATGAGTGCCTGCCGCGATCTTGCTGGGGTCGTCCGAGAACTTGCGGTTTGGCGTACGGAGAATCGACCGAACACGCTGAAGGTTCTGGCTCGCCTGCTATTGTTAGCAAATACTTGAGATGATATCCAAGAATACACGTACCTTGCGCATGCTGTCACGTGCTCCATCCCTCATAGCCTGCAGATGTCCGATGTTGCTAGGGGGAGGGAATGAAGTGCTCGCTGAAGGCAACTTGACGCTGCGGTTGGTGGAAGGCGAGGCCCCTAGGTTGTTCGTGGAAGGCGACCCTCCTAGGGTTGGAATCATCGATGTAGTTTTCAAAGTCTTTACGCTCTGCGAACGTGCAATAGACGACTTCGTGGGCGTCATCAGTCGCGCAGCTAGGCGAGGAAGCGCGGTTTGAGAGGTCTTCTTACGCGCCGGGGTAGCACTCGCACGTGCTGAGACATCAGACATCTTCTCACGAGACGCGGGGCGAGTGGTCGCAGCATCATCGGACTCAGTACGCTTGACACGCTTTGCCGCCAGGTTGTGGTCACCATCGTTTTCGCGGGAGGCGGGTCGTCCGTTGCGTGTAGGAGGAGCCATGCGGGCCGTTGACTGAGAACGTGGGAGACTAGATCCGGTAAGGTCCATCTTGGACTGGGTGCGCTTCAACGGGGTTGGGGGCATTTTGCTTCCAGATGCTGCCAGGTCCATCTTCGACTGTGTACGCTTGAGATCACCGGCGGCACTCGCGCTTGACTCCGCTATATCCACCTTAGACTGTGTACGCTTGAGCTTGTTCGTCTCCGGATTGGCTACGTCTGGCTTCGAGGGCGACTTCTTGAGAGGCTGGCCCACGACAGGCTTGAACCGGGTAGGGTCGGCGCGGAAAGCTGATGGGTGGTTCGCGATGGAATCCATGTTCTTGAACTGCTTCATGTGTACATCGCTGAAGCGAGCCATCTTGCCCTTAGCTTCAGCTTTCTTGCGCTGAGGGGATACGTCGGCCTTCGAAGACCATTCGCTCGTGCCTATATCAAAGTCAGTTACCAAGAAAAAGCAAAACAGGTTGAGTGAACTATAACGTACCAAACAGAGCACGGCTTCCACCACCGGGGGTGCCTGCAATCCCAGCGTCTTTCAAGATGTTGCGCGAGCTTGGGCTCAGTGCAGCCTCGTCTTTGGAGAAGGGCGACTTGAAGCGGAAGCGAAAGTCAGGCGACGAGTCAAGATTGGCCGTCGAAGTAGCAGGTACTGGGGTCTTAGAAGGCGTCGCCTGACCCGCTAAGCCAGTCGCTTTGGATGGCGCGGTATGCGCACCCAGTGACTGGAAACCGAGCCAGCGCGCCTCATCCAGAATCTTGGCTGTACTCGCGTGATGATGCGCAGGATGCATCTCCTGCCCTGCTGGCTTGATCGGAGTGCGATCCTTGGGAGTCTGGCTTGTGGCGGCATCAATGAGCGGCTTGGTTGATTTACTCTTGTGTGGTGTGGGTGTCGCGGTCGCATGCGGTAGCTTTGTCTGAGTCTTGAGACCTTCGGCGACTTTCGAGGGCGTCTTCTGCTCCATACCGGGCTCTGGCAACTCTGGAAGGTCCGGAAGTCCTAGGTTTGGCGTCGAGGCGGTATGCCCACTGTCTTCGGACCGCATCGAGGTGTCGGGCGTGGTCTCACGCTACAACAGACGGATTAGTAGATGTAAACAAACATTGGAAAAGCAATGCGCGCGCATACCTTGAGCAGACGAGCTGATCGACGCGCCATCTTGTCGCGAATTGTCGAGGAACGATCAACAACCAGGTTGCAACACGAAGGGGAGCGGAGATTGGGGCTGGTCTGTGGGTGGGGAGAGACGGGGAAGCTATCGGCTAGGCGTCGATAAACAAAGTGCACGGGCCTTGTTATCCCAAATAGGAAGCAACGTCATGAGCTGCCTCACGAGATGTACACCAGATAGATAACTCAGAAGTCTGCATTGTTGTCAAATGTTATACTCTTTTCTGTTGTGGATTAATCTATACCGCAGAAGCAGAGAATTTAGTATCTCCACACCGGTTCAGTTTCTTCCTCGTATAGGGTATGTGGAGGCACATGGGAAAGTGCCGAGCTTCACGCTCTTCAAATACATCCAAAGTCTCTCTGGGTAGCTTAGCAAAGCCTCAAAATCTCGCGGAAACATACAGGCTTAGACACAGGATTTTGTGCTCCTAGTTTGCAGCTCATTTCTTGCAGATGCACATGCAGTGGCTCGTGGACAGCATGCAATACATCTGCAACGTCGCACACCTGTCACACCCATACGAGGCAGAAATTGGGCATCTCTATCGATACTTAGTACATGAATTCATCGGGCCTAGATATCTTCCTGCCCGCTGCGTCTTGGCGCAATCGTTGTCCGTCAGATCCTGTTGTGCTGTTTACCAGTCCTTCTGCGTCTCCCTCCCGAGCAGCGCGCCAGGCGGTTTCGTCAGACCAGCCTCAACACTCCTCTCTACCTCGTCCCTCATTCCCTCTACTCGCTTCTCTTCGTCCTCACTCTGCCCCTTCTTTTGCTCTTCACTTTTCCAGACAAAGTTACCTGCGCCACCTCTCCCACTCCTCGCAACAGGCAGTTCCTGACCCTCAGGATGCCAAGGTGTGCTGACCTGTGGCTTCGATGATGTAGGAATGGCGGTTGCGTCAACAGCCTGTGTAAAGGTGCCCTCTTTCTGAAGCTCAGTGGGCTGGTACCAATTGCCGGCACCGCCGCGACCCATGTGTGCGTAGTCTTGAGAGGAGTTTGAAGGTTGCACTTGAGTTGAGGGCTGGGTAGATTGTGCAGCGGAAGCGGAAGTGAAGCGATTAGCTTCGACGTCCTGTATAGACTATCAGCATACAAGGAAGCCTACACTGTTGGGAATGTAAGGCATGTGTTTGCTTACCTCAACAGCCTTCTTACTTTGCTCCTGCGCCGCGTAGTAATTGCCTGCACCACCGCGCCCGTACGCCATTGCGATAGAATGCTCAGAAAGATGACTTGGAATTGCCGTCGGATATATTATTGTATGTCGCAAAGATGCACAGGAGCTGTCACTTTGTCACGAAAGGAATTAATAATGTCCAGAAGGTGAATATGGAGATGGAGATTGGGCGTTACTACATCGTACGCGGCTCCGAGTGGGTCATCTGAACCCATATCAATCCGTGCCCGACGTTCTGGACTGATAGCAACGTGGGGAAAGGCTTGTCTAAACGACGATCAGCAAGATTCAATGTGGGGTCTGAATTGGTCATAAGCTTGGCAAACTGATAACGCGGGTTGCCAAGCAGGTTCCGCAGTTAACAGTCACAGACACAAAGCAGCACCTACGCATGCCTCGAGGATAATCGATCATTGCTACATGTAACACAGATGGTATCGAGTTGAAGAGTTGAACAATCGTAATATTCGCACGTTTTGACTAACAAGTGTGAAGCTGAACATGCTACCGGAAGGCCTAATCCCTAGCGGTGGCCGTGAAACAAACAGAAGCAAGACATCACTATCTCGATAAAACAACCATTGACCATTGGCCCCGATAATGCCACCAAATCTGGCAAACACCCTGAACACCATCTCACCGAATTGAACTCCACGAAGCCTCATGAACCCACAAACAGCACAGGCACTACTCTCGACCCTCTTGTACAGCACGCAGTACTGGGTAAAGATTGTGTGCATCGTCGTCGCTCATGCGGCGCTCGTGCACGTGCTTGACATCTTCCTCATCGTCGGAGAAGTCGTGCGAATCCAGCCTGTCTTTGAGGTACGCCCTGAGCCTCTCAATGACTCGGATATTCTCAACCCACGATTGCTGAGACGAGTCACCTTGCTCTGTGGGAGTCGATGAAGCGACGCTTGGTGAGCGAAGTGCAGGGTCAACTTTAGGCGAGTGGATAGCCAGCTGGTTAACGTCATGGTGGAGACTATTTTGTTCAGAATCCCGACGATCTTTGGGTGAAGAACCATCACTTGAAGTATCCATGTCGTTCTCTGATCGATCTGGGGCAGCCTTCTGGAGAAGGTTACCAGAGAATCGTCGACGGCCATCAGTATCAAACGCAGGTGCGAGTCCGGATGATGGGGCTGCAGCTGACATATCCGACATGGCACTGACGGATGGAAGAGTGGGGTACATGCTACCGATTGAAGTCCTTGATGTGGGGGAAACACCATTGTTCGAAGAGTGTTGCGCACCAGGGGAGTGTTGAGATCCGTATGATAGCACGCTCGATGCAGGAGTCAGAGCTGGGGTCTCGGCACTGGTTGATCCAATAGCAGTAGCGTGAGACGACTGGGAGTGGCTAGATGAGAGACCAGGCGGTGAGTTGCTAGAGCGGTAGCCAGCGCCAGTGTGAACGTAGTGGCTAGGATGAGCCACACCAGCGGCTGCAGCATGGTTGGGGTTCTCATAGACGGTGCTTTGCAATTGCTCCAAGAATTGGTCGATGTTTAGAAGATCGCTCTTGGTCCTAAGGTTAGGAAGCGGCAGGGAGTAGGGGTGGTGCATGGGCGGGTGCTGCGCTTGAGCGACCATTGAACCTCCGTGGCCATACTCAGACATACCAGCACCCTGGTAGCCGCCTCCGCCGCCACCGAGGACTGGAAGCTGAACACCCTGGAGACCCATAAGTCGTTGACCGACGTCGTAGTACGTGGTAGGGTCGATTGCGCGACGCTTGGCGTCTCCGAAGAACTCATTCAGCGCATCGTATGCAGCACGCTTCCTGATCTCGTAGTCGTTGTTAAGCTGTTGAGATTGGTTTACAGCGTAATAGACGGGACCATAAGCAGAGTTCTGGGGTGGGCCTCCATAGAATCCAGCTGGAGCACCGCCTGGGTGTTGCTGGCCGTAACCTCCATTGGGGCCAAGAGCACCATCGGGATACTGGTATCCACTCGCTGTAGCGGCAAGCGCCTGCAAGTCAGCGACCACTGTAGTAGTCTGTTAGATGTTGAAAGAAAATGAATAGCAGACACGAGGATCGAGGTTGAGATCGACAAAGTCATGTGAGGAGTACTTACGTTTGCCGTTCTGGCCCGGGTAGCCTTGGGCGCCGTGGGGACCACCTCGGTTGGGCTCTGGGGAGCGGAGCAATACAGAATCGTCGGCGTGCGTCTTTACGTGCTTCTTGAGATCCTGAGGGCGCTTGAACGCCTTACCGCAGAAATCGCACTTATGCGGCTTCAACGGGACGTGCACGCGAATGTGAGAAGTGATGTGATCGCGCTTGACTGTGGTTGTGCGGCAGTTACCCCACTGGCAGGTCAAATTCAGGTTGTTGGTGCTCTTGCGACCAACATGGCGCTCACAGACGTGATCCTAGGATGAAGTCAGCAAGCTGGAACGATAAAGCGACAAAGTTCAAGGCGTCGCTGCGCGATATGCAGTCGTCGCTAGATATACTTGGCGGTCGACTTACGTAGAGCTGCTCAGCAGATGGCAGACGGTCACCGCAATTCTGCCACTGGCAAACAAGCTGATCGCCTGAGCCACCGGCAACTGAAGCAGGTGTGGGAGCATTCTGCTGGATGGGAGTGCCTTGGGGTTGTTGTTGAGGAGTTGTGGCCGCTGCGGGCACTGTACTCTGAACCTCGCTCATCGTCTTGGCGAAGTTGAATGTTCGTTACCAATGATGGTGAAGGTAAAAGATGTGCGAAGGAGTCAGAACAGCTCAACGCGACGACAGATACCGCAAAGTTAAGCCGCGGGGTGGAAAGAGCAGCCTGGGGTCGTGGAGCAAAGTCAGAGGAGAGAACGCCCAGAGGTTTTCGCGGGCAGTTGGCAGCTTTTACCAGCGGAACGGAGCGGGCGAAGATTCGCCCAGAGAAAGAGAAACTGGCGCGGTCGAAGAGCGAGGCACAGCCCTGCTAAGCCGAGGTTGGCAAGGTCCGGGGATGGTGGGCGAAGCCTTGATGTGATTCGGCCTTGTCCATTCAGCCACTCCACTCCTTTACTCACTAGCGCCTTGGCCCCCATCTTGGCTGGAAGCGATTGCTTCGCCGACATCCGTCAGTCGCAGATGACCACATGCGAACCACAATCAGGTAACCGCTTCTTGTTTTCGCGGGGCACTTGGTGGACGTATCGAGAGACGCCACAGACGCAGAGGGTCATGGGCGTTGTTGTTGTGCGCGTTGGAGGGTACGTTGCCACACCCTCGACCCCTCACACAGGAGCGACACAACCGAAACAGCAATCAAAATGCGGAATTCTTGGTGCCCTTGGCTCATCAACAGCAGCGGGAAGTATTGGCATCCATTCTACTCCAGTTTTTGCTGCATTCCCACGCTCCTGCCACGCCATCGCATCATCGCCACTGGCGACACCTGTGGCTCGTTGGCTGGTTATAATACATACCTTGGAATGAATGCCACCCAGTTGCGCATCGCATGGCTCGTTAACTTCCGGTCTCGGACTAATGGCTTGTCACATTTGTATTCTACGCCGGTGGGCCATCGATGCTTGTCAAACGCCCCTCATCCCAGCGAGTACTTTAACGGTACACCAGAACATGCATGCACCCGCGACACCAGTCAACATGTTCCTAACGCTCAAGCAATGGTACAATAGACAAGTGCTTTAACCCCGGGATTGCGCCGTCCGCACATAGATCAACTCTATCGCGACCGACCTTCGCCTTGCAGCTCCTCAGAGCACATAAGTACGCATCCAAGACGCTGAGCCCCTTGAAAAGATCCCCTGAACAGCTCCGGGCCTCGATGTCTCAAACAATCGCCAATTTTGAGCGGGATATCCACGCATCCACGTTTCCACTCTTGGCTCTTCGCCAAGTGCCCAGCAATGTAGGCCAAGAATTGAGCGATTATCACATTGAGGCTATGCACGCTTACGAGGCAGGAGGTATTGCTGTACGGTGCAATCTCCTTTGCTGCACGTATAGCCTCACAAACGGTAAGTTGTTCGGGTTCCTGGCGGCTGACTATACCAGCGTTGCGGTATTTTACATTCTATCAGCGGCCCTAACAGATTTCTTTTCTAAACATAGCCGAAGTTCGATCTTCATACTTCAGGGGCAGCGACAGCCATCGCGCGAGCGCCTGCATGGCTAGTATCGTGTCTTAGCACACCAGATTCAAATTCGGCACTTCTTGTATCCAACGTCGCTGTATCCAGCCAACAAAGCGTATTGGGGAACAAAGATGCCTGAGCACATCTGGATTCCTCAAGATTACTATTCCATGATCAATTCCGAACACGGATGCATGTTTCCCTACCTCTGTACTTCTGGTGACACGTTAATGACGGGCCTTTTTCGTTTCTAATGAATCAAGGTACCCAATCACGTACACATCACGACCTCGAATGAACTAGTTTCGATCTCTTCGCAACATCTATCTAGCGAAAGACGCGTGTACATACAATGCATGTGACCAGCCACCTGCAACACCCATCCGGGCCATGGACGAACGAACGAGCCACAGCACCGCCACATACACCTCCTGTCTGCACCATGACGGACGCCATGCCAGTACTCCGTCATCCAAGATCAGCGGAGGGGCTTGGAAGATTGGGGACAGGTCTTAGTGCCCATCAGGCTGTGTTCCCATCTGCCGATGCATCCGCTTCCTCGTCCCGCACGAACACCAAGAGTACGGCAGAGCGGAATTCTTGATTTTGAGCCGCCAAGCAACAACGGATGCTTTCTCCGCAGAACATCCTCGATATCGGCAGTTTATCGATCAACGCGTTGCGGACCCTGTTGTAATACCTCAACCGATGTCTTGCTATTATTATACATCCAACAATATCCGCATGCGAGCGGGCCTGGTGTCGAGACACCCGATTGTCTACTAGCTCTTGCCAGACATCGATGCCCAAACAGTTGGCATGGATCATCTCGAACTTTACAGACATGAGCTTGGTCGCACATGTATGTGTGGCGATATCACCATGCAGATACTTGATGCCCAAATTCCAGTAATAGGAACAAGACGCTCCTCATCGTCCGGTCTGGATCGAAGACACTATAAGCACTTTAGAAAGTATAATATGCAAAGTCTCCCTGAGAGCATACTAGTCGGCACTCAGCGTCGCATGCGTGACCTCGCTGGCAATGCTTAGACAGAAGCACATTAACAAAAGACTGCAGACTGTAGACCTGTGTAAGCCTCTATTATGAATCTTGGTCTACATGATATTTAGGATAACAAAACATCATAAATAGCAACATATCTACCAATATATATCCTTACGAGCCCATGGCCAGGTTCACTTCGCCATTCCCCACTCCAACTTACCCCCTCTTCTCACCCGCCTTTCTCAATACATCAGCAACAGCGTAATACGCTGGCTTCATCCGAAATTCTTCATCCCAAAGACAAGCATTTCCCTCCCCCGGAAACGTGTCTGGCACCCAACTAACCGGATCCCAAAAGTCCCAAACTGTAATTCCAACACAACTGACTTCATCCACACACGCGCGCACCGAATCAGCATAGATGGCAGCCTGACTAGCCGTCTTATTTGCACTATCAGGCAGCGTCATACGAACATCAAGTTCAGTCAAGGCCGTCTCTAGCCCCAGACTGGAGAAGAGCTGCTGCGAAGCACGAATATCAGTATACAATGGCGCTCTACCCACAGTAAAGTGTGCCTGTAACCCTACACCATCAATAGGCACACCAACACGTTGATACTCTCTAACCATGCGTGCAACAGCCAAACTCTTTTTGTTCACCCTCTCGATTCCATAATCGTTGTAATACAATTTCGTGCCTGGACTTGTATACTGTCTTGCTAGACGGAACGCATGCTCAATGTATTCCGGGCCAATAACTTCCAGCCAGATGGTCTTTCGCAGTGTACCGTCATCGTTGAAGGCTTCGTTCACTACGTCCCACGCGTAGCAGTCGTTCCAGTAGTAGTCTGCGACGTTTTTGATGTGGGTTTCGAGGACGGTGAGGAGACTGCCTTTGGTCCAGGTACCTGTCGTGAGCCAGGTGGGGAGTTGATTGTGCCAGAGGAAGGTGTGGCAGCGACGCATCTGGTTAGCGTCTTTGCTGGCGTCGACGATTTGGTCGCCGAGCGTGTAATTGAAGAGGCTGCGTTGGGGCTCTGTGTGTATCCATTTCTGCCCGTTGGAGGCGGTGACTTGGTTGAACTCTGAGCGGTTGAAGGCTATGGATGTGTATTCATCGTTGTCGAGGACTACATTGTCGACGGCGGTGCCAAAATACTTTAGCCCTGCTTTCTTTGCGAGGTCGCCGAGACCCGGGGCTAGATTTGAGTGGGAGCCAATGCTGAGGTGTTGATGTATTGGGGCGGGTGTTGGAGAGGTAAGTACAGGCGAAAAGATAGAGAGAGTGACAAAAAGCTTCATTTCGGTGGTCGTGAGATGACTGGGGAAAAGAAGAAATTTTAGGCGTAGCACACGTTATACTACATTCAACAGCCTGTTAACTCTTTTTCGACAATTACCCGCAATCAAGAGTACCGTGTAACTCAATATACAGTCCGGTCTTGCAAAGGTATGACAAGACATAGCCGCTCCCTTATTACTGATCCTAAACATGTTGATAAAGCACCCGAGGATCTCTACTGTTACTGTAGTAGCCAGACCCAATTCGGGTGTATAGTGTTCATCTCGATACACAATGCTTGCAGAAAGAGGTGTTGGTATGCTATCGAATCAGGTATCTTAGCATAACCTGGGCTCGGATGGCTTAGAGCCAACAGACGCTAATTGGTGGAGTGCCAAGTGATACTCTCAAATCCCGATTCTTTGGAGGGTAATTGTTTTCTTCCAGGCCAATGCACATATTGTGGTCGTTGACTACCCGGCTCGGCGCTGCTAGGCGTGCGGGACGTTAGAAATAGGCTAAATCGAGGCTTGCCAGTTACGTATTCGTCTCTGTTCAAGTAAACTGTGTACAGTGTTGCGATTATTTAGGAATCTGTCTTGTTTTTTTCCTTCCTTCTATGGTTCTACTTGTTATGCGACGTTCCAATTATGCCCTCATTGTAGTTTCCCAACGCCATTGAAAACACCGGCTTCTTCCAGCTCTTGGATAGAAACCTTCGGCATCGGACTGACTGCATCTGCACGCTTGAGCGCACTTTCAATGCTGCCCCAGAAGCTGTCAAGACTAACACCTCTGGGTATACGACAGCCTTCCACTCCAATTGGAAGCTTGGTGACTTTTGTCCTACCCAGTTCGCCAACTTTCGACTTGTCTGATGAGTGAACGCCTTCAGTGACGATATCAACCTCGAAGCGTTCGCCGCCCCTGTCATCGAATATATCGAGATTATAAGCAGCTGCGACAGCGAGCGGATCGTGTAACGGTGGTCCTTCGGTTATGGAGAACACCTCAGCGTATGTTCCAGCGAAGAAAGACATGATCTGGGTGAACAAGGCCCGCATAGCTGAGGGTGTGTGGTTACTCTTTGAGCCTGGCGAATTCCAAATCTCATCCCCGTATAGTTGTGTTTGGCGAACCTTCTTTGTACCGAGGACTTGATGTGTCAGGTCGAGAGGGATGAGTGTCGTCTTGGACTTGAGAACGGGATGCGAGAAGATGAAGTGAGATGCTTCGGGGTCACACTATAAACATCAGCATACCCCCATGTCTATAAGGAATCGGTTTCCTTACGTAGATCTATTGGTGTTGGTCAGTTTTGTCAATTTGTGCCAGGTATGGAGATTGTAGCATACATTGAACTCAGCATAAGGCGTCCAATTGCCAAATCGTTCGCCTTCTCCCTCAACCGTACCCATTGGCGCATTCGTGAAGCCTCCACCGACGGCACCACCCATTATGCTGAGACCTTTGAGATGAGCTGCTAGATCGGTGTACTTCTGAAATAGCATGCCGATGTTGGTCAATGTGCCCGTAGAAACCAGCCAAGCGGTATTCTGTGGTGTGGCCATGAGAGCTCGGTACATGGCCTCGAGGTGGTCGACGTCGGTCGCCGCTGGCTCGACGGGTTTAGGAAGCAGGGTGACACCGTCCAGGCCGGACTCGCCTGCAATCGTCAGCGCACGCTCATCGATGATCCGCGGTCGCGTGTACCGTGAATGTCGGCAGCGTGTACAGCATCACGCACGAGAGGCTTCGAGGCGCCAGTGTAGACCTTCACATCGCGTCTTCCGATTGCTTCCAATATTGCCCTAGTGTTGTACGTGGTCTGATCGAGCGCAGCATTGCCATGGACAGTGCTTACACCGAGCAGCTCGACCTTTGGATCGTGCGCGCAGAGGAGGAGGGCATATGCATCCTAGAGTGATGATGAGCAGCGTGTGGGGGAGAGCTTATCGGAGACTCACATCATGCCCAGTGTCCTTAGTTGGTCAGCATTACATATGAGGTAGGTACAAGTAAGTACACACGCAGTCGAGCCAGATTGGGGTCTTGGAAGAAGGAGCGCTCATAGTATATTATATGACCCTAGCAATGGTGTTTAACTTGGGTGCAGCTTGAACTGCAGATACGTACCACATGTCCTGTATGCACATGCAGGGTTGCAAGCGGGATGCGCGGTGGGGTCGCCGCACCCCTACTGGCTGGAGAACCAGGAACGCGGGTCTTTATTGACGCCCGTTTTCGTTGGTGCTCGGTTCTCATCCAGAAAGCCTAAGAATATTTCACCGACTTACTGAAGAAGATCGCGGCGAGAAAAAGGAAGGGGCTCACTTGGTACTTGAGCAAGTTTCGATTGGCTGGCCTCTTCGGCACCGTCAGCCCTGCATCGAAGTCCGAACCTAGGTCATGCTAGACACAGAATTCGTGACGAGCACACGTACGCAACACTACTGCTCAGCAACACAGTCCGACACCTGGCTTTGTCTCCTTCAGTCACTGCGCGCCGATTATTGAATTCCCACTTCAGGGCTGCAAGCAGTCTCTTCCGGCTCTTTCAGACGAAGACCTAGCCGCTGTGAAGCCGGGCTGACCCAGGAGTTGTTCACATGAGCGATACGCAACATTGATCGTGTTGAGTGAGATTCGAAATGGACCTTTTCCGGCGTCACAAGGGGCACCACGAGGTGAAGACAGACCAGTACTGGGCTCTTGGATACTACTTTGAAAGCTTGAACGACGAACAGAAGCACCAACGCCGGGAGTATCTGGAATGGTATGGGTTTGTCGCGCAATGGTCGGTCCTGGTGGTATTTTCGCTTTTTCAGATTGGCTTCGCCTTGTCTTGGGTGATGAAAACTGGGTTGAGGTACGATCAGCCCAAATCGCCATCGTTCACCAAACAGCCAAGGGACAGGCTGGGGTGGCTGCGAAGTATACAGAGCGGCTGTAACAGGATGATATGGTGGATGAAGAAGGATGTCATTAGAGGATGGAATTGGGGTACAAGAGGAGAATGGATTGGTGCCAGTATCTGGATGGTGTGGTTGCTATACCTTTGCATTGCCCATACCGGCAATGGTATGTATTTTTGATCTTGGGGCTTCGTGGCTTAGACTGACAACACGTAGACTATCTCCATCTCACGAAGCGCTTCGGACAAGTTGGTGCATCACAGTTGCCGATCCATTATCTACTGGCGATGCGAGCGCCCTATAGCCCTGTGCAATATTTGACGCGGCTTTCTCATGAGCAAATCAAGGCCTCGCATCAGATACTGGGACGCATCACATTCTGTCTTTTCCTGCTCCATACGGCCCTCTATTTGAACTTCTTCGTTCTATCCGGTTTCCTGGCAAAGCGCATCAAGGATTGGGACGTCATTTGGGGCCTTGTCAGCATCATACTCTTCTCCACCATCTCCACGACCGCCCTGGGATTCGTACGAAGGAAAAACTACCGAGTGTTCTACATCTCGCACATCGCCATCGCGAACTTCATTGTTGTGCCTCTGTACCTGCACGTGTCACATATCCGCATATACATATACGAGGTTCTTGCGGTAGAAGCATTACACGTCATTTCTCGTGCTTTACGTCTGAGGATGTACCAAGGTACTCTGAGGCTTCTTCCTGGCACTAATCTCGTTCAAATCCGCATCCCATTACCAGCAGAGAGCGCTGCGCTTACTTGGAAGCCTGGACAGCATGTATACCTCAGCAGGCCTTATATCAGAGGAAAGACTCCTACATGGTACGACCAATGGCTTATGACAAATAAGACGAACCCCTTCACTGTTGCTTCTCTCCCTTCAAAGGACAAGGAACTACTCCTCGTTGCAAGAACTCTCAACGGCAACACAAAGTATCTGGGAGAGCTCGCACGCTCGTTAGCACAAGGGGGAGGCAATGTGCCAATGCTTCCTACAGCTGGCGGCGACATTCCCATTCTGCCATTTTCTCTCGAAGGACCGTACGGAGCGTCAAGTCGCCTACCAGATTTGTCGGATTTTGACAAAGTACTTTTGGTAGCTGGCGGCGTCGGTGCAACGTTTATCATACCCATTTATCGGAGTGTTATCGACTTGCATGACCCTGCATCTGCAGGTACGCAGATCCGTTGCATTTGGGCGGTTCAGAAGCTGGCCGAAACGCAGTGGGCGTTCCCTGCGAATTCCGCATCCGACGATGAACACGAAGATGATGCAGCGGTCGGTACGAATGAGACTGGTTTGTTGCACGGTTCGCGCAACGTGGAGGTTTATGTTACACGGCCTTCAGGACCGAATCTGCGAGCCGATGCGAGCGCGGCTGGTGTTTTCGCTATCGACCCGGACGATGAGGATGGGGAGGGCATCGAGATGCAGGAAAACGAGCAGCTGTTGGACATGGAAGAGCAGATGGAGAAGCCGCGAAAGGGGATGCTTGTCAAGAGCGGGAGGCCGGATCTTAGCAACGTGGTAGATGAGGTGTTCAGCAAGGGTATGAGGACGGCGGTAATCTGCTGCGGGCCGAAGAGGCTGACAGACGATCTGAAGAGGAGCGTTGAGGTCTGGGTGAAGAAGGGGCACGACGTTTTCTGGTATGATGAGACGTTTGGCTGGTGATGCTGAATTAAACTTGATAGTTGGTTTATTATTGAGATGCTAAACAGCACTGTTCCTGCCGTCGACCCGGTAGTTGGGTACTGGCAGTGGGTCACATCGATCATGCATGCTCCCGAAACCCTGGGCTTCTCAACTTGTACTGCGAGAGCGAAGATGTGGAGGTTCAATGAAGGCTCTCAAACTCTGAGGCTACACACGTTGGACCAAAGTCTAAACCTTTGACGGCCTCTAGACCTGGCTCGATCATCATGACGCCGGGCCCTAGGCCGTTGCCGGAGACTATCTTGTCAGGAACGGGAAAGGCGCAGGGAGACGGAAGCTTGTCGAGACAGTTGTGCACTGGGCAGTCAGTGTGCATAACATGGAAACAATCAAACGTGGTTCATGGGTGCCTGCGTGTTTACCCGGCGTGTGGTGGTTTTTTTTTTTATGGTATTTTTGGTGTTTGTCACAGATGGAGGAATCGTCAAACAGCAAAAAGAAGGGCGTGTCTAGAACTGCGAACGATGTGCAATATGCACTTTGCTTTTTGCACGTAGCTGTAGCAAAGCCGTTCAGGTTAAAGGAGTTGGACCCATGATGTCCCCATTCCTCTTTGGTCGCGGCGCAGATTAGACGAGGCCCGAGCAGACTGCAGCCAAGCGCGAATCGCCATCCCCGGCAATGAGAGCAACGCTCCCAAATCCTCTTCTCCAAGGGCTCCTCCATCCCGTCGCGACTCTCTTGCGAATCATTGCGGCTGCTGGACATATCGTGCGCGGCGGTGTCTCCGATCGCTAACCTTTGCTTGTCTTTCGTTGTACTAATTCTCCTTCTCTTTCCTTCTGATAGCACGCGCTGGTACCACACCCTCACCGGACAGGGAACTTGCTTGCACGCGCATGCAAACCACCCCTCACAACTTCCGACCTGCGTCTCCACAACTACGTCTTGCCTCCTTCTCGCCCATGGCATTGTTTTTATAGTTACAGTGCTCCATAATAGGGAGGTTGTTACCGTGAGGCTACTTGTACACAACAGCCTGCCAGCGGCCGTGGTCTGCCCGGCATCGCCCCTTCCTTCTCGCTCCGTGCTCGAAACACCTGATTGCGCCGTCAGCCGACGTCGACTGTCTCGCACTCCCGAACCGATATTCCCTACCGCCTCATAGTCTTGGGCGGCACGTCATCGGACGGATCCCAGCCCCCTCGCAGCTCCCTCGATGGCGACTTTCGCGACATCCCGCCAAACACCAGCTTCGATCCAGCAGCTGACGCCCCCCAGTAGTTCCCACGGCGCAGGAGGGTCGTGGGACTTTGCCGTGCCTGTCAACGATTCGGTACGTACCAAGTTTAGTCTCTGTGAAGCTGCGTCATATGGGTCCGGCTGGACTTCGCGTTTACACTAAGTGCGCTACTGCGGCCCTCCCCCATGGCGCATCTGACCGCCGAGTTCACCCACTCACATTCTAATTTCTAGACTGGCCTGCAATGATGTCAGGTTTCGAGTGATAGTGTGCTGATAATCATCCCAGAGGCAATCATACGAACAGGAGCCCTACATGTCTGAATACGGCGCTCCCGCCCACGGTTCCCGCCAGCCCCTCACATCGCAAGCCAACGGTTTCGTGAAGCCCGTAGGCTCACCCACGTGGGACTCACAGGATCTCAACCGGCTTCCCGACCGCATGAATGAACTGCACAAGAAGAAGAGTGGAGACATGATTGCAAGCAACGTCGACCAAGACAGTGTGTTGGAGTACTACAAGAGTCACACCAACAACAAGAAAGGCCCCGTTTCCGTCAAGGGAAAGCCCAAGAAGAAGACGACCAAGCCTGGTGCGACAGAGCCTGAGTATGACGAGAACCATTGGATACACCGAGACAAGCTCAAAGAGATTGAGACCCGAGAACTAGAAGAGGCAGGATTCAGAGTTGGGCGGTCGAGTAGGTCCAACAGCCGCTCGCAAAGCGCCACGCGACGTGCGCGAGATCGCACAAACTCTGCATCGACGGAACGAACGCAGAACGGCGAAGAGCGAACTGAGCCCCGAAAACGCATATCCACAATACCAGCTGAAGATGAGGAACCGACAGAGGAATACCATGCTTGGAGCCCGACATTCCCGGCCGACGGCACAACAGAGTTCCAACCAGCTTCGCAGCGAACGAACCACACTGTGAGGCCTAGTACGTCTCGCATTCCTCTTCCCAAGACTAGCGGTATACCTGTACCTGCTTCAATGGCAGAACGTGATGCGCCGCTGCCGAGATCTAGGGCAAGTAGTGGAAACTGGAACGGGGATGCGATCGCTACCATGGGTGCACGGGTACGGAGTGGCAGTGTAGGCAGCCAAGCGTTGCTTGATGATGTCGATGATGGGCGACAAAGGACTCCACCGTATGGCAGCGGTCATAGGCGCAATACTTCCACTGGAAGCTGGAGTCCGCCCAAGTCACCTCAGAAGTTCCCTATGAAAGCCAAAACGCCTGGTAAACCGAACACTACCTCTGGACCACGTAAAGCCAGTGCCCAGACAAAGCCTAGGTCTCGTGTGACATCCAACAACTCGCCTCCAAATCGACCGCGTACCAGTGGTGGGTCTACTACGACAAGGCCTACCACGAGCAATCGACCGGAAGGTGAGGCTCCGTGGATAGCTTCTATGTACAAGCCCGATCCACGGTTGCCTCCTGATCAGCAGATCATCCCTACCCATGCCAAGCGTATGCAACAAGAGCAATGGGAGAACGAGGGGAGGGTCGGCTCCATGTACGACAAGGACTTCAGGCTACTGAACAATGATGATATGGCGGACAAGCGACTGTCACAGCTCGCTAACCTTGACCCCATCGCCATAGAGAAGGCGCGGGAAGCTGAGACCTGGCCCCTTCCCAGCCCGGTGAAGCCAGACTCGCCCGCATCGCTTGAGAGAGTCGACACGAACACTGCCAAGTCTCCAGTTAATGAGCAAGGCGCCTACAGTCTGACCCCGAAGATAAACCAAGGTCCCGAGCGTGCTCCTTCACCAAAGATGGCGCCTCCTATCGAGCCCGCGGAGCCAAAGCCTGCGGTGACTCGCATGCCCGAGCCGAAGGAGGAGGTCAAAGAGAAGAAAGGCTGCGGCTGCATCGTCATGTAGCTTTCATTACTTCATATACCCATTTCGTTCCTTACTCATACCAACTGTATTCAAAGACAGGTTTCCTTCATTGTACGGCGTTACTGGCGCACAGCCTTTAGCTAGGCGGCTACATTCCTCTTTCCATTCACATCGTTACAAGCCTGGGCTGATAGCGTTCAGCGATCATTCTAGTGTCATCACTTGCTACTTTTCTCAACCCTCCGTACAGTCTGTGCGTTTGGCGTTTGTATTCTTTTCATCTGACTTGGGATTCTTTACATCCATGAGCATATCTGATCGGGCGGACCGCCAATATTTCCTTAGTTTATCGTATACAGAGATGGGACACTCATGTCCAAGGCTAGCAATGGCCTGAGAGTAGGAGGATGAGATATGTTTGGAGGAGACATGGCTACGGCAGGTCCAAGCAGCAGCGGTGAAGCTGTATCGGAGCGGTAGAATGTGTAGACATACAATGATATCAATGGTGCAAAATTGTCAACGTGTCTGATAGCCTACTATGATGTCGCCCCCTCACTAACGAACATGGTCATTTCGTGCATGACTGGAACTATCTTGATGGCGCTGAATCAAACGTACTGTGTATAGCGATGTATCTCTCACAGCCTTGCTACCATATCATCTGATTGGAGTAGTATGTCAAGTCACCGACAGCGAATGATCTTATCACCCAGGGCAATTCCTTGCGGATGCAGTGCTTATTAGATTCATAGATACACTCCATGCAGGAAAGAGATTACGTAAGCTAGCCCCTCGCTTATCGGCCACACCCGGTAGGCGAAATTTAGTTCGGCGAATCGCAACTTTTCGAGTTTCCTCTTTATTATCACCACCAACTCTTCGAGGAACACCCGACAGATAGAAATCATCAATCATGGTATGTGACCCTTCGTTCCTGGTCCAGGTCGAGCTGCATCGTCTCTGGCGCAAGGAGAACGACACAGTGCTCAGCACCGCTACCCCGCCGTCTACACCTCAAGAACATCACTGACGACGCCACCAGTCGGACGGAGAAGACGATACCAAGTCCCAAGTCAGCGCGGCCGCCGAGGTCGAGGTCTCTGCCGATGCTTCCGGCGGTAAGGGCCAGATGAGCGTCCTTGAGGCTCTCAAGGGTGTTCTCAAGCTCTCCCTCATCCACGACGGACTTGCCCGTGGTCTGCGCGAGGCCTCCAAGGCCCTCGACCGTCGTGAGGCGCACATGTGCGTTCTCAACGAGGCCTGCGAGGAGGAGGCATACAAGAAGCTCGTCGTTGCCCTGTGCTCCGAGCACAAGATCCCCCTTATCAAGGTTCCCGATGGCAAGCAGCTCGGCGAGTGGGCTGGTCTCTGTACGTTACATCATGTGGTGGACTATAAAATTGCGCAATAGCTAACAAACAAACAGGCCAGATCGACCGCGAAGGCAACCCCCGCAAGGTCGTCAACTGCTCTTGCGTCGTCGTCAAGGACTGGGGTGAGGAGTCCCAGGAGCGCAGCATCCTCCTCAACTACTTCCAGACCGAGCAGTAAACGTGCCTCACCCGCGAGCACGATGCCCATCAGCATACGACCTTTTCGCACAACCAACCTTCCGCTGCACCGGTTCGGTCGCATCTCGGCATGATATGGAGTTTGGGAGGGATGGCAGGGCGAATGTAGGGTTATGATATGATGGGTTGCATGGATTTAGACAGGTCTTTGGACCATGATACCAAATGAGAAAGGATTCAATGAACGCCAAACCTATGAACATTTTCGACGTGAAAATCATGTTGCCATTGCTGTGAAATCTATAATGCGTGAGTCTATCGTGAGGGAAAATCTGTTTTCATGCCCCTCATTATCGTGTACTTTGTTTCGTGTAGGGTATGGAGTAATCGAAGGTTGTGTTTGATATTTCCTGCACTTTGACGTACATGGCCACTACGAGACTCGTATACTATTTCAAACTTCTACACAGTCAAATGACTAACGAGGCCATTACAAGAATCTCGAAACTGGCGGGTAATAGTGATCATCTTTGAAGTCTCTATATTCTTCAACACTATCACATCGACCAGAAAACAGTCTGATTTCATCCCAATAATACTCTATATTCTTGACCTGCCCAGCTTTCACTCCGTCACTCTACACACACACATATATATATATATATATTGCTGTTTGATAATGCTAATCCTTGCCAACATGCTATGCAAACGCTTCAAAAGTACAGGTAATATATCTAATTTCAAACCAAACGAGACCAAAACGAGCTTAGACATCGCGAACGGTGTGGCGTGGGATCTCTGTTTCTACCATTTCCAGACCACTTAGGCTGGGGTAACGCTTGCTGAAGGTGTCGACGTCGAAGTCTTCACCGCCGTCACGGCTGATGGGCGGAAGTGGCTTCTCCTTGACTGTGGGGGTAGACTTGACAGGCGAACTTTGGCCAGGACCTACTGAGCCACCTGTCTGCAAATTTTTGGGCTTGGGGGCGCGTGGAGGAGGCCCAGAAGGGTTGCGGACGTTGATCGTTGGTGGTGCCGAGGCGGAAGGTGCTGGTGGCGGCATGTTTGGTCGGATCGAAGACGGTTTTGCGTAAGCGAGGTCTTGGGGCTGTTGTGAGGAGACGTTCATGGGTTTCCGAGCAATGGCAGGTGGCTGTCGTGCACCGCTTTGATCCTGTGGTCGCATAGGCAGAGGCTTTCCAGTATCGGTGTACTTTCCGTAGCCCTCGGCCGTACGGTTGGAAGCTGCTGGTTTGCTACTTTCATCTAGCAAGTTCTTGACGCGGTTCTGAATCGACGAAGCCTTGGACGGGCCAGCTTTAGGCCCTCCTTGCCCTTGCGAAGCGACGCGTTGCTTATATTCGGCTGCAGCAGCTTCAACACGACGCTCTTCTTCAGCCAACTGCCTCTTCTCAAGTTCTCTTCGAACCTCTGGTGGCAGATCCTGTGTTTCATCAATTTGGCTGCGGTCATCGTCACTCAAGCCACCTGTAGCTTCGGAGCCGGCAATGGGTGTCAAGCTACCCTTGGAATCCATAACCTGGTTGGTAGGTGTCATGGGTGGTTGATCTCGCTCGTGCTCAGGCGTCTTCGTAGACTCAAAGCGGCGGAAAGCGTCACCAAACCTTCCCTTGACAATATTCGTGATGCTGCCGCGCTTGCCATGCTTGCCATGTGAGCTACTTCGGCGGTGCTTATGCCCATGCTCCTCTTGTTCGATAGAACGGAGGAAATCGACGCTTGACCTGACATTCTTCTCCTCGGGTTCAGAATCGTCGATTGCGTTTGCGGTAACGCGACGCTGTAATGATGGAGCATCAAAGTTACGACCGGGTGCCATCTCTCGATCACGGAGATAGTCAAGGTTTGACTCTACGTGCATACTAGCTGGACGTGCATTCGAATTTGCAGATCTCGATCGATCGATTGCAGAGCCGATCTCCATAGTCGATGGGCGCGAGCTTTCCAGAGAAGGTCTAGATGAAGCAGGAGATTGAGGGATGTTGAGTTGAGATTTCGATCTCGACTCAAAGGAAGGGCGCGCTGGCAAAGCGAATTCGGGTCTCAATGATGGGCTGCTCAGAGGACTTCTCGGTCGACTTTCCGACGCCTGTTGGCTCAAAGCACGATTGTGGTGTGTTGAAAGAGGTACTTTCCAGATTGGCCGGTTGTTAACGTCAGGAAGTTTCTGCTGTGCGGAAACAGGAGACGCCCGTGGAGACGTTTGGACACCAGTGGACACCATACCGACCCGCTGTGGGATGGGTGACTGTATGTTTGTACTTGCGTTTCGCGGACTATCTTTGGCTTCATAGGGTTGTGGCTTTCTCAGAGAAGTGGTCCTGGAGACACCCGTAGAGGACACTGTAGATGAAGGCTTAACTCCAGGTGTTGAGTCGACCTTGGAGAGTGGAGGTGATGCAAAGGCTTCGTCGGCAAGCGCATCCGTCACTCGCTTGGTAAGTGCTGGGTCGGAAGTCGTTGGTGCTTCACCAAATTCAAACTTCTGGCCTCGGTCATGCAATAAGGAGAATTCATCCAGAGATGGGAAGCGCGAGGCCAGTTCATCAGCAGCAGCACGTCTGACCTGGACATCCTGAGAGTCAAGTGCAGCAAATGGATCGGATGTCGTGCCTCTCATGGGCGATGGACTTGGCCTTGCCGCCGGAGGTTGCTGAGCGGGACCAGTAGGCCTGCCTCTTCTCATGGGTGTAACCTCTGGTATTTGTTGGACCTGAACTGTGGGTGCAACTCTTTGCAGACCCACAACAGGAGGCGGCGAAGAGACCTGGGGCTCGGTAGGCGGAAGCTGCTGATTCCGTCGCGCTTCTGACTGTGTTCTGCCAGAATAGATCTGGCTAATGTTAGTATAAGGCAGTGAAGCCAAAGTGTCAAACATACGTCTTTGATAGGAATAGGTCGGTGTCGCATTGAGCAGACCTCAGCGACCACCTGGTAGATATTCGGTCGATGCTGTGGATTCTCTCGCAGCATCGAGCCTGTTCACAATCAGTCAGTACTCCTAGCCCATTTCGGCTTCACACACCTATGAGCTTCTTTATTCTGTCGGAAAACTGAGGGTAAGCTGGGTACTTGAACGTGGCGTTCAAGATGGCCATCTGTCCCACCTCTTCGAATGGTGTAGTATAGTAGCACAGTTTGTACAAGAGCACACCCAGCGCCCAGATGTCGCTCTTCTCATCTATCGGCTGTTTGCGGTATACGTCAATCATTTCTGGACTGCGGTACTGTAGTGTAGTATGGCGTTGTACATCGTCCTCGATCAGTCTCCCTTCGGCGGCAGTTGTAGCGGCAGGTCTTGGCGGTGCGGTGGATCCGAAATCGCATAATTTGTATATCTTGTTGCCTCCGACGGTAGTGATGAGGACGTTTTCGACCTTCAGGTCGCGATGGAGGAGCGGCGGCTTGAGGTAGTGCATAGTTGCAACGCCCTCGACGACATCGGAGAAGATGTGTAGAATTTCGGGCTCGGTCAACCTATGCTGTAGCCTTGTGTTCATGAAGTCGATCAAACCGCCGCCTGAGCAAAACTCCATAAGGAGGAAGACTTCATAGCCCCCAGTCTTGAGTTGTGAAGCATGCGAGTCCATGTATGTGACGATCTTGCTGTGGCCCTTGAGCTTCTTCATAGTCTCCACCTCAGTCCTCATGTTTGCCAGTGCATCTTTGTCTGCACAGGCTACTCTCTTCAAGACGGCCGTCTCGGGAGTTCCGTTGTCGGATTTGGGAACGCGGACGAGGTAGACATGCGCGAAACCGCCCTCGGAGAGGTACTTCTCGATGGTGACACGGTGGTTGCCCACCTGGACCTTTGTGCCAGGCGCAAAGGTGCCTGGGGGAGCATTGGAGACGGCGATGGGCGCTGGAGCGCGGTATGCGGCTTGCTGGGCCATGGGATGGGCGGCCGAGGGCGCATAGCGAGCGGTGGACATTTGGGCGGTGAGGGAGCCTGCTGCGGTGCAGGACAACGGCGAGGCTATATTTTGCGCATCGAAAGGACAAAAGGTACGGCAGGGCTAGTTCTCGGACGCGAGAAGGGGAAGGGAGTTGTGAGGTTGAGTAAAGGTGGCATGCCTGGAGATGCTTGTGATGGTACAGTAGTAAACGGACCCTTGCAACTACAAGCGCATGGACGAAGCCACCCAAGGCAACGTCACAATGTATCTTTAGACGACCACGCCTCGGGGTCATCTACGCCGCATTCAGACATGTATATATAGCTCTCTGGCACTCTGACGATGATTCCAGTATTGCAGACTCGAGCAAAGCCATAGTCCAGACTTGTAGCGCCAAGCTGGGATCACTTTATTCGGCAAAGTACGGTGGTTTCACTCCAGACGTGTTCATTGGGCAGGAACAACGTGGTCGCAGCCAGACCAACTCACCACGCAGGGCATCAAGACATTTGGTGAGACTTTTGCATTCTTGTACGGAGACGATGTAGTTGGTTACTCATGATGGCTCATTCAATTTACCCGGACTTGTCTGCAGAAAACACATATCAAAAGGGTAGCATATTCATGAGGCGGCCTAGCTTGACGTAGTGGAGTAGGGACTGTTCCATCTTTCCTTTTTCGCAAAATTCTAAGTCGGAGCGGATAATAGACGGTGGAGGGCGCGACGTGGTGAGTCCAAGGCGACGGCCCTGTCGATCTCTGGATATCTAGATGGGGGTACCATGGTCTCAACGAGCGGAACATGTGCCGAGAGATGTGAACGTAGATGCAGACGGCAGCTTCCTAACAGACATGCAGCCCATGTCATTGTGCGTTTGCTTTTGTCCGAACCCCGGATAGGCCCTGGAGGGGTCATTGCTGTCACTGCGTGAGGTGGCCGGATAGGAAGGGTCACGACTGTGAAGGAACTATGAGGGAGTACCAAGTCAGTCCTCTCAGGCGTCAGTTAGCCTTGGGGGGAAAGGGCGGGGTCGCCGCTTCCACAACGGGTTGCTGCAGAGGACGCGGTCATGTCAACACAACAGTACCAACTGCTGTAGCTGCTGTAGCGACGTGACTTGGGCGCGGCTATGTCATATGACGATGGTGGGGAAGAATACTTAGGCGTGGGCTATTCTGGAGCACATGACGCTGTAGTAGTGTGAAGGTCGGGGCTGGGAGCAGCCGTGATGCCGATGGGAAACATGGTGTGAAGCGTTCGCCCTGCAGTGTAAGCGCATGGCAACGAGGGATAGAGGGATCGCCGTGTGGAAGAGGCAGACAAGGACGTCGTGTTTGGATAGGCGGAGAGGGGAGGTGCAGGGAAGGACCTTGGCGGGATGCGACGATGGGCAGCGACCCACTCATGCCTGCCCAGACGACTGAACCCTTGGTTCCCTCTTCACCTCCAAGGCTCTCGTGTTGTGTCTTGTCGCCTCGCTTGCTCTTATTTAGGAGCGTGAAGAAACCCGACCCTTCTCTGATTGACCAGAAGGCACTGTTGTTCTTGTTGTATGTGTAGAGTGAGCGGGCTGCCCAATACACCCGCCAACCGCCGCGTACACCGTCACACCCATCGTGCAACTTAGACCGCTCCATTCACAAACCACGGCGACCGCTACCCCCAACTCTGCTTCATAATTCCCCGGGTCATTGCGACTCCCGATACACCCAACATGATGGCCCAAGACGCAAAACTCGCACGCGTCCGACAAGGCAACATGACGCGCTCACGACGACCCCAGAGAGACGTCAGCACCTCACGCTCCGACTCTTCCGCCTCGACCTCGCCAGAGCGCGGCTATGACGACGAAGACAAGGACTCTATTATGATGCAGTCCAACGACTCGCTGTCATCGCTCGCGCCTTCACTGTCGCCCGATTCGGACGACGAGGCTCGCCGGCGGGCCATCGAAGAGCAGAACCGTATTTCGCCCGTCTCCCGCCTACCCGCCGAGCTCATGATCGCCGTCTTCGCCAAACTCTCCTCTCCCGCCGATCTTAAGAACTGCATGCTGGTATCCAAGACATGGGCAGGAAACAGCGTCGGCCTGCTCTGGCACCGACCCTCGACCAACAAATGGGCAAACGTCAAGAGCGTCATACAAACCGTACAGACTGTAAACAGCTTCTTCGACTACAGCAGTTTGATCAAGCGGCTCAACATGTCCGCCCTGGGCGGCGAAGTCAGCGACGGCACACTGAAGCCTCTTTCAAGTTGCAAGCGCGTCGAGCGCCTCACGCTGACCAACTGCACCAAGCTGACCGACCTGAGTCTCGAGGCCATGCTAGAGGACAATCGCTACATACTCGCTCTGGATGTCACAAATGTCGAGTCCATCACCGACAGGTCAATGCTTGCCCTGGCCAAACACGCAGTCCGCCTGCAGGGTCTCAACATCACCAACTGCAAGAAGATAACAGACGATTCGCTCGAGGCTGTTGCCAAGAACTGCCGACATCTGAAGCGTCTCAAGCTGAACGGATGCTCTCAGCTCAGTGACAGGAGTATCATTGCTTTCGCTAGGAACTGTCGTTACATTCTCGAAATCGACCTTCACGATTGCAAGAATCTCGATGATGCCTCCATCACTACCCTCATCACCGAAGGTCCCAACCTCCGCGAGTTACGGTTAGCTCACTGCTCCAAGATCACCGATCAGGCCTTCCTTCGTCTTCCAGCCGAGGCTACATACGACTGCCTGCGTATCCTAGATCTTACCGGCTGCGACGAACTACAAGATTCTGGCGTTCAGAAGATAGTCTACGCAGCTCCGCGACTCCGCAACCTGGTCCTCGCCAAATGTCGCAACATCACTGACAGAGCCGTCATGGCCATCACCCGTCTGGGCAAAAACCTTCATTACATACATTTGGGACACTGCTCGCGTATTACAGATGTCGGCGTTGCGCAGCTAGTTAAGCTATGCAACCGCATACGATACATTGATCTCGCATGTTGTACCGCTCTCACCGATGCTTCAGTCATGCAACTCGCTGCTCTTCCCAAGCTCAAGCGCATTGGCCTGGTCAAGTGTGCAGCCATCACAGATCGTAGTATACTCGCACTGGCCAAGCCCAAGCAGATTGGATCCAGCGGACCTATCGCACCAAGCGTGCTTGAGAGAGTGCATCTTAGCTACTGCACCAACCTCTCCTTGGCCGTAAGTCCCCTACTCGTAGCAACCCAAAGTACTTTCACTGACATGAACAGGGCATCCATGCGCTTCTCAACAACTGCCCCCGCCTGACGCATCTTTCGCTCACCGGCGTCCAAGCTTTCCTTCGCGACGACCTTCTCGCCTTCTGCCGTGAAGCACCTCCGGAGTTTAACGATCATCAGCGGGAAGTCTTCTGTGTCTTCAGCGGTGTTGGTGTACAACGCCTTCGCGCCTTCATGAACGCCAACGGTGCACATGATGTTGACAACGAGGAAGACCCTTTCACTCTCAACGACGGCACCATGTACCACGAGGACGAAGACGGTGATAACATGGTTGTGGTTACAGCACAAGCGAACATAATGGCTATTGATGAGGAAGACGAATTCGGCAACGACAGTGAAATGGCAGGGCAAGACTAGGGAATTTGTCAATCCGGCCTACAAATGTCTCTGCATTCCTCGACATCGCCAACTCTTAATCTTCGCAATTGTTTCACCAGCATACATAGAGGAGTTTTGGGGGCGTCATCAGTCTTTTTTTGTCATCGTTAGCGGCGCTATAGGATATCATTGTTTCTGTAGAGGGTACAGAAACGGACGGTTGGTGTTGATAGGACGCACTTCGGTGGCGATTATACCCATTGCGTGTTTCTTTAGTTTTGGTACGATAGGGCGTATGAGGAAGATGTCCAAGGGTACCGAGATTTCCAAACCAGGAACATCATGGTTAGACGGCCGCACAGTTTATTGAGACAGTATTTCACTACTCCCACTATTTGCTACACCCAGTATCATATGCTGTGCTTCCCCACCGCCAACATATTCATACACTAAAACAAATTCGTACTCTTGCCTCCAACCAACCCTGCAACATCACTTCATCAGCCCACACATACACCCACAGTCCGGCACAGGACACATGGCATGTCGCGCAAACCAATCCCTAGCATGATGACCATGAAACCCATGCGTACAATTCATACAAAACACCATCATCCTCCCTTCCCTATCCTCTCCCTTGAGCGTCTCATACGCCCCCTGCTTACTCGGATCAGGTGAACCCAGCCACAACATGCACAACGCACACCTCGGCATCTGGGCCGCGCAGTTGGGGCAATGCAGCCCAGGCGTAGTGGCGGATTTCGGAGGCTGAATGGGTTTTCCGCCACCTCCTGCACCAAAAGATAGAGAGGGTGCAGCGCGATGTGTTGTCGTTGCCGTTGACGGAGCATTGTTATTGTTTCCTACACTAGTATGTTGATTGGTAGTAGGAAGTAACCTCCTAGTACTACTCCTCGGATCCTTCCTCAATGCGAGATTCTGCTGGCAGTTCAAACACCGTAGTGTTAAGCTGGGTTGGCTAGGCTTATTCACACTGCGCCCTTCGCGCGTCACGCTGAGTAAGTTGTGCTCTTTGATGTAGCGTGTGCGCTCGAGAAATGTGCGCCAGATTTGTTGTTGCTCCAGGTACATGTCTTTCCAGACGGTCCAGCGTGGATCTTGGATGTAGAGAGGGCACGCACGACTTAGTAGCAGAACGGCGTTTTGGAGGCCCGTGGTGGGGTGGTGGGAGATGTGGGTTTGCAGGAGGGAGAGGGACCGCGTTGTTAGGCCGGTTAGGAGGAGGGCGGAGATGTCACCTTGGGATGTTGCGGTGGCTGTAGCAGAAGTCAGGAAAGTGGTGAGGTGTGGGTCTGGCAGGTATTTCAATGCGACGGCTACGCGATCTGAGAGGGAGAGCTGAGACATGTGAACTACGCTTGACCAATCTCCCGTAATGAAGTAGGTGAGGAGGGATTTTAGGTACGCGTCACCTGTCATGTCGGCCATCCAGGCGCAGGCTTCTCTTTGCTCGGCTGAGACGCCGGAAGAAGGCGAGGCGCAGGCTATGACGGCTGCGAGGCCAATGTCGTCTTGGGGGAGTTTCCTGCTTGTGAGACTAGACCGGAGGAGAGTCAAGGCGATGTCCTTGTGCCCTTGGAAGACGGCGAGGACGATGGCTTTGTATATCTCGCCTTCATCAATAAGCCGTTGGCAATATTGCTCTACGCCAGCTTTATCGAGGGACCAACCGCAGAGACTAAGACATAACTGCCTGTTCTCTGGATACTCTGTGTTCACACCTTCAAAAGCAGGAAACTCCATGGCCTCGACTATCTCTTTGACTGCGTCGCTGAACATCTCCTGGCTTGTCTTCGTATCCGGATCGATGAGCCTTTCGTCGTACATTGTCAGTTCGTTCGCCCATATCGAGCTAACTCCCAGATACTTGAGATCGAGGCCATTGCCCACCATACCGTCTCCTGCAGCATGCGCATCCATGCGGTCGATCAGCGTCCACACATCAACTAGCCAGGGATCGTTATGAATGATGATCTTGTTTTTAGCACAATCCAGAGAGTAGCCTTCCTGAACACGTCTCTTGGGGGCTTGAAGGACGGCCAGGTAATCGGAGAGAGGGGTTTTAAATTCGGGGTAGGCAAGATCGAGAAGATTTTCGTGCATGTGGCGGCTAGGATGTTCTGTTGACAGAAGAGGTAAGCTTCTCTGGCTGTTGCTGAGGTTAAGCCTATCGATACTGGCGGAGAGGTTTATCTTGTGGTCATGTTCGATATTGTACTTCTCGCCTAGTGCTCTGTTTTGAACTTGAATCAGGTCCTCTGCTACGGTGCCATATGGCGAGGTAGGTCTAGCAATGCAGGTACGGTCCTTGTATATTTCTTCAAATGCGCTGACATTAAGACGAGGAGGTGTTGGTGGTACTTTGAGTACTTCGACCTCCCGATTTGAATGTAGGGCTAACGCGCATTGCCCATCAAGAGGATTTCCAGCGATCATGAAGTCGTATGCCACTATGCGCTCTCTGTCATCTTGTCGGTGGTTCTTGTCGTAGGAAGGATAGCGTAAATGATGCGATGCTTTGGTGTAGTATGGAGACGCCCATGCTCGAGCGAAGGGTGTATCTGCCGTCTCCAGAGGCTGATGAGAATGCTGCGCTAATTCGATGACCTTGAACTCTCCCGTATTGGCGAGCACTCCAAATGTCCCCCTCTTAGTACCAGAGTACCGAAGACTCCATATGGATGCTGACTGTGAATTGTCTACAACTGGCTTGAACTCTAAAACAGCACCGCTGTTCGCAGTATCGTTGGAAGCTACTCGCTGCTTAACGAACCGCGTATCCCAGACAGTCACGGTTGGGTCACCAGCCGTACCCGCTGATAGGAAGTAGTTTTCGTCCAGTGGGTCTATGGCGATGTTATGCACCTGGCGCGTTTGGAACTGCGCAACACCCGCTGTACTAGAGTCTGTAGAGAATAAGCAGGGGTGTGTTAACTTCGTTGTTCCTCACCCACCTCTGAGATCATAGATGCGCACATACTGCCTCGAAACGCCCGCGACGAGCATATCAGGCTGTCCAGTAAAGAACTTGATACTAGAGATGGCCTCCGAGCTCGCCAACTTCTTGTAGGGTTCGTCCTTGGCTGTGACTCGCGAGTCATTCATATCGTAGATGTTGAGACAGACATCATTCCTGACCCGATCCAGCCCCGTAGCAAGTAGATTCTTAGCGCTGAAAGCAATAGAGTTGCACTTTCTTTGATGCCGAATAGAGAACGAGTGGATGTACTCAGTATCAGGCTTCTCTGGATCTAAAGTAACGACGGTGGCTTCTCCAGAAGCGGAACCTACAGCAACTACACTTGGATCCTTCTTGGACCAGTCGAAGGCCGTGTAGTTTGGAAGCTTATCTCGAATACATATTTGCTTGTAATTGACCTTGCTCTTACTTAACTCCTCAATCTGGCACAGACGTAGCCGATTATCCGCAACGTCGATGATCAAGAAACGAGGATTGTCTCGCGTTGAGTGCGGTGACCATCTTATTGCAGCTTCCATATTACTGGTTGACTATTGCGACCTCGGGATACCGCGATAATGGAAGGTCAGGGTCCAGCAGCAGAGTAGGAAAGCCTCATGAGTCAGCAATGGATGGTCTGAAGGGACTTGGAGCAAGCGACGTCGTGCGCATGCTGGAGTACACTCGGCTACGCTGCGCTATCATGCAAGATGGAAGAGTGTTGGTGAACACTGACGCGTGATCTCACTTGGCGCGCATCGGGCGGTCTAGCAACCTTAATTCTGCCGCCCCACTTAAACTTCCCTTCCTTCGATCCCAAAGATTTGCGCAGCCGACCAACAAATTACAAATCTCCAATCAGCGATCATGTCGCAAAAGCGCAAGCATTCCGAAGCGACCGAATCATCGTCCTCGGCTCCCAAACCGTTCAAGAAGCACCGCGCTTTCAAGCCTGGCCAGAGCCATGCTAAGTCAAAGAAGCGGCCGCACGTCTCGAGCGACATCGACAAGAGCACCAGCACCCACGCGCTCAAGAGCCGGATAAGAGACTTGAGGCGACTACTCGCGCACGTCGACAATGTAGGTGATCACAAGATGTCTGCAAGTAATAGGATAGAGAGGGAGCGAGAGCTCGAAGCCTGTGAGCATGAGCTACAAGAGAAGCTCGAGTCTAGTAGGGAGGCCGAATACAGGAAGAAGATGATCGGGAAGTATCATCACATAAGATTCTTCGGTATGTCATGGTTTGCGCTGGGTGCGAGGGAGTTGAACGCGGAGCGATTGCTAACGCGCCTCAGATCGACAGAAGGGCGCAAGAATACTGAAGAAGCTGAAGAAGGAGTATGAGGCAGAGGAAGACGAAACAAAGAAGCAGGATTTAGCGCGACGAGTGCACAATGTCGAAGTCGATGTCAACTACGCCATCTACTACCCGCTCATGAAAACCTACTCATCCCTATACCCGAAGTCGAAGAAAGGAAAGGCCTCGGATTCGGACGAAGCGATGGAAGAAGATACCGATGACAAGGCGAATCGCGAGGTTGACGGACCAAAAGGCGATCTTAATATGTGGAGAGCTGTGGAGGAGGCCATGGCAGAAGGCACACTGGATGCGCTCAGGAATAGCAAGGAGGGTATGCCTGCTCCTGTACCGAAGAAAGAGAAAAAGAAGAAGGAGCAGTCGCAGCCGCAGCAAGCTGTCAAATTTAAGGAGAAGAAAGTGGAGGACAAGTTGGCTACAGCCAAGAACCGTCGTGAGAGGAGAGCACTCGGTGTGCAGGCACAAGAAGAGGCAGAAGAGAGCGACGGTGGTTTCTTTGAGTAGTGCCACGACAAAGCACACTGCGTACATCTGCATCATATACCCGGCGCCTAATCGCTAATAAAATTATTCTGCAGCAAGAACTAAACCCCTTCTCCTCTTCACATTACATGTCCAACTCTTCGTAAACACCATCGAGTCTACTGCCCAAAACCCTCCCTCGTCGCATTCCCACCGCCATAAACCCTAACCGGATGTGCCTCAGTATTATAAACCCATTCATTCACCCCATCCCTACCAACCTGCCACTCCGCCTCCCCCGCCTGAATAGCAAAACTATACTTCAACACCTCCGCAAACCAAAAGCTCTCCTGGAAATCCGTGTAACCCCCACCTCCAACAACATTCACATCCTTGATAGAGCTGTACCCACTGCCCACCCTCGTCGTAGCGTTAATCGCCACAAAAGCATCCCACGCCCATTCCTGGTACTTCGGGTCCGAAGTCGCGCGGTAGGCGTAGTAGTAAGATTCTATGACTTCAGGACGGAGTTGATACCCGCCGTCTTCGATGAAGAACCCTGTTCGATTGAAAAAGCCAGTCTGGTTTGCAGGCACGGCAGAAGTGTTCCAGGAGAAGATCTCAGGACCGATACGCGTAGCAGTTGAAATATAAGTCTCATGGCACCCATTAACGAGTTCAAGACCGAAATCGATGTAGTCTTGTCGGTCGAGGACTTGACCGCCTAGGATAAAGTTTCCGCCGTCGAAACAGGCGAGGTGTTGGGATGTTAGATCGAGGGTCGTATTGTCGTAGGCTGCGAGGAAGGTCAAGTCTGGGCGGGGGGCTGGGTGGGAGGCTAGGTTCGCGATGGAACTGTCTGCTGCTTTGATCCAACGTTCTTTGAGGAAGCTGTAGCGTGGATCGTAGATGTACATCTTGATTAGGTATTCGTAGAACGAGTCCGAACCGCCTACCCATCCTCCTTGCGCGTCTGTGAATTGCCCTGTTGTGACATTGATTGTGGAGCCTAGAAGCCCGGGGAATGGCTCAGCGTAGTCTGGGGATGGGTAAAGTAGGTATTGTTCGGCTTTTTCAACCAGGTCTGCGTAAGTTTGGTTGCTGGAGAGATCCGCTAAGCGGACCCATTCTAGGATCAGTGTGCCGACAGTTGCAAGACCGTTTTCAGAACCGTCGTTGCTTCGGTTGTTAAAGGTAAGGACGTTCCAGGGCACTCCAGAGGGTGTCTCGAATGCGTAGGAAAGGTTGTTGGCCAAATTGATAGATTGCGTGAGTAGGGCTTCTACGTTTGCTGGATCATTTGCTAGATGCGCCAAAGGACCGGAAAGCAGATCGTAGCCAGAGAGCATGCCGCCCAGATAGCGGATTGTGGTTTCAAATAAGGAAACAGAGTCGTCCGTGAACGCCCAGTTTATGGTAGGAATGTACTCTATGATCTCGTTCACAATATCTTTCTGACCCATGATGAGCGCTGTGCTGAGCGCGTCAACGGCGGAAGCTCCCCATCCGTTTCTGAAACCATTTTTAGCATCATTTTCTTTTACGCCAATCTACTACACACCTTGAGTTGCTTCCGTTGTTACTCACAGGCCTCAGCTCATCCATCGGAAACGCATATTTACGATACCCATCCCAGCTTGTCCTGAATGCGTCCACCACAGCCTGTGCCCTTTGATCGGATGATGACAGAGCTGGATCATATGTTGGTGGAAGTACATCATACTGTCTCCTTGGCAGATCCACTGGTGTGTTCGACGGTAAAGCCGACACCAGTGATAAGATGCCACTTCCGAGCGTGAGAGATGTGAGATGCATCATGGCAAAACGTTTCCTCTTTTACGGATGTTTGCGGTTTCCAGAGTCGCTTATATGAATATGTTGAGTAGGCCTGGGATACCTTTCGGGCCGGTCAATATTCAGTTTAATGCAAGGCAGGGAATATCCAAGGATGTACGTCTTCTCCGATGCCAACGCAGACGGATGAGGACATAACAGAGAAAAGACGATGCTTTTGCAAGAGAAAGTTATTTGAGAGGATGGGCAGCTGGTCATAGTAAGTACCTACCAAGACCGGTCTATTGGCAAGTGCATCACGCTCACTTTCTACTGCAAGTCTCGCATGCGGGCCCATAACCCCGGGCACATCGGGACACCATTGAAGGATCCATGTAACGTCTGAATGAGGAAGGTAGTAGCTCTGCGCGAACATATCCAAACTCTGGCAGCGGATAACAAGAGGCTGGGTACCCGCGATCCCCTCGTGCTAGCGTCGACCGAGCTCTTCGGATGTGTGCACATAGCACATGATGAGACAGGGTGACCGTGGCGGGGAGAAAAGTGAGTGGCTGGTAAGGTTTGTAGTATGCAGGCCCTTGTGCGTGCTATGATGCCGATCCATGAGCGTCTGCCTGACTTTGTGCTAACCCCTGAACATGCATCATCAACTGTTGCTGTCATCGCGATGTCCGCGTGACCAATATCTTGTTGACACAAGAAAGTTCCAAGTGAACAATCGACCTCGCTCGCGACGAGATGCTTGTAGTGTACGCCGAGATACGGTTGTGCAAGAAAGGGTGGAGCCACTTAGAAAGTCCATGTTCCTGGAAATGGTGGGGTGATCTACGGGAAATGCGGGTGTGCTGCGGCGCCAATCCCGCATCTTATTTCCACCTCTGTCACTATGACCTACAGTGCTTCTTCATGGACTAGATTAGGTGTTCATAGAGCGTATGGCCAACATACGACAAAATCGCTCCATATTCAACGTTGGCGTGTTCGCGCAAACTAGTGCGCGGAAAAGGTGTGCGCTTGATCTATCTGTTGTGTGCATATCATGATCGCCTGGGTATGTCATTTGCTCTATGCTGCTCGCTACTTGAAGACGCTACTACCAATATGTGCTGTGCAATCATGTTGGCTCGGCCCAGTCGACCTGCTCTGTTACCGGAGCACCACCACCTGCCGAGTAACTGATCTTGAGTCGGAGCTTTAGCCTGGCTGGCGGGGGCTAGGTCTGTTAACATATGATCTCCAACAAACGCATCTGAGAATAACTTACCCCACTGACAGCTGTGACCCTCATTTGCTGGGTCGCATCTTGGCCTCCTTCTAACTCGCTGGTGCTAATAGGTTGCAGCTGCAACTTCTGGCTTTTTGGTACAGCGGCCTGTAAATTCACACCTGACAGTTGGCCGAAGCTTCCAGTATTGCGGAAGCGTGCGAGTAATTGCACAGCATTGGCGTCACGCTTGAGCTGGAACGTGATCTGTAGGTCATTCTTGTTGTATGCTGGGTGCGCAGGTGGACCGGAAGCCACTGCGGGCGTTGAGGATTGCGGTGGTGGCGACGACATGCCACCGAGGCCACCAAGAAGGTCCATGGAGTTTCCTTGTGGTGGCGCGCGAGACTGTGCTGGGGCTGGGGAGGTGCTAGGTCCAGAGTTGAAGAGGTCCATAATGTTCGCTACGTTCGATTGTGGTGCTGGAGATGAGGTCTGAGGTGGTGACGAGGATCCGCCCATAATATCTGCAAGCAGATCCTGACTCTGTTGAGCTCCATTGGCCGCTCCATTCATGCTGGTTGACGGGCCTGCGTCGCCCATCAGATCCAGTAGCAAGTCTTCCGTTGCCGCTTGCGCAGGCTTCTTCTTAGCAATCTTCGACTGCCGCTTCTTGGTCGCTTCTCCCAGAACTCGTGACTCCTCGCGAATTTCAGGTGGTGGCATCTTCTCCAGAACACCTCTCCTAATCTGATCATGACCAAACAGGTTTCCGTACTCAGCCGCACGCTGTTGGATCTCAACATCGAGGTTTGCCGAGTATCGCTGTAATAAACGCCGTAAGCGTTCGATCTGAGCAGGGTCGCTCAAACGTGTTGTCAGTTTCATAGACGCTGTGACAATGTACTGTTGGACGATCAGACCGGCGTAACTGCTACCCAGAATGGTCTCGAAGAGATCGACAATGTCGCTCTCCTTGACCTCCTTCACAAGCTCTTCCTCTTCATATTGACCACCTCTCAGTAGCGCATCGCCGTACTCTCCGATAACCCAGGAACCAGCCAAGGTGAGTCCTTCCTGTGTGATGTCTTCCTTAAGAGCGGCATATAGTTTTTGTACGGAGTAGGTTTGGAGGTCAGGTGTAGTAGCGATTAGTCGTACAAAGGATGACAAAATCTGCTCTTTGACATAGTTTCCGGCCTGATTCATAAGTTAGTCGGGTCCATATCAAGTCAAACATTGCTGACTTACAAGTTTCAGGACACGCAGCATGGTATCGACATGCCACCTCTTGTTTGGTGCGAAGCGGTCTGCTGCGACACCAATCTGAGAGGTCATTACGGGCTTGAACTCGTTGTCGGCAACTTCCAAGAAAGCAAGCAGTTCTCTTATCAATACTCGCACATTGCTCTCGTTGATCAGAGTAAAGCTGAGGTCGAGCGCTCGCCGTCTGATACTGATGTCGGGATCACGTAGACAGTCCAGGATGGTGTTGCGGTGTCTTTGTACGGCATTGGGTTCGACTGCGACGACTTTGATGAGTGTGTTGAGTGCAACATATCTGATATTGTTGTCGCGGTTGGACAAGAACTTTCCCAGGATATTCACACCGAGCACTCGAAGTCCAGAATCCGCCTCAATGTCGAGGATCGTAAGTACGGCCTCATATAAGATGGAGTTACCGACGTTCTTGGACGAATCCGTGTTGGTTGCGACCTGGGCCAGGATATCGTTGATTTGTTCGCTGACCTGAGCGTCACCACGAGCCAGAACTCGCAAGAGCTGGAGTAGCTTGCATTGCAGAAAGGGGTCCGTAATGCCGGTCACATCGTGCTCGGGCGCATAGCCAGACGAGGAGAGCCCCTTCAGTATCTTGACCAGGCTGGGGACCGTGGGTCTGAAGATGTCCCTTACTCCATTCTCATCATCCTCGGCTTCGTCTGCCTCACAGAGGTTTTCTACTAGAGTGACACCACACAGCAAGACACCATGGTTTCGATCCTGTAGTAGCAACTTGGCCTTTTCCAAGAAATGTTCCTGAAGATCAGGCACCTTCCGACATATCCTCATGGCGCAGATTGCGGCTTTGCGGCGTATGTATGGGTTGGCGCTCGATATTATCGTCTCGACTTCTGGGAACAAGTCTCGAGCCATTTCGACTGAGGCGATGTTGCCGAGGGTGCAGAGGGCGAGACCGACGATATACTGGTTGGGGTGATTCAGGTCGCTGCACATTAGTTAGCGTCCAGATTCTACATGTGCTTGTAATCAGCGCCTACTTCTTCAGTGAGTTCGTCACCAGGGTCAAGACCTCCTGGTTCTCGTCTAGCAGCAACATGGTCCCCAGGTATCCCAAGCGCTTGTCGGCGAAGCGCGGAGAGGCCAATAGCTTCAGACACTCAATTTGGCCAAAGTGTGTCCTCTCACCCAACGTGAAGAGATATAGCAGCTTCGCGACATTGTTTCTCCTCACATTGGAATCGTGGCTCTCCTCCCTAAAGCTCGCGCGAATTGCCGCACTCTCTTTCTGCACAACCGCACGCTCATCGGCAATTGTCTTTGCAGCGCGCACATTTCGAATGAACTGCTTCACTGTATATCCTTAGCACATGTCCACAGCTGCTGGGGTCGTGGTGCTTGGCGTACAGGAAGCCATTGTGGTGGCCTCTTGGACCCCACCCGGACAGCGTTAAAGGATTCGATAGAGAAGTGTCGTGAGAGGATAGGAGGTATGTTCGGTCGTCACTTGGAAATGCTGATCAGTCACAGGTGACTATGTGAATTGTTGCTGCTGCGAGTTGGTAGTCGGGAACGTTTGGGCATGGCCTACAGCTGACCGGGCCGTTATTTGTTCCAGACGTCGGACGCCCCTGCCACCGACGATAGCGGGCATAGACGTATTGACACCACTCCATGCTCAGCCAACTCGAACATGACACTGATCTTTGACTGTCCTTGTTAACCTGTATTCTGGTACATGATCCAGCTACTCCACTTGCCACGAAGCGTTGCAACTCTTGGTGTTGCCTGCAAGATGCCTGCCCTGACTCGCGCAACCGCTGATGTAACCGACCCTTCTACCATCGATGCCAGCGCCCCGAATCGTTAGGTCACTACATCAGCAGACTGCACGTACTTGCATAGTCCTTGTACGTCTACACGTATCAAATGCAAGCCTACTACAGTTTCATTCCCTGTTTCGTGTCGAGCGGCTGTTCGGAAGTCTTGTCTGCCACTCACTGCCCCATATGACCAACAGCCAGTGACCCTGTTAGTTTGCTGATCATAGACTGGCCTGACCACATCTGAATCCTCCTTCCCACTACACATCCGCGACATGCACATACATTTCTCCTCATAATGGCCGAGTCTACGTCTTATGACGCCAATGCTCGCGACGGGAATACCGAGTTCCACTCGCCGCGACCGCGCAAACCCACAAGGATTGACTTGCTCAAGCCGCAACTTAGCGACGAAGCGTTTAACAAGAATGGCACGCTCCGGGAGCCCGGGTCCGGCATCTCTAGGTACCAGAGCCAGTACTATGGACGCGATACACAGCTGACCCTCATCAGTGGAACAAGCACACCCATACCTGCCGATGCCCCGCCTTCAGTGCAGGCTTCCTCGTCGGCGCGACGGCAGATACGCGCTCGGCACAAGCAGCGCATGTTCCCTACCATCGATTACGTAGATCGCGTCTCCCACTTCGACCCCAACAGCGACTACCATGACTTCCGCGGTTTCTTCGTTCTGTTCTGGATCGGACTCGCCATCATGGTCCTTACATCGATGCTACGAAACCTGACCGAAACCGGGTATCCCTTTCAGATCAGACAGTGGGCGCTATTTAAGGAGAAGGTTATCGAGCTTGGTCTGGTTGACGGTGCCATGGTGTCCAGCACCGCCTTGTCGCTGCTCCTGCAGAGACAGTTCCTTCGGGAAGGGTCTCTACGCTGGAACGCGAATGGTCTGGTCATACAAAGCATATTCCAGGCAATATGGCTAGCTTTCTGGACTACGTATGCTGGCCTTGACTCTGAACTGTACGGTAGACTGACCAATACAAAGATACCCTTTCATTCGCGACTGGAGCTGGACTGCCCAGGTCTTCTTTACTCTACATCTGCTTGCAATCTTTATGAAAATGCACTCCTATGCGTATGGACCCGAATTCCTGAAACTTTGAGTGTATAGCTGATCTTCTCAAGATTCTACAATGGTCATCTTAGCGAAACTCTACGCCGCTTAAACGATCTCGATACACCTGACAAAGCCAGCAAAGTAGCTGCAGTACGCTATCCAAGTTCGAGTACCCATTTGCACGAGATTCCGCAGTCCCCCTCCCAAGAAGAGCCCGACCCGAAGAAGGCAAATGATGAGTATTTGAGCCACTTGAGAGAAGATCTCGCACTGGAGCTTGCTTCGCCTCTCGGTAATGTCTCGTACCCTAACAACCTCACGCTCTACAATTTCGTCGATTTTGTCTTCTGTCCGACCTTGTGCTATGAGCTCGAGTATCCTAGAAATGCCAGCATTCGCTGGTTGGAGGTCTTCTACAAAACTCTGGCCGTATTCGGATGCATCTTTTTGATGGTCATTACTGCAGAGGAGTTTATACTCCCAGTACTGGACGTATCAGCTGTGCGACTCCAAAACTCGAATGGCGCTACAGATTTCACGTTGATTCTGGGCGAGACTATCGGTCGCCTCCTTTTTCCTTTTATGATTACCTTCCTACTAGTCTTCCTCGTCATCTTTGAGTACATCTTGGGTGCTTTTGCGGAGATAACCCGTGAGTCTTTACTATCAAGCCTGGTAGCCGCTGCTTACATTGAAGATAGGGTTTGCCGACCGCCAGTTCTATGCAGGTAAGTACATGCAGAACATACAAGAAAGATGCTGTAGCCTAACACGCTACACAGACTGGTGGAACAGTTGCGACTGGCTCGAGTTCTCGCGCGAATGGAACAAGCCTGTGTAAGCTATGTTTCTGTATGAATTGCACATGAGACACATACTGACTTGGTACATTAATGTCTAGTCACCATTTCTTCCGACGACACGTCTACTCGGCCTCCAAGAATCACATGTCGCGTCCTCTTGCTACGACAATCACATTTCTCATCTCGGCTTTGGCACACGAACTTGTCATGGGCTGCATCACAAGAAAGTTCAGGGGTTACGGCTTCATCGCGATGATGCTCCAGATGCCAATTGTGATGTTGCAACGAAGCAAATGGGTTAGGGGCCGCACCCTGTTAAACAACGTCCTCTTCTGGTGCAGCATGATCTTGGGACTTAGCATGGTAAGCTGCAACCCCCAGCAACTATACGTCGACGCTAACGAGTCGCTAGATGTGTGCTCTATACGTACTTGTATAACCCTGTGAGGACGCGGTGCTTCACTATGGTACAGATTGATTTGTTGCATTGTCTAGACCTGCGAAATACCCCGCTCTACTACTTAGTCCAGCACGCATTAAATAGAATGTTGATCTTGCTTCAAATCTGATAGTGCGTTTTGTCTATGATGCACCAAGTCAAGGGACAGCAGAAGTGAAAGTCGCAATCTCGCAAGCCTCTCCGGACGTGTTCTAGTGTGACGTAGTGGCTACGGCCGTATTCGTATGCAGGGTGACCAGGATGCGTCGGTGGAGCGGCGGCGAGCGGGCGACCCCGCGGTCTTGGTCTCACGCGTCGCGAAGCAGCGAGGCGGATGCAGGGATGACGTCGCATCAACAATACCTGCCAGTGCGAGCACACGGATAAATGCTGTATGTACTGGTAGCCTTGCATCTCGGCATCCTGCTCGCCTAGTTCACATCTATTCATTCTTAGTCTTTTCTCAAGCTCGATCTGACATGGAAATTGGATCAATAAAACGCAGGTAATGATTTCATCGCCCGTCAGCGGACCCTACTAGCTGGCACCACGGCTACGTCGGAACATTCACAGCACGCATATAGTTCGACAGCAGCCACAAAGGGTCCAGGTATTCTGTGGCTTTGAAACCTCCGCCGCATCCTCTCTAAACCTCAAAGCCCGACCTTTGCTCTATCGTTACCATGTCGGAGCTACATGAAGCACTCGCCTGCCTCCGGCCCAAAGAGTTCAGCGATGTCCCTACCGACAACCTCCAGGCATTCTTACCCGACATACTTGCCAAAGCAGAAATCATCGCGAACTCGGTACCTCCACCACCCAATGGCACACCATACGAGTCGTCACAACGAACCCGAACCGAGCAACAGCCTGCGACGAGCTCCAAAGACCTCACAATTTCCCAAGTACGTCGTCCGCCGCTCGTGCCAGAGCATGAAGAGCTGCAGAAGTCATGGGGAAAGCCTGTGAAGCTAGGGAACAACGAAGCCGCTACAGGCATGAGTGTCTTCAAGATGGCCGGAAAAGATCGGCACGGAGCCTGGTTCTCGCGATCGAGCGTGCACGAAGGGCTTGGCTTTGAGAAGTGGAAGCGCGCTATGAAGAGGGAGTTTCCGGAGAGTTTGGAGGTCCAGGGCGGTCCTGGCGAGGGCAACATAAGAGGTATCGGAGGAGACCAAAGGTTGGAGGACATGACAGTGGACGGCGTAGGACAACTACAAGGTATGTGGAGACAGACACTTCGCACCCAGCCGTAGTAACTAACTAAGCAACAGTATACCAGCTGTCCGCGCAGTTCCCCGGTCCGACCTCACCGCGAGAATTCATTACCCTACTCATTACCTCAGACACATGTCTTACCAATGCCTCCAAAGTCGCCGGCTCGATACCGCGACATTTCATGGTCGTCTCCATACCCTGCTCACATCCCGATGCGCCGCCGCGAAGCAACATGGTGCGGGGCTTCTACGAGTCGATTGAGATGATCAGAGAAATACCCATGGGCGACGGCGACGCTGAGACCAACCCAGTCGAGTGGATAATGGTGACGCGCAGTGATCCTGGAGGCGGCATACCTCGATTCATGGTAGAGAGGAATGTGCCTAGCAGTATAGTACAGGACGCGGTCAAGTTTCTCGATTGGGCATGCGCAAAGGAAGATGAAGTTGAAGCCGGGGCAACGGCAGGCAAAGACGACTCCGCCGAGACCTCAAGAGCGCACGACCCCGAACGGACCTTCTCTCCGACCGAGACTAACGGTATGGGTGCCGGCGTAGGAACCAGCATAGTAGATAGGACCGGGGAGGCCGGTAGCCAATACAGCCTACGACGAACGAGATCTGATAGCTCTTCAAGTACTTCGTCCTCCGCAGAATCATTCGCATCCGCCGAGCAGTTCACCACTGCTCGCGACGGGCTTCCCATTGACAGGGAGATTCCGACACCATCGACTTCGTCGCAACAGTCCCTGCCATTGACGGAGGATACCCATCATCATAAAGGGCTACAAAAGATCGAGGAGAAAAAGGACCAGTTGAAGGCGAAACTCGAGGAAGCTCGCGCAAAACATGAATCAGGGTTGCAAGCTGAAAGCCAAAAGACGGATAAGGAGATGCAAAAGGCAAACGAAAAGCACGAGAGGGAGAAGAAGAAGCAGCAGGAAAAGTACGAGAAGGAGATGCGCAAGCTCGAAGAGCGCCGCGAGAAGGAGACACGGAAATTACTCCTCCGCCAACAGAAGGAAGCAGATAAGAATCAGCTTGCCAAAGCGCAACGAGAGCGAGACGAGTACAAGCAGCGCATGGATATATTGGAACAGGAGAACAAGTTGCTTAAGGAGCAAATTGGAGACCTGCAACATGAGAATACAGCGCTTGTCTCTCGTCTAGGCAAGACTGAGGAGGGCGTCAAAATCTTGAGGGCGATCAAGGAGGGTGATAAGGGTAGGACTAGAGCAAGCTCAAGAACGAGTGTAAGCTCTGGGAAGAGCGGGATAAGGAGCAAAGGCTCAGATGATTTCTCGAGTACGCTACCGAGGGCTGGGACAACAAATTTCTGAACTTGAACATAGATACCAGGTGTCGACGTCTTTTCTTTCCTTTCCTTGCTCCTTCTTATGGCGTACTTCGAGCGAGCAGGCAAGGCGTTGCGTAGATGCGGGCGATGGGCCGATAGAGGCTGCACCGAAATCGAGGCAGATACTACGTAGTAATGAAGGATCAAAACATAGTCGCAATGCCTCGAATGGGTGTTCTTAGTTTATGAACTATTCGTTGAGCGAACGCGTGCGTAATCTAGGGATGCATCTCGCATCGACTAAGCCCCACTTGGGCGGCACCTTCGGTCTTGATCTCACCTGGTGTACATCCCCGCCAATGGACTTGACCTCGTAGCATACACATTGACTATTTTTTTTCCAAGGAGCCTAGTCGAGCTAACTCTATCAGGACCGTCATAGACCTTTCTTTCCTACACAGGGGATACACACTTGCTTGGCGAATGACGACTTTTGCGGGCCGATAAGCGGATATCTTTCCACAGTTACGTTACATGCCTCTCTGTTCTTGTAGAGGAAGTGCACCACATACTCTGCAGATTTAGTTGTTCACTCCACGATCGAAGAGACGGAAACAAAGAGAGTTTGGCGGTGTAGGTGGACAACGTACGAAAACAAGCAAACACAGTTCCCCACCATCTGGAAAATCAGCACTAAATCCCAGGGTTCTCTTTCCTGCAGCCAGAGACCCTGAATACCTATCTGTGAGATACAAGGCAAACTCACAGGGGAACGTTTTTGTGCGCTTTTGGATCGCGTCTTAGACTGTCGTTCTTGCAATGTCAGCGCAGATACCGAATAGCACATACATGACGCCTGGTACAGCACCACAAGTCGCAGGCTTTGGAGGAAATGTCAAGCCTACACTACTTGCTTTCCATGGCTCGGGAAGTAATGCAACTATCCACACAGTTCAGCTAGCGAGATTGATGAGGGTGATCAAAGGACACTTTGAAGTCGAGAGTATGGAAGGTGTGTATACCAAAATTCCTGTTACCTCTCTCCTCCACGCATCACCTCCGTATACCCCCTTGGACAGGCTCACGATGCTAACGAAACCCCCCCAGCGCCATTCCCTTCCCAACCGGGCCCGGGTATCCTCCCCTTCTTCGAAGGCTGCGGTCCTTTCAAACGCTGGATGCGATCCACCGTCACCATCTCCGACATGAAAACCGGTAACTCAACAAGCGATATGTCCCCCGAAGTCGAAGACCTTGTCCGCACCACTGTGGAGCGTATCAACTCTACCGGCGGCAAAGTAGTCGGTCTAATCGGCTTCTCCCAAGGCACCAAAGTCGTCGCCGGCCTTCTTAAAGGCTGTGAAATGCGGCGCGCTCTCGCAGAGAAAGGAGTCGATGTATCAGCGCTCGAGTATCTGGATTTCGCTTTCGGACTCAGTGTTTGTGGTGCGTATCCGCCGCCGCTAATCCCACCCTCTGTGCCTGCTGCGCTTGAAGCGGCCGGGATGGGTGAGGAGGAGCGGAAGGAGCTGCTGGCGAAGAAGATTGGTGTGCCGGCTTTCCATGTTCAGGGCTTGCAGGATGAGTGGAATTGGGCGGGTCAAGCGTTGATCGATGGGTGGTATGAGGTTGGTGAGGGCAAAAGTGTGGTTAGGCATTGGGAGCAGGGTCATTTTTATCCAGTGAAGCCAGAGGAGAGTCAGGATATTGGGGAATGGATGTTGGGAGTGCTGGGGCGGGGAGATGGGAGGGTGGGGGTGAGGCGCGGTGATGAGGGCTTGGAGATGTGATGAGTGGCGGGAACGCGGCGATAGCAGTGGACGATTGTGTGAAACAAGAGAAGATCTTGCTGTAATAGTCCTAATAGACAAGCCAGGTTGGCAGCAGTTGCTACTCAAAATAGTGCGTGCTAGCGTCCCTGCGCTGGTCAAGAGCTACGCGTTCTACGCAGGAGGGTGAATACATGCACCAGGATGCCTAGCAACTTGCTATCTGTGTAATTAGGATGCGAAAATGGGGCCATGCACAAGATCACTAACATATAGCTAAGTAGATTCAGCAGCAAGAAGATACAAAGAAGTAGGTGCTAGAGACCTTGCGCATGCGATTCAAGAGGCAGTAGAGAAGAAATAGTGAGGGAGATAGAGGCATGTATAGGAAAACGCAATGTAGGTAGTAGTTGCATGGTGGAAGAAAGCAAGGCTAGTGTTAGTTGACATATCGAAGGCAAAAGAATTAAGAGAAGTGAGTGAGGAAAGGAAAAAATGAAGAGAGGCTAGAAAGAGGGGGAAAAAGGAAGAGGAAAGAAGACAATTCACAAGTAGAGAAGCTGAAGCTGCAGTCAACACATTAGATTGATGAAGCACTGCAAAAGTTCCAACCACGACCCAAAACGCCTGAAAGACATCCTTGGAGGACCACAGTATTGGAGACGAAACTAGATCAGAAAACATTCCATGCATGACTGAAGGCTTCAAAAGAATTTCCTTGCTCACAACCACGAAGAACACGAAAATCAACCGCTAAGTCTAGCCCTCTTACCACTTCTCCAACTCCAAACTGACCAGCCAAGTGTGCGCCAACCCGAATGATCGGTAGAGGATCTCATCCAAAGCTCTTACACACCGGATGCTTCTGCAAACAGGAACCACGTTGATATGAGCCGAAGCCAACCAGAACCCCATCGAGGCACGCCAGTGGTATGTAAGCAGGGAGCTCAAGACCGCAATAGTAGTCGTAGACCAGGCATAACAGCCAAGTTTTCATTGGCCCTCTGTCCTCCTGACACAACTGCAAGCTGTCAAGCGCTCCATAAGTACAACAAATCTTAAAAGAGTCTCTCACCCGTCGCAGCCACTCGGTCTGGTCGTTTTTGTGTGCCGTGGTCGGTAGGGAGAGTCGAACCATTCTATCATGGCTGTAGAATGGTTCAGTCGATGATGGAGGTGACTCGTCCGATCGGTACTTGGGTTTTGTCGTATGCGAATGACCATGCTGCAGGTCCAAGGTGGCTGTCGAAGTTGATGTTGGAGTGAAGTGAGGAGATGCAGAAGTCCAGCATGTCCAAATTTGTCGTCGATAGTGACCATGGAAGGTGATAGAAGTCGTTGATGTTGTTGGTGTGTTCTGAAAAAGGTCAGTGGATGATGACGATGATGATGATGATGATGATGATGATGATGATGATGATGATGATGATGATGATGATGATGATGATGGAGGAAGGATGACCTTGGTAAGAACAAACCTTCTTCATTCTGAGCAAGTCAAAAGACATGTAGATGGGCAATGGAAGTGAGGGTTGGAGCAAACCTTAGAAGCTTCTAGGCTATAGCAGCTGGCACTTGGTGTGAGGTGATGTCGACTTGATAGTTCAGTGAGGTCTTGGTGAATCCAACATGGTAGTGGCTGGAGTTGGAAGGGGTGATAGTGTGGACTGAATTTATCCGAATCTTGGATCAAAGCACGGCTCTATAAGGTGTAACGTTGTGATGTGGTATTGGAGAAGTGTCCAAGGATACAAAGTGCCAAGGTAGGGTGAGTGAGTGTTGCCATGATGCACAAAATCGATGAAGGTCTAAGCTGAAGAAAGATAACCTAAAAATGTTGAGAACTGAGGAAAGGTTCCCGAGGTCCAAGTTGAGGTGTTGGATATTGCAGATTGTAGTCGAGGGCGTGGACGTAGCAGGCTGAAGTGGGATTTCTGGTCTTGGCGGCACTGTTGTCACGTAGTAGCTTACTAGTTTCGGTCCGTTAGATACTCTGACTGCTCCAGCCGGTTGGATTTGCTCAAGTGAAGGTAAAAAGGTCGTGGGCGTTGACCCTTTGTCGTGGTTGAGTCCAGGCAGCCATTTGCGACGGCAATACTAGCCAAGAACAACAGGTTTGCGAGCACAAGATCGAAGTAGCGAAGCAGCATTTCGTCGTATCTGCATGACCGTGAAAGCATATATGTTATGGTTCTATGCTTTTAGTGTCATTTGAGTGCCATATAGCTTACACTGTAAGCGCCCAATAGTCTTCTAATGACATCGGGTAATCAGCCATGCTTGAAGCTACCCTACGCAAGGAGAAGGGACATTATGGCCTGAAGGAATCGAGTTCGCTGTAGATAAGCCTCCGCCTGAATCTTACGGCCAACATACCGACGGGTGCATATGTACACCCGAGCCGCTCTAGCGATAATCAGGCTATTGGTCTCCGCCGAAAAGCAGCTGCGTAAGTGTAGAGGGCATGGGTACAGTCCGAAGACTCTCAAACGGGGTGTGCGTCTTCTCTGTGGGTCGTGAGTCTCGCTGAGGCAGTGCGCAAGCAGAAGTTTGATGGTGTTCGGCTCTGTCGGTGACCACTAATGCGACGAGCGACGAGAGGTGGCTTTAGTCTAGACGGCGGACACTTGTAATGGGAGATTTTGACGTAGGAACTCGCCACTGTACAGACCAGAATGCTGCCAGTCTGTCCCCTCGACCGCTAGAGGCGCGCCCACCCGTCACAAGTACTGAGCCTCAACGCAACCATTGACAGACCTCCGGTAAGAGCAGCGACTAGTTTTGTCTCCAACAATCATTGACAGCCGCCTCGGCCGTCATGTCCACTCCGCTATGGAAAGGTCTGGCGAGCTATGGCACTGCAGTTCAGACGATATGGAGGTCTATCGTAGCAGCGCCTTGATCGCCCCTGCCTTTCCGAGCCTGAGCATTGCAAAACCAGAAAAACGATTCTTGTGGTTGCCAGTATGTGCGGACAGAGGCGCCGTCCTTTCAAGATGTCGTTGTTCCGATCGCGTCATGTCCCTCTCGTGTTGCCGACATAACAACAACCCAATGATGTCGACTTCATGCATGGGCCCAGGTTTAGATAGGAAGGTAGCCCAGCGGACGGAAACAGTTCCATCGGTGATTTACAGAGTGTCGATGTCGAGAGCGTGACATTGACAGTAGCAACGATCATAGATAATATTGCAAGACTGCGATTTGATGCTAGACTCCGCGGTAGCGTAATCGATGCCAGTGCAGGCGCCGTTGAACGAAAGTATATTCCTTCTACTAAGGGCCAGTAATAGCGGGTCTGACCGGCATTGCATCGCTACAGCAAAGCCAAATGTAGTGAGATACGAGGGTCGTCGACTTATCAGGCTATGTATCTATGAACGTTTCGGGAGCGACTTGGACCAGTCTTGGTCAGCTCATAGTCCAGATGAAGCCCGACCTACTTACCTCAGATGGCTTACGATTACTCTACATAACACACGCGTTCTTAACCAAGGAGCGAAAATATTTGCCGAGGAAATCCTGCAAAACTCTCCTGTGGGCTTTCTTCACGTGTGTTACAACGTCGTCCCCAGGTTCAGCGGCCCTTCCAAATACTGAGCGACTATATCTTGAGCTAGTTTTTCGACGGGACGCATACCTAGCGTACAATCCTTCTTCGGCGTATTTTCCTACTTGGAACATCGCGCACCAGGCGAGCTGACAGTACATGTTGCGACGTCCTATTCCCCCGGTGTTACTGTACACTTGCATCATATAGTGGCATGTCGGAAGCTGCACCAGCGCTGTACGGAAAGACCGACGACACTGTGGGGCCATGTGGGGCACAGTACATATCATGCCGAGGCGCGATCTCGGGTAGTCGAGAACGTGGACTAGTTCTCATCGGAATGGTATTCGGAATAAGTACAGTAGACGGGCAAAGAGCCGAAGGATGAGCATATTTCCCAAATACAACGACGCTAACTTGGGTATGTAAAACGACATGACGAGATAAAAGAGCTTTTGTGATGCAGCAACAGCTGAGCCATATCAAGCCTGCAATAAAGCTTCTTCAATCTCCCAATTATCCCAAGTAGGTTTGTCGAAACCGTTGGGGCGGGAGCTACGCAAGAAGCCGTTCCAGTAACCTTCGATATTGACAACTGGCCGGATAGTCCTAACATTCGCATTGAACCCTTTGCTGTAGCACTCCTGCATATGTCGGTCCTCGAACAATTCTGGATGTGTTCGTCTCATGGTCTTCAGTGCTCTCTTGCCAACCTCATCTACCGAGTCATGATGTCGCAACTGGAAAAACTCCCGGTCGTGCTCCTTCCTTAGCTCTGCCATCATGCGCTCGTCGTAAAGTCCAAGTTGAAGTAGGTATATGTCATACTGACACAAAGATGTGGTACCCAGATAGCTCCCACCGACCTTCGCTCGTCTGTGTAGTCCAACAAGTGCAGCAATGGTGCCCATGCAGCCCGTACCATAATCGCTCATAGGAAAGGGTGGGACGATAGGCTCATCCAATCCCATTGCTTGGCCCTGAGCCCAGGCCACACCTGTCACGCAGTCTGCGATTTGTTGCCAGCCTGGTCGTGACGACCATGGCCCAGTGTGTCCGAAGCAGTTTTCGGCGACGTAGACGAAGCCCTTACCGCGCTTCTTGGCAAGGCGGAGGAGCTGTTTAGGTCCATATCCGAGACGATCCAGGCTGCCGGGCCGGTATCCATCTAAAACCACATCTGCAGACTGTAAAAGCTCTTCGAAGGTAGCTCGGTCGTTTGTTTCTTTTAAATTCAGGTCGGTAGTGTGCTTGCCAATATTTGCATCCACTTGAAAGAAAGGCACGTCGGAGAGGTTCGGCGATGTGACCTTGATGACCTCAGCGCCGTATTCGGCAAGACCACGGCCCATTGCCGGTCCTGCAATGATGCGACAAAGTTCGAGGACGCGGATACCGGCAAGAATTTGTGGTTTAGGTGCACGCGACGACTTGAAAGGAAAAGGAGTCGCGGGGGTTTCAGTCTCGAGAATCTCTACCTTCCAAGGTGGTTGTTGAAGGAGTGCCTGTCCGTGATCGGTTCTTTGGAAATCCTCCCACTTTAGGCAAGTTACACCGGCTTGTTTGATCTCCGAATTCATCTCTTCGAGCTGGCCGACAGTGTATTGTCTGACATGATCCTCGATAACCTTGATGCATTCATGATATTCTGTCAAGTCGGGCCGTGATCCTTCCAGACCAATCATGTTCAGCGCTTTAGTTGCCTCAAGAGAGCCATGAAGGTGAAAGTATTTTCCTGGGTTCTTCGTCTGATAGAGGTTTGCGGATAATCTGCGGTAAAGGATAGACTGCGCTTGGAGAAGGTCGGTATCTGCCTTGGTCAGTGACATTTATCGTTCATGCTGAAGCAGCAAGTCCAACCTTTGAGTAACTTCTTCGCTTTTGGGTTTGATTTATCGAACCCCCCTACAGTGGCTAGATATGTCGAGAACAGGAAAGCGGTCGCTCTTTCGAGATCCACGGCAATGTTTCGTGGTCTTTGAGCATGTTGTAAATCAACTATAGCAGATGCAACTCCTGCTTCAACCGCCTTAAGAGCTGAAATGGCCTCCGTTTGCTTCAGTGGACTGGGAAAGTACGGGCTTCCCGTGTTTGCAGTCGAAAACTTGACGTTGGCAATATGAGGTAGCGACTCTTCAGGCAGGTTATGCTTCGCCTTGGTAATCAACTGTTCTAACGCTGACGTGGTGCCCGCTAGCAAGGTGTTGGCTTGTTCAGTGCCTTGATGGTGATTATTATCAGTTCCTAGGTATGGAGCCATTTTGAAAGATGTAAAGATTAAACTGGATGGAACGAGATGGCAGCGAAGGGGTTTTCAGGGTAAAGACTGGTTACCCTTTTGACGGGCCGAGGTGGTTGCTGCTTTGTAACAGCTTCGCCGTTGAAAAGCTGATTAGCGGCATGTCGAGCATGTTGACCGCAAGCGGTCGTGGCAATCTCAATCAGCATCGGCTAGCAGTGTCCTGCATGTCAACGGGTTGAGTCGAAAGACGGGCTGGCCTGGGGTCTGTAGGTGCCGATTTCATGATGATCGGCAGACATCAAGCGCTACTCGATTTTCGGAACAGTGGCAGCCCAAGCTTCGCGGCCTCACGACGACTGCGAGGCATTCACCACCCATTTTCATCGGCAAGACCATCTCAATCGAACTGTAATCATCATCCATTCATCGATCCAGCCAGCGAAGGCTGCGTAGCCTCTTTTCGCGTCGTTTTTCCGTAGTGTTATGGAACTTCCGTGAATCGCTCTCATCATTCCCGCGAGTGCATCTTCCGATCAGCTCATCCGTCCGTCGCGTCGGCAATGTACTCCCAGGCAGTGACCATCCGAAATCGCACGTGATAGCGACTGCTACCTAGGTACTGCCGCAGGCCTTACACAGTAATGACGCGACCCAAGGTCCCACCAGGTACGTACGTGCTCGTACTGGCGAAACACGGCTAATATGATGCGTCGTAGACCAACGACAGCGTACAGCCCAGGCGTGCGAAAGCTGCAAGAGGAGAAAACAAAAGGCAAGTCAAACTCTCAGACTTGTCAACTGCTGCATCATGAGGCTATGTGCATTCGGTTACGAACGCCCTTGGCATGGATCCCTGTCGACGTTCACAACCTGCAAGTACGTTCTCTGCACGATATTGCGCTAGCATATTGAGGTTGTCTTCCGCACCGAGCAAGCTTCGCTACCTACCTGGAGCAGTGCAGGAGGCTTTCGGCTAGCTCTGCAACCCCACAATACTGTTCAACAGCATAGCGGACTGCGTAGCTAAGCATCGCTTTATAATCGTGGATAGCATCTGTAGATCAGACCAAATCGGCTCCTTCGCAAGATGGCTCACGGACACGTGCAATCACGTGCTTCGTCTGGTAGAACGAGACTAACGAAACAAAGTGTAACGGCTTATGCCCTTGCAACACGTGTGATAAGGTGAGCGCCCAATCCAATCTTACAACATGATACTGACTCATTATAGCGCAAGTTCACCTGTATATATGCAGATCGAGATCCTAATTCCCCGAACGAGGACGGACCCCCCACAAAGAGACGTACCGCTGAGAACAGTAATGACAATGACGGTCTGCTGTACGTACTTTTCATTCCATTACATTACCACATTGATGGAATCCAGAAAAATATTGACGCTTTTTTGTTCATTGCTACATCCCTGATCGATATCTCCCACCTAGTCTCGAGCACATTTACTGACTGCCCACTTTGTAGCCTGAACGACAACTCGGCTGCCAACACACCCATCAATGAGCACACGCAGGTAACCCCACTGTCGTCACATAACCGAACGTCTTCCGGTACCCGACCAAATCTGTCGGCACGTGCACTCAATGTGGAGCAAGACACACCATTAAAATCGCCAGGCCCCAGACTGAGTATTGAGCACACAAGTATCCCGATCGATCGTCCATCTGTCAATCGCGAGAATGCACGCGAAAGACCTACTTCGACCAATGCTACCACACCTCATGATGGTGCGGATGATGTGGCGGAGTTCCCAAGTCAGAGTCGAATGTTGCAAGATCCGACCGGCCGGGTGATATACATAGGCGATGCAGCTACTTTGTCATTCCTCCAGCTACTCCGGATGATGGTAGAAACGGTAGCCGGTCCATCACCCTTCACGACTGACCCTCGACGACACAAGATAGTCGAAGGTCAGTACTCGCTCCCGCTGGGCTATCGACATACCAGTCTCCTTCCAGACGAGCAAACGGCTCGTGTGCTGGTGGATGCCTTTTTCATCAACACCCATGGCTTGTTGCAGGTCTTCCACCGTGACTACTTCCTCGAAAAGCTAGAGCATTGCTACTCCGATCCGCTATCTGTGGACCCTTCCTGGTTATGCCTGCTCAACCTAGTCTTCGCTATTGGACTAACAATGGCCACACCACTTTCGGGAAGTCCGGAGGCGCTAATCGTTGACAAGCTTCGAAGCGAACACCTCGATAGAGCTGAGGCCTTCTACCTTAATGCTAAGAACATGAATGATCCAATGACTGGCCTTGAGGATCAGGACTTTTGGTCTGTTCAAGCGCTACTTCTCATGTCTTATTACATGTTGGCCAAAACCAAGCGGAATGCTGCTTTCGCGTTACTTGGTATGGCAGTACGGTCTGCACTCGCGCTTGGGCTCCACAGAGAAGAGACCATGGTCATATTCAGCCCCGATGAACAAACGCAGCGAAAAGACCTTTGGCGGTCAATCTTCGTCATGGATAGGCTACTCTCCTGCTCTCTGGGTCGTCCAACCGCCATATCAGAAGACGACTGCTCAGGAGACACGCTACGTCCGCCAGACTGTGTTCGCGACCAAAACTGGAGTTTCAGCGCGAAAACAGTGTACGATTTCAACGAAACAGGTCCTCAAGCTCTAGAGGCCACTGTCCGAAGCTGCAGAGTGATTGGATTCATCTTGCGGAAGGTATACCAGCAACGCAAGATCAGCACTCGCCTTGCGCAGGAGATATCGGACATATGTAAGACATGGCCCCGGTTACTGACGCCTATCTTGCAATGGCGACAAGCAGCGACTGCTTCGCCCAGTCAAGGCGTGGCCATCTTGCACACCAACTTGTTTTACTGTCATTCTATCATCCTCCTTACCCGACCCTTCTTACTATATATACTAAACAAAGAGACCCAAAGACACGTCGGACAGTCCGGATCAAGAGGGCCACGACCTTTCCACCGTATGGAGAGGTTTAGCGAAGCTTGTGTCATTGCCTCTGTACATACCATTTTGCTGGCACAAAACGCTTACGAAGCTGGCTACCTGTCCCGGCGCAACCCAGCTGTCATCTATTTCCTTTTCGCAGCCACACTCGTCATCCTCGCAAGCGACTTCGCCGGCCTATACCAAATCGAGTTGACGGACAACTGCGTCGTGAACGCCATAAACGTCATGAACTACTGTGCTGAGAGCGATCAACAAGCCAGCCGTCTTGTCTACATTCTAAGTTCTTTCAGAGACGTCGTCGCGCAGCAACGACTACGCCGTCGACACGATCAGACAAGCAATTCGACCTTGCCCAGCATTGCATCGCAACTCTACGGTGTGCAGATGCCGCAGCAACAACGGAATGCAACGCCCCAGGCAACTGATCTAGCGCATTCGACTAACCCAATGGACGCAACACCACGACTCCATCAAGTCCCCGTGCACATTTATCCCGGGATGCAAACAGCGCCACTCAACGAACCCATGCTCACATATCAAGCATCTGAGCAACACCATCCTCTCGACCAGGATCGACATCAATCCAACCTTCAGCGTACACCCGCTCCCGCAGGAGAGGACTTTAGTGTTCATCTATCACCTATTCAAGAGCCACCACCAATGAATATGGCTACACCATCATTCCCACCTGCTTCGAAGCCACCTTCGCTATCAGCAATGCTCGATCTCTCCGCTTTGGAAGCAACGCGCGTTCCTAGTCTACACTCTGAGGAGAGTGGACAAGATGAACAGATTGATTTTGATGCACTGTGGGCTTGGCCTAGCAATACGCCTGCGATGGGGAGCCCAAGGGCTATGGAGGCAGGTGGCGTGAGCGAGCGGGTGCAAGGTATCAGCGATAGTGTTGTACCTATGTTTGGAGTTAGTAGGGAGGGGACGGATGGCATTTAAAGGAGTCAGATGTGAGATGTATGTTTCTATTGATTTAGCGTGTGACGCACACTAGCATGTGTATGTAGCTACTTTTTCCATTCTGTATATCTCAATTTCAGGTTCGCACAGAGCGAAATGCATCATTATGGGATAACCTTCCATTATGAAGCGTTTCGGCGTAAGTCACGAGCCTCTTCAGTTGTCTGTCTGTCTCTCCATGCCGTGTCCTTGCCGTATCCTTGCCAGCTTTTTGACAGCTGCTGCGTATGCTGCTGCCTACCATTTGCGCAATTCGACCTGAGATGCCCATTCAACACTCGCAGGTTGGAGGAACACCACGGACTTGGTAATTCAGAAATACGGCTGTCCCTTTGGTGGGCTCAAATATTAAACGACACTTGTTGTAAGAGATCTAAGAATCTGCGCAAGGCTTTAGTTGGCCTACCACACCGTGAACAATGTCTAGGAACGCCTCAAAAAAAGGTGGCCGAGCATTAACGTGGATCTTAGCTGGAGAGTTGGCCTGTTTAGGTTACAGGCATTTGTCTTCTATGCTATGCACTAAGCTTGGTCTGGTGCAGACTGTGTCCATCATGGTAACAGGTCAAATCTGTCGATCACATGTTGAATCAGTGGCCCTTCCAGAGTGAAGACATATGCCAAGTTAGAAGTGGGAGTGGTAATTCCATGTTCCAATGTACCGAACAGATCAGTATCGTCGGCAGATGTGAGTGGCTTGTCGTCTATGGGTCATCAGAACGGTAAGTACTATTCATGGCACGCGCCAAACTAATCCACAATTATCAGGCTCAGACTGGGAAATAGCAGGTGCCGTACAAGCAGTAAGAATTTCAGAAAACCATGGAATGCCAGAGTTGGACGGATATGTCCGCAACACATAATCATACATATCGCATATCGGAACCATCTTTTACAAAGCCTCGAGAACACGCACATCGCTCATCGCTTCAAAGGGTATCGTCTCGCTTCCCGCACCATTTTCCAACGCCCAGTGCAGCGTCTTCTCCATCGCACGCCTACCTGTCTGCTCGAGTGGTAGCCAGTGACCCGCCCCCTTGATAATCACCACCTGACTGCCTTTAACCAGATAGTCTCGAGCATTGTCAAGTGAGAGCCGTTGATCGAATGCCGGTTCGTGTTGTCCCATCATCAGCGTCGAAGGGGCCTTCAGCGCACCCTCAGGTGCCATGTTAGAAAGGGTGCCTGAAGGGGAAAGAGATTGGGAAGCAGCAGCATCGGATGAGATGTTGTATAAAGCGGCAGTAATCTCGAGCGACTTGTCCCACTTTCCAAAGACTAGGTTCTCCCTGTAGATGCGGATCTTCTCAGACATTCCACGGTCGCCCACTCTTCTCTTGACAGACTCGCCGTACCGCTCACCGTTGTTGTTAGTCGTCTCCAACTGAGCGCTTCCAGGGCCAGTAGAGATGGCCATTGCTTCAGCAGCTTCCACAGGGTTCAAGACAGCAGGAGCCTTATTCTTGCTCGGCGTACCCTTGCCGAAGCTGTGGAGAACGCGCAGGAACCAGTAGTTTCCAAAAGTCGCAAAGGTGTTGTTGAGTGGCCAGGGTAGATGGAAGACGAAGATGTAGAATGAGCGTCTGAACTGTCCAGCCACAGGGCCTAGCGCATGTAAGCCGTTCTTCAACAGACGGAAGTTGAACGGCGAATGCATCCATGTCCTTAGCATCTGCTTCGCTAACAGTATCCTGTTCTTCCCGTTTGAGCGTTGTAGACCAGGGATGATACCGCCCGTGATGATCCAGTGGTCAGCCAGCACGTGCGCCTCAGAAGCCAGTCGCGCGCCAATGACCGCACCCCAGTCATGTGTTACTACAACTGCCTTCCTGCCTTCCTGCAAGAATTGTTCTCTGATGCCTACGATGAACTCGCTCAACGCTTCGAGTACTTCGTTCGGGCCGTATGCGGGCAGACTGTCGGAGCCGCCGTAGCCAGGGAGATCGACGGCTATCAAGATGGTGTCCTTTTGTAAAGAAGAGGATTGGAGGAGGTGTCGCCAGATGAGGAAGGAATCGGGGAAGCCTGGTCTTGTTGATTAGTTGCATGGTTCCCAAAAGTTTGGAGCCTGAAAGCTACGTACCATGTATGAATACAGCGATGTTCTTCGCCGTCGATGTGTCGGCGCCTTGGTTGATAACGTAGTGCAAACTCGTGCCGTTGCTGGTCTTGAAAAAAGCGTGCTTGAAGCCTGGTAGAGGCTCCCCATCAAGACTCCAAAACCTTGCTTGCGCAACAGCCAACTCCCGCTTCTCTTCTTCGGTATCCTTTGCCCACAGCGCACCGTTCTTGACTACTGCCATTGTCCATGCTCCAGCAAGACTAACGAGCCCAAACGTGAGCTTGAAGCCACTCCAAGCCAGATCCCCAATTTTGTCTGTCATTCTGGCGGTTGGCAGGAATACCGTATGGCGAGACGCCTCTAGTCGTGTGTATTCAGATTATGCACCAGCTGAAATTGTTCATGCTCATGAGTTGGTCGTGGGAAAGCGATATCGACCTGCTACATATAGCGCGGAGTACAGCCAACAAATTGCGATCAAAAATCAAGGTTGTGGTATCCACCCCCGCCTGTTGGTAGAACGAACATTGCGATAAGCTACAGGGACAGATCGCCATGGCAAAGCAGATGACCTTCGAATCCACGCGGCAGCGATGATCAAGGGTCCTACGCGTCCATGGCAGCTGCAGTGATGATCGTTGAGGTATGACGTTATTGGCCAGAGCTTCTTCCTTTGCCGTGCGTGGGCTGCATGTCTAATCGGTCGGGTAGCTTCTCCCCCCGCTCAGGGCGTAGGGCACTATTGTGTGAGGGGCGATTCACGTGCTCTGCGGGATAATTAATATACTCTTGAGTTGTCACTGTACAGAGCTGGGATATGCGGACATGTTCGTTGGGCTGCTAGATCATACACGCAATGGCAGTACGTACGTGTTCTCCAAGGCCTGGATTCCAAGATGGCAACAAATATCGTTAAATATTGACCTTGTGAGCACGTACAACTCAGAAAAAACGACCTGCTTCTTATGCCCCTAATGACTACGAATGGTCGCTGTGCCTAAAGCTCAGCGCTGCGCCCCCACTATTTTGACATTGCAATGTCGGGTATCATAACAACTTCCATAACCTCCCCCAACGGCTCCGATGTCTACAAAGACTCGGCCAAGCTCGTATTAAATCATCTCCTCTTCCCCTTGACTCTCTCCATAACCCTCAATTCGGCACTCCTCTGCAACCTCAGATCTTCTAGCTCCCTCTCGATGCCTCTGTTTTTTTCGACAAGCTCCTTCCTCTTCTCCATCCTCTGCTTAGCCTCATCCAGTTTATGCCTCACAACATCTTCCACCACCCTCTCCAGCTGTCCTGCATCCTCAATGCCATGCTCTCTGATGAACCTGTCCGCGAACTCCTCAATAGTGTGTGGTGATGGTCCCGGACCGCCTGTATGATACCCGTTCTTGTGGGTGACGTATAAGCCTGGTATGGCGGAAGTATGTGTGCGGAGGTTGGAGGAAAGTGGAATAGGTAGTTGCGAAGCGGGGATTGTGGGGATATCGTCCGAGGGTTTTCGTGGAGAGGGTTGAGATGGTGGATTGAGTATAATCTCCATGAGGCCGTTCTCAAAGGCTTCGTCGTATGGTACTGTAGATGGCGAGAAGTCGACCATTGGGGATGTGAGTTCGGGCTCGTCGCGTGGTGTGAGTGGCGCATTGCCCATAATCGTGTCTTGATTGCTCATGGTGGATGTGTCTTGGTTATAGTTGGCCATGCGACGCGTGATTTTGAAGAACAGAGTGTTGCGATTCGGGGTTTGTGGAGTTGAGAGTATGCATCCCCAGACTGTCGCAATGATGGAGCTGATTGCAGCGTCATGACTAAGCCGGAATTCCCCCAGCACTTCCGCGGTCGCGACTTTCCCAACTTTTGCCAGTCAGGCCCAACACGACTCAATCCGCGAATCCCCAGACCACCAATACAACCTTGTACCTATCACAGTAATGGCCGATAAACTACGCGCGCAGCAACAGCTCGAGGCTCTCCAAGCCCGCTACATCGGTATCGGAAGCGCAGACACTACTAAGCACGAATGGACATCGAACATTGCGCGCGACTCGCTATCGAGCTATGTCGGCCATCCGCCTCTTCTACAGTACATGAGCATCGGTCTAGGACAGCCCCGCGAGAAGACAAGACTGCAGTTACTGGAGCGCATGGTAAGGCCTGTTGGGCCACCGCCTGAGGTGAGTAATGTATAGGCTGAGTCTCGGCATCAACAAACTAATAGGAAGTAGCAACAGGATTGATCAAAGTAACTTGGAACGAAACGATAGAGTTGATTACAAGGACATGCGCAAAACAAGAATCCAAAGCAACAGGCGCTCTCCATTCGGATGGCACAGATACGCACGAGGCCGGCTCGTGGACGAAGAGGAACGGACGGGTACATGCTGCTTGTCTAAGGCTGTCGAAGCCAACACTATGAACTTGTTCAGTAGCGTAGCGCACTCCGAGTGCCGGTGGTGAGAGGTGTACACACACCTCTGCCTCTATGAAGATAGCCCAGTTCCCACCACCACAACCGGGGCCCGAAGGTCTTCTCTAACTCATGCTTTGCCTTTTGTGACGCCTCAATCACTATCACTCGCGCTTCCTGTTGGGCCATCATCGTCGTCCTCCACCACGTCGCCGCCCATTAGCATCGAAACTTCTCCCTTTTGTAGCATACTCCTCAACTCGGTATTTCTCGGGTCCGCCAGCTCAATAGGCTTGAGCTTCGCCTTGTTCCTTATTCTCGGATCGCATCCCGCGTCTAGAAGCATGGCTACGATGGAGTGGCCGTGGGGCCAGACTGATTTTTCGAGCGAGTTGACGTAGCGTACGGCTTTGTGGAGGGGAGTATCTTGCTCCATGCGGTCGATTTCGTCAATCTCGAGACCCTCTTGGTCGAGAAGCATGTCGATAACTTCGACTAGGATAGAGTTAGTTCATCTATGCCCTGACATGTGCCATGCGACCAACATATCCTGCGTGCTGCGCCGCTTGGTGCGAAGATACTTACAGCTTCCGTATGTTGCAGCAACATGAAGACAGCCGTTACCCACGCCGTCGCGTGCGTTGTTCAGTACGTCTGCCACATGATCTTCTGGCTTCTTTCCTGATTTTGAGGCAGCAGCACCAAGGTCTTTTAGTGTTTCCTCGAGGAGCTCGGTGTTGTTGCGTCGGCACGCTTCGAGGACAAGTTCGCGAGGAGATGCACCCTGAGTATGCATTAGTATTGGAAGGTGCATGGTATGCGTATGCATGTACCTCTTCGTCCGCCATGATGTGTCGTGTTGAGGATATGGAGAGTGAACTGGACGGGGACGGGCGGTCCAGTCAGGTACGCGTGAATGTTTCGAGATGTTGTTTGGCGGGGTACTCGGAAGTGCTAACGGAAAGCGAGCAATGCAAGGCGGTGTGAAGAAGTGAAGTATCCCTCTAATACGGCGATAAGAACGTAGGCGATGTCTCCCAGGCCAGCGTGCATAAGCCCCCAATCTGAGACAGTCCGTTCCCAAGTGCGCGTCCCCGGTGGCTTTTCGCTGGGCCATAATCGCCCCGCACTTTTCCTATCGCAGCCCTAGCGGTTCAGGGTCCGTCATAACTTTTGAACTTGTTCGCGATCAACTCTCACGCGCCCAACTCTGTGTTTCCTCTATCGTCGCCCACCATGTTGCTCTGTAAGTTGTAGACATCCCAAATCCGGACCTTCGCTAGCTTTTGCTATGCTTCCACTCGTCAAAATTCCGCATCTCACCCAGGCCAAAGCTGACAACCATAGTCTGCCCAACATGCAGCAATATGCTTCGCGTCTCCAAAGTACCTCCCGGCGATCCTACCACCGAAGACTCTGTCGGCCAGAACCGTTTTGAATGCCTTACTTGTCCCTACCACTTTGTCATCAACAAGCGCTACTACGAACGGAAGTACCTGAAGAAGAAGGAAGTCGAAGACATTCTGGGTGGAAAGGGCGCCTGGGATAACGTAGACAAGACGGAAGGTATATCAAACGATGCCGAAGGCTATCTGAGACCCAGAATTCGTGGCTCAGAGGAGGGCCATTATGTTCGGTGGGCATGGCTGACGACTAAACAGTGCAATGTCCAAACGAGAAGTGCCGGAACCACGAAGCGTACTGGTACCAGCTGCAGATTCGTAGTGCTGACGAGCCTATGACTGCGTTCTACAAGGTGCGTCACCTACTCGACCTTGCTAGTTACCTTACTTACCTATTGCAGTGCACCCAATGCGCGAAAGAGTGGCGAGAATGATCTTCGAATTCGATCAGACATCCAGGAGTTTGGAAGTGGAGTTCTTGCTTTAATATACCCCGGTTACATTTGGTAAACAAATACGAATCTTTAGTCTGACTTGCAGGTGCCCATTCGCGACTAGAGGAATTTGAGATGAGAAATTAATTTCCTGGGTGAAATTGTGTGGGAATATGAAAGCTTCTTCAAGGCCGACAAGCGGAACAAACTGAGAGCCTGTGTGGAGAAATCCGAGATACTACCCCGAGCACCAAAGGTGCAATTTGAGACCCATTCTACTTTTTCGACTTCGGCGGATCCCCCCGAGTCGTGTGAGAAGAACTATTCTGAGGTCTTCTGACCTCTGAAAGACGTGACTATGGCTAAGAAGTCTTGAATTTTGCCATTTGCCCCTCATACCTTTGAGAGGAAACAAAGTGATATTGGTCATGCTTGGTGGGTTTAGAAGGGTGGTGGATGGTAGCAAATGTTGAAATTGGTCACAGGCGGTCACAAGATAAGAGTGCATGATGGCCACGCACCAACCTTCTGGATCAAACATCGCTGGTAGAAGGGCTGATCAAGGATTTAACTTCTTTCAATATATTCTGCCGCCACGAGCGGCCACAACGCAACATCCTAGATCCGATAACCCTCATGATTCAGATGCACACGATCAACGAGCATTTCCTTACTAATCAGGTGGCTCGACTCAACCCATTTCACCCTATCATCTCGGTGTTCGTCGCCTTGTATCCTATCCTCCCTCTCCGCCTATCCAATGCGCAAAGCCTTGTTCATCTCTTCAACGACCTCCTTGAGCATTCTGTTGCTCTCGTCCACGAAACCATCAGGTACATCCTTCTAATACGCCATATCACAAGCCAGTATCGTACTCTCCAGAGCAATTCTCAAGCAAGTCTCCACCACCACCCCCTAGCTCTCCACGTCTTGCTGCCGGAACGCACATTTTGCATGTAGATTGTTCGTTCCGGGCGCGAGGACCCAGACTTTGATGTCGCATCTCTTCTTCTTCGCGTTGCTGAGCATATTGTAGAGGCCCTCGGTGAATCGGTATGCGACGCTTTCATTCTCGTCGCCGCCGACACAGGCGTTCCATGCGACCGTGAAAGCTGTTCTAGGCTGTGTCCACACACTCCTATCTGTTTTATTGCCGAATCGGAGAAATGATGGCACGCTCAACCATGCGCCTGCAATGACAGTCACAGCGAGTGTGCTCATGCTCGGCCTCCACCTGTGTATTCTTTGCCTGCAACAGTAGGCGCGCCTGTTGTGGGAGTTCTTCAAGAACACGACATCTGGTTGATACACGTCCTTGGAAAGATAGTCCGACATCTCAAATACGATGCGAAGTTCTTTTAATGAGGTGAAGTATCTTTAGCGCCACAGTCATCTGTCCATCTATGCGGTCATGGAAATATGGCTGGGAAGGGCTCAAAGCGAAGCTCGTATTAGCATTCGTTGGTGTACAAGTCGATGTGGAGTGATTCTGGCGAGGATGAGCTAGTACGGCTAGTTGTAGCATTTTAGAGCCGCCGTGATTGTAAAAGAGTCCCGGGAAACTATGATGGAAACAATAGATTTCTGTGTGTTTCAAGGTTCGTGATGTGATTTGCAACAGTCTTGGGTCGAGACCGAAACAGAATTGGTGTCAGACGGCTTATTTTCGGGCAACGCCAAAGTACTTTTGCGAGGAAGAAGCGAACCCAAGAGTCAAGTGCGAGCTACAGTGAAACCTTGCCTAGGTGTGCAAGCTGTCCGCAACCGGAATTCTGACGGCCTGTGGGAACGTTCAATCTGAATCTCCTTCACTCTCAATGGTGAGCTCAACCATTCCGTTGATAACATTGGCCTGAGGCCGGATGAACCAGCGAGCAGCAGCCATACTGACTGTACCCGCGCTCATGGCTAGTGTAGCAACATGTGGTTCCGACAGCTCTTCTAATACAACCTGATCGTCTCTCGGGAAGTCTTGTATCTTTGCAGACCGCGAGAAGAATATGCGAGACGAAAGGAAAGGTACGTAGGTACTGAGTCGGAAGAATCGTGGGTGATGAGTCTCGGCCTTTGAGGTCGCGGTATCCGATCGCTGTCTTTGTACTCTCTTCGTATGAACATCGTGTTTTTGCACATCACGAGCTTTCTTCGGAATGGCAAGTGTCTTGCGTGCCTGAATCTGACTTTTCCTTTGACCGACAGGCAAGGTCGGAGCAGCGTTGTCGGCAACGAACGGACTGACAGACGCGACATCGAGATCCATAACACAAGGTTGCCAACTCTCGTTAAACTCCACGGGCTCGAATGATGCACCTTTGTTACGCATAAAGCTCTGCTCAATGACACTACTATCCCGTAGCAACGCAGGTTGTGAAGCACCGTGAAAGTTATGTAAATGCTGAAGAAAGGCATCCTCGGACGTGTAGAATTCCTGATTACATGAACGATAGCGATGGTAGTTTTGCGCATGCTCAACGTGAAACGTGCGATAGCCAGAACCGCAAAGGTGGCAATGATGAGCCTTGGCTGAGGGGAAATCCGGACAGAGCGGTGGCCCTGCGTTGTCGGCAGCAACATCGTCGAAGCTCCGCAGGAACCGGCAGCTCCACACACGACAATGGGAGTGTTCGTTCATGTCCTTGACGTCGGTGAATACCTTTTGGCAGTATCGGCAACGGAAGGACTCGTAGGGTGTGGTCGAGTATAGATTCTCCAAATGGTTTTCCTTGCGCTCACTCCACCAAACGGCACGGTCAAGCTCACGTGCGATGAGATGCTCAGCGACATGCTCACATCGCTCAGACCAGTCTCTCAACTTCTTTCCACAGAAGCCACAATGAAGCATAGGGTCATCCTTCTTCATTGGAGCACCGAAGCGACGCCACTTCATGGCGAGTTCTTTGCAGCCGAAGTAATGGCCCTCAGCGGCTAACAGTCGAGCCTGACATCCGACGCGTACCGAGGGGTGTTTGGTATTAGCAAAGTGAACATGATGTAGGTGTTGGATGAAGTGATCGCGGCGATAGAAAGTTCGTTGGGATTCGGGCTTGCTCCTGCATTGTTGATACTTGTGGCCAGCCATATGAGTATCATCGGGATAGGCCTGACCGCAGAGTGGGCATGCTTCAAGTGTTTCTGATGGTTTTGTGTCACAGCAGATCCAAGTAGTTCGAAGCGCGTGAACAGAGTCTTCGTGGCGAATCCACTCATACTTCGTCTTGAAAGCTCGCGGGCAAAAAGTGCAGAAGAAAGGCAGGTCCTTTTGGGGTTCACCAGCGCTATTCACACCATTAATAGCTTGGCGAGGGGACTCTTTCCATGCCATTCGACGTCTACCCCGCCTTCGATCACGACCAAAAGACGAGGTCTTACTACGACTGCCGCTCGATGACACCGTGTAAGTTGTGGGTGCAGTGCCTTCGGAAGAAGCAATCGACGTGATGACGGAGCCTCTGCGGTCTTGCCTGGAGTCAGACCAACTATCGTTTGGGGTACTCTCGCTGAGAGAGTCATCGACAACGGCGGCCTGTACTGCAGACAGTTCGACTGCCTCTTCCTGATATGACTGAGCAAGGTATACGGCCAGTGGCGGTTGCGGCAGCTGATTGGCGTCATCCGCTTGCTTTTGGAGGCTTTCCAGACTATCTCTTGACAACTTTGTCGCTAATATGCGGCTATCTTGACCTGGAAAGTCCCATGCGGAGGCTTGGGGGTCTTTGGTAGGTAAGCCAAAGCAGCAGTTACTCGAATTAGAGACGACTTACCTCCACATTTCTTTCTAGCTCGGGTGTTGTTGAACCAGTTGCGAACTTTCTTCACGTCGAGATTGGCTTGATGTGCGATGATGTCCAATTCCCAGGTGCAAGGGTATGGATTGGCCGCAAATTCATCTTCAAGGATCTGCCTCGCTTCGAGCGGAATGCGACTTTGGGGTCCTTTGCGTTTGGCTGATGCGGGTTTCCATGTAGCGTTGAACGTTTGCTGCTGGGCTGCGACCGATTTAACATGTACGTGTTCCAGATCAAGGGAAGTATTGGTCGGAATCGTTGACTGATTGGCCTGTGATGGAGGCGGCTCAAGCGGAGCATCCAAAGCATCAGCTGAGCCGCCCTCGTTATTGCTTTGAACATTGCATTGCATTAGCGCAAGCGATAATGATGATGAAGGTGGAAAATTAAGATTCGCCTCATCACACATCATAGAGCCCTTCATATGTTGAGGTTCATCCGCTTGCCAGTTATAGTTCGTTATTGTAGCCAAACTTGTCTCAAACATGAATGATGCCGAACAGTTTGATTCATGGGACGATGGCCATCGTTGATTCACATGGCCAGTGGAGAGGTCTTGAGTAACACCGTACATAGGCACATCGTACAGTTGAAAGTTATCCGTAGGATTGTGGTGGGCTGCTGGCTCAATAGCCCAGTCAATGGTTTTGACATTGTCTGGTTGGAATAATGGCACGAGTTGCTGACTTGAGGCATGAGTGTTGTCAAACTCTGCATTTCGCTCAAGGGCCGCGAAGTCGAAGAACTCGTCCATGTTGTCGAGCGCGTCGGTGTCCATTGTGACGCGTATAGTGCGGCCTAGAAGGGCTCTAGGAATGGCTTATCCTGGTGAAAGACAATCAATCATCAGAGACTCAATAGGCCCGAAGCGGAGAGATAATGATTTGGTGTTTGGGTGTGGCATGACAGAACGTGGATGTCGGCTTGACGCCGATGAGGTGAAAGGTGGTGCGGCGTCGTCTATTGATGAACTGGGTGCACGGCGATCTTCCAGGCAACCAACACACACTAGTCAGCTTAGCAGCAAGCAATCCCGCGTAACGAAAGAGGCAGACATTCCGTGAAGCTGCACAAACAAACTGTAATCGTGTATTTCGGCTAGAACTTCAGAAGAAATCATATGAGTTTAACATAGAGTGGTCCTGATGTTGATATCTACTGCTGGGCATCTGCCCGCGTTCAAGCCGGGAAGGCGCCACCATCCGATATCGTTAGCGCGACTTGTTGACCCACCGAAAAGTTCCTCCACCCGAAAAGCTCACGACACTTGCAACTACACGCGCATTGATCGCATCCAACACTCACAATGGCCGCCGAAGTACAACTCCTGCAGCCTTTGAAGCTGCCAAAAGGCCCTTCAACCCTCACGTCAGAGCAAAAGTACTGGAACTCGTTCGCCTCGGAGCTCAGACTCGACCCATCGCAGCATTCGTCGCCCGTAACCCATATCTCGATACCGCCTCCTCAGCCTGCGAATGCACTATCTGCTACCCAGGATCTCTTTGCGGTGACGACCGGGTCGCGCGTTCAGATTTTCTCGTCCAAGAGTCGAAAAGTCGTCAAGACAATATCGCGCTTCGGCGTCGACGACATTGCGCATTCGGGAAATATACGGCGCGATGGCAGGATCTTGGTCGCAGGAGGAGATACTGGTGTTATACAGGCGTTTGATGTAAAGAGCAGAGCCATCTTGAAGACATGGAAGGAGCACAAGCAGCCCGTTTGGGTGACACAGTGGAATCCAACAGACCTTACGGGCCTGATGAGTTGTTCTGACGACAGGACCGTGCGATTGTGGGATCTGCCGAGCGAGAAGAGTGTGATGAAGTTTGATGGGCATCAGGACTACGTGCGCAGTGGTACTTTCATGCCTGCGCAGAGTGGACTGCTTGTATCTGGAAGTTACGATCAGACAGTACGACTCTGGGACTCGCGAGTAGGCGGAAAGGCAGTCATGGTATTCAAGCACGCCGCGCCCGTCGAGACCGTTCTACCCATGCCCTCTGGAACTGCCGTCCTTGCAGCAGCCGACAACGTGATCAGTGTCCTGGACATTGTAGCCGCGAAGCCGATCCATATGTTGCGCAACCACCAGAAGACTGTTACAGCGCTCTCGTTAGCAAACAATGGCGAGCGTCTCCTCTCTGGTGCCCTCGACGGGCACGTCAAGGTTTTCGAAACAACTGGCTGGAACGTCGTAGGAGGAATGAAGTACCCCTCACCCATTCTGTCACTCAGCGTTATTCCAAACCAGAAGGAAGACAGACATATTGCCGTGGGTATGCAATCTGGCCTGCTCTCAATCAAGACCCATCTCTCAGGCGAGCAGAAGGTGCAAGCTCGTGAGCGAGAGAAGGAGATGAAAGCTCTCATGGAAGGCAAGATTGAGGAGTACGATAGGAGCAAGAAGCGGAAGCGCGGAAAGGGCTGGGAGAAGCGCATTCGAGGCAAAGACTTCACAGGCGAGAGCGCAGATATTGTAATCGAAGGCAATGCGCGGGGAAAAATCACTGCCGGACAGCCTTGGGCGCATGCGCTACGAAAGGGCATGTATTCGCAGGCGTTGGACATGGTGCTTGAGTCAAAGGTAAAGTTTTTTCTATCGCGTATCCCATTCTTCTGGAACCATTGCTAACATCCTCAAGGATGCAAACGCGCGCAGCCAGTCCCTCACACTCCTGACCGCTCTACGCCACCGCTCTGCTCTCCGCACCGCCCTCAGCAACCGCGACTCCGTTACACTTCAGCCTATCCTCCGCTGGTGCATAAAGAACATCTCCGACTACCGCATCACACGTCTGACGACAGACGTTGCGCTCGTAGTGTTGGATCTATACGCCGACCAACTAGGCAGAAGCGAAGAGGTCGATGATCTGATCATGGCGCTCATGCAACGTGTCAAGGTGACTGTTGAAGCAAGTCAAGATGCCTGGAAAGTAAGGGGTATGTTGGATATGCTTGTCAGCAGCGTGGGCGCAATAGAAGGCGTGGAAGCATGAGAACGACCAAAAGGTCTTTTGTTTGCATAGCGAAGGCGTTCAGGATCTTGTCACATGTTCAAAAGTTGAGAAGGTGGCCATGTATGTTATGTACTTTGGACGAAGAGATATATACACCTGGATGAAGCGATTGGTATTGCTTTGGATGATGGGAACAGTATGAGCTTGAATGGTATATTGTACAAGCCAGTCCTTTTTCCACCGGCTATATATGCTATACACGGAATTCGTACATTTATCTACCATAGACAATATTGCCGTTGTGATGTGACGGGTCGGTCGGGTAGTGCGGTCCATAGCTTGCGGTTGTCGCGCTTCTTCTTGATCTCGTCGGAGATGCGCATACGCGTCTTCTCTTCCTTGAGAAGTACGGAAAAACCTGTCATATCGTGTTAGCGTCCAATCTCGAAAAGCAAGCTCGCAACCAACTCACTGGTCGTCCGGTGCTTCAACATGTTGATGGCACCCCGCGCCCTAAACTCAGGGCTCTTCCAGCTCTCTCCGGGTCCGACCCATGCCTGATCAATGTAGATCTCACTGGGATCACGAACCACCTTCTTACTGCCATCCTTCAACTGGATCGTCGTGTCCTTGAAGAATGGCACTTTAACTTTCTTCGCTTCGACGCTATCGTCCTCTTCCGATGTCTTGTAGTCCCATGTATCCTTCGGCCTCCCCGCATCCGTAGCTTCTCTTTGCTTATTCCAACGCAACACAGCAGCCTCTTCGCCAGCTAGACCCATGCCACGACCTGCAATAGCTTCGTTTTGCGCAATTTCGAGGCCCTTGATGACGTCGCGAGCGACCCTTTTCTTGGAGAAGCGGAGTTGTACAAGGGCTTCTGATACGGTCTTTCCGGCGATCTGGTTGACGACCTTCTGTAGCTTCTTGGTAGATGTAGGGAGGAGTTGCGACTTGAAAAGCGATTGACGTTCGGTGCGGAGTAGCTTCGCCGCCTTTGTCATGCGACCGTGGCGCTTCACACTAGAGATGACGAGTTTGCGTTCGAGGCGCTTACGGGCTTTCTCGTCGGGGTCGAGGGTCATGCTCATGAGTCTCCTGTCTTCCTGTGCCTTTGCTTGTTGCTCCCTTTGCCGGTGTTTTGCCTTGAGTTCGAGTTTCTCCTGCGGACTCAGGTCTTGTCGCCAGCCAGGGATATCGTTCTCGGGTGCGAAGAGCGACGTCGGGTTAACAGCGAAGTCTCCTGTGCGCTGGGCGGGACGTGTAGGTCGTGCTGGCTCGCCTTTCTCATCTACGACTGCTTCTTGTTCCTTCCTCTTTAGGTAGTCCTCGAGGACAGGGTTGGTGAGGTCATCGTCATTCTTTGTGCGCCCGAAAGAGATATTGCGCTGGGCAATTGAAGGAATTGAAGTCGAAGGTACCCATCGAGTATGCGGGCGGAAGACGGCGAGGGCTAATTGGTGTTAGTCTTGGAGTTTGGAAAGATGGGAAAGAGCGACTCGCCGCCGGCCAAGTGGGAAGGTGCATGAAGGAAAACGGTGCAGTGGCTTACCTGATTGCCCCAGCCGCCGTGAGGGTATTCGAGCGCTCATACCGATGCTCAACGCCACGAAGCTGCCGTGTCGGTGATGCCAATGCTGTGAAGTTTACGGGAAATTCTGTGGTTGCGGCGAATGGCTCCGCGCTTGCAGGGGTGGGGAGTCTCGGCAGATCTTCATGAACCGGACGCAGCGATCAGCTCACAGAAGAAATGTGCAGGAGTCGTGTCGTCCCGCTCCTGTTCAGACCATTGTCGACTCTGTCCACTTGGCCATCTTGACGCGTATCTGGTGACGCGCCATACACCCTGTAGTGCTCTCTTTATACCCTCTCCCGGGAGCCCGCGTCCAACTGCTTCGAGTCGCGAAGTGCTCGCTCCATCATTACTTGATTAGTCGCAGGCCCAAGCTCGTCTGGTGCACCTAAGCACCTTTTCTTCTAGACCCAGTGTAGGCATTCTCATCCACGACGCCAACAAGGTCATCTCCCATCACACTCGCTATCTCCATCGCCTCGCGACTCGGACCGCCCTTTTCGCGCCAAACACCCGTTTTCGTCCCATGCCGCTCGTTACGAGGGATTCGATGCCTTGTAGTCCCTGTAGCTCGCGATTATAGAAGAGAACATAGAAAGACGTCTTGTGCGCCTGTGGCATTCAAGACAGTTGTTTGGTCTGAGCGCATAAGGAACAGCAGCAAGAGGTTGTGAGCGTTGTTACACCATGGATATCAACTCGCTACTATCGCCATCGGATTCGCCTGCGGGCACCCCAACACCGCAACCCGCCCCTACTATTCCGTCGCCGTCATCACTCCGATCCCCGGGCAAGCGTACACGGCGCCAAATGCCGTCGCGAACACCCTCGGGTCTAAGTCAACAGATTAGATCCTCTCCGCAACCGCCCCAGACGCTCCAACAGCGTGTACCATCCCCAGGGTACGCCCACATCGCGAATGGCGCAAGAGCAGTGCACAGTTCCATGGGCACCCCACAACAGATAGCATCCCCTCGCGATGCGTGCATGACCCCTCCGAACCCCATGTTCCGGCAAACATCGACACCGGGCATGGATACACTGGCAGGTAGGTGCCCGCTTTCTTTGGTGTAGTGGTACAGCGCTGCAGCCAGCCCCGGTCCGATGGAACTGCAGCTTCAGAGATGCAGGGAGAAAAAGAACGCAACAAGCGACTGTGGATGGCTAGCTCACAGGGCCTCTACTAACATCTCTCCAGATCTTGCCAGCATGCAGCAACAACAAGCTGCGCGTCAGAACTCTGTAGTCCACCAGCGGCCTGTCACGTAAGTCCGTCATTTCTACCGAGTTTTTTGTCCGCCCACATCGTGAGACCATGTTTGCACCTGCAGATTTACAGGTAGCGCGCATTGTATTTTGTGGGGCGAGCAGTGACGTCCGGGTGTCGCGCTTGCCCGTGGTCACGGGTTATTGCCCGTTCCGGAAGCCTAGCTTTGTTGCGCAAACTCCACTACCAAACACTGACCACGTCCCAGACTTCAACACCTCGGACAAAACCTCTCCGGTGAGTCTGTAGCCAGTATCATGTCCGAGGCTTCGCCGCGACCGCGCAATTTCATCACTCGCTCTCTGGATCAACAGCACATTGACTGGCTCAACCAACTGGACAAGACACTACTGGAAAATCCGTTCGATTATTATAGCCATGTCTCACTTGTCACCACGCTGCACCAAGGCCTTCAAAATCACCTTGCCTCGTTCGATGCGGACCCAAGCGCATACGAGCTGGTGCAAACTCTGCGCGATGCCTATAAAACCATGTCTGACAAGTATCCGCTTGGCGAGCTGTTATGGCATTACCGACTAAACGATGAGAAAACTCTGGCCAAGGATGTGGAGCAGCGCATGGGCGTGCTAGAATTGCACAAGCAAGCCACGCAAGAGGAGCCTTATAGTGCAAAACTTTGGGCAGCATACGGCGAATATGTGAGCTACCTGGTCGCTTGCTCTTGGGATCAAATGCCGCCAGAGGAGTGGCCTGAAGAGGAGAGGCTGATTGGTCGGGAGCTCTTCCAGCCTCAGCTGTTATTGCATGCGCTGCAAGAAGGTGCCGAGAGAGTCAAATATAACCTCCAAGAAAGCAACCTCGTATGGGACCGCTACTTGCAGGTCCTGGAAGAAGACCTTGAGAGAGAAGGCTTCAGCCAAGAGAAGGCGAAACGAGTAGCCGCCATCTACAATGATCGCCTAGGTCAACCACATGCAACATGGGCCAATACACTCAGCAGATATTCGTCGTTCAACTCTCGCTACAATACGAGTCATTACGAGCAAGTAATGGACGAGGTGGTGAAAAACAACACACACATCAAACAGCAATACGCCAATCGCGAAGAATATGAGTTCAAACTACTACAGGCTATCCAGGCGGGCGACCAGGCTGCCGAGTACACCGCCATGACACGGTACCTTAAATGGGAGAAGAGGACTATGGGTGTCTACAGCTTCCACCTCGTCAATGCGCTCTATGAGCGAGCCACGCTTCGCTTCCCGGTAGATCCTTCAATATGGGAAGATCACGTCGAGTTTCTTGTGTGGCAAGACAATCGATCGGTAGATCTACTCAACGTTCTGGAGCGTGCGACTCGCCATTGTCCTTGGTCCGGATCACTCTGGTCCCATAGATTACTGACACTCGAATCGGAGAACAAACCCTTTGAGGATCTCGAACTTGTTAAACACACAGCTACTGGCTCCGGACTCTTGGAACATACCGACCTAGACGAGCTCATCAAGGTACAACTCGCCTGGTGTGGATACTTGCGGCGAAGAGCTTTCGACGACCCCAGAGCAACAGAAGACGACGTGGATGTAGCTGAGGTCGGGATCCGGTCTGCCCTAGAGTTTGTCCGAGAGGTCGGCATGAAGAAACATGGCAGGGAATGGACGGACCCGAAGTATCGTCTCGAGCGTGCTCACATGAAGTTCTGGCTTCAGCGCGGTGAGATCGATCAAGCTCGTCAGATCCAGGAGTCGATCACGAAATACCAGGAGGACTCGTACGACTTTTGGTATCGCTGCTACATCTTTGAGATGCTTCTGTGGGCGCCACACGCAACTAGGAATAAGCAGAATGCAGGCCAGCCACTATTGCCGCCCACTCTGGCTACCGCAATTCTGGAACGTGGCATGAAGCGCTTGCAAACGATCGATCACCCAGAGCTGCTCATCGACATGTACATCAGCCATTGCGAACAGCACGAGTCAGCGTTGAAAGTACGTAGCGCGACGATCGAGCGACGACGAGCCGAACGCATCGTATCTGTCCGGAGAGAAAAGGAACGGGCACTCGCGGCTGCCGCAGCTCCACCGCAGGGCACCCCAGACAGTCAGATCGCGGAGAGCTCGACGAAGCGGAAACGAGAGGACGGCGACGAGGACGCAATACTGAAGAAGAGCAGAACCGCGGAGACTGAAGAGTCTTCCCATGCCGTCAACGGCCAGGCAAGAGGCGTGAGCGAAGCACCCTCGGAAGCTCGTTCTAATGGACTAAAACGGGATCGCGAACATACGTCAGTTATCGTCAAGAAGTTGCCACTCGATACCACACAAACCCGGATACGCCAATTCTTTACCGATGCAGGTACAGTCCGCAATCTAGTACTGAAAGAAGAGAAGGACAGTCTTACGGCTATTGTGGAGTTTGAGTCCCCAGAAGAAGCCGACTACGCTCTAAGTAAAGAGGCGAAAGGATTCGAGGGCCACAACATATCGATCGAGCGAGGCCAGAGCACGACACTTTATGTTACGAACTATCCCGCGCACGCTGATGAAGCCTGGCTACGGAAGCTCTACAGCCCGTTCGGAGAGATTATTGGCATTCGCTTCCCGTCGCTTAAGTACGATGCGCACCGCCGCTTTTGCTACGTGCAATTTGCTTCAGCGGAACAAGCGGTTGCTGCAACACAGCTGGATGGTACTGATGTTGAAGGATTGAAGCTAATTTCGAAGATATCTGACCCTAACGCCAAGAAGAAACGTGATGGCGCCACCGCCGAGGGTCGCGAGGTCTACATATGGCATCTCAACTTCAAAGTCAAGGAGAGGGAGATCAGGGACGTCTTCTCCAAATTTGGCAAGATCGAGAGGACCAAGTGCCCAACTATCAGGTCTACCGGCAACAATCGTGGCTTCTGTTACGTTGTTTACGAGACCAAGGAGAGCGCCGATGCTGCAGTGGCGGAAATGCATGAGAAGGAGTTTTGGGGCCTCAAGATTATGGTTGAGATCGCAAGTGATCGACCTGCCACGAAACCAAAGGTGCAGTCGACACTTGAGAACACGGAGAACTCAGCTGCTCGTGAAGGTACTCCCGGACAGAGTGATGCTGTCGCCGAAGCCGCTATCAAGCCTGCATCTTTCATGGACCGGTCCATTGCAATTCTCAACCTCCCTGACACTGTTCCTGACGTACGCATCAAGCCGCTTGTCGAGCAGTATGGCTTTAAGAAGATCAAGCTCGAACCTCATCATGGTGGTGCAATCATCGAATTCACGACTGTAGAGGGCGCTGGCAAGGCTCAGTTCGCACTTGAGGGCAAGGACTTTGAGGGAAGAAAACTGCGCATCGGAACGATTCAAGACCTGAACAAGCAGAAGGGAGAGTGGAAGGCGAGCAACAGCTTTGTACAGCCAAGCCGTATCAACCGACCTACAGCGGCTCGTGGTGGACGTGGACGAGGAAAGCCTGGTCTTGGTCGTCCAACTATACCAAAGGGCGCTACGACTACTAACGGTGAGCCGAAGAGTAACGCAGACTTCCGTGCGCAGTTCTTGAAAGAGCCTGCCAAGGAGGCAAACAAGGACAATGACAAAATGGAAGAGTAATGGCAGGGGATGGGAAATGGTCGCATGTCAAGACCCATACAGGGCTTGATTGGTGTTTATCAAGGAGCGGGTTTCAATGGCCTCTAGGGTTCTCTGCATACTTTGGCGTTGAGGATTGCTTTCTCATGGGTCGAAGCCGGCATGGATGGCTTTCGATGTCCACTTTCCTCCTAGTTTGGTGCTGAGCACCGTATGTATGTAGTGTAATATAATGAGTGTGAAGTATCTCTGAATAGAACCTGGTTGATTGTGGTAAATGTTGCAAGAAGACGGAAGAAACACATCGATGTGATTTCGCACAGGAATACTGCGACGGTTGTCCACACACCTGGTTTGAACAAACGTCGGAACTATATGTAACTACAGAGCCACTCTCATAGGGGAATGACGTGCCCCTCCTTTATCTATGTAAAAGATCCGGTACCCGAAACCAGACCCATTCGAGCGCTGTTTTCCCAGTTTCTCAGGCGTAGAATTCTTGCTCGATATTGTGATATAAGAGTTGCAAGGGAAGAAGGGCCTTTATCACTCGACTACATGCCCTTCGCTTCATTCAGCAGACCCTGACTTCCGCTATTGTTCCACACTGGGTAAACATCATACTTAGCGGAACGATTGACGAGCAAGCTTTGCACATGTGATTCCAGTGGCGCGGGTTGTCATGTAACGCAGATGCATGTAAGTTGGAATACCGCGTCTTATTGATAAGACAGGATTCCAGCCACGCAAGCTGCAAGCACGACAAGCTCACAATAATTGCACGTACAGAGCTGAAAGGTCCCGAAGTCATAGTTACACACTGACAGGTATCATCTGGGCTGAGCGTGAGGGTGAACTGAACAGTAAGCTTGAGCGAGTGACGATTCCATTGTCTCATATCGATTTGTCGCTAACATCCCCGTGAAAGCTGGAGCCTCCCGGACAGGTTACGATGGAGAAAATGAGTGTATCTCCATCTGAAAATGCCAAATCAAGCTGTGGCAGGAGCGGCGGCGCCAACAACCGTCTTGCCAGACATGGTCTCAAGACGCTTGAATCCGCCATGCTGCTTGACGCCCTCCTGCAACTCGACCATCCTCTTCTGATCGCCAGTAGGGTCATTGGCCTCCTCCTCAAGACCCCAAGCCAGGTACTCGTTCGTGTAGTTGGGCGTGAAGCTGTCGTCCAACACGCCAAGCCTCTTGCCATAGCGCGTGACCTTCTCCCAGTCCCGCTGGACATTCTGGAGATCAGGACTGAAATAAGCGAAGCTTCGCTCAAAGATCTTGCGGTTGGTCGGCGTGTTCATAGCGGACTTGAAGTTGCAGAACTCTTCCCAGGCTTGGTCGGGAGACGCGAGGACGAAGTCAGTTGCGCGCTTGCATGCGCGAAGGAATGCACGGACTTTCTCCGGGTTCTGTTCGATGAAGGCGTTGTTGCCGATGTAGAGGATGCTGCAGAAGCAGCAGCAGCCAAGTTGGGCGAGTTCGTCGATACGTAGCATCTTTACTTCGTCACGCGAGCGGTTTTGGCTGACGAGCCACTCTTCGAGCTCGACCATCTGGACGTTCTCAAGACCAATGCCGGCATCGATTTCGCCAGTGATGATGGAACGCGTGACGTTCATGCCGACACGGACTGCCTGATAGTCTTCGGGTGACATACCGTAGTGCGCAGTGAGTTCGTCGAGTTGAATCTTGCCGAACTCGCCGACGTAGCCAATCTTCTTGCCCTTGAGGGTGGTGAAGTCGGTAGTAATACCGGACGATGTCAGGTATACAACGCCAGTGAATGGCTCATTGAGCAGAGAGCCGATTGACTGGACTGGAAAGCCACGAGCGGCGGCGGCGAGGGTATGGATCATAGCCTTGAAGCCAAGATCGACCTTGCCAGAGCCGATAATCTCAGTCACATCCTGGGATTGTAAGCTTTTAGAAGAGACACGTCATACATTAACCGTACACTTGGGTCATTGGGCTCAAGAAGTGCGACCTTGATGCCTTCATCTTTGAAGTAGCCCTTGCTCTGAGCAAGGTAGAGAGGGGCGTGGTAGGGCGTAGCGTGCCTGTTCACCGTCAGCATACACCTCATTCGACCTAGACGCAAAGCGCACCAGTTGGTCAAGAAGGTGATCTTGTCAGTCGACATCTTGACTTAGGTGCAGATGCTGAGCTAGTCAGTACGCCAACATAGAGGGGAAGGGGTCATCATGAAGCAGCAGTAGTCCTTCGCGCTGGAATTATCCAGATCAAGTTTGAACGGTATGATCTCAGAACAAGCCATCAACAACCAAGCTTCCTCGTGAGGACTCCGGATGGCTGATGGCTTGAACACCCGCCATGCTTTGCTTCTGATGGTTGAGATGGGTACCTGATGATGCCATATTGGGCACCTTTTACTTGACCGAGATGAAATTCTGGTTTGCGAAGAGCAAAGCTAGCGTGGCCTTGCTGTGCTGGTTGGATGATAGCATCGTACCAAATTGGTTTCGTTGCGAGGAGTTGTTGTACTATGATTTTGAAAAGTAGAAAAGCGATTGAGGACGCAACTGAGAACCACAATTAAGACCGGACACTTATACTTTTATCATGCCTCTATCTGTTGAGAACGAAGGTGGGTAAATTGCTCACTGCAGATGCATGTGTGACGGGAGATAGCGGGGCAGTGAGGGGTACACTTCCTGGGCACGTCAACACACATCACTGTACCACAACACGCGTCTCCCGCATGCAAGACGGAAAGATCTTCTACCCATCTTCATTCGTTCGAGCTTATCCATGGGATATCCGTAAGCCGTCGTGCCAATGCAGACGGTCGATTTGGGCATATTGGACCATTTCCTTGGAAATACATGGGATGATCTTAACTTTCTCAAGCGAACGGCATACTTTATCGAGATATCCGAGTCTCGCCAACACGGATGCACATGAAGAATTTTACGTCTAGTGGCATGCTATACGTGTCTTGTCGAGGGGTATTCAAGGATACAGACGGCGTACAAGGCCTTGATTGTGATGATCGTGAGTATTGAGGCATACGACCATCCTCTTGTACAGTCGAGGGAGTGGGAGATGAGGTGCAAAGAATCGTGCTTGCTTGGTCATGGGGAGACTTTCCGCGGTATGAAGCTCTTGACCACGATACAAAGCGGTTTGCAATAGTTTGAACCTTCGAAGATCACAACGCTTTAATCCTCTCTTCCAACCATCCATCTAAGCCTCGCCACATTGCACTTTCTCTCCCTTTCTCTTCCAAGCCTGCGCAGAATTGGCTCAACGCCTCGCACCTCTGCTTGACCCAATCTCTTTTCTCGTCTTCACGACCACCACTTAGCTCCCCAGCAATAGCATGCGCGACCTTTGCTTCGCATACCGGACACAAATACGGCGGTTGTCTTACGTCTTCCCTCATAGTACCCGTTCCTTGCATGTTACACGCATAATATACACAATGCGCGATCCCAAAGCAATGCCCTAATTCATGCGACACCGTGCGCGCAAGCCGTGAGAACCATAGCGCCTGGACTTCTTGCACCGGAGAGGCGGGCTTATATGTCGTGGCCGAGACAACGGCCGCTGTCATCGCACCTCTCTTACTTGACTCTCTTTGTTTTTTCGTCACGGGCTTGGCTTTTACGTCTTCCACAGCACACAACTCATCGACGAAGGTTTTACAATGACTCCACGGCCACATGTGACTTCTATCGATCTGCTCTCCCTTTCCTTTGTCCAAGATCGGATTATATCGTGCAGTCTGCACGACAGCCACTCTACTCCCTCCATATGCCCTGCCACAGCAAAAGTCGTCATCTTCAGACTCGTAGATGTCGTGGTCGACCAAGATGACAAGGGCATATGCGTCAGCAGGGAGGATTGAAATGGCCGTATCAAGGATGTCGTCTAGGTTAAGTTGAGCGGGGAAGGCAGAATCCGGCGTGGGACGGACGCGAATTCTCGTACATCGATCTTCATGTGCTAGGCCAACGTATTTTGGTAGGGCGGCACTTCGGTAACGGCTGGCAGACTTTGAGTTAGAGCCCCATGTTGTCCAGGTCAAGGGCTCAGGAAAGAGGTGAACAGGCATATTGTGGTAGAAAGCGGCAAGATACTCGACGAAGAGGTCTGCCGATGGAGAAGATGGCTCTACTTCTCCTGCACTCTTTGATGCTTCATGGCTAGTTGGTACTACCCAGTCTCTCATAAATTCTGCCTTTTTACTGATTCCAGGTACTTGTGCTACGTATAGCCTGTCCCTTCCACCTGACGGTAACAGTCTGTTCCTAGTCCTCGCGTTTAGCCACTCCTTTGTGCTTTGAGGTTCACAATCCGGATCGTAGTTCAGATCATCATGCGGCAGAACTAGAGGAGCAGGAAAGGTTTCCGTCGAGTGAACCTTGGCCTTCTTCAATGCTCGATCGGATATCGTTTCTGCTGCTGCGCATGTCGCAGCATCTGGTTGTTCATATCCTGCTAATTCCGCAAAGGGTGAGGGATCTAGATGTAGGATGGGGTGTTTGCATGTCATAGTAGGTATCGACTAGATGAAGAAGCGAAAGGAGTAAAAAAGAGACAGGAAAGGGATAGATACTGTTGCCTGGAAGGTGGCTGAATGTCTTGGACGCTAGTCCGGCACGGGATCGAAGTCTGCAATTCATGTCTGGCTCGTCCAATGATTCGCGCTTGCGTCATCAAATACGCAGAACAAACTCGACCACTTCCTGCTCTATATTAAATCATGCGCGCTCCGTTCCTTCTGTTCCTTGTGCGCGCTCGGTCGCTGCATCTACCACAGCGGATCATTTCTTCCCCAATAAAGCAAACTGCCTCCAATTGCCAAGCTGTTGAAGATACCAACGTAGTGACCTGCGATCTTGTCCTTCGCTCCATACGCGCTCACAATCACCGTATCCGCGACGGTCGCAACCAACCCTGCCATGACTGCGACACCTAAACTCCTCCTATCTCGCAGCACCAAACCGAAGACTGCCAGTAGAATGCCATTCTGAACGTTGCGGGCTGCTATAGCCGCGACTAGAGCTTTCTTGGTTTTCTGGTCTGCTTCGTAGGTACTTTGGGTTTTGTTGGAACGTTTTGCGGATGTAGGCGATGTGTCGGACTCGCTTGAAATGGGCAGACCGTAGCCATCGGCGAAGAAGGAGGGGTTACGTAAGCCTATTATGCCGAATGGGACAATTTCGAGGGTTGCGATGAAGAGCGCGAGGCATTCCGCTGGTGGAGGTAGGTGGTGGAAGAGGTTGCGGGCTTGAGTCGTCATGGCGGGTGATGTTGACTTTCGGAATAGATTTTCTTGGAGTAACAACACTGTGGAGCTGGATACACGAGGAGAGACATGTTGCGGTCTTATAAAAATTAATGCAGGAGATATGTAGGTGTATGTAGACCTCCTTGGACTCCCATTGGCTGGCGCTTCGGACTTCGGATGCGGGGATCGCAGGGCTGTTGTCTTCTTTCGCGCAGCGTTTCCTCGCACCTCATGGCCACTATACCTCGTACATAACTTCAAGGCATCGATTCGCGATCAATATCTCAATTTCTCTATTAGTGTTTCGGGATACAGGTTTGCTGATATATGATTAGAGTGAATGTACGTCCTTCGAAGACTACCTCATCTTCCACGTACAGCGAGCGCGTCGCGATATCGACACGTCAGATATACAGAATTCTGCGGCGGATACCATGACTTACATATAGGATACTGCCTGGAACGATATATCATAAGAGAGAGTCGACATTCCTCTTTTCAAAGATTTGTTGTACCAGAAAGATGGCCATTGGACTGCAGCCAGTGATTCATGCCGGGAGTGGTGTATATGCTATCGCTCTGTCATCGAATAGGATTGGGAAGTCTGGCTGGGGTCAGTGGATTCTTTGAGGCTGGGCGGTGTCATAACCTTGACCCGAGCAACCACATGGCAACTGCGTCTTTCCGTTCTCTCGTCCTATAAGAAAGCTGTTATCTGAAATATCAGCATCCGCGACCGCATCGCTAGCATACTTTGCCTGGAAATCGTAGCGATATGTGAAAACGGTGCAATTTGCGTCTGCATGCGCGGTGAAACTGGAGCAGGCTTTTGACAGTTCGATTGCGCCTGCTCTTTGAGGGATCTTGTTCGTGTGTCCCACTTTCCTTGCCTTCACTTGACTCTCAGCACCACGAAAGGCTTGGACTCGCACACTTCAACATTCACACGCGTCTTAATTTCTCTAGTCGTACACCTTCGGATATATAGTCAGCTCTCACCCACTCTCCTTCTTACTCTCCACCCACAGACGCTCACTTCTCAACTGCTCTGTCACAACTTACACTTTATAACCCCAAACAATCAAATTGGCCCCGCGCGCCATTTGCGACTTCCTTGGGCAGATCGGTCTGTAGAAAACGTACCTTTTGCTCACCTCTCCACTCACACGCAGCAAACCACACCTCAAACGCTACCTCTACCCGCCTAGTGATTGTACAAGATGGCGACAGCCCCTTCCTTCTGGGCTGCTGGCGGCAACAAGATCAAGACCGCCGACTCTCCAAACCCCAGGATCGCCGAAGCGCCGCCGAAGCCCAAGTCAGACCCTCAGCAGAAGAAGGGTCTCGTACTCAAAGGCATGCCTAACGGTTACACCGCGAACGGCGCGTCGAACGGCACCTTTCCAAAACCTCCTATGGCCACCAATGGCAAAAAGGCCGATTGGGCTGACGACGATGACGATAACAGCTTCATCGCGAAGTTCATGAGCCAGGATCCGACGATTGCCACCCTCGAGACTACCGTCGCCCTGAAAGAAGAGCGGGTAAAGGAGCTGGAGGCAATGCTCATCACCAAGACTCTTCGTGTTGCAGAGTTGGAAGGTGCAGTACAGGACAAGGACTACCACATTGGCGGCCTTGAAGCGGAAGTACAGGAGAAGGATGAGAAGATGGAGATGCTTAAGAAAGAGAACAACGCTCAATTCCTCCACAACCAGGAGCTCTGGTGCAAGGTAGAAGAGAAGGATGGCCGAATCAAGAACCTGGAGGCTGACCTGGAGCAAAAGGTCGAGACCATTCGCAATCTCGAGCAGGAGTCAGCCTCGCTTGTCACAGTGCCCACAAACGACACTGAGTTCACTGAGGATGGACGCAAGAACGAAGTTTCAGAGAGCACCAAAATCGACGGAACTGATGTCGTTATCGAGATGGAGATTGAAGCTGAAAAGACCGCGTCTGAGACTTCAGATAGCTTCGAGATTGTTGATCCCCCCGCGACCGAGGATTCCAAGGAACCCACGGAGACTGCATCGGCTAAGAGGGCTCGTGGTCCATCGTTCGGGGCGACCGACTTTCCTATCTTTGTGACCAAGGAAACGCTGAAGGTTGTTCCTCCGGCCCCGAAGCCCAACACCTTGATCTTCCCGATTGACATGTCCAAGTACGGGAAGAAGTCCACCGCGTCACCTACCACGAAGGTCGTACTTCCATCCTCGCCTATGGCCGAGAAGAACGGTCATACTACACCCTGGGGCCACTCTTCCAGGCAGGCGCGCGATAAGACGGGCGCTATGCCGGAGTTCAACTTTTCGGCCGACATTCGTCACATGCCGCACGGTAAGCGTGTCGTCTTTGGCAACGGTCCCGAGGTCATCGTTAGGCTTGGAGATGTCAAACTGGCGACTATTACCAAGTACGTTTTGATGCAGTGCTCAAGCAAGGCCTTGAAATACTTCACCGAGAATCCTGACGCCTCCTCCTGGGTTCTCCCCGCCGGCTCAATGAACACTGACGCTGCGACGGCGCATCTCAAGTGGATGGATGAGATGACCTATCAAAGCAGGATTTACTCTCTGAGGCTTCAGACTGAGCAGGTCTACGACAAGAAGAATATCCAGATCTGTCGCGCTGCTCGCGTCCTCGGCCTGAACAACATGTACGTGGCTCAGTTCACCAAGCAGTTCTGCGACCGCATCCGCGCTCAGGATGTGTCGTACGATTTCATGAACCTTGTTTGCCAGCTTGCTTATCCGGATAATGATCCGGTTTTTGACTGTCTAGCCAACAACCTTGTCAACCAGAAGAAGGTTGGCAACGCAACGGGTGCGGCTGATCTGGAGAAGCTGGTAGCCAAGTATACGCTTCTGAAGGACAAGGTCAACCAGATTGAGAAACGGATTGGCGGCCGTCCGCGCAAGACTTGGAAGTCGCCAGAGGGTAGTGTGCGTGGCGGTAGCAATGACCGCAGCGGCGGAAAGGGCGGTAAAGGTGGCAATGTCGGACAGTCTGCGCCTAGCATTGTTCAGCCTGCACCTGGCAACAAGCCTGTTGCTCCAGCAGCTGGGGAGACACTGTTTACCACTCTCCATTAGGCCAACACATTAGTATGACACGATCCTCCTAAAGGGTGGTTGCAAGACACGACACAAAAAAAGAAGATTTGATGACTTTCACGACGCTAGTACGATCCGATGCGTTCAAGCGGGAGCTTTGTCCGGCTTGCAGGTCTTTGCATCTACAGCAAAAACGGGTATATGGAGCGACAGCTTGTTTCATTGATAAAATCGTATAGGATCTCTGGACGTTTGGTATTTGGGTATGTCTTCAACGTCATCAATCCATGTTAGGTAGCATAGTTTATAATGTCATCGACAAAATCAACGAATACCTTTCATATGCGATTGACCCTGTGGAAAAACTTGTGAACGTATTTGGCTGAAATTATTCTTTGTCTGCCAGCCCGTTACAAACTAAATGTATGCATCTAACATCTACATTCCACACCCTTCCGACTGACACATAGATACTTGACCCCCTTATACGGGGTGACACCGCTACCCAAGCCTTTACTCTTCTTCTGATCTACGTTCAAGCTTTCCACACGTATCCCACTCGGCAACCAGCCTTTGACGGAAAAGCTAATGGTCGCACAGCTCGGCATCAGGACTTTGTTCGCCTGCTTAATCTTCGCGTCGCTATCCGGCTTTGGCACGTTGGAAGATGAAGCCATAGGTAACGATACCTGTGTGTTCTGATCATCATCATAGTCGTACGTCGACGCCGCGAAAGAAACCGGTCCACCAGCGTCCAAGGCATCCTCGGCGGACGGATCGTCCTGGCCAATAACGGTACCGCGCAGTGTAGCGGTAGCACCGATTCCTCCCCCGCGGTCTTGAGCCATGAGATTGCTTATCTCACGGCTGCTGATACGCCATTCTATCGCCCTGTCACCAGGAGCGTAGCCTGCATCTCCTGTTCCGCGCGCGACGCGTAGGTCGGCGACGTTTCTGACAGACGCCGGGAGAGGGATGTGAATGGTCATTTCTTCGATTGCAGGGGCGGACGTCGTGCCTGTGGAGGATGTGCGACTCAAACTAGCCTTCGCGGCACTGGGTTGAGAGGGTTTATTTCCGCTGAAGCGTGGGTTGAGTTGGAGTTTGACCTCGAAGTCTGTGCCGCTGGGGCCGAGGGAGGGATGAACGGATACTGTAGCGGGTATATTGAGTTTTGGACTCGCGGTCTTGGCGCTCTTTTCGGTGGAGAAAGCGTCCAGTGCTGCAGAACCTAGTAAATCGACTTCATACCCAGCGAGCACGAAGCGACCATCTGGCGGGACGAATGACAATTCACCCGGCCTCGCTTTCCATTGATTGAGTCTGACGCAAGGATGGAAAACGGGAAGCGAGACGGCGTTCTGTATGCCACCTGCACATCCCAAGTGCAGTACGAGATCTGGAATACCCGAGACCTTTGCGGTAAAAGCAATCGTGCCGTTTGCCATTGCGGCTAGAGGGCGACCAGATGGTGAAAGAGTGACTTCGAGTGTTTCCACAATGTCCACATACATCTCATTACTCGTATGCCGGACGTTCGCTCTCCTCCACGGTACCGGTGAGCCTGTCTGACTTGAGGTTAGAGAGGGACCCAGCCGTGGACTCGCCCTACCACCTCCTAGCCCAAATGCTCCGGTGGAAGACGGCGCAAGCGAGCTTGGTGTTGAAGATGGTAGCCCGACCCCTCCCAGTAGACTCTTGAGCAGATTTGGCGCTTCGACGACGTCTCTCAGTGCGTTAGGTTCCGTGTTTGCGATGATGCCGCCATCCACCATCTCGCTAAGCAGCTGCGCGACGACATCGTAGTTCCCCTCGATCTTGCTCGCTAGCAGTGGCGAGCCCAGGAAGTCTTCAAGTACGTCGGTGAGGCGGTGGAGGAAAGTGAGGACGGCGAGGGGATTTGTGTCAGCTGATGCCGGGCACAGGAACAGGAGTTGGTCTTGTATTATGCTGTACAGCAGCGTCGGCGGGTTGGTGTTGGGCAGATATATCAGTGGCGGTCGTGGGGCGGGATGCGCGAGGTAGAGAGGCAGGAGGACAGAAGATGGCGGTGGGCGGTTGAGGTATGTGTGTTCGAGGAGCGGCGTGCTGGAGACATTAGCGATGGATCGCGTACCCGCTGTGAGAAGCTGGGTCCTACTTGTGCTCGTCAAAGATGTACAGAGCTTCGATTGCGCTCATTGTGGAGAAATGTCAGCTGCAAGCCATGCGCGTGGGAAGACGTGAGGTTCGCGTCGTGGGGCAGTTTTGGCGGGGAGTTTCCGGGGCTAGATGATCCCTGCATGGCTAGAACCATGCTATTCAGACTTGTGGTCGCAAGACCTCTATACGGTACAGTCAGTGACTTGGTTCCATCTCCGCATACCTTTCGATAGTGGTGAGAATGGCCCTGCAACCGCCTTCTCCTCCGACTTTCCAAGAAGCCCTCAAGAATGACAGAGCGCAGTTTGAGGATTGCACGCCATGTCGCATAGTCGGTACTGCACCCTCGTCGACATTAGTTATTCGACCCAGCACTAATACACACACACACAGGAAGTGCAACATTCCTTGGCCTCGGTGCCTTCACGTACGTTTCCGGTCATTCACAAATCAAAGCCAACGAAGCCGCGATACGAGCCAGCAAAAGCATCTTTGGTATGAGGAGTAGAGGAATGGCTATAACAGGGACAAGCGCTGTCATGGTGGGCCTGGGAGTCTATCGGTGGTTCTCATGACGGGGGGGACGCGGAGAGGAACATGTAACATATTGCAACATGACAGAGCAAAAAGAACATTGGAGGATTTCGAACAATAGTATTGACACCAAACCCTTCACAAAAACCGTCATCTACTTGCACTTCACTATGATATACCACAACCCGTGGAAAACGAAAAGAAAGGTATATAGATCTAAAAGCAATGAACACCACAGAATGCGTCTATTAAGCCTCCCCCAATGCGTATGAAAAATGATCCACTAGCCCTATGCGCCGTCTGGGTATGATGCAGGTAGTCGTGATTCGTCCAACTGTCGTTCGTGTCATTGCCTGGAGTTCGATGAGTGCACTCTCAGGCTTTGAGATTCGTGTGCTATGACATGCGTCCGCGCTTAGGTCCACCGCCTGATGAGCCGTCTCGTCGGTCGTTGAAGCCGTCGACGTTGAAGAAGTCGTTCATGAGTCGTCTCTTTTGTCCCGCACCAGTGCCTAGCTGGAAAAGGTTCTGGGCGGCGGATCGTTGGAGGTTTCGGGTAGACGAGCGATTCGAAGGACGGCGGGGCGTAGAGAAGGCACGACGAGCGGCAGCTGACATATCGGCTGAGGCAGTTTCGTTTGGTGGTTCAGATGGGAAGGCTTGAGCGGCAGAGAATTCAAAAACGTGATGTAGCGGCGACATGTCAGCCTCTGTAGTAGAGGCCTCCATCTGAAGCGGCGGCGCAGAGTCGCATCGTTGCTCCGTAACCGTTGTTGGATCCAGCGTACACGAGTCTTCCATGGTGGGGTTTCGATCCATGATGGGTGAGGAGCTCCTGGCACGGTTGTTGTCCAGGTATTCTTCGTCGCTGTCGCTGCTCGACTGCTTCGGCAAGCTTCCATCGAATCGCTCCGTCGCCCACTGCCGTATCCGCCAGCCCTCTCCGTCTCCTACACCCATGTTCTCCTTGTCCAGAAAGGCGAGCAGGTCGTCCAGAGCTTCTTGGTAACCGTCGGTGCGGGCCCTGTCGAGGTCGGCAAGCGCCGACTTGTACAGGTTCGTGACGTTCAACGCCGCGGTACGGAACGACTGGTGCACATCGGGCTGCCGTCTTGTTTTGGGCAGAGACTTGTTGAGGCTGCGCATCGAGTCCATGGTAGTGGTTGGAGCTGTTGTCAGACAGTCTTTGTCGGGCTCCGCTGAGTCGTGACTGGTCTTTGGCACCCGCAGGTGATGCAACCGCGATCGAGGGTGCAAAGTAGGTGAGATTGGGGTGATGAAAGAGTCAAGACAGGCGAAAAGGCTGATCACTCGCAGGAAGCGTGGCTTCTGTCGCTGTATGTGAGGTCGTGGGTCGCTGCGGGGGTCAACGCTGTCATGATTCTTACGAGTGTTTCCTGGCCCGTGCACTCATTGCATGTGGCACCCATCACTCATCAACATCGTCGCCTTCACATCACATCTCCCTATCAATATGCCATTATGGCTTCACGGATAGAGCGTCTTCCTGTGGAGCTGTTCGACTTGGTTGCTGCCAGTCTTGAACTACCATCCTACAAAAGCCTTCGTCTTGCTTCCCAGAGGTTGCGCTTCCTGATTCATTCAGTCTTTGTAGAATGCGCTTTTTCCCGACTAAAGACTACTCTCGGCTCACCGTCGCTTGGTCGTCTCCTCAATGTGTCACGGTGTGAAAATCTCCGGGGTGCTGTCAAAGTCCTGCAGATCCAGCTTTTGACGTCCAGTGAATACCATACTCTCGCTGCTATCAGTCATGTGGGCCGATTCCCCCCACCCAAACGGTTTCCCAGGGTGCCTGGTATCCAAGACAGACATATTAATGACGAGGCAACTACATTCAAATATGTCATGGAAGGCAAATATCCGAAACGGTTGTACGATGGCCTTGTTCGAGCGTTGCGAGGCTTCACCAACTTGGAGGCCATTCACTTTTATCCGAGAAACGACCAGCCGACTGGATGCCGCAGCCTCATCTCAGAAGACGACCGCTTGTTTCGTAGCAGGTGCTTTCAAGTCGTTGTCGATGCCATCGTCCAGAGCGATATTCGTTTGCTCGAGTTTCGCATGGCCAAATGTAAACGTGGAACTGCTTTACATAAAGAAGCCACTCTACCGTTCTCAGTCCTCCATATGCCTGCACAATCTCTTCAGGCATTATATCATCGCTTTTCGCATCTTCAAACTCTCACAATTTCCGTCTTAACCGTGTACGAGGACGTTTCTCGCATTCCTGGCTGGCAGAGTAGGATCGCAAACATTGTTGCCACGGCACCAAGATTGAAAAGCTTGACTTTAAGTCTGGATCGCAGTGCTTATGTCGCATCTGCAATCCGAAGCTTAGCTTCTTCTTGCAGATTTCCTGAACTCGAAGTATTCCAGCTTATGTTCTGTGCGTTGCATGGAGATGATCTAGCTACCATTATCAGGAACCACTCAGCGACGCTACGACGAGCCCTTTTCTCTGACCTTCGCCTTGTTACTGGTAGTTGGTTGTCGATATTGCACGCTTTACAAGAATGCAAAAAGCTTGAACATCTGCGGCTCAGCTCGCTGTCTGAAGAAAAGCACCCAATCCAACGTTTGGACGTACGGCGAGAAAACCGTGAGATGACCGACATGTTGGAAGAAATCATCGCCGCTTACGATACGCGAGCAGATACCTCAGCCTCTCAGAGTAGCGGATTCATTAATACTCATCATCTTGCAGACCTTTCGTTGGCCAACCTGCGGGAGGGGCTGAGTACCACGGTACCCAGTGAATGAGTGATTCACCCACGACTGCCAACGCACACAGTTTCGCTTCCTCCTTGTTGCTTACCAATTTCTAATCGATTGATCAACATCGAAGATCGCCTAGTTGATATTTCGACACTCCAACCACTCGAAAGCATTGCCACTCTCTACACGCACCAAGCGTACAAGTAGAATCGCAATGGCTACAGTATCTCAATTCTCAAAGGCTGGCGTCCGCCTGTTCTTGCAACAACTCCAGGTCAATCCCGTCGACGTCACTGAGTGGGACCCGACGATGCGACTGTGGCTGCTTCGCGAAGGGTTTATCGACTTCACCATCTACGGCCGCCGTGTGGGCTCAGCTCCCCGGCTCGCCTTGATGGCTGTGTCCCAAAGTGCACTTACATTCCTCGCCAAGCACCCGCGTGCACCAGCAATCGACTTCACTTTCGATGTGCCCGTAGTACAAGTACGGAAAGAACAGGGTCAGACCAAGCTCATTCACGCGAAGACGAAGATGTCGGAGGCTCAGATTAGGGTCCATGAAGCTGCCCTCGTTACAATCTCACAATGGCTTACAACATTGTGCACACCTACTATGGTGCCACTTGCTGGAGCAAACCTTCCGATCGAGACGTGCATCCGCTTCATCTGCGCCCATACTCTACGCGCCCCAGAGTATGTTCAACACCTGACCGACAAGTTCATTACAGATGCAAGTAAACTTGCGCTGAGCTCACAGCAAGTGACTGAGCTTGTCAAGTCGTGCCGTGGCGATGATGACCCGTTACTCATCGGCCTTGCTGACAAGTTGATCGGGAAGAAGCTTGACGGTCAGATCGCTACAACACAACTTGACATCTTCCTTTGTACAGCCGGCAACGAGCTGTTGAAGAAAAAGGTCGAGGTCATGGAGAAAGAGATGGGTTTCCAGATCAAGGACACGGGCTCGAATGTGAGATCCAAGGTTCATCTTGAAGCGGTTGCTTCGCCATCACAGACGGCATGGGAAAAGGACTTGGGGAGGCTTAATGAGAACAAATACGATGGAGAGACGGATTTCGGAACAGATATTGTCGAAGTAGACGCAGATGGTTGGCAGATCCTCCCTAGCGCAAGCGGAGGCGGGACACACTCTGAGAGGCAAAAGACTACTCATAGAAAGCATAGTGCGTAGTAGGAAGATAGCTGAACTGAATACTGATCTGGTGTATATGACGCGAATACGTTGCACAAGGGACTTGGCATAAGACTGAGGTTGAGACTTGACCGTCTGAGTTGGTCTTCGGACTCTTTCTGAACTGCTGCATAAGCCTAACAGGTAGTGCGACGATGTCAATCTTCAGTGGATGACTGTACGAGCACACTTCACGAGTGATCTTATCAATGAACACCGAACTGAGAAATATAGCGTGACTTTGACACACTACAGATGAGGCGTGATTATCTCAATCTTTCGAAAATTCCGCACATGTGATATTCATGTGCACGTTGGAAGCAGTTCACTCATCGTCTTCTCCACTCGTTCAACAACTTGAGGACCGCCTCCACCGGGGCACACAGGAACCGAATGCAACATATTCCGGGTATGTATATGCTCCACAATGCCACTAAAACCACGCAAAAGCTCGATCTAACATTGATCTGCATCGCTTCCATAATTCCGTTCAGTTGCATATGCATGCTAGATTTGGCGATTGCTTGCATTGCATCGGAGCGTGGGTAGTGTGGGTAGCGCTGACCGGAACGCCAAAGTGTTGCCGGCATTGCGCCTGGCCTGCGTCTGGCTGGCGTCTGCGCAGGTAGCACAGTACCGAGCTCTGGGGACCCAACTACTCAGTTTCCTGGATCTGGTTATATTGCTTTGCATGGAGGGTTAGGGTCTGCATTACGCCATGTACTTGCTGTTTGAAACGTCAATCTAATTAAGGAAGCATGAATACCGGACTCTGACCTCTTGGGAGCCTTTCAAACTTGCACGAGATGCCTCGCCTAGGAAAGCGACAACCCTCAGTCTTGACGTCGCGCGTGCACAGTCTCACCACACTCACACGACACGACAAAAATCAGTTCGGCTCTCCATCTGCGGTCCGAGCGGGTTTTGTGACTGCTGCGCTGCTTCTGGAAACGAATTGTGGGTCCTCCATGTGTCGATCTTACGTCAGGCATTTTGTCCCCGACAACAACTCAGCAAACAGCCAAGATCAGCGTTCCACGACCGCGAAACCTCAAGCCACTCGTCAGCGCGACCGCTGGAAATAAGCCTTGTAGCACCTGTCAGGGTCTGGGGCTTGCTTTAGTCCAATGTTAGCAACTATGAACGTGCCACGATGCGCGATACTAGACGACGAATCGCATCGAAGCGCCAGCCATCAATGACTTGCTCAACCTCAGTCCACCAATGCCGTGGTCCGGAATAGTCAGAATGTGAGAGTGGGTTTGAGCTGAAACTGGTCAAAATGGGAATAAGAGATGCATATGGATGTGCAATTGCAGATTCTCGGTGGGTAAGATTGCTGTTTAGTGTATATCGATTATTCGACAGTTTGCACGGAAGCGTCGGTGTGGCTGCCATCGCCATCGTTCTAATCATCATTTAGCTCAATTGCCAACTAGCCGTTGAGAGCGGGGAACGTTGGGGTTTGAAGTATATATTTCTTTCAGGTTTCTCACGTTTCTCAGCTTTTGATTTTGTAGGTTTCAACAGTCAGTCTCGGTTTCGTCATTCTTTCTTTTGAGCTCGAACAGCCTTGCGTTTATATATCACTGGATTTTATCATCACTATCGTTGGAGTTTTACCTTTGATCAACACAAGACTACATACGACAAACTTCGCCACCTCACTGACATGCGTTCCTCCGCCATCATCCTCGTTGCCCTGGCGGCCACATCGACTTCGGCCTTCGACATCTGGCCTCGCACATCATCCAAATGCCCTTCCGTTTGGACCAAGGTTGCCTCCGAACTTCAATCCGACTTTGCTGGCTGTGGCGCGGATGCCCATGGAGCTATCCGTGCTCCCTTTCACGACTGCATCAACAACGGCTGTGACGGTAGTCTCATCCTCACAGACGAATGCTCACGATCCGAAAACGCCGGCCTCTCTGCTATCTGCAAGAAGCTTAAGGGGTGGAGCGACAAGTACAACGTCGCTGCAGCCGACATGATCCAATTCGCCGCCGCAACAGCAATCTCAGCGTGTCCGCTTGGCCCCAGGGTCCAAGCACTAGTCGGTCGCAAGGACAGCTCGAAGGCCGCAGCCGTTGGAAGCGTGCCGAGCAGTCGCGGTACCTTGAAGAACATCTTGGGAGCGTTCAGTGCGAAGGGTTTCTCAGCCGATGATGTCGTTGCACTCATGGGCACGCATAGTGTGGCACTACAGTTCAACGATGACCCGTCGCAAGCCGGCAAAAGTCTAGACTCTACACCTGGCACATACGACAATACCTTCTACAAGGAGACTAAGGATGGCACAGCGCCATACAGTCTGCAAAGTGATGTTCTCCTCTCGAACTCATCTCAGGTATGTCTCGTCTCGACTATCATTATATCTACCTTGACATATTACTAACTGTCTCCGCAGACAGCACACACATGGTCTTCTTTCGCTGATGACGCTGATGCCTGGACCAGCGCATTCACAGAAGTGTGGAACCGATTTGCTGTTATCGGGAGTGACGCGAGTAAGCTCCAGGATTGCTCAAGCTTGATCCCCAGTAGCAGCGTGAGCAAGAGGAGGCAGGCATTCAATGCGAGGTTCACGAAGATGATGAGCGCCAAGTTCAGGTTGTGAGACACAAAGAGAGTGAGTACTACGAAGTCATGATAATGGCTGGGATCACATGGTGTTTGGGTGTTGGACCACAAAAAGGGTCTGGATTTGCTTTGCTTGGGGCTTTTAGGTTATGCGAAAGCATACTGCGCATCAGTCCGCACTTTCACTAATGTAATTATATGTTCGTATCAGTCTTACGCGTCTTCTACTTTCAATGAATTTGCGCCGCTTCCTCATCTGAATTCCAAAATTCTTAGGCAAATGGAAAAAAGCGACATTAGCGCTTGGCATGGCATCAAGTTCGCCTCCAGAAGTGCCACATATTTTCGCGGTTTTATTCTTTTGACTTTCAGCCAACAAGTACATAACCGCTGTGACAAATTGGTTAGTGATCGGTTTTCAGAGTTGCGCAATCGTAACCATAATGTAGCTCTGGTCAGTCAGGTACGTGATCAACACCCTACGCTCGCCTTCTTCCCAGTCATCAATCTTGTACAACGGCAGAACTCAGCTCATGGCAACGATTACACACCCGAAAGTTGGGCAGCCACACACAAATCCCGTTACTACTGGGATCTGATTCAAGTTTGCCGGATCCGTCGTCAAGGATTTCATCAACTGTACCGGACAGTTTTGATGACTAGTATCTCAGCCCAGCATATTGGTTAATACCCCTGTGTGTTTAGTAGAACAGAAAACACACAAACTTTGGGTTAACCAATCGAAACGTTCACCGAGCAATTGCTGCTGGACGACGGGAAAATATTCTTTATACTATGTCATTGTTGGATCTACCCACCAGAAGCACTTGAATCCGCCAAACCCGATATCACCGATGTGGTCCTTTATATGAGAATACTCTGTCTGACTCGCGAGAATTGACCGATTGCCTCTCCTTCTTCCTGTCCGAAGTGTGTATTAGTGGCATTACTTCAGTGGACATGTGGACTGCATGAACATTCATTAGTCGATGCTCACATGTATGTTCAAGTTGACCTCATTTGCTTCGGATTATACGATTGTAGAGGACTAGACGATGCACACTAGCCAGATGTTGGTTTTGTTGATGAAGATGGAACATAGCTGGCAAAAGACATGATGATAGATGGCGAAGTAATGGACACGAAGCAGAGCGCTCTAGAACTCACGAGACAGTAAAGTTGCATAGGGAAGCCATGAAAGTGAAGTAGTCAAGAAGTATCATTCCAAAAAAACATCGCTACAAGAATTGAAGTTCCCCCTCTAGGAGAAGTATATATACAAAAGGATCATCGCATAAGCTGCGGAATCGTTTACTGAAGAGCCTCAATCATACGACGAATCTTGGCAGCAGACTCGCTACCGGCCTCCTGCTCAAGGAAAGCAATGAAGGTCTCAAGGGTGTAGGTCTTCTCACCAGCGCCGGCAGCGGGTGCAGATGAAGCAGCAGGCTTCGAGGGCTCAACGGCAACGGGTGCTACAGAGGTAGGCTCAGCCTCGGCGGCGGCGGAAGTAGGCTTAGCAGCAGACGGCTTAGGTGCCTCGGCGGTAGGCTTAGGTGCTACGGCAGTGGCGGTAGGCTTGGAAGCAGCAGCGGAGGAAGGCATGGGGCCCTTGGAAGGACCAGGCTTGGTAGCCTCGGGCTTGACGCACTGAGAGTACCACGGGTTCCATTCCTTGCACTCAAGACCCTCGGCGCACTCGCTGGTACCCTTGAAGCCCTGACCACCGCACTGGTAGTACTCCTTGATGGGACCGGAAACTTCGGCGGTCTGGGTGGGACGGACAGCGGTAAGCATGGTGGTAGGACCAGCAACGGTGCTGGAAGTGACGATGGGGGATGCGGTGCCGGGAAGCATGGAAGAGGTGCTGTTTGCTACTGGGTAGGGGGCAACGACGCTGGAGACATCAGGAGTAGGGGTAGGGGCAGCCTCAGATTCAACCGGGGCAGCCGCGGAGGAAGCTGCGACAGAGGTAGCGGCAGCAGAGCTCTCGACAGCGGAAGAGACCTCAACTGGGGCAACGGAAGAAGGCTCAGCCTCAACAGCAGCGCTGCTAGTAGCAGGAGCGGCGGTGGAAGAGGCAGCAACGGAAGCCGGAGTGGAAGCAGCGGGAGTCTCAGCGGCACCACCAGTAGCGGTGGCAGCAGGGGCACCAGCAAGCTCGCCGAAAGTGAGAAGCTGAGGAGTAGCCTCGGTGCCGCCAGCGATGAGCTCAGGGCCAGGAGCAGGGTATGAGTCGAGATCGGCGTGGATGGAGAAACCAAGACCGGGACCAGTCTTGGAGTATGCCTCAGGGAAGGTAACACCCTTGGGCTCGAGAGTTCCGCTACCGGTGACAGTAAGCTGGTAGCAAGTCATGTAGTGTTGAGCACCACCGGCGGGGCCTGCAGCGTGGAGGGCGATGGCCTCAGCACGGAGGAGGTAGTCACCAGGGGCGATGTTCTTGGGGATGGTGAAGTCGAGCTTTCCGCCTGCAGGGATGTTAGACGTGCCACTGGAGTTATACTTCTTTGTACGTACAGTTGTAGTTGAGGTCCTTGGTACCCCAGAAATCGTTGTCACCCTGGGTGGCATCTGGGTTCTTGGCCCAGGTGTTCTGGTAAACCTTGAAGAATTCGCTGGAACCATCGGCGGTGGCTGCGTCCTCAACCTTGGACATGTATGCGAGGACAGGGCCCCAGTGAGCACCACCAAGACCTTCCTCTTTGCAGTCACGGGTGTTGTGCTGGTGCATCTCAATGGTTACTGTGTCACCGGCCTCGAAGTCACACTTTCCTTCAGCAGGAGCGGGGCTGACGTTGCCTGGATTATGGTCAGCGCTTGTCTATAAGTGAATCAATGAGACCGACATTGAAGAGCGTTGCTGGTGTAGTCCTCAACAGGGCTGTTGGAAGGTGGCAACCTGGCACAGGTGCTCTCAAGATCCTTTCCGTTCTTCCAGAGTTGTTGGAAAGTGGCATGGGCGTTTGCCAGCGCCAAGATGGCAGGGAGGACAGCTACGGACTTCATGGTGTATATTTTGATGCAAGTAGTGATGTTTGGAATGAGTGACTAGTCAAATATTGACAAAAGAGTGACTGAAAAAGCAAAAAATGAATGAATGACGAAGTCTCGTAATGAAAGAATGTCCAGCGCAGCTGCGTTACTGATTCAAAATCTGGCGGGCTCCAAGACTTATATTCCTCCTCCAGCACAGGAGATGAGTTGAGCCGTGATGCCGAGCGATATGTGGCACGCTGCATGGTTAGCCGTTTCGTTTACCACCGGTCCAATCTCGAACTTGACGCCAGGGCGCTATGTGTCTGCAGCCACAGGCGGATAGATGAACGAAGGATGGCGACCTATGCCACGAACAGAACTCTTGCGAACCAGGTCCAGGTCCATGGGTCAATTCGAAGACTGACAGGTTTGACATGCGGGGCCCTAATTGGTGGATATGTGCTGTGCCTGGAGTTCGAGCCGAGTAGGGCTTAGTGCTGGTTTGACCTTGGACGAGGCGAGATTCCTTCGCATTGCAGGGGCTCTTAGCCATCCTTCGCAAATTGTTGGCGATGCTATCCAACGCAAGGGATTGCACATCGACGCGCCTATCCTGGGGTCTTTCTCTCTGCTAGAATAATGTTGAAAGCGCCTGCAGGATGTGAACTGCAACGACTTCTCAATTGCATACGGCCTGGCAATAGCTCTGTCTCGGAAATGATCGCGTAACGGCGTAGAACTGCAAATTCTGTTGATGGTACCCTCTGCAATTTCAAGAATCTGCAGCTTGTGATACGATGCGGGTCTTCCAACCCAGGGTCGAGATACCGGCACCGGCTCTGAAAGAGGACATGAACATGTTCATTGAGAGATGACAAGACGGTTAAATAGCGACAGGATAATACCCTGAACGGATGTTTACAACACAATGCGGATGAGATCATGCAAAAATGCGCGCTCGTGTATGTTTCTGCGCGCGGCACGTCGAAACATCGTGGTGGGTCGAGACGAAACAACAGTTGTATGATCGCCGCCGGGTTCGCAGGCCGAATCCTCACAGGAAAGTGGTAACGCAGGCGGAAGCGCAAAGTGCCCATAGACGGTACGACGAAGGGCGCATCGGTTGATGCATTGCGGTGTGAGTTGTTATGTGAAGAAAAAGGGATGGCTGTTACGCGTTGAGATTCAGGAACTATCTATGATGATGTCATGCGCTAGTACGCTGCATCAGCCATAGTTCAGAGCGTAATCTACGGTGCCGTGATGGATCTTTTGCGATATCATTGCGCCTGAATATAGAGTTTGCATACAGACAAACTGATAGTTAGCGCAAGTACGGGATGAAGACACTTCTGTGCGTGATCTGCTAGGAAATGTGCAATTACCATTTATGAGATGAGTCGTCGCCGTCTTACTTTTTTGCAAGACCCAACCCCGTCACCTCATCGAGGTACCACCCACATCCTGGGAAGTCTAAGGTTTTCATACCGTCAAAACTGATTCATTCGAGGACCTATAGGCAGCGTGTTGGAGTCAGTAACAGCCAGCATCACATCTAGGCTATCTAGGTAGCTGTGTCTCTCCTAGTACAATTGTACACCCACCGTGTTTGCCGAGATTTCATCCATATATGGCCATAAATCATAGCATTAATGTTGCTACTGCTGCGTTTGGAGGGATTTGGAAGGGATATTGTGGTTGCACTAACATACTACAGCGGCCCAGGGATCACCGTCTTCCTAATCTGGACAACGAACGCACTCTCCACCAGAAAACCTTGTACATATGCTCTTCCATCCACCTCAACTGCTCCACGCAGGAAGAATTCAACCGCGTCTCGCATGTTCCTCGCGAGATAGTGTAACTAACTAAAAAACCTATCCTCCCTTCCGTCCTAGTGGGGACCAATCAAGAGCCGGTAGCGCTGTTTTGATCATCAATCTCGTTGAGCTCACACGTGTCTTCCTTGGGCGCACAGCAATCTCGCGCCCTCAGCATCCTTCTCCAAGACCAGTAATGATTGCGGCAGTTTTCGACCCAGACAAGATGGCGCGCAAGCCATTTGTCTAAGCACGTGAGAGCCGCGTCGAGTTCGAAAGGCTTGTTGAAGAAGAGAAGCAAGCAATTGCCGATCACCAGCTCACTTCGGTCCTGTCCGGTCTGAGTACAGATGACCAAAGTTTCTACTCAGCTCGCCTTACGCTACAAACCCATTCCACAATCCCTCTCTCTACCTATTAGCAGTGGGCACGTGCGAAGGAGCTCTACGCGGAGATACACGTGTACGGCATCACTCCTTGGGCGCCTTCCGATCTCAGCAAGTCCAGTGACACCGATAGGGGGAAGTATATCACGATGCAGAACCCATCTCGCAAGCGTACCTCATCCGATGTAAGGCATTCCTTGACAAGATAGCGGCCATAGACACCCTCCCACCTCAGTTTGACCCTATAGCTCACATTTGTTGTGGGCACTGTGTTGAACGAGTAGAGAATTATATCGTGTGATCCTAACTAACACACTGCCCCTTCCATCGTTTCACTATAGTTCTGGACGACATTTTTATCTTTCCTCCGAAGTGCTGTAAGGTTCCCATCCCCCTTGACGTCTGCCGTACGATTCTCCCGAAGGAATATACTAAGAAATTCTGCCTCAAGGTGGAGGAGCTCAGGACTCCAAAATTGATTTATTGCACGAACAATGACTGCACAGCTTTCATTCGCCTCAAGGACATCAGCGCTGGGGTAGGCACTTGTGCCGAGTGCAAGGACACAACCTGCATGCAGTGCAAACGCCAGATACATGATGAAATATGTCCGAGTGACCCACGCGTGCAGCTCCTTACGGACGTAACGAAGCGGTAGTAATGTCCGAAATGTAACAACATGCTCGAGCTTTCTCAAAGTTGTTTTCATATAATCTGCCGCTGCAGTCGTGTGTTCTGCTACATCTGTGGTGTACCTTGAAAGACATGCACATGTCACAGTGGGAAGAACATTGTCTCAATTGTCCTGCTCCTGTCATCCAGCCAGACCCGGTTCCAGAACCTGCTGGGCATGTCCACGCCTAGCAGCGTATGAATCGAGATCGCGTGAACTGTGGTGCGAATTGCCTTCAATTTCGCATGCACTGTAGCGAGTTCGAATCGTTGAACTGCTGGCGTTACATCGAACGCACACGCGAAGAGTAGAGATCGATCGTGTTGGCTGTGGGGTCTGATAGAGAGACTAAGGGCTTGAGGTACTTCCACACGGCAAAAACGCCAAACGTTAGGGTACGCGATTCATTCGAACCCGAGGGGAACCGAAGATAAGATACGTACGAGTTCATGACGACACAGAAATTTGTGAAGGAACTAGACTGGAGGTTGCACTTCTTTCCAGTATATACATACTGCGAAGTAACACGTGAATCCTTCTAGGCAGTGTGAGTTGTACGCTAAGGACGTCACGAGGTAGAACGCGTGAGCCCAGCAAAGTAATGTTCTTTTGGCGAAGAACAAATGTGATAACGAGTCATGTAAGATATCCCTCTTACAAGTCGGGCGGGATGTAGCGCGCCACAGTTAGCGCTGTAAGTTCTTCTTGTCGTATTCTCATCTTCGAGAGCGACTCCATCGTAGCGATGACCGTGGCAACAAATTGCATACCAAGGATTCAACCAGACATGTTGACATCAAACGATAGTCAGATCTAATTACCCATTTTCTCGTATGTTGCAGCAATATCAGCGTCAACCGGCAGTGGTTGGAGTGAACGTTGTCGTGCAAGATCAGCATCAGGCCCCTTTCTAGCCGACTGGCCTGTGCGGGGGGGGGTCCACGGGTGTCTTCGCTAACCAGTGCTTATCCTGGCGCCTCAAACACCACTTTGCCAATGAACCTCTGCTTTCGCAGCCCAGCACTCTCCTCATTATCTCCGCAAACTCAGGAGAACATTCAGTCGCCTGATCCGTCCAAGCCACAATTGCTGAACGGTTCTACGCGAGCTTAGCATATCTGCAGACTACCTAGGCACACGGCACTTACGGCAGCACGATACAAGCCGTCGCAACAACAAAAGATTAGACTGAATGCCCCGCTATACGAAGTATCGAAATGTAGTAGCTGCCTGATGATATTGCTAGATGCTAGACATGACTCCATAAGCCCCCACCCTTTAGGGATTTGTGGCGCAGTCACTTTGTCAGACGCGTCGACGATACACCACTGGACATTTTGACAGTTTTCGGCATGTACCTGCATATTCTCCGATGAAATTTAAACGTGTAAACGGCAACGGTATGCGTGGACATGGACGATGCGTCTGAAGATCTTTCCCCAGTGCTCACGACGCTGACGCTGAGTGGCTTACTTCATCTCTTTCTCCCGCCTCAGCGCTTGAACAATGCGAAGGGGAGCTCGACTTGAACTCAAAAGTAAGGTTCAGCTCCTATCCTCATCCTTGCATTTTGCTTGCCTGATCCGTAAACGGAAGCCTTACAGCTTATTACTTCTTGCGCCTCGCCTCAGTTCGGTTATCTAGACCATATTCAGGTTTCAAGTCTATACTTTTTACCGCCACATGGCTTGCCTCGTCGTATCTCAAGCCCCACAGCCAAACATAGCACAATGGTACCTGGCATAGTCTCATGAGAATCCCATATAACACTGACCATAATCATGTCTTCGAACGATGTGCCTTGCTTTTCACCACAGTCGGTTATTCTTCTCGCAGTCGATCTTGTCGTGTTCGTCCGTCTATAGTAGTACCGTCTACTTCCATTGCTACAAACATGGTAGCCTACGCTCCTTATGTCGCCGCTACGGCATCTTTGTCATCCGTTTATCACGCAGTTACCCCATCCCAGTTTCGCACCTCGCCTGTCTGCCATGTCGTTACAGCGACAGTCACTGAATACGCAACAGCACGGCCCACTACCAATGCTCATGGACATGGAGGACCATACTATAATCCTTACAACGACGTGCCCCTCCCATTCGTTTGGCCGGGCAAGCCGTCGCACGGGGAGACGTACGCTCCTCCTCGACCTTCGACACCTTATCAATACGGAGGGCACGCTAAAGATATGTATGATGAGCCTTGCTGGATCCCTAAGGGTACTGGACAGCTCAAGGCTTCACTCCCGAGTGTCCAGCAGTGTGGCAACTCACAGTGGGGGTTGATCGATTCGCCTCATCTTCCGGTCAATGGCCTCCCAGGTGGTCACTCCGATGGGGCCTACGCATCAGAATCTACGAAGCTCGCGTCCGCATTTCCCCCTTACCCTATAGCATCTGGCCACTCATACAACCATACCAACGCCACAGGGTCTAACTCTCTCGGACAAACCTCCACTAGGACTCTCGGGTCCATCGTTACCGCTACTGCGGTTAGTACACCTACAGCAGACCCTCTTTGTCCTACCATGCCCGACACTGGCGTGACAAGGACCTACGATCTCCACGTGGCTTACCAAACAATTGCTCCTGACGGTGTTACCAGGAATGGTTTAACTGTGAATGGCCAATTCCCTGGTCCTCTCATCGAGGCCAACTGGTATGAGATAACGGAAAATTCTCTGATGCTTTTGCTGACTTTATGCTAGGGGCGATTGGATCCTGTGGAGAGTTACAAATGATTTGACTGATGAAGGTACCACCCTTCACGCCCATGGCCTCTTCCAGGGTGAGACTTCCTGGTACGATGGGGTTCCTGCCGTCTCTCAGTGCCCTATATCGCCCAACGGTGGATACTATGAGATGCTTTTCCGAGCTGACCGTTATGGGACATCTTGGTACCACAGTAAGTTCACCCAGGTCACGCTCCCAGATATCAAAGCTGAGTTCTTTAGGTCACTACAGCGCTCAGTACTCTGGTGGTGCCCACGGCCCTATGGTCATCCATGGACCGAAGCATGAAGAGTACGACATCGACATCGGCCCTATCGTCCTTGAAGACTGGTTCCATGCCGACTACTACTCTCTTGTTGAGGGCACCATGAATGGTCTATTCCCACCCTCGAACAACAATCTGATCAATGGAAGAATGAACTACCCGTGTGCGAACACAACGCTACCTTGCACACCTAACGCCGGCATCTCCAAATTCAAGTTTGAGTCTGGAAAGAAGCATTTGCTGCGCCTCATCAACATGGGTGCCGAGGGTAACCAGAAGTTCAGCATCGATGGACACCAGCTGAAGGTTATTGCCGTCGACTTCATCCCCGTTGAACCGTACACGACGAATGTCGTTACTCTCGCTGTCGGTCAGCGCACTGATATCGTGGTCGAAGCTATCGGCAAGCCTAGCGATACATTCTGGATGCGCTCTCAGCTCGCTCAAGGATTTCGCTGCACGCTTACCGACGGCATCTCGCCAAACGCGCTCGCGGCAGTATACTACGAGGATGCCGATACCGACGCCATCCCGCAGTCCACCTCCGAAGTTACTCAGGAACAGCTTGAACAGTGCAAAAATGATCCTATCACGTCCGCAATTCCGCTCTGCAAGGTTCCCCTGGAAGAGCCAGATCATGTTGAGCGTGTAGACTTTGACTTCCGCTCCAACGGCACCAACTTCATCTGGTACCTCAACAACAGCACTTACCACGGGAACTACAATGAACCTACACTTCTGAAAGCGAAGCGTAACGAGTCAGACTTCAATCCCGAATGGAACGTGTACGAGTTTCCTGGTGCGAAGAACGTCCGCATCCATTTGGTCAACCACGGTCTCATTGGTGGCCACCCCATGCATCTCCACGGCCATGATTACCATATCCTAGCTGAAGGTTTCGGCGAGTGGGATGGTGTTGTGACGAATCCGGAGAATACGCTGCGTCGCGATGTTCATCAGATGCAAAATGCGCGCAATGTCACTGGTACAGTCGAGCCCTCGTACCTGGTCTTGCAATTCACACAGGACAATCCGGGCGTGTGGCCATTTCATTGCCATCTGGCATGGCACGTTAGTGGTGGGCTTTTCATGCAAATACTGGAGAGGCCTAAGGACATTCAGAAGCAGGCCTTTGACGATGAGCAGTTTGAGCTTTGCGATGCTTGGGATGCTTACTCGGCTCAGGTTACTCTGAATCAGATTGATTCGGGTTTGTAAGTGGGGTGCAATACACATACCTATGGCGGTGGTGCTCAGGTAGAGTGATGGTCACAATCACCACCACGTGATTCACTCACTAGCGGCCACTAGTGTTTTCTCTTCTACCATATTAGTAGGGCCTTCTTGCATGTACATAAGAACAAATAATTTACTCTACGTTCCACTTTACACGTCCAAAGGTTCTTGCACAACCGCACGCAATTTAATTGTGATTTCTAACACGGTCTTCGCTATAGAACGCTTTAGATTACTGCAAGTGCCGTATTTACGTTAGTTCAACAGAGTGAGCCGGAGTAAAGACTGTATGCACCCATAACTTTTACACTGCTCGTTTGAAGATACTCGTTCTTAACTAATTGTGAACTGAATCAAAGCACACCCTGAAAGAGCCTTGCCGCTAAGTCTGGGCTCTTTGAGCGGGACAATCTTGCGAATACATCTAGAATCACGGTTGGCGTACAACTCTGAAAAACGAGCTTCCTCGTGTCCCTTGCTTCGTTAATCTAGAGTCGTGGCGCATTCTTCTTGCTTTCTGCCCAGGGGAATGAACTCGGCGCCATCGTGGGGAAATCGTCTCTGTCGTGACGTCACGGCCCACCCAACTTCCCTGCATTACATCAGCGAGTGCGGCCGTAGACACTGGTTATTGTAGCCATTCGCGTACATAATCCCCGTGATTGCGACTACCAATTTCCGTGATCGTATGCTATCGAGAGTTCGATGACGATGAACGCCGCTCCTCAACATCTAAAAGTCCTGCTGACGGGCGGTGCCCGTGGAATTGGGCGAGGACTATTCAGACAACTATTGATATCGGGTCATGACGTTATAATCCTAGACTCGAACAAGGAAGAATTAGAGCATGTCAGAAAGCGAGCTCAAGAATGGTCGAACGGGCGGAAGGAAAGCTGGTCTGCGCTTGAATGCGACCTCAGCAAGCGAACGGAGTTGAAGACTGCCGTCGACGAGGTTAAGAGGAAGTTTGGTGGCAAGCTCGATGTTTTGATCAACAATGCTTTCCCGACAGATCTCTCGATCTCCGAAGATCGCAGTATGGAAGCCGAGGGGGAAGACATGGAGAAAGAGTGGGATTTGAAGGTTGCGATTGGTCTCACTGCGCCGTTCATACTTAGCCGCCTATGCGTCCCACTCCTGGCTGCTGGACACTCTACTCCAAATTCTCCTGGTACCATCATCAATATGTCATCAACACGCGCCTACCAAGCTGAATCCGACCACGAAGCCTATTCGTCTGTCAAAGCTGGTCTGTTAGGATTGACACAGTCGATGTCAGTATCATTAGGCCATCGTCACAAGATTAGGGTCAATGCGATCATCCCGGGATGGATTCACGTCGTCAACGAGAGCAGAGCTGGAGATGAGGGTCAAGCTAAGTGGGAGGACGGCTTGAGCAAGGAAGACACTGCGTGGCACCCCTCCGGGCGTGTGGGTAAGGTGGAGGATATCACAAAGGCGGTGGAATACCTCATTGGAAACGAGTTTGTTACTGGCCAGGAGCTCGTTGTGGATGGCGGCGTTGGAAGAAAGATGGTATACCCTGAGTAAGCGCATGAGATTGGTGCATCAACAATCTTCTCGTCAGCTCGACAAGGCATGCTTTGTCCCCCCTTTGCACGTCAACTCCAAAGCCTGGAGTTCCCGCTCCAGCCCACAGCCTACTGGTGCCTTCTTCGGCTATTACTGAAGGTGTATCATTAAGGTATACGCAGCGCTATGCGTTGCAGGTTTTGTATAAAAAGTAGTGGCATTTGTCTTTAGGATAGGTTCTGGTATTTGGGATACGACTCATTAAAAACAAGGTTCTAGGTATTCCTAAAATCGTCACACTCGATTAAGACCTTTTGGAATAGGTCCAGCTTGATATAGATTGTACTCATCGATTAGACCGTGCAATGAATCAAAATAGAATTTATGATCTCATGTAAGTATTTCGAGTCTCGTCGTTTCATTATCTCCGTTTCTATATCTTTTGCTTTGATCTCTTGTGCTACATGTACCCCGTCCACATCTTCGTCCCATCGACACAGCACGACAACGCGATATTTCAGGCAATAGAGAAAACCATGGTACTTCTAAAATAGTACAAGGCACAGTGCACCGTGTAATATCGCAACTATGCATCAAACCTTATAAAAATCTACCATAGTATGACTAACAGCACGTGTTAAGGCTCAGCTTTCTATACATTTTAAGATTTCGGTAGCCTAGGCAGACTGACATACACTGTGCACGCATGGTGGTCTTCATGTCGAACAGAAACTGCATCGGTAGACCACAGGTTGACTGCACTGTGTCTTTCTTTCCTCTTCCTCTACACGCTAGACGAGCCTTCGGACGATGCAGCAGCGAAATAGCTGAGGGTCGCGGTCTGCGGGGGATTAGTGGCCGACTACGATGCATTACAAGCCTCGCCCCACCTTTCTCCGCATCACCCCAGGTCATGGCTCGTAACAACCCCAGATTTGAACTTGGCGGCGAATTTCCACTCGCCGCAAGTGTCTTGGGGACAGCTTGGTAGAGCAGAATACTTGCGGCGTGCCGATGATCTCGGCGGATGTGCCGATGTTGTATCGGCTTAAAGGTCAAGCCCAGTGTCTACACCCACATATTCGAAGCTCATAGCCACATAGATGGCCGCGCCTTCTATCGACAATGCGCGATCTTAAATATACCAATAGGAATATCCAGAAGTTGGAAGTCGTTGAAAATGAAAGCAACCATGTAGGTCATGGTTTGACTGAAGAAGAGCGAAAGGTGGAGAAGAACTTGGTGAGAAAGGTGGATTTTATCATCATGCCGATCATCCTGATTGTCTATCTTTTGAATTGGATCGATAGGTATTGCTTCTTTTTTTCCAGCCTTTCAATGGACATATGGCTCATATCATGTATACAGGAACAACTACGCCTCTGCGCGGCTTGCTGGCCTAGAGGAAGACCTAAATCTAACGCTGCAACAGTACCAGACAGGACTATCGATTCTATTCGTCGGGTATATCCTCGGCCAAGTACCGTCTAACCTATTATTGAACTGGTTCGGCCGTCCGTCGTACTATCTTGGCTTCTTCACGATTGCATGGGGTCTCGTTAGCGGTTTGTCCAGTTTAGCACAAAACTTCGCCGGCATTGTTGCTTGTCGGTTTTTTCTAGGCATTGTTGGTAAGTTGACTAGTATGGAAGCACTGGTGTAAGCCAAAACCACTGACTTGGCTGTACAGAGGCACCTTTCTTCCCTGGCGTATTGTTCTACTTGTCGAAGTGGTATACCAAGAAGGAGATGAATCTGCGCATGAGTATCTTCTATTCAGGTGCCCTGATCGCTGGTGCATTTGGTAACCTCATCGCGGCCGGTATTTTGGACGGTATGGATGGTCGACTTGAGCTCTCGGCGTAAGGAACAAGCCCTTGACCTTCGGCAACAGATCTAACTGCGAATAGCTGGAGGTGGCTGTACATTATCGAGGGAGCCGCGACTGTAGTTATGGGCCTTGTCGTTTGCTTCTGTTTGCCAGACTTCCCGCAAACTTGGAAGAGGCTTACGCCTGAGCAAAAGCATGTCGGTAGGTTTACGTATCTGTCAAGGAGGCGACGAAAGCATCATTTTACTGACCTGAGTTCAGCAAACCGCCGTCTTGCGCTCGAAGCTGCAGATGCCGATGTGGATGAAGAAGGAGCAATGTCGCAAGTCAAGGGCTTGAAGCTCGCGCTGGGAGACTTGAAGACCTGGATCTTTGTGGGCATCTACATGTGCCTGACCGCCGCACAGGGCTTCGGCTACTATTTCCCGACGCTCGCACGCTCGTTGGGATATAGTAACTTCATTTCGTTGGTACTTGTGGCACCACCGCATATCTTCATGACTGTCTGGTCGTACCTACATGGCATTGTAAGCGATCGCTTCGAGACTCGGTTCTGGTTCGCCATCTATCCAATTATTCCCGCCTTCACCGGATTCATCCTTTTCATGACGACTAGCTCATTCGGGCCGAAGTATCTCTCATTTTTTCTGATGATGTTCCTCATGGCCATGAACGGCACCATATTCTCTTGGATCTCTGGTATTTTGACACGGCCACCAGCCAAGCGAGCTTCAGCTTATGCCCTCATCAATTGCCTGGGCAACTCCGTGACGATCTGGACCCTCTATACATACCTTGACAACGAGGAGCCTTACTTTTACACTGGTATCGGCATCTGCGCGGGCTTGATGGTAGTCGCAGCGTGCTTGTTGATTTTTCTGAGGTTTTTACTGGTCCGAGAGAATACCAGGCTTGCAGCTCTTGAGAACGAGGACGCGGAGCTGTCCGAGAAAGAGATGATCAGGCTGCGGCGCACAGCGGAGACAGAAGGTATCTCAATCGCTGAGGCGAGGCAGCTCCAGAAAGGGTTCCGATATCCAATCTAAGCGCGTGCCTTTCGACTGATTTGGTTCGGTCCATGCGATTGCCAGGGTACGTATGCGACTATTGTGACGAAGTTCGGACGATTCGGGCGACTACAAGACATTCAGACGCTTGACGCGTCGGATACGCTGGCAGCGTTTGCTACAGTCGTAAGCACCAACTAGAATTGAAACAGTGTGCGTTGCGCGCGTTTTCATGGTAGTAAGGTTTCGTTGCGACTATGAGGTGTCTGGATGATGGCGAAGAGAGCTCCCGCGGGCTGCTCAGAGCTTGAATTTTGCATCACTCAGTGTGAGTTTGGCCGGTGCCGTTCATGACCGCGAATGAACGGGCACACACGCGACGCGCACGCGACAACTCCTTTATCCAACACAGCTCTTTGACGCTTTGCAATCACCACATTTCTACGCGCATTGCGTAAACTCATTCACAACAGGGGTCTTTCCCATTGCCGCACTGTCTATCCTATCTATCCCTTATAGTCAATCATGGCGTTACACTACGAGCCACACAAATTATGCTACGAATATGACTACTTTATACCAAGCAACAAGTTTGTGCAATTCCCGCCTACTTAGCATAGAAAGAGCTATAGTGATGGACGAAAACAGCAGTGGCCAAAGTGACGGCCTATTGCTAACATAAGGGAAAGTTGTAATGATACCCTGCTGGAACAGAATCAAGAAAGACAAGGGGGGCGACCATGAGCGGGTTCGGGTAATCTCCTCATGAGCAATGTTCTTCACTACATCCACTGATATGTGCAAGCTCAAGTGTTCTTTCCTCATCCACTCTGACTTCCTCGCGTTTTCGCCCGCCGTTTGACCGCTTCACGGGTAGTTGCTTAGTCACGTGATCTGATTCTCGTCCGTGTGCATGTAAACAATTTCCAGATCAGGCTGTTTTGAACCTCTCCGTCGATACCGCAAAGTAGGTCATGACGGATCAAGACACAGATCTGACCGCTAAGGTTGTTAGCGTCACTGATACTGATCTCTCCACATCCGCATACTTGCCTATGAAGCCAAGTCAACTGTCGCCTTCCCCTGTCGTGGACCAGGTCCTCGACAACTTGCTGGAAATGATACGACCCTAGCGTCAAGGTCTCCTCAATGGCCCTCGCATCACCATTCACGTGGGCGATACATCCGTTACCAATATCGCCAAGCGCGCTGCGATGGCTGCTTCTTCTGTCCTCCACAAACACTTCATCACCAACCCTGAGTCATTTGAATATCGTTTCTCGCGTGGTCAGATTCACCCTGGTGCCGTCAGTTTCCTGCTCATCGGCTGGATGCAAGAGACGTGCAAAGAGTTCGAGGCCTATGCCGTCCCAGCTCAGAAAACCTTTGGCGAAGACGTTGCTATCTTGCGCGCCGCTCGCTTGTTAGGCATGGAGCAATACTGCCGTCATATACTCATCAGCTATGTGGACTATCTCAAGACACAGCTCCCCAGCTACGAGGAGATCATTGCTGTCGAACAGAACGCCACCTCTGATAAAGACCCACTCTGGACTGCCATGGTCAATCACCTCTGCCACGATCGCTTCAAAGGACTCATACCCGATGCTGAAGATTTCGAGGCGTTTCTAGAGAAGCATAACCGTCTGAAGAAGGCTATGGAGTCCGCTGATAACTTCTTCGCTAGATACGCGAAGAAGCAGGCTGAGGGCCGGGAGAAAGAGCGCCGCCAGCGTTAGGAGCAGAACCAGGCCGTGGAGCGTGAGCGCATTTCAAAAGAGCAACTTGCTGCCGAATCATTGAAGAAGAAGTTGGACAAGAAGGGGTCCGGTCTTGTGACTGTTTCGGCGGATGAGGCAGAGGTGCTATGGGGGCGTACTCGTACCCGCTAGAGGACCGCCGAACAGAGCTGCTACGTTCACATCACTCCACAGCCGAGGCGATCTCTTCGGGTGTGTAATAGCACCTATGGGTGTGACACAAAGCATAGTTGTGGTCTGCGAAGACACCGAGAATGCCCAGTATAGGTATGCGCACAAATTCCGTAGTTCAGTACGTCTCTTGCTCGATGGTTCTACTTAGGGTAACAGGCGCTGAAACACTGATCATGTAGAAATCAAGATAACAAGACATGATCATATATGACGAACACCGATGAGTACGAATCCAATCCAAAATTTAAGCCAATATCTCGCTTCTTTGCTACAACCTCGCGCCCTCAGATGGAAAAAGTCATGCTAATACGTCTACTTTCTTTGTGACACATCTCAGGCTTTTCCCCTCAGAACTCGTCCGCCCAATCCTCGCTGCTCGCCTCCTCCCACTTCTCTTCTTCCTGCTCAGCCTTAACATGTCCCTCCCACCAAGTTGGCACCGTAACTGGGGGCTCGCACTCCTTGCACCTGGCTTTGATGTACACCGTGCTGTCTATACCAGTCAGTCCAGCATGAAGGCCATATGGCACAGCATCGATCCTGTTGTTGCAGTGAGGCTCTGCGCAAACGATTGTGCGAGCGTTTAGTGGAATAAATGACAATGAGTGGGATGGTGGGGACGGAGATGATGGTGTAGATGACAATGAGCTTGGTGAGTAGGATTTCGTGATAGGATCACAGGCGCTGTGGATACCGTGTTGCGGACTGCGGCGGATGATGATGGGACTATTTGGAGGGTAAGGCATTGCGCTGTTAGTATCTGAGTTGCTTTGATGCTCTTTGAGGTAGATAGAGACTTGAGTGAAAAGAGATCGGAAGGAGAGAAAGATGAAGTTATTTATGAAGTTGCTGATTGATTGTGCTAGCTTTGACAATGGCGATTGCGTAGAAAGAGCCAACAAGCTGGGCAATTGTTTTGCGTGGAGCGAGGAGAATAGAGAAGGGTGTAGGATACATGTGATACCTACCTCACGGCCTGAGTGCCGTGTATCGTGGACACGACCCACATGTCGCGTCGACAGTTAATCACTCGACCTTCCACCGTTCATCTTCCAACGAGCCTCTCGCGCTTGGCCTATCTCTCTAGTCTAACTTCATGATCCTTAAAATGAACTCCTTACCCTTCCTTCGCAGTTCGGTCTCTGGAATGTTCCTGGATAATGTTTGCTGCTCTGGTAGATGAAACGTCAAAGGTCTTACCACTGCACCGAACGACCAGATATCGGCTGTTGTATTCAAGGCGACTGTAGGATAATCTCTGGGGTTGACCATGTTGGTGCCCAGCAAAGGCTCCTATGGAGGGGCCCTTTGCTAGTCACAGGAGAATAGTTTCCTAAGTCCCCAGGCGCAGGGCTCGACTCGCGGTAGCCGTCCGCGCCGCAGCAACGCATCTTCACCAAACACCAATCGCATGAACTTCGCGCAAGCCCGCCGAACTTCCCTGTCACATTCCCTTCCTCTGCTCTCCACTTTATCCACAAGCCACCTTGTCGTGGCTCTTTCGTATGCGCAGCACCCCCATGATAGTATTTCCATCAGCTTCAATACTCGATAGACTCTCTGAGTGCCAACACAATGCCTCCCAGCCCCCTCAGGCATGAGAAGATCAAATTGACGAGGTTCTGGAACGCGCAGCCAATAAGAAAATGTAGCTGGCATGTTAATGCAGCATTGATTGATGAACAAAAGCTCCTTCCGTCTAAGGTACAGCCCCGCCGGCTAAAGCAGGACCCGCTCCCCGCTAGTTCTTTACCATCGTTTGCATCATCACAATACGTTGCATCCTGCTTACCATTGTGTTCCTCGTAGCTATTGGACCCTCCACTCGACCTTGGTTACTCATTGCCATCATGGTGTCTACGCGCTCACATCCGCAAGGCGACTTCCCCGCCACCGAACCTTCGCCCGTCAAGAAGACGCCGCGATCACGAACCTCGACCGCGTCCCCAGCACCCATATCTTCCCCAGACTTTAACTCCTCGCCACCGGCAACATCGCTTGCGAGACGCGCAGTTTCCAATGTCAAGGCTGAAATCAGCCCTCCCTCTCCATCCGAGATCAATGAGCCGGCATGGTGTCATACAGCATCGAATCTTACGATAGTATGGCTCGCAGTATCCATCCCGCTCGTGCTATGGGACTCCCTGTATATCCTTTTGCGCCCGCACACCATGGCCGGTGGCGCAATCCAATGGCCGATTTGGAAGCCGTATGAGATTTACGCCTCGATAGATCACGTATATGGATGGCCTGGGTGGGAAAATAATGACGGATTTGGCGGCGCGCAAGGCTTTTTGAACGCCATTGAACTCGTGCTATACGGACTTTACGCTATGATCATCTATAACCATGGTGTACCCACGACCGGAGGTACTGGGCTGCAAGTCAGCGAGGGCGTGAGCAAGTTCCTCGCCGGTGGCAGGAAGGTGCGCGGAAAGCCTGGGAATCGCGCGCTTATCATCGGGTTCGCTGCTGCGGTTATGACCCTCAGCAAGACAGTACTATACTGTACGTATGCATGCGACACACAGTCAAGCGGCAGGCTAACGATTGTAGACTTCAACGAGTACTTTTCTGGCTTCGCAAATGTTGGCCATAACGACTGGGCCACGCTGCTGTTCTTCTACGGTATTATGAAGTAAGTCAAAACCCTCTGCTTGCGCCTAGCATGTAAAGGGATAGAATGGCTGACATGTTCTGCAGTGGGCTCTGGGTCATTTTCCCAGCCTATATGACTGTCGTCTTCGGTACCGACATCCTCCAGGCACTCGACATCGCAGCCGAATCTTCGTCTAAGAAGCGTTATTAGCTTGAGCTCTGGAAAAGCTGTTTGCACATACTAACGCTTCAAAATTTGGCCCCAGCTTTGAATCACCAAATCTCCAATCAAGACAATTTGGCATTCTTCTGGCGCTTACGAAAGCGTCGAACAGCCGTGCGAAACAGTCGTCTCAGCCGTCACAAGAGACCATTGTGCGAGTCCCCAGCGACTTTGGCGTCCTGCGTGAGTGATGGCGGCTGTATAGGAGCCAGGTTCAGCCTATCGTGCAACCAGAAATGTGATACCACTCACCAACACCAATACTCCATTGACGTCACGCCTCAACCCAAGAAGGACGGATTTCGAGTCCCAGTCATCCGGTGGCAAGCTTGCGGATATTCGCTGCGTATTGTCGGTTAGATGCTGAAGCATGTACGGTGCTTGTACTATACTGGGCGTGGTCTCCATCGCGTCGTGATTTGCTTTTGATGCGATAAGTAGTTTTCAAAGGTTGTTGGTTGAGCAGAGAATTAAATGCGGAATAGGTGTACAAGGGTATACTACGGATCCGCCGGCCGGAAGTCATATTCACTGTCTGATCGCGATGTGTTCGCTGTCTCAAGCATTGGATATCTTGCCATGCGCTTATTACCACAATATTTATAGGTCTCTCATTATGTCATCTATCCAACTAGAGGACTTTTCATCACTCATTATTATCGCTGTATCCTACAATCAGAAATTTCCAAACCCACCGTCGCATTGACACAGGACCAAAACAACCGTCTGCAAACTTTTGGTAAGCCCTCACATCACATTACATCCAACTCCCAATTTGCAGGCCCTATTCTTCTTCTTCTGACTACTCTCTGCCTCCAAAATCGCAGCCCTTCGATCATCTCCCGCGCGCTGCTCACTGACTACCCTGCGTCGCTCGTCCAGATCAGCCATGCTCACCGCGTTAGCAAACGGTCCGTCGTCATCATGGATAAGCGCCATTTTTCTTTCCAACTCATCTCTGCCGGGCGTACTGAAGACAGAGCGCTTGCTGGATACCGTGCCTCCGGAGAAATGGGAGACTTCGGATATGGACACTTGTCGCTGCATGTCAGCGGCCGCTCCTGGTACAGGCCTCCGCAGAGGCGTTTCTACAACGTGCTGTAGTGGTACTGGGTGCATCCGTGGATAAACACCCTGCTCACGTTCTAGTCGCTGTATCATCATGTCATCGTTCGTTGACGACGCATAGCCAGTCTGAGACATGAGCATCGTCCTTTCCACTAGTCCTGCTCTTGCCTCAGCCACTCTGCGCATCTTTCTATATTTGTTCTGAATATACGAGTCCCTGAGTTTTTCTTCTTCTCGAGAGTACATCTGTGGATGATTAATATCGAAATCTCTAGAGTCATAAGATGGTTGCTCGTCGAACGATTTGAAGAATTCGAGTTTTGGTGTCGGAGATGTTGGGATGGTAGCTGGAGTGAGGGTAGGAGGACCAGATTTTGGCTTTGACGTGGAAGACCGCTTGGAGTCGGGGTAAGGTGCTGGGGTGCCGAGTGGAAGATAGGCTGAGCGCTTCTGGGAATTTGTCATAGGTGTGGGTGTATCTGGACAATCCCAGTTTGCGTCGCTGTCGCTCTCGATTTGAGCCTGCTGTCCATGTAGACTCGTAGCCTGCTCTTGATGCTGGCCGCACGACGGCGACAAGCGATGCGAGTAAAGCTCCATTGACGTGCTATACCGACGTTTCTTTGGACTGCTTGACCTCGAACTCCGCTTCACTAGTGACTGCCTTCCCACCAACCCGCCGCCTCTTTTGACAGTCACGTTGGCAGTGATGTCTGCGGGAGAGCTGTCGAAGTTATGGTTTTCCGCGGTCGCGACATAGCTTGTAAACTCAATCTCTTGGCCGCCGGACTCATGCATGTGTGTTTTATGGAAACCATCGCTCTTAGGCCGCATTTTTGCGCTCCCTGGTGTACTTTGGGGATCAAAATTCGGCGTGCCAGTGCTTGCGAGCTGCAGTTGCAGTGCATCACTCAAACTCGGCGGCGGCGATGGAGAGATCGCGCGTATTGTAGAGCGTGCTGTTGACGGACGAGTGGGGCTTGGGGGTCCTGAAGTAGGCGGACGCGGGCGAAAATGTGTTGACATCGTCGCAATCGACAGTTGAGGTGTTGACTGCGAAGATGCGGGTGGTTGCTGTGAGGATGCTGGTGGGACCCAAAGAATCACAATGCAGGGCAAAGCCGATCAACGGGTTTCTCCGACTTCGTTGCCACGTGAGATGAAAACGCAAACGCGGAGTTCACCAAAGAATTGCAAGTGAGAGTGGATGAGTGACGCGCGATGGAGCGTTTGCAAAGCGTTGCTCAATGGCATCAAGATGCCTAGGTGAGCTACTCATCCTCCGCGATATCAAACCAACCTTTCACTCACCGTCCAGCACCACATCAATAATACGAGTTTTTGAATACCACCTCCAAGCGACACATGGTGAGTTTCCCAGATGAAAAACGATTAGAAGATTCTTGCGATAAGCTATTTGTTGTTGTTACACAGGTACGTCGCTGTGTAAACTTTACGGTACATATGCCGAAGTGGTAGAGCATGTCAACCCAATCACTTGGACCATCCCGAAAGCTTTGTATATAAGTACCTAGTCCTAGCTCTATTACGATGTTCGAAACTATATTGTTCAACCAAACCATCCTTCTTTATGGCGCGATCACCTCGAATTCTACCACTCCAGTTTCCCATTCCCTGACATGTGAATCAACCAGACGCTTCGTCTGTACCTCTTCCTCTAAATCATCGGCTTCTTCTGAACTACCCTCATCCTCACTGTCGGTCTCGCCATCGCTGTCTTGAGAACCTTCGTCTTCGTCTTCGCTATCTTCTTCTTCTTCATCACTCGAGACATTCGAAGAATGCCCATCTGTATCGGTATGAATTTCCAGTGTCATTGTCTATGTCGATACCCCTGCAGGCTTTTCCTTCGTCTTCATCATCACTACTCTCGTGACAGTCCTCGACAACAGTAGTCAAGACGTGCGCATGATGAGCCTTGCTGCCCGGGATCTCAGCTACTTTAACGGTATCGTGAGTTACTTCCTTTCTCGGTGCTTGTAATTTCTGGTACACATTTGGCTCGTCGCGTAGTTCGATCTCTCCGGAAACACTAGCCTGGGCAGGTACCGGGTAAACCACCGTTTCCCTCCATACTCCAGTTTCCTGCGTTCCTTTGCCACTCGTTCTGCCGCAGTTCTCTGCAGCCAAGCGCGCCTGGCGCTCCTGGCAGTGCTTCAACGTGTTTTGACCCTCGAGTTTCTCCAGCGTCAGTGCAGCTTTATCAGTCCATTTGCTGACAGTACGAAGTGCGACAATACCAATCTTGATGTTGCGTTTGTCCTTGATGTTGAGATCGCTATTTTTCTTCGCTGGAGCTGAAGCTTCCGGGGTTTGGGTATTGGAGTTGTCTGTTGAGTGTTGAAGGACGGTGGCAAGTTTGGGGCGGAGCTGGAGTTTGTGGGATGGAAGATGCATTGTGAGTAAACCCGTATAATCAAGGCCTCGATAGATATAGTAAACTTTGGTTTAGGAATACCAGGCTTGACTTGAGTGTGTTGTGATAGTGATTGCGGTAGCTGAATGTACTGACGTGTATGAGGCGGTGGTACAGCAGGCTTTATACAAGCCCATATAAGACAGATGCGCACTCCGTTTATAGCATTAATTGATGTTGCTTTGAGAGTGCTTGGACTGTGATGTCTGAGCGCATTGAACTTCTAGTTTCCAGTGGGTAAGTTACAGAATTGTTGATTGAAGACCCGGCTCAGTAAATTTCATTGATCATCGTGGAAATTGATCGTGGACTTCATACCGGTCACATCATAACACAGCAACACCATCCACGATCACCTCTACCAGCGTCTCCATTGAACTCCATATCCGGATACACACCAAGTATCTGCTCCCTGTACTCTTCCACCTCCCTTGAACGGCCTTCGCGAAGGCTATCAGTTGAAAGTGATTTCTGGTACGTAGAGGCGCTGTCCGCTGTGAAACGCTTCGCACGAATCTTTGCACGCTCTCTTGCATCACCACGTTGCCGACGTTGTATTTCAAGTTCTTCGTATGAGCCCCATGGAGGCGGTCTGGGACCGTTCTGGATATCCGTCGACGAATGCAGCGAGGGTGCGGAATTTGCGAGGTAGTAGATTGGTTGGAGGTAGCTATTGCTTTGTGGACAGACCAAAAGCGGCGAAGCCGAGTGTTGAGAAGGTAACTGCCTAAACTGTTGTTTCAGGTTTGCGACTCTCGTTCCTGTCCGTCGCGGTGCTCGCACACCGTCATCTACATCGTCCCAGTGGTCGCGAGGTACGTACAGCTCGGCGGCGGAAGCATTTTGTGGATAGTGGTTGAGGAAATTACGTTCCCGTGGACTACGACTAGGCTCACGAAAACAGGCGTCATTCGAGTGTTCCTTTAAGCTCTGAGGTGTGGTTATTTCCTCTGATGTAGCGCTTCGACCCGATAGGCTCGGTCTGGTCTCTACTGGTGGGTCCGGCAGCGGTCGCTGTGGTATGAGATACTCATTCGGCTTATACGGTCGTGACGTCTCAGTATGGAAACCTCTGAGCCCCGGTAAAGCTAGAGGGTGTTGCGCATATAATTGCTTACATGATTTTCTGTATGCGTTTCCGCTACACGCGCTATGTGCTTGACTAAGTTCGGCCCCCGCTGAAGCCGTCTCTAGTGGGAGTGGTGGCAACGGGCGCTGATATGTTCCCACACGATCTCCAAGTCTCTCAATTGGCTTGCGCGGAATTGGCTGAACAGTGTTTTGTTGGCAAATCCCAATTGTTGCATCCGCGGATGTGATGGTGGTCGGTCGTACGTGATCACCTCAGATGAAGCTAACGAGTGGCTGCCTCGTGGAGTGACAGCTCGTGTAATGTGACTTGGATTGTTTCCCAATCGTGTACGCTCCCACAATGGTTTTTGGTTTGATGAGGTTGTTTGTCTTTTGCTATACTGTCCCGTCTTCCGTAGTGTTACAGATTCAATATGCTGCGCAGAATCACATGCCGAAGCTTGGCTGCCAGAATCGTTCTGCTCGAACTCTCCAGTATCCGCGGACCCTGTGTTGATAACAGTCTGGAATAATAACGGAGTTGATGTCCGAAGAGGTTTCGGAATAAGAGAATCTGGACTTGATGGGCGCGAAGATGCTTCCGTGACGCAGTAGGCCTGATATGGACGCCTGAAAGGTATGTCGTATGAAAGGGGAATTGACTCGTTAGGCGCATCTTCAGGTATATTAGAGGGCATAAGATGGCTGCGGTCCATAAGTTGAGCGTTTCCTGGGAATCGAAGGATCGCACGAAGTAAAGTTTGCGAGTGAAGGGGGCAGCAGTGGTAAGTCGTTTAAAAAGAAGCGGTACTGTACGCCGAAATCCATTTGTATATGTTTGTCGTTAGAGACGCGTCGTCCCTTTGGTTGTTCCACCAAAGGTCGACATTCGGACTGTTAGCTATAACGTCATCGCACCAAGCACGCACTTCGTGATCGAGACAATACAACAAACGGTAGTGAGTGATGACCTTCTAGTCCGTGCACTGACCTTTAGATACCGACCACGGAGTAACACGAATGTGCACCTTTTCTCAGACCTTGCTCGAACAGCCAAGTGAAGCCCCCTCTGTACCCACTCTCTCTGATTCGTTTGAGGATCCACATTTCGAACATGCCAATTTTGTCGCCTTGGGTTCCTCTACCTTCGAAGAAGGCGAGAGCATCTTGATATCCGACCTGCCAGCCGTGTTCGTACTTTTCGTGCTCATAGTGACCGTTGGGATCCACACCGCTCCAATATGATACGTGCTGTTGGACATCCTCATGCATACGCCCGTCCTTTTCGTGTCTGGCCTTTTCGATCATTCCGTGCCTATCATCAGCGGATATTTTTGCATACTGGGGTGGTACAATGCTCCCGTCTTCTGTTTTAGCTTTGAAGCCCCACTCGCCGCCCGGCATCCAATCCATCTTCCAAGTCCAGAAGAAACTACCGCCAGCTCTCTGCTGATATCTTCTGCTCTGTGCTTGTCCAAACTGCTGTACGAGCTCTTCCTTAGGAACGCTGCCGCCCTTGGCCCAAGAGTCTTCAGTCATGACACAGGAGTACTCGCCAACAATGACTTGTACTGCACCACGATCGTGCACAGAGCCCTCTTTACCATCCAGCTGTCCTAACTTATTGCCAGCTTCCTCAGTAATTTGTTGTGGTGTCTTCGCTTTGTCCTCATCTGTGAAAGCCCAATAATAGTGCGTGTCAACCACGACTGGGCATTGCGGATGCGAGTATATAGAGTTCTTCTGCAAAGACCAATCGACCGCCTTCCCCAGGTTCCAGCCATCAGAGATGATGATAGGAATTCCGGGGTCGATATTGGATACAGCGGCTATACACTCGTCGTACCACTCATACATACGCTCCGATTCCCATTCAGCCTCGTTGACGAGCTGGAGACCGGCAATCTCAGCTCCAGCTCTGGTGTCTTCTGCAATAAACTGGCAGCAGCGAACGCCTAACGCGCGGTTAGAAGGGTTAGTCCATAGTTCAGCACGCCCACTGTTGGTGCCTGAGTGCTCCTGCGCGTTTGCGCCTCCTGGCAGCGCATGTAAATCGATCAGAACACCAATTGAGCGTGCGCGAAGACGTTGGATCAGGGTGCGGATACTGTTCCATGCTCCAGTGTAGATTTCAGCGTAGGGCTCGAAAGGTGTTCCCTGAGTGAAGACGGCGCCCGGGAGATCATAGTAACCGATGGGCAGGCGGACGGTTGTACACTTGGCCACGTTAGCAAGCCATCCGATGGCGTTGTCGTGCACAATGTTGGCCCAGTGCTCTTCAAACTTTTGTTTCGTCTCGGCCACCCCGATTCTATCTACCCAGGCCTGCACTGCAGCAAGCTCGCTTGATCCCTCGGCACCGTCAGGAAATCGAGAACCTTGGAGCCATCGCTCAATGACATAGACAGAGCCAAGGTTGGTACCATGGTGATAGCGATAGCGGAGAATATCCAGGGTTGTCGGATCGCTGATACCATATTGTTGACCATGGCCGTGGCCAAAGCCACCTTGCTGATGACCTGGGGGAAAGTGCTGTTGGTGTTGTGCTTGTGAATTTCCGCCAAAGTTAGAGTTGCTAGACTCGTCGCGTTGAGTGAAGCCTTTGAGCTCAGCCTTGGCTTTTTGAAGGAAGCCCTTCATCATTGAATAGGCTAGTCGGGTCAGTATACCAATGAGGGGATGCACCAATTGAGGAACACACAGACCGTTTTTGGAACGACTGACTCACGTAACGAGGTTCTAGTGAGGTCTTAGGTCCGGATGGATCCTTCGTTGTGATGATTGAGGATCGAAAGTGGAGTGAATAGATGGTCGGCTGTGCAGGTTAGTAGGTGTGGCTCAGCCATGGTGGAGCCGCGTAACGATGCATTTCCTTTTCTCTTATGATGACGTAAGACATGGAACTGGAGACCCGTAGGGAGGGCAAGTGCGTCCGGCATGCATGCAGGTGCGTGCACGAACTGTGGCTGCATCTTATCGTGTTATCTTATCTGTGGGCCAACTACCCAAGTTGCCTCGGAACTTCCACAAAACTGCGTGTGCTCGCGCTCGAGACGCGTCCTCTACAGTCACGGCATCTCGTTCACCATGGAACGAGGGAGAACTGGGTCAATTGACGCGTAAATCTATCACCTGGGCACTAGTTGGATGTATTGGTCGCGGTTTCCTTGTTAAGGTGAGAGAGCTTGCAGCAACGGCAACGAAGTAGGTTGTCATGATAGAGGGCCGCCAGTTTCCTTCGAAAGACCCAGCGTGTGTCTTTCCAATACGTCATTTCACGACGGTAAAGAGGGATTCCATAGAACTGGAAAAGAGAATAGAGTTGAGTACCTGTAAGCCATCCTAACTTTGTGCTGTGCTAGTCGAGGCGCCATCCCGCCTTCTCGCCAAGCTGGACCCTGACATGCCACCCAATCGCGTCGGCTAGCGCCTGTGATACGACTTCCCCAACCACGACGCGACTGCTCCCGCACCATCCTTTACAACTTCAACTGTGTTTTCACCTGTCTCTCTTGGAACTGAAAAGGAGCCAGAAAGACTCACACCTATTTTGTGACTACACTTCCATCCCATATCACAACAGCGCATTCCTGCGCGTCATTCGTCCCATCGTAACGCGTCACAACATCCGATAAGTTGCAGAGACAACATGAGCACCACAACACCGCAGAGACCAAACATGGCCTCTCAACATACTCCCTCCAAGACACCCTCGCGACGCGTACTTGGCGACCTCACCCCAAAAGCCATAAATACACCCTCTACCCCAAAGGCCTACGAAGCATCCGAAGTCACTCGAGCCCAAAGCCCACTGAAGCAAGTCACGACGCACACTCCAACCAACCCTGTCGGCAAAGAAAACCTCATGACTCCTCAGACCAATTCGAATAGCAAGAAGAGGGGCATAGAAGAGGTTGACAGTGCTGAGTCTGTCGAGAGTGTAAAGATGCTTGCTCGTGCCCGTGACGAAGGTCTTTCCAACACTGGCACGCCCCTCACCTCCGACGCTGTGCAGAAACACACGGTAGATAATACACCATACCTCACGCGTCTTCACGCCACTGACAATTCCAAGGAAAACAACCCCATCGGCCTCACAGACCCAGGATCACCCACCGAACGCGCCACACCAACACCATCGCCCGAACCAGAGCCTCTGCAAGCCTCGCAAAAAAGCAACCAGTCATTTTCTGACCTTCTCAACTATGATTTGTGTGCCAGCCAGAAGAGTGAACATGGAGAACGTGTAGCCATGCCGACGGCTGCCCCCACGTCAGCAGTCGCAGAAGGAAAGAGGAGGTCGCGTGCCGAACAATTGCGAACGCGCCTCAAGTTCGGATTGTATAAGATCAGGACGAACCAGGTCTCCAAGCGCGACGCGGATATCATCGGTCCTTACGAAGCCCGCGCCTCTTATTCATCAGACGCGCCCAACGCGTCGAGATCAACAGCCATGGCGTCTTCCGGCGAGTCTCTAGGCGCTTACCGCGTACCCAACATCACTGTATCATCCCCGCGACGCGACCAAGGGCCTGTTTTTGTGCAAGCGAATCTAGATCCTTTCCGTCCAATCAGTAAACTTGGTCCCGCACCGGTCCATTTCGCCATACCCCAAGGCAATACACCCGCATCATCGCGTATGGTACCTGGTTATGTACTTTCTTCCTCACCACCCGGACCTCACATGTCCAATTCTATAGCTCCTGATCAACTTTCCTCACCCATACGACCTAGGAATTACTACCAATCGCCCTCCGACTCTAGGATAGGAATGGGCGAACACGATGCGGAGCGCATCAACGTACGGGAAGAGGACCCACACTATAGACTCCAGAGACTCAAGCAACAGCAGTACAGCTTAGCTCGCAGTGTCGGCGGTGTAAAGGGTGATGCGGCAGAAGGCTTGCTACAGCTCATGCAAGACTCGCGGTAGATGATTCAGGTACAAGAACCAATGCATATTCATTCTCATTGATGTATTGGTGGCCATTGAAATCGTCAGACTACAGTGCATCCACTCCTTACGAAATCACGGTTCATGCAAATACTATTTCATTCTTTCATGTTGATGTTACGTGACGTGAACTTGTATGCGATAAGTGTTGGTTAGCTAAATCATGGCCAGGAGTAGCATGAGAAGTGCTGCTATGAAGAGTTGAATTTGATTTTGTTACGAAGCGCGGGTATCATTGTCTTGTGTTTCCGCAGGTGGGTCATCAGATTGTGACTCCTTCTCCTCATCTACAGGCTGCTCTTCCTCAACCACCTTCTCATCAACCTTGGTATTCTCTTCCGCCTTGACATCATCCTTCTGATCAGGGTACTGTCCAACACGCTCAAGAAGATCGTTTGCCGGTTCAACGTTCTCCTCGTCCGCAGCTTGAATCTCACTGGCCGACATATCCATCCTCTTCGTCTTGCGTTCGCTATTCTCATACCGCGGGCGGAGCTGCCTAGACACAGGCAGTGTTTGCGTACTTGCATCGGTGATCAAGTCTACCATACTGAAACACCTCTCAACGAAAGCCTTGACGGTGCTCTCATCGCGCAGTTCTGTATCGCCATGGCCGGTGTAATGTGCAGTGAGCGCGCCGCCCTTTGCGCCGAGCTTGCCAGACTGCACTGTGCTATAGGAGATATCTTCACCGAACAAGTTTCCAGCCACAGATTGCCGAAACTGGATACCGGAGAAGTAGTATGTGACATTGCACATTCCCTTTTCCTCGCTAGAAAACCCGGGTATAGTCCATTTGGGGATCTTGATGCGAAGGGGTGGCGCAGTGAGGCGGCCACCGCTCTCGATATTCTCTATCACAGCATCGGCCCAGGTCTGTACGTCCTCATCGTTGTGGTCCTTGACGTTGAAGTGCAGACTTGCACGGCGATAGAATCGTACATCTGATGCCTTATCTGGGAGCAGCACATCGTGGATGCGTTGCTGGAAACTGAGTGTCAGTTTGTGGAGAGTGGCTCTGGCGCCACTGCGACCCGTACGCATCTGTATGCTGAGACTAGGGAATAACTGGCCAGGCGCGTGGGAGAGATCAGGTCTAAACTCGTAGTGCAAAGATGGTGTTTGCAAGCGCGTGGTAGCTGAAAGATTGGGTGACGTGAAGAGACTATTCAAGCCTGAAATTGTTGGCAGGAAAGGTGACTGAGACGGTTGGGCGAGAGCAGCCTTCACTACTTGGTTAGGGTCTGCATTTTCCAAGGGAAACAACACCTGACCGAATTCGGCGGAGAGCTTGTATCTCGGTTCTGGAACCCAGTGACTTAATTCATGTGTAGGCAGTGCCACATCGGAGGCGGTTCGTAGTACAGTCGCCATAGTCCGGTTCACAAGACCATGAAGTGCCGTCTTTGGTGTCTTCGCCGGTTTCTTGGCCTGGAAATCGACGGATTCGGGCACCGTGAGGCGTACGATGGGCATCGAAAGGCGTCCTAGGTCCCGGCTACGGTACTTGTATTCCAAAGAGGTGTCTTCCGGAAGCACCGGCGATAGGAACACTGCACTGTCGGCAGTTCCCAGTTTCTGGGTGTCAAAGGTACGTGTAACGGGCTCCTTGAAAGGCAGGAACCGGATCAGTGTTCGTTTCGCTTCTTCTATGGAGTTCTTGTCGAAACCTCTGATCGTCAACTACAAGAATTAGCTACGTTCCGAACTTTCTACCAAGCTCGTGCATACCATGGTCTTGCCGACAGCCTCAATACTCGTACGAGTCAGCATCGAGACGACGTCAAAATCTTTCTGCGTAAAAAACAACGAGACCAGATTTGATTTGGGATCTAAAGTGACATCCGCATTGGCAATCTGACGCAAATAACTGGTCAGGTTCATCCGCTTCATTTCCGTGTGTTGAAAGGCTTCTTCAATATCATTGGCAGCGTACTCGGCCGTAGTTTTATCTGCTGTAATACGAAGAACGTCGTGCGCTTTGTATATATCGATTCTTGCTCGCCGGGTCCGTCGGATCTTTTCTAGCAGCGTCTCCTTTTCTACAGCCGTGTCAGCAGATTTCATGATGAGGTGTCCTAGCGTATGTACCACCAGCCCTGAGGAGCGTCAACTGCCATGGTTGTAAGGAAAGTTCAAGCTCTCCAGGCGACTCTATCTCTTCCAAGAGCACGAGGTTCCAAACGTCCCTCAGTATGCGGTCAACGAGCAGCTGTTTGCTAACATTCTTACGATAGCGCATGATTTTGACATGACGATCGACTCCAGGTAAGCGTTGAGTAATACTTGTAGTACCTGGCTGCCACTCAGAGCGCTCCACTGAATGCTCTTGGTCTCCTGGTTCCTGCTTTCGTTTTATGCTGTTTATCACTCCCTGGTTCACTTTCTCTTGCCGTATGTTCTTGGCAACCGAATAGAATGCTATTAACTGCTGTTGCGTAAAACCATTTATAAGCGTTTTCCTAAGCTTGGTAAAGGTAGTCTGCTTGACGTAATGCGGCTCGTTGAGACCGCCATCATTCTTCGGCCGCAAGGTCTCGATCTGCTCGTATATCTCTTCCGGCGTGACAGCTTTCCCTTCCTCCTGTAGCGAGGCAACAATGTCTGGGATTTGGGTAGGTTCGGAAGGTTCGATCGTTTCAGGCTCTTGGGTGGTTTCCTCTTGTGTTGGTTTTGCGATTTCTCTCAGAACCAGGATGTCGGCATCGTCGCCCAATCGCTTCACGCCCAAATTTGCCGAAGTTTCTCGTATGACTTTTCCCTTTCTCTTCTTTAGTCGATTCAGTGGCGTCACTTCTCTTGTGATCTTTAGCTTCGGTTGTTGCGCCTGTGACGGCACTGCCGGCTCCTCAGCATCATCGCGGCGGCGAGTAGATGCGGAAAATTTGGCGTGACAAGGTGGACGAGGAGAGGCAGGGAGCCGCCGTCGGACGATTTGCGCTTCACATCGGAGGCATACAAATGCACTGGAAGTACGGGGCGCAAGCATGAAGGAGGACGAAGCGGGGGAAAGGTGCAATGATGATGGCTGCAACGGGTGCGGAAAGTGCAATGCGTGCCTCAACTTTCGTGACCGCCTAATTCTGCCATCGCGCTTTCACGTGCAAGGCGCGTCATAGTGTGATGCATCACTTTATAGTTAGATATTAGTTATTGGAATTTGTGTCTATCGTGCTATCTTTTGGACCTTCAAGCTGGGCGACGCCAGCTAACCAGATCTTCCCGCAAATCAAACTCATCCACCTCGTGGTGCGGACGATGTCGTTTCCGCGCAGCCTCCGCCTTCATCTGCGATGCTTGTTGCTCCAAACTTCCTCTGCCCCGCACGTTGGGCGAGTGGTTTGAGTTCATGTCTCCAGGGCGCAACGTCTCGTGCGACTTGCGATGAGAGCTACTGCTACCGCGCATATGTCTGGGCTCGCTCTCGCTCACGGAGCTGCTGCTATCACCTGCTGCGAACCGCAGGGGCTGAGCTCGTGGCTGCTGCGAGTATGGCTTCTCGCGATCTCCCCATCCATCCCCGCCGGCAAATATGTCCTCGATGCATTCATCGGCTTTGAGCTCACCGGGTTGTGCGGACCAGTATGCAGCGAGGGTGCGTCGGTACATGTCTTGAAGTTCGCCAGCTTCGCGTGATTTGCTCGTCAAGGAGGGCGCAACTGCGCATGTCAGTACAAGCTTGGGATATAGTCGAGCGTGCCTTACCTCCATGATCCTCGAGCTCTGCCTGCTCTCCCGCCATGATACCAGCAATGCCGCTGAAGACTTGCGCAGTCTTCAAGGCCGGCGCAATGAAGTTCTTATCCCCTTCCGTCTGCTTCATGTATATCCCAAGCTTGAGCGTGCTATTGATCTTGCTGTCTTGCATAAGGTACCGCCTCGTTACGCCTGGCTCCTCGCCTGCCATGGCCACCATCTCGCTTTGCTCCACGTACTCGGCAAGGTTGAGCTTGACAGTCCCCAATGTGATACGTTCGCCTCTTCCTGATCCTCTGCCATATTCCTGTACGACCTCGAATTCGACACAACACTCCTGTAGCATGCCATTTTTGTCGACGGTGAGGCGGACGGGGAGAGTGACGTCGTAGTTGTAGGCGACTTTGTGGTCCTTTACTTGGCAGCTATCTGTGCGACCGCGATGGTCGGCGGCCGTCGAGTGCGAAAGGTGCCATTTTATAAATGATGTGCCGGAAACGAGTGGTACGTTGTTAAGGTCGATTATCTGGCGTTGTCAGTATATCGTCGCACGTCTTTGGATGGATAGCTCACTCGTAGGTGTAGATCAAATTTTGGCTGCGCAAATGTCAGCCCATGCAGCTTTGGTGTACGGACTCTGTCTTACTCGTCGGTTTTTGGGTACTGCAATCGTGAGTGTTTGAGTCGCAAATGCGACGGTGCGGCGCATGGCCATTGCTCACCAAACGCTTGCATGTTGAGGAAAGAAGACTAAGAACAAGGCGGTCCGTGGAGGTGAAGCAAGCCCGGGTCTTACTCGTACTGAGCCTGTGACAGGGTTCTTTGTGATTGAGTAGCAGGAGCGTTGCGTTGCGACTGCGAAGGTAACAATGGACCCCGGCCTGCCTGGCTCCCCCCCGGATCTTCCGAGCCCTAACTCCGCCCTCTCTCTTTCACCCACCACTTGAGTCTCACTGCCATGCCCGCAGATGCAAATGCCATCGCAGACTGTGTGCTACGCGCCTTTGCTCAGCTACCTGAAAAGAGGAAGCCGAGACCCCGCCACGATGGCGCGAGGGAATGGGTACCCCTCGCCGGAATCGTCTTATCTAAAGGTAATCGCTCACTTGCATCCGGAAGGAGCGTTATTTGCTTATGCTCATGACTTAGTGAAGGCGATAGCCTGTCATGTGTGTCTTTAGGGTGAGCCATTTCCATCAGCCGACCTCCAAGGGTGCTTCTCAAAAACGGATATCGTGTAGTCCAGTAGTTCACCGGGTGAAATATCAGCCGCACAGTTCAGACAACAGGACCGAAATGCTTCGCTGTGTAAGCGAAGCTCCCGAGCGGGATTGGTTCGATCGCATTTGGAAAAGCTAGCTATTGCATGGAATCTACTCATAGAGAAGATTATAGACTATGTACATCCACTGAACCATTTCCAGCACTGGCATGAAATGTCTCCCCTCCAACAAAATACCCCTCGCACACGGCAACATCCTCCACGACTGGCACGCCGAAGTCACCGCCATCCGAGCCTTCAATCGCTACCTCCTAGACGAATGCAGTCTCATCTCAACGCCACCGTATCCAACATCCGACTTTCTTCGACACCTATCACCTGACGAACACACCAAAGACCTACAACAGCCGTTTACTATCCGAGAAGATGTATTCATCCACATGTACTGCTCCGAAGCTCCTTGTGGAGACGCAAGCATGGAGCTCACTATGGCTGCCCAGGAAGATGCAACGCCATGGACCAGTGCGCCGCCCACTCTTTCCTCTACATTGGATCCAGTTGCTCAAGCAGACACTTCAGCACTTCGAGGTCGATCCAACTTCTCTCTTTTGGGCGTCGTCCGCGCGAAACCTTCACGGCCTGATGCGCCACCTACGCTGAGCAAATCCTGCACAGACAAACTGGCCATAAAACAAGCCACCTCCTTGCTTTCATCCACGGCATCCCTATTGATCAATCCTCAAAACGCTTACTTGGAGACCCTGGTGCTTCCAGACTCCCAGTACATATCACAAGCATGCGAGCGCGCCTTCTCTTCGTCCGGCCGCCTCAGGTATCTTGACTTCAAAGAGTGGAAAGGCGGTTATCGTTTCCAGCCCTTTACTATCCTTCCCACAGATAGGGAGTTTACTTGGTCGCGCCGCGCACTGTCTGCTACTGAGAAAGCGGTACCTAGTAACATATCCGCGGTGTGGACACCGAGTTGGCAGGAGACTTTGATTGGTGGTGTAATGCAGGGCCGGAAGCAGATGGACCCTCGAGGAGCAAGTAAGATATGCCGAAGGGGACTGTGGATGGAAGCTTTACGTTTAGCAGGGTTTCTGGGTGGAACGGCGGTGATGGGCGAGGCACTCCGTAAGAGGAAGTATGCAGAGATGAAAGGATCTGATGAGCTCCACGAGAGAATCAAGGTTAAACAAGACATACGCAATGCCTTGAAAGGATGGGTAAGAAACACCGGGGACGACGGCTTCTCTATTGAACCCCCGCCATCAACATCGTAGACTTGCATTCTTGGGTATTGAATCCACTTCAAACATCTCTGATCCCATCTTTCCCCTCGCGAAACGTACCCCACGCTCCACTCCTCCCTCCCCACCGATCACTCACTACCTCCAACACCCCCACCATCTCAACACCTCTCTTCTTCCCCGACCCCCCAGAATCACTGTAGTGGACTCTCGCATCCATTTTTCGTCTTGGTATCCGACTTACTAACACCTCCATATCCGTATATCGTCCTAGTAAATGCATCAAACTAGGTACGACATCATTGCTCACAAAGACCGAAAGTGGAGGAGGCGGCTCTCGGCTCTGTTGCTGAGGCAGAGGGCCTAATTGATTCTGTGGTAGAGAGCGTTTTGGCGAGGAAGCGCGGGGAGGATGAGCTGGGTTCACGAGGAATGTGTGGAGTGAATGGGACTTTGTTAGATCTGTGAGGGTTGTAAGGAAAGTAGTCGCTATAGTGTTTGCTGGGAACTAGTCAGTACATGTTGTTACAGGTGGAGATAGGATTTTAGAGGAGGATACCTTGAATGTAATCTTTCTTCAATAAAGGGTGGAAGACCTGAGCGATGTTGTCGATTAGTATGAGTTTGGTTTGGCCTCGTTCTGCTTCTGCGCGCGTAGTTTCTGTCGTTTTCATTGGCGTTGGGTGCTGCGCCTGCCCTGGCTCTGGGTCTTGTACGGGCTGTGCTGCTGCGGTCATGGTAACTTCTGAATCGAATAGCATCTCCTCGTCTTCTTCCTCATCCTCGCTATCTGCGACATATGTCCGCTTCGTCTTCACCCTCTCGGTTGGTGGCTGGTCTTCCGCAGCTTGCTCAGTTGGTACATCTTCTTGCCTCTCCGCAGTCCGTAGAATGGGTTCCACGACCTTCTTGCCTTCAATCTCATCCCGAATCTCACCAACCGCTTCTCTCACACCAACGAAATCGAAGACCCTCATAAGCTTGACACGGTCAAGGATCATAGCTGCCAGATCCTCAGTCGAAGCTCCAGGTCCCAGATTAGATGAAGAGCGCAATGAAGCTGTGAAATCTGGCTGTCGAGACAGTTGCGCAACGATGATCGTATAAAGTCGTAGGACATCGAAGTTACCTGTCGTATCAACAACAGCAGCCGTCGAGGTCTCATATCGGAGCAGAGAGTTGACAAGCAGTGTACAGCAGATCTTAACATGTTAGAATATAGTTGTTGCGTTTCCACAATCCTCTGCCATGTAATGTTGGATGACAGTGACATTCGATTTACTCACCTCACTCGCACCAGCTCCAACTTCTCCACTGACCTCTACGACCCTGCCACTCTGTAACTCGCCACCGAGTGCATCGTCCAAGCTCTTGACTCCAGTCTGCAGTTGTTCCTTCTCACTCTTTTCTTTCGTTCCAAGAGTGACGTTGCACACGCTCTCTAGCAGCTCATCGAGGTCTTCATCGTCGATCAAGTGGGATGCAAGTAGTGGCTCTGCGGGTCTTGCGGTCGCACTCAGCTCATTTGAAGAGATGTCAACGGCGGCCATGTTGCTATTCCATGCATGGTTGTGAGATGAGTTCAAGGCCAATCGGAACCAGGTTCGGAAAGGGAAGCGCTAGCGCCATATGGAAGGAGAAGGTGCAACCTTTGTGGGGTCATACTAGAACTTACATCTCGACCGAATTTGACGAGCGCATAATCCATGAGAAACGTAACGTGACTATAAGCTTTGCATGCGTGTTGTGGGTTGTAAAGATTCTCCGATGCTCGACACTATATTCCGCTTCCATTCGCCCAATCACAGATACTTACACAATAGATCATTAGAGCACCCTCTCTCACTCAGATTCTGATACTACAGATAATCACGGAGCCCACACTATCTCCACCACTTGCTCAACCCAACACCGAGGCATCAATTAGCGTCTACCAATCTAACCTGACGACTACCTAACACCCTAGCCGATACTAGACAGACATCTCTTAGGATTGTGGCGCCGAAGATCATACTGGGGAGATACGATGGTGACTTACGATCCCAAAGGTCCGTTGTCGATCTTAGTGCTGGTCGGGTGCGGCTGAGAAGCATGTCGGCGATACAAGTCATGTGCCAGGGGCAGCAGCGGCACTCAGGTCCGCACATCGAAGATTGGATAGTGGGTTGAGTGGGGGTTTGGGCGACAGGAACGCGTCAAGGACGATCCCAGTGGAACAGCTGCATTGCCCCTGAACATCGAGCGGGTCTGAATGACGATCAAAGGGGGCAAATCAACGGCCTCACCTACATGTCTGATTTGCTTCTGAAGCAACGTCGGCTAAGATAGCAGATACGGTAAAGCACAACTGTCTGATCTTTACAAAATTTGATTCAAGCTACAGATTTGCACTCCTCGCATCCCCCAAGTGTCGCAAGTTTGTTTGTAAAAGCTAAACAAAGTAGTCCAATTTCTTCGCATTAGAAAAAAGTGTCTTGATTGAAAAATTGAAGATTGAAGTAAAGCCTCCATTTAGCATTTTTAAGCGCCCTGATTTCTGTTACATATGAGTGGTATCCAGACCTCATGCTTTCAAGTCCCAACTACTCCGGCGCCAGATGAAAGGAAAGTGTATGTCCCGAAGGAATGTGTTGGACGATAAGAGAAATAGGCGCTGTTAGCGGCCATCGCTATAGCACTATGCACGTCGTGTCTTTTGGTGTTTCGAAGTAGTTCTGAGACGCTCAGAGGTGTGATGGATAAAGTTGTCGATTCGATTTTACCATGCCTATGCACTCTCAAGCAGGGCGTCGGCGTCCACCCTTCAAGGACTTGACCCGGTTAAGGAATCCACCGCTGGGCTTCCCCTCGCCTGTAGGAGATCCTACACTGTCTGTGGTGATGGATCGTTGCAGCGCGGCGCCTCGGGGTGGTGAATACCCGCTCTCGTTAGTCTTGATAGCTGCGCCCTTGGCGTCATAGGCCTTGTCGTAGTCGTCGCTGAAGAACGGGTTTTGCTCTGTGGCCTTGGTCTGCGAAATGGCTCCAGCGCTATAAGGGCCACTTGGGCTGGTGGCAGATCCGTAACGTGCCTCAGGCGAGGTGATGCGAGGGCCGTCACCGTAACGTCGGGGCTGAGAGATGCCACGGAATCGCTGAGCGATGGACTTCTTGCGGCCTAAACCATTTTCAGCCAGCTGCTTCTGCCTCTGAGCATCAGACTCCTCCTGAATCGCTTTGCGGGATGCTGGAGCACCCTCGAGGAAGGTGGAAGTTCCAAGACCGTGGGTCTGCTCGCCATGCACAATGTCTTCTCGGCCCTTTGCGCTGAATTCTGTGGCCACGGGGGCAGGCTTCTTCCACTCGGTTTCGGCACCGGCAAAGTCGGTGAAGCCCTCGGCACCTCTGCCATGGATTCTGTCCAAATCAATCTTGTTGTTTAGCGGTCCAGAGCCACCCAGTGTGTTGTTGGCTGAACCGACGGGGAAGGCATGCATGGGGGCGCGCTGATCCTTCTTACGGTTGCGGTGCGGCTGTACAGCGTCGTACGGTCCATCGTGGTGGATCATGCTAGGTCCGTAAATGCCGGTCACATCGAGTTTGTCGATGAGGTCAAGACCTTGCGGCCTACGAACACGCTTTCCATTCTTGTCTTTGCCATCTTTGCCATCTTTGGCACGCTCTTCACGCTCCTTGCGACGCTCCCTGCGCCTGCGCTCCTCATGCGGATCCAGCGAGCCCCTGTCGATGATGGAGGATTCAGAGTTGCGTCGGGGACGGCGGTTCTCACGGCGTTCGGGGCTGCTCAGGTGGGGAGGGCGCGAAGAAGTGGGCGGACCTCGTGGTCGAGAGCCGCCGCGAGAAGCTTCACGCATGCGCTCAGCGCGCCTCTCCTCTTCGGAGCGGGATGGGCGATGGCCTGCACGGGGGTCGGTGCCGCTTCGGGAAGGGGCCGGTCGTGGTGGGGGAGCTCGCTTCTTGTCGCTGTCATCAATGGTGAGGTTGGCCTGGGAAAGGGCAGGATAGTCAGCAAACTGCGTCACAAAGCGCCTGAAGCGGTCCATGTTTGACGGCTCAATGGTGGCTAGGAATCATAGCGAATTTGACTATGGGGTGCAAAGTATGTGGCCTGTACGACATGACGGCGTTGGCAGCCGTCACGTCACGAGCGATTGGCGTGCAAGGGGAGGTGAACGTACAAAGAGCTCTTCGGCGGCAAAGCCAAAGGTGGATTTCTTGGGAGAGTCCTTCATGGTGGCCGACATGTCAACGAGGTCTCGGGATGCCTCCTTGTTAAATTCGGCCTCGAAGGTAGATATAAAGGGATTGCGCGACATTGGTCTGCTGCCCGAGCTCGAGCGGTTGGCACTGGCGGGCGAGGGGAAGGCGGGTGAGGCAGCTCTGCGGAAGGGGTTGTTGGAGGAGAGGTTGAGCTGCAGGCCTGGCGAGGGTCGCCTCTCTGTAGATAAGCAATATGATCAGCGGCGCGTCCTATTTCGTCACAGGCAGCGTGTCGGTGAAACAGGCCATTTCAGGAGCCTTACCTGGCATTGACGGCTCTGCAAACATGATGCCGTCCGCTGCTCACAACCCTGTTGGGCGGCCCAATCAAACACTGGCGCCGCGGGAGACGACAGGCGTGCTTTGTGCAAGTGCTGGCTGGTGACGCACTGGGGACAATCCTGTTCCGGCGCACCTCGCGTAGAGCAGAAGCAGCAAAAGGGGCGGGAGCGGGTTTTTCTAAGACTGGCTGTGGTACTGATGCTCTCTGCTGTGTTTCGCGCTGAGGATAGACGGGCCCTGTTGGCGGGCAGACGACAGGCGGGCGGGGCGCGTGTTTGAGGCCCGTTAGTAGTCTATGCAACGCCTAGTGGATACAAGACAGCAATGCGCGGGGGTGGTCGTGGTGGTGAGGGTGAGGTGGTGAGGAGGAGAAGGAAAGCAAAAAGCAGGCGGTGGTGCAGACGGCAGAGGATTAGTTGGTAGGAGGCAGGAGGCAGGAGGCAGGAGGTAGTAGCAGTAGTAGGAGTGCTAGAGCTATAGACCGTCGAGAGCAAGAGCGGCCTCGCTAGGGCTTTTAGAGGGATTAGAGGCAGAGCTTAGCTGGGCCTCGTGTTTACCGCAAGACCGTGGGTGCGTAGTTCCGTGGCGCCGTCCGGCTGTGATTCGAGCGCCGGATCACGAGCTTCCTAAACAGCAGCCACTTTGGCCGGAAAAGACTGTCTAGACGGTAAATCAGGGTGCTAATCCGCTGTGCCTGTGGGGTCGAGGTCCGAGCTACGCTGCACGGCAACGCAGGGGACATTAAACCTCTGGATATGCAATTACTGTTTGGCTGAATCGCAGCCTCTACCATGGCGTTTGATCGCATCTAGTGCTTTACCAGCTCCGATGCACGCCGATTGAAACCTCGTCAACCAATGTCGAAACACGACCTTTTCTTTGACATGGCCGCAAACTTGACTCCATCACTCCGCACAAGCTCATCAACCCTGCCGTCCCTGCACCTGTTTGTGCAAGTGCGTGATCCTTAGCCCGCCTCACATACCCAACTGGATTAGCTGCCGACTCTGCGCAACCTGGAAATTGCGGGGAAGACCCTGAACTGCTTTTCTTCAGCCTCAGCGTGACCTGCAAGCGCCGCTCCCATCGCGACTATTCACCGTCAGCTGTCAAACTCGCCAGCCATGGATCACGAGACAACCCAACATGTCCCGGGCGTGGGAGGCTACTCGCGCTTTGAGCTCGAGCTCGAGGTCCGCAATTCTCCTATACTGCCTCGTCATTAGCCCCTGTTTGACCTTCATTAACACACGCCTAGTTTGTCCAGTGCCTTGCCAATCCCGTCTATCTCAACTACCTGGCCCAGCAGAAGACGCTCGACAAGCCCGAATTCGTCGCCTACCTCGGCTACCTGCAGTACTTCAAAGACCCAAAGTACATCAAATTCCTACAGTACGTCCACGGCCCATTTCACCGCCTGCTTACTGATCGCGTCGCTACAGTCACCCTGGCCCCACGCTGCGTGCGCTAGAATTGCTGCAGCAAGAGCGTTTCCGACAGGACATTCTAGCCCCAGGTCTCATGGACAGACTCGTCATAGAGGGCCAGCGCAACGCAGTTCCAGCCAAGAAGGACTGAGTCGCAACATCAACGAGGTTTGCTTGCACGTGGCTCGGTAAAGCCATTGACGATCACCGTGAGCTGAGCAGCACGCGGCAAGCTTGGTTCAATAGACTCGAGCTCGTTCCATCACTCGCGCTCGCACCCACACACGTAGTTTGTGCCACAGGTGCATGCCACTTCCCGCGAGTCGCCAATTGGCATTCAGCCTAAGATGCTGCATCGTGAACTTAATCCTTCTGTTCCCGTTCTTAGCGAACGTAGTGTGGAGATACAATTAGAAAGTCACTACGCACTAGGTTATTGGATATGTTAGACGCTATCGTCCGATGTTACACTGTACCTTTGTCGTGTCCGTATCATGCTGTTACAGTGACGTCGTGATCTATTATCGTTCCCTCTAGCAATCAGATGCAAGAGACAACGGACCCTGACCCCTGACCCTGACTGACCCAACGACGCGTCTACAAGCGCCATCTTGGCCGACACGTCCGATGCACTCCCATGCGCACTTGTCGAGGTTCCATGGTTGACGGGCCCATGCACCACGTGACGCGTCGGTCGGCTTGAGTTGCCCCGCAGCGCGCTAGGTATTGCATCACGGCGCAGAAGCTACCAACAGGGTGCTTTGAATTGCCGACACAGTACTCACACTCTTCTTTGTAATATCCCACTATGCGCTCCGTATCTGAAGCTGAGTGAGTGACGCTTGCACGTGTACCCAGTCTCAGTTCTAACGTGGCCCAGGAAGCACTGGCGGCAGCTCGACGACTTCCACTCCCTGACCGACCTGAAGATTCACGTGTCCGCGCACAAGGAACCCCAGATCACCGCAGGACTCCGGTCCGTTTGTTGGAAGGTGCAATCCGACGTGCCCCTCTTCCCCTCCATCGCTCACGGCAAGACTAGATCTTCCTCGTCTTCAAGACGCTTGACCGCTCGTCATGGCCTACCCACCTCAGCCATTCGCGCAAGACATACGAGTCTCTGCGGTCACACTACCTCCGCGCCATACAGAACCCAGATGAATTCGAGTCTTCCGTCGACCCATTGAGCGAGCTATCAGAGGTGTGTGCACCCACAACCGGCCACCGCCATCAGACATGTCGCTTATTGACAAGTACTAAGCGTTGAAAGTCACCATGGATAGCCCTCCGCGCCGACGAAGAACTCCGCGCCGAAATCTTCCAAGATATCGAACGATGTATGCCAGACAACGTATACTTCCGCCAGCCTGCCACTCAGAACATGATGTTGGACATATTGTTTGTGTGGTGCAAGATGCATCCCGACATAGCATACCGCCAGGGCATGCACGAGATACTTGCGCCCTTGCTGTGGGTTGTGGAAAGAGATGCCATAGACGCGGCCGACCAGAACACTGGTGCAATGGATCACACTCTAGCCGAGATGCTGGACTCTGAGTACATTGAGCACGACACGCACATGCTATTCTCCATCATTATGCAAACGGCCAAATCCTTCTACGCGCCAGCTGAAACCGGTTCTACAACCAAGGATACACCAATGCTTGTACGAAGTTCCAGGATATTCGAAGCCAGCTTACCCCAGGTGGACCCAGAACTCCATGCTCACCTGGTCAAGCTTGAAATTGTGCCTCAGATATTCCTTCTGTAAGTTATCGCATGCACGTGTATTAGACTCCTCTAACACACAGTAGACGCTGGATACGTCTTCTGTTTGGACGTGAGTTCTCTCTCGACGCTGTCTTCGACATGTGGGACGCCCTGTTCGCGATAGACTCTACGCTAGAGCTCGTCGACATGATTTCAATAGCTATGCTGTTGCGCATACGGTGGGAGCTGATGGCAGCTGACACAAATGAAGCCTTTGCACTTCTGCTGAGATATCCTGAGCCAGCTACACCCCCATACACATTCATCAAGGACGCGCTGTACCTTCGCGATCACCTTACTCCACTCGGTGGCGCAGAGATCATCACACGATATGGCAAGCAAGCACCTGTTATTGAACCTGGGTCAAAATCGAACGCCCGCGAACCGTCACCGTCGCCTTCATTTGTCTCTAGCCGAACGCGGCACAGCATAGGATCACCAAGGAGTTTTGTGACCCAACAAGGCGCTGGCTTTGAGGCACTGATACAAGGTGCTGCGAAAAACGTGCTGGACCGCGGATCACAGTGGGGTGTAGGCAAAGCTCTACGAGATGCAGTGGGTGAAGTGAGGAAGAACGTCGAAGCTTACCAGTCAGCGACAAACTCCGGGCAGTCGACACCGCGCTCTGGAGGGAGAGAGTTCCGGAAGCCTGGTCAACTAGGTACACCCGCTGCTAACGGACGGCCAACCCTTGAAAGGGTACATTCAGCAAACACCTTCAAGAAGATAGAAGAGCTGGATCGCAGGAACAAGAGCTTAGCCAAAATGTTGGCAGTTGCTGTTGGCGACTTATGGGAATACCACAGGGAGCGTGACGAGGCGCAAAAGGCAAAAGAAAATGACGAAAAGGGGAAGGAGGCAATGGAAGCCCTCAGCCTTGCGATTGCAAAAGTGCAGTTTGTACAAGTGTATCTCGATGATTCTTCATTACCACTTCCCATCGACGAAGCAACGGAACAAGTTTCGACTGCACAAGCCGCCATCAGTTTGGCTTCTCCGACTCCTCAGTCTCCGGTGTCGTCGGGGCAAGCCTCTAGTGTTCCACCTATCTCCTTGAGCACAACATCTCAGTCGACCACTGCATTAACGACTACTTCCAAGAATCCTACCCCCCTGAGCTCCCGTCCGACATCACCGCCCACCCGCACGTTGTCACCCCCGTCGAAGCTTGCCTCAACTCTATCTCCTCCGTCACGTCCGCATCTCACATCCTCGAACTTCTCCTGGATGCTCGGTGAAGACTCAGCTTCCTCAAACTTTGCCTCCGGTGCCGCTCACTCGACCTTCTCCTCTGACGAGAAAAGACGCATGAAGGGCAAAGGCTTCCTGTTTGGAGACGACGAGGATGATGAGGGTAGTGTCAAGGATGGAAAGAAAGGGAATGTCAACAATAAAGGTGGAGCTAAGGGTAGCAAAAGCGCGAAGGGGAAGCACACCGTAGAAAATGAGGTAGAAGAGGAGGTGATCGATCTTGCCAATATGGGGAGAAGAGGCGTGATCTGAACGTAACCTGGACATCGATTCCCACTGCCACAGCCGCATGGGCAACCTTGAAGGCTGCGCAAAAGCTTCGGTTTCCAATGATATGTCTGGCCGCTTATGTTGGGTTTCAACAATACGGCTATTGTATCCTGTCTGATCTTCGCCAGGCATGGGAACATAACGCAACATCCTCGCCGGCATAAAAGACAGTACGCAAGACTACAATAGCGCAATGACGTCGAATCCCAATGTCCCAGGATATCTACAGCGTGTTCACACAAGCCGGTGGCACATGCACCGCCCACGCCCCACCCGGCAAGCTCACACACTAGCTCCCACATAACTTGCTCAAATCAGGTTACATACTTGCGCCAACACCTTATCCAGCCGCTCGATTCGCCACCACAGCCACTACCTACATTATCTTCTTCCCATGATTCGCCGATGACCCGCCTAAATAGCAGACAGGGAAAAGCGCCCGTGCCATAGCGTACGATCTATTGGCAAGTGCGGCTATCGGTGTCGCATCTTTCGTTCCGGAAGTGGTATGTCACCGAGCCCTGGGATATAAAAGGCCTGCCCCGCTTCTGCCCCTCCAGCTGCTTCTCTCTCCAGCAAACGATCAAAGTAACAAGACGACACCACTCTTTCAACTACATAACCAAACTTCCAACCTCTTCCAACACATATCAAAATGAAGGGCGGTTGCGGAAACTCTGGATGCACTTGCGCCGACTGCGGCTGCGCGCCGGGAGCTTGCAACTGCAACTGTACGTTGCTTTACCCCTCTTCTAGACCAGCCATTGTGGCGCATCAGCTGCATACCTCGCATCGAATTCTGTTACTAACAAACGGTGTATAGAAATCCATTCTCTTGACAACCATCTTCACCATGCGGCACGACGGCTTTCGATTCGACGCCTGTCCTTAACACCTAACGATTTCACCCTGAAGCACGACACAAGCAACCGTAACGGTATCGACTATCACACTATCATTGAAAAAGAACAAGGCATGGTCTGGAATACAGGATGCAGATATGAGTACACAATGAAAACACATGGCTTTGGCAGAATCTACCCAACCCATATGCATGCATACGTACCGTGATGCTCACGCGACGAGTAACGATGCTAATCTGTGATGACAACAATATGACCAGTCTGACACCTGAGTAACCTCACGCAAGACTGTTCGCTTCTCCAGCTTTTCCCTTAGCATCGATCCCAGCTATACGTTTTTGCCCCGAGTTTGCCCTACACCCTTCCCTCCATACAACTTGATCCTCGTCGCTTTACGCGGCGCCTGTTGTGACGTTTCCCTCCATCACATGCGAAGCACGTAAATTGCCAAGAGGAGAGGATTTGAGAAGGTTATGCAGTACACCTGCGCCCCACACTTCTGATTGGATTTGGGCGCGTGGAGGAACGATGCAGTGGGGTGTAATTGAGTGGAAGGAAAGAAGGAAGGAAGCTGGAAGCTGGTAGAGTAAAACATTCTTCACGCAACTTCTTCTTCTTCTTCTTCTTCTTCTTCTTCTTCTTCTTCTTCTTCTTCTTCTGTAGAAGAACAAGATAAGGGGAAGCTGGTGGTGAGTTTGATAGACACTGTGGACGAGGTTGTTTAGTATGGTGTGGAATGATGCATTTATTTTGTATAATTCTGTTGGAGAGCATCATCGTAGATATACGGGATACGTAGGCTTTTCTGTGAGACCAAAGGGTGTTGGTTGCATGCCTCGTCCTTGATTGGTCTGAGTGTATTCCTGTAGTGCTGACGTAGGACTCTATCTCTGAGCATGTGAGCAATTTACCACATTCCGAAATTGATGCCATGTCATGGCTTGCTTCAACGCATGCGTGGAGGATTCATCAGAAGAATTGGATCATAGGTCACGGGCTTCGCAAATGTACAAGAACTTGTTGTTCCAGAAATGGACATGTATGTCTTAAGTATAAAAAAAGACGTAACGCAACGACATGGGTATCACTATAAACACTACAAACAATTCAATGTTAGACAAGCACAAAAGTTCGATGTAACGGCATCTGAACGCCGCATGCCTCGAAGCTAAGAAGTGAGTGAGGATTCCACGCCTAACAGAAGCTCAACTCGTCTTCACTGCCGCCATCACTATCTGCTACTATGCCCTGGCTTGTCTTCCACCACTGCTTGTGTGGTTGCATAGCCTGACGTACGCTTGTTCGTTTGCGCGGTCGAGGGTGAGGACGAGCTGGCGTCTTACCGAGCTCGTCGTCTTCGTCACTGTCATCGTCGTCGTGATCTATAGGGGTGATCGAGTGGGAGCGATGTGTGCGGGTTCGCTTCGATGGGAGGGCTCTGGTTTGAACAACCTTAGGGCGTACATCCTCCACCGACACAGATGAGTCGTCCGAATCGTCTTGCGAGGTGCTGGAAATTTCAGCGTCGCTATCGTTCACCTCAAGCGTTGGCTCCACATAGACGGGTCTCTTAAGGTCGCGCAGTCCATTCTCGAGTGAGGCCCTGGAGCGTAGTGTGTGTGATCGAAAGGTAGATGCTCTCGACTCCTGTCGTGGGCGCCTGAATCGCCTCGAATCGTCTTGCTTCTCTTCAGGGAGCTCAGAGTAGTACGTGAACGGTGGAGTATCCGGAGGCGTTATATGTGTCCGTTTCGTAGGTATGACGACCTTTGGTGATGGCGCGCGAGTTCGTTTCCCGAGCGAAGACGTGGAGGTCCGCGATCGCTTCTTGATAGGCGATGACTGTGGGACTTGGTTGTCGTCGTAGTCCAAGACTGCGGCTTCCCACATCGGCGTGCCTGGTATACTAACTGGAAGACCATCGTCAATATCAGATGCTTCTGTCTTATCGTCTTCTGACTGCACAGGGGTTGGTAGGAGTTCCAGCGCTCGAACTGGCTTTCTTGCCGAGCAATTGATGTTCTGCCTGATAAACGGCGTGCAAGTGACCCATTCACCGATGCCCTCCTCCCATCTAAAGCCACTACTGGTATCAGGCGATTCGTTCTTTTGTGGTGATTGCATAATCACTAGGCGACCTTCGGTCTGCATTGTCTCCTCGATATTACGTACGTAGGTCATATGCTCAGCATCACCAGTGCCATGAGCAAACTCTCTCGCTGATTCCAAGGCCAATCGCTTTAGCGTCCATAGTCTGTGGGGTAGTCTCCAACCAGAGCTCGCCACCAGTGCTGTGGTAAATCGCTGTAGTTGGTCAAAGCCATCATCCTTCCATATACGCCCCGTTCCGCGTGCGGTGGATGAGATTAAAGATGGCAGAGTTGCGAATATCGATGCAAGGTTGATATTGTTCGATGAATACTGGGCGGTTACCCAATCAACCAGTTTGATGGACGTGGAGGAACTGAGCCATAATATCCCTGAGTATTCGCGACCTTCAAGGTGTACCAAAAATGATGCAAAATTTATCCAGATAGCTCGCTGAGCCATAACTTGAACATCATCTGTGTCCGCTCCAAGGAGCCTAAGCTCATCCTGAATGTCTTCACGGGTAGATATAGTTATGACAACTGCATCTAGTACCCATGTTATTCGCCGTACGATATCTTGCCCTGCAGTATCATCGCGGTTGCTGTTGACCAATGCAATACTACACAGCACTGTGAGCAGACTCGAAAAGGTAGTATCAAGCGCATGTCGAAGCTGCTTTCGAGAAGATAGTACGAATCGCCGTGATATGGAGCCAGATACTTCGTCTTCCAATAGTCGCGCATCTGGTAGCCCCATGCTTGCGATTGTGACCGTCTCAAAGAATTGGTAAGCGCTTCGGAGCGTCCGATGGTCATTTTCGGTTATCGTTCGAACAAGTCGATCCCACACCGGGCGCATAGAGTCAGTCGCAAGCCACTCGAGAGGCAGAAGTTCGAGCGCAACCATGTGTTCTAGAAGATCGTAGAGCAAGCGATAACGCCCCGTATGGCGAACAAAGTTATTAACTGAATAGAGATAGAGTGATCTTTGATGATCGAACAGATCCGCCCGCGTATTGATAGGTATTGATAAGGGCTCTGTGAGGGGAGCATATGCTAGTAACAATCTCTCTGCTTCATCCCATGCAGAAGCGTTCAAGCAATGCGTGACAAGGATCAGCGCGTTGTCCAGAGCAAGAACCTCATCTGTGATAGCGTCGCATATCAACGTCGTGGCATGCGCTCGGACAACACATTTGAAAGGACGCCAGCCCTGACCATGCTCGTGTTCGAACCGTGTCTCCAAATGTTCGTATATCTCGTTCGCGATATCCCAGCCCTTCTCTTCCCCGTCTTCCTCGAGCAGGTCTAGCTTCGCAAAGTGCTCCTCCAACTCAATGTACGCTGGCAACTTTCTCAAGCAAGCGCCCATGAGCGACCTTGTGCCCTTCCACTTGGCTTGGCCACTCGTTGTAGTTGATTGTAGGATGTTCGCATACGCTTCGGATAGTCCTTGTGTGAGTTTGCGGATCTCACTAGGCACATGTATGGCAGGTGGATTCAGAGGAGCCAGAAGAGGGCCTTTGACCTTTGAGTACTTTCGTAGTGGCGAGATTGGCATCTGTGGGCTGCTATACAGGTGCCCACCCATCCTCGAGATCAGAGGCGTAAAGGCGATCTCGCCTGGCCGCGAAGTAGTCACATTGCCAGTGTTGGAGCCGCTCTTCTGCAGAACCTGTGCCTTCCCCCGACCTCGGCCTCCGTATGTTGTCTTCTTGCCTGCCCCTGGTTTCGCGCCTGGTCGCCAGTCCGGATCTCTCGCTTTCTCGAAGCCCCGTGGCTTGTTCGCGGGTCGGGTGAAGTTGGTCGTCTTTTGTGGGGAGCCTTTGGTCGCAAAGGCAGAGGATGCATTGCGTGCTTCGGTGCTTACGGTACGTGGTCGCTCAAGCTCTTTGCGCAGCTTCGCGAGTTTGGATGAAAGCGGTCGCAGCAGGCGATTGCACCTGGAAGTCGTCCATGGCAGCGTGTCGTCGGTCGACATCGCGATGAATATATCGTCTAATGCATGCAGGAGCAATGTCCGCGGGTAATTTTAGCCGTGATACGTTATGTTAATGCTATATGTGCATGTTTGTTGTGTTGATGTTTGTTTGTTTGGGCAACATCGGCAGTCGGCGTTAAGAGCCAGCACGCGTTGTTGTCTCCGCGTCGAAAGGTGCTACTTTCACTCACGCAAGAACAACATCGCAGCATTCTCAGTGCTCCGAATGATACTTCCCTGCAACACGACTACACGACTTTAGTCATGAATTGCTGACAAGATGAATTACACGATGGACCTGTTTATTGCTAATACGCACATCTCGAGAGAAGTCGCTATCGTTGCATTCTAGTGGTGTGTAGCGATTCATCTCTGCCCATGCTCATTACATAGTATGTAGCCATCTAGAATTGACGTGGCTTCATCAAGGTGAGTGGAGTTGGTTCTCAGTGCTAGACTGCATCAACATAGCTACTCAGAAATTTGAGCTTGTCTCAAGGACTCGGGGTCTTCTGTAAGACAAGTCTCCCATATAGAGATTGACCTTCATGGGCAGACAATGTACCCGAGGTCTGTTCAATGACTGTGTGCTAATCAAAGGCTGTAAGATACCACTTGTGTCCTCGTGTCATCCTGCTAGGTCACCGGAGACTAAGATGAGGAATGAGATTTCGTTACGCGCCGGGAACGAATAAGCAGTGAGACTCGTGTTTTGCGACAGCTGACGCCCAAGGCAACAAGCTTACGCAGCAGCATGGCATATACTTCCATCTCTCTGGACGTCACAAAGGACGCTTCCCGAAGCCACAAGTGCCGGTGAGCGTCATCAGAACCTTTCAGGAACGAGGTTTGCTTTTGGACGTGGAAAGATGCGACGGTTCCTGTCAGACTCGCGCGTTCGTCGATCCAGGAACCGAGCCGCGTCGGAAGGATTTCATGCATATCAGGACACCTCATCCTACTGGCCGGTAAGCGAAATAATGAGCGGCGAGCAAAACGAAGCCAGGAAATTAAGAACCGCGCATCGAATCTCACAAGTGGTCAAAACACGGCTCAATACTGGTTCAGCAGTGACAAGAAATAACGAATAACGCTGGTCGCCGGGCTGTGCGTATTGACCAAGACTACAAGATCGCGATGGGGGTTGCGGAAGTCCAGACACGAAGCGCCTGCTCCGAATCGCGTGACTATCGATAGCTACGAACGCTTAAGCTAGGTCCACCTCAGCGCTTGCGTAGACGTGTCGCATGTCAGGAGTCGTGGAGAAATCGCAACGGTGAGAAGCATTTGCATTTTAGTCAAGGAAGATGAAAGGTGCCTGTCCTTGAAACGCAGTACTGGGGATCGTTGATTACGTTTCGAGATCGTGGGGCCTAGACGGGCTTCGTCATCTGTTTGAAACAACGGCAATCAGACCGTTTTGCAGCGGTCGTACTGACATGCCTGGTTCTGCCATTGACTGCGACGATAGTGAACATGAAGCTGTCAGACGTGTCTTTCTCGGCAACCCCAGCAGCAAGTGGAGAAACATTTGCTTTCGACTCGTATTTTGCAGCGGCTGCACTGTGGAACGTTCCGGGTCAAGTCATCCTCGGAACCATCACACTCGGACGGGGTTTGCTTTTTGCATCTTGCGTGCTCTAGTAGGATTCACGACAGGACCAGGCTAAAGTGTCAAGATGAACAACCGTAGGTTCCAACCGTGCGTGTTGAGTACACTGAATGCATTGTGGCGTCGCCGTTGAATTTACCGTGGATCATATCAGCCGCTCTAAGATGCGTGGCGTTGAGCATGCGTAATTTGTAGAAATCGTCAAAGGTATGCTGCGATAACAGCTGATATGGTTGATGTTACCGTGGGCACTGCATCAAGGCATGCGTACTCAATGTCAATAACCACGTTGCACAAGACAGAGATTGTGGCAAAGCCCTAGAGCCGCCAGTGGGGTACCTACGAATGATGCTAGAAGAAATGCGGAGGCTGCAAAGCTTCCCCGAAGGATGTGGAGAAACAACTATATGCTCGAACCCAGGGCTTATGATGAACTGCCTCGGAATCTGGCCAAAGGGTTCTTCATTTGGTGTAAGGTTGTTGAGACAGCCGGCCCGAAGTGGATTGACAGCTACCAAGGACTGGGTTACCGGACATAGGTGAAAATATGCGGTTGAAGTCCGCAAGACGGGACAATTGAAACGGCCAGTCATGCAATACGTGGGGAGCCACGGCACGATGCCAGCAGACATGGATGCGTTTGAGATAATGTTCGCTCAAGTGCCAGTGTGCTTCATCTCCAATGATGGTCAGCGGCCGTTTCTACGACGCTGGCTGACTGTAGTGTATCTTGGTTAGACGAAGATTGATGAAGAGTAGGAGTCTCCACTCCAAGTCGACTGAGTCATAACACTCGATAGAACTACTGTAAGTGCGGTCTCTCGAGCTAGCGGGGAGGCATGCCGTACGGCGATGTCAGGCCAAGATGAGGCGCTACGGAGAGCGTGAAGGAGTCGCGGAGAGATGGTGAAGGGCCGTTGCAGGCGTGGCGGGGGTGAATGGAGTGCCAAGGCACCGTCGTCGACAAGCAATCCCTCGTTGCAGGAAAAGTGGGTGAAGGATCCTCGTTTTACATGCCGCCTGCCGTCTAGCAAACCACAAGCACAGCTCAGCGCGGCATGTGTTGTTTTGAGGCATCTAGGCCTCGATGACGCAAGGCGTGGTGAAAGTCAGTGGATTTGTACGGAGCAATGAAACGAGCTGTCTCCTAGTGGCTCGCGTGTGGCGTGGTACTCCCCCCCCCGTTTCATCGCCCGGTCCCAGAATGGTAGGCTGCGCTACAGCGGCCGAGCGGGGCTATTACAGGCTGCACCCCTGCCACCAGCGTCAGGCACTCCCTCCAATCCTGCATCAGAGGCCGCGATAATCAAACCCAAGCATTGCTCCCCTTCTACCCACATGCCCGCTCTTGCGTAGCCTTCTTCTTCTCTTCACCTTCACACTCGTTCAGCCCACAGTCACTCTTTCCCGCCTCGGTTTGCCTTGGTATTCACTTTCTCTTCGTCGCTCCCGCGTGCCAGTTCTCGCTTCCCCACCGGCTCTTTGCAATATATCCCCTGGTTGGCGATTTTCCCTCGAGGCCCTATCACCGCAGCCAATTCCTCGTGCATAACGGCTACATTGGATCAGCTGGGTGTTTGCTTTATCCCTGCTTGATTAACTCGCCCAATCTGGATTTCGTCAACACCACCTGCGACGTCAACTGAACCTGCCTTGCGCCTGCCGACAACCCTGGGCTCCTGCGCCTGAACCCAGCCCTCCCAATCTACCATAGTGAAGCCGGTCACTACGCACGACCACATCATCGCCACGATCCAAGAGAACGTCTAGGGTGCTTTCTCATCACCGATTTGGAACAAGTGCCGCTGTGCTTCTTCCCACCCACCTACCCCCGTCTGTCGTTTGCTGGCCAAGACAGAGTCCACTCTCTACATATCCACATCTCCACTTGGTATACCCTACCCTACCATCCTGGATCCTTAAAGCACATCTTCTAGACCGCATCGCCCACGGTACGAAGACTGCTGACTTCTCCTCGTCACCTTGCTCTCTCACACGACAATGTCTCTCTCCAAAGTCATGAGTGGCCTCTCTAAACGTGCGGGCCATGGTGAGGAAGACCCAACCGCTGGTCTAGAAAACGTCGACGTTCAACACTACCTTGGATACATCTGGTGGATCATCGTCGTCGTCTTCTTCCTCTACCAAGTCATCCTCTACTTTGTCCGCTACATCCGTACTGTAACATGCCTCAACAACGAAACCCAAAGATACTTCGCCATTCCCAACCGGATCTACGCAGCTTTCAAAAAGCACTGCCTCGATGCGCCCCTGTTCCGCACCCGTCATCACCGCGAGTTCAAGCTCTCTTCCGCTATTGGCGTTGGAACCTTGCCCAGTCGTCTGCAGAGCTTCTTCCTGATTGGCTACTTCGCTGTCAACATTGGCTTCTGTGTCTGGAAGATCGACTACAGCACCTTTTCCTCGGGTGCTGGTGAACTCCTCAGCCGCTCCGGTATCATGGCTGTCATCAACATGATCCCACTGTTCCTCCTTGCTGGTCGCAACAACCCCATCATCAAGCTCACCGGCATCTCCTTCGACACCATGAACCTTATTCACCGTTGGTTTGGACGTATTGTCATTCTCGAGGCAATTGCTCACACTGTATGCTGGATCGCTAACAAGGTTCACACCAGTAAGTACAATCAGGGAAGAAATTACAGTAACGCATGGCTAACATATGTACAGAGGGCTGGGGTGCTGTACAAGCGTCTATTACCGGAAGCGAGTTCATCATGACGGGTTTCATTGGAACTGTTGCATTTGTGTTCCTACTGATTCAGTCCCCATCACCAGTGCGTCACTCCTTCTATGAGGTGTTCTTGCACGGTCACATCGTCGGTGCTGCCATTGCACTCGGCGCTGTGTGGGTCCATCTCAAGGAGCGGCCGCAACAGTTTATGCTCTACGGCGTACTTGCTCTCTGGGTCATGGAGCGCACCTGGCGATTCGTCCGCCTCGTCATGCGCAATGTTGGAAACGGTGGTACCGGTTGTGACGTTGAAGTCCTTCCCGGAGACGCCCTTCGCGTGACTGTCCGCATGGCTCGCCCGTGGAGGTTCCGCCCTGGTCAGCACGCATACTTGTACATTCCTTCCGTCGGATTGTGGACCAACCACCCCTTCTCTGTCGCTTGGAGCGAGGAGGAAGAAGACCTGACCATCGCCTCCGCCGCCGATGAAAAGGGTCTCCCCATGAACCGCCAAGACATTCTCGAGCACCACAAGACAAGCATGTCTTTCATCATTCGACGACGAACCGGTTTCACCGACAAGCTGTTCAAGAAAGCAGACCTGTCCGCTGCCGGCAGATTCTCCACTTCGGCATATGTCGAGGGCCCATATGGTGAGTACCGCAGCTTGTTTTCCCCAGACTTTGCACTATCGTATATATTAATCCAATCTAAAAAATCCACGCTAACGTCACGTTACAGGCGGTGAAGATCTCAGCTCTTATGGCACGGTTATGCTATGGGCTGCTGGTATCGGTATCACTCACCAGGTTCCCCACGTTCGTGATATCGTTGCTGGTTACGCAAACGGAACCGTTGCCACTCGTCGTCTCACTCTCGTCTGGATCATCCAGTCGCCCGAACACTTGGAATGGATCCGTACATGGATGACACAGATCCTCTCCATGCCACGCCGCCGGGAAATTCTGAAGATCCTGCTCTTCGTTACTCGTCCCCGCAGCACCAAGGAGATTCACTCGCCATCCTCCAGTGTTCAGATGTTCCCTGGTCGTCCTAACGTCCAAGCCTTGGTCGATCAGGAGATGCAAGAGGGCATCGGTGCTGCTTGTGTCAGCACTTGCGGTACTGGTGGGTTGGCGGATGAGCTTCGTCGCTCAGTCCGCAACCGCGAGTCTCAGTGGAATGTTGACTTCCGTGAGGAGTCTTTCTCGTGGTAAACATATCACTGCTGTTTCATCTTTGGTCTCGCCACATCGGTATACCCTCTCGTCCACTCATCTCTAGCCTTGCAATCTATCATATTTGGAAGGACCAACGTCGGATCTAATGAGGACATGCTTGCATCTACTTCGCTGTACACATTACATTTCGTTTCTTTACCGCATCATCTCCTGATTTGGTCTCCTTTTACACTCCTTGTATCTTATCCTGTGGAGCAGGCACGAAGACAAAATATTCATGTGGTCGGCCGCGCCTAGCCAGGAGCGGCTCATGGCTAACTATCAATGTTATCACGTCACCACAACGGTCCTTTCACAAGCACGACGATGCTTATCTGGCGTTCGCGAGGTCTACTTTGATTGAGTGTATGTATACCGGTGTTTCTGCTACTTGAGACATAATGATCGATATGAATCGTATTCAGGTCTCCAGCGTTTTTTTTCCTAACATGCACCCTGTCCACACAGTGATCGGTACGCTACTGCTTCAGATCAAACTAGCGTTCTGGCTAGCGCGGTGTCGTTCTATGCACCCTGCCGCAATCGAGAGACCTATCATATACACCACATGCGTATGAACGGCGATAACACGGCAAGAATACCGCCGCCTTGGAGAGATCGCGTGACATTTGCCTGTGGCGACATGATGACCACCAGGACCGACTGCCACTACTGCAGGTGTCTAGAACGCGCGGCCGCCGAAACGGCGAGTGCACACTACGAACAGTTGTTTTCAAATTTTCTTACTACACCATCTCCATGCACTCCAATTCGACGTTGCAATTCGATACTATAGCACCTGGCGCTTGCGGTCTATCAATCATGTGTCTCTAGTGCGTTAAAACTCATACGGTCCGGTTGTTTCAAAGCGCCTCGTCCTCATTCAACAAGTGGTCATAGTTCGTCAACAGCTCTGGATCACAGCGTGCTTCCATGCTGCACAGCAGTCGTCTAGTCACCACAGCTCTGCCGAAGTTCGGACGATGTGAGGAGATCCGGAGGCGCGTGAACAGCAGATGGCGGCTGAAGTTGGTGCATGAACTGAACGGCAGGCTTACAGCTGAACATACGGGTATGGTCGTCCACCTTCAAGTCTGGACAGGATTTTCTCAACGTCATGCTTGTAAATGCACATCGTGAGAATGCAGTACGTACACTGATCTGCATTGGCTTACCTATTTGCAGAGACAACTTCACCAACACGATCCTAGCCAAACATCCACACCATAGAAACCAGTGCTTTGGTTCGTCAACGAGATAGTCGAAGAATTCTATCGTGTAGGGTCGCGTGGGTGACAGATCTGAAGTCTGAGCCGTCGTAGCTGCACTGGTATCCACCTGGCGAACACCTTCGATCAAGTTCTTCCACCAAAACCCACTACCAAGCCACAGCACCATATAATACGTCTTGGGATATTCGTGCACCTCCGATTTCTGGTTATGGTGGACCCGAAGCGGCATCTTGTTCTGATAAACCCTTGCGCAGGCATCTGCGTGTGACACTGTCACCTAGCGTTCGCCTGACAGACATTGCAGCTAGGCCTGCGACATTGCCTTTAAGGATGGCACCTCCAAAAGGCTCAGGCTACGATTGCAGAACGATGGCGTTCATCGCTCCAGGAACATGAGTACCCATACGTAAATTCCTGGGCTTCCAACGTCTAGCACACCGGATTCAATTTGGACGTCATTTCCACTCACTCATACCTACAAGAGGTGGTGTGAACCTGATTGGAGAGCCAGGCTTATCCGTTGCAGAGGTCACACTATAACGGACCCGCTATCATGGCAGCTTCAAGACATACGACAATCCATCAACCTTTGCCTCTAGACCACATTCGACTCTCTCAGTCAAAATCTAGAACCAGCCTTGGACAAGGTCATTTGCAATATTCGCATACCCCATCCGTGCACCTCCCGCGCTCTCACATGCGCAGATAGGAATTTTGTCCAATAGCGACACCCGCTGCTGCGCCTCGGATAATTAATTGCGTCTTTGTCAACTGCCTGTGATCGCTGACGTCCGTATGACTCCAGGCTAATATTGACGGATTAACCACGAGGACGAAGAGACGAATCGGGCTGTTCGTGTCTCTCGCTTGAACTGATTCATCCGAAAAATCGGTGCTGGCAAAGTCTAGAATCTCTGCGCACCTGCATCACATAAACGTTCATTACCACCCTTCGACATGGTGTCCAAAAAAACCCCTCCCTTCACCCATGTGCGACGCACGGCAAATGAAGAAAACACCACTATCTCCACCTGTGCGTCACCCGCGGTAGGCGAGTTTTCGTATACGAGCGCACGGTTGGGGAATGTAATATATAACAGCCGGCACAAGCAGGTTCGCTACCTGGATCAGGAATCCTCCGTTGCTAGTCTCGCTACCACAATTTTCGTAAACGGGTTTTCGCGTGTCCACGGTGGGGCTGCTTCATTTATTGCTGATAACGAGCGCAGAAGTTTGTGGGGCTAGGTATATTGCTGTGCTTAGGCGAAGGGTAGTAGCCCTAGGTAACAGGATACGTATGTTGGTAGCGAAGACACGTGGTATATGTGGCCGTGAGGCCTAGTGCTAGCGAAATCATGGAATGACCTTATAGTCAAAGGCGATTCTGGTTGGCGTAGTTCATGATGCCAGACATCTCACCTGGTCTGCGACATCGATACAGCAGGCTGTGAATGAGTAAATGGCTCGCTCGTTGTGGTCTCGTGGAAGTGTGAACGGAATCCATGACTGCGCTTGTGAGTCTATCATTGTAGCCAGCTAGTGAATGTGAGCAAATCTCTCAAGAGAATTGATATCTAGTGCCGAACATCTTCAACCGTACGCTGTTAAACTGCCTCGGGACTCTCGTGTGTAGCAGCATTTTCCATCCCAAACCTCCTTTGAATCCCCTCCCACCCTTTCTTAACCACATCCGCCATGATCCTACCCATACTACCTTCCCTCCCCAACCTTTCCACCGCTTCCTCCACACTCACTAACTCACTTTCATACGTGACTTCCAGCTCATCCACCCCTGTATTCTCATGGTGTCTCGGCTCATACCCCTCAGGCTCTTGCTTTACCCTTTCCCGTAAAGAGAGGGTCTGCGGATACGCTGGTGGCGGTTTATATGCCGCGCCTGCTTCCGTCTCAAGCAGAGTTTCGAGGCTAGGAGGAAGTGTCTCGGCGATGTACCAGTAGATTATGTATTGCCGGACGCCGAGAGGAAGAAGTTGCATGTAAACTGGCTCCGCGGTCTGTGGTGAAGCATGGATGCGTGGGTGAGCTTGCGGTTGGCGGTGGATAGTGGGTAGAGGCAGAAGGCGGTTGCGGTAACCGGACTATTTGAAAGGTCAGTACGCTTATTCTGCTAAAAAGGAATGTGGATGTGGTGCACCTCTTCGTATCCTTCTCGTTCAGCACCCGTACCGCTTTCTTCGCCGGCGTCGCGTCGTCCCTTGGGGAGGAAGTAGACCTTTTGTCCTCGATATACGCAGCTGCAGATCACCACGCGACTTGTCGCAAGATGGAAGATTGCGACGCCACCGCCGACTACAAACTGATTGCTGTCAAAATGCGCAGTGTAGATTTTGCTCTTGCTTGCTGACATCATTGTTCCTGTTGGCTTGTTGATCTAGTTGACGAAGGCTTGAGAAAGTATGTCTCCTATGGTGAAATACCACACACGAGGACGACAAAAGTAGCCTCTGCTCGATAGGCGAGTTTCAGGTTATGGCTCTTGTACTTTGAATCAACGAGCGGCCTCTTTGCTGTTTGACGGCCATGACTGAGACGGGGAACGCTGGTGCCTGCAATGGTTGTGTCGAATTGAGGAATAGATATGGTGGGGCTAGTGACGTTGAACTTGACGTGGGCCGCCAACCCCGCATCGCTAGTGTGCACTGCACATGCTCATTGGTGTTTGACATTATATATTAATTAAATTGTCCAATTGTCATAAACAGTACAATTGGCCTAATGGCCCAATGGCAAGGCGCTTGACTACGATTCGTTCGATATCAAGAGATTCCAGGTTCGACCCCTGGTTAGGTCACCACATTTTCTTTTTGCCATTGTACACTTGCAATCATGCATGTATGGATGTTGCTTCTTTTTTTTTCCGCTTCGCACCGATCGCGGTTTTAAAAGGACGCGATGGACACTGAGTCTCTTTTCTCTTTGCTTGTTGCCTGCCTCAAGGCAACGAACATTAGCAGGAAAGGAAGAGCTAATTGAAGGGAGAACACGTCATACGTCCCAAAGTCGCACCTACTTCATCCAGTCCTCTCAGTATTACGAATAGAGCACTTAGACTGTGGAGATCTGAATAGCATAAGCCGCGCGAACTCAACTCCGACACAGCGTGTGCAATACCAGCAGTATCGCCACTAATCCCATGGATCACGCAGAGCAGATTCAAGGCTCTATCAGTATCAGTGCCTGTAAAAATACAATAGAATCCCCCCCAAATCAGGAAGGTGATCATCAAAAATGTCTTAGAATGTCAAATAGTCAATATTAGTATGAGAAAACGTCCCCTTTTGCATTGCAAGTCATTACTTTCACTCTATGGCAGTTCTTATTGCATATATGTAAGATATAACGCGTTGAAACTAAAGGAGAGACAGAAGTGCAGTAAAAGATGATATGATAGCTTAGAAGTGACCTATCAGAAGCCTTGGAGGTGGGCGAGTTACCATGTGTATGGTCAACGACGTCATTTTTAGTGCTTACATCCGCTAAAGGACTAGATGAAAGCTCTCTCTCCTCTTCTCCTTCACCTTTACACACGTTATATCTTAACTATATGCAATAACAACTGTAACAGAGTGAATGCAAATTATCTACAATGCAAAAAGTGGCTTTTCCGTATACTAATATCGACTATTTGACACTATTAACGATCAGTTGCCAAATCCAGGGTGGACGGGTCCATAAATTTCCGCAGCGATCATATACCCGGAGTTGAGGGGAACATAGATATCTACCATGTCGTGCTCCTGGGCGGCGAAGCCCGATCAGGAAGCTGGTAATACCCAAGACACCTCAAAATCCGGGCATATTCTTGGCCGACTGTTGAACGACACTCCGCATACTTATTATGAACCAAGCGTCAAAGGCCATTGCGATATCCCCATGCGAGGCAGCGCAATGAAGTCGGACCGTTGTATCATCGCTCACTTGGCTTCCATTGCCTGATAAGGTCATGGCAAGGTTCAGGTATGAGTATATAAACCCTTCAGACAGACCATGCAGACTACCCAGTACAATCGGTATCGAAAGGTCCGTCGGTATACATCATGAAATGGACAAACCTGTTGCTGGCCGCTCAATTGGCAGCAGCATCTCCCTTCGAGTCTCGCGACAGCTCTGTGACTCGCAGCGCCGAAGTTAGCTATGATGGCTACCACGTTTACTCGGTCACTCCATCTTCTGCTGAAGAGGCTCGTGATATCGAAAAGCGTTTTTCCAAGTACCACACCCATCCTATCCGCGGCACCCTTTCCATTGCTATTCCACCCGAAGAGGTGGACTCCTTCAACGCCCTAGGACTGAGAGCGCACCTCATCAACTCCGATCTAGGTAAATACATACGCTCCACCGACAAGGAAGCGATATACAAACGAGGCTTGCACAAGCGTGGGGAGCTACCAGATCTCTCTTGGTTCGACACCTATCATCCATATGCCGACCATCTTCAGTACTGGGACGATCTTGTCGAGGCATTTCCCGAGAATTCGAAAAAATTTCCGATCGGACAGAGCTACGAAAACCGGACTATTTGGGCCTTCTATCTTCATGGAGACAAGAAGGAAGGATATGAAACGGAGAAGCCAGTCATTCTCTGGCATGCGACAGTACACGCAAGAGAATGGATATCAACCATGGGTAAGAAGGTGCATGCCAACTAGTGCGGAACAACGGCTGACTGTCATAGTAATTGAGTACCTGGCCTACCAATTAATCGACGGTTACAAGAAAGGCGACGCCAATGTGACTGCCTTCCTGGACTATTACGATTTCTACCTCGTGCCCTTCCACAATCCCGATGGCTTCTTGTACTCACAAACTGATGATCGACTCTGGCGCAAGAATCGTCAGCCGCGCCCGAACATCAACACCACCTGCCTCGGTACTGATGGTAACCGCAACTGGAAGTATGAGTGGGATGCGGAGCCGCCAGGGGGTGGGTCTACACCTGATCCTTGCGGACAGACATACCGCGGAGAAGCACCAGGCGACACGCCCGAGAACCAAGCCATGGATGGTCTTTCGGGTAATGTGTCGCAAATTGGCGCTGGAATTCGTTCTTTCATCGACTTCCATTCGTACAGTCAGCTCATCTTAACTCCGTATGGTTTCTCGTGCGACCCGCTACCAGAAACTCTTCCTCGCATGCTTGAAGTTGCTGGCGGCACAGCGAACGCTATCATGGCTGCTAGTACAAAGAACAGCACGTACGAGTTTGGCCCTGGCTGTCAGATCCTCTACTTCTCGACGGGTAACTCGAGAGACCATCACTACGCTGTACACGGCGCGAAACATTCTTGGACGATAGAGCTGAGTCCTCAGGATGAGGCTGGTGGTGGGTTTGTACTACCGCCTGATCAGATCTGGCCGGTTGTGAAGGAGCAATGGGCAGGCCAGAAGTGGCTATTGAACAATGTAAGAGACGACTAGCTATGAGTATTCGAGGAGTGTAGAAAGGGTTAGTCATAAGAGTAGCTATCTGGACTGGGACAACGTTATCGAACAGTATGGGTAGCCGACCTTGTGTGTTTCCTTCTGACTTTGCAACCCATCTTCATAACAAAAGTGTCCAGGGTACGCTACTATCTTATCAGCAGAAGAAAGAGAACAGGTTCTAGCCTGACCCTCCGTGTTGCCTTTACGACCGTGATCACACGTAGCAGTTGTAAGCACGCTAAGGATAAAGAACGTTCGGGTGCGAGGATGGCGACGACGAAGCCAGCGATCCTTCTAATAAAGTTCTTGATTTCCATTTTGATATGATCCGGTAGGTTGAGATGCACCGAAGTCCATGAGCCTGCAAAGATTGTCGACAAGAATGTGGTTATGATTTAGAAAAAGCCTCGGTTGATGGGCTCGGAGACTCATATAACGGTGGCATTCATGGTCATATCCGAAAAATAGTTGCTTGGAAAGTTGAGCTGTAAGACACAATGCGAATGACTGCTTGTTGAAGTTGACACAATGTGGAGAAAAATGTAAAGGTGTGCTCGAGTCGTGGCTTGTCAGATGGATTGGAAACACGAGGTACGCTCCTACATCAACGTCGGAAAAGTGCTTGACCCGAAGATAATTACCCTTTCTCTTGCTTTCGGTGCCACTCCACGACAAACGTTGTGATTTTCCTTTCTCCGATGACACTTCTGGTCTACCTTCGTATTTTATAACCTCGACCCCCTTCGTAGTACGAAGAAGCTCGTTTTCATGAGTTGTGTCTCATCAAATATGTACTCTAAAGGTATACACTATTGCGTTCCTGTGAGAGTCGCAACATAGATTACTATGCATAATTTAAGAGAAGTTTCAATGCTTAGAGGTACAACTTATGAGATCTGAATTTCTTCATACTAAAACGACGCGTCAACGTTCGGTGCAAATTACTTACTTGGTTTCTAAACAAGTGACACAAACCTCCTGATGAATCTCTCGCCTTTCTCCTGTCTTAACTCTGCATGCTTGATGCCAGATCTAGCAGGTTGTAGTACTGTTGAAGACTGTCGCGACGAGTTCTCTACAATTGCCGTTGCTATCTCGTATGGTTCGCTTTTCGTATGGCCAGAATCGATCACAAAACCACCAAAACGTTCTGTTGTTGTCATAACCTGTGCAGTCTATCCCCGAAATCTCAATTTTCACACTTTTCAGACGCAATGTAACGTTCGCCACCGCTGGGGGTGAGTTTTGTGTCGTTTCCACTTTGGTGCTCGAATAGCTTACCTAGGTAGTATGGGCAAGTTGAGTGCAAGCTTGTGCACATTCGGAAAGTGCTATTGTGAGTTCGTCGAATTGCCAAACTCCTGTCGATGGTTTCCGAATACCTTTCCTACCTAGCCTTGTTCGGAAGGAAGAGGCTTGACGGATCGCAAGAGACAGCGAGTATCCTCTCCGTGTTGTTTTACTCATAGCTGGAAGGTAGATGATTAATCCGAGCTTCCTCGCAAGCTCACGAAGAGTCACGGGTGGGTGGTGGGACGGTAGGCCATAAATGTTATCAGACAGTGGAGCTGCAGTTCTTTTTAGAGCAAGGCGAAAAGCATTGGTAAAATAATTTATTTTGTTGATGATAGCTCGAAACGGTTTGCTTGTGCAAGCAAGATGTATGATCTAATCAGGTGCGAGGTCTCGATGACGATGGGACGTTATGCTCCTATACTGCGTAGCAGAATGATGCGGGAGATAGTTCAATATCTCAATAGAACCTCGTCAGGTAGAGAATGCATAGCTGATAATTGTCGAGGCTCAGAAGACGTCGGAACAACAGGGCGTGCGAGGTGAATATTTCAGTACCAGTACTTGTTTTCGGAAACGAGCACACGCTTTCCAAAGATGCACAACGATTGCTTCGCTGATAGCCATTCCGTCACTTTTGGAGCCTTACTGATGGAAGTGGCCCAAGAGACGGTGTTACGAGGGACTAAGCATAACGGTTTACGCAATGAGGTGCTAGGTCCATACGCAGGCTTTCACCCGTCTGGTACTTCAACGGACGTTGTGTGCGCGGAAACGTAGCGTTGCTGCAAGCCTCTCCACCCACACTAACCAAGCAGCAATTCTCTCGCAACCTTTATGTGACTATGGATGACGTGTGATAGATGAAGAGGGTACGTTATAGAATCGGGTTGGTTTGTTCGTGGTATGTAGATTGATCGCTGAACATAAGATCGCAGCTCGAGGTTGTGATCAAAAAATCCATGCCTACAAAATGTCGTAATGTCAGCTCTTTGGTGGCTTCCGGGCGTCGGATTAGAGTAGACCAGCTGGATACTGCACTTTTGAAATTTCATACGATGGCCTGAACTGAAGTAGATCGAATGTGGCGAAGAGACGAAAGAAGGCAAGCTCAAATGTCGATTCCTGATTCATAGGTTCCGCTTCTCGTGACCCACTCAGCTTCCGTAGGCGGGTGGGATGCATACAGCCTCCGTAGCAGAGAACCTGGTGAAGCTCTGCAACTGTATCGTTCTCCGAAGCGAAAATGGAAAGCTTATGCCGCGTCGATATGGCGGTAGCGAATTTCGTTTGGAGTGGGCAGATTTCGATCCTAAAACAAGCTTCCTTTCAGCAAAGACGCTTAGTGAAGTAGGGGTCAGCGAAGCCTCCCACTACACTACAGGTTCCACGTTCGGTAAAAGGCGGCGTGTAAGCGGCTTGAAGGATAATCCCACGAAAGTTGGGTTGAAAGACACTGGGCGTCTATGACAGCGCCTAGTGAGTCAACGAGGGCCCATTGTTCTGGCTCCATAAGTAGCAATGCCCAAGGTGACGGTAAAAGTGATGAAAGCAGTGGCTAGCAGCGGAGAAGAAGAAATGAACACGGTGTTGTGCATGATCTGGGCAGCACCATGGACAAGGCCACAATAGACTCCGCCTGTAGTGGGGCTGGGTACAGATTATGATGGCAATCTCAGTACCCCGCCAAAAGTTTTGCAGTGCGGCAAAGGTGACGCCGGGACCGTTTCAGCGCGATGGTTGCATACTGGATCGTTCTTCCGGGTAAAGTCAATCGGCAGTAAAGGCAACAATCGAGCATTGTGCAAAAGCAAAAGTTGTAGCGCGAAGGTGACGCGGGTAAGAAAAAAGGGCTGATGGACAGCAATGACGATGGTCCAAAAGACTCGCGTGAGGCAACTGCGGCTGTGGCAAGCTCATAGCAGGCGGTCAAGGCGGCTGGAAGGGCCCCATGGCATGTGGGCCAATTAAGAGGATCCGTTTTGCCTCTCTTGCTGTTGATTTCGTTGCAAGTGAAGGAGTTTTCGTAGCCCAACGGGGGACTAGCGCCTAAAACTAGCACAGACCCACAACCCTCCAAGTATATTAGCACCCGACCCCTCCATCGCTCAACTTTTCTTCTTCGTCCAACTCATACCTTACACCGCGCGCTGTAAATCTGAGTATCAAACAACTTCCCCTACACCACCACATAACTCAAACATCACAACACCGCCAACATGGGGTAAGTCGCTCTGCCCGCCTGCCGCCTTGAGCTCCTGGAGCCTCGACATTTGCCTACTGGAGCAGCTCAAGGCCGCCACACCAACTTTGGTACAGCTCACTAACCATGTCTGTAGTAAGGAGAAGATGCACATCAACGTGGTCGTTATCGGCCACGTCGACTCCGGAAAGTCCACCACCACCGGCCGTAAGCCTTCCATCTCCGAACGACTGCGGGGTCATACAACTTACAATGGGATACAGACTTGATCTACAAGTGCGGTGGTATTGACAAGCGTACTATCGAGAAGTTCGAGAAGGTACGACATCACTTTCTTTTACATGGACAGTCGCATCCACCTGGTGCATTCTTTGAGCGCTTAGCTATTTGCTGGCTTATCGCGATGAGGGGCATTTTTGGGTGGTGGGGTTGTGCGAACTTTTACGCGCTAGCGCTAATCCGCATGCGGCGTTCGCGAACTCCAACACCATGACGCACATCCAATTTCCCTATTCTGGCCACAGCACGCTAACAAGCCTCACAGGAAGCCGCCGAACTCGGTAAGGGTTCCTTCAAGTACGCATGGGTCCTCGACAAATTGAAGGCCGAGCGTGAGCGTGGTATCACCATCGACATTGCTCTCTGGAAGTTCGAGACTCCCAAGGTTCGTACCTGCCCACTACCAACGTGTCTCAGGATGCTAACATGTTGTCAAGTACTATGTCACCGTTATTGGTATGTCTCTATGCACTCTCATCGCGCTGCGCATCTCACTAACATGACTCAGACGCCCCCGGTCACCGTGATTTCATCAAGAACATGATCACTGGTACCTCCCAGGCCGACTGCGCTATTCTCATCATTGCCGCCGGTACTGGTGAGTTCGAGGCTGGTATCTCCAAGGATGGCCAGACTCGTGAGCACGCTCTGCTCGCCTACACCCTCGGTGTCAAGCAGCTCATCGTCGCCATCAACAAGATGGACACCACCAAGTGGTCCGAGGAGCGTTACCAGGAGATCATCAAGGAGACCTCCAACTTCATCAAGAAGGTCGGCTACAACCCCAAGCACGTTCCCTTCGTGCCCATCTCCGGTTTCAACGGTGACAACATGATCGAGGCTTCCTCCAACTGCCCCTGGTACAAGGGTTGGGAGAAGGAGACCAAGGCCAAGGCCACTGGTAAGACCCTCCTCGAGGCCATTGACGCCATCGACCCTCCCAGCCGTCCCACCGACAAGCCCCTTCGTCTTCCCCTCCAGGATGTCTACAAGATTGGTGGTATTGGCACGGTGCCCGTCGGTCGTGTCGAGACCGGTATCATCAAGGCCGGTATGGTCGTCACCTTCGCCCCCGCTGGTGTCACCACTGAGGTCAAGTCCGTCGAGATGCACCACGAGCAGCTTGTCGAGGGTGTCCCCGGTGACAACGTCGGCTTCAACGTCAAGAACGTCTCCGTCAAGGAGATCCGTCGTGGTAACGTTGCCGGTGACTCCAAGAACGACCCCCCCAAGGGTGCCGAGTCCTTCAACGCCCAGGTCATCGTCCTCAACCACCCTGGTCAGGTCGGTGCCGGTTACGCCCCAGTCCTCGACTGCCACACCGCCCACATTGCCTGCAAGTTCTCTGAGCTCCTCGAGAAGATTGACCGCCGTACCGGAAAGTCTGTTGAGAACTCTCCCAAGTTCATCAAGTCTGGTGACGCCGCCATCGTCAAGATGGTTCCCTCCAAGCCCATGTGCGTTGAGGCTTTCACTGACTACCCTCCTCTCGGTCGTTTCGCCGTCCGTGACATGCGTCAGACCGTTGCCGTCGGTGTCATCAAGTCCGTCGTCAAGGCCGACAAGGCCGGCAAGGTCACCAAGGCCGCCCAGAAGGCTTCCAAGAAATAAGCGCTCTCTTCTTGGGTTGCTTGTTTCTCTTCTTTCGTCTCTAGATACCTGGTTCTGGGGATGTGGTTGCTTCGGAAAAGCTGTGATGACTTTTGAAACGTGTCATGCATAACGGTCTGGGGTCCTGGCGTCGTCCTTCCATAGTTTCCATAATGATCTGAATGAAAACATGGGTGGGATATGAACAAAAACCTTTTCTCAGAACATGCGTGATCGACTTGTGATGTTGGTGTCTACCAGCTATCTGCTTTGCCTCTTTTAATTTATCTCGCATGTCTTGCCCGTCAATAGTAGCGTCTTAATCTTCCGAGGCTCTCGCTGGACATTGCGACAAATGTCTTACTGTGCATCGCGATCTCTTATGACATCTGGCACTCTGGGCATAGTTTGATCCCGTAGGGCAACTATGTAATCGTGTACACTGGGTCACTCTAGGATTACCACAATTCCATGCATCACACATACTGTTTACTTTTGGAAGTTTCGCGGCCGCAATGCTGGTAAGATGCTTCTGCCAGGAAGCGTTAGGCTTTCCGACCGATGCTTGAAGCGGGCGTGTTTTGGCGTTTTTACTCGCGTGAAAGCTGGTTAGAAGTATTCCGAGCACCTCTTGGCAAAACACTATTTACGCTGAAAAACTGCTCATCATGCTTTGTGGGGTTGGTTTGATATTGCACCATATGTGAAGAAGCTGGTGGGTGTTGTGGCTCTTTGATGGGTTCAATGGCCGGCCCACTCTTTCGGCTTTAGCGCTGGCGTGTATTCATGAACCACATGCAAGCTGGTGTCGCTCTACAACCTTACATTCTCGATCCTTCTATACGAGTGATGTCAGCAGATCTTTTCGCAGAATTCGGGGCCGACCCTCCTTTGAACCAACAGCAGTCGCAGCCCATCAATACGCGGAAGACTATACCTGTTGCATCAGATTTCAGCTTCTTCAATGACCTGGCCAACACACCAATTTCAGCAACACCGTCACAGCAACCTCCGCCTATACGCAACAATCAAAATTTTGGTTCGACCTCCGTTCAAGCATCCACAGTTGAAGACAATGACGACTGGGGTGACTTTGAGGGCGGCACATCCACCGAACCCGCTCCTGCCGCCAAGCAAGATCCGTTCGCCTTCACGTCGCCTCCAGTCTCCCAACCACCATCGAACGCATGGAACATTACGTCAACCACCAATGACCCTTTCGCATTTACATCGCAACCATCCTCCCAACCGGTGGAGCAAACATGGCAGCGAGCACCCATTGTAAAGGCTAAGAAATCAGCCGACCCAAGCGTACTGTTCGATGCAGAAGATGATTTTGATGATGACGACGACTTTGGTGATTTTGAAGGCAAACAGGAAGGTAAAGCGCTCACTGCAGCACATGTTGCATCGTCTTCACCACTCGTGGATTTGTTAGGTGATATGAGCATATCACAGTCTCAACCACCCGTCCCGAGGAGTGGAAATACTGCCGGCGCAAGTCGAGTTTTGGAGGGCCAAATGACCACGAGCAAGAAGCTTAAGGCCGGATTTGGTGCTGCTACTAAACCGAAACGGCCAGTCCCAACACCTCCACCAGCAGCAGAGAAAGAAGATGATGGATGGGATGAATTCGATGATTGGGAGGCTTCTATCTCTACTAAAGCACCGAGCAGAAACGAGACTATGCAGTCGACTGAAAACGTTGAATCAGCCACTACACCAGCTCCGATACTTTCTCCTACAGCACCAGACCCGAAGCCCGGTGAATTACCTCCTACAAACGTGCCGCCGCCAGGTGTGTTGCTATCACTTTTCCCTTCTCTATTTGCGGAGGCACAGGAGAAGTTATTCAAGCCCATGGCAGCGCAACCCCTACCCATGAGGAACAAGTTGCTCGCCGAGCCCGCGACAATCGCCTACCTCCAAGGCTACCTCGCCCTTGGGAATGTTGCGGCACACATCATAGCTGGTCGGAAACTGCGCTGGAAGCGAGACCAGCACCTGTCCCAAGGCATGCGGATAGGCCCCGCGTCATCACGAGCAACTTCCGGGATGAAGTTGACGGGCATTGATAAGGGTGAGAACATGAAAGAAGAGCGGGAGGTCTCAGACGTGGTCAGAAGCTGGAAAGAGCAGGTTGGGCGACTACGACATGTCGTATCTGGAGCAAATCAAATCAAAGCTGGTACTCTGGACCGTGGGCCAGACTTGCAAGAGACGATGCCGGTAAAGATGTTGAAGCAGTCTGAAGGTGGTATACCGGCGCGGCAGCCTTGTATGCTGTGTGGATTGAAACGGGAGGAGAGAGTGACTGCAGCTGATATGGCCACAGACGACAGCTTTGGCGAGTGGTGGATAGACCAGGTCAACATGCATCGAGGTGTGTCTATGCGGATGCCGCGGCGAGGACAACTGCTAACCCCAAGCCTAGGCTGCAGGAATTTCTGGAACCAGCACAAAGGCACTCTTCGACAACACTGATGGCTTGAAGCCTCTCCAAATGTCCAGATTGGATGCATGGGTTCGGCACACGGCATGCACAGGAGCCATGTTCAACCAATGGCATTTTCCGGGGTATGCGGAGCTAATCACGGTGGTCGCAACCTGCACGATCTTCTGCATGACGAGCAGAGAATTCAAAAGCCTCCATTGAGCGACTGACATCTGTTACTTCCATACTCACTGTACATACGGATGCTGGAGAGGCAGCGGTATACCACGTTCCTATGGGCATGCTATGACGACATGGACACCGGTTAGATTTGCGGGACGTTTACCCTGTGCGCAAGGTGATGGAAGACGCGGCAGAGCAGCACATGTCAGAGGAAAGGCTAGTGGAGGCTTGTCGGACAGATAAAGCCAGGTCCGGCTGCGGAAGCTTGTGTGGCACAAGTGGATGTTCCGCCAGAAGCATTGGGTATCCCAAGTATGGTACGCAGATTTGGTTTATTGTGCAACCTCGCCGTCTAGCGTGCCATGATGTAGTGTTCTGGTGGTGTTCCGCCCCAGTCGGTCTGGTAGATCAGATCTGATAGCGTCGACGGCGGGTGGATCGTCTGTGCACTTCGCGGGGCCAGCGTGGGCGCAATGCAAATAACGCCGTTGCCGTCTCAAGTCGCATAGTGCCCGCGACGTAACTACATGCCATTCACTGTACACGCCTACTGCTCTTCCGTTGACTCCAGCCTGCATCTCGCATCGCATTTCTTACTGAACAGCCAATTCCGTTGCAGGTGATATCCGACTCAAGCCCTCAGCAGCCCTGCCGCCCCCGCCAAAGCCTTTGCACCACCTGCCCGCGCATCATCCTGCCGTACCCCAGAAGCGATATATCCGCTCCAAACGCGACACACGGGTCAGTACACATTAAGCTGTGTACCTGTAGACCAAGACCAGTCATCTCGCCGTTATTCGCTGTGTCTGATTTTACCGAGCCGAGACAATTGCCCAGGCCTGGGAACAGGCGCTCGTACGCCTCAGGGAATGAGCAGGCCAAATGATCATGGTACGTCAAATGACCCTTCGTCTCACGTCGTGACGCCCACGACTGTCTCAACGGCCTGCATCACCGAGTTCCGATGACAAGCTTCGTAAGCTTGGCCGCTCAGAACGCTTCCGCGAGTTGTACGCACCGAGAGAGAAACTGGACCGAGGCGCTGCACTCACTCAGACTGCAGTATACGATAGATGTCCGACCTCAATACTCGCATCTTGCTCTACTAGACTACCTAGCTCGCCACTTGACACTGCATACTACCGCTTGACATGGATTTGTTAGCTGACATCCTCACCCCGCCAGGCTCTCTACCAGAAGAAGCACCCTTCAACTCCTTCGCACAGTCACAGCACCTCTCCGAATATGCCCCGCTGGTCAAGACGAAAAGCACCTCGAGCCTGCTGAACTGGCGAACCGGGCCGCCGCCACCCATCGATACGGCTAAGCGCCTGAGCATCGATGCAGGGCAACTCGACCGCATGGCAAGGTGAGTGGAACGAGGAGAGAGGTGGCCGTAGAAGGAGGCCGGTTAGGAAGGAGCATCCTCTGGGTTGTGGGCCATGGCTGACACATATGCACCAGGTCGCCCATTGTGCCCGAGCATGAACACGGTCTAGGATCCTCAGGCCTTCGTCGCATCCGTCAGCAGCCAGGCCCAAGACAGCTGCAGACGACCCAACGAGCCGCTTCGTTGAACATCGCCACGCCACCAGTATCGAGACATCCTTCTGAATCTGCGCCCACAGCCCCCGGGTCACCGACCTTCGCCTTTGGTGAGGATCTCACTCGCTTTCCCTCTGAGTCTCTACACTCGTTCTCCTTTGCGACACAATCAGAAGAGTTCATACACAATCGCCAGAATGTGCTGAAGCGGTCCATCGAGTTTATGCGGGACAGGCTGGGCTGGGCCGCGACAAACCCTGGAATAGCAAACGCCCAGGCAAAACTCAGCGGCGATCAGGAAGTGCAGAGCATGATGGAGCTGCTTACACGGGCAAACCTAATAGGTCAAGACGGTACAGGAGCTCATGGACTGGGAGCTCTAGGCCCTGTGACAGGGCCTGCGGACATGTCTGGTGAGAACCCATTTGAGAAAGGTTTCACAGTCGATCGATCAGCCAGCCCCGAGAACATGCTTCAAGCTGCGAGACCACCAGTACACAGGGTAACTACGACCGATAATGCCGATACCAGCAGTACATCAGACTCTCGGGAAGGGAGAAGCTCATCAAGTACCGACTTCACCTCCGACGCTTCGAGCACACGCGCAGCAGCAGTTTCTCCACCTCCACCGGCCTCGCAACCTGCACGTCCCCAACGAGCTGCACTGAAACGAACCCTTACCGACGTCGTGCCTCTTACAATCCAAAGCCAACTCCACGATGCATTGGCGCAACCATATCGGGTGGGAGACCAAGAGAAAATCAGCGACCTCGTATCTCCTAGCACTATACCAACTCTGCCGCCAAGTTTCAGCAATGCACCAGGGCCTCATTCTGCGGGATCAGCGCCGCATGGACACGGAAGCCGACACGCTCCAGCAGCACAAGCCATATTCACCACCGAGACAGACACGCCATGGACCATCACATCCGCAAATGACTTGGCATGCCTTGTGTTTGGTGTAACGAGGGCTGAGGTGCGCAAGTTGGGCATACTTGAAGTTGTACGAGAGGACCGTAGGAAGTGGCTCGAAAGCAAGCTCAGGGATCCCGAAGTTGGCTCGAAGAACGCACTGTCCGGAGCGTCTCCTGCTACTAACAACCTGAAAGTCGGCAGTGGTGTCACAGCACGGTTATTGAGTAAGGCGCCATCACGAGTGATCGCCGCGAGAAAGGCACAGACGGACGATGGTAGTGGTTCATCGTACTACAATGCGAAGAAGACGGGCAAGCTGAACCACGAACACAAGGGCTCACGAGGCGTCTTACTTTGTGGAGACGTCATACCGATACAGAAGCGCAATGGCTCGACTGGATCTGCCAGCTTGTGGGTCAAAGAGAAGCGGGGTAGTCTCATCTGGGTGCTTGAGGAGATCGCGGAAGATGTCGTATATATCACAGTCGACGATGTAGGCTGCGTATCCAAGGGCTGGGGCGCAACAGAAGCTGTCTTCGGAAGCGATCGGTTACGGAGAGGAATGGATCTCAAGCGACTCATACCAGGCATACCACGACTTCGAGGAACAAACACTGGGGCGCTAGACTATGAGTCGATCGACGAGTTTCGCAGCTACACGGCTCGAACTTCAAACAGCATCAACATACCAGTGACCGTGGAAGCGATGCCTGGCGAACCCACTTTCCGCGTCTCTAGTTTCCCACATATCGCGGGTATCATCGTTTTATCATCCGACGACCTCAAAATCACAAGCTCCAATTCTGTCTTTTCATCAGCTCTGTTCGGACAGCCACGGCCCGAAGGTATTCACGTGAGCAAGCTCATACCCGCATTCGACAGGATACTGCACGTCATGACCGATGAAGACAAGATTGAGTTGGTCGACGGAATAGTCATCCCCGAACACAGCTTCCGCCGTGCCCGTGCCCTGCTCGCCATGCGAGAGGGTAGCGCAGATGCGGCAGCGATCTTCCTGCGACCAAGTGGACTGCCAGCACTACATCGCGACGGCTCGGAAATCATGGTCGACGTGCAGATGCGAGTGGTCAAGAGCGAAAAGTCTCCCCGATTCGATGAGAATGTCATTGAAGAGGAGGATGGGTCACCCAAACCTACCACGGGTCCAGAGCTGGTCTACGCCTTGTGGATAACATACTCCAGGCAGCTGCATGCTGCAAACCATGGTATTGGTCCCGTGACTCCTCTCATGTCACGACCACCCTCACCGCGCCAACCTGAACCAGGCCAGTCAAATTTTTCTGTGCCGCAAGAACCCGAATCGCATCAATCACAAGGAACGCCGCCTGCAGTGTCGCTCCTCACCCAGCAAATTCAAGAAGCTATGCGACCTAACACTCCGCAACAAATTCAGACAAAAGATATGGCTCCATCACGGGTTCCTGTGCAGGAAGAGCCATCCAAAAAGAAGACTATCAACGATTTTGTAGTTCTAGAGGATATGGGCCAAGGCGCGTATGGGCAAGTTAAGCTCTGTCGGTACAAGAAGGTCAGTAGCAAGAAGGTTGTGATCAAGTACGTTACGAAGCGGCGGATTTTAGTTGATACATGGACGCGAGACCGAAGGCTAGGAACTGTGCCGCTCGAGATTCACGTACTAGACTACCTCCGACGTGACGGGTTCAAGCATCCCAATATTGTAGAGATGGCCGATTTCTTCGAGGATGATATCAACTATTACATCGAGATGGTACCACACGGTCTACCGGGCATGGATCTTTTCGACTATATCGAGCTGCGAGTCAACATGGAAGAGAAGGAGTGCCGTAAGATCTTCGTACAAGTGGCAGAAGCGGTACATCATCTGCATACCAAGGCGAAGGTCGTACATCGAGATATCAAGGACGAAAACGTCGTCCTCGATGGTGAAGGCAACATCAAGCTCATCGACTTTGGAAGCGCAGCGTACATCAAGAGCGGGCCGTTTGACGTCTTTGTCGGCACTATTGGCAAGTTTCTCTTCCGCTTCTCCATTCACGATGATCATACTAACACTCTCTAGACTACGCCGCCCCCGAAGTCCTAGCCGGAAAAGCTTACCGCGGTAAAGAACAAGACGTATGGGCGCTCGGTATCCTCCTTTACACCATCATCTACAAGGAAAACCCATTCTACTCCATCGACGAAATCATGGACCACGATTTACGCGTACCGTGGGTCATGTCGGAAGAGAGCATCGACCTCGTGCGACTGATGTTAGATCGAGACGTGGAGAAGAGGATTACGATCAGCATGGTACTGGAGCATCCTTGGTGTAAGGGTGCTGGTGCTGGCAGTGGGGTCGTCGGGGAAGCTGCCTAAGGGCAGAGACGGAGAGGGACGAATATACAGAACGACTTTACGATCATTTGCATACGGATGGAACGGGACGGAGTGGTGCTGGACGGAATAGGAATAGGCGTGCTGTTATAGAGCGCTTTTCCTTTTTCTCGGTTTACACACATTGTTCGCAAAACTGCGCTATATGCATTACGGCATTGTTTGGTAGGGCGAGAGTTGAAAAAATAAATACCCAAGATTTTTTTTGTTTCGCACTAATACTTTGAATATGATTGTTGTTGTGAACTCGACCTCAAGCCAAATCACTTTATGCCATGTTGAGGAGTGCGACAGTCTTGCTAGCGCATGTTTTTGGGGAGGTTAACGCGTCCTCCCGCACAAATAGCAGTTCCATAGTTCATTGAATTAGTTCTGAGCGACTCACACCGCCTGTCTGTATGCTTTCCAACGCGCATCGCCATTCGGTGCCGGCGCCACACTCAGTTTAACGTGGCAACATATCACGCTTCGGCCCCCAACCTTTCCAAACGGTACGACACTCCCTGTACTTCAGCCTCAGGCGAGGCTGAGGTACATAGCATGGCCTCGTTGCTGCGCAGAAGACAGGCTCCTGAGCCAATGGCGAAGCAGCGCCACAATTGTGCCGCATATTAGGCGTCCAGGACAGCCACGAACACCCTGTATCTCAGAATAGCTTGAATGGGTGTCTTCGCGCGTCGGTGCGGGACATGTCTTATTATTTGTACTCGCGGTCCGTTATCTACGTTCCGTTAAAGGTATCGCAATACCCACAGAGCGTTTACACACCGGTTCCACACACTCAAACAATACTGTTGGCGCTTCATCGCGATGTTATCTCCGACGCCAAAGAATAAAGCCTCCAGTATATGGTCTTTTGATTCGGGCTACGGCTCTGCCACTTTAGAAGACGACGAAGGATTCCAGGTACTACTCTATTTGTAATCACCCGTGTTATGCAGCCGCTAATTCTGCTCAGATCAACCAGTCAGGAAGCTCTTCGATCTACAGAACGCTCTCTCCATTCCGACAAGAACGTGACCATCCAGACCTTGGCGACTCGTTGAACCTTGAGGTAGAAAATGGAATTCGCTTGAGAGCAACTGCCAATTCGACTGAGCCCCAGGATGCCAGACTCGATGTGTTCACCGCGAAGGTTTGCTCTAGTAACGAGTCTTTGTTCGTGACACAAAACAACGGTCATGATTGCCTTCGATGTCAACTCTGGAACATAGCAAACCCCAGGGAGAATCTTAGATGCGAAGACTGTACCCGTGAAGCTTTTGCAACATCGGAGGCTATCGTCTGTATCGCTGAACAGCCGAAAACGACCACTGCACAACTTCGACTGAATATCATAAGTGAACCTCCGTCGAGAAATCTCTCCCAACCTAAGGGTACCGGGCGATGCTCTGCATGTGAGATCTCGGCACTTATCGGCCCGGATCAGGCTGCCAATTGCACCTCATGTGATCCGAATACAGAACTATCATCACCATCTTCAGCAAGCCAGCTATTAAAGGTCAAACGTTCAAGTGCTCGACGACCGCCTACCAAACTTGAGTTGCATGCTACGCGATGTCTGCAAGGGTGGCTAAAAGACAACCGAAACAACCGTAAGTGTCCCTGTACGAACTGCATGTGAGACATACACTGACTTCGTACACTTACATCTAGCTTATCCAGACACTGATACCAAACGTTTACTAGCCGAAAAATGCGCCATCACTGAGAAACAGGTTAGCACTTGGCTCACCAATGCAAGGGCAAGAGGAAGGTTTGTCGATGCAAGTTCGTCAAATTCGGCCTCGGAAAATGAGGGTTCGCGGAAAACTAGACTTTCGAACGTGACATCGACGGCGAAATCGAACGGAGCATGTTACAATCGCCGCAGTTCTGTTACGTCTCATTACCCAGCCGAAAATTCCAACCAAACAGGTACAGTCACGTCGAGACGAGGCAAGAAAAAGGATTACGGCCAGTCTAGCAACATTCCTCATGCAACCCACCAGGTCTTACCCGTCCTGCCAGCATCGATATCACTATCTGTCCACGAAACAGATAACGGTTCAAAGACCTGGCAATGTACTTTCTGCTACCAACATATCGCACGCAAGTCCTGGCGCCGCCATGAGGAAACCCAACATCGTCCGAAACGAAAGTGGACATGCTTGCTTACTGGTCCAAGTCTCACGCTTCCATCTCGCTCAGACACGTCCATATTCTGCGTCTTCTGTATGGTATCAAACCCTAGCGATGAGCACTTTGCACAATGTCACCGCATAGCCGAGTGTATGAACAAGGTCGAAGATGAAAGAACATTCTTGCGGCCGGATCATCTACGCCAGCATGTCAAAAACTTCCACAAAGCAAAACTGGATGAGACTATCCGCAATCTTTGGAGACGAGAAGGGCCTGGCACCGATTCCGTAGAAGACTGGGTCTGCGGATTTTGTGCAAAGGTGCTGAAGACGTGGGACGACCGAGAGGCGCATATAGCAGGTCATTTCAAGAATGGGCTGACCATGACGCATTGGAAGGGATATATGCGCCAAGATGTCGATGCTGAGGCGAGCAGGAAGAGACCGGTTTCAAGTGAAGGACGACCAAACATGCTCTCAAAGTTAGCTCGGACGCTTACTGGCCGATCAGTGCGCCAACAGCATCACTGCGAGTCACATAGCCAGATCGCCGACACTTTCGACGCTACACCGATATATACGTCCACGTCCGACCCGGATTTACATTTGTTGCCGGAACTCATTTTCGACGACTTTATGCTGGGAGCAGGCGATGGTTACTTTGATTATAACGGTACGACTTTTGCGAGCGCGTACGACCAGGGTTTAGGTTCTGCTGAACGTCACGATTCAGCTTTCCCGGACGGGGATAACACTGGGTTCGACTTTGGCAACCTGACGGAGAATATCACCAACGAAAACTTTTCGAATATGGATACGTTTGGACTTTGGTATCAATAGTTAGAAGAATACGCCATATCTTCAGCCATTCACATCAGAACTTGAAAGATACCAACTGGGATACATGATCGATGCATCTTTTTCATGGATGTCGGCAAAATTGACTGGCGGGTCTCGGTCTATTGCTTCTGTGTGCATATCGTATATGGCCCCGTTCTATCGTGATTGTAGTTCCATATAACTAGTGAACCTAACTGCTTCGTCATCCCCAGCGCGGCCCGCCTCGCTTGCATGGTGCGCGGGGACGTCCAGCCAGGAACCATACAGCTACCCCTCCAAGAAAAAAACGCACCAGCTCTCCAGTCCGACGTCGCATTATCTCGCGCGCCTGCTGTACTCACCACCATCTTCCCCTTTCCATCGATTACACCCCCGATGACCGCGCCTACGCACCTCGATCCCAGCGAACTGGGCACCAAGTCGTACTGGGAGGCCGCCTACAACACCGAACGCCAAAATTTCGCCGCAAACGCCGACGACGAAGGAACGATATGGTTCAGCGATGCAGGTGCTGAGGAGCGCATGCTGTCTTTCCTTGAAGACCTCAGCGATGAAGGCCACATACACAAGGAAGGTGACGGGGATGACAAGAAAGCTGCACGATTTCTAGACCTAGGAACAGGGAATGGACATCTGCCGTTTGCGCTGCGGGAAGACGAGTGGAATGGCGAGATGGTGGGCGTCGATTACTCTGCGCAGAGCATTACGCTTGCGACGTCAATCCGCGATGCGAAGGATGCCTCTTACGAGGACATTGCGTTCCATGAGTGGGATATCTTGTCGCAGCCACCGGGCGCATGGCTGGGCTCTGGCTTCGATGTTGTACTGGACAAGGGCACATTTGACGCTATATGCTTGTCGCAAGAGGAAGACGCCCAAGGTCGCAGGATTTGTGAGGGATATAGGGCAAAGGTTGAGCCGCTCATGAAGAAGGGCGGTAGGTTCCTCATTACGAGCTGTAATTGGACAGAAGAGGAGCTGAAGGGCTGGTTTGCAGGCGGAGAGCTGGAGTTTGAGGGCAAAGTCAAGTACCCTAGCTTCACGTTCGGAGGCAAGACGGGCAGCAGTGTTGTTACGCTCTGCTTCAAGAGAGTGTGATTCGGCGCATCGTCTATCAAGAAGGAAAACTACCACTACTGCTACGATCGAACAGCCCGCCGTATCCGCGCCAGAACGAGCCACTTTTTCCGCTCGCCCATATTTTCCAAACCGCCATCGCGCTCCTTGGCCCATGGCCGCCGCTGTCCATCCACATCCATCTCGTATATCTCCTCCACCTCGAGCCCTTGGTCCGGCACCACCTCTTCGAAGAAGGGCGCGACCTTGGCGCGACCTGTGTGGAAGCCTGCAATACAGTATATACGTGCGCATGGTTTGTCGGAAAGGAAGTGCAGCATCGATTTGGCAAGGCTCTCGTGCTCCCATGGCATCCAGAGACAATCGGCTGCGAGGATGCGCGTGTAGCGGTGCGCGTGCGAAGTTTCAAAGGGTGTGCTTGTCGAGCCCCATTGATGGCCTTCGACGGTCACGTTGGGTTTCAAAGCCGCTGGGACGTTCTTCGCGACGTTGGTTTTGAGGGTATCGAGGATAGGAGCGGCCGGGTAGTCGGTGATGGCGACCTAGCAGGCTGTTAGTTGAAATATGCGGGTGTCCGGGCACGGACGTACCTCTTTCGCGCCCGCCAACGTACTAAGAATCCCACCTAATCCTACGCCTGCGAGCAATGTTCCATCAGTACTCTCTTCTTCACCTATCTTTCCAGCCCAACCCACCTGCACCCAACTCCAACACCGTTTCGCCCTCGACACTCCACTGTTTCTCCTCCTCCTTGTCCGTCCACCACTGGCCGTCTTTCCAACCCTCCTCATCTTCGAGCAAACCCTTGCCATTTGCGCCTAAATCCCCGCCCTCGACCCGCCCACTGACCAGCTCTGCCATCATGACGCCAGCATTCCACAGGTAATGCGCAAACTTTCGTCTCTGCTCCTCGCCATTCACATCCGCTACCCTCAATTCCAACTCTCCAAACTTGGCGTTGCGATACAAGATGACCGTGTTTGGATCGTCGCCATGCTGGTTCTGTGTATCATCGGTGAAGATGCCCCCGAGGGAGGACCCAAAGATGTCTTCAGGCTCGAGGGGCGTGTTGAGTGGGCGGCGGAGGTTTATTAGCGAAGGGAGTAGCATTCCGAGTGCGGATGTAGGTGTGGATGAAAGGATGCGGTGGGCGTCGGCTGGCGACGTGTCTTAGACAAGCTGGAGATGATTGTCGCACAACGCAATGATGCGCGATGGAGGGGCTCGCGAAATCTTTAGTGGGGCAGATGTGCTAAGCTGTAGAGGGAATAGTTCGCGGGTAGGATGCAGGGTCAACGCGTGGTCAGTCATGTTGTGAGATCATCACTTGCCGAGGCTGCTGCTCATGGCGTTCGTTTGAAACTGCGACTTTCCTCCTCACTTTTCTTGTCGATTCTCTTCTTCTGGTGGACATCATACTACCAGCTTCTGCTAACAAGGTTGATTACAACACGTAACCGCTACAATGTCGTTCTCGTCGTTCAAGAATCCGGCGACATACCATTTACTCAGGTACAAAGCTACTTGACCAGCTCACAGCGCAACAAGTACTCTAACAGAACTATAGCTATGGCACCCTCCTCGGCTCAACGCTTTTCCAATCTTTTGTCTCAGGCATCGTAGCCTTCCGCGTCCTTCCGCGTCCCCAATTCTCCACGCTCCAAAAGCACACCTTCCCCGTATACTTTACGCTACAGACCATCACTCCCGTCGTAATGCTGCTCACCTACCCGCGAGGGGGTGCATCCTCTCTACTCCCATTCCTCTCTTCGTCCCCTATCCCACCAACCGCAACCGACAATCTGAGTTCCTGGCTGCACACTACCATGTTCCTTACAGCGCTGGTGAACTGGGTGTACATTGGGCCCAAGACAACGGAGGTTATGGGTCTGAGGAAACATCAGGAGACCAGGGATGGAAAGAAGAGTTACGATGCTGGACCGCACAGCAAGGAGATGCAGGCACTGAACAAGCAGTTTGGTATCTTGCATGGTGTCAGTACTTTGGTTAACATGGTAGGATTGGGGGCTATGATATGGTACGGTGCGGTACTAGCTGATGGTCTGAACTTGTAAGGTGTTAAGATGATGTAAATATCTGGCGCCACAGTCTTTGGGACCACAGTTTTTGGGACTGTGAGAGTGCCATGGCATGAAAACACGATCGACGGTTCAGCGGCGCGCCTCCGTGTTTGCTAAGGTTTGAAGAGTGAGCAACATGAGCGTGAAGGAGAAGACGAGGGATAAACGAAGAAACGGAAACACATGGCTAGCTCGATCGTTAGGCTTAGGATCGTGCGGTTGTGCATTCAATATTGAGCACATGGCGTGTCCAGTTCATCATACAACAAACGCCCATGCCTTGACAGCAGCTGGCAAAGATCCCTTCTTCATGTTCGCGCAACCCCATGTTCTTACCCGGCAGTCGTCTTTTTAACATACTGTATCATGGCAATCACATTACAGGGACTCAACTCAGTCAAGCCCCCAAGCGCCCACACCGAAGCTTGCTTAACGAGGCAACGAAACGCAACATATGATGACAGGCGAGTGCAGTATCGACAACTTATCTCTCGCGCTGTAACTCAGCGTCTACATTCGCCTTCTCTTGATGACCTTACGAAGACAGATGTGGGTCATACACTTGCGCATACGTTGAAAGCATGGGAGACGCAAGAGCGTTGTATTGCACGAGACAAAGCTCGAAACGAGGCCGAAATGCTGGGTATTCCATGGAGTAAGACCACCCTTCCCTTTGTATGTATCTCTGCATTACATACCGGATTCGACACGCAGATGCGACTGACAGACGATAGCGCAGTTCGTCCGTGATGTCGAAAGTGCTACCCTTGAAGTCCATATCCTCACGCCAACACGGTACGAAGCACCACCGAAAAGCAAGAATAATAATCAAGAAGCGAGTGAGATAAATGAAGGATTAGCATACAGGTTCGGCACCTCGGAGAGTCTAGCACAGGACAAAGAATGGAAGAGAAGAGATGCGGCCATTTACAACATGCTCAGGGCTTTTCGGACGGGACGGGCTGGCAGCTGAGAACTTTCCACTGGCTATTGCTCCGCCTCCACGTTGATAACGACAGCAATAATGCATGATTGGCTTATACCTACCCTGATGGCACTCTAGCAATGTTAGTATAAGCTTATATTACCGTTTTACGTGAAGATGCGCGGTGTCTCCTTGTGCCAAGTCAAAGTGCATGGAAGCCGACCATCATGGTTCGCGCTGGCTACGGGTTCCACGTAAAGCTTAAATGGTCAAGAAATCCTCATAATTGCTTGTTGTCTTTTCGGCTTTGCTTGTCCCGATTGGAATTGCATTCAACCATGGCGGAGATGATGGTCCGGATACTGACTATCACATTGGCCAGTTCCACAGCGCTTGTACTCAGCAACCCCATTTCGAGTCAAAGGAGTTCAAAAAAGCCCACAGATCTCAGCGATACAAGACGATCACTGTTACAAGATTTTGAAGCCCTCGGAGCATGGTTCGACAGCGTGGCAGCGATCAACACGACCACACATCCTACCCCATTGGAGAAGAATGCGACGATTGCGATCGTTGGTGCTGGAATTTCAGGCCTCGCCACAGCACTGATGCTTGATAGCGTTGGCGTGCATAACTGGGAAATCATCGAGGCAAGCGATCGGGTTGGCGGAAGATTTCGCACAAAATACGTTGGTGGCACGCAAGAGTGGGCGGAGATGGGACCTATGCGCCTTCCTCACTCTATAACGTATAAAGACGGAGAAACTGTCGAATACAGCGATCACCAGATGGTATTGCAATTGGCTGATATGTTGAACGAGATGAATGGGAACGATCCGCAATTCAAAATCGAGTTCATCCCGTGGATCCAACACCATGTTAACGAGATACTCGGGCTGGGAACGGGCAGACATCCCGATGGACGACTCCCAACACGAGCGGAAATTGAAGCAAACTCGACTCTCGGGCGACCAGCACCACTAGATACGCAAGAATACAAGGAAACGAAGCAGCGCATGAACGAGCTGTTGAAATCGAAAGAAAGGCTCAAGGCTGTACAGCGCGACGTGTGGCGCGAACACAAGAAGGCCATGGATCAAGGTCTCGACGACTGGAGCGAACAGGCGATGATGCGCCACGTCTTTGGCGCAAGTGAAAACGTTACAGATGCAATCTGGACAGCGAGCGACTACGACGTCTTCTGGGATGAGCTAGTGCACAACTCCAACCTTGCGCAGGATGGTGGAACGGATGCACTAGGCAAGACTGAGTGGAGATGCGTGGATGGAGGCTTCAATAGGCTGTCTGATGCCTTCCTGCCACATATCAGTGACCGTCTAATCCTCAACCGCAAGGTTAGAAAACCGGAGGCCCTCGAGGATGACAAAAGTAGCACGAGACTATCGTGGTACCCCAGTGCCAGCAACAGAACATACGAGTCAAAAGAATACGACTACACAATCATGGCAGTACCTTTCACCATGACCCGCTTCATGTCGCTTCCAAAGTTCTCCTCGGTACTCAATCGCACCATTAGCGAAGCAGGCCTCCGTTTCAAGTCTGCCTGCAAAGTCGCACTACTCTTTTCAGAACGCTTCTGGGAGGGGGACGACCGTCCGATCTTTGGCGGATACTCGACGCCCCCTAGCGCGGCCGTGGGCGCTCTCTACTATCCAGTCTATGGCCTCAATGAGTCGCGACCAGGCCTGATCCTGCATTATCGGGGTGGCCACTGGAGTGAAGAATTCGCAAGTTTCTCCGACGAAGAGTACGTGCAAACTGTGTTAGATGCCGTTGTCAGTGTACATAGTGAAAAGGCTAAAGACCTGTACACGGGCGACTATGAGAAGCTATGTTGGCTAGAGGATGAGCATACGGGAACAGCATGGTGCCGACCGGATGTGATGCAGCACAAATTGTATATTCCGGCATACCATCAGACCGAGCATAATACCATCTTCATTGGTGAGCATACAGCGCCGACTCATGCATGGATCAGTTCGTCGCTGCATTCCGCTGTCAGGGGTTCGGTGCAACTGCTGCTTGAGCTGGATCTGGTGGACGAGGCGAAGAAGGTGAATGAGGAGTGGATGGGCGGGTGGATACAGAAGTGAGCCATATATTCTGAAATATGTACCGGATACATGGTGCCAGTTGCTGGCGGTAGTGGGTGTACATGTTGCAAACAGAAGACGTACTGCACTAGAGCAAGGAACTTGATCACTAATCATGATGTTTGTTGAATTCCCCCCTCGCCGCGCACAATCGCTCCCATCAGCTTCGACATAACATCATCGCACCATGCCACGAGTTGTCACCTTGACCACACCCATCCAAACTGAAAGCGGTAAAAGCAATAGCACTCAGTCACGATACTGTGAATCTGAATCCGCCTTGACTTTCGAGGTCTCCCACTGCCAGCCACGTGGTTTTGAATCAACGTCAGTGGTGGTTTAGGAGCAAACAACAAAGAATCTTAGCACTATTCTATTTCTTTAATTGCACTCAAGGTATACATCTTCAAGATGACCCGGTCCTAGACGCTACAAAATCTCCAATCATCGTCAATGTATTTCCTAGGAGATAGCAGCGAACGCCCCGCATTAGGTTTGCAGGCGAACTATGCCCGCAGCTACGCTGTATTTTTTAGCATCCCACACACGCATACACAACCATTCACGATTTTTCCAGCAATCCGATGAGCAGCAAAGCCCACTATGGTTACCGTATGCTAGAAACCACCTTCCAAAACAGCGAGAGCGCTGCCGCAAGCGTCCCACCTTAAGCATGTCTATGCAACGCCCCATTCCTCTAGCACATGTAGGTCCTTGCTGTAAGCCGAAGGAATCACGCTACACTGAAAGTCTCGAAGAACTGTATAGCCGGTCAGCCGAATAGATTGCGGCGTAGTTGGAACATCGCATCTTCTCATATCCAACACACTCAAGCGTGAAGAAGGATGAAGTTGGAGGTCTAGCCTTTCCAGACAGCGTTGGAATCTACGCAAGACAGTACCTCTACTTCAGTATATATATATCTGAATCATTGCGCATTGGTATCTTCATCCACCATTCATTCTAATCGTCTTCAAACAACTGATCCTCAAATCATGTTTGCCTCTCAGCTTTCCCTCTACGTTCTTCTCGCCCACCTTAGTGTATCATGCACCAGTGCGTATATCCCGGCACGTCAACTTAGCCTCACCCCTCCGGTGATTACTTGGGAATTCCCAGCTATAACTTCGACTCCTATTTCGAAGCAACCATCCCCAACACCTCCGGTAATTACATGGGAGTTCCCCGCTATTACGCCGCCCACTACCACAAAACCAAAGGCGACTGCGAAACCGAGTTTGCTACCACCGGTAATTACATGGGAGTTTCCGGCTTTGCCCCCGTCATGTATCACGAGACAATGCCGTATTGTTGCCACACCAGCTCCACTCTAGCGGGTTGCAAGAAGCGGAAATACGTTGAAAACAAAGCTGTAAGATTTGGGAAGGGACGAAAGCTAAAACACAAAGTGCGGTAGTGTTCGAGACTTCGCAATGGGAATATAATTGCGCCACTTTTGCACCCAGTTGTTACGTCTTGACGAGCTCTTCTGGGGCTACCAAAGTTACTATGGAACGATATTTGAGCTCGTCTAGTTACCAAAGTGAAAACCAATAGATCCTATCAATACTGCCCTGAGACCCAACACCATCACTCTAGACAACGAACCATTCAATTTTTTAATTTTTTTTCAAGATTTTGTCCATCTCACTACTAAGATCCATTCGCACCTTTGATGTAAGGCTGTTTGTAGTTGTAAGGAGGAAGCTTATCCGAGTACCAAGGATCACACGTCAACTGTAGAAAGCCGGGGTCAGAACTTGGAAGTCTACCCATCCTACTAAATGATGTACTCTTGTACCTAAATCTCCATTTGTAGTTATAGATGAAATCCTCTTGGGGGAACCAATCGTTCTAGCTTATGGCTTGGCTATTGTGTGTGCGTGGGCTCTTCGTGAGTGCAACATACACTGAGCCAATCTGGAGATTTGCAAAGATCGTGGAGGTGCTTCTAATAGGCCTTGGTGTTGATTGTAGATATGGACTATGCTAAAATCTCTTGAGTGTTGACCAATTCCGGAATCTGACCTTAGGTCGCCCGAGGACCTAGGTCGAACTCATGGTATTGGCTTAGTTGATGGCCTTCTTCAGGTAACATGAGCAAGCCAGTCATCTAATTTGCTCCAGTCGATAGGATCCAATGTCATATCGTCTACAATGTAGTCCGCAGCTAAGAAAGTGTCCAAGCCATCCATCTCCATGTTATCGAGACTTGGGCCGTTGAAATCGTTAGGAGACATGAAAGGATTGGTACCATCGGACACAGGGTCCTGAGAAAGTCCAGATGATGTTTGAGGTGAATTGTGCGCTAAATCCAACAAGATGTCAGCGTCGTCAGCTATGATACCGCCGCTAAGCTGGCATGTATTAGTCCCGATTATATCAGTAGAGCTAGCAATATGGCTGTTGTTCGCATTGCGTTTCTGTCGTCTCGCCCTTGCGCTATCGCGTTGGTGACATAGACGTGCTATGAAGCTAGGCAGCGATGATACGGGCACACCTCTTGAACGAAGCAGCACCTCCCGATCTTCATATGCCTTCAAGCATAGATGGCCCACAGCAGCATGAACGGGTTTCCTCATGTCCTCAATCATCTCCGGGTTGTTGTCGTAGGTTTCACCAATGAGTCGCCAAGCTCGATTAACATCAATAACTTCGGGATCGGCCCGAAGGATATCTAGTACGTGGATGAAAGCGTGCCATTGCCGATACCAGGGAGCGTTCCACGCAAACTGCTTGATGGAAGGATTGGTCTGCAACATTACTTGTTGTTCAATAAGCTTGAGACAAATTTCCCAGATCTTTTGGCGCTCCCCAAGCGGTGTTTGCTCGAAATTTCCCCAGTTTCGTGGATGATGCATCAGAAAGCGGGCCACATTCAGACCGTATCGAGCTACTAGCATCGTGACGAAGTGTAAAGGTTGAGACGGATCACAATAGCGAAGATGTTTCGTTTCGATGGCCTCTTCAAGCCCTTGGATCATACTCTCACGATCTTCTTTGTTCTTTCCCGAGTGGTCAAGGTTCATCTGACTGGGGTGCTTTCCTTCTTGTCGAAGAGCTGCGACACGCGTCGCAGCGAACTTTCCCATCTCACACCTTGTGACAACGAAAACAGCATCCGTCAGTCTGTCGGAATGTAGTGGCAGCTCAGACATGGAATGATATAACTGTTCGTCGTTGACGTTGGTAGGCCATTCAGCTCGTTGAGGACCGACATCGGGATCTCGATATTTCGCGAGACCGCACAACTCGGCAGCCCGGGAGTCGTGGGATTTTAACTGAAACCATATACGCCGGCGGATCTCGGTTTCGAATGGAGATAGTCCTAGATACTTTCCGTCGCGCTCAAGACCCATACCTTGAGCGATGCGAACAGCTACGCCAGTAAGCGTCCAGTTGGCGCGTGGCGTATAGACGTCACGAACTGTCGTCAGATGTATGACTAGAGCCTGGAGAATAACGATGCTGGTGGTGTCCATCACCCTTGCTCGTGATAATGCTGTTTCTGTCGCAGAGATGTATTGAGAGAGCAGACGGTTACGCGGCTCAGCGAATCGTTGCTCACATTCGCCTCGACTTAATGACATTACGGCGGAGCCATATATAGCGAACATGAGTGCTTCGAGCGCCCGCGGTATGACCTCAGGGCTTTTGGCAGCTTTCTCAATAATTGGCCTCAAACTAGGTACATGTACCACTTTTGTCAATGGATCAACGTTGCTAACGAAGATCTCCCAAAGTTGATGTAGCCGATTCATCGGTGGGTGGCGAGGCCTGCCGCTGGGATGGGTATGCTTGATGAGCGCAAATCCTGAGTTGTCAATCATCGCCCCGTCTTCACTGGTATCACTTGAGTCTTCTAAATCGTTCCCTGGATCAAGAGACTAGACACTCGTTAGTATTCGTATGGCTATAAGAATACCAGAAGCATATTTGGTACGAGGTTGCCACCTACCTCTTCGACGACTCGATTCCAGAGACTATTTTCGACAAACTTGAAGGGTGCTTGACCTCCCACAGTCGATGTTTGAGCGCTATACGGAGATGCTCCAGACTCAACAGATGAAGGTGTCCGCAGTTGAAGGCCATGTTGCACTTGTTGGTCGGGCACAACATACGTCATAAATTGTGACCGATTTTCCGTCCGACCTGGGAGCCTTCCAAGATCGATCCCCTGTTCTTGGAGAAGAGCCTCATACTGCCTTAATCTTTCAGTCAGTACATTGACTTTGATGCGCCTGTTTCTCTTCTTTGGCGGTTGCGCTGGGTTGAAGACGCAATCAACACTATGCTTGACGCAAGCACTACACGGCTTCTGCCGGTCGCATTTTACCTAGCGTCAACATACAACGTCAGTTCATGTCTCACATGCAGTTCGTACAGGATTGTTCTCCTACCTTTCGCTCAGCGCATCGAATGCAGGAGAAGGTTGGTCTTTTGTGAGTGCTTGAAGAAGGGGTCGCGGTTGCCATTGTCAGGTTGGGCAGCCTAGAGTAAGACTAACGACGGGCGTCGACATGTTCGTTCGTCGCAATCCATTGAATCGAGGTATGGGCAGCAAGAAGAAGATAGCAAGAGTTTGAGAAGGGCTATGCTAGAGGATGGTAGATGCGCGGCGCCACACCGGGAATAGCCCTTGCCCCGCAACTTCATCTCAACGCCCGAGCTGTTGCCCGAATGCACGAAGCCCGAAGCACGCCAACTCCGAAACCTCATCCCCCATTCCTCCAACACGCCCGAGGCGACAAATTCCATCATAAGAGAGAACCAGATATATGATATATATAAAAGCATGATCGACTCCATCATGGCAGAACATTACTCACCAAACCACCATTCACGTCCACCGCACTTCGTCTTAGCCAGACAATTGCACCGACATCGACCATGAACATTTTGATCGTTGGATCAGGCATTGCCGGAACAACCTTGACCTACTGGCTCTCTCACAGTGCTGAAAACACCATCACCATTATTGAAAAATCCCCCTCGCTCTTACCGCATGGCCAAAACGTCGACATCCAAGGCAGCGCTGTAACCTGCATCAAGAAGATGGGTCTGATGCCACAAGTCCAGCTATACAACACAAAAGAGCTTGGTACCCAATTCATTGACTCACACGGAAATCCCTTTGCACCTTTCCCTATCAAAGAAGGAAGTTCAGCAAGCCTAACATCCGAGTACGAAATCCTACGCGGCGACCTCGCAAAGATCCTATACGAAGCAACACAATTCCATTCCAAAGTGACCTATCTATTCAAAACAACAATCACGCAAATCCTTGAAAACAACTCCTCAGGCGTAAAAGTATCTCTCAGCGACAACACAATACGCACCTACGACCTCGTCATTGCAGCAGACGGTCAATGGTCCAAAACACGCAGTCTGATCTTCCCGCCCCAAGACGTCAGGATAACGTATCAGGGCATGTACGCCGTTTATTTCATCGTGCCACGACTTGCATCCGATACAGCATGGTGGAATATCTTCGTCGCACAGGGTTCGCGTACTATTTCCACGCGTCCGGATCCACATGGTACTCTTCGCGCGATGTTTACTTTCATGCCATATACCCCTACTCAAAAGACTCGGTGGGCTGAAGCTAGTAGACTGGGAAGGAGCGCACAGAAGGAACTTGTCCGCGAGGAATTTGCAGACGCAGGTTGGATCAGTGACAGACTTCTTGATGACATGGCCTCAGCACCGGACTTTTACTTCCACGCCATCAATCAAGTTAAGATGGAGCGGTGGAGTCGCAATCGCGTGGTTTGCCTGGGTGATGCGGCGTTTTGTCCTAGTCCGTTGACAGGAATGGGCACGTCGCTTGCAGTGCTGGGAGCGTTTGTTTTGGCGGGGGAGTTGAGCTGTATGGATTTTCCCTCGTCTTCGGCTTCGACTTCAGATTCGTTTAATGCCCTTATTAGTGCGCTTGCGAGTTACGAAGAGAGGTTTCGACCGTTTGTTGAGCAGAGTCAGGAAATCCCGCCTTTTGTACCGGAAATTATGCACCCAGGCTCGGCGTGGAAGAGAATGGTGTTGCATGGATTCTTGACAATGGTATCGAAGGTTGCGAGGTGGGAATGGGTCGGTCGGTGGATGGGGGATGCGGAGAGCAGGGACGATGGGTTCAAGTTACCAGTATACGCGGTGTCCGAAGAGAACAGTGAGAAATTAGACAAGACGGATCGTGAGAAAGAAAGGAGATGATGCGATCGTCTTTCAGTATACGAACATGGGTATCTCGATTATTACAATGTCTAGTGTAAAACTATCTAATTGAATCAAAACGGAAAAAAGAGCAATAACTCAGTAGCGCTCAATGACAAAGACCATCAACGCCACACTATGTATGATGCGTTGCAAAGCCTCAGTGTTCTTATACACCAACCACTCTAGGCGGCCTCTCAGACAGGTTCAACCCCTCAGTCTTCTGCCTCACAGCAGCCCAGTCTGTAGGATCGCTCTCGACCCTGGTTTCCTCGGAGCCGTCTACAGAAGGTCGATCCGGAGCATCCAATCCACTCTTTGTATCTGCAGGCACCAAGTTGCTAGCCTCATTGATAGGGCTAGCAAGCTCAGGATCTGACTTGTTCTTTACATCATCACCTAGATGTGCAGCGCCAAGCGAGTGTGTGTCATCCTCCTTTAGCACGGCGTCACCAGTTGCCTGGTGCCTAGGTGGAAGTTGAAGTTCCTCCCTTTCGACGTGCTCACCATGCTCCAGCGAGGTGGTAGGAGCAGTGCTCATTCTATGCATGCCTCCACCTCTTGCATTACCATCTACGCTCCTTCGCGCTTTTCCGGGATCTATAACTCTGGTCTGGTCTTCTGGGCAGGCTCTGCCTGGCTTGTCGTTAGGTGTATGAGTGTTTGGTCTTCCTTTTGAGTGTGACCGCCTCCCGTCTTTCTTAGCAACTTCCGTGCTCTTACGCCCAACACGTTGGCCTTCCTTGTGGTCCCCTCGACCTGTGAGGGAACCAATGATGCCGTTCTTGTGCTGCTTCTTTTCTTCTGCAATTGTCTTCTGCAAGGCCTTCCACCGGATAGTCACGTTTTCTTCCACGGATTCCTTCTTCTCAGAGGTCCGTTTCGCTCCCTGTTGAGCTTCTTGAATGGCCGAGACCTGAGCTTTGGACTCCAACATAGACAGCTCTTTTTGTCCCTCGGCGATACGCGCACGGCGTAAATAATTCGTAGGCTGGTACCGCTTCATGTATTCCGCGTCAACACCCTTCATCGTGTATGCCAAAGGGCCAAGAAGAGCGGCTATGTCCTTCAGTACGAAGCCGCCAATGCCAAAGCCCACACCTCGCACTGCGCCCATGACCCCATTCTTCTTCGCGCCGTTGTAAGGCTGGGTAACAAGACCCGAAACACCATCCATGACGCCATAAACAAGCTCATCGCGGCCGGCACGTGTACCAGAATGGAATCCAGTGACTCGAGGTGGGCGGCGCACCGTTTCGTCTCCATATAGGCGCGGAGCATTGTGGAAACCCTGAGTAATGGCAAGTGTCAAGTCCATAGGGAACCGGGCGATAGCGTGTCCTGTTTTCCTGAAGCCAAACGCAGCCTCGCGGCCGAGCTCTTCAGCCAACTCCTCGTCTGGCTCCGTGATTTTCGAAAGCGTTGATTCATTACGATTTGCTTGTGGTCGACTTGTATCTTGTCCGTCCTGCTTCTGCGCCGTACTCTCGGCTCCATCTGGCATATCTGCATTTGCTTTCGCCAGTGTGGCCTTTTTCTGCTCGTGACGCTGTTGATGCTTACGCTTCTTCTCTTTCAGCTTCTCTCGCTTCCTGATGCTCCTGCCCATCTCCACAGGCATGCCTCCTACGCCAGCTGCCGCATCGGAAAACGACGTCATCAGACTACCCCAGACACCAGTGATGGGCTCTCCCGGTCCACCAAAGTCATTCCATTCGTAGTGCCGAATGAGCCGCAATTCGCTCCACTTGAGCTTCTTCTTTTCCACAAGAATCTCAGCGGCGAGTGCGGAGAGCTTGATGTCTGTGTTCTTGATTTTCCACACGGCAGCACGGTTATCGAGGAAATCGCAACGCATGCTGCCTTCTCCATGGAGGGGTAACGATCTGTGGAACGAGCGTACCGCATTGAGAGCACCATCTCCTTCTTTCGCAATGCTGTCAGCAATCTTCTTGACGTTCTCTTTAGCTTCGTCAGTGAGACATTGCTTGATGCCCTCCGCTAGTCGTTCGGCGCTAAGCTTCTTGTAAGGAATGCAATCATGGGCTCCAGCCTTTGCCTTACTGACCATGGCACCCCAGAACGGCTGGTCGCCAAAGAATGGCACGATCATTGTTGGTATTGCGCATTTGAGACCGATAGCGGTTGTGCCGGCGCCTCCATGGTGCACCACAGCGGCACATTTCGGGAACAGCCAGTCGTGGGGTGTGTTCTCTAGCATGAAGACGTTGTCCGGACAATCAGCGTTGGAGCCAAACCCGCCCCAACCTTTTGAAACAAGCGCGCGACAGCCGACAGATTTAACAGCTTCGAAAATGAGGTTCGTGAACTGATCTGGATCGTCTACAACAATGGAACCAAAGCCAATGTAGACTGGGGGAGGTCCGTCTTCCAAAAACTTCTTCAAATCATCAGGCGGCGTGAATGACGAAGCTAAGTCGAGGAAGACAAAACCGGAGATGTCGATCTCTGGACCCCAATCCTTTGGCTTCGGGATGAGTCCAGGTGACCACATATATGTATAAGGTACCTTGAGCCGATAGAGTTGACCTGGCGCCCATATTCTGCTGACCTCCTCCAGATGTAAGATCTGGGTACGGAACCGATTGATAAGATCACCAAGCCCTTGCCACATCATCATCTCGACGAGCGGGTATGACATGAAATTGCTGTAGGTCGCTTCGACATTACTCGCCTTGATATTTGCAAGTGGGTGCGGGAACTGGCTTGTAGGTGTGTAAGGGAACCTGTGGCATGTTAGTGCAGGCTCAAGAATTTGGGCGCAGAGTACTTACGTGAACATCATATGTAGCGGGATACCAAGCTTCTCGGCGATATGTGTTGGGGCAAAACTTGGGGGATTCGAGATGATTGCATCTGCAACGAATGGTGCCTTATCACCCACTACTTGATATTAGCTTCATACAGTGTGTATTAATTCAAAAAAAAAACTTACTCATCTTCACGTTCGTCTTGTCGGTCTCGTCGTCGGTTGCATTGATGCAAGCACGCCACATGCCCTGGAACATCTCGTACATTTGTGACCTTCGTCGACCTATCTCACCCTCCTTGATTGTGTCGATGTTCGGAATGAGGCCAGGGTTTTTGACCATAAACGCCATCAGCTCGGCTGGATTACCGCCAACGGAGAAGAATTCCAAGCCTGAATCCTTCTCCACGAAATCCTTGAATGCTGGGTGAGTAGCCAGGCGAACGCGGTGGCCATAGTCTTCCTTCAGGATCTTGCCTATGCGAATAAAGGGCTGAATGTCTCCACGCGATCCAATGATAATGATAACGATATTGAGCTTGATTCTTCTCGAGGGGTCGTGTTCCATCTCGTCATCTTCGGGCTTGATCTTGGTGGCTCCCACGTCGTCGTAAGTCGTAGGCCCCTGGTCCTCATCATTGCCATGCTTCTTGAAAGCTGTGCCTAGAGCTTTTGCGATATAGCCACTACCAAGATTCTCCTCCAGTATGCTAAGCTTGAGACGTCCGTCTGCTTTCGAAACCCTGCCCTTTGTATTGAAGTGTTCGTTGGAAATCTTCAGACGGGAAAAGGGCCCTGACCGGCTTTCGCGTGGTTTGCGTGTCGCTTGCTTGGTGAGGTCGTCGGCATGGCCAAGGCTCTTGCGGGGGTATTCTTTCTCATCGTCTGAAGAGTCTGAAGAGTCGGAGTCGGGATCGAAAGTGATAGTCGCCGTTCTCTCGGGTGCTGCTGGTCTTGCTTCGCGGGGCTGCTGCATCCTTCCTAGTAACGAGTGCCTCACAGAGGGCTTCGGGCGCTCAGTCGCCCATCTCTGCTGGGCGGGACGCGATGTCGTCGCGAATGTGCTGGAAGCCGAATCGGTAGCTTCTCCGGACGCATTACTCGGCCGGTCTGGCGACGATGCGCCGTCTTTCTGAGCCATGTCTGCGGTCGATGTGTTTTCGGTGGGCGCGGGCGTGGTGGGCTCTTGGCCTGGAATGTTTGGAAAAGTCGGCTCTTCGATGACCATACCAACAGGCGAGACGACGCCCTCGTCCTTGGGACTAAGAGTAGGGTTCGCCATAGCTGCTATGCGAAGAGGTTCGGCGCCCAGGTGGGTCAGTCGATCTGGATCTTAGTGACGGGTCCACGTTGCCGGTAGTGACGGAGCGATGATGGTGATAGCGCAGAAAGAGCGAAACCTAAGCCTGAAGGAACTTGCGCGACCCTGCTTCACCTGCACACGCCAACAAAGCCTTTCGTACAGTTGACTGGATACGGACAACAGGCACGCGGAAAGGTCAAAGGGCACACGCGCGAATGGCGTCGAATTGTCGTAGCGGCCGATCAGGACCAGCTGGTGGACAGCAGGAACAGGCGGCATGACATCACATGGAAGCTGCGGGTCTTGCGAAAGGCGCCAATACGGGATTTAACTTGGTTCGGTTAATTGCGATGACCTTGAATTTGTGCCTGGGCGGTTCTTGGGCGACTGACCTGCCGAGGTTCAGCGACAGGGATTAGGATATTAGAATCCCATACCCTGAAACATGGCATTGTCCAATCCGGGTGGTTCTCGCATACTACTGGTCACATCATAGTATGCCGTCGACTCGATGTGAGTGTGTCGACGCAGTCCAACTGCGATGCATATGGCCGATGCTGCCTAGCAATCGTGACCCTATGATTCAAGCCTAAGTGTGTAGCGTTCCGATATATCCGCCTCGCCATGCAAACTCATCCAAATGCCCCCGAATGAGCTATGGTCGGCCTCTAGAGGCAGCCGGCTGTCGATCCGCAAGCACTTCTGGAAGGGATTTTATCCAATGTAGCTAGTCGAAGATCGCTTTTGGTGTCCGTTGGTCACTACTGCACAGTCCTTGTAGCGTCAGAAGGCGGTTGGCGCCGGCAAAGCCAACGCATCATGGTGTCTTTTGATGATAGTGTCTGAATTTACTCCTAGGGGCACACATGGAAGATTGTGTATTCCAGTGCATTGGATATATAGGACTCCAACCTTTTAGCTCCGTGAAAGTTGTTCGAATCGTAATGGTAGTGTCTCGGAAGTAGCTGTAGACTACCAAGCTTCACGAGTGTGCATCATCGCCCGAATCCCAGACTGTACAGCGATGCTTTGATAATGTCCTGCGCCCATCCAGCCCAGCCTCTTCCAGCCTGCACCATGTTCAAAATCTTTACAAAAGTACGGTTCCACTGATCTTGGTCCTCCCAATCATCGGCGTAAGGCTCGAAAACTGCCGTCTCAATGCTGCCAGGTGCGCCGGGGGTGATGAGCTCCCACTCGCCATTGTCCTTTTGGCGAACGTGCATCTTCGGTCCTACGACAAGCGCCCGACCCAGTATGCGTGAATCGGCAACGAAGCGCGTGCCTGCATCGACGACATCTTCGACCTTGCCCAGTCCGCCTCCTGCAAGTATGAACCGCGCACCGACTGTCACAATCGGCGTGTCGATGAAATACGGACAGAGAAGGTTCACGCGTATGCCCTGGAGGCCGCTGGTCACCCTCAGGCTTCTGAACAGACCGAGGACTGCATGCTTTGCGGCACAGTATTGGGGCTGAATTGCAATGGGTGCAAGAGAGGCAATGGAGCCTAACAGTAGTATATGACGGTCACGTGGGGAAGTGGTAGAAGGCTTTGAGTTCAAGCTGCACGCTGACGAGCCAGGGTTCTTGGGCAGCCAGAAGCAGGCGAGGTGAGTAGTATAGAGTACACCCGTAAGGTTTACGTCCATGATCTTGAAGGCGGGTGGGGGTGGCTCGGCCGCATCGAGGTTTGCGCCTTCCTGAAGAATGTCGCGGCCTGCGATTCCCGCATTCGCAACGACGCAGTCTAAGCCTCCATGTGGGCTCTTCTTGACGGCTTCTTTGAAGAGGTTGACCTGCGACTGCCAGTCTGTCACGTCGCAGTGTAAAAAGTACGCCTTGCCGCCATTGTTGCTGTCCTTGTTGATGTCACGACAGAGTGCGTCCCCTTTTTGCACATTGATGTCTCCCACAATGACAGTTGCACCGCCGGCCACCCATTGTCGCACGAAGCCCGCGCCGAAACCACTTGCTCCTCCGGTTATAAGTATGACCTTGTCCTTGACCCAGGCTGCATCGTAGGGGACGGTTATGTCGATGGGCGGTGATTGGAGAAGGTTCGGTTTCTGTGGCTTGTAGTCGTCCATGGCTGTGTTTCGTGCTGTACAGAGATGCCTGGAACGAGCGGTACGGGGATGGAAGCTGGGATATGCCTCTTATAGCGTGGGGTACATGTACGACCATGGAGGTGCTTCAGCTCGCAAGGTGCACTAAAATAAGCTGCCTCGGCTGCTGGTGGTGCAGCGTCGTCGCGCGTCCATGTGGTCGAGCGGGCGGCGCGCACCAGCGATGATAGGCTGCTGCAAGTATTTGGGCTTGTTGTAGTGACCGAATCTCGCGACTAGGGGAAAAGATATGGCCCAAAGCAGTCACTGGGATAGTGAGGGGTCAGCCCTCGGACGTCCATGTCGATTGAACGACATGCCCAGAGTGGTTACATGAGCTGGTGGGGGCGTCAGGCCGTTAATTAGCGCGGCTGTTCCTGAACCCCGAACCCCTGCGTAAATTTCCAAATCGCATGCACCCCAACCCCGCCTTGCAAACAAATCACAGCTGTTTTGCTTGTCGTTGAGGTGCTTCCATCCGAACCCTCTTGGTGTTGAAGGTCCGACAGTGTCTCGATCAAGCTATTCCCAATTGACAACACCATGACGACCAAACCTCCCGCCCTCGATGTCTCAACCACGCACCTTGTCGCGACACTGTTCTACAAGGCCGACACACCAAACTTCTTCCAGCATGCAGACTTGTCCCCACGGAGTCCCGGCGACCCGATCCCATCCGCCTCGCTCGAATCGCTAAAGGACGGCGTCGTGCCTACCCAAGACCTCGCAGACTACCCGCTCGAGCCACCAACACCTGGGCCCAACGCTCTTGATAACCTCTACGGAAGCTATATCAGCCAAAGCTGCCTGACCGACTTCTTCGTCACCCTCGCCAACATCATAACCGGCTTGGAGCAAAACACAATAACAAGCAGGAGGCTGGAAGCGGCCAAGCTCTGTAGGGTGGTCGAAGTCACCTTCCCGTTGCCGAGCGCTTCGCCCGTTGCACTGGAGACGCTGCGTAGGCATGAGGCTGTGTCGCGCTTCGAGCGCAAGTGGAATGTCGAATGTGTCTTCCAGGCAGACACGGTACACCGGCGGTACAAGAGGCTGGCTGTATTCGACATGGACAGCACCCTGATACAGCAAGAGGTCATCGACGAAATCGCTTCGCTGATTGGCGTGGAGAAGGAGGTATCAGCCATTACTGCTGCCGCCATGAACGGCGAGCTAGACTTCGAGGCTAGTCTACGCGCACGATGCAAGCTGCTCAAGGGTGTGCCAAGCAGTGTGTTTGAGACGTTAAAACCACGGATAACACTGAATGAGGGTGTCAAGGAGCTCATCGCCGCGTTGAAACGCTTAGGCTTCAAGACAGCAGTTCTCAGCGGAGGTTTCACCCCACTGACAGGCTGGATGGGCCAGCAGCTCGGCCTTGACTACGCCTTCGCCAATCATCTCGTTGTTTCCGACGACGGAGCCACGCTTACGGGCGAACTGACCGGTGAGATTGTTCATGCCCAAAAGAAGCGCCAACACGTCCTAGAAATTGCCGAGAAAGAAGACATACTCCTCGACCAAGTCATATGCGTCGGTGACGGCGCCAACGATCTTCCTATGATGGGTGTGGCTGGTTTGGGCGTCGCCTTCCACGCAAAGCCAAAGGTGCAGATGCAAGCTCCTGCTCGTCTAAACTCAAAGAGCATGCTGGACGTGCTGTACCTCTTTGGCATCTCCAAGGAAGAGCAAGAAGCACTGTTGCGGTAGCGTAGTTAATCAAGACTACAAGAGGTAATCAGCAATCATTCCGCCTCAACCGGTGCACAACAATCGCCATCTTTGCGTGAAGCAACAAAACAATATTTGATCACGTTCCAATACAGCGGCATGGCATATGGCATCTCCTGACCCATTCTCTGGGCTCAGGCACATGATGTGGCGCAGCTTATCGCCCGGCGTCTGCCTCAACGCCAGCCACAACGCCACAATATGCAACACGAGAGTCACAGCCTCGCAACTTTATTACCGTAAAGCTCAAAGATACTAACCCGGCCTTGCATAGGAGACAAAATCGTCTGCATTCTCTTCGCACGACGCTACCAAATTGTACACAGTGACTTCCTCTCTCTATACTGCGATTGCCCGTCATGAACGAAATCAAGTTGAGACTACCGAGTCTACCCACAGACATACATTGCCTTATTCTTGAACAAGTACGCTTCAACACGACCAGACATCATGGCACACACTTACCATCCACATAGCTCTCGCACTCAGACTACGTGTCGCTTAGTCTTGTTTCACATGCATGTCGCATCCAATGCGAGCCTTTCATGTTCCGAACTCTCGCCCTGGGCGCTCGTAAGCAACGAAATTCCAGCACTCCTCTGAGTATTACACACAGCCTTGAGCGGCATGTTCGCAATATTTTCTCCGGTATACTCAAGAGACAACGTGACAATGATCCCGCGAGCATCATCGAGAGTCTTGAGCGGCATAAGGGTAGGCTCGCGAATCTGGTGCGCCATCTGGTGGTACCATCGAATGTTGACAAAACATTTGTCTCCGCCAAGACGATTCTGCGTATCATGAAAAGTGCAAAAAACCTCACATCCTTTAGTTGGAACGCCAATCATCCTATCCCCTCGTCTGTCCTCGCTGCTCTCCACTGTGACCATCCTTCCGTCCACCTCATGGTCACCAGCTGCAACCGCCAAGGTTATCCTCTTGACGAAGCCCTTTTATCATCACCCCAACTTCACACTCTCGACTTGACCGTCAGCTGTACTCACCGGGGGATATACCACCTTGAGGAAGGGATTTGTGAACTGACTTATCTTAAAACCCTTTTGGTTCGAGGCGGCAACCTCAAGGTCTTACGATTGCGTCTTATCAGACTTGAACCTCAGTCGGAAGGAGCAAAAACTCAATTCAAAGAAACCATGGCTTGGGCTGCCGGTCCATTCAATTTTCGATTCGAGGAAACTGATAAATTTCCCACGCTCGAGGAACTTGTCATCTTACAAGGTGGCAGCTATGAGCCTGCTTATGAACTCAGCGCCAAGCACTGCAGTGACTGGTCATATGCTATGGATTGGAGTGAGATGCGTGTCCTCAATCTGGGTTCATCCGACGCCGAACACTTGCTGCCGGAGATTACAGGCTTAGTGCCGAAGCTCCACACACTTCGCTTCAACCCCTCCTCCATCAATCACAACATCCTTCAAAGCTTTCTTGACAACTTACCGCAGTTGAAGGATTTGACACTGGTGGCTGGTGAAACGTCGCATGTATACGTCCCGGGCTTTGACACAGCAGTCACCAAAGTTTGCAGCACCGTTGGACCACAACTCCATACTCTTCATATTGACTGCGAGGTCCACTTGGCCAAATCTTGGCTCCCAGGTCGGTTTCAGGAGATACTGGGCTTTTGTCCGCAGCTGAGATGCTTTGAAAGCGTTGTTGGCCCGCAGGTTGCTATCGGCGAGTGGAGAGAAGAAATGGTTGGCATGTCGGCTTGCGAGAAATATGGGTTGATGGAAGTGAATGGGACTGTGGAACCAGGTATGATGTTTTATGATCCTTTTGTGAAATAGGTGATAGTAGATGATTAACAGCGCTGATGATCCTATTTAGTTGATCCTTATGCGGATTGCTGTGGTACTGGATTGAATGTGCCGCCTGAGTGCCGGCCATGGGGATAGATGTCTTAGCATAGCGGCCGCTAGTTGTTGACGGCATACCCCACTGAGAAGACTACAGTCTCTGACCTCCCTCCGATAGATATCTGAACATTTTAATGCATCAATAATCGTCTCATACACTATAAAAAGTTCCTTGGAGAGTAAGAAGACATCCAAGCTCTACATATACGGTTAGGTCTACCTTTGAACCGATATCTGATTCACATGTGCCCTTCGTGGACTGCAGCGGTCATCTAGTTGCGGCGATACGATTTCTGGCTCATGTCCTCTTCACGCAAGGCGACAAGCCGAGGCCCCTTTCCCACCTTGTACCTCAATTAAACGCCTAAACTATTCTTTATATGCTCGTACTCTTCCTGGAGTACTTTGATCAGACGCTATCTTAACACTTCTTCGCAAGTCCATGGCGATGGTGGCTACTTTGTTATCTTACCCAGCAGCTGACTAAAAGTCCTTCCAGCATTTCTGCAATTGAAACAATACACATTCACACAAACGTTTTTGGCGTTCAACATGTCTTCATATTGTACCAAATCTTTGAGAATCTCCTCGTTCAAGTCGTAGTTGCACCGAAACACGCTCATGTTCCGAGTGTCATGCGTTGGCGCGATCTTTGCCGGGAGTTGAGGCCGAATCAATGCGCAATAACCATGTGGCGTCTCCAGGGTAGGGTTCGTGTAGGACAATGTAATGACAAACGTATTACTCTTGTAATCTATCTAGCCACTACTAAAGGCATGTACTGACGGGTCCACTGGGGCCATTACAAGAGCAAGCCATATTACAGCACGCTCCTGGGTCATTCCAGTCGCAGGGTCCGCCCTGGGCGCGGCATGTTGTGATCGTTGCTATCAGAGTTGTTGTACCGCTCTGTGTGGTAATGTAGATAAACAACAAGTTAGCTCACAAGATAGGAACACATATAAAGATAGCAAGACATACCGGCGTTGGAGCTGTAGTTGTTCGAGTGACCGTTTTTGACGGTGAGAGTTTGAGACAGGCGCACGCGGAAGATATCTCTGCGGCTGCATATCTTTGTAATCCTTTAGGAATAGTGCGAGCTTTAATGTCATGGACTTGGGCAGCCATGGGGGCTGCATTAGAACGTTTGGGGAAACCGTTAAATGCGTAGACTGTAGTGGTCTCAACGATGGTGACTACCACATTGACGGTACTATACCAATGCTCGTTAGCTTTGATGATCACTAGCCATTCATAGATGCAGAAACGTCTTTTACCTTAGTGCCGGGGTAACAGTCGCTGCAATTGTCGTCGTGCCAGGAACACGTAAGTAGGACTTGCAGAAAGAAGATGCTGGTGCGCCCAGTCCTTTCAAGAGTCCCAAAGCACCCTTAACAACTTTGCAGTCAACTTTTGCACCACGCGGTGAAAGTAGACCGCCTGTAGCAAGGGCAGAACAAGAGGCAGGTGCAATCTGAGGTGCGCAACTGATGTCGGCGGTTGCGGTTGCTACCGAGAGAAGCGAGATTAGAAGCGTACTGAGCTGCATCCTGATGAAGTGGCCTTGTTGGATATGAGTACCAAAAGGGATGCAAGTTCACGCCATATATATACATGACAGGTGCTGGTTGCTTCACCGTGTCAACTTAGGTGTGGGTTTCGTGGCGCTGCTACGCTCAAGCTGAAAGCAAGGCTGGACTGAGAGGTACCCAAGACCCTTGCAGTTTTCGGAGTGTTGTGCTTGAGTAAACCTAGTCGACCTTCGCTGGATCAGGCACAGATCTCCGTTTAGCGCTTCTATCGCAAGTCCTGGGCCTCAACTAGGAACACCTCCTCAGGAGCATACATGTGTGTACCGGCAATTACGGTTGGTTTTCAGTGGCGAATTCCTCTTCGGGAACGCCTCTGCCGCCTTTAACCTACAACGGGAAATGGTCAAAGCTTGAAACTTCTTTATACTTACCTATGTAGGTAAGTAAATGACAGCGTGCAAGAGTGGCTGATTTAGCATAATACACATTCTGCTAGGGAGTGAGTAGTGTTACAATCGCGAAGTTGGGTTGTCGTTGTAATCATTTGGAGTTGTTGGGTACTGCCAAAAGTTTCTGCCAAAGCTATTCTTTTCCGACGTGCATGAAATTTGCTACGCACACATCCGATTTACTCAAGTGTATCGGGAAATAGTTCTGTTGGCATGTTCGCTAAGTTTTATTTTCTTGCGAGGCGTGTCTGTGCACCCACGTTGTCATGCATGGGCTTTCATCTCGTCACACATGATCGTCGCCGCTACCGTAAATCTTAATACCTGCCTCTTTACACTACCTATCTCCGCCTCGATATTTCTAGCGACCATGACTCGATAAGCCACGTTTAAGCCGCCATATCGTCACCATCAACAGCTTCGTGTCTATTGACGTCATATAGTTAAGGGCCCAATACTAGTTAACAACGACAATAACAACCTTTAGTGAGCAGCTAGAAATGTAATCGTATCCTCCTCTGCCATCAAAGCAAAGCTTGGTTTTGCGGGGGACATAACGCGACGATGAGGTAGAAACAGCGTTCGTGAACATGAATTACGGTGTGGACTGGGCCGCAACAGAAGGGCATGAGAGGGCCGAAAAGGTACAATCAAGAGTAAAACGCAAAAACACATTACTTGGGTCGATACCCAACGCGCTACGAACAACTAGTGTCTCGACGGATGCATTCGAGACCTGCCTACCCCACAAATTGCACAACCCTGACCTTACTCTTTCAACTCATCCTTCACAAACTTGCTCTTCCCAGCAACCTTGACCGCCAACAACCATATGCTGATATCACTCATGATATCCACAGTTCCAACGTCCGCCCCGATGGCCTTCGAAAACCAATTGCGCATCTCCACCGCTACCAGCGAGTCCACACCGTACCGGTATATCGCTTTTTGAGGGTCGATGTCATCTTTGCTAACGACGAGAAGACTGGACAGCTGAGTTTGTATAGCTTCAACTACAATGTCTGTAGCCTGACCAAGCGACGTGGCTTCGGCGAGCTTATACGAAGGCCTATTTTTGGCTTCGGCGGACGCGGTGTCAGATGAAAAGCGTGAGGGAAGCGTATCAAGGTAGTGGTAGATTGGTCGCGTACTACCGAGAGGCGCGACAATGCCCATCGAGCGAAGATCAGCCGGCAAAGTCAAGGGTGTGATGATTTGGGAACTGACTGTGCTAGTATCGACACGATCAGGATCGCAGCAAAACTGAAGAAGCTTGTAGATGTCATCCATGGGTACTTCCTCTAGCATTCCACGCACGCGGAGCAGAGCTTGTACTTGCTCGTTCTGGGCGACGTAGCCGACACCTGTTACCATGCTGAGAGCGAGAGTGTGAGCACGTTGGCCATGGCGCATTCGATGTGAAGCTAATGCATCTTGGTACGTATTGCCAACTGTGTAGTTCGACTGACCGAATGAGCCCATGATGCCAGTTGAAGACGACAACATGACGAAGAAGTCGAGGTTAGTTGGTAAGAGCTGGTGTAAGTTCCAAGAACCATCTACCTTGGGCGCGAGTGACTCGTGCCACTTCTCGATCGACATCTTTGCGAAGGAAGAGTCTCGCATCACCATTGCTGCTTGAATGCATCCCTTGATCGCCGGAAGGCCATTGAAGGAAGCGAGCATCTCCTTGAGCTGATCATGATCGGCAATATCACACACTGGTGCATATACGTCCGCACCTTGTGCTTTCAGTTCCTGCAGGAAGTGATCGCGGTCCAATCCGGTATTCTCAACTGGAGATCGGGATGGAAGGATCAGATGCTTAGCTCCGCGCTGGACCATCCATCTAACGATGCTCCTACCTATACCCCCGAATGCACCGGCGACGAGGTAACTGGCATCTGGGTGGAAAAGTGGCTTCATAGAGCTTGGCGCCAGTTCCATTTCCACAACCTCATCACTGTCCATCTCGATTACTACTTTGCCAACTGTTTCCACGTCCTTGATACACCGGAAAGCGTGCTCAATTTTGCTCTGCTTGAACACGGTCGGAGGTGAAGCCATGGTGATCTTGCCAGCTTTCATAAACGTTAACACATTGTCGAATATGCCTGTAAATATATGGCTCTCTGCTAGGTCTTGAAAGTTGACACTGACGAAAGCAATGTTCTTCGTTGTATGTGGTAGCACGACCTCCTTTGAGCCATTGGCGGTCGAATGAAAGACATCTTTCTCTCCAACTCCGACAAAGCGTCCGAATGGGGCAATACACGGCCAAGAATCTCGCAAACGATTTTCAGAGCCCACTACGATCGCGACGCCTTGTCCGTCCGTCAGACGGCGGATGCCATGTTGGAAATCCAGGCTGTCTGTGGAGAATATGTTCGACTTTGGAACGCCCAGAGTGTCTTCCAAGAGAGAAGCTTCGTCGGCCGCGCTTACAGTCGCAAAAATCTTTGTATACCCGTGAAGAGCGGCCATTTTGATAACCGCTCGACCTAGCACACTAGCAGCGTCGTGAATCAAGATTGAGTCGCCGCTCTCTATACTAGAGCACTGCATCAAGCTATAGTAAGCAGTGCAGAAAGCCACAGGATAGGCTGCGGCCTCACAAAAGCCCATGCTATCTGGGATCTTCTGCAGCTGTGAGACTTGACAGCGAGCAAGTTGCGCGGCACCATTTCGTGTCACGCCGAAGACGCGATCACCAATCTGAAATCCTGCATCCTGCGATGACCCAGTGCGTACCACAACTCCAGCAATTTCGCTTCCAAACACTTCGTCGTGGATCTGGCCAAGCGCTACTAAGACGTCCCGATTGTTGAGACCAACTGCCTTGACTTCAACAACGACATCATCTGGCGCAAGCTCTCCAATTTGGGATAGAGCTTGTTCATAATGCAGTGTGCTGAGGACACCTGCGGCACCGATGGTCAGCTTTGGGTTGTCTAGCTCGCTCCAAGGCTTGGTAACAGTGACTGCAGCACTCTCAGTTGATAGCGCTTGGGCGGTGAGCTCTGGGTCGTCGATCACACGAGGAGTGCATAAAAGGCCGTTGATCTCGCAGTATTCGTCTTCTGGGTCAATTTGTGCTTCTAACAGCGTATTGCTAACCTTCATGATGTTGGTAGCGACAGTGTCAAGCCCAGCCTCCGGATTGAGGCTAATGCTTACGAGCCGGTAATCCTCAGATTCCGTCGCCAGTGTACGCACGAGTCCTGACACTAGGCCCTCGGTAGGGCTCTGGTCAAGGGTTTGATGTTGGTATGTGATCCACAGAACGGTATTAGTTTTCGACAGCAGGCTCTTAAGTTTCTCGAGTTCGTCTTCTCGCATGTGCCGAAGCAAGCTCCCGTCTAAACCAGGGAGGAAAATACAGGTAGCCTTGTCAAGCTCATGCTCGGTGATGGAGCTCCATGTCGCTAAAGCTACGCCGATATGGTTTTGTGCTGACAATATTCGGCGAAGAGCTTGCATCAAGTCTACCTGTAAGGGATTCGACTCATCATAGACAACATGGACGCAGGATTTAGAGGGTATCGACGAAGGAGACTCATCCGTGATGCGATCTAGATTGGCCGGCCTCCAGTCAATCGAATATAAGCTCCGAGGCGCGTCTTTCTTGTCCATTAGTGGGCCGTTGCGACCAATGGTGGAAGTCTCTAGATCGCCGTAAAAGCAGAGTTCCTGGGTATCAGCGAACGCTGCAGTGATGGAAAAGAGCTTGTTGCGGAACCCACGTCCAGATACTTTCGCATGCACTGACACATCCTGCGCATCCGACGGATCGCGCATCAGGTTGGCAGAGAACCAGGCGTTGCTGAACCCCGTCGGCACGGTGGTAGCTGATGAGTCCTTAGCGTAGATGGAGTACGCTGGAAACGTTATCTGCAGGATAGTATCCAATGCAGCTGGATGAATAAGATGCGGATCGCTGTAACTGAATTTCGCATGCGTCTGCCAGTCTCGAATACCAATTGTACCCGTAGCCTGGTTGCGCTGATCCCACTTGACGTTGCGCATGCCCTTGAATGTTGAACCGTATGCAAGACCAGCCTGATTGAAGGCACTGTAGATATCAGCGCTGTCGATATTGATGCGACATTCGTCTGAAGCTGCAAGAAAGGCCTGCTTCTTCTCTTCCATCGCCTTTGCACACTCGTCGAGCTGTCGAAAGGTGTCGTTACGGTCACTGTATTCGATTGTAATGAATCCAGTACAGCACGAGTGCCATCCGCCATCCTCGTAAACGAAGATGGAGAACTGATCCCATAGACTACTTGGCTGCACATCACGTGATTCGACTACCGCTGGCCGAAGCGTGAGCTGTATCTCAGTACCGCGAGGATCCGCCGAAAGCGTCATAGCTTTAGTAAACTTGACGTCCTTGAGCTTGTAACCAGACGGGCTCCCAGCTCGTTGACCATAGTATTGGCGCGTGGCTTCGATGGCCATCGTAAGCATCCCCGCAGCGGGCATGAGGCAAAGACCGTTGATTTGATGATCTTTAAGGTATGGGGATTGGTCTAGAAGGATACGGTTTGTCCAACGTGCTTCATGCTCGTTCCAATCGGGGGTGCGCGAGCCAAGAAGCTCATGATGCACGAACTGTGTTTGGCGGTACTGAACGCTTGTTCGGCCTTCGAGCCAATACTTTCTTTTATCTTCAAATTGATAACACGGAAGCGAAGTTAGAAATCTGGGGCTAGTGTCGCTCTGCCTGTTAACTGCAGCTATGTCGATAGTTGCACCGATGGTGTGGAGCTTTCCTGCACATTCCAGAGCTGTAATATCGGCGGCACGGTCACGACGTAACACAGAGCTGTAGTCAATCGCAACATCCCTTCCCATTTCTTTGAGCAGGTCGCTCAGCGGAGAACGCAGAACGGAATGAGGGCCGATCTCAAGAAAGAAGAATGTCGACGCATCTTGTCGCGCACATATACTTTGGAAACCGGCTGAAAACCTCACTGGCTCAGTAAGATTATTTTGCCAGTATTCCGAAGTTTGTAGCTCGTTCAGTCGCTGAACATGCTTCCCAGTGACGGTCGAGACAAACGACGGTTCAACCTCTAGTTGTTCGCCAGGGTCGATCGTCCGGAGGAGCTTCCCGTAGACACCAGCAACTGGCTTCATTTGATGAGAATGATAAGCAACGTCGATCTTGAGAACATGGACTTCTATGTTTGCTTCCTTAAGAGTCACAGCCATCTGGTGGACTGTGGTATGTGTACCCGAAAGTGTGAAGCTATTTGAGCTGTTGTAGCAGGCGATAACAATAGGATCATTGGGATTTTCAGCATTCTGCTTGTCCATGATATGTTTCCAAGCGTCAAGGGGAGCCTGGACAGCTATCATGGCGCCATGGGAAGGGGCGAGAGTCTGAGTGATCGCAACCGCTAGCCCTCGGAAGTAAGCGATCATCCAAGCAGACTCCTGTGAGATTGTACGACTGGCGTAGGCGGCAGCGATCTCGCCCGAGGAGTGACCCATAGATATTGAGGCGCAAACCTTCCAAGAAGTCAACAATTCATGAATGGCTACCTGTAGAGCGGTGCAGATAGGCTGACTAAGCTCCGGCCGGTGAATGGCCGAGTCTTCTTTCGACTTGTGATATAGTTCTTCGATGAGGGACCATGAACTACCAAGTGACTTGAAGTATCGATCCGCTCCAATCATGGCGTTGCGGAAAGGTGCATACATCATGAGTTCGCGGCCCATTCCGTGCCACTGTGCACCTTGACCGGTGAAGACGAAACACAAGTTCACTCGCTGTCTAATTCGCGCAGGAGCAGACCAGGAGAGTTGTGACTGCGAGTTCGGGTAAGCGAGGCAGACCGTCTTCCATGGGAATGATGTTCGCTTCTCAGCCAACGTGTATGCGAGATCATTGAGAAGTTGTTGATCACTCTCACCGTCTACATGTTTGCGCCTCCACTCTTCAAAGGCGATGATAGATCGCTGGACCGCGCGCTCGTCAAATGCAGATAGTATTAATAGCTTCGGGGCGGTTTCGTGATCGTCCGTGACATCAGATGGAGTATCATCTGTGAAGACTTCCGAAGATTCGTTGCTACCCGTACTATGGCCGTCGTCCTCGCCATTGACCTTGAGGGCGCCAGAGGTAACTGGTTGAATGGCTCCTTTGCTATCGTGAAGAAGTTCAGTGCAGTGTTTGCCAGTCAGACCATGCTCGTGAAGAAAGCTCAGCGCATCGTCTAGAACGACGTGGGCGTTCGTACCCCCATAACCGAAGGAATTCACGCTCGCACGGCGAATACCACTCGTAGGCCAGGTTACCGGCACGAGCGGAAACTTCAAATTAGGACCAGCCGCTGTAACAGCCGGATTGATACGCTCAGGGTACACATTGGGTGGTATGATGCCTTTTTCTAATACAAGAAGCGTCTTAATAACGCCCGCAATACCACTAGCGCCTTCAGGATGACCCATGTTAGATTTGAGGGCACCAACGAAGATGGGGTCTTCCGGCGTTCGAGAGGAGAATACGTTGTTGATAGCTGCAGCTTCGCAAGGGTCTCCCACTGGGGTACCTGTGCCATGCGCCTCAAAATACCGCGTGTTATCGAGATCAAGACCTGCACGTGCATACGTCTCGCGAATAAGCCGCTCCTGGGCAGATTGGCTGGGCGCGGTGATGCTTGCTGTGTTCCCGTCTTGACCGCAACCTGTTGAGCGTACGACACCCCGAATAGTGTCTCCGTCCGCGATGGCTTTGTCGAGTCGCTTGAGAATTAGTACACCAAAGCCTTCACCCCTGGCGTAACCTGATGCGCGCTCATCAAAAGAATAACAGACACTGTCTTTAGACATCATGTTGAGGCTGCTTAAGAGGGCTGTTGAATCTGGGAGTAGGCACAAGTTGTTACCACAAACAAGTGACTGCAATCTTTAGTCAGTCGAGTCATGGCGAACGGGGTAAATAGTCAAATTACCATATCCACACTGCCAGCTAGTAGCTCCTGACATGCTAGGTGGAAGGCGACGAGCCCACCTGAGCAAGCTGTATCAACTGTCATGCTCGGTCCGCTGAAGTCATAGAACCAACTCAGACGATTAGCCAACATAGCCAATCCACTGGACCCTACGATACGGTAGTCTCCAGGCATCTGGGCATCTCGTTGAGAGATCTGGCTGTACTCCTGGAGTAAACAGCCAACGTGAACAGAAGTCCTGGTTCCCATGGCTGCTTGCATAGGGATACCGGCTATCAACGAAGGTTAGTGCTAGCTACGGTAATAAGTGGGAAGTTACGTACCGTTTTCAAGAGCATGATAGCTCGTCTCAAGTAAAAGCCGCTGTTGGGGATCCATACACTCCGCCTCCGCAGGCTGAATAGAGAAGAAAGGGGCATCAAAGCGGGCAGGGTCGTCCGCAAGAAAGTGCCCACCTCTATTCTTAACAGTACCAGGTCGATGGCCATGCTCTTTATAGAAACCATCTATGTTCCATCGGTTCTTAGGAATCTCGGTCATGGTAGATCGGCGCTCTATGAGTAACTTCCATAAGCTCTCAGCGCTTGTGATATCTTGGGGAAATTTGAAACCAAAGCCCACAATAGCGATAGGCTCCACGCTGTTGGGTCGGTTTGAGGGCGCCATGGAGGGTTCTCTGGAATCGACGGAGTCATCCATATTGAAAAGGATTTGTTGGTCTGGATAGTGGCGAGTATCTCAACCAAGGTCAGGTTGTGATGGTTAATGAGCGTCTCACTGCCTATATATAGTGGAGTTGCAATTGACATGTAGCAGGGCGTTCGGGAATGCGGGGTGATTACTACAATGGCGAGTGAGTGGTTACTGAGCCCATCTACACACAGCGTGCATTAGGCGTTGATTGAGTCAATTGTACACTGTTGCGTACTGGTCGGATGGCCAAAGACTCCGGGCCCCACGTCATGCGGATTCGATACCAACCGGAAAACCTTGAAGTTCGGAGTAGGAGGCGGATTTGGAAGGACAGCTCTTGCTCAGTTGCGCTTCCGTCCAATTTCACACAGGGTACACTAGGTGATGCGTGAGGGCGCCTCTTCCCCACTGCGCACTTCCCAGACTACCGGCACCATGAAGGAAACTGATCCCGCAAACAGTGGTGATTCGATAGTTAGCACTCTAGAGACCAACACTTGGCGGTCGAAGGAAGAAGACCCACGCGGTGGTCTTCCGTATACGGCTAGGCTGGTGTAGACGGCGTCTTACCCGCATCCAGGCTTATTTCTTTGCTTGGACACAAAATTGCGCAGATACGACTACGCCAAGGACTTGGGTCTAGAATTTCCCATACACAGGTACAACGACAAGACTTTGTCAGCCATGAAAATTCCCCATCCAGTCATCAAAGTCAGAGTGTGTTCGTAAGACGAAAGGTGAGGGCGCAAGTCACTTGTGGGTGATCGACCACTGGAAGAGAATGACGAGCCAGTGATTATAGGATCTCATTCCCGGGGCCATGCAGCTATGCAATCTCGCATTCGCCGTGGTCGACATGGGACATTCGAGGTAAGACTTTACGACTTAGCGCACTCGCTAAGGCCACCAGCTGCGATGATAGGCTCCTCGGTCATCGAAATCCCGTGTTGTCTAGTAGAAGGCAGCGCTCGTGTTACGCAGTCACATTACATAGCGCATAGAGTGCATACTGAACCATACAGGATGACATGGTACCCAGTCGCTCAAACCTTTTGGTTGGTATATTGCGTACCCGCTCGGCCGGCTCGCATATACCAGCATTACTACGCCCTAAGCTCTTCATGTGTTTGATGCCGGGTGCCTCGTGTAAGACGACTTGGCTGTGGTACGCCTGGCTTGGCCATTGAAGCTCCGGACTGCCGTATGGCGTCTGCTTACATATAACTGGAATGCGCCTCGAGGCGTCCACGTGACATGTCCAGGTGATGTTTCGAACATCACCGGATATGCATTATAGCTCATCAAGTTCTGATCGTTGTTTCAAAGCTAGCCGAATACTCGTAACAAGGTAGAAGGTGTTCTGGAGTATCGTGCCAAGATCTAGAAATGCACATCTGACCATGTTCATGCCCTTAGTCTCTAGCATGTCTCATACACGACCACCTGGAAAGCCATTGTGTAGATTGAGTCGATGTTTTAAAACGTAGCAGATGCTCCTGCCCATTGATGACCTCAAACATGACCCCGCATTTTGCGGTATTCGCAACGTCCTGTTATGTGTCACCCTCGAGGGGTGGAAAGTATGTTGAGTCGCATCACAAGAACATAAATTGAACCTTGATAACGGCTCGTGTTCGTCAATATCGGAGAGGTTGTTAGAGGCGAGAGCTTCAAGTCGTACAGTTGCATAGATGAATTAAAACCACCTACTCTTGTACCCCAGTGGTTGATACACTTCATATCGTAACTTGCTCCTGCTTGCATTCCCACATATCCCCAATTGGCATGCGGAAGCTTCCGTGGCTTTGAACGAAACGGTTTCAAGAATAGGCAATATATTGGATAATCGTCGTCCTATAGCCTTGAGGCATAGACGTTGGCGCGATGGGAACTGGTTGATGGAGCCCAATGTGGTACGCCTCTGTCCGCTCGGCGACTGATAGGAGTGTCCGGTTGGCAAAGTGAAGACTTCTTTGATAGTTTCGAAGTAAACTGTTGGAGTCGGGTGCGCAGCTTGTGCAGGTCAAGGTTCTTTGTGGTGTTTATAGCAACAGCAAGGGTGGATTAGCTACACTAGCCAATCACCGTGGTCAGACGAGCTCCCTTTATTTGAAAACCCCTCGTGGGCGATTTTTACCATTTACTGTATGTCACGAGATGCTTGACTTCAGGCCAATTTGGCTGGAAGTAGAGAACCAGGCTGATATGTAGGGATATCGGAGGAAGAGAGTTATGGCGGACCGATTGACGGAAAGGCGTAGTACTGCGCAACATGCAGAGCGAACAGCTGCGTGTCATGACAATCTGACCAACACGTGCTCATCGCGTTTCCCATTTTTTTGTTTGCTCAGATGGTTGAGTCCTCTGAAACATGGCTGCCAACATGCCTGGAGCACTACTGTTTCAAACTGTAGCCAGGGATGTGAGTAGAGTGTTTGCTCTTCGGCTGGCGGACGTATCCAAGGTCCCGTCATTCCTGTGTCGTGCATAACTGGGTGAAAGGGCTAGGTGCGTGCAGCCATCAGAAACCCGCTGAGCCACCACGTGTCGTTTCAGGTATTAACGTGTCGGGTTCTTCGTCTCCCGTTTCATGGGAATTGTATATGCGCAGGATTGCAAGAGCCGCATATGTAAGGGTGATAGTTGTGCGGAGACGGCGGAGGTCATTGCGTGCCACTTCGCTGCCAAGGTGAACTATTCTGGAGCTACACAATCCGACGTATCTTTCCTCTGCAGTTCGATGGACTCGCCTCCTACCTCTTGAGAAGGTGGTATGGCCACGGTTGGAGTCTCTAGCGCAGAGTATAAGTCGTGTAGTATTGGTGTCAGGGAACAGCCGTGCTTCTTTATTGTGCAGAGTGAACCAGTATGACGAGCTATCGCTTCATACCACTGCAGGTCCTCCGACCTGCGGCAGGGTTCTCGGATTGCCCACGTGCTGTGGTCGGTATCGATGATGTAAGGCTATGGACGAGGACGCTGGTCGCTAACAAATGTTGACATCTCGACGCGTCCTGGAGGATCGCTCGGAGCGGAATTAGACCCCACGACGCGGGGCGACAGCGGGGCAGCACATGGCATCTCGTCAGTCTACGGCCATCTCCGACGCTTACTGACGGCCTGGATACGGCAGCTGAATAACAGTTACTCCTACATCACCGATTTTTTTATAGCTTTGCATACCATTGTGTACTGCTCCTCCAATTTTCAGCACAACATGACTGCGCATACCGCAGAAGAAGGGCTCACGCCCAAGCAACTCGCCTTCTTCAACGAGAATGGCTATCTACTGATACCAGATGCGCTGTCGCAAGACACGGTTAAGCAGTTGCTGGAAGACACAAACAAGATGCTAAACGACTTCTCGCTGGACGATCATCCCATGACCAAGTTCTCGACTGGCGGCGATGACGGCGCGGATCACGTTGGAGACAGCTACTTCTTGGAATCAGGCGATAAGGTACGATTCTTCTTCGAAGAGGGTATGTAACGCATTCAGCAGCCATCACGAGTGTACTGACACGTAAATAGATGCCTTCGACAAGTCTGGCTCGCTGACGAAACCGAAACACCGCGCCATTAACAAGATCGGCCACTATCTCCACGAGCTCTCGCCTTCGTTCCGTAGTATGTCCCTTTCTGCCCGCAATGCCGCCATCGCGTCCTCCCTCGGTTTCCGTGACCCTCGTGTCCTGCAATCCATGGTCATCTGCAAGCAGCCCGAGATAGGCGGTGCAGTTCCACCACATCAAGATAGCACCTTCTTGTATACAGATCCACCGAGCGCGGTTGGGTGGTGGTATGCGCTCGAGGACGCGACACAGGAGAATGGATGTCTAAGCTTCGCTGCTGGGAGTCATAAGCGTGCTGCTATCGAGAAGAGATTTGTACGGACGGGTAATGGCACGGGCTTCATCGACAATGAGGGCGCCAAGTTCCCAACGAGCATAAAGCAAGAAGCAAACGGCGAAAAGGAGTACGAGATGGTGGAGAAAGAGGAAAGGTATGACATGGGCGAGGTCAAGGCCGGCACTCTAGTGCTCATCCATGGCAACATTCTTCACAAGAGCGAAAAGAATACCAGCAACAAGAGCCGAAATATTTATACGTTCCATGTTATTGAGGGCGAAGAGAGGTACGACGAGAGGAATTGGTTGCAACCGCCTGAGCAAGGATTCTCGAGGCTGTTTGAGGGAAAGTCGGGGACAAACGGCTCGAACGGGATGGACGCGAACAACAGACTTGCGAAGGACTGGTAGCTGGTATGTAGCAATATTGATAGGTGTTTCACGATTTGCTCTGGACGCACAATCCGATACCACCAAGTACGAAGGCCATGCCTATCCAGGTGTCTTTCCATTGTTAGTTTTCATCCCAAGCCAGGTCAGCGAAACAACGTACCTCTGCTAATGACCTTCTTCTCTGCCCACCACTCCCCTAATACGGTGAACAGAAAGGCCAGCGAGTTTGTGATCGGCACCGTAAGACTCAACTCCGCTTTGCCAATCAATATGAAGAACCATACACTACCAGTGACGTTCAACAATAGCGGCACCGCATATGCTGGTCGGCTCAAGACGCCGATGACGGCGTAAAGTACTCCGAGCACTTTCTTCTTGAGCCAGGAGTTGTTCGGATCGGTGAGGGCCGGGCGCTGCGGTGGAGTGTAGTTCCTGGCGTATGCGTGTTAGCTTGTTGAACATATCATGGGTTGGAGCTGCGAGAGAGTGTTGAAAAGGCTAGCAGAATATGATAGAGATCCAAGCTTACATCGCAGCTTTTCGCATGAATGGCGTCGTGAGCCCCCAGCACGCGCCAACCATAAGGAAGCCTATGATCCAGCGGAAGATGGAGGGTTGAGGCTCATTGGTTACGGGCGCGTCGGGATCCATTGTACTGGTGGAAAGTTCGGAATTTGAAAACGATATTGCGACAACAGAACGACGCTGGAATTGCAGATGTCGTCTTTGTCGCGTTGGCGCAGTCGTCATGCCCAGAGGCCCGCGAGTGTCCCACAGCTGTTCGGATGACGCGCTAAACCGACCGTGGGCAAGCCTCAACACCACATTGCTATCGTGAAGGCGCTCTTTCTACCACCACCACCACCACCACCATTATCATCACCATTATCATCACTATCGCAACAGCGGACGTTTGCTGCCCGTCAAAACTCCGAGATACCTTCCGGAAAATGATACAGCGTATCAATCTGGCACATGCCGCGGGGCCGATTAAGACACGATACAGAGGACAATGCCGTCGCGACCCAGTGAGGGCAAAAGCGAACCCCGGCAGTGTTGCGTCGCTTTGAAAACGTCTGTCATGTATGATCCATAGCCGACGATCAATTTGCCCCTGGTTTCTAGCAAAACTAGAAGATGGCCGCCAAGGTCGACGCACATGTCTGGTGCTCTTTCGCTCATGACATGAGCAGCACGCATCAAACTGTCCCCGCCGCAGTTCCTGTACGGAAGTACCAGACTCAGCCAACTGCGTATCTTTCATCCACTGTCCTGGATCTTCTACTGGTCACATTCTATGGACCGCTACCATCCTCTGACCCTTTTCTCGTCTACTTCACCGAGGTATCAGTCTGTGTCTCCAGGGTTCTAAGCATGGGTGAATATTACTGACTGAAGAATATTTGCGGTATGCGTGTATCTTAAGTTCTAAACTCTCGGTAACTAGACTGGCGACACTGTCTCGTTGCGATGAAGATGTCGTCACTGACGGGCCCTACTCAATAACCTCACCTTTACAACTCGTGCAACTGCGCAGGTACCTCAGACATTGATTCTGAAACCACCGCTAGGGCGGCCTCTCTACCTCACACACAGGTCAGGTGGAGCTTCGACATACACAAAGAGATGGAACAACAAAGAATCATATATACAAATCGATTGTTGTGTGACGGGTACCTGCGGTATTGGCAACGCCTCCAAGAAATTTACCCCAACGTCCGGTACGTGGCTGCATGAGCACGCACCTGCTGTCGTCACGAAATGCTAAACTACCCTGGTCGTCGGTTTATAGTGTTTGGGACCCAGCGGTGCGAACGCCTCGAAACTATCTGAAACGAAAGGGTAGGGGCTTGGCCATGCCCCATTGCAACCCTAGGTCATCCCGATCCGACCTAGTACGCTAAGTATAGCTGGAATGTGTACCGAGTAGGAGATGGCTGGTAAGGTATTCTGCCATATTTGGATGCAGAAATAAATGTCTCTAGTCTGGTTTGTTTAGCACGTTGGTTATGAGGCATCATTGCCACGTTACAGAAATTGTTCCTGCGGGCTTGCAACCACTACAGTGCATTCATCAGTGAGGTACAAGTACCGTGTTACTCTCATCGCATCCACTCCTCGACTCTTCTTATACCAGCTGCAACAATCCTCGCTTATCCACCTAACCCACTATCTGGTCACAAAACGCAGGCACGCGACAGAATTACTTCACAACATCGCTATTACACCGACACTCTACTAAGACTATGCCAATGTGGCCGATTGGCGATAAAGAGGTCGATGTGGTCGACCTAGACCGCCTCTTCGAAGAGTATGTTCAGACGGACTTGCTCAACCCATTTAGCGATTGCAAACCCAAACGACCAAGCTCGGATGATTTGACGCATCTCTTTGACTCAACTTCGTCGAATGAGAGCGAATTATTCGGCCCTGCGCCTATACTCGATTGGGAAATGCAAGCTGCTTGGCACAAGGCTCTCGAAAAGTACGAACGAAACTCAACCTCGTTTCCATCTAGAGATTCTACCTCATCCTTTGACGTTACTTCATCTATCGGAAACGATTCTTTCAGCGACTCCGAGTTGTTGAATTTTGAGGATCTCCTTGAACTAGAGAGGAAGCAATCGAGGGCCATCTCTCAGCCTCCTACATCCCGACCCCACACTTCTGGACGATCTGTCAAAAAGGCTGTGTCTGTTCACAGTCAATTGAGGCACCGCGGCATTTCAAAGACCTCTAAAAGACCTCATGCTTCGACTTTTACAAAGATGATGCGATCCTCCCAATACCACCCTTCCCTTGGAAATACCTGGACCCGCAAGATGGAAACTCCAACGACCTCTCTTGTGAGAGCCTCGTCACATGGCATTGCTTCGCCCCCACTATCAACCAAGGAAAACAGCAGTGAACTTTTCGTTCAAGGCCAACATCAGGCCTACACGGATGACTACTCATGTCTACCGAACAGTCCCGGCTTCCCCAACTACCATTTAACACCTACCGCATCGCCAGCAATGGGTGTCGCCAGCAATATCGGCAGCGGCTTTGATGATAATATGGGGCTCGCTTCCGCATCTTCCAGCGCGCCAAGTGCGGCTCTCTCAGCCTTGCAAACCCCGCCCTCTTCCCTCCAGTTATCTATGACAACGTGGGACCCTAACACATCGCCAGATCTAGATCTTGGCTTCCCAGCCTCGTGTGATTCTGCCAACGGCACTCATACTGCAGACTGGTGGGACGATAACGTTTCCGCCCGTCAACCTCCCCATCTGAACAACTTAAGTCACAACAATTCACAATCCACAAGCCAGAACATGGGGATAGAAGGATTAGGGATATCTTGCGAACCGGTTTCATACGTGTTTGGCACTATGCATAATGGTTACCCTGCCTCCAGAACCTCAGCCTCGTTTGATATGGCTACCTATGGTGCCATGTATAACACGCCGTCACACCAAAAGCAATCGAACCACACGCAATACCAGTTTGCCTCTATCATTCAGTCAGTCTCGCGTTCCCCTTCGCCACGTACCGAACCACGCTTCCACCGCCACTCTCACACATCCAGCCACCGCTCTAGCCAGTCGTCGTCAAGACGCAAATCCAGCAATGCTTCCCAACAATCCTCAAGACAAACGAGCACAAGTGGTGGCGGCGTTGGTTTCGTAAACTTTACGCCAGACGACAGCCGCAAGATCCTCACAGGCGTGGCACCTAGCGGATCCAGCAAGACCAAAGCACGACGAGAGAAGGAAGCCGCTGATAAACGTCGGAAGCTTAGTCGCGCAGCTATGAAGGCTGTTATAGAGGCAGGTGGCGATATCGATAGTTTGAGGAGATTGGAGAGGGAGGGTGTGCTGGTTATGGAAGGTTGATAAGGTGTTTTTACCGACTTTCGGTGTTTGTTTGTGTACGGATTTGTTTTTTTCGCTTCCAGAATATGGGGCCCTTGTTTTACATATACGATTATGAGACGTTACGTGCTTGTAGCACGATGAGAAATGTATGAATGACTACCTTTGAATAGCTGGTTGCCGTGCGTGATTTGTGTGCACTTACTCGGGTGAGTACTGGCTATAGCTACTAGCTACTCGTCGCAGCGCAATGGTCTGAGCTTTTACCCGTCGACGACCCGTCAGACGCAAGCCGTGGAGTCGCACGGGCTTGCTGCTTGAGAGAGTGGCATGACATGCTGTCTCAACATTTGCTTGGTGTGTGAATGCCTCGCCCCCAACTCGTCTTCAGCCCGCAGCCTCCACCTCCAGTCGTCCGAGCACAGCTTCTACAACACCCTTTGCTCCAATGCCCCTCTCCACACCACCGAGGCTCTGTTCTTCAGCTTCAAGCTCGACTGCACCCTCATAGACCTTGACAATCATATCTTCATCCACCTTCGCACCACATGCTACCAGTCCTTTGATCAACGTGCTGACCCTAGTTATCTCCCGCATGACTGGCGGCTCAATGTCGTCGTTTTGACTCGAATACAGTGTCTCGGTCACGCTCTCGTCCAGTCTGTTGATCCCCATTTCCTTCGGGTCGGCATTCGTTATGATATGCTTGCTAATGAAGATGTAGCCGTTTACACCAAGTACAATGTCGATCTCGCCGGCCGCCGTGTTCAGCGTAAAGACCTGTCGTCTACTCCTCACTACGCCACCCTTGCGGCTTAATATACCACCTCCAGCGCCACTCAGGCTAGTGAATAGACCGTTTCTCAGTTTTCCGTATTTGAGCGATCGCGTGTGGAGGGAGGCTGTGCCGTCTTGGTGCAAGCTCTGTACTTCGGCGACGAGTAAATCACCTTCTTGGAAGAAGGTTCGGATATTCAGTTCGTCCACGGTTGTTCTGCGTCGCAACACTCCACCGGGCAAGTTTATACTCGACAATGGCAGGTTTGCGTGCATTGGTGCTGCGATATCGACGTTCCACTTCTTCGTTCCCACTGTCATTATGCGTCCGACGACCAAATCGCCAATCTCGGGTTGATACCGGGCGCGCAATGGTTGTACAGAAAGCAGCTTGTTCGTTTTGTGCAGGGTACCGGCGACAGTGGATATTATCGTGGTGGAAGACGGAGGGATGGATGGGATGTATGTGCCGTGGCCGCGCATCCATTGCGGGTCCGAGGTAATGGCTTCACCAGGTGTTACTATTGACTTTGAGTCGGAAGTCACAAGGTCATCGTCCTCCATGTCTATGTCGGAGTCGTCGGAGTCGTCTCTTGCATCGCGCCGTGGTGGTAGAGGTGCGCTAGGTGGGAGGATAGAGATTGGCATGGCGGAGGATACGCTTGTCGCGGCGGCGAGCTCTGTCTCGAAGTTCTGGTGTGTATAGTTGATCAAATCGTACAAGTCCGATGAATTTGATCTGTTCACGGTTTCTTTCCTGGGATATCGTGGGCGTTCTGGTGGTGGTGTCGTTGTGTACTGCTACAAGCTTCGGAAATTTTGGCGGGGATTGAAGCTGTCCAACGATCCCTGCAGAGCCTTCCGGATGTAGGCTAGTCTCGACGCGTCTATCCCATGGCAGTCGCGACAGGGTCCGACGTCATCCCATCAACAGTCAGATCTCGCTACCACTTCATCTCAATCTCCATTGCATCGATATCTGTACAGAAAGAATCAGAGCGAATACTATGGTGCTATTGCCATCATCTCCGGCTGTGTCCACCTTCAACGAACCCTTCATCTCGGCCCTCGATGCCGCTGCGCCTGACAACGCCAACGATGATCCGAACTACTATGCTCGTTACCCGCGGTCACTAATCACGACCTCTAATCTAGACGCGTTTATGACTGGCACCGGATCCGCCATCTACGAGTCTTTGGTACCGCTGCTCGAGTCTGCCTGTCATGAGCTCATTCTGGTGACCTGCTTCTGGGCCAGATCGACAACTCTGGATACACTCAATGAGGTTCTGCGAAGACTATCTGAAAAGGCCGTCAGAAGGGGAACAGACAAGATCAGAGTTCGGTTATGCTTTTCTTCCAGCTCAGTCTTCCAGAAACTATTCCACAAGCAAGCTACCACAGGACAGACGTATCCACCTTCAACATGGGTCAAGAAGCTGGGCTTGCCTGACCCATCTGAACTCAACGGACTAGACCTCAAGATCAAGTCTATATTCATTCTACCATTTAGTGTCATGCATCCAAAATTCATCCTCATCGATCGGAAGACCGCAGTATTACCGAGTTGCAATATCAGTTGGGAGGAATGGTTCGAGGGTGCCATCACCCTTACTGGACCTGTTGTGGAACATTTTCTCAAGTTCTATCGTACTTTTTGGGAGCGGCGAGAGGATGCCCCGACTACCCTCGATGCTCCTGAAAGCGCTGCGGTCAAGCTTCACAACGCATTGAAATCGTCACAATTATTGTCGGCTCGGTCTATACATACCATGTTTCTTCCAAGCCCACACCGTCGCAATCCACGCTTCAATCTCATCGGAGCTCAGGACGCCCTGCAAGCTCCACCAACACCTTTGAACGTTTTCATACTTACACTTTTTGCAAAGGCCGAAAGGAGCATCCGTATACAGACACCAAACGTCACTGCACCGCCTGTCTTGTCCGCAATACTTAGAGCGCTTGCCCGTGGTATTAATGTCCATATTCTGACCTCTGAGCGTCTCATGATACTCGAGCAGTTGGTCACAGCAGGTACCACAACATCACGCTGCATCAAGAAGCTCATTAAACGCTATCAACGGCTGGGTCACAATAGTGGTAACCCGAATGATGAAGAGGCGGCTATAGCGACTCCCAAGCCCGGTCGCCTGCATGTGTCGTACTTCGAGCCAATCGGCGGACCCAAGAACAAGGGCAACGAGGCAGGAGAGCCTCAACAGTCGCACCTCAAGATGACTATTGTAGACGACGAGGTGCTTATTCTGGGCTCTGGAAACCTCGATCGGGCGAGTTGGTTCACAAGCCAAGAGTTGGGAGTTGCCTTCTTCGACAAGGAAGTGGTTGAAAAGGTTGGCAGTGCGGTTGATGAAGGTACACAGGGAAGGAGCAAGGTAGTGTTTGACAGTGAGGGCTAATATGGATCGTGTAAGATGGTCTCTGTTTGGCAGATTATACTGGGAGATACAAAGGCGGGATTAATACGCATTGCTTCGCCACCTTCCTTGTCACGGTCTATTGTGCTCAAGGAAGCACTAGATCGAACTGTCTTTGCTCTTCGGGATTTCTGGATTTGCCAAGTCAACAAACCCTCTCAAGACTACCACTCCGCACCAATGTTCCTCTCAGTGTCACTCGTCGTAGCTTTATGGTTCCTGGCGTCTAGTCAAGCCTTGATTTCGATGGGTCTCGCAAAGCTTGTAGCAATTCCCTCAGCGCACTCATCTGGAGAGGCTGTGGTGCTGGGATTAGCATCTCCATTGGTTGGATCCATGCCGCAGGCCAGATTGTGAACCTTCACTGTGACCCTTTTGGTGCTGAGCCATGTACGGCAGCCTCGGCCTGCTCCGTTGGGTTAAGAATATCCAAGTTGGCCGCAGTTTCCTATGACATGCATGTCACTTCAAGATGCACCAGACCCGTGAGGCCGGCACATGGCTCTCCTGACATCGCTTGTGGTATCAGCCCGTCGAATGCTGTCAAGCGGGTCAAGAATGTGACACAACGCAGCTGAGGCCGTGTCATTGCAGGAGGTATGGCTAATACGAACTCTCTGTTTGGGGCGGGAAACGAGAACTGCATGATAAATCCGTTCTCTTGGTAGAATACATACCTCGCAATTGTAGCGATGTCTGGGGTCCTTCTTAGGTATGGAAAATACTCTCTTCGCGTTACAGTATTGATGTGCGATGGCCAAATTGAAGAGGGGAAAACAAGATTGTGATGAAATATCTGAAGCTTCAGTTCGTTTGGCAACTTCAGCCAGTCTCTTACGAAGCCTGACATGGCCGGACCGGCTGGTGGTATTGTGAGTTTACAGTCGTATCGGATATGAATAGACATAAGAGCATGCACCTGCATCAAGCAGGGCGCGGATATGCTGAGCGGATATGGAGATGAGATGACGATAGTAGCGCGCTCGGGTAGGTTCATAGGCCAGTGTATTTCGACTACTTCATTAAATCCGCAACACTCTCCAGACACCTTCTCCGGAGTGGTTTCCAAGATTCTTTCCGAGGTTGTAACTGGAATACCGGCTTTTGCATATCATGGCATCTGGTGTCGTGAAGGAATGTGCAGATTTGCTTGCATTATTGGGGTCTTGAAGAACTTAACTAATCTAAACAATAAACGCTGGAGCTACTAGTGTGCATCAGATTTCGATGCATCTTGAGCTTATATGCAAGTGTTCAATTATTGTAAAGATAACCACTGACAGTCAATGTATCATAGTTCATATCAGTTGTCACATTTCGCAATGCGCTCTCTCAAGATATGTCGCGTAAGTCGTCGTAGCCATCTAGCCATTAGTTTGCTCAGAGTTGAATTACTTGCTCGCTGAAACTGACGTGCAGCTGAAGCGCGTATTGTATTTCACTACCTGCGCTACTGCCTAGTTAGACCTACCTTGTATGATACCAAAACTATCACGATCATCTTCTATGAGATGATACGAAAGGTGACCATATACGTGCAATCAATCGTCTCGTTCGAGCTTGAGAACTGGCGTGATGCCGAAAGTAAAAGAGTGACATGATGTGCCGAGCACACGCGACAATCAGACCCAAGAGAGAGGCGAAGTGTTGTGCATAGATTGTATTGTGGTCAGCCATTGCTGCTGAAGCGCATGACCAGCGTTATCGAGCTCACTAGCATCTCAGCCAGTTGACGAACGGAGTAGGGTGTCTGTCTTTGCAGAAGAGTATGTACAAGCTGTGCGTGGTCCGCGTCCATCGCCTAATCATCACGCATACCGCCTTGACGCCAAACAAGCGCCAGACCCATGTGCAAATGATGACGCGCATTCCGTTCCCTGATATGTCAAACATTGTGGTGTAGAGCCGATAAAAAAGGCAAAAGTCGGTAATATAATCCAACCATCTCTTGGGAAAAAATAAAGCGGCGAAGTGAACAAACAAAAACATCAAAAAGTCCATATGATCCACATCAGCACTTGACGGATCGTCCCAATTGCATACCAGAACCATGCAAATCGAGAACCTGAGGGTATGCCAACGTAATCCAACCAGACCCAAAACAATTCCCAGCCCAGCTGCGCGTAACCAAAGGCGCTGCCGTAATCTAATGTTGAATGTGAAGGGGTATAAGGGTCTACATGGAGCCCATAGCAATGAGTGCCTCAATAGCGTCGCGCTCAGCGCCAGATCCGGCTACACCAGCCGATGCATTGAAAACGGAAGAAGTCAAAGGAGAGCCCGCGTTCACGACGTGATTACCGTGGGATGCATGAGGAACAGTAAGGAAAGGTTTGTACGTGGGCGTCGCAGTGCGTCCGTGATGGGGCTGAGGCAGAGAGTGGGCCTGAGCGGATATGCTCCGATAGCGCGGGTTGCTCGTCTGTGTTCGGCTTAGATAGTTGTAGTCGCGGTGTTCTCGGCGCGGACCGCGGCGGGTCTCGCGAAGAGCTTCGGGCCCCATTGTCGCCCAGTCTTCTTGATCAGTGTCGTCATTTAATTCTTCTTCCAAATCCATGTCCGAAGCCGAGTCAGACTCGGTGCTGCCTTCGGAGTCGTCCAGCGACATCTGGTCAGCCATCTCTTCGTCTTCGCCCTGTCGGTGCGGCGACCACGAGCCAGCGTTCCAGCTGCCTGAGTAGACGTCGCGCTCTTGTCGCAGCTTGGAAATTTGGAGGCTGCCGCCGATGCTATCAACACTGTCCGGTGGCGTCCGCCCATTTCCAGAGCGTTTACCGCCGATGGGCATTCCCGCGGCCTGAGAGCCAGAGCCAGCGACACTCCAACGCCCCCAGCCGACCTTCTCGAACTTGACCTCGCCATGCAGGCCGCCGCCAGCGCGATGTTCCAGCGCAGCAACGACTAGCCTACGGGCCTTCGCAGGGGGTAGACCAGAGAAGCCAGGCACCGCGTGCGTCAGATGCGCCATCATTTCGCGGATGGGCATCGCGCCGTGGCCCTCGATGATGTCTGGCAGGTGATGCTTGGCCAGCATGAGCGCCGTGATCTGGCGCGTCGCATCCAAACCTGCGAGCGCCTCCTTGGAGAGCGCGGAAGGTTGGTCCTGCGCTGCCGCATGTTCTACCGCATCCTGGAGATCTATATCCATAGACTCCTCTTCTGGTGTGTGAAGTCGCCCGGCTACAGGCATGGGGCGTCGCTTGTGCGCAGGAAGGGTGGGAGAGATGGAACTTGGCGGAGTAGGGAGGGTACCAGTCGAAGCAGCATGGCCACTGTCCTGACGCCCAAAGGCCATGGCAATGTTGGACATCGGCTTCTGGGCGGAAGCAGCCATGTTTACTATTGCGAGGCAGGGGCTGACGAATGAGTCAAAGCGCGAGTTGATGGGGCAGTCGCGCTGGGTGGATAGGAGGTCTGGAGGATGATATCGTCAGTAAGCAGAGCCTTGAATGCTGTAAGTTCTCCAAGACGAAGTTGCAGCGTGATGCAAGTCGTCCGGGGGGGCAAACGCACCTGAGTATCTTCGGCTTGTACTGTCGGGTGTCGACGGTAGGATGTTCGGTCTGCAGCAGGAATTTGGGTGTAAAATTAAAGACGGAAATAGAACTGCCTTGTGCGACAAGCGAAGTGCAGTTATGGGGCAGATATGCGCTGGCGTTGGGTTGTTATAGCAAGCTGCAGCAACGTAGCTTGTGCCTTCACCGTTCCGAGAGGTTTGGCGATCGACGATGTGATCAGCGAGTCGGTAACGGGAGGATGCAGATAGCGTGTCGGGGCAGCAGAGGCGAGGTGTAGTAGAGGCGAACAAGAGCAAGCAGCGTACGATCAAGATATCAGAAGAGGTTCAATATTCGAGTGTGGGCTATGTTATGAGTCTATGAATGAATGAGGCAGGGACTCTATGATAAGGGCTCCTTGGTTCCGAAGGCAGCTGGAACCAAGGAAGGCACGCGCATCTGACAACCCCCAGCGGAAAGCTACGACTCGTGCCCCTGTCAGCGCTGTGATTGGCTGACTATGTGCACGACAGCCACACCTCACACAAGCGTCATGGGAATTCGCCCCTCGTAGCAGCAGGGACTCGAAGCTTAGAAGCAGGGCAATATTAGAGTTGCACAAGACCTATCGCGCCGTTTCGATACGGTGAGGCTGTCTACACTGTCTGAACTGCTGCGACAACGACAACGCGATGCTCAAACCTGAAGTCAGCCATGGCGATCGCGCCTTCCGTTCGCAGCCGATGCCCCATATCAGCATCTTGTGTATCGGCTCCTCATGTTGGCCATCCGTCGTTCCATGCCTCGCACCAACAACAGCGATTGGCGCTATCATTGTCACGCCGCGGGGTCCATCCCACCACCTAAAGGTCCGATTTCGCTATGCGCCTACTAATGGAAGCCTTCAGACACGGGGTGAGGGGCTTGCTTTCGTGGCCGTGGCAGAGCAACCACCGTCTGACACACGTGTTTGTCCGACAGGCCTCACTGCAAGACATCCCGTCGCAAAAGACCGCCAAACTTTATAGAATGCATTGCGCCGATACGTCGGAATTTCCAGCCGTCAACGAGTGACGTGGGCTGCACCACCCAGTGCGCCGGCGTGGGAAATGCCTCAACCGTGATTTGCGTTGACGACATACTTCGTGATGGCCTAGTAGGTGGAGATGGCGTTAGCGACGCGACGCGACCACACACACAAAAGTTCGACTCAAAATACAACATACCGATTTGAGTACGTTGATCTGCTGCACCGTGCGAGTGAAAACGGCCCGGTACTGCTCTAGGTTCTGTTGTACCACTTCGTTGCGCGTAGTGCGGCCTTCGCAAATGGCTTTCATCTGAACTTCCATCTGCCCAAAGTGTTAGCGACCATGTCGGGTCATCAACGCCCAACAACCCCACGAGCAGCACTTACTTCTTTCCGGAGGAACGGCTTGCTGAGGCTCGTCTCAAACCCCACGTTATCGTATCCTTCAATAAGCGCGATACCCAGAGTCGTCGGGATAAACTCTTGTACTCCACCGGTGCCTCCTCCGTTGTTCTGACCTATTGCTGCGCCGCCTCGTCCACCTTGTCCCCCTCTTACACCCCCTCTTCCTCTTCCACGGCCTCTGCCTGCACCTGCCCCATTTGCACCTGCTGCAGCGCCACCTGCTTTAAGTCTTGCGATGACGTATTCGCGCTCCTTGATCTTGGCAATATGCTCGGCCATGGTTGCATCTGTGCCAATGCCGTTTGCGTCCATGAGTGCGATGAGCTCGGGTTCGGTGAGGTAGCTGGGTGCTGTCGTTTGTCCGTCCAGCATGTTCGCTTCCGTCGGCTCGAAAGTCTCGCCTACTGTGTACTGGGGAAGCACTTGACTGCTCTCCCACTTGTCGTATGGATAGACGTCAAGGTAATTCCTTGCAATGACGGTAAGACCATGTGCGTGGAAGACCTCGCCTCCATACTCGATCTCGATATCTGTGGCTTCACCGATAGCATCTTCAGAGCAACATGCGAGAAAGCGGCGAACGACGAATTCGTAGACGGTGCGCTCTCTATCGTTAAGCTGGGATGATGCGACGTAGTTGACGGGATGGATAGGCGGATGTGCTTTGTCATTGTTGCGTCCCTGGCGTGGTTGTTGAAAGCCACCGTTCATGAGATTCTGTGCGAATGGACCCCAGCGACCATCTTGCGTTTGCCTTCCGACAAGGGTTCGTAGGTCCATACCTTGATCGAACTGGTCAGTCTCAGTGCGAGGATAACTGATCCAGCCTTTCGTATACAAGTCTTCGGCCACTTTCATGACGTCTTGTGAGGTCATACGAAGGAATCTACTTCCCATCTTCTGTAGCTCGACTGTCGTCAGAGGTAATGGTTTCCATTTCTTCGTAGGCTTTTTCGCCATCTTGATGACTTTTGCCGTCTTGGAAAGCAAGCATCGCTCGAAAATGAGGATAACCGCCATGCGATCGAAAAGATGGCCTCGTCGCCAGTTGAATTTGACATCGATTTCGTCCTTTGTGTGTGCAAGTTTGATATACCAGAATGGCTCTGGAACAAAGTTGCGTACACGCAGATATCGGTCGACAACGAAACCCAACGTTGGAAACTGACAGGAGCCATAGCTGATTAACTTGCCTCGCTCTTCGCCCTGTTGAGGGATCATGTTCTGTAGCGCCAGTGTCTGCATACGTGTGAAAGCTGCACCAAGACGCAGATCTAACTCAATTCGAGCTGAGACAGCCTGCGCCTGCGCTTCATCTAGGCGAATAGGGTTCTGTGAGGCATGTATGACATGGCTGTAGAAAGTTAGTTTACAAGGCACATCCATGGTGTAGTGATACCGACGCTCTCTCGATATTGCTGAAGCGTGCTCTCCAAACCTGCATATTCGGATTCGCCCTCAACGCAATATCGCGAATCTCGGTTCCGATATGCTCGCCTTCGCGATCACAATCGGTCCAGATGAACAAGATGGACGCATATTTGGCTTGTGCTTCGATATTGCTCGCTACAGCCTTCTTGTCCTATGAACGAATCAGCCAACTCCAAGCAATCAGACCCATACCACTCACCTCTGCAATGCTCGACACTATGGGAGCCTCGAACAGTGCTGAGGGCTGGCATGAGTGCCACTTCTTAAATCGATCATTAAAGTCCTGTGCGACGATGTGTCCCGCAACGCATGTGAAGGTTACAGAACATTGCCCCCAGGATTGGAAGCGAAAGTCGAACTTGTAGTTTTTGACCCACTGAATACCGCGGACACTTTCCTATCTGGAGTCAGTCTTGCATTCGATCTGCGTTCCAAACCCAGCAGGTGCTTGCGTCTTTTGTACGTAACACCGCGAGGTACACTTGAGGTATTTGCTATGCTTTTAGCCCTCAATATGCCAACAAAGCGCAACTCTAGACCTGCAGGGTACGTTTTGGTGTTGGATACGACAATTTCCACACTTACCGCTCGTGCTTGGCCACCTAAATGATTTGCGACCGCCTTGGCAATCGACGGCTTCTCTGCTACGCACAGCACCCGAGTCATGCCTCCGAATTGTCGTTGGAACCATGAAAGGGGTTGACATGGAACCTGGAAGGACGAAGATGCTTACGGTCATGTGAAAACGCGTCAAGCCAGATTAGCGCGTTTGACGGTCGCACGGGCGTTCCTGCAGCTCGCTAAGCAACAAGGGAAAACAGCGATTCATGAGGTCATTGTACGAACGCTAACTCCAGCTTGTGAGGGGAGCATCATAACATCTTCATCTTCATCTCCATCTCCTTCAAACCTCACCGAAACGATGCCCGACCCACGGACATACATCGACATGGCGCTGCCACTTGTCAAAACGCTGCCCGATTGCGCTGATTACTTCAAGACTGTGGAACCGTTCCTTCCACAATTCTATGACCTCCCGTACAAAGTCGCAGCGCACATCACCGACCCACAGGCGCTGAAGGCCCTCTATGTCAACACCAACCCGCTCATGACAGCGCTGGCATTCGCCACCATGTTTGTCACCCCCGCCGTGCTTGCCGTCTCGGAGATCAACCGCAATTACTCGCAGGTCGACCGGCTGTGGAGTTTGCTGCCTGCCATCTACAATGTGCATTACGCAGTATGGGCCCACCTCAATGGACTGCCGACAATGAAGCTGGATCACGTTATGGCTATTTCAATCATCTGGGGTGCTCGCTTGACCTTCAACTACTGGCGCAAGGGCGGATATCATGTTGGCAGCGAAGACTACAGATGGAACATCGTCAAGGACTACGTTGGTGGGCCTGGCATGTTCATCTTCAATGTCACCTTCATCTCGCTTGGGCAGAATGTGAGTACTCTCATACTGCATGCAATGAGCGCACAAATACTAATGATGGTAGATTCTTCTCTGGCTCATCACTACCCCTACGTACATCCTACTTCTCGCGAATCGTCTCAAGGGCAACGACGTCACATCTTACGACTCCTTGTTCGGCCGTTCCATGGTCGCCATCGTTGTTCTCGAGTTCTTCGCCGACCAAGCGCAATGGAACTACCACAAAGCCAAGGGTGCATACCAGAAAACCGCCAAGGTACCATCCGATCAGAAATACACGCGTGAGCAATTGGACCGTGGATTCAACACCACCGGTCTTTTCGCCTGGTCGCGCCACCCCAACTTCGCTGCTGAGCAGGCCTTTTGGGTATGCTTGTATCAATGGTGCTGCTTGGAGACCGAGACCTACGCCAACTGGACAGGCGCCGGTGCACTTGGATACCTGATCTTGTTCCAGGCCAGCACTTGGCTCACCGAGCTGCTCAGCGCAGGCAAGTACCCCGAGTACAAGGTCTACCAGGAGCGTGTCGGCAAGTTCCTTCCCAAGTTTGGCACCAAGAGTATGGAGCTGCCGCAGACTGAGAAGGAGAAGCAGAAGGTCAAGGACGCGAAGGCTGGTAAGGGTGCCATGAAGACCAAATGAGGAGGCACGTAACAGACAGACTACCGATGGAAGCGTTCCGGGACGCAGAGGTCGGTCAGGCGAGGACGAAAGCTGTTTGGTCTGTTGAGGCGAATTAGCGACACGAGCAAGGAGATCTAAAGACGAAGGCATGGTTGTGATCGGAGTATTCACACATAATCAACTAAACACAAATCTAACAACTCCATATAATAAATCAAAGAAAGTAAATCAACAACCCCGTCTGACTCGTAGCATTCGTCGATAGCTTTTTTGGCTTATGTCGTAGCCTTAGCTTGTACATTCAGCTTTGTCAGGCCAAGTTTAGGTAAACGTCCAAAGTCCTCCCTTCCAAACCCCGTCATACCATCGACATTTTAGAACAACTCTCTTCTCCTCCGTGGATGCAAACTTGGTTTTGTCTCAGAATGTTTCTTTTATGTCTTCCTGTGTGAGTTCTTTAGGCTAGGCGTGATTGGAAGATGCACCGGGGGACTTGACTGCTCCAGCACAGTTGAACACTATGCCCCAACCGACCATCCCGTTTATGAGATTGTGCCAAGATCGTACGACATACTTAAGATGAACGTCTGATTTAGACAGATGAAGTTCAACTATAACATTTCGAAGCGCGCTAAACCCGTAGTCCTATTCGCAAGCTTTGCGAGCTTCATCTACTCACTGCTCTTCGGCTGAATATGCACCGATAGTGTTCGGATGGAGTTATGGGATACCACTGGAGGATAGCCAAAACAGTCTCGCATCAAACCTGGCATTACGTTGGCGCAATCGACGGGGCAGTATGCGGGCTCAAGGTGGAATATCTTCTTACTTGAGATTATATCACGCGTAATGCCGACGATCCCAGGCTCTAATCAGCAACGCGGATGCAACAGTCTGCCTGCCGAGTTGAAGGTTCAAATATTTTGGTTCAATCTGAAAGTATGGCATCGCGTAGATATGTCGTACTCGGAACAATATCCGTTGGTAGTCAAGAACGTGCTGCTTCCTTATCTACGCATGACGCTTAAGTGGTGTGGACGGGTTGACGTGGATATGTTTCTTGCACATAATTCTGGTGATGGTACGTGAACCAGCACTTACTGCGACAGCACTACCCTCGGCAAGGAACTGGAAGAGCGAGGAACTTAAGATGTAAATCAACATGGGCGGCGCTAGACGACGATAGTATGATGATTTTGGCAGTACTTTCCGCATCGGGTAGCTCGTCAAGCATGTCAACTGCTACAGAAGGTGTGGCCATCGCCATGGTCGCAAGGGCGTGTATGAGTTGTAGAGAGAGTTGGGTGTCTGAAGAGTATTCGCATGCTAGTAACAAAATCAAGAGCGAGAATTGTTTGTCTGCTGGAAATAGCAGACTAGTCGCTACAGTTATTGTGGGAGTGATACGCTAGCATATTAGTACTAGCGCACCGCGCACGCGCGTGAATGATGATCGGGAATAATGCCTCACTCTCTTGAGAATACAAGCTGCTTAGGCTGACAGGGTGCTCAAACGAGGCACTTAGGTTACGAGATGAGACGAATAACGAAGTGTAGAGACCTAGAAGGTTACTACACGTAGAGATGGGAGTGCAACAGTAAATTGCGAGGAGTATGTTTGTCTTTGCCAGACACATCTATACAGACCTTCTTGCAGTAGCATTACCACCGCCAATAGTGTTGACATCCGGCGGACCAACGAGAGCCAAGGTTTCAATCCCTGCGACACCATACAACGCTGCCGCATTTGTGCTAACCCATGTCGCCTCATCGACAGGGATAAGTGCGTCACTTCCGTCAATCCTTACCCTTGCCCATGGAGCACCCGGCGCAAGGCCATCCTTGCTACCATCGCCCAAGAACTCTGACCACACTCTTGGGACCAGTGTCGCATTGTTGCGGTGGTTGGCCACGTAGGCAGTGAAGCGCGAGTGACCCTGCATCAGACTGAGGTTGCCGAAGTCCTTGCCATAACGAGCCCTCTGTTCAGCTTTCCCAGCACCATAGTAGTAGCAATAGTCCAAGAATGCCTCGAAGAAAGGCTGAGTGACATTCTTTTGCTCCTCACCGAAGTGGTCCATAAGCTGGTCGATAGTCTCCAGAACGCCGAACACACCAGACAGATGCGAAACAGTAACGTTGCCGGTGTTGTTCGGGTCAGTGGGCGGCGGTGCCCACGCTCCGGTAAGACTGTTGTAAAACGCTTCACCAGTGGCAAATCCATTCTTGAGCTTAGGATATGTCACAATAGACTCAACAAGCTTTTTGCGAGATTCTTCCCATCGTGGTCCACGGCGCTCCCACTCGATAAGGTATGCTTGTGCAATACCAGCCCAATCAGTTCCAAAGTTGAGGAACAGGGCTTCCGGGTCGGGGTTGTAAATAATACCAGGCGCTCGCACCTTGCGTCTCGCATCTACGCGAAGGAAGGCTTTGTCAGCATCAATGACCTCGCGTACCAGGTCGCCAGTCCGTTCATCACCACCAGAGATGTAGTAGAACGTCTTGCGGTAAACCGGGGTTGATATCCTAGCCTGTTTGGCGCTATCACTCCAGTGTTGGACACCATGTCGGGTACCGAGCCCAGTGAAGTTGCCCAGGTGATACGAGTCAACTTCGCCTCCATGGCGCACTTGGTCGTGAGCAATCTTGTAAGCATCCGCACGGCCGGTACGGAGGAAAAAGTCCCAAAAGAAGAGATCAGGAGACAGCTCCGAGTTATCCCAAGCGTAACCACCGATATCGTACCTCCATTGATGGCGGTCGTTATCGTATGTGTGCATGATATCTCCATGGTCCCAGAAGCCGTACCAGCGACGCTGCTCAATTTGGTCTTCGTAGAATTTGATGAGGAAATCCATGTTTGACTCGATGGTCTGCGCTTGGGCGGAGTCAACAGCACCGGGCACGTCCCAGTACGACCCGATTGCTTTGGTGTCACGCATGTACTCTGGCTCAGCAATGAGAACGGGTGGGTTGTTGGTAAAGTTAGTGAGTGTTGCAAGGTGGTCAGCGGATGGTGTGGTGTCAAACGCGTAAATGTAAAGCTCGTTGGTCCGGCCAAGGCCGTAGGGAGTATCGTAGCCCCCTTCCCAATCCTCGTAGGTAATATCCAGAGCATCCAGTTGTTTCTTGTAAGTATCTTGTCCAAGTCCATCGTGGTATGGACGGATATCCATAGGCCCAGCCTGGGGGCTGTATAGCCACATGGTGATCGATCCTGTATCGGTCGCGGCATTAGAGATGTCCAGACTAGTAGGATACTTTTTCCAGAAATCACGAAGACCGACAGCAAGACCGCCAACCGTAGCACCTCCAAGGTAGGCCACGCCACCTGAACGTGTACCTCCTGGGATCTTAACCCAGCTTTGGCCAGCCTTTGTGCGTTTCTTAAGATTGAAGCCATCAGGTGAGAGTTGTGTCAGGCGGTAGTCGCTCCATGTCGGGATCCACTGTAGACGAGTAGTCACTCTTTGATCCCAGGTGGAGTTGGGCGGCAGGACAGTACCATTGAACTGTCCCGATCGAACGTCGACACCTGGGTCTCGACGCAGACCAGTGACGCCCTTGACGGCTTCGTGGAGGATTCCGCCATCAACGCCTGCGATTCGGATATGGCGATCATAAAATTCCTCCTCAGCAAGGGGAACATCGAAGCGGATACCGATACCCGAGAGGAAGTCTTTGTACATATCTCCATCATAGATGATGGTGTGAATGACGCGAATCGCTTCCGAGTTGGCGTAGAGGTAGAAGCGGACAATGAAGGGGATCCAGTCGTCATGGGCACCATCTCCATTGATAGTATGGATACCGTGAACTGTTACTAAGGTACGAACGGTGTTGTCCTCCGTTACGGTAACGTTTGATATCTTGCTGGTAAAGCTGAAGTATTCAATACCGGTCGGCTTGCCACCTTCGTCATCATCGGGAGTACCTGTTTGAGAGCGTAAAACTAGATGACCGTTGCCACCAACTTTCTTTCCACCGGCCTCAATGGTGGATACTAGAACGTTGCCTGATTTAGGAAAGGTTGCTGAGACCTTGCCGGCGTTAACAATAATCTCCTCGCCGGAGTCGCTAACTTCGATGCCGTTGCTTTGACGCTTGAAGCTTGAAGTAGAAGAATTGCCTGCACCAGAAGCCGTGATTGTGTACTGGTCGGCAGGAGAATCACTGGCTCCCAGAGCGTGCCCGGTCCACTTTAGTGTTCCATCTGGCCAGTAGGCCGTGACCCACGACTGAAGTTCCGCGTCTCCGGATACTGTGAAGGTTGTAGTGTTCGCAAGGTGCTGCCCACGAGGCCAAGGTAAACCGAAGGTCACACCAGCGAGGTATTTTGGTGTATCATCGATCCACTTGACTTTGACAGAGTCGCTTTGAGCGGTCGCATAGCCGATAAGGCCAGCAAGGCCAATGAAGGCTCTCAGCATCTTGAGATGGAGCAAAGAGTGGAAGAAGTCGCAACCAGATGGAAGGCTTGACTTTCTCTCTGGAAGCTCGAAGCGCGAGCATTTGTACTTGCATCTTCGACCCAGATACCCGGCTACAGCTTGACTACAACGGGCCTTGACCCATCCAATATCCGGCCTACCATCACACTTGCGGTAGCACACCCGTCGGCTAGCCCGCACGCAAGAGTGTGTCAACCATACGTGATGTACATGGTTCTAATCGAGTTTGGTTCATGCTTGGCGAGCCTCGTCGTTCATGGGTAATAGTGTGCGCTCTGCGGGTGGGGTAGATCGACAGGGTTTCTAGGCATCTCCGCAATTTAACCTCGGGGTAAAGACAACCGAATCAACGGTATTCGGAGTTGATACATCGGAGGCAGTGCTTCCAGGTCAGGAAAAAAAGGGGCAATATACTCGTATCGACTGAATGAGACTGTGAGCAAGCTCAGCACATGTCAATGGATTGAGCAAAAAAGAAACCAAGAACATACAACAGCGGGGATTCGCCAGTGGTCACCCACCTAGCTACTAATCCGCCGGTCACAAGCTTGAGTACCGCTGAGCAGACGGGAAGCGCTATTGATCTTGAGCCTTTGGTCGTATGTGACAGTTTTGGATCGAAGTAAGTATATATTGCTCGCGCAGGCCCCAGCCAGAAAGGCCAAACCGCCAGACCTGGCTGGCAGTTCGTCGGCTATCGGATCGCACGGTGACGCAACGAGTTCCTGCTCAGGTATGACGATGGTAAGTTCGAAGGACGAAGCCAGAAGCGATATCCTGGCAAACCTCCCAAGGTCGAACGTGTGCGTATGCCATGGCGCATCACGACTCTGCCAAGAACGCTAGCTAGAATCGCGCTACGCCGCTACTCTTCTTGGAACGCTGCATCTTCTGGGCATCGGAACAACAGACGGCGAAATATCTTCCTGGAATGTGAACACCGGCTTCCTCGCTATGTTCAACAGCATCAGAAGAGCTCTCAGCCTACTCCGTGGACTTGCTCCTGTCGCATCCCGCTGCTGCCTACCCATGCATCGCTTTAACCATGCCGGAAGTCTCGCAGACAACAGAGCTGATAGATTTGGAATTGGCCATTGCGCTGGGTTGTTTGTACGTGGGTCGGTATGAGGATATTCCACAACAAGTATCACGACGAAGGGCCTTTGTAGCGATCGTACTACAAAGTTGTAGGACATATGATGATTTGCCTGGCCAATGGGAGCTTAGCCGAGTCAGGTGTAAGAAGAGTGACTCTTGTGCAGAAGAGGAGACTATAGTAAGCTAAAGTGTATAATCATGCAAGGTAGGATGTAAATACAGCTTTTCCAGCCTGTTCTCTTCCTATCAGACATGCCTCCGCATACTACAAAATGATCCTACAACAATATGCCCTAGGGACGCATAAGGGGCATATAATAAGCCACACGGAAGAGGAGGAGGAGGAGGAGGAGGAGGAGGAGGAGGGAGGAGGAGGAGAGAGAGAGAGGGGTCAGGGGCAGGCTAGGCAGCCATACGGGCGTAAGAGAGATGAGGTGGAAGTGGGGTATATAGACCCCTGAGTGACCCTGACCCAGTAAATATAGCTAACCGGATATCCCCTCTTATCCGTCTGGTACAATCTAGGACCCTAGACCTTAGCATCATACAAAACGATCATACATATGTTGGTCACTACATAGAGCCGAAAAGGTAGCGACATCATATCAGGCGGCCTACTTACTAGACCGTCGTGAAAGAGACATAAGATCATGTGCAGGAGTCCATTGGTGTAATGAAAGATTTACCGAAGACAGACCTTTTTATGCAAACCCGCAACATGGCGTGGAAAAAATGTTCGCATACACGACACACCTCTCGCCACGGAGAAGCGGAACTCGATCTAGTGCTATTGCGAGCCGAGTTGTAGCCTTGTAGGACCTTGAATATCGTTACTTGCTGCCAGCACCGTTACTGTTACCGTTACCGTTACCGTTACCGCTACCGCTACCCTGGCCGGGGACGCCACCACGGCGGCCACCCCTTGTTCATATGCGCCATATGTCTCTGCAATGTTGTTGAATTTTCTGGGAGGATGTTGTTTGAGATGTGTGTTGTGGTTTGGGTGTAACTTAGGCTTTTCGTGAGGAAGGTATACGAGAAGGAGGTAAGCTAGTCATAGTGGGTGGTGGGGTCAGCTTTGAAGGCATGATTTGAGGCTATGATCAGATGCTGTGAGCTCAAGTGGCTATGGAGTGGAGGTGTATGCAATCGTGGGTTCGTGAGGGTTAAGTGAGACGATTGCATGAGACATGTTTCATTATGAGCAAGAGCTGTATCGGGCGAAAGAAAGTAGCGGAAACGTCTAGTCCAAGGTGATAGCTGATGTATTCGGTAATGATCTAATTCTATGTCTAACACGACTGCCACCTAAAACCACGCATTCTCTCTACTTTTCCGATGTTCCTCTAGTGGGAAATTTCTCCGAACTCCTCCTCGGCGAGGATCTCGTAAGTCTTGTCCTCGCTAAGCTCCAGATCGCACTCTTCGTAATCTTCGTAGAGAGTAGCATTGAAGAAGTTGCACATGTCCTCAACGATAGGGCGTGCCTTTAAAAGTTCCTCGGATGAGCACGTTCCCTTACCACCGTGATCGGGGGGGAAAGCGCAGGACTCAATCTTCTGTAATGATATTAGATGATGTCCTGTCAATGCTGTCAATAAAACAAGGTTGAGTACGTACAGAAGAGTAGACGCTGGAGTTGATGCAGTGGCAAGTAAAGTCATCGAATGCACAACCGTCATGCTTGTTGGCATACTCCTGACATTCGTGAACGCACTTGGGCATCCAGCTGCTGAGCTTCTTGTTGTCCCTAGTCACACCTCGTCAGCACGATGATCTATGAATTTTGGAAGGATCCGAACATACAAGCACTTGTACTTTTCCATGTTGCCCGCTTTTTCAGCTTGGGTGATGTTGTAGGTGTACTGGGCGCTGGCCGCAGCGGCAACAGAAAGAAGAGTAGCGATTTGTGTGAAACGCATGATGATGGTGATCAAGGTATGATGATTATGTTGTTGAGTAGAGACTTGGTGTATTGAGAATGATGCTTGAGGTTGTACTTCGATAGAGAGAGAATGCTTCCCTTCTTATACACAGATGTTGACAGCACCACCGCCTTTCGCAAATGAAGTCAAAGCGTGGTATGCGGGTAGAAGACGCCTGTGGCACTGTACCATTCTGTCTCAACACTGCACGTGTAATATTGATGTACGCAGGAACACACTCTCGCATTGAGCTAGAGTATGTTAGCGCAACCCCAAGATGGTTGCACCGGTGAGGACTTCGAGCGCTGACAGTCTCTCTCTACATGGCGGTGTTCATCTTTATTCGCCCGGACGACACCATGGTCAGGGCGGTACTTGCCTTACATCTGGCGGTGACAATAGTTGGTCCATGTGGAATGGCCAATCAATCGTCTCGATTCACGCCAAATGAACAATGAAAAAGTTGACAAAATATCGTCAACTATTGATTGATCTGAATATGGGGGACTTTGCAGCGCATCATACACCAGCATTTCCATCCCCAGAATTGTCTTTGTGTCACAATGAAGACGAAAAAAGGGGAAGGAAATTAGGAGAGCTATGGTCAAGCGGACAAATCAGAGGTAAGAGCGGTGTATGTAGCACGAATGAAGCGTTTGGCAGTACCGTGGAATGAGATGATGCATTGACATTGTAGCAAAAGGGGGTTTGGAGAAAAAAAGAAATTCCCTGCGGAGCTAGCTAGGGTTGCAAAGACGCAGCGTAACTCTTGCATATACATGTGACTTGCACCTGATGCGGTGTATACGAAGTACTCGACTGACCGACTCGTACATTTGTGTTGAGGTCTAGGACTTGGAATCGAACGTATCTGTCCGATCGGTGGCTGGGGATTCCAAAGTGAAGCTATCCGGGAAGGTTTTAGTGCGTTGAGCTTCGGAACCCCGCATTGCCCTGACATCTAAATACCAAATTTGAGAGTTTCCTTGCTTGTTATATCGAGATGTCCGTACCCTCACCGCTTCTGGTCATTCGAGATGTGCTCAGTACATAGGGCCGACAGCTTGGGTTGAATCAACAAGTTTGCTTCTGCATCCGCTCGTTGACAAGCGCTGCGAAATGCGGGTGTGCAGCGCCTATGTTGTCGCACTGCGCCGCTGACAACCCAAGCGTATTTCGCGACATCTGCCTGGCTGTTCTTCTAGCAAGGTATGCGACAATCGGATCCCAGGGCTGCAATGCTCGCAGGAGACATAGATAGTTGCTGCACTCTGCAATAAGGTTTTCATGGTCGATAAGACGTTCGACGAACTGCTGAAGATCTTCGTAAGCTTCGATACCGAGAGCCCGCATAGCCGCATAGCTATAGAGCCAATACCACTTATCTTCACCATCAATATCCGGCTTCTCTGGTAGGAAAGAGATGGGGGTCTTGCTCCTTGTGCAGCGGACGAGCCAGTCGAGGACACACATAGCGTAGCCTGGTAAGATATTACCAACAGCAAGAGGTACGCATGAGACGTGTGCGCATTGCTTGTAGCCGGTCTGGAACGTCTGCGAAGCTGCTGCGAGTGCTAAGACGGGAAACTCGATGGCATATGGACGGTTATTGCTATCAGCTTGTTCAGCAATTTGACGGCTGCGATCCACAGAAACGACGCCTATTGCAGCAGAACACAGCTCGGCATACTCAGAAGGCGTGCCAAAATGCGATACGATGAGCAGAATCGAAGGCCCTTGTAAGAGAAGGATACGACTTTCATATGACAGGCTGCCGAACGCATTCTTCGCGCTATGATTAGAAGAATCCGTCGTATCTATTTCCATGCTGCTGAAGCTATGTTAGAGCTTTACACTTGCAGCATTGGCTTGCACGTTTCGATGGAGCACCGGAAGCATCTAGTAATCTCGAAGCTTATTAGTGGTACAGTGAGTCGACTGAATGTTGTGGGTATGTGGTTGTATGGGAGAATATGCTTGTAGCATCCTTCATCTCAAACAGCGCTTGCCTATCACGGGAGCAGCGCCTGCTAATTCACTATGACGCAGCTATGCGCTCACATCGTTCTACCTTACTCCTAATAGGGTCTAAAGTAGTGTTTTCCCTTAAAAATGCAACTGAAGAAGCATGGTTGTTGTGAATGCGGGTGACAAAAACACTCGAGCGTATGAGACTAGCGCGCGACAATGGACCCACACAACACATTTGTCTGACTTAGCCCGACCTACTCACATCTACACACGGTCAATCTAAGTCGCAATCACGCATTTTTCTCGCATTCTGGATAATTGAAACCATGACTAGAAGACGTAATACCAATGCGCGTAAGCCACAACAATCGGCCGATGGCGCCCACAACACTTCCTGTAGAACCGAGAAGGATACCCATTATCGAGACGAGCCAAGGAAGGGTAATCAAGATCAAGACCAAGTAGTACAAGGAGGACACAGTAAACGTGGGCATGGCGATAGACGGAGCATGTCGCCAGGACGAGGAGACGCTCATGGTGAACAACAAGTTCACCGTCGCGACAACAGACGGTCGCGCACCCCACTGGAAGCCCGTAACACCCACGATGATCCAATCAAGACTCAGCAAGTCTGTGGAAGTGTGAATACACATGTCGTGGATCAGGGTCCCGCAAAACGTAAACGAGAGTCCAATGATGACATGGAGCATGCCTACAAGAAGGCGCGCACCAGTCATGGAGAAATACAATCAGCAGGAGCTGCGAAGTCACTGCAGAATGAAGGTATTTCAGCGGTGGAGAAAGATGAGGATGTACACAAAGAAGTCCCAGGTCTGGCCACGATCAAGAAGTTAAGTGAGGAGGCGAGGCGAAAGCTTCGCGAGCATAGATTTGGACAAACACCCATTCATCCGAGCAAAGCTGCGGTATTAAGGGCAGCTAACCAGCAGTCAAATTGCCCTGAACCGGCACATTGTGTCAAGCACGATTGCAAGACTACACATGTACCCGAAACCGAGCCAAAAGCAAAGGCACTCATCCCACACACCCCTGATCAGAAAGGCAAACCTAGTTCTGTGCGACAGTCTGATGTTACTACCACCGTCGCGATTCCAGAGTCGCATCATGAAGCCATCACCAAAGCCACCGCCATAACCCTCTTGTGCCGACAGCAAAGTGCTGGCAAGATTACATTCAAGATGAAAGTCCCAGAGATGGATATATCCCGAGAAGTTTTGACAACAGGGAATTCTATCTCACCTCCAAGCAAAGCATCGATTCCCCCAAATAAGCGCAATAAGCGCAGACAAGAGGAGGTAGAGGATGCTAAGACAATTCCGGCAAAGAAGGCAAAGATGAACGACACTGCTATAAAGAGACGGAATGACAAAATCAAGCAATCTTTGAACGATCATCATCTACATGCAGATGAGAATCGGTTCCCAGAGGAAGGACTCACCTTCGTCGCTTATGACGCTTACAGCATACCTCTCCTTTGCTCGCATTCGATCGAACATCAGTACCCATTCGAGATTTTGAACAAGCCATCTGACAAGCTGAAAAGATCCTTCGACAACGAGAGTGAGGTGGAGATCTTTAATCGCAAGATGCTTGTTCTGCGGCAAGAGGCGCTACGACTATCTGGGAAGAGATTTTGGACGTCGGAAGATCTAGGCCGTAAGAAGACCTCGAAGAGCGAGCCCGCTAGGGTCGTTAGCGACTGCGATCTCTATCTATACAGTGGGAGGGTTCATATTGCTACTGAGCAGGGCCTGCTTCTAGCAGCATCATATCTCAAGCTCATCGGAGTTCCGGACACGCAGCCAGTACGTTTCGATGGGCATAAACCTGCTTGGATGGGCCTCATCACAGCCAGATCGGAGCGTCGACGTGTCCTGAAGACATGGGATCCAACTCCTGTTCTGCGAGAGGGGGGTTGTATCTCGATTATAAGCGGTTCCATTGTCATGGTTTACGAACACGGCGTTTTTGACATCGACAACACGGCTGATGGAAAGTCTCAAATGGCTTACGGTGCGCGCATGGACGACGGCTTTACTGGTTGGTTCATGTATGCAAATACATGCCGTATTGATTGGCTTGAAGATCCAGAGAATATTCCCAAGGCTTCCCCTGATCCCACCATGATTGATTGGGCGAAATTTGACTTTGGCCCTCTTGCATCTAGAGCTGCGGCACAGCAAGCGGCGCAACGAACATTAACGGCTACAGCCCAGGAAACGCCAACCAATAATGAGCTCAGCGCATCACATCCACTGGCATCACAGGCATCGGTATTTCCAGCACCTGGTAAACTAGTTATAGCATCGCCCGCAAATACAGCAGTACCAGTAGCTACACTCGCTACGGATACAGTGATACCAGCCGCCAGCAAGCAAGAGTCTATATTGGGTGCTGAGTCGACGCAGCCCAGCATGTTGCAAGAGAAGGAGACGATTTCATTGCTTAGCATCGCGGATGGACCTATCTCACGGTACGATAGTCTTAATTCTCGGTCTGACGAGAGTGCATCTGATGACGAAGATGACATCATTGGGGAGACTAGTAGGTCTCAAGATTCAACCACTGCCGTGCTATCTGAACAAGCTACTGACTCTGGGCCTGCCATTGTGCAAGGAACACCTACAGGTGCGTTCTCAAAGCTTCACCAGGCCTTGCCAGGCTTTGACGGACCTGGAAGATACCAAGTGGTTTCATGCGAGTCTGGAGTTCCAAGTGTTACAGCAATGCGAACAAAAACATCTCAGTCAACAGTTTTCCTGCGAGAGGAGGACGTATTAGACTGGGACGATTCTGACCTCTAGCAGAAGGTCGAAGTTCAGAATGCCGGACTGTATGACAAAGGGGATAGAGAGAGGCTTTGCGGGGGTACGATGGCCTATCTTACTACGACCTCACAAATGAACCGGCTCTACTCTCATTTTCTGTGCAGCAAGAACAGTTCGCTTTGGACGTCAGCATTAGCAATGTACATCAAGCACACGACGCAACCTTCCCTAGGCGACACCATGAAGATCTTCACCATATAGGCATCATGCCATGTTCCACCAAGGCCGTGGGCGCCCGGACGCCCTCTTACGAATACAAGCGCAGCGATGTCAAGTTGTCTTCGTCACATACGCAAGAAGATAGCCATCGAACAACACCCCAGGAGAAGTTTGCAATACAAGGAGGATGCACAGAACAAAGGGCTACATTCATGCATACTCATAGTTGCAGTATGCCAGCTACCTCTATCGTCTGGTGAACGAGCCTCTTCATTTACAGGTACACCGCTACTGGCTTACCACACGAGTCAGACGTGCATGCGACTCAGGCCATCTCGGTCATTTCCGTCCGCGCCCCAACGGAACACGATGATACCCTTTCTGGTCGACATGACCATGTCATATTCGATCATTGCACCCACGATACCCATTTGTAGCATTTCGATATGAGTTTTTGGGCGTTGCAAGAGCGAAGACCCTGGACCGCGCCAAGCGATAGGGCATCACAGCACATATGCATGCACAAAGATTTCGGGTTGGTAAAGCGGGCGTCGTAAGTCTGTCAGAATATAACTTGCACTAGCTATATACTTAATTCGGTAGTCTCAGAATCAAAATAACAATACAAGACATGTTGTAAACCCCAACGATTCTGATCGATTAAGACACGGATGTACAATGCTAATGTTTGTTCGTCAAACGATCGTTGTAGATATCACAGCGTGTTGGCAGGCTTCAGCGTTCTCACACCACCCAGCTTCTTCGTATGAGTTCCGGTTCCTACTGCAGAAGCTGTGGGACTGATTGACTGTGGCGTTCTTGTCGACACAATATCAATTATCTTACTCTGTTCAACCTTATCCTTCTCCACAAGCTTGTTTGGTGATGCAGGCTGGTTACCGATGAATAGTCGCAGTTTCTTCTTCTTGTGAGCACGAAACCTAGGAAGTCAGTATACACGAGCGCGACGTAATTATTGAGATATTACCAGAAGATAAGCAACGAGATGATGAGCGATCCGCCAACGGCCCCACCAACAGTGGTACCGATAGTATATCCTACCCGAGAATCAGTATATAGGACAGGGATACCCTACACTATGTATATACCTGTAGAAAACTCTTTAGAAGACCCATCGTTCCCGCCTGGATTGGGTAGGTCTGAATCTGTACCAGTTTTCGTCGGTAGAATGGACGTGTATACAGGTGTGGACGTCCCGTTCAAACGTGTTACAGTGATGAATGCTGAAAGTTGGCCATCAAGCTGAGAAGTTGTTCTCGTCAAAAAGCTCGATTCTACCGAAGGGGGCGAAGAAATGGATGAGGTAACATCCAGCTGCAAGATAAGACTCAGCCTCACTGGTGAAGGATTGCGGGTTTCTCACCGTTTGCGCCCCTATAATTGTTACGAAGATCAGCACGAGCAGATGTATAAGGAACACGTTCATCTTTGATGGTAGGAGAGATGATGAAATTACTGTCCGAGTACAAAACTCCAATCTATGGTCTGACTTAAGTAAAGTGTTCATAACGATGTGTAGGTCTCAGCCGTAATGTGGCGTTGATCTAGAATTCAGCCGCACAAGGCATCGCGAGTGAGGGGTGTAGCTGAGCGACAAGGCAGACTCTAGTGTCATCAGAGCTGATAGCATCTTTTGATGGTCGAGATAGGTCCTTTTCTCTTCCCGTTATTCCTCTCGCTACTTACAACTCTCGACAATGAACACACAGGACTGCATCGCACTTTCGGTTCGAACGGACTTCACAGCCTACATTGACCTGCTTCGGAACCTCACAAACAGTGATTTCAGCCTCGCAAAGGATTGTAGAAAGGATGTGTGCGGAGCTCTATGGGGTTCAGGCAACCCAGACATCAGCGGTATTGGTATGACGATCGGATATGTTCTCGAGAGCGTCGTATGCGTATGTCTGGTAGTAATATCGCTGTGGCTTGATCGAAGCGCAAGAGACCATTCCAGTGTGGTGAGGCTGTTGCTCGCGAACGCTACAAGAACGTTCTTCGACAATGCGGTTTTCTTCACCTTCGCGATTCAGGCTGCTAGTATCGTAACACTCTCTGGGGTAGACTTTGGGGTCAATGCCGATGGGATGGGCGAGTTCACGGTGGAGATCGCATGGCTTGTTTCATCACTTACACTTCTGCCTCTTCTTCCAATGTTGTTACGTCCAACCATGTTCATTGAAAACAGACTAGTGAGTACGGTTACAAGACAGTCTTCCATTCAAACTGCTGTTTCAATGGACGGTGGGGACAAAGAGCCGGGAAGCAGCGCTGATGGACACTCCGGGGCTCTCTCCGAAGCACGTAGAGCACAGCGTTTCCTCTTGTTCGTAATATGCTGGGCGATGGGGTTCTGTCCCTTCTTTTCTCGGATGGGAGGTACCTTCGGTGAGTAGCGAGACGACATCAGAGAGCACCATTGACTTACCTATTACAGGTGAAAGCCGGATTGGAGACGCCCCAGACACCACTATAACAACAGCGGAGTGGAACGTGATCGAAGGCGTCTGCTTTGGGGGTGTTAACACTCTCACCTTACATGAGCACAACCTCATCACGGCATTCGGCATTATCAGCTACCTGCTCATGTCCATTGTCGTCATCTCTAAGATTATCTTTTCCGCCTTAGACAATGGGGATGGCACACAAAAGTGGCTAGTAGAGTGTCGCACTATATTTGGTGGAAATACTGTCAGTTCTCATGCAAGGCTGTGTATCGAAGCTGTAGTGGCAATCTCTCTGATCATACAATTCTGGGCGTTCTTTCGATTACGACAACTACAAAGTAATATGACACAAGCATCTGGGGGGAGCTTTCCGGATGGGCAATGGTCTTTTGGCCAGATCGTTGCCACAGTTGTTTTCATCCCAGTGGCTGCTGAACTTATGTTTATTTGGAAGAAACGCTCATTGTATCTTGGATAAGAGTAGATGTTTGAAGAGGACTTGATACGGGGTTTGGGGTTAACGCATATGATGGTATTGTAAGAAAGATCAAAACCATCGAGGGGGAAACGGGCGCTTGAGCAGTCGAACTCGGAGATATTTGAGATAGCCCTCAGTGTTCGTCTCTAGAAAAGGATCATTTGTTGGTCTTCCCTGGACTATGCTCATGATAGTATCCTTGACCGATCATTTGTTGGTCTCCTCTTCAAAACGATCATTTGCATTGATCACATTTGTCACATTACGACGAATGAACTTTTTGTGCTTTCGGATGCTGAGTGGAAAGCTGGTATACGCTGCAGCTATGCTCTGATTCCGACGGACACCAGACCAATGCCTTATACTATGACCCAGAACTGGTAGCTTGGGGGGTAGGAGATATGTATCGAGCGTATAGACTTTGCGTTGCGCAGGAAAATCGTAATATTCGAGATATTTTCTCTTTGTCTTCCATAATTCCAACGCGGGTTGAGGTTTCTCTTTGTCCACAGTTTCAGAACTGTTATCGGTTGGCTCTTCATTGGTCGCTTGCCCTGTCTTCGATCCTATGGAGGCTTCTTGTGGGGTTTCTGTCGCTGGTTCCTTCTCAGCAGCATCTGTATTGTCTGCCAATTTGGCATTGCGGCCTGAGGGCTCTGGCTTCGTGCGATCATCCAAGCTTCTAGAAGAGTATGTACCAATAAAGTGGTTGAGTACTGGATCGAGTACAGCGATACCTCTTGAGTAAAAGCGACCAATCGTATGCTCCAGTGTGTCGAGTTGACACGCATTAAGTCTCGTTTGGTCCATTTGAAGAACCAGCGCGTCGATGAGGGACAATTGTACGAATTTGGGCAGACCCAGTTGAAGCATAGCGTTGTAGAGGTGGATTTTGTCGACAAGTGCTTCGGGTATGCCAATAGCCATAGGACTGTTCGTTCTTACTAGGTAGCGTGCAAGCTTCGTCCTTTTGGGTGTTTTTTTCATTACTCTTGTGTGTGATTCGCTTCCTGCATGTGCTTCGCTCGCTGCGGGCGTCTCGCTGCGCAGTGCCTTATCATCTTGAAGCTGTTTCTGCACCCTTTTCAGCCATGGAACGATATACTTCTCAATTTCTTCAGGTCTTATAAACGCCATCTGATCATCATTTTGGTAGGCTAGCCTTTTCCCATTTCGACAAGAAGTAAACTCGAAGTTTTCGTCGAAGACCGCGATTGGTTCGTCATCCCGATTAGCGTGATGCTGTCTCGGATAACACACTGGTAGATGCAGCTCATTTTCCGATGGATTATAGGTGAAGTGTTCATCTGCGAGGGTCGAACACGTCCTTAAAGTATTGCGATCAATAGTTGTTGAGATCGTGTATGAGGTGGCTCGCTTGAGCGCCTCCATATATTCCCCATCACCTTCTCTCTCACAATAGAGTGTTTTATAGTGTTGTTGGTCGACGATGATTTGAACCTCGGCAGTTGATACGCTAGCGCTCCGTAGGTTGTAAATGTCGATTTGGTCGATGTATAGTTTCCTTTCGTCGTTCGCTTCTTTCTGTGCTTGCTGTTCTAAGTAGTCTTCGTGTGCCTGAACAACTCTCCCGTTTGCGTGATCAAGTATCATCGTGTAATTCAAGTAGGCTTTAAAGCAATTGATGTTCAGATTAGTAGCTCGAAAATTGGGGTCATGATTTTCGGCGGGACTCGAGAACCGGCTGCTGAAAAGTGTCATCTCGAGGCTGCGCACCCTTTGTTCATCTGACGTTCTTTGACAGGGACAGAAACCTCCTCAAGCCGTCAACGCTAAGCCCCCCTCTCTTTGAGTGCTCTAGATTTGGCACAAAGCGGGCTTACACCCAGGGCAGACCAATTCGGCCATGCAGATTCGGTTGAGAGCAGAACGTTCGACCGCCACATGATCCCAAATCCGGCATGATGCAACCTCGGACGCGTGCTACATTGTTAGGAATGGTGACGCAAGTGTGCGCAGGCATGGAGTATTGTAGGTCAGTACAGATGAAATCTCTGAGGCGATGTAACTCAATTACACCGGATATGGCGAGGCTAGTCCTTACATGCATAGCACTCAACCTCAAAGACACTCAAACTTACACCAGATATGGGATCAAGGTTGGACTCATGTCTGGAACTGTTGTACAAAGTGCTATAACAATTTGAATCGTGTTGATACTGGTAAAAGAACGTAGGCTATGCAATGTTAATATCTCTATCGCAGATTGCTGCAAGCAAAATGGAAAGCCATGTCCATTACGCTTCTGTAGGCTGTCTTTTCAATATAACTTGCCTTACTTCCTGCTACTACCACCGCAAGCCCTCTCTAAAGTCAAGAATGCAAAGTGACCGCCGACGACTGGCCTCGCGAAGAACCATGGCCCAGGAAAGCCACCATCACCTTCAGTGACATACAGATCCGTGAAAGGACGGTCCGTAACCGTCTCATTTAACCAAAGCGCTACGCGATCAAGGATCTCTGAGCGCACCGTCTTGTTTGCCACGGCAGCGGCTTCGAACTCCCAGTCCGACTTGGTGTATAGATGGCGAGAATCGAGAGGGAGTCCGTACTTTTGCATAACCGTAGAGTACCAGTCGCTCTGGAGGTTGTAGATTTCGTCGGGGATGAAGTCATCAGTTATGGGTGTGCGGCCAGAAGAATGCTTTGAAGGGGACAAGGGCCGCTGAGCCTGACCATTGCCAGATGCATAGTCTGACTGTTCTGATATGGAGGATGATGTGTTTGTGATGGTAGGGTGGAAGCAGAGTACAGCATCGGCGTAGAGCGAGTATAAAGTTGTCCAGCTGCCGTACCAGTCATAGGCGAGCTTAGCATGTGTGCCATCCCGAGACATGCCATATTCTTGCCACTTCTTGATGTACGTTTCCGAGATGTTGCGGTAGTGCTTTGCGTCACCAGGGCGATCCATGAGGTCAGCAATTTCACTGAAGGCTTTGATGCCGACAATACCCTTCAAGGCAAGGTTAGTCTGAAGTGGTAGCCACCCAGCGAAATCATCAGTGCAGACTGTACACTCTGTTAGCCCAAGTTTTACGTCGTCTTGCATTGATACTCACGCTGGTTGTGGGGCTCAAGAGCGTCTTCAACGAGATATCCGGTCCATTGCTTCCACAAATCGTAGCTACCTTCTAGCCACTTCTTTGCCTGGTCGATACCCTTGGCACTTCCACCCCACGTCTCATCAATGTACTCAACTCCATTGTGTAAGCCGACGTTGCTCAAAGAGAACGCTCTGTTTGCGTCGATGTCATGATTCGCATCATTGCCGATTGCCGACCAGATGGACTGAGCCTCTGCATCGGAATTATAGCTTAATGAGTTGACCAGCGCCAGGCCCATGATGAGCATATCGCCGCACTCCTCGACTGGCATATACTCATCGCGTCCATCAGCATGTCCCGTCAGATTGGGGAAGTGTGCACCAAGATCATGCATTGAGTACTTGTTAGGATACTGACCGCTCAGCTGATGCTCAAGAAGTGGCTCCAGGAGGTACGCTAACCACCTAGGCTGTGTGTAGAGGAAGAACGGGAAAGCCGGGAAGATGACATCAACGGTCTGGCTGTTACCGTTGGAAGAGATTTCTTTGAGGAAGAGCAACGGGTTCTCTTTGGTTCCAGAGAAGCTAGTGGCGCCCATGACTTGTCGTGCAGACAAGGCAACGATGTCGACGTAGTTAGAAGAACCCGATTGATAGGCATCGATGCGCAGTTGCTCAGAGTAGTTGCCTGCGAGACTGCTTGCCATGGCAAAGTCGCCGTAATGGAATTGAATGAGCTTGTCATCCTGAGAGAACCAAGACTTCCATAAAGGTCGCATGAACGTGAGACCTCGAGCAGATGCATATTGCGTGACTGGATCCTGGATGTGAGTTATCGTAAACAAAACGCTGTCGCTGTTGCTGCTAGATTTTGACGTAGCGATAGACGAGTTTGCCAGCTTAAAAGCCTTCGAAAATGCGAATACTGGCTCTTCATCCATGACACCGCGGAAGTTTCCGTCAACTTCATTCTGCAACGTTCCGGTTCGAGCGAATCGCTGGCGTAACAGCGCTGACGTGCCCGATTCATGACGCACATCGACAGGTCCAGTAAAATGTAGCTGACCCCACTCTGGCTGATCGTTTGTCTCAGTGAAGAGCTGCTCGACCTGTCGCTTGACTTGCCATGTCTTTAGTCTGTCATTCAGGCCAGGCGCGACGTGCTGAAATAAGCCCCATTCTATCAAACTCTCCCTTTTGCCGCTGACCCATTGTCCGTTCACGTCGACGTATATGTTGACATCAAAGGACCCTTCGACGTGTATAGATAGGTATGCTGCTGGTATGGTCTGTCGCAGAGTTGAGGTCGGTGTGATGGGCGAGAGGAAGGACAAGGTGATCTCGAGGTCTTTTGCTGATTGTATTGTGTCGGGCGCTCGTATGGAGTATGTAAGATTGGTCGTCGACGCGTCGTATTTCGCACCTCTGTATATGGGGTACGCGACCGTATAACTAGAACAGACTGGGGTCAGCATTGTCTCTGCTTTGGGTGATCAGACACAACTTGCTCTTTACCCTTGTGCTCTAGAGAGTCGTGGGGCCGACCGAGCAGTGGATATACCTCTTTTGAGTCCGGAACAGACGCCAGGACACTGAATCCGACCTATCCGTATCATTGTTAGCATTGGGCGCTCAAGGTAGCTTGGTGCCGCGAACCTCAGATCCAGTCCAGAACATGGGCCATTTGCTCCATGGCTCTTCTCTCGCATTTTGCAGCCATGTACTCAGATAGGGATTTCGTACGATCAACGGAAGGACGGGAGGTTGGAGACTCGAAGCATCTACGACGCTTGCCAGAAACGCCGCAGCTGCGACAGCGAAGAGCCGCATGATTTCGATCAAGCACAATGTACGAAACAAGATGAATACTACAAGAATACACTTGATGTTATGACAACTGAATCATGGATTATGAGAGGCAGCAAGCATGCAGCAAACTTGAAGCTGTCAGCTGGGATGGAAGCTCGGGGTAGCTGCAGTCTGCGGGGTTGTGGGGGAACGAATCAGCGCGTGGTGCCTTGCATGACCGTGTGGATTGGCAATCGTCCCGCGTTTCATCTTACGCGGCCTGACCTCATGACATCTGAAATGTTTATTCAGTAGCGTACAGCACCATCGGTCGTTCTCGTAAATAGTCATCAGACTCTTCAACTCGCCCTACTTCCCGGTTCAATGACCTAGATGTGCCCACTTTGAAGTGATCACAACCACACTGTCTACTGCAGCGCTATCAAGCCGACAGCATCAAGGCAGACCTTGCACATCTTCGGTATTCTTTATCACTCCCGTTCCATCCCGTGTCTGTATACCTCGACGTCTCCATGACGATGTAATCGCATTCATGAACGCAGAAGCTGAGCGACCCTGCTCCTTGCGTCTACCCGGTGGAGGAGTGGATACGCCGTCTCGGACTGATTTGACTGGGCTGGGAGTGCGCACAGTCCAGTCATCTACAGGATACGCTGGATGGGGGCGGTATGATGTGGATGCCCCAAAGTCGTTCTTGATGAGAAGTGTAGGGAGGGGCCGTGAAGCTGGCTCCGGAGGTCCGAGTTTGATGGATGGTGGTATCGAGAGCCGGTAGAGTTGCGTTGGTGCACCGACGAAGCTATCGCGCTGTTGTGTGTGCTCGCTTGCATGCCTAACAGATGTGTCTATCTTCAAGCTGGGTGCACCGCGTGGAATGTAAGCGCGTGGCTGTTCTGTATCATTCACACGACGAAGCGACGCTCTTTGAGTCGAGGGCCTTCGCATCTTCACCGACCTGGGTCGCGTTGGACTAGAGGAACTTATAGTCTGCCCTCTTATATCTGCAGCACTAGTGACCCGTCTGGTGTGGTTGAAATTCTCTTTGTAGTCATGGAACACGTCTTCCGACTTCTTGCTGATAGTGCTGATGTCATCCTTAGTTCCATCCATGATAACTTGTTGTGGCTCTATCACAGGAAGATCGTTCTCCTCGCCAGTACCACTGATATCTTGTTCAAGTAATCCCAGTTCTCGCAACTGGTCCCAGCTACGGTAGTAGTAGCGGAACGTTGCGAAGGGTTGGTCGATCGGGTCGATGAGGGCGAACTTGTAAAAGCGCTTTGACTGCTCTGGTCCTGCGCGTCCAGCATTGACGAGGCTATAGAGGTTAGTATAGTGCGATTGTGTCACGTCAATCCTGCGCTTACCTTATTCCTTTGCCAGTCTTAGCGTGCTCGGTGTGCTTATATTCCTCTGTCTGTCGTTCGACTCGCTTCCTTCCGTCTGCGCGATGTACTCGTATCTCGACGCGCGCGGTCTCGTCAAATATATCCACAGTGTCTTTTGCTGTAAAGCAAAGTACTCGCTTCTCTATCCTTTTCTTGCCATCTTCATCCTCGGGGCTCTCAAATAGACCGAACATAGTCTTGCCCTGCCATCTCTCTTCCTTGCCAGTCGACCAGCTCATTATGTGCACGCCATTAATATAGAGCTTGAAGAGGAAGTAGTATCCTTGGGGGACTGGCGGCGACACGGAGTATCTAATCCAGAACGTGCTGCCAGGCAAGGCTGGAATGTAGACGCTGCATGTGGACGTCTTTTCCTCGATATAATGCGGGGTGGAGCCAGAAATATTGTCGGGTTCGGGGCGATATTCGGGCAGCGTTTCGATATCGAATTGCGAATGCAGTCCGACGTCAATACTTCGATAGTGCATGGTTGGTGCTGACGGGGTCGTGGTGGGTAAGCAGAGGCGATTGCTTTCCAAGGTGAACTCAAGCACATGGCTGACGACTAGCGTGATTGCTCCATCCCAAATCACCGAGTTTTGTCACACTACAATAGACTCTAAAGTTATTTGCGGTATCTCGTCTTCTCGGACTTGCACATAAGCCACCGCGAATACCTTCAGAGTCCAGGTTACCTACAATGAAGAAGACGGCGAGCTACTTTATACTACAGCAGGATCCCCAGGTAGCTGTTGCACAAGTTTGACTTGACAATTGTTGGAAATTCTCGTCATTAGCGTCGCTGTTCACAAGCAGTGTCGCTGCAAGAGAACATGTCCGAGTTCCTACCTATGTAAAAGAGCATTATCTCGGCCTTGCCAGCAATGATAAGCTCTATGACAATGTACGGCCTGCGCCGTATCTAAAACGAGTGAGAGATCTTATCAATTCTTTCACTTCTATGACATTTGTCACGACTTCACTCGGTCTCACGTGCTAGATTCATCCACCTATTGCTGTAGCGCAGGCTTATAACTTTCTCTTACTACATAAGCAATAACAGTGGGATTAATCTCTTTCTCCTATCCAGTTTCCCCACGACTTCCTTAATTGCAACCAGTACTTATTCACCTCTTCAGTAAGTAACCATTCACCTCAGTACATCGCCTTCCCACAGAAGCTTCATAAGTCCTTGGCCTTTCAACAAACTCCATACTATCAACATTGGCCTTTTTTACTAACAGTTTAAAAAGACGTAGTTGAAGTAAAAGGCAGCAACTACCTTAGTCCGCGAAACTACAAAAATGGTAACAGTGAGGAACCCTACACGTAAGGCACACCTTACGCCAAACTAGCTCGCCACATAAGTCTTCTGTAGTCACTGTTACCTTTATCGTTTGTATATGTACTAACCTTTAATATAGGCTCAAGAAAGGCCCAAAGGCAAAAATCGTCGTTGGTCAGGATGGCGATCGCTACATAGCTCTGGAGAGCGCTTCTGTAAAGCTCCTAGCTCACTTCTCCCCAACTGCACAGATGAAGCTCATTGCACAACGAGGCACAGTTTTGACGATCTCCAACAGCTCAAAGAAGGCCATGCTTTGGGTCTACAAGTACATGCAAGCCAGCGAGCATGATTCCGTGGGAATACACCTTCGAGGCGCTCGAATCCAACGCTTTGACATCTACCAGCACTGCGGCTTTCTCGAATGCGACTCATTGAAGAAGCGTATCTTTAGTCGACTGAAGAGCGAGTTTTACAACGCTCTGCCTATTGTCGACGAGATCGAGCTATACCAGACTTCAATTCCAACCGACCGCGAGATCGAAGTGGTCAAGAATGGCGAAGCTCTGGCTACGTGCGATCGCGAGGTGCGCAAGGGCAAGAAGATGCGTACAAATCTCATCGTCTAGCGATGACATGACGCAAACCGCATAGAGGTAGATGTAAAGCAGGCCATGTAGCAGAGGCGATGGCGTCTATCATTCTTGCATTAGTATATGGTGGGAGACTTCCAGGGGAAGGCATATCGACACTACCGTATGCATTTGCATGCAGCTGCAGAGTACAAATATATGACTATATATCCCAAGTTGCCGATGACTGCTTCGGTAAGATACATGTACTGCAACGTAGCACATGAAGCACAATGTCGCCAAGTTGAGTCCTTTCGAGTTCGCATCTATTGCCTATTCTTTTTCGTCACCAGATTTGTTGTTCTTCTCTAGGTGATCCTTGATGCTAAACATGCCCGTCCCTCTCTCAAGTGGCTTAGCTTGGTTGGGGCTAGGCTTCCAGCCAATCATGTAGATTAACCTGAAAGTCGCAGGAAGCGTACCATCCTCATTACCATGAAGCTCCTTGTATATCCCTTCCGCAGCCAAGAGCACATCTCGTTGTATGGGTCCCTTCTCCCGTGCGAGTACAGCATTAGACTCGCCCATGGCTTGTAGATCCTTCATCAAGGAAAATGTATCGGGATAGTCAACTACGATGTCATCAATGTCTACGGTGAGGAGGTTGAAGCCAGCCTTCTGAAGTAAACCGCCCACATCTTTTACGTCTGCTAGTGGCGAGGTGTGCGTCGAGACGCCACCTCTTCGGTCTAGCTCCGCTAATTGTAGAGATGTGCGGAGTTCATAGAGGCTGTCTCCTCCCATCATGACCCCTATGAAAGGGCAGTCTGGCTTCAAGATGTTGTTCACCTGCGCCAATACAGACGGCAAGTCATTGATCCAGTGCAAACTCAGGCTGCTCAAGACGGCGTCGAAAGAGTTTGCTTCGTATGGTAGCAGTTCCGATGTCGATAGAACCTCTCGTACAATGTCAATTTCTTTATTGAAGGGCAAATCGGCATCGCGGTATAAGAGCGCTTCTGAGGAGTCTGCAGCGGTTATGGTGCCGATTCGCTTCGACCGTGGGCCTTTGTCTGGGGCATCTTCGGAGGGCAAAGTGAGTGCGCGGGACAGGTTGCATGCGTTTGCACCAAGATCGAGGACTTTGGGGAAATGACGATTTATGTCCTGTGTTTATTAGTTGTTACTCTTCTTTAAAAAACGGAGAATCATACCAGAACCCGCTCACACAATCTTGAGGCTACTTCATCTCTCAAATAGTCTACTCCTCTACTTGTCTCCTTGTCTGCTGCAGCTCTTTCCCTCTGCAACCACTTTTGCTGGCCACTGAATATCTCCATCATTGGAGCGCCGGGAGCTTGTACTGCATATCGTCGTGCTGACTGGAGGGGCAAAAATCGTCGTCTTAGCGGCGGGATGAAGGCGCGTATCGAGAAAGTCGCCATGGCTTCAGCGGTGAAAGGAATTGAATGCGCAGTGGCGATATTGGCAGGGTGAAAGAGGGGTGCACAAGAGCGCAGAAGATGGTGAAAGCAATACGTCAAGACCCTGGAGCTACTGCACCAATCGGCGTTTGGCTCCACCGAGACCTGCCACTGCTCTCCAGAAGTTCACCACGACGATCACCCCTGCGCAACAACCGAGAGCTGCTAGCTGGACAGGAGGAGGAACCGTGACGCAGTTTCGACAATCGTTTTCGACTTGGCCACTTCGTCATGGCACAAGCCTTTCCGTACACGTACTACGCTTGTGACTGCTTCGACAGCAACGCGACGACGTCGACGAAGCGCACCTCGCATGTCCTTGCTGCCTTTGACGACGACGAGGAAACCTTAGATCCCAAGAATCCACGCTCCAATTTCGCCCTTTACCCGCTTGAGCATCTCCTCTACTGCGAAGATTGCTTGCAAATACGGTGTCCGCGGTGCGTGATAGAGGAGACGCTGAATTGGTACTGTCCCAACTGTCTGTTCGAAGTTCCGAGTTCTGTGGTTAAGAGCGATGGCAATCGGTGCACGCGTAATTGCTTCAATTGCCCTGTATGCGTTTCACCTCTCATGGTCAACCTTCTCGACAACCCTGATGCGGACCAAGGAGTGCCAGACCGACACATACTAGCGTGTCCGTACTGCCATTGGAGTACCATAGAGACGGGCATAGAGTTCGAGAAGCACACAGGCGTGTATTCACAGATCGTGCGGATAGCGAATGGAGGGAAGCCAATACCCACCTCGAAAGAGCGCGACAAGGAGCGCGAGAGGCGCAAGGAGCTGGAGGCTCGGCAGCGAGATTCAAAAAACCCGTTATCTCCTTCGAGCGACTCTACAGCTATGGATTTGGAAGAATACGAACCGCCGACGCGCGATGATCTTCTCTCGAATCTGGGTGCTTTCTACAAAGCACAGCTGGAATCCCAGATGCCGGCAAACCCTCTAGAGATGAACTTCTCTTCGCCCTCAGCCTATTCGCGAATTATGAATCTATACTCGACAAACACTGCAAAGAAGCAGAAACGCAATAAGCCAACGCCGATGCGAGAGGCTGCGTCGGAATTGGAAGGCCTGGTTGTCCATGACCCTGCCGCGGACAATGCAGCGATCGAGCGTATCAAGCGAGACGGTTGGGGGAGTACTCTCTCGCCTGCTCAGAAGCTCGCACAACTCGACCCTCATGTGCAGTTCAGCGACGAACTCCGGCCAGTTCCGACTCTCCTTTGTACAAAGCGATCCAAACGATGTCGGTCATGTCGACACATCCTGTCCAAGCCAGAATCGAAGATAACATCAACTCGATATAAGATCAAACTACTAGCACTGAACCACATCCCTCGACTCAGCATTCGCGCGCTACCGCCGACCAACCCAGTCGTGCCCCACGCTCCTGGCTCCATGCCCGCTCCGCAAACCCCTTTCAACTACAACAACCTCCGTTCGGGTATCGCAACGCACTTCCTCTTACACGTCAGTAACCCTCTCTTTGATCCTATTCAGGTTACATTGGCCACCTCAAGCACCACGCCTGGCAAAGTGCAGTCTCGCGTAACGATCCTATGCCCACAGTTCGAAGTCGGCGCCAACACCGATGTCTGGGATGACGCACTCGCTTCGTCTCCCGCACCCATGCCCCGCCGCTCGACAATCAACGCCGAAACAGGACAAATTGAAGCAGGAAAGATCTGGGACAAAGGACGGAACTGGACAAGTGTCGCTATCGAAGTCATCCCAGGCTTCCTTAGTGAACTTGGTGGCGAGGGTGCGTTGGACGAAGATGAGGATTTGCTTGAGATACCCATCTTTGTGCGCCTGGAGTTTGAGGCTGATGTAAATGCCGAGGAGAGGGGTATGGGTGATTCGAGAGGAAGTAAAGGAGAGCGAGAGAAAAGGGAGGAGGCGTTCTGGACGGTCGTTGGTGCAGGAAGGATAGCGAGTGCGTAGACATGGCGCTGATAATACGCGTTTGTGATACCCCTTTTTTTCTAGTCGAGGATACGTGTTTAGATACATTGTTATTCGTTCGTCTCATCATAGAAGCCGCTACGAATGGATGCATTCATCAAAAAGATTACTATCCAAAATGGGTCTCATTAGGAAAGACTTCTCCATCTTTCTTCTTCTTCCTTGTGAACATGCCATCCAGTGTTCCTTGGCTCGCTTCTCTCTTATGACCTGCTTTCTTATCACTCCGTATCGCCATCTTCTTCGCCTCCTTCGGACTCAATGGCTTGGCCACATGCGTGTTCTTTTCATGCCCGTCTGCATCTTCTTGATTTTCTTTCGTTACCATGGCGCCTGGTGGCCCTTCCTTGCCTTCCGTGGGCCCCTCCGCTTTATCGTCAAAAAGCTTACGCCATGTGCCGTCGAGGACCTGCGGCGAGTTCCCGTAAAGGTTAACGTGGTATGCATTCTTCATGCCCTGGATACAAACATCCCTTCTCTTGCCAAAATCAAACATCGGTTTTGGATAAACTTTCATCGCACCCTCACCTGCCTTTTCAAACCCATCGCCTTTGACCAAACACCCCCACTTCTTCTGATCTACGATTGGCGCCTTCCATGGCTCGTAGATGTACTTCTTGTCAAATTTCGCCAACTCCGGTACATACCTTCTCACAAACTTACCCTCTTTATCCCATTTCTGTGGAAAGGCAATGGGGGAATAACATCGGTAGAATTGCGCGAAGAAGGCCGTACAGGATAGCCATTGCCAGTTTCCAATGTTACATGCAGCTTCGTGATCAATGAGCCATTCTTCAAAGACTTCTGCGCCGCGCTCCCAGTCAATGTAACACCCACCTCTTGTCAGGAAGCAAGCAACGGCGTGGCGACCGAGGTGGTGGATCCAGCCTTCTTGGGCAAGCTGACGCATAAGGGCGTCGATCCAGGGAAATCCTGTATGACCATGTTTCCAGCGCTGGAAATGCGTTTCTGCTTCTGCGTTGTCGATGAGATACTCGCCGGTGATGAGGTTAGACTTGGTATCGACTTTTGAGGGTAGATGCCAGGGAATGAAGCGACAGTGCGGATTATTGTATGTTTGGCCGAAGGAGTAGCCTAGAGCTGCTTGCGCGCCGAAGTACATGTCTCGGAAGAGTAGTTGGCCCGTTAGGCTGGTGGGTGGTTGGGAGGCCTTTTCTTTGTATTTGTCGACTACATCTTGGGCACGCCAGTAGAAGAGTCGGCAACTTAAGGAGCCAAAGTGCATGTGCGGCGAGAGGAGGGTTGTGGCCTGGGGTTCGAAAGCGGTGGGGGCGGTTTTGGGCTTCTCAAAGGTAGCCGTATAGTCGGTATCTGCTATGATGTTGTCTAGGGCATTCAATGCTACTGTCTCGCCTCCACGGTGTGGTGTCGTTGCGGGCTTCAGGCCGAGCTCTTCCATTGTTGGTACTGCAAAGTCACCATTTGGTCCCGCTAGAGCAGAGTATGAAGCTTCTTCCCCGTCTCTCTGTATTGCGTTAATATCGGGCTGGCTTTCTGGCTTCTCTTGATCGAACTTCAGATCGGTATCCCCAGGATCGGGCAGCGAATTTGGCGCTGGTATCGGCCTTGGGATTGATCCGATATTCTTTCCCGCAGCTTGCACCTGGTTTATGCTCATAGTTGGCTTTCCATGGTTTTGTTTCACCAGCTCATCGGGATCGTATAACGTCCTTCCGATCTTCACAATAACCTCGACACCAGCCTTCTTCGCAAGCTCTGCGATATTCTTATCTCTTTCTCTTGCGTACGCATCGGTGTCTTTCTCGAACACTAGATGTGTGATTTTCCACGCCTTGAATAACTTGGGTAACAGCGTTTGCGGTGCCTCCCGGATGAGTAAGAGTTTCGAGTTTGGGTTAAGTTTGGTTATCGACTTTGAGAGGTCGTTTTGGCAGTCGAGGAGATATTGCCAGCGATTGGAGCCCACTCGGGCGCGATATACATAGTGCGGGTCCCATGTCCAGATAGGGTAGAGACACTCTGGCTTGAGGTCCAATGCTGCTTTGAGAGCTGGAGAATCGTGAAGACGTAAGTCGGTCCGGAACCAGTAGATCACTCGTGGTTTAGTCATCTTGTCATACAGGCTGCGAAGCGGTTGTATCTGACAAGATGAAGCTGCAAAAAGTGCCAACGGGATATTGTTCTGACGCTTACATGTGACGGATCCACCGAACTGCAACATAGATCATGCTCTCTGACTAATTAACGGGAAACCGCATGGCTGGAATGAATGCTGTCATTGATCGGAGCTAAGGCACTCGCTAATCTTCAATGGTCCATCCTGGATCCCAGAAACCAATCGGTTTTACTGTTCCCTCCGACACGGTGAGGATCCACCATTTATTCTTGTGCTATGGTATAAAGCTGTAAACCTTTGAGCAACTTCGTCTTTAATTCTCGCCTACACATCCCCTTCCCGAACTCATGGTTTCTTGCAGATGCATCCACAGTGCATTCCCTAACCCGTCTTCTTCGGTACTGTGAGGTGTACAAGAACTTTGAGAGGTCTTGTGTCATTGTCTACAGATGTGGGTCAGGATGCAAGGTGTTCGCATTTCCGCCTGGTTGTCAAACTTCAATGGGGGCTGTAGCAGTATAGACATGTGAAATGATACGAAGCATTATAAGGCAGCGAAGAATCCGGAGTGGTAAGTTAGGCTTCAATGACTGCGCGGGCCCTTCCCAGCCACATGAGTTGTTGTCCTGTTGGGCAGTATCGAGGCATTCATAGCCGAAATGATGGCGCGGGATAGATGCGGGGACAATTGGTGGCGCGATATTGGCAAATCAAAGCTACCGTTTCCCAAGTAGCACCAAAAGACGTTGAGAGGCTGCAGCCGCACGCTGCATGCAGAGGATAGCACCAGCTTAGGTGAAAAAGCAAGCAGACGTAAAGCAGGGTGGCGGGTTCGCGTGCAGATGATGAAAGAACGGCCCACTAGCGGGTGCATGCGTCATGGTGTCGGGAGCCTCGAGGTTTCGTCCAAGCTCCCTTAAGCTCGTGGACCCATGGTTGTTTGTGCAAACAATCTCTCAACAGATATTGAAGGCGCTTTTCCCGAACAAGGGAGCTTGACAACTCAGAGCCTCAAGTGCGAGCGAAGGCGCCGCTTCATCAGTCATACGTGGATTACTTAGATTTGCCGTGCTGCAGTTTACCGCTGTTCGCGTTCGGTATAAGTTGCACTGCAGATCAGCGCCTACTCCATATATCTGCTGGCTGCGGGGAAACTACCACAACCCGTATCGAAGCTCCGCGCTCTACTCTACTCTAGACCCAGCTCCCCAGGCGTGACCTTTCGCCCACTTGAGTCTTGCCCTCCACCTCTCTCTATCCTTCAGCATCTACCAAGATGGCACAACCACTGGAAGATGCGTACATTACGGTTAGCTACATGTATGTGGTACAGCGCACGCGAGCTAACATGTCTGCCAGCTTCTTATGAGCGATTCCTATCTACCGGGCGCAGTCGTTCTTGCAAACTCTCTGCGCGATGCCGGAACCACCAAGAAGCTTGCCGTGCTCGTCACGATGGAGACGCTATCAGCTGACACCATCTCGGAGCTCAAGGCGCTTTACGATTACCTGATACCCGTCGAGCGCATACGCAACTCCAATCCTGCGAACCTCTACGTCATGGGGAGACCCGACCTGGCTTTTGCCTTCACAAAGATTGCTCTCTGGAGACAGACGCAGTTTCGCAAGCTCGTGTACCTCGACGCAGATGTGGTAGCTCTGAGGGCGTTGGACGAGCTGTTCGACATTGAGGCTTCGTTTGCTGCAGCTCCAGACATTGGCTGGCCAGATGCTTTCAACAGCGGTGTCATGGTTATTAAACCAGACATGGGCGAATACTGGGCTCTCCAGACCATGGCAGCGACTGGTGACAGCTTCGATGGCGCAGATCAAGGCTTACTGAACCAGTACTTCGAACATCGTCCCTGGCAGCGATTGAAGTTTACCTACAACTGCACGCCAAACGCCGAGTACCAATGGGAGCCGGCATACCGCTACTACAAGCACGACATTGCCGCCGTCCACTTTATAGGCAAGAACAAGCCTTGGTCAGGCCAGCATGCGGGTGGAAGCGGCGTCTATGGAGAACTGGTAGCGCGATGGTGGGCGGTGCATCAGAGACATCTGCACAAGGCAAAGGGGGGCCAACGAGCTGGTGAGGCAAAGAGCACCCGTGGTGACTCCATGCTTTCTTCCTCCTCTATTCCTGCCCCTACCGAGGCCTCTGCCATTACGACTGAGCCACCCATGACCGAACCTGGAGATGAGATTCAGAATATTGACCAAGGTATAGTAGAGCCAACACCCACGGTAGAACAACGCAAGTTCTCTGCGCCCGAGATGCAATGGGACGCAACCAAGTACGATCTTCTAGCAATGAAAGCTCTAGACATAACACTGACAAGTCTAGGTTTGAGCCACCAGCGGAATCGAGACCCGAAGCTGCCAACTTCCCTACCCAAACGTACACGTTCAGCGATAGCCGGTCACTCTTCAAAGCGCCACGAGCCTACCCAGAAGCGCCACGGGACATGTGGTACCAGGTTCCAGAAACCAAGCCTAAGCCTGCCGAGATGCCTAAGCCCATCTTCCCGTGGGAGCAAGAGGCGGATAGACCTAAGCCGACCCGCGTGTTTGCCGAAGACTCACCAGAACCGACTCCCACAGTAATGTCGCCGACGCACGCCTTCTCAACAGTACACTACGATGAGGCTGATAAAGCAGCTCCAACAGGAGCGGATAGAGTTAGAAGCCCTGGAAACGCTTCTGTTTCGAAACCTGCTGACCAAGGTTGGCAGTCTTATCAACATAGTAGCGTGAATGCCTGGGATAATGTTCCAGGCATCGATAACTATGTTCGTGCCATATCGGATATGAGTGGGATACGGGGTAAGAACCAGTCCCTACGACACACCACAGGCACGGATGATATCAGCTCGCCCATTTTGGAACGTAGGAACCGTCGCGAGAGCCTAATTCTCACCGATTTCCCGTCCGCAGTCGAGCGACCGAGCCTTCCTGTAACACCTGCGCCGGTTCGTCGTCCCATGTTTTGGGGCGAAGAGAGGAGCCAAGCAGGTGAACTACCTTCTGCCACAGGAGTGCCAGATCAGACCGAATGGGTAAGTCCGTGATGCGCATTTTCCTCTATCATCCCCTCAGACTTCCAGCACCGTCGCTTAAGCGGTTCCTTGATAAGACTCGAGCTGACTTAGACTTTGAAGAATCCTGAGGAGAAGCTTGACCAGTTACGACGCTCATCTCTGATCGAGTTTGAGCACCTGAAGAAAGACGAGCACCCGAACCCACCAATGCGTGCGCTTCCCGAGCATTCAGTCGTTGGGGAGAAAGAAGCAGGCACCTCATCTGGGTTTGACGGAGCGAGTGAACAGGCTGTTCCAGGTTCGTTCCCGCACGTCGCCGAAAAGGACTTTGCTAGCAGCGACCCTGCACCGGATGTGCGACCAAGTTCCGGCGACCGTTCATTCGCCCATGGTGATGAGAGCTCCGCGCCGGACCACTATTCCAAGCAGGACTTTTCTTCTGGGTCTTCGAGCACCTTTGGGCAAAACTTTTCAAGTTCGACGTCGCAGGTAACATCCCACGAACAGACTGCTGGCCATCATTCGCTATCCTCTGGCCAGCAAGTCCAGGCTGGAGGCATGACCTTTACTCTGCCCACCTTCGATGACGGTACTTCAGCTGACACCCAAGCTACCGGAGACGATCTCAGTCCGACACAGACTAGGACCTAGAACAAGGTGATGAACGAACGATGGATGCCGATGTTACTATACTAATCCGTCAGATGTCGCCTCGCGGGTGGTTTAATGTCGCTAATGATGGAGGATATACATCGCGATTTCATGTTTTTACTCTGGTCTGAGTTACTGCACGTTTCGTATCTCTCGTTGGTGAGCTTTTCCAGCATTTGTATCGGCATTGCATAGCGATCTGTTGTAGCTCATTATTGATTTCTATCTGCAAGATTGGCTTCAAAATGTATGGTATCCATGGCGGTGGAATGACAATGTCAACTGGAGACAAACACATGCGCCAAAATATGCAGGGAACATTTCGTGCATGTTGCCTAGGTACGCTTGGGCCAGCTGCTCCACTCCGAAGCTTAACAAGCTTGACTTCATGGTTGGCGTTTGCCCTGTGCCCTTCCAAAGATGCCCCGCTTGCCCCTCCCCACCTTCCAATTTGCCCTTGAACAACGAGCACCTGCCCGATTCATCTCATTATATAAACCGCGAATAAGCGCCACAGCCACTCATAGAAGCCTCTTCTGTCATCGACGAAGCTTCTACTCCTCACCGTCACCCAAACTCGTCGCAACACCTATCCGCTGCGACCGATACACGCCAGAACGAATACCTGACGCCGCCTGGCCATATTTGTATCACCCACCCAACAAGATGGCACACCTCGACCCATACTTCAAGCAGGTAGATGACTTGCAAAGCAACTTTATTGAGAGGCTGAGGGAGGCGGTTGCTATCCCCAGTATCAGTTCCGAGGACCAGAGGAGACCTGATGTCGTCAAGGTACGAATGAAACCCCCTAAAGAGACTCAGGGTTGAGTCTGTTCTATTGGCCTTGTTACGCATCTATACATTGCAGAATGCCCTGGCTAACCCACAATGTAGATGGGCCACTGGTTGGCGGACCAAATCAAGGCGCTTGGTGGTACCGTTGAACTCCGCGAGCTCGGAAAGCAGCCTGGTCGCGAGCACCTCGACCTCCCACCGTGCCTTCTCGGACGCTATGGAGACGACCCGAAGAAGCTGAATGTCCTCGTTTATGGTCACTACGATGTACAGCCTGCGAACAAATCCGACGGTTGGGCCACTGACCCTTTCACTCTGACCATCGACGACAAGGGCCGCATGTACGGACGCGGTAGTACAGATGACAAGGGCCCAGTTCTTGGCTGGTTGAACGCGATCGAGGCACACCAGAAGGCAGGTGTAGAGCTACCAGTAAACCTGGTCATGTGCTTCGAGGGCATGGAAGAGAACGGATCAGAGGGTCTGGACGACACCATTCGTGCTGAGGCCAAGAAGTTCTTCAAGGACGTAGATGTCGTTTGTATCTCGGACAACTACTGGCTGGGAACCGAGAAGCCATGCTTGACATACGGTGTCCGTGGATGCAACTACTACCAAGTTGAGGTCTCTGGCCCTGGTCAAGATCTGCACTCTGGTGTTTACGGCGGAATGACACATGAGCCCATGACCGACTTGGTTCGTATCATGAACTCGTTTGTCGACCCTGACGGCAAGATTCTTATCAAGGGTGTTGACGATCTTGTTGCTCCGCTTACCGAGCAGGAAGCTGCACTTTACCCACCCATCGCATTCACCATGGACGGTCTACGGGAGTCACTAGGTGGTGAAGTCACAATTCACGACAACAAGGAGGATGCGCTGAAGTCCAAGATGCGATACCCTTCGTTATCACTTCACGGTATCGAGGGCGCTTTCTACTCCGAGGGCGCGAAGACTGTCATCCCTGCTAAGGTCATTGGAAAGTTCTCTATTCGCACAGTACCAAACATGGAGATCGACCCTGTCACGAAGCTGGTCGAGAAGCACGTAAATGACGAGTTTGCTAAACTGAAGTCGAAGAACAAGATGAAGTTCAGCGTGGTTCACTGCGGAAAGTGGTGGGTAGAGGACCCCAACCACCCCAACTACACGGCCGCTGCCAAGGCTGTCGAGCGTGTCTTTGGTGTGAAGCCAGACATGACCCGAGAAGGTGGTAGCATTCCTGTCACATTGACCTTCCAAGAAGAGCTTGGCAAGAACGTCTTGTTGCTGCCAATGGGTAGCTCGACTGACGCTGCTCACTCGATAAACGAGAAGCTCGACAAGAGGAACTACATTGAGGGCACCAAGCTACTGGGAGCATACCTGCATTACGTTGCAGGAGAGATGAAGCGCGAATAGACGCCGTAGTCGCAACAGAGTTCAAATTGCTACATTGTAGGCTTGCCGTACTTTTATTAGAATCGTCGGTCTTGTAGATTCGTAGATCTTTTGCTACCAATAAGAAATGTATACCCGTTCAGCAGCACAATTGCTTCTTGCCCGTAACCTGACGAAGGGGCAGTCTCATATGCACTATGAATGGTAATTTCTCCTTGTGGCACCCTGCATGACCTTTATATCAATCTTATAACGTCTGTACTCTGGCCATGTTTTGCGTATAGTTTAGTTTTGGTTGATGGATCCCGCCCAGCTTTGACCACCCCGGCGCGGAACAACTAAAAAAGTTCGGCATCGCTCCACCAGGAACGGCCAGCACCGTGCCAACGCGTGCATCTCAAGCAGCACGGCCAAACATAACCCCAATTCCACCATGTCAACATGTAAATCCCTCCTTCGAGCCTGTCCGTCGCAGCGGGCTACTCCGTCGCTCCTTCCCCTCACACAATGCCGCTTCGAATCCACAACCCGGCGACACAGAAAACTGCTCGCACTCCCCGAAGCACCATCCTACACATCCGACCGCTCAGTCCCTACACTGGTCTTCAATCCTCCGTCCTCAGCGCCAAACGTCTACCACACACCGCTCAAGTTCCTGCCCAAAGAAGATAAGAGAAGACAGTTGTACGCTACCGCCCAACAATACGCAACGAAACTGGCGCACACACGGCAATCCTCTCACATCGCCGCACCCGGTACACCACTCAACACAGATAGCTTCCTACCGCCGCGCCCTTCTGCCGCGCTACCTACCCCGGTTCGAAAGCCATACGAGAAGACGTATCATCTCACCGAGGCGGATATCGCTGAGATAAGGAGGTTGAGGAGTGAGGACCCGGATACGTGGACGCGGGTTAAGCTGGCGGAGAAATTTGGTTGCAGTCAGTTTTTTGTGGGTATGGTGGCTAAGAATGAGGGGAAGGCGGAGAGGGTGTCTAGAGAGCACGAGGCGGCGAGGAGGAAGTGGGGGACTAGGAGGCGGGAGGCCAGAGAAGACCGGGGGAGGAGGAAGGTACTTTGGGGGAGGGACGCTTAGCCGATGATATATGCGGCTCTTCGTCATTGGGTCTGCGTAGGCACCAACTACAATCATCAATCGCAAATGCCGAGGCTCTTATATCTTCTTGGGTAAGACGACCTTGAGTTTGGGTTCTTAGGACACAAACATACGATGGATATGGCATACGATACGTGTAAAGAGAATAAAGGGATGTTTATACTTTGATGCACCACAACTACCGACAGCCCCTTCATCAGCAACCCTATACTAATCATCGCCGTTCCCAGGCCTCGTACCAATGGGTATCATTCCAAACTTCCGTAAACTTCAAACTCCTCCATAGTGTATATGCACCACATTTACCCTCCGTTATCCCTCTCCACCACAATCCCCTTCCCAACCCTAAAGACAAATCCCTCGCCATCTCTCGTGCCCACACCCACTTTCCAGCACTCAAACCGTCCTCGACTAACCACTTCCCAGCGCTGCAATCTTTCTCTTTCAGCTTCTTCAACATTCATCGCCGATGCAAACTTGAGTACATCTACACGACGGACTGCTAATCGGGTGACTGACATACCCTGAGGCCACGATGTAGGCAACGCGGGTCTGTACGTCGACGGCGTGGTAGATTGCGACGTCAGTACCATGGCGCAGGAGAGTAATTTGGTGAGCTTGGCTAGGCGAATTGTGAGTTGTGTGGATGCCGTTGCCAAAGTATTCGAAGACGTAGAGTTGGAAGCGTTCTTGTTTCGTATCGGCCAGACGAAAGCGTCGCTATCTTCGAGGGCGATGGAGTGGATGGGGCGGTGCATACTCTTATGTGGAGTCGTCTGGTTGAACAGGTAGTCTGGTAGTGAATCGAGGGTTGCCAGTAGAGAAGACCAGAACTGAGGGCGGAAGATGTGGAGGTGTTGGAGCGAAGTTTTAATTATGGTTTTCATTTCGGTTTTTAGGGGTTCGTCGACTTCCTGGTCTGTGGAGAGGAGGCGCGAGTTCAGGAGCGAGAGCATTATTTCTGCTAGTCGAGGGACGCTGAAGTGGTGCAGTGGGTCGAAGACGATGACAGCTGCTTCTTGGCCGCCCAAGGGAATACTGGCGACGGATGGAGGGAGTATGGCTTGGGCGATGACAAGGTAGAGGAGTGAAGTTTTTCCTGCTCTTGAGGGATGGTGTGTTGGTGGTGGAGAGATGATTTCGAGGACTGGAGGACCTGGGCTTATAATGAGACGGTCTATTTCGGGGATCTTGAAATGTGATGTGTGGGTGGTGTTTGTGCCGTCGGTGCTGTTCAAAGTTAGCATTTGTTCGTACATCATAGTAGCAAAACTGGAAAGTGGAAATTGAGCGTCATGGGAAAGAAGACATACATTCCATCGGCCCTGATTACATACTCGCGAAGAGATTGGAACACCTGCGTTAATTTTAGCATAGTACCGTCTTTTCGTTCTTTGTGTCCACTTGACATACCGAGCTCAAATCCTCAACCTCAACCTCCATCAACAACTTCTCCCCCAACCTCTTCGCCCCATCACCGCTCATCTTCTTTTCCCATCCAGATAGCCACTTTACCCCCCTTTCTTTTCATCAATCACAGTGCGGTCGTTTGATTTCTCTTTCTTCGCGCAATGGCGCCACCAATTTCCACGATTCCCGTCTCTGACTTGGAAGCTTCAATCAATACTCTGCCGTCCGGCAAACCACGGAATCCACCGGTCAAGCTAAGCGATTGCGCGCTGAAGGAGATGGTGCAATACAAGTGCAACTTGGAGTTACCGAAGAAAAAGGGTGACGCACCGAGTATAGTGTGTGAGCCGTTGGTTCACTTGTTAAGAAGGTGAGTGTTAGGTGAGGTAGAAGGCGCAGGGTCTTGGCGTAGTGGTCAAGCTTGAAAAGTCAGTCTGATGGATTTGGATTCCAAGACTGATGAGATTTTAGGTGTCCAGGAGGATTGAATGTTGAGACTACGGCGTGGGAGGGGTGGAAGGCGAAGCAGGAAGGTGCAAAGGTCGAGGGATGAGATGAGGTCACCAGAATGGAGATAACATCATGCAACATCACGCACGCACTGCTTGTCAATATAACGGGTATATATTCCCATATTCACAAGTTCAGTACCAGATTCTTGCTAACAACTGTGTCAGAAAGAGACCCGATCAAGATACGCAATCGATTGATGACGAATAAATGTTATGCTCGCCTTGGCCACGCTCTGTGCCATCGGTGGCTGCTCTAGCATAGTAGAGTGAGCAGACTATAGTACAACTTCTTCTAATGAACAAATAAAGAATCAACGCCGCTTAAATGCCTGAAGCGTGCCTAAAACTCCCAAGGCCGAAATGCAGATACCCAAACGCCTCGCTATCAGAATGCAGTAGTAGAACGACTTTTTCGAAAACAAGACATTTGCCGCCAAGTTCCGGGTGTGACGAACTATGAGACGCCGGTTGCAGACTTTCTCCAGTACTTCTGATCGTAGTTGACATGTACGCCTTCCTCAAGGTTGACATTCCGATCGGTCGTAGGCTGCCGTATCGGAGCATCTTGCGGCATGTTCCAGTCATCGTCATCATCGTCCATTTGGGCTTGCCGCCGCTCTTCCTCTTTCTCTCGCTGATTTTCCTCGTCCAACAGGTCTGTCATGGCTGCTTGCCATAACTGGTCGCTCTCTTTCATGCGCCTGCTGCGCTTGCGCTTGCCAACATTCTGCTTTTGAACGCCAGCCTTTTGTGCGGCCATGAGTTTTCTAAGACTTTGTTCGGCAAGGATGCCCTCCTCGGTCGCCTTCTCTCTGATCTTGCGCGGATCATTTTCGCGTTTTGTGAAGACGGGCGTTGCTGTGTATGTGTGTTTTGACGGAAAGCCAGGAAAATGTTTTGGTATGTATGGGCGCGTTTCTTTGTCCGCCTTGCCCGAAAGTCCAGGGCCCAGCAAGGACTCGGTGTCGGGCGGCGGAGCCTCTGGAGGCGCGGGAGGTGCAAAGTATGGTTGTAATAGAGATGGCGGAACTTCGCCTGTGTCGATATGTTGCTCGAGGGGGCCAGAGCCGCGTAGGCCTGCGCATGTGAGGGCATAGATCCAGTCGTGGGCTACGGTTTCGGTGCGCCGCGAGCTGATCATGGACGTCCGGACTTGTGCTAAAAAGTTGGTCATGTCTGTGACAGGTCAGTCTTGCAAACTGCAGTGGGCTCTCATGGCCAGTTTCTGTCGCAAGGTGAAGCCATACAGGAATCAACCAGCGCCCGGAACTCCTCCAACGCGTCCGGGCGCGCGCTCTCGAAGCCGATGCCTTTACATTGTATCGCTATTGCGCGGCGCAATTGCTGGTCAAAAAAGTCTTTGCTCTCGCCAAATGGATCGAGCTCTGCGCTGATGGGATCGGCAATATGCTGAATCGGCTGCGTGTGATGCAGTGCCCGAACGACTTGCCGCTTCTTCGGGTGTGGCTCTCCGTATGTCGGCGCATTTTCCGCATCATGTACCCTCTTCATGCCTGCGATTGCGCCCTCGCTGCTGGCGCTGGGGGATAGTATGATGCCTGGCATATGCTACTCGTTGTCGCGATTCGAAGGGTGGGTGAGGCCGTGATACGATGTTGTGCACGCGATGGTGGTTCCAAGGATGAGTTTATCGGTGGGTAAGAGCGCCGACGGGAGTGAGAGGTCGCATCGGTTGCGGGATTCTGCCCTCGCGATGGGAGCGGACGTGAAAGCGCGTGTGGTCTCGTATTCGATGGTATTGTCCCCTTTGACCTGACTGCCTGCCGTTGTCTTTCAGTCGGGAGCTTCCAAGGCGCGGGACGCTAGGACGCCTGTCTTACGTCAGCAGCGGTTAGTTCTCCCCGTCGAACCACCACAACTTCAGAGAGCCACAGACGACGACTACCAGCTCCCGCAAACCGCATCCGCGCCCCAAAACTCTCCGTTCCCTCGAAACCGATTTCACAATGGCCGTCAAACCGATCACCGGCGTATGTGCTGCCATTGAGTGCTTTGGGCAGTAGTGGGCAGGTCGCTAATGACTGGATTGCAGATGCTCCGACGACAGGTCGTGCTCGACCTCTCTGTTGCTATGGGTGCGTAGAATCCTGGCGGTGCATGTGTGATATTTTGGGAGCTTGAAGAGCTCCACAGACATGCGCGCATCACCTCTAGAACTTGGCTAACGGCAATCGCAGGTCTCGGCCTCACTGCCGGCTACGGCTGGTGGTACGGTACGTGAATCATTCACTGGCGATGCGACTGCGCTTGCTATCGTCAGAATTACTTGCCGTGCCCGTACTTACTTTCCAAGGCTACCACGTCCCCGCCGTCCGTCACCGTGACGCCTTCTACCAGAAGCTCGAAGACGAGCGCGCGTCGGCTCTCGGCCAGAAATAAGCGACTACTCTTCACGAACCGACATCCCCTTTGTATCGACAGGTCTTGAAAACATAAAGTAGACACTAGCTGGAGATCAAGTGTATCATAAGTGGGGTGGATCTCTCGACAGCAAGCCAAATCAGACTCCGTCAAACGACCCCGCGTATGCGTGTCCACGTGTGATGTGTTCCGTGATTGTAGCGTTTCTTGCACGATTATCTAGTGTCGCAGTAAGCAGAGCTGCTTATTCACGTTGGAAGTTTGGCTGCACGTGCTCACAGCTTTCCACAAAGCACTGTCACACTGCGCACCCGACGCAGGAGTGGAATTTGGATTTGAGACGCCCTAATCTACATACCGCTACGAAATATGGTGCTGCACCCTCTCCAGGACCTTATCCCATGGTCTGCATTCTAGCTCTAATGTATCAAGTCTTTTGGACTCTGGTTTGTAAGCTGCCCTGATCATCACTGAATATATCTCCAGACTCGATGAGCATGCAACCTACTCGTCTCATATCACTTGGAGGGTACCAAAAAAAAAAGGGTGTACACAATTCATTGGTCAGGGCGCCGGAGGCTTTGATGTATATTGGACGAACCTGCAGAAAGCTAGCACCAGGGCTTGAGTGCCGTTGCGCGACCATAAGGTTTGATATGCTAACAAGTAGGTTGACGCAGCTGGTCTGCTTCGTCAGCCTGCTTATCTCACGTGAAGCTCCTGTGTTGTGGAAGGTAAGGCGATCCCGACATCTGCTTCAATGTTCGTCTCTGGTTCTGAAAACAACTGGTTGCTTGTACACAGAGCGTCGAACGTTTCAGGAAGCCTCTTCAGTATAGAAGAGATAGATGCAATGACGACAAGGTCGCTTTACCTAGGAGAGGGGCAGAGTACATCTTTTCTGCCTACGATTTACATAGTCAAGGAGCAGCGTTTTGTGGCTGCACTCATCGTTGTTATCTCACAGTAGCGACTGCACACGTTTGCATGGTCAAGAAAAAATAAAGTTAGATGTTTACCCACGATCGATAATCGATGAACAGGGCACGGACTAATCGTGAGCTGTGTTCCTGCCTTGTCATGTCGCATCACGAACATCAAATCTAACCACAAAGATCCTACATTGATTGTCGTACCACATGTTCTACAGCAGTAGATATTGTATAGAACATCCGGAAACGATTGATATCGAGAAATGGCAGTGCTCGAGTTTCAAGGCAATCCAGGAATCTCTGATGCATCGATGGTGGTGGTTACAAGTCGTCTCACCAAGCTATCACGAAACTGTTGATAGACTGCCATGACGCATCAGGCCAATGACGGAGCGATATGGGCTACGAGGCGCGACGCGACGCGTTGAATGCTACTTATTTCTTAGTTGTTAAAGCAAAAACAGTCCGATGTTCAGTTGCAAAAGGCTATGCAAGACGAAGCAGCGGTGGGGGGAGCAGAAACGTGTCAAACGCTGGATGCTATTGGCTGGGAACCAGGCTTTACACACAGGTTCCCTGGCGATCATGCCCAACTCATGGCGCTGCAGGGGAGCGTCGCTGCCAAGGATCGACGCGAACCCAGAGACTGGAGGCGCAGCGGCGTGGCAAGCGAGAGTCGCATCAGGAAAGATGGCATGTTCTATGGTCGGGGGCTGAAGGAGCTGCTCTCGATGCGGAGAGGAGCAGAAAAAGCAACATCAGGGATAAGAGGCGGATCTGAGAGGGCAAGATGACTGCTTTGACAGCGGCGTTTTTGGTTCGGAACGGGGTGGAGGACCCATAGCATAGCGTCCGGCGCTTTAGTGCGAGATGTGGATGACTAGTCCCTCACCATGTATTAGGGCAACGGGTGGCCGATCACCAGCAACCTGGCTTGGAGTTGAGGAGAGGATTGGGGGCGTCAGGTGGGCGTCCCATTTCATAGTTTGCAGCAATAATGGCATACGGGTACTTGTCTACTCTTATGGACTTGTGTCCATGGCAGATGACAGGACTATGCAATGGGGCACAGGCAGAAGCTGTCGTGAAGGCGATGGCGTCTTCTATTTGGCGAGGTGCCATCTGTCCTCGATAGGCATATTGGACGAGATGATTTGAGTGAAGGCGTTGGTGCCCTGACCACCGACTGGCGCAGATGACAGCTAAAGTGGCTAGCGAGCGATGGTAGTGGAAAAAGCAGCCGCACCCTCGCTCATCGAATAGACGGGCATGGCGCCATGAAGCCACAGGGCTCGACCAGACGTTAGGGATGAAACTCTGCAGTCGTCGACACGCACACCAGGCGCTGTATAGTAGAGCTGCCACAGTGATCAAACACCTGGCAAAGGCTAACAGACGGTGAACTACAGCAAGATGAGAGCAACGCATAGGCCGGCAGAGCGGGGAGGAGGGAAGACGACAAGAGCACATGGTTCGTCCTGCCACCAGAACTGCGGAAGATTTGGCGGGCCCCAGCCAAGCGCTAGCGCCATTCATTCGACGAACCTGTGATACCTGGTCGAGAAACGGGGGCGCAAGAGGCGCTTTGTTCCGCTCAGCAGTAACATGTTCACGTACATTTGCATGGACAGTCGTAAGCAAGTCCTCACAGCAACCATGGTCCTGCACATGTCTCGACAGCTGTTCCTTCCCTCTGGAGCATGACCACAGACGGACCGGGGCAGGAGCGTTAGAGGGCCTACCACTTGCAGGCTAGCGGATAGATCCCTGCAGTTGGACGAGGTAGGTGCGACGGGCGCGATTGCTGCACCTGGGCTGCGACGCACGCCCTCTTTCTGACGGCCTTTCGCAATCTTCCTCGCTCACCCACCCAAACACGTCTGGATTTGCATCTTCTACTTCTTCCTTGCTGCTCCAGCGATATCATCATTTGGATAGCTGCATCTTGTCTCCATGGACACGTCGTCTTGAAAGCTGCAGCTGCGTAATTTAGGCGCCGTCGTTTGGGTCCACGGGTGCTGCGCTAACCTTGCGCCCTGTCCGCAAGTGTCGATCAGTCTCGAGCCGCAGCTGGCGTCGTCCTTTCGAGCCTCCGCCCTTCACTCACCTAAGCCTCACTCCAGGTGAGCAGCTGTGGCCCTGCCTTCTCTCACATCCTCCCTTCAGAGCTGCAGGCCCAGGCTCTCTTCCACGACACTCGACACGCTTCTCTCTCTGGACGCTCGCATCTTCGCCAACGTCACCATCACTGTCACCGCCCCATCTTCGGTCTCACCAAGTCGTCTACTCGACACCAAACACGACGCCTCGACGCTGTAGTCGTCCCACCGCTCGCCGCATCAGTGAAACGTTCGGCCTGCATGAGTGCTGCTGTTCACTGCACTTCCGCGGCACTGCACCGCTGCATTAACCCTTCGCGCCTCCGCCAACCCGCGACATAGCGCGCCTTTCACCCTTCGCGCTCCACCATGAACAACCCCAACATGCAACAGAACGGCATGCAACAGAACCGGGCCACGGCGGGACTCCATCACTTCATTCAGCACTATCGCGTCCAGCAGCAGCAGGGCAAGATCCCAAATGGCTGGCAGCAAGGCACACCGCCCGAAGAGCGCGGTCAACTGGCTCTCCAGTTCTTCACCCAGTATCGCCTGCTGAAGCCCGAGATCGCCGAGGTCGAGTCGATGCGCGCCGCCCTCCAATTCGAGACGCAAACCTTCATGTCTTCATCAACAAAGGACCAATACGTCTCCAACATCAAGCAAAAGCTCATCGTCATGACTACAGCACGACAACAACAATTACAGCAACGCATGCAAGGCGGCGCACCCAACAATATGAACAACCCGATGAATGGTATGAACGGCATGAACCCCGCCCAGATGAACATGATGAATCAGATGGGTCAGCAAGGCCCCAGGCAGGGAACCCCGCAACAGTTCAACCCTGCCTTTCCGAACGCCCAACTCCAACGGCCGATGCAGGTTTCACCTGTTCCCATGACCCAAGGCCAGTCATCGATGGGTGTGAATGGTGCAAACCCCGCCAATATGTCCCAACCGGGTCAAAACAACCAGCAACCGAACATGCAGGCCAATCAGAACCAGCAGCAGAGTCGCCAGGACCAAATGATCATCAACCAATTCGCGAAGAAGTTGATGGACACTTGTAAAGAGGAGGTTCGGCTCAAGTTCGAGGCCGATATTCGAGCTTGGCCTGAGGACAAGAAACAGCAGTTGCTCGCCCAGGGCGTCAACCCTCTCTTCCTCCGCTTCCGACAACATGCTGACATGCTCTACCGAAGAGGCGCCCTCAATCAGCAGGGAGCTGGTCAGAATGCTGGCGCCATGCAGGGAGCTGCTCAGCCGAACCGGATGCAGGGCCAGCAGATGAACATGGGCCAACGTCAACCTAATCAAGAGTTTGACTTCACTGAAATAGCAAATCGGCAAATGGAAGCTATGCGCAGCCAAGACCAGGGCACCACGGTGGTACCTGCAAGCAACAACCCGAACAATGGCGGTCAGATGGGTGGCTTCCCAGGCCAAAACTCGCAACAAAACCAACCTCAAAATGCTATGGCTCAGCAGCGTCAAGCTGCCGAAGCATTCCACCGCCAACAGCAGGCGCAGCAAGCGCATGCACAAGCCCAGGCTCAGGCGCGGTTGGAACAACAACGGCAGCAACAGGCAGCTCAAGCGCGCAACCAACAGAATCAACTGCTCCAGGGCCAAATTGGCGGGTTAAATCTCCCTGGAGGTTCGCAACAAGCTAGTCCTGCTATGCCTATGCTCAATCGACCGATGCCTCCACCAGGACAATCAGGACCTCCCGGAACACCACAACAGCAACGGCCTCCTCAAGCTCATGTTCCCATCATGACGCCTCAACCCGGCCAGGCTGACCCCAACCTATCCGAGCTTATGCGCCAAGCGCAACAAAGAGCTGCCGCTGTCCAGCAGGCGAACCAACAACCGCTGACCGATCAGGTTCGTATGAACATGATGCCGGCCGACCTCGACCCCAACGTAAAGCAACAACTCCTCAAGGTCCCGGAGCCCCAGTTCCGTGTGATACTACAGAGTTACATGATGAATCTTCGTCGCAGCAATGGAATGCAAAACGGCGCTTTTCCACCGGGTCAACCCAATACCGGCCAGCCGAACATGCCGTTCAACCAACAGCAACAACTGCCGCCTGGCATGGCTGGCCAAATGCTCGGCGGTCCCAACATGCAGAACATGGTTCGCTCTGGCATGAATCTCGGGCAGCCACAACCTGGAGCTGGGCCACAACCTGCTATGGGGGCGCAGCGTCCGCCTATGCCATCTCAGCAGCAGCGTTTGCAAGCTGCTTCCAACTTACTACGAGCCAATCCTGGTATCATTCATGCTACTGACCCTAAACCATTCCCTCCGAACGTCTTGAACAACTCCATTCGGAACAGTCTTCCTCAGGATGTCAGAACATGGCAGCAATTGAAGTTATGGGCTAGCCAAAATCCCGCTCTGGTACCGGGTGTCGATAGCCAGAAGCTGCTCATGCTACAAGTTCTTCACTTCCAGGACATGGTGAGACAGTCCGGCGGCGTAACGGGTGTCCATCCTACTCCACAACCTGGTCATGGGCTTGCTCCACCGGCGCAAGTCAATCCCAACCAAGGTCCTATCAGGACACCGCAGCAGCAACAGAATATGCCGAACATGGCAGCCCTTCAAGTCACCCCACAGGACTTGCAGCAGTTCCGTGCAAGAATGGCAGGCCAACCACAAGCCAACCTACCAGACGATCAACTACGAGGCTTTATGATATCAATGAGAATGAAGAACCTGCAGCATCAGAGGCAACAACAGGCGCAATCTGCAATGCTCAATCAACAAGCCCAGCGCAATCAAGCGCAGCCGCCAGTCAACATGCCGATTCAGCAGCATCAGCCCAACCGTCCACCGACTGCGCAACCTCCGACACAAGCTACACCCCAGCCAAAAGCAGCGGCCAGACCACAACCACAATCGCAGCCCATGCAATCGCAACCCTCCAACAACGCTGGGAACAAAGGCACGAAGCGACCGAACGAGGATGCTGCGGAATCAGGCAACGATGCCACGCCACAAGCTGCTGCTATGGCATCTTCAAAGTCTCAGCCTGGACTCAATCTTACGCACGAGCAAATGTCCAAACTCACCCCTGCTCAACACGCTCAGTACAAAGCTCAGTTACTAAAGGCCCAAGATGCCTCAAACAACAAGATGCAGCAGCAACGAGGTGCCGTGGTTAATCACGAAGAACTACGGCAACGAATGGCAGACCCGACAAGGACACGACAATTCAAGCAGCTTATGGATGAGGTAGAGAAGAGCGTTCCCGCTAGACAACCTGTGCAGCTGCCGCCGCAGATGCGAGTACCTCTACAGCGATCATTGAAAGAACAACTTCATCGGCTAAAGCAGGTGGATCAGGCCCTACGCATCTTCCATGCCTCGTACGACTCCTCTGAGCCCGAGCAAGTTCTCCGCCAGATCATGACATCCCGCGTGCTCTTGTATCAACAGTTCGACCAGGCTGACGGAACGCTTCACCCTCAAGTCACTCTGACTATTGAAGAGTTCAAGAATCACATGGGCGCAACGCTCAAATTCGTTGCTAAGATTATGGAAAAGGTCAAGCAGCAATCAGCTGCCTCGCAGCCGCAGCCTCAGGGTGGTTCGAATGCCCCGCCCGCTCAACTTAATGCCGCAAATCTGAAAATCGTAGAACAACAAAACCGCAGCCAAAAGGCTCCTTCCGCCCCTACCACCGACCGACCACCGTTCGCCATCGGAGCTGATTCGGGTCACGGAGCAGCACACTATTTTGAGGGCGCGAGACCAGTCACGAACCTCGTGTTGCCCGAGAAAAAGCGCGCGAAGCTCGAGGGTAGCCAAACCTCTACTCCGGGTGCTAGAGCGTCGCCCCGAATTGGTTCAGGGACAGGTAACTCGCCTGAGCTCAAGAGGCAACCACCGCCCAATGTACCCCAGCGACCGACTTTCCGATGCAACGATGCGAGCTGCGAGTACTCCGTCCGGGGCTTTGATACTCAAGGCGAATTAGAGGCGCATAGCCAAATACATGCAAAGGTCGAGAACCCGATGCAGTTTGCACTGGACTCGATGGCCGATTATCTTGAAATTGACCAGAAGACTGGCGAATCGAAGGTCGACCAGAACACTGTAAAGCGCGCCTCGAAGCCTGCCCCAGCTGCTCCACCAGCACCGCAACAAGCTGTTAAGCCAGGGCAAACTCCTGGCACTTCGCACAACGTTGCCACTCCAGTTGGACAACAAGCGACTGCTACGGCTATGACTCGCGTGCCAACACAAACAGGTGTCAAAGACTCACCATCATCGAACCTACTCAAGACACCCCAGGCGATGACAAAAGTGGCCACTCCTGGCTCGGGTGCTCGTGGCAAACCTACACCTGCCAGCATTCCCAAATCAGCACCGAAGGAGCAACAGGTGACAGCTCCAGAGCCTGTGACCAAAGAAGAAGAGCAGAAGCCACAACAACCAATGTTGCCAATGTCTCTCCTTGACTACTCCTATGAAGACACATTCGCGGCTCTCGATGCGAACGGACCTTTCACAGTCATGGATCTCAAGGACGAAGACAACGCCTGGGCACTCCGTTCGCGACCCGCCTCCCCATCGGCTACACCCGAGTCCTCCAACAAAGACACACCTTCCACACGACAGTCGGACATTTCGGAGAACGATAATCTCTTCATCAACATTGATCTCAAGGACGCCGACATGCCTGATGCCTGGGCAATGACGATGACCGGCGATGCTCTCCCAATAGATCTACAGCTTTCTGAAGACTTGCAGAATCTTGGCGTCATTCTTCCTCCCATGGACAGCGAAGACATGATGCTCTTTCCCGACTATGGTCCTGGAACTATGATGGACCTCGACATGCTCGAGAAGACCATGGATAGCATGGGTGGAACACTCGATCCATCCATGCTATGAGCCCAAATCTCATCATCTTTTTTTTCGATTTCATTTCATCTATTCCGCATATACCTGCGACTATTCTGTTGCCCTCGGGCTTTGTTTATGTACCTGCCATGTACTATGATTTCACTCGCTCTTTGGCTTATGCTGCGTCTGTTTCTGCATGGTGTTCGGAATTGATTACGGCCTGTTACATATGTATGAGCAAAGCTTAGCTGCTGATGTGGGCTCATGGCGCTATCTATGCTGCAATGGGAAAAGTGGGAATCTATACAACATTTGGGGTGACTTTTGCAACTCGGTCTCGTGTTTGGGTATCTCATGTTTGGCATTGTTTGTGGATATTATACCCCGTCTTCCTGTCACTTCCGGGTTTTGTAGTGCAGGGAAAGTAGTATCTGGAATTGTATTCGCGTTTCGATTTCGTAACAGATGTTGCCTGCTGGGATCATAACACAGGGTGACGTGATTGTGCTATGTGATGTAGTTTTGCAAACAATGACTGATCTCAATGAACAAACGGTTACGATAGAGATTAGAACTTGTTCAATATTGATGTCGATGTTCATCTCCTGACGATGTGGGTAGGTGTGACGTGATATACGCTACGACAACCCCCCCATTTCCATGGATCTTCTCCAGACATGTTGTCAGAGACTCGTCTGGAAGCACACGTACCACGGTATAGTTAGCGAGTCCGCATCGTGCACGCCGGGATCCATTGCACCTTTTCTCCACACACCTCCCCTTATAGACGACCCCACCGAACGCCTGGCACTGGTGCACATGACGGCTGGCGGGTAAGGCCGAGATGGGCAAGTCGACGATGACCCCCTTTCTAGAACGCGAACCATCGTACCAATATGGATACGGTAATGTAAAGAATAACGTTTGGTTCTGACATTGCATGATGCAAGGGGCGTGTCATGGACTTGCAGCTGGCACCGCACGTATCCATGGTACTAAGTATTAGTGTTTCGGCGAAAAGATGGGGTGAGATTCGGATTCCCAACGACAATTGTTTCCTCTTTTGCCTCTCCCAACATGATCCAAGCAAAGATGTGCGGACAAGGCCGACTATGATGCGAAAGTTAAAAGAAGAAAGAAATTTCATACGGCATTATGACGTTTGCGTTCCTCGCCTCCGGGACTCCCGCTTCCCTTGCCCTACTTGGTGTTGGTTGATGATGGCGGTTATGCAGGGCAAGAGGCTGAGCAGGCGTGGCGAAGGCGAGAAGCAGTTGCTATTCTCGGCATGCTGCATGGCGCGCATTCGCAGGTATGCCACGCGATGAATTTTTTTCGAGGAGCCATGAAATGTGTCAGCGCTTTGTCGGACTGCGCGAGTTGGACAAAGAGTGCAAGGCGGAATTTGGGATTTCTTTTTCTGAAGCGGTTAGAGAGGGCGTAGGCGATGCATGTTGGTGGTGCTGCGGGTAAGCTGCTATTTGCAGTTTGACAATGGTTGCAAGGTTGCGATCAGCTGGGTTCTGGGTTCGGAATGATTCCGAGTGGTGAAGGTTTTGGTGAAGAGATTTGGGCGGTGAGAGCCCTATCGGTCGGTGAGATGACGGGTGAATGGGTATGGGCAACGCGATGGACAGGGTCTTAGTTGTGGGTCTGGGGTAAAGATGTCTGCAATTTGCTCGGTTGGACTGCCTAGCTAGGGATGAATTGGGATTAGGCGAACTATGTCGGGCAGGAATTGGGTTGTTTGTGATGGGCGTACTTGTGGAGATTAGAGATTGCGATGTTCGTGATGATGACTGGAAGCCTTGCCACAATGCATGGCAACAAGACGACACGACTACAACAAAAGAAGACGAATGTAATAATATTTCATTTGTATCATGGTAGACGTGATTTGTCAGTGCGCCTTCATGTCATCTTCGATCTCGACCTTACACCTTCCTTCTGGAAGCCAACGCCAAGGAGCATGCATATGCGCGTCACCGCTAGGAAATAAACGAACGGGACGTTCCCCAGATCAATGGCGTTCCATTGCCAAAAGGCCCAGTAGATGTCGCTTCCGACGGGCAGCACAGTGAGTAAATGTCCTAGGTCGGCGAGAAGCAGACCGATTAAGAAGGTCTTCCAGACCTTGACGTCTGCTGTGGCGCGCAAGACGGCGGCTTCCAAAAAAGCAAGTCCTAGGTACAAATTCGCTAACTGTGACATGACTATGGATGTTGAGATGGGAACCGAGACGCCCGGTGAGCTGGCTGCATGCGTTAAGTCCAGGTAGGTGGATTGGAAGAAATGCGCATAGATGGCGCCAGTGAGGATCGAGGCAGGCTCGAGCCAGCAAAAGACGAAGCGATAGACGCTGGGTATTGCTGGCGCAGGTGGAGCGGACGATGCCATGATGTTTGGGCGATGGTTTGGCTCGGTTTCGCGTGGTCTAGGTTGTGTGCTCAACGCGATTCACGATGGTGTACCGTGAAGCGACTACGGCGTACCGTGGGAGCGGTGTAGCAGAAGAGACGCAGGAGGCAGTGTAGTGGCAGGATGGCGGAGAAGCCGGATGCAACAGCAAGTGGTTGAGCGGTACTCTCGTACGTAGCAGCACGTCGACGGTGTGTGTAGTGCTGGCATGATAAGATAAGTCGTAATTTGCAGGGGTGGGTCCCATCTGGAGTTGCTTTGGTGAACAGACCACGTTCGGGAGGCACTTGAACCGGCTTGAGATCGGCTGAGTCTCCTGGCCTAGTGTGTGGCACGTTGTCTGGCGTTGTTAACAAGCTCTGTTTTCCCTTCTCCTAGGTACTAATACTCGTGCTATAAACCTCCCGTTTTCGACCTTTCCGTATTCTTGCTTTCCGCCGCCGTCCACCCTTCACCCTCCCTTTCCCTCGCAGCCACGCATTGCTGTGCACGCTCTCTTAATCGACCGCCCTACCCTGTCCTGTCCAGCGTCTTGTTGTTATCCTGCGACGTTAGGATTCGCTCTCTGTTTCGAGTTTCGCCCTTCACCGCAACTCTTAGGGCTTAGCTGTCAACATCCCTGGGAGCATGTATCGCAGGCAGTCCATCCTGTCGCACCGACCCAAGACCTCTTCCGACGTTGACGACGACAACGCCTACGCTACTGCCGTTCCACCACCGCACACGATGAAGCGAACCATCTCGCAGACATTCCCTACCCACTACCAGCACGACATGAAAGACACCAACATGTTGGACGCCGTCAACGAAGCCACCATGGCCGCCGACGGCCTGTCGCAACATTCACAGGCCAGCTCCTTCTCGCGGGCGTTTGGTGCCGTCGCTGGCAGTTTCACGCGCCAGAAGACGCGCCGGCGCATGTCGTCTGTGTCTTCAGCAACACCCGCACAGCGTCGTCGGGGGTCCATTCATTCCTTATTCGAGTCTTTACCCTCCTCAAGCGCTAGCCAGAAGCCTACCACGGAACCACAACCGCGAATGCCCCTGCAACACCAAGATTCTGGCATTCCCACTTTTCAACTGCAACCACAAAGCACAAGCTCAAAGGCTTTTGCTCCCTTCAGGCGACTTAGTAGCATGCGCCGCCGCCCCACAGCTTCGGGACCATCGACAGACGTTACCAAGGCACTTTTCTCTTCTCCTCCCGTCTCCTACCCCAGCCAATCCGTACCGGGCGCCGCCGCACGACAAGCAGCCGCTGCAGCCAACCAGGACCGCCAGAACCAGATACGACGCGAGCAAGAACACACCCACCGCTTCCTCAATGGCCTCATCACCACGTCGATGCGTGATGACGACATCAAGGACAACGAGAGCGGTGTGGACATGACATGTGCTTCTCCCATTGTTCGCGCCGACAGTGTTACCGAGAAGAAGATGAGTAAGTTGTTTAGTTATCTACCGTTGGAGCCACGCTAATTGTGTTACAGTTGATCCTTTCCAGCGCCTACCTGCTGAGCTTGCTACTACTGTCCTTTCGAATCTCGATGCCGCATCTCTCGTACGTGCCGAGCGCGTCTCTCGCAGCTGGAACGAACACGCATCGTCGCCGCACGTCTGGCGAAACGTCTTCCTCCGCAAACACGAACCCGAAGTACACGTCTCTCCTGCGCCCATACAGATGGGTAGTCTGGGTACTGGCAAGATGGCAGGTGGCAACCCGGCGCCTGCTCAAGACTGGAAGCAGATGTTCAGAGCGAGAAGCACAATCGACGCCCGATGGAAGGCTGGCACGCCGGCTGCCATTTACCTCAATGGCCACACAGATAGCGTCTACTGCTGCCAATTCGACGAAAACAAGGCCATCACCGGTTCGCGCGATCGAACCATCCGTGTGTGGGACCTGAAAACCTACAAGTGCATCCGAGTATACGGCGGTCCCAACCACCGCCCAACGGCAAACACACCACCGCCCATGGAGGAGCGACCGGAACGCGTCATTAGCCACGCTTCGCTCAATGGAACAAAGGTTGGCAACGAGATATACACCGTTCCCGCCGATTACCACGATGCCTCCATCCTGTGCCTACAGTACGATAGCGAGATTATGGTCACCGGATCTTCAGACTACACTTGCATCGTTTGGGACATTACTGGCGATGAATACGTTCCTATGTACCGACTCCGTGGCCACGAGGCTGGTGTGCTAGACGTCTGTCTTGATGACAAGTACATCATCTCCTGCTCCAAGGACGCTATGATTAAAGTCTGGGACCGTAAGACTGGCAACTGCGTACGCACACTCAAGGGCCACCGAGGACCTGTCAACGCCGTCCAGCTACGCGGCAACTTCCTTGTTTCCGCTAGTGGCGACGGTGTAGCTAAGCTCTGGAACCTTGAGACTGGTGTTTCGATCAAAGACTTCCCGTCTGAAGACCGTGGTCTCGCAGCTGTTGAGTTCTCTGATGATGCAAAGTACGTTCTTGCCGGAGGCAACGATCACGTCGTGTACAAGTTCGATGCTTCAACTGGCGAGCTTGTCCACAGCCGTGTCAAGCACGACGGTTTGGTGCGATCCCTATTCCTTGATGCCTTCAACGGCCGCATCGTCTCCGGTTCGTACGATCAGAGTATACAAGTGTCCGACTACGAGACTGGACAAACATATGCAGTGTACAAGAACTGGACTACGAGCTGGATTCTCTCGGCCAAGAGCGATTACAGACGTGTCGTCGCTACCAGCCAAGACGGCCGGACTTTGATTTTGGACTTTGGCCACAATGTGCCGGGATCTGAATTGCTCGCTGGGTCGAAGTAATTGGTCGTGGTAGCTGGTCTGACAACCACAAAGATCCGGTCTGCGCCTGAACTCCACAGGTCCTCGCTGACCTTGTCGCACTATCCTCGCAGCAGTTCTTCCCGCCTCCGCCACATACTAAGCAATGTGGCATATATACCCCCCGTCTGCGGAAGGCTTGGGAGAGATAATGCATGCAGACATGAGCGCACAATAACAAGCTCGAGGACCAAAAGTTATGTTGTAGAAGATGAAGAGGTGTGATATTTTCTGGAGTCAAGCATAGCATTCATCGGCAGGCGTTCTCGTTATCTCCCATGCGTAGCTATTGATTCATTCCCATCCTTGTTTACCTCCATTCGTCCCGTTCTGTTTCATGTTGAACTTGCATTACTAGCATATATTTTGTGGGACGTGCCTCTTGCCACGTTTCCCTTGTATTTTTGCCAATTAGATTTCTCATTTGTTCTATTTTTTGGGTTCGGTTATAGGTGTTGTCGTGTATAGCTGTCGGGATGGCTATGAGTGAGCACCAAAAGGCGCTCTGTAATATCAGGATTATATGCTTCATTCTTTGTTCCTATGTGATGATCTGTCTGTAGACGACCCTGGTTTCTATTAACCGCTGCAGTGAAAACCCCACCACTGTTCATGAGGTTGGTGTTGAGGGTAGCAATTTAGTAAGTACTCATGCGAACGTCACAAATATTAGGAATGAAATAAAACCATCGTCATCATTTCAACGCAAAGGGTATACAAATCAAGTAACACAAAAGCCCATTACCAAGTCCCCCTCCTCATCCCCACCCTCTCCTTCGTCGCGGTGTCCATCCACGTATTACTCCTCCCCTTAGTCGCCTTGTTCGCCAGGGACATGACAAGCGGTATTTTCTTTCTCTTCCGCGAGTTCTTCTAGCTCTCATTGTTCTTTTCATCGAGACAGATGCACAGTGCAGCGATGAGCGCCATGTCTACGCCTGGTGCGATTTGCACGCCGTAGGTTTGCTGGCCGAAGAATATGTCTTTGCCGCTAAGGATTTTGCGGTCGATGCGGGCGACTACCAGACCTAATAATCTTTAGCATTGTGTTCCGCTTCGAGGAGTATTGTTGCTCAAATGGAGAGGAAAAGGGGTAGGGAGGGAGATACATACCGCCTTGGGCTTCATCCAGAATATCGGCCTGAGTATCGAAGAAGTTGCCGCGCATGGTGAGGACTTCTTGTTTCCCATTGGATGAAGCAAATGTCGCTGTTGCTTTGCTTCCCATTACTGCACCACGGTCAGTTGACATTCCATCTAATCATCACCACCCTTCCACCCTCTTTCCTCTTTCCTCCCTCTACTAGCATTAGAGGCGGAAACTTACGTTTAAAACTACTCTTAACCTCCATAATCTTTTCCCCCTTCGCACTCTCAACCACATACGTAGAATGGAGATGAAAATGCTCCTTCACAATACTACACAGGTGATTGCCCTGCATATCGAACATCTTCTTGCGACCAGTCAAACTCATGACTTTGCCTTCGACTTGGAGGACTGGCGTGCCATTTGCGAGCTTGATGCTGAAGCTGTCGCCGCTGAGGGAGAGGACTTTTTCTTTCAGGACAAGGGTTTCTGGGCGTGCGGCGAGGAACTGGGGGAATACGCCGATGGGTTGGGGGGCTGGAGCGAGAGAGGCCATGGTTGGTGGTGTGATGTTTATTGTTGTTGTCGTTGTTAATGTGTTTATTGCAAAAGGGCGGTTAGGTATGAGGGTAGGTCTGGAAGGATGGGGTCTGGTGTTGCACTGTTGAAAGTCTGAGAGAGAGTAGTAGAGTTAGGTATGACATTGTTGTAAGCATGAGCTTTTAATTGTTTTGACATAGGCAGCCTTACGTGACGCTAGCAAGTGCTTCCGACGATCGTGGGGCAGTGCTTGTGGTTAGGCAAGCACGGGTGAGGCTGAGTGTGGCCGATCACCCGACAACGCTGACATTGAGGAAGCGAGCTACCCTATCATGAGTCTTCGAAGATGATGCACAACACTTGGACGTGCGGGGTGAACGGTCATGCATGCTACGCTGACTGAAAATACAGCGGGCAGACTTCAGCTGATTGGCGAATCATGTCTATATGTCTGCTGAAAATAGACGCAGAGTACCTCGCATCACTGGTTCAACGTGGCGCACGCAGGTGTAGTTTGTAGTTTTTGTAAGACCGAACTTTTGAGTATTGGCAGAGACCATTATGAACTCCACCGAGACCTCTAGTCCCAAGTTCCTTCGCGCCCCCAAAATACATGACAAACATGGCAACCATATGCACAAGGCTGGCTTCGGGGAAGCTCAGCAAAGAATATATACACGGACCACAGAGCCGATATAAACAAACGGTCGAGACCTGAGGATTTCTCCATCAAGTAAAACCGGGGGTATGAAACTAGGCACCGCTCCCGACCCGGCAGTATCGTGAAGAATGGAAGCTGAGATGACTATGATAAAACAACAACAGTGGAGGAAACCGACAAGACATTAGTTCTGGGCCGTCAAATTGCGGCCGGATTAAGGACAGTATGTGGTGAGTAGTGGAACATGTCGAGCGGGTCCTGGGGTATACAAGACAAGACCGACGAGAGATGCGAGATGGTAGGTGCAGTGCAAGATAAGCAATACGCACGTTCATGCGTGTCGTGAGGTAAAACAAATGCTGAGCGAGAGTAAGAAGGCAACAAAGGACTGATGGGTCATTCAAACGTTCTCCGTAAACCGAGATGACCTGGATCCATCCGCAGAGGGCAGACTTCTACCAAGAGTGCCCCTTGGTGGGACATCGGGATTGGGAGATTGTGGTGGACTGAGGTAGTGGCGGTCCGCGAAGGGATTGCCGTCATCAGGATGCCGTATGACTGGTGTCCTGGCTGGACTGGGCCGAATGTTCATCTGTCCTGACTCTCGAGTCATTGAGCTGTCGCCGATCTCCTTGCCGAACTCCTTGGAGATACCGGGGCCGCCATAGATACCGTGTTCGTCTTGGTAGAAGGACGAACCAGACATTGTGCCGCCTTGAGAGAACTGGTCTGATGTCATGCCTTCACTAAACGCGGACGGAAGTTTGCGACCTGATACCCTTTGGAAGCTCCGCTCACCACCACTAAGGTTGGTCTCTGCTGTCTTGCCCGACATGGCAGAGAAGCGGTTCAAGAAGGCAACAGGAACCAGAGTACTGCTCGTAGTGGGTGCTTGCCTCATCGACTGGTTGTTGTCGGTGTGATCGTCGCCTGTGAGCTGTAGAGCACCACCCTGCTTTCGCTTGTGACGTCGCAGAAGCAGCAGTATTATGGCAAGGATGAGCGCGGCGCCGGCAAGACTGCCCACTACACTTCCAACCACTTGCGGGGTCTCGAGTGGAGAGGGACTGGTGCTAGCGTCCGCATCTGAGGCGGCTGCTGTGGTGGCAGCAGGGGCAAAGGCCGTTCCAGACGCATCACCACCGGCACCACCATAATATGCTGTTGTTGACGCTGCATCCGAGACAATCGCCGTGCTGCGAGTAACAGAAGAGTCCGCTGATGTCTGAGAAGATGGTGCTCTGCTAGACGAGGACACGGCCTGCAATGCAGATGTAGGTGCAGATGAAGATGAAGATGCGGAACGAGTTGGAACTGCTGCGATGCTTGCAATCAGTTCAGCCGATGTTGACGCGGAGATGCTGTCAAGGGAAGCGAAGGAGGAAGACGGCAGTAAAGAAGCGGTGCCTATGGAATGTCAGATAATGGTGATATCAACAGTGCCGTCCAACTTACTTGATATTGTTGAGTTCAAGATGAAACTTATTGCTGAAAGCGGTGCGGCATCTGGGGCTGCAGATGGAGTCGCAGTGCCTTCGGGACCGCCTGTTGGAATGGGAGATGCGCTCGCGAAGTCGGAGCTGACGGCGGCTTGGGCAACAGGGATACCTGTAGGGTATGGATACGCAGGAACGGTTGGAACAGCGAGATCACTGGGAAAAGGCGGAACCGCTGGAACGGATGGCAGCACAGGAAGCGCGACTGTAGGTACTGCTGGTACACCAGGTAACGGGGCGGAGGGAAGCGGCTGCTGAGCTGCGGGAACTACTGAGGGAGCTGATCCTGTTGGAGCTGCTGCGATGGCTGGGGCAGCTGGGGCAGTGGGTCCATTCGAGGCCTGAGGTGTGACAGGCGCCAAAGTCTCCTGAGCGACCAGGCTTCCGTTGGTGTCAACAGTCGCAACTACTTCGACGGCAACCGCCACTGTCTTGGTGTTCCCTAGCGCAGCGCGGCGGTGAAAGAAGCGATGACCTCTGCTCATGCTGTCTCCGCCTCTCGGACCAAGGATCAAACTCTCCTGATTGGGTTCCTCCTCCTCTTTCTCTTCAGATTCTGGCACACGTTCTTGGTGCGGCGGGACTATTTGCGCTCGGTGGCGGAAGCGCGAATCGACTCTGGATATCCTGGCGGGTGTGGCGACGGCGTCCATAAAGGTCTAAAGACCGGTCCAAGGCTATGTGGACTGTGGTGATGCTTCCAGAGTATCGGTGGCGAATTGGGCGGGTTCACGGAACATGTGTTGTAGAGACGGTAGGTGCAAATGAGCGGACGTAGAGGCTTCAGCCAATGCAGGGGTCCAGTCAATGGATTTGGGGGTGTTGTCGTGGGAGCGAGAGTGAAAGTGTCGAAAAGAATGGACGCCAGGTGACTGACTGAGGGATGGTCTGGACGGGCAACGATCAGCACTCACATGTCACGAGGGGTGAATGGCAGACATGGCGGGACAGAGCAGTGCAGAGCAAGATACGTACCTGAAGGCGATCAATAGTCCAGCATTTGCTTCGCGATGGTCGCGCGTCTGGAGCGGGCGGGCGGGCTGGTTATGGGGAAGCCGGTGGACGCAATTTCTAGCGTCGTGTATCCGAGAGGGTATGCTGTGCGCGGTGCAACGGAGTGGGACCAGATGTGGTGTCGATGTCGCGCGACGGCGGCTCCAAAGGCTGCGGTAGTAGCGGGCGTCGCTATCGTCCTGGGGGTCCCCTTGGCCGGAGTAGCGCTGGGTCCGTGAATTGTCGACGTCGCAGCGGAATCGTCGTGGGAGAGAAGGAGCAGAACGCTACAGCAGAGCGAGACATGCTGAGGAGACGAGAAACCGTTTGGGGTCGGCAGGCCGTTGGCACAGACCTTGTGGGACTGATTGGCCCGCAACCGAGATGATATGTCCAGGAATAGAAGGACCCACCCGTACACGATATGATGACACGCGCTCACCAACACAAATATGTCCAGACATGACGACTGGTGACGACGGCCAATCTCTGCAGTAATCTCTGCCTCGCCCACAATGTCGTCGTGCTTCATTCTTCGGCACTATCAGCTTCGGAGAATTGGCGTACCATGGTAGAGAAGGGTCTGCTAGTCAGCCGTCCCGCTTGCACCTGCAGTGGCGCCACACCAACCATCGACGGACTTTCAGGTACCGCATTCTGGAACGCTGGTATGCAGGTCCGTGGCCCACGCTGAGAAGTCTGTTATTCTTAGTTGCTGCCGTTGTATTGTCGCACCTGCCATTGTCGCACAAGCATCCTCGAGTCGGGCTAGACGCCTTAGGCCCATCGCTTGCTGCAATCTGCCGTCGTACCCTTCTAACCACAGGCGGCCCGTGTCGCTGTGTCTGGCGTATTGCCAAGCCGTCGTAGTGCTATTGTTCCGCTAGGGTGGCCTTCATACTTCACCACCAACATCACGAGCTTCATCTATGCAACGCGCCATCGTTAGCATGTTTACTCCAACCCCCTGACCAATCCGCGTCAGCAAACCACTGCGCATGAACACCATCTACCAAAAGACAAGGGAATCCACGCCTGTCCAATATTTTCATCGGGACCGCGTTGCCTTTCACCATGCTGCTTCACTCATTCATGACTTGCAGCGTCAGCGCGTTTGCGGTGCCTGACTATTCCTTCTCCAGGGTTAAAGGACAATAACAAATCTTAAAGCATGCCTTACTGCCTCAGTCTCAGTGATCAACGGCTATATGCTCGAGTCATGCAGCTTAAGACAGACATTCACATGGCCATCTCTGACACGGGCGCAGCCATGAAACGCGAACACAGGAATTGTTTGCATGCCAAGACACTCGTCGGCGAAGAGCTACAATTCCGTCGCAACCTTTGTCTTCAGATGCTGTTTCAAAGAGACTGTAGGCCTGCCTTCATTAGGTCCCACGCTCTGAATCGCGACTGCCGAATACCCAAACACTGCATCGGTTTGCGCTGGCTTCTTCTCTAGCTAAGATACATCCCATTGATTGCGCAAGGCTGGGTTCAGCTGTTGGAAATTCTATCGCAATGTCTAACCTGTTGTGCATACGTGAAGATGAATACGCCAAGTGGCGAGTGGATACGACATCCGCCGTATCGATACCGCCCTGCGTATTCTATGGACTGTCACGTTTACCCCACATTATTGCCCCTCCAGACTGAACATCCAACCAAGCTGCGCAAGCACTTTTCCAGTTTTCAAGTGATCGCCTGCTGTATATAATCTGTGACTATTCTCATGCGTGTCACCAATCCAGTAACAGGTACAGCTACACCCAACAATGACGTCGCCTCCAAGTCAAACACCTTCGAAACGGCCACCACCTCTTCCTCCACGAGACTCCTCAACCAGTGACGCGCCTCCGCCATACTCCATCATGGGCATTTCTTCGCAAGACCCGCGCTCCTCTTCAACGCAATCGCTCGTGCCAGATCCTGCGCAAGGCGACACAGGGCGACGGCGCCTGATGCTGGTATTCATCCATGGCTTCATGGGCAACGAAACAAGTTTCCGAAGCTTCCCAGCTCACGTGCATAATCTTGTCACTATCACACTCGCAGAATCTCATGTGGTTCATACAAAGATATATCCCAGATACAAGTCGAGAGACTCGCTCGAAATCGCGAGAGACAATTTCTCGAAATGGTTCGATTGTCCTATCTACAAACATGCTCAGGACTGACAGCTGTCAGGCTAGCCCCGCACGAAGATCAATGGACTGACGTTATTCTACTCGGTCATTCCATGGGTGGGTTACTCGCTGCAGACATTGCGTTAGTTTTTCGACATCGTATCATTGGAATCGTGAATTTCGATGTTCCGTTCCTAGGCATGCATCCCGGGATCATCAAGGCCGGACTAGGGAGCATCTTCAGTGCACCACCAAAGCCGCAAGACGCAATCGTGCAAGATGCGGACGTTGGGAAGAAGCCTAGCAGGATGAGTACGATTTTCAACCCCAAGCCAACAGACCCCAACTACAACCCGGCCTTCCCAAATGATGTTCACCTGGCGAACAGGAAAGGTTGGGAGAATAGCCTACACTGGCTTACCAAGCACTACAAGGACGGCTTGAAGGAGGCTACGAAAGGCCTCGTCAAGTCTCATTTCGAGTTTGGCAGCGCAATGGCCGACTACAAAGAATTGAAAGACAGATACGCAAAAGTGCGCGCATTAGAAGAAGATGACGAAAGCAAGAGGAAATCCGGTTATCCTCAAGCCCACATAGTACCTCGTGTACGCTTCGTCAATTACTACACTGCAAGTACTGGGAGACCCAAGAAGCCGAAATCTCCGAAATCATCCTCCCCAAAGTCGCCCTCTCCATCGCGGTCTTCCAGTCAGCAACTACGGCATCCTGATAGCAATATGAGTGCTTCAAGTGAAGCTTCACAACCACCACAGTCACAACCAGAGTATCAGGAGAGGTCTAGAAGTGCATCAGTCACATCATCAGAACCAGAGATGACTCATGTGCATCCCGAACCAATCGCAGATTATCCTGAATTATCCATTCAAGTCCAAGAGCATCGAGAGGATGGGGTTGTACCTGTCAATCCTGAAGAGCCCCTTACAGCCACCAGTCCAGTAGGGTCTCGAGCCTGGGAGGAATCAGCGCATGACAGCGCAGGCCCACCAAACTTACCAGAAATACCACCTATTCCACAAGAGCCACCATTCGTGGATTTGATGCAATTCTCTGACAAGGCCCAGCGCAAAGCTGCAGAGAAGGAGCACGATCAGGCACTGAAGGTGTACCAGAAGGCTGTCAAGGCGCGTAATAAAACGATTAATGAGCGGACCAAGATGGAGGAGAAATGGGCAAAGGAAAGAGCCAAGGAGAGCAAGGAACGGGAGAAGGAAGAGAAAAAGAGACAAGATGAGCAGGAAAAGGCAAGGAAAGAGAAGGAGAAAGAAGACCGGAAGAAGGAAGAGGAGGCAAATAACATGACAAGGGAAGATAGGCAAAGGCAGAAGGAAAGGGAACAGAGACAGGCAGAAGCTGATCAGAGGGAGGAAGAAGCGCGACAGAGGCAAAGAGATGCAGACTTGCGCGATGGAAAGATACCCGCAGAAGACACAGCTAGACATACACCAGCACCAACATCTGCGACGACCGAGTTGGAAGAAGATATTGGTGCTATGGAACTTGGAGATCATGAACCGGCCCAACAAGGCCATCAGGGTCCGTATGGTCGCTACGAATTTTCCCGTAGCGGGATCATGAGCCAGGAATCGCCAGACGACCGTGCGGATTCATCATATACCCTTTCCACAATGGACAGCCAAAACAGCCATCGACAGAAGACTGGCTTGGAAGAAAGCGCGCCCGCCAAACAAAAAAAGCTCAAGAAGTTCTGCATGCTACCACCCAAAGACGCGGATGGAAATAAAGACCCTACCTGGATACGAGTGTTCATGGAGAACATGGACGAGGTGACAGCGCACACCTCACTTTTCTTCATCAACGAGACATATGAAAAGCTTGTTGGAGATGTCGGTGCAAGGATCGAGGAATGGGTCAGAGAAGCGGATAGTGTGCGACTAGTGCGCGAGATGAGCGAGATGGAAGACATGAAGTAAATCTTGATTCAGCGTATAAGATACCCGAATGTTCAAACAAAACTACAGTATGCTATTGCTCCATCTCGATTCCCAATATTATGTACTACTGGTCCATCCCATCTGCGGCGCAATAGACATGACCCTCCCACCCACCACGAGCCCCCAAACGCCCAAGCCCAGTATGCCCGATCCGCCATTCGCCATACCCGCCCACACTCCTCCTGCTGCTGCCCAGCCCAGACTCAATGTACCGAGTAGCGATACCACGAGCTCGCTGCCCCGTATCGCTTCGTTGAACTTGTCGACAAACGGGATCTTGGTTTGATTCTTCTCGTTCCAGAAATTCGCCATGTGTACACGGGAGAGGTATGTAGCTGCGGCATTCGCAGCACCGGCGCCGATGAGTATCTTTGTGGTTGCGAGACTGGGAACGATGAGGAGGGCGGTGGATGTGAGGAAACTAACTAGTAGCTAGAGTTGTACCGTTAGTACACATGGCTTTGGTGTTGGCTCAAGTTGGAATGACATACTGTTACAGTACCGCTGGTCTGCGTTGACCTTGTCTTGTGCAGTCTTTGCGCTGCCGTGTTCGACCATTCTGCCGCCTTTTCGCTCTTCTCTTCGTATTGCTGTAGGCGGGTTATGTTTTGGTACGAGAGGTAGAGGCCGTAGGCGCTGAGGGCTGAGGTGAGTCCAAGCTGGAATATGCTGACGGTGTATATTGAGGGCGAAAACATGGTGGTCTAAGGAGAGAGCGCGCGTATCGCAGCCTGAGACGTCGGATGTGGGTTGTTGTAGATGGATTTGTTGGTGGAAGTTTGGATGAGGGACACTACGTCATCGGTCGTGTTCCACGTTCTAGAACTGGCACATCTGGGTCGCTAGCTCCTACATTCGGACGTGACACCAACACGACGACGTGAGTGCTTTTGCGAGCTGCTCGTGTTATGTATGGAAGAGTCACACCGTGCTTACTTCCTTTCTTGTTCGGTCAAAGGTGCCAATGTCAGAGCATGCACACACCTTGTACGCGTTTTCGTCTTGCACGACAAACATCGAGAAAGTACGATTGCGATGCGTACAGAACATCTACACTTATTAGAGCCTTCAAAGTAGGGGTGCAATACGAGATCCAGAGCCATCAGCCTCCTTCAACATATGATCTGCATGCTAAATGATTACATCGAGTTCTTTTTGTGAATCTGCACGCTACTTGCCCAAACCTTCTATCACTTGCCTCATTGTTCGGTAGCACCACCTACGTAGATAGTTTTTTTTTCTAGTTTCTCTTGAAGGGCTTGTCTTCTGAGTTCCGAGCCGGTACTTCGAAATGGGCATGGGTATCTTATGAATCGCCTATCGTCACGGTTATACCATGTAGTTCCAACAGGTCAATCTTTGATGCGCCCTACGAAGGCGAAGTTTCCAATTCAAGCGTACATCAAGCATAGACACCGTATCTCGCTCAGCAGTTTTCGTCGTTAATCAGATCTCAGTTACACAGTATCGGAGGACACAGGCTTCATAGCATACGATACGCGATTCCTCCATATTATTGGATCCGATGCTACTATTGAGCATGTACAACATCTCGCGAATGAAATTCACGAGGCGCTCTGTTACAACCCTGCTACAGGCGATCTGTTCTTTACAGGATGGGGTCTACTAGGCCGCGACTGGCAGTACCTCCTGAATACGCGTAGGAACACGCTGCACAAGATTCAGACCGATCCGCCTATACACAACGTTCATGGATGTGTCATCTGGAAGGGGCAGCTGTTTGTGGTCATAGATGGGTATGAAAAGGTCGAGACAGGGCAGTTGATCCGGATCAACCCTGACACATAGAAGCGTGAGGCCATCCTCAACGTCCACTATGGTCAACCGTTCCTGGGTCTGAACGACCTCAATATCGGCACTGAAGGCAACTTTTGGCTCACCGACTCGAAATCTGCTTGTGTGAGTTTGTTTGCTCACGCACACTTGAACCGCTTGGCGATCACTTTGGAGTTTTCCTTCTAGTGGTGCTGCTGAGCGTATTTACTGACTCTGGAAGAATCGCAGACTAGTCACATTCGGTTGTCCTAGAAATCCGACCGTACACTTCGTCAATGGAACTACGATGCGTCTAGAGGTAGTACATGTAACCACCGACAACGCTAACAGAATCGCTGTATCGCGTTCAAACATCAAGCATTCCACCCACACAGTGTATCTTCCCGACACTGGCGTCTCTGAGAAGGCGGATAAAAACCTCGGCGATCGCGCGCTATTTGCCTACGATGCCGTCGGAGGCAGCGTCCTCACCAATCCCAGGCTACTGAACAACACAATCTCACATTTTTACGACAGTATAAGGGCAAGCAAGAATGGCTATATATTCGCAGGTGCAAGCGACGGAGTTGACGTTGTTGATCCCGAAGACGGGCTCACATTGGGTACCATTCGTGTTGGTGGTGGCGTTGCGGTCAGCCTGAGCCTTGGAAAGCATGAGATGTGGGTTGTTGGAAAGGGCGGAGTGTGGCATGTTAGCGGTGTAAAGGAGCAACTGGCAAGGATTGGTAAAGTTTGGTGTTGAGAGTTACGATATGTTAGGGCTGGAGTCATTTGTAGCCCCGGCGGCACCGTTCGGCTGCGAATGTCCCGGCATCCTAGCGCTAGTATCAAAGGCCGACCGGACCACGGTGATAAAGAGCATCTTCCCGACCAGTGCTGCTACACTCTGTTGCAAACATGGATTACACATTCATCATCTCTTATGCGGTTTCCAAGCTATCGCCAATTCATGTTTGCTACTAACATTGCAGCGCGGAGATATCTCCTACATCGACAACCCAATCGCCATGTTAGGAGTCTGGCTACACACATACCGCGGGTACCAATCAGTCTTCTGGATGTAGACACAACACTCGACTACGACCGGCAGGTTTTGCAGCTCAAATCTATCAGGCATGGCTCGCGGCGCCCATTAACCTTGACGGAGAAGGTGCTTTACAGCCACTTATATACTTCAACTGAGCACCACTGGTCTTTAGACAATATCCGGCGTGGAGAGACGCTCTTGCATCTCCGACCTGATAGAGTCGCATGTCATGATGCGACGGCGACGATGGCATTGCTGCAGTTCATCAGCGCAGGCCTTCCGAAAGTACAAATCCCCACCACGGTACACAGCGACCACCTCATCGTATCGCGCGACGGTGCCATAGACGACCTAATCCGTGGAAGAAAAGAACATCACGAGGTCTACTCTTTCTTGAGTAGTGCATCAAAGAAATACGGTATCGGCTGGTGGAAACCGGGGGCAGGCATCATCCACACAACCATCTTTGAGAACTATGCGTTTCCAGGTGGGTTGATCATCGGAACAGACTCGCACACGCCTAATGCCGGCGGCATGGGTATGCTGGGTATCGGAGTTGGAGGCTCTGATGCAGTTGATGCGATGGCTGGTATGCCTTGGGAGCTCATGTGCCCACAGGTCGTAGGCGTGCGACTTACAGGCCGTCTACATGGATGGGCCTCAACTAAGGACATCATCTGCAAACTCGCTGGGATACTCTCAGTCTCTGGCGGGAAAGGCAAAGTTCTCGAGTTCCTCGGCCCAGGTACTGAGACATTAGGCGCAACAGCTATGGCGACAGTCTGCAATATGTCAGCCGAGATCGGATCAACTTCCTGCATCTTCCCCTACTCCGAGGCTATGCACCGATATCTTTCGGCAACAAAGCGTGCGGATATTGCGCATCTCGCAAACGGCTACAAAGATGTTCTGCTGACAGCAGATGAGGGGGCAGAGAAGCATTACGACACCGTCATCGAGATTGACCTAGACTCCTTGGAGCCACATGTCAATGGCCCCTTCACGCCGGATCTTTCGCATCCTCTTTCACATCTGAAGGACACTGTAGCAGAAAATGACTGGCCCGTCGAAGTTAGTCACGCTATGGTAGGCAGCTGTACTAACAGCTCATACGAAGATCTCTACAAGACATCACAGCTTGTCGATCAAGCCAAGGCTGCTGGTTTGCCGCATGTGAAAACGCCATTCCTGGTCTCACCGGGTAGCGAAGATATACGTGCAACTGCAGAGTCGGAGGGCATCCTACAGAAATTACGCGATGCCGGTGCTGTTGTGCTGAGCAGTACCTGTGGCCCGTGCGTGGGTCAATGGCAGCGTACCGATGTCGATGTCAAGGGTCGCGAGCGGAACACAGTAGTGTCCAGTTTCAATCGCAATTTTGTCGGTCGACACGACGGGAACCCAGAGACTTGTTCATTCGTGACGTCTCCAGAAATGGTGACCGCCTTTGCCTACTCTGGAAGATTAGACTTCAACCCTATTATCGATTCTCTTCCAATCGCAGGGTCCGCAGAAAGGTTCCAGTTTACGGCGCCAACAGATGTCGAACTACCTGTGCAGTTTGCCGTCGGCGAGGACTTTTACCAGGCTCCAATCCATAACGCCGATGATGTCGTCGTCGACATTGACCCACAATCCGAGCGCCTGCAATTGCTCGAACCGTTCAGACCCTGGTCTCCAGGCTCTACGAAAGACATGCCAGTTCTCGTCAAAGTCAAGGGAAAGTGCACGACCGATCATATATCTCCTGCAGGACCCTGGTACAAGTACCGTGGCCATCTTGAGAACATCAGCCACAACATGCTTCTTGCAGCTTCGAACGCCTTTCTCTCGTCCGACTCTCGGTTGCTCGGCCACACCATCCACCCACTGACCAACAAGACCGGTCTTATTCATGAGGTCGCCCGAGACCTACGTGATCAAGAAGTGAGATGGTGTATTGTTGCCGATTGGAACTACGGAGAAGGATCATCGCGCGAACACGCAGCCCTAGAGCCACGTTTCCTCGGCGGTGTCGCAGTAATAGCACGCTCTTTTGCAAGGATACACGAGACGAACCTCAAGAAGCAAGGCATGCTTCCTTTGACATTTGCGAATCCTCAAGATTACGACCGTATTCAGTTGGGCGATCGCATTACGCTACAGGGTGTTGAAGACGGCGAGCTACGGCCGGGAAGGCAGGCTAGCATGCGCGTAGAATGCGCGCATGCAGGAGAGTGGGTCGCGCCGCTCAACCATAGTTATAGCCACGGGCAATTGAGGTGGTTGAGAGCGGGGAGTGCGCTGAATCACATCAAGCAGGCGGTGTTGGAGGGGTGATTACTCAATTTAGATTCTGCAGGAGTGTTTTGGTGAGGTAGAATTCGACGAGTCACAGACCGCCTTGGAATAGCGACAAACCTAAAAGTATCCACTGCAATGGCGACATAAGCGATACTAGCCAGTGTTGTATATCATTACCTCGGTGGTTTTGGCTGGACCGCTCGGTCTAGAGAGGTTATATAATGTAAGGACGCCACGGAACCCCGCGCTTGATTATCTAGATTCTGATTGGCGGAAGTCCCACGCTGATCTACCAACGCACGCCGACGCGTTCCTGGGGCCCTAAAGCCGTTTCCCGTAGACCGTGGCCAGCTAGTTTGAGGCACCTGTTGACTGTACGTGATTCCAACAACTCGTGTCGAGCTTCAGCAGACCTACACAATGGCTCAAAGAGTGCTCCTTCGTACAGGCCGGGGCCTGACGCTCACACCTCGCTCCCTGCAGATCACCCGCTCCTTCAGTACTGTTCTCGATGCCCCTGTCGACCCAGGAACTCAACAATTACGCTCGCCGACACGGGCAGGCTCCGTCTTCGAGAGTGCACTCAATGCAAGTGCTCCCAGGACCAACTGGACAAAGGAGGAGATTTCAGAAGTTTACAATACTTCGTTGATAGACCTTACACATGCATCGGTATGTCAAGTAACTCTATCATAATCCGGAGGGTCAATGTCTTATCAATCTTGCTATAGGCTTCGGTGCACCGGCGCTTCCATGACCCCGCAGCCATTCAGATGTGCACACTATTCAACATCAAAACAGGAGGTTGCAGTGAGGATTGCTCCTATTGTGCGCAGTCATCGCGTTACGACACCGGTCTGAAAGCCACAAAACTCTCCTCTGTAGACTCAGTTCTGGAAGCTGCACGAATCGCCAAAGAGAATGGAAGCTCAAGGTTCTGCATGGGAGCTGCCTGGAGAGACATGCGAGGCCGCAAGACCAATCTCAAGAACATCAAGGAAATGATCAAGGGTGTGCGTGGCATGGGTATGGAGGCATGTGTTACCTTGGGCATGGTCGATGCTGCGCAAGCAAAGGAACTCAAAGACGCTGGGCTGACCGCATACAACCATAATCTTGACACTAGTCGAGAGCACTACCCCAGTGTAATCACGACTCGCACGTACGATGAGCGACTCAACACCATCAAGAACGTTCAGGAAGCTGGCATCCATGTGTGCACAGGTGGCATCCTTGGTTTAGGAGAGAAGGCTCGTGACCACGTCGGTCTCATTCACACCGTTGCGACACTCCCGGCTCACCCGGAATCCTTCCCAGTCAATGCTCTAGTTCCAATCAAAGGTACTCCACTTGGGGAGACACAAGCCATCTCCTTCGACGCTATCCTGCGAACAATTGCTACTGCGCGACTAGTCATGCCGACCACCATCATCAGACTGGCAGCTGGCCGCCACACGATGCGCGAGGAGAAGCAGATCATGTGTTTCCAAGCGGGTGCCAACGCTGTCTTCACAGGCGAGAAGATGCTGACTACTGCTTGCAATGGTTGGGAAGAAGACAAGGCCATGTTTGGTAGATGGGGATTGAGGCCTATGAAGATGGATGAGACGATCGGGGAGAGGCGCAAGCTTCCTGGACAGGATGAAGCTGAGGCAGTCGTTGCCGCCGCCGAAGCTGAGGCAACAGCTCAGGCGCTTGCTTGAGAACTATGATAGTCTATATGGCATAGCCACTACAAAATGATAACGAAGTAAAACCGTTCATGCATCCACCTAGAGCTAAAGTTTGGCTCTCGCAACTGGTTCCTGTATATCGCCTTGTAGCATCTCAGTTGTTTGGCTCTCGCACCATGTTCCAAGCAATCCAACAAGCCTTTCAACATCCGCAGATGTATTACCGGCATGTAAGCAGATTCTGACCCTAGCAGTACCCACTGGCACTGTCGGTGGTACGACAGCTCTAACCATCATACCGTGGCTTTGCAAAAAGCTCGCCAATACCTTTGGTTTTGCTAGCTGGACTGCGAATATGGGCGATCTCGGGCATGCACTTGGACTCGTTAGGACTCGATGAGCCATGTCCGAGTGTTTTTGAAGACGGCCGAGACAGTTGTAGAGATGTTGCGTAAGGTGTTGTAGATGAGCTTGTAGCTGCACACTCTGCCCGGATTGAAGTAGCCGGTAAGAGGAGCGGATAAGGGCCAATGAGGGGTAAGATAGGAACGTTGTATAGATGAGTGGGCGTGCGTAGTTGATAAGGTAATGACGCAAGGTATCCGAGCCTAGAATGATCGCTATATGAGAGCTCAGTATCAGTGCTATACTTGGAAATAGCAAGAGACGCTTACCTCCATTGGCCGCCAAGGCTTTTCCAAAGGTGTGTAGTCGTGCAAATACGCGTTTTTCAAGTCCTAGCTCGCATACCAACCCTCTACCTTCTGGTCCCAGTACACCTGTAGAATGCGCCTCATCCATAATGATGTACCCTCTTTCGTGGCCTAAGACTTCTTCGACCACCTTGACCATCTCCTCCAAAGGACACACGTCTCCGTCCATGCTGTAGATGGACTCCAATGCCACGAAAACATTGCATTTCCCCTCACGTCCACCATCTTCATCATCCAGAAGTTGTAACAGAGTCTGCTTCAAGGCAGATACAGAGTTATGTTCGAAGGCAATTGTCTTGTCTGCCCGTGATAACCTCATGCCGTCATGCACACTTGCATGCACAAGCTCATCATAAACTACCACATCTCCCGGCTGCGGCACGCTCGCAAAAAAGCCAGCGTTTGCGTCGAATCCACTGTTGAAAAGAAGTCCTGTCTCAGCCCCATGGAAGCATGCAATCTCCTGCTCTAGTTGTTCAGCATATATCGAGTTGCCATCCAGGAGTCTTGACCCGCCGCTACCTAGTGGTAGATTAGTTCTTTCTAGCTCTTCGAGATATGCCGATTTAAGCTTTGGCGAAGTAGAGAGCGAAAGGAAGTCGTTAGAGGAGAAGTCGGTCTGATGGAGAACAGGTAAGGTCAGGCTACGAAGTGTTGAGTTTGTGCGTCGACGATCGAGTAGTTCTCGTAACTTGCTTTGCAACAGGTTTTGATTCGTCTTGTCTCCCATGTCTTTCTGTATAATGTGATGATAGTGAGTTCGTCCAGCGATAACGTGACTATCCGTGATGGCGTGGAGTTAACCAGGTGGCTGGAGTAGTAGGATCACCGGAAAGCGGGAAGGAAGCGTGGGGTCTGCCGCGGCTTTCCGCGTCGTTGAGACCTAGCAAAAGTAAAAACCTACTCATTAGCTAAAAGACTGCATAAGCCAACCCCTCAGCGCCGTCGGACGTGTGGTCATGCGGTTATTGACTCATTACATTTGTACCTGCATGCTTAGCCTCGGCGTAGTCGCGTCGCGCTAGGTAGCGCCTTCCCCACATTGGCCGACTGTAATCAGATCTACCATTGCCTACTCCTCAACTCACCATTAACTGGACGTAACAAAAACATGGCGAGGGTGCCAGGAGGATTATGGAAGAACACTGTTGCTGTGCAAGTTTACGGTGCTAACACAGGGGTTGGTAAGACAGTATTTTCGACGCTCCTAGGTGCCCGCTTAAGCAGATATGGCGGGAGGATAAAAGTACAATACATAAAGCCCGTATCCACTGGTCCAGCTGATGAAGCAGATGACAGGTCAGTATATCTGTTGAAAATCTCGATAGACGCCCTACAATAATGGCTAACCGCATGCTAGCTATGTGCACAAGTACAGCGGCCAACGTGTTTCTACACTCTTCAAGTTCGATAAAGCTGTAAGTCCGCATGTTGCGGCAAGAGGATCGGACCTCGTTGTGAGTTTTGCCCCAGTAGTTGTATTTCTACGATCAGTGATTGACTGCCCAAGCCTAGCGATGAGCTCATCAGCCAAACCGTTTTCAAGACGGTTCAACGAGAAGCCAATGCATTAGAGCGAGGATTCAGAGGCTTCTCGATCATCGAGACGGCTGGCGGAGTCCTCAGTCCAGGACCTTCGGGTACACCGCAGGCGGACATTTTCCGACCGTTACGGCTTCCCTCGGTGCTCGTGGGCGACCATCGATTGGGTGGTATCTCCTCAACCATATCAGCCGCAGAATCCTTGATCATACGAGGATATGATATCGATGCTGTCATATGTTTTGATGACCGGAGTGGGTACGAGAACGCACAGTACTTGAACAAGCACTTCAGGGATATGGGAATATCGGCCTTTACCTTACCCTGGATTCCAAATCTTCAGGGTGTTGGAGCAGGAACAAAGGAAGAGACGGAAATCATGCAAAATTACTACTCGTCACAAAGCGAAGGAAAGACAATAAGCAACGTTGCTGACTGGCTAATGGACCGCCATCGAACGCGAATCTCCACTATGGGAACTATGCCGTACCGAACAGAGAGTAGTATTTGGCATCCCTTCACACAGCACAAGCATCTAAAGAGTGCGGAAGATGTTTTGGTATTCGATTCTGCGTATGGGGATTATTTCCAGGTCAAGCACAAGGGTAATGAAGAGGAGCCACACATCGAGAATCAAATCCTGTATCCAGCATTTGACGGCTCCGCGTCATGGTGGACGCAAGGTCTTGGACACGGAAATCCTCGGTTGGCGCTAGAAGCAGCATATGCAGCAGGACGGTATGGTCATGTCATGTTCGCCGGCGCCACACATGAACCAGCTCTTACTCTAGCGGAGAAGATCCTTTCAGGTTCAGGAAGAGGGACCCGTCTGAGAAAAGTGTTTTACACGGATAACGGCAGTACAGCAACAGAAGTTGGTATCAAAATGGCGCTTCGTGCGTCCAGCAAGCGCTATGGTTGGGATAGCGCAAAAGAGTCCATAGGTGTTCTCGGTCTCAAAGGCAGCTACCACGGAGACACAATTGGTGCGATGGATGCTTCTGAACCATGCGTCTTCAACGAGAAAGTCGATTGGTACCGTGGTCGCGGCTTTTGGTTTGATTACCCGACTTTCAAGCTCAAGAATGGCCAATGGCTAGTCGAGCCACCCGAGGGTATGCAAGAAGAGCTAGGTCCGGCGCAGACTTTCGAGAACCAAGACGACATATTTGATTTTGCCACCAGAGGCAGATCGGCACAATACGAGGCCTACATAGAAAAAACGCTGAACGAGCTGGTGAAAAAGCAGGGCAAGAAATTCGGTGCATTGGTGTTGGAGCCCGTCGTTCTTGGGGCTGGGGGTATGCTCTTCGTAGATCCGCTTTTCCAGCAGAGCCTGGTGCGCGTCGTCCGTCGTTACGACTTTGCCGGCGGCTCCAAGACCACAGATCCTCAGACTGAAGATAAGGATGCTTGGTCTGGTCTTCCCGTCATGTTTGACGAGGTGTTCACAGGTTTATACCGCTTGGGCCGCTTCTCTGCCGCCTCATTCCTTGACGTCCATCCTGACATCAGTGTGAATGCCAAGTTGCTCACAGGAGGTCTACTTCCACTTTCCATCACATCCGCGAGCCAATCTATCTTCGAAGCTTTCTGGGGCGACGAGAAGTCGGAAGCTCTCCTCCATGGACATAGCTACACCGCTCATGCGGTGGGATGCCATGTCGCAAACACGAGTCTGGACATCATGAAGAAGCTAAACTTTGGCGAGGAGCAGAACTTGGAGTCGGGCGGATCCAGTCTTCCATGTCCACCCAGGAAGACTATCAAGATGGGAAGCCGTAGCAGCCATGTGTGGAGTATGTGGTCCGAGTCTTTTGTGGAAAGCGTATCAAATCATGAAAAGGTCGAGTATGTGAACGCCCTGGGCTCTGTTCTGGCCGTATCACTTGTTGACAAAGGCGGCTCTGGTATGTCAAACCAATCTCTTTCATGCTTCTTATCTAACGCTACCTAGGTTACACTTCCTCGGCAGCGGTTGGCCTTCGCGATGCTTTACTTCACGATGTCTCTGAATCGCAGGTACAGATTCATTCACGCATCCTGGGTAATGTCATCTATCTCATGGCGAGCATGACTGCGACACGGGCTCAACTCGACCCGATTGAGGCAGCGTTCAAGGAGAAACTGAATCTTGTTACGAAGTTGTAAAGGGATATTACGAGTAGTAACTTGCATCGCCGACATTCGAAATCGTATAGAGATCTCTAACGCAAGGCTTCACGTTATCACTCCTATGATTAGCAGAAGTCCTAGAATAGATTAAACCACAATACGATACGTTGACGGGTACAAGGACAATGAACGTGTCTCGAACGATATACTAGATTGCAAGCCTTGCGTAGCACCTCGGGCATACAGATGTAGCCCTTTCAGAGATGGCTAAGCCACCTTCAAGGAATGCATTCAAAGACAGGTGGTTCGGCAGGCTGTCGATAAAACACATTGGAGGTCTCGTTCGGGTCAAGTTAGGTAATCCAACATCCACAAAGTCTTTGCTTTTCTCCAGCCACATGGCCGGCGGGTATTGAGAGTGACTTTTCGCCACGCGTGGGTATTCAGAGCGATATGCGAGGAGCAGGGACGTGGTGAGTCTGATTCCAGAGCGCCGACGACTGTCCCAGAAGTTCTAGATTGCCCAGGTGGGGGATGAGTTATAGGCCAGAGGATTTTAAAATACCGTTATGACGGCTGCTAAGGTCAAAAACGAACAACATCTCCGTTTGACGCTAGAATATCCACGCATATTGCCGAAAACGCTGGTATTGATCCCGTGTAAATAGATGATGGGCGCCCCTGCAGCGGGCGCACCTCGGATCACCGCAAGCAGGGAATTAGGACCAGACCCTTGATCACAGGATTCAAATCCAGTTAGTCGGAAGCAAGCCTCGGATGACATCGATACTCTTGAAGTAGTAGAAGCAAATCCGATAATAAGAACAGTTTGCGAAATACCAGCCACCGCACGCCGATGTAGCCTCAAGTGCTACGAAATAGGAACCGCCACAAACATATCTATGGCATTCGACCTCTTGACAAGAGGCATCCTTGAATAGGTTAATAGGCCAAATATGGGAAGCCAACCCACGTTATTGCGCATGGGATGTAGCCGCTGCCCAGATGCACACACCGAGGCAGCGGCTCTGAGGCGTGGTGGGGTGTTGCACGTCCCGTGGCTTAGCAACGCGGCTTCGGCCGTTCAGAAAATTCCACTTTAGTGTCAAACCCCTGCTTGGTACAAGTCAGCTCTGCCTTCCTGATCCCCAGACCCCAGATCGCGTGGAACAATCGGAATGAGCGACAAAGCTTTGCCAGCTTACTATGATGGCATGCGCATACTTCGAAAGGCCCTTATCTCGAGTGCCGGGCGACTACAGAGTCGTTCCCCCACAACGAACTTGAGGAGAACACGCCTTGCTACCTGAAGCTACTGTGTAAAGCCACCGAAAAGCCTCTACTGACAGATTGAATTGCACTAATCTGCTGCTCAAACAGCAAATGGATTTCAGACAGTGTAGAAATAATGGAATCATTCAGTCTTCACTATCCCTAGGTGAACCATCAGCCTGTTCACTGTATCATAGGTTATCTCATAGCCTTACCTCATCCTTGTCGATCTCGGAGCAGACGTAGCCTAGCACCCTCGGTGTTGTAGTACCTACAGGGCCTGCACTGAATACGTGCCAAGCTCAGACGGTCGTTATGGTTGGGCCGCAGGTCACATACGACAAGGAATAAGCCATGGGATCCCCCAAACATGATACGCACTCGATAATTGCGCCAAATCAGAGGACCGGATCGGAAACTCTGCATCGCATGATAGAAGCTATATCTCACCCGTCCGCATTATGCAATACGAACCACCCGTTGAGCATCAAGCGGCTATCTACGTCTTGTTTGCACTGACAGTGCTTCCGGACGACAGGCACGATGTACCACAACTACTCGAAAAGTATGATGGTTGGATTAGCCATAGCCTTTATGGTACTGCCCCTCGTCTTTGTTTGTTTGCGTTTGTGGGCAAAGAGGATCGCCAAGCGCGTTGGATGGGATGATTTTCTAACAATCGCTGCTTTGGTAAGAGATCTTTGGGCGGTTCAAAGTGTTGCAGGAACAACTAACCAGCTGCGACAGGCCGTATCAATCACTTGTTGCTCCTTACAACTAGCCAGTGAGTGTCTCGATTAGACTGTAAGAAGATTACTCACGCGAATTTTCAGCGGCAATACATGGTTACTTGGGCTCTCACCAACCGCTGGACGAGAATGGCCAGCCCATCATGGACGATCCAGGACTCATATTCTTCGAACAAGTGAGTAGATTGAACTGGGAAACATAGTGCAACTACTTACGTTTCTAGACAAAGTTCGCTCTGAACATGATCTCCATCATTGGATTGGGTCTTGTCAAGTCTTCTATCTTGATATTATACAAGAACATCTTCGATGTACGAAAGTTTCGCATTGTGGTCTATTGCGTGCTTGCGTATGTCATATGCTGGACCGTCAGCTTCACGTTCTCGCACTTGTTCACTTGTTACCCAATCACAGTGTTCATCGAGCCGTATTATGGCAACAGCTGCGTCGAGACTGTACCAATGTTTTTGGCCCTACTGGTATGTTGTGGCCTCATACCTTGTCCCGCGACTTCAGACACGGCTAATTCTTTTGCTAGTACACGGGTGTTTTCGCAGACATTGTCATACTTATCCTTCCTATTCCGATGGTTTTGAGCGTTAGGATGGAAACTAAGAAGAAGCTAGCTGTAATCGTGATGCTTTCGTTAGGAGCTGCGTAAGATGCCTTCAGCCATAACTCATCGTATCCATGGAACTAATGAGCAAAGCGTATGCGCCGTAAGCATTACACGAGTCGTCGCGACGTACTCCATCGCCGGCGAATACCTTAAGCACCCTGACGATGTCATCTACTATACAGCACCAGTATTCTTTTGGACGAATATCGAGCTGTCTCTAGGCGTAGTGTGTGCGTGTCTTCCCACATTGCGCCCTATTTGGTTCTACTTCTACCCTAGAGAAGCAACACAAACTAGCTCAGGCTACGGTTACGGATATGGATCATCAGGCCATGGCTTTGGGTCATCTGCGCTGGACGGGACGACGAAAAGCAGTACATTTGCTAGCAAGTTGGTGCGCAAGCCATACCAGGAGATTGACGAAGTTGGTAAGTATTGTCTCAGCATGGCTATGCATGAAGAACCACTAATGCTGTATAGAGCTGACAACTCGATTTGAGCATGCTCCTTCTACACCTCCGGAGGATGCCTTAACGTTGAACAAACGCGGTATTACGAAAGAGGTTACGATTCATCAGACCCTCGAATGATTAATTCCCCACGCGGGACGTCTACCTAGTCGCAAACGAAGAGCACCAGTCTTAGTATGTCGAAGCTCGAGTCCTATAACAATCCGCTGCGTCTACGTCTCGGGACAATTTCTTCTATGTAGCCTCCGAGGCTACTCAACATAATTTGGGCGCTCCTAGTGATTGGAGAGGTTTCTTCCTAGCAAAATAAGTTCCCTGGTATACCATCCATGCAACTGCCAAGTGCCAAGTCCTTCGGGGAAATATATCTTGCATGCCACCGACAGCACGTTTCTGGAACCCTGCTTCTGCGGCGATGTCACCTTCCGAATCTTTCGATACCGGCCGTAAGCTGAATCCAGCCTACGTACAAGCGGTGATATATTCGAAGGGTCATAATCAAAGCCATGCGCTCAAGATGACTAGTTGATAAAGTCTCTTGGAAAACGTGCGTCGAGAAATGTGGTTGTGCACTTTGGAGTAACGTACCAGCTATGGAGCCAGATGGGGCCCGGCTCGCATGGGGCCGCCGGAGGACGTATAACCGAATGTGGATACGCCCGCGGTAATCGAGTTGACTGTGAACAAGCACGGCAGATCGTCCACACTCAAGATGACCGTCTCGGTAATCACACCAGGATTAGTTAGAGTATAACATGCAGGGACTATGGGGTACAAGGCGATTTGGCGACTAGATTCTCGTACTGAGACGGTAAATTCCTAACCTTACCTAACGATATGTGGTCCCGACCTTCCATGTCACCATGCAGGTAGCCGAGAAAGTTCAATGTCGATTAAAGAGCACGTTGGGTCATCAGCCATCCATTCGGTACTGCTAACATGAAAGTCTTGTCACTCTTGGTTTCTTTTGCAGCGGCGGTTTCTGCGTTTGCTGTAAGGCAGGCCGACGTCGCAAGGGATCTGAAGACATTGGTATCGTCACCATCTTCAGTCAATGTCGAACCTCGAGCACGATGGAGTGACTACAACGCGCCCTTGCCAGCGGTTGTCGTCAGTGTGCAAGCTGAAAAAGATATAGCGACAATAGTAGGTCCAGCCACGCACATAGTGCTGGTACAACGAATTAGGAGGGCTAACTCGAGCAAAAGATTAAATACTGTACAAAGATTGGGATACCGTTCCTTGCGCAAAATGGCGGTATTGGATGGGGAAAGACGTTCAGTTTGGGGAAATGGGGCGTTCTGATTGACCTATCCAATCTCAACAAAGTCACTGTCGCTGCAGACAAGAAGACCGCCACTATTGGTGGCGGTGCAAGCATCGGAGACACTATCGCAGCAGCGAATGCAGCAGGCGCATTGATCATCACTGGCAATTGCAATTGTGTTGGCGCTCTGGGAGCTATGCTCGGCGGCGGCTATGGTGTGTACTAGCTGTATCTTGCGAGTCGTAGCACTAACTTACAGCAGGCAATCTCATGGGTGAGGTCGGTTTCGGGGTCGACAACATTATCTCTATGCGTGTGATTATCGCATCAGGTGAGATACTCACTGTATCAGCTATGTCTCATCCGGAACTGTTCTGGGCACTACGGGGCGCAGGTCCCAACTTCGGAATCGTGGTTTCAGCAACCGTCAAGGCAATGCCCGCTACCGAAGAAGATCGCACCGCATTCATCAATAACCTCTTCTTCTCACCCGACAAGCTCGAGCGGGTTGCGCAAGCGGTGGAAGACCTTCCCCTCACGCCACAACAGCGAGTTTACCTTGTCCTAACTTCTAGTGGCGAGCCACTCAACGAGCCCTCCATCCTCGTCACTGGTCTTCTTCGTAAAGGAACGAATGAGACAGGTCGTGCAGCCTTCGCCCCTTTCTACGATATCGGCCCCATATCCGAATCCAGCGCAATCACCACATATGATCACTGGAATGATGCCAATATCGGCTTTTGCACTCGCGGTGGTCGCAAGCCGTCGTACAGCTCAACTATCACGGGAATGAGCGCACAAAAGTGGCCTGAGATCTGGGAGCTCTACAAGGGTTTCCAGGCGAAAGGTCCGAACTCTGCCGTGCTCGTTGAGCGCTACAATTTGACCAAGGCCATGTCGATACCTATTGGCTCGGCAGCCATGAATGAAGCGTTTAGGAGGGATGCCTTCTCTCAGGCAATCGTTATACCGTGGTATGATGACGCCAGTCTAGATGCTGAGGCTTTAGAATTTGGAAGTAAGGTCAGGGCGCTGTGGACGAGAGGTAACAATCCGAAGAATGACCCTACGTAAGTCTTCACTGTCGCGATGACAATGCACTCGTATTAACAAGGTCCACAGCTATGCCAACTTTGCATTCGGCGACGAGACGAACACCGCCGTATACGGATCCAGCCTCGCGAAACTGAAGACGCTCAAGAAGAAATACGACCCGAAAAGGGTGTTTACTCAATGGTTTCCGATTCAACCATAGGCGAACAATTTCTATACATCGGTACTGAATAATAGTAATACAATAGAGGACTACCACCTTACCGAACTATGGCTACACGCTATTGATCTTCTAACATACCCATTCAATCATAATCCCCTGAACGCGACCTCTTTCACCCACCGCAAGTTCCACTCCCCATTATATGACTCTATCAACCTAGTCGTCGCACTCGAATTCCAATCCTCATGCCCGGTATCCACCGAGTATGTTGCAATAATCCTGCGTGTAGTGCGACCCCTTGACCACGCTTCTGTCTCTCTTCTGTCTATGGCATATTTTGCCTTAGTCCAAGTGTTAAACACTCCGATTGTGTTGTCGACCTGGGAGTGTTCTGGGTGCATTCGTAGAGGTCAGGCGGAAGAAATGGTATGCATGAGGACATATGAGGTCACCGATAGGCAAGGGGATTGGGAGGGCATGAACGGTTATTGGGGTGAAGAGATTAGACATGTGTGCCATGCGTAAGTTTTTTCAAGTGTGCTTCACTTCTTATTGTGAAGATCATTGCTCCGAATAATCACAGGTCGATTGTCGGACAACTGTTGAAGTCACGGGGTGTCCTTACGGGATCTATGGTTATGGACCCTTAGGTTGGACACCTATCTTAGCTTGTGGCGTTTATTGCAACGGGCATGCAGAAAGAGCGCCCTTCGCTGCCATACAAGCTTCTTCGTAACATATTGCTGCCCCTGTCTTTGAAAAAAATTAAGTGAGGATCATAAGACAATGCGAAGTTACGAATGTTCCAGTCTTGTCTTACGAGCTCATACTGCAGTCTCTTAACGCCAGATTTCCTTCAATCTTCCAGCATACTATCCATTCAGGACTTACCCATTGACCAGGGTAACACCTTGCTATCTCAACCCAGAACACCTTCTCGCATGGTACCCCAGTTTTCGTCTCCTTCCCAGTAAAAATGTTGAACTCGAAAAGCGGCTCATCATGGCTTGTCGGTCCCCAATTTACTAACCGATGAATGCCCAGCCTCAGCGGAGTCATCTCAGCTTGGGGTTCTTGCTCGCGCATGAAGTCCCAGGTTTGGAACAGTCGAAATGGGAGGATGTTAGCGGATGTAACGCTGTATGCCCAGACGCCATGGGGAGGTGTCAGAAAAAAGAAAGGGAGCGGAAGAGATGGGGCGAATTAGATTCATCAAAATGAAAGCTTTGGCTATGGGAGTGGCAGATTCTGTGTGCATTCTGATTGCCAAGGGATGCAAGGCTTGGCTGGGGAGAGGCAGAAGCTAGTAGATGAACCATCTGGGCAGACTTATGCCGATTAGATGTTCCGTCAAAGTTTGCTAGGCAGTCTACGAGGCGTATACTAACATGTATCTCATTAACCATAAGTTGCTATATTGGCAGCATAGTTCGTTTACCAAAACTGATTTCCTGGTAGGATCATGGCCATGCCTTCAGCGGATGATCCATTCAACCTCATCTTGATAAAACTCACTCATCCCCCGAATACGCCTGTTCCAACAACCTGGGTTGGTAACGCGCTCTACCTCTGCCCCTGCCCTGGCGACAACACAACCTTAGCTCCCCTTGATTTACGTGCTGCGATGAACAACCCGTATGACAGCATGTAGCCAACTAGCCATTGGCAAATCCAAAAAAAGGATACCAAGAGCGTTGGATCCCAGTGGGCGTTTGGCGGACCGGCTATTGGATATAGTTTTAGCGGTCGTTTCAAAGAGGGCGATGTGGGTAGGCACGAAATTCGGTTGTTTTGGAGAGGGAGAATTAGAATTATCGAGAGATCGGATGATGATTGAGATGCAGTGCAGGTGGATTTTTCGAGTTTCGATTGAGGCATTCGGCGGGCCTTCAGTCAGAGTCTTTGGGTAGTAATTGCACGGCAAACATCTGCTCCCCAAAGGCGTTCTGAAACACGGGTATCCGCTTCTTCGTCATCCAGACTGTTATCACAGGGATCACCCTCTTCTGCATAGTGTTTTTTCCGGTCGTTGGTCCTTGTGCATCATGCCCGTCGAAGTCCGTAGACTCAAAAGCCTCCTCCTCGTTCTCCTGGGTATTCTGGGTTTTCTCGGTGTCTGTGTTGCTCTTTTCCATTGGTCTTGATGTCTTCATTTCTCGGTCAACCTCCACGCTCGTAAGCATAGTATACATCCACCACGCTTCCTCCTTCGCATTTCTGCCATGCTCGGTCCCACTCGGCGCTACAATCCGTCGGACCATGTCCACGATGCCTACTAGTTTGGTTGTGCCCTCGCCTTGCGCTGAGATAGCTATGATCAGATCATCCTCTTTTAGTGCATCCGGCATCTCGATCGTAGAGGCAAGGTCTCTGTAGGCACCCAGGTATGTCTTCAGCCTGTTGATCCCGGACTTGACGTTCTGGTTCTTCGAGAAGACGACTGGTACGATATTCTGCGTAGCCCGCATACGCTTTTGTGTCTCGAGGAGCTTGCGCAGTTCGGTGGGTAATCGTGTCCATGGTTCGTAGAGTGATGGGTGGATTGTAGGTGGAGATGGTGGTTGCGACGGTTTCTTCGTAGCTGTGCCATTGATTTTATCTTGCGCTTTTCGCTTCTTGCCTGACCCCTTGGCCTCGTTGGCTTTCGATGCGTCATCTGGTGCCCCAATGATCGGTAGTGTAGGTCCCTCGCTTGAGTATGGCGGAGTTGCAGTCACCATAATAGTATCGGCGTCCTTCTCGGCCGATGATGCAAACACCTCACTCATGCGCTTTGGCTTCCCCATCATGGAAGATCAATAACATGCAATAGTCGAAAAAAGTGCGTGACTGTCAGCGTTGCAGTTCACGTTCGAGAGCGATGACGAAAGTTGAGACGCGCCGAAAATCTAGGACGCGCCGCCGGAGATACCACATTGCGCTAATCTATCGCCGAATTGTCCCATCACTCTCAATTACCCGAACTTCCATCACACAGTGCATACATTGATCTCCACTACCACGACTTTGCCTCGGAAGTCATAGAGGTCAATGGTTTGTATCATAATCAGCACATCATGAGCGACAAAGTCGTTGAAAGTTTGGGTCGCTTGAATCTCGCCACACAAGGCGATCGTCAAATCGGCACAGTGTACGTTGGTTATGTGGTGCTATACGAATATCAATCTAACCATCGGAAAGTAATCAAAATACCCGTTATACGCCTCCATTTTTGTGTCTGCCAGCCGAGCTTCGGGTTATGATATACGAACACGTATTCTTCAACGAGACTATACATGTACAACCAAAATCCACTGATCCACTTGGTGGGTCGTATCTCCTCCGGCGTCACGGGGCTCCGAAATATCAGCAAACTATCTCTCTTCTGATGACATGCAGACATGTTAGAGAGGAAGCGACCCCTAATTTCAACGATCTGGTTACGTTTGATTTGACACTTTACTACAACTGCATGGCGGCTGCGTACGAATTAGGACCTGAGATCTGCCAGACAATCAGAGCAATTAAAGTAGAGCCAAGGCTTGCAAAAAGACTAGCTCTAGGACTCCAACAAGGTGCGCCGCCTAGCACTAATTATAGGCATCTGTTGCCTTCCTTACAGCGTGTGCACATCCAACAGACTTCAATATTTGGATTACTTATGATGAGCCCTGATTTGGCTGTGAGGGCACTACGACTGTATTTTGGAAACAGTAATCTTGAGGTCATATTTAGCAGGAGGCAGTGAATTTTCCTGCACGACCAGATGGAACATTGGAACCTGGAGAATAGAAAGCAGCACCATCTCCGCCTTCATTCAGCTTCATCTAACTCATGATACCTGCGTCAGAATCTGGACTTGAACATTTACACCCAAAGACACCACCCACATCAACTCAGGGCCGTGGATTCTGCTCGAGTGATCTTGGAATACGCTCGCGATACTTGCAGTGTACTGCTTCCACGAAAACATCCCGAATTTAGTAAGCTCTCGCCTATCTGCGGTCGCAATCTCGCTCAAATAAGTCAGCGCCAAAGCACTTCTGAGTAAATACGCGAGCGCGAGTAAGAACAAGGGAAAATATCTTTGGGATCTGAGCTAGCGCTCTCAGTGCGCGTTCAAACCAACGCAACTCCCACTGAGCTCCATGACAAAGTATACAAGCATACATTGTCCGGGAAAACTGTCGGCGTCCTCACCAGTCATGTTCGGCGAGCCTCTCGCAAACGCAGGAGCGTCTACAGGCGGCACGATCTATGTGTATTCGCTTTCCTTATCTGCCGCTAGGCCAGACACGAAGCATCGCCGCTGCTGTACAGCGTCACTAAGTTCGATTATACTTCCTTAAATATCAAACCTTGTCTCTACAAGTGCGTTGCCAGCGTATGGTTGGTCCTTGGTAGCTCCAATTGCAGACTCATTCAGTCCATCAAGGTGGGCAAAGCGACTGTGCGTGATGTTCGCAGGCTCTTAGACTCCGGTTATATGTTGAATGATGTCTCTTCATAGGAGACATTGAAATCTCAAAACTTGAGCGCCGATGAATGTTGGCTCGTGGTAGTACCGAAGCCGAGTTTATTGACGCCATATACCATTGGACTGAAAATACAGGTGGTGTCGTGCATTTCGTATAGAGTTTTGCATCTACCCACGGGGCTCAAACAACTACTCGAACTATACCAAGCGACATTATCCACAGTCGGGAGTGGTTCACTTGGTCGCGCATCGATGGGGAGCCATTGGTAGAATAATCACAAAAACACCTCAGGGTTCAGCTGAAGGATATCAGGATGGTACCTGGTTAGAGTTCATTGAATTCAAGTGTATCCAAGATGGAATCAGATACAGATTCGTAATGATATATAGCTCGACGCTATCACTGTTGATAACACAAGCCCTCAAGATTCACAATTTTCATCGACTCTGAGTTCCATGTATCGGCCTATAGACAACATAGGGATTCGGATCTTGCAGAGTCGCGGTAATGTAGTCCCCTTGCTGTTGCTGGCCTGAATTATCGCATCAGAAATTCGAGATGAAAGATTTCGCGGATAGTGATGTTTTAGGGAATCAATCAAACTACTACGACCAATCTCACAATGTTTCCTTCCGCCCACTCATGTTTTTCGATAGATCGCTGCATCAATCTCCACTGCATCTTTCATGACCTTCATCGTCCACTCACTAATTGGCTCCAGCGCCTTGACCGTATCGCCCAATTGCTCTCCCTCTCCGAACTCATGAATAGCCAGGAAAGACAGCTCTTGACTCTCGCCGCCTTCACGGGAAGTACTAGATTGCTGCGAGACGAGTGAATACCGACATGTGCGCAACCAGCCTGGTTGCTCAGACATCTGCTGGTTATGCTCTTCGCGATACCAAGCATCCAGGTCTGCGACACCGGCGGGTGATGGTTGCATGAGGGCTACCATAATTGTCTTGGCGGCTTCTATACGTACGGTCAGCCCAGGGATATACTTCACAACCCCATCCGCTTCTCCTCTGCTAGGATCTAAGAAAGGCGTACCACCGCTCTTCTTCAAACCAAAAATCTCAACCTCCCCGTACGCCCTGATATCCCACTCTCCACCCATGTTCTCCCCTTCCAGGAATTTTAGCATTTGCTTCACATTAACACGTGCCAGATCTTTCGTTTCGCAAATGACAAGGTGCTGTTTTTCGTATTCTGTATTCGCTACTGTATACTGCGTTGCTGTCTCGATACCGAGGACGTTTGCTGTTATGGCCGTGGGCAGGAGGGCGAACTTGTCGTTTTGCAGTGATTCGTCATCACCTAAGCTGGGTTTGAGAAAGGCGAGGATAACGCCAGCGCCCATGTTGGGGTCTGAGGAGGGCATGTTAGGATGGATGGGTGCGTTTCCAGGTGTCTAGTATTATCTAGAAAAGGAGTTGGAAACCGTAGAATTGGATAATATGCTGAGTTTTAGAAGAAGGAGCTGTTATCAGGTAAGGATATACTTATGCGCGGTTGCTAAGTCGACCATCAAGGGTAGGCGCCATATGTAGTGTACCAGCGTCCCCACTTTCTCGGATCAAATTACCCGTTGGCTACATACCTAGCTAACGGCCTGCGTGGGAACTCGTCTATGCTGCAACAGAAACGTGGTTTGATAGCTACACAGACTCTGTATTCTAACTTCTCTTCTATCATTCTACTCAAATACAATTACATATATACAAAACATGCTCTTTCTTACAACTTGCTCTTCTCAATACGCTTGAACAAGACATCGCTATCTGGGTATGGGTCTACAGTGTAGTTGTTGAGCGGGTTGAGCTCGCTCGCCCTGTAGAACATATCCTCGTACACCTTTCCGTCGGCGCGACCCAGACTGCTGTCAAGGACCCAGTCGTCAAAGCCCCAGGCGTCTACGAGCCTGACAGCGTGTGGTCGAATCTCCTTGAGCAGATTCATGACAGTGTTGGTCCTTGCAAGCGAAATTTGGTGCTTGCTGCATGCACCGGAAGCGTAGAACTCTGAACCCTCCTGTTCAAGTGTGTGCAGAGCGAAGAGACGGAACAACTTCATCAGCACGTCGAGGATGGCCTTGTCGACCTTGCCCTCCTTCTCGATGTTCTTGAGCGCAGAAAGGTTGTTCTTCACGACCATGTACTGCGCGTGGGCCTTGCTGAGGCGGTAGAAGTCAACGAGCAGGTCATTCCATGGCTTCTTCTGCTCATCACGGTGCTTGCTGGCCTCGAAAGTGAGGAACGAGACGCGCCAAGCGAAAGCGGCTACGAGATCATTGTCAGAACCAATGACGTCGAATGCACAGCCAATCTCGCGACGCGAGTGGAACTCAGATAGAATCTGGGTGGTGTCGTTTGTCGGCTTATCACCCTTGAGTACAGAGCGGGCTGACTTGAGCATCTACAATATGTGTTAGCAAGGATCGGTCACCTCTATTGGGTCGTTAGACTTACGTATCGTGCGACTTGCTGGGTCAGCATGTAATTGTCTCCCTCCCATGTTGTAGTGGGGAGGTAGTCAGAGTACCAGGACCCGATACCGCTGAAGCTTGAGTAGCCGTGGCCACCGCAAGCTCGTCGGCAGACCTCCAGACCCTCTGCAGCGATCGAACTGCTAAGCGACTTCAAGGCACACGAAGAAGCGTGCAAGTCTGCCAACATGTCACTGCCTGACTGGACCTCCTCCGGTCCAGCTCCACGCTTGCTTGGTGCGTTGGTGGCGTTGCCCTGAGCAATCTTTTTCTGGTTCTCCTGGTACATATCCATCATCGACTTTCCGGTGAAATGGAGGGCAAAGGTGGCAGCGAGAAGAGGAAGCAATCGGATTTGCACCATGGTATAGTTGAGAACAGGTGTCTCATCCTCACCAGCAGGAGCATCTCGGTCCTGGAATTGACGGCGCACAGCGCAGTAACGGGTTGCGATAGTAACACCTCGAGCAAGTACACTACCAGCTTGCATAACGATGGTCGATCGGACCCAAGTCAACGTACCATAGACGAGAGACGGGGCACCACGGCGACCAAATTTGTTCGTGTTGGCGTCAACAAATGTGTACTTGGCCAACATACTGATATGCGGAACCTTGACGTGGTTGAACAAGAGGAAACCGTTGTCCATGGTGTTGTAACCGAACTTGGGACCGATGTCTCCAATGTGGATGTTCTCTAGCGGCTCATGCGTCTTCAGATCACGGATCTGGACGCAGAAAGGTGCTGGTCCATAAGACTTGCCATCGATAACGAGCTGAGCCATGACGACAGCGTGGTTGGCTGTCCTGCCCAGAGATCCGATCCACCATTTACTGGCAGTCAAATGTGGCGAGTGAATAGTGAAGGTCTTATCGTCCTTGTTCCAGGTTGCTGTTGTTTCGAGTCCACGAACATTTGAACCGTGACCAAGCTCAGTCTGAGCATAGCATCCGATAATCTTGTAGTCGTTGGCTTTAGTAAGCCACTTTTCCTGCTGTTCTGGTGTACCTTGGCCCTCAAGTGTAACCTGAACCATTAGTAAAAGTTACGCGAGAGTGAAAGATGATGTGTACCTTGAACATACTGTCGTGGAGACCATATGGCCCTGGCTCTCCAACGAGCTCTGTGGCAGCTCTGAACTCATCCACGGTCCAGTTATGCTGCTTCTTTAGGATTCTCAATCTCTTCTCCCTTGCAAGCGCGCGTTCGAACTTGTCGATCCTTCCCATGAAGTAGTTCTGCGACTTATCAAAAACCTTCTCGGACTTGAGAATGTTAAGAATCTTGTTCCTCCTGTCGATGACATCTTGAGTGTGTAGAAGCACTTCCAGTTCCTGCACGGGTACATTGGAATTGGCGCGTTCAGCCTTGAGCAATTCATGGCCTTGAACGCCCGAAGGCTTCAGCTGCTTGACCCAGTCCGGTGTTGGCTTCATTGTGATAGTAAATTGATAATTGGATTGATGGAGGTGAATGAGGATTGCTTGGAATGATGATTAAGTAGGTTGCCGGATCGCCAGATGCACTAGAGTCGAGCCGAGGTCCAGTGTCGGTAGCACGCGAATCTGGGGCATTGACCAACGCTGCCACGGCCACGCGACGGCTCATGCCGCGCTTCTGATAGACAATCTCATGAAAGTGCCGAAGCCAGAGTCCCGAGCAGATGGCGAGAGAAGTTGGCGACATACAAGTCCGCCAATCGTGCTATTATCGCGAGGGAGCATCAGTACGCGTCATTAATTAGCACAAAGACTAGACACGGGTTTCCTGGGATCCTCTAGGTGCGACACGACATAACTCGGAAGTAATACGGAAGCGGAAGCGGAACCATGAATGCCTCTAGATGAGTCGTAACCTAGGCAGAGACGTACTCTGCCGTTACAATAGTCGCTCAACGACGGGTTCAAATCACGAATTTTCAACGAAAAGACTCGGAGGATTTCCAGTTCACTCAGCCGAGGTGTCTCGTATGTAAAATCGTCAGTGTACCTATCTGTACGGTATATGATACCGTGATGAAACATTGAGCAATGTACAACAATATACCGTCTACTGCACTTTTCGCTTTCACTCGAGGCATCAAGCATATCGCGAAGTCCCCAAGTACTGCATTGGAAGATGAGAGCGACGCGTTTGTATGCAAATCTCTCGAGTAGTGATTTGTCGTACTGCATTGTCAGCAGAAGCACAACGGACCCCGACACGGAATCTGGACCCTGGAATATTTCGCGCAAAAGGACGGCTGAGCAGCTGATCTCGTCTTTATCGCGTTGGAATGATGGATCATGTTGCTGTACAACGAAGCTCGCTTCATTCCGAGTTGTAATCAACACAATGTACCCTAAAGGTATACATTATTTTATGCTTTACTAGCATATTCATGAAAGACAAAAGGTACACGTTTAGGGTACACTGTACGTCGCGTTAGGTGCAACTTGGAAAAGAAGGCCTCTTGTATCGACTCGTGAAGCTACGCCTCAGTCAGAAAGGCCGGTCAGCCAAGTGCGCCATCGAGAGCAGGCGGCTGCTGTTGAGAGGCTGATGTGATAGGGGTACTCTGAGCGTTTGTGCGTGGCACGCGAGCTCGTGCAGAAGGAAAGCAGCACCGCCTCACCCGGTGCACGACAAGGCGCCCGTGGGTAAGCCGAGCGCGTATTCTCAGTAGGAAAGCATGAATCAACGGAGCCTTCGGAGACAGGAGCTGGTGGGGGAAACGGGACTGCAGAAAATGCGTGCCGTCATCAGGTCGCTTCTGGCCTCGACCTAGCCACAACCCACTAGCAAGCAGCACGGGCCTTGAACCTGACAGGTAGGGCAGCGTCACTCTTTGCCTACAACACCACTGACCTGTTTACCCCCGCGAGCTAGAGCACGCAATTCTTTTCCTCTGTCCTCTTACCTAGGACCTACACCACACCTACAGACGAGACTGGTCCTTTACACAGTCGCCCCTGCGCCTATCCACATCTGTGATATCCCCCCACACACCAACATCGCAGTTTGGAATTCTATGCCCCTAGGGAGACTCGCGATCAACGTCAAACCTGCTCTCCTCCTTTCCCACGGGTCCTTCTAGGTACCGGACAAGATGGGTCAGACACTCTCAGAACCCGTCGTCGACAAGGTAATTGCCTCCCAATGCTGGCCCCCGCCCCCGCACCTGCGCTGCTTGCACCCTCTCCATGGCAACCGTCGCCTGCATTGACCTGCAAGGCCGCGCATTTTGACTTGCACAAGGCTGCGATGCTGACACGTTGCTTGCACAGAAATCCGAAAACGGCGATGGCGAGTCACTTATCTACGGTGTGTCGTCGATGCAGGGCTGGCGGATCAGCATGGAGGACGCGCATGCCACCGTACTAGACTTTGCAGGTGAAGAAGGCAAACCCACGGGCAACGACAAGCGACTCGCCTTCTTCGGTGTATACGACGGACACGGTGGTGACAAGGTGGCGCTGTATGCTGGCGAGCAGCTACATCAGATTGTCGCAAAACAAGAGGCTTTCAAACAAGGAGACATCAAGAAGGCTCTACAAGACGGCTTCCTTGCCACAGACCGCGCGATATTGAGTGGTAAGCTCTCTGAAGGCCTTCGACTTGGTAGTCGACAAGTTGCTGACTCACGCGAACAGACCCCAAGTACGAAGAGGAAGTTTCTGGCTGCACTGCCACAGTCGGTGTCCTGTCAAAAGACAAGATTTACGTCGTATGTCAATTCCCCATAACAATACATGGCAAACGCTTACGGAAATAGGCCAACGCAGGTGACTCGCGTACCGTCCTAGGTGTCAAGGGCAGGGCAAAGCCGCTCTCTTTCGACCACAAGCCGCAGAACGAAGGTAAGATACATGAATCCAAAACTACAAGCAGCACTGACATCTACTAGCCGAGAAGGCACGTATCCAAGCAGCAGGTGGCTTCGTCGACTTTGGCCGCGTGAACGGCAACCTGGCTCTATCGCGCGCCATCGGTGACTTCGAGTTCAAGAAGAGCGCCGACCTTCCTCCCGAGCAGCAGATAGTCACTGCCTTCCCAGATGTTGAGATACATGACATCAACCAAGACGACGAGTTCTTGGTCGTTGCCTGCGATGGTAAGACAATATGAGTTCGCTACAACCGCGCAATGTTACTGACTGATTACAGGTATCTGGGATTGTCAGTCTTCTCAAGCCGTCGTCGAGTTCGTTAGGCGCGGGATTGTCGCAAAGCAGGATCTTGCCTCCATTTGCGAGAACATGATGGATAACTGTCTGGCTTCGAACAGCGACACAGGAGGTGTTGGCTGTGACAATATGACGATGATTGTCATTGGTCTCCTGCAGGGAAGGACAAAGGAGCAGTGGTACGAGGACATCGCAAAGCGGGTTGCGAATGGTGAGGGTCCATGTGCGCCGCCAGAGTACGGCAAGTCAGAAGATCCAGCCAAATCTGCCTCAGAGGGCGAGTAGTTCAGTTCTAATATAATCGTGTAGCCGAGTTCCGCGGTCCCGGCGTTCACCATCGCATTGACGATTCTCCTGATGACATCGACATGGATCTGGACAGTCGATTCCGACCGAACAACGGCAACGGCAACGGCGGCCGCATCATCCTTCTCGGCGACGGCACTGAAGTCTCGACTGGAGACAATGACGGCGAGATGTTCGACAACGAGGATGAAGACAAGGACCTGGATTCGCAAGTCAACAAGTACAACCAGGAGGCCAACGCCAAATCCCGCCAAGATCGCGAAGGCACCCCTGGTCCTCAGCATGAGAGCAAGGTCCAAGTGACCGAGTCGCCCTCGTCTGTACAGACGGAGAAGTCTGACGCACCCGAGTCCCAATCTGAAGCACCCAAGACGAGTGAGAAGTAGCTTGTACTCACTTGACTTGGTCGCGACTAATAAAGTTTGGCTCAAAGGGGTCAAATTCGATGCATGATGATATGCAATGTCTCTCTTATGGATGTTTTGCAAGCGACGATGGATGTCTTGGTTTCCTGTAGGATCAACGACGGGTCATGGAATCGAGCCTGATGGATCGCAAGCGGGATTCACGAAATGATACCTGGCGGACTCACTCTTCGCCTACTCTATATGTAGCTATCACTTTGTCCACGATACAGTGGTCCTATCAAGAAGGGCGTTTATTATGACCTGTTCACATGTGCTTAGGTTAGGGGGGGCGTGTGCGGCTACTTCGTGACGTTATATCAACCAGTCTCGCACCGAATCTGCGTATTTATTGTAAAGTGCACAGCCTTTGTATAGCCGTTGCTTCTTACGAGGCATACACAGTATGAAAACAAGCTTTCAGTATGCCCCACTCTCCCGCTTCTCGGGCGATCTTCTAAAGTGCACCTTATTCCAGGATGTCGTCTTGACAGCCTGGCATCAGCTACTACGTATTAACCTCAAGTTTTGGAAAAGGTAACGCATCACAAAACGAGATTATCGATAGCGGAGCCTCCGTTCCACCGACTATGCATACAACTGCCGTCTGCATTACCGTCTGGGAGCCCGGAGATAAGGCTGGTGTCCAGGGTCCATTCCCGAGCATCATCACCTTTCGTCATAGTTTGCGACGGTCGTGTAAGCGTCACAATTATGGCGTGGATCCGAGAGTACCGGTGGTAACTGGCTAAAGTCAATGTTAATACTTCTTGTCCATATAAGAAATATCAGCGCATTGCTCTAGCATACACTTCCAAGTTCTTCCCTAGTAATTACTCCGAAGTTGTGCCTGACTGACGACTGGCATCATGGACCCTGTAAATCCTAACCAGAAGGCCCGAACCACGTACGTAACTTCCACATGCAAACTGCATGCGAGACATATGCTGACTTCGTACACCTACATCCAGGCCACAATACGCGCTATATCAACGGAAGAACTTCTGGAAATCCAATGAGGGCGAGGTTCCAGTGTTCAATACCGGTAAGCATGCTTCATGTTTGGTGCAAACTTTCATTATATAAGGCTAAGGCATAAGACAGAACCCGGCAAACTCGAAGAGTTGGCAAAGGAGAAGCTTAGCCAAGGCGGTTGGTTTTACGCCTCCTCTAATGCGGGTCAATCGCACACCCATACCGTAAACAGACAAGCATTCTACCGACATCGAATTATCCCGCGTATGCTGGTAGATACCAACGAGCGCGACACCGCGACCGAGATATTCGGACACAAAGTTCCTGCGCCAATCGGATTTGCCCCTGTTGGCATCAACAAAATTTACAACCCACAAGGCGAGCTTCCCGTGGCAAGAGCCGCCGGCGCGTTGGGACTACCATATTGTCTTTCGACGGCAGGTTCGCAAAGCATAGAAGCTGTTGGCCAGGCCAACGATGAGGGTGTGAAGAAGGGACGAGGCGATGTTGGAACCGCTGCCGGTGGTGGTGAGAAGGGCGTGAGGTTTTTCCAGCTCTATATGCCGCACGACGACGAGCTTACTCGCTCGCTCCTTCAACGTGCTGTAGATAGCGGCTTCACAGCTTGCATCTTGACGCTTGATACCTGGCAGCTCGGATGGCGACATGACGACGTCGCAAATTCAAACTACGCGTTCTACCACGGGCTCGGTGCGGATCTTGGCTTGACAGACCCCGTCTTCCAGAAGAGGCTCAAGGAAAAGGGCATTGACCCTGAGACACAACCAAACGAAGCTGGTGCATTGTGGATCGACAACGTTTGGCATGGACGTGCGCATACATGGGAGAAGGCCGCATGGGCGATGAAGCTATGGAAGGAGCTCAGTGGTGGCAAGCCATTCTCCTTGAAGGGTATTCAGAGCGTAGAAGACGCGAAGAAGGCTGTCGATCTGGGCTTTGATGGCATTGTAGTCAGCAATCATGCTGGAAGACAGGTTGATGGCGCAGTCGCAAGTCTTGACTCCCTTGAGAAAATCGTCGATGGTACGTTGCCTGTTCTCTTCTGTTCATGCACAACTGACATGTCATTCAGCTGTCGGCGACAAAATCTATATTATGTTCGATTCTGGCGTTCGTTCCGCATCCGATGTTTTCAAAGCGCTTGCTCTGGGCGCAAAGTTCGTGTTCGTTGGCCGGCTGTGGATCTGGGGTCTCTCGATCATGGGCGAGACGGGAGTGGACCATGTCATGCGCGGTCTGCTAGCTGATCTTGACATTCTGATGAACGTGGGAGGATTCAAGAATATTGGAGAAATTACGAAAGATGCACTAGAAAGTGGGCCGAAGAGTTACCCGCTCATGCATACAGCTAGTAAATTGTAGGGCTTTTAGAGCCTTGGAATGGTCAGTGTTTGTATCTTCGATCAACTGTACTTTGGAGTATCTCAAGGCTTCGGTGAACATGTTGTGCCTTCCGATCACTTCAAACACCACATGCTTTTCCACGTTGTCTGCCTGGCACTTGTGAACTCCACGCGTAGGTAGGTGTCACTTTCACAATCATGATCACCGTCCTCGTTGGCCAATGAGGAGCTTACATAGCACTAGGCCACTATAGGCTGACCGCCATAGGGCTGAGAGTGGTCCAAGCACTCCCGAGCAAGACCAACTCCAACTCCCCTCAACGCGACACGCTTTTTCAATTGTGATCGCAACTTCGCGCACGTCATGATCCGCATTTTCCGCGCCTACTAACATCGTCGCATTGATTGTACTATAAGAGTCTTTGGTATACACAAAAGTTGTCTCCTAATTCGTCACTAGAAAGACACCCTACAATCAAGATGTCGGTCATCCTGTGCACAGGTACGTGGAGCTGTCTACCCCACATTTGGCAGGCAAACAAACTAACATACAATCGCAGCCGGTTACGACCATACGATTAGGTTCGCATACGTCTCATCCCCCATTGGCAGCAACGCGTACTGACAGAGGACTCCAGATTCTGGGAAGCCCTCTCCGGTATATGCTCCCGGACTATCCCACACCCAGACTCCCAAGTCAACCGCCTTTGCATCTCGCCCGACAAGCGATACCTTGCTGCCGCTGGTCACCACACAGTCAAGCTCTACGACATCAAGTCTACCAACCCCAACGCGATCCTCACCTTCGACGGTCACACCTCAAACATCACCGGTGTCGCGTTCCATTGCGAGTCCAAGTGGCTTGTCACCTCGTCTGAGGATGGCACGGTCAAGATCTGGGACACGCGGTCCGGCAATGTTCAGCGCAACTACACTCATGGCGTTCCGGTCAACGATGTGGTCATTCACCCAAATCAGGGAGAGCTCATTAGCTGCGACCGTGGTGGTAATGTGAGGATCTGGGACTTGGGAGAGAACAAGTGCTCCCACCAGCTCATCCCCGAGGATGATGTTAGCGTGGCTAGTGTTACGGTTGCTAGCGATGGCAGCATGGTGTGTGCAGGCAACAATGCCGTGAGTCTCGCCATATCAAGAGTATACCAAAGCTTACTAACACTTCACGTCAGGGTAACGTCTATGTTTGGCGCATGATTCAGCGTAGCGATACCACCTCCATCCTCCCCATCTGCAAGTTCGTCGCCCACACGACCTACATCACCCGTGTCCTCCTCTCCCCCGACGTCCGTCACCTAGCCACCTGTTCCGCCGACCACACCGCACGGATCTGGTCTGTTGATCCTACCGCTCCTCACAACGTCACACCCAACGATAACCTGCCATCAGCTAGCGAGCGCGACCCCGCTGCCTTCCCATTAGAGACTACACTACACGGTCATCAGCGCTGGGTATGGGACTGCGCCTTCTCAGCAGATAGCGCCTACCTCGTCACTAGCTGCTCAGACCACTATGCGAGGCTGTGGGAGCTTGGTAGCCAGAGCATCATTCGGCAGTACAACGGACATCATCGCGGTGCTGTGTGTGTTGCGCTCAACGATACGGCCGTTGGCAACTAAGAGGTTCACTTTCCACGGATTCCCGAATGGCAGAAAATGGCACCCGCGATCATTGATAGCGTGTAAGAGGGTATGGACAAAGGGTTTCCGGCATTTGCATCAGCGTTGGCGTTCTGGAACAGGATGGAAGGGTAATGAGTTAATGACATTTGGCGTTTACGGTGGATAGGTTAGCTTTTAGTCTCGCATCAACGCAAAATGCGACCAAAACGCGCAGAATACGTCTAGCAATCAGGCCAAAAATACGAGAATCAAAACTTCCGTTGAAGACTACCATGCCCCGAATCGAGACGACTGTAACACTTATAATGTACTCTGAAGCTATACGCGTTGAGTTCAGCCAACAGGTCAACGAGACAACATAGGTTGTATACCATCAGAGTACACTATCGGTGTAAATCATGAAGACCGAGCTTCTTCGTAAGCAAACTAAGGATTTATAGACACTCTTTCTTCGCACAAATGTCCTGCTAACATGTTAGTACCGTCCTTCGTTGGCATCATCTGAAAGGCCTTTCACTTACATAGTTCTGACGTTTGTCCTGCATACACACGTCCACACCACTTCCATTCTTCTTGCACAAACACGCTTGGTACAACTTCCACTCTATCTGACACTCCTCACACTTAGCCGAAGTGTACTTCCTACATGCTCCTGTCTCCCTTCTTCCTCGACTTTTGCGTCTCCTCTTCACCTTTGCATTCTCATCGGCACCTTCATCCTCCGCTGCATTTTCACTCGCAGCATCCAATGCGAGGGCCAATTCTTCTGCTTCTTTTTCAGCGGCCGCGTCATGATATGTGGACGAGTCGTATGTATCCGGGACAGCCTTTGCGAGGGCACGTTCGTTAACCATGTGGGAAGAAGAGCCAATACCACCGCCCGGGATATTATTGTTGGGAGGTATGTTGTCGACCATCATCCCAGAGCCAGATGCAGGGATTGAAGGGAGGGGAGAAACCGGGGAGGAAGCATGGACTAGGGCGGCTACTAGAGCGCAGAGGGATGTGAACAGAAAGAGGGAAGATTTCATGATTGTGAAGTTGCAGGTTCGGTATGATTGAGTGGATGTATATGCGAGTCTAAAGAATAAGAAAGAAGGTGGGGAGCGTAGAGAATACCTATACGCAGAGACTCGTTGTTTGACCTCACACAATTCAATGTCGTATCCAAGACTCGTCAATCAACTCCGAAATCACACCTCATTTCTATTCACATACATACTCGCCCTCTTCTCAGATACAACACTTCAACTTATTGCCTCTGTCACCGCTGCCTCTTCCTCTCCTCAAACCTCCTAACACTATCCCTAACCCCAAACCCGTCCTTCAACAAACCCCCAACATCCTCCAATCCCAACCCCGCCGTCTCAGGATAAATCCTCCAGATCACAATCTCAGCAACCACACAAACCCCCGCATACAATGCAAAAGTACCCACTGGGCTGAAAACGTTCATCATGGGCAGAAAGGTAACCCCGATAAAAGTGTTAGACCCCCAGTTCGTAGCCGTAGACATGGCAGAACCCAAAGAACGAACGGAAAGAGGGAAGAGTTCGGATTGCTGCCAAGGGACGTTTCCCATGCCTATAGCGTAGCCGGCGACGTAGGTTATCATTGAGAAGAGAATGATGAGCGGCCATATTTTGTTATCATGGGTGACGGCAGTGGCGGTGGCAGAAGCTTCCTCGCTGGGAAGATCTATAAAGAGGAATGCGATGGCGCAGAGTGCGAGGCCAAGGACCATGATGGGTATGGACCAGAGGAGGATACGGCGACGTCCGATGCGGTCGATGTAGTGGAAGGCTACGAGGGTGAAGAGGAAGTTTGTTATGGCGATGGAGAGCGAGGTAAGCGTTGGGGATTCGAAACCGACGAGGCGGAAGATTGTGGCGGAGAAGTACATCAGGGAGTTCTGGGGGTATGTTAGCGGTCATTAAAGGATGATGCATCCATAAGGGTACGAAAATGCACCCGTTAGGGGGGCTCTAGAAGTGAGACTTACGAAGCCGCATAGTTGCTGAAAGCCCTGCAACATGCATGCAATAATCAGCGCTCTACGATTCCCTCCAATTACGACCAGTTGAGAGAAGTTGTCTTGCACCCTCTCCATCTTGGCTCTCCAGCCGCTTTTAGCCATATCAGGAGTACCTCGCAATCCAGCAGCATCCTCTTCCTCTTCAATCTCCTTCTCCACACGCCTCAGTACGGCATTCACCAACTTCGTCCCACTTTCGTCGGTTTTGTACACTCGGCCTAGTACTTTCCTCGCTTGTTGGGTCCGTCCGGCCTTGACAAGATATCGCGGTGTTTCAGGCAAGAGAAACAGCATGACAAATTGTATTGCAGCTGGCAAAGCTCCCAGACCAACCATCCATCTCCAGCCATGCAATCTCTCCGAGAACAGCCACCCAACGATATAAGCGACGACCTGACCTCCCGTGATGAACAAACTGCTCACGACGACTAGTCGTCCCCTGAAAGGGCTAGGACTGAGCTCAGAGATATATAACGGTACAACAAACGACGCGCTTCCGACTGCCGCGCCGACGATAGACCGACCTACAATCATGCCACCTACGCTGCTTGTCCATGCTTGCAATAGCGCACCGAGTATGAAGAGAATATCTGCGACGAGAATCACAGTTTTACGACCGTACGTATCAGCGAGGATACCCGTTAGGGGCGAAGCGAGAAGCGCGAAGAACGAGGTGCAAGAGGTAATCAAGCTTTTATCAAGGGTGGTAAGGGGTCGAGAGGAAAGGTCGGTGTTTATGGATATGAGCGTGGAGGATATCACACCGGTGCTGCGACTTGGTTAGTATGGTATTTGCTTCCATATCTATGGATACCATGAAGCAAGGCGCAGAAGATCGCGACCGTGAATGGAGACGTACTCGTATCCAAACAACAGCCCAGAAACGCCAGCACATATAGTCAGACACCATATAAATAGCCCTGGAGATAACAATGCACTCTCGTCCACCTCATCCTCTCTTATACTCTCGTTGTCGTCTTCATCGTAGCGGTCGCGTACATCGTTCGGAACACCGCGGTCGTTGGAAATCAAGGGCTCGGCAGCAGCGTCACTCATGCTGTGTAGTTCCAAGTCTTCATCTGAAGTCGGCATATAGTACACACACAGACATAAGAAGCGTGTACGGAAGTGAAAACTGGTAGTAGAGCTTGTCTGGGGTAGTGTCGGAATGGCCGCGGGAGTGCGGAATGATGGATACACGCTAGTGGGTGGGTCAGACGTGTACCTGGTGATCCATGTCACCTGCATAATAGGCGGGTCTTCACAGGCACGGACACGAGCATTTGGACGAGTGTTTTGAACTTGATGGTATTGATAGTGGTCGAGAAGCATGCACGCACATGAACGTGCTCTTCTTGATAGTAATCTCCCACTTTCCTCCCTCCAACGCTCGCTCGTGGTCGGAGAACGCCAAAGCGATTCTCATGACTTGCTCCTCCGTGGCACGTTGCGGTCGCGTGTAGCGTAGCGAACGTGGCAACTCCTTCCCTCTCTTGTCGTATCTTGCATGTCCATGGCCTGCAAGACTTTTGTCCATACCGTGATCCTATATGCACCTATCATGCCCAGTCAACGCCTGTCGCTATGCTACAAGCCACTCATCATGGTGACTAATCAACCCACCCACGCTAAGCGCATAGCAAAATCCGGTAAAACAGGCACGGAGAGCAGGTCGTGGAACTCAAGAAGCAGGCCGCTGCGAACACCGCCCATGTGCGGCCAACCTACTTTGAAAGCTCTCATTTGGGTTCGTTGCTGCCGTCTGGTGCATGATTGGCGGGACCGGTGGGCGGAGCCTGGGGACCCGTCGAGTGCTGTTGCATCATAGGCTGCGAGTAGCTTCCGCTGGGTGTACCACGGTGTTGCTGTGGAAACTGGTGATGTTGCTGCGGTGAGCCGTAATGACCGCCTTGGTATGGCTGTGGGAAAGGTCCCCGCATTGGAGTCACTAGAGTGATGTTAGCTGTGTTAAATCAATCACTGACGTGCTACTTACTGTTTGCTGGCTGCATTTGGTACATCTGAGGAGCTGGTGCACCGGGTTGCATGTACATCATAGGCGGTTGCTGGTGGTGTCCTTGTTGCGATCCTTGATGGCTCATCATTGGCGCACCTGGCCTGGGGCTAGGGAATCCGTTGGCGCCAGGTCCAGGCATATGAGCACCGTATTGGGGGTACGCAGGAGCGGGAGCGGGAGAATACATCTGCATCTGGGGATTTCCCGGCATTCCCATAAAAGGTCCGTTTGAAGGTTGTTGTGTCATCATTTGGCCACCCATCGCCGGCCCTGGGCCGTTCATGAACTGGCCGCCTTGCGGATTCCGCATGGTGGCGTGCTGAATGCCAGGACTCATGCCATACTGTGGGACTTGCTGAGGGTAGCCTGGCATCGGTTGCGGCTGTGCGCCATACATGTACGGCGCCATAGGGCGTGGTGAAGGTTGAACTGATGACGTCGAATGCGAGTATTGCATGTGTTGAGCTCCGAAATGATGCTGGTCCTGGCCAAGATGCGGCTGTATTGGTGGTCCACGAGGCGTGTGTTGAGCTGTCGGCCCTTGTGCCATACCCTGGGCACCCTGAAGATGAGGCGGTAACTGATGCTGATGAGGCATGGGGCCATTGACCATGACATGTTGTGGTGCTGACAGCGGCGCAGGCTGAGGGGCATGGTCGAACAACTGCTCGTATCCCTTGTGTGTGTTGGAAGAAGGGAAGTCCCAAGTAGGAGGTGTCTTGTATGGAGGCGCGATATCAGAGTGATGTGGCTTCTCGCTCGACTGAGCTTCCTTCTCGAGGCGTCCGATGGCATTGAAGGTTGTCGGTCCGTCCAATGACTTCACAGTGGGCCGTTGGCCAGTAAAGAAATTCGTAACGGGAGGCTTGCGTACTTCCTGTCTTGAAGAGTTTGGGCGAGGACTGGAGGTTGCACTAGGGGTCCCGCCAGGCTGGAAGGTACTAGCAGCCGGGTTCGGCTTGAACTCATGAGCACGAACGTTGAACCTTGTAGAGACGCTGGAAGAAGGTGTCTGGGCACCGCTCGAAGGCTGTGAAGGACCAGTAGGTGGCATACGCATGTCCTGAGCTGGTATCGGTTGCGGAACACCGTTGTAGGGCACAGCACCCTGCTGTTTGTGCTGCTGGTGGTTCATCTGCAGACGAGTGCTGAGAAGTCCTTGGTTACGAGGAGGCATCTGGCTCATGTTCTGGTGAGAGCCCCGCATACTGGCAGATGGATATGCCGGCTGCCCTGGTCGCGGACGTTGGTTTTGCGAACGGTCTGCGTTGGCGCTAGGAGAGGCTTGGGTGGACTCGGGCTTAACAGCAGAGCGTGCAGCAGCTTTGGGGTCTGCAATACTGCTCGATGCCTTTGGGGGTGTCGTCTTCATTTCTTGCGCTTGTCGGTTAGCCTTGTCAACGATTGCTTGCTGCTTGGTCTCGTCCTTGGCGAGTATGGGAACAAGATCGGATGGTACAGGCGTGCTCAGTTTGAAGTTGAGCGCGAACTTCTTGAGATCGTTGAGCTTCACAGCCTTGTTCTCTCGAGCAAACTGCCTCTGGCGATCAGAAATGCGTAATTTCTCAGCGGCCGAGAACTGCTTGAAGGAGTCAAGAAGATCATGCTCAACATTTGTGGTTGCATCATGTGGCCGTCCAGCTTTCCTAGGAGGGATGGCAGCGATCCCAGACTTGATCGTACTAGTTGACTTCTGCAGTTGTTCCGTAATAGCCTTGTGCGCATCGGTGGGTTTTGGTGCAGCCTTGGAAGCATCCTTGACGGGTTCCTGAGCTTTCAGAGGCTCGGGCGTACCAGCTACTGGTTTCGCGGGACTTGCAGCACGTTGTGTCGATTGTGAGGCAGGTCGTGCAACAGACGATGAGATGATCGCAGGGTCCACTGGTGCGCCGGGTACTGTCGCTTCAGGGGCGGGAGCGCGTCGTGCGGGTGGAGTGTATCGGTTGGATTGGCCGCTGGATAGATTTGGGAAGTCTCGTCGTACTCCACTGTATTTGTCTTCTTCATCACCGTTGTCGTCGGCGGCAGTGTATCCTCCTCGCTCTTCGCGAACGTGTGAGTTGGTCGCACTGCTACCCTCAATCTCTCGAGCGATCTTCTCAGCACGGGCGGCCCGTTCCGCATACTGTGGGTCATTCTTGTTGATGGTAGTCGTGTATATGTTCTCGTCGTAGTTGCTCTTTACACCAAACATGCGCTCGTTGGTAGCGAATTGATCCCAGTCGCCCGTACGTCCAGTAGATTCGAGAGTCATGTTGGGATCTACCTCGGACGGCTCCCACTTTTGGAGGTTGCGCTCACGAAGCTCGAGCTTGCCAGAGATGTCGGTGTCAGTGCGGAATCCGGACGCGCCTGCTATGTTAGTCGTGGCATGCGAAGCAAGTTTAGACTCTAGTACGTACCATTTTGGCCCTTGAGCTGGGACTTGTCGAGAACCACATTGTTGACATTGAAATCAGCTACATCGCTCATATCGAATGACATGACGTGGTAGTCTCCCGAGCCAACGTAGTCGTCGGATGACTGACTGGCACCGTTGGTCTGGGCATTGCTGGCGGGCAAGAGCTTCTTGACCATCTTGAAGACATAGCGCAACTCGCTGGGATCCAATGAGGTGCCTGAGAGTACACCGGAGTATTTCTCGCCATTCTTAAGTGTGATAGTGCCGGGAAGTCCCTGTTGATTATCATCAGTCTCGCCGACTCGTGTCGCATTGAGGGCCAGCTGTCACTTACAGTCAAATTGGCCAACAGATACATCATGCGGTCGCTGAGGTGCCTCATTGCGGAAACGCTGTCGGCGGAGGCAGCCGTCGAGCTTTGTGGGGGCTTGGGTGAGTTTACGGCACCGTTGGGGGTGGGAGAGTGGGTCGGGCGCTGGGTGATGGGATTGGTGCCCTGGGTCCATGCCGATTTGGCGGGAGGTTTCCTGCAAGTCGCCAGGTCAGCATTGCGCCAGGTGCAGGTGAATAGGGTGGTGTCGAAGAAAGAGCATTGCGATATGAGGTAATTGAACACAATGCACGGGGAGGGAGCCATTTAGTGGACGGCGCAGTCGCACCGTGAGTCCATGTGACGGACCGCACGTCACACGAGAATATCCCGCATCGTGGGCACTCGAAGCATACAAATGGGCTTTTGAATGGCGAGGGGTGTGTGGTGAATCTGGGAGGAATGTGTTCATGTGGAGGGTATGAGCTTACTTCTGACCGCCGTCAATGGGGCTTCCGGGCTTTCGCTGTGCGTCGATGCCTTTGCCCGCAGTGCTCATTTTCAGTTGCCTGGCGGAATTGGAGGCGGGGTTTAGAGCATTGGAGGACGTGGTCGGGGTCGCAGCGGCAGTGGACATGGATGGGGAGAGGAAAGCGCGGGCGAGCTCAGTAGCGTGGGTCGGTGGTTCGGTTTGTGGTTGCGGAGAAGGAGCGACGGGCGGGGGGAGGAAGGAGCTCCAACTCTAGGGTGAGAATAGCGCAGGACGCTCAATGCGGCAGCAGGCGCAGAGTCGACGAGCTTTGGAAGGGGGCAGCCGGACGGCGGAGGTGCGGTGGTGATCTGGTATAGGAGGCTGTGCCCGAATAGCAGCCAGAGGTCGAGAGTGAGGTGCAACGCCAAGCGGATCGCCTGGATGAAACACAAGTGCAAGGTGCGGGAACTAGGCCAGCCTCAGGCAGTAGTCTTGAAATGCTCGGTTGACGGCACGAGAGCGCAACGGTCAGGCAGGCCGCAGGATGGCGCGCGAGGTTCAGAGAGGAGACAATGGGAGTTGATGACAGCTGTGACAATTGTGACTTGTTCGGGGCTGCTCTCGTCGCCAAGAGCGTTATTGTCGTAGGCTAGACCTCACGCCTCACTCTGCTCTGCACATGCTTTTGTTGTCAAAGGGCGCCCACACCAAACAAGATACGCAGAGATGGCATCTACAAATACGGGGCAACACCTGTTCGTGACGCTCCAAGCTGACTAGAGATGCATGCACACAATGGTTACCCCAGTCCATCACCCACCCAGCAGCAGCTTGATCAAGTAGCGCGAAGATAGGCCGGGTGCCGGCCGTAGTCTGCGCTGGTCTGCAGCTACAGTGGCACCCCATACAAGATGAAACCCGAACAGGTGTACCTTGGTCTCTAATTACTTTGCAGCCTACGATTATACGAATATAGGTAGTATATATCTATATAAACATACTAGCTAGAAGTCTGCATTAATATTAGAAATCTGGTGCTCTTCTGTTATACATTGTTGTAGGCTGCAAAGTAATAGAAGACTAACGTACACCTGTTTCGGGTTTTCCTTGCATGGGGTGGTGGCTACATACGATACTCCTGTCAGAAGCATCTTCTAAGCGACGGAGCATCACATGTTGCACGGTATTACTTGCCGTTAGCCGCAGATACCCAAGATAGAAACGATGAAAGCCAAAACCACTGTTTACCATGTACCATGACAACTTCTTTTCTCCATCAATGACGTAGAGACATTTAGCACAATGAAACAAACAATTCTACGAGGTTGGAGGTGAGACTGCTCCACGTGCCGCCCAGCCACTCTCGTGTTAGCTCGACCCAGGCATCTCAGACGTCGGTGCACCCAACGTGGTCGCCAACACTGCCCGGGATAGAGTGTAGTGCCCTCGCGCTTCCAGTCCGGCCCTTCACTCTGCTGTTGACGCCGCATACCTGCGCCACACCAACCCGGCAATATGACAGAAGAGTCGTCCTCTGTCCGCTCGTCTCAGGGGTCATCACGCCGTGCGCCCAAGAATGTACGTGGGCTCCCTCGCTCTCTCTCTCTCTCTCTCTCTCACACACACTCTCTCCGCGTTCCGCGCCCAACACCAAACACCCGTCACTGACCACACATGAAATGCAGCCCCAGCAGCAACTCTCGCAGATAGAAAAGTCCGTCACACACCTGCTCGTTGCTACAAAGCAGCTCCTCGGTCCGTCCACGGCGCATGCAGCCCCGCATACAACACCTGCTAACACGGTGCAGAGACGTTGACGCTATGGTCGCGCGGGACCGCCACCGAGAGCGAGGTCTCCGATGTCTACGTGCGTCTGGGATATGAATTCAACATCGCGTCACGCGCCTTCAACGCAATCGGCGTCGACACCAACGATCTCGGAAACGTTCCCGAATTACTGCGTGGCATACTAGAGGAGACGCTGAGCCAGGAAGCATCGCAGGCGAGCCTCGACAACTTCCTACCGCGGATACGAGACATCATAATAAACCTCCTGCACGGGCTGAAGAAGAAGCAACAGCGGTTACGGCAGCGCACAGGAAGAGATGGCTCACTCAACGGTGGTGGAAGTCCGCGACAGGGTAGCGTTGGGAGTAGTGGTGAAGTCGAGGAGCATCAACAGCCAAGATCAGCGAGCCAAAGACTACCTTCAAGAGGCGACAGCCCAGCGTTTGGGGGCCCTGACCTCCCACCGCGCTCATCTTCAGTAGCTGGAGGGCGGGCCTCTCCAAGCAAGTACGATGCTCTCCCTTCAAACCCGAAAGCGAACCGCTCGACTGCCGCAAGCCAGCTATCCACAGACTCTTCCATATCGAGTGGCACCGCTCAGCAGATGCCAGTCATTGCCCCATATCCCGCGGACGATGCCATGCCCAAGACACCCGAACCTCCACGGCCCAACTACCCCGTCGACTTTCCTCCACCTCCACCTCCACCGAAACAAGAAGATGCGCTGGCAGCACTGCAAAGAGGTGGTGAGCTTGAGCGGAGGGCTTCACGACGATTTTCGGCGTACCAGATCCAGAAGCACCTTGGAACAAATGGCATACCGCTTCCGCCAGTGCAGAATTCGCCCATACCGAATAGGGGACGGGATGTACGCGAATCCATGAATGCAGTTCGAACGAGGGCATCCATGATGCACAACCGCCAGCGGTCGAATCAGAGTCTAACGCAACAGAGACCCGCTGTCGAAACCAAGTTTTCCTTCGATCAGCCCAACGAGAGACGCATATCCGAAGAAAGTTCTCAAAGCACCGCACCAAGCATTCTGCCGCCTAGAGAAGGTGGGCCCGAAGACAGCCCTGTGCAGAAGACGCCAGACGATAAGCTCGCACAGCCAAGATTCCCAGAAGGCGACCAGCTTTCACTAGGTGCTACTCTGAACGGTCCATTATCAGAGCCGGCTGAGCTTGGGTCTGCATCGCCAGTAAAAGAAGAGTCGACCAGGCCTACAGCTAACCGCAACAGCTCTTACAGAGCCAAGACACCTTCTCCACAACCTTCACAATTCATCCCAGAACAATCGCCTCAGCAAGGAAAAGAGCTCACCTTGTTTCTCCAATATAAAAGCAAGATCAAGAAATACGTCTTCACGGATGGCGCTGAGCTCTCCTCTGCTCGTCTACAACTGGCTTTCATCGAGAAGTTTGCCTGGGATACCCACCGTTACGGCGATCTGCCCGAGATCCATATACAAGACCCTGTTTCTGGTGTGCGATACGAGCTGGAGGATATTCACGATATCAAAGATAGATCTGTACTCGTTCTGAACGTAGAGCAACTCGACGAAGTAAAGAGTCACATCGACGATAAATTTGGCGGGCTAAGCAAATTGGTCGAGAGCATAAAGACAGTAGTCGAGGATCAGCAAGCAACTATACAACGCGTGGCCGAACGTCAGCAGCAAACGACAAAGGAAATCGCAGGCATCTCAGCGGCGCCTCTCTCTTCAGCTCGCAACTCGGCACTGCTACCCTCCCGGCCTATTGCAATAGGCTCACCTTCCGAAGCAAATATCACCTCAGCCACACAACTAAGTGAAGTGCAGTCGCTGCGTCGTGATTTGGCAGTTGTTAGACAGACATATTCGTCTTTTGTGTCGGATATACAGGCCAGCATGTCGACGATACGCACAAAAGCCAGCGCTGTCAAATCAACTGCTATTAAGGCTGCCTTGCCCTCACTTGACGGAGACAGTGGTCGCGCTTACATTAACACTGGCAAGAAAGCCCTGCAAGATGACTCGGAGAAGATTGTCAATAGGGTCGACGACCTGCAGGATCTGGTCGAGGACCTCAGGAAGGACGTCGTCCTGCGCGGTGTGCGACCTCTGCCCCGCCAACTTGAGACTACCGCAAAGGACCTGTCGACAGCCACCGCAGAGCTCAAGAAGCTGCAGGATCTCCTAGCCAAGGAGAAACCTCTCTGGACCAAGATTTGGGAGCAGGAGCTACAGACTGTTTGCGAAGAGCGAGATATGCTCACCATGCAAGAAGAGCTCGCAGCCGATCTGCAGGATGATCTTGAGAAAGCTGCACAAACACTTGAGTTAGTCGAGCAGGCGACCAAACAGCAGAACCTTGAAAGCGAGAAGGAGGCTGGAAAGGGGATGCGCTCCGCCAGCGGTCGCAACATGCTCAATGCAGTCGCCCTCGACAAAGCTGTGGATCCACGCCAGGCTCGAGATGGCGTGCTCGGAGAAGTCAAAGCCCTGCAACCAAATCACGAAGGCAGGCTTGAGGCCATCGAGCGAGCTGAAAAGGCGCGACAGCGTGATCTCGAGACTAGGAACGATGATGAGTTCAAGCGCGAGCTTGGAAACTTCGTCGAAGAAGGCAAGCTCAAGAAGAGCGGTGGTGTCGAGGAAGCAGAGCGCCTTCGCAAAGCGAAAGACGAGCGCGCGCGAAAGGAGAATTTCGAGCGAGAAGCTGCAAGACAAAGAGCCAAAGCAGAGAAACAGCAGAGAGAAGCTGAAGCTGCCGCTGCCGCTGCCGCTGCCGCCGCGGCTGCAACAAACGGCGATGGTGCTGAAGGCCAAAACGGAGAGGCTGAAGCCCCAGCAGAAAACCCAGAGGAGGCCAAGGGAGATGAAGGTGGTCCTGCCTAGACACCTGTCATCTATTCCTAGCCTTCCTATCTGTGTTTGAGCTGATCTTTGGTCCTAGATCTCCCGAAAAGACACTTCACTGTCCGCCCTTGGGTCAAGACTGCCGGCGTCCCGCTATCGACGCAAATGCGACTCGCTGCGGAAACGGGGCTAGACCTACCAGTAGTGACAACGACGTCTGTATCTACAGAGAGTGCCAGTCCTCCCGCCCCAACCGTTAGAGTCGTGAATAACGGCGTACGAGCCGACGAGATCTCTTCAATATCCGAGGCCGACGATGTGCTGACGTGTACGCTATCAAGCAATACGCCTGGGACGCACCGCAACATACCAATATCTACTACACCTTCATCCACGTCTTGTGATACGGAAACGCCCTCACCTCTTCACTCTTCGATTTTTGGCTCACGACTCTCAATTTCACGAGGCGGAACGCCCAGGACTTCTCACTCGTATCGCACACCCAAATCCTCTCACAGCGTCCGTGACCGCGACAAGCCGAGCCCAGGTATACCGCCGGCTCGCCCACGCGGCATGACCTTCCCACGCGCCTCTTCTGGAGTTACGACATCTAGCTCGCAAAAGACGTTAGACGCCAATCCGCACATGCCCGAGAACAGCAGTACAGACAGCCTTGAGAGAAGCGGAAGCGATAGTGATAGAGACACAGATACAGATAGCGTGCTTTCATTCACTCCCAGTATGGGCACGAAGAACCTTGCGAATTGGTTCTCAGGGCTGTTGGGAAGATCGTGAGCAGTGCATTCTATGTTTTTTACGAAGAAACTTGCAGATCGGGAGATGGAAGGGATTCTCGCACGTCGTATCTCTTTTCGGAAGGAGTAGATGGTATGTGTAATATGTAATTGTTGGTGGTAGCATTGATATGGCGTTTGCGTTGTGGTACCAGGGCATGCATAGCGATACTGGCGTTGGATATATTGGTATGAGAGATGTTGAGATGTTGGCACGCAGCATCATGGGATAATGGAATGAATGAGACATGTATTATCTCAGACGATGTTCACTCTACACTGACGTCCCCGCAAAATGTCTGCGCAACAAGCGAACGAAGGTGCAAGTGCACATCCATTTGTCCACAACGGTTGACATGTCCAGGAGTGAACTAAAGGGACAACGCGCACGGTCACTGACGCACAGCAAACAAACAATCACAGAGAGGAAAGACTCATATGTTTGACTGATGAGATTCTCTTACTCTAAATTGATCCCAGAATCTAGTCAATTAACGCACGTTGCCGTAACGTCGGCAGCGGCAGCAGCAGCAGCAACAACAACATCATCAGCGTCTCCGGATCGTACACTCCACAATGCAATCATCGCTGTGCTCTCTCTAAAAACTCAAACTAAGAAAGAAGATGCGCTCAAGAGCTGGGAAGATGACAGCGGAGATGGGACACATTCGACTCACTTACTTGTCCACGTCCTCCAGAAAGTGTACAAACTTGCGGAGCTGCCTACAGCTCTCAAAGGCAACGATGCGTCCGACTTCGATACCCTGCAAAAGGTTTGCAACGAACTCAAATTCACACTACCCTTCGCGTCCGTGAGGAAGTTGCTTGGATGTGTACCCTGAGTGAAGAACAGTCGTTTCAGATGTTGGAAAATATATGCCCCAAGATAGATCCGAGTCAGGGTCACGACATCACTGTTGATCAGCTGGTGCTGTTGCGAGTCTTCAACCTGGACGGAAGGCAATATGGAAAGGGACTACCCGTGAGGGATACTGAGGTCACTCACAACGAGCCGTTCACGCATCATACTGCCAAGATCGAAATAGAGGAAAGTGGTAATGGGACGGGTGAAGGCATGGCGGCTGGCATTTTTCATCGATATGTGCAGCTTCGTTTAGTATGGTTGGCGCTAACTCTACGAAAGATATATCAAGACAGCGCTCGTTATCATTCCTCTGCGCAACCTTCCTGCCTTCACTGTTCGTCAGTGTTTTACACTTCCACATCGAAATACAGGAGGTGATGTAGATCCCTTCCTCATCGATGGACTGGAGCACGTCAAGGCGGATATCATCACTAGAGTGCTCAATGAGGTGACGGAGAAAGTACAAGGACCTGTCGCAGACCCAGCTGATGTCCAGAAGATACGGGAGACATGTGAGCTGCTACTCAGCTACCACGATCCTGGAGATTACCGAAGAAAGCGACACCACCTCCCTTGCGCAAGGTTTCTCTTAATACATGTGGAGGCGCTAGATCGGCTGACCGCTGTCTGTATTGAGTATGGCTATGTGGGCCTGTGGCAGAGGGCTATAGAAGAGCTCAATACCTCTTTCTGTCGCGAAGTACACGTCGACTTGACTGTTGGTGCTATAGGTCGCTTGTTGTATCAAACACAGGAGACAGAGCATCTGAAGAAGGCAGACTATCTCATCAAACTCTGAGAAGATTCCAAAGAGAAGGTGGAGATGTGTGACAAAGTACAAGCAGCATATAATAGAACTCAAGATGCAGACGATCAAGTGACGGACAACTGATTGTTATGAAAGCTAAGTTTTTGACCCTTCCATTAGTGCGAGGTTTCAGTCACCACTGCCAGCTGCTCTAGCCATCTGGCGGGTATCCATCATCTGTGGTACAATCCCCTAAAGCCCCGTCTTCAACATCAGAGATGGTCTACCTTTGATAGAATACGGCCGCGAACTGAACGACGATGTCTTCCTTGAAGATACCTTTTGCTCTATCGCAAAGACTACAGGTTGTTTTGATGTCGAAATCTTTCTCGAAGAGATACCCAAGCTTAGCGCCAAAATCCCAGAAGACGATTTCCGATGCTACTACGAAATCGTGCTCGATTCAAGCGTCTCAGGGGCCAAGAAATGTGTTCCTCATAGCACAACCCTTTGGAGAAGAAGCTATACCCATTGTTTCCCCCCCCTTCTTAGCAGGATCACAGACAACATCCCCTGGTTGACCACACTCATCATACAAGTCAGAGCGTCCGAATTGTTGATATCTGAACCATTCTTACCAAAGTTCACCATCACTGTCCTCGAGCCCGCGATCAACGAACTCAAACTCATTCCTCGTTCCGGCAATAAATCTGTATACTATGAATACAAGCCCAAATCTACGCCACCAGTTCGGGATACCAACAAAGGCGACGCAATTGTTACGAAAGGGGAACTGAAGCGATTTATACAGCTGCTCAAGCCTATGGCTTTAGATCAGACGGTAGACAAGTTGACGGATAAGATGGCGCCGTCGGGTAAGTTTGGAATCGATGAGTTCCGAGATGTACTTGGAGAGGAAAACATGGCTGAGTTTGGGAAGAAGCGTGAGGCGATTGAGGGGGAGAGGAGGAGGATGAGGAAGAAGAAGGCAAGGCTGGTGTTAAGAGACGGGAAGCTCGTGACGGTTTATGGCTAGACTCTTTGCAACTGTGGACATGGGAGAGGATGGACTGCGGCCTGCATGTGGTGAGCGGTGTTCTTTCTTCCAGTAATGATACATGCAAAAGCACGGCCTGGAGGTATTCGCTGTTTTCTACAGCACCGTGCAAATGATTAAGCGTCACTCAACACCTCCATGCTACTCCATACTATTGAAGATAACCAATAGGAACGTCCTCTGTAATGTTCCCGTTGTCGTTAAGGCTAGAGAGGTAGGAAGCGGCTACATGGCCTCCGGAGTAGCTAGCGCCTCGATGTACCTAGGTAGATGCCTGGGTAGTAGCTAAAAATTGCGAAGCCGGCGGTAAAGTAAATCTTCATCGGGCAAATCTGCTTGGAGCTTACTATGACAATATGTGAGCGAGTACTGAGGGTCTTTATAACCTAAACGGCGGATAGTGAGCTGTGATGTAAGGTATTAGATCGAACTAGAAAGAACAAGTACTATGCTTGATTTAAGGTATGCTCGTCAACGAAAGTATACTAACCTAAAAGGGGGGAGAAACCTACTACACTTGATTTGAGGAAAAGGCAAAGAGAGCCCTTAATCAAGTATAGTATCTCCGAGTGCGACCACTCCTGCGACTTTGCGGCGCTTGCACATGGCTGCGCAATCTGCAGCAACCATACCTAGGTAATCTCACTGCGTTAGTTGCTGACTACCTAGGTATCAGCCCCTCTACAAAACAAGACTCTAGGTATTCTTGCATGCACCTCAAGTGACGGATATATGGCCGGCAGACGCTTGCTTTAGTCTTCTCGTTGAGCGGCTCCACCATTACACGGTAACCAGAGCATCCTGAGGACCTTCTACAGCAGCTTCTCATCATCCATGACTTTTCTTATAACGCTCACGATACTTACAACATACTGCTTCCACCAAGATCTACCGAATTTCGGAGACCTACACGGTGTACCTGCGGCTCCCGGACGGTCGTTGCGGTGTAGGGCTGCTTCCTACCTAGGGAGTGCGCCAGTAGTTCTATCACAGCAAACGCCATGATCTTGCGTAGGCGCCTATATGGGCTGTGCTATGTCCGAGACCCGGCATCTCAATACTTTCTTTCATTTTGAACTTGCTAACGGTGACATACATGAGTATTGGCGAAGAGGCTGTTTCTTTGTCCCCAGGCCGCGTTACAGTGTCCGCCAATGACATTGCAGCTGAAGACTCTCGGAACAATGCAAGAAATCTGGAAAGACACCTAAACGAAACCAACCAAAGAATAACCTAGCAGCAGCGACATAGCAAAGCACCGATACACTCATTCAGCTAGTAAGATTGGAGGTCCTCCCACGCTGTACTAATCGCATGTCGCCCGTCGGTCCCAGCCCACCGAGCGGCCGTCGCGTGCGCAAGGGCTCGCCTGAATAGCCTGGAGCTACACAACTATGCACATCTTATGCAACACAGCTCGCACTCTGTGCACAACGGAATGTCGGCTCATTGCTGACCCTCCATATCGAATGAGAACCATTATGCCTCTGCCTGACCCGCACCACGCAGCATTTCCCCGTCACCGCCTACCGTCCCACATTATTCAGCCCACTTTTTCGACTCTTTACATCTCTTTACGTCACGATTGACCCGGCAACGCCTGGCGCGAGACTAAAAGCTTAGCGGCTTCCAGAGCTTTCCAAAGTGTATATAAGGCTGCCTTCCTCCCGCCCTGATTTTGTTCGGCAGCTCTCTTTGCCTTTTGGCTTAGATCAAGTGTAGTATCTGTTCTTTTCAGTTTAATCTCTGAAACGAGACTACGGTCTCATTCAAGATTATTCTTATTTTTGAAACCAGCTGGCAAGTCACTGGGCTTGCTCATACTTGCCGGCACAGTGTCGCTCCTATCCGCACTATCGGGAGCTGACGCGAATATACCTTTTTCATTAAGACTTCTGGCTTGCTCCAGTTGCTTGAGGAAGAAGTTAAACTACTCCTGCACGTTGGGAATGCGTGTTGTCCGCTATGATGGAACTGCTAAAAACCTTGCTGACACTTGTGCGCAAAGTGGCGGGGCAACGCTGACCCAAATCTTGTTGGCCGTTACAAAGCTCGCTTTCTTTACATTACACTAAAGACAACCCTACCTCGAAGATACCCGCGGAGACACAAGTTGAGAGGCCAGCAAGATACGGAACAATGCACACGTCTACGCACTTTTTTGTTGCAACTTATGAGAAGCGAGCTTCTTTGTAGTCATCTTGCTAAGAACCCCATACTTGAGATGGACCCTACATGTCTGCATCGTGGCTTGCTTCATCAATACATTACTGTGGAATATAGTGGAGAATTGGTAATGTCAAGATGTGTTTTGGTGTCACGTCGGATTATACGAGACTCGTACTTCACTACTTGTGTCTGCCCGTTACCACGTGCGCTTGCTAAGAGCGCTGCTAGTAATACATACAGGCGTTCATTTAGCACCTTACTGGCTAACAAGACCACACTTCTGAGGTGGCACTGATCAACCACGGAAAACCCTCGACTGCTTAGAAAGGTTTCTGCTTTCTCTCGTCTATCCGATGGAGATGGATGCGGACATGTTAAGATTTTACTACGTGGTCTGGCATCAGCAAGTGCAATCTGGCGATGAGAAAGCAGTATAAAGGCACGCTCGACTGCGGGCTGAACTCACCGTCACTTCAACTTATCTTATCATCTACCTGAATTAAGTCTTAGATAGCTACCGCAAAAATGCACACCATCTCCATCATCGCTGTCGCCTTTGGGCTCTTCGCCTCGCAATCCACGGCTACGATTGCCCTCGGCAACAATGCAAACAATAACCGTAAGTCACTGACTTTGACCAATACCTCCAACGAACTAGTCCTGGCATTGGAACAGTGATGTGGATCTACGGTGACAACTCATGCAGTAGAGTGGTCATCCCCAGCTGCGACACACCCATCAAACTAAGGAACGGTTTCGGCTGCAAGTGCTGCCTTTTCCTTCCAACGATTCGAATTGCAGACGCACAGTACAGTTTTGCTAACCGCGATATGTACGTAGATATAGTTCGGGGTTGCGGAACAGACACACGATGGATTGATAACAGTGATGGATCGTTCAACCATCAGTGCTCCCGTGTTAGCCCTCCTTACAACACCGATTGTAGCGTTCAACTCACGTGGAAGTGCTAAGTGAAGTTCGTCGTCTGAAGGTTGGCTTGTGAGTTTGTTGGTCGATGGTTGCTATGGGCTATGATGAACAGGGTCTCTACCCTTTTTTCATGTTGGTTTTGTACATGCTTTGTCGCTATTGTCTCTGCTGTTGACCAAGTAACATTACACTCGTTTCTAGATAGAGTACTCAAATATACAAATCGCTGTGCAGCACTCAATCAGGTTCAGAATCGCAATGATGTGTGACTGTAAGCATGAAACGTACGCTTTCGTGTGATATGATGTGGCGACTGTGAAGGCGAGGATCACGATAAGGTCATTTCATGGTACGAGGGCAGAAGGCGGTAAACAAGCATCCTCTTCTTAGATCGACCACACTGCAGAGCTAGTCGCCGTTAAGTTTGATACTTATAACTCGGTGTTGCATACACTCCTCTCTTCTTATAATGTTAGTCGGGGAAGGCTGGGACTGGAACATAATTTCTCGCATAGGGAGAGCGCGCAAATGCCCACGAAGACAGCAACAGCGCTGGTACCCGAGCAAAAAAGGAATTGACATTGGAAATATGATCCCATGTGGTGTTCTTGGACCCCTCTGTGACACGAAGAATACCTCACGTACGAGAGCCGCAGAACACATCTTCGCGTCATGTTCATTAAAGCGACTCTCGATACATCGATGCCTATGTATCGCAGTAGAGGAGATGTTATGAACAGGTGGCAGGCCTTACGAAGTGGAACCAAACAGAATATGTGTGCAAGCTATTTACATTAACATCTCGTAGTTAACATCGCGAGCTCACCTACTACGTTGTTCCTAGTCAGCGTGCCGGGATCTGTGTGAGTTTTATGAAGTAGCTCTTACCACACAATCAGCTCAAGTAATGACTTCAAGATCGCGTTGGAGAGTTTGCTCTGAAACACACTCCAGGAGGTCAAGACTCATCACTGGCTTCCCATATTAATCATTGAACCGGTGGTAAACCCAGTCCCCATTTATAAGAGGCGGTACAGGTCGTAACATCGTGGAGACTTCTGCCCCTCATATCTACTACACCTTGGCACTTTAATGCCTTGAACAGCCTGAGGCACGAAAAGAATAGGTGACGTTGGAGTTCCAGCTGCCGAGGCACATGCCGCAAATATTCCTAGGTAGCCGTTGGGATAGCCTGGTAGGGCTGATGTTTCGTTTCAAGCAAGCGATTGTTTCGAATGACGGCACGATCCGCCAATGCAGATGGATAAAGGCTGGACATGTCAGAAGTTTGATAAGAAGGAAAGGCTTAGTATGGACCGTTGATGCGGGCGGCGGATTTGTGATCCAGGTAGATGGGTATGATGTGATGTGATGTGAGGGTGGGGGTGGGAGAAGGGATAGAAGAGAATGCATGTTTCATGCGATGTCGCGGGATAGGAGATGTGCGTTGTTTATTCCGAAATCAATACAGAAGTCGCGATGGCATACGGGCACAGTGGTACTTGCCTTGAAGGTAATGCGTGCAGTAGAGAGCGCTTTCCATAGCTGCTGCGAGGCAAGAGGCTGTGAGACTACCATCGTCACTTCCTTCTCTAGAATTTCTTTTAGCGCTTCGTCGCTCTTGCACAATTCACAATTGGTCATTGTTTCCTCCGCTCTGCGTTTGACAACTTTCATGTTCAGCTTCAGCAATATTGCTTCATTTACTTCCCACGCCTCGGCGCAAGACAAGCCTCAACAGTGACATTGCGGGACGGGCGGCCAGCCACAAGCAACATCGAAACAAACGACAGAAACGAAGTGGAAACAGTTGAGTGATGGACCTCATTTCCGAGAGATCAGTCGATGTTCGTTGAGAGTCGAGAACATGCTCATGTCGCTCGTTTCGAGGGTACAAGCTTTTGCAGGGGCTAGGCGGGGAAGCTCATCAATTTTACGAGCCGGTCGCCGGTTCCATGGCAGTCCAGCATCGTACATACTGTGTACATGGTACTAGAATCCCGGCAGCGAGGACCAAAGTCGTTGTGTTCGAGGCGTTCAGGCAAATGGAAGACTTGCGACAGACTGAGACGGTGAAAGTAGTCGCGATTACCGATTCCGAACGTGGTTGTGGCTGTGTATTATGCGGAAATGCACTGACAGCGGTAGCATGTCTCAAATGCACATGGTATGGATGTGGCCTTGCTATACGCCGAAGCAGGACACACGAGCGCGGACCGTCGAAGAAAGAATGTGTGGCACAGTGGCTTTCCGTTCGGCGGACCGTTGAACGCGATACGAATTCATGAAGGATCGCGATGTCGACAAGAAGCTTCAGAATGCGATAGCCTAGATTGCGCGTCGACGACTCAGGCTCACCGGCGATGAAGTCACTTCGGGGCTCTTTGTGCAGAGATGTGAAGCGGCAGGCTCAAGTCGCGCGTCGCACCATGGCCCACGCTTGGACAAAGACGGCCAATACACCATGGAGCGCTCCACCGCTCCCTTATCCACGCCTATCGACAAGCGTCTCCGCAGACACGAGAACGCCCTCAACACGAGCTGATGTCGTCTGTGGCACATTGTCTCTCCTGTCGCACCGTCTGTTGGCCGTGGGGACTGGGCCGAATCTCACTCATATTGGCGCGAGTCCAATTTTGTCTCGCCCGGCAGCATCGCCTGCGCTGAATCTCGGCACGGTTGTGTGCTCTCACCGACAGCGCGCATCTGCCAGGTACCCGCTCCTATCGATGCTTCTAGCAGGGAGGATCTGCGGCATGGTCGCTTTCTATTTTGGCCAAGCGCTATGAAACGCAATCTATGGGGGCCACCGGCAAGCAGGCAAAGAGATGGATTCACGAGACTATGCGAGGGCTATCCCAGTGCAGATGTCCAGCGCAACGGGGAGCAAGCAGGCAAACCATCGTGACCTCTCTCAGCGGCTTCGTCGGCTGCGAAAACGATGGCAAAATCAAGGCTCACCTCTCAAAGACGACAGCTCGCGACCGGCGTATTCTCCAGCGGCTGCCATGCATCGAGGTTCCTCGTTGGCCCTCCTGACTGGCTAGCTTCATGCATTCCCCTGATGTTGTTCCTGGCTAGCGACGCCGCTGACTGGCCCCTGCCGCCGGTTGTTCCTGAACGAAATTACCACCCGCCAGGGGCCGACCATATTGGGCGCATCTGTGCTGCCGTTAGCAGCCACCCAGGTGCTTAGACCGCTTCCTGCAACTGTCAGCCAGAGCCTTCATATACCGCGTCCCCTCGCTGTGTTTTTTTCTCGTCACTCAAGGCAACTTTTCCTTACCACACTCGCTATACACTGTCTTCGGACATCACATTCTTTGAACATCCAGTCACTCTTTCCTGGATTATCAACGTTTCGCCTGGACCTTTTGAATTTACTCGCCAATACCCATTCAGTTTAAGAGCTAGGATTTTTTGAATATTCATCATGATGAAGCTTACCGTTGCCTTCTTGGCCGCTCTCGCCGCCGCTGATGCCGCTGAGGCTCGCAGCCACCGCCAGGCCCGTCGCCAGTACGGTGCCACCGACTCCTACGGTGGAGGAAACAGCTACGGCTCCAACAGCTACGGTGGTGGCAACAGCTATGGCTCCCCCAACAACGGCGGATACGGCGCCCAGCCCCCTGCTGGATCTAGCTCCGCTGTTCCCGTTGTCAGCTCTGCTGTTCCGATCGTTAGCTCTGCTACTCCCGTAGAGACACCTGAGGCCTCTACCTCCGCAACCCCCATTGTCTCTTCGGTTGCCACTCCTGTTGTCTCCTCGTCTGCTGAGGTCCCCTACGTCCAGACCTCTTCCCCAGCTTTCGAGACCTCCAGCTCCCCCGCTGACGCTACCTACACTCCTTCCACCTCCGCTGGTGGCTACGGAGGCGTCCCCCCTGCCGGCGGTGCCAGCTCCAGCACCCCTGTTCCTGAGGCTGCTACCAGCTCTGCCTACCCTGTTGGCGGTGGCTACGGAGGCGTTCCCTCTTCTGCCGTCCCTGAGGCTGCTACCTCCAGCTCTGTTGCTATCCCCACCATCAGCTCCACTGCTGCTGCTTCCTCCGCCTATGGAACTGGCTACTCCGCCGTTGTCCCCTCCGGTGCCAGCTCCAGCTCCGTCCCTGGTGTTAGCATGAGCTCCGCCATCCCCTCCGGCTCTTACCCTGTCGGTGGCGGTTACGGTGGTGTTCCTTCCTCCGCTGTCCCCGAGGCTGCTACCAGCAGCTCCGTCGTCCCCGGCGTCAGCATGAGCTCTGCTATCCCCTCCGGCTCTTACCCTGTCGGTGGCGGCTACGGAGGTGTCCCATCCTCGGTCGTTCCTGAGGCTGCCACCAGCAGCTTGGCCGGAACTGGCTACCCTCTCTACCCCACTGGCACTGGCTCGCGCCCCGCTGGTGTCTCCTCCACCCCTGTCAGCGACATGGTGACCTCCACCATCTACAGCACCCAGATCTTCACCAAGACTGCTTGCCCTCCTACCGTCACTGACTGCCCGGCTCACTCCACCGCGCTCGTCACCAGCGTCATCGCCGTCGGTACCACCGTCTGCCCTGAGTCTGACCTCCCCAAGGCCACTCCCACCGCCGGTGTAACCACCTCCTACCCCGTCTCTGAGGTTGTCCAGACCTACACTGAGACCCTCGTCTACACCGTCGGTGTTGGCTCGACTGCTCACCCAGTCACCACTGAGGTCACCTCCACCTCTACCTCTACCCAGTACTCCACTGTCGTCGTTACCGTCGGCAAGCCTACTCCTACTGGTGAGGTTCCCTCCGAGGCTACTGGCCCCGCTGGTGGTGAGAACTCCTACCCCACTGGCCCTGCCGGTGGCGAGTCTGTCTACCCCGAGGGTGGTGAGGATGTCACCTCCACCATCAAGTCTACCTCCACCTCCACCAAGTACGTCACCGTCAAGCCCACCCCTACTGGTGAGGGCGATGTTCCCGCCGACTCTGAGTCCTACCCCACTGGACCCGCTGGTGGCAACGCCACTCCTTCCACTCCTGCTGGAAGCGAGGGTGGTGAGGACTGCGCTGCTCCCGTAACTGTTACCGTAACTGCCAAGGAGACCGTCACTGTTACCAAGGGTGGTGACTACCCCGCTGCTACCCCTGAGACTCCCGCTGAGACTCCTGAGGTTCCCTCTGAGCAGACTGCTTCCTCCGGTATGCCCTCTGTCCCCACTGGCATCTACCCCGTCCCCGGTAACGGCACCAACCCCTACCCCGCTGGCCCAACTGGCTTCAAGACCTCCACCAAGCCTGCTTACCCCACTGGCACTGGTGCCGTTCCCGTTCCCAGCAGCGCCACCTCTGCTCTCCCCAGCTTCTCTTTCGTCTCTGAGGTAGCCACCCCTACTGGCGAGACTGCTATCCCCTCCTCTACCGTCCCTGCCGGTGCTGAGTCCAGCGCTGCCTACCCCGTCGGTGGTGGCTACGGCGGTGCCTCTTCTGCTCCTGCCTCTTCCAAGACCCCCGAGGCTGTTGTCTCTTCCTCCACCGAGGCTTACACTCCTCCCGCTGCCACCCCTACCCCTGACAACAGCTACGGCTCTAACAGCGGTTACGGTTCCGGCTACGGCACCTACTAAGCGTTGAAGTGCGTCTCTTGTAGATGAGCTTCGCGTTTGTGTTTGTCAGTTTTTGGTAGGATCGCTTGATCCGCATTCTCGCATGTCTTGTCTGTGTACTGTATCAAGTTCCCTCAGGCAGGGGCAGAGCGTTGGGTGGTTTCCTTTGTGATGGATTGTTCACGTAAAATTCGGGATTAGGCAGTTGATATGTACATTCGACAATATATTGACTGTCTTCTCTCAAAACTGCTCTTCATATCCGCCATGCTTGTCGGATTGGTACTTGGATCTGGACAGTGCAATGTTTGATGATACTTGACTCTTCATAGATCTTTCCTTTGTTGTGGTTATCAAATGACCAGGCGTTAACTAGTTTCTTGAATTCAATTTCTGTCACTTACCCTCGTTTTGACACATCTTCATCGTGATACATTGTGAACCATCTTGGTAATAAGCGAAAAGCTACCTCTCCAAATCCAATTCTCCGGCAGCTGAAAAAAAAAGTTACTGTGACACAAATTCAATCTCTAAGTTCGTGAACGTACCTGCATATCGTGTGAACATCATCCTTGCACACAATCGTGCCACAGCTTGCACCCACTCGCGCCATCATTGCAGTAGCACAGTACAACGTTTCATCAACCAATCTGCAACCAATCAGTGCCGTATTTCCGGGTCACTTAATCACACATGAGAACCAGCCTTGCGCTTCCAACTCCAATCCCCTGTCGAGCGGCTCGAACTTACCGCCGCTCAGGCTAAATTACTACAAACAACCCGCTTTGTGGCTCCAACAAACCTCTTGCCGCAATATCCATCGTTTGTTGGACAAAGGAGGTGCGTTGTTATTGTCGATCATTGATGATGGCTCAAGCAGATTTCCGTCTTGTGGATCTACACTGCACTCTTGATATGAATACTTGCTGTCTGGGATGTCTCATCGTGGAAACAATGGTGACCGCGGACGCGTCATTCATCTCGTATTTGACTCTGCATTGGATGCAAGTGACTACTGGCTAGGTGGGCGGGATTAGTCTTGCCGAGGACGTCCGTATGTCGTGATCGTGTTGACGTAGTTGGGAGAGATGTGGAGCTGCAGCGACTCAGTGCACTAGGCGAGCTGATGCAGGTACGTGTTCAGATTGGGATGATGGGTTCGTTGATTATGTGATGGCCTGTGGAGGGGTGGGGTTTGTTGGGGGAGTTGCGCCGCGTCAGTGATGGTCGATCACTATTTGTGCTATTTTTAATGGCTGGTAATTTCCAAGATGGCCGAGCTAAGCAGAGTGATGGAGACCAAAGCTGGGACATGGGCAATGCAGAGAAAACAAAGAAAAGCGAATGATTGTATTGGTAAGGAAATGAAATATGCAGTAGATAATACATGTTATGAAACTCATGTTGAGCTACGTCTTGCGCCTGTTACTACCGGGTATCAATGTCCTAAACGCCAAATGCACCTATCCCATCTGCTCGATTATGCTGAACTCACATTGTAGTGTCCCAAAGACTAGTAGTCGTCCTCGTAGTCGTAGCCACCCCTCCTTCTTCGACTTTGGCCCAGGTGCTGTCGCACCCAGAATTGATGATACGTTGAGTAGTCCCGTTCACCACTGAGGCCGAGTTGGCCTGCGACATTGGCGTAGCCATCTTCATTCCTCTCCAAATTCTTCATGTCGACATCACCCAGCTTACCTTCGAATCCTGTATCTGCCTCCCACTTGGCGCGACAGTATGGACAAGTCGCCTTGCCCTTTGAGGCAGCGATCCAGTTCTGCATGCAGGCTTTGTGAACATTGTTCCCACAGCTGGCCTTGCAGTATACGGTGGCTTCATTGTCGCCGAGCTCGTCGTAACAGATGGGACATTCACCCTCAATTGGTTTGCGATTGCCGTCCTGGCCTTCTTGTTCGGTGCCATATTTCCCGTCTGTCTCAACACCTGGAATGGGCGGCGCGTTCTTGATAACCTCACGCAGCTCTGAGCTAACGAGGGCTAGTTGATACGCGACATCCTCTCGTGCTTTTAATACGCGCAGCATGACGTAAATTATGTGTTTACATTGATTGCCTTTCTTCGCGTGTGGGCAATCGCAACTTGGAACGAGACCGATTGAGATCGTATAGACGTTCCCGGTCGAACCTGCCATGATGACCTTCTCCCCAGGGATATCATCGCTTCCACAGCGTTCGCGCGAAAGGACCGTCAGGCGCTGGGTAAGAGCCCTCTCCTTTGTCGCAATGTAGCTCTGTGGCGCCTTCTTGCGAAATATTCTTGCACGCTTCTCTTCGGCAGGCGCATCAGCATCGCGCTTGCCCCTCTTTCTAGCGGGTGTCTTCTTCGGCGAATCCTCAGTGAGGTCAATTACTTCGGGAGCGCTTTTGGTTGATTTGGCCTTTCGCGGTGTAGCCTGATAGTTGAAGGACGCATTGTCATCGTCATCATCGTCGTCGTCGGCGTATGTGGTACCCTTGCGCTTGCGTGTCGCTCGTGTCGGCGTAAGGCCCAGATGGGAGTTCATGGCATACGAGAATTGGGAATAGCTTCGCAAGGCGAGAGAGCGGACACCGGTTTGGCAGTTTGAGGTAACTGGCTTATGTGGGAGGGGGGTGATGGGTTCAGGGTGCGGGGGACGATGGGGGAAACCGGAGTGGCCAAATCACGCTTGCCCACGAACCCACGTGACGTAGGTAACTTTTACCTCGTTGGAGACGCTTCTTCCCCACCTTGACCACTGCCATTACACCATTACGTTTAGCAATGGGTTTGTCCTTCCAAAAGGAACCCAGAGCTGTACCAACGCGATATATCATACGCATGACGCCTGACACCTAGTCACGAACCTTAGACCGTGGAGATTTCATCGTTCTAACTCCATGACATGGCCGTGCTTTTCTTTCTTTTCTTTTCTTTTCTTTCTTAACATTCTCCAGGGAGATCCATATTCGCAAGTCATATTCCGAATGACGATCAATCGTATCATAAACTTGGGTGTCAACGACTCGCTACCGGTTGTCAAGTTTCCACAATCAGTGCGGGAACTTCACCATACCGCTCGTGTAATCATGAGTCAAGTATGCGATGGCACCCGCTTGATGCTACTTCTTATCTCCAGATACACATCTAAAAGTATTCATCTCGAAATCACCCTCCATTAAGCCCCCTGACTATCCCTATCTCAGGAACTTCCGTGGTAGATTAGAGCATCTCACCATACTTGGTAATGTGCTCTGCGTCCGGGGACACGCCTATGATCCACTTCGTTTCCCAATTTTGGGACCAAACAAACTCTCCCCGTGTTCTTCCCGCCTCAAAGAGCTCATAACTGCGCTCACACTACAGTAGTCCAACTTGATATCATGCCAAGGTACCGCTAGCTAACACGAGTGACCGGTTTCTGTCGGTTTTCAACTTCTACTCCATACAAATCGCTTCCATCTCCTTGTCCCTTGTTTGTATCCCATGAGAAGCTGGTAACAGACACCAATCAATACGAGACAGCGAGCCAGATAAGCCCCTTTACAGTAATACCTTCGCGGCGACGGAGACAGGTTATGCAAAACAAGGTCATGACCAAGCACATGCGAGAAACATCGGTACCGGGAGAGCAATTGGAAGAACATGCCATCCAGTCTCAGTCAACACCATCGGCAGACCTCGAAGGCCAAGTCATGCTATCAGTAGAAGATGACGCCTTTGGCAATGAGGAAGGCGCTGAGGTACAGCACAAGACGCGCAAATGGTGGTAAGCGTTCAAACCATGTGTCGTTGCCGTTCCTAGTCCTATGGGACAAAAGCCGTCGAGGGATCGCTGCTCTTCGATGTAGGGCATGCTCTCGTTCGACATATGTAACAACCCTATCTGTGAGCTATCGCTGATTTTAACCTACTATGAATGTTGGCACTCGTGAGTATTTCGTCCCTCACTCTATTAATTCACTGACACACACTAGTGATGCTTGCAGAGAACGTTTCTCTAGGCGTCCTTGTCCTTCCACAAGCCCTCGCAATCCTCGGTCTCATCCCTGGCCTCCTTTGCATATGCTTCCTGGGTATCATTACTACATACACAGGCCATATGGTTGGTGAATTGAAGCTGGCCCATCCGTCCGTAGCTTGTTACGCTGACTGCGGTATGCTTATCAGTGGACCATTTGGTCGTGAGGTGCTTGCTGTTGGACAAGAACTGGTCCTGGCATTTGTCATGGACGTGCATATCTTGACACTCGGGGTCGCGATGAATGCAATGACCGATTATGGTGCTTGTACGATCATCTTCAGTGTTGTTGGCCTGACCATCTCGTTCCTGCTCGGCTTGCCAAAAACATTCAAAAACATCAGCCACTTTAGCTACTTCTGTAGATTGAGGGGATCAGTCACTGCACAAAGGAATCATTCGCTAGCGGGGCTTAGCTTGCGGCTCTGTTATCATAGCAGTTACGATTACTATGATCGCCATCAGTATTCAAAAGCCAGACATGGGCAACATCGTTGCTGTGCGACCCAACGTACCACTGGTCAAAGGTCTAGCTCCAGTCATGGACATTTTCTTAGCTTACAGTACGTTCGTCCCTATTTCTGTGCTCACGGTGGCTGATACCAATCTCGCACAGCTGGCCATGTCGCCTTCTTTTCGTTCCAGTCTGAACTCAAAGATACCCGCGACTTCCGCAAAGCTCTCATCTTTGAACAGGGTATCGCAGTCACGCTCTACAAGCTAATCTCTGTCATCATATATTACTACACCGAGACCTTTTGTGGCCTCGCCCGCCCTCAGTTCCGTGTTCCTACTGGTTAGCAAGATATGCTTAGGTATTGTGCTGCCTACGATCATCGTCGCAGGCGTTGTAAATGGCTCCGTTGCTACCAAATACATATACTTCCGCATATGGAAGGGCATGAATGTAGTTTATATCAACAGCTGGCTCAATTTGGAAAGCTGGGGTGCTATTTGCACAGGCGCGTGGCTGATAAATTGGATCTTGGCAGAAGCAGTGCCAAACTTTAATATGCTTTTGGGTCTGATAAGTGCACTGTTTGGGAGCCGGTTTAGCTGTGAATCACTGCCGATACGATCTATGATCAAGGAAGATAGACGTATTGGCTGACGCGTGAAAATACACTTCCCCCACTGATGTGGTTATGGTACAATAGGAAGAACGGTAAGCTGTTCGCGTCGAAATCGCAGACGGCTTTCATGATCTTGAACTTTTCCATCGTGATCCTAGGCATGCTTATTGTAAGTCACCTTCCTCTAGAGTATTACAAGGCAAGTGCTGACCCCCTATTACAGTTTGGGCTTGGCATGTGGTCTTCTAGATGGGCATTGAACCAAGGATCCGGCGGCAAGATATACTCTTGCGAGAACAACTGGCCTCCTGTTAGCTGGGTAGCGAGAGGTACGGAGTATGCATAGATCATGATGCGATAGACGTTGCGCAGGGGCCGACAATGTAGCCTTATACTGTTTTAGGCTTGTTTACGAGCGTTGTAGGTGAGGGTTCAAGTCGTAGATGTATGGTTACACTCAAACATAGTAAAGATGAGCAATGCTGAACGCAATTGATATCAGACGCGAACTCGCAGGGAGACATTGTTGGTGAAGAACATTGGAATTGCGGAACGGAAGCTATGACGCGCCCGGGACACGGACAACCGAGCGTTGCGCATCTCACGACTCCTCACCTCATCAGCCAATTACAAGCCTACCTACCCCCAGTGCCCGTCCGAAACCAGCTGTTCCCGAAGAAAAAGACGCAGGCTCAGGTAATCTGGCTAATATCGATATGGACGGAAATGCCAAGTGAGGAGGCTGGACGTCCTGGTCTCGCTCGGCCTCACCACCATGCTTACGCTGCTTCCGTTGACTAGACGACGCGCTTATAATCCTTACTGATTTGAGCTGAGGATATCTTACCGCAGACTGGTGCGATAGTTCATTTTGCGAGGTTGTACCACTGATTGCTGGTTTCGTGCTCTTACCCTTAACCAACCGTCCTACCCCAATATCCACGAGTGTTCAAGCCTCCGACCCCGACCTTTTCGCTGCCCAATTCCCCCCTGTTTTAGGATTATACTTCCTCGCGACACTAATTCAGCTGCGATATCATCTCGCGACTCCAATCTCAATATGCCAGTCGAGCTCCGTAAGCGCAAGGAAGCGCCCCCAGCGCCAGTGCGCGCGACGAAGAAGAAGGCGCCCGCCAAGGACAAGAAACCCGAGGAGGAAAAGACCGTCATCGAAAAGGTCCAAGACGCCGTTACTGAGCAGGTCGAGGCTGTCAAGGAAGCTGTTGTCGGTAAGAGCAACGGCGAGTCTGCTGCCGCTGCAGCGCCGGCAAAGAGCGGCCCACCCAAAGTCGGCGACACGATTGACCTCGCGTCCTTCGGCGGGGAAATTGAGACGAATGATGGAGACAAGACGACACTTGCGAAGCTTGTAGAAGAGAGCAAGGGCGGTGTTGTACTGTTCACCTACCCCAAGGCTTCGACGCCAGGATGTAAGCCACACCCCTGACAGCTCCGTCACTCTTGTTGAATGGTATTAACTTATATGGTCATAGGCACGAAACAAGCCTGCCTCTTCCGTGACTCGTACGATCCACTCACCGCAACCGGATATTCCATTTACGGTCTGTCAGCCGATAGCCCCAAAGCCAACACAACCTTCAAGACCAAACAGAAGCTTCCCTACACCCTGCTCTGCGACCCTTCTCAGAGCCTCATCTCAGCCATCGGATTCAAGAAGCCACCAAAGAGCACGACGCGCGGTGTCTTTGTTGTCGACAAGGAGGGCAAGGTGCTGGCAGCCGAACCTGGTGGTCCAGCAGCTACGGTCGACGTCGTGAGGGACCTTGTGGGTAACAAAGAGGGCGTGCCGAGTAAAGAGGACGCAGAGGAGGCTGAGAAGAAGGAAGATCACGAAATGGCGGAGACGGCTGATGAGGTCGCTGATAGCGCGGCAAAGGTGGACAGCAACGAGGCTTGATAAGGATTGTTCAAAAACTTGTCTTTGTCACTATCGTGGAGTTAAGGTCATGAGAGCTTGGGAAAAGCGTTTGGTATAATTACATCCAATATACTTCTAGGTTTTGATATGTTGACTGCTTTTCAAAACTTCTCGGGTACCTGCTAATGCAGAGTGGGCAAGTCTCATACCATTAGGGTGACTTCTTCCGAGACGGGACTGTTTCCACGACCTTCCTCCGCAGTCCCTCTAGCCTTGATGCGCATAGAAAAGCATCTCTTACTCCGACCTTTCTCCAACCTTCTAACCTCCCATATACTCTATGCCATCTCAAAAGTTCCCACACATTATCATGGCAAGAGCCAAAAAAGCTATTTGCAGAGCATATGACTCGTCCGAAACCTGAACGACTACTCTCAAAATGTGTGCTCCATACCGCGCATAGCTTCGAAGTGGGCAATACGGCCTAGCATGGTCCTCGTCAATCTAGCAACTCGCAAAAAATGTACAGCAGCGTATAGTGTAATTCTTGTCTCCGAAAGTCGCACTTCTAGCGAGCACACTGAACTGGCCGGGATCTTTCTACAACTTTTGCCGTCTTGCTACCTCTGAAGATTTCCATTGTCGACACATGCTCATCTGGATATTAGTCGCTTATGGATGCGTATAAAGTCCTCTTCCTCATCCACTCTTCGCGTCCTCCATATAGTCTTTTGGTCAAGGTACGCCGGCCTCGTTCATGAACTGGAAGTAAGACACTTTGAGATGTCAAATTGTCAACGCATACGTCTTGATTACATATCTCGCGTTCCAAGACTGAACTATAGACACCCGTATATTTTTGCTTCAGTTGATGCGCTGCATGGCGCATTATGACCACAGTTTCAGTCATTTCCTTTGTGCGATTGTTAAGCCAAGTTTGGATACCGAAACTAAAATGTCATCGCAAATGTAACCATGGAACAACATGATACGATACTGAATACGGGGAGCCATAATACCTTCATGAGATTGCGTGGTAATGCTTACTCTAGATGTTCCGGTTACTATTGGAATTCGGATCGCAAGTGCGTGCTTCGTGTAGACCGAGGCACCATCAAGAGGGACCTCACAGCGGGCTGAGCGGACGCGTCGCCTGGTACATATATAAATCATGGCCTGTTAATCATTGCTGTTGAGTGAGGGGTCGCAAAAAGGCACATGTGGATGCTGAAAGACAAGACATCAGGAGAACATGGAGAGAACAACCTCACCAACAGATGGTAGATGTATAAATAAAGTAACAATGAAAAATTGAATCTGTGGGTATCAAGCTACTAACTCTACTCTCTACCAGGTCGATATGGTATATACGCATCCCCCACCTCTGGTATAACTGGCGTACTATCAAGCTCAACTGGCGCAATAGGTTTCCTCGGTACCCTCGCCATTCCAGCAAGTTCTGCTGCTTCAACCCCGCTCTCTGGGCTGACTGGACTGGGAGCTTGATACGCAGGTGTGCCAGCGACTCTCTGGCGCTCGGCTTCTGTAGCATCCATCTCAACGTTCCATTCGGGTATTTCGTGTGGATATTGGGACGAGCTGGTATAGTATGCTACAGTAGCAGTTCCTTTGGGCATGTCGTGGTGAGTGGATGCTGCTTGATTTGCGGTATCGTCAACGGATCGTAATGGGTAGTCGTCTTTCTCGTCTCCTAGATCCTTCAATGCGATTGCTGCTTTATTGTTCTTCTTCTTTCTCCTCCACAGGAGGAACATTGCGAATGCTCCGATAATCATGACTAGTGGGATGATGGTAGCTATCGCTGCTATGGCACCAGTCGATATTCCACTTCCACTGTCGCCACTACCACTACCTCCTCCTTCTCCTGGACTTCCGCTGCTAGTAGCTTCGATATTACTGGCCCCCGTGCCCGAAGATGTCGGGCTATTTGTGCCCCCAGTATCACTGGACTGATACCTCAAGTGCAATGCTGTGATATTCGGCGTCGCGGTTGCTGGCCATGCACCCCATCGTACGTTCTCAATTCATTCTCCTCCGCATCCGCTTCCCCACATTCAATAACTCGGAATCTGCCACTGCCCTCCGGTCTACATCCATCTCTTCCATCTGCCTGAAACCCATCGGGACAGCACTGCAGCCCGGTTTCTCCATCTATCCATCTGTTGTCACTACCCTCCCCGTTCGCTGCCGTCTGCGTGGCGACGGCCGTCCACTTTGCCGGGCATGCGGTGGCGGGTGAGTAGAAGGCGGATGGTGATGGGTAAACGTTCGACGTCACCCACGGCATGCAAGCCGTGTTTATGCTAAACGGTATCGGGTCGTCATCTTCTTCGGTAAAGACACAGGTTTGGCCCCATGCCACGGCGCCATTGAGGTTGCGGAGTGTTTCGCATGCTTGAGGTGGTGCGGTCGTCCATGCTGTGTCCCAGGCGTGTTGCAGACTTCGTGACGTGGTCGTCATTTCGGAAGGAACAATCTCCAATTCTGCGCATATGTTGCGCAATGATGTTGCTAGCTACGACAATGAAGCTAGGGATTGATAGGAGAGCAATGTCAAGGAATCACGACGACGCGCAATGAATCTCACAACAATTTCAGGAATCTCCGAAGACTCGCCGCCCTTCGGCGGAATTAAGTACAGTAATGTCAAAGCCCATCATCGGAATACATCACCAGGAACACAGCCTTGCCAGACCCACTTACCGCATCTTGGGCTATCAAGATGTGGAGAGACTTCGATGATTTCATTCGGTGGCAACGGGCCGGCAGTTCGTATAATAGGTCGTTGTCCCTGGGCGCTCTTGGCGACCTAGCCTTGCGTAGGCTAAATTCGTTGATCTCATCGACTTAGTGTTTGATATTTGCCTTGGGCATGTAGAGGGTGCGTCGCTGCTGTTGGTGGAGAGGTGTTGTTTTTGAGCTTTGGTGGGATGCGAAGGATTTGACATAGCCACGGTACTCATCATCACGCTGCACCAGCGACGTGGTAGTGGATTTATATTCTATTCTTGGTATTTCCTCCACAACCAGTGGATGCAAAAGTCTTATTTCCGCCGGATAGTTCGGTATGTTGCATCCTAAACCAATTCCTTCTTAAGCAAGACAGAACTCACTAACTATGCAGGTGCCTTGTAACCAGCCTCTACCAGACCCTCCTTCAAGCTTTCAATCGCCTTAGTGATGTCTGGTCGGTTTGGGTCGGTGACACTGACACCCATGTGTCCGAATCGAATATACTTAGTCGCGATCTCCTTGTGCAGACCACCAGCAAAGATGACGCCCTTCTTCAACAAACTGGGCAGGACATCCGGAGGTGTCATACCCTCGGGTAGATAGATGGCAGTCATACCAGTGGCCTGGTTCTCCGGCTTGGAAGCAAGCTGCTTGAGACCAAGATCTGCAACGGCCTTCTTGACCTTTTGTGATGCAGCCTTGTGTGCGGCCCAGTAGTCTTCGACGGGTCGGGCGAGGATCTGCTTGAGCGCCGTGTCGAGCGCATGGATCAGTTGTGGGGAGGGTGTAGCAAAGTAAGACGCCTTCTTGCCCTCGTAGTTTTGCATGACTACGATTATGTTAGAGTCCCTTGTGTAGTAGCACTAAAAACATGAAAGTACTTACTTGGCAGCCAGTTCTTCCATGAGCCAAAGTAGGAAGTTGGTCGCGTCTTCCTTGTCTTGAACCTCTCAATCGCGCGACCAGACACCATCATGATGCTCAGACCAGCTGGGCAGCCAATGCCCTTTTGTGAAGCCGTAATTACAGCATCGAGCTTCCACTCGTCAAAGCGGATCTCTTCGGAGCCAACACTGCAGACACCGTCGACGACGACCAATGTCTCAGGGCTGACCCTGTGAACGAGCTCACTCAGTGCCTTGATCTCGCTGAGCACACCAGTTGAAGTGTCGACATGTGTGACGGTCAGGATCTTGTACTCCTTCTCCTTGAGCGCCTTCTCGACCTCATCGAGTTGTGGTCGGTCGCCAATTGGTGCCTTGAGCTGCGTGGCCTTGACTCCGTAGGTCTCGAAGCAGTCGGCGAACGAGTCGGCGAAGTAGCCAGTGTGTAGGACAAGCACCTCATCGCCAGGCTCTACCAAGTTCGCCGCTACCTGATCCCATCCGAGTGTACCAGAGCCGGAGATAACGAAGGGTTGCGCGGCAGGGTCGCTGGTGAGGAATAGCTTGCGCAGGTTTCCAAGTACTTCACTGAAAGTGTTTACAAAGGGTTGACCGACGTGCGATTCGCTGGCGGAGGTCAGTACTGGTAGATGGCATGCACAGTACCACAGGTCAGCATCTTACCTGTAATGGCTCATAGACGAAAGCACGGCATCGTCAAACTCAATAGGCCCAGGAATGAGCAGTGCAGGGTGCGGTGCTTGGCTCGACATCTTCTTGGGTGGTTCCGGCGCAAGCTTCTGGACTTCCTCTACTTCCTTCTTGAACTCTTGCTTAGCTTCCTTGAGCTTGATTTGTTCGACTTTCTTGGGAAGTATGCGGTTGCCTTGTTCGTCTTCGGTGCGGGCGCTTCGTTCAGTGGAGAAGGGAGTGTTCAATTCGAGAAAGGGCTTCGAGTCTAAATGCTTGGAGATCTGTGTAAGGCGGGAGCCAGCCCGAGAACGAGGTGACGACATGCTTGGGCGGGGTTGAAGGCGGCTGTTCACGGCAACGAGACGCAACCGCGGGGCTGCAAACATCCGGTATTCGGAGACGAGCGCGATGGATGAAAGTGGCTTTGATAGACACAAATGGTGCTGCGTTATGCCAATTGCGATGATGTGCGATTTACTTGTTCGTATTCAGGAGACAAGGACGCATCAGAGAAAAGAAATTAGTTGTTTGTAATAACGAGAGACTTGATGTGGTTTGGAGATGCAATTGATAAAATAAGGGGTCTATCAATCGCCGCTCCAAAATTTACGGCACGAAAAGACACTTCAACACGCACGGATGCGGACCCGGGTTTCTGAATCGTGGGGTGCCACGGTTCCGCGATTCGGTCGCGTGCTGGCCGGTGAACTTGCGCGTGTCACGTGCGTGCGAGAAACGCCTGGCGCGAGCGGACTTTACTCGGCAGGGATGTTTGTTATGATCGGGCCCACTTTGGTGCAGCATCAACACTCGAGCGTCAACACCGTACCGATTCGCTGTCGAATGCATCCTAGCAGCGCACACACAACTCGACATATTTATACGGCACAGCTTAGTCGACACCCTTACAATGACTATGCGTGTCACGCGCGCCCGCGCCCAGCAGGGCAACGATGATGCGCCCGACGCGACCGAGCGTGCGCCGTTGGAACAAATCTCGTCAAATGCGTCGCCCAAACAAACCCACCACGAAGAAGACGAACTGGCTCCGAAAACCCCCGCAAAAACCCCCGCGAAGACCCCAGGAAGAAAGACGAAAGGAAAGGGCCGTGCCAAAAAGGGAAAGAAGGGCAAAGTGACTGAGGAGGAGGAAGAGGAGCAGGCCGGAGCCGCACATGAAGAGGCGCAAGCCGCACATGAAGCACACGTGAATGAGGCAACTGGCGAAGATGTTCCCAAGGACACTTCCGAGGGTAAGTGCGCAGCCGCTATAGTCCAACGAACGCAGGCTAATGGTGTACAGGAACTACAGAAGTCCCCGCAACCGCTGAACGACCCGTGACTCCACCGCCTACAGTGCGACGGACGCGCCGACAACTAGCTATGCTGGAGGAGGAAGCAAAACAAGCGCAGTCCAGTGCCCAATCACAAGAGCCAGCGGCAGAAGAAGTGCCTACCACTGTAGAAGAGACTGTAGAAGGACATGCAGCTGCGGAAACGCCTTCTGAAGACGCAACCGCTGGCGCAGAAGAGGTCCAGGCTGAGAGTCCACCGGAAGAGCCGACACAGAAGACTGAAACGCCAGTTGCATCAGAACCTGTAGAAGAAGCACAAAATGTGCCCGTAGCGGAGGAAAAAGAGGCGCCCCAAGAGGTGACCGAGATCGTAGATGCAAAGCATACCGCGCTGGTGCCGCAGATTGAAGAGCCTCAAAGCGAAGAGCCCTCAGTCGAAGCAACAGCGACTGAACCGATATCCGAGAATCAAGCGCCTGAATCTACAGTTGAACCGTCCGCACCTTCAGTCGAAGTCAGCCTAGAACCTGAGCCCAAGACACTTGCACCCGAGAGGCCCAGCGAGGACGCCGTAACACCACTCAAGAGCCTTACTTCAAGTCGACGAGCATCGCGAAGCCCGTCAAAGTCACCGATGCGTCTGGAAGAATCCTTCGAGGCCATTGATGCCCTTGAGGAAGCGCTTGAAAATGTGACTTCAGTCACGAGGTTCGACCATTCGAATGAAGTCATGTCGCCTCAGAAGGCAGAGTTCCCCAAAGCAGCTACTACACAGATCATACGGCCGAAGACTTCCAGGAAAGTGCCAGTGTCTACACCAGCTCCCGCTGCGAAGATATCCAGGACACCGAGTGTTGCTGCGCCTAAGAGTATGAAGCCGATGAAGTCTTCGATAGCTCGCGCGTCTAGTGTCCGCATAGCACCTAGTAAAGATGTTAGGGTAGGCTCTACAGAGACTGTAGATTATCTTGCCTCGAAACGCCGGCCAATCAGCGTGTCATTTCCTACACCTGCACCACCACCAAAGGGTCGCGCACCCACAATACCTACCTTCCAGCTCTCGAGTAACGACACAGTCGCCAAATTGAAGGCCCAAAAGGAGGAGCGACAAAAGCGGGAGGCAGAGGGTGCGGTTCCTAAAGCACGACCTATCAGCATGCCTCCTCCACCAAAATCCACAAAGCCTCTCACAAAACCTGCATTCCAACTCCCTGGCGAAAAAACCGCTGAGAGGCTAAAGGCACAAAAGGAAGAGCGGTTGAAGAGAGAAGCCGAAGCACCAAAGCAGCCAGCACCAAAGCAGCGGCCTGTCAGCATCAGCATGGCTCCTCATGCAAAGTCAACGAAAGCACCGACAAAGGCCACTTTCGAGCTCCCCGGTTCAGCAGTTGCTGAGAAGCTAAAGATCAAGAGGGAAGAGCGCTTGAAGCGCATGGAAGAAGCGGAGGCAGCGAAGAAAGAAGCCGCTCTCAAAGCACGACAGGCACCAGTCCGAAAGCCAGTGACCGTCCCTATCAGACAGCAACCAGGCGTTAGCATTGCGCCACCACAACAACAAACTCAACGTGCGTCTTCACTGGCAAGCAAGCACGTGAGCACATCTCTCTCGCAACCAGGTGTTACCATCGCGCCGCCACAACCACCGCAAGAAGCTCAACGTGCACCCTCGTTGGCCAGTAAACGCAGCAGCATGTCTCTCTCGCAACCGCTGTCTCAATCGCGCTCTACATCCACATCCTCAGCGAACCGCAACAGTGTGATTGTCCCCAAGGCTATTGTCACGCCCGTTGACGCCGCACAACAGAAGCTCAAGGGCAGAGAGGTCTTCAACCGCGACCGCATGGAGAAGGAAGCACGAGAGCGCGAGAGGAAAGAAAAGGAGGAAGCTGCTAAGCGCGCGAGAGCGGAGGCAGCCGAGCGCGGAAGAATCGCTAGTAGAGAATGGGCGGAGAGACAGAGAAAGAAGATGATGGGTATTTGATTATCTCATGGGATATTTTCTAGCAGAAGTCTTCTTGTTCAAGAATTATGTTTGGTGTTTTGGACACATGGGGCACCGATATACCCATGAGGTCTCTTCTTGCTTCTTGCTAGGGTTGGTGTTATTTTATGGTGTTACTCGCTGTCATTACCTCGTCGTCCCATGGTCGACTGGAGGTTTCTTTGGTGTTGGTACGGCGATACTGTCTCGCCTTTTTCTTGGCCAATAGATACCAGGTTTTGGATTTGGGCTCAGTGCCTCGGTATCAGGGGTAATATCACGGCTTTAGTCTTCTGGTACGTCCCATTAGCCTACAATTCAAGTTTCCAAACTTCAAGTCCTCTTTTGATTACTCAACTTGTTTCCAGTGAAAGCGCGTAGTATCACCTGGCATGAAGTTTTCTTTTTTGCAGAGCCTCAAGAGTGTCCTGGTTCTTTGCAGCGCTTGATTCGGTACATGGTCATTTACATTTGCATCTTTCTCTTTGGGCTCTCTTTTAGCGGCAGCGAGTCGGGCCTTAGTATCCCACGCGATGTTAGTAGCAAAATTACTTTCAGGTTTCTTGTGATCCGAGTTTAGCGTGGAAGCATCATCGCTGAACGGCGGTGCATGTGTCCCATCATACTATCGTTAAGCGTCCGGTCGAAGCCACGCGTGCTGCTCGATATTCGGGTATTAGGTGGAGCATCCTTCCGTCGTTGGGTATATGCCACAACAAGCGTGTCTTCTTTAGCGTCACCAACTCGATCGCTTGGGAAATTAGATACGTCTCTTCTGGACCGCGTGGGGTTGTCAAAAAAACGAGGATTCGTTGCGGGAACAACTGCCGTGACATGAGCTGGTTCGGCACTCTCCTGATGTGGTTCTGTTCCACGCAAGGTGATTGGGCACATTATAGATAAGCAACAATGCGAAAGGGATCGGCTTGTGTGACATTGAGATGGTGTCGTACGATCGCTTCATCGTGACGTTCACGTGGATCGAAACGGCTCTTTCAGCCGCACCGTTGCTGTCCAATATACACAGGGAGTAAGGAGGACATGGCAAAATGTGGCAACCCAACAAGATCTCTAGCTCTTGCGAATGCAACTTTGTGTGTCAAACGAGGCTTTTAGATAACTGGTACTTGCTAACTGTACAAATACCGCAAGGAAAACCTTGACATGTTGAGATCTGATCGTGTCGGCGCGTACCGAGCAACCCCGCAGAGAAAGCTAAACGCTGCCGTATCTTGTACGTACGAGTCAAGCATGTTCCTCGTGGCTTGTCGTCCTCCACGGCCCTTTTGGGTTTCTTTGTGACGCCATGGTGGCTTCACGAATGCCCAATGTCGAGTCAGTTGCTTGACTAACCTAGACTTGGCCAGAAAGTAGCTGCAGAAGATGAGGGCCGAATCTGAACTCAACCCTGGCACGATCCCGAAGGATTGTGAAGGATCTGTGTTCCTGAATGGCACTTGCGCTGATCAACAATATTTCGATAAGCGAATATTTATGATAGGTTGGGAATGTACTCCGTGAGATCTTGACATTATTGATGACGCCTGACACTGACAGATTGCACGCGTTTTCCCGTGTGCCTGCCGTTCGGGGCAATATGTGCGTTGACGGGTGCCTGCATTGCGTCGAGAGTCAATTCGTGGATTATTGGACGGGTCAGGGTGTGTGTGCAATGGCATTGTGAGCGGTCGGTTCTTTACACCGAGCGATCAAGTTCCAGATGCTGTGTGCATGGAGCGGCTGGTGGGCAAACAGGCGCTCCTGTGTCTCTGACTTGATGGTGTCCAGTTGTCCAGCCAAACGATAAGCTCTCCCTACGTTATTGGCGATCAGCGTATTGTGACAACGATCTCATCGATTTCAGAGTCTGGCGAAGAGCTTGCGAAAGCTTGCGCGATAGCGAGATGAAATCGATAACTTTTAAGCGAAGTCTCATGGGAGGCGAGAGGCCGTATCGAGTGCATCGTGACGCTTTTCAGCGACGATCCTCGGATATCGCGAGCAACATGCCCGCAAGCGAGGAAAACCAGTCATTGTTGTTGGTGAAGCAGATTTTGCTTCTTGTCACACTGTGGTAGCGAAGCAGGTTTAGGGGGCCTCGATGAGGCTCAACACGCCCTATGTGACTCTGAATTTAGTGTCGGGGAGTTGTTGGCTGTGTCCGAGCCTTCTCAATCCGCGGTCCTTGCTGGATGCCTGAAGTTCCGGCCCTAATCAGTAGCGACTGCACCCTTAGCTGGTATCGCAACCGGAACCAGGACCCAGCAAGTTTATGTTGATGCAAATTGTGTTCTGTATCGGACCTTTGCGGGGGCATGAGATGCTCTGGGAATGTTTGAGGCGGCCCGTAGCGGTCATCGGTCGATCCTTTGAAGTCGTCGGATCTCGGAACAGTTCACCAGGCCCTAAGTGCAAGCGAGGTGAGGTGTGAGTGGCGTGACTACGAGAAGGCCGCCTTGGTGTCACCTGAGGACTGAGCAAGCGTCGCACATGCAGCGATGACCTAATGGTCCGAGTAGCAGGAAGCCGTCGTCTCGCCATGGCTGGGACGGATGTCGAAAGGCGAAGCTGCGCAGACTGTTGACAGCTAATCCTGGGGCTCGCTTGCGAAGTGGAGCCGGATGAGCTGGCATTGCGGAAGAGGACCGTGAGAGAGTCAAGGCGCCGCTGAGCAGCAGATGGGAAAAATCTGCGATGAGGCAGCAGCAGCAGCCCATCCATGCCAATGACGAATGCGCGCCGTTTCCAGAAGACGACCAAAAGGGCAACTCGAAGACGGCTGGCAGCGTTGCGCCATTGCGACTTCCCCTCATCGTCGCAAATGCCGCATGACGAAGCGTGGGATCGAGTTGCTTTTTTCTTGCTCGCAACTCGCTATGCGACTGGCGGGATGAGCCCCTGTCGCCGGCACCCATGACAATCTACGGGCCGTTCATACAAAAGTGCGGAGAAGCCAAGCAGGAGAGGGCCCACCTGCAGCAAACGCAACCAATTGCACCCCGCGGGACCAGGGCGTCGAGCGAGGGCGGGCCAATGTGCGGAGGACATGCAGGCGCAGGCCGAGGGAAGGCTGTTATTTTTTCAAGGGCACACTGCCTATACCCAAGGCAAGGGGAGGCTGCGACTAAGTGGGTGCGTCCTGCTTGCTGGAACCCCTCAACAACGTCCAAGTGTGTCTGCTTATCGCCACCGGAAGATCACTTGCTGCGAACGCTGTTGAGTGTGGCTGGCTTCTGGATCATGCCTGGTTTTGTGAAAATTCTTCCTGGCGAATGTAGCACAGGCAGAAGGAATACCGGTGGAGAGACCAGCCGTGCCTCGTCTTACCACTCTGACCACGCCCTGCGCAGCATGCAAACTCTAAAGCGCCACGGGGATATAACGACACGGAGCATTGGGCCTGGGCGTGTCTCATCTGTGCACATGTGTGCAGGCTTGTGCTTATCTTGGGCCAAACACTGTACAAAAGGGTGGCCCGTCACGTGTTGGTGAGGGGCTGGCATGATCTGCAGTCGTAGTGAGACATGATCGGGTTGGACAGGCGGTTGGTTGCGCGAGGCTGCCCTCTGAGTATCACCGAGAGAAGTGGAGCAGACGCAAAAAAGTGCTTGTCGTGTCTTGTCGCCATGAGTCTATGCTCATGACCGTTGTGTCCATTTGAGACAGCTACTACTAAACTATAGCTAGAGCGGAAAACAGGCGCGACATGCAACGTCGCCCGAGTGAGAGGAATACCCAACCGTCCTGACCGCAGTGGCCGTGATGCAAACGCATGTGCTGTGTAACTCCAGTCACCAGCCCTCGCCGGGGCTACTCGTAACAAAGGTCCCATATGCACCAAGGGGATATATAAATACTTTTAATCGTACACCGCGTCCACGTATGTTACAAAGGGAATGATACAGAACTAGAACGCAGCGCAGCGGTGGTCGATATGCAGGTGTATTCCGTGGACCCATGCCAGTCCCAGCCGTCCGAGGCCCGAGACTGATGCAAAATAGAAGAGAACAATGAGAAACCGAGATCAAGGCAAGGCATCTTCATCGCTTGTCGTTATTGTCGTAAAACCAAACTCCAAAAGCAATAGACTTGAAAGAAAGCCTAGTACTGAGTGTACCGCCTCTTTACGTCCCGTGTTTGGTCAAAGGATCGCATGTAGCTGTTGAGTTGGGTGGCCGCTTGCTGCGAGATGCCTGACTGGGTCTGGGAAGATTGCGAAGCTAGGGATGAGCGTGACGAAGAGGGCGTGAGGCTGCGTTGTGGGGATTGCCTTGTTGCGGTTGGTGGTGCGAAGTAGCTGCCATTTGCGGTTGGGTAGTAGTGGTACGGGCTCGAAGGTGGTGCTTGTGAAGTCGAGGCTCCCTTGTATGCCGAGAAGTTGATTGCAGGGGCGAGGTAGAAGCCGCTGTTGGATGATGATGATGACGAAGCGGATGATGACAGTTGCGAGGGTGCTCGGGCTGTGCTGCCAGCCTTCTCTAGGTCGGCTAACCGGCACGATTGCGAGCAGTAGACGCCGTTCTCAGCAATTTGACGGTCGCATGATAGACAGAAGTCGTTGAAGCACTCCATCTGGGAAGCCATTGTGAATGTGATGTGGTGATGTAGGGTAGAGGTGGTAGTAGTAGTAGTGATGATGGTATATAGCCGCCAACGAGATGATGTCGTAGGGGGGTGGTAGTAGTGTTGGTATGGGTAAGAGGTAGTTGGACTGAAGAGGGACGAAGGGGGTCTTATGAAGATCTCTCAGGTAGGAGTCATGAGGTAGTTATGAGTTCGCGAGCGGAGGGACCGTGTGGAGCTACGGGAGGATGATGGGGCATACATAGTATACTTAAGTCGCGCTCAGGCACTCCGGCTGACAGGGATGGGGGCAGGGTCCACGCCGTAGTCTCCGCATGGCTGACCATGCACTGAGATGCAGCCAAGGCAATTGAATTTCAACAAGCGCTTTAAGCCAGCACCCCTCACCACCACCACACCAATTCGACACTAGCCTGTCCAGTGTGCGTTCCGGCGAACAGGTGCAGTGTGGGCGCCTGTCCATTCGCTCCATGCCCCTACGCTACCCAGCAGGCTGAGTTTTGGCCACCAAGGTGCTGTGCTGCCAGCATGCTCTCGCCTTCTGCCGTCTCCATTCGCTCATGCAGAGCCATTCTCACAGACTTGCAGCGAACGACTTCGCAGCACGTTCGTCGATGCTGCAGCCAGCAGAGCGTAGAATTTTCGGCCGCGGGGAGGCAGTGGTGGCCCATTTGCGTAGTGATGGGCGCTCTATCTGGTGACACCACCGTCCGAGAGTTGCGTGATAGCAGCGCGATGCGACAACGTCCCTCCATGACGAATGCCCTCACTAGTCATCTGCGCGGCCCTGCGCCGGACGGGCAGATGACTGACGTGCAAATCTAGGTACAAGGCTTCCTATTCCAGTTTGACGGCGCTGAGAAACGGATTAGCAGTTATCGGTTTCAGCAGTCATGAGCCCCCTCCCACGCAACCCTGCTCGTCTCCTCTCTCTCCAATCCCATGCTGCTTTCCGTCCAATTCCACCTTTCAATAACCGAACGAACCGCTTACCCCAGCGTTAGGCCCAGTTTTCGCTATCTTCGGTGATAACGGACTGCTCCGCAAAGCCATCATTTTGCACACACTAGCGTTCTGTCTCACTCTCAGCCCTGCAGCTAAGTCAAATTCATTCTCTTACGCCAGCCGTCTTCCGTAAGCCGACTACCTGCGCACACTGAATGCTGAGCGATAATATTGAGCCTCGTAGCGAGTACCTGCAACGCAGGCACACCTGTTCCGGTCACGCAATGAACTATATTGAAGTGTCCTGGTTCAGACTCTGTCTCCAATCTTTAGAGACACATACGTGATCACGAATCGCAACCATCCAAGACGTTATCTTTCGCAGCCAACGTGCTGTCTTCCACTTACGGGATTCCGGCTCTACATTGCAGCGACGATCTTGAACACAGTATGCACAACACACCATCCTAGCAACTGCCGTCTTCTGAACCCCTTCACAATTCCTCAACACATTGTTCTACAATTTCTGCGCGGCTTCATTTCTATTCCCGTGTCCAGACACGCGCCTGGAGGACCCCAATGCTTCGCTTCTTGCTGAGCGCCTCAAGCCTCTTTTTCCCAAACAGTTAGGAGCAGACCGACCTGGACCCTTGGTCATGGCTTGCTGCCCCAATCGGGGGTCGGCGAAGGCGAAATAAGTAGGGAACGGTGGTAAGAACGCATGTTCGCTTGCCCACCTAACTGTACATGGCTTGCGCAATCTGTGCAGAGGAGCACTTTCCTCCAGTTCGAGTACTCTGCCTCACAGCAAGCGAGATAAGACGCTCGGTTCAGGTGACCCCGTTCCTACCAGAGCATGCGTCCTGCAAGTGGCTCCAGGCTTCATGGTGTCCATGTCTAGACGGACGAATGATCAAGCCACCCCAGCTGCAAGTCACTTGGTCGGCGTGCTCCAACACGAGCAACCTGCATAACCTGATGGAGAGACAGCCCCCACGGTGCTTTTTCCAAGGTTCCTGTACGTCATGGCCCTAGACAAGCCACCAAGCGAACCATTTGATGCTTACAGGCTTTCTGCAGGAACGCTTTGGTCTTATCGCGAGATCCTCGCGGTTAACGAGGTCCCTTGAAATTCAACTTGTCTAGTGTGCCTCCTTTACCATGTCGCGCGATTCATGATAATGCAATCACGGGTGCAATCACAACAGCGCGACCAATGCGGTACCCAAAAACAGATGTGGCCCGTGAAGATTATCTTCCCCACAAAAATTGCGGACACTTTCTAATTGCGAAAGATGGCGACATTGCCAGGGAGCGGGCCATGCGCTGCATTGCAATGCTTTCGAAACGGCTGTCAGCCCCAATAAACAATACAGCGGTACAAACAATCCCCAACAACTATGTATCGAGGATGCAGCCTCTATGTAACAGCAGCTCTGATCATCGATATAGTACAAAGTAATGCATCGAAGGCATCCAGACTTCATCCATGCTAGAGTAGAGCACCATTTGATTTCCTAAGGACCTTGTAGCGTATCGCTTACGCGCTCCCAGTACAAGATGATGCAGGACGCGGGCTGTTCAATATTCGTGCGTCTCATGTACCTGCCCCCCCAGTATTGCCAACATCTGCAACACTATGGGGACCTTCGGGACGCGGAGCCCCAGGTCACTCGAAGGACCTTGCTGAGTGCGAACTGCACCTTCAAGCAGGCAACATGTCCCAAGTAGCAGGCGAACAGATGCTGTGTACCTTGAAAGCAGGGGCCGTTAATCTATCGTGAGCGCGGCACGGAGCGCCCACCGTGTCAAGAGACAATAACGAGCAGCCTCGCCTCTTTACTCGCTTGAACCTGGTGGTTATCTCCCGAGTTTGGCACTCTCCCGAGACATCGGCCCGTTTCTGTTGGCGGCTTCTCCCAACGACTGTGTTTCCCGTTGGTTTCCCGTCGTTGGTACTGGAAGGGCCTCCCTTCGCGGGAGGAGTCGGAGAGGCGCCGTCGAACTTATCAAACTTCCATGTGTCTGGTGATAGTTGACACTCGCACTTGTGAAGAAGCTCGTTCTTTCTAGGTTGTGACCTACACTTGTAGGTATGCGCTGTCTCCTATCTTGTTAGCATGATAACCTTAAACATAGCGAATACGTTTAGGGTACAATTCTCGTAGGTACAAACCAGAAAAAAAAGCTTCGTAGCCGCCTCACCAAGGTTTGGGTCGGACCGTTAGATCTCAAATCAATCGGAATCGAGCTAGTGGCATGACTCAAGTTTTGTCGTGTATCCCATTCACAATCAGCCACAAATGACTCTTGCATCATATGCGCCTCCGTGGAGGACTCTAGACATCTCTTTGACTTGGTGGTGTTGTTGACACCGTCGAGCTTCATGTTTTCTAGCGATGGTACTGGGCACGCAACGCGCGTTGAGCGCTCATCTAGTCTCGCTTACTATGCGCTTGCTAGTAGCTTGCCAAATACTTAATCACCTCATCTAAACTAATACTCTGAACTTACCATCAACAGAGGGCGAGAATACGCCGTACATCACGCAACCGCAACCGAAAATCACACGGTATCCGCCATGGCCTACTCCGCCGAACTTCGCCTCGCCTTGCGCGCCGTACATCGGGCGTCTCTGCTCACCAAATCCGTTCTCCGCAGTCTTTCCAATAACGTGTCTGCAGAGACAAAGGCAGACGACAGTCCCGTTACGATCGCGGATTTTGCCGCCCAAGCTCTCCTCATCTCCGCTTTGCATGCCGCCTACCCCACAGATGCGTTTCTGGGCGAGGAGAGCGCTGACGCATTGCGTCAAAACGAGGCACTTGGTGACCGTGTTTGGCAGCTTGTGCAACAGGCGAAGAACGAGGCTCATGCAGGTGGCGCCGAGAGTGGTAAAGGAGACGGAAAATCGGTGCAGGACGAGGAATTAGCTTCCCCGAAGACTAAAGAAGAGATGTTTGAGCTTATCGATCGGGGAGGTAAAGGAGAAATCACCAGAAGAGGCCGAGTATGGGTCATGGACCCCGTAGATGGCACAGCGACGTTCATGCAGGGCCAACAGTACGCTGTTTGCCTTTGTTTGCTCGTTGATGGCGTGCAACAAGTTGGGGTAATTGCTTGCCCTAACCTCGCATATCCTATCCAAGGAACTCTCGGCGAAACTTCAATCCACGAAGACCGCGTTGACAAAGATGGCTTCGGCGTCGTACTATCCGCCGTCAAGGGACAAGGAACCTTTATCCGTTCTATGAACGCTTCTACCTCCGCCGGACTAGGAGAACCCCGACACGTAGATTTGACCACTCTACCTCAAAAGAAGCCATCAGAACTGAATTTCGTCGAAGCAACACTAGGCAAGACATCACTCTCCCAACCTGAACACAATGCCGTCGCTACCTCGCTCGGTGCTCAATGGCCAGGCACGATTCTTTGGTCTCAGCAAATGAAATACGTAGCTCTTACCCTTGGTGCTACAGACGTCATGGTGCGCATCCCCAAGACCCTGGACCGCTTTACTTATATTTGGGACCACGCGGGCGGCCACCTCCTTTTCCAAGAAGCGGGCGGAGTTATTAGTGACTTTAAAGGCGAACAAATCGACTTTGCAAACGGACGAAAGATCACAGGACAGAGGAACTGGGGTATGATCGCTTGTATGCCTGGGCTATTTGAGGAGGTCGGGAAGGCGGTAAAGGAGGTGCTGAAGAAGAGGGATGGTTAAGCTGGGGCCGTGCATGAGGTGTGGGGTGATGTCTTCGACGTCGACATGCCGGTTGCGTGGACACTCGAACAGTATCATGTCATGTCCGCGGCACATCGGTACGATCCTGTTGATCGGTCAGTCGGCATGTCGTTCGGGATGATCATGACAGTACAGCCTGATGTCAGACAAGAAATTTTGAAAACGTAGTGTGATGGTACACAAAAGATCCAAGTAGCATCACCGGACGGCAACATGCTACGGGTTCACAAAATGTGGGGTAAAGCACAAAGACAAAAAAAAGCGGAGTAAAAAAAAACGACGACACGATGACATGAGTCTCAGCTGAGCAAAAGTGGTTTCGTGTGTTCATCATCTACTGCATGCTGTCTCAGGGGTGGTACAGTACGGTATAGGGAACACGGAATATGCCTGAAAGCATTTATGCATAATTGCGGGTCTTTTGGTTTATGGGATCTGCGAGACTAAGGTGGACAACATGTACAGGATGGTATTTATTACACGACATCCTCGGTATAGGTGGTACCACAGCGGAATCAAGTCCGAAGCCAACTGAATCAGTCCGCTTGCTAGAGGGGTCCATGTCCATTGTTCATGTTGTGCAATACTTCCACTCCTCGTAATGAATGCATGCACACGCATGCTATGCTTGTGCAACCACTCTGTTCATGCGTTCATCCGTCCATGGACGTACCCAGCCGCTGTTCGTAATACCCGTGGTCTATGATGCGCCGCCGCCGTTCTTTCGGAATGATACCTTCTCTACTGCGACATTTTCGTTGCCCTCGGCGTCTTTGCGTAGTTGGTACACGTACAGTACGAGAACATCGCCTTGGACCTACTCTCTAGTTAGCTTGACATCCTCATCATCCTCTGATGCTACCCCTTGCCTGTGCGACAAGTTCAGGGTAAACTCACATCCATCAACACAAAACTTGGCGTGGGATCCTCATCCTCAGTCCACCACCCCGTGCACATAGCACCTGTCGCACTCCCTGGGTTGACAAAGAACTTGCCCTCCATCTCATACGCCTCGAACTTGTGTGTGCCGCCCCATAGCAAGACATCGACATCCATCTGCCGTGCCGCTATTAGCAAACTATCGCCATCGCCGGGTGGTATAATAGTGTGGCCATGTGTAAAGCCTATGCGTAAACTTCCATGTGTGACGACTTTTGATAAGGCGAGATTGGGTGCTTCAACGTCGAAGTCACCTTTTACGATTTGTAGGTCGGGTGCGATAGCGCGCAGGAATTCGTAGGTTTCGCGGTCGGTTATGTTTCCCAGGCAGAGGATTTGGCCAATTTTTCCGGGTGCGAGAAGTTTTTTAAACTGTAAACTGGTGTAAGCGCATGCGCGTGTAGGTCTGTGAGAGACAGGGTACGGTTGTAGCGGGTCTTGATGGTGGTGATGAATGTAATAGAGGTGGGGTAAAGCGTACCTTTGCCGGTATATCCTATGTAGCCTGTAAGTTTGTGAGGTCTAGCATCGTGCAGATTTGGTATCGGAACATACTGAAGCTCGGTCTGGTATGAAGAGGTCGCCCAGGACCAGCACCAGTCGCGAAGCCATTGCAGCGGCGCAGTTGTGTTTGTATGCGCGCAGACTACACTGGGAGAATCTTAAATGTATACAGAACAAGACAAAGTGGCTTCGCAAGTAAGACGGAGATATATTGGAGGCTTGCGGGGATGTTGCGCGAGCTGGAGGTGGATGTTGGGGAAGCTATGGTGTCACTGGGCGGGCCCAGGTGGCAGAACCGCGAGCTTGGCAGGGACACCTGGGCTCGACATCGCAACGCTTCTCTACCAATCATGACTTCGGACGACCACTTTGCCCTTTCTCAAACCCAAGGACGCGACGGACAAACAATATACGTTGAATTTCTCGACCTTTATTCGGTTCCTGGGAGTGGGATTATTTAAACTGCTGAAGAGAACTTGTGATTCATATCAAAAACGTACATTGTGTGTCCGAACCCAAATTTGGGACCGCCAATCATCTTGATCTCTCTCTCGTTTTCTAGCTGATTTCTCCACACTATCTTTTGTTTCCAAGGACATAACGTTCTGTTAATAACTAGACATTATTAGAGTCGTCTAGTTTTCTGGCTTCTGACCGAAGCCTTATACTCGTGGAAATGTATTTTACCATTTTCAATCTTCGTGATCTGGAAGCAAGAGATGCTTCCAGGAAAGAGGCTGAGCACAACTCTTCCTGGCTGATTGCTTTATTTCACAGATTACCTTGATCCTGGTTTGGATTGGCAGTGTCGAAGTAGTTCCGCACTGGTTAATGAGCTGAGTTTGCGTTGGAGTCTTAGAACAACACTTCAAATAGCCCGATACGCCGGCCGATGTAGTACAGCTGCCGCCACCATGCGGCTGTGATATGACTGGTGTCAAAACTCATATTTTGCCAACACACAGAAAGGCTGCCTAGGTACTGCTTACTGCTTACTTTGAACTGACCTGCACAATCGGCAGAGACGAACGTTGTGGTGAATGGGTCACTGGCGTGTAAATCCCGTCGTGTAGATGAGCCTAATCCAAATTACGCATAGATAATGCCTACGAGCTTGCAGAATATGTTCTTTCGTACTGTCTTGTTAAGATGAAATAATTTAGGTGTGAAGTAATGCTTGTAACTTTGGATCTTGTGTCGACCCTGCTGCTGCCATCATGATCACATCGCAAGATGGATTTTGGATGCCACAAAAAGGCCTAGTCACGAACAGCTCTGCGACCGCAGTTTTCGAGGGTCCCATCCCTCACAATAATATACAGCTCGTCGGATGGGAGTACGGCAGATGGTGTGGGTGCTACCAAGCTCAATCGCGAGCATTACCAGTGTTATTGCTATTGTATGCAAAGGACGAAGCTCAAGGGAGAAAAGGAGAAGCCTTACTAAAGTTGATATTGAAACGGCCATAGTCTTTCCAAGAGTGACAGATATACCAGACAATGCAGCGGAAATTTTGTAAGTAGTCAATCTTTGAAGGGTGTTGTACGACCCGGTCTTAGTCGCTGCCCAATAGCGGTGGTTGTCACAAATGTACCCAAAATCATGAGGTTCATACCGCTGTGGCAAAATGCGTTAGCTACTCGCTTAAGAAAAGCCAGGTATGTGTCTGAGATGAGATGCTCAACAGGTGGAGGGTTCGAGATTCGGAAAATTGAAAGCAGTTATCCATGGGATTCATCGGTTTCTCCCTGGTTGTGAGTTCATGAGACAGTACGATTCGGGTGACCATTAATGAGAGTGGGAGACGTCAGATGAGCTATACCAATTGCATGGTGAATCCACGTCTCCACAGACTCCAAACATGGCACCACGCAAGGTTGATTGCCAGATCTGAAATCAGTTGATGCAAGGTGGTTGAGAAGAACAGTGATACAAGATATAACGTTTAAATGTCGAAACAGCAATGTTACATAAGAACCTGCACAGCATCGTTAATGTACGTGTGAAGTTCCGATCTCGCCCAGTCTCATCCTCTCGATTTTGTAGCTCACATTAACGAGCTATGCCTACTTCCCTTATATAACGATAGAGCTCTGATCTTTGATAATGTCTTTCCCATCGTCACCGTACCAACCAAGGAGGTGAGCGACATACTCTCCAGCTAGACCCAGACTGATCGCACCGCCGGTAAACCATGCACCGTTTACGAACCACCACCAACAGTTCTTGACCTCTTTCAGCTTCACTCGCCGGATCATGGTGCCTAGGGTGATTGCTGCTCCTCCAACTGATCCGACGAAGAAGACAGGTCCTAATCCTGCTGCGACTCCTGTAGCGGATAGTAGGCCGAGCTGAACAACAGCTAGACCCGACAACACCATCTTAGTTTCCTTTTCGTGTTTGAGCGCAATGCTCTTGATGCCAGCCTTGACATCATCCTTGATGTCCATGTGTGCGTAGATCATGTCGTACAGAACCGTCCACGCAACGTTACTAGCGTAAAGGCAAGCTACTGCTGTAAGCGCTGCTTGGTTCGCCATAAGATCGACCCCAAGAGCTGGGAAACCCATCATCGCACCCCAGGAGAATGTAAGACCCAGAACGAACTGAGGATAGTACGTTACCCTTTTCGCCAAAGGATAGAGCGTAACGAGAATGAGTGACGGTGTCGCGTACCAAAAGCATTCGAACGGGAGTGATAAAAGAACGGCCAGACCAGTCATAAGTTGTCCTCCGAGGAAGACGATAGCTTGCTGAGGTGTAATCGCTCTCCTAGCAATTGGACGCAATCGCGTTCGTTCGACATGAGGATCGAGGTTTCGGTCCCAAAGGTCGTTGATCGTACACCCAGCACCTCTCATAACAAGAGCTCCTGTGAAGAAGAGGGCCGTTGTGCTGAGAACCGCAGATGGTGTAGCGAGTGGGGTAGCCATAGTTGCAGCAAGAAGTGTGCTGAACATACAAGGAAAAAAGAGATAGTATGTGCCGACCGGGTTGTGCAACCTCATCAGCTCACCATATGGAACAGCTTTCTGAGGCAGATAGGATAGGAAGCCTGTGGTAGGTGGTTTATAGTCGGGAAGTGGCTTCGATTGTCCATCTTGTTGAGCTGTCGCTGTTGTTGACCTTGATTGTAAATATCCCTGATTCGATAGAAACGACTTGACAAGCTGAGTAGGTTGCGGACGATAGCTCGCAAGGGATAGAGATGTTGATAATTGCCGTTGTCTGCAAGCAGAGGGGAAAGTAGTATGGAACCTAACGAATTGCCGACACACAGCCACGGACCGCGCGGTATGTAGCGGTAGCAACGCCATTTTCCGTGTTTTAGGCGGTCAGAAGCGTATGTGACTTCGCATACAAAGACACGCGAATAACTTGTTTCCTGTTCGCTGTATTGTCGTGTGGGATTCCAGTTTTCAAGGTCCTATCTTGAGCATAACAAGGCCCATGTAAGTGCAAGTTAGATCTCTAACTCAGAAAATTAGTTCTGTCACTGTCGTGTGCTGATTCGGATCATCCGGATTGGTGAGAATGAGTGCCCAGGTGGGGAAAGCGAAAGTTGAACCGTTCGCGCTAACTCTCGACAACACGTGACAGCTTCCGGCCGCTCAGAACATCGTACCCTCGGTCGCGTCCACATTCCGATAGCCCACCTCGCTGCCCAAACAATTACGACTCCCATTTTTTGCGGCACTCGCTCCTTGAGTGACCGCGACCACACGCCCGAGCTTATATGTCCCAATATCTTTCGTTTGCAAGTACGACGACGCCGCGGAAGTGTTCCCTGTCCCTGCAACCAACCCCACACCTAGTGCGCGACTTCTGGGTGGGTAGCCGGTGGAGAGCGCGATGCCGGCTGTGCGCCCCAGAGCCTCCTTCGAACCAATACCTCCCGACTTCGATGTGCGCACGTTCGTGGAGAATGCGGACAATTTCCAATATGTCGACCGCATTTCATATGAGATGATCGCGAATAACGGCATCGAAGCCTTTGAGAAGCTAGTTCTGCTACATGTAATAATAGGCGGCAAACCTCTTGTAATCGACGGCTTCGAGGAGGTTCTGGATCCCTGGACTTTCACGCCTTCGTGGCTGCGCGACAATCACGGTGATAAAAGTGGGTGCACTTCAAGGCAACGTTTGGCGCGCAAAGCTAACAGATGTGTAGTCGAGAACGCGCGCAATCTGTCGACTAAAGAGAATATCTCTCTTACGATGAAGCACTACCTCAAGCATATGACGAAACTTACCGAGCAATTCTTCGACGGCCCAGACGTATACCGCGATAAAGCGAAGCAGCGAATATATCTGAAGGACATCGATTGCCCTCAAGTATGGCATGATAAACTGAAAGAGCACATCCCGTCGGGATTGTTCTATCTCAACGAGAGCATGGGTGAACCTGGCGGTCCTGGCGCGATGGACGAAATTGGTGGTCGCAAAAGGCGAGGGATTGGACGGGCTGGAGATCTCATGAGCAGCCTGCCACCAGATATGCGCGCGGAGAACCTCATGTGCTATATCGGCCACGAAGGCACCTATACTCCATCTCATCGAGAGATGTGTGCTTCCCTCGGTCAGAATATCATGGTCAATGCTTCAGGCAGCATCAGCGACGACGGCAAACAGGAGCGCCCTGGGTCATCCATCTGGTTCATGACAGAAAGCAAGGACCGCCATGTTGTCTCGGAGTATTGGCTTTCAGTACTAGGCCATGACATAGAAGTGGAAAACCATTTTGCGCAGCTCATCGCCTGGAAGAAAGCCCCATTCCAGACTTATGTCGTGGAGCAACGGCCGGGCGACTTTATTCTCATCCCACCGCTGGCACCGCACCAAGTATGGAATCGCGGCACTCGGACTATGAAGATCGCCTGGAATCGCACCACCGTTGAAACCCTGGAACTCGCGCTGAACGAAGCATTGCCCAACTCCCGAGTTGTCTGCAGGGACGAGCAATACAAGAACAAGGCCATTATCTACTACACTCTCGTGAAATACTCTAATCTTATCAAGTCTGCTCGCGCTCAAGTTGAAGCAGGAGGCGAACAGGCAGTTGCGATTCAATGCTCTGTCAGAATAAAGCAAGTCCAGAAAGACTTCAAGAAGCTCTTCGATCTATACAAAATTATACTGCTATCCGAGATGTTTGCACAAGATTCACGAGAACACTCAGAATTTCTCCCCTATGACAGCAACGTAACTTGTGCGTATTGTAGATGCAACATCTTCAACCGCTTCCTTAGCTGCAAATCGTGCAATAATCTATTCAGTTCTGAGATCGAGGAACCATACGACATTTGCATGGACTGCTATTGTATGGGCCGAAGCTGTAGATGTCAATCAGGGTATGTATGGGTTGAGCAGTGGAAGTGGATGGACCTCATTCACAAATACGAGGAGTGGCGCGCTCAAATTATCGACATTGACGGTTACGTCCATGAAAAATCTCCGCTCCCATTACAAGAAGAGCGAAGGTATCTCGGCAAGAAGACGTTGGCTCAGGTCTGTCAAGAACAACTGCGAGTGCGGCCATTTGTGGATATAAAGAATCCGCAACACGAGACTTTATCTGACGATGATGAACCTGTGGTTGACGAATACGGCAACGTCAAGAAGAGTGCGAACAAGAAGTCGAAACAGTGGCTCTCAAAGAACAAGTCCTGCCATTTCTGTCTTCATCGACACCCGAAATGGAAGATGGCATTGTGCTCGAGCTGCGACCTGGCCTATTGTTACGGCACGCTGTTCCGAGCGCACGATTCTATGCCGGTAAATATCATGGAAGCTTTCAACTGGAAGTGTCCACATTGTAGGAGGGTTTGCAACACAGGCGCTTGCCGACGTGACCCTCGACAACATCCATACGAGCCCAAAGGAACTTTACTAGGTCACGATACCAAAAAAGTAGCAGATCCACGCTCAGTAGAGTGTCTCGTCGATTTCAGTGTCTCGAATCTGAACTGGTTGCGAGAAGAGGAAGGTATGGCACAGAGTGCGATGCACCGAAGAATGCAGCAGGCGGAGATAGACAAAATGGCGGATCCTTCCCTCGATGCGCGATTTGTTGAAGACGAGGACCACAATTACACTCGATACGGCATCACCTACTCTCCCATGGAGGATGGGAACGGCGTTACTAATGACAACGGTGATGGTGGCGCGAGCGGTGCTTCACACTACCACGATCTCGATATGGATGGGGAAATCACTCGTTTGGGTCAGAAGCGTGGTCGTGAAGAAGATGAAGAAGTAGAGGGTAACCACCAGAAAAAGACCAAGGCAAAGAAGCAGAAGAATAAGGACGATGACGCTCAACCCTTACAACCAAAGAACGCACCTGGCAAGCAATATCAAAAAGAGGTACAGAGGAAGTTGCTTGAGGACGCTAAACGCCAAGACAGATTCATCTTGGTCGCCGCAAAGATGAAGGGCAGATCAAAGGTAGTGAAGCTATCACTGGCTACTGGCCATCTTGACCGGATTCGTCAAAGACCAGTTCCTGAGTGCGCACCAGTCATACAACAGGGTACTCCAGAGCAAGTTGATGTGTCTGGTGATATGCGATCCATCCTCCAATCCGATGTTGTACCAAAATCGAATACCCTGAAGAATGTGGCTGAGAAAGAGAAGGATGCGAAAATATACCGCGTTCGTGTAGAAGAGGACGATGCGTACTCCACGCGCAAGCGCAATCCGGAAATCAGCGGCTCTGCGAAACCTGGCAGGCCTCGTGGCTCCAGACGGTTTGAAGAGATCAGACTCGATTCAGACTCGGAGTTTGGTGGCGAGGATGACAAACCTGAATACACTGGTCGCCCACGTGGTCGCGTATCAAATTGGTTGGCACGGAGGAATGAAGGTGAGGACGATCTGCCCACTGAACTGCCGACCGACTTCAGAGATCGAGCTGTAAGGCCCAACCGAGAGAAAGACCGAGAGCGAAGCCGCATGTACAACGAGCGCCGAAAATCCATCCCAGCAAGACCGAAAGCTGGAATCGGGCTTACTGGCCCATCATCAAAGAACCCGGAACCGAACGGCGTTGATGACATCTCTGAGCATGTTTGTGACCAAGATGATGGCGTTTACAAAAAGGACGACCAGTCTAGTGAAGCATTTGCTCTCGCACAACAAGCTGCTGGTGCTACCCTGGAAGCCCAGCATCAAGAGGAGGAGGCAAGGGCTCGTGCTGAAGCTGAAGCTAGAGAAGTCGAAGAAAATTTACGAGCGAAGATGGCGCTGTTCTCCAAATTGGATGACGACCAGTTGATGGACAACTTCCTCGGTGATCTGCCCGCTGACGATGAGCCACTTGAAGAAGAGAAGCGATCGGTGGACAAGACACCAGAGCTTGTCCGTACAGGGCCACCGCCAACGACCAATTCTATCTTGAGTGGGGTCAAAGGAAAGAAGATCAAAATCGTCGGACCAGCCTCCAAGAGGAACGGCAACGGACCAAGCAAGGTCACAACGACGACAATTATCACTGCGCCGGCATCGAAGTTTTCTGCCATTAATAGGAAGCCCCAGGCCATCAATGTGTCGGATACGGAGAGCGAGGATGAGATCCCAGCGAGTGCGCCAGCTGCGAAGAAGCCCGTTGGTAGACCCCCAGGTCGTCCTTCGATGGTCCCTACGCGAGGTTCCAGTTCTGGGAAGCGCAGTCGTGGACGTCCCAGAAAAACGATGTAGATGTTGACTAGCCAGGCGTTTGGAGCTCGCATCATATGGCGCTACTTGTTTTTTTTAGTTGTATATCAATGTTTCTTTAGCAAGGCGTGGTTGGCAATTCTATGGGCATTTTCTCGGAGTTGCTAAGTGGGACGGATGTCTCGATGATTTGTTTTTCATGTTTAGAGATGAAGCATCGGAAATTAATTCTGAAGTGAAGAGTTGTAGAGTAGCTGCTTTCAAGGCACATAAACGATAACAATGATACTCACTACATTCGAATGTTTCTGGAACGGTTGTGAGCCAGCTGTTCAACTCGCGATATATTCACGTGATCTCGTGTCGACGTTCCAAACGCGTCTTGCCAACTCCACTCTGGTTCCACCTCCATCTTCACAACCCCAATCTTACCACAACGCCCAAGATGCAGCCACTCCACATCAAGAATATCACCCCCGATGCCTTCAGTGACGTTTTGTCACGATACCCTGCAATGGTACCCGAGAAGCTACGCGACCTAGACGCGCAACGCTATGACACCATTCCTGCGGCAGTAGCTGCAATGGAGGGTGAAAAACACTTGACAAAGGATCAAGTTGAGAAACTTGTTGAGTGGAAACTGTACGCATCACAAATCCATGTGAGATTAGTTAGAGTAATAGTAAGGCAGGAAACACGGAACGTTTCGTCCCGCCTTGTTAAGCCTGGTCCAAAGCAACACACCCGAGGTAATTGAAGATACGACAAAAAAGGCCTGCGCAGTATTATGGAAGAGCAAAAAGTCCCACCCAGACGCCATTCCTGCGCTAAAGATCCTTGTGGGGCTGAAGGGTGTAGGTCCAGCAACCGCATCTCTGCTTCTCTCCGTTCTCCAGCCTGCGGAAATTCCGTTCTTTTCCGATGAACTATTTCGATGGTGCGTTTGGGATGAGGAAGTAGGAGGTGCAAAAGAAGGCAAAGGCTGGCAGAGGAAGATCAGGTATAATCTCAAGGAGTATGATATGTTGCTTGAGCGCGTGAAGAAACTAGGACCGAGACTGCGTCAAGAGCTTGGACAGAAGGATACTACAGCAAGCGCGATGGATATTGAGAGAGTAGCTTGGGTTTTGGGGAAGGAAGGCGTTGACGTTGGTGTGCAGGATGATGAAGGTGTGGATGAAGGAACGCAGGTGGACGAGAAAAAGGAGAAGCATGAAGACGAGAAAGAAAAGAAGGAGGAGTGGGAGCAGGACGTACCAGCAACGAAAGAGAACGATGGTGACGAGGAAAAGGTGAAGAAGTTGGCGGCAAAGAAGGGCGTGAAGCGCAAAGCATCTGAAGCAAAACAACCTACTGAAGGTACTCGCAGAAGTATGAGAACGAGAAAGTAGTCCTATGTCAAAATATTTCATCAGCTTCTCCGTGGAGAACAACTACGGACGTAAACTTCACAGGCGTCACTATCTAGGTAGACTCCGGCACCTAACATGAGCCATGCATACTAGTCCCGATTGTTCATATCTCTGTACTCTCGTACTATCTTATCATTACCACAATTATCCTGTCACCGTTGTTCCTCCTCACAATCTCTTGCGAATTCGTCACACCGATGCCGCTTACCATCGGTCTTCAACCTTCTCTAACCGTCACCAAGAAACCCATATCCGACTCTGCAGCTCAATTTCCATCACAACATCTCACACCGTTCGACGAAGTTTACATTCAGCCTTATAGCTCACCCCCTCTATTTCGATGCATGTCCCTGTGCACCGCAACCGAGACACACTCGTCTGATCGGTGTGACGCCCGTATTTCATGCATAAGGGAATCAGCGCTGCGGCATAAGACAGAAGGGAGAAGGAAAAGACGAGCGACTTGGTATTTGTGCCTACAGAAGTTTCTCTCACAGCGAACCATGTCGTGAACTTCCTGGTTCAATGTGATGTAAGAAGCCGCCCCTTGTACGATCTAGTGGTGAAGAATACCCCGTATGCCGGAGATGAAGATGACAGGTCTGGGGATTGTGTTACGTGAGATGTGTGATGTGAGATTTGTGAAATGTAATATTCGGCGTGAAACGACACGAGCGAAGTATGTCATGCATGAAGAGGGGTCCTGCCACGCGAGGAGTTGCGGGGAAATCAGGGTCTAGGGTAAAATGGGCAAGGATTTGCAGTGGAAGTGAGAGACTGTGATGGGATGTGATGGGATGTGATGAGATTAGGCGGCAACATGAAATCGTCTTAGTGTCTTGTAGAGTCGGAGTTCGGAGCGTGCCGAAGATACGTTTCTACTGGTTGATCTCGTAAAAGTAATCATGCCATGGGTTTCAAGGTCGCCGACTCGGATATAATGTAGTGAATGCAGAGCTACTACCGATGATGATGTGTGAAGACCTTCGCTGACAGTTGTTCGCGCTGTTCTTCCTGTGATAGTGATTGATGCTGGCATTACATTGCGGTGGTTACGAGAGATCATAGTTCGCTCTTCTATGTTGTATCCGAAGAAACTTGTTGTATACTATCTGCAGAGCGTGCGTCAAACGAACCCACGCGGAGCAAAGCTCACTCAGTGATAGCACTTCAAACACACCATCATCTAACATACCTATGGAAGCCTTTCCCTCACATCCAAATTGATCTGTACCCGTCGCCGACCTCAGACAGATCAGCCTCCGTCCGTAATCTGTAATCCGTGATCCGCATCTTCCCTCCTCATTCCATTATTTCCGAACACTCGCCTACTGCTCACCTTACTCAATATCCCTCAGATTGACCGTTCTGCACCTACCTCCAAGTACAGAAATTTATGCGCCCCAACGTGTCCCTCCGTCCACACCTTTTCCGTCTAAGGCCCAATCTCGGATCCGGCAACCTAAGCGAACGGGAAATGAGGGAGGGAACTCCGAACCCAGTCTCTTGGTACAGGAAGATGATGCAATTATGTATGGTGTTCAGTCTCGCTGGATTGGTTTACCTGTACGTGGTGAATTGCACATGAACCTGTTCTTGCCGATGTGTTGGGAAGTGATCCCGCAGCTCGCTCTAAGTGGTGTACACGGCATATCAAAAACGATACCAACCATGAATCCCTCCAATAGGTATTCCTCAGGTCTATTCACCAGACGGCCTAAGCCCCGTGAATCCACGGTCGCGCGCCAGCCACCAGCGATACTGCACCACTGCACCTCACTTCGCTTACCACCACGACGTCCAAGTTCCATGCAAACAACAAGACTAGTTAGTGCGGTCCTGCGCGTCAATTTAGCCTTAGTCCCAATCGAGCCCCCTTCCGTCCCCAGCATGCTCCGCGTTAGTGACGAAAGAAAGTCGATTGCCCGCCCTGGCCATATCGCATTTCCCCAGTTTCCCCCCCAGCTTACTTTGCCATGCTAGCGACGCAGAAAATCGCATTGCGCCAACAACATGTGCATGTGAATCTTTGGCTAGCTTTGTTGTAATCGGTGAGAAGTCTGCAGGTCGCTTCTTCCAGAAAAATCCGCATGCTGCAGTAACACCGATGCCTGCATACTGTACAGTTGCGAAAAGAAAAGCTTGGAATGTTATGCAGGTAAGCAGACCCCCGATCCATACACCTGCATGCATGCAGGTTCGCGATCGGCGATCGGTACTCTTAATGATGTTTCAACTTCGGTAAAGTTTTGGTGAGGAAATTTGATGACCATTTCGGGGCTTGCAATGCAATGACAGGAACTCCGGGTAAGGCGGCTGTCGAAAGCGATATGTTTGTACTACAACAACTCGGTAGTATGTGATCTGGTGTGAATATTGTTGGGAGATTAAGCAAATGCAGATATTTAGAGACGGAGCGATGTTGGAAATTGACTTTTATTATGGACAATTACTGGGGGTTACTGGGATCGCAGTTGTGGTTTGTCAATATGGTGGAGATGCGATGCATGGCAAACGAGGTGTGGAGAATGTGCACCATCACTTAACGAGATGAAGATCACCTTCACATTAGTCAAGTTGAACACGACCAGGCAACATGCCTGTTGATGCATTATACTACACGGCTTGATGGAACAGCCAAACATGCTATCAAAGACACCTCAAGAAAAAGCAGAGAGTAGTAAGTAATAGCCTATAGCAGAGCAGTCCAAACCACTCCATCCATCATGCAAGAAAATGTGTCCAGTTCCCATTGTAGGTGCACCGCCACTTGCAAGAAGGCCAAACACCCTTGTTCCGCGCATTGCCCAAGAAGGTTATGTTCATCAATGATCATCAATAATTCATCCTCCGTCCTTTATCCTCAACCAGAAAGAGGCCCAAGCCACACTAGGGAAAAAGCGGAAATAGATACAGAATGGCAATAGTAGATGTTGAGAAGAGAAAGTAGAAAACGCCGTCTTTTGATAACGTTCGCCGATGCATGCAACCTAGATCCAAGCTGTGTGAGAACGCCCTGCGCCTGCCCTTAGCGGTAGTGGTAAAGTCATGTTGTTGCTTTGTAATTCGTATATGTACACACGCGTGAAACGGGAATCCAATGTATGTGTATTCGTACAGCAGTAGATCTTGGGTATCGTGTAATTGATGACGGAGATGACAGTAAAGTTGTCGGTGTACGGTGTGTGGGTGTTGTTATTGTGACTCGGCTGTCCGGTCATCGTGCGCTGGCTCTAGCTCAGGTGGAGGAACCTTCTTGACTGTCCCGTTGCTCCCACTCCGAGTTGATCGACGGCGATGAAAGCTGGCGCGAGCTAGTTCGCCATTAGACACTGAATTGCTTCGATGTGACGAAGTTGGAACTGGTGTCTTCTTCTTAGCAAAGCTCATGATTAGCTCATCATCACTGTCTTCATCTTCTTCCTCGCTCTCGATGGCATGGTCGCCATCGTAGCCATCGGCATCGTCGATGGAGGCTTCGAACTGATTGCCTGACACAGGAGAGATCCAGGAGTGCTCGTCGAACGATCCGCATGCACCTTGATTGGGGGAGCCGGGCGACGCAACCGAGGGAATTGATGGATTTGACTCAGATTGAGACATTGCAGAGAATTGATCTTCGGAAGAAGAAAGAGCCAAACCGCGGCTTGATCCACCGAGAGGGCTATTCTCAGAGGACTGATCGTTTCGGTGCCAGCTTTCTTGATCGTTCTGTTGACGGAAGGCTATCTCATCATCTGGGCTTGGAGGACATGCAGTCTGGGCAAGAGAAGAAGGAGGCCGTTGTGTAACAGAACTGGACCTCTCACGAGCTGCTGATTGTTCTACCCCGAGTCTACGGCGGTACTCATCCTTGGCACGGTCAAAACGGTCCTCCGACTTTTCTCGTGCAATCGAAGTAGGACTGGAAGGTCTGGAAGGCCTTTGGTCACCAGTTTCAAGCAGCTGCGATGATCGCCTGGAGTCGGGCGCCATAGCAAGACTAGGACCAACATCAAGGTTATTGATAGCTGCCCAGTTTCTATGAAGGCGTGACGATAGTGATGACAGTGAAGATTGCCGCGACGAGGGATCAAGACGTCCAAAAGATGGAGCCTCCGAATGACTAGGCGATGAGCTTCGAGCAATAGGAGACAAGTCTCTCAGGGCGTCAGGTTGATTGACTTGACCGGAAGCACACGTGGTGCTAATTGCCAGGCTTGGCACGCCATGGGCATCGTCGTCTCCGCCAACAAGCCTATCGATTGACCTCGCGCGGCTATGCTCTTTTGGGGGCTTCAACTTGTCTTTGCTTCTCATGCTGTTAACGACACGCCGAGGCAGACCTCCGAAGAGGCCTCCCAACTGTGAGCCACCAGGTGTGTCTAAGGCCATAGGAGTGCCAGGTAGAGCTGGAGGGAAACCAGGGGATGCTGATCGACCCGTATGTTGCAGATCCGCTTGGCGGATAGTACTTATGGAAGACAGGGCGCGGTCTTGCATTTGGGGTCGCTGCAGGCCCTCAAGGTTCTGTGCAGGCGATGCAGTACGGGAGTTGGGGCTATCGAAGTACTTTGACCGTTCTCTTGCCTCTGGGCTTGCTGTAACACTGTGAGAGAGTGGATGTTCTGCTTCACGCGAGCGTGTCAAAATCTCCAAGATAGCGCCGGGTGCTAGGCTACCACGTCGACCCTCATATGGCCGGGCATCTTGACTGATGGTACTGCTCGAAGAGTTTGCGCTGATGCTTGGGGGTGCATCCTGATTCGTAGCTGAGCTCTGTGCGCGCCGTCTTGAACCCGAACTGCGCGTTGTGAAACCTTTGACAAACTCTGAAGTTTTCTTAGCTGCGGAGCGAAGGCGGTCGACAAAGCCAATAGGAACGACGGCCTCCTCGACATCTTCTTTGGAAATCTGGATCCTTCTTCCGTCGTAGGACTTGCTAGGATCCGTCTCTTCAGCCCACGAGATGTGGTTGGGAATACCAGATAGTAGCCACGGGTGGCGCTTGATTTCTGGTATGGTAATGCGGCGACGCGCGTCCTTGATCAGCAGTCGTCGGAGCAGGTCGCGGAGGTTTTCATCAACCTCTTCGTACTCGAGGTCGTGCGGTGCTCTCTTGCTGCTCATCATCGGCTGATTATTGCGTCCGTGTGAATTGGGCCGTGAGTTTGATTGCTCAGCGACAGGCTTCAACCGGTACCTGGGGATGTAGGGCTCATCTTCGCTGATGACCTTCATCAAAGTGAAGGTGTTGGTATCGTGAAAAGGCACACGACCATAGATGAGGCAGTACAGCGTGACGCCAAGGGCCCAGATGTCGATTCCGCCGTCGATGAGGGGAGTCTCCGCATCAATCTCTGTACGGCAGAGCTCAGGAGCATAGAAAGCTGGGGTACCAACTGTCTTTGCCAGTTCAATAGCTTCGTCAACCTCTTGATAGTCAGACTCGGAGTGTTCGCCATTGCTTTCGTCTGTCTTTTGCCGTCCCAGGTAGGACACACCAAAGTCGGAGATCTTGATGCGATGCTCCCTGGTTACGAGAAGGTTGGCAGGCTTGATGTCACGATGGATGACGTTTTGATAGTGTAGGTATTCAATGCCCAGCACAGTGTCTTTGAAGGCTTCCCAGGCAGCGTGGATGGTCATTAAGGGGACGTAGTTGAAGTGCTCAGGGATCTCTTCGCCAGGGTCGGTCAGACGAGACGAGGAGCTGCCAGCAACGCTCGGTACGCGACCTCGGCTGAGCTCGGTGTCGTATGGACCGTACATAGTCCCCTCGAGCCCATCAGCCCACGAGTTGTTCACTGGCTCAGGCGATCGGAAAGCAGTCTCCATGTGGTCTTCATGATGACTTGCGGGATCTTGTCGCTCGCGGAAATGCACACGGCTCAGCGGACGCTCATCTTCGCGGTGGGATGCCACCGAACTGCGTCCGTTCTCAGAGTACTCGTCTTCCGAGTCGGTTGCAAATTCCAGGCTCCATGGCTGGTTGGAGGAACCGTCTTTCCGACGAATGTGTGCCTCCCTGGCCATGCGACGTTGCTGACGGGCGAGCTTCTGGTGAGCGATACGGATGATCCTTTCGTCTTCCAGTGCTGCACTGTCATTGTCGAAGATGCCTTCAGACTCACGCTTGAAGCGACGCCATTCGACGAGGCAGATCTCCCTAGCACCCTCGGTCCTCCACTTGACCTCGCCCAACTCAACGTGCTCAAGGACGATATAGACCTTCTTCTTAGCTGGGTCGTCGATGACTTCGAGCAAGCTGACGATGTTGGGGTGACGGGCCTTTTTGAGAATGGCTATCTCGCGCTTGATCTTGTCTTCATGGCTGTTGTTCTTGCCGAGGCGTCGACGCTTGGAATAGCGGTCGACGATCTTGATGGCGACATATCGGCCGTGGACCAGGTCCTTGCCCAGCTTGACCTTGCCATGGACACCTCGACCGAGCTCGTCGATGATCTCGTACTGATTGACGATCTTGCGTCCAGAAACGGGGTCGGCCTGGACATCGGCAATGTGGGTCTCCTTGGGCGCTTGCCTGTGGGTATGGTGGAGCCATGGCGTGGAATAGGTGCCGTCGTCGGGCTGATCGGGCTCCTGGGAGGGGCGTCGGTTGGTAGGGTTGAAGAGGCCGGGGCTGCTCACAGGAGAGTTGCCAACGGTGCGTGGAGCCGACTCCATGATGTCCCTGTAGTGTTCGTGGGAGAGGCCAAAGGCGCCCAGGCTGGACAGCGAGTTGGCGGCCGAGTGTGCGGGATGGGAGCTGCGGGAGCGCACAATGGGCGGGACATGGGGCTGGGGGTATTGCTGCAGGTGAAGAGCGGCATAGGACTGGTTGGGGTAGACTGGCCCATCGCGCTGGTGTGAAGGGAGGGCGTGGGTGTAGGGGTGGACGGGGCGGATGGGGTCTACCGAGTTGGCTCGTACAGTCACGTTGCTGGCCGTGGATGCACTCGAGAGGTCTCGCATAAAGGCAGGGCGGTCGGGGTGTGGTGTCGACGAGTGCGAGGCTTCGTTGACGGTGGTGAGGGAGGCCTGTGAAGCATGTGCGCTCGTGCTGGGTGAGGGGTTGGTTGAGGCGGGCGTGTCGCGGGGAAGGGGCGACGAGTAGATTCGGAGGGGTTGCGGAGAGAAGTACGAGGGCTCAGGGTCGAGGGTGTGAATCTGCGATAAGAGACTGGCGTTGAGGGCGTCTGGGACGGAAGGCACCTCGGAGCGGGGCGTGCAGTCGTTCTCGTCGTCGACAGGCACCGTGGCCCCTCGGTCTGCATGGCCTTGACTCGGCGTCGACTCGCCATGCTGCTGCTGCTGCTGCTCCTCTTCTCTTCCTTCGACCGGTGCCTTTGGTATTGCAGCGGCGGCGGCGTCTGGGGTCTGGTAGCACACAGATGACGCTGGCGACGATTGCGCCTCGTCGTCCCGCCGTTCCCCTTCCGCTGTCAGGTCCGCATTCGGGTCGACCATGGCAACCACACAGCTCAGGACGTGTCAGGTCAGCGGAGGCGTGCAACCATGCCAGCCCTTCTACGGTTTGTCGAGGCGCAGTTGGCGGGCGGATAGTCTCATGTCGCGTTGGGCTAGAGGGTGGTGGTGGTGTCACGGCCAGGACAATGGCGCCCGTGTGCACTGAGATTCAATGTCGGCGTCGATGGGCGTGGTAGGGCAGGTTGTGATGGTAGCAGTGGGCCGGGTGGTGGGCTCAACGGCTCGATATGGATTTGGTTGAGAGACACGATCGGCTCACTTGCGCTTTTCCCTAAGCGGCGATGATAATCGTGAGTATTTCGGGGCCCATTAGATGACGCTCTGAAGCGGGAGAGACACGCCGGGGCTGGCAGCAAAAGGTGGGGACGCTATTGTATCGCGCTGAGCATAGGCGAAGACGCAGATAAAGCCCGTCTGCCGTACCTACGGCGCGCTCCACGACGAAATGACGACGAGGACCAGAGGCCACAATGCGCCCGGTGGACCGATTTCTTGTTGAGCGAGCCACCAGCGACATGGCCATCTTTTTGTCTTGGGAGATCTGCCTCTCGACGGCAACCGACTAACATATGCAGGTGACAAGAACGGGTATGGCTGCATACATTAGCGTCTGCTGCCGAGCTCGAGCCCTTGCCCTCAACAACAGGTGGCGTTCGACTCCGTGAGGGGTGTGGTTCGTTTGTTCAACCAAACTCCCTCTACTCAGCACCATGTGCCTGTATCCCAGCTGCGCCCGCGCAGGGGTTGCCTTTGCCGCGTCCGCTTCTGTCGCCATGCGTCGCAGAGGCCATGCATCAGGCATTAGATGATGAAGCGCGATAAGCACCCTGGACAAACTCCATCATAGCACATCGCTCTTAACGGACCCTCTCCAGCTTACAAGCCTTTCCCCAGATTTACCCTCGCACATGCTCAGGTACTCTCTTTTTTGCTTCTTCGTTCCCGTGCATAATCAACATGTTACGTCAAATCTCACGCTATCTCTGCGTCGCTGGCGGGCTGACTGGCAATTGGCGCACACACGTATCGTCATTGTTGGGCCGACACACACACACACTGCCACAGACGTCGTACGACGACTCTAAAGAGGCAAACTGTGGAAACAACCACATCCAGCTTACCTTTCTTTAACTGGTGCTCCATGTCTAGAGTACACGCTATGTTGTATTCTGCAAGTGGCTGCTACGCATCATCGCGAATACGTCTAGGCTGTTCTCTGGCAGCTCAGAAACGAACGAGCCTCCTTCGCAAACTCCCCCCTCTCATGCCACGATAGCGCTCCAGACCGCCTGCAGACACCGGCAAATTATCAATAATCAACTATCGTGAGATTCGCGGCTCCGTACGTGCACAGTCGCACGGCGGTGCATGCTGCAAAGGGCCAGCACAGATGAAGCCGAGTCTAGGCGCCGTCCGTCTCCTCAGCAATCATCGTGAAAGTCCTAATACGGTAAGGCACGCAGCATCAATTTTCTGCACCTTGACACGCTTGAGCACGGATCCATGACAAACCGTGACTGCTTGTGCATCGCGCCAAGGAGCTAGACCACCGGCTTCGCATCCTCACCCTCTGCTGCGAATCTCATTGCACTCTGCTCGCCAACCATTGCCCCGGCTTTCCGCGTGTGCTCGTTGTTTCTTCCCTATTATCCAATGCCGACCCGCGCCGACGCTGCGAGGGACACGAATCCGAGCGGGACTGGTGCTCCACCACGAGCGCAGTCCAACAGCTATCGTGACTCGACGCTAGGCATCTTCGCCTTGCTGCTTGCCTTCCGCATCGTGAACGCACTAACTCTGCGCTCCTTTTTCCAGCCCGACGAGTTCTTCCAGTCCCTCGAGCCTGCATGGCAGCTGACTTTTGGCCCTGACAGCAATGCCTGGATCACTTGGGTAAATTCCCTTTCAAATGCTCCATCATCACCAGTTAGCTCACCATGGGCAGGAGTGGAGATCCCAATTGAGGTCGTCCCTGCATCCAGCGCTATTCGCAGCCGTCTATCGAGTCGCGGCACATCTCGCTGACCTCTGTGGCTTGAGCTTGCCTGCTAAAGCCGAACTACTCTTAGCTGCCCCGAAAGTTATCCAAGCAGTCTTTGCAGCCTTGCTTGATTGCTACACATGGAAACTTGCCGAAAAGGTTTACGGTCGTGGCAGTCGCACTGCCCTTACTACTGTACGTGACTCCCGTAACTATGATGCAGCAATGTCTGATGATTGATTCTACCTACTTCTAGCTTGCGTTGTCTGTCTGCAGCCCATGGCAGTGGTTCTGCGCAACTCGGACACTTTCCAATTGTCTTGAGACTACCATCACTTCTGTCGCTATTTACTATTGGCCTTGGCAGGGTAAGGGTAAAACGCATATTGCACACCAGGACCTCGGCTCCCTCCCAGAGTAAGTCGTGAAATCAAAACACCCTACGTCTGCTCGCCCGCCACTTTAGACTCATGCTCCTGCAGGTTGCGCCTGTCACTACTGCTGGCAGCGCTTGCGTGTATTCTCCGGCCCACCAATGCTCTCATCTGGCTGTTCGTATCCATCCCAACCTTATGGCAAGCCTCACAGCGGCTACGCTATGTGTTGGCCCGTGAAATCCTGATTTGCGGGTAAGCTTTCGCTCTCCTTGCATCCGCTGCACGTTTCTCGTCCCCATAGTGCAAAGATCCATTGTCGGGTTTGCGTTCTCTGCATCCCCGGAGGTCATCAGACCAGTATCCAACTGACGACGCTAGCTCCGCCGTCCTGGTATGCTCAGTCGCGACCGATCGGCTCTACTACAGGGTCTGGACTCTTCCGCCGCTTAGATTTCTCTATTTCAATATCGCCCAGTCGTTAGCCGTCTTCTACGGGAGGAACCGAGGCGACTATTATTTCACCGAAGGTTTGCCGTTGCTCCTCACGACATCGTTGCCGTTTGCCGCCATCGGCTTATGGCAGTCGTTGCAGGGCCCAGAGCCAGAGCCACTTGGCTCGGCCGAAAACGATAGACCGGGTAATACAGCAGCTTCTTCAAGTGAAGATGTTACTGGCGGTCGGATTCTTGCCCGTCTATCATGGACGGTGATTGCCATGACTGTTACGCTAAGTTTGATATCGCACAAGGAAGTCCGCTTTCTCTACCCGGTCCTACCTTTCCTCCACATTATTTCCGCCAGGCCACTCAGCAAGTTCCTACCTCCCCGTGCCGCACTATGGCACAAAACAGTTATCCTGTTTCTTCTAATTGCAAATATCATACTTGCTGGCTATGCGTCTCAGGTCCATCAGCGTGGAGTCATTGACGTACTCGCCTATCTCCGCCATAAACATGAAACGCGTAACAGCCTATTAGACACTCGTAGCAGTACCGGTAGCAACAGTCCTGCCGTGTCCAATACAACAGTCGGCTTCCTCATGCCCTGCCACTCCACACCCTGGCGCTCCCACCTCATCTACCCTGAAATATCCGCATGGGCTTTGACCTGCGAACCACCCATCGACATATCTCTCTCCGAGCGCTCGACCTATCTCGACGAGGCGGATGAGTTCTACATCAAACCTGGTCCGGTGGCCTGGCTCAGAGGCAATATGGAAGATGTGCAGACGATCAAGGCAAGTGGAAGTAGATCAGGCCAGCATTGGATGCGCCAGGATCCAAAGTTCAAACGCAAGTACCGGCGTGAGTGGCCGCAAAACCTCGTTTTCTTTGAACAGCTCGAAGGAACACTGAAGGAGTATCTGGAGGGGACTCGGTATCAGGAGTGTTGGAGGGGGTTCAACAGCCACTTCCATGATGATTCGAGGAGGACTGGTGATGTGGTCGTTTGGTGCTTGGATGGTGTGTGAGGTGCATCTTGAACAGTATTTCTGTATGTTTCGTACAATACTGTAATATAGTAACCATCATAGTAGTAGGATTCAGAGGGTGACCAGATGATAGATTCTCACATAATCGCTGTTCTAGATGCAACATAGAGTCAAACGTACTCTCATTCCCATCTCTCTCTGAAAAAAAGTCTTAGTTGTTTTCACTACCCGAGAATGACCACCTCATCTCTCACTCTCCAGTAATTAGTTTGTTGGAAGAGCAAAAAGGGCCGATCAATACCATTCTTCGGCGCGAGTGCTGTGTACTTGAACATAAAAACCCCCCATTACTAGATACCAAACCATCAACCATCTTAACTTTCGTCGCCAACTTGAACAGTGGAACCCCAGACCCGTATCGATACAAAGACGTTGTAATAAATATACGCATCCACAAACAATGCTGTTAGTATTCCTCCTAGCGTCCAGACGGTGACCTCATCAACCCTGCATATCCAAAAGCTTCAATTTCACCCTTGATCCCAGCATACCGGGTCCTCATATCTGGCAGGTCATTGTCAGGTACATAGATCTAGAATCCCATGATCGTCAGGGCCGGGCTGGGGTCTGGAATTTCGGAGGGTTTTTGGGAAAGGTTGTTGGAAAGAAGAAATGTGTTAGTGCTAAGCGGGGACCCGAGCACCCTCGACATTTAGAGAAAAAAAAAAGAAATACCACTGGGCATACGGGTTCCGGTGGTACCGAGATAGTCGCTGGAGATAGGGAAGAAAAAGAAAACACACTGGGCATAACAGATTTCATGGTAGCGAGACGGGGATCAGGAAAAGTCTCGATGAATCGATTGGAGCTTTCGCTTCGAGGCTTCACAGTGTGAGATGTATTACTTCTTAGGGAACATAGGAAATAACCGTTCTTTTTTATCTGGCGGTTTCTCGCCTCTACCGATACCAACAGGAACAAATAGAGTTCAAAAAGCAAAAAGACAGTCCCGATACAGACCAAAGAAACAGATCTCACTTGGAGATGTAGAAGCCATCTTCTGGTCCTCTAATTAATAATGTTTTGAGTCAAACGCCATAATCCTTTACTCGATGCTTGTTGGTGGTGATATGCCTCTTGAGCCTGGAACGCCGCGCTGAAACCTCAACATTAGCCGATATGTGATCCGACTTGCCCCAAAGACCCTTTTGGAACGCCGGAAAATGCGATATGATCAAGGAAAGTATCATGCGAGAGCGACGACCTTTGCGCTGGCGCTTGAAGTGACTGAAGCCGGGGGTGTGGGCGGTGCAACATCGATTGCAGGCGCAACCCAGCCCTCCTGGCGGGCTATCCACATGACCAAGTTGAGGTCGAAGTTTTCGAAGAATACCTCATCGAGGAAGCGAGCCTTTACACCAGCATAGGTATGGTACTCCTCGCGAATCGTCTCGGGGTCGACTCCGAGGATCCTTCGAAAGCAGGCAATGGTGCATCCTGTGCGGTGCTTGCCCTTGTTGCAATGGACGAGGATCGGGTGGTTGGTGCGATCCATAACCAGACGTAGAGCTCGTGACATTTCGCACGATTCGACGCGAACTTCGCCCTTGTTGGCCTTGATGTGGGCGTGGAAGTGCTGTATACCAGCCTCCTTCATGAAGCTCTGGTACTCTGGTGAGAGTGGCTCTGGGACCAGAGTTAGAATGGTCTTGATTCCAACATCCTTCAGGAATCCGTAGTTCTTCTCCTGGGGATAACTGCTGCGGTAGATGCAACCAGGAAGAACGGCACCGTAGTTGGAGGGAGGAATCAGGGATTGTAGGCGATCAGGAACCGAACGAATGGAGCCGGCTGGTGTGAGAGTGCCATGAGACCCTGCTGTGCAGGTCACAGAGCACTCGTGGTTTTGGGGATCCACGATGACCTTCAAGTCCTCGTGCTTGGTCTCGCCAGCATGCTGGATAAGTCCGTCGCTTGCAGCGAGCCCGAGAGAAGCAACGAATTCCCTGATCCTCTGGAATACGCTTTCCTGAGCGTTTTGGTCCTGGCTAGCAGACGTCGCGGAGTCTCCGTTTGGTAGGGACATGTTGGAAGCGCTGCAGAGCTTCAAACCCGAGTATGTAAGGAGGGTATTAAGCGTATATGTACAAGCTCTGCTTGTATTGTACCTGGACAAGTTGTCGCGTAACGTTGACAGTGCCGGTCGCTGTAGTACGGGAATGCTCGGCGGTAGGCCCTGTCGAGTGCCCTTGTGTGCGTTGAAGGTGTGGGTGTCTTAGATGGAAAAGTCCTTCGAAGACAAGAGACACGGGGGCAGAAGCCGACGTGGGCAGCCTTTTCTCTGTTAGTCAAATCATAGTACGGCAATTTGCTGGTTTTGAGGTCGATCCGTGGGCAGTCGCGCTGTGAACCAAGCATCCGGCGGTCGTGTGCACAGCGGCGAATGGAAGGGCACGCTTTGGAAATGTGGCAATTCACATAGCGATGGGCCAACACGTGCAGCTTGAATGGAGGAGTAGAAACTTACTTCGCTGTTACCGGCTGGTTACAGGACACATGTTGAGAGCGTCTTGCGTTGATGCGAAGAGGCGGCGAGGTTCATTGTGGTTGAATAGTAAGGGTGTGTACTATGGGTGAGGTGGTGTGGGCAGTAGGCGGATATTTGTGTGTCGACAACTCGGGGCGGTAGCGAAGGGACGTCAGCCGTAGTTCGCGGGGTGTGAGAAGTAGTGTGATTATAATGAAGGCTGGTGTTGTGGACAGTGGAAGAAATCGGGTCGCCCTAGCGCACCTTTCACTGCGAGTAAGATGCGTCGGAATAAATCCGCTTGCCTGGTCGACGAATGTCAGGGTCCGCCAAGCTCCGTACGTCACTGGCCGCACCTTCCCAACAGTACTTTTTACATGCAGGAACGCAGAGGATATAATTCATGGATAGAAGTGCGTTGGCTGTGTGCTAGTCTCAACTCCTGAAGCCAGCAAACAAAGCCCAAACCCCGCACTTGTCTTGTGCTTGCCGTCATTCACCAAGGCATGACATGACAAGACAAGCGCCAGTAGCACCTGGGCATGCTTCGCTTTTGTTCCAAGGCGACCGCCCCGCCGTCCGTCGCATAGTTCGGACTTGGACGGCGCGTCTCAACACCGTCTCGATCCCGAGCCTCAGCGACAGGTTTGATACCCTTTCTAACCCCGTTGACTCCGTCATCGCTCCACTCGTACGATATGGACCGGTGGGTCCTTGATCCTTGATCCTTGGGTGAACCAAGAAATCTTCTCAAGAACTCGACGGAAGAATCGGCACAGAAGAGACGCGAACAACTCAGTAAGCGCGTCAAAGCATTACTGCACGCGGCAAATGCTAGTTGGCGAAGCTTAGTAGGCTGCTCGCCCACAAAGCAAACCGACTACCCGAATGCAACAACATCAGAATTTGCCTTTGCCCTGCTTCTATGCCATCATTGTGCTAACAGTCTTATCCGCCAAATCCGACTTCTTACTATTCCACGTGCTGGGCTCGTTTCCTATTGCTTGCATCCCAGCAACCTTGGGGCCTGGACGCGCTGTGGAACGTGTCAGAAAAGTGTCGAGGAAGCCCTACTACGACTGCACGACATTTCACGGACATGTCCATTGTCCTGGAGATCAACCTTGGACGGTTGCCTCAGATCGCAGCTTGGTCTTAGGGTCGTTCTTTCCAAGTCCAATATTGCATCTCACCACTTTCACGTGAAAACCCTTGTGATCGTCCGCTAACCATAAAAGGCTAAGCCTCTCTTCCCCGGAGTCTGCGTGTCAGGCCGTCGAACCTCGGTCACTCCACCAAACACGGTAAACATCGTGACTTTTCCAAAATCTCAGAACACCTCTTCATTCCTTTACTCTCCAATTTAGCAAAATGGAGCCGACGCGCTCAGCCTCACGCTCACGTCGCTCCTATCCGAACCTCTGCAACCTCTCCATAGCCCCGCTCAGCGCCAAATACCCTCTTGATGCATCCGTACCGCCTTCACCCGACGAACAAGGGACGCGAACCCCTCGAACATCGTACATCGCACAAAAGTCGGCGCCGGCAACACCGGGCGTTTTGAGTCTCAGCCAGAGCCGCAGTAGTTCGCGGCAGCGTCCAAAGAAAGCGTACGCGTATGAGAGCTATTTTGTCAATCCCCATTCCGAGGTTCGCGAAGTAGGCGACATACCAAAAGCAAAGAGTACAAGTGTTTTGCATCCGGGTGTTAGCTTTGCAGACGACGTACTAGGCGTAGATACCGGGGCGAAGAAGCATCATACACGGAAAGGCACGGCACCTCTACCTCTACACTCCCCGCTTGTGAAACACCACACCAGAGAGTCAAATGAAGAGTGGCTGCACCGCGCTGGCTTGGCAATCGCTGGCGAGACGAGGGATAGCAAGGGTCAGGGTTGGCTTGTGAGGCGAGAGAGCTCGACCAGTCTAGTCGGACAGGGTGACGAATACGAACAACATCCTTCGCATGAGGATCGACGTATGGCTCTACTCTCCGGTGAACACATTGGTGACGCGGACTACCCTATCTTCTTCTCGCCGCGCATGTCTAGAGCGGGGAGTCGCATCCCCAGTCGCGTAGGCTCTCGCGTACCCAGCGCACGACAGAGTCGACGAGGTAGTAGAGTGGGTAGTCGAGTGGATCTAATGATGTCTGGGGGATCGAAACCGCAATCAGGAAGAGCTAGCCTCGAGATCTTGGAGCTAGATGAACGCTTCATCGAGCCTGACTTTATAGAAGCAGATGAAGAAAGTGATGGTGACGAAGAAGAAGTCGCTCGTCTGGCGCGCGAGCGCGGTTTCGGCCTTGGAGGCTGGATGGATCGTCTCATCGGATGGACACTGTTCTCTGTCGACGAAGACAGAGAAGGGTCTGACGAGGAAGACGTGGAAGACGATAGGAGCTTGCGACTAGACAATCTCACAACGGAGGAGCTGAAGCTACGCCGCGAGGTCGAAGCCAAGCGACGCAAACTCGAACGAGAAGCCGTCATCGCTGCGTCAGCTCTGCGCGGACAAAGCGATGCGACGATTACAGACACAGAGAGCAGGCCAACAACTGGGGGCTCTCAACGTACGACGGCTAATGAAGAGGTCGGTGGTTGGCAAGACGCCGCATGGCTATTAAGCGTTGCTTCAAAAGCTTTGTTCTGATTACGATCATTCGGACAATCAATGAATATGCTCGCACTATGGAAGTTCGTGAAGGCACGAGAGATGGATTTCTAACATGATGAAATTGCTGGCTTTACCCTATACTAAGCAACGACGTAGCTTTAGCTTACTACATCAGCTCTTCCATCTTCTGCCCCAGTTATTAACTAATAATCTGTCAAGTCCATCCAATCAACTTCTCTTACTACACCATCCTCAACCTCAGGTCCATCTCTCCTTGCCCATCGGACATACTAGGCGGCCTATCTTCCCTCTTTGTACCCCAATCACTCTCCGTATCTCCCAGCACGAGCTCCAACGTCCATCCCTGTGTGAAGAACTCATGTCCAATCCAATTCTTTGTATACATCTCACCATTCAGCTTAGCGCTCTGTATGTAAATGTTCTTGTACTCCTTGTCAAAATTGGTGTTTCGGATAGTAGCAGTAGCGTTAGTAAGCTTATTGGTAATGGATACTGAAGGGAAAAAAGGTGGAATGATGAAATAGACATTCTGGCCTGGATTTGGAAAGAGACCAAGCATGCTGAAGAGCGTGAATGATGCCATGCTACCAGAATCATCGTTGCCTGGAAGTCCGCCGGGTGTGGCGTTGAACTGTGAAGGGATATCTGTGTTTGACATTAGCAGCTATATCCACCACCTCATACATCTTTGTTCCTTCATGCAGTAGAGACCTACAGTAATGCGCCCTTTCAGCACTAAGCGCTGGCCTTCCTGCAAAGTGCGATAGGTATACGGTGAGAAAGACCGGCTCGTTCCCGATATCTGCTAGACCACTCGTGTGGAAGAAATCCAATCTGCGCTGGAACGTCTCATCGCCACCGAGCAACTCGATGATCCCCCTGACATCATGCGGTACGAAAAACATGTATTCCCACACACTGCTTTCAAACGTCTCAGAAGGATTGGATGTCAGCGAACAGAAGCCAGCCAACGGACTGCAGGCAATGGGGTCTTGGGAACCCCACGTTCCGTTTAGATTCTTCGGCTGAAAGAAGCCCGTAAAGCCCGTTTCGGTACCATTGATTGAAGAGATTTGATCAGGTTTGAAGAGGTTTCGCCAGTTCGTTGCGCGAGAAAGGTATTTCGCAGTTGTATCTTTACCAAGGCCATGTGCCAGGGTGGCGAGATTAAAGTCGTTGTAAGCATATTCTAGGGATCGAGATATACTTCTTGAGTTTGTGCCAAAGCCGTGAGGATCAAAGTCAGAAACCGGGATATAATTCAAGGATTTCCAGCTGGCTAGACCCCCACGACCCTCCTTGCTCCATTCCAAAGGCTCGTTTTCCGCATCGTTGACGATGGCTTCGTAGGCAAGTTCCCAGTCTATACTAGTGATATTCTTGACATAGGCATCGACTAGGACGTTATCGGCGTTGGAACCGCCTTGTGTCCAACCTTTACAGGTGCTCATCATGCAGTCTGGTAACCAGCCTCGGTGCTTGTATGTGTCGAGGAGACTCTGTACTAAACTGGACATCATTGATGGCTCTAAGACGGTGAGAAAAGGTAGCTGCACGCGCCACATATCCCAGAGACAGTAGAAACTATCAAAGTATGGCTCATCACTTTGCCAGTGTGGGTTCTCGCCGGTATAGTTCTGGGGAGATACCATAGTACGGTAGACAGCGCTCCAGAAACCGGCTTGTATGTCATCTTCCACATCACCAGGTTCGATGGTTATTGGAGCAAGTTTCTCACGCCATACTTTTTCGGCTGATTTGACGAGTGTGTCAAAGTCGAGATCGGGCTTTGGTATTTCACTCCCAGCACTTTGGCAAGCCTGATCAGTACTGAGGAAGCTCAATCCCATCCGCGCAAGTAATGGTCCAGAGAGTGGGCCTTTGAAGCGTATGAAGCCACCAGCTTGGACGTAGAAATTGTTGAACCCGCGCGTGACATAAAGCTCCTTTGGTTGTTCACCAGCTCTGTCGTTGACCCACACCCCGGAGTCTTTGACGAATCCTCCAGAGATATCCAGGCAAAAATAAGCTATGTAAGACCCGGCTCCGAAGCTGGGCAGAAAGGTGGCATTTCCTTTCATCCTGCCCGACTGCTGACCTTCATCTGCCTCTACGGTAATCGAGGCGTTCTGCCGACTCGCCCATAGGTCGGTCAGGTCAAGCGTTATGAGCGGATCGTTACTCCCATTTCCAGTGGATGTCGCTGAAAATTTGAAGCGAAAGAGCGCAGTATGTTCTGCGACAGTCATATCAGCGTGTATGCCGTTTTCCAGTGTCACGCCAAAGTAGCCTGGTCGTGCTTCGATTGAATCGTTTCGGTAATGAGTTGCACGCGCTGCAATTGGGAACTTGCATGTGTTGATGTCATCGCCCGAGCAGATCTGGGGAAAGATAGGGAAGTTGCCTAAGCTTGGGTTTCCTCCAGTCCCAGAGTCATGCAAAGCCGAGAAGCCAGTGATGTTGCTGCCGTCCGTGGAGAATCCCCCGGTATTTTCACCATCCACATCCGCAACAGCTACGCTGTTTTTTAGCATTTGCTACTGGTATTCAACTCATGTTATCTACCTTTTGCCATACCATATGGTAACGTTGCGCCTGCAAAGACATTTCCACCATCCCTACTACCAATTAACGGGTCAACCCATCGCAACGGATCCGAGCCTTCGGTCTGGTTCGCCTGTATTTCTGCTGTCGACTGCGTTACGAAATATGTGAACGTCCAGATACAATGAACTAGAGTTTTCATATTGAAGAATGGGCTTGGTTTTCGTGACCGCCCATACATTTGTATCAAACTAGAAAAGTGTATATCTTGCTAAGTGGTTCCAATCTTGATGCCCTGTGATCAGGCTGGGGGTGAGCGTAATCGCGTCTACGGTTTGGAAGTCGAATAGAGCGGGTACGTAACGAACAAAACTTGCGACATATACCGGCACTGTCGCTCTTAAGTGTCTACAAGTATCATCATAGCAAGGTTACTTGTGTTGGGACGTTGGTGGTTCCTCCCTGCCCGAGTGGGGTGTATTGCGGGGTAAAGTAACCGGCCGTCTGGTACTGTAACCTTGAATCCACCTGCATCGTAGCATCTGTTGATCATCGTCGGTGGCTTCGAAGCGCGAGCATGATGAGGTGACGTTGAAGCTCCGAGTTGAAGTTCAGCCCTGCACAGCTGTCTTGCCGTAGCGTCCCGTCTTGTCGCAGGCCAAGGACACGCCCAGCGCTGCTTACCCCTACAACCGGTTTCTTGTAATGCTGTGCAACTTGTGACCCAAGCATGACACCTATGCCGCAATGCAGAAAACGTGCAAGGATCGCGTTGATGGTGCATCGAGCCCGAGGCCATTGTCCCGAAATGGAAACCGCCGACAGAGGTAAGAATGTCCCGGTGGATATGCACATACACAGTGCCGGGTGGCTTTAGTCGTATAAAGCCTAGGAGCTTATTAGGCATTGTATTGGTGAATCTCAATGGACTGAATTTTTTGCGCAGGGCAGTTTCTTCGACGTCCTTCCGGGATCTTTGTGGAAACAACAGGCGCACGTGTGCTTTCATCCAAACATAACCTTGAAGTTTCCTTTCCACTCGGGCTGCGGTAAACCGGACTTAAATTTGAGAAGGAGGTGGATCAGCCCACAGTCTTTATTTTAATGATATTTCCGCTCCAGGTTTCTGGCATGTATGATTTGCACTGTCTCGGCCCGTTCGTGCAACGCGGTGGTGTCGTCGTCGTCGTCGTCGTCGTCGCCGCCGTCATCTAAACTTGCAGTGAGAGTGACATGAGTCTGCGCAGTCTCCCATCCAGTAAATACGAGCGCCTCATGGGTTCCATGTGCAGTATCGCACCGCCAGCCATGTATTATTCTGAACGCATGGCTGCCTTGAAGCAGTTGCGCATATTTTGTGACAGCAGTTTCAAAACTCTCGACGCACTCGTGCTTGAAAAGGAGTCTTTCCATGGCTAAGATTGGTGCACCCAATGGAAGTAAGTGCATACCATCTAGTTCAACATGGACCGTCCAACAGAATTCGAGCATGTCTTCTTGGGGGCCGAGAACCTCATCCCGCATTGGAGAGTCCAGAAATTCGAGGTGCGCTTCCAAATTTGGCCATATGCCCAAAATATATATCAACGTGGGGTCCTCGATGCAGTTATAGAACTGTGAATTTGTGTGCAGTTTCTCTCGTACGGCTGACAGGCTCTGAATCAGTGCTGGATTGTCTACCGCAACCCTCCTGAGACGCAGTTGGGTGATTTCGAGAACCCCCATGCTTCACTGTGAGCGTGGAGGATGCAATGTCTCGTGACGTGAATTGAGGTATCGTAAGGCTGAACCATGTGAGGAGCACGGTGGTGACGGCAGTCGGGAGGAACCTTGGAACACGGCCGCCAGGATGGTCACTTTATAGCGCCTTGGCATTACACTCTCCGCTCTGCGATTAGGTCGAGACCACTCATCGTTTTCTTCGCTGCCTGAACATCATTTGTGCCTGATACCCCTCGCCTGCTTGAGACTGCAAGGTTACGCGAATCTTCCAGCCTCGGTCGGTCGAAAGCGTTTCATTGGTCTCTCACGGACCCTTCGCATGACCTCGCAGTCCGCCTCTTCGACCACCGCGGCCACTATGTTAATAATAGTGGGAGCTGCATACACCTATTTCAGACGATGTGATGTAACAAGTTTTTTAGTACAAATTCTCTGGGTGAGTCAAGGCGACGCCATGTGCATCTCCGCGCCCTTCCAACAACTGGTCTTTTGGACGCCGCCAGTGTCAAGCCAACCTATCACGCACATCTTCTTCTTGGAGATGCTTGTCTCCATCCCATAATGTAAAAATAGTCTGTCAAACAGCCGCAGGCAACAGCAAAGGCCGGCCGTTCCAGGATATCGTTGTTTGGTAGTGCCGCGACACCGTTGCGACGGAGCCGAGAAGATGTCTGAAGGGAAATGGTTCCCGATGCATGATTTGCGCTCGCAAGTATGCCTGCAGTTGTTGCAAGGCATAGATGCTCTGCAGGTTGACGCATGATAGTCGCACAGCCATCAGAGCTACCAAAAGCCATCTAACGGTATGGCCGCATACCGGTGAGCGAGCTAGTAACCGGAGACATCTGGAGCTCCAGCATGCTAGACCCTTTCGGGGCATCAATCATCGAGATCCCAAGCGAAATCGTAATCCTATTAGTCGGAGCTGTTTGTTTTACAGTATAGTGCTGTAAGCCAGCCACCGCTCAGCCGTACAACTGGCGTCCCCTGATTAACATGAATCACCCACACCCGCGGGGTCGCTCCCGGTCTAAGCCCCCAAAGCTCATGGTCCACATCCTACGGGTCATTGCATACCACGTACAGCAGAGTATATATCGCCACAGGGGAAGCGTACCCGCGGATTGCACATGCTGAATCCTTCTCGTACCTCTAGTACATTTACTATCAATGCCGTCTCCACGGGATCGCGGCAGTGTGGTCGAAAGCTCTTCGAGTGACTCGCCAACCTTTTCCGATGGTGGAAATGGGAGCGCGCGACCATTGCCTCGCAGACCAATTCCAAGGAAGGGACATACCAAGTCACGCCGTGGTTGTTTTAACTGCAAGAAAAGGTACTGTTGAAGCTAGTCAAGCGCGAGTGTCGCACGTATGTTCTAACCTTAGCATAGAAGGATTAAATGTAACGAAAGACATCCTGAGTGCAATCATTGTATAAAGGCGGGGCTGCAATGCGAGTATCCAGCAAACATTATACAAGCGATGCAGCGCCCTCCTACTTTGCCACATACTCAGGAGGTAGGCAACCTACGATCAACGCCAGGCGTTTTCGTGAGTGTACTTCAGGCTTACATTCAACGCCACAACAACTAACCATCAAAGTCTATGGCGGATATGCGTCTATTTCATCATTTTCTTATAACTGCCTACCCGCATCTCCCCGTTGGAGCCGACAAGATCTGGATCACGACGATTCCTGGCTTCGCACATAACGTATGTGTTTTGCTTCACACCTCCAAATGGTGAGTGAGGTGCTGACTATTGTAGTATGAGTACCTCATGCACTCAATCTTGGCGCTAGCTGCATCGCACCTAGATGCTGTAACGCATTCTGGTGTAGCAGAACAGGCTATACAGCATAGAATCCTGGCTGTGAAGTCACTCAACGAAGCGCTCTCAGCACCTCCAAAGACCAGTTGCGAACGAGATGCAAGGATGGCCGCAGCTCTAGCACTTGCTTTCCAATCAAGCCACTTGCAGGATGGCATGGCAGAATTCCTCACGATGGTCCGTGGGTGCAACCTGATTGGAGGCGACGAGACGCCGTTGAGAGACGATTCAGTCTTCAATGTAAACACAGTCGTCTCTAAGGGTATGAATGCTCATGCTGACAATTTCTAGGCATTTCGTGACGACGGTCATATTCAGACAATGCAAAATCGCATCGGAACATCGTCGCTTACCTGCGTTAACCACGATGATCTCGACATGGCAGCGTTGTCTCTCAACCTCGTCAAAGCTATAAATATGTCCGACTGGGAGCGGTCATACTGGGAGATACTAGTACGCACAGTTAGTCATGCGTATGATCGTCCAGTAGAGACGTATACGACCTTCGTCATGCTCTATAACACACCATCCCAATGGACCCATGATGAGTTCCAAGCCTTCATTGATCCCAACAATAGCGTTGCACAGATTCTGCTCGCTCATTTCATCGCAATCCAAGCTATTCTTACACCCATACTCTACCTCGAGAGGGTCGGCTTCGAGGGTGTGCATGCACCGACTGCCGTGCTGGGTTGGATCGACGGGATTTACTGGAATATACCGTGTCACCTGAGGCACCACGTTGAGTGGCCCAGACAGGTGTCGCGATATCCCTTTACGCGATTCATGGGTCTGAAGCAGGTTGAATACTGCGATGTAGATCCTCTTCTGGTTTAAGATTTGCACAAGGCTACACGTTGGGTTTGCATCTTTTCTTTTCTTGCTATCAATTCGGTAGCCCACTTACGCTTAACGACCTTGCTGTACTATTAAGATACCCGGGGCGGCTTTGTAGTTTCTTATCGCAACTTCTTCACTCCGTTGCAAGTCCATATGCTAGTTGAGAACCAATATCTAGCTATTGACAAGATCTGAATTAGACACCTGCTCATCAGAGTGACTCAAGTCTATGTAATGCGTCGCGAAGCATTCACCTATATTTCGCTACCCTCTATAACCTCTCTACATGCCTCACAGCTATCTTAGGCCTCCTTACTCAAGTGCCTATGGTGCTCCTTTGTCTCGACCACGTCAGCATTCACATAACCAATGGTTATACTTGCATACTTATCCATCAAAGCCGTCCAAAACTTATTTGGTATCTTCCTCGTTGTCTCATCATCCGGCCGCATAACAGTAGTGTTGTAACTGTCGCAGTGATGGTTGATACGAAGACACGTCAAGAGGTCATTGCCATCGGTCTCTTCATTAATGTTTGTGTACGCGTAGATGATAATGGGATTATATAGAGTCACTTCTATCGTGAAACCCTCGTCGACGAATGCACTGCTATTTGTATCTTGGGATGCGGGTGTCTGGTACTGAACCGCAAAGTAAAGGCATAGAGCTATGAGGATGCAATCCTACTGTGGAGCTTGTGGTAATTATTGCGTGTACATCCAGTCGACAAGAACCGCGAAGACTTCTGTTTTTACACCTTCGAGATAAAAGGAAGGGCTCAGAAGAAGCCGTTTCTCAAAGGACTCAGAATAGTATGAGAGGAAGGCGGAGTGGAGGAGATATGTATCCCTTGCGTTTGGGGCTGATTTCGACAATAATAGTGCCGTGAATACTTTGATGTGAGCTTGTACTACACCTAAATTTAACCAGAACTCGTGGATGGAATTATAAGCGCTCACTTATCTCATTCGGGGTGACTGCAGAATGACTTCTGAAGCGGGCTCGGGAGAGTCTGGTCGTCGAGGGGCCGAGGATATAAATCGCTGAGAGCGATCTTCCAAACCCATGGCAAGGGAGTCCATCGAAGTATGAGACGCTTCCTTCCCTTAGATAGTATCAACGTAGGCAGTACGTATAATGTTCATCATTGAAGGTTGTGTGCATTCGCTGAACAATGATATTAGACGATTGGCCGACCCAGGTATCTTCACGACTCGCGCCAAACGTCAAGACCTTCATTTAACCGACTTGACGCATTTGTTATTGGGCAGTATGTCATTAGTATATCCTCATTTTTTTTATCCTGCTTTTGAGCTGTTCACCTTGTCTATTGCGATCGAGTACGTGTCGATGGAAAGGCAAACCTATCTAACTTTGTCAGGGAACCGAGTATGACTATCTCAATGCAGGTGTGTTCTCCCTCACCATATATATGATTGTCATAGTATTGTTGTACTGACTTTGAAAGGAAGTAATGCTGACTAGCCCACTTGTGAACTATGCCTTGATCGAAACTGGATCCCATCTATCACCATATCCCTTTGGGAAGATAGTACGCTACGTAGACATACTTCCAAACCACTTCCTCATCAAGCTCTTTCTCTCTTTCTTCAATTCAACGACATCCTCCTCTACTACAACGGTTTCTTTCAGCCTGCCCACCCATTTTGGAGGCCCCCTATCCCGGACACATTTTTCTTGGGCCTCGATCCAATATTCTTGCTCCATAGTGCGGTCGTTACAAGCGTTGGTGTACCAATCATGCCATTCCCTATGGTCCCATTCGCACCTGCTTTCCCACTTCTCTTTAATCTTGTCGACAAAGCCTTCGAGCTCTGTCTTCGCGCAAGCAGAGCAAAGAGTCTCTTGTGGCAGAAAGCCGGATATCGGTGTACGATAATAAGTGTAATGGTTTGAGTAAGGTGTGTAGTAGGCCTTGCAGTGTGAAGATGTGCAGGGACGGAGTGTATAGCGCCAATCCCATGCGGCTTCTTGGACTCTGAGTTTTCCTTTTGCGTCATGATTTTTCTGGTTTAGGGGTATCGGAGGCACGCCCAACACTATTTGCTTCTGCTCTTGTACTAGTGCGGCATCCTTGCGTCGGCGTTCCCGCCTGAGGCCCTCTTTCAGTATTTCAAACTCTGCAGCTATAACGCCCAGGGTCTTCCGTCCCGCACTCTGGCGTAAGTTCTCGTATTCGCGCTTGCATGCTATGTTAGCCTGGTTCAAATCTTGGCTGGCATGGCGTGGGCAGTAGCCATGAAGACGAGACATGTTGTACGGGCTCTGAGGGAGGTAGTAGTTCGATCCCGTACGGGCAGGTGTATAGTGCAAGGTGCACGAGGGATACAGGCAAGGTATGTAGTGATCGAGAGGGTTGTATTGACCTGGCGGGGAGGATACCGAGGGCTCCAAGACTGCTGGAGCAGATTGCGTAGAGATACGTAGGTTGGCGGATTTGGTAGACTTGATTGACTTGGTAGACTGGTAGGAAACTACTCGTGATCTTAAGCCTAGGGTTGGCGGTGTAAAGTGAGCCGGCAACGGAATCCCCTCCCATCTTGAATCGGGCTCTTGATAGGAAGTTGATCTGGCTTTGAGGCTGCTTACTCGTTTCCTAACAACTTTAAGAGATCCGTTTGGACGTACGGGAAGAGAGACTGGTCGTTTAACATTTGGCGATATCGGTGTTCCCCAAGCTTGAAAGTTATCGATTTGTTCCATCAAGGTCGCGGTTGGACTTGTGAACGATGGTATATGATGATATTGAGTCTTTGTGAGAGGATTCGGTATTTTGTTGACGAGAGGTTCGGGTAGCTGGATAGTCTTTGGTCTTGCTCTCGGCCAGGTCTGTGATTTTGGCAACGGATCTGGCTCTGCGAACCTCACCGCTGGTGGTGATGATCTCCTATTAGATGCCATAGTCACCGACTCGGAAGATTTGAGACTGGGCTTCAGGCTCGATCGTTGAGGTCTTAGTGGTGAAGAGGTAGAGGATGGCGATGTATTGTATTGGTAGTTCAACGATGATTGCGATGAGCGCGGTGTCGAAGGGCCACTAGAAGCTGTGTCGTCGAAAAGCATATTATGAGACATTAGATCTGCGATTATTGCAGTATCGGTAGTGACTGTTGGGGAGCGACTTTTCGAAGTGCTGACCAAAGAGACATGGCCGGTTGTCGAGTTTTGTGTACTCTTTGATTGCTGGGTGGGTCGCATAGTGTCGGTCCCTAGATGAACAACCTGAGACATGACGGGCGGGGATGATGCCGGCAAACTGCCGAATCGAGCCTAATATGCAGGGCTTATCGAGGGGATCTAGCGGACGTTCTGTGGTCGAGGAGGAAAACGGTGGTCTCTGAAATGGCCAGACAAAAAGTTAAATGACGATGCGAGTAGGTGCAGACGGGGCGGTTGAAAAGTAAACATCGGGAAAAGTACCAATCAAGACAGGGGCAGTGCAATCTGCTTGGAAGCGGTTGAGTCGCTTAAAAGTATTCTGCATATGGGAAAGCAAACAAAAGCGAGAATCACAGCATTTGGGGCGGAAAGGCGCTGTGAACTCAGCCTGGTCAACTGCGCTGACAGACGCCGCACAACGCATCGCGCCTGTGGTTTTGGGTATTCGCCAGCTGTGGCATCGCTCTGTAAGTCAGGCTGGGATTCGTGCGTCGAAGAATCCCATGTTGTTGGATTTGAAGGGTTATGGATGAGGTCTGCAGCATCGAGAGAGGCGCAGTCTAGTCCCAGTCAGCCGCACGGAAATGAAAATGCCGTCTTATTGGCAGCAGTAAACACGAATCGGCCCATGCACAGTGGAAGGTGTCTTTAGTAAAGTTATCAAGTTCATGCAATTTTTGGGAAGGATAAGAAGATGGAGGAGACACTTGGCGTTGCTCTATCCAATCTATCCGTATGACAAGCTGTCGCACAGGTATGGTACAATTAGGTTGGGACCCTGTCGATCGCCCTGAGATGGTAACAGTATATAGCACTTGATCGTCTGGCATCTTTTTGGTGAACTGTCTATAGCTTGGCCTTGGGCTGCTCTTGCTTGAGCATGGCTTCGGCAACAAGGCGTCGCTGGATCTTTCCTGTTGCGGTCTTGGGCCTGTAGGTGTGGAGTCAGTGCATGTTTCATCTGCAATGTTCTTGTTCACGTACATGATATCGGTGAAGAAAATCTGCAGTTTGTTAGGCCATGTTTTACACCATTGTGTTTGATTGGATATCGACGTACCTTTTTCGGCAGCTTGAATTTAGCAACGCGGTCCGTCAGCCATGTCTTCAGCTCTCCCGCAGTCAGCGCATGGCCCTCTTTGACCACGACTGCAAGACCAACATCTTGGCCATACATCTCGTCTTCAATCGCGAAGCTAACAGCTTCGGATACTGCGGGATTTTGTGCAATCACGTTGTCGAGCTCAATGGGGCTAATTTTCTCACCGCCCTTGTTGATCAGCTCCTTGATGCGACCAGTGATTATAACATATCCTTCAGCATCCTGCTTTCCCTGATCTCCGGTACGGAAGAAACCGTCCTTGGTGAAGGATGATGCGTTAGCAGCTGGATTGTTGAGATATCCCTTGGTAACGTTTTCACCCCGGATACAGATCTCTGCTTCTTTCCCTTGTGGTACCTCTTTGCCAGCATCGTCGAGGATCTTAACTTCAACACCCTGGCCAAGTCCCACACTGCCAGGCTTACGCTGGTTGGGAGGCAGAGGGTTACTAGTCATCTGATGCGCGGCCTCAGTCATGGCATATGCCTCCAATACCGGGGCGATGAAAGCCTTTTCAAGTTCGTGGAACGTTTTGGGCGAAAGTGGACTGGAGCAAGACCGGATAAAGCGGATCTTAGGCATCGGGCTCGGAAGGGGACTCTTGAGCAGAATCTGATGAATAGTAGGGACGGCGGTATACCAGTTTGCCTTGTGCTCATTAAAGTCTTTCCAGAACTCGGAGGCGGAGAACTTGGGCGGCACGATTACTGAGCCCCCCGAAGCCAAGGGAGCAAGGAACCCAGCAAGCAAGCCGTGTACGTGGAAGAGAGGCATAACCAGCATGGTACGGTCCTCGGGGGTCAACTCGTAGGTTCCTTGGATGTTCTTCATGGTCCGCAATAGATTGCGATGCGTCAGGGGCACAGCCTTGGGGCGTCCAGTGGTACCGCTCGTGTGTAGCACAAGAGCGACATCGTCAGGCTGCGCAGACTGGACGGACGCAGTTTTACCTGCAAGCTTTCCAGCCTCCTTCACATCCAGGACGACCTCGCTGCCATTGTAATAGCACTCTGCGATGGCTGCATTGTATTTCCTTGCTGCGCGGACAGCTGCCGCATCTTGCGCAAATGCACCCTTTGGTACCAAAGCAATCGCGGAGCTCAGGTCGTCGATGTAGAATTCGAACTCGGATTGCTTGTACGCTGGGTTCAGGGGCGCTGCGATGGCCCTCTGCCATGATGCGGCGATGAAGGATACGATGAACTCGTACGTGTTGGGCAGTGCGATGGACACAGCGGCCTCGGCAGAAACGCCGACCTTTGCCAATTGTTGCTGGAAAGCCTTCACATCTGCGGCAAGCTTCTTGTACGTGACAGTCAAAGCAGGGCTACCGGGTACGATGACAGCGGTCGATGTCGAGTCCTTGGAAAAGGCGTGTTCTAAAGTGGTTGGAGACATGATGAGTGATTATTAGATAGGGGATCTGGTGGTCGCGATTAGATGGACACGGCAAGGCTGGGGGTTGAAGTGAGGGTACCTTGATGCTTCTATGACGCGCAAAGAAATTCTAAGGTCTAATACAAACACCAAAGCCTGCTCAGATGTCTCAAGAGATATGGAAATGACTTATCAAGGATAAGGATATGATATGACAGAATGGCCATGGGCGTTCCTGCATGTATGCACACGTAATGCAGCTAAAGCCTTAGCGTGGGGAACGAACGCCGACACGCGGGCTGGGGTGCTTGGCGGCCTTTGACATCGCGCCTGCCACTCCACCATCCGCACATCAAGCTCATTGTCATAATCACCCACCTCAACCGCCACCTCTGATCTCTTCACTGTGCATTCACAGGAAAGCTACTAATCTGCCCATCTTTACAAGTTCAGGTTCCCCAGCCGCCGTTCACCCAGCGACGGGGGCACCCACATTCGCATTGTTCCGAGTCGCGCCTGCGCGCACATCGATATCGCCATGGCATCTCAGCAGCCACAGAAGGCACAGGGCCTACCCAATCCCTACGGTCTTCCGAATCCCTACGCTCAGAAAGGCCTTCCGAATCCGTATGCTTCGGCCACCATTTCCGCTGCGCCTGTCAAGTACACAGAGGAACAGGCCAAGGCCGAGCAACAGAAGAAAGCACCTGGTATCTATCTGAACTGCTCCATACCATTGCCTTGAAGCACCACTCATGCGATTGTGTAGCTTTCCATAACCCACACAACATCAAGCGTCCCCAGGCCAAGAAGGCTGGCCCAACCATCAAAAAGGCCACCATGCCTGTAGTTGCCCCGCTCTCTTCCTCGGGTCCTGGTCCGGCCAACACCCAGCAGCATGGTATCGACTATTATCGCAGCACTGTAGAGGACGACCTATCCATTATGGAAGAGAAGAGGATTCGCAACTATGAAGAGAAGCAGAGGAAGAAAGAGCAGAAGAAGTTCAACAAGATGTTCGGACAGTGGAACCCTCAAGCTCCCCACAAACCCGAGCGGTACTCCAACCTGCGAGCATACAGGGCCAGTGGTGGCTATCGGCGCAAGAAGGAAGGTTTCACTGCTTTCTTACGAGGAGCTGCTGCTCAGTACAAGTCCCGCGATGGCAGCGAGGAGACCAACGGCTCCCGTCCGGCGTCTTCTTCCAGCTCAACGCCTGCTACGTTTGCCAAACCGTCATTCGCCCCACCTGCATCCTACGAAGAAAGCACTACAGTTCCCTCGTCTGACCCGTCGGAAGAAGATGCTTATGCCCGTCGCATGCGTCTGTCCCAGCAACAGCCTAATGTCGTACCGCCCCCGCCTCCGTCAGCCACAGATGACAACCCTCCACCTCCGCCTCCACCTGCTTCGCAACCAGCACCACCGAGCTATCAAGGTGCGACTATATCAGCACCCCCAGTCCGGTACGAGCGTCCCGACGTACAAATGGAAGATGCAGACAACGAGCCAGTCCACGACGAACGCCCTGCCAAGCGTGCTAAGATTAGCAAGGCGGAAGCGATGATGGCTAAGATGGGGTACAAAAAGGGTCAAGGTCTTGGAAAGAACAACGATGGTGTTGTTACCCATTTGGAAGTCAAGAAGCGCAAAGCTCCACAGGGTACGAGCACTCTTGACGACGAAAGTGGCAAGGTCAAGTCTCAACAGGTCTGGGATGTCAGTGGTGGTATGCGCACTCAGAAAGACGAGCCTGGCAAATTTGGTGAAGAGTCAGCTGTTGTGGTCACTTGGGGCTGTGTGGACGGTGTCGACTGGAGCGCCAACGCCGAGCGCAATGACGGTGGTATTCGACAAGACATGGGTGAAGCGTTCAGCAACAAGGTAAGTCTTACGATATGGTCATGAACGTACACATGCTAACAGAACCAGTTTGGTCCCGTTGAGCATGTCCAACTAGACGAGAGCAACAAGGACGGCGTAGTTTACATCCACTTCAAGTCTGTGCTCAGCGCTCTCAACGCCGTCAACCGGTTCGACGAAGGATGGGAGTTCAGAGGCAGGAAGATCACCGCCAAGTACTATGACGAGCGCAAGTTCCACTCCGGCATTTACGACCACTAGAAGCCACTTCTTTTACTGTTATTAGCCTGTCAGGTGCTCGTGTTTTGGCACCTGGCCTTTGAAGGATCCTTGGGGTATTCCACTTTATGATTGGTGTAACTATGGACATGGAAGGAGGCAATGCATGGGAAGTTGGAGGAACCAGCACATCTGTATTGATTCGGATATGCTCAAGGAGAAGATGTGCATGACTATATGGATTGAGGAGACCGAGCATACGCTCTCCATATTGAGAAAGAGGGCAAAGCTTCCGACATCCTCTCGGCTGCTCTGTAGGAAGTACTATAGTCAGATATATCTGGCCTCGATCATCACCAAGTACAAAGTTTATATCTTACTGCATATCCGTTGCAATCCTGTCACATTGATAAAACTCATGGGAATTGCCACCTAAATACGCCCTTTTGGATAGGAATATGTATAATGTCGGAACATGATGCAACAGCAAACAGAAGATCGTTATGGTATCGTCTAAGAGCAGCTACGCCGCAGTCTCTATACTCATACTAGTACAAAAAGTATCACACATCCGCCCATCTAACAGAGACTCCAAGATCGCCTGCAACTAAACCATGTCTCTAATGCGAGGTGCGCCCGACTCCAAGGTATATATGCTCTCCTTCACTTGTCCCACTCCACTCTCATCGTCCATTGCTTAAGCATTGCCAGGCTTCTCGTCGGTATCAATATGCCATACAACATAGTTTGGAAGACCGTAAACGCCATAGCCCGCCCTCTTGGCCATCTTCGCAAAGCCTTCTGTCTCAGCCTGGTTCTCAAATGCATAGCTAGGGAAGTTGATGCCAGAACGGTGGACATCTGCTTTTACAATGATGTTGACGCCACCGATGCCGTCGAGGGGTATTTCTTCGTCTTTATTGGCGCGCCAGTCGCCCATTTTGGCCATGTACTTGCGTTTCGTGGGGTATTGTTTGTAGCCTATGAAGATGTGTTAGTGGGTGAGAAGGGTGAGATCTGAGGTGAAGAGCATGTTACCTTCTGCAAGGACTACGTCTTTGTTGAGAGTCGAAGCCAGTTTGAGACCTTCGGGGGATTCTTGCCAGGAGTTATAGTCGACTGATACTCGTTAGTAAGGAGCGTAGTACTGAGTTGTGGGAAACCTACAGCGCCCTTCGATGTCGACCATTTTGCCGTTCTCTTCCTTGTATCTATGGAACCAGATGTCTGCATACTGTCAGTACTAGCGCTCCAAGAACTGCATGCAATACATACTAGGAACAAGAACATCCCGATCATGCGCCACGAAGTCCTCGATGATCTTGGACGGACTGTCGACAATATCCACATCCCTCCAGTAGACCCAGCTGTGCTCTGGTCTCAACGCAGTGTATAGCAGGTAGTTTCTGGCTTTGCCCAGCGCCTTCCTCCGCGGGCCCTGGGCTTCAAAGCTGTGTCTGTCCTCCACACTCTGCGAGAGAGTGACGCCAAAATCTTTCTCGATAATCATCGTTGACCTGAAAGCAACTTCGGGGTTGTTTTGTACCCTCTCCAATTCCTTTGCCAATGCTGCCATGGTATCATCGGTCGAGTCACCAACCAAAAACGCCAAATCGATCAGCTCGTGGGGATATGTGAGTTGTGTGAGGAGGTCGAAGTGTTTCGCGAGGTAGTATGAGGCATCACGGAGCGGAGTGAGGATCAGCACGCGCTCCTTGTTCTTGGCTGCGTCGACGGTTGACGTGATCTTATTTAGGTCGATATGCTCGATATCGGTAGCGTTGACCTCTACTGGTTTATGATGGTTGAATATCACAGGTGTATTTAGGTGCGCGTGCCAGTCTTCGTTCTCGTTCGCTGTCATGTGCATTGGAGGTTTTGAAGGGCCGAAGCAGTAGAATCTGAGGGGGAAGGGTTAGCAATCGTTGGATACGAAGGATCACGACGCCTCTGCTGCCATTCTGTAGATATGAGTAATGTGACATACCTCTGCACCTCTTGTGCTGCTGACCCCATGGACCGCCATAGCAGCACAATTGCAGTAATCAGACCAACTGACACCAGAAACTTTGGGTTCCGTACTGCATGTATGACCTGCCGTGATGGCGGCAACCGCGCTTTGGCAGCCTTCCATGAGTATCCTTTTCCCGCAAGCATGTTGAGTCGGAATGGTCCCGCGTGTTCCTTCTCCACCTCTTCTCCTCTGGCCTGTGATATGCGTATCGAAGAGCTACGCGCTCGGACGCTATCCGTATTACTGGTTTCCCTCTGTGAATGAAGCGGCGGCGATTGCGACTGTGACCTCTCCAGTTTGGCGGTTGAGGGCGCCCGGGCGCGCGACGTTTAGGGTGGAAACTAAATGTTGCGGGTGACGTCGCAGCGAAGTCGGGCTAGCGACAGCGGAAGCGACAGACGGTAATGACTAGTGAAAGCAGGGTCCTGGCTGGCTACACGATGGTACTGGTGAGGGAAGCTGCGATGGGGTGAACGGCAGGCACAATTGCGTTACAGAAGCAGTTCGTTCAGTACAGATTACCGTTGAGCGCGACGAGCATGCAAATGACGCTAAGCGCAGATCAATCGCGATAGTGCCGCTGATGACGACGCTTCGGAAATATAGTAGTCTGGATTTCTTTCATAATTCATCAAAGGACTCGGGGAACTGGCAATTATATGTGTCTGGCTAGTATCATTGCTTGGTATACTGTGTAGGATTATCTTGCCCTGCTTCCAATGCACGGCGTCACCTGCATCCTAGTAGACGCACGTGAAGACATGTGTCGGTAACACCAACATGTGCCGCGCCGCCGCTGACAAGAGCGAGGCTGCCTTGTACAAAACGACGATGCATAGAAGCTAGTATTGGTAGAGGTAATCTGTGATGTCTACAAAAGAAGTCCATTTGTTTACTCACGTCATTTGTTATACGAACTTAGTCACTGCGGCCCGCACGTTAGAGCCCACTTTCCGTCTTACCACGCATGTGATACGGGACGCCTAGAATACAGATGCGCGCAATGACGACGAACCTTGACTTGAATGCTCGTAAGCCAAGACAGACGCCGCGTGCAGATATTGGTCTTGTAGGCATATAAGTTTGGTCATAAGACCAGAGTCGCCGCTGCTCGTTCGCTGAACCCTCAATAAAGATGAAACCTATGCAATATGCAAGACGTTTAGAATATTCTTTTCGAGCACCAACGTCTAGACGGCGATCAAGGCAATGACTAGTGCAAATTCATCGTTAAAAGTCTAACGGCGGTGATATATGGTTCTTTCATATGGGAGGATATCATCGGAGTTATAGGTGACGAGACACGGGTGAATGATAATGTCCGATATACCGAAGGTCTCGCACATATGATAAATCTACACAGACAGCATTTGGTATAGTGCTGAATTTCAAGGGTTAATATCAGTCTGGTGTTGTGAGCACTAGATGGAGGTGAGTACAAACACACCCGGGGAAGATATAGAAGACTAGGGTTTGGACACGCATCACTACGGACAAAGATCAAGGTTGAAGAGAAAGACTGCATGCCACTATCCCAAACAAAGCAACTCCTTCTGCTACTCTGCACGCCATGTCGCGGAGCAGACTTGTGTGTACTGCGGATTAACAGTCTGCTTTACCCTCGTAGCCAAATGATACATACAATTGTTACATTTTGAACCATGAAACCGTCCCCAGAAGCCCTTCAGTCCTCAGATGCTGAACTCCAACGTCAGCTCTTGTTCGCTTGATGCTATACGCTATCAAACAAAGGCGGATGGTAGGGGTAGTCTATGCAATTATGATGGAACGCCAGCGTCTTGAGCTTTTTAGAAGAGGAGAACAGCGGCCATGGCGGCAAGACCAAGAGCACCAGTAGCGGCGCTGAGAGTGGAAGCAGCACCAGTAGAGTCGGAGCCAGAGCCACCCTGCTTGGTACCCTTGTGGCCCTCACCAGCAGGGTCGATGAGCTTGCCCTCGCACTTGTAGCCACCCTCGATGAGCTTCTTGTCCTTGAGGGGCTTGTAGGTAGCGCAGGTAGCGGTGACGTTGTCGGTGGACTGGAGGTTGAAGGCGCCCGAAACGCTGTTGAGCTTGGGGGTAGAGACGCTACGAAGAGTTAGTAAATTAGACGATAGCGTGTATGTAAAAGTTGACTTACTCAGTGAAGTTACCGCTCATGTCGAAAGCTCCGTTGATGCTCTTGAGAGCAGGGAAGCCATCAACTTCGATGAGCTTGGAGTTGTTGGCGATCTGAAGGTTGCCGGAGATCTTGCCAAGCAAGGGGAAAGAGACGTTGGACAGGTTTTCGTTGGCGACAACGGCAACAGCCTCGCCGACGGAAGTAAGGTTGGGAGCAGTAAAGGACTCGAAACCGTTGTTGTAGAGACCGAGAGAACCGTTGAGACGCTCGAGGGAAGGAACAGAGACTGAACCACAGAATCGGAAGGTCAGGTTGCTAGCCCAGATGAGGTTGGGCAGCTCGACCTTGACGGCCTCGTTGTTGTCGGCAAGAGTCAGCGAAGTCGAGACGTTGCCAAGCTGCATAGAGATCTCATCAATGTAGCCGTTGTTGGCGATGAAGACAGTGTCGACCTCCTCGATGTTGATACCCTTGAGGGAGCGGAGGGCGGTGTTCTGGATGTCAACCTTGTTGGCCTTGGTGACCTCGGCAGTGAAGCCAATCTCCTGGAGGTTGGGCAGAGCGTTCCACTTGATGGAGTCGATGCTCTTGAGCTTGGGGAAGTTGACGGCGTAGAGGCGGGTAAGGCCGTCGAGCTGCATCTCTCCGTCGAGCTCCTCAAGGTCGCTAGCGCTAATCTGCCTCATGTCGGAGTTGTTCGTGGCGACAAGGTTACCGTCGATCTTCTTGACACCGTTGAGCGAGATGTCGTCGGTGGTGCCAGTTGCGATGGCAATGTTACCGGAGAAGGTTGAGCAGGTAGCGATGGCGCTGGCGTCACCGGCATTCTGGATGGTGGTGGTAGCGGTAACACTGCAGGCAGCTATTGGTCTGATTAGCAAGTGATGGCGCCGTCAATTGAGTCTCGTAGAGCATACCGTAGGCACCGCTGGCGGCAGCCAGGGCCGGGAGGGCGATCTTCATCATGGAAGGCATTGTGTGTAGTTGAAGTGGGTTGGTAACTGGGAAGAAAAGTCAGCGGACGCGTCGAGGGAGGCGATTGAGAATTGTGGACTGAGCAACACGGACCTGGGATATTAAGACTGCTCGCTCCGTTTCAGTTGCGTGGGTTCGGCGGGCTGTTGGTTGGTGGTGGAAAGATGTTGGAGCGAGGGAAAGAATTAACAAGTAAAGCAGGCAGTATTAAATGAAGTAGTCCCAGAGGCGCAATCGAGAAGGCGCGTTCGTCAATAGCGAGCGAATGTGGGTGAAGACTGAGGGAGGAAGGGCACAAAGGCATTCAAATGGGCGCCGGCGCGAGAAAAGGGGAGCGCGGTGGTGCCAGGCCAGGCAGGCGCTAATTACGCTAGTAGGACCGGGTGGAGATCATAGGCGGCCAGAGCGTGCCCACCATCATCGATCAAGCAAGCAAGCAAGCACGCAGTGAAAGCCGCTGCCACTGCGGGCCACGCACTGCCTTGCTCGTGGTTGTTTTGCGCCCAACGCTGAACAAGACTGCCATGGCCGTCCAAGGTGCACTTGTTCGTGCTCGCGCTTGTCGCTACCCGCATCATGTGTCACCACGACTGCATCAGGCCTGTCCCGAGCGCGCGCCGAGTGCCACAGTGTGGTTTGACAGGCGAGGGCTACCACTTGTTCAATATTATCCCCCGTCCATGATCCTTTCTCTCCCGCTGCTTGTAAATCTTAGCTTCTCCTCTGCCTTGATAAGCCCCATGCAGCAGACGCAAGCAGGATACGGAGTAGGCTGCTTGAGCCTCAACAACAGGGATGGCGTTTGGATCGCCGCGCCGTCACCCTAGGAGACGACCATCCGCTAGACTGCCAGCAGCAATCCGTTGCTCGTCAGCGTCCCCATTCATCGTCGACGGACGTTTTAGTGTTGCTCGTAAACGCTCACCAAACGGCAATGCGGCATCATCGCTCGTTGACCGCGCATCCAAGCCTCTCTTTTGCCACTCTCTGGCCGACGCGAAACACAACAAGCAACCGTGAATTGCGCGGCCTCTGACCATGTCCGCTACCCCTGCCCGCCCTGGCACGAGCTCCTACCCAATGGTTTCAATGCGGTTACATCCGGCCCGCTTTAGGCAAAGCGCAGCCGTTGCAATCTCCAGACTCGAACCCCAACGCCGAACAATAAAACCAATGGTTATATTTACGTCGTGAGCTTGCCCAGTTGAGCTTGCCGGCTGCTTTGAGCTTCGTGCACCCGTCTCTCCTTTACATCGATATCGCCCTGCATATCTGCATTGTTGACTCATTTCGCTGTTCCTGCACGCCAGATTCTCCTGCGATGAACCGGCTCGCTTATCGACCTCCCCCGAGGAACAGCCTCACCATCGATCCGTTTGGCCCAGCCTTTTTTTGCTTGACGCGCATTGATTAGTCTCTCATTTCCAACCTCAGGCTCCTGTTCCCCACCCACGCGGCACGCACCCAGCTTCATGTGTCGCTGCAATCAGCTAATATGACGTCGACATTTGCTACTGTTTCAGTGTCCGGGGTTTTTCTAGAATTGCCCATTGTTTGTGAGGCTTGTCAATGGCCCGTGGCAGCAGCATCGACACTTCGACGCTTCTAATGCTTGTGACTAGCTAGACGCGTCGTCTGGATTAAGTAACCTTGTATAATAATCTACCTTGCCCTCATCTCAGCGCCAGCAGTCGACGTGCCCTGTCGACGTTACTTCTTCCAAAATGAGGGACGTCCACTGCAACCTCCTCGCATTTGTTCTGCTTGGCACTTTCGAGTTCTTCTCACGGCGACACTGGAACAAGACTATCCGGCGCATTAGTGGGTCCGTTTCACATGTCTCCACAGATGACGACCGGGGGAACATCGGGATTCCAGTATCGTAGATCAGTAACCGGGTGAATTTAGGAAGTTGAGCAACCTCAGCCGCATATACAGCCTATGGATTATGGAGAGCACCTAGATGTTGTACTACCCAAGTTGAATCTCTTACACATTATTGCGATTCCAACATCGCCGAATAAGCCACTGTATACAACGCCGCTTTCCAATCCAGCGCCCTGTATCACTCGAACCACTGGTCGCTACCCAATCCATATCATTTTCTGCCGATAAGAGTTCTCTTCTCCCGTCATTTGCAACGCTGACATACACGCATTTCGTACACGACGTCAGACAGGGCGCTTCTCAATGGCAAGACAATAACACGGCCTGAATCTGAGACGGGCTATCTACCGCGTACAATCAGTTTACTACTATTCTGGTGCACCAAGGTTATGTCGGGTTACCAGTAGTGGCTGCTGTCGTACAAATGCCATCACACTCGCCTGTGGGGAAACACGGATCACTTCACGGATGGAGCCGACTAAATGGAAGGGCATGATAGCAGCATGCACTCGGCATTGTCTTGTCTAAAAGAGGACTTGCCGCCGGTGTTCGAGGCCAAACATACGAGAGAAGAATGACATGCCAGTCGAAACTACTCATCATTAGGAGCATCCCATGAATTTAGCTCAGCAGGCGTGGATATTGTATGCATGTCGTTCCCGTACTGTCAACACACTTATAACACTGAAGTCGGCATTGTCAATCGATTGATCAATCATATTACGATGAATGCTGAGTACGGTAGATTCACAAGTCCTATGCGCCTACGAACAAGAGAAAACTCCAGCCTGGGTATTTTATTAGAACAATGAGCCCTCGTGCGTCAGCTAAATCACAAATATTGACAGTCACTGCTGAAGATGTCCGGTCCAGAGACCCAGTGTTCTGAGTCCAGTTGGGAAACGGCCTGTACCGCCTGTGACCCACGCCCCACCTCTACCCAGCAGTACATCAACCCCACCAACACACATAGACCACATGATGTACATGCTTGTCCTACCGCAAGGACCAAGGCGACCCAGTGCAATGGTTACTTCCTGTTGATCAAGTCTTCTGCAGAACAGTAAGATCCACGTCGGCAATCCGCCACATATACCACATGAAGAGCGACCTAGCAGTGAAGAAACGAGTTAGCTCATGTGCAAAGCAGAGTTTGCGGCAGAGATGGACGTACCTGTATGGCTTGAACTTGGAAGCCATGTCAAGCATCTCTTGCTCGGTCATGTATCTGTATTGCGTGGTTAGTATGCTGTCCGCTATATGGAACTTGATAGAGGTTACATACTTCCACTTTCCACCTTTGTTCTTGAGCTTGTTCACGTCGCGACCTGCGTACACAGCCATGCCTCGCCTGTATGCACGTCAGTCATGCTACCGTATGGACCCCTTCCAAGAAGAAATTGAACAAGACTCACTGTACACCAAGATCCCCAGTCGAGAAAACGTCCATCCTCTTCAAACCAAAGCACGCAAACATCTCTACACTCCATCGCCCTAAGCCCCTCACCGCTACTAGCTTCTCGATGAGTTCTTCATCACTGGCACTAACCAGCATTTCAGCTGAGAGCTCGCCAGCTGCGAATTTCTCAGCTATACCGTAGATATACTCGGCTTTGCGTTGAGAAAGTCCCGCTGTACGTAGTGTAGGAATGTCTTTGGTGAGGACCTGGGCGGGAGAAGGAAAAGAAGGGTGTGTGTCGGGGAAGAGAGCAGTAAACTTTGCACGGATTGATGCAGCTGCTTGACCTGATACCTATGGGCAAGTTGTTAGTCATGCATCTCCATTTCAACTCTTTCTTCCATGATGGTTTGCAGCGATGTGTTTCAGACACCCCTCCTCAGTCTTCCTGCTGATAAGCTATGATATCAAGTTATACATACCTGTTGTCCAATGATCCCCTTCCCCAGCGACTCGAATGGCCTCACCACTTCTCTCAATCCCTCTGGACTGAAGATCTCACATTTATGCCCTTTCACCACTCTTTCCAGTGTAGGATCTGTCTTGATGAGGAACTCTTCCGCTTCTCTCAGCAGATTATCGATATCTGTGCTTGCGGGGGGAATGGCACCAACATCTGGCGGGACAACCTCTTTTGCTTTTCTTTTCTTGGCTGGAGAAGGGTCAGTGGGTTTGGCGGGAGATGAAGCGTAGGCTTGCACCACGTGGGAGCCATTTGGAGTGGCTAGGTTGGCATTTGTCGTGTGGGGAGCTGCTGGGCGGGTGGTGGAATCAGAAGGAGAAGACGAGGGCACAGATGAGAAGATACTGGCGCCAGCGGGCGTTGGTGTGAACGGTGGTGGTTTTAGTGGCGATTCTGCTTCTGACGTTGATTTTGATGTTGCTTTGCGCTTCTTGGGGAGAGGTGTGGCTGGAAGGGATGAAGCTGCATTCGCTTGATATGAGTTTTCCGCTCCATTGGTCTCTCCATTGGTAGTGCTTTCGCTCTTGGTTGCATCTGGCGACGTTGGCGCAGGCGCCCTCGTGGTTTTGCGCTTCTTCGCAGGTACACTCGCTTTGCTGACTTTCTCATATTTTGCAACACCGTTCTGGGTTTTGATATCTAATAAGATTGGCTTATTACTACTCGCAACGCGAGCCGAGCGTCTCAGAGACATGTTGTGAGAGTTGTACAAGTTGGTAGCTGTTCTCGTGAATAGGGTGGTCTGACGTCATATGGTTAGAATCTGAGACAATAGTAAGGTTGCGGCAACGTACCGTCTGCTTTAATGCTCTTTTTGTTAGTATGGACTCATGGATCATAGGAAGTGTTGTCAGCTGCGTAAGTGGAGAGCTTGACGCGATGCGCGGGGAGCTTGTTCTTGAGCTGACGCCTGAGCACATGATAGCGTGGCGCTCGCTGACATATCCGGAACCCTGACGCTCGGCATTTTCGTATTTGGAGTGATCGACATACTGTTCGCTTCTAATGATGACCTATACCGTGTAGTAAAAGCATTTTGTACGTTATGCACTGCATGCTATACACATTCTATCTGTGTCTTTCTTGGCAGCGCACTTGGTATCTCATATCCTTAACAATCAGGGTCAGGAAAGTAGATGACACAACAAAAATGATCCATGGATACGTGCAAGAGTTGCCGAGCTTTTGTGATGATGATGTATCTTCGGCTTTTAGTTGCTGGGAGGCACATCCTTCCTTCATGTATATGTCAGGATGCAGCTTGCGATAATACCAACACCTGCAGCCCAAACTGTTCATCGAAGTGAATCTTCCCTGCTTCACTTAGCCGTAAACGCATCATCTAACAAGTAAGCTAATTTGAGGTACAGTGTAGCTGTAACGCGTGTAGGATTGGTAAGCAGCTTCTCGTGATTAAATGTAGAGACGGGAGAAGTACAGCATATGTCGACTCGATATTGCACTTCGACAATGCTTGCCAAGCGCATAATCTGTAGTCATGCCACTACCATGCCAAGGAAGTCACCGTTGGCACATGGTAAGACAATTCAACTTCTGGGCATGCGAATACTTGTAGAAGCGCATGAAAGCTTATTGAAAGAAAACGAACAAGCATGCTCTGATGGAGATGAGTCTTGTACAAAAAATGTTGGTATGGTACACTCTATTGCGCAACCCTCAGACTCGATCCACCAAGCTTCAAACTCATCATCCCAGACTCGATATGTACACTCTAGTGTCCGCTGCTGGCGGCGGTGTTCTTCTGCCTCTTCTGGATAACCATAGCCTCGAGGTCCTCGCGCTCGTGCATCTCAGCCTCGATGTCTGTGATCAGCTCGGAGAGGTATGGTGTGTCCTTTTGCATTGTCAGTGTCTGGTATTCGAGGTGCAAGCGATGTTCGTACATGCTCGGGCTTGGTCCACTCCTCCTTGGGCAGAAGCTGGTGGGACATGGAGAGCTGTCATAGATTAGCCACATTTGCCGTGTCCTTGATTCTGTGTTGGGCAGTACCTGGAAAGCTCGGCGCAGACGGAAGACACGGTCGTAGGCTTCCTGTGGTCGGAGACGCTTCAGGGCGGTCTGAACAACGTCGTTCTCCTCGGGGAGCAAGTCATCGGCCCTGCATCATGGATCCCGTCAGCCCATCGATTCGCATGCCACTGTCTTCTCCATGGCCTCGTTCTCTCCTCCGCCGTACACGGTATCCGTATCGGGGGCTCCGTACCTCAGACCGAGCTGCCTGTAGCCGGCGGCGTTGCAGTACCAGTTGGAGAGCGGCTTCATCCACTTCTGCAGCCACGGCCGCTTCATGATGTAGGGGGCGAGAGAGGGTGCAGACATGATTGCGGGTATTCGACGGCGGATCGGACGTGTCCAAGTTGGTGCTGTCGTCAATTGCAGTTTTGACGGTCGGAGGTGGTGAGGTCGTAATGCGAAAGAAGCGAAAGCCAATAGGCCGGCGGGCAGCGCTTGGCCCGCAGAAGCCCTTCGCCTTAATCAGCGAACGTCCCCACCCGCCAAAGCAACTTCACTCGTGCTTGCCGCTAGCTCTGACGTCTGATCCACGAACCAAGCTCTGCACCGCAACGCGACATCTCAGTCTTCCGAGCCCACATACTCGGCAAACGCTTGCAGATAATCATATCCTCTGCGACTTCTTCACTCTCCGTCCGCCTGTCAATGGAGCCGAACAATCGCTAGTCATTGTGTTACTCAAGTGCTGCGGGGTTTCCGCAACACTGAGGCACCGCAAAGGGGACGACGGCCTGTATGCACTCACCCTCCCTCCCCCCACTCTGGGCCAATGGCTCTAACGATTCGACAAATGTAGTACCCCTAATGTCCACAACTGATTCCGAGCCGCCGTCCCCGACTAAAGTTCCCGACCGGTATGCGCCATCCGCCGTGACAGTCCAACCGCGAGATATGTCAACCCCAAACAAGCAGAGTACCTGGAGCTCGCCCATTGCCGCTCTCGCCGTCAGGGTCTCCAGACTTCCCGACAGCTCCGTCAATGCACTGTGCGGAGCTTCTGCAGGCGTGGCTTCGGGTATCGTGACGTGCCCGCTCGATGTTATCAAGACCCGCCTGCAAGCGCAGGGCTCATTTCGCCCTAGGACGTACACTGGGCCAACGCGCGCAGTGTACAAAGGCCTCACCGGTACTGCGCGAGTCATATGGATCGAGGATGGCATGCGCGGTCTATACCGAGGACTCGGGCCCATGCTACTTGGATATATTCCAACCTGGGCCGTCTATATGAGCACTTATGAATCTACCAAGAACCTGCTCTATCCTCAGATGGGTTAGTAGTGCACTCGGGCGTCCGAGTCTCTGTTGCTGACAAGGTTCAATATACAGAAAACAAATGGCTGGCTAGAACCATCGCTTCCCTGTTCGCTGGTGGCTGTTCGACGCTAGTCACAAATCCAATATGGGTCGTCAAGACAAGACTCATGTCCCAAGTCAGCGCCCGCGCCTCGCCCGAACACCGGCCGCCGTGGCACTACACAAGCACCTTTGACGCCTTTCGCAAGATGTACCTCAAGGAAGGCATCATGTCATTCTACTCAGGGCTCACACCTGCACTGCTTGGCCTCACCCACGTCGCTATTCAGTTCCCGCTATACGAGTTTCTCAAGAAGAAGTTTACCGGCCTGGAGATGGGCCAGTCAGACAGCAAGACAGAAGACGTGCACTGGTTCGCTATTGCATTGGCAACAGTGTTGAGCAAAATGACTGCGACCTCTGCAACATATCCGCACGAGGTGTTGCGCACTCGATTGCAGACACAGCAACGGTCGCTACCCTCGCACTCGGATAACCATGTATCGTTTCGAGGAGGACAACACGATCGATTCCACACTCGCCCCCCTGGCACAGCTTCGTCGGATGGTATGATAAACTTACCACGGTATCGCGGTATTTTACGAACATGCGCCGTCATCCTCCAAGAAGAGGGATGGAGAGCCTTTTATAACGGAATGGGCACTAATATGATCCGCGCTGTACCTGCGGCGGTCACGACCATGTTGACATTCGAAACGCTCAAGGCCATACACCAGAAGCTGAAGAATGAGGGTAGGAAAATAGAGCATGAAGTGGAGTGATGGCGAACATCCGCGTCTTGTCTTCCACTTCGCACAACCCGATGGGCATATTACCTGGCGTTTAGTCAGGGGTTAGGAGCGGAGATATCCTATTGAGCACTCCTGCTCTGTTTGTTTATACGTCTGTACATACACGACTGCATCTTCGGACATTGTCAGCATTAAAGCTTTGGCGTTTGTAGGACAATATGGTTGATTTTCTATAGGTTCTCGCAAGTACAAGCTCATTTGACATTTGATCGAGGTAACCATTCATATGACTGTCTAAATATACTACTCCATATGAGAACGCTCCTGACATGTACAATCTTGCCAGGCCCCTTGCACAAAGCATGCCAACAGGGCGGTCAACGTCGCAAACGCAGTGCTGCATACATTCAAATCCTAATCACCACCAATAACGGTGAGTTGACGTGTCTACATGCAAATCAGTGATGCCAAATTCACGCATGTCGAATTGACAAACGTCCACGCCGCTCACCGTGCTTCCCACGGTCATGCAGGCCATTCCTATCTGAAGTGTCCATGCTTCACGGCCTAAACTTCACACCCTTTGTCAGGCTAAATCCCTTTTATGTTACTCGTATACACAATCCTGGCATATCTACCGATACCCTGCCGTCATGGCTCAATCTACAGCTCCCGTAGAGCCGCATATATTGCCCCCACCTATACCCATCCGCAGCCACCTACGGAACGGGTCAGCATATCAGCAGAAATTACGCGTTATCAAGTCTACACCCACGAATCCCGAGAGCGCTCCGTCTTTTCTCGTTCATCAGACTCTCTTCGAAGAGCTTGACTGTGCGTTGACAGAAACACAGCAGAGACTAGTCAGTGCAGTTTTGGAAGGCAAGAACATGGTTGGTAAGAGGGAGTCTATATGCTGGGACAGCGGGCAAGAGAGTGATACGATGACCGAGAGAAGGCGAACAGATGAGACTCTGAGAGATTTCTGCTTCAGTGAAGTCGGATGCCAAGTGAGTTACCGTGACGATCACCTTGGGCCATCACGATTAGATTCATCAAAGATGCACTGGACAGATTCAGACACTTACGGCCAACACACTATGGGAGGGCGGAACGAGGGTCTTTTTGAGCGAATCGAGGTGCAAGGGTGTGTGCCTTCTCTACGAGGAAGTAGGGACGGCACAACTTTTGCGACCCACATGAGCCACGCGAGCTGCTCCGACAACACATCACCAATCTCCGACTATAGTGTTGAGAAGATGGATACAAAGGTGTCCGATTGGCTCGTACGAGGGTTTCTCAGCCCTGGTTCTGACGAGCCCGGTTCTCCAAGGCAGGCCACCAGCAACTCTAATCGCCCCTTCCCTCCCAGACACGTCAGTCTCTCGCTCTTTCCGCCAATGTCTCCGTCGACTGGAAATCGAAAATACACGCCACCTGGCAGCCCTTTCGCCCGGACTGTATGTCCAGTGTCTCTGTTAAACAATGGAAGAGATGCTTATGGCAATTACATACCTTCGAACAAGCGGGACTACTTCACTGCGAAGTCCCCATCGACATCGCCTATCGTACAGGCCATTCCAGACAGTCATAATTCCTCAGAACAGGCTAGTTCGTCCCCTATGGTACGTCTTCGCGGTGGTGGCTGGAACGGTTTCAAGCCATTCTGGAAGACATCTGGCACCGAAGAGCCCGGTCAAGGGCTTGGCCCTACTTCCCTACAGAACTTCGATGAAAAGGATGGTATCTTGAGAGATATACCCCCAGTAAACTATGCTGGACGTTCGGAAAGCCGAGCGCCGCGTAGTGTGCGACCGCAATTCTCGACCACTCATGTTGGCAAGATTCAGAGGACAACAAATGGAACGCTAGGGAGACCATCTGCTGTTGATACTAAGCGAGATGATCATGTTCGTCTTGGCGGAAGCGAGGCAAGGCAAGGTTCGAATACGCCCGACTCTGCCGATACGGACGATAGCTCTGTCGGCAGGGCTCGTGCCGATGCAGTCTTGTATCAACATTTTGGTCCTCAATTGTCTCCCCCAGTACCGCTATCCCCAGGAACGCGACTACTCACCATTCAAGAGCATCCAACAACTTATAGTCGAGCTGACATACCAGCGAGGGCTGGACTGCGTTCGCCTCCTATCAATAAAACCTTTATACCACCGAATCTTCAAAGTGCACTGGCAGCCGAGAACGAGTACAAGAGCTACTCCATAGTCCATTCGTCTCCAGTTGCGAAGACAAGACCAAATTCATGGGATACTCTAGAGTCGCAGAAAATTCAGGAGACTGATGGTACGGTGCGAAGTCATGTGGTCAGCCCAAGGAGCAACAAGAAGTGGGATAGAAAGAATCCTCCTCCACCGCTCAGACCCCCTCCACCGAACCCACCCAGATACCTGCGAGCCGAGCCACCCGAAGATGACGCTTCCCAAAACTCTGATGATGATGGTTGTCGAGCACCATCAATGCTATCCGCCAATACTATGGATGACAAGTTGATTGACATGCTAGGTTTGGATAAAACCGATGCATATAGGAGAGTTGAACATGAGCGTGCGGTTCAACGTATACAAGCAGAGAGACAAGGTTATGAGGAAGCGCATCGTAGATGTGATGTGAACGTCAGACGGCAGGAGGAAATGCTACATGAAGAGCCTGATCGGAGCACTATGGTACCGGATGATAACGCTACTGTGGTACGAAGACGTCAGTCAATCGAGAGACAGCATGAATTGGAGTGTATGCCAGCTTCGGATGAGCATCGTCCTCCCAGCTCACCATTGCCATCGCAGTATCTACCTCGCCATGGTCGTATCAAAGCTGAAGCTCAGGTCATATCCCAACAGCGGAACGCGCAGTACCGTACCATCGGTCACCCATCTCTTGTACCTGCATCAGAACCCGTTGGGCCGGCTTCTGTCAAACGCCAGAACTCGTTGCAAACAGTCATCTCCAAAGCAGGAGAACTAACACGTTTCATGCTTGCTGCGCCTTCCGACTCTAAATACAAGACGTATTCGAAACGGAATCCACCAGTGAAGAACCAAGAGGAGAAACAACCAAGACTGGGCGCAGATACTACTGGATGGCCCAGGAACGGTAAATTAATTTCTACAGCAACACATGGAATGCTCGTACCGACTCAGGCACCCGACTCAAGGACAATTTTCGGCTACGACCAGCCTCCAAATAGTAGAGGTGGTCAGACACAGCCGGACAACAGGGGTTGGGAGCACCCGAGGGGGAGAAGAGCAAAGAAAGTTGAGAAAGTTGAGAGCAAGAGACGGGGAGCAAAATGGGGAAGAAGACCGAAGGAAAAAACATCTGTGGGAGACACCAATGCAATGGACTTGGCATCTAGAGATATGCACGGAGGCGGATCCTCCGACACTTCAGCGGCCAAAACGAATACTCACACTGCTCGACCAAGAGGTGCTACACGGCTTCAACACCCGGGGTTTGCTAGAAGCGGACCTCGTGCACGTTCGTCATCACGTGAAGCACCCACACCAACCGCTGGACCACCTCCCGTTTCCGTTCCCGTTCTCATGAACCAACAACTAAAACACACTTTCACTCCTATTTATACGACAGGCACGCCGAAAACCAGATTCGGCCCACCAGACGGTGAGGGCAAATGCTACGTCCGCCGCGATGACGGAGAAGTACTTCCGTTCAACCCTGCACTCGGATATCCGTATCACTGGAGACTGAATACATACTACGACGTCGGCAATCCAGATGTTGCGACGCTGAAATGGCTAGAGGAAATACGCGCACAAACAGATGCAAATGCCGAGCCTATCGTTAATATGAGAGGTGGTGACATTGTTTCCCCGAACAGCGAAGCAAACAGTCTAGCATCACACCATCGCCTCCTGACTTCAGCAGCAATGGTTTTGAACAGTGGCAGCGAGGTGATTGGTAGCTCGGACATGGACGCCCTGCTTATGTCGTCTACACGTCTTAACCTCGATCAAGTCACCCATGAAGCCATTGCGTCAGTCAATCGCACCAATGGGGATGATACTAGACCCAACTTTGATGAAGCAAATGTACGGTCGAGTTTTAGCACTGACTCTACTGTTGATTTAAGGCGGAAGAAGAAGGCGAGGGAGAATGTCTGGCGAAATGAGGACAAGGCTAGGGCTATGGCTATGGCTATGCATTCTCTTGGGTAAGGAATGTGTGGAGTCTATCGAGATATGCATGTTCTAGGAAGGAAAGATGGAGTTAAAGTGGTTATTTTTAGATACGGCGAGGTCTATGTGCAAAGGGAAGGACAACTGATCTTGGCTTTGGATGGCCATCACAAGCATACGTGTCAGGTCGGCCATGAACACATGAATACCATTCGCAGTTAGAACCTCTCATAGATCTATATAACATTCCAAAAGCACCATATATGCGCCAAACCAGGGAATTTGTTATACAGAGTTGAGATCATGCCCCCAAAACGCCATAGAATGCTTATCCCATATCATCGAATCATCAGTAATCGCAGTGATTATAGTCGTAAAGTGAACCCATGCCAGCGGCCGTAAGAGCATATTCAACAGCCTGGCTTCTGTCCCAAAAGTACTCGCGCATCCATGTCGAAACCATGTCGAGTGCTGAGACTGACGAATTGCTTGTCCAGACTTTTTCGTGTCGAGCCCAGGCTGAATACTGCCATAGCGTGTCGGGATATCGTTGCTGCAGAATGGAAAGCAAGGGTCTGGGTGCTGCAGCTCGTGTTCCGCGTAAAATGCCTGATTGTGCGAGGTGACAGATGCCTGAAGCTATGCTCATGATCGCGATGAGGTTGGGGTTTAGGCATTGTGAGGTGAGGAATGAGGTAGCTTCTGCAGGTAATTCGGTTGACGAGAAGGATCCAGGGATGACGAGGATGTCGAATTGAGGCGCGTTTGCGAATGAATTCTGGGTCGAAGTCAGTCACAGTATCCGAGAAGTTTTTGGCGCGAATGATGGGTAGAAACAGGGGCGTGTGTTAACCTTTACCTCCCTGCCAGACTGTCAGAGATGACTACTTGTGAAAGGCAGTCAAGACCAGGCGAATCCAGCATGACCAAAAAGGTTGGCTCTTCTTGGCCAAAGGAGATAGCTGTACGGGTGGGGAGTAGATGTGTGTCGTGTCGATCGTGTTTCGATACGGAGCAATTCGAAGCTTAGCTCACCGTCACCGGCATTCGTGTGCCAGCCGTGACAGGAAAACTCCCTTCTCCGGTCACACTGACATATCGGATGTCGACTTCGTCCACGGCCTCTTCAATGGCTGCTGCCGTGGCGTTCATTCTGCAGATTCTGTTCCTTCCGACCATGGCGAGGAGGTCGAGAGCGGCTAGGTCGGCTAATTGGACTTGGTTGTTGCCAAGGACAATGACACCGATGCGTAACGAGGACCTTGAAGGAGGTGCGTAGTGGATGTTGAGGTCTTCTTCAGAGGTCGATGATGTCGTGCAGAAGTAGAACAGATCCGCTGAACTTGGAAACGATATTGAGCTTCTTGGTGGAGACGGCATGAGGATATGTGTGACGGACAGTATGTACGAGTGGAGATTGAAGTTGGACTGATGAATGTGTTCCTTGGTCGAGTGAGCTCGAGGTGGATGATAACCTCACCGAGTGGCCTCAGGACGGGTTTTATATGATCTTACCTGTAGGCCTTTTTGCATCACTGAAACCAAGGTAGCAGTGACAAGGATAGTGTATGCTATGCTCAAGCGTCATACGGATACGCATCCCGCGCTTACTTGGAACGTCTTCACTATACTAACGATCTGCATTGGGGAGGTGCACACGGCTCAGCTCCTTGAGGCTTGCTGACTTAGTCCGGTTAGAAGCCGCTCGCGAACCGACTGCTCCCGACCACATCCATGTTCTCGTATAGCAAGGCGTCACGTGGGCGTTTGAAGGCCTGCAACGCATCGCAGTCTGTTCAAGATGAGTTGGACATGTTTTTTTGGACAATTAGTGTCGCTCAATTTTGAAATGTGGCTGCCTGTTGTGATCCTGTTTACTGACGTGCTGAGGCTGCCAGGCATCGCAATTCGCAATCGTATCAGTGGATGGACGCGTTCGCTAGACAGCACGAGTAACGGGAGCGCCGAGACGTGGGTAAGCGCTTGAACGCATTCAATCATCTCAAAGATGATTAGACGGTGGCTGTGAGCGGAGTTAAAGGAAGAAGTCGGAGATGTTCAGATGAGGTTTGAGGCTAAGAGGTTCGGCGGAGCGCCTTGGAGCTCAGGCACTAGATTCTGCTGGTCAGCTGTCGTCGGATTACATCAGTGCCGGAAATTTGGCAGTGACAAAGATAGCAATGGGAATTATGATGGGTGAGCTTGGACACGGTGGCTTCTCAATGAAGGGGTGGCAACCCGGCTTCAACTCGTGGCATGTGACATCTGCGCGCCGCTTGGGGCAGCAGCAATCTGGTGGAATACCGAGATGCCGCGACGCTGGAGGACTATGATGGCAATACCTCATGGGCGGGTTGAACAGTCTTGCAATAATGATGCAACAGTTCACGTCATATAGCAAGGTGGGTGTATGTGGTAAGAGTATCCTTCATTCAATCGCTGCATCTATAAAATCGCTCCAGATGTAGAGGGCCGTGGCGGCAGCGCAGAGCTCGCTCGCAAACAAACACGACCGTGAAGTCCATCGCTCGCTGCTCCAAAACAAGATGGTAAAAAGTCGTCATAGGTGAATCGGTAACTTGCGCTCCCTAGATGTCCTTGGGTTCACCGTCCGCCTCGCCGGACTTGATCGTCTTGCCAGTCTTCTTGATCTTCTCGAGAACAGTGTCGTAGGATAGCGAATCGGCGGCCTGAATCTCGGCCGTCTGGGTCTCGAGCGAAACGTTGTACGACTCGACACCTGCGAAACAGTGAGAACACGTTCCGCCTAGGTTTTGCCGTAGGCAGCGTGCTGCAGCGCATGGCTAATACAAGGGAGACTGACCTTCGAGCTTCTTGAGCACGCGCTCAATGGCGCCGGAGCAGCCGCCACAGCTCATGGCAACGTTGAACTTGTAGGTGTGTGTCATTTTGTAGGTTGTGAATGTAGTGCGGTGGTGTAGAAAGATGTTGCTAGCAAGATGTCCGAGGTTTAGTGCGCGTCGTGGGGCTTCTATGTGGCGTAGTTGGGTTTGGTGGATAGTTGTGAAGAGCAGCTCTGAGCAATATATATAGGAATCACTAGCGGATGGACCTGACGAAGAACGGAAGCGCAGGTTTCAAGATGGTGTTGTAATTCGGCTAGATTGTTATAGATTGTGGTCGTGCCCCGCTGACATATTGAGCTTCTATCACGACATGTGGAACCCGGCGCGCCTCAGCCATGTACACTGTCCGTGTCTCGTTTGACATGCCGACAATTTGGTGGCATGAAACATGCTCATTGAGGGTCCGAGAGCAGACGATTTGGTTTGATCGCTGATGCTATTGCGTCAGGACACCGTGTCTTTGCTACGGCGACTCGTAAATTTCCGTCTTCCGTCTTCCAAGTCGCGTACGTCGCAGAGCGTGCACCAGATGCACACAACATGGATGCTGGTAGAGGAAATGTCGCATGTGCTGGGGCCTGTTCCTGCAGGTGAATGAACCCTGAGGCCGCGCCCGCCCCACGTTAGCTAGCGCGGGGCTCAAGCTGCATCGCTCACAGATGCCCAACAGCTTGGACCTTGCTGCGGGCGGTGACGTCTTCCTACTGGGCTTGTGTAAACACCACCAAACTTTTCTTTCCTATGGCCTCGTGAATACAGTCAGCCAGGCAGAAGACGACAAGACTCACAACATGGCCAGCAACATTCTGTTCCTCCCGTTCCGACGGTCACACTCCGTAAACCTCACCGACGCGATCAAGCAGTACATCTCCTCCAAATATGACCAACACCCCGACATGTTCACCAAAGATCTCGAGACGATTGAGAAGCTACGCTCCGTCGCCACACACGCCCAGGAACCGCACCCGAGCAACATTCCAAAGCTACAACAATACGCGGCGCAGCTGATATGGCTGAGTGGAAAGTTCCCCATTGACATTGGCGTAGAGTTCCCATGGTATCCTGCGCTGGGATACAACACGAGCCGGCCGACATCGCGCAACAACCTCCGCTTTGAACTCGCAAATATCATGTTCAACCTCGCGGCCATGTACTCGCAGCTAGCCATGTCGTCGAACCGAAGCACGCCCGACGGGCTGAAGATGGCAGCCAACAACTTCTGCCTCGCCGCTGGGGTCCTGTCGCACCTGAGGAACACTATTCTGCCCGAAATTCGGACAGAGCCGCCAGAAGACATGGATCTCATGACACTGGAGTGCTTGGAAAAACTGATGTTGGCACAAGGGCAGGAGTGCTTTTGGCAGAAGGCTGTCAAAGATGGGATGAAAGATGCGACCATCGCCAAACTAGCCGCCCGCGTATCCGATCTATACAACGAGGCGGGAGACGCAGGTATACAATCGGACGCCATCAGCAGCGAGTGGATACACCACATGACTGCAAAGCACCATCACTTTGCTGCTGCTGCTCAGTACCGTGCAGCCTGTGACTCTCTCGAAAAGCGAAAATACGGCGAGGAGGTTGCACGACTACGCGATAGTCTTACTTGTGTAAATGAGGCTCTCAAGGAGCAGCGCTACATCAACAAGGTCGTACTCGCAGACTTGACCGGCTTGAAAAATCGCATCACGGAAGATCTGAAGCGGGCCGAGAAGGACAACGACATGATTTACCTGCTACCTGTACCACCAAAGGCAGAGCTCAAAATCCTCGATCGAGCCAATATGGTAGTATCAAGAGTTCCCAAGGAGATCGCCGAGTCCAATTCAATGCTGGGAGAGCGTGGTGAGCTTGGTCCGGCACTCTTCTCCAAGCTGGTGCCATACTCTGTACATCTAGCAGCTAGCATTTACGTGGACCGCCGTGATCGATTGGTCAATGGTACCATCGTTGAAGAGCTAGAAGCATTGACCAACAAGATTCACGAGGTTCTCCGCAGCTTGAACTTACCCGGCTCACTGCAAGCCCTCGAGAAGCCGCTTGGACTACCGCCAGGTCTTGTAGCACACGCTGAGGAGATCCGTCAACAAGATGGCATCAACCGCCTCTTACGCTCGATGGAGGATACGAAGAAGCTGATGTACACGGACCAAGCCATTTACCAAGAAGGTGTCGACATACTCAGGTCGGAAGCCGCAGAGGACGAAGGCGCACGACGCAAGTTCGGCACAGAACGTTGGACCCGACCACCCGCAGAGCAAGCCGCGCCCAAGCTTTACGCCCAGATCAACGAGATTGATGGCTACTTCAAGGCTGCCACTAACAGTGACAACATTGTGAAGACCAAGTTGAAGGAAAACGAGCACTTCATACGGCTACTGAGTGGACCGGATCATGAGCTCGAAAACTACGTACCAAGCGGCCGGAGACCTGCCATTACAGGCGATGTTGAACGCGAAGCCGGTAAGCTCCGTGGCAGCTTCAACGAAGTCAGCAGGCTCGAAAGCAGGCGAAGACGGAAGATTGAGGCATTGCGAACAAAGGCGAAGCAGGACGACATAAGTAAGTGCCATGCATCTCTACACGAGCCTATTCTGACAGTAGGCTAGATCCGGAACTGTTGCGCGAAGCTGCTCGCTTAGAGCGGGAGTACCCTATGCAGACGATCGAGGCTGTGCAGTTCGAAGGGCTCTTCGATAAGCGTCTCCAGATGTACGATGCTGATCAAGACATGATCAAAGAAGAAGAAGATGAGCAGGCAGAAGCTATCAAACGACTGCAAGATGCAAACGCGGCATTCTTGATTGCTCGTCGTGGCGACCAATCAACGAAGAAGCGTGAGCAAGCGTTGCAGAACCTAGAGAACGCATACTTCAAGTACAAGGAAATCATCTCAAATCTCGACGTTGGACGAAAGTTCTACAATGATCTCGCCAAGATTGTGAACCGGTTCCGGGATGAAGCGCGGACTTTTGCTTACAATCGCAAGTCCGAAGCATCACATCTGGAAAGGTACGTGGTTGTAATGGTCAGTTCCAAAGTCTATACTAATGTTGCTAGCGATCTCACCACTCGAATGAGCTCCCTCAGTCTTCAACAAGCCACGACCAATTCGTTGCATCAGCAAAAACAGGCAGATGCACAAAACCCAAATTATGGTGCGACTGCTCATGCAGAAGAACCGTTGGCAGCCCCAACGCCCACCAGGGCAAATGTACCTCCACCGTCCGGTATGTGGACGCCAGAGGTTGGAATCCGGTTTGGTGGTGTGCCTACTTCATCTGGCAACGCTCGACCTTCGGCTGGTCCTCCGCAGGATGGCCGATGGGATCCTGCGCAAGGCCTGAAGTTTGGTTAAATAGCCGGTCTGGAGCGGCATTTCATTTCTTGGACATTATTCTCTAGGATACCCATTGCGAGACAAAAGGCATTGCATCGCTCAGACTATATTCCTAGACTCTCAATCTTGCCGTGACAGGTGCGTAGCGCGTGTGAGCTACCACAATGTCGAGAGGACACGGGACATTAGTAGAGAACCGTTGTGGTCGCACTTACACCGGCCCACGAATCTCTTTGCAAAGCTACTTGTGATTTGTTTTGTAGATGGGCTTCGCACGACGCATTGTTTAGCACATGCAGTATGTAGTCGAGGTTTAGACTTGATGCACATGCACGTGTGCGGCTCCGCGAAAACATTCCCCTGGGACCAAATATACTATTATTATCGATCATAGTAATGCATCTCACTGAGTTGTCAAGAGTGGGAATAAGGGCTTGGTGTGTGGAGACATGGAAGCCCGCCTAGAAGAAGTGTGCCTTGCGACGTTGGTTCGAGTGAGGCAGTGCAAAGAACGCTCTCTGTGGGCCCCGGGTAATGACTTCACGGACGCGACGGCTCGCTGAATGGCCTCCGCGCGCAAGAATCGCGCGGTTGGTGAAATTAGACCAGTAGTTTTGCATGTGGGATTGGTCGACGAGGGTGACATGTCGAACGTTTTTGTGACGGCTCGGCATCACTTTGGTGTTCTTCAGCGGTGTCTTCGACCGCCCGGCTATTAGACGCTTCACCAATGGATGGGCCCGCGTGAATTTGCGCTTGTCTTCGAGGCAAGCGATCTCGTTGTATAAGGCTGGGGGCTGAGTGGGCAAGTTGCACTGTGATTTCCCAAGACCTCGAGTGACAGTAGCGGTCAGCTCTATTCCACCGAACCTAACAGCCTGGCTCGCTTTGCAACTATCACGCGCCAACGATCAACTTCCACCAGCGCGTAATTTCTCAGAGACTCACACTCGCGCTTCCTTGTCGCCATTGCTGCAGCCAACGTCGAACTACCTCGTTCAAGTTCCACTGAACGTCACAACCGGCAGGCAGAACAACAACGCATAACGCATCCCCTAGCTTATCGTTTCACGTCTCCCAAGACTCTGAAACAGAGGAACACACAAGGGAGCTTTGCAGCGGGCTCTCCCATTGCGGGGCTAATAATAGCGAACTAGGCCGCTTCCAGCGACGTCGCTCTTCGTGAGGTGGGCTGTGTCCTGTGACCGACGACAACACTGCGCCTCCTTCACACTCACCAGCCTCAGCAGAGAAGCCAGTAAACAGAAGACATTGCGTGTTCCTGGAAGCCATCGGACCATTCACAGCTCGCCCTTGATTCTTGGTGTTTACGAAGCTCTCCACGCTGGCCCAAGCGCGGTCTCCAGGGCTCACTCCTCCACATCACACCTATTCTTGGGAACACGCGAATACCTACATCATGGATATCCAACAGCGAGGGCGCTCCCCCTCAGTAGGCCAGCGCATTCATAAGGCGCATTCTCCCTCGCCCAGCCCACATGCGCCTTTCCAGCACCAGCACAACGTCGGTTTGGGCTTCGATTCTATTCAAGACCCATCCTCGTACGCAGTCACAAGCGCGGGGTTGAACAACACCCAGTTCCTCACCACGACGCAAGGACAGCAATTCCCCCAGCAAAACAACTTCACCGACCCAAGCTTCTTCCAGGCGACTCAGACCATCTCGCAGCATAACACGCCGCAATTTGGCCCCCAAGGCAGCAACAACATTTCGCCCGACCCACTCGACATCGCCAGCTCCAACAACCCTGACTTCAACAACTTCTTCCAGGGTAACGACCTCAGCCAGAACCAATCGCTTCCGTCATATCTTGGGAACACGCTTGACCCGCATATGCTTGACACTCAGTCACAACACAACCAATCCATCAACCCCTCAGATCTCATGCACCAGATGGCAGCCACACAGCACAACGCGCCTACGCCGCCGCACCTTCTGCCCAACATGAACAGCCACCAATCTCCAAGCCCACATGCGTCGCCAAACATGAACCAGGGTCCGTTCAGATCACCAGGGCATTCGCGGCACACGTCCTTGGATCCCAGCGCAGCATACGGACAAATTACAGAATGGGGACAGATGGCGGGCGGATTTGGGCAACATAGGTCTAGGTCCAGAGGCAATAGTGATGCTGCGTCCTCGGTGCATGCATCCTCGGTACACAACTCGCCGTATCTGCACCACCAGGATAGCCTAGACAACGATCAGCCGTCACCCCTCCTCCATGCGCAGAATGACCCCCAGCTATTCCAGGACCCTGTTCCAGGGTTTGATCGATTCAACTTGAATGGTAGCAACGCACATATCAGTGCGGGTAACAGCCCTCATATCTCACCTCGCCTGCTCCCGCAGAACCAACAAGTACTTCCGCCATTCCAACCCGACACTTTTGGTCTCAGCCAGAACATGAATCCATATGGGCCTCCGGACATGAATGGCTACCCAGGTCAAGCTGAGCCGTTCCCCTCACTGAACCAGCCTGTGCCTGAGTTTGGCCAGGCTGACGCCATGTCACCACCGGAAATCAACATTGACTTTGCACCGCCGTCACGACAAGCGAGCTTTGAGCCGCCGAAGCCTGAGCATCAAGTAGATGCGCTGAGCCCGCCAGACAGATGTAAGCAGCCCAGTGAAATTACACAAGCACCACTAACAGTAGAACAGCGCGCAGCCGGAATAGAACTCGCGCCAGGTCTGATCCTTTCAGCAGCGCCAGCTCGCGCGCGTCGACACCAGGCTCAGAAGTGCACCGATCGTTATCTCCTAATGCAGCCAAGTCTCGTTCTCCTTCGCCCTCGAACAAATCCTCGCGCCGTTCATCCACATCTAGCGTGCCGAACCGCGACTACATTTTGGACCTTGCAGATCCATCGCGACCTGCGCCTGCCGATGGCTCAAACCCGAAGCGCACACAGAAGCACCCAGCAACCTTCCAGTGTACACTGTGCCCGAAGCGCTTCACTCGAGCGTACAACCTCCGTTCGCATCTGCGAACACACACCGACGAGCGTCCGTTCGTTTGCAGTGTCTGTGGCAAAGCCTTTGCGCGCCAACATGACCGCAAGCGGCACGAGGGTCTTCATTCGGGCGAGAAGAAGTTTGTATGCCGCGGCAATCTCAAAAACGGCAACAACTGGGGCTGCGGTAGGCGCTTCGCTCGTGCAGATGCGCTTGGACGCCACTTTCGTTCCGAGGCAGGCCGCGTGTGTATCCGACCCTTACTCGAAGAGGAGGCGCGTGAGAAGGGCGAATGGGATGGCCAGAACCAGCAGTTGAACAACGGTAACGGCATGTTCACGTCAATGCCTGCTCAAAACTTCAACGGTATGATGCCCGGACAATCTGGCTTCGAGCCGTTCCCTCAGGCTGGTGGCATGCAAGCTCCACAGCCCTTCCTGCCTGCCGCACTTCTAGCTCAGTACCCTGCACTTGCGGGTATTCAGTGGGACCAGCTCCCGGCTGGGCCGCCCGATGAAGATGGCGACGTTAGCGGCCGCAGCAGCTTCGATGCGTCTAGCGGGGGCGAATATTTTGAAGAAGAGAGCGACTACCAGCAGGGGGGCCAGCAGTCCATGTACGCAGGTGGCAATAACAGCGGCTGGGTAAGCGACTCGTACGACGGGCGGTGATGCTCGTTGTCTTTTTCTTTCACTGTGGCGGCCCTTTTTTCCTCACGATTTCCCAACGCATTCACGAATTCATCTTACGACCTGTGTGCGCCTGTACCTTCTGTCACTTCATGTTTCGTTTGGATACCACTTTCATTGCTTCACACGCGCCCAAGGGTCATTGATACCCCCGGATTGGAGAAGACGAGGGAGTTTTGCTTTGGAAATGATGGGCTTTGAGCCCGTTTGTTGCAGCCCTTTACCTCGCGGCGTTTGGTGCTTGGGTTAGATGAGAGTAGATACCACACGAAATGCAGCTTTAAGCTTTCACCCTTATCTTCTGGTACCTGAAATGTGAGTTGAGTGGTGCTCTGGTTTCAATTACGTGTAGAAGCAAGCATATGAAGACTGCCATTTTGTTCGTTGCTTGCGATCTTCGTGGGCTTGTCCTTAGTCAGAACGTACAGAGTAGGCTCACAAACCAACTGCCACTCCCTTCGTATCACCATTAGTACAAACTGCGATTCTTATGCGCCGTCTAGCAATGGCAAGAGTGCTCCATTCCTAGTTCGCCTTGGTGTTGCACGTATCCAGTCGACGTTTGGCATCCTGCGAAACGAACGGCCAAAAAGTAACATCCTCCCTCTCCAACTACGCAGTTCACGCAGAAAAGCAAAAAGATAAAAAAGGTGAGAGTGGGCCTGACCGGGATTCGAACCCGGGGCCTGTCACATAACAGATACACTGTATCCAGGTAGGAAACCCCTGGGCGGATGTTAGAGGGAAATGGAGGAGGTGGAGGGCGGGCAGGCTTACGAAGCGACAATCATACCACTAGACCATCAGGCCAACTTGTTGCTGTTTGATGGCAAATTTTTTGGCTGGATAGTACTAGACCTTGGCGGGATGTTGGACAGAACGACATCGTACATCAGGATGTCAGCTACAGGAGCATCGGTGGGTAGGTGGGGTTGGGCGTGTTGGTGTGAATCAGCTGGAGCAGGATTCGCTACTCAGGCAAGGCAATTCACAGTGGGGCAGCGGTATATCTTAGTCAGGCGGTGGGACGCTTCTATTCATGGACTTCACAGCCTCACTTTACCCTATTGGGAAAACTTTGCGAATGAAAATTCAAAGTTCTGGTCGACAGTGACCGTCTTTGCTACAGACGTTGGTCGTGAGGATACCGAGTTGAAGCCGCTGACCCACCCCAGCATCGAGATGCAGATTACCAAGCACAACACCATCACAACCAAATGCTATCGTGCTTACAGACAAGGTCAGCATATATGCATCACACGATCCCGATCTTGACGTCTTGGTGAATACTATAGGCTGATTCGCGTCTCCTTATCGCCCGCCTCATTTGCCCAGTAAAGTGTCACAAAGCTTATGCGCACTGGGTGGAGAGCCGATCATACAGGCACAAGTACGTACTGTGCATGGTGACGGGAGGGAACCGACATCGCTAGACCTATGGCGATCCCCCCTGCAACTGTGCGCTCAACAACTGCTACACCGACATTTTGGCACCATTATTTTCAAGTCGAGGGGCATTGCGAACGAACATGTCGTTCGTGGCCTGTCAACGGCCATCTTCTTTTTACTTCAACCAGATGCCGTACCAGTGTTCAAGACATGAGACGGTTATTTGAGCACGCTGCGACCATGATCAAAAGTGCGGGGGAGACGTGCTGGGCATGCTAGAGTGGGTCCCAGTCATTGGCTCGGGCCAGCCCTTGTGCCACATTGAGTAAAGTACATGGCCCAAGCTTCCTCCCACCAAGCTCCCATCAACTGGGCACCACGGAGTCCAACGCTGCATCCCCGATGTGGCCTGTCGTTATGAAGTGAGCAGTCCACGAGGGTGTCCTGAGTCGTTGTACAGCTCACTGACCGCTCTCCGTAAGGATTCCAGAACGCTGGCCAAGGAGTCCGAAGTGGTCGCAGCTGCTGTGTGTGTGAGGCTGGAGGGCTTAGAAAAAGGACAGCTTCCCCTCACTGTGTCGCGAGCTCAGCTTATCATTCCTGTCCTCTCACCATCTGTTCCTGTCTACCGGTACACCTGGTAGCGCTTCCCAGTCCCCGACGCCTTCCGAACCGCATTCCTGCGTCACTGAAACCTTATCGTCTTACAATCTACTACTAATCGCTCGTCTTGCTTCTTTCAAGTCCTACTACTACTTGTACCTGCGCACTTGCGTTTCGCTCACACCACCTCCCTGTACCTCAACACCTCACACATCTTCGCCATGGCAGCCTCAAGACCTAGCGTTCGTATCATCAGCGCCCTCGCTGGCCCCCGCCTTCTGGGCCCCCGTCTCACAGTCCGTCAGCTGTCAATGACAGGCTCGACTTCCTCTTCATCGCTCCTCACAACCGACAAGCCATATGCTTCAAATCGCCCGGCTGGACCCATCCGCCTCCACGGCGAGCAGACCATTCCAGTCCCCGAAGCCACCGAGACGGGCAACAAAGTCCGACGCTTTAACACATCGAGGAGTCTAAAGTCCGTCGGCGATTCCAGTACCTTGGACTTTATGCACTTGCCGGACTTTGACCTGGAGACCCGAAGTGCGCCCTTGGGAATTAGAGTCCCTATCCTGCCATGGGCTAATGTCGCCAGCCGGGGTGCTGAGAGCGAAGATTCCGTAAGTCTTACCCTAGCCTTCATCTTCTGCTTATCGCGCAAGAGTACTAACGAGAGGTTTCGTAGATCCCCATGCAACCCACCATCTACACAGTCTCTGCTGATGGCACCCACATCCACTCCCCCTCCGCAATGTCTGAAATGACCGACTCAAACCAGTCCAGCTACCAGGGCATGGCTGAGGCTGTTGCTAGCAAATTCACCGCAACCCGCCAGGAGGGAGAGGGTATGGTGAAGCAGATCTGGAATGACCTCATGGAGGACCTTGCCGATCTCGCGAGCGGTTCAAAGCGTGGCTCCAACAAGGCTTAAGTGAGGTGTGAGTATGTTGTAACGGATGCCGTCGGCGAACGGCTGTGTTGATGTGGGGGGTATATGGGTTTCCAATTGTACCGGACTTCCGATGGATATTGGGTGGGTCTGGAAATGGAAGGATGATTTTCGATTTCTTGCGACTGTGAAATGGAAGGGTCTAGCGCGAAGTGCTCGGGCTTATGAGATCACGAAATACATTTTAATTGCTCTTTTACTGGCGACTACATTCTCATGTCGATCTCCACCTCTCTTTCCTCTTTGCTCAGTTCAACTTTGTCATTGTATTCATGAAGACCCTGCATCCCTTTGGTAATGAGTTGTGTGGGTCGGTGATGTCCTCATGTGGGAGCCTTACTCCATGCTCCACCAAGCAGCAAATCATCTCATCGGGTTTCGCAAACACCACCATATACAGTGCTGATAGTGGAGCCACTAGACACTCACGGACATCCGTTTGCCAGTCGGTGAGATTTTCGTTGATACCCGCTCCCGGTTCTAACAGCATCTTCATAGTCTCCAAGTCGTGATCCCCAGCCGCTAGCTGTAGTGTCCTTGAATCCATGAACCGGTCGAACCCAAATCGATTCTACAAAACTCGGTACGTCGCGGCTCTCGGCCATGGCTGTTTTTTTTGTTGTTGTTTTTTGAGATCTCTCAAAAAGCCCCGACCCGTTCGCATGCGGCCCGGTAGATGCTTGGAACAGAAGATGGGTAGGATGAAAAAGGCTAGGGTTTGGTAGAAGACCGCGATATTCCGGCAACATCCTTGTTTCCCTCCATTTCATGTAGTAGTTAGGGAGGTGTCCAGAATTCCTATACTTTTATAACGGTTGATGTATATTGATACGCACATAGACTGGAAGTTGAAAAGCAATCAGGTTCCCAACTCAGTTCCGTTCCACTCATCATCAAAGGCCTTGGGTGTCACCCTCCTGGTAGCATTGTCAATCTTTGCCTTTGTTATATTCTTGGTATATGCTTGAGAGTTGAGTTGTCGTGGTTCTTCTAGAGGATGCTCCTAATCAAAGTTCCGAGTCGATTAATTAATCGCCTTCCTTGTTAGTGGGCTCAGCCACTCTTAGCACCACCACGTCCGCCTCTATAATTACCATTGGCTGAGCGGGTGACGCCAGCACATACGCGTCAGTTCGGCCGCGCACCGCCTCCATCAAAGCTAGGCAATCGAAACAAATCTATACAGTCGTTCCAGCCTATCAAATGAGTGAGGGCGACGTGGGCGACATGGCGGGGGCGGAGACTTGGGCTGTATAGTCCATGTGTTCCGCGAGATTATAAGCAGAGATGCCCATAATATCGATGCTGAGGTCATAATATCAACTTCTGTCATGGCTGTTTCCCACGAGCTTTCCCCCTCCAGCATACATCACACTTTCCAGTGGAAATCAGATCTGCGACCGACTATGCCAAACGTTCGAATCAACCCGAAAAACGCGGGTGATGACCATGGCCACATGTTCCGGTTGCCAGCAGAGGAAGAGCCGTCTAAACGAGCAGCGAGATGGGTCCATCGGAAGGGTATCTTTGAAGGACCTAACAGGTACCCGATGATTGTGGTCTCGAGACCAGCTGAAGAGAGTCACATGGTGTACACAAATTCGAAAACCACAGATATACCACACCCTCGTCTCGACCGATGGTTTAGAATGCGACTGCCAGATAAGAACAAAGTTTTCAAAAGGCAAGAGCCTAGCCCGCAGTACCAAAGTCATGTCTGTGCGGGCACAACACAATTTAAAGTCAAGTGTGGGCCGGAACACATGAAGCCTGCGTTGTATCGGTCTGTTTCCGAGCCCAATTTTTGGTCGACACAGTTCGCGCAAAAAATCGATACTAGGAGGTACTCAGTTCCGTGTCCAGTCGTGAGGGGATCTTATAAGTATCCTGGGGCTTCTAACTCTCCTCTGTCTGATTCCTGGGCGCCAGGTATCGTTGAGTACGAAACAAGTAGTCTACCACAGCAGGTGTTTCTAGATACCGAGGGAAAGTCCGTGGCGCGCAACTCCATTTCCTGGCATGTATGGCGGCCAATTGATCGTGCACTGAGGCGCCTCGCGGCGGTATACGAAGGGGAGACAATGACTAAGAAAATTGTCGTGAGGCGTCCGATGACCCAGTTTTGGGTGAAGGCAAAAGGCGTAATGGCTGTAGCTATAGCTTCGGTATAGAGAAATGGAACATTACTCAACGATGAAGTGTCTCGTCCACACGCCAGACTGGCGGTGGGCATCGACCCAGACGATAGCATTACACACGCGCTCCATTGCTATTGGATGCCGATTGGTATCCTCCAGATCCTTTTTATAAGCCCGAAGCGATTGGTAGGACGCTGAAAACTCCGTGTTGCGTAACGCCAAAGTTGTACGTATAAAGATCCATAGTGACTCCTGTTCACAATCGAGACTTATCGCGTAGTTGATGATATCGCCCACTAGCTCTTGCTGTAACGACGTGGCTATGATAGGCATCAGGTGCAGCATGAAAGACCAACCAGAAATATCGCTTGGATGCCTGCAGCACCAGTCCTTGACGCGACGAGCGATATCATCGGCCAGTTCACGACTCTTGATCCTGTGTACAAGCCTACGAGCATACTGCCAGGCGTGGTAATTCTTCGGATGTTGCTCTCCAGACTTGCAAACAGCAGCGAGTTCGCTATGCCAGAATTCTGCTATACGATCTTGCGGCGCATCTTTCAGTTCGATGGGTGTCAAAGAGTCCACGATATTGGAGCGGTGGTACCACAAGGTTGGGGACTTAGACTGACGATGAAGTGGAGATGTAAGAATGCTGTTTAGAAAGCAAAGCTCTTGTCGTAGTGCTCTGTGATACGGGTTCCCAAGATGCAGACCGTGATCTTCTTCCAACCGCGACAAGGCGCGCTTTCGGTAGTTTGCTGCAGTAAGATGCTCAGGATCGAACAGAAGCATAACTTTTGTCGCTTGCAATGCCTGTGCAACAGTAAATGCATCCCGAGTCTGCTTGTTCATGAAGAATCTTTGGCGGGCTTCCACGTAAGCTAATGCGAGTATCTTTTTCGGGACTCCTAGGCTCAATCCATCTTGCATGGTGATACCATCTGGCGGCTGTATAGCAGCAGGTAGAATCTCAATCTCGACAACTTCATCCTCGTGCTCCTGGAAGTACTTGCTCAAAGACTTGTAAGCCAGCTTCTGAAACTCGCTAGTCTGGCTGTCTTGGGCTGCCATGACCAGATATCCGATCGCAAGGATCCCGAGAGCACAAAGTGAAAGCTGATAAGACGTGTGTGTGTGAAGGAGCAAACGAATAGAACCCTTCGTGCACGGCCCCTCGCCTTAGCTTGCAGCTGCCAAATTGCCGTATGACATAACCCTAGGACGCTTCCACCCCGTCTGAAAGCACCATGCAATGAGAACACGCTGCATCGCGACACTGGTCCATCGTCCCCAAACATGCCGTCCCTCCTCGTGGTAGTCTTTACATTACAGTTACTGCTCCACGTCATCAACACAGTGGGCGCAACCACGGTCAATGAGCTGGTAAGCCCCGCATCGAGTTGCAAACATGCGGGACTCTCAGACTGACACATTGCAGCTATGGATCCTCTACAATAAGTTACCGACGCCTACCTCCGGATCTGCGCAAAGATGTCAGGCTCTCAAAAAGGACATTGTTCGTTTGAAGCGCGAGCTGGGCAACACGTCGCCTCAGGACAACTTCTCCAAGTGGGCGAAACTGGACAGGCAACACAACAAGGCTATGGCTGAGTTTCAGAAGCTGGGTATGTGTTTTCCCTGGCAGATGCTTTTGACATGTCCATAAGCTATACTAGCTAACATCTTCTTCTCTAGATGGCTCCTTGCGCTCGCATCAGTCCACCTTCACATCTGCCGTTTCGACCCTTCGCTGGCTCGGCACCCAAGGCCTTCGTTTTGTCCTTCAGTTCTGGTTCTCTAAGTCACCCATGTTCTGGATTCCCGCCGGTTGGGTGCCATACTACGTCGAGTGGATACTGAGTTTCCCACGCGCACCGCTTGGAAGTGTGAGCATAAACATATGGGGTATTGCATGCGCCAGTATGATCGCACTGGCAGCAGAGGCAGTAGCCGCTGTTTGGGTACTTGTCATGCACAAACCCACACCTGTGGCTGCAGAGAAGCAGCGCGAGAAGCAGGAGGCGATGGCATTCAGCGCAAACCAAAGACCCGCGGAGAAGAAGGAACTGTGATGGCATTGTGTGGGTAAATCCTTTGTTACGATACACACGTATAGAATATCAAGTATCAATCAAACATGCATTCGCATTGATTCGCGTCGATTCACACTGCATACAGCTTGACATGGAACAGGTATGTCTCCCAACAAAAGACGCAAAGTCGTCGTGGCTTTCGCTCAGACACTGCAACACGAGTGGGATGATCTTGGCAGATCCTTTGGCTTCTTCTAGGCTACAAATTGAACTCGTGATCGTGGAGAGTAGCGAATCACCGAGTCTTCGAAAGAGCCATTTACTAATCTATACTTCTTCCCCAGCGACATAAAGGTACGATGCGGTACACGGTAGCTGATATGAAGCTATGTGGTGCAACCGCACGCGTGTGGTTTCGTTGAGAGCTAGGGATGTTGTTTGGTGTAGAATGCTCACATCAAAAGTTCGCGAGGAAGAAAAGTGAGAATTACGCGCTAAGATTACGCGGGCCGACAGTGCGCCCGAAGCGCGCTTACCGTTTCGGGTGGTTACAGTCTTGTAACTCGATCATTCCTTTTTCTGTGCTTTGTGAGTTTTGCAACATCTTCACTGCTTGAGTACGCAAATGCGTGCCATGGTTTGAGATAGCAGAGCGAGCATCTTCGCTATTATCTTTGAGTAGCCGAAGAATCGGTCTATCACTCCGCTTACCGACCTCGTTGACACTTGAAAACTATGGATTGATCGAAAAACCTGATGAACTTGATAGACAAAAATCCGCTGTGCTCACAAGTCAGACATGGCTGCATCATATAGTATAGATACGTAAAGAGACGCCGCTTTCTCGGGAGATCGGGTCACGTGCGTTCAGACTATTCCAGGGCTACCTCGGTCCGTACCGAGGTAATAGGCATCAGACAAGTGACAGCCATAGAAGCACCGCTGTGTACATTTACCGTGGACTCTTTGTCGCACAACTTTTGGGATTATACTGTGAAACGTCGTTGACAGTTACATAGTTTGAGTGAGGGGTTGCTGGACCAATGGACACATGGAAGAAAATCTGCGCATATCATTGATCGTGCCTTGCGTGAACATGATCTACTATCTTGAACCTTGATCATTATTCAATAGCCCGTGTTCTGTTTTAGCTCCTTCGGCTACTGTAGGGTCGCTTTCAATGCTACGACACACGGGTGGAGACGGGTGCCACCTCGTGTTGTGCCGCTGGCTACAAGCATACCTAGTTAGAAAGTGTGCCGAAGGTGAAGGGAGTCAGTCTTCGACTCATTGTCGTCGCTATTCGAAACCTCTCGACAAGCCCAAGCGAGAGTGATCAAAGTCCAATAGTGAGGCTCTACTGCGTCTCTGTGGGTCTGTGCACATGACTTCCCCATACCCGTATGAACGGTTCAGCGCTCGCCGGTTCCAGGCCGGTCAAAAGGCGGCTGAGATCTGTGGTAGGGGCTTCCCCGCAATGTGAGGTTGTTAGGCGCAGTGATCGCTCAAAGGCTGTGCACCTTCTCCTGGCAGGGTTCACTGTATACGTACAAGGGGTCTGGGGAAGCAGGTCATGGCTGGTTCCTCGAGTCAACGTGCATACTGGCGTCCCTTTAACTCTGTTAGATTGATGCTTTGGCCGCAGGCTTGTGTGAAACAACCTTCTTCGACATGACGGTGGCCGCTGTTGCATGTTCCACCTAATGCGCCCGAAGGCACTCATCCCGCAGCGTCCAATACTGCTCATAGAAGAGAGGTCTGTGAGGTTTCAGGACTCGAGCGCGCAACCGTCAGTCAGGCCATGGCGATGGGAGACAATCGACAAGGGCTCCGTGGCCGGCCAAACGACGCCCAGTGGCAGAGCCGGCCTTTCGGTGAGATTCGACCGGGACAGGCGCTGTGACGAAATGGCGTTTCTCTCCCCACAAGGTGGACAGATGCTCCTCCCAATGACGGTTCAAGGATTCGAACGCCGGCCCAAGGTCGTCTAATGCGTTTGGAAGTCGCGCATTTAGCGATGCACACTCCACTTCGCTCGCCGCAGCTGAACTGTCCGCCTTTCCTGGGGTCAGTGGTCCCTTCACCGCATCAACCCGCGTCGCCCTACGCACTGTTCGACTCAACGCAGCCGTCTCCTACACGACCACCCGTCTGCACATCATCCCTCGCTTGGTTTTCACACCACACCCGTTGCCCGTACACCGAGACTCGTCGACGAGGCTGGCGCCAGATAATGCCGTGGCCTGAATATCAGATCCCGAGACGACCGCGACCGCGATAGAACGCCTTGCTGTAAACATTTGCCTCCTCCCTCTCATGGCATCGGTATATACATGATAGCGCGGCGCACGAAATGGCGGATTATGACTTCAGCAATGGCGACTTCCCTACGAGAGGACCCGTGGTGCTGGGAGTTTCGGCTGCGACGCTTGCCATATGTTCTGTCTTTGTTGGCTTTCGTCTGATCTCCAGATTTCTGGTCGTCAGAAAGCCAGGATGGGACGACTACACAATGATCCTTGCGTGGGTTCTCGCGTTTGGCGCATCCTTCTCTATATGCTATGGCACAACGAAGGGCTTGGGACGGAAGCAGGAGAACATTCCACCACAGTGGCAGGAGCCTATGAAGAAGTCGTCCTTCGTCTTCTCCGTACTCTATGTACGTACAACACGCTGTATACACAAGTCGCCATTACTGAGACCCTACAGAACCCAGCTTTGATGGCCACCAAAACCTCAATCCTCCTCTTCTACCTGACACTATCCAAGACGCATAAAGTTTTTCGGTGGGCCACCATCGCGACTCTTGTCGTCGTTAATGTCGGCGGACTGGCTTTGACTATTCTGAATCTACTTCAATGCCGCCCTATCGGCGCCGCTTGGGATTCTCCCGTTCCCGATACAGCCCACTGCACGAACATCGTCACGATATATCTTTCCTCGGCACCGCTCAACATCATCACCGACATAGCCATTCTGTTCCTACCCATGCCGATACTCACTAGTATGCGGTTGCCGAAAAAGCAGAAGATAATACTCGTCATCACGTTCGGTTTCGGTATCTTCGTCGCAGTCGTTGATGTCATCCGTATCGCATACCTGCAAGACGCTCAGCGCAACACACTTCAAGCCGCTCAACGACAGTCATCCGAATCTGGCAATGAACAGAGGAACACTGGCGATTTTGCCTGGTTTTCATCTCTATCGTTCATGTGGAGCACTGTGGAGATCAATCTGGGCATCATGTGTGGATGTGTTCCTGCATTGAAGCCCCTTGTCAGAAGATTCCTTCCTAGTTGGATCATCGACCATACCATGCGTGACAACACGACACATACGAGCGATGAGGCTGTACTTCACCCCGACATTCTGGACTCCGGGCGGCGCTCAGACCCTTTGACACCCCCCGCCTCTCCACTTAGTAAGCCTCCGCTAGCTCGTAGAAGCGGTGGTGATGAGCCTATGGGCATGATGGACTTCTTAACTACGCCTGACATGACAGAGCTACCCCAGCTGAGATCATCGAACACCACTGTTACCTACGGAGCGACTGCCCGCACTCAGCGCCAACCAACTTTCTTCGACTTTGTCAACACCGGGCAAAAAAAGAACATTACTCTACGGAGCAATCGCGAGAGTGTGTACCCGGTGATAATGGTAACCATACTGTTCTTCATTTGGGGCTTTGCCTATGGTTTCCTCGACGTACTTAATTCGCGCTTCCAAGAAGTAGCTCGCACGAGCGAATGGGAGACGGTCGGCCAACATAGTGCCTACTATGCTGGGTACATTGTGGGCCCTCTAACCTTTGGACGCATCGTTTTCAAGGCTTGGGGTTTCAAAGCATGCTATATGGTCGGTCTCTCGGTCTACGCTTGCGGAACCCTCGTCTTCTGGCCTTCCGCTGTGCTGAACTCCTTTCCAGCATTTCTGATCTCAAATTTCATCACTGGTGCAGGACTGTCGACACTGGAACTGGGCGCGAATCCATTCATAGCTCTCTGTGGGCCGCCCGAGTATGCTGAAGTGCGACTAAATCTGTCGCAAGCTGTTCAGGCTGTTGGCACCATCGTTTCCCCACTTTTGGCGAAGAAAGTACTCTTCCCTGCCAACGCTGCGAGCCTGATTGACGTCCAGTGGACATACCTCGGCATTTCCTTCTTCAACATCGTCCTTGCGATCATCTACTTCTATGTACCGCTTCCCGAAGCTACCGACGAAGAACTGGAGCTTGCCAGTCAACGCACTGTGCCCTTTGCCCGCGAGGCCACCATCAATATTGGGTCTAAGCCAGTAAAAGTTCTTTGGATCGGTCTGGGTATGGCGGTCTTATCGCAGTTCTGCTACGTTGGCGGTCAAGAGTCCACTTCCACCTCGTTTAAAGAATACGTCAACCGCGTCGCGCCTTCAGTGGATTATGTGTCACAACAAGCCTATGGACACACAGCGTTTGCAGTCTCTCGATTCCTGGCAGCTTTCATCGACATTTGGGTGAAACCGCGCTTCAGTCTCCTAGTCTTCTATCTAGGCGCGATTGCCTCTGCTGCCGCAGCTATGCATGTTTCGGGCAGTACTGGTGCAGCAGTCATTGTTATCGTCATGTTCTTTGAAGGTCCGTTATTCCCACAAATTTTCGCACAGGGGATACGGGGCATGGGTAAGCACACGAAAGATGCTTCCGTACTTCTGACGGCAGCCATCGGCGGAGGAGCCGTTGTCCCACCAATAATGTACGCTGCACTCAGGATTAACAACGCACAATACGCTTTCTGCGTCATCACGGCGGCTTATGCCGTTGGTGCATTGTATCCTATATACCTCAACTCACTACCTGCGTCGCGGAAGCTCTCCGATCCTGTGCGCGACGAAAAGACGAGGAAGGAATCAGAGGCTGAGGAGAAGCGACGAGGTTCCACGAGCGAAAAGCTTAGGACATGGAGTAAAGTCAAGAAGAGGTTGAGTTTGAGCAAGGAAGATGAGAGACTACCTTCCGTTGAGCACCGAGAGCGGCGCAGTTGGCCTGAGGGATTGGCGCCGCGGAGTGATAGCTTGGCCATCGAACCTGTGCGAACTCGTACACCGAGCTCATCGAGTTCCATGAGCAGTACCTCAGGTAGTTTTCCGACGCGCGTGCGCTGAGACGGCTTGTATTTATATCGCATGCGGAGTTACAGGGTGATACCACGGGATTGTTTACCTTTTGGACGCGGCTTAGCATGGGTGGTCCATTCATATCCTACATATGGCAACTTCGTAGCCGAATACAATCATTGCTAGTATACCATTGTTAGGACCAATCTTGTAAGCTCATCTTCCTTAAATGTCATGCGATCCATGTGGGCATAATCATCTTCGTGAGGATGTCTACACGACTGATCTTCTCGATATCTTGCACTCTAAACCCCTTTGTTCGAATGCGAAAGGAAGGTACAAATGCCATATCTATTATCTCCACTCATTGGTCCTGCGATAACGCAATGCAACCCAAGCGACTCCAAATTTCCGATACCTATGACATGCTTGTTCAGTTTCTGGAGTCCAACAGATTGTAGAGATCTGAAACTTCCTGCAAGACATGTAAGTCACGCATCGCTCCCTATTTACGTGAGTAAAAGAGATACATACCTGTTTTCTTACAGCATACAAGCCTGCAGTGCCCAATGCCTCCTACTCGAAACACATACTTGGATCTAGCGGTAAGAAAAGAAGCACCACTTTCTCGATCTTGATTAGGCCAAGTGGCATATAGTCCGGTAGTTCCTGATATTCTTCATCCGGGAACTGGTGCATGGATATTCCCGGCTTGCGGCACTTGCACCCAAAGCCATCATATCCACACAGTTCAAGCGCGATATTCAATTCCCCTATGACGGACAAGTCGTGGTAAAGGTGGATATCGTTTGCTTCCAGAGTTACGCGAGTGTATAGATTCAAATTCTTCTCCTTCTCCTCTTTCTCCTACTTTTACAACATCACACCAACCCCAAATACTGCACATCGAAGAATTATAGCAGATCCGGTACTATAGCTCTTGCTGAAGCAAGAGAAGGGGAAGTTGCCAAATGTACCCGAAAAGAAAGAGCTTTCCCCCACGCCCACCATGACCGCCAACCTTGCGAGCCTCAGCGGCCCTTCAGTATCATTTTCTGATACGAATGAGAGCTGGACTGACGAGACACCACGTTCATGCCAGCCACCAGATAAGCAGAGGAAGAGGGCGCAAGCTAAACTGTTCAGACACTTTACCTTGCAACAAGTCGTTCTAAGCGTATTCACAAACCTCTGCACGCCAGTAGTCTATGATAAAGACAAATAGACCCTTGAAGACAAGGAAAATGAAGCTTGCCAGGATTCTATGGGTGTAGTGAGTTTTCTTTTCACAACAGTGAAGGGGATCGTAGAGATCGCCAGCATCACAATTGATGCCCACAACATTTACCGCGAGGGAAGACAGATGGCCACCCCATTGCCAGACCACGATGAGACGAGCACTCGAAGCCGCGGCGTCTCCTCTCGAGCATGTGTCGAAAAGGCAGTAGAAAACTTGGAGCGCCTGTGACAGCTCACAAAGATTACGCTTGAAGCTGGATTCGAGAAGCTTGGCGCATCACAGGAAGGTGGGAGGTCGGGTGTGAATGCTATCTCGAAGCAAGTAAGAATGGTAGATCACATCAGGTCATTGGATATTGACCACGTGGCCAAACTTCGCCACGAATTCGCACTGGCCGTCCCAGAACTACCAAGGAGCAAACGATTTTACGTTGAGTTGTCCGAAGACGAACACACCAATCTCTGGAGTCAGCGTATCTTGAACGAGGTCACCATCATGACGAACGTCCACCTCCTGTGAGTTCTGATTTCATAGTATCCCAATTATCAATATGTACCTATTCACATCATTCCAGAAACAACGTGGTGCAGGGCAGTAAGTAACTAAGTTGGCCGCTACTCTTTGAAACTCATACTGCGATGATGTAGAAAGATGAGACAAGGATGATGCGTGTGAAAACGACATGAAAGTTTAACTTATGTTCGATATTTATAGAATCGCTTATAATCGCTATCATGATGCAAGAAGAACACAAAAGATGTCGACCGGTAAACGCCTAATCCATGCCTATGCACATCTAAACCACCTCGTCCCATTACCAATCAATTACACAACTAGACGACCTCAACCGTCGAAGAAGGTCATAGAACCAATGCGGCAACAATCGCAACCACGAAGCCAAAGTACGTGGCACTGGGCTGGAGGAGTACGCTCGCCAGAGACGTAGTACCGCAGCACTCGCGGTCGTATGTAACGTTGTTTGCGCGGGCGGCGACTTCGAAGACGGAACCGTTGATGGGGCCTTGGTTGTAGAAGTCGACGAGAAGGAAGTTTGGTGGGCGATCCCAGTTACCTGTGGGAGATGTGTTAGCAAAATGCAAGTCGAGAGAGTGAACTAAAGGGTATGGGAGTACGTACTGGTGCAGGTGTTGGTCATTGCACCCAGACTGCCCTCTCCTTCCAGAGCGTTGGTCTGGTTGATCTGCGCTACATTGGGTACCAGAAGGTTCAACCCAGCAAACGAGATCTCAGCATTCAAGTTGTGGTTTGCCATGTACAAGATATCCCTCATCTTCTCCTCAGCCATGCCTTCGGGCCTGCCAAGCGTGCATGGGAAGTCGGCATCGGTGGGGGAGAAGGGCGTTTCCCACATGTTGTAAAACTCCCATAGCATGTATGGCACCGCATTGGTATCGAAGTTGTAGTCGATGAATGTGATGACACGGTTGTTGTGGAGGATAAGTTCGCCGAGCGTTGGCCAGTCGTCGAGCTCCATAGCGGTTTTGGGTGGCTGGTAGACGTATTCGATAAGACCAGACTTCTCGATCGGTTCCGCGAAGTTGGAGGATGTGACTAGTGGCTTGCCGTCATCGGTTGTTTCGTCCCAGTTGGAGTTACCGAAGAGAATCGTGATAACGTCGAAAGGATGTGCTTCTACCCATGTGGTGACTTCACGGAGGTAGTCTTCCACGGTACCGGCATTGAGCAAGTCGCAAGACGAATGGCAGTAGTAGAGCGTGCCGTTGACATAGTGGGCTGAGCCCTGCAGCATGCGAATACCATCATTCAGTTGTTGTGTTACGCCGTACTCTTGGTTGCGCGCAATGTTGTTCTGTCGCGTGTAGGGCGAGTTGTGCGCGGCTACTTCGGTGATGTTGGAGTACTTGCGGTTGCAGAACTCGAGATAGTTGTTACACGGCTGCGTGTTGGACGGCAGCGCCGGAGCTGTCTCAGTGCCAGTTGGTGTCAGAGTCCTGTTCCCGCCTCCGATATTTGTAACGGGATCTTGGGTGCTTGTAACTGAGGCCGTGCCATTGGACGAGGATGTGCTACCAGACGCTCCAGACGCTCCAGACGACGCAGGCGAGGTTATTGTCGCAAATGTGCTGCCCTCGAAATCCGAAGGAACCGTTGGGTTGGGAGCCGCATCATCGCCCGTCAGACTCCGCTGCGATCCAGATAAGGTGATGACTGATGGAGTCACCGAGGCCGAGCTACTCTGGGCTGCAGTGAGGCCCGCAAGCCACACCACCGAAAGTATCGCTCCCTTCATGATCGCCACAGGGGTGATTGTTGTTTAAGTTCGGGACCAAATTATGGGCTCACGGGTGGGAACAGATATCGGCTATGTCAATCCTTCTCCAGCGATAATGAGAACGGTACAATCGTCCAAATATACGCAATGAAAGGCCCAGCGGGTCTGATTGCTATGCAGTGCCGTTCGATCCGAGTACGGGGTAAATGGGTATGCTGGGTATTACGTCGTAAAATGGTCATAAACAGCTTCTAAAGCGAAAGGATGCGGGGAGGTATGCAATGAAGTAGCAACACTTCCTGAAGAGAAGTTGCTGCTATTGAGAAATTCCAGACGACGATTGTTTTCCAAGCCCCCCGAACGGACCATCCGGGACTCCCTAGTTAGGCAATCTCCTATGACGTAAAGCTCTGTTTTAAGGTTGCAAGCCACGCGGGTCTTTTCTCTCATCCAACGATCTGCAACAGCCGCGCCACCATTTTAGCGCGACACGTCATGTGCGCGAGTCTGGAACGACGAAGTTTGGATGGCTACAAGAATGGCCCGCCTGTCGAAAGCGTAGCAATATCGATATTGATGCGCATACATACAGAATATGGATCCACGACTCTGAAAAGTTGGTTCCACCTGGGGCAACGACAAAAGTTGTATTGGTGATTGATGCGGTCACGTATTAGGTATATGTTGCTAAGGGCGCATCAGACATTAAGATAGGCAAGTATGACACCCGATTAAGACTATACACGTACGCAAAATGCAGCTCCCCAGACGCACCTCACATCTGGTCCTTTTTAAGTACTAGATGACCCACTGCTAAAGAACTCCTCAAAACGGCTCTTACCCTTCAGCTGCTCAATCTCCCTCTGCAGCACATCAATTCGGTAATTCTTAAACGCCTTCTCAATCCTCTCCCTGCTCGCTGGATCCTTAGTAACCGTCCTCGCTGCACTCGCTGTACCCGTCAACAGACCCAGCTCACCACCAAGGAAGAGACCGCCAACGGAAAAGAGGAAGTAGGTTGCTGCGTCACCCCAGCGCGAAGGCCCAGATATCTGTGCTGTGATGTCTGGGACGGGCTCGGTGCGACCGTCTGCGAAGCGCACTTCTACCGGCTTCTCCATGGCTCGGAAAGCTCTGAAGTATGCAAGGCGCATAGTTCGTAGTCGAAATGCTGTATAGATTCCTAAACCCAGCCCGACTGCTGATGCGAAACCGGCGTGCGTCGACACCTTGCCGCCTGCACTTTTGAGTATGTCGCGGTCTTGTTGGTTGAGGCTATTTCGATTGGCTATTGCTGTTCTACGCGCAAGTACGAACCTACTTACTCATGTTGTAGGTGTTCCTCTGCAAGCTGGCGAAGATCTTTTGACCTGCGGTCACGGAATGCTGCTAGTGATTCGGCCATTGTGTTTGTTTGAATAATTGTAGATATTAGAGACTCGATTGATGAAGTTGAAAAGTGCTAAATCACCAGAGCTTTAATAAAGCTTTATAGTATTGTGCGCGGTTCGTGATGCTTCTAATCGCAACCATGACATCATGCGGACATCGCGGGATCTAGCCAGGAAAGTTTTATGGACACGCGAGCACGTGCAAATACAACCAGACAGGTCAAGAGCCTGCTTCACTTCAATTCGGAGTCTGAAAGCTATGCTATGCTACGGTGTAATTTAGAAAGAAATTCGACGGGCGCGTCATGCTCCACCAAACGCCATGCTCGGAAAGCCCATAAACGCCGTCGGCCCACAACAGGTCGCATAAGGAAATCACTAGATTTAAGTGTTCAGAATTGGAAACAAGAAGTTGCTCTATAACTTGGCCTTGGCCTCGGGTTCTGCGGCGCTCGCTTCCTGGTTTCGAGTGACGTTGCCAGTACCTGCGCCTTCTCCGAAGAAGATGACTTCAACCGTCAAATCGTCCCTGTATCGTCGAGAAAAGGGACTTGGAAGAGTGAGCAGGGCACTCAGCTGGTCTTGGTCCTTTCCGCCAAGTGCGTTTCGAACAAGATGAGTTGCTGCATTCTTGTCTTCGACCACGAAACGCTCGTTCAGGCTGGTCTTGGTACCCCACTGCTGCTGGCGGATTGGTGCACGCTGTCCCTCCCCTTTCTCACCTGTCTTTTGCTCGACAGGCAATTGCTTCTGTGTTGACCACCAGCTCTTGAGCCAGGATTGAGTCTGCGAACCTTGACTGCTTGGGTTGCCCTGAGCATCGAGCCATTGACCAACTAGGCCAACGACCTCCTCGTTGGTAAGCATTTCCCATAAACCGTCAGTAGCCATGACCACAAAGTCGCCCTTCTCAGGCTCTACTTTAGTTGTGGTGATAACGGGCTCAGCAGTGACATATGGGGGAGTCTTGAGTAGCGTTGACGGTGACCGTGAAAAGTAGGACTTCTTGAGCTCTGCGTTTGTCTCGAGCGACCATTTGTAGGAGGCGTCGCCGAAGGCACGAGATGGCTCCAGTCCGCCTAGAATGCGCCCATTGCGTACCACATTAGGCTCACCTGGGTGTTCTCTGCGCAATCGCTCTGCCTCGCTTGTGGTCCCACCAGTTTGGTCTTCAGACAGAGGAGTCACTGTCCACTTGCCGTTAGGGCCTCGTCGGCCCAAGATAGCGCGAGAGTCACCCGTGCATGCAACCCGCAATAGTTTCGATCGGCTGTCGTAGAAGGATAGCAGTGCACAAGAACCGGACAGGGCGGGGGCAAGCAGCTCGGCAGCAGCGATCTTAGACTGAGCCTTCCGAACCTTCTTGACCGACTCATGTACGATCTCATTGTCTAGCTTGATGAAGCCTGTCTTGATGGCTTTGTCGATAGCGTCAGAGCTCGGGAAGTGGAGCGCAGGGTCCTCGACGGCAGATTTGTAGGTCGTGTTGAGTTCGCGTGCGACGTAGGAAATGAGGGTCTGACGGAGTTTGGCTGAAGTAACCCAACCACTGTGGACGTTAGTACCGGAATAACGCGTAACCTTGGCATAAGCAAGCCTACCTGTGTCCGTCGAAGACACCCCAGAACATCCAGTCGCTGGCCGGGGCGCCATTGTCAGTAGCCGCCAGGTTTGATGGTACCTCGATAATCTTCTCGGCATGGTCGTCTTCGATGGGGGAGTTGCTGGGAATCTGCACCACGTCGTATCGTACAACGCCTTGCCCCCTTCCCACGAGCCATGACTCCTCATTTTTCCTCAACTTGGCAGTAGCTTGGTCGGGGTCCAACATCTCCAGCACCTTTCTACCGTAGTCATCCGTCTCTTTTGAGATTGGACCAGTGCCAGTAATTGTTCCCGTATAAAGTTCACCAGGGCCGACGACCAGAGCCTTTCGCGTGGGCTCGTTACTTACGGCGCTGGTCAGGTTCCTGGCTTGATCGGCAGGTGAATGCGAATGACCTGTCGACGATTTGTCGCTGTAAGCGTAGAACGCACCGGAGGCGACGGCGGCAGCCACTAGCGCACCTGTGAGAGCGCGGAACTGCATCGACGAGGCGAGGACGATGGGGGAGGTGCGCTGGCGGTAGTGATGATGATGAGCCCGGAAGCCTAGGCCATTGCTCGGCGCGAAGACGCCGACACGACTGCGGGCAAGCTTGCGCAGGCACGGGCGGCGCGCAGAGCGAAGCACTTGGAAGGCAGCCCGCATCTGGCAGGTGGAGTGAAGGATCGTGGAAGTGAGGTTGGCCTGCACGATGGACTACAGCAGTGAAATCATGGTGCAGTTCGGGAGAACGCTACGTCCAAGCGCTTACGCGGGGCCAATTATCCCCTGTTCGTACAAAATCGACTACGCTTGCGGCTAACAATCCAAACCACCACTACGACGTCATCACGTTACCGCAACCACATAATTTTTGACGCAACAAAATGTCCTCACGAGCGTTGCGCCGGGCGCAGCGGGAACTTGAAGAAAAGCAGATACGGGAAAAACTTGCCCAAGATGACCAAGACGAGGAAGAGTCGGAACCTGAGGTGGCACCCAAGACAAAGGCGAAACCCAGCTTATTTGCTGTGCTAGGCGGTGGCGGCGATGACGAAGAAGATGATGGTGATGAAGACGACGACGACGGCGCAGATCAAGATGTTGAGCCTAAGGCTAGAGATTCCGATGGACACGTAGAGGCCGAGCCTATGCCCGTATCAAAACCCTCAAAGAAGAGCAAGAAGAAGAAAAAGAAGGCGAAAGCCAAGGGCAAGGCTGCAGATATTGACAAGACTGCTGCTCCGGCCAAGAAAAGGTCAGACCTCGACGAGATCGATGAGGCATTGCTTGCTCTGAACCTGGCTATGAGTGGTCGAACGGGGACTGAATCAGATCAGCAGGATGCTATTAGCGAAGAGAAGAAGCAGCTCTTCTCCGTGCTAAGCGTAGACACGCAACATCTACACGCCGCCAACGAGATGAAGAGGCTTTTTGGTCGAGCCGCTGTGCAAAGTGCCGAAGAAGAGGCGCGGCCTCGACAACGTGGTCAGCAGGGTGGCATCGCCGCTGCAATTGCCGGACGTAACGCTCCCGGTAACCGCAACCTTGCATCTTTGGGACTTCGACGAAACATCTTCATTCAAGGCAAGGAGGAGTGGCCGCGAGCTACCTCTGGTGGTCTCGGCATGGAGATTGTTGAGAAGCGACCAGACGGCACAGTCGAGTACAGGTTTGTTCACAATAGAATGTATCAGGATGTCCAGCGACAGTTCCAGATTTGCGTTGCAAGTATGGACTCTGAGCGTATGATCCAACTCCTGCATCACAATCGTGAGTCTTCCTACGTCCTATACAAGCCACAGCACTAAATCTATCCGTAGCCTTCCACATTTCCACTCTGCTTCAAGTCTCCGAGATTGCAAAGCAACAAAGAGAGGCTGCTGCTGCGTCTGACATGTTAGAGCGCGCCCTTTTCACTTTTGGACGCTCCGTACATTCCACTTTCTCTGCGAACCTGGCGGCCGGTAAAGCCCGTATGGATTTTCGCCGTCCAGAGAACCGCGAATTTTGGCTCGCTGTATGGCGCTATATAGCTACATTGGGTGTTCGTGCAACATGGCGCACGTCTTTCGAGTGGGCTAAAATGCTACTTGCTATGGACCCTGAACATGATCCGTACTGTCTCCGGCTCCTTGTCGACCAACTAGCCCTGAGAGGACGAGAACCGGGTGCCTTGATTGACCTGGTCGAATCAGACTACTTACAGCGCGAGTGGAAGGTCCCGCCAAACCTTGCCTTCAGTGTTGCGCTTGCTCACGATCGCGTCAAACAGCCACAAAAAGCACGTTCGACGTTGCGCAACGCAATCAAGGAATATCCGTGGCTAGCAGCGCGTCTGTGCAAGGAGTTGGGCATTTCCCCAATACCGAAACCTGTGTGGGGAAAAGAGCCAAATGGTGATTATCAAGAGCTGCTATGTCAGCTATACGTACCTAAGGCGAAGGATCTGTGGAACAGCACTGAAGGTACGACTTTGCTGGTGGAAATCTGCTACTCTTTCGAAGAAGAACTGGGAGCTGGAGAAGACCCGTACTGGCTTGCGCAAATACCAGAGACGGACCTTGCCAGACACGTCATCCTTTCGGATAACCAACCGCTCATGGCTCTTCTCGACCCTCGCGTCAAGGCCAAGTACACATCAGTCTCTGACCCACTACCTCCCGATGACAACATAGAGTCCTATGATACTTCTGTAGCTGGAGCACTCTCAGGGCGCCCCCGCGACCCTGCGGTACGGGAACAGCTACTGGCCGAACTCGAGCAGTTCCAAATATATTTCCAGAGCATAGGAATAGATAGGCTGGTGCAGCCAGGTCTGGACCAACAGGATTTGGCACAGGTGCTGGAAGAAGCGAACAGCAGTATGGAGGAGTTCGGGGAAAGAACACACCGCTTTCAGGTACTACGGACGAGGTTGGAAGAAGAAGGCGTGCAGTTGGTATTCGACGGGCACGCTGCTGAGGCTGCAGGCGATGGCACTGGCTCGGAGACCGACGAGTAGCGCTTGAGAGTCATCCTGCGCATTGTGCGACTTGATCAGCGGGAGCGCCTCACAGAAAACGCGTGTCATGTCATGAAATGACGCTCAATACTTGGAAGTAGAGTTTGCTGCCCAGGCGAAAAATGATGCCCAGTCTCATCCATTCATGGATATCTTGTCTTGACAGTAATGCGTGATATTACATGTGCAGCCCCCACGCGTCTTCTGCAGGGCGAATCCCAAATCTGGCCCCACCCCAGCAATGCTCAGGCCTTAGAATGCTAAGCCGGACCCTACGAACGAGTTTGTTTTTTCCAAGTCGTAACGTGAGCCACAAGCGAGCTGATCACACAAGCGAGCTGATCACTTTGCCAAGACAACACCACCTCCTGCTATCCATCACAATGTCACAACTACCTGATCTTGAATCACTTTCCCGCGCAGATAGGCTAATCCTTGCTATCTAAGCTATGAAATCTGATACATCACTAAGTCAGCGACGCGCTGCTGCTATCTACAACGTTCCTCAAAGTACGCTCAGTACCCGACGCGCCAAAACACCTGCCCGACGCGATATCTATCCTAATTCATCAAAGCTAGTAAAGCACGAGGAAGAGACGATAGTCCAGTATATAAGGAAGCTTAACGCGCGAGGTTTTGCTCCTACGCTTAGCTACGTACGAGAAATAGCTAATTAGCTACTTACTGCACGTGGTGGTACCTAGGTTGGCTAGAACTGGGCTACCAACTTCATACGCCGCAAGCCTAGTATCAAATCTCAAGTAACTAGGCAGCGTGATCTCTAGAGAGTTCTATGCAGCAATCCAGCTATTATCAGCCCCTAGTTTAATCTTGTACGTAGCGTCAAAGCTACGTACGGTATCTTAGACGAAGATACCTATAACTTTAACGAGACTGGCTTCTAGATAGGTGTTGGAGGGTTAGTAAAGGTGGTAACAGCGTCTGAAAGGCGCCTCAAGCTATTAGGAGTTCAGCCTGGCGATCGCGAGTAGGTAACGTTAATTGCTGCGATCAGCGCTAGAGGCTGGGTTGCTCTACCCTTTCTGATCTTTAAAGCAAAGCACTACAACTAAGCCTGGTACTATAACCCTAAGGATTAGAGAATAGGTGTTAGTAATAACGGTTGGACGACAAATGAGCTTAGTATCGCCTGGCTACAGCACTTCATCCAGCATACAGAGGCTCGAACAGTAGGTAGTTACTGGCTGCTTATTCTTGATGGCCATGAGAGCCATAAGTCACTTACCTTCCAAGATCTATGCGAGGAGAACAAGATTATTACCCTCTGTATGCCTCCGCACGCTTCCTATATCCTACAGCCCCTTGATGTAGGGTGTTTTGCTCCCTTGAAGCGGGCGTACAAGAAGGAGATCAATGTCTTGGCAAATAGCTACATTAACTACATCGACAAGAAAGCCTTCTTAACCACCTTTACTTAGGTATTTAGTAGCGCGTTCTCAAAGGAGAATATCATATCCAGCTTTCGAGCAACTGGCTTAGTACTATATAACCTAGGGGCGGTGTTATTAAAGCTTGAAGTCAAGCCTCGTACGCCATCACCACCGCTACCAGGGCTTACCACCTGGCAGCCTAAAACTCTAGGCAACGCCGTTGAAATAGAGGCTCAATCGGCGCTTATATTTGACTGGATTTAGAGGCACTATAGCTCATCACCAGCATCAATTATCGAGATGATAAGGCAGTTTAAAAAAGGGGCGGATATTATGGTACACTCTTAGGTGCTTTTAGCAGCTAGGGTAGCTGACCTTAAGGCAGCAAATAGAGCTGCTTCTGAGCGTAGGAAGCGTAAAAAGAAGCGAATTTAGGAAGGAGGGACCCTATCGCAGGTAGAGGCTGAGGCAATAGTTAAGCAAAGGGACGTTGATGGTCAATTCGAGAAGGAGGCGCGTGATGGGAGGCTGCGCGCAGGTGGTAGTAGAGGTGGTATCCGACGCTGTAAGACATGCGGTGAAACTGGGCATAACAAGCGCACATGCCAAAAAGATACAGTAGAAGTAGACGATTAATTTAAGCTACTGTACGTTGTAATAGCTTATCGTGGTGTTAAGTTGTTCGCGTGTGAACGTAGGGTGCCGCATTTAGTGATCAGCTCGCTTGTGTGATCAGCTCGCTTGTGGCTCACGTTAGCTAATTATAATATACCCTAAAGGTATACAATACGCGTTGTCTTGTTCGCATATCAACAGAAGTCACCGCGTATACCTTTAGGACCCATGATAGGTACAAACCAATAAACACCTAGCTTCTTCGTAGAGGCGACGCGGCATCTGAAACACATGGGACTCTAGAGTAGTAAACTCAAATCAGAGCCAGCCACGTCCGTGCTTGATCGCGCTAAGAAAGTTGAGACCCTGTTGTCGCTCGTGAATGTGACGTACCCAAGGATTGTTTATAGTTTCAGGGCTGCGTCTCCGCATAAGCCGCATCGCACCGCCTCAGGCCCTCCATCGATCCTTCCAACTACCCAGGTATTCTCCGCACGTGCTCATATACTCGATTCGCCCACCATTCTTATCTATCGTCAACGGCATCCCCGACTGAAGCTTCCCACCACCACCACTCGTCGCCATGAGCGGCGTGCGTGCTCACATCGCCAGTCGGCTGCGGAGCTCCTCGCTTTCAGCAGTACCCCCACCACAGCATAGTTCCAACTACTCCCCAGATCTTGCCAAAATCGCAGCTTCCGTTCTCTACCGCTCGCCGCTTCCTTCGCAGGAGGGAAGGCCTGTTTTCATCCTAAACGCCGCCGCTCTCCCAGACTCTCATGAAGCCGACTACGATTCTCTGCTACCTTATGTCCTTGCACGCCTACCGGAAGAAGATGAGTTACTGAAGGGATTCGAATATGAGGTCGTCTTCTTTGCGGGAGATGGCGATGGTTCCGCGACCAACAAGAAGCACCGGCCTGGCTGGGGCTGGTTTCTACAGGCGTACCACGTCCTGTCAAGGGCCATGCGGAAGAGGCTCCAGAGACTGTACATTGTGCATGAGAAAGCTTGGGTGAGGATACTGACCGAAATATTCTCTACCATTGTCAGCCCCAAGTTCCGTAGAAAGATCTATCATCGTATGTAACCATCTCCCCGTCGCGCGCGATAATGCTGACTCCTTCCAGTATCCAACTTGACTCAGCTTGCCCGCGAGATCCAAATCGAAGACCTCCTTATTCCTCCTTCGACCTATCTTGCCGACCGCCGAGTATCAGAACACATTTCCGCCTTCAATGGCAGCGGAAAACGAGCATTTGGCGCCCACGCCCCGTTCCCTACAGCTAGTAATGGCAAGACACGGTTCCCTCGCGTGCTGCGAGAGACGACAACCTTTGTGCTCATGGAACAGAACATCACTTCCGAAGGTCTTTTCCGTGTACCTCCACACTCAAGGCTACGCGACGCATTGAAGGAGGCATACGATAGGGGTCAGAAATACATCATCTGGAAGGACAACGAAGCAACACTCCCTCTGCCACCTTATCCACATGCAGAACACCAAGATGAGATCCTAGCTGAGGTGGTCCCTACTGACGCTTACTCGGTCTTCATGGCAGCAGCTATGATTAAAGCATGGTATGCGTCTCTGCGCCAGCCCATCTTTCCAACAGACTCGTATCGGGATCTCAAACGACTTTACGGGGACAGCCAAGAGATACTCGAACTCGACAAACTAACAGACCTGTTTTCGCCAACATCAGAATGGTCTTTGTTACCTGGCATATCCCGTGAGATCCTATGCAGGCATCTTCTACCTCTTATGAGTGCGATAGCCGCACGACAAGAGCAAAACAAGATGACGGCCGAGAACTTGGCCGTTTGCTTTGCACCTGGACTACTATGTGGTCCCGATCAGCTTGAAGATGCTAAGATGTCTTCCATTATAAGGAGAATATTCACGCAAGCAATCGACATGTGGACTGAGGGGTTGAGAGAAGCATGTGGCCAGACTGAAGAAGCCTTCTACGAAGAGCTCAAGCTCCCTAAAGATGCAAATGACTGGGAGGATCCCGCGGACCTGAAGCGAGATTCCGCCGACAGCAAAGGCTCGCTGGAAGAACAGATGAGCGGTATAACGCTACTCGACAACGAGAAGTTGCCTACCTACAACGAGCCACAACAGACACAAAGCGAGGAATTGCCGCCTCCGCTACCACCACGGTCCCGTGCACCGTCAGCCAAATCTTCCGCCGATTCCGTTCAGCGGAAACCAGCACCGCCCCTTTCAGTACCTCCTCGCTACTCTACTGTCATATCAGACGCCCCTGAAGGCGTCGCCGAATCACCCATAACCTACGCCGCCACCACTGATGGTTTCGCCCCACCCCGAAACGACGACAACCGCATCGGCCAGCCCCCAAAGGTACCACCACGATGGAATGGACAGTCGGATGAGAAGAAGTCTGGTACGAGCAATCCAGTTCCAGCCCTTCCTATGTCAGCATCTACTGGTGCACAAGAAGATGCGTCATTTCCTCACGTTTCTACTACTACTCCTACTGTTGCGCCTAGACTCAACATTCCTAAAAGGAAAACCCTGACTTCGACGCAGATTGACAATGTCTCGAAGACCGTCGTCGCACAGGATGAAGCTTACAAACAGCCCATGGGCGGCATGGCGCTTCCAGGACTCACAGGTAATTACTACAGCAACCCTGCTGCGAAGCGAGGTGCATCCTCTACATACGCATCAAGTGAGGGTGTAACGTCGCCCCAAATGACCTCTCCACAAAGTGCAGTCTCAGCACCAGCGACAGAATCTGCTTTTCGCCGCCCAAGCATTCCCTTCTCCACAACAAAAACGAACCGCAGTCCTAGCATCAACTCACTCGCCAGACCCGTATACCCGGTAACGCCTCAAGTACCTATTATCAACGCACCCATCAAAGCTAGCACCCTCCCTGTTCCAGCTGCAGCGCCCCGCCTCCGCACTCCGAGCCCGAGCCTCATGCAACGCATGCCCAGCTTCGAGAACTTTGCCAAAGATCAGAAGAAGGATGGTGCGGAAGCTGAAAGTGAACTTGCAAGAGGCAGAACACTGAAGCCTAAGAAAATGAACTTGAAAAAGCAATCCGTCGAAGATTTGAGACGGTTGTATGAAGAGCGTGCTGGCACGGCTAGTGTCCTTGTTCAAGCTGGAAAGCAGAAGGGCGTTTAAGTGCTTTACAATTATTCTGGGCGGCGTGTTGTGTTGATCCAATGTTGCCGACGTGCTTTACACTGTACTACTTAACTGGACTTCTTATCTTTTCTTTGGCTATCTTACACATATTTATACCCTCGACATCTCCTATCACCTACACCTATCTTACCTACATATGTATGCATGTAGCGACGATTCATCTAATATACACATTCTTACTCCCACTTCTGCCACTATACCCGCCTGTGCACTCTGGCGTCTTCGGTGTGGTCGATCAAGAAGCGCAATGGTAAGACAACAAAAGTACTGAGGTACACATACTTGTGCACAGATAGAAAGAGGACGAAACCACATTCGTAGGGGCCAAACTGTAAGAATTGGCTACTGATGGTTGTTTGTATGTTGAATATGACCATATCCACACGAGCTTGTAGCTCACCGGCATCAATCGCTCTATCCAAGAGAGACATTTGTATCGTCCAGCGCCTGAGCGCCCTGCCTGCGCTACATGATGCCATGATGCACCATCTATATAGCCATTCAGATACTCTAAAGCATTCTACACAGGAGCAGTCACCCATCCGTAGACCTCATTGAATTATGGGTTGACCCAAGTAGGCAACGCTCCAATCTTCAGTCTTCATACGGTGCATCTGTCAGCTCATCGGTCCCTGGTTTCCATTCGCAGTCTGCCACCATCCTGGATCATACTCTTCTTGCGTGTGGTGGTGCCCGTCATGCGCACCTTGTTGATAAATTACGTCATTCGTTTGCTGCGCGAAGCTCCCTCGATGTGCATACCCAGCATCTACCTGGCCATGTGGGTGACCATACACACCACCTCCAACACCGGTAGCGAAGCCGTTGATATGACTTGATCGCCAATCCTCGCTGATTTTGAAACCGTCGCGGCCAAGGCGATCACTTGTATCCGTATTGTGGAGTACGCTCTCAAGGCCCATGGGGCTTATTTGTTGGTAGGTGTGGCGCGGGAGGATCGGTCCTGGCACGCCAGGAATTGGATTCCAAAACATGGATTCTGCGGGTTCCGTGGCGGTCGAGGTCATTGTAGTAGACATGTTAGATGCGGAGGGCATTGGCTGCGAGTATTGATATGTCGACATAGGCATCCCTGTATTGTAGCTGCTTTGTATAGGTGTATGTCCAACGACAGGCGATGGATGGTGTTGGCTGGATACCACACTACTTGGTCTCGAATTGGCGGGGTGTGTAGCCAGCTGCAATCGTGGTTGGGGGGCAAACATCGACAAGCTCTCCCTCCTTTGAGCAATGGGCGGGTGAAGGCGACCAGGTCCTATCCTATTACCGGTGATCGTCGTTGTGTTAGGCGGTATCAAAAGAGGGTCGGCCGGAGGACTGATTTGGCCTTTGGGTTTGTTGGGGTCACTTGTCGGTATTAAAGCAGAGTTGCTAAGCTCCTCTGGAAAAGGCAACTTCCACGTTTTCGCCAAGGTGTAAATGATCCGGAAGCTCCTCGCCCCAAAGTAATGACATTCGTGAAGATCGTCCAAACCTTGCAAGCCCTCAACAAGGTTTTTTCGAGAAATATTGTTTTCTTTCGAATAGAGCAGATGCACAACGCAGATGGTGAGCAGTATGTGCGGTATGAGCAGGTGAGCCTGACGGAAGTCGTAGAATTGTCGGTAGATCCTGACTAGTTCAGACACTTTATTGGCTGCGTCGACGCAGATATTGCGAGGGCGTATATCGGAGTGAACAAGGTCGACTTTCAGCAGCGGGCGAAAGAGATGGACGATGATGGTCCAGTACAGCATGCTACATCTAGTGTCAGTCCTTGTTGCAGCATTTAAGGGTCCTTCAGACATACTGTAGTACCAGAATGTGGGGCTCAGGTTCCTTCTTGCCCTCTATACCTAACGAAGGTGGTAGTCTTCTGTACCAGGCCTGGTATTTGTGGTAGCAGTCGAGTAATTTACTACTTGTAAGCCGTTCCTTTGGTGCAAAGAACATGTGGTTGTTGTCATTGACGAGCTCCGAGAGCGAGGCGAATTCCTGGAGAAACATGCGTGTGGTTACAACACCGTTCACTGCGACCTGTAAAGGTGCAGGAAAAGCCTCAGGGAGGTTAGAGGTCTCTTCTAGGATGGGCTTGTCGAGAGTTATAGCGGCTCGAGGAAGCTGAGATATGCGGCCAGTAACGATTGTCCAGACCCTGCGTCAAGTTAGCCTAGTCAATGCAAGCTAGCCAGGATATGACCTACGTATCTACAGTGAAGCAGCCCCAGAACGTAACTTTTCTCACTTCAACTTCGCTCGGTGTCAAGCCAAGGGTAGCGTTGGCGCCATAGTTCAAATGCAGACCAAGCTCAACACACATGCGAAGACATCTTCCCATGTAGGAAAAGCCAGAGCTTTCTCTCCCTGTACTCGGCTCGCGCATCGACATGATACAGAGTGCCTGAACCGTTGTAAGGCTAGGGGTTTCGTCTTCGAACAGCAGTCGCCTGGCCTCAGCGAAGAAGTGGTCGCCAGCCGTGCGGAAGTTATCGGGGTCGGTGCGGCCCGCAGGATCGTCTGTGAGGTGACATGCGTATGCGCACATAGCATTGACTAGTAGGGAGCAGCAGTACTTGTCGCGCCCTGCCCTAAAGTCTTTGTAAAAGCATTCACGACTGAAGAGAACGTAGAAGGGGTGGCTCCAGGTGAAGTAGAGGTCCAGTAGCTTCTCGACGAAAGCCAGGTCATCGGTCACGTTGGTCCACGTTGAACCTTGACGCTCTGGCTTCACACTGTTGGTACGCAACCGACCACCGTCGAAGTTCTCATCCTCGGGGACCAGGCCCAGGCTAGCAGAATGACCAAAGTGCCTACTCTGGCCATTGGACGTTACAGTTGGCTTCCCAAGCAGCACACTCAGGTCGGATTCGAGGCTTTGGACATCGACGGGCTCACTCTGTGTCAGCGTCACGTTTTTGCGCCATTGGTCGGCCAAAGAAGCGAGGTCGAGGTTGGGATCTCTTCGAATATGGTTGATGAATTCCTGGACGTGTTCTTCAGGTATGCGTCTCAGCGAATTGATGATGAACTCGGCGTTGGACGCATTCTCGGAGCTGGAGGCGGCGACGAGGGAAGCATCGCGTTTGGTGCCTGTGTTGTTGATAGTCGCCGGGGCTGCTTTGGTACGGCGACTCTCGCTCTCAGCATCGTAGTAGCACTCAGTCTTGTAGACGGCAATGCAAGTTGCGCATACGGGTGTGCTGCCGTCACACTGTAGGTGAGGTGTCAGCGAGAGGGTGATTCGCGAGGGGCCGGGAATGTTCCCCGAAGAGTGGCCCAAACAAGAATTGCAAATTGCATTCAGCAGGCAATGAGTCGTCCGCGGAGGCAAATCTCCAACATCAGGCCATGTGTGCAGACTTTACGTCGTATCAGGTCATGCAGCGAGAGGAATGATACTCACTTTGGACTTGCGTTTTCGGCAGGGCACGCAGGCCGACTGTACACAACGCCGCTTACTGGCTTTGACATCCTGGGCCTGCGAGGTGTCTTGATCGTCTCTGTTGGAGGAGGTGGCAGTAGCGCCGCGGGCCATTGTTGATCACAAGGGGAGTGAAGGGACAGACGGCGCAGGCTCCGAGGATGTGTTAGTTATGCCATTCTCTGGGCCGCGCAGGAGGGTAATACGGATTAGCCACCACGGTCGCAGGAGAAGAAGCGGGTTCGGATTAGGTGGCTGTGACGTTGGCGCCCGTCGCGACATCCAACGTGCCTGCCTTAGTTTGTGTTCGGCAAGATACAAAAGCACATGGATGTTTTTCGGCAGAGTGGCAAGACCAGAGGCGGCACCCCAAAGGGCGATGCGCGACCACAACCAAGAGGCTCGATTGGCCTGGTACGAGATCTAGATTGGGATTGAAACGCTTTGTGCAGTAGCCGATGCGCGGTAAAGGGTAAAAAGCGTTCAACAGGTGTGGTGCATATGGGAATTCGAATCGAAGTCCCAGAAAGGCATGGGGTCAGCTGACATGTCCAGAGGCGAGAGGCTACCAAGATTTTGCGGAGATGGATGCGACCAACGTCAAGGCGCAATTTGGGACCATTACCTAGTGGAGCTTGTTTCGGGTACCGCAGCATCAGCTTGCGACAGGACAGAATTTTCTAAAGCACCAACAGCATCGCCGACTAGCTTCGGCATAGCGCACTGAGCAATGGATGGATCTGCCATAGCCGCGTCACATAGGCTCAAGGAGGATCAGGTTCTGCTGCGCGATCTCGATGTCGGCGAGACAAAGGGGAGCGGCACTGAGAAGAGCTGCTTGTGGGCAAGAAGATAAACTGGAAGAAGAGGGGTTGTCATGGCGGAGCATGTCCTATGTCATAGCTGTCGCGGCTGCTAGCGAAGGATCTCCATGGTTCTTGCTTTTGGTGGAGAGGAAGGCCCGATAGCATCCGCTGCCAATGCATTGCCGTTAACCTCCGGTCGTCCTCGTCGAGAGAGTGGCGACTTTGCGGCTCCTACAGTCATCCGTTTGCAGGTCGGGGGCCGTTGCCGGTGAGCCTCGGCCTGTCTATAGATCAAGATGTTACCAGGTGGCGGCGCCTTCACAATTCTGCCGGAACTATGGGCTCCTCGTGCGAGTCTCTGTGTTGAGTACTCATTTCCGAACTTGCTCTGTTTCGATTCGAACTTGCTCTGTTTCGATTCGAACTTCCGTTTCGATTCGAACTTCCGTTTCGATTCGAGCTATCTCCTACGCTTATCTATGCGTCTTCATCTTGTCGAGCCAAGACGCGTTTATCTATACATCAAATCTGATAACTTTGTCCGTCTTGGGGTAGTAATGATGAAAACTTGCAGCCCTGACACCTTAACTCCTATTATGCCGACCAGTATCATCTAGTCTCATGAAGCACCGTTGACAGGTAGGACCCCCTTCAGCGGCGGCAGCAGACTTCTCGCGCCTTGCCTTGCCTGCTGAGCCAGTACAGCATCCATAATGACCAAAGCAGCCATCATCTCAACGATGGGCACCGCGCGAGGCACCACACAAGGATCGTGTCTACCCTTGGCCTCGAGCACACCTTCTTCCTGGTCGTAGGTGACTGTTGACTGTGCCTGTCCAATAGTTGCTGCAGGCTTGAAGGCTACATTGAAGTAGATGGGCGCGCCGTTGGTGATACCGCCTTGAATACCACCTGAGTTGTTGGTCTTGGTAGTGAGCTTGGGTTTTGAGCGGTATTTGCTTGCATCAGGATTCTCGCCTGCCGGAACAGCAGGGGCCTTGACGAAGGCATCGTTGTGAATCGAACCAGGTACTTGCGCGCCTCCAAAACCAGACCCAATTTCAAACCCCTTGGTAGCCGGTATGGACAACATGGCGTGCCCCAATTTGGCCTCCAGCTTGTCAAAGCATGGCTCTCCTAACCCTGTCGGGCAGCCTCTTATGACGCAAGTCACTGTGCCACCTATGCTGTCCTGTGCATCGCGGTACTTGGCGATCAGGTCCTCCATGCGCTTAGTGACGTCTTCGCTCGGGCATCGCACAGGTAAGAACTCGTCTACCTTCTGGCGCGTGATTGAGTCGATGAGCTTGAGGTACTCCGGGTTCGTGGATGCGGTGGGGTGTTCGGATGTGGGAGGGAAGAGGAACTCGTTTCCGATGGAGTTGGTGAAAGCGATAATCTCGATACCGTAGGCTTCGCGCAGGTACTTCTCTGCGATTGCGCCAGCTGCTACTCGTCCTGTGTAGTGTTAGCACCTGTACAGCTATTCCATGTATCATGACCCACCAATAGTCTCTCGTGCACTACTCCGTCCACCACCCGAACTAGCCTTTACACCGTACTTCTCCAAGTATGTCCAGTCAGCATGGCTGGGTCGTGGGTACTTGTCCATGGTCTGGTTGCCGTAATCCTGCTTGCGCTGGTTCTCGTTCATGACCCTGATGCCAATTGGAGTGCCCAGTGTAATGCCGAACTCTGTACCGGACTGGATCTCCACGCGGTCCTTTTCGTTGCGGGGAGTTGTGATAGCGGACTGGCCGGGTCGGCGGCGCGTCATCTGGGGTTGAATGTCATCCTCGGTGAGGGCCATACCAGGCGGGCAGCCGTCAATTATGGCGCCGACGGAAAGACAGTGGGATTCACCATAGCTAGGCAGGTCAGTATCCTACAACGGATTATATGGTACATGTGCATACGTGGTGACCCTGAAGTGTGTACCAAAGGTGGACATTGTGATTGTGGTGTCGGCGAGCTTGTGGAGATTCGGCTCCCTTCTGAATCGCGAGTCTAGTCAAGGAAATGTGTACTTGGTGTATGCAAAGGTGTCTCTACGTCTCAAAAGGGTAGAGGTTTAATTATTGTATTGTCGCAAGTCCAGACGCGTGCGCTAGAATAATCAACGTCAGAGTCACTCTAGGAGTTTTATTTATTTAGCGGGGCGCGGAGTAGAGCCGTCTGGAAACCCGAGATCGGCCACCGATGGTAAGGCTGGTTTCGATTACATAGGCAAACCATCTCGCCCTCCAATCGGTGCTTCAACGCATTCTATACAAAGTGAACAATTGAAACTGCTATCCAGAGGATATTATCCAAGATTCCAAGTTCTGATCAGGAACAGCTGATGGAGACGCCGACTTGCGATGTGCGCTGAGAATAAGAACGAACATGACGAGAAGGGATCAAGAGCTACTTCGCTTGGGGTGCAAACCAGGTATATATCTAGAGTGATTTAATTCAATTCGACTACTGGACTCGATATGAAAACTGCACGAATTGGCCAGTAGGTCGGCAGTATTCGCCCTTGAGGTGGTGATTGGTTTGGAATGGCATCAGGATGTGTTTGCAGGGTCAACGTTGTCGCCCAAGCAGACAACCCCACACCTCATGACATGCGCTGTTCTTGTGCTGTACAAAGCTTCTAGTCAAGGAAGGACTGGCGACCACATCTACGTGGGCGAGTGGGTCAAACAACTGGAAGACAATGCCACGCGCGAGGGCGACTGCGCCTGGAGAGCATTTCCTTGGTTGAGAAGGACAGATGGCAGGTGTCAATCGGATCATGTCAGTGTCGAGTAGGATGAAGGAGCTTCTGGTCGATGCAGACCAAGACCAAACAACAAACTCTAGGAGATAAAGGCCAGTATCGTGGCAGATGGGTGAATGGATGAGCTCCAATCCGCGCACGTTGCCGACCAACTGGCAGCACGAAGATCATCCGGGATTACTAGCGCGGACCCTTGCCGTGACTTCTCAAGAAGTTTTGCTTCTAGCCAGCAACACCACCTTCAAAACACCCCTCTCTCCTCCATCGCATCCCCCACCAAACCGCAATCATGACTGAATACGTCAAGGTCGAGAAGATCATCCCCAAGTTCCCGCCGCCGGCGTTCAGCGACATCGCCAAGGCCTCGAACGACGTATGTTTTGGCTCCCCGCGACGAGCTTCCCCATGGCGCCATTGCTAACGGAGCCGCCCCCAGCTTATCAACAAGGACTTCTACCACACTGCCGCAGGTCCGCGACGCCAATTGACCCCCAATTCCATCCGCTGACGCGCCCACAGCTGCCCTTGAGGTCAAGCTCAAGGCCCCCAACGGTGTCAACTTCACCGCCAAGGGAACCTCTGCCCACGATGGCCCCGTCACCTCCTCTGTAAGTATGCGATTGCACGCGGAAAAATATCCAATCGCTAACAATTCAAACAGCTTGAGGGCAAGAAGTCGCTTTCCAACGGTACGACCAACCATTCATTTCTCCCCCGCTCTACGAGCCTCGTAATACCCATTCATGCGTCTCCCAACTTTCACTCTTATATATTCTACCTGAAGCAGCCCCCGGGGAGGAGGGGCGCTTCTGTGAGCGGCTACGGAATCAACCTGCTGACAACGGACGACGCAGGCATCAGCATCACCCAGTCATGGAACACTGCCAACTTGCTGGCTACCAAGGTTGAGCTCAACGACACCTTCGCCAGCGGCCTGAAGACTGAAGTCCTCTCCAACTTCAGCCCTGCTGCCGGCAACAAGGGCCAGAAGGTCAACCTTCACTTCAAGCAGCCCGCCTTCCACGGCCGTGCTTTCGTCGACTACTCGGCCGCTGGCGCCATTGGCACCACTGCCGATGCCGTCGTTAGCCACGAGGGCATGGTCGTTGGTGGTGAGGTCGGTTACGATGTGCAGAAGGCTGCCATCACCAAGTACTCCGCCGCTGTCGGATACACCACCCCTCTCTACAACGCTGCCGTCACTGCCACCAACTCCCTGAGCGTTTTCACCGCCTCTTACTACCAGCGCGTCAACCCCGCTGTTGAGGCTGGTGCTCGCGCCGTCTGGGACTCAAAGTCTGGCAACAACGTCGGTCTGGAGCTCGCTGCCAAGTACAAGCTTGACCCTGCGTCTTTCGCCAAGGTATGATGGTCCCTGACATACACACGAGGGCGTTTGGACTAATCCCATACAGGCCAAGATCAACAACCTCGGCATTGCTTCCCTCGCCTACAACACCAAGGTCAACAGCGGTTTGACCTTCGGTATTGGTGGCTCTTTCGATACCCAGAAGCTGAACGAGGCCGGCCACAAGCTCGGCACCAGCTTCACCTTCGAGGGCTAAGCACCTCAAAAAAGACACATGTGGAGAAGAGATGGGGAAGATGGCTCTAGATTCCTTTGGTTCTCGCGAAGCGGTATCATCTTTATCTAGTGCTCAAGAGCGAGCGTAGTATGGGGTTTTTTTGACACATGCGACGACTTGTCTCAATGCAATATTTGGAACTCCAGACCTGATATGTATTTTCGCGGTGATGATGATGATCAACACCTATCCTTTTCTAATGCTGAAAACCCGAACTTTCGTCAGGCGTGACTTCATGAGCGACAAACACAGAGCCTCATATTTACTCCTTGTTACACGTCACGACAAGAACAATAATGTCTTGTGTACGAATGGGATTGGAGCCTAGTAGTCATCACCGCGACTAAGAATCTCCTTGCAGTTGGGGCGAAGTACGAATGTCTACCATGTGTTAGCAAATTTTAAGACTTGATTCTGGATGAGCTTGACCACTTACATGTTCACTCTGCGCTGTATAACTGCCCTTGATATCGCACAGCGGAGGGTAGGCCTCGACAATACCTGCGCTAACTAGGTTGTTCAAGCCCAAAAGGTACTTGTCATGGCCCATGCGATCAAGATACCGCCTGCAAAAAGGCAGGGTACCAAAGTTCTTGGTGATGGAGTTGAGAAGTGTTTTTGCGGAAGAAACGCGGAGAGCGACTTTGGGCGCGTCGGCCTTTTTGGCGTAGTGGGATGTTTCCATCTGAGGTGATTGTTAGTTAGTTGAATCGAAGGCTTGATAGTAAATGGGCGACTTACGTCATCCCGAACATAACCCTTTCCTGTGCTACCGAATGTTTCAATAGCGAATGTCTCGCCCTCTTCCATCTTTGTTTGGTCGCCACCCTTGACAATGGGTACGGTCTTGCCGCCGTGGATGGTGTAGTGGCCGATGGAGTGTCCGTTCAAGTTCCTTATGCACTTGACGGGTAGCATCTGACCCTTGATTTCCACCTCGTAACTCTCCATGACTTCCTGGATGGCAGCGCCAATATCGCTCATGCGGACGTCGATGCCGGCTTCCTTGATACCAGCGTTTGTAGCGGCCTTGCATGCGTTGATCAAATTGTCGTATACGGGGTCGAAGGTCAGAGTAAAGGCGCTGTCCACAATACGACCGTTGATGTGTACACCGAAATCGACCTTCATCACGTCCTCGTAGTTGATAACCATTTTGTTGCCCGCATTCGGCGTGTAATGTGCGGCACAGTGGTTTATGCTCAGACCAGTGGGAAAGCCCATACCCGCTATTTGCGCATCACCGTCCTCTAGACCCTGATGTCCAGTCAAAGCGCGAACAGAGTCCTCGATGCCCTCAGCAATCTCGGTAAGCGACATTCCAGGCTTGATCCAGTTCTGGGCCCATTGGCGGACTTGACGGTGGATCTCTGAGCCTTTGCGGTATTCAGTGAGGAAGTCGTTGTTCATGCGGTCAAGGTGGCGCTTCTCTTCGGACGTGGTTCGGTATGCATTCTCGTTGACGTATTCTTGGATTTCGCCCTCGGGGTACGAGTCGTTGGGGAAGAGTTGGTCGATGCGGACTCGTGGTGGTGATGTCTGGGCCTTGGGTCCTCCCGCGCCGCCTGCTGCTCCAGCCTTCTTCTTCTTTCTGGGCTTTCTCTTCTTCTTCTTTTTCGCAGCGCCTTCGCCACCCTCTGGTGCACCGTCGTCAGCATCATTGTCGTCATCCGAGTCTTCGTGGTCCGCATCGCCTGTGGGCTTGTCGCCGTTCTGTGCCGCGCCGTTTGTTGGTTTGCTGTTGCTGTCGTCCACTGTACGTTGTTAGCGGCTATAACGCGCGCAAAGGGGCAGTACAATCCATACACTTCAAGTTGGCGACTTCGTCCGCTACCTTGGCCGCCATACTGACTGTGTGGATAGTCCAATAGTTGTTTCGTGGACAATCTTGAAATTTACGAGCGTCTCGAAACGCCCCGCTAACAGACGCCGGTGGAGTGTGTCGCCCACGGAATCGGTCAATTAGCCACAGCTAGGCTATGCTTGTCTTAGCCTCGGTAACTTGGCAATGACGTCTACATGCGCGCCGAACATTCACTCAAACTCACACTTTCTACATGGGCACCTACATCCCCAGATATCGGTAATGGGCAATGCCACCCCGCCCGTCTAGTTTCCTGCGATCAGTCGCTTCATCTTCGGTTCCTTGCCTACCACGTCTACCATCGCCATATATCTGCCACTCATGTCTCCGTCGCACCATACCCTCTCCTCCACGGCGCATCCAAGTCTCACACTTCCATGCCACAGCTTCACGATACGCCGATAACTTAGTCAATCATTACGAGACGCTGCATTTGAACTCGACAGCCTCTGCCTCTGAAATCAAGCGTCAATTCTACACGCTCTCGAAGAAAAACCACCCGGACCACAATCGTAACGATCCCGAAGCCTCTACACGTTTCGTCGCGATAAGCGAAGCCTATCACGTTCTCTCCGTACCAGAGAAGCGCGCCCAATACGATGCACAACTAGAACATTCGCAACGACAATCACGATGGGGACAGAGCGGGAGTGAATACCCGCAAGGGAGTTACAGCTCCGCTGCATATGGTTCAAGACCAGCCAGTGGATTGAACAAGAAGCGCAGTACCTTCCGAGGTCCACCTCCCTCGTTTTATAAGTCTGGCGGCTATGGACGCCACGGTGCGAAGCGAGCTGAATATGCATATTCAAGCGCACAGGACGGAGGGGAAACAGGCAAAGATGCCGGTCAAGAGTCATACGGCGAATGGGGTGGATTTGGCCCAGGACAACAGAAGCAAGGCAATCAAGTCCCCCACTTCGATGACATAAGGCATAAGGAAACGCATGACAACGTAAACGAGCATATATGGGCCAGGCGGAAAAGGCTACGCAGAAATAGCATCAAACTAGAAGAAGAATGGGAGAAGGGCAATATGGTAGTCAATTTTCTGGCCGTTTCAACTGTTATTGCACTCATTGGGATTACGGCCAAGTTTTTCGAGAATCGACATGAGGCTAGTCATCGTAAGACCAAGGAGAGTGCTTGACCTGGGTGGACGGTTGAAGACGGAACCACAAAATCTTCTCAGTTACATCGTGCAACTGAGAAGATTTGGTGAAGCATTTAAGCGTGGTTGGCTCACGCATTGAATTATTGTCCGACGTAACACTAGATCTTACAGGCTGATTCAGGCTCATGCACATGCCAAGGGTACAACACGGGATACAAGCACGCAACACCTAGACCGAAACTCAAATTTAGTTACACGATGGGATATAGACTTAACTTGAAAAACTTTCTTGGTCGCCTAGTATAGTCTTTATGTACACCGAACCCTCATTTACCCTCACGCCATCATTCTACTACGTGTGCTCGGAAGTGACTGCAATAGAAGACCATCCTCTATGACTTCTGGGGCTCTAATGTAGCAATTGTGCGAAGTACCATGTAGCATTCTATGTTTCGAGTAGATTCACAGACATGGAATCGCTGGTTGATTTGGTGTTATAGGGTTCTACTCTTTCTGTATCTGCCTTGGTATCAGGAGCTGGGGTTGGCACCAGGAAGTTCAAGGCTGGTGGTGAGACCTTCAGAGAGCGTCCAGACATGCTTGAACCAGCTATGATGGTGTTCGATGCCACGATTGTTCCCTACGGTGGTGGTCTAGGTAACAACAACTGACAGGCGGAGCCACTGCGCTGGGAAGGTTATTCATTGCCGCATCAACGAGCAAGCTACATGCTTTTTGATATTGTTCGCGACCCTGACCAGATTTTTTAAGGTCTTCGAAGTCTTTGCCAGCCTTTGGACATGCGAGAGCGGGGTTCAGGATGTTCCATAACAGGAAAGGCACCGACGAAGTCATTGTACAGGCTCGCTGCACTTTTACACCATGTAGGTACATGTGCCAATCCAAGCTCCATCCTGGTGAGTGCTTTCGGAACGCACATCCACTCTCGACCTCAGTTGGCAGGCGCAATAACCTCTCGTGATGAAGCCGACGAAAGTTGGTCCATGTCGATTGTAGGAAGAAAGCGTGTATCCACCAACGCGGCACAATGACACGTAGATTTTCACCTGGGCATCCATTCCATGTATCCAAAGGCTCGTAGTAAATAGTAATGTGACCCGGATAGTCGATGATCCAGATGCTGCCACCAAAAGCATATTGCTCCCAAGCATGGCCTAGTTCGGCTAACGCGTCAGCTGGTCCATAAAGAGGCTCGCTATGAGTGTTGATTCTCCTCAAAAACTGTTAGCAGGATTCCGTCGCACGCACATTCCAATGGTAGCTTACATGGTTATCGGTTCTCTGCTTTTGCGATAACCCCACACGACATGGGCAACTTCATGACAGAGGGCAATGGCGATCCTCATGGTAATAGCCTCCTGATCTTGTTGAGATCCATAGAGGGTAACGTGGCATATGTCGTAGATGTGATGGCTATGTATCTTGATGCGCGGGTGAAATGTGCGACCCTGCGGCAGTGCGCTAAAGTACGTCATGGCATCATATTGAACATCCTTCTCATCAAGCTCTTCAATCGTAAGCCTCAATGTTTCTGGCAAGATACTGTTGAGAACTTCAAACGTCGTCTTATGTGCGCAACTGGTTGTCTCAAATACTGACTTATCGAGATAGAACTTCTGTCTCTCAGGGAGATACTTCAGGCTTCCATGGAGAACGTGATTGTGGAATGATAAGAGGCAGTCCTGATTTAGAAGTCGCGTAGCAATTATCAAAGATGGTCTCAGTATCCTGTATTCTGCGGGACTCAAGTTCAGCCACTGGCTTTGCTGGAACATGGGATGCACTTCGCCGTGAAAGGAAATGCTAGGCGACATGTCTTGTAAGGACGCCAGACGAGGACGATACCGAGCGGTATCAGAGCTCGTGCAACTATCGGGAAGTAACCGAAGGTACCCAAAATCGAGCCTAGTGGTGAACCAGCCTTTGAAGGGCAAGCCTGAGGGAGGAGTGCAGGACCGGCACATGGCTGAAAAATAAATGACTTCCGCTGAAAGAAGTAGGCGCGACTGATCTGTGGGCGGTGAGATAGTGAAGCGTGTCCGTCCTAGATGACAAAAGAACGTGGAGTTACGCCTGGGCTCGCGATTACTGGAGTATGTTCCTTCTACGAGCGATCTTTTTTTCTTTCTGAATAGGAGGCTCGATGAATTGAAAGAACAATAAATATCGGAGGCTCAGCTGCGAGCCGAGCCTACCAGACTTTGAGACACCTGGCCCATGGACGCACACTCCAAGAGTTTTTCGCATTCAGTCACCCACTCAGATCTTAGCGTACCACCATTCGATCCCTTCCATCACGTAGTCTTCTTAGTGATGCGGTATCTGCACATATCAGCCACGGCTCATAATCAGTTTGTCTGTACCTACAGAAACAGTTTCTCCCTTGAATACACCTCCCTATCAGGATCATCGTCCACCTCCTGCACGTCGAACATCTTCCGCGCCGTCTTCATGAAGGTCAGATCCGCTCGTCTCCTCCTCTTAAAGCAAAAATAGCACACCGTATCCTCGCCGATCAGATCTTTCAGCGTCTGTTGCAATAGTGGAAATGCAGGTTCGAAATAGACGCAGTCCGCTGCCAAGATGATATCCGGGTGTCTGGGTAGGTGTGACGGCGTCGGTTCACCCCAATCGTATATCGATGCGCTGACACGAGACTGTAGATCATTCAGTGCGATATTTCGCTTCATGAGTTCGAACATTGGTTCTTGATCTGTGATATGCAGTGTAGTGTCGACCTTGCAACCTATGGCGACCGCCAACCCAACGAGCCCTCCTCCAGCGCCGAGTTCGACTATCTCTTTGCCCGCAACATCGTCTGAATGCTTCCGCAACATGTATCTGCTCAACACCATACCTGCCGGCCATAGCTGCCCGCCGCAACCGTTCTTCAGATCCTCATGAAGCTTGAGTGGGGGTGACAGCAGACCGTCAAAATCTATCTCGGAATCGCCAGCAGGTTTGATGGGCGCAGGAGGAACAAAATCCTGGCCGACGCCGAAGACATCGTTTTCTTCGCTATCGGACATTTCGAGTAGGTTCGTCGAATGGCGTTGGCAATTCGTGGATGGAGTTGTGCCTTCGTGTAGGTTCAAAACGACGTTAGTGTGACCGAATGTGGAGATGGTTCCGCCGCGTGCAGGGATTCACGATGCCTCATCGACATCTCTTGTCCTCCATCGAATTGTTGGAAATCCATATCCGGATATGGCGCGTCGTAAAAGCAAACTACGAAGTCACGAGCACCACGCATTGATGTCAAGCTAAACATCGGCTAACGTACCTCTCACCCGGCCTTCCTGTCATTGACCTTGGAGACGCTTCCTTATCTTATCGTCGCGACGCGATCGACACAAACCCTCAGTCAAGCCAATGGCGTCTTTCCTTGGTGCCTATCAAGCGCCTCAATGCTGGGCAATTTGGGGTGGAAAGTGGACACTGGGAGCGGGATGCGTTCAGCCGAGGTGGCTTGCTTGTTCCTGTGGGCTGCTTAAACCGTTGCTCATGTCTTCCACCTTACGGAGCCTCATTATCTTCACTTACATCTTCATGTGCATCATCATATAACTATCTAATCGACCTTACGAGTTAGCATTGTGTAACAGACGTTGACCATGGGGTTACCCACAGAGGTGCTGCAGGCCTGGAAAGCTTGCGACCGAACTGATACGCTCTTTGTGCTTGTCTGTTCGGTCTTTTGTACGTACATCTTTCCCAATTGCTTCCTACATTGGTTGACCTTGTTAAGGTTGGGGCATTATTCCAGCTGTAGGCATAGCCTACTCAGGTTATACCACACGGTCCAATTCCCTAGCAGCAATCATGCCAGCCATCTTATCAGTAATCGTCTGCTCGATACAATGGTTCCTCATTGGATACACCTTGACATACGGCGAAGGAGGAGCGATCTTCGGAGACTTCAAGTACGCATTCCACAGGAACGTTCTCGCAGAGCCTGTTGGAACAATTCCTGCAGTGTTGTTTAGCTTCTTCCAATTGGTCTTTCAAGCTACTGTATGTGCCATTGCGGTAGGAGGTGCTTGTGAAAGAGGAAGGATACTGCCGTTGATACCATTCATATTTGTGAGTTCACGCAAGTGGATGACGATATGACCATGAAACCGACTGACCGACGATAGCTCTGGTCCACCTTCATCTACAATCCCTTAGCTCATATGGTATGGGGTGGGGGCTTCCTCATGGACCTAGGCGTTGTAGATTTCGCGGGTGGTACACCTGTACACATTAATTCTGGAGCAACAGCGACGGCCTTGTCCGTGTATCTCTCATACCCCTTGTTTCGCTCGCGCAAGTCGTCGACTCGAACACCCTCTCATTTGGTCATCCACCGTCCTGTCAACTCACTCTGCCAAGTTCTTGCTCTGATCAGTATCTGGGGATCATGGCTTGCTTTTGATGCGGGGACGACGCTAGCGTTTAACTTCAAGTCCGTAGTGGCGTTATGCGTTACAAACCTCTGTGCTGCCAGCGGGGCGCTTACCTGGATGATTTATACCTACGTTGAAGTGGGTCGCTGGAGTCTAGACTCATGCTTCATGGGCGCCATCTCTGGACTTATCATGATCACACCTTCCGCAGGTTTCATCGATCTACCAACAGCCTTTTTCTTTGGCATACTGGGAGCATTGTTCTGTCGTCAAGCGCTTCGCATCAAGTTTAGCGAATTTGCTCGGCGCTGGAGATGGGTTGACCACGGTGACACCTTCGCGACACACTGTCTTGGTGGTATCCTGGCAACAATCTCGACCGGCTGCTTCGCACGGAAAGAAGTCGCTGGTTATGACGGCGTCACGGAGATCGTCGGCGGAGTGTTCTTCGACGGCAACGTACGGCAACTTGGCATACAGATTGTAGAGGCCCTCGTCGGATTCTCATGGTCGTTCTTTGGAAGCTACGTCTTGTACGCGCTCATTGACTGTATACCGGGCTTCGAAGTGTTAGCTGAAGACAAGTAAGTGAAGTCGGCAATTGGAGAGAACAAAACTGACAGGTTAGCAGGGACATCATTGTAGGCTTAGATGCAAGCCAAATGGACGAAGAGACGTTATGGACCGAGACGCAGAAGTACTATCCCTATGCCGACCGCGAAGGCGAACTGCATCTCGACTGATGAGCGGCAAGTTCACCAAAATTTGATCCCAACGTCCAGCAGTGCTGGAAATAGCATTCGTGATTAGATACAGCAAGACTGGAAGAGAAGATTACTGTCAAGGGCTATCAAGGCTATGGAATTCCGACTCTATAGCCACCAATATTTTTCAAACAACGGGATAAACTTCCAGATCCATCGAGGCAGTACGAACCCAATCATCGGCATCTATATCCCGAGCCTCAACACCAGGCCTCGTCCGATCTCCTTGTTTCTCACGCTACACTCCTATACACCATTAGCCTCATGCCCCTACCGACCATCCGACCCTTCTCGTCACCGCCACGTAAGCCTCCAATCACATACCACACAATTCGAAGCAATGTATAAAGTTTCCAGGTCCCACAACCGTCGCATTCTAGTCCCTCTTTTTCTTCCGCTGCGTCAAGACAGCTGTGCTGGTGTTGATGTGCCTTACGTGTGTGCGGATCAAGATTCGGTAGTATCCGCCGAAGAAGACGCGTAGACATGTCTTGGCAAATGCTTTCAACGTCCAGCTCTACTACCCTTGAGGTCAAGCGCACTGCGGGAGAGCCACTCACCCAATATGCGAATTCAGGGTGGCCAATAATGTGTGCGACGATTATGCAGGTGATGTTTCTTGTTCACGGCAAATTCCAGGGACGAGGCTTGGCAGATAGTGCTTGCGTAGGTGTACTAGGAGGCTTGCATTCGGGAACAGGCGCGGAACGGGGGCTAAGCGTTGCGAATCGGTGCTTAGCCTGGTGTTTTGGGGCTGGGGTGTCGATATTGGGTCAGAGCGAGGATTTGCTGTGCATCGTGGCCGAGGATTCCTGTACGACAATGGGCAACGGGAAACATAGAAGTACTTGATACCAAGTACAAATGATGGTATAAATGTATATAAGACATCACAGTGAGGGAACTATATCGTCACAATACCAACCAAATAGCTTAGGAGATGCTTCAACGGCGGAAACAAGCGTAAGTAGTGGCGCTCCTGCTTTCAGACAAGCTTCTAGAGTACAATATAGCCAAGCCCGGCAGCAGCTACGAAAGAGTAGTATGTCTTGCGTATGCTCGTGACGACTCGTACAGGTCGAAGAGAAACATGCAGGACATGGGGTATGGGTCATGGGTCAAGGATGGCAGGACAAACACCATGTTTCTGTTTCGTTTCCCCTGTCGACATCGCGGTCCAGAAATGCCGTGGAGGCTGACGAGCTGCAAATATAAACTCTATAGTCGGCAGCAGTCCCAGTCTCTACCACCATCGCTTTCCTTCCCTACCTCAATCCACTAAGCGACTGCCCATCATGAAGTTTACCGCTCTCCTCAGTGCCGCCCTCCTGGCTCAGAGCTCTCTTGCTCACCCAGGCGAAAGTGCTGCGGAACACGCAAAGGAGGCTGCTGAGCGAAGAGCCTACTTAGTGAACAACAAGCGGTCCCTCGCGCACTGCGCTGATGCACTCAAGGCGCGTGGTAACGACATCGTTATGCACGCTCGCCGCAGCGCCATGGTAGACGATCTCCGCGCCAAGCGGGCCATCGCCCAAGGTACGTTCTCTCCAAGAGCATGCTGTGAACTGGAAGCTGATATGTCGAGTAGAGAAACCCTATCTCCGAATTCGCGATCTCGACACCGTGCTCGCCACTGACCACAAGTCGAACATGACTGGCATCACCGTTAACACCGACCCCGCCACTCTCTTTGTTGGAAACAACTCCTGCATCCTTACACCTGAAGTTACGCAAGGCCCTTACTGGGTTGAAGGCGAGCTCGTACGCGAGGACGTTACAGAAGATCAAGAGGGCATCCCTATGACACTGGATATTCAGATCATCGATGTAAACACATGCGAGCCTGTTCCGCAGGCTTACCTTGAGATGTGGCACTGCAACGCTACCGGTGTGTACTCTGGTGTCGTAGCTCAGGGTAACGGAGTCGGTGAGGACGATGAGTCGAACTTGCAGAACACAGCATTGCGTGGCATTCAGCAGAGTGATGAGAATGGTGTCGTTGTGTTTCAAACTATCTTTCCGGGACATTATACTGGCCGTGCTGTAAGTTCTCTCTATTTTGTCCCCTCTTGTCCTTGGATGTATGAATACTATCTAACAACGGTTTTATAGACGCATATTCATGTCATGTCCAGACTCAACGCAACCGTGAATGCAAACTCGACCCTTTCAGGTGGCCACGTCACACATGTGGGACAGATGTTCTTCGATCAAGACCTTATCACACTTGCCGATACGGTAGAACCCTACGCCAGCAACGAACAGGATGTCACTTCTAACTCGGATGACTCCATCCTCGCTGAAGAAGCTGAGGATGTTGATCCATTTGTGGAGTACGTCATGCTCGGCGACGATATCTCTGAGGGGTTATTTGGGTGGCTGGCGTTCGGCATGGATTCGACCAACTCCTACAATATCACCCCAGCGGCATACTGGACCGAAGATGGAGGTGTCGAAAATGAGAACTCTGGCGGCATGGGCGGCGGCCCCGGCGGCGGCCCCGGTGGTGCTCCTAATGGTACTATGCCTTCTGGTACCGGTATACCTACCGGAGCCATGCCTTCAGGAGCTGCTATAGAGTCGGTTGTGAGCACTTCAGTTGCCTCGTCTCTAAGTACCGCTGTCGCCTCATCTGCTGTGTCCTCGGATGCCAGTGAGATCACCCCTAGCGCTTCTGGGGTCGTCGCGCCTTCTGACGCTCCTCAGAGTGGACGTGGACATGGTAAGGGTCAGCAAAACCAAGCCAACCAACAGGGCCAGCGAGACCGACACAACCCCCAGGATCAAGGGCATTAAGAAGAGCGTCTCTTTTCAAGGCAGAGTATAGGTGCCCAGGGAAGGGGCGGAGACACGGCTAATGTAGGACTACATGGCAGGTTAGCAGGAGTATCATGGACGGCGCAAAGTTCTTGAGAGGGAGGGAGCCAACTTCACACACTCGTTTGAGGGAGCAATTGATTACCTGTAAATTACTTGCAATCAACCAGATTCGTACCCTAACATTCGAATCCCCACGCCGATTGTTTCCATATCATCGTCTTGTGTGATGGTCGACTGGAGGCTCAGTCATGAGCATTGACGTGATCATATGCTTCCTAGGTTTATGGGTTGCAACCAGCTCTCCATCCAGCCTTGCGCTTCTTAATCCTCAAGCGCTTTCAGCCCATCGACTAACGCACCGAAGCTCTTGACTCTAACATGTTTCTTCGGGTCCTCCTCTTTCCCTGTCTCTTTGGCCGTCTGATCCATACTCTTCTCCAACTCAGCGTCCAACTGCCTTTGTACCTGCTCGCGATCTAAAACCTTCCTCGCCTCTTCAAACCCCCCGATATCCCTCACCTTCTTAAATCCTAGCTCCTTCAACCTCTCCAATGCAATATTCGAACGTCTACCACTGCGGCAATACAGCGTGATCGCATCATCTTTCCCTACATTTATGCCTCTTGTAGCGTAGATTTCTGGTAATTGGTCGATGATTTGGTATTCGATGTTTACGGTAGATGCGATGTCGGAGGTGAGGTAGCCGGTAGAGAACTCGCCAGGAGAGCGTACGTCGACAAGGAGTTCTTGTGTTACCATTGTGAGTTTGCGCGAGTGCGTATATGGGGGAGTATGAATCTTTCGTAGATGGCAGGGCGGCTGTGCGACGCAATTGTGGTTAAGAGGAACATGGAGGGGTTGTACGTGAGGGCTGCTGGCGATCGCTAGCTTTAACCCCACATGGAAATCTGACCCTGAAGGCAGGATGAGCACAACTCCTCGTTACGGCTCCACAACTCTCAGTTCTACCTTAGAAATTCTAGCCTAAAGTTATTCGCGGTGTTCTATGTTAATGAGCTTACAAGGTGTATCCTTATGTACCCCTCTGCTTGAGATGTGGGCAACAACTTGTAAAAAAAACAAGGTCCTACGTAGAGCTCATCCATTTAAATAAATAGAGATCACACAGAGTGGACGATATTTGATTTGATGATTTCTTTCATTCAGACAAGAGCTGCCAGCCAGACGGACAAGTCTGCACATGGTTCTATGAGTACAAAGAACACCTTTTGTCTTTCAATGCTCATTCTTGTAACGCTTTTTACCGCTAGATCGCAGCAACACACCGTTTGCCGTGATAGCGACTTCTTTCCTCTTTCCAACGCCAAAGACCCGACTGATGCAGGCTTTCAAAAGCCCAAGTGGCTATGCAAAAAGTATGAAATGTTGAGCAGATATCTGTAAGCTGCCATTGCAAAATATAAATAAGCCTCCCGGAAAGGAAATCGCTGGAGTGGTATAGAACAAACAAGAGAGACTCCGGCATTGGTATCGTAAGTGTCCGTGACATAAAGGACAAGAATAGATGCAGTGGAAACACAAACATTAAGGTATGTCGGGCCAGGCGCCATCCAGAGGCGTTCGATGAACAAGGGCGCAATGAAGCGCAGTATACATGTCTATGAACCCTTCAGGTTCGCGGTGGAGAAGTTGAAGTTGAGAAACTCGAATTTGTCCTTCGAATTGGTTCGGCTTTCTGCCGAAAAGGTGCTTTGCGCACTGTTGTCGATGGATGGTGAGCCCCTCACAGAGTGCTGAACCTCTCGCGGTTCGAGAAGCAGCGATCGACGGTAGTAGCTTTGGACGTTGGCCTGATCGCTTGCGTGCATCCGCTGGATCTGGCTCTCCATCCAGTCCTGCATCTCTGGGATGGCAGCTAGCCGATAAGGGACTTGAAATGATTGAAGCTGGCCAATGATCTTGGCTGTCTTCATGTGTTTGTCAAAGTTGATGACGGAGACGCTGTCAGAGCCAGAGTCACCAGGAAGCTGTCGGGTGGTGCCATTTCCGACATCGATAAACGTGAGATCGGTAAGGTAGATGCCAACGAATGGAATGCATGGCGCGATATGGTTCTGCAGACGCTGTCGGAGTACAGCATAGTTGCGTCCCACGTCTGTGATCGCTTTGAGTTCGTCTAGGCGAGCCTTCGTCTTTGCGGATACAAGCTCCCAAGTACGCTTGAGGCGCATGACCATCGAAGAGTTGAGCGAGCAGATGATGGCCATTAGTGAGTCATAATTGTTGAGCTCCAAGCACTTCGCCGCAACCTTGATCCATTGTTTGATAACGACTGCGCGTTTCTTTGCATCTTCGAGCTGTAGGATGGTGTCTGCGACCAAGTTTGCCAGGTCGGTCGAGAGAGTTGACATGGCTTTGACATTGCGAGCCTTTGAACCCTTCTTCCTCGTCCATTCCAGGGCAAGAAGCTCCTCAGGCTGAATGGCACAAAAGAGTCTAGACTCGATAATAGTAAACTGTCTGGCAAGTTCTAGAGGATCAAAGTCCAGAATGCTACATTGCGTCCTGCCCTCTTTACTACCTCGTAAGGCGTTGAGTTGGCTCTTAGTCACAATTGGCGACGGAACGTTGCTGTCAGCAAGGGTGAAGGTTGAGTTTGAAGCACCCGTCTTGCTGATCGAAGATACTAAGCGAGGTACGAGAGCGCCGGCTCTTACTTCTGTCACCTTCGAAGTAAGCTCAGCGAGTCTTTTGCCAGCGGCGGGCATGGCCGCCCTGAGCTTTCCAGTAGCGAACGCGAGGATCACGCCCAAGGCAGCAGAGTCACTCTCGCCACACCAGTGACTTTCTAGCCAACCCTTGAAGACATTGTAGACACGGAGACGGACCGGAACACCGACGGTCTGACTACTGCCGATGTAGTCAAAACGGTCGATAAGACACTGTGCCAAATCGAGCGGTGTAGTAAAGAGGCGGAAAGTGAGATAGAATGCGTTGACAAAGAGGACGTCTGGGGTAGACTCGAAAGTGGTCAGCTGCTCTACAAGCGCTGGAAGGGAACCGCCGGAGATTTGACCTTCCTTGTTGTAGATCAATTCATGCACATAGGTAGTCTCCAGCAAGTGCTCTTCGCCAGCGGCAACATCCTCACTTGCTAAAGACCGAAGCTCGGAGGAACTGCCAAAGCTGCTGATCAAGGTTTGGCAACTCTCTTTCTTCGTAGGCGAATGATCTGGGGTAGTAGCACGCGTGGAAGTATGCGACAGGATGCTTCCAGAATCGCCTTGGGCACTGAAATAGGTGCTGCTTCCATCGTTCACAGAAACGTAGACGCTGTCGGTCTTGGTGGAACCGGCGAGACTTCCTTGAGTCGTGCTCATAGGACTCTCGACGGAGTCAGATGCGTGGGGTGGAGGTAATGACGGAACAGGTATCGCGTTCAGGGGAGGCAACGATGACCGAGACGATCTGAACGACACTGCAGTCGGGCTTTCGACGATTACAGGCTGAGATAACGGTTGAAGGCTGAGCCTGTTGGTTTCCAGAGGTGACGGCTGCGGCACTTCGGGAAGTGGCTTCGACTCTGAGATGACTAGTGGCGGGGGCATCTCATGTTCCTCAACTGGCGTAGCGGGCAGTGGTTTATTCGTCTCAAGAACGACTTCCGTGGGCTTTGGCGAGACGGGCCTAGCGATCGACTGTTGGTTCTCTGAATCGGGCTCATCAAACATGGTCCCTGACAGCCCTAGGCCGGCCGGTTCGGCTTCAAACTCGAAATCCCCAATTCTCTCAATCACAACCCTAGCCTTAGTAACACAGTCACCAGCAGAACGAACACAACTTGTAGCAGCAGCGACGATCTGTTTCCCTGCCTCGGGCGCTACCACTTCTACAACGTCTGTGTCGGCATTGACGAACATATCCTTGGTCGCCTGCACTAGGTCGGTCAAGCGGGTGTACATGGTGTCTCGTGCTTCTTCCAGCTGTTCGGATCTTCGCGAGTCTCGTTCCCATACTTCTTCAACGACTTTCAGGAGTTGGCGACACGCGATAACAGAGTGTTGGGTAATCTGAGCGAGCTCTTCGGAAGATCGTGATTGCAGGTGCAACCCAATAAAAGAACCAATGTAGCCCAAAAAAGCGTCATGCGCGGCGTTGAGCTTCTCCGTGGCTAGATTTCCTCTACGCGCGCTTGCTGATTTGCCGGTATACGACAACCGATGCGTCACAGAGATACGTTTCGACTGGACTGAGGAGCGCGAAGGAAGTATTGATGATTGAAGAGAGTCTGGCTCTGAGGGCAAAGAAAAGGCAACGGATATGCGGCTCAGGTTTCGTTGGGGCTGAGCGGTCGCGTTGTACCAGTCGTCTTGCGCCGAGGGTGCACCTTGAGTAACCGGAGAGTCACAGCCGTTCGCTGAGAGTCTGTCTTCGACGGAAGGAGATGATGTTGCTGCTGGTTGTACAGCAGCGTCGGCTGAGTCGGACGGGGGGGTGAGTGGTCGGTGACTACTTGCGTCGCCAAGCTCGAAAAGTGACAACGCCACTGCGTCCGTTGTCCAGATGTCAAGAAACCGGACGGCCCGGGTAACCAGCTTGAAAGATTTGAAAACAAGCTCGTCCATGTGCTCAAACACGGGAACCTGGAGTTCGTTCGATTGCAGGGCCTCTTGCAAGGTCTTGGCTGTCTTGACTAGTGTAGACAAATCTCCCAAGAGAGCTTTCCGCATGCGCCGTAAGCTTACATGGGTGAGGATGAGGCGTGAATCTTTCTGTAAGCACTCTGTCCTTTCCTGTTTGAAGTTAGTAAATAAGCTAGAAACAGGCATCTTCACATCGTTACCGAATTTCACTTACAAGGAACAGGCGCACGCCAACAATCATGCCCTTGACGTAGTCTTGTCTCGAGAATGCACCGAGATCGCCATTCTCTCCGTCGCGCACCAAATCCCACAAATATGTTAACGCGGTCAGCAAATTTCGAATTATTGGGTTGTCATAAGGTTCGCAGTAGTTGGTGGGCAGCCACCCGCGGGCCCCTGAAGCTAAGAGTGTACCATCAGCCCAACCATTGGGGTGAACAGAGTGGACAAGGATGACGTCGCCTTGGTTGATGGCGACGGTGATGGACGACTCGTCCGTTGACGAGGATACTGTTGAGCTCGGGCTATAGTGGTAAAATGCGCGGAGGTAGTTGTGGAAGACGGGTTGAGGATGCTGCTGCTGCTGCTGTTGTTGTTGTTGTTGTTGTTGTTGTTGTTGTTGTTGAGCCATGGCTTCGCTGGAGGTCTTGGGTGTTAGAGGAGGCGATATCTGCGATTGCGACCGGCTTGATAGAGTTCCTCTCGATGACGACTGCCTGCTGTGACCAAAAACGCCCCGGCCTACACGCGACCGCGACCTCCTTGGTGACTTTTGTATGTTCAGTGGCGCCACTAGTGCGCTGGATCGCTTGTCCATCTCTTCTTGCTCCGGAACGAATGACGCCATGTCGGTCTCCATCAGAAGTGCGTGAGACGGATGAGATGTTGGGATAAATTCCTCTTTGTAGTTGTCTAGTTGGATGTTGCACTTCGGCTAGCACACGTCCAAAGCATTTGGTAGTTGCCCAGGTAGATTGACAAAAACTTCGGATAGATGGGTCAATCGCACACGATGAGGATTAGTGAGTGATGCAGTAGTTGAACGTCTATGTCGAGTGCTCTGCTGGTACTGCTTGGATATTAACAAGGAGGAATGCGACAAACGGAGCCTGACGTACCGACGTGACAATGGCTAGCGTACTGGAATGTGAATGATATATAGTGAAGCAAGTGACAGATGTTGCAGTGAGTGCAGTTACCCGATGTGGATTCGAGGCCGACGAATTGACCTGTCGTCGTGGTGTTTGTCGTGAAACGGAGTACTGGATTGGCTGAGCCTGGGAGAAGCTGGGACGGGCACCGTTTCCGTTACACAAAGATGGTAGCAAGGTAGAAGCTGGGACGTCGTCTGTCTCTCATGGACGTATGCAGGTGTTTGAGAGGGAGAGCTCTAGAGCTAACTTGAACAAGGGGCGGCAGCTGGGGAAGGACCGCTATCTTGTAATGACAATAGCAGAGCAGGATGGACCTATAGGCGTGCAAGGGTCATGCGTGCTTGCCTCTGCAGGGGAGCGTGGGGTTCCTTCCAACGGTTTGTGAGGTAGTCGCGGCCCAAGCGAGGGAAAGAGCGACCAAAAAGAAAGTCGACGCGCTGCCAGCAGAGGGTTAGAGGATGGCGACCGGTATGCAATGGAACGACGCAGCGTTGCCTTTCTCCACAGTGGACGGATGGTCCTGTTATTATCACATCCCAATGGAGGATCCTACCGCCCGCCTACTCGAGAAAAGCTTCGTGTGAACAGGACAGGGGCCTTCTGTCAGACGTTGCAGGGGTAGTGGCCAGGGCTAACGGAGCGTTGGTGCATGTGGGATGCGGCTTGCTCCCAACCTCGACTATAGCTCGCAAGCATCCTTAATCGCGACGGCGAGACCGTGCTGGCGAGAGCGAAGCCAGGACTTGTCCCCGGCATTTCTCCCTTGCCCGGTCGTCTATGTTGAGGTGCCGTGCACGCACTGACTGCATTCACCCAGCCGATCCACCCACGGCTTTCGACGACGGGAAGAGCCAACTATGCGTATTCATCGTCGACAATGACTGTGAGTAAGTCGAACAAAACCTTCGCCAATGCCATCGCATTGCGATTCAGCAAGCTGCAGCCCCCATGTTTGCTGCAGTCAAAGCATCACAACATACGGCCGCATGCATCAAGACCCGCAGAGCACACGCACACGCACACGCGCGGACGCGAGCCAGGACCTGCAGCATCAGGCTTGTCGACCCACTGCGAACCTTCTCCCCGGTCGCAGACTCGAGGTCTGGATGCGGCAAAGATCAGCCCTCTGCTTGCGCCGCCTCTAACTCGCCTTGGCAACTTCCGCCGGCTCATCTTCCCCGGTTCAAGCGGACTGCTCCCAATCATCCTAGCTTAATTTTCTTCTGTAGAGCCCGCTATTGGCTGTATGCACGAATATCGAGACATTGCTCTTCGTACGGCTGCACCACTGCAAGCCTCCATTTAGAATCCCCCGAACGGTCGGAATTGAGGAAGAGTCAATCGGGCCGAAGCCGTCTCGTATCCGTTTGCCATCTCCAACCACACGAGAACCGAATTGCCATGCAATAGTGCCCGGCAACCGCAAACGTCATTTTCGATATAGGCCACATCCCCTGGCAGTTGTAGGATCGAGGCGACGACCCGCCTTGCCCCCACTAAGAGCAATAGATCTGCGCCTGTGACGATTTTGACCATCCTGCAGTTAGACGGCGACCTGACGACAACATCCCTACCGAGTATCACATGCCGGTTGTAAGGTGTTAGACTGGCAAGACATATCCTTGCTGGTGTTCCCATCGACGCCTTAACCGGCACCACATATACCACCTGTTCAAACCTCCCATCAGGAAAACGATCAGCACGAGTCGGATTTTGGCTAACAGTACTACACTTTGCTAAAGGCCAGCTATCGGATAATATCAGCCCCTAACAACCCTCTCCAAGGTTATATTCGAGGTCCAATGATGGAACATGGATAATGTCAAAGATGTACACTGCGCCGCGTGGTTTCCAACGGTATTCGAAGGATGATACTCTCTGAGGCTTCAGTATGATACTAAAATCTTTGGTGGGTGTTCTTGAAGACCACGGCGAGGCGTCTTAGGCTTGAACTAGCCCCCCACTACGGGATTGACCGTATTAAGACTCCCCACTGTTGAGCGACTGTTTTATCGAGCAACCTACGGCTGGACCCGGCCAGACAAACTCCTCCAGCATCTCCGCATCGTCACAGTTGAGATGCGCTCAATCCCGACGGCGATCATCTGCTGAAGAGTTGCATTCGAACTGTCTACCCATGTTGACACGTTCAGAGACGGCTCGCTCCCTACCTCAATGCCGAAAGAGGATTAGATCTGCGTCTTCGCTTTCCTAAACGAGCTGCACGCGGGCCGTGAACTCTCCTCCCGCGGTACGGCTGAGCGTTATTTTGTTGTTTCCAATACCAAGATCTTAATCGTCCGGTCAACTATGGTCTTTAGAAATCCGGTACTGTAATGTTGTCGCATGCGCATTCAGTCTGGAGACAACTACAGAGCAATGACCAGCGGGCAAGAGTGAGCAGAACCCTTCAGAGCTTTTTGTCACAACAACAGTAAGTTCGGAATTGGCAATCGCCAAGCGACTATCGAACTCGGCGAAGTGAACACTCCCTTTAGCCAGGCAACTCAGTAGTAGAAGTTCCCAAGACCGGCGCCAACAAGAGGAACGCTATCTTTCGGTTGACGACACTCCCTGTACGGCGGACCCCGTCAGAGTTTGTACGATTATTCAGTGACAGCGGATGCCAACCATGTCGGTCCGCACAGCCCCGAGTCAAGTTGCATTATTGAGCACACGAACGTGATTAGCTTGCGAGCTACGTCAGCACAAGGGGCATTGTTGTTGATCGTCATTCTGGAAATCCCCCATTGTCGCACGAGACCTAAAGAGAGACCTAGGTCAACAGATCGACATTGCAGGCCACTTACCTCATCTTCGCCCGCAAGTGGATCATGGTACAGACGCTTTTGTTATGTATATAATCTCGAAATACATATTGATAGCGGTAGCGTAAAGACGGCGTACATAAGTGTTTCATCGTTTTGACGCCTCCAAAGTAGTTCGTTCACTTGGAGGTACTTAACGAGCAACTCGGCCCTTTTCCATTAAAACCCCATCACAAACAGGCCATTAAGCAACCTCCCGCATATGAAGCTAGGAGCTGTAGCTCGGCCATCAAAGTTACCAACTTCCCGACCGCGGGGATACATTAGCTGCCGGCAGTCAGCTTTTCGCTGCTGCGTAATGTGCAGGTTGTGAGACTAGCATCGACAATGCAATCCTAGCACGACGTCATGGTTACGTGATTGTACAACTGCCGGCAACGTTGTCTGCATTTGACACCGCTGAATGCAATTTTTATCGCATCGCCGCCGTCTACGAACAGAAGGTCTCTTTTCTACAGATACGCCGTAAACACCTTGTCAGCCTCTACGCCCAGACCAAAAGCCACACGCGAGGGTCAACACCGACCCAGCATCGCGGTACGCATGGTGGACCCATCGCAGAACGGACATCACTCCGATGCACCATTACCGAGGCTCGGCTGTCAACAACCCTTCCAAAGGGCAGCTGGAAGTCATGTGCACGAAGACGGGTGCGTGTCTGCGGCGTGGTATAGACGAAATCGATGCGGCACAGCTCTGAACCTGAATCACAATCATACGAGCGATAGATGCGACCGTTGCCACGTCTGCACAAACTTTGGTTTAATTTCCCGAGCTGTTTTGTGGTACTGTTCAGGCCTACGGCTGACGGCGCAAAAGAGCTACCAAGCGGCGATTAACGGCTTCTTCTCGCACACAACCACATCGCTTCTTACGTCTGCCTCGAGCAATGCATGCAATATCAAGTACACACAACTCCGCAGCCAGAGGCACCGCCAAGGCCCCGAAGAGCTGATCAGTTGAGTGGAACCAGGATGCTAAGCCAGAGCGAGTATGAATCGTCAACCTCATAGCACCTAACCAGTTTGCACCTCCCCTGTCGCGATCATTGCGTACTAACGTATCGATCTTGAGCTATAGAGCGCAACTGAAGATTGGCCATGCATTCAGAGGACCGCATCCTACTTGATTAGCGTGTTTATTTCCAAGGATGGACCGTGTGGGTAGCGTTCACGGCACTTGAGAACGCGCGAGGACGTCGTCTGTGGACTTGACTCAGCATCAAAAGAAGATGAGGCAAGGTGCCTGAAGAATTTGAAGAAGCTCTACCACCCTACGGCATGAAACTATATGGCATTCTTTTCAATAACGTTGAGGAGCAAAACGTGTTTCCTGCAGGATCATGGCTCCGCCGCCATAATAGAATTCTGCCTGCGGCATAGTCACCGGGAGTGCGCTTCATCTCCCCGAGGGGTCATAGTAACGCCACATCTGCGCACAATGAGAATGAGGCATGGAAACTGAGACCCTTGATCATCTCTCGCAAGAGTGCAGCATGCGACTTGACCCCGCACGGCAATACAGTGCACAGCGTCATGAGAGCACGCGAGTCTGTCGACGAGGCTGCCTGTACCTGCTTCTTCGTATATGCATCTGCAAGGTTCCGTCCATCGATGATCGATCCGCAAACCCACTCTGTAACGAATGATCACGTCCATGATTTCTTTAACGCTGCAACAGGTTTGAGGCTCATAGCATCGGATCAGTCTCCAACTATCTAACCGGTTACTTTACAGCAGCAAAACCCATCAACCCTGGCTCTTCTCTATCGTCACATAACTTCCTCAGACATCGTATCGCTATCAAGCAAACACGAGTTCTCCATCAGCCATAACCCACATACCAGGTCCCCCGTCTCACCATCCCCCATCCAGCGACCCACAGGCTCAGCATCCGTCTCATCCGCTCCATCCCCATTCGCGGAAAAAGCTACAATATCCCTGTCAATATCTTGCTTAACCACACCCGTTTCAAATCTCGCCTCGCTGTGGACAAACGCAAGGTACCCGCATGTATCAATGTAAAATATGTAGGGAAAGCTGGTATCCTATCATACTGGAGGCGTATGAGGCCTGTCTCATGTTCATCGCTTTTCTTGTCTGTTTACTGGAAGAAGTAAGATGTGGGAGAAGTGTTGAACGCTGTTATTAGGACCCCGGTAGGATATCGCACTGTTGGATATGGGAGTGTGGAACTAGGATGTGAGTCGTTGCGATAGTGGTGAAGGTTTGCTAGCTGCGTCGGGTTCGACAAAGGATCTCAGGAAGGTCCGACATCGAATCTTGGGACGTAAATCTTGGTAGGCAGCGTAAGCACGTGGCGACTACCAGAAAGAAAAAGGTCTACCGAGAGACAAACGGTGTTGAGTTGCTTTTGCGACAGCAGCGGTGGAGAATATACTTCTAGATCTTCAGCTTATGCGTGATTCTCTGCTTTTGGATCAAGAAGCATTGCCATCTCCTGATCTGATACGCAAAAACAATGTTTCCACACGCGACAAAGGATTTCGGAAGAAACGGCAAACTATCTCGACGTTCTCGACCAAGATTTGCTCATCCATTAGACTTTGGGGTCGGGTTTCTTTTGGCCATGCGATGCAATGCGCTGTGTGTTGTCACCTATCACATACATCACAGTACCATCGCTATAATAGAGACCTCACTTTGTTAGCCAGGGAGCTCAACCACCTAGGTATTACCGTCATAAGGCCAGCTTGGAAATCCGACTCTGCGACCTAGAACAGGTTCATCGGATTGGAGCATCATGAAAAAATGTTCTAGTGTGAATCATCAAGACAATACCAATAAACAGCATGCTAGTCTAGTCCGATCTTCCACTCCACGTTAGGATACTTCTATCCACACACACATTCATCGTTACAACTCCGGCCATCCCAACCCATTTCATACAAACATGCATTTCCCCACTTCTCTCCTCTTGCTCCATCTTTCCCAATCCACTCCATCGCATACACGAAAACCTTAGTTTGCTTTTTCTTTCCCATCCCCTCAGCTCTCCTACACCGGTGTGGTAATCTACCACTCTTCCCAAGCTCCTCACGTGATCAACGTCTTTTTCTATTCTCTCAATCACGACTCAACCCCCTAGTACCCGTGTCCATTACCTCGCGCATAAGGATCGCGATTCACGTACGCCAGCAATTGCATGCATGCATCATGCCTGTTTTGGATGTACACGCTTTGTCACGCCATTTTTCTTGCTTCTTGGGCATATTGGAAGGATGGAGAATTTACGTGATATTACGAGGGTTGTTACTGTGCGGTAAGATAGGACGAGACGCTTGGCTCCGACTAGTCTTTTCAGCTTGTTGTCAGCTTGTTGTCAGCCTCACTGCGATAAATTGTTCGCTTGTTGTTGTGGAGCCGTCTTGCTCGGGTAGATGGGTGGAGTGCGCAAGCAGAGCGAGGCGAGAGAAGAGACGCCCATCCATGTCTATTCATGTCTTAACCACGTGTCGGTGCTTCCCGGAAGACTGAAGAGTGGAGAGGGTGTCTGGGATTACTTGTCCAGTAATTTGAGGTTTTTTTAAATTGTTGTTATTGAGCTAATGTTTCATATTTGACAACCCGTAGAGGTCCGTTACGCAACACTGGCATGGCAAATGCCATGACCACCTTCCTCACATGCACACAGCAGTGTTTTTGCCTCAGTGTACTGTGCGGTGAAGAGACCGCTCCCTATCACTTGCCTATGTCCCTACCACCGGGACTACATGAATCAGTTGTTTGCACATGACGGGCAGTGATCGACGCTGTCACGCGCATTGCTGCCCTATAGCCTGTCCACGACACGGTCCCGTTGATGTGATTCCCTCAGCCGCCCAAGTATAGTTGAATTGAATTTTTCAGCGAGCGTGCACACCTTGGTACTGTAGTCTCGACTCAATTTGGATGGCCTGGATGGCGACGTGCGGCTCCGCCGGCTGCCTGGATCTCATCACCACCCTCATCCGGCGAGGCCGTAGAACCGCCAGATCAACGATACGATGCCTTGCACAGATGATGATGACGCGCATGCTGACATGACCCTTCGCATCGAGGCGTTCATGTGCGTTATCGGATATCTCTTGGGATACTGCCTGTGTAGCTGTCACGCAACGTTGTTCACGGGCCGAGGAACGGCCTTGACGGGCCTTCTCCTGGACTGCTCCTTGTTCTAGGCTCGGCGATATCGAGTTTCCATTACTTGCATACCAGAGCATCTTATTTCTCGACTGCGAAGGGTCCCTAGAAAGATACGTCGGAACTTTTTGCCGGTGCACGTGGGGTAATAGAAGTCATGGGGACGATATTTACCGCGTCTAGACCGGCGTCGTAGCTACATTCGAAATGCCTCAGATGCAAAGCAATGCCTATCTTGGTATAGATGATCGTCTCGATCGGACTGAACCTATCCAACTCAAGTACATCAGTAAACATTGCCGAGCGATATGCTGGTTGGATCGCGAATGCGTAGTGTGACTGTAATAGTCACGACTTGGAAATACCTTGTTCCATAGTGCTCCAGCCGGCGCATTACGATACAATAGCAAAATGAGGCAGTATCCATAGTGAAACCTGATTAGGTATACGTGCTCGAAGTGCCGATTTCGAGCATGGCCCTCGGAGGCTCGCAGTCCATCATTAGCACTGTGGCATGTATATCCACAGAGTGAGATTTTGAGTCCAAAATCTGAATGACGTACTCATCAAGTGCCACATCCTCCTAATTGTGCCGCTGACATGCAACCCGAATTGTCAGCAACACATGAGTGTCGGAGTAAAATGCCGAAGCCCACACAGGAATACTATCGGTTCGTGCATGTCGTGGAAAAAAAAGCCCCATGTTGTCGATGGAGATATTGACGAGGTTTATGGCGAGCATCAACGGTGATAGCTCGTAGCTGGATCCTAGGAGTTGCCTTGTTGCAGCAGTTACTCGAAACGAAAGCTGATACAGAGAAACAACTATATGGTAGGACGTGGGTTCATTGCATGTCCATTTCGTCGTCGTCATAATCGGCTGTACCAGAGTAACCGTTCTCCGCCTCTTCTCTGTCCCGATCTTTGCGTTGCTGTTCTCGTGAAGCTGCAATTTTCCTTACTAGCAGTTAGCCCCAATCGTTCAATCTCGTTCCGTTGTACGCACCTCAGCCCATCAATGACACCAGTAATGAACGTCCTTCCCTCTCCTACCTCCATACCTCCTACGCCGTTCATCTTGAAACCACCTCCTGCATCCAGTACCTCTACACCGCTTCTGAGCTTAGCCATTCGCACTTCTCTTAACCCTCTCAGCAGCTTTCGTACGTTGTCTGGTTCTTCGAAATCGTCCGATGCTGTTTCAAGCAGCATTTCGCCTAGCTCAAGCCAGTGATATGGTAAGGCGTCTGGTGCTCCTCCTGCTGTTGAGCTGGGTAGGAATGGTGGGGACGTAGGAAGCGTATTATTTGAGGGTTGCGGTGGTAGTCGAGGTGGTGGAGAGAAGGTCTCTGCGTATTCGATTTCGTGTTCAAGGATGGCATTAAGAGAGTGTGTATTCAGCCACGGCGGTGGTAGTATGTTGGCGCGGCGCTGGCGCTTGAGCAGTAGGGCTAGCCACAGAGGGATGTCTGTTCGGTGTGGAGGAACGAGCGGTTTTATGGGCCCCTAGCAATTATCAGAACAATTAGACTGTATACAAAGCGAGTATACAAGTGGTCATGGTGGGGTGTTGGAGGGGCACACATACACCAAGAAGCTCCAGTGCCTCAAGTCTCTGTCGCGGTATGATAGTGACGAGCTCCATCTCACACAGAAACGCTATCTCAGGAGGCGTCAGCCCCGGTGGAAGAGGTAATGCCATGATGCGACGCGTAGTATCGTGACTTCGAGTTGTTTGTCCAAGTTTTGAGATGCACGACGCGCCCGGACCGCGGTAGGCTAACTTAATTAGGATCACTCGCATCTTTCAAACTGTCCACTAACGTGCGACACCATCACTTCTTCTATACTGTCGCTGAGGTAGTCGACCAGAGAAGACCAATGCCTCCATCACTCGAGGTATGGGCTTTGCCCAGCGCTATTGCATTCATTGTATACATCACCGCCATATGGTATGGAGAAGTGTTACGTGAAGTTCCAAATCCGTATCTGGTGCGTATCAACACTATCGACGTGTTTTAATACTGACTGAATGTTAGGATGAGTTCTTCCATATTCCTCAGGCTCAGAAATACTGCAAAGGCGACTACTCCTGGGATCCAAAGATCACCACCCCACCTGGCCTGTACGATCGTCTCCAACACCTGCTTGCTAAACATCACTGACAATATATTGAAGATACTTGGTTTCCAAACTATTAAAGCCTTTGTCAGGCTGCGACCTATCTTCTTTGCGCATTCTGAATGCCGAAGCTCTCTGTATCATAATGATCGTGAGCTATGGTATCCTGCGCCTACTTCGAAAGCGTGATAACCCAAGCCAAAGCCTGCACGAGAACGAAGACATTGCAGGGCAGAATCCTCTTGCGAAAGACCCTACGTTCGTGGTTGACGTTCACTCAGCTCTTAACATCGCACTTTTCCCTCCACTCTTCTTCTTCTCGGCGTTGTATTACACAGATGTGATATCAACTCTAGCAGTCTTACTCGCGTATGGTGCGTATCTGATGAGTTCGATGTCAAGTCAATCTGTCATAGGTTTTGCCAGGGCATTATCACTTGGCATCTTTGCGCTTCTGTTTCGACAAACTAACATCTTTTGGGTGGCTGTGTTCCCCGCTGGGCTTGCGGTCATCAATGCACTGAAGAAAGATGCGCCGTCAACTATCTCAAAAAGGTCAGACTTCATGTCAGTTGTACAGACCAGTTGGAAAGACGGTGCGATATACGATTGTTCTGTTCAAGATGCGGGTCTTCAGGGTATGTCGAATCACGTGTAACTATCAGGATCGACACTGATGAATTGCTAGACGTTATCCTACTTGTCCTGTCTTTGGTTATTGCAACCCTGCAAAAACCTTTAGTCGTGATCAAGGTCGTTCTGCCCTACATAGTTCTTCTGATTCTATTTGCTGGCTTCGTAGTCTGGAACGGCAGTGTTGTCCTCGGTAAGCGTGACTTTACATCTCCATATGGACAAAAACCTAACGTTGACAGGGGATAAATCCGCCCATACGGCTACCATCCATCTTCCGCAGATGCTCTATCTTTGGCCTTACATTGCGTTCTTCTCGGCACCACTACTGATAGGACCCCTCCTCAGACCTACGGTCTCACTTTTACCAAAACGCTTTCAGACTATGTGCCACAAACATCTCAACACCTCTTGCTACGGACTCCCGACACTTGTTACAACTGGGCTTTTCATGTTCACCACTTTCCCTGCAGTTCATCTCAATACCATTATCCATCCATACACCTTGGCCGACAACCGACACTACGTTTTCTACGTCTTTAAGATGTTTCGACTATATCCAACGTTGAAGTATCTCGCAGTCCCCGTATACTATGTATGTGCATGGGCTACTGTCCAAGTGCTTGCTTCACTACCTAGGGCGGCATCGCCGAAGAAGGAACAAACGCCACAAGGGAAGGGTACAGTTCGTCTTCCCAGAGACAAGACTGATCACCAGTCCTGCCAGATAAGCTTCATCGTCATATGGCTAGTCACCACTGCGCTGTCACTCATCACTGCTCCCTTAGTAGAGCCCCGTTACTTCATTATCCCCTGGATCATCTGGCGGCTTCATGTACCGTGCAGCCAAGCTGCACTATCGAACAGCAGAGGGTTAGATATACGGATGATTCTTGAGACTGTTTGGCTGCTCGCTATAAACGCACTTGTATCATATACTTTCTTGTATCGTACGTTTACGTGGTCTAGCGAGCCCGGTAATTTACAAAGATTCATTTGGTAGAGTGGAACTAGAATTATAGACAGACCGTGGAACGGTAAGCTACAGTAGCAATCTCAGCTCTTTGGAAATGGGGCACAATCACAATTAAACGCAACGCTGTTTTCTACACTTTGCAAATTCAACTATCGGGGCGTGCGCTTACAATGCTGTTTAGCATCTATAGAGCGTCCTCTTCTTCGCTTGTATCTACCTGCGGCCGCACTATACCCTTGGAACCTAAGAAGCTAACTTCTAGCTAAATATATCATTTGCCCTGCTCTTATCAATACACCTACCTCTACAACTTCTGCTTGCTATCACCTAGTGACTTCTTCGACTATAGCTTATAAAGATAGCCCCAAGGCGTCTTGCTTCTTGTAGGTTGAGTCTTTCATCGATACAACAGGCTCCCATGACCTCAGTAGCTTATAGTGGATTTGCACCTCATGTTCCCTGTATCAGATTGGGGCAATCTATACGATCAAGATATCAAACAGATGATGACCCAGTGGCTGCAGGAATTCCTCTTCCATGTATTTGTGCGGAATGGAAAGTTCCATTCCAAGCACCGGGGGGATGAATTTGATGTGAGTGGAGTGCGTGCTAGTGAAGATATGGCGTTGGGTGATAGAATGTTACTTATTCATAAGAATCATCTTTACCTTTGGTACGATTTCCTCAAGGGAAGTGCAAGATCATACGGATGGACACATGTCCTTCATATCCTCTCCATATAGGTTTGCATAGCTGCAACTGATGAGCTGCAACGTCGAGTAAGGTAGAACAGAAATGGAGGCATGACAATCACCTCCGTTCGACATACAAGTCATTATATAATTGTACAGAACTCTTGAAAACATGGCCATGTTCACTCAAATAACAAAAACGCCCTTCCAACTCATCCAAATACGTCGTCCTCACTAGATCCCTTCCCTCAAGTATGTTTGGACGGGCGATTCATGCCTTTCTTTTTACAGCCCTCCATCGGCTTCAACCCAGCCATACACGCCCCGACCACTATCCACACAATCGGTCGGTCGATAGAACCTGGTGCGCACACGGTGCATGCATGCATCGAACATCTCTCCTAGTTCTTGCCATGGTGCTGCTCACCACCCATTGTCAACCTCAGCACGAAGTTAACAATGACGGCTGCAAACAGCGCAATGGTGAGGATGGTAGGGCCCAGTCTGTCGTCGAAGCCACCCTGACCCCTTAGCCTTATACTCCTCGCGCGCCAGTGGAAGGTGAACAGAGCATAGATCATGGCCATCATGGCAACGAGAGTGAAGAGGCCGGCGGAAATCTTGCCAATCTTGTCGCCGAAGTTAAGCAGTCCGATAGCGAGGCCGCCGAGGATGACGGTGAAGTTGAGCCATGAGAGGAAGGTGCGCTCGTTTGCGAAGAAGACTTTGGGCTCGACGCGCGTGGGAAGGGCAATGCGCTTGCCTGGGTGGAAGTGTCAGTAGACGTCTAGGGAGGAGGAGCGCATGGCGCGACGTACCGGGAGCGGTTTGGAGAAGCGGTTGGGTAGACATGACGATGGTGATGGCCCCACTGATGTTGCGACGCGAGCTTTCTGAAGATACTTTGGACGTTGGGTATTGGTCGATTGAGTGGTGCCGGGTGAGCCAAGATTTGATGCAGCTTCAGACGGAGATTCTCGTGGTAGGAATAAGGTGAGGAAAAGAAGTCTGCATCACAATGCCGTCAAAGCTCTTGTTGATGCGGGTCGCGATGGGAAGCCCATGCAAGTTCGCGACTTCCCTTGGCCTATCATGACGCCCACGTGACAGTGCTGCGTCTGGCGACGCTTATTGGCTCTAAGGCCGCATGCGGGGATGGCCCGGTCCCTTTGTGCCACCTGCGCACCTGCCACGTCTATCCAACTTCCGGCCGCCGACGCTAGCTTTGTCCAAACACTGATCCTTGGGAGTAAACACGACATTCACGTCTCATCACACTGCATTGCTGTCTAAGACATCGGTAAACTTTTAACTCCACAATTCACTACATCACTACACAGCACAGTCAACACCATGGCAGTAAACACCCCCCTTCCACGAGCACAAGTTATTGTATACTGACAAAGAAACAGTCCGCGTCACCGCTCCCTACCTCTGAGCTGGAGCAGATTGCTCAACAGGTACGCCGCCCAGCATACGTCCAGGTGAGGCTACATGAGCTAACAGAACCATCTAGGCCTGCGAGCAAGCCATCGGCTCCGCTGAGTCATACGACCACACAAAGGTTGGAGACTGGAACAGCGAGATCATTGTGAGTTTTGATCATGAATCCTTCGCCAGTTTGCGCAACCATGCATGCGACATCAACACACAAGTCCCTGCTAACACCCACGCTAGCAATACATCCTCAAGACCCTCATCAGCAAGACTACACCCTCATCCGAATCCTCCACCACCCCTGAAACTCCCTCGCAACCCGCCTACAAGTACATCGCCAACAGCACTGTAATCCAGCACATTGGCTCTCCCGCGGAACCCGAAAAGCACGGCCGCCGCGGCATGCACAGCGCGGTTGGCGCCTTCTGGAACAACGAGAAGGACGGTACATACAGCTACAAGTGGGAGGCTGCCGAGAAGAAGGGCATGGACATTGTCATTACCATCACCTGGATTGCTATCTAGAAGGATAATAGCGCCAAGGGCGTTGATGGTTCTAGGTGTGAGCCCGGGTGTGAGCAATCCCATTTTCCATCCAGACGATCCAACAAGGTGGATAGGACACAGACTGGGCCCACGGAAGGGGCAAGTGAGAGCTATGTGAGTGGCTTGCTGAGGCTGAGGGCTGAAAGGAAAGCTGGGGGTGTTTTTTGATTGGATATCGCTGTTCTTCTTCTCCTCATGGGTACGGCGTTGAAACTACATTGATACCTACTACTTCACTCATCGTCTCCTAATATATCCTGGACGGCTACAATATGCTTCGTTCATGAGTATATCGATGTGAAACAAAGCAAATACTTTGAGGGTACATGCTAGGTACAACCCAGAGAAAACAATCTTCTTCGTATGTGTTGGAACATCTTGCATTGTATGTGTTGAAAATGGTATCGACTATTTACTCATCTGCTCGTCTGCATGGACATCATCGCGTACTATTGCTAGTCCCATTGCGTATCGTCATCCCCATCCCCACCCCCATCCGCCGACCGTGAAAGCGCAGAAGAATATAGGCTCAGTACGTCAAAGTAAAGATTGGCCAGCTGAACTGAGAACAACAAGGTACAGAGAAGAAAGGACAAAGAAGCAAAGGACTAATTTTAGGCATCCGCCTTTTGGCTCCCAGCCTGGGTGCCTACGCCATCCGTGTGCGTACCGCTACTCCGCCCACCAGTGGCTTGCTCCCGCTTGCTGATGAGTGCCTTCAGTTCGTCTGTGGTGCTCTTGCCACCGTTCTTCTCGGTGATGAGTCCCTTTAGCCATGCGTTCTCCGTCTGCAGTTGCTGGATGGTAGCCTCTAGCTTGGCAACCTTCTCTTGTGCCTCCTTCTGGGACTGCTCGAGAGCTTGCTCGCGCTGCTTCTTCTTGATGCGGAAGCGGGCGCTTGCAGCTGTGTTCCGGCGACGCTTGTCCTCTTCTGCGGCGACGCGGGCGTTCTCGTCGAGCGATTGTGGCATGACGGGAGCGACATTGTCGAGCTTGCGCTTCTTCGAGGACTGGTCGAACCCTTGTGCGACGGGAGACAATGAGGAGGCAGGTGAGGCGTAGTTGGGTGCGAGCGGGTAGTGGGTAGGCTGAGTGTGCGCCAGTGGCATGGATGGGTCAAACGCTGGGGTTGTACCAAAGTTGTTGAAGTCGGTGAATGGGAAGTCGCCTACTAGCAGATCAAAGTCAGTCATGGCTATTCAAGATGACGATGTGCTCGAGTCGCGATGTGGGTGTGTGATGGTCTTCGCTCAGAGCAACAAGCAATTACGTGCTTGCAGCGCATACATGCGCTGTGCTGTGAGTGGCTGCTACCCAAGGCGTGGGGGTGACGACAATGCATGCATGCTATACATGGGGCGGGGTTTGCATGCGCCTCGCGAATCTGCCATTGGACGGAGTAATGCGAACCATATGACCATTAAAACGGGACGATTCTCGACGAGCAGCAATCCAGTCGGCAGGACAGCAGGACGGTTTTGAGGATGGAAATGTACTTACCATTCAAGCTGAAGTCCATGTTCGCTTCGGCAGTAATAGCCGGGTTGCGCGGAAAGTCTCCGTCGGTCTTCAGCGGCTGTGTTTGCTCACTGTCAAAATTCAGGCCAAAGTCACTGGCAGAAGCGAAATCGACGCTGGCGTTGCTGGCGTTGCGGGCGTTGTCCACGTCGAAGAACTCTCCGTTCAGGAAGTCGGAGAAGTCCTCAGTGGGTGCTGGATCGGCGAGCAGATCCTGCTGTGGCGACAGCTGGTTGAGGTTCGCGATGTACTGGGACACGTTGGGCCCTCGCTGGCCTTTGTAGGAGGACATGGGCGTATGTTTGCTATCCAGACGACGATGTGGGAAAGTCGCTGGAACGTGTTGTTGAGGAATTGGGAGACAGCTCTCCACTCAGGCCCGATCCGATCGCGCTTGCGGGTCCGAAGCTGATTTTGCGCGGCTGGAGCCTGGCTCGACGATTCGAATAGTTCGCTGATTTGGTATACGGGTTCTGTTGCACGAGCCTCTGACGGGATACAAAAAGCAAGAGGAATGTGTGCGAGTGTCGTGACGTGGATGAACGTCAAAGTGCGCAGTGCGTTCTCGATCAATGGGGAGCCCCGCGGTCGGTGACTAGAGTTATTAGCGACCGCAAACCCCAAGCCGCGTTTACGCCGAGCCTCACCCCACGTGTGGTTGGAGTCGCAAACGGCTCCAGCTTTCGCTCTCCGAGGTTCAAAGCTTCGATTGAGAGAATGATGTAAACGATTATCTGTCTCGTTCAACTTGATAAATCGAGGAACCTCAGCATGACTGTTTTCTCGCTGTCAGCTCATCGTCTTGTTCCCACGACACCTGAACATTCGTTGTTTGTAATCACGACGTACATCTTGCCGACGACGAATCACATTTGAGCATCTTTGTCCGAAACTGGGCCGGAGATCTAAGCGGATCCCACGCCCAAGAAACGGCACTTTTCATGCGGCATATACATGCTATCTTCGGCAAGAAAAACATGATCAACGTGTATTTGAATCTGGCAAGAATGGTAAGAAATCCCTAGCCATACTGCTGCTCTATGTGATAGTATTTACGGCTCTCAACGGGACAAAGCAAGGTGAATTATTCTCCAAGTCCTTCGGATGGGATAACTGCAAGTGCTTGAACATTGGTAATACTTGGTGGTCATCTACGACGGGGTTCAGCAAGACTGCTATGTATCCAGGTAGCTACGAACCGGAGAGAATGCACTACACCTATCCTAAGAAAGCTCATGATAAAGTCCAGAAGTTATCCAGAAATGCGTTAAACCTGAAGGACTTTGGAGCGACTCATGATTTATACGTCTCTCTCTATGTAGATACCCAGGTATTTGGGCATGATGGAGTGGGCTGTGTCACGTGGCGGGTCCTGCTCCTCGTCGACGCGACGCGACTCCCACTATCGATAACAGCTCCCAATCAACAACATTCAGCAACCCCTCCATGTAGACGCAAAGCGCACCGACGTAATGGCGACCGCCCCCGACTACAAGAATATTCCGCACTCTCACCGGCTGCCTATCAACCACCGCGAAGTCCAGCGCACCTTCACGAAGCTCTCCCGCCAATCTCTCGTATCGCTCGCGCTGCAATGGCTCAGCAAGAAAAATCGCGACTTTTGCAAGCCGTACCTCCTTAGTGATCGTATAGAGGAGGATGAAGACGAGATATACGAGCCGGCGCAAAGCTATGATGTGCTTCAAGAGACATATAAACAGTTAGCCGCGCGTAAAGGTGGCAGGAGAGAGGTGCTTGACCGCATACTCGAGGGAGATTGGAGACACGGCATATCCATGTATCAACTTGCAACGGCTGAGATACAGTATCTTCTCGACCATCCAAATGCATTGCGCTGGACAGCGAAGCGTCTTACCAAGATACCGAATGCGCGATCACCAGTAACGGACATGGAAGTCACCAATGATTCGGATCACCTCCCGCGATTCCAAGCGCAAACCTTCATGTTAAATCTCGCAAGGCAGTTGACGCCGCTTATGAAAGCGCATTACCTGATTACACGGATAAAAACGTCGCCTATGACAATACTACGAGTCTACATCCACGATTCGCCGTACAGCAACGAAGCATCGCTGATCGCTGAGTCCAGTAGCACGGACAGCGCGAAAGCCGTCTTCTTCGTGTGGCCGAACGGTTCGCCTTTCGTATACTCGTCGCTAGCCACGCTTACCGGCCAGGTCGTGGGGGATGAAGGACGACACCTGAGGGATATCGTGCAGCAAGCGATACCGAAGGCTTTCTCAAGGCCGTCTGCGCGTTACCAGTTGACAAGCACAAACTTTACCACCAAGTCACTCGATGCGCTTTTGACGTACCGTGGCCCTGGAAAGAGCAATGCTGCAGCAGGTGGCTGGAGCATTTTCCAAGATCATAGTTTTAGTCAGAATGCGTTAGACTTCATCACCACGCAAAAAGGTGAAGGGCAAGAGAAGGCTATAGGCGAGAAAGGCAATACCAACGGTGGACTCAAAGCTGGACCAGGTAGACCTAAGCGACCACTGGACGATAAAGAATCTTCAGAGGCCAAACGGAGGAAAGAGGTAGCTGCTGGCCGGTTTGGTACCTCAGCACAGCCCAACGACGGTCAAGGTCTTGAACGATTCGAAGTTCGCATCGATGACCCATTCCCATCTCCATCCAACGGCAGTACTACGACGCAAATAGACGGCGATACATCGAACCTTGATACCCAATCCATCAATCGCACACGACGCGGCCGCCCTTCTCTTCTCGATAGAACTGCAGAAGACCTTGAGGAGATACAGAATGAGGAGGGCTGGGTACCGAATGTGCGTGTCACGTTCCAAGGGACGCATGTGTTCGCCGGTATCAGGCAGTTGGTTGAAGAAGGCATTGTAGATGGGGAGAAGATGCCAGGCTGGATGACTGGTCAAGCAGGTGTCACAATAGGTTCGGTCAAAGACGGACGCATTCGGAGCAAAGGTGGTGTGCCTGGGGTTTAGTGAAGTTGCGAATTTTCAACGCGCGGCGCTGACAGGTGTTTTTTGATATCGATATACCCATTACGATGATGCGGCGTATGGCGTTCTTCTTGCTAACCAACACGAGCTGTGTTGCGATGGGCAATCGCGGTCTTCACTTTGTTAGTCTTTCGAGAATCAGAGCAGTATCTCTGCTTATGTGCTGCGACTGCCTGCTCTTGCCAATCCGGCATTCTAAAAGTCCTTAGCGTCTCAGGGTCCTTTCAAGGTTAGTTGTGACTACAAAATCTATTCTCGTCCCAACCTTGTGTACGTCATCTTATGCATTATTGCGCGCATTCTGAATCTGGTAGAGGACAAATCATCTGTCCTTATGTAAGGTTTGCCTAATACTTCATAATTTCTTATCAAGGGTGGACTCCTGCCCAAGGCAGATCAGCGCTCTGCCTTTTCGGCTGTTGACATCCGTTCATACAGTCTTTCACCAAGGCTATAATTCCTTCTCGTCTACGGATTCGGACGCCGGCGACAACATCAACCTTCACTGGACCTGGTGAGCTTCACAAACCACCCGGTGTCCACTTTCACAACCCTTTAATGCAGTCGTCCGTGACTTACCCGACTTGTGCGCCTCAACACTTCAAGCCACATGAGGCGCCGAGGCAACCTAAAACTCTTCACAAGCCACAGCTAGACCCCTTAGTGGCTAGCCGGAAGGATCCGAGTCACGAGACGTACCCGCCTAGCCATGAAAAACGATAACGATGTCATAACTGCAGTAGTACGCATTCGCGGCCTTGCATGTTGAGCTTGCTGCAGGGCGTGGATTGGGTGTGGCTTGCTGTGGCTAGTGCACGGTCTACAGTTAGCCTCTAGGATTGCGTGGCGGCTGCCGATAGCCGGTAAGGCTGACATTCACTATCAAGGGTTAGAGGTCATGTGTTCTCGTATTTGGCGAACAATAGCGTTTAACCAAACAGAACTGTGAGCACTGCAGGATAAAGTGGGTTAGCAGAGTTCAATGCGGCTGACGGTTGGGTCAAGAGACGCGTTTCTTCCGAGCCGACTTCCCTCACGTCGAACCGGTGACTCCACCCAAGAAGCTTGGAGACGGGAATAAGTCTTGACTGCATTCTATGGTGAGAATGTTGGTCTTGGCAAGGGCACAAGAGAAAGCATATATACCTCACTAATCCCCCTAGCTTGCACTGCCACATTCGATGCTACTATCACCTACAAGCATTAGTTTCAGATCTACAGCCTCAACACCAGAGCCAAACACGATTCGAGACTATCAAGCACACTCCACAATAAGCCAAGACCACAACGTCATTACCTTTTCTACTCAGTCTCCAACCATCCTGCCGATGACTGACTACAACAACCAACGCATCGACGCTCAAGACTTGACTTCAAGGCTTGTTTCGTTCGAACACCAATCCAACATCAACAACAGTAACTCGGGCAGAGACAATGAAGAAACCTCCTCCTCCTCAATACTGTCCCAGCGACGTCCCCGATCCACCTCCATCGACAGTGGCGTCATGCCTCGTTTCACCAAATCAGCAACAGTTTCCACAACTGGCACCAATGACTCTCAATATTCCCAGTATTCTGGCCTTCGCGTCATGCGGGCTGAGCCCAGCTCCAAGACACATGCTGAAAGTGTCGGCGTCGCACCAGGCGAGTTCAGCAAGCCGCGTGTTCACAAGCGCAGCCGCAGAGACACTCAGAGCAGTGTTGGAAGCGGCAAGAGTGCAAAGAGTGGGGATCCCAAGGAATTCAAGTACTATGGTCGACACAGCAACCAGTGGCTGTTCAACGACTTTAGTGTCACCGATGCTGTGTCCAAGGGCTTCAAGAGGATCTTTAGCAAGGACAACAGTAGGAAGGACTGGTACGAGGACAGGGAGCATTAGGGACGGCGTTCAAGGAACGATTACGTCGAATAAGGGTTACGGATACTGGCTTCATCATATTGGAGGAGGGACCTATATCATATCTCAATACAATCACTCACATCATCATCATACGATCTTGTCAACTTGTTGTGATATACTTGACATACTTGACATACTGACACATTGACTTTTCAGCAATGATATATCCACTAACCCAAGTCATGGTTGTCATATCGTACGCCATTGAGAAAGAAAACTCTCCGAAAATTCTATGGAAACGCAAGATCGGGATGGAAGAAGAAACACTTCTGATAGTACCAGCAAGAAGCAGACATTGCAAAGAATGGCTGAGAGTAGCAATATAAGATTTCATACTAATCATGAGGCGATCCGACTACACTGAATAGAACAACGATCTCGAGAGATCAGGTATCATTCGCAAAAACGCCACCGCTATAGAGAAAACGCTCATGTCGTGCGCATTATAACGCCAATATACCAAAACGCCCTCATCAACTACATTGTACGCCCTAGTCCAGTCCTAAAGCATCATACTTTTCCGTCGACTAGCTGCGCGCTCAGCTCTCAACGTGCTCGTCTCCCTTTCTCTGTCTCGTACTTTGACGTCTTCGGGACCATCAGGCCTCGCCCTGAGATCATTCGTGCTAACACTGGCTGGCAAGCTTCCAGTATTGGTAGGCTTTTTCTCCTTCACGCCTGCCGTTCGAGCACCTGACGTACTCCTAGCAATGCCATTAGCACTAGTGCTTCTCCCCAAGCTTGCAGTACTACTACTCTTCACGTTTCCGCTTCCAGTGCGCTTATGCAACGAAGGGAGCGCCCTTTCTGTCTTTTCCCTCTCGGCTTTACGCTCTTCCGACGATGTTGATGTAGAAGAGGCAGGCATAGCAGAGTGTCGCCGTGCACCTCGCACTGCTTTGGCAAGTTCGTTGACGCGTGTACGGGGATTGGTCGTCGTGTCAGCAGGTGACGAGTCCGTGAAGTCGAACACGGCCAAGCCGTCCTTCTCTTTCGCTTCTTGTTGAACAGCTATGGTATCTTTGTTGAGGAGAGGAAGATCTAATGACCTGGCAACGGCAGGCTCCGAGACGGATCCTGCAGTTGATGCAGATATTCTTCTCTTAGCAGTACTAGTTTCGGTGATGAGCGCAGATATGGCTTTCGAGGTCGTTGATCGCTCCTCAAGCTCGATTGACGCTGGTGATGCTTTGGAATCCTGGTTTCTGTCAAGCTTTTGTCTCAACGGACTTCCTGCTTCAGCCTCTTCCTCCCCTCTCGGTTGAGAGACTGCCGATATGGGCTTCCAGGCAATTTCGCCATCGGCATCGCGCTTGACAAGAGTTGAGGGTACATGTTGGGTATCCACGCTTGTCCTGCGATCAACCACCGCGTCAACTAGCTTAGCATCTGGACGCCGCATCTTTATGTTGAGACTGGGCTCCTTGTAACTGACTTGAGGACGCGCTCGTCTGCCAGGTCGTCCTGCTTGACCGATCTGGTCTACGGAATTGAGATCTCCCGGTGGTGGTGTGTCCTTGTTATCTGGTCGTTGCGTTGACGGCTCGGTAGACGGTGGAGAGAAGATCGCTTCTACAGCAGGTGTCTTGGGAGGTAGAGAGTCGAGTATGATTTCTGCAGTAGGCACCGGTTCAGGCATGGGTAAGAGCGGGAGGTCTGGGGTGGTGTTGCGCGTGATGTTTAGTCGAGGGCGACTTCGAGCTTTGGATGCTGGCTTCTCAGCCTTCTCTGGTTTCTCAGGCTTATCCTGATTTGAAGAGCGTTGTTTCTTTGGCGACAAAACTGGATCGGTATTGACAGGTTCTACCAAGTTAGAGATGTGTCCGATCTTGCTTTGGGTGTACTTACTAGCTGAAAGGACAGGAGGTCGCTCTAACGACGAAGGCTTGGATTCGTCATTAGACGCCTCCATGTCCGATGCGCTCGGGGCATTTCGGCGACTGAATCTGAAAGCATCACCCTTGGCTTGGCTCACTTCCTCATCTTCTTGAACGCTGAACTTCCGCTTCGCTCCAGTACGCAGAGGCTTCGCGGCTGTCTCTTCAGCTTCTTCCGGAGATTGGAAAAGGGACACACGACGTATATTGAGCTTCGGCCCGCTCTCTCGTCGCTTCTTACGCGTCTCGAGATTGACCGATAACGCAGGCTCGCCATCATCACCAGCTTCCTCACGTTGTTCCTCTGCTGCGGGGCTAGGGTTGAAACCAATGGGATCTTCGTCTTCGAATCGCGCAACTGGTGGAGGACCAATGTCTGGCGACTGGCTGTCCGGGTCTTCTGACACCTGCTGAAGCTCGTCCGCACTGTGACAAGTTAGTTTCGTGCGTTTCTAAATGTGCTACTGCTCGGATGGCGACATAGACGTACCCCATTGTCCTTCGAGGATAGTATTTGTCTTCTGTGATTGTAGGCAACATGCCGTCCTCCACCTCTTGAAGACCCAACCCACTCCTCCATTGTCGCTCCTCTCCGCTCTTTCTCTTTGCTGTCATCTGGCTTTTTCGTCTTCTTCTATCCTTCTCATTTCCGCCCCTTGTTTGCGATAGACCTGCCACCAGGCTGCTTAGCTCAGAAAGCTTGGCTTCAAGCTGTGTCTTGACAACATCAATATGGTCGAGTGCCGGACGCGACTCAATAGTGTTATTGAGGTTCAAGACTTGCTCGCGCAATGCCAAATTCTCAGCAAGTAATCGCGAACAGTCCGTTTCGAGGCTTCGTATGCGTATAGATTGTATTGAGTTCGTCTTTGCGAGTTCGCGGTTTTGCCTCAAAAAGCGTCTCTTGAGGGCTTCGATGGAATCCGCCGATGGCTGGGGTGCAACCGGCGGCTCGTTGAGACGCGCCATATGCGCAAATAGGTATGCCGGAGTTAATTATAAATTTGTAGACAACTACGCGGTCGTGACGGCGTCGATACTGTAGGGCGGCGGTGGGTGTTCCTTCTGTGTTCGTCATTGCATGTTTACATAGCAACAAAGCTAAGTCTAGATAAGCTAGCGTAAAGAGCGCTTCCACGTGACACGAGGGGCATGAACGCGTGCACCAATACAGCACAATTGCATCACATTTGGCGACTGGAAAGCTTGCAAAAGAACAAAAGCAAATACTCCGTTACTTCTATCGTCGTTCGGTGTTTCATAGAGAGGAGCCTTTCAGTAACACATCCCGCAAAGCAAAAACGTCTGCCCACCATTTGCGAGTCTGACTTGGACTTTCGACGAAAGAAGAGCTGAACGTACATCAACCGAAAAGGATGTCAAACTTCACACGCCCACTCCCTACCCACCTCCGTAACCAATCTATGGGCGGCTCTCAGCAACAGTCCCCTGTCTTACTGGCGCGTATTGCAGAGAAGAAAGCCGAACTAGCAAACTTGAAAGACCTGCAAGCACTGAGTGGAGGACTCGCAGACCAGATGCAGATGCTCGCTGACAAGTTGTCGACTTTATCAGATGGAACAGAAGGCATGTCAACTTTTTCTTCCAGAGCGAGTCTCGAGCAAGGAGCGTAATAGGGATAACATGCTAACTTGGTGGTTGATTAGCGGTCGCAGCAGTGTTATCGAACTGGCATAATGTGCTAAGGGCTATCAACATGGCGTCTAGTAAGTTGTGCACTTCCGGGAAAAAGTCCACGTCCTAAACTACAGCAGCAAAACTTCCGAAGCCAAAAGAAGAGGAAGAATCAGAAAAGAAGGCAGAGGATGGGCCACCGTTGCCCCAGACGCTTGTCCGCATTCCCACACAGCATGCGCCTGCGGTAATAGAGCAGGCCAATGCAGCAACAGCAGAGGATTGAACATGTGTACGACATGTGCCTGACATCGGATCGGGCTTTTCGCGCTGCTGAAAAACTTTGTGGAAAAGAGCGAACACGAAGGCTTAACCATTGATGCGCGATCGGCTGCATGTATATGCACTCGCCATCCAGTCAACGAGCATTGGCAGGCAAGGATGCATCTTGAGGTGCACATAGCACACCTGCAGTTGAGCCCAACGTTAGCTGCAGCTTGCCCTACAGCTGCGCAACAGCGTGTGTATCGAAGAACGGTGAAGACTGCACCAATGAGAGGCAAGGGGACGGGAATAAGTATTAGGGGGGATCTATGTTCCCAACTTCACATGTGCAATTTCAATGCTACAAGATGATGTAAAAGCTTCTGATGCGCCGACATCCAGCAGCGAAAGACAAAATTTTACCGAGTATCCAAGTCCATTCCCAGCGCTATGCAATGACGCAGTCCTAATCATAATGTGTCTCACGGACACCCGTAACTCCAAGCAATGAAAATCGTTCTCAAGTCGTATCAGCTAGCTCTCAGTAGGAGACTGTGAGCTTGCCAGCTAAAGCGCAGTTGAAGCTCACTTCTTCTGCTTCGGCATCTTCTCGTAAGCATTCGGGCTTGGCTTCCTCCGTTGACGCTTATGCTTTTGCGGGGTACTGGAGCCCTCACCATGATCGTGGACGTCCTCACAATCGTCATGGGCGTGCTGATGTGGCCGTCTGCCGCGTGCACCACCAATCCTTCTAGCGGGTCTTGCGGTGCTGTTGTCGGGCTCCGAGTCGGAATCTGAGTCTGAAGATGAGTCCGACGAGTCGTCGTCGGAAGACTCGTCGGCGGCGCGGGGCTTGTGATAGATGCAGCAGACTTCAAGTTTGTTAGTACTCCTAGTAGCATAACGGCGTGATTGGGATTATGTACCTTTGGACGATTTCTTGCCCATGCCTTCATTGTCAATCACGTCTTCTGCCCATTGAATGTGTCGACGTTCTGACGGTTCTGCTCGTAGACGAAGCACGCCCGAAGGTGCTGACAGACGCAGGACAGGTTGAGGACGAACCTCCATTGTCCTGCTCCCGGAGTTTGGGGTAGCAGTTCTGGGAGATACTGGGTGAGGAGCGGCCATATTGCTGAAGTGCGACATGTCGTTTGATAAGGACTGCTTGGGGGATCGGACCGGACCCTTAAGAAGTTGGGGCGGCAGTGGGGCGTAGCTACGCAGCGCAGGGACCAAAAGGAATCGCGAATTCCACGGCTGGGGATGAGTCTTTATCGGGGTCCAACGTCAAAGCTTGGACGGCGTGTTGGTAGTTGTATCAAAGATAGTTATAGCAAGAGGGTGTGAGGGATAAGCAGCGACTTGTTAGTAGGCGGTTGTTCTGTGCATGTACGTCTTTGTTGTTCGACGATGATTTGTCTCGTGAGAAGAGAATGGCCAATGCGTCATAGTCAAATCGGTACTTCCTCGGCCCAACCCGCACCTGGCAGCCACGTTCTGACCCCACGATCGCTTCTGTCGGCTTCCATCGCTTATTTGCTATATTGCAGCACACTTGTCAGCAGATGCCGTGCATCGTGACCTAGGTCACGCTGCATATATACGCCTGCACGGCTCGCTGTGCACGATTTGCTTTTCCGTCATGACGGTCCCTCCGCGGACAAGCCTAGGGCCAGACAAGAGAACGAGGTTTAACACACAATGAAGCCCAATTCTTTTGAGACATTCTTTCCAGCGACCATGCACATTGTATGGAATACCGCTGACATGTCATCTCTTATCAGTATAAGTAATTGGGTCTCACTTTCCCAGAGGAGAATCTCGTGTATGTAAGCAATGACGATAAGGGCATTGGATCACAATAACATTCCCTTACTCACTTTGAATGACACCATAGTACAGTTGACGTTGAAGGACGTGATCTAGTTCATTGCGTTCTTCATTCAAGTTGACCTACAACATCCATCACCGCTTCATTCTCTTCCGGACACCCCACAACATCTACGACCTTAAATTTCAGTTGTCTCCAGCCGGGTTGGATATCTACGACAGGAGTCTCTAGTTCCTGGCATGAAAGAAAACACTTAGTACCATGTGAAGCGGCTACACCCTCTCCACAGAGCCGGGAATCGACACCATCAACCTCCTTCTATCTGCCTAAGAGCTCCGCGACGAGATACATACTTATGCCTTTTTAAATGAGAGCATAAGCTCACTTCACCTTCAAGGCAGCGTTTTCAAAGCTTGTAACAAAAACACCTACTAGTTTTCCGATTCCACTACAGCTTGGTGTCTCACCCATGTCCCCCTGTCCAGTGGCTTCTTTAACTTTCCTGTAAGGATATTCATGAGTGCGTGCTCACCGAGGCGATCGAAAAATCCGCATGCGGACAAATTCTCCATATCATGACGTCGTTCGCGTCAAAACTACCAAAGCACATACCCGGACATGTTGAGCATTATATCAACATGATGTTTACCAGATCCATTCATGCTGCATATTTTACGTCCTTGTGTGGCGCAGTCTGGAGAGAATCCAGCACGACAGTGTTTCCGAAACATCTGAAAACTGGCCTACCAGCACTGATCGCATTACGAAGTACCAACGCGCCTCTATTACGCCTCAAACTAGCATGGACGTAGAATTTCTACGACCATGGTTGTTGGCCACTCACACACGCGACATTAGAGTCTCAGGCATTGCGCGACTCAAGAGGCTACTTCTCAAGCATCACCGTTGACATCAGTATCAAAGCCTTTGACGAGCGCAACTCTCAGAGTATTGAGGAACAGCTACATCTACATGTGGAAGATTGGGCAAGGAGACTCATAGGGCCTGAGTCTGGTACCACCAATACAGGGTGCACATGGAGGAACGAGGTACTTTACAAATGCAAATGGGGATATCGGACGTGTGGAAAGGTGAAGGTCGTCAGTTACGAAATCTGAGATGTGACAGTCGTCGTGGTCGCCGAGAGATGCTATGGTATCCAAATGTAGCTGTGGGCTGGTGTACCTGTTGTCTACCTAATCATATAGTCTATATTGCAACCAAGTAAGGTTACAGTCTACACCACAGTCCAGATGGAGTACGAATTGACAACACTTCTAAGAAGCCATCCTCAATATGTATGTGCACGATGAGAGGCTTGATTGTTGCGAAGCTACAAGGGCGCCCTAGAAGGTTAGAACCAACCATGACCGGTTCATGTACGCTCACGTTGACAGTGACATCACATACGGTTATCTCCCTATAGCCACGTCGGACGCATCATTCTATAGTGAAGGCCTGGCCATTATGCCGGTAACCATGCGCTTATCAAACGTCAGAAGCCGATTTACATGGCCGAAGACAAGTGATTTCTTTGAAGATGAAGGGATGTTGCAGGGTGATCCCGGTGGCGGTGAGCGAAATTAGACAGTTCCTTCGCGTGTTCACACCAGCCTCAACAGTTGTCGTATCGTGTACGCAACCGAATAACGTGCAACAAAAAAAAAACGATGCATACCCGCAACTGAACGCTGTGCAGTCGATGCTTATGAGTTTCATAAGCCTACGAAGAGTTTCACATGCTAAAAGGGGAGCAGAACAAATCTGACGGGTGAATAGCACAATCTGAATAGATGACGGTTGTTAAGCGGAAGCGGGCTCGGGGGTAGACCACATGCAGAACACAAGGCCGGCGTAGGTCGTGCACAACCAAAGCTCGGCCACAGCGGGATCGGGAAATGAAGTGACCGTGGAGCGGGTTTGTTCTGGACCGGTTTGAGCCCCACTGTGTAGGAAAAGGGGAGGATTACTTTCTTGTGGGCCTTGGGCGACCAGAGGACGAGAGTGGCTACGCAAGAAGAAAGATAGCTGAATTGTCGTACCTCCGGGAATAGAGCACGACGTGTGAAGGTGGAGAGACGGGCGTTCGCATTTATGGTTCAGGGGCGCCAGGGCGCTTCTGATGCTATTGTGTGGTCTGGAGCTCACAACAGGAGCCCTGGTCGATAATCTGCTGCTCGAGATGAATTGACGAATGACGGAAGTTCGCGAAAGGGTTCCTGCAGTAGCGACCCCTCATTGGTGCTAGTGCCTCCGTATGGGGCGCAGTCCAAAATAAACGGTGCGGCCTAGCTGCCTCCTGAACCTGCAGGTCAGTAGGGGCTTCGGGTGCAGCGCGACGGGTGGATGTGCAACTGGGAAAATACGAAGATAGCTCTATCGATTGCGTGAAGAGACTCACGATAGCAGTGAAGACGTCTAGACGGAGCTGGTTGTTGGGGTTTGCGTGGAGTGCAATTAACGGCCCGGATCAAGGTCAAACAGGTGGCTGCGCCTAACGACAAACGCGGACCCTTCACTCTCTGCTCGGCGTAACAGGCTTGACCCGTGCAAGGCTTGAGACATCTGCCCAATCACGAGGCCTGTCAGTGAGAACCGGAGATCAGGCTCCTGTGCGGCGCCTCATCTACCTTTCGCGCCCATCCGTCCTCTTTCCTTCAACTCACCTCTTCGTGGGCCTGTCGCTCTTTTAGCAATCCATAATCAGCAACCTTCGCAGCTCCATCGTATCTTACCCCAGTCATTCTTTTTTTTGGGCCGAAGATTGTTTTGTTGTGTTGCTATCACCCTTGGCTATCGCCGTCCGCTCACTCCTCGACTACCCCGAAACGAGTTTCGCATATACTATCCTGTCGACAAGCAGCCACGACTGAGTTACGACTTCACGTTGTTAATACATACGCCTTGAAGTTTCGCCCACACCCACGCACTGTATAGCGTCACGTCGACAATACCAAGGACGAGCTTCCCCCCCCTCCCCCCCCGGATCCATTTCTAGCTCTATCGATTAGGATATCACATGCGAAAGCGGTCCTAGAGCTATGGCACATTCACACCACCAACATATGCACCACCATGTGCGCAATGAGAACCACATTGGCTCTCCCAGTAGCGCGAGTCAAACAATTCACCTCGTCGAAAGGGCGAGCCGTGTTCTCGTAGCTCGCGCCAGCTCAAAATGCACAGACGACAGTGAGCCTGGCTGCACAAAGCCGACCCAAGTACCTACTTTGGCCATCGCACTTGCCGTCATGTACGTAGTTCATATCTTTAATAGTGAATGCGCTAATTGTTCTTAGAGTACCTGTCGTCGGTGTCATGATTGTCCTCGTCTTCTTACACCGCAGAAATAAGAAGAAGCTCGCCGAGGAAGACTCAAAAGACAAGTACAAGTCGCACGACTGGGGCATGGAGGGTGTCGCTAAAGCTGGCAAGAAAGGAGGTCCTGAGATGAGCGTTTCAGAGAAGGAGATTCCAGGAAGCCACGACCGAGGTCTATCAATTGAGACCGGAAGCCCCTACATACTGCCCGTTGGCCTGCATGGCTCTCGAGAATCATTCCACTCGCTATCGCGTTCGCAACACGACCCTCACGACCCCTACGGCCCGGTGGCTTTTCTGAAAGATGACCAGAGTGTCCGCAGCGCAAGCCGCGGCCCCTACCGAAACGACACTGGATCCATGTACACCACTTCAAGCGCTGGAACAAAGAAGGAAGGCCTCCAGGCTGGTCTGCTTCAAAATGCGCAGAGAATGTCGACATCCAACCCCATTCGCAGCGAATCTCTATCCCCTGACGGCTCACGATCCCCAGACAGCAAGTTCCCCGAGCCCGGTATTCCACTCAGTCCATTGAACCCACGATTTGAAAAGGAGTCTTCTCCCATCTCGCCTTCCCAAGAACCCACTACCCAGTACGCCGCCTTCAAGCCCACGAACGTGCCTACCATCTCAATCCCTGAGCCAGGTGTCAGTGAGAAGCAAGTCAACAAGTCACCCGTCCAAACTACGAACGACATTCCCTCATTGCCACGCGTTAAGTCCCAGGCTGTTGTACTAGAGAACACCAACACGCATAGCATCATCAGCACGTCGAGCTATGGAGATGGTTTCCAAATCACACCACCATCACCCAAAGAAAGCGAGCAGCCCAAGATCGTTGCACCTAAGCCCCGCTATTCAACTGGTCCCCAGAACGTTGGTCTTGCTGTAGACGACTTTGGCCGCAGCACTAACCGTTTGTCAATGAGCCTGCGTCCTATGCCTTCTGACGACCCTCAAGAGAACCCCGAGGAGCGTGCCAACCGTATCCGATCTTTCTACAAGGAGTACTTTGACGACTCCAAGCCTGAGCCCGCTGGTGGTCACCAGTACACCGACTACGTTGAAGATTACGGCTCAGAGTACCAAGACGGCACTGTATTCGACCCGCGTACCGGTGCCTTCGTTGTTGCACAGCCCAACGCTCCCTTCGCTGAGCCCATCACTCGTCGTGCCATGACTCCTCCTCCCCGTGCTCCTCCTCGCTTCCGAAGCAACACTGCCACCGGTCCTCGTGGCCCGCACATGTCCAACAGCTCTATGGCTTCCTCGCAATACCCACCGCCCCGTGGCATGTCGTCCATGAGCGGGCGTCTACCTGCGCCAATGAAGAAGCCACTGCCTCCACCATCCGCTTTGTCTTCTCTCCCAACACCCGCTAAGCTTACCGAGAGCTCGATGGTCTTCGACGCCGCCGACTTTGCGCCACCAGTCTCGTTCCGCGAAAGACAAAACGGAGTACGACCAGACAGCCCGCTGGGCGCGCCCAGACCCTACAGCCCCGCCGTACGACCACACACACCGCTCGTCGGCTCTTACGACGAACTTCCCGCACTGCCCAGTCCTTACCTGATGCGTAAGTCTGGCACCTTCACTGCGCTTGACTTTGCACCACCTGGCCGCATTCGCGACCCTGCTGGCTCGGGTGCCTCAGATGCTGGATCTATCCGATCAAACCACTCTGGTATTTCGGCAGTCGGCAGATTCGCTGTTCGCAGCGGAGCCAACCGTGTTAGCAGGATACCAAGGGACGTCATGGGCACCAAGGACGACTTCATGGTGCAATTAAGACCCAGGATGAACATGGTAGAGGGCGCCTAAACTTGTCGCAACTTCCTCAGCACATATCCTTGACGACGGACACATCGGCTCGCTGGCAGAGCTTTCCTCTCGTACTCGACCGAACATCAAAAGCTCACATCATGTCAACTTCTCTGTACATCGCTTTTCAGCGGCCCTGACGATTTCCTTGGTATCGTGGCATAGATATAGCGCGCATTGGCTACCCTTCATCTTCACACCACTGCAACAACCTGTACAGGCAGCTTGTCATGTACTTTTTCCTATCTTTCTCCATCGCGGTTGGGACTCTATCGACCGGCAGATTACTCGTTTTCTAGGGCGGTTTAGCGTTGGATTGGCGTTTACCAATGTCTAATTTTTATTCTTCTGCATTGCTGCCAGATGGTGAAGTTGATGTGAGTAGAGGGCAGCTTGGAGGTTTGGAGACCTTGGCGGCATGTTGGAGGAAAGTGACTGTTGCCAGGAACGGTTGGAGTGATTGTGAAATATCCAAGTGGAGCACATAGAGGAAAGGAAACAAGAAACATTACTACAAGTGCGATTGAATGCGCCCGTTTATGCTTGCTTGCACAAGATGTAGAGAGATATGTCCGCTGTCGTAAAGAGCGCTTGTCTAGTAAGGAGCCTCAACGTCCAGCTGTGCGATAGTGCGGATTTTTTCATGCATCTCTGCCGGCAGATCCGCACTCTAGCGCTATATCGCATCATCAGTCATCATCGACAGAAGATCATTAAACTCCGCTCCCATAATACCCGCGAAAATCTTACGCATATGTTTTCCCTTGTGTTTATCCACACCAAGTACCCCAAACACAGCCACGAATAGCAAACTCCACCCCCAAATCCTCCCTCGTAAATAGTACCCAGGGCGACGTCATGACCAGCCTCTTGCACACGCGTACCGGCCAGACCATGCGAGTACCAAACGTGCGCCGACGCCGGTGCTCCAGACGAGCCCAACATCTAGACCAATGATTTGTTATTCGACGTTTTAGTCGCATGGCTTAGTGCCGATGTATGTCGTAGGTAATAATGCGCCGCGTCGCCAGCGCCTTCTTGCGGTGTCTAGTTTTGCTGTTAGGGGTCCTGTACGTCATAGCTTGAGATCTTCAACCAGGCTCCATAAAATACACGACTGCTGCTGCAGCACGCGCGTATGAAGTTGCGTTGCCCCGGATTCAAGGCTTTCCTGGCCTGAACATTCATCGACCAAGTGTTTCGGATCTTCTTCGCTCTTCGTGTGTCTCGAGTTTCCCGTCGTTGCTTATTCACTTGCTTCTTTCACTATTCTCCGCTGCAGCGCTTGCTTCTCCCTAAACGCCTGTAAAACCTCCGAATCGCCTACCATGGGCATCTTTTCGCGCCGCCGCAAGTCGGATGATACCGCAGTAACGCAAACAACCTCACCGACCGTCGTCCCTGAACTCAGCAAACAACAAATCAAGCGCGCAACTCGCACACGCAAGATATGGGCGCTGATAACATCCTTTTTCCTCTTCATCACCCTCATCTTCCTTATCCTCGTCAACATTGCTGGTGTACGCAACAAGTCTGTTATTAGGGATTGGTACTTTATCCGCCTCGACTTGAGCCATATCGTGCCCGCCAGTGTACCGAACTTCGCCCTCATCAACACCATCGCGCAAACGCTGGGATTGCACGATTTCTACCAAGTCGGGCTATGGGGCTTCTGCGAGGGTTATGCGGGCGAAGGCGTGACTTACTGTAGTAAGCCAGAAACGCTGTATTGGTTTAACCCTGTGGAGATCCTGCGTAATGAGCTTCTTGCTGGAGCGTCGAGTAAGTTGCTTTCCACTATCCTATCCCGTTTCTGGACATGATACATCTCGAAAGTAAAGTAACTAACAACGCTGTCTACAGTCAATCTTCCCGCTGACATCAACGATATCCTCGACCTAATCCATCTCGTCTCAAACTGGATGTTCGGTCTTTTCCTCACCGCAACCGTCTTGTCCTTCGTCCTCATCTTCGTTATGCCCATTTCCATCTATACGCGCTGGCTCACCCTCGTCGTTGCTATCCTCGCCTTCCTCAACGCGCTCTTCGTAACGGTCGCCTCCGTCATCGCAACCGTCATGTTCATCATCTTTCGCAACACTATTGGTGGTGTGGCTGAGCTAAATATCGAGGCGGAAATTGGCGTCACCTTGTTCGCCTTCATGTGGGTAGCGAGCGCTTTCGCCATATTCGCTTGGCTCGTACAAATGGGTCTCTGCTGCTGCTGTGCGTCGAGGAGGGACGTCAGGAAGGGCAAGAAGAGAGGAAACGAGAAGGCATACCATATGGATCCTGCTGGCACAGAGGCTGGCGGCATCAGAGACACAAACATGGTAGCTGGCGAGACGAGTGAGAAGCCACAGAAGAAGGGTTACCAATTCTGGAAGCGATCTGGCTAGGAACCTCTTCCATCGGCTTCCAATCTTTTCGACCATGTTCCATGTGTAGATATCGACTTGGACATGGAAGTTCCAAGAGCGTAGCCCACGTCCCATTTGATGCTGGGTACAGAAAAAGACAAAATTGGATTCTGTTTTTCGAGCGAGCGCGGCGTTGGTTTGGCATCTTTGGCACTTGACAGCACAGTATAGTACAGCGCAGCGCAGCGTTGGACATGTGCAGTCGACGCGATATGACATTGATCACGGAAATATTCCTTCCACTTGTACATAGAACCTAATGATACCGCTATTCCATTATGATCACGACTATCTCATAGTTAGACTCGAAAGGCTTCAGCTTACTTCAGTGTCATTTCACTTTCCCCTGTGCAGCACCCGTATTCATCTTCTCTAACACATCCATGTCAATAATCCTCAACTCTGTCCTCGCCCATAGAATAACCAGACAAATAACACCGGGCAAGAACCCACCTCCTACCATAAACCCTTCACTCCAATCCCTCGCCAACCACACCTCGTACAGTGCCAAGAGTCCACACACGGCTCTGTTAATAGGCACAATATAATCGCCTATCTTGTCTGCCATCTCTTTTGAAAGATACGGCACAGGTCGTCTCACACTCTTCTCAGTCGGTTGTTCCCAAGATGGGGTTTTGTTGTAAATCCCGTATCCACCAACAGGTTTCCTGCCCTGTCCTTTTCCCTTCAACGGTTTTTGGAGGGTTGAGGGTGTGACATCCACGCCGTCTATGAGCTCCATTTGCGTAGGTGGTAACGGTAGGAAGTATAAGGTATACGCTGTGGCTAGTAGACTCGCGATGGCGATTAGGCTTGTTGGCAGTGTCGAGAGGGTGAATAGGTGTGGGATGTAGAGTAGTGTGGGGAGTAAGGGCAGCGCGAGGAGAAAGAGCGTGTACGTATGCGTTGTGGATGTATCGTGTGTGCTGAGGGTTTGGAGGAGGGCTGCGCGATCTGTTTGGCCGTGTTAGCTGGGCACTGGTTGAGTAGGAGGCTGAGGGGGAGTGTTACCTTGTTCATCCATACCCGCTTCTACGGTGTCCTCGTCGTCGGATTCGGAGGGGTATTTGAATGTTTTGCGCAAGCGTTGCGCCGCTACTGTTTCTGCTTCCTTGAGTTTCTCCATCTCTTCGGTCTGTTGCGCAGGCTGGTTCAAGAGGCCCCGACTTTGGGAGGGAATAACTTGATATTGCGTAGGAAGAGGAGACTGTGTTATGTGCTATTAGAACCTGGAGTTATTGAAAGGTGGCTTTTCGCGGCTTTCTGCGCGCGTGCGGCAAGGCAACCGGTTGTTTAATTGTTTGGGTGGTCGGAGGAACGGATGACGTTTGTGGGGGACTTCTGGACCTGGACCTGGACCTGGACCCTGGGATTAGCGCGCCGGCCCTGGACAGTTCACATGCTTAGTGCCATCTCCAACTATACCGCTCGACTAATGCCTTTACAGTTATAATGGCACCGTGAATTTCTTCTCTTCTATGTAAGTGGGTCCTTTCTCAGTCTGAGATTGCCTTTGGATTATTGACATGCTTCTCGAAGCAGATATCTTGCATCAAGATACCCGCAATATCGTCCGCTCTCTGCGCTATCCAACTCCTCCAACGCAGAGGTTCTCCACTTTTCACTCTCATTCCCAAGTCGGCCCTGCTCAAGAAGTCCTGCAAGAGCTCGGCTCCCAACCAACTCACGATCGTAAACCATATTTACGACTCAGTCCACTGCCAACACAAATTGTATATGAACCACTAATAACTCAATAAATTCCGCACAATAGCCCCGCTATCACCCTTATGATAGAGTCATATAAAAAGTAAGGCTCACTAGCAGAACTCTAATGAACATACACTAGAACGACGCTGCCACCACTCCGACCTCTGTTGCCCGTCCTACTAAAGGCGGCTATATAGCAGGGAATCAGCTAGATGCTAACAGTCCACCAATTGCACTCTGTGCTTCCAGACCGTCTCCATTTTTCCGGTTATCAACTGAGCTCCGTGACCACATCTATGCGTTCGCTCTCAATAGTTATGTCAGTGACTATACGCGTGGCTGTGCCAGTATGGTCGTCCTTCCCGGCTTCATCACATCTACCAAAATCCATCAGTGGCACTATCTTCCAGCATGGTCTCTGGCCAACCGACGAATGCATCAAGAGATATCAGAAGCCTTTTTTTTTAAACCGTAATGCTCACTTCATTTTCGATTCCGGGATATACTTCAATGATTATGAGAGCGGGTTCTTCGCGAATAGAGATATCAATTTCCGGAGCAATATACTATCCACGACCAGTGCTAGACATGTTACGTTAACAAATCCTTGACAAGCGAATACCATTCGTTGCAATCCATTTATATCCTCTCCAACGTGATCTCAGGACCCCAACTTCCAAACCCAAAGCCATGCACATCAGCGTCGACCGGGAGCAGATGTAAGCATTCATTCAAGGAAACTTTCCATACCTGTAACGTTTGTGCACAGTGTTCAGCTTGTCCTGAACGTTCACACACTAAGCTGGAGGTGGTAGAAGATTTGCTTCTAGTACTCGTCAAGCAAGAACTCTTAATCGAGTAAGTAGTTCATGATTGGAGCATCCGTGGAGCAGTAGCAGTTGAGGGTCGGCTTACTGAGGATTCCATCATCTCGGCTGCGCAAGCCACCATGTAATCAACAAGCATACATCATAGCTGCATTCGAATGCTCTAGCTAAATCTCCTATATGGGTTAGCGGTAGAAGAGGTAATGAAATGTTTACTGAACATTTCCGTTGGTCCCTTTTACACGCCAAATCAAGATCAGTAATCCAAATCTCCATCGTAAACGTACATATAACCCACGAGACATCTCTGTAATCCAGATTCAGCAGAGGAAGACCTTCTGAAAATCTGATCAAACTTTACAGTGGAACCATTTCGAACACTATGATGTCTGCGCTAACAGCTCCAACGCAATATGTATCCGTCCAAGGCAACAGACTTGCGTACCGCCGCTTCGGAAAGCCTTCTACCATTCCTCTCCTCTTTTTAACTCATTTCCGCGGTACTATGGACCTAATCGATCCCCTCTTGCTGAACAGCATTGCATCTTCACGAACTATTATCATCTTCGACAATGCCGGCTGCGGCCATAGCTCGGGCAGCATTGCACCTACCATCCAAGAAGCGGGCGCTATTGCTGTTGATTTCCTCAACGCTATCGGAGTGGCTAAGGTGGATCTCCTAGGATTCTCCATGGGCGGGTTCATTGCGCAGTGCATCCTTCTTGACTACCCGCATGTAGTCAACAAAGTGGTGCTGGCAGGCACGCAGTCGACATACACGGAAGGTTTCACTGCGCCCGATGCGAAGGTTATGGAGTTGGCTGGTGGAGCTGAACCTAACGAGGAAGACATGATGACTCTCTTCTTCTACCCTACCAAGACCAGCAGAGCGCTGGGACACGCGTGGTGGCAGCGCACCCAGGAACGCAACGTTGAAGGTGAGGGGCGCACGACATTTGTCGATCAAGCAGGAGGCCAGGTTATGAATGGCGCAATCACGCAGTTCGTGTCTGACCCAGGGTTCTTCGAGAGGTTGAAGCAGGTGGATGTGCCGATACTGGTTACAAACGGCAAGAACGACATCATGACGCCAACGGCCAATAGCTTCCTCATGCAGCAGAAGCTAAAGAACGTGGAGCTGCACATCTACCCTGACTCTGGACACGGTCATCTGTACCAGGTACCTGAGGCATATGCGAAGCAGTTGGAGGTGTTTCTTGGATGATAATCAGCATCGGAGTACAGATACAGAATGTGAGAGGATGCCGAGTTGGTCAGGGTGAGCACTAATGGCTGGGCGGTAAACACGGACGGCGGTAGCCTTCACAGTTCAGATGCTGGCAAACATATCGGGTTACTCGCGAAAATGAAATTGTACAAGATCCATCCAAATTGACTCGAATTCCGGCATTGTGGTGACCTATGAACCCATTTTACACGATTACTTGACTTCAGGCTAAAGCTGTAAGAGGTGGTAGTATGTTCACCAAAAAAACCAACTTCGCTCTTACAGCATGCTTGCAGATTCCCATAATCGTGGTCGGTGCGGTCAAGTCAGTAGATCGCGCTTCAAAGTGGGAAAGATTAAGTTCGGGCACAGTCAGCGCTCACCATGTGCAACGACAGCCAACTGGACAACACCATAGCAGTATTTTGCATAGCCAGAATACCTTGCGATGTTAGGCTCATAAATTACTCACCCACGAAGCGCGCACATCTAACGTCAACTCAGCTTCTCAACGAGTTCTTCATCGAAGCATTCAAAGCGCCAGAGCTCAAGGCTGTAGAATGTACCCACATAGGCGAGTAAATCTCGAGATGCCTAAAGCAACAAATGTGCTAACTATGCCTCCCAGCCGTACTCGTCGACACAACCGACACCACTAAGCTTACATCGCCCACCCGTGCCCCAGTGCAGCAAAACCTCTCATACCCTTTCCTAGACTGGAAACTAGACGACCTCGTCAAATTTGTGTGGCAATTCGATCGCTCTGAACACGGCATCATGAATACAGAATTCGTCATCATGGACAAGCAGACCCTCGAAGACAAGACCGTAGTACTAGTTACACCGCCTGAATTTCACGATGATATAGAGACGGCCCCAAGGCTGACTGCGCGATCGGATTTCCGCTCTAGTCTCATCACGCTGAATGTGAAGAGCATGGGGGTAGGGGGCGACGAACCGTGGGAGAAAGCGGCGGTAGAGAATGGGAGTGTGATTAGATTGTATGATGATGATAAGAGTTCAGGGGACAGCTAGTAAGAGGAGTCGGAACAGACGGTGTATGTGCGTCCATGATATGAGTCCTATATCATTCTACAGCATTCTTCTCCTTCCACCCCATAGCCGCCTCTTCATAAGTACAGAACTCAACCTCTGCTTCCCACGCCTTCAACCACTGAATTACCCTCTCAATCATGCCGATAACGTGCGCCATACCACTCGTATCTGGATGCAAGACCAATGGGAAAACCACTACGTCTTTCTCTCCAGTACTGTCATGCATCTCGCTCCTAATCCATTCGAACTTATCCTTCCACATGTTCTCCATAACACGTACATCAACATAGCCGTGTGAGTTGGGGACATTAGGGAGGTATTGAAGAGGCGTCATATCCTCCGTGTACCAGTTCGCCGGAATCTCGACTAGTGTTTTGACCGTGGGGGCACTGGGTTTGGGGAGAGGTTTCATCCAGTCTTTTGCTGAAGCTTCTTCTGTGTACTTTGGCGGTATTATAGGTGGTAGATTGGGGAGGTAATATGGTTTGCTGTCGTGGTGGGAGAGAGAGGAGTCGTAGAGGAAAGAGTATTCTTCTAGTAACTCTACGGTACTCTCGCGAAGTTGGTAGAGCGGTGCACGGTAACCCAGTGGGCGTTTCCCCAATAATTCCTGGTAGAGGCTTATGCAATGTTCGAGGACTTCGCGTTCTTGGGTTGGAGTGAGCTGTGGGGCGCCTTCGTGGCAGTAGCCGTGTAGACCTATCTCCGCACCACTGCTCTTGATTGCGGCGAACTCTTTAGGAAATGACTCAGCGCTGTGCATCGGCACGAACCAAGTTACTTTGTTGGCGATGCCGTGTTTGGCGAACAGTTTGAGGAGTCGCGGAACACCAACATGTCCACTGAAGAACCCGGTACTGTAATCGGCGAGGTTGTTGTCTGGGTGTTGACCAGTGCCTAGCCAGCCCGATACTGCATCGAAGTCTACCGAGAGCAGGATCTTGATCTTCGGGTTGTGACTAGGTTGAGGGCTGTTGAGAGACGACATGGTTGGGGCGACCATCGCTGAGGGGTTTCTACTAGCCAGAGACACGCCTTCGGTGGCAGTACCAAATATTTCACCCTCTCCAGTCGCCTTGATCGATGGTGCCTCTGGTTCAACAGTGGTTGCATGCGATTTGCGAACTTCGTCCTCGGACCACACGATACGACCCTCCATACCGCCATCCACAGAGATACATTGCCCTGAGATATGGCCCGCAGCACGATGGCTTGCTAGAAAGGCTGCTGCTCTCGCTACATCAGTGGGCTGCGCAATCTTCCTGAGTGGAACACTGTGATTGTCAGCGCAAACGTCTCGAAGAGTCAGTAAAAGCATCAAACTCACGTAGCCTCAGCCTCTCTCCACATCTCTCGAGGGTCATCTAGTCTCCCCTCAATCAACTTAGTATCCACCCACCCGGGTGCGACAGCATTAATCCTCGCCTTTTTGTTAAGCCTTACAATCTCGTTCTTCACCGTCTTCACAAGCCCATACTGTAGTCCTGCTTTCCCACTCGCATACTCTACATGTCCTGTTTGACCGAAAACCCCACACTCTGACCCCGTCACAACGACACTGACATTATTGATATCCTTACCAGTGTCTTTCTGTGACTTTTCGACAGATTTGAGGAAATGCTTAATGGTAAAGAATGTACCACGCACGTTTACGGCATAGGTGCGGTCCCAGAGGTCGCTGGGCATGTCCCAGATGGAGTAGCTAGAGGACTCATCGGTGATGCCGGCATTAGCGCAGAGGATGCTTATTGGTTGCGAGAAATGGTTGATAGCTTGGGAGATTGAATCCTGGATGGAGGTTTCTGAACTGATGTTGCCTTGTAAGCAGTGGAGGTTGGGGTTTGTTGAAGCAAGAGGGTTCAGGCGGAGGTCATGTGCGGTGACTTTACAGCCTTGTGCTGTGCAAGTGTTAGCAATGAAGAGGTGAAGAAATGACCGATGTGAGTGCTTGTATTAGTCCGGGTGCTGTACTCGACGATGTTGGTAAGCCAGAGAGTGCCTTCTTCCACCTCAGCATGGTTTGACAATAATCGTAAGCCTACCATAGGCCTTGGAGACGTTCCTTGACGTTGAAATATCCCCTCGCATACACCTCAAAGATACCAAGTCCAACACATACCTAGAAACTCCTCTACAATCGCACTACCAATTCCTCCGGCAGCCCCAGTAACAAACACATGCAACCCTTCAAGTTGAAGAAACGACATTGTGCACCTTGACGACGCCTTTACTGTTTCTCCAATCAAAAGAGATGGAGTTCAGGTTAATACTCTATCAACTCAGCTCCACAGGATGTGCGCCCGCATTCTCCGCATACGTAATGTCACAACAGCCGACCCGAGGACATGATAAGCCCTACGTTATCACTTTGAGTAACTTCCAAAGATGGGTGACCGCTAGCACTTGTTGCATATCGTTATTTCTCCGCACGCAGTCGAGATGGGCTTGTACACGTAATGTCTTAGTGCGAGTGAAGACAACGAAGCATGAGTTATCGAGCATGAAGGAGGGGCTGTGATACTGACCCCTCCACGCACCCCAGCTCTGAGAAAACAGAGCTAGAACGTGCGAAGAACAACCACCAACCTTCTACAAACTAACCTTGTTCCATAATGCTACATGCGTCATTTTTGGTCGCGCCTACGGCCAAATCTCAACAAAAGCAAAACACCCCGCGCGCAACAAGTGCATCTAACTCACGACTATCTACCCAAAAACGCCACTGTGCCCCTTGCCGTCCCGCCGACCCACCCTCGTGGACCGTCAAACTTCCCAACGTGGTAACTTTGGCAAAAAGCATTGATTTCCCATGGCCGAAGGGCACACTGCTAACGTTTGTGTGACCAATGATGCGGGTAGTGATCTGCGGGTAGCGATCTGCGGGATATGGGTATGTGCAGAAGGGGCACAAGAGGGCAGCCAATCGGAGTGAAGGGTGTGTAGGATGTGTTAGTTGGGCGGGCGGAGGGCGAGGGTACGAGTCGGCGATGATGAAGATGGTCGCATACGTGCTTCAAGTTGAATGGATGGGAAATTTGTGCTGTTGCTCATTGGTCTTAGGTACTGCGTGACTGCAGCGCAGAGTATTGCTTCTCTAGACGGTGTAATATCGTCTGCTGCCCGCACTTTTGACTTCCGTTCTAGGCTTGGTTGGTGTCATAACGCCGTGGCTCATGGCTAAATTACAAAGTGATGTCCTCAGAGCGGTAGTGGTCTGCTACAATGCGGTACAGGTATGAAGGTGCATGTCCGCCACTGTGATGGTCAGTTTTGATCCAATGCGTGCAAAAGTTCCAGTCGAGACTTACAGGTTAGTGATGTAGAGATCCACAAGGTCTGCAGGAACGTAGTCATACAGGGGATTCTCAACATCGACCTTGTCGACGAATTCGCCGTCGTCGTAGGGTACTACACTTCCAGCATCACCGTGCTCGATCAGCTCGTCGATGTCGAATGGGTAGACTGGGCTGAGCTTGTATACACCACTGAGCACGACAACAGGCGTCTGGTGCTCCTTTGCAGCCTTTGCAATCATATGTGCTCCAGCTGCTGCTACTAGGCCGCCGTTGGCTAGCACGGTATGCGTCGCCAGAATGACCTTGTTGACGCGAGACATTATGGCGAAGACATGTGAGTCTGGGATAACGTAGACTTGAATACCAGCGTCGGTGAGCGGCTTCCACTTGTCGTCGTCCTCGTCGTCATCTGGATTCGCTTCTCGCTTCTTACCGGTAAGGAGGATGCCATGCGTGGCAGTGTGATCGTGGGGATATGTTTCGGCGTGTACAACGGTAAACTTGCGCTTTCTTGCAGCGAACAGGAGGAACTTCTGGACGGTTGTTGACGCGGTGTGGGTGAGGATAATCTCGTTGGCGTGAATGTGCTCGAGCGCAACTTCGGCAATCTGCTTGTCTGATGTTTCCAGCTCATCCTGGAGTTCTCTTATGCCCTCCATGACCTCACCCTTCAGGTCCAGATTTTGGCTCCTGTTGATACCCTCGAGCCGCTCCAGGTTGAGTGCTGTGAGGGTGCTCTTGCCATTTGGCGATGCTTGCCCTGTGGGTGTACTTGTAGTCGAGGGTGTATCTGCTGGCTGAGAGAAGAGTCCGAATAGCGAGTGTACCAGAGGAGCGGCGGAGGTGGGCGCATACGAAGTGTGTGAGGTGAGTAATGGGGGCCGTCTTGAGGGTTCGCTGGCATCGGAGGCGTTGTCGGTGAATACACTGGCGTGCATGGGTTCGGCGACGGCATGTCTGAGAGGACTGAAGGTGGATATGCTCGAGTTCAAGGCTGGCCTGTGGAGGGAGTCGTGCTGCGCGTGCGCGTGCGCGTGCGCTTGTGGTGTAGAGTGGCCTGGTTCGCTTCCCGTTGGTGTTTGCCCTTCAGCATGTTCGTCGACGACCTCGCGTACCAGTCCCAGCACGCGTCGTACGATGTTTCCTACTACAACTTCTCGTGGTTGCGCCGATGTCAACCGCCTGCCAACCTGCTTTATGCGCTCAATGAGCTTTGCAGCATCCCTTCCCTTGAACTCTCCGACTACGCGCAGAAGTAGGGCCGTTGTCGCAATGGCGCATGGCCTCGAATTTCGTATCTGCCGTCGCTTGAGGAGTCTGGAGTGGACAGGTTAGTGGTTGTTGCGCATGTGCATGCAGAGTCGCGTCTCACGAGATAAAATGCTCAACAGAGGCATCTACAGGAGTACTCTTCAGTGACTTGAGGTACGTGGACAGCCCCGGCGCCTGTATCGTTGCGCCCTGCATGGTGGGGATATGTGTGAAATGGCACTCGAGAGTCTCGAGATTTCGAAGCGTATATCGAGGGTTATGTGGGGTGGTGGGGTTGTTCTGTAATGACTCTCGTGGTCCCTATTTGACGTTGGGCAAGTAGTCTGGACAGTCGATGGAATTTCTAGCGTCTCAAAGCACTGGCGGCACGGGAATCGCCTTATTTGGGCAGTGTGGGGGAAAGTTGCTTGTTCAAGACTTGGTGATGGGAAAGTATGAGTCGTAACTAAATTGAGCTTTCGGTGTTCCGATTGGGCACGGTCTCTCCAGCGGTTCGTCATTGCCATCACCCCCAACCTTCTGTTTAGCTGCATAGCCATCTTCTCCCTCCAAATTCACGCCTCGGCTTGTTGCTAGTTTCGTCAGTGCTAGAAGAGCACATTGACTGGGCCGCAACTCTCTACACCCTTCGCAACGGCCCCGCCATCACGGAGGTATTGTCGTCAGCCAACAACACATAAGCATCAGCGCTCCCCAGCAATCACGCTACCCCACAGTCCTTCGCCATTCTCGAACCTCGGCCCTCCAGATCATCCCCAGCTGACGATGCGAGTGCAATAGCTGCACAGAGTGAGACGCGCAAGATGGGCGTCGACAGGAGTGACGGCTCCGGCTCCGGCTCCTCGAATACGGAAGCCGTCGCATCCGCCTACGACGAGAAGACACCTCTGCTCCAACAACCCCAGAAGGGACCATACGAAGACACCAAGAGGCGAAGGAGATGGCTGTATCCGGCGCGCATATCTGACGGAATTGCCGCTGTTGTAGGGGTACTGGTAACCCCCTTTGTTTATACGGGGCAGTATCTCGTGGCCGCCTTCTACTACGAGGAAGATGGCCACTTCTCCTTTCTAGCCCCCGTCTACAATATCTCGCGCACTTTCACTCGCGGACGTCGGAAAAAAGTTGCAGCGCATGCATCGCGAGCCTCGGCTGCCCCGGACCGTAGCGAGAAGGGAACGCGCAAGAGTCGCAGTTCGAGTGTCGCCCAACCAGTCATGAAGCAACCTACGAGGCGGTCCCTATCAATAGCATCAACCTCAACCGCCATGACGTCTGACTCGGAAAGCGAGCGATCTCCCACACGCGACGACGACATGGACAGCCCCTCTCGCCATACCCGATCCAAATCGAGCGCAACTGCACGAGCAGACGAAATCGCTCCTGCAAAGAGATCAATACGTATCACGCTGCACCACAACGAGGACGCTCTAAGGCAACGGAAGGCAGCGAAAAAGGCCCAATCGTCAAAGACCAACTCCATCTCGTCCGAGACTGCCGCGTCCCTAAAGTCTCCTACTGGCCCGGCAACCGCATCTTCGAAACAATTGACCAAGTTCCCACGAGCGCCCCAACCCCCGCGTCCCTTGGTACCTCGCCGCCAGCCGTCGTATTCCGCGAAAGGCGTATCCGCCGTCGGGCCACACCAAAAGACGCTGATCATAGATCTCGATGAGACACTGATTCACAGCATAGTCAATGGCGGTCGCTTCCAGACTGGCCACATGGTAGAAGTGAAGCTCCAGGCATCGGTTGGCGCGGATGGACAAGTTATTGGTCCACAAGTGCCGCTTCTATACTATGTTCACAAACGGCCGTATTGCGACGACTTCTTGAAAAAGGTATGCACGCCAGCTAGGTGCGCCCCATGTCACACTAACGGAGCGATAGGTCAGTAAATGGTACAACCTGATTATATTCACCGCTTCGGTACAGGAGTATGCAGATCCCGTCATCGACTGGCTGGAGGTGGAGCGCAAGTACTTTGCAGGAAGATACTATCGACAGCACTGCACTGTTCGCAACGGGGCTTACATCAAAGATCTTGCTCAGGTTGAGCCCGATCTCAGCAAGGTCATGATTCTTGATAACAGCCCCTTGAGCTACGTTTTCCATCCAGGTAAGATCAGCTTCAGCCCAGTGCGCCCAAGGCGACCTGTACTGATTGTGAAACCAGACAATGCCATTCCCATCGAGGGCTGGATTAGCGACCCAACAGACCACGATCTGCTGCACCTTATCCCGTTGCTTGAAGGCTTGCAGTATGTCACCGATGTGCGTGCGCTGCTTGCGCTTCGGCTCGGCATGCCTGCATCCGCGTAATCAGGTAGCCACAACTTTAGTGGCATTCGCTTTAGTACCTCGCATTCTAATACCTTTTGTACTATAGACCCGTTGCGCCGAGCAGTTGGCTATGTAGCTCGTAGGAGGTGATACCCAAGATGTTATTCGTTCATGTTCCACGGCTCGCTTGAGTAATGTTCCTTTTATGTTTCTTTTACTCATTACGAACAAGGAATTACCCGCCGGTCGGCCTGGACCTCCGATCTGCCACATGCGAGCTGTCGCATGGGCCTGTCGTCTCGCCCACGTTCCTAGCTCGCTCCCCCACGTCTGCGAATTACCTTGTGTCCGGGGCATGACATTCGTGGCTATAGGTCCTCACTCACCATGCTCTTACACATCCCGCTTATCTGTCGCAGCCTTTCAGCCCCACGACGCCCGTTTCTTCTCCCGTGGCTCCATGCAGGGCAGTAATTGCTCTCGTTTAGGTCCCATCAGAGTGAGCACGTTGAATGCTTATTACATAGACACACCGCTACCCCTGTCGGGTTCATGCCTTTACAATGTCACTTTCGCCCTGAATTGTCCAAAGTGGATTCTCAACATTTCGTGCCAATGCATTCGTTACAGAGAAGAAGCCTGCGCTCAAGTTCGATTCCATCTAAGAAATGTCGTCACAGGCTCAAAACATGGATATAGCAATGGTGGATTCAAGGTTGGTCTATCACCGGTGGCATGAATCGAGCTAACAACAACTTAGCTTAGACCATCCACTCTTTGATGAAGCCGTAGAAGCAATACGCAACACCATACTGCAGGAACATTATCAGCATTTCCATCATGACGTTAGTACATCGCGTCTGCTGGATGAGTTACATCGTGTTTCCGCTAGCAACGGGTTGGCAGATCGAAGACTAGTTGTTTGCAGTCGAAAGTTCACATTATTCATTCGCACTTTTACATCCTACTTCAACGTTCTTAGCACATGCGTAGAAGTACAGGCAGCATGGACGGGTTACTTGTGGGGAACTGTCCGATTGGTATTCAAGGTATGGACCAAGCACATTCTCGATGCATGTGTTGAACTCACACGGAAAGCAGATGAGCAGCAACTGCGCGCTTTTCCTAGAGAAGATTGCCGACATGCTTGAGGCTATTGTGCAAATCACGCCTCCTTACCAACAGGTCTACGATATCTGCAAACGCAACGGTTCCGAGGCTCATGGCCAAGCCGAAGATTATCATTTAGCAACACTTTTGTCTTATGTATATGTGGATTTTGTGCAGCTATTCTTGGAGCTGTATCGAATCTTTTGCCGGGGACCACAAGGTACGTCTTTTCATTGCTTCTAAGCCGCACAGATGGTTTGAACTGTCGTGGTATCCGACGACAGAAGCTTTTAAGATCCGTACAGCACTAGATCGTGTGATTTGCTATGCGCACGAGCTTTTGTGTTATGCTCAGAGTTCCATGACGAACCTTGATCATATACTTCCATACGGTCGAGATTTAGAACCCGATCTGACTGACTTTACACAGGCGCTGAATTGCATTCTCTCACGTTCGGTGAGACACGGTCGGCGCAATGGCGGCCACTCGACTCTCGCTTTGTCCACATAGAAACCCGAATAGAACACCACAGGAGGTGGCTAGAGAAAGAGACCGAGAACCAGTTTCAATACTACGCGGATATATCACAGCACCGTAGAAGTTATCTCGACTTCCTACATCGACAAACTGGTGCAAATCGCAACAACCAGGTAGAACAAGAGGGACAGCGACTAGCGAAGCGGTTGAGAAGAGTTGAAAAGGTGCAAAGCTGGCTGTCAACTTCAACCTCGTTTGTCATAAAGCCTTACGACTTTCACCAACCTTACCAGGACTCCTGTGCGTGGTTCTTACATGCTCCAGCGTATACCAAATGGCGAGACCAGCAATTTGATCGAAGTATGGCAAATGATCAGGATGCTATAGTTGGTAACTGGCAACAACGAGTGTTGTTCGTACAGGGTAGGTCTGCTTGCGCATACATCAATTTTTGGGAAAGCTGACAAATGGTTAGCAAAAGCCGGCTTCGGCAAGACCGTCATCTCACAATCGGTTGTGAGCAATCTGGCTGGTGAGGCAGAAGACCCTGACCTATGCGATGAGCCTCCTGCGACCGCATACCACCATTTTAGTAATCTTCTTTCCGAGGACAATCGGCCTGAAGACGCATTTCGGACCATGTCATGTCAGTTGCTCCAGACACATCGATACGATCGCTCCACCCTGGATGCTGTCAGCCTTCTGTTGCGCAAAACTTCGTTTCGAGAGCATGCCACTACTGATGAGGTGCTGGATGTTCTCTTGCTTCTACTTCGACAACACCCCACCTTCATTGTAGTTGATGGCATTGATGAGTGTAGCGACACTGAGATGCTCCTTGCCTCTTTAGCAAGACTCTGTCGCGGTTCCGATACAAGAGTCATCATATTCAGCAGGCCGAATTTGAGGATACCTCTCGAGTACCAGAAGTGGGCTTCAGATGCTCCCCACATCCTCCCACTTACCAACAAGCACAACGCCGTTGCCATAGATGGCCTCGTGGTACCAGAAATGAATCGTCTAGCAGACCAAGGCTTCTTCGGAATCTCCATGGATCGAGTGCTCATCTCGGAAGTCGCGAATATAGCAGATGGCGACTTTTCATGGGCCAGCACGTTGATGAGGTTCCTTCAGTCGCCGCTGCTGTCGTCAGAAGAGCGGCTTGATATCTTACAGGGCATACGTTCACTGCAGGGTCTAGAATCACTCTTTCGTGTCGTGTTTGACGCATTGGCACGTCATCCACTGACCGAAAAGCGCATCATTACTGACACGTTCCGGTGGTTATCTTTCCCAATCAACCGCATGTGTCCGGGGGCACTGCATGCCGCTCTAAGCACATACAACCCTAACGTGTCCGATGGTTCGCATACGACCGATATTATGCAAGCCTTACCGGAACTCACATGTGGTCTTCTTCGCGTTGTCAATGATGACATTGCCTTCGCCCACGAAACCATACGCGACTACCTCCATGATCCAGTGTCTCAAGACTCGGAGTTCAGTCTCTGCGACGAGAGTAGCGTGCATGCCCATCTTGCTTCGCGTTGTCTAACCTACCTCGCCCACGATATCCCGAAACGTCCTCTCGGTGCCTTACAGCCTCATAACGCAGCCAGGCCACCCGTTATACCTACGAGCAGCGGCTCAAGTCAACGAACAAGCGCATCAGGAGACAGTGGATACAAATCTTTATCTTCATTGGATGGAGATACCAACACACACGCTGCACCGACTATATCAACTCAACACAACAGCTCTCGGGCGAATAGCATACGCATTGTACCTTTTGACACTCACCTCCCTTTTCTTCGCTACACAGCTCTCTGCTGGCCCATACATCTAAGCCGCGCTCTATCCCCATCATCTCACTACACCACAACCTCTCCTGCTGACACACTTGCCTACCTACCCGCACTCAGCGCCTTCTTAGCTTCCCGTCTTGCAGTCACTGCATGGGTTGAGGCTTCTTTCCGCTACAACTTGCCTCCTACACTCACACGTCTCGTTGGTCCGTTGTCGGATTTGAAAGGCGAGATATCACCGGCGACCGTGGAAGGTAAGGAATTAAGATTGGTGGTGAACGAGATTAGAGGTTTGAGTGAGAGACTAGTGGACTTGAAGAAGGAACATGAGGGTGTTATGAGAGTGAATCCGAGTTTGATTTGGCAGATGGACGAGCCGGGTGCGGATGCGTATTGGCCTGTTTGGGAGGAGATTGTTGCGAATACGAGTGGGCGGTGAGAATGAGAATGTGGAAGAGTCTGCTTTTACGGAATGGCCTAGTGGGGATCGATATATATGCATGTGACACGATGCACATGAGACTGGACATTCGACATTTGTACTTCGTCGTTCCAGCTAGCCTGGAATCACCAATGGTGTATATATATTCTTCTTTCTGATTCGAATGTTCTACTTCATTTCACATTTTTTTTTATTTTTTTTTTCCAAAACTTGGAGCGGCCTGCTGATGGCATGCATGTTTCCAAATGTGTCGAACAGAACCTTGGGATTCTTCATGTGAGACTTGGGCTGAAAAGAGTGGTCATCAATCGAACGGACTGCTAGCTTCTTCGTTTTGTAAAGTCCTGCATGCTTTCTCTGTTCTTCCTCAACTCACAGCGGGATGCATGAAAGTTCAAAAGAGATTATTATGTCACTGGGATGGTGCGCAAGAATCTGTGACGGTTAATGAGATTGCCTAAACTACTATCCAACCCCCAATCTAGCCCTTGGGTGTCTGCAATAGGAGTAGGAGAACAACTGATGAGAGTAAACCGTAGGTCCGAGAGCTGCCAATGAGAAGGTGAACATGATGCCGACCACGGAATTTGGACGAGCGCGCTAAGTTCAAAGCATGTGATTTCGTGTGCTCCCGAGGTCCTCACGATTGGCCAATTGCTGTGACACGCACCTTCACCCAGTAAAGTTTACGACCACAACAGCGATACTTTTGCGCCTAGTCTGAGATATAACCCGTCATTCCTCAGCTGGTCCTGTCAAGGAAAGAACATCACGACGACAAACCGTCCTGGTCCGCAAGACATCGCAACAAGCCCACCATGGCACCCCCGCCATCCTCCCTCTACACGCTCTCCTTCGCGATTGCGACTCTGGCTACTCTGCTCGTTGCTGCAACACTACGTCTACTCGCCATCCTCCCAAATGCGCGCTCTAAGTCTACACCACTGCGCAAGCGCCCGCTCGCAACACGCGTCCTCATCGTGCTAGGATCGGGCGGACACACACACGAGATGTTCTACCTACTTCGAGATCTGGACACACGGAAGTACACACACCGGACATACGTGGTCAGCAGCGGAGATGCATTCTCGGCACAGCGCGCCGCAGAGTTTGAGCGAGGACTTGAGGACAAAGAAAAGGAACGGTTGCGGAAGCAAGATACAGAGAAAGAGGTAGTCCATCAGGATGGCACAGGAAGGAGACCGGTGATGGAGATCACAAATGCAGACGGCACAACGCATGTGATGGGAAACACGACGGGCGAGAGGCCGGGATGTACCGGACCAGACCATTATAATATCGCTGTCGTCCCTCGCGCACGCAAGATACACCAACCACTCCTCACAACGCCTCTAACATCACTTTACACGCTCGTGGCATCCTTCACGCCTCTCCTCCGCGCACCACCACTTCTAGCCGGTCAAGCCCCCACGACACCATACGAAGCCACAGCCGCCGATCTACCGGACCTTATCATCACCAACGGCCCGGCCACGGCCGTGATCCTGATCTTCGCGAGCCTAATACTGCGCTACTTCAATATCAAGGGCGCAAACAGCAGGGGGAAGTGCAAGACAGTGTACGTGGAGAGCTTCGCACGGGTCAAGACATTGAGTTTGAGCGGAAAGCTGCTGCTAAGGGTTGTGGATCGATTCCTGGTACAGTGGGAGGAGTTGAAGGGCGCGGGAGGACGAGCAGAATACTGGGGGATTCTGGTATGAGGACGAGCACGAATACATGGGAAGGTCATGTGAGTCGTGATATGCATGATTCAGGCGTTTGATGTACATTTACAGCGAAGATACCCCACAGGCTACGGAAAGCCTGACTGAGTTTTCCGACTTCAACCCTTGCTATATATATACAAAATGTATGCTACAAATGTCATGCCACAAGGCAGAATGCAGTGTCATGTCATCGTTCCAACCGCTCTAGTCAAGATCGGCTGTTTGACTGGGAATCTGCTTCTTTCCCAAATACGGCTTTGTAACACTCTTCTGCATGTGCTGACCCAACGCTGCCAGCAAACTTTCCTGGTCAACGAGTGGCTTCACCTTCTGGCTCTGCACCTTCTTCTGGTGCTCAAGCTCCCACCTCAGTTGCATGGGTGTCTTCATTGCGTCCGCAGCCCTCTGCTGTTGCTTTGCAATCTCTCGCGCAAGCACACCTTGTTCAGAGTGTCGTGCAATCTTGATAGAGCGTGGTGCATCAGGGTCCTTGTCCTTCTTCGCTTTGATGGAAAATTCGTGTATATCGCCACGAAGCTCCTCACCAAGTGTGTCGGGGAAAGGAGGTGCAACGAGCGTGTAAGCCATAGACTCTGATCCCTCAACGATGTTACGCGTTGTATCAAAGTCGTAGGCCCCGGGGTGGTTGGGATCCATACTTCTTGGAGTCGCGGCCTTGAATCTCTCTTGCTCCATCCTTTGGATCTCAGCAAGCTTCTCTTCAATGTTACCGGTTGTGAGGTCCTTCGATGCGTCCTGTTGAGCTCGCTCCTCCTTGTTCTTGCTTCGCCACCGATTCAAGCTGGTAAGCGGCTGGCTTATCTTTCCGAGCCATGTTTGCTTGCCTGTCTCTGGCTCTTTTGTGATGCCTACATCTTCAATTTCTTCTTCGCGTTCCCATGGCCATTCGAGCCGCTGCCGTGTGCCTGCGATGTAGCGGTGGAATATGGGAAGTCCGGTTCGAGGATCGTATTGGTGTGCTTCCGGGATCACGTTGTCGCCATAGTCGGTACCGGTGTAAGGGTCGATGCCAGTCGTATGTCGCTCCATAAAGATCTTCTCGACAACCACATCCTCGAAACACTTTTTGCTTCCTCGCTGTACCTCGGCGGGTACCACTAGGCGTACGTAATCAAGCGGCATAGGCACCGCATTCTCTACCTTGGGCCCCATACCTTCGGCAGCGGCATTGAACACGGCGGTGTCAAAATATTGCTGGAAAATGTTAATGATGAATAGCTGTAGTACAGTAAGGTAGAGCATACCATGTTCATGTCTTTAATGACGACATCGTGTGTTCTCGGAACAAGCTCTTGCACAACACCAATCTTACCCGCATCTTTTCCCTTCAGTATCACGACACGATCATCCTTTACAATCGGAAAGTACTTCTTGTCGTCCACGACTAGCGGGTACTCCAACTCTAGGCCCTTCTTCTCTCTAACAGCATTCCGGTTCTTCTGGGTCTTGACAGGTATCTCGGGCTTCTGGATCTGGGCTCCCTTGAGAGCACCATATTTCTCAGCATCGGGGCCGATGGCGCGATTTGGCCTCAAGGTCCCAAGTTTCCAGTCCTCCTTCGCATTGGCCAAGGCCCGTTTCCGGACGCCCTTGACATGCTCATTCTCCCACATTATACGCTGGAGGACGGCTTGTTTGGAATCCCATTGTTCCTGTTTGAGCTCCTGTCGCTTCTTGCGTTCCCGCTCGTGCCATTGGATTGCGTTTTTGACTTTTCGGATCTCTTTAAGCTTTTTGGCCTGTCGGGCGGCATTGCGCCCTGGCCTAACAACCAGCTGGCTCATGGTGGGCGGGATGGCGGCGGTGGAGATCGATGTGCGAGGGTTTGCGGACTACCGAGCCATCGAATGGCGGGCGACGAGGGGTGTAGTGATGGATATAGCCAGGGGTTTCAATTCGAGTAAGAGTGTCGCGAACTCCTGGGCCGGTTTCTTTTCCACCACGATGCGTTGTCGGCAGTCGTCCCTCCAAAAGTGGTGAACAGTGCATTCGATATGGTGAGCCAAATTTCCGCGCCGGCGCTCGGGCGGTGTGGCTGCCTCGACATTCTGCCGCCCCAAAACACGTCGCCCATGACATCGTCCATCAACATTGACCATTACCATCACCACATACTCCAGGTGTCTCGTTCACCATGGCGCTGTTACGGCGCAGATTGCGCTGTCATTACTGTAACACCCATTCACGCGACAGTTTCCTACAAATACCCAAGACATTTCACTGTCCACAATGCGATGCAGTGAATCACTTCGACCAAGTACACATTCTGCTACAAGTCCTCCTCAATTCTTCCCAACTGACTTGTTCCTAGCGCGGAAACATCACCGACCCACCTATCGAAGAGGTTGCATCTGCACCTCAAGCCTCCTTTCAACACCTACGGTCGCGCTCACCAACACCCGCCATGTCCACAGCCGGCGATGACATCTTCTGCGACACGTGTCAGCGCAACCAGACCCTCTACGCCAAACTCCTCGGCGAGTACCTTCCAGAAGAGGATGACCCGACATACGACCAATATCTAGCGGCGTATGACGACTACAAGGATGAGCTCGAGACCCGATACCCGCAAGTCTGTAACGAATGTCTCCCTCGAGTCCAACATCAGATTCGAAATGCGAATCATGTTGCTAGAGCAGACAATTTGGCGCGTATAATGGAAGCGGCCAAGCAGAAGCGCACGACAGTACACACCCACCGACAAGCATGGACACTGAGGATCATTTCGCTGGCGAAGTGGACTTATATCTTGAGCACTGCAGCAGGAGTGGTTTGGCATACTGCTGGGTTAATTATGGGTCCAGACGAGGATATACGGGCGTACCAAGTATTCAGCTGGGATACTTGTTGGACTCAGGCAAAATCGAATCGCTGGATCGACGAAGTCTGTGTACTGTCGCCTATAGTGCTCAAGTGGTTGAAATTCGCGATTATTGCCGATGCCCTTACAATCTGGTGGAACCCCAAGCTGAAGGTCAAGATGAACAGCCTCACAGGACGGATGCGTGGGCTTATGTCCTTGTGGGCGATTCGCATGACGGCCGTTGTTCTTCGCTTTATAAGCCTCTATTACTGGCAAGGCACTGAGATCAATAACGAGACGATCGGTTTCTTCCGGCACACTCACATGGGCATGCTCGGCATACTGGCTTTCTCGTCCATCATGGCATGGAAGGCAGTCCGTATAGTATACGGGGCCGCGCCCTCCTTCCCAAAAACGACTCGGGAACCTGTTCCCAACGTACCCAGTAGCGCAAAGAGGGCCAGAAAAGGTTCTTACCACCCGGCTCATCCCCAAGCAGACCTCTTTGATACTATGGCGCAAGCTTTTACAACTGGTTTTGAACAGGGTAAAGAGTCTTCTCCTCTCCCTCCGTCACCAACCATCTCAGAGGCTTCGTACACTACACACGCTACCGATGTCACCACACCCTTTGCTCAGCGATCGAGCTTCTTAGGTGCAGACGACATGGACTGGACACCCACCAAGAATCCCAGAGGTCGTTTCTCTTCCCAACCCCCAGAAATAATAACCAACCAGTTCTCCAAGACTGCAACCCCACAACCTGCAGCACCTCCTCGGTTCAACGAACCCCACTCTATCTTCTCTAAGCCAGATCCAAACCCCTTCCGTCACCGGGTCCCTGCCCCACCACCGACCTCCCTCTCCGCGAGCCAGAAACCCAACCCGTGGAAACCAAGTGTCTGGACGCCTCCTCTCAAAGAAAACGCACCCAGTTTCTTCAAAAAGGAACAGAAGGTGCAAGGAGGTGTGGGAGAAGTATCGGGTCTAGATGGCCTGGGTGTACCGAAGAACGTCAAGAGGGATGCGGAGCTCTTCGCTAGCCCGAAGCTCAAGTATGATTATTACGGGACTATGAAGGATACGGGACTGGAGGACACGTTTAATGCCATGTTTACGAAATAGGGCTGACTTTATGGCAAGGTTGTTGAGATTGCATAGGTAGTTGGCGTTTTGTTTGAGATACCCGGCGGCGCCTCTTTCCTATGTAGCATCATTCGGAGTTTGTTAACCTTAAACGGAATGCTTAGTGTAGAATACTATGCCTTCTTTGACGAACAAACCATGAGTAGTACATAGAACTTCCAAATCCATATTGTAAGACATGGATGTTGAACTCAACGACGTGGCGACGCACCGAAACTTCACTCCATGAGAATATGCAAACGGAGTGGGCGCTTGAACGAGTCAGATTCTCTATCTAACTCTCCAGCATATCATGACTTTTCATATGCCGAGTAGAAGCACAGATATCCCCAATGTAAAGACTCCGGTAACCTCCCATAGTGATCCGCGGATTCCATCATTCGTTCATGGCGGGCTTGTGGTCCACGTTCGTTTCCTTCCTTGACTCCTTGCACACGAGTCCTCTATGACCTGGGCTTCTCCTTCTTCTCCTTCCACAGTGCGGAGAGACCGACACCGGAAACCTTGACGACCTTGAAACGCACACCGGGAATATCACCCTTAGCCTTGCCCTTACGACCGAAACCAGCGAGGAGGACCTCGTCGTTCTCATCGACGAAGTTCAAGCAACCGTCGTTGGGGACTGCCAGATCATTAGCCCATGCTCTCATGCTTGCCACAGACTCGTCGCAGAGCCCTCTTCAATCGCCGGATAGTGACATACCGAAAGCGGTGACCTTCTTTCCGTTCTTGATCAATTGTACACGGACACACTTTCGGATAGCGGAGTTGGGCTGCTTGGCCTCAACACCAACCTTCTCGAGGACTATGCCCTTGGCGTGGGAAGATCCACCGAAGGGAGAGGACTTGTAGGCGGTTCCGAGAAGACGCTTCTTGTAGTGGAGATCGGCCCATCGTCCCTCGCGGCGATGGTTGCGGAGCTTGCGGGCGGCGTTGAGACCTCTTGGCTTTCCTGATGATATTGTGAGCAACTACACAATATACGGCGGTGGTCAAGACGGCGAAGGCGCGGAGTCGTGCATTTCTCGTCGATCGAGGGCTTCTGAAGAGATTAATTGCGTACCTTTACCCATGGTTGCGGTATTGACGACAGGTGTGCTGGGGAGAGTGTGGTTAGTATCGCGGACGTCGAAGTATTTTCGAGAGCGGCTGGAATCAGTGTGCGCCAGAGCCAAGCCCCACAGCTTAGCGGCGCTGGACTGCAAGGGGTTAGCGCGACACAACCATCTTATCTTATCGCGCCATCGTCATTCCATCTGGGGCAGACGGGAACACCAACTCTCCATACCAAGTAGTTAGTAACAGCTTTAGCTTCACAGTAAATCACGAAGCTCTAGCATCTCGATTAATTGCCCTCTGCAAGACTGAGACGTCGCCCACAATACCACAGCCAGTGTTCCACATAACCTGCCAGCGCATGCATCACCATGGCTTCCAAAGACGACAAGAAAGTCACCAAGACGCAAACTAACCGCCTACCTGCTCCTGCACTCTTTGTCGGACCACCATCGCACAATGCTTCCAACACTTCGCTTCACGAGATTCGGTCGCCTACAAAGATACCCCTAGTCCGCCAGCGCTCGCTGCTCTCCCCGGATTCGCAGCGACCTCTTCCACCTACGACTACCAACGATGGCGACCATCTTAGTCTTACTTCCACAAACCCTTCCGCGCCCTTTCAACGGCGACAAAGACAGCACAGCCAAGCTGCGGATGCCGAAGCATCGTCGCGCGCTGAAGCAATATGGGCGGAGATGCAGAACACATTGGAGGAGGTGGAGCTGAGCGCCATCAAGGGCCCGGGCATGACAGTCTTCGGTTCTGAACATTCTCGAGCGCTAGATGAGCTGCGAAAAGCGCAGATAGAACTTGCGAAAGCATGGGCACGCTCAGAAGAGGATGAACAAACACCCGAACAACAGAAGAAGTCGCAGGATAGCAAAGCGAACGATTTGCAACCACAGAGTCTTACACACCCTCATGACGGAGCAGGATCCGGAAAGGGTGACAAGTTGTTCGATCGAATCAAGCTAGAAGAGGAGACGGAAAAGGATATTGAGTTGAGTCGGAAGAGGAGGGAGGAGAATGACCGGTACTTTGAGAAGGTGAACAAGGGTGTGCAAGAGGTCGTTGTAAGATTGGAAGAAGTTGCAAAGGCAATGAGAGGGGTTGAGAACGAGAGTAAGGAGATCTGGGGCCATGGGAGTCAAGACAGCGTGGACACTGCAAGCGTCACCACGGCACCAAGCGTTACCTGAGATGACAGGCAGCTACACGCAAAACTTGTCAAGGACGACCTACTCATGCATGGGTCAGTGTAAAGCTGGAATAGTTGCTAGGGTTAAGGCCTTTGGACCCAGAAAAACCCAAACCCGCACCGTCGCGCACCTTCATCATACCAAGGAGACTTGCATCCCACGAAGAGGTCTGAGTGAAGCCGGCGATGCTCCAATTGATGGGTGTTGGACATGGTGGCGATAGACGAGTAAGGTCATGTGAGTATGGCCGACGAAGACGGCAACGTGCAACGTGGGATTAAGTGCATTCTGCGTGTTGTGAGCACTATGTCTCATGGCTACTACGCCGTATTGTAGAGGGATGACACAATGGAATCATCGTCACATTGTTTGTTAAAGCGAAGCGTGGAAGAAGCATGTCAGCAATAACAACACTACTTGTCTTCTTTCGCGTAATCTATTTGAGTTGAAACTCAACGTCTATCTACTTCTATCTTCGCCTTTCCTTCCACTCCCTATTGTTTCACAATCTACAAAAGATAGCGATATTCCGGATTCAAATCACCCATTTCAGTCTTCTCATACTCTGTCAAACCAACATCCCTGACACTCTTGTTTCTCTTCCGGTTTGCCCAACTACACATGACGAAGTATGCGCAGCAACTCAGTGCACTGAGGCATACAAAGCCGATGGCGATTGAGTATCCTCGCGTGTATTTTGGCGCGTCTTTCTTCAAGAAAGAGTAGACGGCGATGATACCGCCAATGTTACCGAAACCGACTTGCCATGCACTTCCCACAGCTCGACGGTGGTGGCCACCCAAGTTCATATTGAACCAACATACGATGACTGGCATAGCGGTGTAGGCTCCCATTGCTACCAGGAAGAGCGCTGCGTACTGCAGATCGCGATTGTCATGTACGGAAATGAGGATAGCGAATCCGGTGATGCAGACTGCAATTGGAAACATGGCGAACATGAAGCGGTGCTTGAGCCTATCCGAGAACCACGCAACAAGCATGGAGAAACCGAAAGCGGCTGCCCATGGAGGTACACTATGTAGTTGTGTTTGTATGGGTGAGTAGCCGTAATCCTGGATGATGGTAGGGGAGAAGTAAGCGTATCCGTAGGCGGGCACAATCAATCCAAAGTACATGAGTCCGCCAATAAGAATCTTGGGGTCCTTGAAGATATTTGCAACGTCCTTGGCTTTGATGGGTCGTTCGCGCGCGGAGCGACCTTGGTCGATTTGGAGCCTGGCTTTGACAAAAGCACGTTCAGGCTCGGAGAGCCACTTGACCTCCTCTGGGAAATTTGGAAGCAAGAAGAAGAAAGCGAAGGAAACCAGAACGGTCAACAAGCCTTCGAGAATGAAAATCCATCTGCCAGAGTTAGTGTCTGTCCCACATGCGGTCGTGCATCCGAGACTTACCTCCAGCCGCGGTATCCTCGCATCCCGTCCATCTTGCCAATCGCGGAGGCTAGCAGTCCGCCAAAGGCTCCGGCCAGAGTGGTTGAGCTGAAGAAGAACGAGTATCGCTTCTGCGCCTCGTGTCTCCGGTACCACATACCAATCAAATAGAACGCGCCGGGAAACATGCCGGTCTCGAATACACCGAGAAAGAATCGAGTCGCGAGTAAACCAGCGTAGTTCTGCACGAAGCCTTGTAGCATGGTAACAAGCCCGAAACCAAACATGCAGATACTGAGCCAGACGCGAGGCTTCATCTTCTTGAGTAGAACATTAGATGGGATCTCGAACAGAATGTAAGGAACAAAGAAGATGACCAGGGCAGTATTGTAGCGGTTATCTCGTACTAGGTCGAGTTCTGTGCTGAGACCAAAAACGTTTGCATTTGCGATGTTGACACGATCCAGGAAGGCCAGGAGGTACATGATGCAGAGGAAAGGAATGACATGAAGATCGATCTTAGCCACGAGTTTCGACTCCGTGGTGTTGGGAGGGCAAGGGACGAGCGCTGGGTCGTCATCGTAGGTGTTGTCGTAACGTGGGACTGGGTCCGTCTTTTCAAAGTCCGCAGACGGTTCATCTTCTGCAGGTAATCAGCATAGCCCATTAAATCTGCATATATGTATCGAATAGCATAAAGAGATGGATTGATGAATCACGAGACGTGAAGCTGGCGATGAGCTTGCACCTGACAAGATGCACCAAGCATTCCGCGGAAGTGATCCGAGACAACTTGGCAGTGTAACGATGAGAGCAAACTTACTCTCTTTCCTTCCAAACATGATGAAAGTTGGCTTGAGTCTATTCGCCTGGTTGGTCAACTAGTGTACCGTAGTAGGTCCGATGCCAGGTTCGCGCTTGCACCGCACTTGAAACAGGTGGGAGTGAAGGAAATATATCCTGGAAAGCGGACAACGAGATAGAGTCATTGCAAAGGCCGAGGTCGCTGGCACACCCTAGCACGAGATGTGACCACTCTTGCGTCCCTCAGGCTCGCTAACCCCGCATCCTTGACTTTGCCATGCGTAAGCGATGCAATTCCTGATTAGGAAGCTGCTCTGTCGTTCGCCAGCGCCAAGTCACGGGTACACGAGGAGATGGCGCAGACGGCATGCTACTAATCATCCACTGCTCGGCTCTGACAACAAGCAAATTGGACAGGCGACATTCGCCGGCTCCAACCTGTAAAAAAGGACCGTAAGCGTGCGCCTCGCGTGTGATGTAACCATGCGATCAGCGGTGTGGCGTCGGGCCTAATGGGAAAGGATGCATCGGAAGGTATTGATGTGGCATAGCGAGCGCGCATCATTCCGCATGTCAAAGTCGTGAAGAGTTCCTGGATCCATATCTCCACCTGCAGACGCAGTTTTTACCAGGTACACTTCTCGGCTGATGTCAACTTGATAGTGCAGATGTGATAGCTACGGGTGGTTGCGCTGAGTAAGGACCAGGTTCTATATCCGTAGGGCCAACCTTGTAGTCGGGCAAGTTTGGTTCGGCAGCCGACCTCAACTCAAGCCTGGGCGCGCGAAAGTCTCAGCGTCGTCCACACTCCTTTCCTTTCTTTCCTCCAGCCTCTCGACCTTGCACACTTCAATCTCGCCCATCTTGCCAGCACCTTATGCAAGGCCCGACCCAATACGTGGAAGCGTGACTGCGAGCGACTCAATACGACACCCAAAGCGGCTGGCCTGCTGACCCGAAATGGTGAATGCCAAACATGTCGCCTTTACAGTCAACAAGCAGACTCCATTCTTGCAGACTCCAGATCAAGCCTATGCGACCGTAATCAACTGTCGGCGGCCAGGTGGGAAGCGCGCGGGGCTGGCGCACGAGGTGCGATCTCACAATGTGCCCTTGGCAATGGTCGAAGGCAGTCTGAAGCGCAAGCGGGGCGACGAGGGCAGAAAGGACTCTGAGCAGGCGGCAAACCCTGCCATCTACTTCGGAAACAATGCGACGACTCCACTCGCTGCGGCACCGGCCCGCCAACAGCTAAATCAACAGTGGCAGCAGCGCAAGCCGACGAGGTTACGGCGGGGCAAGATCTTGTCCAAAGGCGTCGACTTGGACTGCTGGTTCATAATACTGTCATATTCGGACCCTGCGCAGCTCCTGGAAATGCGTAGCAAGATTGCCTCATGCTATCGGTTTTTGCGGGATAACCCCATGCTCTGGAAGCATAGCAGGGATTACTACTACGGAAACGACATGCCGGACCCACCTCCAGGTCTCACGGAGTTCCAGTTCGCCCACCTGCGCCATGGGCATGGCTGTATGGATTGCGGTGCGCCAAACACTCGCAAGACATTCTGGGCTTTTCTACGTCGCATGTGCAAAGACTGCCTCAACAATCAAGTCGTCAAGGAATATGATGCAATTGCCCAGCTAAGGGGCCTGAACGGTGAAGACGTTTCCTACATCCGTGCTGCTCTGCCCAGCGGCATCTTCGATTCTTGGGGCAACTTCGTTGGCGTGGGGCCAGCAAGTACGCATGCTTTGAAGACCATCTACTTGCGGTCAGATGTCGACAAACTTGTTGCCGAATTCCACAAGGAGTCGAGAGAGAGAGCCCCTAATACAGAAGAGACTGCCACATGGTGGGCTGAATGGTTGGCTGCAAAGGCTAAGCATGTAGAAGAGCGTCAGATATTTGCAAAGAAGATGGAGCAGTGGGAAGAGATGCAGCGAACGGCTAGGACGTCCGACTACAACGCAAAGAAATCGCGCCGCAAGAACTTCTTCAAAGAGAAGGCGTTGCAGTTAACTCCGCCCATCAGTGTTAAAGAGCTAGAGGCTTGCCCGGCCTACAAGCGTGCCATCACTATCCCCAAAGACCCCAACAACACATCTTGGGATCTTCTCAAGCCCAAAATCGTCAAGGAAGCAGCCGAGAACGCAGCCAAGAGGAACATTGAAGATTCGCGGCCGCCAACAGCATCCAACTCTGGCATGTCCACGCCCACCAGCAGCTTAGACGGTTACCCACACACGCATCCCTATCTCGGCATGATTATGGGTATGCCTCCGCACAACGGTCACTTGTATTGATCATTTTTGTTTGTGTATTTCACGTTGGGATGAGTAATACACGAGAAAGCTAATGTTTCGGGTAATGATTGCATTCATGTCATGGCATTGGAGTTGGAGGTTTCTTCTGGTTTCTTCACACACAAACACACACACACACACACACACACACATCCCCCAAACTGCGTGAGCATTTCCTTGCAAGGCGTTAATCAAGACTTGGGACTGCATCAAAGGACAGCGGATACGAGGCGTTTAACTGTATTGGCTTCTCTTTCCTTACCAATACGTACGTCCTGGATATACGCAGTAATTGAATTCATGTTTTGCTTGACAAATCACGTACGTTGGGACAGTGAGGTAGCACCATTAGCACCCTTGGATTGAGAAAACTACCCCTTTGAGCGATGCACCCACTTTTGCCGGCCACGCCGCTCGTCGGAGTAGAACGGCATGTGGGCATGGCATGAGTCAGTCTCGGCGGCTTAGTACATGAAAGCTCTGGTTGGCCACCGTCTCTACCCAGGATGGCCAGTATGACCGCAGTGAGAACGGGGAGTGAAGACAATGAAGTCTGCCACATCACGAGTAGAAGGTGGCGACATCCGCCGCTCAAGATATCAGATGAAGATACCGCAGAGCCTCACCAGGTACCCCTCATTTCGCTGGCAGGCCTGCGTCGATCGACCTCGCCACAGCGAATCACAGCGTCTGGAAGTCGGATTATGCACGAGAGTAACGCCCAGCCTTTTGAAGCTACAAAACCACGGTTTCCCCTGCCCAATAGCCTCAACTTTCTCGTCTGCCAGACAGCTTGGACAAAATTTCCCAATCGGCGAAATATGGCTTCGCGATCGGACGTGTGTCGTGTCGGCATCAGATATCGTAATCCCAAGGGTCCAGAATGATCGTGCTCCGTAATACGCCTGATTGGTGCAGAGGCTATCAAAGTGGGTCTTTGCCGTTGTTTCCAGAAAGATTGTCGCCATCGGGTGTCCGAGCCATTGAAACATTATCTTTAAAAGCTTTCCCGCGCCTACGACCTGGTCATTCCTGTGTCTTTACTCTCTTTGATCTTCCTACCTTTGTGCCACTGCCAATTGACCTTTTCAGAGGCAATCCGAGCTTATCAACAGACTTGCAGCTGTAGCACAAATTGTTTCGATCAGTCGACTCCATCTCCAACACATCGTCGGCACAATGGCGTCTGCCTCACGAAGCTTCTCCCGCGCCCTGCGCACCGCCGCCCCCTCGTTCCGTACTACCTCGACCCGCTCCTCTGCCCGCTTCGTCGCACCCACACAGAACGCCTTCCGCAACCAGCAACGCGGATACGCTTCTCAGCAGGAAGGACCAGACAAGCATGAGGGCAACCCAACTGGCCTAGCCTGGGGTGCGGGTGCCCTCCTTGTTGGTGCTGGTGTATACAGCCTGTACACATACAAGCCTGAGCTCTTCGGTCAAACCAGCAGCCAGAAGATCTTCACTCCCAGGTTCGAGGACTACCAGAAGGTCTACAACCACATTGCAAAGAGGCTCGAGGAGCATGACGACTACGACGATGGCAGCTATGGACCTGTACTCCTGCGCCTGGCATGGCACGCCTCGGGAACGTGAGTACCCTATTTCTTCACAGAAACAACAACGACAAGGATACTAACAAGCAATAGCTACGACAAGCTGACCAACACTGGTGGCTCCAACGGTGCTACCATGCGTTTCGCCCCCGAAGGTGACCACGGCGCCAACGCTGGTCTCAAGGCCGCCCGCGACTTCCTCGAGCCCGTCAAGGAGGCCTTCCCATGGATCACATACTCCGACCTGTGGATTCTTGCTGGTGTCTGCGCCATCCAAGAGATGCAGGGTCCCAAGATCCCATACCGAGCTGGCCGCACCGACCGCGACGTTTCCTTCTGCACACCCGACGGCCGTCTGCCTGACGCAAGCAAGGACTCCAGCCACATCCGCGCCATATTCGGCCGCATGGGCTTCGACGACCGCGCTATGGTTGCTCTGTCCGGTGCACACGCCCTAGGTCGCTGCCACACCGACCGTTCTGGTTTCGACGGTCCCTGGACCTTCTCCCCCACTACCCTGACCAACGACTACTACAAGCTCCTTGTCGAGGAGAAGTGGGCATGGAAGAAGTGGAACGGCCCCAAGCAGTTCGAGGATGTCAAGACCAAGAGCTTGATGATGCTGCCGACTGACATGGAACTTGTCAAGGACAAGAGTTTCAGGAAGTACACAGACCTGTACGCAAAGGACAATGACGCTTTCTTCAAGGACTTCGCCGAGAGCGTAATGACACTGTTCGAGCTTGGTGTACCATTCCAGCAGCCCGAGGACCAGCGATACGTCTTCAAGAGCTCTTTCGACTAAGTTTGTGCGTGAGCAGGAGGGAAGATTGGGGTTTTACTTTGAACCAGAGATATCCATCTAGATTATTAGACCGTTGCTTTTTTGTTAAAGGCAGCATGAACTAGATTACTTTTGGAGGCTATTCATCATTTTTTTTTTCTTCTCTTGCGTTGTAGAGTTTTCGTATACAGCATAAGAATAAGAGTTTTGGAATATTACGTGCATCTATTGAGTGGTAAACTGGGAAGTGAGGTGGTGCCTAGTATGCATGTGTACGTAACAGCAACTATTGTGTTGCGCTGCGTTGCCATACAGAGATCTGCATCTGTATAGTATCTGGTATGCTGAGCTAAATCGTGTATTGTATCCCAAGATCTTGTCGTCGCCTTCGCTCTGACCCTCCGAAATGGTACGATGACGTATATCCTCGTTCGAGTGCGTATCCACCTCCCCACTCAGTCACTCTTTAGCGCACTCGTAAGCTGTGCAGTCTTCTTCTTCCAGTACGCCTGATGATCCTTCTCGATTTTACGGAATTCTTTGATTTCCTGCTTGCCCAGCTCCTTCACCATCGTCTCCAGCTCCTTGATCTCATCCTCTGGCAGACTTGGTATGGGAGACAGCGTATCCTTGCGATATCTCGAAGGCTGATAGATGAAGTTCGGGAATTGGGTTGTTGGTGTGGCGTCGTACTTTTTAGGAATGCCTGGTGGTTCTTCTTCTAGGAAAGTAACATGCTTCTTGCCGACGCGAGACTTGTTGCGTGGTGACCAACTGCCGTGTTCGGAAACGAAAAGGGCGGATTCAACGTCAGTGGGTATAGATGGCGAGGAGGAAAGTGGCAAGGTCGGCTCATCTACTCGCTGCTCGGTGAACAGCATTTCTTCCATAGCTTCGTCGCCTAGAAACATAGTTCCCAGCTTCCAAATTTCACCTACAACGGCTTCCCACTCTTTCTGCAACTTCCCCAGCTTCGTTGTCTCTTTGGCAATCAGCTCATCATAGTGTAGCATGCGAGTCTCAAGTGTCTGCACAAAGTGCACGCTCTTTCCCTCACTGTCAGTACGCCGCAGTGAAAGCGTAAACCGAGAGATGGGCTGATAGAGCTGGGTGGCTAAACGTTCATACTTTGCTGGGGCGGAAAGCTTTAGAGGTGAGGTATTGGGATCTTGTTGACTATTACTGGGTGTAATCGTCTGTAGGGTACTCTCGTAGAGGGTGTGCAGGAGTGATTCTAGGGTCTTTTTGATTTTGATGGAGGCAGTGTTGTAAAGATGACGACGGTACTTGTCGCTGGCATCTACATATCGTCGTATTAGTTGCCTGTACTTCATTCGAGGAGTCGATTTATACTTCTAAATGCTATACCCAGTGGATGCATATCCGATGATCTTTTCTTCGCTCCCTTTTTCTCTATGCTGTGTGAGCTAGAATGCGACCCGGCGCTCAGCAACGTCGTAGCGTCGGCGTCGTCCCTCTTGAACTTATGACTGTTGGAGGTCGCATGAGGTGTGACATTGCCCCGTCTCATTTTAGTATTTTGCTTTCTGAAGACGGCAGCAGCCGAGTTCGCTCTCTTCAGTTTTGCAGGTGACACCCTCTTTGCTGGCGGGCCCATATTGCTGCGCGCTCGCGGGTCGAACTCAACGCACTCGGTTTCCATCCTGCGCGGCCTCGATTGGAGTGAGCAGGGAGCGTCACCAGTGTTGACAGGGGTTAAGCTGAGGTTGGACTATCTAAAGTCGGCACAGGTTGGTGGTGTGTTCCGATTCCGGATAGGAAAGCGCTGGCATTGTTGGGAAAGAACACCCACTTATGCAGGACAAGACAATGCGAGGACAGCAGCTTTTGGAATTAGTGACATTCACGTTATTGCATTGTCTCGCAAACTCCAGCAATGCAAGTCGCCGCATATCTCGTTCGTCATTAACGTATACATTCTTGTTGTTACAAAGGCAGTTGCCAAGCATCTACAGCCAATGTGGTATTACATGACATAGTCTCTACGCACCCTTCATGCTTCGTTATTGCGTCATGTGTATTTTTATGGTGCCTGTCCCTCGGCGGGAACAACTACACCCTTTTCTTCCAGCATCTTCGCAAGCGATCCGTCCTGGTGCATAGACATAAGGATGTCGCAGCCACCGACGAACTCCTTGTCAACGTATAGTTGCGGTATAGTCGGCCACTCGGAGTATTCTTTGATACCTGTTTTTACATTTGTCAGCATGCATTGTCCCATACATTGTCCTGCAGCAACTCGAAATGTTCACCGCCGCGAGTCCAATCATCGCAATGCTCGATTACTGTGTGCATCCGTAGCAACGTACCTTGCCTGAGATCCTGGTCCTCCAACACGTTGAAGGCAGTAAACTTGTCTGGATCTACACCTTGCATTCCCAAGATCTGTATGCTAGCTCTCGAGAAGCCGCATTGTGGTGTCTCTGGTGTACCCTTCATGAACAGAACAACAGGTGATGATGCAACAGCCCTGTCTATCGCGGAACGGACTTCATCGGAGAGTAATCGTGCTTGGAATGGTGTGAGGAATCGTGCCGAGGGGATGGGGCGAGCTGCGCTTGCGCGGGTTGCAGCTCGGAAGGCCTGATAACTGTTAGATCAAAGGTACCAAGTAAACATGGGTTTCAGAGGCTTACCGAAGGAATTGCGCGTCTTGCAAACATTGTGGATGGTTAAGGTGGTGTTGACAAGAAACTCTGTTGATGCAATCACCTCCGTTGTTCGCCGCACCCGAAGTTTTGGATGAGGTCAGAACGCCAAGGCTGCTGAATCACCAACGTCCCATTCGTTCCCTCTCTCTCGTTCCACGTATCGGACGATCATTAATCAAGCTGTGAACACACAGAGCAAACGATAGACAGACGAATCCAAGAAACCAGTGAAGATTTTTCGGCTCCCTAATGACTACCTACCGCGACTTTGCAACGATGAACAGTTTGAACTCTAGTCACGATACACATTTGCTGCATCCCAAGGTCCTACGAGTATTCCCCAGCGTAGACACAGCCTTCGCCACAATGTCGCCAAACACATGACATCGTCGGCGCTCGCTGCTTGAGCTTCGAGCCGGTGGTGCGCATTGTTTTAGCTCGTTATACAACGCGTCCGTCAGCTCAGTCCTGCTAGGTCTCGCGCATTTGTATGCGGCTCACTTCCATATCGTCTGCTAGAATCTCACTATCTTGTTGAGTCTCCATGCGGTTTTCTATTCTTTTTTTTAGAGCGATCTTGTGTACTGACAACATGCGAGGTGAAAGTCACGTCTTATAATTTTGAGGCGTCAACTGCTATGTCATCTGATGAATACGTTCGTGAAAGCAGACTTGACTACAGACAAGAACGATGGATGTGTCCGTCTGGATCATATACGGCTACTGTCCGTTATTCTTCCGCACTTGATTTCAGACCGTTTTCTATCTTCTGTAAGACTCTAGTGCTAGGGCAGTGTGTCTCGAGTTCCTAAGCGACGAAAGAAAGCTTACATCGTGTTGGTTCGGCGACGTGGAGATCAGATACACTTCTCAGTATCTCATTAACGATGTTGCCACGGCTAAGAACATCAACACCATCGTATTGTTCGACAAAAGCCCCCACGACTGCGAATCGAGTACGAAGAAGGAGCTTGTTACCAAAGTTGCGGAGTTTACGAAACAAGTCTTCGGCATCTGCATTATTGTGACGGTGTTAAGATAGAGGGGAGCACTGCGCTGAATTGACTATCTGAGGTGGGCTAAGCTACATATATAGATGACCGTACATGAGCTATCCTAACTCGTACTAGAGTTGATCTGGGCAAGGCCCAAACCGTTACAATTATGAGCAACGTCTCGACGAAATGTCTCCAGATGATGTTGGAAACAGATCCTGTTACAAATTCCGAACTCCTCGTAGCAATGCAGGACATGCACACAAGAGAAGTAATTTTGTCAAATGGCACAGTGGGTATAATTGTATCCAGATACTCTCAATAAGTATTGGCCCTACTATGGGGATCGCATTCACTGTGAGGGAGAAGATGGACGAGATCGGCGGTAAAGAAGACAACTGGAAGAAGATCGTCGATGAAATTCACGAGATGTTGCACGTGGACCCACAGAAACGTAACAAAGCAAGTGATGTAGTCGCTGCTGTGCAGTAGCTGAAGGTAGGTAGATAACGCACTAGTAATACGTGTATTCACAGTTAATTCGTAGATTAATTACCCTACAAGATAGGGTTTATTTCGTCTCAACTCAAATGCTCTTTTGCCCGTGCCGCTCTGGCTCTTCTAAATTCGTAAGTCGTTTCCTTGATGCCAATAACCTACTAAACTGTAACATCATCAGCGCCCCTTCAAATCCTGTAGATTTTGCTGTATTGATATGCCTTCTCCACTCATGTGGTAATATCAAGCCGGTTCATTTACGCGTAGCCATTCTGAGGCAGTGTGAACACATCATGAGGACAAAACCAGTATTTAGCGCTTGCTTACTATCACAAGAAGACTATGGGTCCTCTTACGCATCTTTTCTCTGGTAATTCATTCCTTGTTTTACACCTCTTCTTTGCAGTCATGGAAAAGCTTCCTCGCGAATACGATGATTCGGTGGCCGTGTACAAGGCTTACCTCAACTACAGTACCGCGACCGCGAACTTCGGCGGCAAGACATTTGAATTTTTTCCATTAGAAATCATCGATGAACTCGTTTCGAGAAACGACATTGAGAACTCACTGAAAGAGACGAACTATCCAGGCAGTATGCGTCTGTTCGCTCTCGCTGTTTACTACGACGTATCGTTGCCTGACCTCAACCTCTTCATAACAAATCACAGTGACAGCAATCTTCCATTCCCACCAGATCATCGACTAGGGAAGCCTGGAGGACTACCAGGCCATATTTTCGAGGCTATTCGCCACGTTCAAGATCGCTCTCTGGCTCCTTTCTTTCGCGATATGCAATACAGAGACGATTTCACAGGTCACCTCATTCCCCTTGAGTTCGCCAAAGGCAGTAAGCCTGACATCGGCGAGGGATCTGGAGGTAGAGTCTATAGAGCCAGAGTCCGCTGCAGCCACTTCTCCCTCTCGAGAGAAGGCCAGCTCTCTCATGGCTGGTCCAAGCACTTTGCCCTTAAAGTCAACAAATTTAGGAAAGATGCTGAACCAGAGCGCGACTTCCTTAAGATTCAGGCCAAATATCACGCTATGCACAAACACATCACTACATTCTACACTGGCTTCGTGTTTGAACAGAATATATACCTCATCGCCGAGCTGGCAGACAGCAACTTGGACGGTATCATGGAGAAGTATCCTGAACCCAGGGCTGTCGGCAATCTGGATCGCGAGTGGCTTTTAGCACAGCTTTATGGCCTCGCTAGTGCTCTATTCACTCTCTACGACATTTTGCTGTACCATCACGACATCAAGCCAACCAATATCCTAGTATTCAACGATATTTCTGCTGGAGTGGAACACAGACTGAAATTCACTGACTTTGGCTCTGCAGGCGATGGTAACAGATATCCCTGTACGAACTACATGTGAGAAATATACTGATTTCGTCCACGCACCTTTTAGGCAAAACTTCTAGCCCGACCGAAAGCAGTACAAAGTCGAACATAAAAGTGACTACACCAACGCTGCCACCAGAGACGCACGAGAAGAGAGACCAAGGTGGATTGTAAAAGGAGAAAGACGAGATAAGCACTAAGTCGCAAGCTACATGAGTCTTCTGGTACCCAGGATTGGCGCAGAGCTTAGCAACCCAACGCCCACCAGAGAAAAAAGCTCAATACCATTAGCTTCGTCCCGCCTTCTCAAGCAGGTGCATTGCGCAGAGTTTCCTTACCTTGTAATGTATCAATTCTAAGAAATCTTGTAGACGATCAGCGCCATGTTGAGATCCTTCAATAGCTACAAAAGTAGGTCTGTAGCAGCACAAACTTAACGCGAGAACTATGGTGGTTTGGAACAAGAGACTGTTGCCTGATCCATGCGAGTGTTTACAGATTTAGATCTGTGCGTAAAACACGTTGAGTCCGATCTACCAGCTTAGCTCTGGAATGCAGATGAGCTACCAGCCTGATGTGAAGTGAACGAGAATCCATGGGTTCTATGACAGAGCTGCTATTCTGGTACTAGATCTCACACACCGAGGTTGTGTGAGAGTCAAATCAATCCGACCAGTCCACAAAGTGCAATATGGGCAATGCGGTGTGTATACCGCGGAGAACAAGATGAAATCCACTCTGCAACGTCAGTAGATCTTGTCTACGAGTTGTGTGGTTATGGAACTGCTCATAGGGGCGGCGAAGGGACGTAATGTTTTGGACGGGTTTCGTTCGGCTCGTGGTGACACTGACTGTTCCTACGGTAATGATGTGACCATTGCGTCGTATTTGAGAGACTGATTGATTTGCAGAGTGCGTAAATTGCGGACGAGAGGTCGTTACAGGTTGTAGTATGTGAGCGGCTGGTTGCTGAAGAGATTGTTGAAATTCTGAAGCCGGTATAGATTGTGTGAGAGGTTAGAAGAAAGTCTAAAGTGCTTGATGGCTGCAAGCAGGTACTTTCGCTTGGTCGGAAATTTGCAGCACGGCTGATCAATCTCAGGCCTCCCGATTGTGTTTTGCACTTGTCGTATTTATCCGTTCTGATACTCGGCCCAAGCCGCACGGGTGAAGACGAATAAGGAGGTCAGTCAATCAATCAGCTTCCTTCATCTCAGTACAACGGTGGGGAGGCATCTTGTCAAAGACACGCGAAGATCTGATAAGCAACGACCCCTCTCGTTGCCTTCACGCAGACCTAGTCATATTCCCGCTCCTAGTGACGTCTCGATCGCGAGAAACTAGTCTTCTGATATGCTAGCCTTCAAATATCGACAATGATTACGCTTCCGCAAGTGGACCTACGTTACACTGCAGTTGGTGTCGGAAAATCTAAAACCGATTGTTGATGAGGCGATCGAGGTCTCATTAGACCTACGCCTCCTCCAGGTTGCCGGCTAAAGTACTAATGATGAAACGGAGCCTCAAATACTGCCGAGCTAATGTTGGTCAATCAGGACATATTGCGTTGCCTCCCTCTGGTGAAGTGTTGAGCGGCATGTAGGAGCGATGCTGTCCATGGGGTTTCTCAATGGCTATAGCAAGTGTTCAAGTTCCTCATAAGTACCTAGGTAATAAAACCGTTTTCGCATTTTTCCATCTCTTTCGAAGAGAATGTGGGAGCCGTACCTAGAGCGAGATACGCCGGTGGCCCATTACTCGACTACTCCCAAGCACGGCATGCCGCTCATGGTAAAGCCGATAGGGCTGAAGAAAGCGATGCGACGCCTCAACCACATTGCGGGTGCAGTTTGGTGGGGTTCTAGAGCCAGCCTCGCGCAAGCGGTGCGCCTATAGGGAGTATCCATATACGCCTATCCGAATACCAAGCTCGTATCTATGGTGTTGTTGCTGGGCACTTGAAGCCTCGAGGCATACACATGGCATTTGGTTGTCGCCTCAGGCCCGGGATGTCACTACGACACACGCTACCCCCCATTCTCCACCAATCCCCACACATTCACGTCAGCAATAGACGAAGGCGATGGAGGTGATATACTTGGCACACGAATACCTTGACTGATGGCAAATCAAGTGATTGGTGCGAAATTGGTGGGTTTAGCGAGAGTAGGGCAAGCCTACGGATAAATTCGAGCTCCAGCTATCGGCGAGCGTACCACGGTGCCCGCTCTGGTCCGTTCACTATCCTACTGCCCCGAGCAAGCAACGCCTAGTGCCCTTTCTAACGGCATATTCACTGTCCAGCCATAGGACGGCTTTAGAGCCAACAAACGCGCGGGTTTTACGGAAGCTTGGTGCTTCCACCTGCTCTGGACATGGTTCCATCTCACTATCACCAAACTTCACACGCATCGCGATTAAATCAAGACCTGGTCCTGCAGCCCACCACCCCACGGATGAATATACGGCGCTCATTCTGAGACGCCTGTATTTCTCCAGACACAGCCCCACCGCCTCATACCTATCGACGTTTGAGAGATGGTAGCGACGGTTGTCGGAGTTCGCCAGTTGTATACCGCTCGTCGCATCCTCGCTGAGATCCAGCATCGCATCAACGGCTTCAATACCTACGGTTAACAGTAACAAGCAGAACAGCGCACAACTCTACTCATCCATGGCCACCATGGTGCAAACCGGGAGCGTGATGACCACCTCCCACCTCAAGGAAGGCGTGGTCATAGATGTGCAGGAGATTCCGAACGGCGTCCGGCCTGCGCTGCTGATCCTGCACAATGAGGGCGAGGAGGACATTGTGGGCGTCTTCGCGGATGTCCTGGGCCAGAAATGGGAGTCGGCGACATCGGTAGACGACGCCCTGGCAGGGCCACGAGAAACGGTCTACGGTCTGAGCAACAGGCTGGCCAAACCGCAATTGGACGCCTGGGATCGCTCCAGGCTGTTGATCAACACACATCGAGTGGACGGTGGTCACGAACTAGACGAGAGCATTACCGACCGATGCGACTACGAATACCTCTACACGCGATCGCCATTTTTTCGTCGAGACGTGTCGCGATACCTCGGCTTCATTCTGGGTCAGATTGGGCCCCATCGCGACCTTACCAAGAAAGCGCGCACGACACTGATATCGACGACTTTTCCCGACGTGCACGCTGCGCTTCCTAACCTCGACATCCTGTCGGTGGGCGCAGATGCCATCGAGATCCGAGTCGACTTGCTGGAGGAGCCTCTGCCAGATGGGACGGTCAGCAAGATACCCAGCTTGAAGTATGTTGGCGAACAGGTCATGATACTGCGCCAACGCACAGAGCTGCCAATCATCTTCACGACGAGATGCACCAAGGAAAATGGCCGGTTTCCTATGGACGACCCTTCCCTCTTCTATCGATACCTTGCGCGCGCGATACAATGGGGCTGCGAATACATTGATGTGGAATTGTGGCTGCCAGAGGATATTAGGAGGAGGCTGGCCGAGAACAAGGCGTGCACCAAGATAATCTCGGCGTTCCATGACTTTTCGGGCAACTTCAAGTGGACCTCACCTGAAACACAGCGCCTATTTGAATTGGGGGCCGTGTATGGAGATATTGTAAAGATGTACGCACTGGTCAACTCAATGCAGGAGAACTATGAGCTGGAATACTTCCGGTCGACTATCCAAGCCAAGTATCCTCATCCTCCCTTCTCAGGCCTCAACATGGGCCCCATGGGCCAGCTATCGCGGACCCTAAACAAGATATTTACCCCGATTACACATCCATTGCTGCCTATGATTGCAGCACCTGGCCAACTAAGCGCGGCCGAAATTAACGCAGCGCTCCACACTATGGGTCAGATGCCCAAACAAGACATCTACGGCATCGGAAGTTTTCGATCGACGTCGCAAGCCATGTTCTTCGAGAAGTGTTTCAACGAGCTTAGCTTGCCGCATTCGTTCGGTTTTGCAGAAAGAGCGCCCAAGGCTTCGATTGAGCATATTCTTCGACGCAACAACTTTGGTGGTGCATACATCAACCCACCGTTAGCGGCTTCGGCACCTTATCTGCCTTCCTTGTCGAATGCTGCGCGGGCCATTGGGCAGGTTGATACCGTGTTAGTGCGTCCAGGGACCAGCAATGCCTCCTTCATAGGAGACAACACCAGATGGAAGGGTATCCGGGCAACACTGACTCGTGACTTTGTGCCATCAGCATACAGTGGGCAGGCAGCGTTGCTGCTTGCAAGCAACGAGGCCGATGCATCAGCCTCAATATTCGCACTGAAGAACCTGGGTATTGGGCCTATATATACGATAGGGTTCAAGTCCCACGGGCCACTATCCACTGACGTGTCACCGGTACGATCGGTAGACGACGTGAAGCGGCTGCAGCAGCCATTCGTTATCATCTCGGCTCTGCCTGCTGAGAAATCGCTCTTGGTGGTGCCCCTGTTGAAGCATTACAGGGTTGCCGGAAGGAATGGAAGCACCAACGGACATGGGGCGACACGAACGAAGGCTGCAGGCAAGGTGTTCGTTGACTTGGCCAGTGGGCCCCGCAAGGCCGATCCGTTGGCGATTGCTACATCGGCCGGATGGACAGCATATGGCATTGCTGATGTCTCAGCATGGACGACAGTTGAAACGATACGGAAGCTCGTCGGCCAAAACGTGTGTTATGACTTTGTGCGTTTGGCGTCCGGAAGGGGACATTTTTAGATTCAACAATTAGCAATGTACACATTTGATGACCATTTTTTTTTGTCCACACAGTCACACACGACAACCCTGTTCCTGATATGAAGAGCACATGCAGCGTGACAGGAGCGAGGACCAGGGATAATGGGTGGCTTTTGATGACGGGGGCTCTCGTGGGAGCTGTAACCGGGGACGGGGGCTGCAGCTAATAGTACGGCGGTCTCGACTGATTGGCCTGCGGGCGATACCCCAGATTTTCTAGAACATATTCGATGCAGTCCGGCGCTACCGATGCAGCTACACCGAGACGAGATAGCTGCGTGAGACGGGCGCAATTTAAGTGCCAAATTGCTAGTAGCTGCATGGCAGAGAACCGAGGCACGGTGCGCTGGCTGGGGCGGCATGAGATGGACGATTCCCTGACGTGCGGCTAGCCTCCTACCCCAGTGGCCTCATGATTGTCATGTTTTTGTCCTAG